ATGCGACGCAACGTCGTCCTTGGTGAAAGTTTTTGACATGGTGGAGGGCCTGGAGAGAGAGAAGGGAGAGAGAGAGAGGGGGTTATGAACGGAAGTAAGAAATGTATGGTACGGTGATCAGGTGAAAGAGAAAGATTTCCTAGGGGCGAAAATAAAAAATGGATCAAGTCCGGGGTAGATGGAGCACGCGCTATATAGGTTCGGGGGGCAAGCACTAGATTTAGAAAACCCCGTGTTCACGTCCACTTTCTTATTTTGGGGCCTCGGAGTATTAGCTTGTGCTTGTGTCGGTCTGATTCTACTCTTCAGCTGCAATTCCTCGGCCGCTGATCATATCGGTCATCGCCGTATGTCCGCCGCATGATTGGTTCAATGTGCGTCATCGCGACAAAAATGCCGAGGCGAAAGGCTTATCTAATCGCGCATGTGAAGACAGGGTTCAACGTAGTGATGATCTCGAGTTATAGATAAATGCATATTGAATTGCCCTCCCTGAATTCTGATACTAAGCTCAAGGCCTTCTCAGATTAACATTAGATTTTTCTAACACGTCTATGGGATAGTACCGGGGCAGCTACTGGGAGATCTAGAAACCAAGCCAGAATAAGACTGAGGTCAACGACCGTTGGAAAGTTCTTGAACCTGCTCAGACTTACCTAGTAAGTCGCTTTAGCCTTACAAGTGAAACAGTTACAGGTCTCCAATTCAATAAATGTAAATGAAAAGCTTCACTTCATATCACAAGCGGCAGAAACCGCACTACTACATCAGGAACCGAGAAAGCCTGATAGCTCTAGTAATACATCCAACGTCAAAGAGGTTATGTTGCAGAAACCCTCTACTCATCCTCTCCATCCGACTCATATGTGAACTCATCCGGAAGAGGCGCGTCCTCCACGCCCTCCTCATCCTCATCAACAGCTGTCAAAACACCTGCGGCGGCCGCAGCGCCAGCCGGAGTATCGGACATGGCAGCCCGAGCAGAAGCCCGTTGAGGGGTCTGCAGAGCAGCGTTGCCAATGGCAGCCTGAAGGCGATCTTGAAGGGTCTCGGCAGCGGGAGCCGGTTGCCGTTGCTCTTTGCTGGCCTTCAGCTCAACAATATCACGGGGTTCGTCAGGCTGCTTGTCAAGGACAACAACAACACCACCGGTAGGCTGTAGAAACAAGTTAGCTAGTGCACTAATCAAATCGGGAGCGATAAAACGTACGCGCTTGACTGGCTCATATCGCGGGTCGGGGAAAGTGAGGTATTTAAGCTGTGCGGGTAGTGCCCTTGACATGTTGTCTAGCTCATACCCAACCTTCTCCCTCTCCGCCTTCTTCTTCTGGCCCTCTCCAGTGCTCTTCTCCCCATCTTTGCCCTCTTCTCCCTCTTTAGGGACAGTCTCATCTGTATCCATCTTGTCGGGTAGCTGATCTGACACCTTAGGGGTGGTAGGTGTTTGGTCAATGTCCATACTCTCGCGGCGGGCCTGCTTCTCCCGACGCTGTGCCCGACGTTTGGCCTGGGCAGTGGTAGAGAGGACGGCTGTCTTGACCTTCTCTGGGGCCTCTTCTGTTTTCACCTGCTGCTCTGGGGGATAGTCGAACAAGCTGGGGCGAGTGTTGCTGTGGAACTTGAAGTTTGGCACTTCCAGCTTCTGGTCCACACCGATAACAGATGTCGGGGTGAAACTGAGTGACAGGAAGTGGGTAAGAGGGAACCAGTACCAGTACTGCACAAACACGGCGGCACCGACAATGCCGGGCATATTCAGGTTGCCGGTCTGAGTCTGGAGGCTAATGGTGCAGTTGCGACCGCCGGCATCAATGATACCAAGGGCCACGGCGCATCCGAATTTGGCCATAGCGTCCTCATGGCGGTCACCCATCATCTTCATCATAGCCTTGCGCAGGCTGGTAACGCGAGGATTCATCGCCTCGTTCTGCTGAACAAGAACCATAGCCAGAGAAATTAAGGCACCTTGGCGAACAAAGTCTGTGGAATCCTTAAGCATAGGCTCCAAGAGATCGATGGCCTCATCCAGACCGGTTCCTGCACACGAAATACCAAGCGCCATCGCAGCACCGTAGCGGACGTGAGGGTTGTACGATTCAGAGAGCAGCTCGACCATGCGAGGAACGCTCTGGTGCTTGCGGAACAGGATGAAGCCCAAGCTCATGACCGCCACTCGTCGAACGTCATCATTGACATCGCTGACGGCAACGTGGAGCAGCTTGCGAACCGCCTTGTTGCTGCCACTGCCACAGTATGCCAGAGCAATGGTCATGATACCACCGTAGCGGAGAGTTGGGTCAGGGTCCCCAAGAAGACCGTTGATCAGCTCATCCGCAGCTTCTTGACGACCATACATGATCAGAGCCATACCCATAGCCAGACCGCGGACAATCTTCTCATGCTGAGTGTCATGGGCATACTGAATCATATCCTCCAACGCCTTCATGTTGCCAGTTCCCAGCATGACGAGACCCATGGCAAGGCCAACTGCCTCACCGTTGAGAGCAGAGTCGGTATAGAGAACATTTCGAAGGTCTTCGTAAATTCCCTCATCACCAGTAGCCATACCTGCCACACCCAAACCTAGGGCACCACCATGCTGAACAACCTCCTCGGTGGCCTTCTTGAAGTGGTCACGGATGAGGTCCACGGCCATACCACCGTGGTTGGCGTAGATAAGGCCAAAGGCGTAAAGAGAACCACCCTGGCTGTAGACGGAGCCGGAACCACCAACGCCAGCAATGTGTTCGCGGGGAAGGTAAGGCTGCAAAAGCTTCTGGCCCTGGCTCAAGTTGCCACGGTGAATGACACCCAAGGCAGCGGTTGCAGTGAACTTGGACCAGTTAACAGCCTTGCCCAGCCACTCCAGGTTATCACGGAAAAACTTGTCGTGAGTAGTACCAGCGTGCATGAAAGCATTCGAGAGAGTAACTGCAGTGTGGAAAATAGAATTCCGAGCCTCGAGGCTATCACGAATCTTATTCAAAATGGCAATATCGGCTTTGTTATTCCTGTAGAGGAACTCCAAATTCAACTGAATGGTCTTGATGCCATCCAGAATGGCAAGAATGTTCTTAAATGCACTGCGCAGCTCATCCGAATCATCTTCGTTCGATTGCCGGGAGATGGAGATAGACTGGTCCTCGAGCAATGGGTCCGACTCATTGGCCTCTGCGTGCGTGTTCTCCTTGTCGGCCTCATTTTCGGGAACAAGCTCGGCAATCTCTTGGCGAACCTTCTGGAGGAACTCCTGGGTACTGTTGTCATAAAGGTCGAAGGAAATCTGGTAAGCGACAGCCAGGGACCGCGGGTCACCCTTCTCGACAAGCTGGCGGAGGATAACAGATGCCATCGAGTGTTCATTAAGGTAGACGACACATTTCGCGATAGAGAAATAATCGGGTGCGGGAATCTCGTTGAGTAGCTCGAGGATAAGTTTCAAGATCTATATGACGGAACCAGTTAGCACTGTTTTGACTTTCAAGGAAACCACTGGACAAACCTCGCTACGGAACGCTCGTTCTTGGACAATGCCCATGCAAATATCCAGAACGTACTCCATGAGCTCCTCACTCTGACGGGATTCGCCCTGTTGCTTCTTCTCGTCCTCGCTGGCACGAATAATAGACATGCGGAGAACATCCAAGCTCTTTGCCTCGATGGCAATTCCAATAACCTGGCGGTAACGCTTCTGGCGGAAGCACTCCTCGAACAATCGCTCAATAATAGCCTGTAGTTGGCCCTGAACACCACGCTTCAAGATAAGAGGAGTGTCCGCGTGTTGAATGCTGATGTCCTCGCCGCCAGGGTGAGCGGCGTCGATGCCGGGGACCTCTTGGCGCGATAGCAAGGACTTGGAAGGCAAGGCGGACTTTGTGAATGGTGTAATCGGAGAGGTCAGGCTTGCTGATGTGCTTGTGGCACCTTCGCCAGATGCAGGGAAAGACTGGTTCAGGTGGGCAGAGTGGTCGCCGGCGCTCGGGTTCTGGGCGGCAGATAGAGAGATGAAGGTATCGACGCATCTAGCTGTAAAAGGCATGGATTTGTTAGCAACACAAACGTGAATTTCATCGTCGCCGACTGGCTTACCGATAATAGTCTCTTCGTACTCGCCACCGTTGTCAAGCTTGAACAGCTTGCCTGCACCCAAAGCAAGAACCATGCTCTCGTTATATTCCTGGAGGTGGTAGTACACCTTCGAGGCAACCAGAGCAGCGAGTTCACGTTCCGGGAATGATTCATCTTCGTATAGGGCCTCGCTGGATAGATGTCGTCAGTGTCTGTAGAACGAGGACCCGGGCAGGGAAGGCCGCATCGAGCGCGATCAACGGGACAATTCAGCCCATGCTGGCAACTTACATCTCAGGAACAGCGTTCACAACCTCGGTCCAAAGCAAATCGATCTGTGAATCTAATGACTTCAAAGCATACACCTTGAGCTCAGGGTCTGGCTCGGAGAGGAAGCCGACCAGACCGGCGGCCGAAATAACTCCGACCATCTTGATTGTGTAAGACAGCGGGTGCCTAGATGTGTTAAATGAAGCTCAGGCTCCGATAATGATGCTGTTGTCGATGTGACGAAGCACTGTCGCCCGAGAGGGAGCTTTGGGGGCAGAACAGCGAGCGAGCCCCAGTACACAGGTGGAATTCGGAAAAGTGCGATAGTCAAACCCCAAGCAATATGATGGCAAGAGGCACAGAAATCAAGTTAGAGTAAACGACACGATGGAATGAAGTGAAGGTACGAATGGAAGCTGGAAGCAGACAGCGGAAGCTTTGCAGGCGCGAGACCCGACAACGTCAACGGAGCTGACTGTATGGTCACGTGCTCCGGGCATCAGCTGCCCGCGAACGAGGTCTGGTGCTCCATCTATACATCTGGTAGATGGTGATCATGGCTGACATTTAAATTCCCCTGCTGCCCCCCTGAGAAGCGTGCAGAAGTTTCATCTTTGAAGCTTCCTCTGCAATATCTCAAGCCTCTGTTCTTCCTAATCATAATGTCCATTCTACTCCCGTTTCGAGATAAACGGCTGCCGCCGGTACCTGCAGCAGCTTCCACATACCATCACGACCCCCTTCTCTACATTGAGCGACAGTCTAAGCACATCCAACGCTCTCTCCAGACTTTAATTGATGCACAAAGCGACGGTCTACTCTCTGGAATTGCTCAGCCCCAACCAGACGGTACCTCTGAGGGGAGCTTCACCCCGACCTCCTCTACAGCTGGTCGGTCGCGGTCTCCCTCCACAACTCCCGCAAGACAACCCCGACCAAAAAAGATAGGACTGAGAGCTGCACGAGATGGGATCTTTCAGTCGATATATGATCTACTTAAGCTACGAGAAGAAGAGCGAGAAATACTCTCGTCTCAGACAGATGAGAGAGACAATGCGCTGCATGAGATCCAAGGTTTTACCTCGAGGCGAAACGGTCTGGAACAAGCTATTTCTGTGATACACAATGACCGAGAGAATGGGCGCGCTAAACGGCTTCAAGAGGAGGCCCGTGGCCTCGAGACTGACATTCATGAACTGGAAACCAGGCTTTATGAGATGAAAGCCAAACACAGACACCTAGTCAGCGAAATCGCGGACATCGAGAACTCCGTTGATGCTAAATTATCCTCTTATACTGAATCATTGTCCATTCTACAGTCAGACATTCGAAACTACCTCCGCGATCCCCAGGTTCAGCCCCTCTCGCGGCAACCTAGCGAGTCTACTTTATACTCATTGAATCCCAAACGCCGCACACTTGAGATGGCCCAGGAGCTTTGGAAAAAAGAACAGGAGGATCTGCACAAGAGACAACAGGAGGTGGATGCAGAGATTCTGGCACTGGAGGAAGGAGGCGGAGTCTGGAAGCAAGTCATGACGGACGTGTGTAGCTTTGAGAAACGGCTTAGAGTCTACATGCGACGCTTCATGCAGTTGGATGTGCAGGCGAACAATGGCGCACCGATAGGGGATAGCAAAGAAGATGTGGCAGCCAGCGTCTCGAATGATTTAGAGCAAACCACACAGCGGCTGGAATCTCATTTGGAGCATGCCGAAGTGAAGGACTGGAGACTTCTTGTCTGTTGCATTGCAGCAGAGCTGGAAGCTCTCCGAGAAGCAAGGGCAATGTTACTTCCCGCCTTTGGCTTGCCTGTGCCCGAGTCACCGGTCGCCTCATCGCCGTCCTCTCCACAAGCACCCCCAGAGGAAGCCACGATTGAGCATGCAGAAGCCCTCGTGGACCCGTTGGATAATGAGGACTCTGACCCACCGGCAGACTTGTTGAAGGATGAGGATAGCCACCATACAGACACAGCGTCAAGGTCAGAGGATGACGAACCCGATCCAGCATGGCTTCTTGAAGCCTAAGGTCATGATAAATACATGCATATAGCGATGGATTAATAGACTAGGTTTTTATCTCTCAGCCATGAAATTTGTTTCCTCCCACGGTTGCACAAGTGTGTATTGAGTCTTTGAAATGTAGAATATGGATAAATGTAGAATATGGATCAAAGATCATCTGGGGTTCATCGATGCGTTCGGGCGGAAGCCGGAATCTTCAACCCAAACATAAACGGCCAAGCTTCAGTGGTTCCTCCCGAACACACTGCGCCAGCATTTGAATTGGAGAGAATTAATAAAAACGTCTGTGTCTTCATAATGCATCTTTACCGACCTACGTTTTCCTTCACTATTCCTTCAATTTATGATGGCCGTCAACTCGAATGCCGTGTTTATTTGCCCCGTCACTTTGAAAATATAGAATCGACACCTCCCAGACGCATTCAGGGCGCTATCTTCGCCCACCCCTACGCATCACTAGGTGGCAGCTACGATGATCCCGTGGTCGGTTTTATCGGCGGGGAGCTCCAGCATGCAGGCTTTATCGTGGGAACATTCAACTTCCGGTAACGCCCTATCTCTGAATCTGTGTGGAGGGTGGACTGGCTAACATCGACCCAGGGGAGCTGGAGGGTCCGAAGGACAAACTAGCTGGACCTCCAAACCCGAACTGGGAGATTATACATCGTTTTATGGGTTCATGCTATACTACCTGAGTGCTTTGATATCTGTCCAGGGGTTTAGTGAAGGTAACCAAGACGGAGGTATTGATCTCATTCTCGGTGGATACTCCTACGGGTCTATGATTGCCTCCAATGTCCCAACGCTTGATGTCATGATTGATCTATTTCGACCTGGCCTTGGCACCGGCAGCGTATCTCCGGGCACGCCCATTGATCGGATCTTCAGAGAGGCAAGGAAGATCGCTGCAGCGACAATGCCAGGTTCTGTAGCAACAAGGGTAGAGGACCGTGATGACGAGGGGCTCCGCGCGTCAACCTTGATCTCTTATCTCCTTGTCTCGCCATTACTACCCCCAGTAAGTTCTTTTCTGACAGCGTTTACCACTCTTTCGGTAGATGTGGGGGACCGGTCAGCTCAGGCCCGACCCGCTCGTCCAGCCGACCAGCTGAGTGCTCACCGGACACTGGCATTATTTGGGGATGATGACACCTTTACCTCTGTGAGTAAATTGCGGAGATGGTCAGCCGAGTTAGGCCGCATGCCGCATAGTCAATTTAGGGGGTGTGAGATTGAGGGCGCGGGGCATTTTTGGCGAGAGGATGGAGTGGAACAGGAGGCGAGGGAGATACTGCGGGAATGGCTCCGTGGTTATACATGATGAACCATTGTAGCCAAGGTAATCTGATTTGATTGATTTGAATCCTTTTAGCCTGTCTCTCTGTATGCAGTACGAAATGAGCCGAACTCTATATGTCTTTTGATCCTGGCACAGAGTTAAGATCTACGGGTGATTCCCTGCATACTTCCCTTACTCCGTGGCGTTTTTAGGAGTCCCGCTCTCACATGCATGCATGTGAACATCATCGATTCATTGATCATCCATGTCCAGATGACAGTGAGATCATAGTCATTTCTGAGTCATTTAGTGAAGATTATGCATCCTTGGCGGATAAATTTATTCCATGTAGTAGTTGCAACCTAATCTACCAGAACGTGGGGAACCCACATTCGGGCAGCCCGGGGTAGTTGGGGTCATCGGGCGGATCGCAAAACTGGTCCCCGTGACGTTCTTCAGACCGCCCTTGGTCTTTGCTTCTTTCGTTTTTCGCCTTTGACTTCCATATATCACTTTATTTCCCTGAAAATTATTTCATATTTTTCATCTGGACTCCAAGCTGCGTCACAGACCCGAATGGCGCGTTCCCGATGCACAAGCCTTCGATATCGGTGTTGGGCGACTCCACAATAGTCCCTTCAAAATGCTATTCCAAACATGACTCGGATCGGATTTCTTCGACGCCCGTTCGATCCCTGCGCAGGGCCATATCTATTCCAGCAGTGTCCTCGATTGTCAAGGACTCGTGGAATTGGGCCGGCGACACCCTTGGTGCCTACCGCGGTGGACCCTCGGCCGAAGAGCAGAAGCGACAGGCGGATATAGAGGATCGGAAACAAGTGCTTTATTTGAAAATAAAAAATGTCAGTACTCTTTACACCATAGGCGTGGCGTCTCAGTACCTGGACGGGTGGTTGCATCTGTTGCGTCACCGTGCTAATCATGACTCTGGGACTACAGGCAGTGTCGTACGAGGAATGGTGTAGCTGCGCCAATGAGCTCGACGCGCTAGAAGACAATAACAGCTGGAAACAGACTTTTGAATGCTCTGAGTACCATCCTCAGTTGGTACAGGAACGATTACGAGAGCTGGAAGAGGCACGCATCAGCTGCGATGTGAGCCGGATGTTGTTTCTGGTTAGGACTGCGCTCAGTCGGGACTTGGGAATGATGAGTAACGCGTCGCTCTATCGTCACTCACACATTGGGACTAAGGATTTGATCGATCGATACATCACTACAGCGCTAGATACGATCACCAACCTGGTAGATTTGTCGGTACATAATCGCTGCGATGGGCTGGAATTGAAGTATATCCTGGATCAATTGTTGGCAGCCCGGCAAGCATTTGGTCGCAGTGCACTGCTCTTCTCAGGAGGTGCTACCTTTGGGATGAACCATATTGGTGTGCTCAAGGCCTTATACGAGGCCAATCTCATCCCTCGCATTATCTCAGGCGCCTCTGCGGGCAGTATCGTCTGTGCAGTCTTTTGCACCCGCAGGGATGAGGAACTGCCAGGGCTTCTTGACACCTACGCCCACGGCAAATTTGATGTTTTTAACGAAGCGGGACGAGAAGAGAACATCTTCCAGAAAACAGCACGATTTCTGAAGTTCGGCTCCTTTCTAGATATCTCCCATTTGGCAAATACCATGCGAGCTTGGCTCGGAGATATCACCTTCCAAGAGGCATACAATCGGACACGCAGGATTTTGAACATCTGCGTATCAAGCGCCGGTATGTATGAGCTCCCGCGACTGCTGAACTACATTTCTGCTCCGAACGTCATGATCTGGTCTGCTGTGTGAGTTTTAACCCTCTTCAAGTTGGTATGGATCAATTATCTGATATGATTGCAGAGCGGTGTCCTGTTCAGTGCCTTTGGTCTTCAGGCCATACACTCTGATGGCCAAAGATCCCATCACAGGATTACCAGTTCCTTGGAATGACTTACACCGGCAATACATCGATGGTTCGGTTGATGGAGATCTCCCAATGACACGCTTATCTGAGATGTTCAATGTGAATCATTTCATTGTGTCACAGGTGAATCCTCATGTTGTGCCATTTCTATCCAAGGAAGATGGACCGATCAACGAACTTCAACAAGGTTTATCGTTCGTTCCTCGGTGGGTAAGCACAATGACGCACCTGGCAAAGGACGAAGTGTTGCACCGAATGAATGTCCTGTTGGAGCTTGGAATCTTCCCAACATCAATGACCAAAGTCGCGTCAATTGTGAACCAGAAGTACAGTGGCGACATCAACATCTACCCTGAATTAAGTTCTTCCAACTTCCCGCGGATATTGGAGAATCCGACAACAGAGTTCATGCTCGAGGCTTGCTTGAGTGGCGAGCGAGCAACATGGCCCCGATTAAGCCGTCTTCGGAACCACTGTGCCATTGAGCTTGCCCTTGACCAAGCTATTCAGCAAATGCGAGCCCGTGTAGCCTTCAGCCCGGGCCAAGTTGACTTGCGTTTGCAAGGCTCCATTCAACACTCACCCGACTCGATAGAAAGTATCGCTAATCGGGGACGTCTTCACAATCGCAGGAGGGGCTCTCACGGCCATGAATTGGAAAGAAGACGGTCAAGAGGTGCATCACGGGGTCAAAGCACACGAGAGCTTCGAAAGGCACGGAGCACTGTGTCGCTTGAAAACCCACAAAATTCGCCGGCCAACAATCTAATCTCCGTGCCGCCTCGCCCAAAGGCCCACCATCGCCGATCTTCAATATCATTTGGCGGCGGAATATTTTCAACTGGGTCTGGTAGCGATGGAGAGGAGGAGACTGGTCTTTCCTTCTCTGGTCACCCTCGGCAGCCCTGGGCCCGAGACTCTTGGGATGCATCGTCCCACGAAGAGTATATGACTCAGGGAACTCATTCTCCTATTCGATCCCGGCGATCATCTTTTTCTAGCAGGTCACAGCGGTCCGCTACAGGCCGACAAGTTTCCCCCAAGCAGGTATTGGGGCCGTCGGCGCGAGAGATTTCTATGGCCCTGTCACCTTCATCCCGCCACCTACTCAGCATGACGCCGTCAGTTCATCCGACGTCACCTGAGCCCATCGCGCGCAAACCGCACCACTAAATTTCTTTTGCTCACCCCACGAATCCGTCGTGTGCCGGGAGATAATTGGGTCACCAGTGATATTCTACAAATTCTTTCCCGTACAAACTTGCTTGTTTGTCAAAAGGAAGCCTTAGCCTCGAGCTACTAGGATGGGATTCTCACCTGCGTTTCACCTCGTCTAATGCATAACCGCCATGATTACCGCCGTCTATGACTTGCTGCTTATGATTCCCCCTTTGTCTAGATCGGATGACAGCTTCACATTTTCGGGACATTGTTTTGAGATTAGAGAGAGCTTTCATCGAAGCCCCCACCCGGCTATCGAAAGTATGACATAGGCCTTGAAAATGTATATAATAAGGTTTTTAGATTCCTGGCTTTAGTCAATATAATCTCGTTTAGCCTAGATCCACATGACAATTTCAGCTATCAGTACGAGGTTTTCCGCCCTTGGCGCCTTTGTCCGTGACGCGACTAAGCTCTTTTTTGACCGAAGGGCCGAGCTTCCGGGGAAAACACAGCGTAAACGTAAATATCGCAGGAGAAAAAGTTAGCGACCCTGTGCAGTGGCCAAAGAAAGGGTCGTGAGTGGAGATCGGCAGTCCAGAAAAGGGAAGCATCGGCAATGTGGTTGGGGAAGAATATATCTGATACAACATATGCTGGAGAAAACAACCGCTATTACTCGAGTTCTAGAACACGACCTCCCTCACTAGGCCTGGTGCAACACGTGTGTCCCACATTTTTCTGTCATTCGATGAATTCTTCCTGTCTTCTTTGTTTACCGGCCTGCAGGATGCAAGGGTTGGAAACCTTCTGGGTCCCCATCCTCAGGTCGATCTCTGAAGTCATGGACCCACTATTGGGGCTAAAAGCATCTTGAGAGGTTTAGACTGCAAGGACCCGCTCACGCTAGCCCCGAAGGAATGAAGGCTGACGACGACGTTACAGGGAAAGTGGAAATACTGGACAACACAGCATCTTGACAGAATTGACAGTTCATCATGAAACAGGGCTTGCTCCGCCAGCGTTTCTACATATCCCTTCTTGCAGGTACGAGCATGGGTTGAACAAATGACCAATTTTCAGACGAGCAGATCACATCATTTGGGACCTCTCAGTGCCTGTCATGATGAGGTGTTTTGGCGTGCTCTGCGCGAGAAAAACATGCTCATGAGCCCTGGAAGGCCGGTTCTCGTTCCAGCTCCCAGCAAAATGCCGAGCAAACCAATTTGCTGCCGACCTGGTTCCACATGTTGCCGATCCTCTCGTACCGTTGATACTCATTGGCGGGCACTTTATCAATCAGTGGAAACGTCGATCAGTTTCCCTACAAAGTCCTCAATAAATGTCCACTTTTCCCGTGGCTGAATCCACAAAGCATGGGCTCCTGTTCCCCTGATACAGGGGCTGTATCAAAACACACTGTGGCAAAATTGAAATGATCTCATGGAGGGCATTCAAATGAGATCAGGAATCCAAGTCATGAACTCATGTGGCTGGGGCAACGTTTCAAGCATCACATAACCGCTGAACCTTGCCTGGCGCAATTTTGGACTCGGCAGAATACTCTAGAGAGTCTGTAACCTTCCAAGGTAGCTGCTAATTCCTGCCATGTAAAGAAATAATCCCGAAAGCCAAATAAACAGGGCGCTTTGCCCGGGGGAAAGAATTAAGCTCGTCGGCCCTTTTAACTTCGTTTGGCCGGACCCATTGACCCTGCTCAAGCATGTCCATCCCGATCAGGTAGGTGGCCCTGAGCATCTTCAATGGAGAAACATGATCCCGTCAGACCACCCGGCACCAGTGATATACACGGAACATGATCGTCGCCCTATGGCTGTACCACGGTGCCTGTTCAAAAACTTTAAGCGAAGCGACGATACCTTCCTTGTTCTGTATTGGATAAATCCACTTTGCCTGTTTTCCTTTACCTGAAACGGTTAGCAGGTTCTTATTCGGTTGTCTGGCCAGCAGCTATCACGCTATACGCTGGGGAAAAACATCTCGACCCTGAATTTCAAGTGCCGGTTACTCCTAGTTTCTGCCTCTCGTCTCGTCTCTGACCCACCCATCCTCCGGGCTCCATAGATCGACACCTACCTTCTCGTGGGAATAGCGGCCCAGCCATGACCAGAGGCAAAGTTTTGAGATTATTGCCCGATCCCGGCGTCTTTGTGAGCCATGAGTGGAGCCCCCCAGCACACTGAGGCTGGGATTCATTCACCTATGCTTCTATAAAGAAGCCTGCACCCGCCTTTTCTCTGGTACTCCATTCAACTATACATTTAATCAAGATTGTGTTTCTTGGTTCAATTACATCCTCTCTTTTTCCATATCGAATCAATTGCATTTTACTCGCCAATCCTTTCATAATGAAGTACAGTTTCGCTCTCATGGGCCTCGCGGGCTGCGCCCTCGCACTCCCCGCTCCCCAGGGTGAGTTCCAGCCATCTGGACCTCCTCCCCCTGGCCTTACTCCCACCGGCCCTGCTCCCACTGGCCCTGCTCCCACTGGCCCTGCTCCCTCCGATGCCTTCGGTGGCTTCGAGAAGCGTCAGTTCGGTGGCCCTGCTCCTTCCGGTCCTCCTCCCTCGGGCACTCCTAGTGGTTTCCCCGGCCCTATGCCCACTGGCCCTGCTCCCTCCGAGGGACTCGGAGGTCTCGACAAGCGTCAGTTCGCCGGCTTCCCCTCTTCTTTCAGTCTTCCTTTCCCCGAGCCCACTGGTGGCTTCGGTGGCCTAGGTGGTTTCAAGAAGCGCCAGTTTGGTGGCCCTGCTCCTCCCGGCCCCCCTCCATCGGGCACCCCTAGTGGTTTCCCCGGTCCGATGCCCACCAGTGGCCTTCCCACAGTGAGCGTTCCTTTCCCCGAGCCCTCCGGTGGCTTCGGCGGCTTTGAGAAGCGCCAGTTCGGCGGCCCTGCTCCTTCCGGCCCTCCTCCCTCGGGTACTCCTAGTGGTTTCCCCGGCCCTATGCCCACTGGCCCTGCTCCCTCCGAGGGATTCGGAGGTCTCGACAAGCGCCAGTTCGGCGGCTTCCCCTCGTCTTTCAGCCTTCCTTTCCCCGAGCCCACTGGTGGCCTCGGTGGCTTTGAGAAGCGTCAGTTCGGTGGTGCTCCTCCCCCTCCTCCCTCTGGCTCTGCTCCTTCCGGTCCTGCTCCCACCGGACCTATGGCCACTCCCAGTGGACCCATCCCTACTCCTTTCTAAATAATTCCCCGCGCTACTTGTAGCGCACACCAGCACGGGCGGAACTAGGGACCGCCATGCCTACATGGTGAAAACGTCTATACACGACGTGTTGTACAGTTGTTCAGGTCTTGACTTTATAAATTGAATTTGATCAGGACTCGGTACAGGATTTTCTTTTGTTTTTCTTCATGGACTTACGCGTATAGATGGTTTGGATGTTTCAATGTTATCCATGATGACCTTCAATATACGTAGGTTCATTGTTTTATGCTTCAATACATTCTTTTTGCTTTGGCAATATACTCTTTTTCTAGAACTGAAAGATTCCGACTTTGCGAAGGAACTGTGATGTCTCACAAGATGGCGAACATTGAAGAAAAAAATATAGTAAACAAGACAAGGTATGTTGCCCGGAAGGTAGTTAAGATCACAATAAAATGTGTGAGAACAGGCATAGATGTGCTTATTGTGCTTGCTAAGCTTTCTAAAAATATAACTAATTTACCTGCATTAATGGGTTACATCCAAATGCAGACTATGAATCCATGTTAATTAGCTTCTATTTTGGGCGTTCACGAGTGAGGAGTGTGCTAATTAAGGAACAACTTCCCTGTCAAGCGGAACTACTCCACAATGCTGCATTACCGTTCCGGCGGCAATGCATAATCCTCATTGGCCTTCGCCCAGTCCAGCTGCTCATGAAGCTGTGCAGCTGTCCAGCGCCTCAGATTATGCACGTCGGGAGGTCTAATAAGCACCGGCCAAGTCTCTCATCCACCAAGCTTTATATCCGAACGCCTCCCGCTGCTCAAACCACGGATGTTTTCTGGAGAAACAGAGATATAACTCCACCTTCGTCGTATTGGCAAGGGATGCTGTTTGGGGCTTTGTGCTTTGTTCTTTTTCGCTTCTGTTTGCCTTGTTTTTTGGTGTGTACGCCTCGAATCCTGTTCCCTGGTTGCTGCGACTCAAGTGGCCGGTGACCCCTCCACGGCCGAAAGAACCCCTGTCCTGCCCGTGTCCAATCCGAAACGATCCCCGTTGTTTGTGTTGGTTTTTTCCCTGCAGACGAGCAAGCCTTGACTGGCAATCTTGAAGGACACCGGATTATCTGCCAAGCTCCTCTGAGCAGGGCTTATTGATCCCTTGTCGTCAGCCCTGGACGTGGCGCTTTGTATTTGAACAAGCCGCGTTGCATCATATCGGTTACCCCTCATTGAGGACATTCCTGCTTTTTGTTATTTAATTTTCCGCTCGAATGTTCCTTGCTGCTCTCTCACTGGAGAGTAGGCATATAATACTTCTGGGGATCACTCGTTTGCTCTCACGATAGCCATCATGTCCGGCATCGTCAACAAACCTCTTGCCATGTTTCGCAGGCCCGATTCCCCAAGACCACTTCATGCTAGATGGGGTGACGTGGCCATATCTGTTCCTACAGAGGGATCGTGGAACCAATACAACAATCCTCATCGTCCAGCACAAGAAGAAAGGCAGACGTATGGTCCGGGCTTTGTCCCGCAGGATCGTCCTTCCAGCAGGACTGATACTTCCTATAAGAAGCACGATCATCTGGAGAATGGCATAGGCAGACCGCCTCGCTCATCAACGCATATTCCCCGCCGCAACTCCCTTTCGATAGGAACTTTACGTACGGGTCGTCTCTCTGTGCGTCTGGCATCTCGCCCCAAGCACCTTCGAGGTGAATCTCAACCTGAGCGAGATACCCTCCAACAAGAGGCCCAGCGGACTGATTTCGCCTACAAACCAATTCACCAGGACTACCTTGTCAAGGCGACCGAGAAATCGAAGCCGGCCGACACCACTCCGTTCAAGTACATCCCTACAAATGGACGTTATTTGGAGGAGATCCCCGCTGCTGCCCCCCCTCGCAGTCAGTCTGCGATGTCCCAACGCAGCTCTTACAGCCGGCGAGACTCGCTCGGTGAGTCGCTGGACGAACGACTTTCCCGACGTGGTTCGCACCAGGAAGATGATCGTCGCAGTCTTCACTCAAGTCTTGGTGATAGTTCGGATAGTTCAAGCTCGAGGCGCAACTATGATCTGCCGAGACGAGCTACTTCTCCCTTTGTTCCAGCTGATCGGAGAAGGGGCTCGTTGATGAGGCCTATGACTATGGCGATGGTTCCTGATCCCGAGGATCTTTATGAATGATTTCAATGATCCATGTCTATCAATGCTTTATTTTTATTTGTCTACGTATCTACGGGTTGTGGGATTTTTGATATAGTCATTGCGCGGCGTTGGGAATCGGCATATTCAGGTGTTTAGGTTGGCGGCGTCCACCGGTTTTGTTTCTAGATAGTACTCAAGAATGGAGATGAGTTCACAATCTGCCATGAATCGCCTGTAAGCGGTGATCACGCTACCACTGCATATTTGTTTGTGCTTTAGGCCTAGATTTCGCCTTTCTACAATAGTCATCTCTGTCCTGCGTTCAAGCCCAAGTATATACGCGTTTTCCCGGCCGACCCCATACCCAATTGGCCCGGGTCTAGATCCATGAGCTAGGAGAGGTAATTACTTTATTTACTAAATTATTTATCTCCCGTGAAAAGTGTGGAACGGAGCGTTGCGCTGAACCCCTCTGCACGGCGCAGGACGTGGCATTTAACCGCGCGTATGCATAGATCCAAAACGCCTCTAGACCTGAATATTTACTAACAATGGTTCAGGATCCTGAATAGCTGCCTTGAGACTGTTAACGATCCAGCTGCCAAAGTCGTGCTACCCATGTACTCAGGAAAATTTGCCTCGGATCACATTCAGCTACGGATAAGAAGCCACGCAGATCACAAGCGGTGATCACCGATCGTATCTTTGTAGTTGTTGGTTTTGGCTAAAACCGGGTCCTTGATTGGCTGTATGGTCGAAGCGCTTACAATGAACCAGTCAGGAGGCGTTCGGAGTGTTGGTTAACGCCACCACCTGAATGTGATTTGTGGACATGCACGCTTATGCACGAGAGCATGAAAGTCCGAGTTTGTGGACTCGGGGCGCTTTTGCTCCTGCGACTACAAGATGAACTCAAGTGGGGTTGGGCTTGGCGTGGTGCGTTGGTCACCAAATTGGGTTTAATTGGGCTTAATTGTGGACTAATTATGGGCCTTTGGATGCTATTTTGGAGTTCTATCGGTTGATTCTATCTTTAATTTACTCTCAAAATAGTTCTATAGTTTTTCTGAAACAGGGTCCCGATGTCAGAAGGTTGATTGAACCATATATCAAGGAGTGATATGCCAATCTTATATCTGAGCTAGAATTCTAATTTCTTCCCCATTGCTTAATTTTGGGGAAACGTTGGAACCCGTGTTGACAGGTTACTATTCCACTATTCCCCTGGAGCTACTGGTGACTCTGCACTGTGATAGTCACTAGCTCTCTTTTTCGACCAGGGGTTTGGGATAGAATTCTCCCCGTCACACGAGCTACCAAGGATCCTCTTTTGCAACGGTGATTATCATTGGCGTGGGTCGCTGCAAGCGTTGAATTGATCCTTGCAAGTGAGTTTAAAGTGGGCAAAACATCGAGGTGATAATGCACGCTAACTCAAACCCCGAAGTGACTGGCGGTTTCCTGCATCTTTTCTCTCGTAAGGAGAGAGCAAAGAGAAAACAGCTAGCGGCACAACAAGAGCAACAACCATACCTACGTGTGCCACCAGCCTACAAAGCCGATCTCTATGAAGCGCCCACCGGACCCCGCTCCGCACATCCCCGTCCACTATCATCCTTTGCTCCGGACTTAAGCCGCCAGTCCCACTACTACCAATACCCACTCCCCCGAGCATCGTGCGATCAGCCCCCACTGCCCACTTACGATCCATCAAAGTACCAAGCAATCCGACCAAATTCAACCCCAAGTTCGGATCTCCTCGCTAATCCCTACGCCGGACAATCTTCCAATCTGAGCGCTGCACACTACCATAATGCCCGGAACTCCATCTATCAGCCTGCCCCGGCTCCGGACCCATACTCCGCACCGAGGATACTGCGTGAGTCGGTGGCGCCTGCAAGGCGACAAACTGCTATGCCTAATTCATCCCGACCAGCCGCTTCGCTTCAGCAGCGGGTTAGATCAGAGGCTCGGGAAAGAAGTCGTTCTGAACCTATGCCTGCAGGTCCTGATAGCCAAGGAAATCGGCGTCGGCAGAAGCCCGTTCTTTCGCGGCTGATTACCAATTTCGGTTGATTTATGGAAAGCGAGTTCATGGCTTTTTACTTGCTTTAAAAACATGGCTGTGGAGACGGCCTGTGAAGATTATCTATATGACCGTTACGAAGGATTGGGGGCGCTTTGGTGTTTATGCTACATTTGGCAATTTTTAATAAGATTTTTGATTTTCGAGATTTTCGATGAATGACATTGTCTATGATTTGAAATTGACTCGGATTTAGTACGAAAACAACGTCCTTGGTGGATTTGGATTTTCTGCTCCACTTCGATGATCGAAGAGATCGAGACTCATAAACGCCTCGAGGTCTGTGCCCCTTGTCGATCTTCCACTTTCCCACTTCCCCTCTTTTGCCTCAATCCGGGTCCTTCGAGCTCTGAAGCTTTGGGCGCCTAAGCTCGTGGTCGACGGGTCGATCAACCTTGTTGTTCTCCGAACCAATATTTCACCCATCAACTGCAGAAATCTCCGTGAATGCATTCAAACGTCCTTTTGTCTCGCGTACATCTCCACATGCGGGATGGGTAATCCACTCTACTGGCAGGGATTAGACTGCGCCATGGTGAAACATTGTAGTACTTCTTGGTCAACTTCAGAGGGGGGTCCACCCCCTCTTCTGATCCCTGCTGGCTCGAAAATGCTCTCCTCCTACCAAAGACCCTTTCGGAGAAGTGACCCGTCAAAATGACCGAAAGTGATAGTGGTCAGGCGGCCGCGGGATGTCCCCTGGTGCTAATCATCTCCCTTTGTTCTAGACAACCCCTGGTCAAGCCGGTGGAGGATAAACGGCCAATCTAAGATCAGATGCATCCAGTAGGCTGATCATTGTTCCCTATTCTGGACGTCCAGGCATACTACGCAGGTGCAGATCCCAGAACAAGCGCCATGCCAAGATGACGGCGGACGACGTGCAGCCATACTATATGCAACCCTCGTCCTGACTCGCCATCATGTTCTCCGTCCCCTGCAAGCAGCCTGCGCCGCAAAGTGCAAGCTATCAGACGAACCGGGGTGACGAAATTTGGGGGCCGACAACAACTACTCGCTCTACCCCTCTTGAGCCAAGGCTATCTGCACCCGATACTGCAGTCGTCGAAGCATTCCCACTTCACTACAGCCCGTTGGCCTCTCTCACCCACTCATTTCTCGCGCTTGTGGTTCACCCGCTACTACCTGAGGTGTAGTTGTACTGTTGAAATTCACATCGTCGTTATTCCCAAGTGGCGCCCGGGGGGCCACCGCCAGAGGGGTTGAACCATTGTGTCGGGCCACAATCCTGATTTCCTCAACGCTGGCTGGATGGATTTTGGCCCTCTTGCACCAGCCGTGAGGTATCCGGAAGATCTTCTCTTGTCTTGGATAAGCCAACAAACAAGCCAACAGAACATGCGGAAGCTTGTCGGTTTTTCGTCAGAGACCCCCATTCACGATATAATTCCAACATATGCGGGCGCATCTGCTGCCTCGTCATCTTCTTTTTCTAACCCTTGACGTCGGCTTTAAGTCTGTCGCTCTTTGGGTCAAGTCTCAACGGTCTCTGTGGGGGGAATCTGACCAGCCCTGAAATGAGCGCCGCTTTGGGGAAGGATCTGTCCTCCCACTAAAGAAAATAAGGTATACCCTTTTTTTCTGTAGGCAGCAGAGCTGTCTACTTGAGCTCCCTTTCATGGGAAAACTTTCCCGAATCATGGCGCGCTTTATGAAAAGGTTCAAGAAGAAGCAGAGGCTTTCAACGGAATATCATGACCGCTTTGGTGATCCTGATATCAGTTACCCCAACGAGGGATCTTGGAACCAGTGGAGCCAAACGTCAGGATTCGTGGCCAATGCTTCTATATCTACAGAGGCCCCTCATCGCCTCCAGCCAGATGATCACCGACACTATGGGCGACCCTCTGTTCCACCTCTACAGAACCAAGGCTGGAACGACTTCAATCCCCATCACATCCACACTCACAACCCAACGGAATCGATACACGATGGTTCCAACTTTCCAAAGGGATATTTTGATGCAAGCATTCGTCGTCGCCCTGAGAAAACCATGAGGCCTCAATTTCAAGGCCTGGGGATCGATAGTCCTCGGCACGATATGCGAGACGACATCAGGGAGAGCGACGGAGACGACGACAGCATCTGCGACCCAGCCGAGGAATCTTGCGACGAAGAAGACGAGGAACGCGATACTCTGGGTGACCCTCGAGAACTTATTTGCCGTGGCTACACGACCGGAGATATTCCACGTGTGGGCCAGGATGAATGCGGCTCATACGATCGAGCAGCAAAATCGCCGGCGCTGTCTATCACTTCTCGCATGCGGCGAGTCAGTATACAAAGCTCAACCACTCAAGCGTCCTCTGTTGCGGGTAGTTCTAGAAGGACTAGTTACACTGCGGCTTCTTCTATCTCTGCACCTTCTCTTCCCGATACTCCCCGATTTGCCTCCCATACCATGCATCCTGCACATGCAGAGAAGCGACCGCCAGTCCCTCGTCCGAAGGCCCGGGACCCTGAGCCAACTCCTACTCAGCCTGAGTTGGTACCATCCTACGATGAGCTTTATGGATGATCTGGGGACAATATTTTTTTATTCTGTTTCTTTCCACTTTCATTTGATTTAGAAAAATTGTGTTTTTAACGAGGGCGGCCAAATTTGCTTTTATTCGACAATCTCATCTTTCTCATCTTTTGGAGGATGCAACTCACCTAACGTGAAATTAATTTCTTTCTCGGGCACCAAGTTTAGTGCTTGCCCGAATGCAATACTTCCTTTGACTCTTGATCTTTTATCCGTGTAAGCGAACATTGCGCTATTCCTGCTAGATGTTCAGCATTATCACTGTTTAGCACAAACTCCACCGAAGTAAACCTGTATTTCCCCCACTTGTGTACGACTCTTGGCGCTTAGCATTTCTCAATTTCTTGATTTCCTTTCAGCTTCGAGGCCAGAGTTGGAAAAGATGAGGGGTTGCAATGGTGAACACCCGCCGGTCCGTGCAGTATGCAGCTGCAGGTCGTGTCACAGTCACAACCGCCCACTCGCCAATCACCCCTCAATCTTCATCACACTTGTCACGCCCCGAACGGGTCCACTTGAACAAGGGTAACTGGTCGATCCCGCTCCAGCAACCAACCGTTGGTCTGCAACTAATCTCATGAGTGGCCCTGTCCAGCCTCTCTGCGATGAGCTCTAAGCGCCGAGTGGTCACCTTGCGAGGGGTGTGCTTGATTCGACAGGCACATCCTTCGCCAAAGCACTAAGGCAAATTCACACTGCATGGCGAATCACTCGGTCGCCAGCCTTTTCGCGACTGGACCACTCCACTAAATCGTCACACCCTCTGGTGTGAGAGCTCTCGGACACTGAAAAAAGAAGCTTTTCCTCCCGAAGACGCTCATCTTCTGACTTGTGCTTCCTGTCAGCTTTTCCATGAAACCGTGATCGTCATATTGCGGCGCTTGCCTTCTGCTTCTTTTTTGGCGGTCGAAGGAACAAGCTAACACCGCTCTGCTTCCCATCCACCATGCTTGGGCTCTGGCAGTCCAAGATGTCGGCATTAGCACTCGCGGTCTTGCTGAGCACCCCAGCTGTGCTGGGGTTGCGGGTCACATCTGGCTCCTCATGTACGGACAGCTGTAATAAATGGGGCGCGGCCACCAACACGACGGCCGACGAGATCTCGTGTGTGGACACTGCGTTCAACAGCACAACAAAGGGCAAAGACTTTAAAGACTGCATTACCTGCGAGTTAGAAAGCACCTATGAAGATGATACAACCGGTGAAACTGATGTGAACTGGGGTCTCTGTATGCTCCTCCGTGAACCGTCGACTTTGACAACGCTAACGGGATCAGATAATCTGCGATTTGCGCTCTCGACCTGCGTTTTCGGATACCCTGAGAGTATCTCCAATGTATCGTCTCCATGTCCAGTGGCGTGTGGGACGGTTCAAGATGCCGTGCAGTTCGAGATTGAGGACCCGACTGCGGACAACTTGGGTGCATGGTGTGATACTGCGTCCTTTGCAGACAATGTAATCAACACCTGCGAATTTTGCTACAACCTCACAACTAACCAGATCTACCTGGCAAACTGTACGTACTCCTTGTCAGCAGCAAAGATGAGAAACAAGTACCTGACTTTCGAAATGCAGTCCTCGAGTCCATCCGATATAACTGCCACTTCCCAACAACCAGTGGCGACGAATTCGCCGTCTCCCCAACGAGAATCTTCACGGAGTCTCTTCTCCCCTCAAGCATGTCCCTCACCACCCCAAGCGCAAGCTCCTCCCACGTAAACCTAGGCCTGGTAATCGCGCTCCCTGTCCTAGCCTTCATCATCATTTGCCTCGGCATCGGAACCTGTTGCTTCTTCTACATCCGCTACCGCAGAAAGCGCAACCGCCAAAATCGGTTCCCGGACCATCTGTATGCCCGCTATAATGACACCACCATCAGCACGCCTATGCAGGGCCAGGGTGAGTGGACACAGCAGCAGCAACAAATGTACTCCGACTATCAGGCTTTTGCACAGATGCACGCTGCTGGGTACGGGCAACATCATGGTTTCAATGAGCAATACGGCCAGGCTCATGAGATGTATGGTCTCAAGCCCAAGCAGGATATCCAGCCGCAGGCTACGGAGATCACTGTTCCCGGGCCTCATCCAGGCCCTGAGCAGGCTCCTCATGCTTTTGGCACGGACCAGAAGCATGCTATGTAATAATCTCTGTTGATACCTGTGCTGCATATGGTTGAAGAGTGAGCAGTGCATCTTGAAGATGCCTAAGTCAGCAAAATAGTTCTGAGATATCCATTGATCCTCACGGCGAATGTTGATGTTGATGTTGATGCTTGTTGGCGATAAATAATGATTGGCTTCTGGGGTTCTCTGACCCCCTCATTCAAGGCGTTTTGGTCTCCTTTCTGATTTGCGTGCGATGAATATATCCCAACATCTTGGATGGATGATAGCTGGACTGAAAGACATTCCTTGAATACCTTACTAGGTAGTGAACCGCAATGCAAAAGAATCATCATGAACGAACACCCAACAGAAAACCAAGTCGAAGTAAATAGATAGAGACACTGTAAATCTTAAAGTTTTTGTAGATTTTGGAGGGCAAAGTGACCCAGACAAAGAGGAAGAGAAGCGAGAAAGAGCGCCGTATTTATTCCTAACCAAGCTTCCGCCCTCCCTCGCACAAACCTTCGAAAAGTAGATAAACACAGCTCTCAGAGCACCACATTCCCAAAAATAACCTCAACAAAACCTTCTTCACACCGATCAACCTCGTATCTGTATATCACAGTTTACCGGCCCGCCACACCCTCGTCAGATTGGTTGGTGGGTGGGTTTCAGCACGCACCGCCAAGAGGTCGAGAGGGTAAGGGTCCAATGGGGATGCGGGGAGGCTATTTTTGGGCGAGAGCGATCCTTCGGGCTGCCTGTGTTTACCGTGAGAATAGACAGGTATGGGCTTTTTGCTGGGGAGATACTCGGTGACTCCGTACAAGTCCCAGAGACGGGACCTATTAATAGGGAGTGCGCTGGCGGGGTAATGAGATAAGGTGAGTATGGACACAGCTGTCATGGCATATCCTAGGATTTTCTGTATATGATTGGGTCTCCACTAAGATCTCAGACGATCATTTCTTATAGGCTCAAGCCGTTAGCTTAATGAGTAGAGGCCCAGGGTCCTTTGGCGAAACATCTACAGTACACTCAATTGTACATCCAATCAACCTTTTCTTGAGATGGCTGGGAGGCATTTCATATATCATTTTTCTTGTTCCGAAAATAGAGAGGAATTGAAAAAATATTTCTGAACCAATTAAAGGCCTCCAATAATACCAGAAACCGACCGGAAAGGACTGGCGAAAGTGCCTGATTCCTATAGTTCAAGCTCAGAGTGGACCCACCAAAAGCTTCCAGCATCTTAACCTCGTCGAACCTCAATTCATACCAACCACCAGAACAACCTCTCACCCCCACAATGTCAACCCTCAGCCAAGACCAGATAAAAGTCCTCGAGCAATCCCGCCAACGGCTCGTTCAACTAACCCGCTCCCTGGGCTCCCTAATCGCAAGCCTCAACCAAAGCGACCCTCTCCCGCAATGGTACGCGCAAACCACCACCCACCTTCCAGCCAAACCCAGCTAACGAATCCCAAGGTCCTCCCTCCAATCCCAAGCAAGCATCATCTCCAATAACCTCATCAGCGTCTCCAAACACCTCTCCGAACACAGCGACCTCCTCTCAACGCTAGTCGCCTATCCAGGCCCCGAATACCCCGGCCGCACGCAAGCAAATACCCTGGAGCAACTCCTCCGCACGAAACTCGATCCTCGCGTCGAAGACTGGGTCGCGCGCGGTCGTGTCGCTGGTACAGATCCCACGCAAGCACCGGTATTCAACATGACCGCGGAGAACAAGCCGCTTAGCGAGGCGGAACTCAGTGAGCTGTGGGAATGGGCGCCGTTTGAAGCGAACCAGGAGGCAAGGAGACGGAACTGGGGAGGCAACTTCACGCTTGAGGAGCGGGAGGGGCCGGGGGGTATCCAGGGTGTTGTTACGGGGTTAAAGAGGCAGTTGGAGGATGATGAGGGGGACTCCGATGAAGAAGAGGACGATGATGAGGAGGGTGAGGATGAGATGGAGGTTATCGGGGTTCATCGGAAGTCTGGGGGTGGATCTGGGTTGGAGTATGACATTGCGGTTCATCATGCGCATGCTGTTGAGCCAGTTGTGCCTCTTGGGGAGATCTTGAGGTACATGACTACTGGGCGGATGCCGTAGATATGTCTCCGCAATCATTGACTCGTGATCCTACCGAGGGGCTGCTGTCTATTTGTAGATGGAGGTATACAGGAATGGAATGGGGCTATAATCGGGGTTGGTTCCATGAATGTGACCGCATGAAGTCCGAAATTGTATTATTAAACGAATTACAACGAAATTTGAAAATGAAGCGCAGTATAAGAAGTGAAACAAGTCTTCTAACCGCGGCGCCGTGTGGTGGGCGACTTCGAGCTTGACTTGGGCACCGCAGTGCTTTGGCCTGAGGCGATCGGGTCCGCAGACTTGCGGGGGGCCTTCTGCTTGGGCGCAGGGCTGTTCCAGTAGTAGACCATCTGGGCAGCGAGAATCACGTTCAATGCGAAACCCGACATGAATCCGTAAAGAATCAACTTGTCGTCGACTTCCTGAAGAGTGGTGAAGATGCGGGAAAGGGAACCGACAAGGTAATTGAAGACCTAAGCACAAAATAATGTCAGTCACGTAAAAAAAAAAGCTATACTTCGATGCGAAACATACCGCGAATGCGCTCAGCTGTCCAGTTCCGCCCTCCTGCCAGATAGTATAAATTTGAGGGACCTTGCTAGCAATGCTCAAAGCTCCCGCACCAGCCTGCAGGTAAGACATAGTCTGCGCATCGACAAGAGTCTGATCGAAAAGCAGTGCGTAAACACTAGCAGCAATAAGAGCGACAAAGGTGGCGGCGGCGGCAGACCGGCCGGCGAAGGTCAGGACCAGCACGCTAACGGCGACATCTTGAATGGCGATAAGAGCCGACTCGCCGTATGTGGTGAAGGGGAACTGGTTGCGCACACCGTAGGAGAGGGTGATGAGCAGACTGGCAGTTTCCAACGCGTACGAAATGAAGGAGACACCGGCGGAGGAGCGCGAGTTGATCAGCTTCAGGATCTGAGGGAGCTTGACCACTGCGCTAGCACCGACGATTGCGAGTCCGAGGGCTTTGGAGATTGCGAGTGGTAGGCAGGCGGGGTCCTTGGTGAGGTCGAGGTCGAGGACAAGCGCATGGTGGCAGTCCGCGCCGATCAGCGAGATGGCCAAGTCGTGGATGGGTTGAGGGACCTGTGCGACGATTGGTCGGAGGTGTACAAAGATCGGTTCCAAAGTGGTTTGCAGACTGGAGACATCCATGGTGACGGTGTTTGGTTGAGGACAACGTGGTTGAAAAGAAATGTTTGTGTTGACATTCCCACGAACAGCGATTAGATACAAAATGACATAATCACGGTGCAGAAAGCCGTCAATATCAACAAAGGATTTACGGCGCAACGTCAATGCTTCTGAGTGAATGTAAGTAAACAAAATATAAACAATCATTACGCAGATACCCAAAGCTAAGCCATAGAACCATTTTGAATTTTCAAGTTGCGGCTACCCTGGTCTCTATACATGCTAGCCACAGGGTGTCTTTAATACCCTTGCTTGAAGAACTGCTAAAGAAGCTTTACATGCCTGACGATAAGTATAAATATATAAGTATCGTATGCCCAAGTAATTTGAGCCCCTTGTAATAGTATATTGATGCCGTAAACACGGAATAGTACGGAGTAGATCTGGCATTGAAGCCGAATAAATTGCGGGTTTGGTCCGTGCCGCCGCCGGGGAAAGTTCGCATCGTTCCACTTTTCTCCCCTTCACCTGTTAAGGATCACAGACGCGCCATGATCCTGTTACGGTCCGCCCTATTGAGGCCCATACCGCCTCAAGAGGCGGTTCTGTGTTCGCGATGTCTAGTTCGATCGCGACCCTATGCCCCCTCAACAATTCGGGGGTTCCTAACGTCCTCAAATCGGCGAACGGGCATCATGGCGAATCAATCCACCTCGCCCCTCCAAAAGACCTACTTCTCTCCTAACAGATTTTATGATGGCTCAAATACTACCGGCGGCTTGCTTTCATCAATCGCATCCTCAAATGCCAATCCCCAGTCCAATTCCTCCAACTCGCAGCCCCCGAATACCTCCGCAACTCCGAACAGTACGCCCGAGTCAGCTACTCCAATTGCGCCGGAATCTGCCCAAAGTGAACTGCCACACCGACGGAGGAAACGCTTGAAGGAGGAGTCTAATAGCGCTCAACCGGAGCAGTCACTTCCACTGGATGCGTCGACGCAATTGTCGAACATCTCTGCCGCTCTCCCCACCACCTCCCTCCGCCGCAAATTCGCTGCATACCTCGCTCTGACGAAGCCTCGACTCTCCTTCCTGGTCGTTCTTACCACAACATCTGCATACGGAATGTACCCCATTTCGTCGTTGCTTGCCCTCGACCCGGCCATGACCCCTCTCCCAACGCTCTCGACCTCAACCTTGACATTGATCTACTTGACCGTGGGCACATTCCTCTCATGCTGCAGTGCCAATACCCTGAACATGATGGCTGAGCCGAAGTATGATGCATTGATGTCTCGGACACGGAATCGCCCACTTGTTCGCGGGCTGGTCTCGCACCGTGGTGCTATGCTATTTGCTATTGGTACCGCGGTCATCGGTCTTGGTCTTCTGTACGTCGGAACAAACCCCACAACAACAGCCTTGTCTGCGGCAAATATCGCCCTGTATGCATTCGTGTACACGCCATTGAAACGCATTCATGTGATCAATACGTGGATCGGAGCAATTGTCGGTGGCATCCCACCGCTGATGGGCTGGATTGCTGCGCAAAACCAGGTCGCTACAACAGGGCATGACACCTGGCGTGACATGCTGTTTAGCGAAGAAAGTATCGGTGGATGGTTGCTTGGTGGTATCTTGTTTGCCTGGCAGTTCCCTCATTTCAACGCCCTGTCTCACCTCATTCGCGACGAATACAAGGGGGCAGGCTACAGAATGCTTGCCTGGGTTAATCCGGCTATGAATACTCGTGTTGCATTGCGGTATTCTGTGCTGATGTTCCCCATGTCCATCGGTCTTTGGTGGGTCGGTGTTGTCGGTCACGGCTTCTTGGTTGGAAGCACTGTGGCCAATTGCTGGCTCGTTCGTGAAGCTTATCGATTCTGGCAACATCAAGGTGCGCAGGGCACCGCCCGTGGTCTCTTCTGGGCTAGTATCTGGCAATTGCCTATTCTACTTGTTGGTGGACTAGTCACAAAGAAGGGCTTGTGGGATGGTGTCTGGCGAAATATCTTTGGACAGCCAGAAGAGGAAGACGACGAGGAATATCTGTATTATGAAGATGAGGAGGAAGATCTTGGAACTAGTTCTAAGTCACAAGATGTTTCTGTCCCATCAGTGAAGCGGAGCAACGCTTTGTCTACTGCATGAGAGACTTCATGACCAGTTTTCAGGTATACATTGTTGGAATATTGGTATAGACATACCTTTCCACAATTTCTTTTGTTTCCTTTCTGGATTATCCGGTTCAGCTTTATACAGCGGTTGGGAGTGGCGTTTTTTTGTTTCCATTTTCTTCTTGTATAACATGTCCATATGGAGCCAATTGAATCACCTCCAATATCATCAAGATTATAAACCTTGCCTGGGTAGTTCGCTTTGGACCGAATCGAGTGTCCTTTTGAAGCTGTACTGGAACAGAGTGCGTGCCAACACACAAAAATCACTGGTCTACAGCGCTTTTGTGCATTTCTTCTCCGTTCCCGCGAGCTTGACCACGACTGATCGCAAATAATGTGCTTCTAAGCGTCGTATTACGAGTAATGTAGTCAGCATTTCTGCTATCAAGGGTCCACTGGTTATGCATTTCGTGTACTTATGACTTGTAATTCAACAATTGGACTTGATAACTCCGTCACCCCTTCTCCGGCAAGGAAAACCCCTCAAACCGAGTTCCGTCTATACCAATCTTGCACAGCCGCTTCGATATATATGCGGAATTTCTCCTGGTCCCTCGGCGACGCGAACGAATTCACGATGATATCAACAATGCTCTGAGAATCAACCAAGCGAATTCCATCTTGCTTAATATCTTCCATTTCCTCCTTAGTTGGGAACGTATAGTACCCACTTGCTTCGGTCTTCTGAGGGGTTTTGGATAGTTCTTTTCCCCTGGAGATTTTATCCAAGGCAGCTACTGAAACAGCCACTCCCATTTTGTAGACATCCGCCATAAATGCTAGCATTGATTTAGAATAGTCAATGGGATGCTCTCGGATGTCAATCACATCTCCGGCGTCCCAGTCCTCATCAATATCGTGGAGCGAATACCCGAAATAAGTCTCCTTGTTCTTCATGGCGCGGACGGTCGTCATAACTCCGCGGTAGGCAGGCAGTACGCCGGGGTGAAGATTCAACAGGCGTCGGGGCTTGGAAAAGTATCGAATGATGTCTGTTTTGAATCGCTGATAGCAGCGCACTGATAACCCGACACTAATGTGGTGCTTGTCAAGCGTCTTTATGAAAGACATCTTGTTGACATTGGGTACTTTTTCAACGAGGATTCCGTATTTGGCGCGAAGCTGGTCCACTGTTTGATGCGTTGCGCCGTACGAAAAATCATCTTTGAAGTAAGGCAAAATATACTGCTGAAGTAATTCTCTTTCAAAGAATGCCAGCTCTCTGAGGTCGAACAATGTCGAACTGCGACTAGCCTTGTGTTCTGGAAGAAAGACGTACGGAACATGACCAGCAGCAAGAAGTTGAGGGACCATTCTGCTCATCATGAGGTGCGAGAAGAGATCTGATCCACAGAATATTGCCACGTGTAACGACCGGGCACAAGGGGTTTGCGTCAAACTGTAGGAGATCCGAGAAGCATGGGCTGCGATACGGTCGATGGCACTCACATAGAAATGTGAACCACATGTGAGCGATCCGATGGCGTATAGCCCTGGTGAAGCGCTCAAGTCGTCAAAATCCACAGATATCCCACCCCTGGGGTGGGGGGTAATCAGCGTGTTCTTCAATGCAGATCGGAGAAGCGGCGACGGAATACGTTCGAGACTGCACTCTTGGCCCGTTGCCTCAATGATATACGGGGCCTCGATAATTCCAGACGAGGTCTCTGCTTTGAACGTACCATCCCATCTGACACTCTCTCCTTTGACAATCTTGAGCTGCCCACTTTCTAGCATCCTGACGATTTTTTGTGCATTCTGCACAGGCATTCCATGACGGAACCTCATCCATGTGCTGTGGTATTTCTCCATGAATAGCTGTTGGCTTCGTGGGGATAGTCGATTCCAATATCGCTCCACAACAGGAGCCGTGCCTCGCAGAACAGCTTGCCACTGCACTTGATTGGTCATTGCAGCCTTGATGTCCTGTCGTAGTTGCTTCTCTGGAGATGAATCATCAATGATCCAGCTCCAATCCCCGTTTGTAGCTTGTGAAAGTTCAGCCATTAGACCACTTGTGACTTGAAGAAGGCTGTCGTCCGGGTCCGATTCAAGTTGTTTAGCAAGCTCAAACAGGACGTACCGACGCGAATAGGTAGTCTGGTCTCCTTGAACTCGAGGCAGACGGCCACCGCGTGACATCAAAGTGATCGTTCCTCTGTGACCATTATCACAGAGGTAGGTTGCAGCATCAATAGCAGACAAGCGAGAGCCAACGATAATCACCGAAGAGCTAGGTGGAATAGATTTGAATTGTGATAGAGGCCATGGGCTCGGAAAGAATCCCGGTAAGTTGAGCAGATGGGAGTTGTACACCGAGGTAAAATTACCAAGGGCGAGAACGACAGCCTGCGACACTAGTGTTGTTTCGTTGGAAAGGGCCAAAGAAAAAGCACCATCGCTCAATCGTTCGATTGCTTTGGCTTCCTCATGAATGACGGAAACGTTCAACCCAGCCTGCTCAGCTGCACTCATTGCTTGCGCCCATGTATGTTGAAGATACTCTCCATAGTTCAGCCGTGAGGGAAATTCGCCTTCTTTCAGGCTTGTCCGCCACTCCGTAAAGTGCTGAGGCTTATCAAAATACAGCCCCATCGTGTCGGTATGCATATTCAAGATTGTTCCTGAACAGGAATCCGAATACGCTAAGCCAGGGCCAGGAATTTGACCCTTTTCTAGTATAACAACTTTTCCAATATGGTCTCCATTCTTGGCTCTTTCAATCAATTGAAGAAATACGGCGAGTCCGCTTGCTCCGCTTCCCACCAACGTAATGCTGAGTGGTGGAGAGGACGGAAGACTAGAGGAAGAGGAAAACAATTGAGGTAGAATCTGAACCATTGTGGATGATATTTTGATAATCTTTTTCAAGGTTTCTTCAGAACATACCTAGGTAGGCTTGGTTAAGTCCAACTTTATATCTCAACATCAGCACACAATTCTTCAGCTGACTACCCCTCACGCTATGCAGTTTCTAGGTTGAGGGCAAAGAGATTGTCATACAAGGATGTGAGCTAAATCTAGTCAACTACAGGCGCCAGGATGAAGCATTCGGAGTAATGAATGATGTGATTGCCCCAACATGGAGCAAAAGCACAGTCATACCCACTTGCTGATGCAGTCACTCATGAATACGCCATCCTTGTGAGCAATGGAGGATGAAGATCATATCACAATTGAGAATAGGAAAGCTGATACTGGACGATTTCCCACCAATACACAACACTCGTGTCCATGAATCCTTCAGGAGCATGCAGTCTGGCGGCGGATCCAGAGTAAAATAATACTATTTCGTCTACAAAAAGAGCTACCTGCAGGGATTTTCACCTTTCAGCATAATTTCTCAAGGATGATGAGTTTCAATTACCAAATGCCAATGACCATGACACATGAGAGGACGTAACAATGCATAAATAACTCTCAAGATGGTCAAAGTATTTACGTAAAAAAGAAAAGAACGCAGTATCTGACATCTCCACCACACTTCCAAGAAACATCATAACTTGAAATGTGCTAATTCAAGCAAATAAGAGGAAGACAAATACTCATCTCAAAGATCTTGGCCCTCCTACGTTGCATCGAAAATGAAGATCACCTGGTGTTTGTATTACTACATATAGCTTGCCAAGTCGCGCATATCGAATAAATAAAACTCTCATTCTTTAATTTAGCACCAAGGCTCATCACTTGGCAACAGCGCTATACCAACTATCCAAGGTGAATCTTACGCAGAATCAATTCAAGATATCATCATGCGTGCTCCTCAGGCTCTCGGCACAACGATCTTCCCAGAAGACTTAACCAAAGAAATATACGCTGAGCTTGCGCAAACAGTTCGAAGCCTTCCCAACCGTCTTTGTCTCACTGCCCTGTTAGCGAGCGATGATGCTGGGTCGCATCAATATGCAGAATGCACTCGGGAAACATGTCAGAATATGTGAGTAACCAAACAAAACATGATTGAATATTGCAATCTCAAATTGTTGAACCTTAGTGGGATCGACTTCTGCCTGGTACGTTTGACGCCCAGAAATGTGGCGACGTACATCAAGGCGCTCAATGGGAACCCATCTGTCCACGGCATTATGGTATATTACCCGATTTTCGGAGACACGAGAGATGATGAGATCAAAAGCATGGTTGTTCCCCGAAAGGATGTAGAGGGACTCAATCGGCCCCACTCTTCTCATGAAGTAACGGATGAAGCCCAGCCCCGTTTGGCCCCTACAGTGCCATGCACGGCGAAAGCAGTGGAATCTATTTTACATTGGCTGGGTATCTATGATCGGAGTCTAGCCGTGGGGGAAAGGCTGAACGGATGGGATATCTGCATCATCAACCGATCCGATGTTGTCGGGCTGCCTCTCGCCCAACTGTTAGCGAGCCAAGGCGCCCGTGTCTATAGTGTTGATATTTTAGGGGTCCAGATCTACCAAGCTAGTCTGACAAGTGGGTCAGCCGAGGTGCGGAGTACGCCAACTGAGTGGACCCTTCAGGATGTTGTGAGAAAGTCTGGCGTGATCATCTCGGCGGTTCCGCACCCTACGTTCAAGGTGGATACGAAATGGATTCAGAGAGGGACGATCTGCATCAACGTTGCTTCCGCCAAGGTGAGTGGGCCTCATGCGAGTGACGAAAGTATTTTAATCTCATTATGCAGAACTTTGATGCAGAAGTCCTCGAAGTGGCCTCTAAATTTGTGCCCCGCGTTGGGAACTTGACTATTGCTGCCTTATTGGACAATCTTCTCCAGTGCACCAAGGTGCTCCCAGCTTAGGCAGCTTACTGCTCATTCCTTTCCTCGGACAATGATAGTTCAAAAAATCTCCTTTTCAAAAACGTACCGAATTTTGAGTGAATTTCGTTGACCTGTTCACTAAATTGTAAATTCAAGAGAGATCAGATTAAAGCTTATATAAAGTTTTTTCTTTACCCCTATAGTTTTCCAAAGTTACACGGGCAACCCTGCAATGAAGACAATGCAGGCCTGCACAGATGACACAATGCCAAGTGAGTCAGATCTTGGCCTTGATCTCTGTTCCAGTCTTCAAAACCCGAGCAGCAACGAGGATGCTGGCGCCAAGAAAAAAGACAAACCACCCCAAACCTGTGCTCCGATGTAACCATGCGACCTTGCAATAAGAGCACCGCCAAGAGGTGGACCGGTTAAGCAGGCAAAGCTGACAATGGTGAAGCCCATACCGATACGTGTTCCGGTCTTGGTGAGGTCCGGTGTCAGGCTAGAAAGTGTGGAGGGCCATAAGCCTTGGACACCATTGGAAAACATGCCATACAAGACAGCAAAAACATAGAGACCCGCGCTCGAGTCGACGGCGGCCCAACAAAACATCATTATGCTAGCCCCAACGGTAAGAGGAATGATTGTATTGAGCGGCCCGAAATAGCGATCCGCCAGGTAGGCAGGGATGAGCCGTCCGACTATACCTGCTCCGTTCGTCACGATGATGAGCGTGTCCGAATCGGAATAAGTCAAGCCTAGGACATTGCGCCCGAAAGCCCCGACATAATAGAAAGCAAAATAGAGCCCCCAAAAGTTGAAAAACATCCCGATGATGAATAAGATGTAGGTGGGTTCTTTGAAAGCGACCCAGTCAACCAATGGGCCCGATCTACGTGGAGGTAGTCGTGGCCGGAGTAGGAGAGCCGCTGGGATGCTTGTAGCCACCATCACAAAGCCCAGTACTCTTACTGTCCATCCAAATCCAATACTTGATATGAGGGATTTGACCAGACCCGGGAAGAGCATACCACCGGTTCCGCTTCCGACCAAGCCAAAAGCCAGGGCAAAGACCCTTCGGCTGGAGAAGTATGTGGCCACGAGTCCCATTACTGGGCAGAACTGCAAGCCACTGCCAAGGCCTGTGCAGATCCCCTGCGCAAGAAAAAGCTGCCAATAGCGGGTGGCGAGGGAAGTCATGAAGACCCCGAGCAGCTGCAAGAAGACCCCAGCATAATACACGTGGTAAAAGAAACCGGCATCTAGAGCACGGCCGGAAAAGGTCCCGATGAAGAAGATGAGAAATATTTGCACCGATCCCACCCATGAAATGGCGGATGGCGAGACTCCGAGTTCGGATTGGTAGTAGGCTTGAAATACACCAAAGCTAGCGATGTAGCCCCAGGTATTAAAACACACCAAGTGACCCATTACGGCCTGTGTCCATGCCTGGACGCCCCCATCTGGTGGCGGTGGGGGATCGGGAATTGTTGATGGTTGTGATGGAGTGTCGGGCACGCCAGTCTCCGTATCCTTTTCAGTCATTAGGGTTGCCTAGGACGCCAAAGTATGGATTAGAATGAATGGAGGGAAGCAAGAAAAACATGAAAGGAAGCCTCAGCCGAAAGACAGGCTTGATTTATGGGCATTGCTCTGGGTTGGTGACTTAACTACCAGGATTCCCTTTTGACTCATCATGTTGGTATCTTCTTGGAGATCTTTCTCCAACACCAGTCTTGGGGTTGCAGTTAGTTGCAGGGACCCGCAATATTCCTCCAATGGAAATTAATCAATTCTTCAAGCACTTTCAGCCTTGCCTTGCAAGCGTCTTTTTGTCGAAATGCCAAGCAACGGCTGATCAGCGCAATAAAAGGAGCAGATTGCGTTAGAATTGGACCGGGGATCAAGGGGCCTCCACAACGTTCGGGGGCGTACGTAATTCCGCAACTTACCATCGAGCAGATTTCCTGACTGAGTGCGCCTACATTGCCTTGTTCCTATTTGTGAAGGATTGGGCATTTACTTATGCTCTTAGTAATCTTGTGAAGTTGTAACTGACCATCGCTGTTTAAAAAATGATTACATTGATAGGGGATTGTGACCGGGTATCTAAATATATGGTACACTTATAGTACAAAGCTGCCAAGTGAATATGACAGATGCAACCAAATGCTCAGACTATATGGAATATCTCGCATCTACTTCCGCAGCTGCAAGTGATATGTCTCCAACGCCTGAGCAGTCATAGGAGTAGGCGCTCCAACCATAGCATCATCGCCACCCTTACCAGTCTTAGGGAACGCGATAACATCCCGTACAGACTCCTTACCCAGCATAACAGCAACCAGGCGATCGAATCCCAATGCGAGACCAGCATGGGGCGGACATCCCGCGCGCAGAGCATCGAGCAGATGCGAGAAGTCACCGAGACGTTCGGCGGGCATCTGCAGAATATCACGGAAGATGAACTCCTGTACGGCGGCGTCATGAATACGACGACTACCGCCACCAAGCTCGACGCCGTTGACCACAAGATCGTAGTGATCTGCCACAGCTTTGGAGGGGTCTGTCAGGAGGAGATCCACGTCGGCGGCGGTCTTGGGTGCGGTGAAAGGGTGGTGTGTTGATGAGAGGCCAGCTGCGCCACCTTGACCAGGCTCTGAGTCGGATGAGGGGGAGAAGAGGGGGAAGTCGACCACCCACATGAAGTCAAAGCCGGTAGGTGCGGGCTTGAAGCCTGATGAGACCGCAAAGGCATGAAGGGCACGGCGCAGGTCACCGATTGGTGTGGAGCCACCGGAGAAGGGGGCGCGAGGACGAGCTTGGAGGATGATGAGATCGCCGTGATCAGGATCCAGCAATTCTTCAACTTGCTCGGCGGCCTCAAAGCCGAAGGGCTGTAGGCCACAGAGTGGCTGCTTGCCGTTGTACACAAAGACACCTGGGCCACCATCGGGGTTGCTGTTGAATGGTGCACCCGCTGGGGAATCGAGGAACTGGCTGATAAACTGATGTGTTTCGGCTGGGTTGTTTTCGTTGCCTTCAAGCTTGAATGCCTCGACAATTGGGTCATTCAAGTCCGAAATTTTGCCCACAAGGTCGACAGGTAGCAAGTGGTCGATTTTAATGATTTCCATTCCGTACCTGGTGTCTGGCTTGTCAGATCCATAGCGGGCCATGACCTCTTGATATGGGACTCTGCGGAAAGGGCCCTCGGGGGCAGGGTCTTTCATCAGATTGGACCAGAGACGCCGGATGACACCTTCCACTGTCCGCATCACATCTTCGCCCTTCGCAAATGACATCTCAAGATCAAGCTATATCAAAGATCAGTAAAATTTTCAGTAGTGGGTCCTAACTGTCAACATACCTGAGTAAATTCGGGCTGACGATCTGCCCGAAGATCCTCGTCCCGGAAACAACGCGCAAATTGAAAGTACCGAGGCAATCCACTAGCCATCAAGATCTGCTTATACTGCTGCGGACTTTGAGGTAAGGCATAAGCCAAGCCAGCCCGGCGCGTAGGAACCAAAAACTCGCGGGCACCCTCAGGTGTGGACTTGAACAGCAACGGAGTCTCAATCTCCGTAAACGGCGGCTGACTCTGCTCCAACTCCTGTTTACAGATATTATGAGCCTTAGCCCGAAACCTCAGCGCGTCACGCAGCTGCGCATCCGAACGGAGCTGTAGATACCGGTGCTCAGGCGAGAATACTGTCTCCGGTGTCATGATGATCTCTTTGGGGAAATCATTCAGAGGGTGAATTTCTTCCAATGCCAGCTCCCATGTATCTTCGGCGGGTTTATCTCCCTCAGTAGGCTTTGCCTTCTTCTTTTGGACCGTTCCGCGCACTGCGACGGGGCTGTGAACGTTGAGTGATTTTAGCTGTTCGAAGGCCTCGTTCTTGGCAAATGCAACAACCTGCAAGCTGTGCTTCATTGTAGGGTCGGTCAGGCGGACAAAGGAGAGCTTCTTTGAGAGATCTGATCTATGGCCTAGGTATCCATGCAGGACGACCTCGGCGTTGGGCTCGGCCTGCGAGAAGAACGACTCGAAGTCATGAGTGGCAGGTGGGAATTCAACTACGGAGCAGAACAGTATTTTAGCGATTAACCAATATTAGAAATCTATATGCATATAACCAACCCGCTTTTTTGTAGGCCTCCAGGAAGCTAGGAAGCTCCGGCGACTGTTGCTCTCGGAGACAAGCCGGACGATGGAAACGCCGCGACGCCGCAATAGATCGCACACATGGTGTTGACCGAGAGCCACGAATCAAAGAGGAAATAGTAAAGCTCGAGCGAAGCCGCAATGGCAGCTGGACGCCCGCACTCAGCATTATGTATGAATAATATGCAGTAAACTGTCGATGACTGTCTTACGATTAAAAACGGCAGAAAAAGGAAGCGCGGAACCCGCCCGCCCAAAGCAGACTAGCGCGGGTGATTTTCATATAATTGCGGGTCAACACCGCTTTTTTTTTCTTCTTTCTTCATCCTTCCAAGTTTAATACTCGTGAGTCTACCTGTTCTCCAATGTTGATTGAATTCTCGAAACTGACCTCCTATACAGAATGATGAAAGCCTAGTGTGTTCTATATGATATATCTCAACTCCCTGAGGCTTGTGGCTCTCCTTCTCTTTTGAGGGCTTAAGGGCTGCAAGACTCGGGAGAAGGGAGAGTGAAATCTGCGTTCGGCATACCACCTTGTTAAACCAACGGACGCGATGAAGGCATCTCTGACCCTCTTTTCAACTTGAAGGTGTATTTCTACTGGCAAGACGCCGTAGATAGGATATAATGCTGTGCTTGGAGGAGAGAACTGAGTCGTGGAAAGGCTGTTCTTGGATGGAAGATAGCTTCCTTGCTATGGCAGGTTGCTAATTGGAAACCCAAGAGCGCTTTTATGACAATGTGCTCGTTCTCATCACCTCTGGCATATGCGACAACAAATAGGCCATAATGAAACATATATTCACACTCTGAAATCCATTCTATATCACATGTAATTACCTGAAAGAAAACCCAAAGGAAATATTCTACCCCTGACCAAAAATCATACTTTCTAAAACGGCCTTCTCGCCGCTATTTTCCACCAGACTCTTGAACACTCCGTTCTCAATGCCCATCAGCTCCTGGGGTGAAGCAAACTCAACCGCCTTGCCGGCATCCAGCACGAGAATCCGATCAAAGTCAGCAATGGTGCTCAGACGATGCGCAATGACAAGCAGGGTAGTTGCATTACGGCCAAATTCGGCCCGGATGGATTGCTGAATCTGTGCATCGGTCTCCATGTCCACTGCCGAAGTAGCCTCGTCCAGGACCATGATCTTGGGACGAGCGACAATCGCACGGGCGAGACAGAGGAGCTGTCGCTGACCCTGCGAGAGATTGAGACCTCCCTCGGAGATTGGCGCTGACAGCGACGAGAAGATGTTCGAATTGCTTGCTTGGACCGTAACAGTAGCGGTGTCCGGCGTAGAGCTGCCTGACGCGTTCTGGGAGGTGAGAGTCGCCTCATTATCCGACCCAGAAACCAGGTGTACACGAGCCAGGGCATCGTTTAGCTCAGTATCACTGTACTCCTCGAACGGATCCAAGTTGGTTCGCACAGTGCCCGAGAAGAGGACAGGATCTTGAGGGATGATAGCAAGCCGGCTACGGAGATCGTGTAGCTTGATCTTAGAAACATCCAGACCATCGATGGAGATCGTGCCCTGGCGGGCCTCAAGGAAGCGGAATAGCGCCAACGTGAGAGACGATTTACCAGCACCTGTACGGCCGACCACACCCACTCGTTGGTTCTTCTCGACGGTGAAGCTGAGCCCGTTGAGTACGGGCGGAAGATCTGGCGCATAGCCCACAACCAGGTCGTCGACTTCAAGACGTCCCTCGGTAGGCCAAGCAGCTGGTGCATCCACACCACCTTGGTTCTCAAGCTCGATGTTGGAGTACTCAATCACGCGCTCGGTAGCGTTCATGTTAAGTTCAATATTGGAGTATTGGCGCAGGGCAAATGCAATTGCTGAATTGCATTGCAAGGCAAAACTTAAAGCGAAACCTGCCATGGACGCTGACATGCCGGGAAGAGAGATCACAAGTGCTGCGGTGAGAGTGGAAAAGACTGCACCAACGACGTTCATGCGAATTCCTAGCCAGCGATTGAACAGCCACACCGTCCACCAAGACTGAGCATGGGCATTGATCTTGTCATACATGATTTCGATGAAAGCACCACTCTTGCTGAAAGCGCGAATGGTAATTAACCCAGCCAAGCTAGATCCGAACTGCTCCAAGACGGGACTTTTAGCGGTACTTTCCAGACGCTTGGCTTCACGAGCACCGGTGAGGAAGGTCAAAGACAGCCGAAGACATATCAAAAGGAGACCAGCCGCGAGAATGAGGACAAGTGGGGAGACGAGGATACCTGCGACGATGATACCAAAGACTTCCAAAGTCTCGGCCAATAGGAAACCTAATTCGTATCCCAGTCGCGAATCGATAACGTGGAAGTCTCCTGTGAAACGGTTCAGAATTCGGCCCAATGGGACGGTATCCAGCCAGCGGAGCGGAGCACGTAACACAGCAAACACGAGGGAGTTGAAAAGATTTCTCGAGGCGCGAATGCTGGCAGATAGGATGCAATAGTATCGAACGGTTCCGATCAGGCATGCCACAACGGAGATGCCCATATATACGCCGAGGTACATGCCGAGCTGGCCATTGGCCTGGGTTGCAGCAGACATATTTGTCTGCATCATAGAGTATTGGAGCATCACTTGGGTTGTTTCGGGATTGGCATGCGTATTGGCGGAAGAACCGGTCCAGACACTGATCCACCATGACTATAGTTCGATAGTTAGCAATTTGCAACTGCACTAGGTGCATCCTGAATCTTCAAACTTACTCGTCCAACCATTAGTATAGCATAAGAAACGTAGATCGAGATTGTCACAGCCCAAGTAAGAGGGCGGCCACCCATTCCGAAGTAGGTTTTGTACACAGTGAGTCGGACAGATCCCTTTTCTTTTGCCTCATCTTTGATAAATTTCTTGGGAGCATCTTTCGGTGGCGCAGTAGCATTTCCATTGGCTGCATTGCTCTGGCGTCGGTGTGACGCGTTCGAGATGACCTTTTGGAGTGTTCCTCCATCAATATCATTAGCATCCTTTTGGTCGTCAGGAATCTTTTTGTCCAATTCCTCTGCAGCTTGTTCCTCGCGAAGAATGTCCTCCAGGTGATTAGATTTCCGAAGGTCGTCAATTGTGCCGGCATATTTCACACGGCCATTCTCCAAGAGCACAGAATAATCTGTTAGGGGAAGAACAAGGGCAACGTGATGGGTAACAAGAACACGAGTGCGACCTTGACCGAGTTCGCCTGTCAGGGCATTTTCGTAGACATGTCGACCAGTGTGTGCATCCAAAGCACTGAAAATGTCATCCATGACGAGAACTCCAGCCCGAGAGTACAATGCGCGGGCGAATGACACACGCCAGCGCTGACCACCACTGAGGTTGACACCGTTCGCACCAATATCAGTCAGTTCACCATCAGGGAGCATTTCCAAGTCCTTTTCCAGCGCACAGGCGAACAACACTTTGTGATAGCGAGACTCATTATATGGCAATCCAAACAGAATGTTCGCTTTGATAGTTGCGTTCTCAATCCAAGGGATCTGTGCAACGTATGCAATCGCATCGTCGATAATCCAGTTGGCACTTGTAGCCAAGTGATCAAAACGATCTTTAAGAGCGGGCGGGACAGGCACTTTCACAGTACCTTCCAAGACATCACATTCACCAAGGATAGAAGCCAGAAGAAGACTCTTTCCAGATCCAGTACGGCCAGAAATCACACTGAGGCCCTTCTTCGGTAAGTCAAAGTTCAGATCACGCAGCTGGAATCGCTCCTCCTCATCTTCTTTCTCTCCAGGGTGATGCTCTGCGGGCCATGCCACAGAGGCATCCTCAAAGGAGATACTATCTCCAGGGAGGGTGTTGACAACCTTTTCCGAGGCGGCCATGTACTCATCAATACGGTCCGCACTGACAATAGCTTCCAGCAGGTTGGTGATGATTTCTGGTAAAATGGCTAGTGCCATCTCCAGAGAACCGAAAACAGACATGGCTGTGAATGCAACTGAAGCGGATAGCTCGCCGTGGATAAGGGCATAGACTGTCAAAGATACGCATGAGAAAGCGATAGGACCAAGAATCCAAATTGCCATGAGAAAAACGTCATAGAAGAAGGAAGTCCACAGCGCACCCAGCTCGCTTTCTCGGACCAGTCCGATCTTCTTCTGCCACTGTCCCTCCAAGGCAGAGAATTTTACTTGACGAATACCCTGGAGGACTTCAGTTACAATGGCCATTTTCTGATCCCGATGTTTCATGAGTTTGTCTTGTGCGCTCGTGTATCGCTTGGTAATAGCAATATTAATCGGCGCAATCAAGATAGAGATCGAGAGACCAGCAAGAGCGCTTTGCCATCCGAGAATTCGGATTAAGAAGAGGCATCCAATAAAAATCTTGAAACAGGCACTTGGGATCAAATAGAGGAAGGAGGCGACATCGGAAATACGGCGGGCATCCACGGCTGCAAGATTGACAATACTTTGGCGACTCTTCTTCATATCCTCCTCCTCATCTTCTTCCTCGTCTTTCTTATCTTCGGGTAGCAACGCCTTTGCAGGAGCTTGTGTTTCGTCCTTTTCCTTGGACTTTTTCGAGTCCTTGGCATCCTTTCGGCGCATCGATTTGGCGAACACCACAGCCGTAAGTTCCGCGTAAATGGGGATCGCAAGCCTGGACCAAACACACCAGAAAAGCCATGCCTCGATGAACGAATAGAAGGCCATAAAGACTCCCAGTAGGATGACCCAAGTCCATGATCGCTGAGATGACCATCCCTCACTTCCCCGACCCTCTAGGGAGTTGAGGATGTTGAAAAGCGCAACTTGTGGTCCAAATGTCAGGAACGCCATGACCGAGACCAAACAAAACTGGAGCACGAAAGTGCGCCAGTGCGCAATCATAATGCCCCTCCAAAGTTTGGCATTTCCTTTCGCGCGTTCAAAATTCTCGCGAAGACGGTGTGCACGCTTATCAGCTCGTAGCTTAGGTAGATCAGTCAATTCCAGATTCCTGTGGCCGATTGTAAAGTCTAGGAGATCACTGGCCCATACGAAGCAGTAGAGACCAGCAGTCGAAACTGTTAGCTCTTTATCTACTGCTTGGCCCTCGAAGAAGATATTTGGGCGACGCGGTAGAAGGATACTGAATATCGCGCGCAGGAGAGCACTGCTGATGTTCGCACCCACCAGGCCTATCCATGTACGATTTTGGAGAAGACCATCTTGAGAAACCCATGCTTGTTGAATTTCAAAGCCCGCTACAGCAATAGAGATGATGCTTCCTGCGAAGGCGAATTGACCCAGTTGGAATCGTATAGTTGGACGCGGTTCCGTGAAAAAAGCAATTCCTTGGATTGAAAGTAAGACCTGTGTGAAACCGCATGTTAACTGTCATTGTTTCATTTCATTTTTTTTTATTGGTCCGAGTATCAAGCGGGCATGAACGTGATTGGCGCATTTTTGTACGTACCCAAATCGCAAACTGTAGCCAGTTAGCTAGCGGATCGTTTAGATCGCCGCTTATAGTTGAGAGAATTGAGAGTGCCAAGGAGGTCGATAGACCAGTTATGGAGAACACTGCTATTGAAACGCGTTGCCATTTGTCTGAAAAGGCGCGGAGTGATTCCTCAGTAGCCTCGCCATCTTCGTCACGATAAGCAGTAATTGCTAGACTGGCTTCATCATATTGGCGTCGGAGAATGCGATCGGCAATACTTTTGACTGCTTTGATACTATCAAGGGCGACCAATCCCAGGGCGACCGAGCCCGTCACAGTGGAAGTGTTAGGGGACATGCCTCATACCATCACTGAAGGAATAAAGGAATAAAGAAAAGAAAGAAAATGAGGCGCGAGTAAACTAAGAGGCATAAGAAGAGCATGAAACGCCGTGCTTATCTTTAATCCGACAAAATAGTCATAGCGCATTCGCCATCCACTAAGGTCACATCCACGCAATCGAGCGGGGGAGGTCAGTGCTGATGCGTATACTCTTCGTGAGGCACTGTGAGTCAAATCCTTCCACAGTGTTGATCCTTGGTCTAGGCAATGGTGTCTCGTAATGCTTGACTGCGGTTCCCTATTCATCTCATGACTCTGCAACGCCAGTGCATGCCGCCAAGCCCGCGGTCTGAGGATAAAAGAACGGTGTAGGGTAGAAACGCAACTCCCATTGGCTGATTTCATGACTCACGACTCCAGCGGCTTGCATGGTACATGATCGGAGCTCCGTGGGAGCGGGCACCAATTCGGGCCTGGTCCATTGAAAAAGCCGAGAGTGGGGCGAACACTTCTGGTAAGGTCAGCGATAACGACCTATGGTGGAAATTGCACTGTAGCTGCAGTAGTGATTTTTGCCTGAATCTGCCCTTTGAGAAAGCGCATTTATCCTCGAGGAGTCGTTATTTTTAGCAGAACAAGTTGAAAGGATCCATTGTCATTGGACCCACTGCCTGTAGGGACACCCTGTGTAATACTGAAAGCTTCGATCTGGTCACGATAAGCATCATATGAGGACCCTCACTCTATACTGACATTTCATAGTTTTGACACTTGGTATCCTCTGTTCATGGACCCGAGTCAAATTTGAGGCCGAGAAGCTGACTCCCCAGCTCGTGGAGTCAAACCTGTCACTAGTGATCCACTAGTGTGGGGCCCCAAAGAAGTTGATTATCACTTGACTGCAACCTGATCTAAGATTGCCTCCACCCGTGGACTGCATGCCTGCATGAAACATGTTGTTTGATGAAGAAAGGAATTCAGTAGGCTCAAAGCGGACAGACTGGACTATATGTGACCAACACAAAGAAACACAATTGTCTCCAAGGGTTGCATATATCTTGGCCGATCTACACTAGTGGCATGCCAAGCCAAATCTTCAAAAAGCAATCGCTAAATGCACTGATAATAACAGAAGCCAGAACTCTATGAGATGATATTCGAAAATAAGGGTCAAGCTCTCGTTCTACAGCACATCTTAATCAAGTAACTCTTTCTATGCTTCTGTATTCAATTCGCAGTCCACATACCAATATGTTCTGTGGCTATATTCCGAGTCTACAGTCCGTATATTGTATTGAACAATTTGAAAGCTACAATGTCTGTCTCCTTGGCTATTTTTATTTTCCAAACTCATTGAAAATGCGGATGATTGATACCGTCCTCCCTTTCTTTTTCCAAGATCCATGGATCTTTTAGATGTGTGAAAGACCGAATGCTTCACGCTTTATATATCACATTCAAATATGATTCTTTGTCTTCTGTCTTGGTTCGTTTCAATCAATTAGCTATCAAAGGCTGTAGTTTTGAGTTATAAGATGCATTCGAGTATTCCTAATGGTGCCTATCACCAAACCACTCAAGACAACCTAAAAGGACAATCATAACCTTGCTTGAATTCGATATCTAAAATGGAAGAGGGTGCCTTTTTGAAATATGGCGAGCGCCAAATTCGGGGAATCTTCCGTATGAATTGGATGCTTAAACCAGTAACTGCTGTCCAGTGCAAGGTTGAACAGTCTACGCTTGAGATAGCCGATCTCCCGTGGTATGAGTCGGGAAAAGACGATATCTCTGCCAGTACTATGAACACGTTGGAGCTTTTTGATCTCCCATTCCGGGAGGACTACCATGCTTTGATAGCTTGGTGTTACACGTCTACTGTTATTTTCAACAATAAGAGTATGTTTGGAGGGCTCGTTTCAGATGGCCTTCTAGTTATCGAGAAGATGTTCAGAACGGATACAGGGGCTCATATGTCTGATGTGGCTCTGGCAATGTACCGGAATTTCTATGAGATAAATAATTTGAAACAGATTCTTTTCTGTAACGTCGTCAATACTGATACTGTTGACTTCTTTATGGAGGATCTCTACACTGAGAAGAATGGTCTCGATTTTGCGGGACTGGCTGGTGTTCAGAATTGGCCATATGGCACACCAGAATACCTAGCTCTTCTGACGACCCCCATCTGCTCGGTGGCAGTGAACATAGTTCTCGGAGCGTGGCCCCGTGGCACTCACTATGTTTCCAATATTCAGACCTGTCTGGGGGGTCGCAACGGGGCCGGAGAGATGAACATCATGGTGGAGATTGATGAAATACCCGCAGATCTGGTCAAGATGCCTAAGCTGGCCAAGGAGACCAAAGCTGCTCTGCTCGAAGCTCTTGACATGGATCCTAATATCTTAGACTCTGAGTCGAGCAAGGCTTCAGAGGGGTCGTCGTCATCAGAGCCCTTGGCAAAAAGGAAGAAGGCAGACGAGTCTAAGAAACGTAAGGTAGAAGAGGAGTCAGAGGCGGGCCCAGCAAAGAAAAGGGCAACAAAAGCATTAGCGGAGGAGGAAAGTCAAGAAATGGATGTGGATATGGATGTGGATGTAGAAGGAGGAAATGATCCGATTTACAAGCCGGGACCGGCGCCGAAGCAGGCCAAAGGGAAGGGCCGAGGGCCGAGGAAGCCTCCGGTGCCAAAGAAAGGCGGCAAGAGATAAGAAAGCAATTAAAGGCAGAGAGGATTCTACCTGAAAGCATGAAACCTTGGAAGCCGGCAATGGGTCGATGTGAGTCTGATAGACGTGTGAACAAGGGGATTGACATGAGTGCAATGGGAAATGGCTTCTTCTTTTTATGTATCTATGATTTCAAGTTTCTTTATCTGTATTACTGCCTTGTATAGCTCTTTCAGGTTGAATCATATGTTCAAATTTATTGCTATATATGTGTTACTCTACTGCTTCTCCACAGATGTAGTACTACAAATTTGAAGCCCATTTAGTTCAAAACAGGTCTCCATCCTTGCCTAGGCACGAATCCGTCCACCTTCTCATCATCGAGCACATCCTTCCCCAAACGACCCGTCACGATGCTCCTCTCAACGTCTGGACCACGCACATGAAACGAGTCGAATCCGCGCATCGTACTCTCAGTGCTGTGACTTCGAACCCATAACCTCTTCTTTGATGTCGATGATGCACCAGTCACGTTGGGTAGATTGCTTGGCTCGAAACCAGAATTGGCTCGGTCCAAACTGAGATACCACCGACGTTGATGAATCGAGCCGATCGTGTTTGTTGAGCCGGGGTATGCATTGTTCTTCTGAATTTGGAGATCGATATCATCGTCGGAATGTGTTGTTTCTGCGTTTTCGGGTTCTGGTGGTTCTGTAGCCGAACCTTGCGCCGACGCTGAGGAAGGCTCAATGTCAGAATCGGATGTAGACGGTGCCCTTGGTGCCGTGCGCATGGAATTGACAGGCTTTCTACGACGCTTCGGCCCATTCCTGATTGGCCTTGCGTAATCGGTGCTTTTATCCATACGCAACATGATTGTGTAGTCCTTCGGCAGGCGGGTCCCGTGAAGTCTGAGTCGGATTTTGCGCTGATTCTAGGGTCAGAAAGCTGTATTCATATGAGAAAGAACCAATACGTACATTCTGAAATGCTTCTTGAAGTTTGGCACTATCCGAAGCACAATCCTTCGGCGACCTTGCATGGTCAGAATCTTCTGATCTCGAATCATCCGTCTCAGGCAGGGATTTATCCGCGTAATATGGCAGTACTTCGTACTCTCCCGTATCCCAGATGATCATACTTCCCGTTTTGACGGATGCAGTCTCAATAAGATGGTTCTGGCAGAAGCATCAGTTCACGTACCAATTTTATCTACAGCGGGTCGATGACGTACCCACAAACAGTGAATTCGAGTCTCTGTTGCATTTCGGTTCAATCGCTGGCTGTTAGGGTCTCCCGGTAGCCCATACATGATTGACCAGCTCACGGAGCTTGTTTTTGAGAACTGCAGTCGCAGATCATAGTGGGGACCAGCGACGGGGTGGTCGTGCTGGTGGATCACAAAATGGCGGCCTTCCGGGTGATCATTGCGTTGGTATAGATCGACCCATTCCGCGATAGAAAGACGAGGCATTGGTTGAGACTTCGACGATGGTCGAAGAAATTGATGCAATTTTGTAGAGATGATGCCAAGATGGTCATCCACTTTGACCTCGCCTGCCTCGATGGCAGCAAGGTTGTGCTCATTGTTGGGCGACGCCGATAGTCTTTGAGAAGCTTCGACGGCTTGATGGCGAATCTGGCGCTTTCTTAGAGGGGGAGATACTGGAGCTTTAAGACTGGATAGGGAAGATGCTGGCTGTGGAATTTGATGTTGTTGTGCTGGAGTATCGGTACCGACGTCTGAACTCGCCGCGCGTTTCATAGTTAAAGACCTGCAAACGAGTCTACGAGACCTCAATTTGACCCATGAAACTGCAATCTTGTAGTTCAACTCACTCACTGAGCCATACCATGTCAAATGAACGAGAAAACTCCATTGTGCATGTGCACAAGGAAGCGATCGTCGATTGACATTTATCCCGAGGATTGATTGGATAGATTAGTCATCTACAGTAGCGACTGGGCTTGTTCATGGATAGTATTCCAAGTTTCAATCTAATTCTCTGGTATCAAAATAAGATAAATCAAATACGCTCACAAGCTATCGATGGTGGGTATCAATAAAACAAATTCCTGTTAGTGGCAATCATTTGCACTCGGGCATTTCATACTTCCTCCCGCTCCTAATAGCCATAGAGACCCACCCCCACACTCTGGGGATTGTGGAATATATCCTTTGGATCAACCTTCGCTTTAATTTTCTGAAGCCTCTCAAGGTTGGGTCCCCAGTAAGACTTCTGTGGATCTTTGAGGTAGGGATCGACATACCCAGGGTATGCCCCGTAGACTCCAGGTCGAGAAGAAGTTATCACGTTGTTTAACCCATTGAGGAAATCCTTGGTGGTAGAACTGACAGGACCGATAAGACTGATTGCATAGGATTGCATCCACATGAACGCTTCTCGGTGGGCATAAGCAGTGGCATTCACGGCGTGGTCATTCACAGCACCACCCTCCAGGTCGAATACCACAAACCATGCGACAGTATCCTTTTTTGCAGTGGCAATGTATTTGAACATTGAATCGACGCCCTCGTCGGTTATGCGTTGTTCTGGCGTAAAGGGCAGCGATTTGGCGTAGAAGGGCGCTGGAGTGCCACCCATGGCCGCGATTATGAGGTCCTCAGCCTGGCTGGTAAGCATGCCAAGCCAGTCCGTCAGGTACAAGATATTACCATGATTCTTGATTGGAAAATGATCCTCTAGTCCGAAAGCATTGAACTCCTCTTTGGATCCGAAGAAAGTGCCAGACAGCAAGGCGCCACCTTCGAAAAGGACAAATTCACTGGAGAATTTCCGAGAGAGGTTCTTGGTCGCAATGAGATGCTGCCAATCTTTGAAAAGCTGCGCTTTCTCAGCAACGTTGCCGAGATTGACTTCGTATGTGTACTGAACGGCTTCCGATGGTGCTTCATGAGTGTGAAGCTTGAATTCCGTGACAATTCCGAAACTGGCTGCCGCACCTTTTATGGCGAAGAAAATATCCTGATATTGTGTTTTAGAGGCTCTCACCACGCTGGCATTTGCAAGAACCACCTCGACTTCCTCGACATGATCAAGAGCCGCGCCCCATTCGCGAGACATTAGACCTAGACCGCCGATGGTAAAATGACCACCCATGCCGACCTGAGGACAGCTTCCATGAGCGACGGCCCTTCTACCGGCATGATAAAGACGATTATGAAGATCGCCCAAAAGCGTACCTGAGCCGACGGACGCAATGTGAGTTTCCTGGTCAACGGAGAAATGTTGGAGGTTTTTCACATGAACAACCACCGCACCATCGTTTCCTCCAAGACCTGCAACAGAAATCTGAGTCAGTCTTGTCGCTACGCCCACGAGGTTAGACCTACCATAATTTGCATAGCTGTGGCCTCCACTGCAAGCCTGAACCTTGATGTCGTGATTTGCTGCACACTTGACAATTTCGGCGACTTGCTCCGTAGTTTGCGGATAAGTGATGGCGGTAGGAACCACAGGAAATTCCAAGTTGTAGGGATGAATGTTCGAGGAAAACCCAAAGTCACCCTGAAAAGCGAGCAGGTTGGAGTTGTTCCCCACGGCGGAGAGCAAGCAGTCGCGAACGACTGAGCTATGGGTAACACCCATACTGCGCGGTGGAGCAAGCCTTGAATGACGAGACGAATGTCCAGGTGGGTGGCGATGCAAGGAATGGAACAAAGGAAAGATGGAAGATCAAAGATAGTTTAGCTTTGAAATGTTGCAAGGGATTGGTTGGGGAAAGCAAAGTCTGGTCCCTGCATTCCATAGGAATGAGCGATTTGGGGAAGGTGCTCCTCCGCCACTGTGAGTAAATTGAACCTCTAATAGTTTTTTACTTCTAAAAGTGACTTTTCCCTTCAAAGAGACACAGATCTAATACTCGATTTACCATGTTTCGACCAATGTATTGGTGGATACCTTATTGTTTATTGTGCCCAAACAAGCTAAACCCAAGAAACACAAATCCCTATCCGGTAATCAATACGCGGAAGAAGTATACTTGCTCAGGTGTTGAGCATGTAGCGCGACATATCACAGGAGCATGTAGCCATCGAAGAGGTCGTTGGCGGGGATGCTATTGAGGCTGGCTGGGAATGTCTGCTCCTCTTGAACGAAGAACCTCGAGCTCATCAGATTATTATTGACAAATGCGCATGAGTCGACTCGTGCGCATTCATGTTCTGTAGGCTGATAGTAAGTAAGCTGCTACTCCCATCTCTGTTAGTTGGATGGATTTATTTAGCCAAGAGGGTGACCCGGACTTCTGGCTTGGCGCATAGGGCAGAAACATCTGCTTCTCGTAATGAATTTGGTGCAGAGGGATCTCATCATCAGGAATGAGATCAAAGCAAAGATTATTGCGCATTGTACATACTAACTTCCCTTGAAGATCTCGTCTTCGGGCCTATTCGTGACTCGCATTGTACCTCAGTTCAGGCCTTGTCTCGTATCCATGAGTCAGGCTTACATATTAAATCAACAATTAGATTCCATCATCTTACTCCGTAAAGGCATGAAAATGATTCAGGATGAACATACCTGCCGCCTGAAGGGTGATGAGATGATATTCCCAGCCTCCGGAATGGCGCGAATCGCGTGGGATCAATAGTTTGCCGATCATCTTAGTGTACCCCACTAGGTATATAACAACGCTTGTTATTGGTCACGTCCGTTAGGGGTTCAAGAACAGTACAATCATTCACAAGGGCCGGGTCGGTCCGGTCGGCATCCCCTCATACAGCAGTACTGAAGGATGATGTTGTACAGCTATTACATGTCTCGGCCAGAGATTACTTGTGGACGCCAAGAGGACTAATGGTTGGAGCCGGAAGCTGAGCTGAGCTGCGGTGACAAACCCTCCCGCTATTTGGTGGACATTCCCCATAGGAATGATGCCAAATATGACCAAATCCGATACCAGATCGACATTTTCATCGCATGCCCCATTCAAGAAAATCTTCCGGTTCGTCAATGGAGGGCTTGGCACGGCTTCAGCTATGATGCACTAATTCACTAGTATCATGCAGCGTGGGAAATGAATGTTCAGCCTGGCCAGAAGATGGTTTATTTAAATGGCCAGGTGGACACCCCCCTCTGGATCGTTGAAGCACAAGTTTACCGCGCCTAAGCCATTCTACCAACATGAAGTTTACCACAGCCCTTGTGGTGCTCAGCACCTTGGCCGCACCTATCACTGCGCTGCCCCAAGCAAAACGGGCCTCAGGTGATGTATGTTTACTTCCCGACCTTTTCACTTCATCAAGCATCTAACAGCAATTGACAATGAATAGTATAAAATCCCTGACCACTGCTACCCAGACCCTTGCAAAGGAATCACCTCAACAAACACTACCTACGTCTGTGGAGACTACCGCCTCGGACCCGTCACCGCACCCAAGAAATTCCCTCTCAATAACGAGCTGAGAACCTACGAGCGATTTGGAAACCTATGCCCAGCGCAGTTCCTGGAAAAGTGGGCCGGGTCTACCAACTCTTCAGATTCCTACGAATATCCTCCCCAGAATGGGTTTGTTGTCACCAATGCCGGTGCTTCAATCTTGGGCAACACCACCCTTCCTGTCGGACAGAAGCTCGACCGCTTCGGTTCCGAGTATGGATCTTTCCTGGCTCCCCTGGGTGCGCCATACATTGAGCGTTCGCTTCCTCCTAGCAACCTCAACACATTTGATGGCGATTATCCGTACAACTACTATGTGTACCAGGTGACGAAGAGCTTTGAGGTGGGACTAGGTCCTATTGCTCCGTGGTTTGAGCAGCCGGGTATGGGCACGCAATTTTTGTCCTACAAGAGCGTTAAGGATCTGTTGGCCGGTGGATATCTGCGCAGATTGACGCCCGAGGAGTATGATGACAAGTCTGAATACTCAGATAACTACACAGCTGGACCTTCTGCATCGGCCTAAGCATTGTCAGGTAATATTGAATGATTGGTAGATAGTAATTGGCAGATAGATGAACCTTTGGAGCACAGTTCCTTGCTCAGATAGGTACACTGTGGAAACTTGATGTATCAAACTGGTGCAGACAGATGAAGAAAAGACATGAAAACAGGACCAGGTGTTCGCAGCGATTATCACGCTACTGAAAAAAAAGGTCATCTAATTGTCGTGGTGTCCTCGATAGATAAATTGATGTGCTGATAAGGTTTCAAGATAATCTACACTAAGGTTTTAAGGCTGTCTTGAGAGTGGGTTACATATAAGATTAGCGCATGCTCCATTTATTTCGTCTTCTTCCAGTAAAGTGCGCTATTCCGGCGCACTCCAAGTATGCAACGACGGACGCGTCGCGACGCCACAGCCGTCTCCAGATAAGGGGAATGCCGTGAACGGCCGATCGCCCACCTTTAGGAAATTGGGGTCATGAGTGATATCAGCACGGGTTTAATAGTGCTTTCTAGATCAAAAATGCTAAAGACCAGTCTAGAAATGATTAAGGGCGCCAAGCTCGGAAATAGGGTGAGGAGACTTATCGGAAATTAGATAGGAAGATGGGCCATGCAGGAACAGTAGTTTGCGGAGTCAATTAGAGAACCTTATCCTGAGGTCAATGCAGTTTTGTCTCACTTTATTCAAGGGATATCTTTCGTACCTTGACACCTGATTGAGTCTTGCAGGTACGGAGTATACGCGTCAAGATGAACATTAATAGCAAAAAAGCAAACATTGATATTACTCCAAGCCTATTCGAAAGTTCAATGTATTTTTGGTTGGAAGCGCTAGCATCACAGGATAGGTGATTAACAAATGATCCATGGATTAAAGCCTTTTTTTCCAGGCTGTATGGCGATCATGTCTGTGCGTTGCTATGTGATTGCTAAGCCCGGGCAGTCTAAGTAGTCGGCGAGCAGAGCCAGGGTATTCCCCGAGCCCGAGCATTCATTGAACGCCATCTGCCCTCACAAAGGAGTGGCGCCCTAACCGGGTAAACCACGAACCGAGCCTCAAACCAAGTATATACAGCTTTCATATAAAACAAAGTGCGAAATACTCGAGAAATCATGGGACTGACAGCTGTGTTATGGACAATCGCATACTTCTGCTGAACAAAGCCCGGATTGAAATTGATCTCCCATTGTCTGCGTCAGGGATTGAATGATATCCATGGGTCATGGATGTGATAGCACATCCCTGTCTCCATGCGCTCCTGTGCAACCAGGGATAGAACAAGCCTCAAACCTTCAATTCTGTCATTAGAATCTGGCCCAGAACTTGCCGACTCCTTTGAATTGAACCCAAACTTTCAATCCCCTTTTCTTCAGATCCACATCGGGGATGCGGGTTCCTGATCGGGGACCATCGCGTGGTCCCCGGATCGGGTAATTCCCTTGAAGTCGCCAGAATACTGAGGCAATCAATCCTTTCATCTTTTACTCCTACTGTATATCATAACCTATACTCTTGTTGGGCTTTCAACACTTCGTCCCATTTCGTTGCCCACTTCGGGATATTGGCGGCATCCCATATCAATGACATCAATTCCCAATTTCCCGTCAAAAGTCTATTTCAGCCCACTACTCTCCTCCGAAACGCATAATGTTCACGCCGATTCACACTGCACTGGGTGCCTTACTGCTCTACCAGGGCTCTTCGGGGTTGCTCTTTCATAATGGTGCTGTCTTTGGTATCTCGTCTCTGGTCTCGGGGTCTATACTTCACCCGAGCAGGGAAAATGTGCCTATTATTGCGGGTTTGGTGTGCAGTATCGTCCCTGTGTGGGCTTTGGCTCCCTCTCTCATCCCCAACTACCCTGTTGCGCCTAATTCTTTGGCCTCGGTGGCTGCAACATTCGGTGTTGGCGTTCTGATGGGCTGGGGAACGAAGGTAATTATTTTTTCTTTGATGAATTGGTGATCACGAGCACTGACAGTTGTTGTTTTGCTTCTTTCAGAATGGTCGCGGATGTACCTCAGGACATATGCTCTGTGGCTTATCACGCTTGTCTCCTCGTTCGTTGATCGCGACAGCTATTTTCTTCACCACCGCTCTGATAACGGCCAACTTCGTTGGAGGATCTGGTATTCCACCTTGTGAGATGGGCCCTTGTTATACTCCCATATACCCATCGGTAGCAGAGCTTGCGTTCATGTCTGGTGCTTTGATCTTATCTAGCATCACGAATTTCTTTATTGTGCCGAAGGTACTCACACGATCTGAGGAATCGAGAACGTTGTTTTCCTATCTCGCGGGACTGGAGTTTGGACTCGGACTGTTGATATCCGGGATGGCTGACCCTGCCAAGGTCTTAAGGTTCTTTGCCTTTCTTACGGACTTTTCTCGCTTTGATCCTTCTTTAGCATTGATCATTGTGTTTGGCATCGGTCCATCGATGGCGACCTATCTGTCTAACAGTCCCCGTCAGATAAGTCACAAAGGAAAGTCACAGACAAAACCCACGCTTGCCGAAAACTGGAGACTTCCCACAGCCACGGTGGCTGATATTGACTGGCGGTTCGTTTTCGGTGCGGTGGCGTTTGGAATGGCTTGGGGTCTGAGAGGAGTGTGTCCTGGGCCGGCAATCCTGCGTACAATCCTTCAGCCCGTTTGGGGACTTGCAACAATGAGCGGGTACATAGTTGGAAACACATTCTAGCGTGGATTGGACAAGTACGATGAGATGATAGTTTTGTAAGATAATTGTTCCAAGACTGGGGTGTATCTAATGATAACGATGATATGCGTGACACGTGGGCTGCATTGGCCGAAGTAAAAATAACAATTCTCTTCAATCATCAACTGTATACGAGAATCAGCATGATTCATGCGAAGCACGGGATTCAGGTCAGAAACGTGGCGTGTAGGGTATAAAGCGTATAAAAAAAAAAGAAACCGAAAAGCCCAAAGGGTGGCAAGGAGTGGAGAAGGCTTACAACTCGGTCTTTTTGTTCAGACGGATGGCTTCCTCTTCAAGGTCCTCGTCCCTACGTGCTTTCACAGATTCTGAATGACCGAGGAAACCTTCCAATTCCATCCATTCCGCAGTAAAAGCGGTGATAAGCAGGGTCCAGTCCTGGACTGTATCCATATCCAGATGCTCTGCATCATCGTCCATAGTGTGCCACACGGGAGAAAATCCCTTGAACGGCGCGAAGTCGATAACATGCAGAATATCTACGCCTCGCGCCAGGAAAGGGATGTGGTCGTCTTGAATACCACCCCGAGAAACGACCTGTTGCGAATTCTTGGACGTATCAATGAACCATGGGTCGGTCGATGAGGACTTAAATTGGCCCAATGACCTCAGACGCTGTTCCAAATTACCCATGTTTTGGTAGGCCCAGTGAGTAGTCTGGTAGAAGGACATAATATTGGGACTTTTGGAACCCAATAAATCCAAAAGAACGAAGAGCGAGATAGACGATAACTTCGTTTTGAATGTGGACATGGCCGGGTTCATTTCCTGGTCCCATGTTTCCGCCAAAGAGCGGGCGCCGTAGAGAGAGTCAGTGCTAGTCCACTCCTCAAAGGCTTCTTCGCCGTCGAGGAAAAGCACCTGGATCCCGGGCTCTTCCTCAAATGCAGGGTCGTCCCCTTTCTCCCGCATGGCAGCCCATTTCTTCTCCAGCGCGGCATCGATGGTGCGCATTGCATGCATAATCATTGCGCATGGTGCTGCACTGTCAATGGCCCCGATAAAACCCTCCGGTGTCAACTTGCTGTCATAGTGGGCGACCAAGGTGAGTCGTTCAATGTCTCCGACGGGGGCGCCTGGAGGATCACGGTATGCGATGATATTGACAAAGGGTACCTCCTTCCCACGAGATAAAGGTGTTTCCGACGTAGAGTTTTGAAGCTCGAGCTTCCAATTGGGTACGGTCGTCCGGATGTAGTTGACTAGGTGATCGAGGACCGCATCGTGGCCGGGGGTGCCAGGGACACGGGTCTGGAGAATAGGAGACAGAATGGCACCATCATGAATATCGAATTCTTGACTTGGTCGTGGCAATGCCTTCAACGTCTCATCGGAGAGTCCTTCGTATGCTTGTCCGGGGCGTAGAATAAGTAGTAAGCTGAAGCATAGGAGTATGAAATGGCCACATAGGCTGGAGAAAGCCAAAGACATGACGACTGGACGGCCCGGGTTGTCATAAGCTCATGGCTTGTCAGGTAAGGTTAGTGCGCAGCCAGAGTGATAGGCTGGCCCGGCACTTCGGGAAATGAGAAGCAATGGGGAGGCTTAGGGTATTGACAATCTTCAGTCCCAAAGAGAAGGAATGCCAAGGCGGTCGCGATCGCCATATCGTCACCCAGCACCGCTTTCCGCTCGGGGAAACAAACTCCAAACTTTCTCCAACACCATGCGACATATTCTCCTCCACCCTCAATTGCGCGCGGCGCTTCCTAAATCAGTCCAACGGGACTTGCGGACTCAACTATGGGTTCGCTTCAAATCCCAGGTCCCCCGACCCTCCAAGCGCCATGAGCCAGCAGCGCCAGCAGCGCCAGAATCCAAAGAATTGAACCCAACCTCGGCACGCGCACCGATCCCAAGTGCCTCCAAAACAAACCTTCGAAGAGGTACTCTAATCCCCCCTTGGCACTAGCTCATGGAGTAGATGCTAACCAGGACTTCCAGGGCCACCGGAGCGTATATTGGTCTACTATGGAGGAACTGGCCGAGCCATGTTCCTAGGCATGCTACGGGTATCTACCATTCTTCTGTTTGGTGCCGCATGTTTAATTGTGGCACCATCTTGCTATAACGATGAAAATGAATGGTATATTACACCACTAGGTATGTTACATCCTAGTTCTCTGATTTGTCTTGGCCATCCTGGCTCCAAGTTTGCACCTGGCATTAACCAGGCTATGTACAGTGATTGCCGGCGGTGCAATGCCCATGCTTTTTGTCGCTTTCACATCAGCACCTTATGTCAACTTTGTTCATTTGGCTCTTCCGGCTTTCGCCCGGAGATCCCGTGAAGCGGCAATTCATTATGCCAAGGACCTACCACCAACGGCAATTCTCTATTTGAACACCATGCGATTCAACACCATTCCTCGCACAATTCAAGTGCGTGTTGGTGATCTTGTACCGGACAAGCATGGACTCCGTCCGGTCGTCTTCCGAAACACAAAGCCCGTTGAGAGGCCCTGGTGGATGGGGAAACACCAAACCCAGTTTTATACTGGTGATCATAGCCAACCGGGACGCCAGTCTTCGGCCTTTTATCCTGAGGTCTGGCCAAGTATCTTCCAGCGCATTCAAGGCAAGACACCAGGGCCGGGCAAGCGTTAAAGTGATAATCAAGCTCTATATTTGACTCTGACTGTATGATATTTACTGGCAGCTGAAGTTAATATGTATGATATTAGGAGTGAAGTCTACATAGTCGGCAATGCTACTGTATTGCCTATCCAATTTAAAAAAATGCAACTACGTTTAGGTCCTCGGATCGATTTGCATTTCTTGGTCCCCCGATTATCATGTTGCGTCTATGCATGGGCTAGGAGAGAACCCTCCTTTTGAAAGAAGGCAATAAGCTTGGAGCAGTATACACTGTCGCTGCCTATCTGTTTGTTCAACCCTCCGACTGATTTGGATGGTTTGGTGTTTGCACTCAAGTCTGCTTTTTTCCATCATGATTTCTTATTTGTCCTCTCTCTTTTCGTTTACATTTTGACACCTTGCTGCGTCCTTCATCTCTTTCGTTTGGTTCCCAACCTTTCATGACGTGGAACCTACTCTTCATCTCCTTTTACGTTTTGATTTCCAACCCTTCCGTTACGTGAAACTTCCTCTTCATCTAAGTTTTAGTTTTGAATTCGAACTTTTTCATTACGTGAATCATACCCCAAAATGTCTACTCCTTCCAAGACCCCGACTCCTATCAAGAAGGGCCAGATTACCCAGGATGGACTTCTGGGAATGTCAGCCTCGGAGGTCCGCCTTCTTCTGCTAGCTTCAGTTGTTCAGGACAAAGATGGCAAGGTATGTCAAACTTGATTTCAGATTCCAAGAACCCCGAAGCCCTTGACTTTGAGTTTGATATCAGGCTCACGCTTTCACTAGCCCGATGCCGAGAAGATTGCAAAGATGTGCAACTTCACCGTGGGCAGTATCAAGGTCCTGATTCCCAAGGCTAAGAAGAAGCTCATTGCCAATATCGACGACGGCAGCATCCCATTCAAGTCTCCCGCCGCGAAGCCCGTCTCCGCCAAACCCACCAAGCCAGCTCCCGACAAGTCCACCGCGCCTAAGGCTCCCGTTGCCAAGCGCGCCCGAAAGCGCAAGGCCGAGCCTAAGGATGATGATGAGGCTAAGTTCGAGGCCTTAGTCCGAGCGGACTCATCTGAGCCTGAGCAGCAGCAGGATGCCCTGGAACAGTGCCCAGATGATGTCTAATTGATTTTCCGTCCTTCTCACAGTTGATCTAAAGGGTTTTTTTTCGGGTCCTACGAATAGGATCATTTCGGGCATTTAATTCTCCATGTTGATCTCACTTTTTGTGCTTGCCCAGTGGATACATTCATGCTTTTTCGTACTGCATCGTTCACCTTGTGTGTAGTTGCAGCGTGTTCATGATTCAGTTGCTTTGTCTTCAATCTTGCAGTTGCTTTTGCAAGTTCTCTAGCTTTTAGGAATCTATTGGGTCTACTTTGACCATAACAATCTTCTGGCTCGTAGTAACGCAACCGAAATTACAACTAATGAAGGGCTTACATTCAAAGACCATTCATAACATTTCACCTCAGCGTGTCTTGGTTTTTCTCAATCTTGATTGATTCAGTTTAGAAATGAAGCCCATCTAATACCAAAGGCTACTGCACCTGAGAAGTGACACTAAAAAGTGACATTTAGTATTCTGTGACCAGATAGTGTAGGTACTCATGTAGGTACTCATGTAGAAAGAGTCACCTAGGTTTCGATATTGGTCTCACAGGGTATTTCAACTTTGTATTCAGACATATGAATCTAGCATTAAAAGATAACATAAAAGGAAATTCCGTACACGCCTTGACCCGAGATATCAGAACAAAGGAGACAAGATAATGGAGATGGTAGGATGGTCGAAATGGTAAAAAAAAATTGAAATGAACAGATCCGATCAAAAACTCTACTCCTTGGTAAGATGCTCGCCGAATGCATTTCAAAGTGACTCGATAGCTTTGCGCAAAACCTCAAGACCAAGGTCAGTAACTTCGTCCGCGCCTTCAGAAGTCGACTCTCGCAACGCCCAGGCAACATCACTCCACCAGCCAAGGCCAACGTAACCACCGCCCTTACGGCGCTCCAAGCTCTCTTTCAAGCGACTGGTATGCTCCCACTGCTGAGCAGCCTCTTCGGCACGCTCAATGACCTTGTTGGAGATACCACACATAGCTGCACAGTGCATACCGAAACTGCCCTCCGCAACACCATTTTCAAGTTTGTATAGGAATGTTACACGGCGCTCGGTATCGTCGACATGGATAGCCATGCGCTTCGGGGCGATTTCGGGGTGGTTCTCGAATTCCGCAGCGAGGGAGTGGTAATGTGTAGCGAAGAAGCCCATTGCACCAATGTGTGTGGCAATGTGGTGGAGCACGGCTTGTGCGACGGCGACACCGTCGTACGAACTGGTTCCACGGCCAAGCTCGTCGAGGATCACCAGGGACCTCGGTGTGGCTTCGGAGAGAATCTTCTTGGTTTCGGATAGTTCGACGAAGAAGGTAGACTGGGCGGCAAAGATGTTGTCATTGGCTCCCAGACGCGACATGATGCGGTCGACTGGGGTGAGTCGTGCGGATTGACAGGGCAAGTAACAGCCGATCTGTGCCATGATTACGGCAACACAGGTCTGGGATTTGTTAGCGACAAGTGTGGGGGAATAAAGCAACTCAAGGGAGACATACCATGCGAAGGAGGGTGGACTTTCCGGCGGCATTGGCACCGGTAAGCAGGTCGATGTTGGGTTTGTTACCACCGAGCTTGACATCGTTGGGAATGAAATCTTCGACGGAAGAAAGAAGACAGGGGTGGCGGAGCTCCTCAAACTCCAGGACGCTTCGTTCATCCTCAACAAAGACAGGCCGGCAGCTGGGTTGACCAAGAGATGAAGAAGCCTTCGCCAGACTGATCAGGCAGTCCAGCTGGGAGATGATGCGGACAGCCGCGAGCCAAGTACCGTAGTGCTCATCAAATCGAGCATGGAAGCGGCCGGCTACCTCCTTGACAATTTGGCTGTGGGTTTCTTGGGCCTCTTGCAGCTTACGGATAAGGCTTCGGAGCTCTGGGAAATAGTATCGCTTAACCTGCTTGGTAGCAGACATTTGATCCCAGTTCTTGGGGATGTTCTTCACTTTGACGGGCACTTCGAGCTGATAAATCTCCTTACCATTGTCACGGTAGCAGATGGAAGTAGAACCGAGATCACGGCGTGACTTCTTGAGGATATTATCCAGATCTTTGTGCAGTTGCTCAATGACCGCTTGCGAATTATCAAAATCCTCCTCAACACCAGGCTCTGGAACGAGAATGCCATTTTCCTTGGCCTTGGGTCGATCAAAGGCCGTCTTCCAGTAACCCAGAAGGTCAGTCATGTCAGGCATTCCGGAGATCAACTGTCCGATGATACCCTCGCCAGCACCAGATTCTTTAAGAAGACCCATGGTGTAATCAATCTGCTCGAAGCCCTCCAGGACACGCACAAAGTCCTGGGCCTTGCACTGTCCAGCGTGGACTCGAGAAATCAATCGTTCCAAGTCAGGCATCTTGGTCAATTGCGAGGAGAACTGGTCGCGAATACTTGGATCGGCGTTCAAAGCGTCAACGGCATCTAGACGGGCATTGATTCTCTTTGCGTCCATCAGCGGGTGGCAAACCCATTGCTTAAATGTTCGTTTGCCGAAGGGTGTGATGCAGCAGTTGAGAAGTTGGAACAAAGTGCCCTCGATACCTCCATCATATGAGTTGGCGAAAATTTCCATGTTGATCAAAGTTTGACCGTCCAGCACCAGGCTGGAAGCCTTCTTGATAGGGTCGTACCATGTGAAGTTGCCAATGGTAATCAGATCCTGGTCAATCTTGAGAACGCGCAGGTATTGAACCAGAGCACCGAAAGCCGACATAACCAGTTCTTTCTCACGAGCCTGGCGAAGTGTTTCAGGCCAAGCCTTGATGTTCTCATCATCTGGGGACACGAAGTACTCCGCTGCTTCAAGCTCTTTGAGCGTAATATCGGCTTCCCAGAACTCTCTGCCTGGCTTCAGGTGATTCCAAAGCGTGGTGGGTCCAGTGTTGTTCTTCAGAATGCGCATTGTCTTCGTCGAGACGCAAGACTTTTCAAGCAACAATTCTTGAGGGCGGGTCTGCGCAACAAAGGTCTCAAACTTAGTCAAATCCACATCGTCGACAAACTCAGACATGAAAAATTGGCCCGTAGCTGTATCAACAAAAGCAATACCGAATGCGGGAAGGTCATCCACAATAGCCTCTTTAATAGCAACACAGTAGGTAGACATGTCATCCTGGAGCATCGACCCTTCGACGAGGGTACCGGTTGTGAGGACGCACGCCAGCTCACGCTTGATAATCTTGTCTTCCTTCCCACCCTTCTTGGCATCTCTCTCGCGCATTTCCTTGCCCAGCGCAGATTCGGACTGGTCAACGCGGGCAATCTTAAATCCCTTGGCCACGAATTGATTTGCCCAGTGAGACAAACTCATCTCCGGAACACCAACCATTCGCATATTGACTCGATCAGTAAGTTTCAAATCAAACAGCTGATGACCAATGGTGGCATCATTCTCGTACAGCTCGTAAAACTTTCCCTTCTTGAAGAACACCACGGTGTCCCAAAACTTCTGCTTAATCTCCCAGTACTGCTTCTCGAATGGCGAGAATTTGGACCAGGCAAGAGGGGGAATGTAGATAGTTCGAGGATCATACTCGGGGTGTCCCTGAGGGTTACCATCAATATCTTTGATATTCGCAAGCCAAGGATATCGGTCTTCAGGCTCCTTGACGTGGGCCTTCTCTTTTCTCGCGGGCCCCTTTGAGGCTGATTTCGTTTCCACCACACGCTCCTTTCGGGGTGCGTTGTTCTCAGGATCAAATTTCCACTGTTGCGCAGTCCCGGCTGATCCCTCGGGGATGTCAAGATCGATGTCATCGTCCGCTGGTGGAGGAGGCGGCGCAGATGACGACTGGTTCGAAGTCTTGCGTGACTGAGTGGCAGGTCTCTTGCGCTTCGGCGCAGGTGCAGCGTCTTCATCTGAGTCATCGGCAACAACGAAGTCGTCCATATCTTCGTTCAAGTCAGCTATAGCGCGGGCACTCATTGGCTCGAAACAAAACGTACCATCATCTGAGTATCCAGCATCATCCGCAGCCTCTTTAAATTCTTCTTCGTCACTCTCCACAACAGTCTTTTGTCTTTTACTAGCCCGACCATTCTTCCGGCTTGGGCGGAAAATGACCTCGTCGTCCTCTTCGCCCTCCGAATCAGACTCCTTGTAACTGACCTGCTTCTTCTTGGCCTGGGAGGAATTGTAAGTATGAGGGCGCTGTAAGTAATTTGCTGGGCGTTGACATACCCGACGAGAAGGAGACATTGTGGTATCTTGCGCTTTATCGTCTTTTGTCTAGAAAAAAGCGGAATTGTCAGCGTTGGGATTGCTAGGTGCACAATCGGCTAGGACTAACCTTCACACCAGCATCCTCCTCATCTTCGTCCGGAACAGGTAAATCACTACTTGGTACGGGACTCAAATCTGCCGCGAAACTCGAGAAGCTTCTCTTCTGCGTTCCAGGTGTTTGTTTTGTCGCGCTAGCACCGCGGTTCTCGGAGGCTCGCTGGGCGGGTGACGATGCAGGTTCGCGGGGTTTGGCGGATGAGGGAGTGGCAGGGGATGATTTCTGGAAGAAACCCAGAATCGACTTCTGGCTTTTCATGTTCTGGGTGCTGGAAGTCGTTCGCTTCAGCGCAGTTGAGGGCGGCGTCCCGGTGGGCGATGAGGCATCGGCCTTGGCCATTGTTGGCAATCCGTAATTTATGCAGATAATGCAGTCAATTGAGGACTATATAATGCACATATAGAAACCCACTTGAAGCATGGATGGGGTATAGTATAGGAATTGGTCGGATGGAGTTCAGCTGAGGATTGTTAGAAAGTGATAGGAGATAAAGACCCGAAGCGCGGATCGCGTCGACGCGTAAAGTGGTGTGCGGTCTCGGCGGGTCCTACGTGTTACAACCTCCTTACAGTATTACGCCAAAAAATGATACAGAAAATATCAGTATAATTCACAATGCAAGATAATATACAGATGCTATACGCTACATATAGGGTAATAACTAAAACTACAAAGTGGAGATGTTATTCCAAGGGTTCCAGACTTATTGCACGGGATCAGGCGACTGTTGCCATCCAGGTGCAGTAAGTCCCTTTTCACGGAACTCCTCGTCACTAACAATCTCAACCATCTTGAACTTCCACTTGCCCAACTTGAGCATTAGAAGTTTTCCGTCAAGAACAAACTCTTGTGTCTTCTCCGCAGCCCAGGGCCGGATAGGAGTGAAAGCAAGATCATCAGACATAGGACCGCTATCTCCAGGACGGCTGCCCACAGCAGCACCATTGTTGAGGATCACTCGGTGGCCCTCACCTTTGGATGCGACAAGTCCGGCCGACCAAAGAATCTTGTTGAACGGCTGGTTGTAGACCAGAGACTTAGGCAGGATCACTTTGGCGCTGGGCATGTTGGCAAAGTTGGTCTGGGGAGCATAGGCGTTGCCAGATTGCGGGGTGGCGTACCCAGCTATGGGTGATTGAGCGTGGCCAGCAGGGGTATTGGGAGTCCGAGGCATAGGTGAAGGTTCGCCCTTCGAGGACCTTGAGCGGAATAGTTGGCGGTGTTGAAGGGACACAGCATCCGCCTCTTGCTTGCCGTGGATCAACTCCACAAATTCATAGGCAAGGCGATGCTGAGCAACCCTCTTGGAAGGATCAGCATTCTGCTCCTCCATAAGCGTGGCGATCTCGGGCAAAGGAATGAAAGTAAACAGCTTCAAATAGCGTTCTACCGTGTCGTCAGGGGTGCGAACAAAGAACTAGATCCAGAGTTAGACAAATATCAAGCGATCGCAAAATGTGAGCTTACCTGATACAGCTCGAAAGTCGAGGTCATGTCCTTATCAAGCCAAATCGCATTGCCAGCGGATTTTCCAAATTTCTCACCCGACGCTGCTGTCAACAACGGCGTGGTAAAACCGATGGGACGATCCAATTCTGAGTCCAGAGGGTTTCGAGCTTGCTCATTTGCGGTGTTGCGACTGATAGATTTCACCGCGTCCATTCCAAAAAGGATATTTCCATACTGATCAGAGCCTCCCACCTGCACTTGGGTTCCCTTTTGGAACAGGTGCCACCAATCCCAGCCCTGTAGAAGTGGGTAGGAGAACTCCGCAAAGGACATTCCATCGCCTTGATTCAGTCGGGTTTTGACACTGAAATTGATGTCAGAAAGGTACACATTGACAGTCGCAGGAAGAGAAAACTCACGTATCCCGGCCAAGCATAGGTCCGAGTCTCATATATGCTCCAAGGTCGCGCAAGACTTCAACAAACGGCGTGGAGTTCCACCAAGTGTTGTTGTTGACCAAAGCCCGTTTCCAAATCATTTTTCGTTCATAGCCATGCCTCCTGCCATACTGCTCAATGCTTGTGCCCAACTTCTTCAACTGCATGTGCATGCTCGCCATGTTCGCCTTTCGGACTGAGGTGTGGACCTGGTCTCGTCCCTTCAATCGGCCGGTAGGATCGCCAACTCGAGATGTCGCACCACCCAACTATATGGAGTTAGTCATCCATCTTTTGAAACCACCATGCGCAATACATGCAAAACTCACCAAGAATGTAACCGGAAGACCCCATACATATCCCCAGGCCAAAACCATGAAGGGCAGCATGTGCCCGACATGCATGGAGGGTGCTGTAGGGTCGATTCCGACGTAGATTCCGGCCCGCTTTTCTGTGAACACCTTGTGTAGCAGTTCGCGCTCTCTGGAATCGAAACAGGTCAGCGGAAAGGTCAAATCTTCCGTATACCGGTATAGTACCAATCAGTGGTAGAACAATTGTCACACATACCCGACAACATCATGCAGTAGACCTCGCTCTTCCAAATGAGCAGCGAAGTTCTTTCTCTTGCCCGCCTTGATCTCCTCAGCGTGCTTCGCCCACTCCTTCTTCCCATCTTCTATGCGCTTCAGGTAGTTTTGTGTGATGCATCGTTGTTGTTGCTGTAATAGACGCTCGGGGTGCTGGGACAATGACACGGGACGACGCAATTCGCGGAGTAGTGTATTTGTTTGCGCTGCGTGGGAAAAGCTACGCGCTCCGTGTGGCATCGGTTGGAGGGCACGAGGATTGTACCATTGCGCTCGAAGGAGCGGGACCGACCGGGACCGCATTGAGCTGGTCCTTGACTGTAAAGAAAGGCAACGGAGCTTGCAATTGTAACTTGGGAGTGATTGAAATTGTCCGCGACTCCGATAATCACACCGATAAGGAAACGGAACATTGTTGATGCGGCGCATCTTTAGCTATGAAACGAACTTGTACAGATGACCAACCTTCGAACATACTGTTCACATACTTTGCTCCTTTTTAAAATGTGATGTCTGATTTTCGAAATCTAAATAATCTAATGCAAGACATTAACTGACAAAAATCTGGATGAAAGCCTCATTGCTCCACCCGCTGTCCAGTTTCATGGACTTCCAAGCCGCAAGAACATCGATGGCTAGCACTTGGCTATCTTCTCCCCCTTCTTTCCAGACGGTCTTTTGGGGCACTGGCTTTCCGAGGATCATGACCATAAATTTCTGGGCGATCTCTCGGTCCTTCAGATCAGACAAGTAGATGCCAAGGGTCCCTAGCGCCTTCAAATGAACATCAATCCGAAGACGACCATTGTCAACAATGTAAATGTCCGAACTAATTACCGCAGCGGCACCTGTCATCTTTCCAATTAGACCAAGGATAGCCACATGTGTTTGGCTCTCGCTGGAAGCGTTGCTTCCCTTGATTGTAAACGATTGGGTCGGGTATGCTGTGAGAATCTCCCAGGCCCTCTCCTGCAAAACGACAGACACAAGAGAGTTCTGCGCCATTGGCTGCATTCGCTCTGTGACTTTGCCACTTGTGTGCGCCCGGACTATGTACTGGCCACTTGAGTCCTCATGCACTCCAGGGAAGTCCATCAACGAGACCATGCACGATGTCTCGGCAGAGTGGATGTTGAATAAGCCCAGTACTCCGCTGCCGGTCTTAGCCCAGCCAGTGTAGCTTCCAACACGCAAAATATGGCCCTCATTGTAATCGTGATAGACATCGATCGTGCGACCAATGATGCTAGGACGAAGAATCACGGTGCCTCCTTGGACTGTCGGCGCCGTCATTTGATCTAGCAGTTCCAAGTCGTGCTTGCCCGGCTCGTCGGTTATGTATACTGGCCCACCCGACACGCAGCGAGCAGCGGCATGGAAAGATGCATAAGGATGGCTGGTCTGGAACATATCCCAATCTGGTAGGGCATTGAGGTACCGAGTAAAGAGCGCATTGTGTGCATTGCAGAACACATGCCATGGGTGAGACGCAGGGATTTCCGGAAAGAAGTCATCGGAATTTCGCAGCGCAATCGTCGGCTTGCTTGTCGGGAGCTGCGAATGGAATATCATTTGTGGAATCAATGACATGCATGAAATTGCACGGGTGCTAAAGTGCTTCAGTGAAGCAATGGACCACGCGTCTTGGTAAGACGTCATGAATCTTTTGCGATCCTCCGGATCATCGAGAAGGTCGAGAAAGAATTGGGCGTCAGTCTTGACAGAGTCCACGCCGGCAGAGGTCAGGTAGTCATAGAAATCCTCGTAGAAGCGTTGAATATCCTCTGGGTCAATGGCAAGAATTATTCCGTCTGCAATATCATGTGCAATGGGACCTCCGGCTGCAGGATCCTTGACTTTGACTTCCTTGGTCTTATATCTCTTCGCAAGGTCACCATCGGGGCAGATACCTCCCCAGTAGCCCAGCAAGGCGTGCCAAACTGCAACATGCTGAATATTACGGTGAGACCGGCGGATTGTCTCGACAGTCTGCTTTAGACCTCGAGGAAAGGCTTTGGGATTTGCCCCAAACTCCTTCCAACGGCGTTTGAATTGAGACTCGCCCTCATTGTCAAGGCTCTGCCAATTGTCATCAATAATTAAATTGACGATATTGATCCCGTGGTTCTTCAAGGCATCTAATGCACCCAAAAGTTTCTCTTCGGTCAGATTCTGACCAAGTCCGTTCCAAGTGCAGTATGTCAAGCCATCAAACCATTCCGTGAGCCACTGTGTTTTCATATCCTTCTCAACAATAACCGTATCATCCCCAGGGGGAGATAGGGGAGGCTGTTCCTCCGATGCGCCACTGGTAGATTGAGAGAATGGTTTGACAACTTTCCTTGCTTCATACACTAATGCCGACATGGCAACCTCAAAGTCCTCCGCTACTGCGGCGAGAACGTGGAATTGAGATGGCTCTTCATTATCACTCTTAGCATTGATCAGCACGTCGCCATCCTCGCCAGACCTGAAAGTAGTCAGGACATCATTGACTCCCGATACGGCCAAGAGAAGGAGATTTGTTCCATCTTTCCGCAGAAAAGAGCACAATATCGCCTCCTCTGTCAAACGGAACTTGTCCTTTCCATGCCGAGGACCCAGCCACGGGCTCCATATACGCACCAGTGAGAAGTACCTGAGCATAGATGATGGTGTCCCGAGAGAGAGTTCTGTCAAACCAGAAACGCCTTTTTGAGCCGCGTTGGCATCTCCAGATACTGCCCAAAGTAAGGAGCCCGGACATTCACTGCGACGAGATTCAACTTGCACCTCAGATGAGAGACCGTCGATATATTTCGTGAATTCCTCTTTCGTATTCAGAGAAATAACATCAATTGATGATGTCTTTTGAACCTCTGAGTTTCGGGGACCGAAGACCAGCTCGCCATCATTGACTGGACGCTGTTGGCTTGCCCATTGCCACTCGGTGTCAGGATTGGTCCGGAAGCGTGCGGTGAACTGAGCGTGACCACCAGCTGCGGGGAGCGAAATCTCCTCTGAGAATACATGGCGATAAAAATTATAATCGGCTTCATTGCCTGTTAGCAACGGTGCATTTGTGGAGTCAACTTTGCGTAATGGAAGAGCTTTCCATTCGGGGCTGGTGATATTGTGCCAAATCTGTGCCTCCCACGATTGCTGTGGAAGTGACGTGCTGGACTCAATGACGACAGTAAAGCGTACCTGGTACGAGTCAGCGTGTTACACAGAATAACACTTGTTGATTGGAATATCTGGGATGGTACATCCATAAAATGCTCTACTCACCGCATCGTCCTCTTCAGGCCGCAACGTCTTCTGGGGTCGCTGCAGACAGGTCACTTGCCCCAGGGGCGGGTAAGAGGTTACTCGAGCGAAAAGACTCATTTGAGCTGGCCGAATAAAAGTGGTCTGGGATGGCTTTATGCGATCGGCTGGTCCAACAATGGGAAGGGTGGAGGTCTTATTTCTAATGATGCCCTGCATTGGAGGTTGTGAGGGGTAATCAGATGCGTATGGAACTAGCCAACCAGAATTGGATATAGAGATATGTAGCTTCAGCGCTAAGAGGTAATTTGGAAAAGTATTATGCAATCAAATTTTGGATCCGAATGGCCGGGTTCGAAATATCTGTCTTGGTAGAGGTGTTTGTAGAGTTTACTCGTGAGCTATGAGAAAGAGGGGAAGCTCCCCTAAACTGTATTTCCACCTCAACTCTCATATTTCTGTACCTGACCTCCATGTCTACATATCCCACCAGCCTATTGTCTCTAAATGTTCTGAAAATTGAGAAGAAACATTTTCAATTCATTCAATTTTAAAACGCATTATGTCTCTTAAAGAAAAAACGGCTTTTACCCCGGCTAGTCTCCGTGTCCAAAGGGGAAGTATTATTATTGCAGGTGATTGATCACTCGCATTTAGCAGATCTTAATAGCTAGCTTTCCAAAGTGCTTTTGGGCCCACTGTGCATCCTGTTAGTACGTACTCTTTGGAGGAATCCAGATCAGAGGTTTACTGCTTACCATAAAGTCGTACGCCTCTCGGACTTCGCTAAGAGTAAACACTTTCTCATCCACAACGGGATGAATATCGTTGGCCTCAATGGCACGAATCATATCTCTCATCAAGGCCTTGCTACCAACATACACACCACGAACGGTGCAGATGTGGCCTAGGGTGTCCACAACGCTCGGCTGGGTCTTTGGGTCGACACCGCCAAGGAAGCCAATCACGCTGATCACACCCTCGTATTTGATAGCCTTGAAGCTCTGCTTCAGCGTCCCCGCACCACCAACCTCAATGATATGATCCACACCAGCACCATCGGGAGTCAACTTCTTAGCGGTCTCACCCCAGTTCTCATCCTCCTTGTAGTTAATGATGTGATCCGCACCTAGCTGCTTCAGTTTCTCGGCCTTCTGTGCAGAGGATGTGGTCGCAATCACGATCGCACCAGCGGCTTTGGCGAACTAAAACCACAACATCATGCATTAGCCATGACAACCGCCGATCGATGCTATTTCTCGTGCACTTACCTGCAACCCGAACAGGCTGACACCACCTGTGCCTTGCACCAGGACATATTCACCAGGCTTCAGAGCCTTCAAGCCGTACAGAGCATTCCAGCTTGTCAGTGCAGCGCATGTAAGAGTGCTGTTCTCAATCGCAGAGAGATTCTTCGCGGCCTTGACAAGGCCCTTCTCGGCGAAAACGCCGTATTCGCGAAGCGTGCCATCGATCACACCGCCCAGCCCGGTTTGGGTGGCAGGGATATCGATTGAACCGAACTGGTGGCCTTGGTTGAAGAGAGTCGCCACTTTGTCACCCTTCTTGAAATCGGTCACCTTGGATCCGACCTCGACGACCTCACCCGCGCCGTCGGATGCAGGCACAACGGGGAATTTGGTCGGGAATGGATACATGCCCTGCCGGAAACAAAGACCGCAAATTATTTCACTGATCTATACTCGGCAATTGAACACTAGAATCTTACCTTAGGGATGATCAAATCCCGATAGTTCAGCGAAGCTGCCTGAAGCTTCACTAGCACCTCATTCTCTCCAACTTGCGGAATCGAGGTTTCCTTGTAGACCAGGCCATCGAAGCCCTTGTCCTTGTTCTCGACGATCCACTGCTTGTTTGTTGCTGCCATAGTGATATTAAAGAGTAAGTCAGATATGGTAGGTTCCAAAGCTTATCACACTAGAAGTACAAGGGTGACCGTATCTTTTATACTCTAAGTGGTGTGCTTGACGTCACGATGTTTTGTGCCCAGGATCCACTTCATGACGGCCCACTTCGTCAATTATTAAGAAACCCAAAAGTCTCCGCTCCGTGTTTGGTCGGACAAACTCAATCATCCATTCGCCGATCCGATCGGTGACTTTTTGCTATCTCCAGTCTCACACACTGGTTTCTAGATATGTCCCGGTGAAGAAGCGATTGGGTGCGCACATAGGTACGGATTTTCGTTCAATATAAGCAACAAAAAGATTGGTCTTTTTCCAATGCAATAAGAAGAGTTCAAAAAAAGTAATGATGTATTTATACTGAGTATTGACGTGGGGATGATAAAGAACCAAATAACTGGACTTGATACCTAATTTTTGAACTAACATCTGAGCAGGACTGTTTCTCTTGCTATACAACATGTCAACACGTTAGTATGCTAGTACTAAATTCTTCATGATTTAGAGATTCGAACTGTGCTGGCTGCATGCCCAGCTCTGAGGTTAAAATGCATTTTTAAGGTTCTAGTGCATCCCAGTTGGCTCATTTGTCTTACGGACCCCTTTAATCGAACACCACAAAATAGTTGAACACCCTCACTACCCGCTATCAAAATAGCGCAGTAAGAAAAATTGGTATCCGAAGTATTAGAGAACATCGCATCATCTCGCTTGATTCATGTCAACATGTAATATAATGCATCAACGGGGCCAAGATAAACACTAAAAATACACTACTAGCTAGAAAAAAGCGGCGCAGTGGGCATCACCCTTGAGTACCTCACTTTCCAAGGCAGCTACGGAATAGATGTCCGAGTAGATACCCGAGTATGTACTTGGTAATGTTGCTCTCTGATTCTCGAATACTGCGCTTCTTAAATGCAGCCAGTCAGAGTGTGTGAATAAGTTTGTGATATTTTATTATAGTGTTCCTGACCTCACTCATTCGGCACTCTAGTTCTCCCTTGGCGGCGGACTGTATGCACATGGGCATACAGTCAAGGTCCAATTGAATTGTGCAGGGTGTCTTCTTCAATACCCCAGTGGTACGCGGAAACGGACACAATGATAATGGTAGCGAAAAGCACTGCTATTTCCTAAGCATCTAGCGCAGGACACAGCACAACTAGTCCCCTGCAGAAACAGCATCATTGTCAATGTTGAGGAATTTATTTTCGAGTCGACTGTCCTCAGCTATGTTAAGAATGTTCCGTTCATGTCAAAAACATCAGATTGGTAGAGTAGGAAATGTCCGCTCCAGCAGGCTTCTGTTGTTATGATTCTGTTTTAGAAGTCCCCCTCTTCACACTGCGTGGTCTTTCATCCTGCCAAGTATATTCGAAGAAAGTCTTTTTAAATCGTTGTCAAGTCACACCTACTCTTCCAGTATTCGTTGTAGTATGGAAAACAAAAACCGTGAACGGGGGAATACTCTCCAAAATTGTGCTTGTAATTAAAAAGACATACATTCTTTACGAGGAGATGTAAATGAGAGGCGGCCAACCATGGATGAGCTAACTGCCGGGCCTTATATAGCTCGGTATCCACTGAGGGGCCCAGCAATTGTGCAATCCGAAGCTAAGATCACTCAATACATTATGGCATCCACTTAATATGTGGTAGACGAGTACCAGGATTTTTCAAAAAGCACGAGATCAACAGACCGCGTGTCAGAGTCTTTCAATTATGACTTTCTATTGGCGTGGAGGGGGAGGGGTAAAACTGGGAGGGGCAGGCGTCGAAAATAAATAGATCGCGATTTCTCCGACTTTCCCTCTGTTTATTAAGAAGTTACAATTCTTTTCTGACTGAGCAGAGCTTTCTTCCCTCTATCTTCATCTTGTTGATCACAATGTCTCTCGGGCGTACCTACAAGCTTAACTCGGGCTACGAGATCCCGGCCGTCGGTCTCGGTACTTGGGTACGTTGCTTCCAGCCCTCTAGCAACGTCGCAACTAACTTATTCATGCGCAACAGCTTTCCAAGCCCCACGAAGTCGAGAAAGCAGTTGAGCACGCTTTGCGCAGTGGGTACCGTCACATTGATGCTGCAGCATGCTACCAAAATGAGAATGAGGTCGGAAATGGCTGGAAGAAGTCGGGCGTGCCGCGCGAGGACATCTTTGTGAGTTGACCAACTTCTACAAGTACATTCAAAGGCTTTATATGGCGGCTAACACATACTCTTTCGATTTTTAGATCACTAGCAAGCTGTGGAACACCCACCACCACCCCGATCACGTCGAGGAGGGCCTCAACCAGACTCTGAAGGATCTCCAAACCGACTACGTGGACCTATACCTGGTAGGATATCAACAATCCAAGACAAACCAATAAAAGAATTTTCATTAATGTGAAATTTGCAGATCCATTGGCCTGTCGCTTTTGAGCACACCAACGAAACTCTCACACCGACTGATCCGGTCACGAAGCGATTCCGCATAGCCGATGTTCCGGTGGCCGACACTTGGGCCGCTCTGGAGAAGTTGGTCGCGGCAGGCAAGATTCGTAGTATTGGTATTAGTAACTTTACCATCGATGCTACCAAGAAACTGCTCGAGACTGCGAAGATCGTTCCCGCTACAAATCAGATTGAGGCGCACCCTTTCCTCCAGCAGCCAGAACTGACAAAGTTCTTGCAGGACAAGGTAAGAACCTTCTTCTTTTCTACTTCTCATATAACAGGGTAACTGAAGGGACCTCGCAGAATATTCTCATTACAGCATACAGTCCCCTTGGAAACAACACCTTTGGTATTCCACGGTAAGACCGTCAACCTTTTACATCGCCCTTTTTACATCATACTAACTCTAGCCCCGCAGTGTTATCGACGACCCGACTGTGGCGGAGATTGCTAAGAAGCTTAACAAGGACCCCGCTCAGCTGCTGATCTCGTGGGCTGTCCAGCGGGGCTCTGCCGTGCTGCCCAAGAGCGTTACACCCTCGCGCATCGAGACCAATTTCGAAGGTAGGATGATAATGAATGACTTTTTTCACATGAGACTAATAGACTTGTAGATTTTGTCATTCCCGACGCAGAGTTTGAGGCCCTTAACCAGTTGAACCGCAACGCGCGATACAATTACCCCTTCCGCTGGGGAGTGGACGTCTTTGGGGAGCTGGGAGCTGAGGAGGCTGAGCGCCGGGCTGAAGAGCATGCTGCTAGCCTGCGATAAATGTTTGACCTATAGGTAATTTGGATATTTTATCTACTGGTTGAATAATCAATATGTAGATATATATATATGAAGTATGAGAAATTGAATATATATTTTCCGCAGTTCCAACGTTTACTTAGCATAAGAGGAATCGCCAAAGCCAGAACCGGGGAGATAAACATACCTATAGCAGTGCCTCATCGCCTATATAGAGCCATTTCCATGTTCAAAGATGAACTTCGAGCAGGAATTACCTTTGAAGAGTGATAAATATTGAAACAACGCGACCCTCCAGGGCTGTCAGCGCTCGTATCCAGAATTGATCGATCCCGGAACACGTTTTACCCACTCAAACCTCTACATTACCATTCACTGACGCGCAACTCGGTCAAAACAATCGGTACTGGCGGGAGTACAAAAAAAGATCTCTACATCAATCAACTCAAAATGCCAACTCAAGAAGGCCGAGTCACCAAGCTCAAAGCCCGGCGATCTCAAACGTCTGCACAACGCGTCTCCAGCCAAAAAAGTAAGAAATCTATCTATCAACAACACTCAATGTAATCAACAGCTTTCAAATGTTCTTGCCCGGCGCTTTCTATTCTAAAATTCCAGCGGTAATGACATACATGCTAATCACAACCCTCCAGGTCTTCCTTTAGTCGAGCGTACAAACGCGCTAAGCATCCAAGACTTCATCTCATACCACGTGTCTCCACATAAAGATGCATCACCAAACCAAGCCACCAAAACCGAACCAGTCACTGAAACAGATCCAGTACTGCCAAAATTGCCGCAACAAAGCAATGCGCCAAGCGACACGTCGCTGGATGTTTACTCCGCCGCAACCATCTCTACCGCAGATTTAAAAGCATGTCTAGATCTAGTCGAGCTCACATCCAGCGAAGACTATGCTGCCTCCGGCGCGGGCTGGTCTCGGCCTAAGAAGCGGAAGGAGATGAAACTACCGGATATGAAATACCTAGTCCTGCGCGACTGCGCGTCCTCGGCTGATATGCGGCAAGCCGATGTTGGTGCCGGTACCGAGAAAGCCGACAAGCCGAAGATTAAGGCAAGAAGTTTTGGGAATGCGAATGGCGGTCTGGAAGGAAGCGCGGATGAGCACGCCAAAAAGCACAGCGGTGTTCTCGGCTTTTTGTCTTTTATGGTTACCTATGAAGATGGGAAAGAGGTGGTTTACTGCTACGAAATCCATTTAACGGTAGCGGGCCGGGGGCGCGGGCTTGGGGCTTTGCTGATGGATCGGATGGAGGAGATTGGTCGGTCGGTCGGAGTGGAGAAGGCTATGCTTACGGTTTTTAGATCTAATGTGGTTGCGTGCAGGTTCTATGAGAAGATCGGGTATGTGGTTGATGAGTATTCGCCTCAGCCGAGGAAGTTGCGGAATGGGACGATCAAGGAGTTTGATTATATGATTTTGTCGAAGCGTTTAAAGTGAAGATTAAAATTTGGAGTTGGATTTGATTAATGCTTTTTATGTGCTATGAGTTTTTGAGCATGAATGAGATCATGATGCGATGGAAATGCAAGCATTTCTTATATTATATTTGTTTCACTTCCTGGCCCTGTGACTCCGGGTTGGCTTGCTCCCATTCATCTCTGAGAGCCGCGAAGATGCTGTCGGCTAATAGGATGGAAAGGCCGAGACTCCAGACAAGAGTAATCGCATAGAAGAAGTTGGCGTTGCCGGATCCAGCGTAGATCCACAGGTGGTAGAATGCGGGGCCAAGAAGACTGGAGTAAAGCAGTGCGGAGACTGCGAAAAATGTGTATCGCATCACTGTTCATGGTCAGTCTGGTGTGTTCGAAGATAATCATTGAACTGTCAAGACAAGACTTACAAGGGAAGAGGTGCCTGTACAAAGGTAGCAGCGCGAAGTAAAGAGATGCATCGGAAATGCTAGGGTATGGCTTGAAGATTGCAAAGACACCCAGCAGCGAAGTGATAATGAACAAAGGTTGTCGTCGCAGACGGGCAGTGAAGCCTCCAACGTAGCTGGCTAGGTGAAGCCAGAAGACGCCCAGGAAGAACTCCCGGAAGGAGTCGAACATCTCGATGAAGAAATACCACCACAGACCCACATTAGGAGTCAAATCGGGGACCAGGAGATGGAAGCCATAGGTAGCGGACAGGAATTCCCAGAAATTCCCAGTGACAAGGTATGACAGTCCAAGTAGGCCGGTGACGCTAGCCAGAAGTATCGCTCCATGTTGTACAAAGAACATCACAGTATTGGGGGCCTTGGATGACTGTGCTTGTTGGTCATAGCAGAGCAGCACCAGCGGAATAAACAACAATGCTGGGTAGAGAGACAGGTATGACGCAAATCCTAATGCCAGCACAGCATTGATGCTGTTTCCCTCGACGGCGTTCGAGACAGCATAAAGGACTCCGGTCGTGGTGAAGACGCTCGTTGATCGTGCTAAGCAGGTTGCGATGGTAAAGGGGTTGAACAGAAACCTGTTCATGATTAGGGGCCCATATTTTCCTATTATGTTATCTGATAGCACTTACCAAGCTGCAATGGACACTCCGTCCCAACGAATATGCTTTCGCATAGCTGAGTGTAGCCGGGTCTGCACCGATTGGCCCGATTCCGAGATGGAGATCAATGCATGCGCATTTACTAGATCGACAAAAAAGTAGAATATGGCGGTAGGGAATGGGCTGCTCTTCACATCTGGGAGCAAAGCGAATAAAGGGAGGAGGAGTGGCGCCTACAGTGCAATCGGTGTTAATTGGAGTCTCAATGAAGCACTTGCGATCTGCTTACTTGGTGGAAAACACCTCCATCATAGGGTGATACATTTCGGATGTAGAGAAAGAGACCTTCTTGAACTATTGTTCCAAGTCAGTACCAGTACTGTTGATAGTCGATCAGAGCATTGGGGGTAAATAACGTACGTCGCTTGAAGCTATTGACCGGGGTCGAGACCTCCACTCGACCTGTGAGTAAGTCGGGCAACGATGGGAAAAGACAGACAAAAAGTAGTCGCAGCACAAAGGCTGCACCAAACACAGCAACCTTGCGCCGGTCTACCGCCATGACAGCGAGTTCAGAGATGTGGAATTGGCGGGATCAACTCATTGATCTGTCCCTTTACTCCCGTTGCCTTGGAACCACGGACGCCCGCACCCGCACGGGCCAACTGACCGCCTCCGACAGAAAAAAAAAGTTATCTGGAAATTTTTCCTCTTCTTATCAGCAGAAACTGTTTGGATTCTTCAACTTCAAAGCTCCAACAGAATTCACCATGGCGAAGATTAAGAAGAAGGGTATGCTGACCGTTTTCAATTTCTTTCATTTCACGGCTAACAGTTTTTTTCTCAGGTACCTCTGGCGCGGCCAAAAACTATATCACCCGTACCCAGGCCGTGCGCAAACTTCAGATTTCTTTGCCTGATTTCCGTCGACTTTGCATTTTCAAGGGTAAGAAAGATTTTAATGATAGACTCATACGTTGTGATGCTGATTGAGACTCAAATTAAAAGGAATCTACCCCCGTGAGCCTCGCAGCAAGAAGAAGGCCTCCAAGACCTCGACGCCAAACACTACTTTCTACTACACCAAGGATATCCAGTACCTTCTCCACGAGCCGCTGCTGAACAAGTTCCGTGACCAGAAGTCTCTTGCGAAGAAGATCGCTCGCTCCCTCGGTCGTGGTGAAGTCAGCGACGCTGCGCGCCTGGAGAAGAACCATGCCCCCAAGCTCACTCTCGACCATGTCATCAAGGAGCGTTACCCGACCTTCATTGACGCCCTCCGCGACCTTGACGATGCTCTGTCTCTGCTCTTCCTGTTCGCCACACTTCCTTCTACCACCCATGTTCCCCACAAGACCATTGCCCTGTGCCAGCGCGTCTGCCATGAGTTCCAGCACTACCTGATTACCACTAACTCGCTGCGTAAATCCTTCCTGTCAATCAAGGGTATTTACTACCAAGCCACTATTCAAGGCCAGGATATCATGTGGTTGGTGCCGTACCGATTCGTGCAGCGTGTCAATGGCGATGTCGACTACCGTATCATGGCTACCTTTGTCGACTTCTACACCACCTTGCTGGGTTTCGTCAACTTCCGCCTATACTCCTCCATTGGCTTGAGATACCCTCCCAAGTTCGACACCCGAAGCGACGAAAACGGTGCCGAGTTGGCTGCTTTCACTCTGGAGGGCCGAAACGTGGGTGAGGTCCCCAAGGCCCTGGAGGCTAGCAAGCCCCAGACCAACGGTGACTCCAATAAGGAGGTTTCCAAGGCTGTCCAGGCCAAGGTAGACAAGGTCATCAAGTCCGCCGGCTTGGATCAGAACAATGATGAGGAGACCATGGACACAACCGAGGAAAACACTGATGCGATCGACCGATTCGAAACCGCTGCTCCCGAAGCCGACACCCTCCCCCAGCCTGACATGAGCGGTAACGAGGCAGGTACTCTCTTTGCTCCATTCGTGTTCTACGTTTCGCGTGAGGCCCCCAAGGCCCCCATCGAGTTCATCCTGCGTGCTTTCGGCTGCAAGCGTATTGGTTGGGATGCCGTGCTGGGCGATGGTGCTTTCACCCACGATGAGACCGATCCCCGTATCACCCACCAGATTGTCGATCGTCCCCCACTCCCAGAGTCTTCTCTCCCCGCCATCCCTGCCGGCGAGAGCACAAGCCAGAAGGTCAAGTCCGGCTCTCGCATTCCTGGCCGTACTTACGTCCAGCCTCAGTGGGTTTGGGACTGCATCAACGAGGGCAAGCTCTGCCGCCCTGATCTTTACGGACCTGGTGCTACTCTTCCTCCTCACTTGAGCCCATGGGTCAAGCCCAACCGTGGTGCTTACGACCCCAAGGCTACCCTGGCTTCCCAGGAAGAGGAAGGCGAGGCTGAGATGGCCGAGGCTGGAGACAGCGACGAGGAGATGGAGGAAGCTTCCGCAGATGAGAAGCCCGCTCCCGCTGTTGAGGAGTCTGAGGATGAGTCTGTCGATGGTGGTATGGATGTTGCTGGCACCGATGATGACGAGAGTGGCAGCGACGAGGAGTCTGAGGAAGACGAGGACTTTGAAGGACTCGAGGATAACGAAGCCGCATCTGAGTCAGAGGACGACGATGATGAGGCCGCTCGCAACCAGCACCAGCGTGAGCTTGAGGCTGAGGCTGCTGGTCTGCCCTTCTCTAAGGGTGCCACCGATGAGGCATCCAAGAAGAAGAACTCCCAGACCAAGAAGCTGGCTGCCAAGAAGCGCAAGGAGGAAGAGGAACTCGAGAGACAGAAGATGATGATGAGCCGGAAGAAGCGCAAGCTTTTGGAGAAGATGATGCACTCGAACAAGAAGACGTCCGAAGAGGCTGCCAAGCTCCGCTCGAAGCGGCGCAAGCTCGAGAAGGGCGAGAAATAGAGTCGAGCGATTTGTCACACTATCAAGAGTACTTATTTGTTGGCGTTTGCGGCTGGGAAAGTCCCCTGTATATGCATGTCCTAAAAAATTTATGTCCATCGAATTTAATGGTTTTTTTGCACCAAACATAGTACCTAACCACCCCGTATTCTAATGCCCCAATGTAATCTACCTGTAAGAGTGCTATCGTGATTGAATATCAGTCGCAGACCTGCTGCTGCATAGTTGATATCACGTGACATGGTCCCACTTGAGAATTTTTGAAGATCTTCATCTTCTACCAATCTTCAACCATCAATACCATATGTTCAAATCTTTTGAGATCAGCTGTATTTCGAGAGTTACCGTGATGCTTGATTCCCATCGCGGTCCAAGTTGCGTTATTCAAGCCCGGTACCTGCATATGACATGAGCCTAGTATCCGCCTCATCAACGTGCCTATAATTCGACTACAGGGCTGAGGGATGTCCTCATTTCCAGAAGACCAACCGTCATCATCACAGTTACTACCACCGCAGTCAGCTCAAGTGCGTGGATCGTTATTTGGCGGACCCAGCAATGATGCCGATCCACCGTCATCGAGGTCGCTCCGGCCCAGAAGATCGATCTTCGGCGGTTTTAGCTCTCAGAATGCTACACCGGAGTCAGAACATCAGCCTGAACCTATGAGCGAGATTATCCCCGATGAAGAAGAGGATCATTTGGATTTGATTCTCCGAGAAGAACCCTTGGTTGACCATTACGACTCTGCTTCGGACAGCTCTTATCAAGAAACCGATGATGAGGAAGCTAAAACATCTAAAAAGAAGATCGTTTCTGCCAAGGTTTCCTCTACCCCGATCGGTCAAAAGAGGCCATCTCAAAAGAAACCATCTAAAGAAGTAGCGCAGCAGACAACCTATTTCCTCCATCGTGGGATAGATCTCCCGCCGGGACAAGAGCGCCCAAATCGGTGGACAGAGTCCCAAGCTAAATACCAAAGAGCCATTGAAGCAGAGCGTGATGTATACGAGACTTTGATGGATTCTCGTGCGCAAGATCTTGCTGCTCACCTTTACAATACTTATGTGGCTTACCGACAACCCAAACAAAAGGACAACTCCGGCGATCCTCGGGTCTCAGAGGAAGAGGAAAAGGCTTTCCGCAAAAGATGGGTAGCGTGGCCTATGCCAGATATCTGGGTTCCTCGTGCAGGCGAAACTGCTTTTGACGAGCCGGAGGACCCTAACGAATTCCAGATGTCTGATACTCGCCCCAGTGGCGAGTTGGAAGAGTGCGTCATTGCAACAATGATGAAGACCGCCAGGGAAAGGTTCACGGCTCGCGAGTGGGACGGTGTGAGCGACGATGACAACGCGGAACTTCATGAAGAGAAAAATAGCCCGGATCCAGACGCGATGGAGATTGATAGTGACACAACAAACGACGAAAACAAAGTTGAAGGCCAAAAAAGTGAATATGATCAGAGACGAAGACAAATGCCAATCAGCTTGGAAGACGACATCGCCGCTCGCCAGAAATTACTGCCTCTTTCGCGCACCGCTATCTCGCATTTAGATCAGTTGTTAATGGGGCTGCACCATTCACTAAGGAATCGAGGCAGAAATTTGTACGACAGCGACGACTCTGCCACTGACACTGATGATGATGGATCACGGTCACGATCACGATCACGATCCCGACGTAAGGCTCGGAAAGGAAGCCAACCCCGCGGTCGGAAGCCAGGTCGAGGGATTCGATCCTCTGGGCAATCCTCACGCGATGTATCAAATTTAAGGTCATCTCCACAGCCCGAGAACACACAAAATGACGTCGATGAAAACCAAGAGTCAATAGATCGTTCAGGGGCACTCATGTTAAAAATGTTGCAGCGATTTCCCCTACGGGATTGGAGCGAGGTCATGGGCGTTGCTTCAATGGTGGGCCTGCCACCCAACGCAGTCAAACGAGCCGCAAAGCGTTGTGCGGATCTACTCGAGCAAGATATGACATTCCGAACATTCCACGAAGGCCGCATTGAGAAAGTGGGACGTCTCCCAGATAAGACTTGGGATTACGACTATATTGAAAGCGAAACCAATGACGAATCCGACATCGATTCAGGCCGAATACCCAAAAGCAGAGCTCAAAGTAGGAATAGCTCCAGAGGCGCTACACGGTCACCATCACGACAACCCCATCCTGCTCCAGTTGTGGTTCCAGCTGTTATTCCGGCGCCTCCACCAATCACAGTCTCTCATCCCGGCTCTTCGAATCCAAAGGTGGCACAGAAACCGATTCCGGCTAAACAGCCTGGCTTTGGAAGTAGTTCTCGTCGGCAGGAAGTCCTCCTCTGTCCTTTCCCTTCCTGCAGTCGCAGTAAGAAAGGCTTTTCAAGGACCTGGAATTACAATCAACACATGAAGAACAGACATCCTCAAGCCGAAACTTGAGTGGTTTTCGCGTCTCGTACGCCATGACAGTCGAGCCCGTGCGAGGTATTGAAATTGACCGGGGCGTGCGACGTGCAGTGCATTCGTGTATATGATATCCATCTAGTTACTATTTTTATTTTAGAATTCACTTTAATCTTTTAATTTCCTGAACACCCCGTGTAGACGGATCTCCTGTTACTATTGTCTTATCTGTCTCCCAAGTAGTCGTTCATGCCGGCGATCGGATCCAAAGTCGCGTATTCATATAACATGCTATTTGTATCGATAGGCCTTACTTTGCAGATGCGAGATCACATGACATGTAATTTACTGAAATACAAATACACGCAATTTCATGCGACCGCCTTCATCTGCACTCGATACTCAAACCAAGCTAACAGCCGCATCATCAAAACTCAGGCTGAAACAATCCTCCGATCAAATTGAACAAGTCTCTCGCCAGATATGATATGAGCCAGCACCGATGAGGTCCTCTCTAAGCTTATTAGCTGCCGTTGCTCGCAGCCAACCCTCGAAACTGAAAAAGCCAGCCATCAGTCTAGACCATGTAGGTAGACGGCATCAGATGCATTCATGAGCCACTGCGTGAAGATCTCCGGAAATCCACTAATAGGATCCACAGTTCATCCAAAGACAGCGTGTCCTGGCATTATGGCGCGAAATCGTCCGAGCTTTGAATAGTATGGTCTAGCCTTGAGCTCCTTAAGCCCACCCATGGCACCAGCTTACACGAGTATTTAGAAATCCCTCCTTCAACAACACGAAGTGAGCTACATTCATACGCTCGGCAGGAATTCGAGCGACATCGTGATGTGAAGGATGTGGTAGGTTGAAATTTCCTCTTCTCGTATTGTGATCCGTTTGAGTCATTACTGAATGGTACGCACAGCCACATATCAGATATTTGCTTTCGGTATGGCTACCTTTGTTTCTTTCCAAAATCCTAAAGGTTGAGAGGAATTTGCTAACTGGTTACCAAGACAGGAAAAGCGGAGTTTGATACCATGAGGCGGTATATTGACGAGCAGGTCGCTGGTTGACGCTCTTTGCATATGTGTATTAGTATCTATTATTTGAGAAGACATTCTGTACCAACAATGATTGACCAAGCATCTTATTCGTTCGGTTAGCAACGCAGCTAGTTCTAAGCGGAAATTGGTCAGCCAGTTGATGGATTGCATCATAGACCAGGTCCTGTTTATATAATCCCTAACGATATGTGCGTCTCTGTCCAATCATTGACATCACATATCCAAGGAAAAGTGGAAGGGTCGGCCCAAGAAGCCACCTGTCATATGATTTGCGGGTGGAGCATGAAATGAACCCGGTTATCAGCAAGGATTACCATGGCGATCCCTTGAGCGGTTGATATATCCGAGCTAGAGCCAATGTGGCGAGACCTTAATCTTTGTAAGCTTTTAATTTACATCATAGAATCTTGATTTCGAGTTGTTTATAATAACACAAATGAAACTTGGCGCGGCTGATGACGAGCATATATCTTTTAGAATTTTGTCTTTACCCTGCCCAGGTGGCCCCATAAAGTCGAACATGTTTCCCGTCGCACGTCCTCTCCGCACACTCCCCACGTCCAAAGCTGCAGACACAACATATAACATCTCACCATCGAACCCCGACATCTCGTTTCTGAAAAATAATACTGTCTCAGAGCTATAGCTCTCGAATTTCTCTACGTCGAGATGTCTTCATCCCTATCAGATTCGACGCAGCTTCCTTATATCGACCCTATATTGCAATCCGATCTATTCCCAATGGCTCAACCAGTGCCAAAATTACAACCACCATTAAATGAGATCAATCAATTCGCACCTCAATGTTCCCCGCCCCAGTCGGCTCCCTCCAGGCGGCGATCCTCCCAGCATGCCAGTACAAGCCCCCAGCGGGCCAAGCATCTCGAGCGCAATCGAATCGCTGCAAACAAATGTCGACTGAAGAAAAAGCAACAACATCAAGAAATTGAGAAGGTGTTGAGTAATGAGACTGCGAAGCACGAACACCTTCAGTCCGTGGTGACCAGTCTAAAAGAAGAGGTCTGGCACCTGAAAAACACGATATTCGATCATGCACGATGCGACGATCCACAAATCAACCTCCAGCTTGCCATGATAAGCGAACGTGCCACTCAAATTAATAACGCCCCTTTCCAATGCCCATCACCGACATTCTCGGTCAGTACATTCTCCGAGAATTCGAGCCGAGATGCCAGCCAGGAATCTAGCCCCCTTGAAGCTATTCCAGCGACGATGACGGCCCCGAAAATAAGTTATGACGAATACCCCGATACTATTTTTGAGACATTCATTGAAGCGGACTAGCTATAGGCCTAATGTCAATTTTCTGTGTTTGAAGTTAATAATGTGGCGGAGATCTCCAAGCTTCTAGCTACTGTCGTGACGTCATCGACGGGATTACCCAAAATAGGATGTATCTAGGCTCTTGTCCACGGGTACCTAAGGCACATCAATATACTCTGTTACGTGTGCAACCAAATCTAAGAGCTATCTACAAGATCATTCACGGATCACAACGTGATACATAAGGCTGAAGATTGATCGTGATCATTCGAGACCCGCTACACCTATGCGTGATCAGATCAGGTTATGCCGGAGACTAAGACCCTAGTGATCGGCATATCGTGTACTGCAAAAAGCGCAGAAATCGCCACCGCTGCATAAATGGGGTTCTCGAACTCTCTCCGTGTGGGATGGCAGAGCTCTGCAATATCCACTTTGAGCGACATGTGGGGAGTCTACATATAGACCCACCTTCATTAGCGGGCAAAAGGCCCGACCAATCGCATTGCTTTCGTTGCGCCTATGTGGATCTTGGAAAATGGCCGCCGTACCAACCTTACTTGTGGCTGAGGCACCGTATACACCTTGGGAAGTTGCAGTGCCACAATCAAAAGTGTTCGACAACATCTTGATTAGGTAACTTTCTGCCACTTTCTGCCCCGATATGTGTGCTGGGAGTACGGCTAGTGCCAAGGTTTCGTAGGCCATTTAATCGGAGTGGGAAAGGGTTCCACCAATCATGGCGGGTCTTCTCAATGCTTTTTCTGGATTGCGAAGGCGGTATCCACGTGTGTCAAAGGCGGTCTGTAGGTTGTTGGAGACTTTTGTGGTGCCGCTGCACTTTCCTTAAGCCACTTATGTCAAAGCATGCCGTACGCCACCGAATGTGATCGAAGTAGCTTTGTGGATCATGAGATCTTTTAATAAAAACAGTTTGTGTCCTCCGCAATGGGTTATTTTTCCTCCAAATTACTTTGACATCTTTTAAGATCAACTACAATCAAATATTTCTTTAACACACCCCCGGCTTTACATTATATGATTGTGGCCCAGTAAGACATCAACACTCAAATGTCGCCGTCTGTGACTCAAGACCCAACCGTCGGCCAAGATATGGCTCGGTTTACCACAAAGACAGTTCTAGGCTCCTCATTTGAAACAACCGAAAGGTTTGTGAATACCTATCATTGTGCGAATCAAACATGGATGTATAGTATATTTACAATGAATCATGTATAGATATAGTCACCTAGAGCCTATTGGAATTGGTGTCTCGGGACTTGTATGGTATGATACCCAATAATCGAATATTCAAATTACAACAGAAGCTTACCACTTACTGTTATTCACTTCAGCTCCGCCAAAGATCAGATTACGAAGCGCACAATTGCTGTCAAGAAACTTGCCCAGCCCTTCAAATCTGAGAATATTGCGAAGCACATGTACCGAGAGGTCAGATTGTTGAAAACGCTCAAACATGAAAACGTTTGTCTCCAAACGGTTGTCTTCGACGCGCTCAAGCTGCTAATTACTCATTTTGACAGGTTATTCATTTGAATGACATTTTTATTTCGCCCTCGGAAGACATGTATGAGCTTCTACATCTTGATGTATACCGCAAAAATAAACTAACCGAACAACCTTCAAATTTAGCTACCTTGTGACAGACCTCATGTCAACCGATTTACACACTCTTTTAAGATCTAAGAAAGTGGATAATCAATTTTCACAGTATTTCATGTACCAAATAATGGTGATTAACTACTCCCTCAAACAGTCATTAAGCTACTGCTAATATCTCACAGCGCGGTCTCAAATACGTTCATTCTGCTGGTGTCATCCATCGTGATCTGAAGCCAAGCAATATTCTGGTCAACGAAAATTGCGACCTTAAAATTTGCGACTTTGGTCTAGCTCGAGTTCAAGAGGCATCAATGACCGGCTACGTATCAACTAGATACTACCGTGCCCCAGAGATAATGCTCACCTGGAAGCGTTACAACGAGAAAGCCGACATCTGGAGCGCAGCTTGTATCTTTGCTGAAATGCTACTTGGAGAGCCTCTCTTCTTGGGCAAGAACCATATCGACCAGTTTTGTGTAATCACCAAGCTTCTCGGGTCTCTCCCCGATCACGTTATTTCCCATATTACTAGTCCGAACGTGCGTTCATTCCCGCGCAAGACTACTTCTGATGTCAAGAATACTAATACTTCAGTAGACTATGAGTTTCGTCCGCTCTTTACCTGAGTACTCTCGCAAGCCCTGGACAACCCTCATCCCAGGAGCAAACATGAAAGGTATGCACTTGAGTTCACCATGACATTAAGTCAATATGGAATTGACACGTTAGCAGCCACAATGCTCTTGGATAAGATGCTCCAATATGATCCCGATGAGAGGATATCTGCCGCCGATGCACTCACTTCCACGTACCTTGCTCCATATCATGATCCTAACGATGAGCCGGTAGCGGAAGAGGCGATTGACTGGTCTTTCCTTGATGCAAACCTACCGGCCGATGTTTGGAAGACTATTATGTAAGTTTGAGTAGTATTTTCCGCAGGAACAGAGCTGACTCGGGAATAGGTATGCTGAGGTCTTGGGATATCACCAGGAGGGTTCTTCGCCTACGCCTCCACCAGACTATGAAGGAATGGACTTGGCATGAAGTGCAATGTTTGATGAGTTAAGCCAATTTGGCTTCCCTAGTTTGACGACTGTTTATGAATTCTTTATGTCTACTTAGATTGTTAGAGCAGTGATACCAGGAAAGATTTGCTAGATTTATTGTTATTCCAATGCAATTTGACATTCAATTTTGAAGAATTTGATCACAGATGCTGAGCCCGAAGACAAGCATGTCGGTGGCACTGAGGATACTCAAAAGGACAATACAAGTAGATACGGAGATAAGCCGCAGGCCTTGCATCGCTTCTTTCCAAAGTCCGCCAGATACTCAGGCAGAAACCTACAAGTGTATCCACTTCTCAAATTCAAACTGACCAACCGACGTATCCGGAAAGACTTAAATTTCAGCGCTTGATCTGTGACTTAGCAATGCGCTTACCGCCGCTGTGCTTTATTCGCGATCTTGCGGTGGGGATTCCATGTGACCATCTCCAAAGCCAATTTGCCCCATCGGGCCAATCAGACCACTCGCCAGGCTTCCAAATGATCGACAACTTTCCATTGTACACGGCATAGTCTTGATTCGCAAGCATTCTCCATTAGAAAAGCGTCACAGAGTTTTCGACTTATTAAATTTTGCGTTGCGTTAGGTACTGGAGTCTTCAATCGTTGGCATATTCAATGTAACAAAGAGACGAATCATGCATTGTGTCCTCTATATATGCGGTTAGGCTTGTCTCACTGGCGCAGCAGGGTCTATCGAGTTGTCTTCAAAAAGTGTAGAAGCGCCTACTAGATGATGGAGAATGAATCACGGTGTTGCATACTCGCGATCTGCTTGCACGATGAAGTGTGTGACAAGATTCCTTTCAGAGAGCGGATTGACAAGTTTGAATCTGCCAAATGCTGGCTTGTTTTGGGATTCCAAACAAAGTTAGATATTCCGTATGTTTGCAACTGAGACTCCCAAGGTCAATGGTGAAACTCATAACGGGTAGCATATCAGATCAGACCAAGGGGAGTTAGTGGTTTTGACGAGGAGAAGATGAGATATCTAGTAATATACATTAAGGGTACCGCGATAGTTCACGTCAAAGGTCTCTTGGCGTTGTATGGCAGTAACGTTCTCTTGGAAATAGTAGAGCCCGGCATTGTTGATGAGAATGTCGCAGCTCCTGTGCTCGTTGCCGACCATTGTGCTGAGAGCGGTGATACTGGCCTTGTCGGTGAGGGACAGCTTAGCAGGGCGGATTTGCACGGTTGGAGGAATAGACAGGCCAGTCAAGTCAATAGAACTCCCGGAGCGAGAGGCTGCGTATAGAACCAAAGGACCTTCAGATTGCCGGACCAGCGCAGCACAGATAGCAAGCCCGATGCCTCGAACCTGAAACAATGGTGAGAATCGACCTGTTACAATAGTAGGAGACTTACGGTGCCAGTGACTACGGCTATAAAAGGGCTATTCATTGTTGAGCACCAAGCCAGGGTTTTCTTCAGGGCGTAATCTTTAGAGGGAAGGAGAAGAGGTGAAGATGGTCAGCACGCTGGATGCCTTGTAACTATCCCCGGCTCATGCTAAGCCACCATGATCCCAGCCCCACGTACTAAGTTAAGAGGTTTTGTATTCATAGATTACTCTAGTCAAAAACTATATCGATAAATGAATGCCTCGTATATTCAACGCTACCGGTAAGTTGGGGTAATCTTCGTTAGCTTATTGTTAGGAGCCGAGGAATTGAGAGAAATATAATAGCCATTGTTTGGATGACCACAAAGGTCGGATCAAAACAACCCTGAGATTATCAAAACCCCAGAATTCATCAGGTGCCATAGCATATTACAGTTTTTGGGGCAATGTATATCGCTAGTGGGTTCAGTTTATAAGGAACACTGTCTTGCGATAGGTCCTACGATCTCTTTCGCCGGCATGGCATTAGAAAGAAAGACCGGTAAAGTACAAACTGGTGAACATACTTTAGATATATCCATTACATTATGGTAAACATTATATGCATGCTATGATAATAACAAAAAGATGAAGCCCCGTGGGGCCACAGGAACGGTATATCAGTTCCCCACATATCCCATTAAATAATCCATCGTATCGTTTCGTACTGACTTCAATGCCACTTTTTCATCATTAAACCATCAGAGCCGGAGAGCCCAAACGGATTGAAAAAACTATCTCCGTATACCTTACGCAGTCTCGGCAGCATCAACCTGAGAGATCTCGGGCTGCTGCTCCTGCTGCTCACGAGCCCTGTGGTTGCTCCTCGAGTTCTTAACATCCATAACAGCATAGACATTTGTGAACAAGAAAAGAGCCCTAACATCCAAAGTCAGAAATGCCGTCTTCATAAATAAGGTCCTTGATCTTTCTCTTACCATTCAATAGCCCCAACAACAATCTGCGCCTCAAGAGCATGGCAACTGGCATAGTTGCACTGGCTCGGGTGTGGGATCATTGCAGCCATGGCAATCCATCCACTGAGCCAGAGTCCCATGGTGATCAACTCGACGGCGGGAATGACGAACTCGTGCGAGATGCGTGGGAGCCAGAGTGGAGCGAGGCCTAGGTAGGGGACGGCGACGACGGCTGTCCAGCAGCCATTGAAGAGCATGAAGTAGATCACATTGGAGAAGGACCATTCGGAATATAAAGATCCGATGACTGGAATTTATAAGCTTTAGCCATAGCTAGATACTGTCTTGTGTGCGTGACGAACCGTATGCAGTGAGACCGATGGTCGCCAGGGCAAAGATAGCCTGGACGATCCGGATAGGGTAGACCCAGGACAACATGTTGAATAGATGTATGTGAACTTGGTTGCTGGAATGCAGGGTTTTTTTTCAATGTCCAAGTATTTGTTGGGCTGGATGATTGTATAGTGAAACAGAGTCGAATGTTTCCCGCGCGTTACAGTAAACAATACTCATGCGAAAGGGAAAAGAGCAAGATCCACTTCAGGCCGAGCGGGGGAGATCCAAAGCTTATATAGGCAACAGGATCTTGTTGGGGTTTAGTTTACACTAAAAGAAAATTCAATAGACCGAGGCGGTTTACTAGTGTGGCCAGACGTCATGGTGTGATATCAATGCCTAGGCAAGGTACCGGGGCAAGAGACCCTGCATGCTCTCGACACAGGAACGAACCCGAGCATAGTGGAGACCGGAACCCTGACAGGGGTTCTGTCCAGGGCTTTTGGCCCGAACTATCAAAGTTTTAGCGCCTCCACGGGTACGTTCCGGGGATCCATTAACAACGCACCCTGCCAGTTTACACTACTCCTATGTGTCTCCCAAGCTTCCTATAGATGAATCATTCAGTGATTTGGGGGGAATTGAAGCATCTCCTCTGACTATGCGCTAATTTGAAAACTCATTTTTAGGGCCAAACAGCTGGCAAACGAGAACTGCTAAAGCATGTTGGGGTGATTCTATGACGCTAAAGTGTCGATCTCACATGCTCACATGAGTCCGAGGTAGAATCGGCGACCAAATTACTACAACCGGGTCGATCATACTTTAGTTTGGCCGACTGCGAGAGACGCTAATGCATCTTAAGTGGTCTCAACCCGTGATATTTTAACACGGTAGGTCAGCCCACGTATCAGAGGCGCGAGAAGCTACAGTGGAGGACAATATCCCGTCCACGCCCGCGCCAGGCACCGTCCCACATGCAATTGACCATGACAAACAGCCTGGAGAACTCAAAAAAATAAGGTGAATATGGTTTCAATACATCAGGCTTGTCATGCAATGTGATCAGTGTGACTTCAGAGTAAACCTAGAAACGTCAAATGCTTGGTGGAGATTGGAGCAGCTATATACAAAAATAATACAGATCAATCACTACAACGTGTCATAGTATTTTACAAGGGCAAGGATCACCCTAGTTCCGCTTGGCCAGCAAAACCCTCACGGCATCCAAAACACCGACCTTCTTCTCATCTGCCGGCTCAATCGACGCGCGAGCGGCATCTGGCTGCTGGGGCTTCTGTCCAGCCTCCTTCGCCGCAGCCTCGATAGCAGCATGGCGCTCACGCCACTCACGATCTTCTTTGTCACGGACCTCCAGCTCCCGCAACCAAGCATCGCGCTTTTCTTGTGATTTACGCTCCTCCACAGCCTTCTCGAATTCGCGGCGCTGCTGGCGCTCGGTCTTGAAATACATACCGCCTGCCACCAAGGCGACTAGTGTGAATGCCTGGGCGAAGATACGGGCGCGGAACATGCGGTTCATCTCGGCGGAGTCGCCGGCTTTCATAGATCGGTAGGCGCGGTAGAGGGCGTAACATGTGGCGGCGCATCCTGTGGCGGTGGACGCATGAGTTAGTACTTTGTGCTTAATTGGGCTGCTTGTAAGTCGGGTCGCGAAAGTTCGTAGGCATACCTAGTGGAACCAAGGGCTCTTCTTTAAGGCGTCTGGTAAATTTCTGCATGCCGCTTTCCTCGCGAAATTGGCTGGTGAGAATATCTTGTTAGTGAACTGGTCTCCGCCCCCTCACATGTTCTTCCAAGGTAGTGTCTCCTGCTTCGGCGCTGAGCTTGGTGTTTAATGAGGTTTGCACGTACAGACTGCTCTCCGCAGTATCCATTGAGGACGGAAGGGGTTCGCGGCTCATTATGGCGGATATTTGTACGAATCAGTAGAGCTGGGTGCTCCGACTGTTGGGGTCGTGGGAGCTTGGATCGGGCGGTTTGCAGAGGGATTTCGGTGTTGCAAATAGCTGTCGGAATGATCGGATAAATTCCAACTCAGTTCCGGAAGCGATTAAAGCTCGGTGATGGTGTTTATCTGGGGCACGCGAGAGGTGTTCAGTACAGCATGACGTCGCGAGGTTTTTGCCAAGGAGTTTTTCTTCCGCCGCATTGTATAAGCCTATCAGGCAATTTGTATACTGAGCTTGATGGGCTATTTAACATATGGGCTAATATTTTGAAATCAATGTTGGAATTTTATATCTACCTTGGAATTAGCTAATAGGACCAGGCTAGGCTAGGAAGTATTGGGAATTATAATAAAAAAGGCATCAATCGATAATAAAATCTATGCAAATGTCGCCATCGTATCTCCGCTGACCGCCACCTTTGAGAATATTCGACATATACATTCCTCACACCGCAACCTCCAGACATACCCCGCTATTATTAGACAATGCATTAATGAGCCTATAGACTCTTCATTCATTCTAACAAATTAAATCAGGCTTATTGGTTACACTGTAATCTATCATGATTAGGGCTGTGGACCGGTGTTGATGACATAAGGTCCGATCCCGCTCCCCCGCGGGAAAAAAGAGTCAGAGATCAAAGAATTTCCCTAGAGTACAAACCTCCTCCTCTGAGTCATTGAACTTTCTTGTCGAGTACTCTCAGATTGGTCAATCTCTCACAGGATCAACATGTCTGACCATCCTGTCGCCAATGGCGTTAAGACACCAGTCACCCCTCCCAAAATGAATGGCTTCGCTTTGACCGAATACACCGCCGCTCCCACGCCTCCCTCAGAGCGCAACCCGCGTTTCCCTGGAGTGCCCCCAGACTGGGGAATTCCCGAATCTTGCCTGCTCCCCAATGGCTACCCTGATGTGAGAATCATTTAGTTGCCCGCTGTTTCCTCCCATTCCTTACATTATGGTTTCTAGTATCTCCGCCTGATCTTGACATCCCGCGTTTACGATGTTCTCGACGAAACCCCCCTCCACCATGCCGTCAACTTGAGTAACCGACTCGAGAGCCGAGTCCTCCTCAAGCGTGAGGATTTGCTACCGGTCTTCAGCTTCAAACTTCGTGGCGCTTACAACAAAATGGCTCACCTGAACGCCGAGCAGCGGTGGAAGGGTGTGATTGCATGCTCGGCTGGAAACCATGCGCAGGGTGTCGCTTACTCTGCCCGCAAGCTTAAGATTCCCGCGACTATTGTTATGCCCTCAGGAACTCCGGCTATTAAGCACCGCAACGTCGCTCGTCTTGGTGGAAGTGTGGTTCTTCACGGAAATGACTTCGATGCGGCCAAGGACGAGGCCCACCGATTGGAAAAGCAGCACGGCTTGACCAATATCCCACCATTCGACGACCCGTACGTTATCGCTGGTCAAGGTACGATTGGAATGGAGCTGCTGCGCCAGGCGAACTTGGATAAGCTGGAGGCAGTCTTCTGTGGCGTTGGTGGCGGTGGTCTGATTGCTGGTATTGGTGTTTACATGAAGCGCATTGCGCCTCATGTCAAGGTGGTCGGTGTGGAGGCCTACGATGCCAACGCCATGGCTCAGTCATTGGATGAGGGCACACGAGTTTTCCTGAAGGAGGTTGGCCTCTTTGCTGATGGTGCCGCGGTCAAGTCCGTTGGTGAGGAAACCTACCGTGTTAGCCGTGATGTGATCGATGAGATTGTTCAGGTCTCTACCGATGAGATCTGTGCTGCCATCAAGGATGCGTTCGAGGACACCCGAACAGTCGTCGAACCCGCCGGTGCTCTTTCCCTCGCCGGTCTCAAGAAATATGTTGCCAACAACCCTAGCCCCGACACCAACCGTGAGCTGATTGCTATCACCTCCGGCGCCAACATGGACTTCGACCGTCTCCGCTTTGTGGCCGAGCGGGCTGCCCTTGGCGAGAAGAAGGAGGCTCTGCTGAGTGTCAAGATCCCCGAGACACCCGGTGCCTTTGCCAAGCTCATTGAGGTGATCCTGCCTCACTCCGTGACCGCTTTCAGTTACCGGTTTGCACAGGAGCACGTTGCTGATGTGCTGATGGGCATTCAACTATCTGCTGTGACTGGTCGGGATGACCTGGCGAAGATTATGGAGGAGTTGGAGAGCTCAGGAATGTCAGTTCAGGACCTCAGCGATGACGAACTTGTGAAGCGCCACGTTCGCTTCCTTGTTGGAGGTCGCTCCAACGTGGCGGACGAACGTCTATTCATGTTCGAGTTCCCGGAGCGACCAGGTGCTCTGGCCAAGTTCCTGACCACTCTCCGTCCCAACCAGAACATCTCCCTCTTCCACTACCGCAACTACGGTGGTGACGTCGGCAAGGTCCTGTGTGGTATCCAGTGCCCTACTACAGAGAAGGATGAGCTCGAGTCGTTCCTTCGCGACCTAGGCTACCCCTTCAGCGAGCACACCGATTCCCCTACCTACCAGACTTTCCTTCGCTCGTAATGGAATCATATGACGCTATGATGCTTTTTGGTATATATTGGATGGAGACATACCGGGATATGATGAACAGTGATTTTATTCTTTCTTTTTCAGCGGCTTAAAAGTGCAACTCCGTCTCTGTACTTCATTTGGCGTTGGGTTCTGAGCATATAGACTATGGAGAATTGACTTGGACTGTATGATAGCTTTTTCTGTGTCAATTCACACTTTATTAATTCTTTCATGTATTTCCAGGTTGATCCTGATGTAGATTAGTATTGTTTGATAAGTATTGTTGCAAATCCACCAATCAACATCGGGGCGGGATCGGCCCGGCAAAACACAACCTCCGGCAACAATCTTCCAAGCACTATCAAGAGCGAGAACCCCGGGAGCAAAGCCAACGACAACCACTTGCATTTAGCTGTCCATTTCTCATAACGAGAATAGAGGCTCCGAGCCTTTGATAATTCCCTTCCACTCCCGAGGAAAGATCACAACCACCATCATGTTCTCCCTCCGAACTGTCCTCCGCGCCCCCGGTGCACTCCGCCAGCTTCTCCCCTCCGTCTCGCGTCGTTCATTTTCCGGAGTCGCATCTGCCCGTCCTCTTTCGCACATGGTCCAGAATGGTCTCACGAGGCTGCGCGCTCAATCACAGACTAGCAATGCTGTCACTGCCGCCGTTGGCACTTCCCGGCAGCTTCAGATTCGGGGAATGAAGACTCGGTCTTCAGTGAAGCGCCTGTGTGATGGCTGCAAGGTATGTTTGAAATGCATGTTGGTTCTGCTGGGATGTCCCAGAGGACCGTTGGAGGGATATATGTCTAGATACTGACTTCAATTCTCTAGCCTGTGCGCCGGAAGAACCGTGTTTTCATTATCTGGTACGATCTATACATTCCCAATTCAGATTGCCCCATTTTTTCAGAATACTAATATGCATTTGTTCCAGCTCGAAAAACGCCAAGCACAAGCAGCGACAAGGCAAATAGAGTGGGTGGATGCCTTTCCGCTTCGTTCTTTCTTCGGCACGCACGACTTTGATCTCCGCCTCTGCCTATAACTTTGCATATGTGTTAGTCCAGATGTATTTTGGGACATTATTGCGGCGCTTGGGTCTTTTCTTGTACAATAGTCTCGGGACCAGAATTGCGGTCTCTATACTGAATCAATTCAACTCTATTGATCTATACATGATTCATGGCTTCGGAATTCGAAACGATCGATCCTCCATCTTTTACAGTATCATTTCCTACGTGCAAAATTGCCCATATAGTCAGGTCTACATGCCTCCATGTTGAAAATGCTGGGACATGTAATGCGTGGTTCCTGACAGGCCAGCGGTCACGTGTCGCGTTCCTGGCTTCCCCGAACTTTTTTTCCGCGAAAAAACAAGCGCTGATCAATCTGTCTTGATTCGATCAATTCTATTTTGAGTTGATTATCGCCATGAGGTCTCCTTCTCTTGCACGGTTGCAGTACCGTGCGGTGTCTGGCCTGGCCAGATCCTCTCGTTTCCAGTCTCAGGGCCTTCTGCAGTCGCGATGCGCATCTACGGCCGCTTTGCGGTCTTCCGGTGTCGCGCCGGCTTATCAGTCGGTTTTGAAGACATGGGAGCAACGACGCAATGCCTCCGCTACTGCGTCTGCGGTGTAAGTTTCTAAATCTGTTCTATACCGGCTATACTCTAATCTTCGTTCTTTGTTTCATAGTCTTGAGGCCGCCGCCGCCAGCCCGGACACCCTGTCGCAAGCCGCTATTATCGACAACCTCGACCCCGTGGAGGCGGCTCGTTTGGATAAAGTTCGCAACATTGGTATTGCGGTATATACTATCCCAACGGCTTTCTGTTGTTTATTACAGCGTCTAACAGCTTTTCTACGATAGGCCCATATCGACAGTGGTAAGACCACTTGTACCGAGCGTGTCCTTTTCTACACCGGTCGTATCAAGGCCATTCACGAGGTCCGTGGACGTGACAGTGTCGGCGCCAAGATGGACTCAATGGATTTGGAGCGTGAGAAGGGTATCACTATCCAGTCTGCTGCCACCTTCTGTGACTGGGTCAAGAAGGACAAGGAGGGACAGGATCAGAAGTACCACATTAACTTGATTGATACCCCCGGTCACATTGATTTCACCATCGAGGTCGAGAGAGCGCTGCGCGTTCTGGATGGAGCTGTCATGATTCTGTGTGCCGTATCTGGTGTCCAGTCTCAGACCATCACCGTTGACCGTCAGATGCGTCGTTACAATGTCCCTCGTATTTCCTTCGTTAACAAGATGGACCGTATGGGTGCCAACCCCTTCAAGGCGGTTGACCAGATCAACTCTAAGCTCAAGATTCCCGCCGCTGCCGTCCAGGTCCCCATTGGTGCTGAGGACGAATTTGAGGGTGTTGTGGATCTGATCCGCATGAAGGCTATCTACAATGTTGGTGAGAGCGGAGAGACCCTCAAGGAGACCGATGAAATTCCCGACAAGGTCAAGGATATCGCCAATGAGCGAAGAGCCATGCTCATTGAGACTCTTGCTGATGTCGACGACGAGATGGCCGAGCTCTTCCTCGATGAGATTGAGCCCAACGAGGATCAGATCCGCGCTGCTATCCGTCGCGCCACTATTGGTCTTAAGTTCACTCCTGTCTTCATGGGTTCTGCCCTTGCCAACAAGTCCGTCCAGCCCATGCTGGATGGTGTTATTGACTTCCTCCCCAACCCCGCTGAAGTGGAGAACCTTGCCCTTGACCAGAAGCGCAATGAGGCTTCCGTCAAGCTTGTTCCCTACAACTCCCTTCCCTTCGTCGGTCTGGCCTTCAAGCTGGAAGAGAGCAACTTCGGTCAGTTGACCTACATTCGTGTCTACCAGGGTACTCTCCGCAAGAGCGCCAACGTGTTCAACGCCCGCAACAACAAGAAGGTCAAGATTCCCCGTATTGTGCGTATGCACTCTAACGAGATGGAGGAGGTCAACGAGATTGGTGCTGGTGAGATCTGTGCTGTGTTCGGTGTTGAATGTGCCTCCGGTGACACCTTCACTGATGGACAGCTCGGCTACAGCATGTCTTCCATGTTCGTTCCTGAGCCCGTCATCTCTCTTTCCATCAAGCCCAAGCAGAGTAAGGATGCTGCCAACTTCTCCAAGGCCATGGCCCGTTTCCAGAGAGAGGACCCTACTTTCCGGGTGACTTACGACAACGAGAGTGAACAGACCATCATCTCCGGAATGGGTGAGCTTCACTTGGACATCTACGTTGAGCGTATGCGTCGTGAGTACCGCGTTGACTGCGAGACCGGTCAGCCTCAGGTCGCCTACCGTGAGACCATTGGTCACCGTGTTGAGTTCGACCACCTGCTCAAGAAGCAGACTGGTGGTGCTGGTGACTACGCCCGTGTTATGGGATGGATGGAGCCCACTGGTACTCTCGAGGAGAACAAGTTCGAGCAGCAGATTGTCGGTGGTAGCATTTCTGAGAAGTTCCTGTACGCTTGTGAGAAGGGTTTCAACCTTTCTGCCGAGAAGGGTCCTCTCGTTGGCCACAAGGTTCTTGGTACCCGCATGGTCATCAACGACGGTGCTACTCACATGACTGATTCCTCCGAAATGGCCTTCAAGAACGCCACCCAACAGGCCTTCCGTAAGGCTTTCATGGACAGTCAGCCCGCTATTCTGGAGCCTTTGATGAAGACCGTGGTGACCGCCCCGTCCGAGTTCCAGGGTGATGTTATTGCCCTGCTGAACAAGCGTGGTGCCACCATCAACGACACTGAGACCGGTGTTGACGAGTTCACCATCTACGCTGATTGCAGTCTGAACGGCATGTTCGGCTTCAGCTCCAACCTCCGCGCCGCCACCCAGGGTAAGGGTGAATACCAAATGGAGTTCAGCCACTACGAGAAGGCTCCTCCGCAGGTGCAGTACGTTTAAAACCCCCTTCACTGTTAACTTTCTTTATGCTGATCAATTCTCGCCGTACAGGAAGGAGCTTATTGCCAAGTATATCAAGGCCCAGGCCGACCGAAACAAGAAATAAGCCTATCACCAGACGCATCACCGTCTGGTCTGATCTCCATCCGCCTTCTCTCCGACACATGTAACATTTATTTCCCCAATTACTCTCATATGGCCCGGCGGGGCCTCAACCATTTTCTAATGGAGATCAGGTACAGCATAGACTGTTGTCTTTCTATAGAAGATCAGGCTTCTGTTCATTGTTCTCGGCTTTGCCGTGGACTCAAAAATCTCTCATGTACTTTCTGCGTCATGGCACTATATCATCTCGCGCGGCTTTTTTGGGATATGTACTTTAAACTTCTAGATATTACTTTCTACTCTCCTGTCTGAACAATACGATGTCTTGTACGTTGACTTACTTTCTTTTCTCGTAGCCGCAAGATAGACTCCAATTTGAGACAGCAGGTGCTTGAATATAAGCTATTTTAATCTACTAAAGGTCTGTAAAATCGATGACTTGCGTTTCAATCTTGATATAACAAATTATATGTGAAAATTTTCTAATATGTGCAAATATGTGTAAAGGAGATTATGTATCACGAGACCTCGGGTGCCCCCCATTGTGAGAACTGAGCAAGAGGCTCGAGGATGACTGTGGAGGAAGTTTGGGCTCTTGAGCAGCGGCGCTCAAATCTTCCAGTTCATCAGGAACAGCGGTATGCAAGTCGATAAAAGAGTCGCGGTTGTCACTGACGCGTTGGTATCGACGTTCAGGGTCCTTTAGGGCAAAGGCGTAGACGAAAGACATGATAAGGAAAATAGCCAAAACAAGCATGTAGACCGCATTGTAAACGCAAAAAATGACTCCGATAATGCTGTTCATCATTTTGGGTCCGGTGAAGATTTCCGAGAAAAAGAGGAGACAGAGCGAATTCAGGAAGCCGAAGATGGCTGTTGCGACTCCGAATCGATTCATGCTTTTATCCATGTATGGGCGGAGCCAAATGACGAGTCCCATCATAATAACATCTATGACCAAGAGAATGACGGCCTGCGTTTTTGGAACGTGTTGAGAGACTGCGATGACGATGCCTTTGAGTTGAGTGTAGAGGTGTGCGATGGCGAAAAAGTAATAGGTGTTTGCGGTATAGTGAACGTGAAGGAAACTCAGCTTCCGGCTTAGTTTATCCAGACCTGAGTAAAGAACGTATGAGGCACTGATGCCTGATCTTCGGGATTTTTGAACGTGGTATATGGCTTTGGCTCCTGTCAAAGCTAGACAAATTGTTATGCCGACCCACCATGAAATGGCTAGGACGAGTTCGCCGGCTGAGTCGAGTCGAGTGAATTCCCAGAAGCAGAACGCTGCTGCTGACGGCGTGACGAGCGTGATAAAGCGGAGCAAAATTCCTCGGCTGGTGGTTTGTAAGCCTGCTGCGACGAATCGAAGTCGGTCGGGGAGCTTGTTTGATTTCCCCAGGGCTTGACAAATGAATTTGAAAGCCAGTACTATCAATACCGTTATGCAGCCGAAGAACATGAACACGGAATAGCTTGTCATGAAGATGTTGGTGGGTTCGATCCTGGCTCGGTAGGCCATGCGGCGGATTCCCTTGATGGTGATTTCTGTACTGGTTGAATCGGCTGAAGTGGTTGATATGGCGGATGTTGCTCTTTTGAGAAGATTCGTTGATATGTGGGAGTTTTCGACAAGACTGCGTTTTTGCGTAATCACAGAGACGCTTTTTGCTTCGGTCATGAGATCGGACGGTGTGCCACCTGTTGAGCGCAAGTACCAGGTGCAGAGAGTCTGTAGGAAGCCAACATGTAAGATTCCGATGCTCCACTGGAACATCTGTGTCCATGACTGTGCAATGGGTGGGAGGTTGACGGAGCTGAGGCCGATCGTTGCCTGCTGTTGCATTAACTCTAGAAGAGCTAGTGAGTAAAAAGATAGGTGTGTGGCGGTATTCAGGTGGCCTCTCATGAAAGAAAGTGCGGATGCACAGAGACCGAGGCCCGCGATTACTGCGAGAACCCATGAGACTGCGGGTTGATCGACGGTATGACCGTTGGCAAGATCGGCGGAGAGACATGCGATATTGCCTCCCGTTGTTTCATTTTTCACATAGATCACGATGGTAGCGTCTAGGTCGGGCACCGTGTATCCAATCCCTGTAGGAATGATTAGCCTTGAAAGTCAGGTAGATCGGAGGCAGTGTAACCAACCGGGAATGTCGGAAAGAATGGAGGAGATGTTCGCGGTGGCCTGCGGGATATCAAGAGCGCCCGATGAGACCGGGCAGAGACTATCGACACCTAAAGAACAAAGGTTGATGGTCTCATTGACAGCCATGTAGCCGTACACCAACAGCTGGATGTCGGCTGTGATTTTGCCGGAGATGCCCACATTTCCAACGAAAGCGAGGGTAAGCTCTCCAGCTCGTGATAATTTGGCGGTAAAGTAGCTCACGCTGATAGCGGAGTTGGGTTGGCAGATTTCCAATGCATCGGTTGTGATGTAATCGGTGGCAGAGACCAGTTCAGCGAGAAGTAACACCCAGAGAGATGAAACTCTCAAGGGTAGACGCATTTCCAAGTCTACCGGAACACCCAGCCATGAAAAACGAGTGACAGGTTGGGGTGTGAGAAAGGAGGAAAAGGCGTTACAGGTTGACCAGATCAGTCGTGGACCCTGTGTAACGTAATCAAATGGCACTATAATTAGGCATAAGCAACGGTTAAACTAAGCGATAGTTTGTAATACGACATTTTTCCACGTAAATCTAGGCGGCAAAGAAAAGCAAAAGGGAGCGGAGGAAAATTCCCGGTTTCTTCTAGTGCCGGGATTGCGCGGATATTCGTCCACGCGGACTCTCGGCGTCCCGCCCCCGTTCGTTGCATTTTTCCTTCACTGGAAAGAAAAAAGGGTCCCAGGGAAACCGGAGATAGTTGCCAAGTCCAAATCGGAGTTAATGAAGGCGTAGACCGTGGTGAGACTGCCAAGCTCGTTCTGAACGTGCTGGTATACCATGCTCCGGCTGAGGCCGGTTCCCGCTTAAATAATCCACATTTCACACCATAGGCCACACTATTGGTTACTTAAATGGTGGAACTAACGATGATGCATATCTAATAATCAAAGGCTCCATATTTTGCACCCCCTTCAGCCCAGGCCCTTCGTCAATACGCTACCGGTCCAGTTGGTACACGTGTAGGAAATCAAGCTTTGGAGTTCGAGAGAAAACAAGGCCAAAGAACAACCTGCATACCTCATACGCACCCTGCATGATGTGATCAGGCCACGAGATGCGGACAGGGTTATAACAATGCGTTACCGGAGTAAGCCACCGTGGCGTCACCCCCTCATTCCCCAAATTGACCACGGGGCTTGTGCAATTCGAAAGTACCCCACTCTCGTGGTTAAAGGGTGAATCAGGAGAATGAATATTGAAAGCTCTTCCAACCCCTGATCACCACATCCAGAAGTTCAAAGACGAAAAGGGATGAATCCATCGAATCCTACTTGAAGCCCTCTGCGACCGATTTTTCACGGAGAAACAAGCCGACCTCGGGGTCTAATGGATCTGTCGCTGCCGCAGCAAGAGAGGCAAAAACATGATATGAGCCCCCATTTCGCGCACGGTCTCGAATTGACATCAACGCACCTAGCGATCCTATCAGCCCGCTCGTCATATTGGGGATCGACATCGCAGGAAGAACACATCTGCCATCCGTGTGGCCCATCGATCGGGCCGTCACATATATGACGTACCCGACGCAGGATCTTCCTGCTGTTAACCGGGCCGAGCACTGAACCATTTGGTCCGTAGCAGTTATCCTCGACATACACGATACCCGTTCCTTTCCTGCCAATTCTAGGAGTTTGGGAGACTTAGGCCTCTTTTAGCGATGACTCCGGGACGTTGCCTTCAACAAAAGATATATACGTCCTGGACGAGTTGAATCTATGTAGATTGTCATTTGTCAGATCATTGTTAATATCTCGAACTCCCGCGTTGAGGGTAAGTTGGAGCGACTATTTTGACTTTTTAGCCGATGTATGACCTACATGGAGATTAGGAAGCCGGCTGCGGTTGACATAAATGACGTCCCAGGTGCCGCGAGGGTAATCCCGATAACTGGTCCAGTGATTATCCGCACCAGTTCCACCACTTTTACACCCGCTAATGGACCAAGGACGGGAGCCTATAGTTGGCCGAGACCCAGCGAAGGATCAGTTTCGTTCCTTGTTTCTCAAGCTACTCATTGTCTACCCAACCGGACCATCCAAGGTTGCAAACCAATCAAGAAGACATCGATGGATATCTCGTCGAAGCAATACCATCGTGTAGATCCAGTTCCTCTATAGACGTTTTACCATCTACTGTGATTTGCCCTTTATGATGATCATGCATCCCTTATTGGCCACAAGGAAAAGTTTAGGTTCTCTAATTGGCTAACATATAGATCCGCGAGGGCAGACCCACTGTGCTTTGACTCTATATTGAGTGTTAAAGTTTCCTTTCATCACTTTTCTTGGCGCATTGGTATCTATGGATTTCCACGCTATTTACGTGCGCTACTGGGCACGCTAGCCACGCTGTATCTGTCTACAGGTCAATGCTGGAAATCAGGGTTCTGCTCTCGACAGTGGATTTGCAGAATCGATCACGTAGATGCTCGCGACCTCGATACTGGCTGTCAGAAGGTTCTAAGATCCGCGGAGACTGATCAGGGCTGGGCTGCTGACTACATAATCCAGAGACTGCAGAATTTTGGGTAGTTGGCACAACAAGTGACCAAAATTAGTTGCCAATTCAAATCCAACTTGAAATAAGTACCAGATGTGGTTATGACACGCATATAATGTCCCATGAAATAACCAAATTATGGGCAAGGAGGTTTCATTCTTTCAACTCTGGATACAAGCCACCCATGGGCATAAGAGACAGGAAAATAAAAATGCCATTGGCTAGGTCAGGCTCCCTTCTCAATCAATGCCTAACTGTACCGCTGGAACCATTCACGCAATATGTCAAAGCCTTGACTTTCAGTCTAACATCAGTCAGCCCAATCCCATAAAACCACATATTGAGATAAGAGAAACATACCCCCATAATCAGAAGAGGAATAGGATCCCCTACTACCACCACTCGTGGTCATTCTTTCTTCCTGTTTTAGCACCTGATTCTGTGAAGCATTAGTCCTATCCAAACAAGAAAAACTCATAACCGGAGCAGAATCGCAAATCTCCGCCGCAAACGATGGAGGCAAAGCCCCCGTATTCGCCATCAGTGCTCTCCTCTCCGCGATGGTCAGCATTGTAAGATCCTCGCTGATATTAAATGACCAGCAAGCCTTCCCACCAGGTCTTTCACTCGCGTCCTCAATATCTGGACTTGGTTCCATATCGTTCATGAAGTAGGGCTTTTTGAATGTGCGGAGGGGTTTGGGAGCGGGGACTTGGTACCAGGTATCGCACTTCGACGGCTGACTCGGTTCGGGCTCTGAGATAGGCTTAGACGCAACTCGAAAGAGAAAGGGTACTCTGATTTTTGGGCGTTTGGGTCGGGTTTTACTGCTCGGCTCGCTGGGTTGACTTGGTCTGTGTATATTTGGTGTGCTTGGCTCTCCGGAAAGAGAGTACTTGTTGCCGAGCTGAGAGCCTTTCAGTTCCCAAAGAGGCTGACTAGCGTCGTCGCGGATCTGGTAGTGCTTCAGTAGATCTAGTGCGATCTCCGTGTGGGTTTCGTGGTCATTCACCATTCGGGTTAGGCGGCCGCTAAGGTGCTCATCTCGATTGTAGAGTACGCTTTCGAGGAAAGCTCCAATGTCGCTTGCTGTGACACCTAAGCTAATCCATTGTGTGAGAAGTTCGCGGAGGGCGCGGACGCCGTCGAGGTCCCAGGTCAGCTCATCTTTCCAGCCACGATTCGGCGTCTGTGTATTTTCAGCTTATGTTAGTGAACAGTCCACATGTGTAAGACCTTGGGAGCAGATTTTCTTACACCGATTGGGGAGCATATCACCCAGTCTTGCTCTTGAGAAGGGACGGGTGAGGTGGTGATTTTCATGGGTTTGTGTTTTCCCTTGCCTGAGCTGGGTGTGCAGTTAGTGATTGGGGATTTGTGTTTCCGCATGGCGTGTCCTTGATCGGCTTCTGGAGCTAGAGTGACCGATTTAAATGCTGCACACCTATTGAGAGGGTTAGTTGATCTGCGGATTGCACCAGCTCGGGCTGGGAAGTTCGGGCGAGTTTGGTTTGGGTGGGTGGTGAGTTGATGATCGCTCATTGTGAGGACGTACCCAGTACCTCCAGTGCTAGGTAAAATATGATTGAATTGAAAGTCAGATTGATTCAGTGTTATCTAGTCTAAAGGTTGGGCTAAGGTCAAATGGACTACTTTCTTTCCCGGGAAGAGTAAAGACTATATATGTCAGTATTGCACCATTGTTTAGTATTACTATTTTGAGATACATTAAAAGTAGAGAAGACAAAGCCAGTCTTGGAGCACGAGGGGCACCGTTGAACTTGTCCTTTCATCAGCAAGTTAAATGAGATTGTTGCGATGAAAGGAAGTCCTTGGAATAGCACAAAGGCGGACTCGCGTATCAATGAATATCCATGAATGTAACATCATTGTTGACAATTTTGCACCATCTTGGGATCCAAAAACCTATAATCTATGAAGATCTTGTCAACTCAATCTTTCTGAAATGGGACTATTTAAAGTTTGTGGGTTTCCAAGTAGCGTAGGTTGCCGCACATCTCAGGCTTGGGAGGATTATCTAAGTTTATATATCAGAATTGATGAGAGGAGATATTGCCTTGAATGTTATTTCCATCAGAGCTGTATCATGCACGCCCATTGATGCATATGGATTGATGGAAGTTCAACTGGCAACAAGAGACATCAATTGTTTAAAGTTGTTGCGGATAGTTTGAACTTCCCGTACCCTCTGTTTACTACGGGCAGGCAAGCACGTGAATACTTCCATCCTCTCTGACTTGGCTGGACGCAGACCCATCTGGGCAACATGTCGATCCAAACAAACAGAAAGTATTTAGGTCTCTGATTAGAGACGCAAACATAACACACAAAAACCAGTGGTGGTTACTACAAGTGCAGATTTACGTCCACGGGTACGTCACAATCATTGTCTATAGTATGAGGGTATTATAAAGCAGAGAACACTGTATACAATATGTTTTGAAACTCTAATTAGACATTGACAAGAAAGAAAGCATAGAAGATCATTATATACAAATGACGGGGGCGTCAAAAGCTTCATTAAAACGAATAATATTGTCCACAAGAAGTGATATAAGGGCCAGCAACATCAGGCCGAAGGGTATAATGAGCACGCTAAGCAGGAGACCCGAAGTGGAGGCACCAAGGCAGAGGATGAAGTCATGAAAATATGGTATGAGATATGAGCGTCTTAGAAACTTCTCAAAGCCGATCAGAGCCAGAGGACCCATCTTGCACCAGTGATGGCCCCTCGAAAGACACCGCGCACGAGCTTGAAGCCCATAACGATGAGCCAGACCCACCACAGCATACCGACGAGAGCCCATTCTAGTACGACGAAACCAGCACGTCGTACCCAGCGCAGTCGGCGACGACGTTTTCTAACGCCTCTATCGAGGGCGTCGCTCAGTGATTTTACTGCCAGCGTGCTTGTCGTGTTTAGTTGCACACACAGGTTTTCGGCATCATCGGCTGTGGCTCGCACACGAGGTGTGAGGGATTGATTGACGAGAGTTTCCAGGTCTTTCAACTGCGTGTGCAGAGGAGAGGAGGTAGTGGTGGTGAAGTGATGCATTGATTGTTGAAAAGAGTATTGAGTCATTTCAAACCTACGCAGAAAGTTTTGGGCAGCAAGGTCGTATTCACCGATCCTGGATACTCGTGGAATAGATGCAGTGGAGCCCATCGAGCTTTGAAGCCAAGGGGGAGGTGGCTCGCGCACAGTATGCGCTCGCCGTACAATCTCCCGGGCTTTGATACCAGACGATAGAAGAAGCGTTCGAGTTCGTTCAACTTCCGTCTTACCAGGGATGCCGGAGTCGTTCAAGGTTTGAAGACTGCGGCCAGAAATACTCCAGGCGCGGGTAGAGCCCGAGAGAGGTGGCCTTTTCTTTGACGGAGATCCAGGGGAAGCCTGGGCAAGACCAGTGACGGGGGGACGGGTGAGACTAAAAGGTACTGAAGGATCCCTGATTTCGTGTGGCTTTGTGTGACCACGGTTTGCGCTTAAGGCAGGGCCGAAGTCGAAGGTTTTGCTTCGGGATAGACTCATTCTTTTGGAAGCCTCCCGTGACGCAGGCCCACGTTCACGAGGACTACCGTAGTCTATTGCTTCATGCGATGCGCTTCTTTCATCTTGTCGTAATGGGGACGTGAAGCTGGGCAATGTCGAAATGAAGCTTCTCGAAGGAGTTCCCTTATCCGACTCCCGACGAGTAAGGCGCCCGGGTTCGTCTCCGAGCGTCGGAAGGCGCCGCAGAAGACCTCTCCGCTTATCAGATCTTTTCTCTTCCTCTTCCGAGTCGCTAGAGTCCGACGCAAGGGTCGTTGCTGACGAGGATTTCCGAGAGTCGGGAGGTACATCTTTTTTCAAGATGAGATCTCCAACCTTGGAAACTTCATTCCCAACTTTTTCTGCGATTCGGCCCGGGCCCTTCAAGATTCCACGCAGCTTAGACTCAGGAGGGTTCTGGCCCTTTCGTCCTCTGGAAGAGTCGACTTTTTGGCCCTCAGTCATACCATCGTCGGCATAAGAAGAAGACACAATGTCGGGAAGAGGGCTTGGCTCAAGCTTAGAGGCACCTTCAGCTTGCGCAGATGGAGGCGGCAAGGGATTAGAAGTTACGCTGGCCAAGCGAGAGTCCTCATCCTCGTACCCTCGAAGCTCTCGGTCTCCTTGCTTGCTCTTGCTCCTTTCATGGCGCGAGGCGATCTTGTGCCGCAGACCTTTCTTAGCAGGCGAGGGGGATCGACTTGAAGGTGGGGATAAATTCACAGCGATGCTGGGGAAGTAACTAGGCTGGGCAGGAGAATTGGGGACTGAGCTGTCCATTCCCTCCAGAGACATCCTTTGGTTAGATCGATCTTCTATGCTCCCAGCCGAGGAAAACGATGCTTTTCTCGCGGCATATTTCGCTCTTGTATTATTTGATGCATTTTGGGCTGGATTGTTCCGGTCTGTGTGCACTGCCCCGGCCGTTGAGGACTTTTTGCGGGATTTCCGAGATTCAGATGACTCTGCCAGACTTCCATGCAACAATCTTTCCAAATCCCTGCGCGAATGTTCCAGGCTTGAATGTTTTTGATCCACTGACCTGCGGCCGTCTGCACTGGACTCACTAGAAATGCTGCCGGAACGCATTTTCATCTTGTCCCAACGTGAACGCTTCCGCGAACTAGAAGCACTGCGGCTTCGCAAGCCTTGGGTGTGGCTTTGGAATCTGTGTCTATGGCGACCCCGATTCAGACTTTTGAACTCGGGAGCACGGGCAGGGTGGGAACTTGACATGGATGTATTCCGAGAAGGGGGTCCGTCGTCTGCAGAATGTCCCACATCGACAGAAAGGTGTTCTCTCTGTGCAGCGGCAAATTCGGCCTCGGGGTCAATCAAGGAGAGCTCCCCGGAATCTGGATAGATCTTGTTACCATCCTTGTCGACAATCTTGGCTTTGTTAGATAAATCCTCAATCCAAGCAACATCTGCTATGAGTTCGGCAGGTGAGATCTTCCAGTCAAGACGTAGCCGAGGTGCCTTCACACTGTTTGTACGGCTCACACGCCTTAGGCTTGACGGGGGCGAGGCAGCCAACAACTCTAGGTCCTCTGGATCCCCCTGGGACATATGCGATTGGCCTGACTTGAAAGAAGGAAGCTGGATAGATTGTGTTTCATCGTAGTTATTAGGGCTGTACTGTTCCTCGATGGTGCTAATCCAATCATGGACCTTTCCGGTGTCAAGCCAACCTTCTGCCTCTGCATGTATTGGACATTTTTCTCGATATCTGATCCTTCTGTTTCGTATCATTTGCAAGGGATTATAGCCACGGTTAGCTGCTGATTTATGGCCCGAAATGGATGACGAATCAGCATCCCCCGCAGTTGGGCCATTCCGAAGAGGAGGTAACAAAGGCAGCAGTCGTAGATATTCGTGAAATAGATCAAAATGACGGCGAGCCCTTTCCGCCCGAGCAAGAGTGCTATCAGAGAACTCGTAGGCCCGATTGTCATTCACCACAGTAGCTGGTAGATACTCCACCACCGGGGACTGACTGCTTTGCTGTGGGACTCGAGGCACCTCCTCTGGAAATTGGGTATAATTGCGCTGTGAATATTCGTACGAAACACGGTTTCCCCTTGAAGATGGGCCACGTAGGTCCACGGGTGGTGCTATAGGCTGAGACACAGACAACGGCCTGCGGCCACTAGAAGTCAAAGGCAATCCAGAAGCATTTCTTCTTCGAGATTCGTTGAGATTCAGGGCCAAGTTCACAATCTGCAAGGAGTCTCTATCCAGCCCCGTTGTAGTTCGCTGCGTATCGTGCGCTGATGGCTCGGCCGTTGAAGAGGTGTGAGATCGTTGGTCATCTGGAGGCGGCGTCGAAGTCTGTTGTATGACTGCTGGAGTCGGTGTTGTAGCAGCCGCAGCTGACTCGGAGGCAGAGTCCTTATGGCGATTCCACGGAAATCGGGATCGCTTCTTAGGTACCACGATACCAGGGTCGGGGGAATTTCGTCTCTCGATGGGCGTATCCGATGGACGCGAACGGTGCGAACTAATTCTGATACTGTTGGATCGAGGCAACGAATCCAGCAAAAAGCCACCGGAGCTCTGCGATCTGCGCTGGTTCGGGGTCCTTCGATCCCCATCACGAGAGCTGCTGCCTAGTGTACTCCCTTCTAGTTCACCACTCGCGCGGCCATCGCTTGGTGGGATAGCTCGTCGCCCAAATGAGCCACCGTTGGATCGTTGATACTGCGGTCGTCTGTCTTCGGGCGTGCCATGCTGTTCACCCGTCGGAGACCCTGAATCCCGCACGGGAGGGTGGTCCGCTCGTGACGACATCAAAGCCAAGGGAAGGGCAAACGATGTAGATTGCCACGCCCTTTTGGGGTGCAACAGGCATGGCTTGTCAGCAACAGTAAAGCATGGACGCGAAAAAGAGAAGAGAAGGTCAAATCCAAAGCCAAGAAATGTGACACTGGCGGGACCTAATGCGAGGGTCTGCAGGACGTAATGATCTACACTGTTGCGCGTCGAGCTTATCTAAGCATTATATACCTCTCCCACCACAAGTTCATCCAATGAATGTTGCTGATGGGCCTTTCATTTCGATTCAGGCCTTGTGCTGGCGTCTGTTGTCGAGCCTAAATTGGCTGGAAGCTAACAAAATGAATCAGCAGCCAGCAAACCCTTGATCTTGTCACAAAAATTGACATCAACCTGGATTTTACTTGGACATAGCGACCAACTTGGGTGATTCCTGGATCTATTTTTCTAATCGACCTACCCCATATAGCTTTTTACAGTATTTTGTGATGATGAGACATAGGAAAACCTCTAGCATTTGGGTCTAACGCAAAAGTACAACTAGACGTACAGTTCCTGTGGACAAGACGAAGATGTACAGGATAAATTGAAATCAGGATCGCTCAGAAAATGCGCTTACTCCACCCGCAAGCACTGGAGACGGGCCTCAGTCTCGATCACCTAGACAGAAAATTTTATGTTAGATCCACTTCAAAAAAGAAAAAAAGAATACAGAAATGTAACTCACCTCGAGAGCCTGCTTGACCTCAAGCACTCGGCGAACATCAGCCAACCAGTCCTTGCTCAGAATTTTAGCCCAGCCCTGAAGAGCGTTCATCTCACGAGCCGCGGCGTCAACCTGTCCCTCTTCCAACAAACTCTCGGTGCGCACCAGAATGCTCTCCACGTCGTCACCGTCGGCAAGGGCATCCTTTTTGAACATGACCTTGCTCAACACCATGCTGGCAGCGTGGCTGGCGATACCAGCGTCCTCGGGCAACAAACTGGCCTTGCGAACCTCGCTAGCGACCCGGCGGAAGCGCTCAACGATCATAGCGGTCGAGGGAATACCACGCTGGTAGGCAGTGGGGTTGATGGAGGCAATTGCGGCATCGACAACTGGGTCGTCAGCAGCCAGCTCCTTGACGGCTACTAGTTCACGGACGAAGGGGCGGGGAGTCTCAGTGCGCTCCACAACAGAGCGAACAGCATCCACAGCAACCTGAAGTTGCTGAGTCTTCAGGTTAGTATCAATGACATTGCTCCAGCCGGTGGTCAGCTTCTCGAGCTCACTGATGTTAGCAGAAAGCTCGCTCAGCTTGCTCAGACGACCCTCGCGCTCACGCTCAACCAGATCCTTGACATCGTGAACATATTTACGGTTCAATTCAATGGCCTGCTCCACAAGTTCGTTCTGCAAACGCTGCTCAGCAAGCTCCTGGGCGCGCTGAAGTTCGACGTGGATCTTGTCCTGGTACGCCATGGCGAGCTTCTCACGCTCAGCCTCAAACTCTTCGCGGAACTGGGCAATATCAGTGGCACGCATCTCCTCAAATTGGCGGATCAGCTCCTTAGCGGACTCGTCAAAGGTGGAGTGAGCCTTGTTGAGCTCCTCCTGGGCGGCGCTGCGAGCCTCGGTGCGGATCGCGGAGATCTTCTCACCAATCTTCTGCAACTCCTCCTTGGCCTTGGTAACAGGTGCAGAGTACTTGCCAGCATTCTCGTCGGCGCTGATTACGGTGACAATGTCGTTAAAGGTCTTAACCAGCTCCTGAACCACAGCCTCATCACCGTCCTGAATATTCAGGAGCTCAATGGTGTTCACAGTAGCAACTGCGGGTTTTCTGGGCTCATCAAGAGAAACTGACTTCTTCTCCTCCTTCTTTTCTTCCTTGGGCGCAGCCTTGGTCGCTGTCTTCGAGGCTTTATCGTCCTTTGCCTTGACAACCGTGGCCTTTTCCTCGGCCTTGGAGCTCATGTGAGGGCCAGTCTTGGAGACATCACTTCCCGACTCCTCACCAGTGACCTTCCACGACAGACCGCTGTTGCTGGGGATTGTGACGGGCTTGCCCTCCTCCCGAGGAGCGGCAATGACGCGGTTGGAGTGTCTGGAGGCATTAGGGAAGCGGCGGTAGAAGTCACGCTCCTCGAAGTAGAGAACGCATTCCTCGCCGTATGGGACATACTCGGTGAAGAAGTCGTGGAAGTTGTCGGACTTCAGAGCGAGGAAGATGCCGCCGCCATAGGTGAGACCGGAGGTCAGAATCAAGTATAACAAGAACCGACGGAAGCGGCCGGTCTTACGGACAGGTGCTGGCGGCTTGATAGCCTTGATTTCTGAACAGAGCCCAGATTAGTATACGTGATATAGATGGCGGATTGAGTAAAGAGGCTGGCAGTACCTTGTTCCGTGGGCTTCGGGATGCTCCCGTGGGGGATTGTCGACTCAGTGGAAGGTGTAGCGGGTGTCGGGGCAATAGGAGGCTTAGAGTCGGCAAAGAATCGCTATAGAAGGGACAATTATTAGCAAGGTAGTACTGGGATGTGTAGGGTGGTGTTGCCGTACCTGACCCGAAAGTTGGCTGCTCGCACCAGCTTTAGATAGCCATTGCGACGGGATTCGTTGGCGAACAGGAGACGACAGCAGCTGCCGACTCGGTGCAAATGAGGAGCGCAGCATGACTAGCCGCACAATCGCCAAATAGCGGGGAGGGATTGGAGAAAGGTAGATGGATAGGAAAACGGGAAGACGATGTTCGCTCGCGATCCGCCCCGATGATCCTGCAGGCGGTCAGACGGATTTCCTCAACCATCGCCCGCGTTTTGGAGCTTCTACTCCTATATGCGATGATGGAATTTGAGAAAGAAAAACCGATATTTTATTATTCTAATTCGATAAATATACTCATGGATGCATGTGTTTCCAATAGCTCTGTATACGTCAGAATCTTTAGAAACGGTCCCATGGTTTCCAAGGTTCTCCCAATGGTCCAGAAGACCAACGTTTATATTGAAGCACAAGATTCTTTACTGGCACGCGAGCATCCATGGATGTATATCCTTGAATTTTGTCACCTTCAACCTTGGAAGGTTCGGTATCAAGCGAAAAATTATAGATATAGCGAATACAGCAAGAGTCTCCGGCTGAATTGCTAGGTACAATATAAGAGAAATGTATTATCTGGGCATAGCATACTTAAAAGAGGCTCCAGTAAAGAGACGAACAAGGACGTAGGTGAAAGAGCAGATGCAGACGCCGGGTTAAAAAAGGGACAAGAAGTACAGGAAAAAAAGCAGGCGGGTCCTGCCACAGCATGTCTAAAGCCAAATTCCAGATGCGTCTGTGAAGAAAGTCGAAATTCTCCGGTCGGAAGACTGTGGAGAACTATCAGGAAAGAGAAGTAGGCGAGCGAAATATCGAGGAATCATGAAGAAAACGAGACGACTAGATAGACAGTAAACCGAGCGTCATCCTCTCGAGTGAAGATAAGGTGGGGAGCGGGCCACAGGTACGACCGAGTGCCTCCGAAGTCAGAACAGTATACTGGAGTCGATCGTTCGAAGAGTATCTCCTTCTGGCACCACAAGGTTGGTAGGGGGTTCGAGAGCACAGTTATTGTAGAGGGTTAGAGAAGGCATCGTGAATTTAGCAGTTGCATGCACCTGCACCTTGGGTCCCAGGGGCTTCAGGTCGCAGGTCGACGCCAGGTCGTGGGGCGGCCCGCATATTCCGAGGACCGGCTTGATCGAGAGGGAGCTTCTTCGCAATGGCTGTGAATAGTTCCTTCACGTTTGTCGAGGATTTGGCGGAGGTTTCGAAGAAGAGAAGACCAGCCTCGCGGGCATAGGCCTCAGCATCAGCAGTAGGAATGGCCCGCTTATCGGGGCTCTCGGTAACCAGATCAAGCTTGTTGCCTGCCAGAGCAATAACAATATTCTCATTCGCCTGGCGTTGCAGTTCCTTCACCCAGGACTTAGCCTTGTCAAGAGAAGCCTATTATCAAGTCAATATGGTTGGTGAAGGAAGGCGGATGAAAAATAGGAGCGCAAAGGAGTCGACCATACCGCTTGGGTGATGTCATAAACCACAACAGCACAGTTGGCATTTCGATAGTACATCGGAGCCAGCGACTTGTACCTCTCCTGGCCAGCAGTATCCCAAATTTCGAACTTGACTGTGGTACTCTCATCGAGGGAGATCGTTTGGGTCAGGAAGGCAGCACCGATTGTCGACTCTCGGTAATCATCGAATTGGTCCTGGACAGTCCCGTCAGCATCTTCATTCTCTGAAAGGACCAAGCTAGGTATTAAAAAACCTATGATAGCACTTGTCGGCTCACTTACCTTCACAAATCTCAAAACCAGCGAACTCTGGAGGATGAAGACCATGTTAGCGCCTGATACAGAACATCGCGAAGCGGAAGTCGAACCTTTCCCACGGCGGACTCTCCTAAACATAATCAAAAGCTCGGTCAGCCAAAATATCATAAAGTGAAACATGAAGATCATCGGGCAGCATACCGAGCAAGACGAGCTTGAACTGGGCGAACTTGGCCCCGGGGCGGGCGCCTGCTTGAGGTCGGGAGGCCATGATCACTGTTCAGGGCAGAAAGTCGGGATGACCGGATGGAGTTCAAAGTAAAGTCGATCAAGGTAAAAACAAGTAAATATTTCACCAACGGCGAGTTAGGGTCTTTCACTATCGAAGAAAGATCAGAAGGTAAGGCAGGCTGAAGTGGATGACGGAAGTTAGTCCAGCCACAATGAGTAGCGGGGCGGTGTGGCGGGTACTGTAACCATGACTGGTGCATTTTCACTATGAACAGCTTTACGTCGTTACTGCCCATAAGGCCCGCGCCTGCCGTGTATTGACTGCGCCGCGGTCGATCATGTGTTCCTGAATTGCGATAACATACTCCCACCTTCCTTTCCTCCCCTTATTGATCTCCCCCCACCATCACTACCTCAAATCAATCTCGAGGGGGCTGTTCGCTATGGCGCCTCCACTCCTTCCTTTCAGGGATGTCAATTTACATGCTTCCCCGTCCCATTATGCCTTCACGTCGCCCTCATCCCCCCAGGCACCAACCCTCGTGGTGGACCGGCCAACTGGAGACCTCCGCCTCAACAATGGGCCCCTCGCCGGTGCGAAGCGGATATCCAGCATTGCTGGAATACTGGGAATTCTGAAGTTGAAGCTAGGTAAATTGCGACCGGAGGAATGAGAGCTAAATGATGGCGCTGACCACCAGCAGACAAATACCTCATTGTGATCACCAAAGCGCAGCCCATGGGACGACTTCGTGGCCATATGGTGTACAAAGTCGCTTCAACCGAGTTCCTGCCAATGCGTGAACGCCCACTTCATGATACTGATGAGGATACGTACCTTGCGCTGGTCAAGAACCTGCTTCGCACCGGTCCAATGTACTTCTCCTACTCATTAGACCTCACCAACAGCTTCCAGCGCCAATCGCAGAGCCCCACAGATCTTCCCATGTGGAAGTGCGCCGATGATCGTTTCTTCTGGAACCGCTTCATCCAATCCGATCTGATCGATTTCAGCTTGGGGGCGAATGACACGAGCGGCATCCGGTATGGTCCACAACCTGGCGTGGACCCTTACATCCTTCCTGTCATGTTCGGCATGCTGCGCATTACTCCCGCTCGAGTGAAATCCACCTCCTTCACATTCGCACTCATTACTCGCCGATCCAGGCACCGAGCAGGCACACGATACTTCTCCCGGGGAATTGACGAGGAAGGCCATGTCGCGAACTACAATGAAACAGAGCAAATTGCAATCCTTAACGACTCAACTGGTGGAATGTCAGGCTTTGCTGGAGGACAGTCCATGTCTGAGGGCAGGAAGGGCCAGGATCTCCAGGTGTACTCCTTCGTACAGACCCGTGGCAGTGTCCCTGTTTTCTGGGCCGAAGTCAATAATCTTCAGTACACACCGAAATTACAGGTCCGGGGAGTAGACACCGCCGTTGAAGCCGCACGCAAACACTTCTCTGAGCAGATTCGTCTCTACGGAGAAAACTATCTCGTCAATCTCGTCAACCAGAAAGGCCGTGAAGAGCGGGTCAAGAATGCTTATGAGCAGATGATTCGCACTTTGATTACATCGTCCCATGAGAATACCGAGGCTAGTGAGAAGACGCCCGAAAAGATGCATACTCTAGAATCCGGCCTGAAGCACAAGGAGATGGATCGCCTGCACTATGTGTATTTTGATTTCCACAACGAGACCAAGGGCCTTAAGTGGCACCGTGCTGAACTTCTGCTGGGCCGTTTGTCAGAGGGCTTGGCGCAGGGTGGTTACTTCCGTGGTGTGGAAGCCCCTGGTGCTCCAGGAGGACAGCTAGATATCCGGTCAACACAAGGAAGCGTTGTGCGCACCAATTGTATGGACTGTCTGGACCGAACCAATGTTGTGCAGAGTATGCTTGGTCGATGGGCTCTTACCCGGCAGTTGACGGATGCTGGCGTCCTTCAAACGGGAGAGACTGCTAATGATGACCGGGCATTTGAGGACTTGTTCCGCAATATCTGGGCTGATAATGCCGATGTTGTCTCTAAGTCCTACTCTGGCACTGGTGCCTTAAAAACGGATTTCACTCGGACAGGCAAGCGCACCCGGGCTGGCGCGCTTCAAGATTTGAACAACTCGATCACACGATATGTGCGCAACAATTTCATGGATGGTCCCCGTCAAGATGGATTCGATGTTTTCTTGGGCACCTATCTCCCATCAGACTCAATGGCAGTAAATATTCAGCTGTTCTTTGACCGACGGCCGCTTGTGATCCAAGCTATACCGTATGTATTTGCGGCAAGCTTGTTTATGGTCTTGGTCGCAACCATTACTCGCCGGCTGCCGGATGCTGCGGTTTGGCCGCTCCGTCTTTTCACCATCTTCTGGTTGATCATCGGTGCCTACTGCTTGCGCTTCATCCATGGGCATGGCATGCTTTATGTAAGTTGATTCCCTTCGATTCCAAAATATGTGTTTACTAGGTGATTAACTGGTTCTTAGGTCAACTGGCCCAAGCTCAATACACCCATTGCTGGTGCCGAAGGATACCAGGATGCTATCATTAAAGCCCGCAGTGATCCGATCATTGGTCAATGGCTCCCTTCGAGACGACACCAACGTGGTGTCAGTAATGCTCGTCTTGTCTTTCTGGAGGAAGGTAAAACTCGCATTGAATAAATCCGTCATGGAATCGTTCAATTGGCTCGCCTTTCTAACTGCCCCTTTTGCCTTCATATGTACACTTCATGGCTGTATGTTTTAACTATTTGCTTCCCCTGGCTCCCCGACTAGCCTTTTCTTTTTCTTCTTCTAGCTTCCTATCTGGTGGCATTGCCATGCTTTTTCCTTTTTCTTTCTCCTTTACTCTTTCGCTTCTATCTTTCGATACATTTCTATTCTTCTCTGCATGGCTCCATATTTGAGCTGGCTGCCACCATTTTCTATGAAAGGGCATTTTTGCCTATTGCTGCTTAGCACCCAAAGAGGTAGACGATATCTGGGGTAGAAATATTAACCAAAATATCATATTTATTGATCAAATATCATGTGTGGATGTAAACAGCCTCGAGTAATAAAGTTTGTTATCTGCACCGAAGATAAGCATTCCTCACGTGATATTCCCGATGGCCGATCCGTTCATGTAACGCTTTCCCGAGGGGAGCTTGGATCACTGAACCAGATAATCGTCGAGCTTCCGGGGTTCTTTGTTGCGAACACCCCGCCTGCTCTTTGGTAACTTGCAGACACGGGCTTCAATTGTCCATGAGAGGGATCTGGAGATCCTTTCGTTGGTCCTTTCCACGGCGGGGAGTTTCGACTCGCTCGCCTGCGATGACTCGCACATATGAGGTAAGTGCTCCCGGCCAACGCACCAATTGCCGCCAGGCAGCAAACGGGCTGGCCTAGAAATCAATATGGTTTTGTTCCCAAAAATCCAGATACTAACAATGCGCTTCGGTTTCTAGGCTGCCATTGTGGCACTCAACTCCTTGCAGACGAACTATGCGATTGTGGAGGAGCTCCGAAAATCCGTCTCCAGGAAGGAGATGAATGAACGCTCCATTCCGGAGACAGTTGAATGGCTTCAGCGTATTGGATATAAGGTTCGCGCAGCTTTTTGAATCAAAAGTGGTGGTGTTTAGCAGATTTTGTCCCGCGAATGCGGGGGCTGACATTGGAACTTTTGTCTATTTAGCCCTCCGACCTTGATCGTTTGAACCCAATTCATGTCGCTGGAACTAAAGGCAAGGGATCGACATCTGCTTTCATCTCGACCATTCTCTCTCAGTATGTCCAGTCGGAGAGCGACGAGTCGACCCCGCGCCTGCATAAGGTCGGCCTATACACCTCCCCGCATCTTCGGTTCGCGCGAGAGCGCATCCAGATTGACAACGCACCGCTATCGGAAGACCAATTTGCCAAGTACTTTTTCGAAGTATGGGACCGTCTCGAAGAGGCCGCCAAGCTGGCCGGTCAGGACCCTACCGCGCCAGGAACGAAGCCTCAATATTTCCGCTACCTGACCTTAATGGCGTTCCATACTTACCTTAGTGAAGGTGTAGACGCAGCAGTCATTGAATGCGGTATTGGAGGACAGTATGACTGTACCAATGTGGTTGAGAAGCCGAAGGCAACGGCGATCACCAGTCTTGGTATTGATCACACGGCGATGCTGGGTACAACGATCGAGGAAATCGCATGGCACAAGGGTGGAATTATCAAGCCTGGGGTCCGCGCCTTTACCGCACCTCAAGCGCCCAGCGCAGAGAAGGTGCTAGCGGAGCGTGCAGCGGAGAAGAACACCCAGCTGGATGTGGTGTCCGTTCACCCCGACCTTCGAGTGGGTAGTACCGAAGTAAAGCTTGGACTTGCGGGTGATTTCCAATACACGAATGCATCATTAGCCACCGCAGCTGCGGCCGAGTATTTGAGAAAGACTGGCGTGGCGAATATTCCTGAGAACATCATGACCCAGCCTCTCCCAGCCAAATTCAAGGCGGGTCTTGAGAAGACGCGACTTGGTGGCCGTTGCGAGACTCGATATGAGAAAAATGTCTCGTGGTACATTGACGGAGGACATACGCTTGAGAGCATCCGGCTGGCCGGTTCATGGTTTGCATCTCGAATCCAGGAAGACTCATCCTCAAGCGACGTGGCCTCGAAGAAGCCGCGCATTCTGATCTTCAACCAACAGACCCGGGACAGTACTGCTCTGGCTTGTGCTCTGCATGAGACTCTTGCCGCCGCTCTGGGCTCTACGATCCCATTTACTCATGCTGTGTTTTGTACGAATGTCACCTATAAGCAAGCAGGTTATCGCCCTGATTTGGTCAGCATGAACACCAATGCAGATGACATTGACCATCTCCGAGTTCAAAAGTCACTTGCCGAAGCCTGGACCTCAATTGACCCTCATGCAAAAACACAGGTGTTTGGTACAATTGAGGAGGCTGTGGACTTCGCCAGGGATGTGGCCGCCCAGGAAAGTAAGGTCCTGCAGAAGGATGAGGCACCAGTAATGACTTTTGTCACTGGCAGTTTGCACTTGGTTGGTGGGTTCCTTGATGTTATTGAGACGAAGCCCTATTCCAAGGATGCTTAGTTGCTTCCACGGTGATTTTGATTCTTGTATCAACACTTGAGATTTACGATATATATGGTGTGGCTATAGAGGTGTTTGATGTTAGTTTTTAGTCGATTTCAACAATTCGAGATTCCCCAGTTCATTAACCAATCAAAAATGCGGAATACCAAGGTACATACATAGTATGTGATGTTTTCCCGAGGTTAATTTCATTCGCACGATCAATCTGTGAGCTTGTCAGATACTCTACATGTCCGTAGTTAGTCATCTCGCTGATAATGCGAGATATTTACTTGTAAATGTATGGCCCAGCTTTTATAATAATAATTCGATTATATCTGCCCAGCTGCGTTCCTTTGTTTCATCAAAACAGTTAGAAATTGGTCCAAAGTCACTTTTACCCCACCGATCCGCAGATTACGGTTAAACGTGGGGCCCAAATGAAATCCTCCCTCCTCCCAACCTCGCCCAGTGAACATTTCTCCAACTTCTCAATAACCGGTCATGTCTGATTCCAACGATAAGGGCAAGGGCAAGGGCAAGGCTCCCCAGCGCCCCGAGCAGGGCGAAGAGGCCAACGCCTCGAACAAGGGTAAGCGACAGCACCAGCGCTCTGAGAACAACACCTGACACCAATGGAAAACCAGGAGGCTCCGGCACGAAGAAGCTCCCCCCGAAGATGATCGAATCTCTCATGGAAATGAACCCTGCGTTGAAAAGCGAGCTCGCCAACATGGACAAAGACAAGGCTGCACAGATGCTCGCCAACATGGACATTTCCGAATTGCTGACGGGACTCTCGCTCGACGGCAAGAACCAGAAGGACATGGCCTCATACAAGTTCTGGCAGACACAACCCGTGCCCCGATTCGACGACCAGGCGAGCAAAAAGGCTGTCACTCAGGGCCCCATCAAGAGGATCAACCCGGATGAGGTTTCGAAGACCCCCGATACCCTTGTTGAAGGCTTTGAGTGGTGCACTCTGGACTTGACCAACCCGGAGGAGCTGAAGGAATTGTACGAGCTGTTGAACAACCATTATGTGGAGGATGACAACGCCATGTTCCGATTCAGCTACTCCCAGTCATTCTTGCACTGGTGCGATGATCCCGTCCGTTATAATTTGCGAACCAAGACTGACCGTTTGTAATCATTCCGACTATATAGGGCTCTGATGTCTCCTGGTTGGAAGTCAGACTGGCACGTCGGTGTGCGCGCCACCAAGTCGCGTAAGTTGGTCGCCTCTATCTGTGGTGTGCCCACCGAAGTCCGTGTCCGCGATAAGAAGATCAAGGTGACGGAGATCAACTTCCTTTGCATCCACAAGAAGCTGCGCTCCAAGCGTCTGACTCCCATCCTGATCAAGGAGATCACTCGTCGCTGCTACCTCAACGGTATCTACCAGGCTATCTACACTGGCGGTGTTATTCTGCCAACACCCATCAGCTCGTGCCGGTACTACCATCGCTCGCTGGACTGGCTGAAGCTGTACGAGGTCGGCTTCTCGCCTCTTCCTCATGGCTCTACAAAGGCCCGCCAGATCACCAAGAATCACCTCCCCGATCACACCGCGACTCCTGGCTTGCGGCCGATGGAGGCCAAGGATATCGATGCCGTATATGGCCTTCTGGAACGATACATGCAACGTTTCCAGCTCAACCAGGCTTTCACACGCGAGGAGATTGATCACTGGCTTGTGTACAAGGAGGCTGAAGGCAAGGACCAGGTAGTTTGGTCATACGTTGTGGAGGATCCACAGACTCACAAGATCACTGATTTCTTCTCTTTCTATAACCTCGAGTCTACTGTCATCAATAACCCAAAGCACGATACTGTGCGCGCCGCTTACCTTTACTACTACGCGACCGAGACAGCTTTCACCGACAACTCTAAGGCTCTGAAGGAGCGATTGCTGTTGTTGATGAACGATGCCCTGATTTGCGCGAAGAAGGTATGGCTTAGGTTATTGGCCCTTGTTGCTCTAGGCCCTCTTGCTAACACAATATACAGGCTAAGTTTGATGTTTTCAACGCGCTCACTATGGCCGACAACCCTCTATTCCTCGAGCAGTTGAAGTTTGGTGCCGGCGATGGCCAGCTCCACTTCTATTTGTACAACTACCGCGCGGCACCTGTGCCCGGTGGTATCAATGACAAGAACCAGCCCGACGAGAAGAAGATGGGAGGTGTTGGAATTGTCATGCTGTAGATTGGAAGAAATTTGGCTTTGGCTGGATGGTGGATTTCAATCCCGAATACCCAGAAACGGATGTCCTGATGCTGCTATGAAGAACAGAAATACCAAACTAAATCAATAGATACATTTCCACGTAAGTGAATATTCACCTAATTAAATGTTGGTTTTAAATGTGCGCAAGCTTGAACTGAGCGAACAATTTGCCAAAGACGTTCATACAGCATGCGCTATACTATTTCCAAGCGATGGCGCTGACTACTGACACCTCAGGCAACCATATCTGACGTCGTCATCTGAAACGTTGCGCTTTCTCCACCCCATGTTGTTACCTTCAATTACCTTTCAAAGGATTTTACCTTCTGAAACTATCTGAAAATATTGCTTTATCATTAAACATTCCTATACCTACTTTCGCACCCCGGATACCGAGGTGAAACAGCGGGGAAAGTCCCCGCATTTGGCGAAATAATGGGTGCCGGCCAGTCCACCGAACATAGTGGAGCAACTCCAGGTTAGTATGACAGAGATCCTGAATTCTTGAAAGTAGAGGTACCTCTTTGAGGCTTCGTGTGGAGTAGATTACACCGGGCCCGTTGACCCGAGTGTCCTTTTCCCCCATGTACACTGTACCGGCGGATCTGTACCTGACTATAAACAGAGGAGCTGAGCTACATTCTTGCGGAACGTTTCGCAACCAAATGTTTCACCCCGTTGGAGCTCACGCATTTCAAGGACAACTTCTTTTCTCGTGCTTCGGAACAGGGGGGTCTAAAGTACTGGAATGAAAAGACTTTGTCGGACTTCTTGGGTATACCCGATGGAAGTTTCGCTGACACTCATGAGAACCCAGTCGATGCGGGACCGGTCTTGTTCCGTATGGTGTCATACCTTGGTGCCTTTCCGTTTCAGAACACTCTGGCTCCAAGTGTCTTGACCTTCGACGCGATGGTGAAAGTTGTCGTGCTCTTGACTGAGCGTTATGGGAAAGCTTTGCGACGGGGACGCAAGGACCGAGTGAAGCTGTTGTTTGGGAGTCTTGCCGACGTTGGGAAGAAAGACATAGGACAAGATGATAAAAAGACGGAAGGAGACAATGATCAAGCGGCTATAGAGGAGGGAGAGGACGCTTCTGATATTCAAATTCATGCACCTGGCTTCTCGATTGATCAACCGGCGAACGATGATTATGACGAGGATGAAGATGACGACCTTGCTCTTGCTGCACTGGAGTCGCTTGATGCAATTGAAGTATTTAAGCATGATCATCGGGTTGACCAAACAGTTTACGAAACACGGATTTCGATTGATACGTTCCGTCGGCTGCTGATGCTGCTGCTCGTTATCGCGCCTCTGAGACCCCTAGAGTCTGTGAAGACCTATACTTCCGATTTTGGCCCTGAAAGAGTCGATGCCATTCAGAAAGAGGCTGATAGTATTATTGCCGCGTTTTCCCCAGAGGAAACCGATGGGGGCATCTCATATCGGGCTTTCGCTAGGGCGGTCTCGTCTTCACTGCCATATCTCTTTGATCCTTTAACACCGTTATTCGAACATCTTCTTTTCAGCAAAAACTTGAACCTTTCCCAGAGGCGACAAAGAGGAGCGTCTCCAGAGGAACAGCCAACCGAGAAACCTGAGGAAATTCATCCCCCAGCACCGGTCATGCTCCCTGGCAGCTTCGAATCGGTCATTCTGACCCCGACACTGTTGTCCCACCTGTCATTCTTCCTGCCCTCTGTATCGGCGTCTTTGAATATCTTTCGCAGTGGTGTTCGTCTCCACCCTGTCTTCTCCACTGCTGCCCATGGCTCCTCACTCACCTCTTTCTCTCACCACGTCTTGACATGGCAATCTGCTTCTCTCATCATCTTACAGGGAGCATTGGAAGGCTCATCTGAGGAAATAATAACCATCGGAGCATATCTACCACAGTCCTGGAAGTCGTCCTCGTCTAGCAGCAGTAGTTCCTCGAATCAAACCACCAGCCCGCTACCATATCTCTTCCAACTATCTCCGACTCACCAAGTCCTCCAAGGCAACTCATCCCCTTCCGTTGCCCAGAAGACCAATTTGCCTACAGCTTGGTTCTCTACGCACTCCGGCATTGCAATCGGATGTCAAATCCCTCCTACCTCCCGCACCCACCAAACCCCTCCGAGTCCTCACGGTGCAGGCAGTCTACTCATCGACGTCAACCTCGAATCAGCTGAACTACACGTCGCACCGGTCGGTCAAGACGGTGTCTTTCTGCCCCCGGGTACTGCTTCTATCAACGATAAGCCAACCAAGACCCGACTGGACTTATATAACCTTGAAATCTGGGGTGTTGTCCCTGATCCAGACATGGCATCTTCTTCTGACCCCAACTCCAATGCGGTTGAGGCGCAGCGTGCAAAATGGGAGTTTGAAGCGCGGGAAGCGGAAAGACGACGCAATATCAACCTTAAAGCTGGAGCAGGTGATTCAGCAAAGGAGAGTGCTCGGTGGCTTTTGGAGACGGCGGGTATCATTGGAGATGAAGGGCAACGATATGGGCATTCTTAAATCAATTGAAGTTAATTAGAGGTCCCCAATTTTCAATGAATACTATTTCTCTATCTATCTTGTCCGGTCTTTCAAATCCTAAGTTGTCATATTCCGATGTTTGCTCTGCCTCAATCCTAAATTAATCGTAACATATTTTGAAGCAACCACCCCCAGTTCACTGGAGGACGCCGGGAATATGATATTGGCAACCGTGATATCATGCTAATATAATTGGCATTGAGTCCTCTGTCCAGCAGGTGTTCATTCATTATCCAAAAATTTAAATACAAAGAAGATAACCAAAATGACGCTACATCAACTTTGCGTTAATGATACAGGGGCATCTGGTAGGACATAACCTTGGAACACACCCCGAAATGCAAAACATGTTGAACGCCAGCAAAAGTCGCCAGCGCTCCAAAAACAGTCTATTTCATCTGGAAAGACGACGCTGTACTCTTATGCTTTTCTCGCAGAAAGTCACACAGCTGCTCTGTATCCATCTTATCAATGTGTTCAGAATGTTTCTCAAAGTCCAAATCTAAAGAGGAATCCAACGTCAACGAACAAGACCCGAGCGAAAATACTGCATCAATAAAATCTTACCTTCTTCTACAGTCTCTTCCACTTGACCCGCGAGGTTCCGAATCTGACTTCCAAGATTTTGCAAAGCTTCTTCAGCCGCGGGGACTGCCTTGTCAACAACAATATCCTTTATAGTGGAAGCCGTTTCTCCTGCCACAGCCGTGGCTTTGCTCGGAATCTCCGATATCAAATTGCCACTCGTCAGAGGTTCGAGCTGGGCTTTCACACCCCCATAAACATTCGAGGACTCTGGGTCGGTGACTGATGCGTCCGTCTCGGCTACCTCTTGTTGTACGTCATTTGAGGAGATGGAGTCGCGGTTCGGGCCCATAGTGCGATATGTGCAGCGGGGGAAAGCTCCTGGGATGGAAAAGCGTGAGGATTAAGGTTGGGAAAAAGTGACCTTTAGAGCAGGCACCGTAGGGCTGAGTTTGACGTAGGGCTGAGGGGAAGAGTTGTACAAGGATTGGACGGCTCTAGCGTCAAATTATGACATCGATGATGTGCAGGGATGGCATAATCTGACCATTGACATCAATTGCCGATCATCGAATTAGGCAGCAGGATCTCGGCTGAGATCATGGCGCATCGGATTCGTGTCCAAGATAGTGGAGGGATTTCTATTCAAGGCCACTGATCGTGCCTGAAATGACGTCGCTGGACCCACCTATGTGGATGGTTACAACATCCAAATCCAGTGGAACGCCGAGGCGCGTACGTATGGCTATGAAGTTAGGCAGGTGGTGAGCCGAGACTTCGATTTGGTGCTCTTGTTTGCTTTCTGAGACCACAGTTCTCCAATTCTCATATCACTGACCCAAGCCCGTATATTGTTGAATGGTCATGTGACCTTGAAGGATTGCATCTAGACAATCAGGAGGATATGTATCATAAGGAAAGATGAAGTTTAACTTTTTGTCCTAAACATAGCGTGACGAATAAACACATTAGTCTAACAAAAAATCAATGAATAGCCTGAATCATACCTAATCATACTAATGGGATTTGGGTAGGTCGGGAGGATCGTGGGGCACACGACCTGGACCTACGGACTGATTTTATATAATCAGGGTCCGTACGGGCCCACAGAAGACCTCTAGTATAAATCTAGATATTGAAGAGTCTGGTTATACATATGAATTCTAGTCTACATAAGATTTTATAGGATTTTATACATCTCTTTTGTAAAATTCTCTCGAATGTTGAAGAATGACTGTATCATCCTAAAATCATACTTAGCCAAAATAAATCAATACAGATCTATATACTATTGATAGGATTTCAGAAGACGAAGAATCGTAAATCTAGAAGAAGAACCTCGGGAAGGAAGTATACTCTAGAGATGAACAGAGGCAGTGCAAGCTGACTATCCTGACGCAATGTGTGGTAGGTATAGAAATGCATGAGCGCAGGTAGAGATTGCCGGAATGCAAAAAGGCCTAGGAAACGTCGGATACTTGGCTTATCAACGTAGTGGGATGCTCAAGCCAGTGACAGGACCTCTGAAAAGAGGATACAGTATGGGGTTTGATTGTTCGGGCGAGGTGCCCATGTGGAAAAAGAAAAGATTTAGGGGCCTAGGCAGGAATTACAAGATGTGGTTGATATATATCTTCGTTCGTGTATAGCAAATCTGCACAAAGATCACGGGTACTTCTGGCAATCTTGAGAACATCTTAGTTCCATTACAGAAGGGCTTTGAAACCTGAATCCCGACTGCGATCCAACCCCAAAAAGTCAGCCACTTGTCCAAAATGATCGACACCCCAGAATCCCTCCGTGTTGCCATTTGTATCGGTACACTCAAACCATGGGAGACCAAAAGCCCCAACCTTGAAAGCCTGATCCGTGTTTGCATTCAAAAAAGCTTTGATATCTGCTTGAGTTGTCTGGTGGAAGCTGGTCAGTTGCTGAATGTAAAACAATGGGGGGCTAGAAAACTCACGTCTGATAGAATCTCCTGCGTGGACTGTTTTCCAAGGATGGCTTCCAATATTGGCGCAAAGCCTTCGGGCTCTCCAATCTTGGAATTTCTTTCAACCCAGAGAGAGTGATAAAGAGCCTCGATTACCGAAGCCAATTTTGTGGGTGCTTTCTGTGCAACAGAGCAAAGGGCTCGTTGAACCGCAAGTGTCTTGATTGGGAAGCCATCGGGCATCTGCTCAGCGATCGAAACTGAAAAGTATTTGGCCCATCTCAGCCGCTCCGTATTGGTCCACTGAGCTTTGTCTGTATGGCTGAGATCAGTGTGTTCCGCACCGCTGAAAATACATGGGGAACTTCGCGGATAAATACTCACTTTTGATGTTGATTGGTGCTGTGTTGTTACAGGCATGCATCAAGCCACCCAGAAATATCGGGACGTAGGTAACATTGCATTTCGCAAAGGTAGGTGACTTCTGATTTCGGTTAGAGGCTTTCTCGAATCAACATTAGATAAAAACGTACCTTCAGAACATGGAATGCGATATATGCGAAAGGGCTAACAATATCCACGTAAAGAGTGATTTTTGGAACTGCCATGGCTGAGATATTACGTGTCGTCTCGGGGCTCTCAATCACGCCATGTACTTTGTATCTAGAAGGCAACGAGTTTGGGTTGCAGGAGGTAAGCTCCGTTCCCCGCAACAAGGGTCGGTGAGTAAGCGTAGCCGAGGCTCGGATATTTGGGAACAACATCGTCTGATCTGCAAGAACATAAGGTCAATCTCATGCCGATCTCTTTCCAATACGTGCTATTTGAAGTTCTTTCGGTTTCAAAAATCTGGGGGCAAATTAGGGATCTCAGTAAGATTAAGCCTTCAATAAATTAACCTCTGATTACTCCCACTATTCATGTTCATAGATCGCTTGCATGTGAACATCATATTCTGTCAACATCGAAGCCATTCTTCTTTGCAGCTACACCATGAACGATGAACCAAAGGCTCCACCACAAATCAAAGTCTTAATGTATTCACAGTAGCTATACGTACGTGAATAGGAAAATTATATTTCCTGGAGTTATATACGCACGGGTGATGAACAAACTAAGTAACATCTAAGGTCCTCACGGAGCCAGCTTATGCTGAATCGCAAATTTTGTCTAGAGAAAATCTATCAGGTCATAAATGTCGATCTGGGAATCATACTTGAGTCTCAATAGGTTGCATCAATATGTGGTCATGGTGGCTCAGGTCAAGATATGTAATATTCGCCATCCAGCGCGCCACCACCATAATTAGCCAACTTAAGAGGCTCTCAACCTTCGTTTCTTCCAAACCACCGAAATCGAACAGAAAATCTTCATCCATACACCAATAATGACATCCCGATCCGTCAGCCCATACCGGTCTGCCGAGAACCTTGCCCAGATCCTTGGCCTGGACCCTAACGAAGATCCCGACCAACAAGAAAACACTACGCCAGACCATTCTCGCGTGACTAGTCGTGGTGCCCCGGCCCAACGCTCCCGTCGTCAACGATCAGAGTATCGATCCTGGGATCGAGCAAGCGATGTACCGAGACAGGGAACTACAGGGTCGAGAAATCGGTCCAAGACGAGGCATTGAGACGAAAATGACTTTGAGTAGACCAATTGTCACATTCTGACCTTGGCCTTAGATTATATGAATGACATGTTGGGGTTGAATTTTCAATTGTGAATGAAGCTGCCACTATATCGTTCTCCATTCATAGAGAACAAATCAAAGATGGAATAATTCAATAAGAGAATGCCAATTACCATAGATGTTGACTCGCCCAATACCAGAAGTGTTCGGCTATTTATTTGCCCGTAGACAGCGCTCAAATGTTCTCTCTTCATAGTTGGATGCCTCTCCGGAGTTTCGATGCAAATTTAATTGTCCAAATACAGGCTCGCGCAATTGGTTCCGACAGCCGGATTCCGCGCGCAGGAATCAGCTAGGCTGATGCCAGCAGTAGAAAGAACGCTCGCACGGCCAACGAACGACTGCACTAGATATGCCAGACTCGCCCATCTTTGCAATTTGTTTGTTGTGATCGAGATCTCTTTCAAGCGTTCCTCGGATGAAGACTTGATGACATGTGTAACGGCATCAGCTTGTGAGACGTTTAATATGTCCGTTGATTTAAGTTGAGCGTTATCCTCCGTCATGAGACCAAGGAATAATGAAAGATTTAAATGGCATTTGTACAATTTATTCCCACTACATAATAATAAAAGGAACCAAGTGTGAGAAAGGGGTATGTGTTTTCAGGATGTATGTGTTGAAAAAGGCAGAGCAAGATCGAAGGGTAGCTACGTGCAAGAAGGAGCAAAGGAACGTAATGCATGATCGTATGGGATACAGAGGAAAGAAGAGACAACAATAGGGCGGAAGCCGCTCTATCTAGTGCGCCGAAAGCTCAAAGCAATCACCTGACTCTAATACATGCTATTCTTCACAATGGGGCGGTATACTGAAGATTTCAACTTGCATTCCTCTATTTGTGTAAGTATCTTGTAGGTAATATAAAGAATTAGGGAGAGTTTCTTCAGTTTTCGAATGCTCTTAGAACTGCGAGACCTGCAACAGAGGAAGAAGCAACACGGTTGTGGCCTATAATTCCCACGAAGTTAGTGATTATCAACCTTGGGAAGATACATCAAACACAGCATTCCACATACCTCCATATCTAATACGCTCCCATCGCACCTTCTTTACAACCTGGGCCCCATCTGCGCCAACAAACCTATTCTCCCAGACCTGGATCTGGTTGGGGCTGCCGGTCTCAGTCTTCTCAAAAGTCAAGGCTCCAGGGGCCCCTTCAATATTCTCACCAGTGGCAGCAGCCCAGACCCGGCGTCCTTCGTACCAGGGGATATCTGCGTCATTCAAGGCATGCACAATCGTAAGATCAAGATCCTTCTGCGAATACTTCAAGCCAAAGGCATCCGGCTCGGACGCATTGATGCCTGCCAAGCGAGCGACCCTGCCGGCTGTATCCCAGTGATCCATGATGTGGCTCAGCACCCATTTCTGAAACCGAGGGTAGCCAATCAACGGAGAGAGCATCGGTGGCGTGAAACCTTTAATGCTATACGACTCGACTACGTTAGTCAGACTGCTGAAAGACGCAAGTAAGATGACACCCGCGAATGGCTCGGCATCTTTGATGCTTGGCTGAATGGCCTTCGGGTCGGGTGAGCCATATGCGAAACGCTCAGCAACTGCTGCTGTCACTGCTGTGCCTAGGCTTTGGCCCACGATAGCAATTCGTGATGTGGGGATATTCAATGGACCCGCCGTAAGGAAATTAAGTAGGGAGACACCGTCGGTTATGAGACCTTCTTCAGTAGGACTGCCAGTCGATACACCAAATCCGCGGTAGTCAATTGCAAATACATGAACGGGCTTTTCCGGAGTGGATAGGGCTAGTAATGTGTTGTATCCATTTGGTCGATTGGCAGAGCCCAGATGCGCTGCATTTCCATGGACTTTGTGATCATAAGATTAGGCGGTGGTGATAAGTGCTTGTTTTTGGATAGGACTTACAGCTCACCACAACTCTGGCATTCGGATCGTTAGCCAAGGTCTGGAAGGCAACGGTTTGGGTATAGTCCTTTGCTGGGCCAGACGGTGTGTTTTGCATCAGCTCCTCCTCATGCTCATGCACAAGATGCAGAGGTAGAAGATGCCAGCCGTAGAGTGTTTCATTGTCAGGCGTCACCAAGTTGAACGGCTGAACCTGGGTCTCTGAGCTCATGTCAATATCACAATATATCCAATTTGGCTCGGAAGCTTACTTAGGAATCCAAATTGCTCGACCTGATTCAGATCCTCCCAGTAACTTGGATTAAAGTTATGGGCGTAAAGGCAACTGTACCAGCGTCAGCAATATTGCGATAATCATCCGCCTTGTTGAACTCACAAGCGCTGGACCTCTGGAAAAGTCAAAGCACAAACGAAGAAAACATAGAGCAAGCCACCAGCTGCTAGTGTCCAATATGCTTTTTTGAAGATGGATTGTAGCTCAACCATGATGGAGGTGGTTAGTGGAGAGAATAAAGTTGGCAATTTGATAGTGGAGTTCCATGAATCTGAAACTCGTCCCGTTCCTTGCATGATATTCTGCCACTCTTTCTGCCAACAAAATCCTCAAGCTTTACTTACAGCCACCTAAACACAGTCAATACCTAATGTACCACCTATCATTATTAATAACATTAATGGTGACTTGAGATGGACAAATTGAATTTCTCTTAGCAAAAAGAACACGTTTATATACAGTATTTTACTTGTGTTCACTTAGCGTGTGACGTATTGATAACCGGTAAACTAACTATTATAGGCGGTATAGAAAGGCGGTTTAAGAGATGGTTTCAAACTCATAGAACGCCACTCCAAGCCTTATCGGTGAACCCGCGACTATCGCGTCACGCTTTTTCCCCCTTCCACCTCTCCCGATTTCCGCGTCGACCACCATCAAGAGAGATAATGACGACCCACTAAGCCTGACTTCTTTCGTGATCATTCATCATGGCCGAGAAGCGCAAGCTCCCCGCTCGCGCCGGGCGCGAGCCCGCTAACAAAAAGCGCGTGTCCGAAGCCGCCGCACCTCAGTCTCATTCGAAGAAGAAAGCCGCAACCCCTCGTGCCCCGTCTCCGCCCCCTGAGCCTGTCGAGCCGCCATTGCCGTCAAAAATAAAAGAGGGCGAGCCTCTACCGATTAGGCGCACAAGACAACCAACCAACCTGTCGGACAAGGAGTACCAGTCCATCGCTGAAAGGTTAGATTTCGATGTCTGCATTACAAGTAAGAATACTAAAAAGACTTGTCATTACAGCTCAGTACTTCTCATATCCCTCGAACGATCCAAGAAGAAATGGCTCAGTGATGGCATTCTGGTCCGCTACTACACAAAACCGAAGAAGACCAAACGCGAACAGATTGAGAAACTCAACCCGCCCAAGGAATCCATGTCGAAGGTCGGCCTTTGTGATGTGACAATTGGCCCGCATCTCTTTGACGCGATGATATACACAGTCAAGGATCCTGCGGCACCGCAACCGATTCAATACACTCCTCCGCAAGGACAAGGCCGAATGGTTCACTACGGTCCCCCAGGCAACTTCCAGCAGTATCAACCACATCCCTCCAACCAGCAGCGCAGACCCTATCCCACTGGCCCTCAGGGACGCCCGCAAGGCAGTTATTCGCCTGCGCCCCGCGGTCCACATCAACCGGGCCATGCACCATCACCGCAAGCTGGACAACGTCCATCACAAAACCAACAAGGACAGCCTGCGAAGCCTAGTCCTGACCCTGTGATCCAGATGCTTGCCACCCGAGCTGCTGCCGATCCCGAGCTCAAGGCGCTGATGAGAGTTGTCGCATCTAGCCAGGCATCCCAAGAACAACTCCGGGCTTTCCAGGCCCACATCGATGAGCTGAATGCAATAATCAAAGCGAGAGAGTCTTCGGAAAAGCGCCAACAAAGTTCAGCTGGGACTCCACCGCAACAGCCAGCAACTCCAGCGCCGCAAAACAAAGCAAATCCACCATCAAATGCATCCCAATCCAAACCAGATTCGGGCTCAAAGGCACCAGAAGAACAAAGCTCCAAGTCACAGCCTGTGGCTTCGGCGCAAACGCCATCTAAGGACACTTTGCAAAAACCACAAGCGTCTGGAACGCCGGCAGCAGCAACGGTCAAGTCTCAGCCCGACGGAACAACACAATCTGCAGTTCAGCCTCAGACTCCGGCACCAACTCATACCAGCCAACCATCCAACACCCCTCAGACCGCCGAACCCGCTATCAAGCAAGAGCCAGCTGCAAAGGGGCCCACCAAACTCCAATCTGCGCCCTCCCAGCCAGTGTCGACTCCCACCGCAGCAGCTGGCCCTGCCACGCCAGCTGCCACCACAGGCTCCCAGCAGAGTCCTGCGGTGCGTCCCACACCTCCAAATGTTGCTCAGCAGCCTACACCACGGCCAGGCCCACCTTATCCGCCCTATCAACAACCAGCTTACGGCTCTCAGCCGCCACTCCAGTCACGTCCGCCACAATACGGGTCACCAGCACCCTATTACCGCCCACCTGGACCTGCACCGACTCCTGCTCGTCCATCATACAAAGCTGTCGTTTTTGAATTCACTTCCCCATTGACTCCATATGGAAGCGTAACCTCAGGTCATGCTGGGTCTGGTGATCGGTATCTCTTCCCGGAGTATTCAATCCTGGAATGGCTTCCTAATGAGGACACCATCCTCGCCTCATTTCTAATCACTCGGAAAGTGGACCCCAACGCCCCTTTCCCCATTGAGACTGCACCAGACCCCGCCACAAGCCGTGGGAAAGGCAAAGGGACATCAAAATCTAAGAAAGGAGACAAGAAGGGCAAGACGGAGAAAGGGAAAGATGGCTCTGAAACGCCGGCTCCCAACCCAGCAGGTCCATCTGCATCAACGGACGCTACGCCAAAAATTGAGCCTTCTGAGAACACACCCGCACAGCCTGGCCCCCCCCGGTGCTACGAGCGAGCCTGTCAAGGAGGTGAAACTTAAGGAGTACTGGCAACCAGTCACGTTCCGCATCCATGCCACTGATAACCGGATCCTTGATCCTTTGACTCGCGTTGTCAAGCCGGCAGATGAGGTACGCAAGTACATGAACGAAATTATGGACCGTGCTGAGCGTGCTCCGGATGGGCACTTAGCTTTCCGTCTTCCACACGAGGATGCCCGGGAAGCCTTCGAAGCAGAGAGCACACCGGCCTCAACAAATGCTGTTTCTGCTTCCCGCAGTCGCCCCTCTAGAGGGAGCACTGTCAAAGTGGCAGAGGAGGAATCAGAGATTGAGAATGCCATTGACCTAGAGGAAGAGGAAGAGGACCTCATGGACTTCTACGGCGCACCAATGGGTCTGCCACCATCACGAGCTTGAATGGACAACTCCTTATCAATGTATACTATTTAGCGCATAAATGCATAATCACATGAATTCAGATACCTCTCAGTCGATATACCATCCCCATTAAAGTCTTCAAATCAAACTTTCTACCGTCCATGCTTCAATCAAAACTTACAGCGCTTTGTCTGTTGCAATGGTGGATTAAATCCGTGATGTCGCCGTTTATACTTACTCCAACCAGCCCCACCCGCGTCTGCCCCGCGGCAATCCCAATCCTAGACCGAAACCCTTCCAACTTTTGAACACCACAATCCACCCTCGATACCCTCGACGCACCACAAGCCAAGCCTATAAAACACGCGAAAATGGCGCCAATCCCCATAACAATCGTGACCGGCTTCCTCGGCTCAGGAAAAACCACCCTCCTCCTAAACCTCATTCCCCAACTGCCCGCAACCTACAAACTCGCCCTCCTAAAAAACGAATTTGGTGACGTAGCGGTAGACTCCCAACTCGCCTCCACACAATCCATCTCCGGCGTCCGCGAACTCCTTAATGGCTGCATATGCTGCAATCTAGTCGGCCAACTAAGCGATGCCCTCAACCAACTCCAAACCGAAGTCTCTCCCGACCGCATCGTCATCGAGACGAGCGGCAGCGCATTCCCTGCTACACTAGCTATGGAGGTGAACCGGCTTGCACGCGAAGAGGGCGGAAATTTCGTGCTCGACGGAGTCATTAGCGTGATTGATGTTGAGAATTGGGAAGGATATGAGGATACCAGTTATACGGCACAGATCCAGGCGAAGTATACGGATTTGATCGTCTTCAATAAGTGGGAGCACTGTGACGAGATGCGGTTTGATGTTTGTCTGGATCGTGTCGGCGATTTGGGTGTTGAGACGCCTTGGGTTAAGTCCGAAAAGGGACGAGTTGATGTGGATGTTTTGTTGGGAATTGATGGGGCTATGTTTGCGAAGGAGGCTGATCATGGTCTTGGCCATGGACATGATGACGGGCATAAACATGATCATCAGTCTGAAGTTGAGGTTTTGTCTGTTATGTTGAAGGCGGAGGGGTCAAAGGTGGTGGATGTGCAGGCATTGGAGAATTTGCTTTCGTCTGCGCAGCGGGAGGAAGTCTACCGAATCAAGGGCATTGTTCGGTGCTCTTCGCTGACACCTTTGGGTGAGACTTCAGATGATCTTGAGGCTTCAAGACAGAAGAGTGATGAGTCCGGCAGTCGTTACTACATTTTGAACTGGGCGTTTGGTCGGTGGACTTGCACGCCGTCGACGGTTGTTGCTGAGTCTGCGGAGGAGGACGTGGTTGCTCGCTTGACGTTCATTTTGGCTCGCTATGAGTCTGCCAAGTGGAAGAAGAAGCTGGAGGCAGGTGGTTTGGTGCAAGCCGTTGATGGTGCGGAGTTGACCGTGGAGCGGTTGGTTTGATGATATAGAGTAGCGGAGCAGGCTTCGCTATATAGTACTTCATTTTTATTATCGTAATTTTGGGCATATAGTGTATAGAAGGAGATATATAAAGGCTATAGAATACCTATGGATACAACAGGCTCAGACTGGGGGGATCGTGGCGTTTGTATATCCTGAATAAAACCTTGGAAAATTTGCACATCGACCTATGTTGCGTTTAGCCTTGGAACAAGAAATCCGTGTCGTTTATAATTGCAAATTCGCTTTTCCTAGCCCCGACTCAAGTTTCAAATAACCTTCCAACTAATTATATCACAAAATATATAAGCCCTGTGATATGGCTTTCTCGAAATGCTAGGCATTGACTATCAATCGTGAATAGCTGTTAGCGAATGGTACCGAATGAATCCATCGCGTCCATTTTACTAGAAAGCAGACAATATTGATCTCCTGTAACAAATGATTCAAACGAGAAGCTTACTCATATTTCCAATCTTGAGCCACATATCACCTGATATTCTCCAATCTTTCTGCTTTTCAAATGGACGACAAACCTGTTCCGCATGCGCTATCGCGCGAATGAGCTTCGCCGTGTGCCCGTCATCACCATGCAAAATTCCGCTGTGGAATATAGCCGGCCAATCTTTTCGAGCTGGAGTGTTTTTGATACTAGACAAAGATAGTGGTGAGGATTTTTGTTCCATGTAAATCATCAAATCCATCCGGCCCTTCCACTCAAGCAAACGGAGCTTGGTCCGTATACTCGGTGAGGGCATCGCTAGCAAAGAAGAGAAGAAAATGGATGAAGTCACAGCGTGAAGGCAAACAAAATCAAATCTCTGGAAGCCTTGCGCAGCCGCGGTATAGTATACTTTGGGGGTCAACGTGGTTAGTATATCCGTTTAAATCGCTTATCACGTCGCGTGCGCATCTCGCGGGTAAAGACTGGCACGGAGATATCATGTCACTTACTAACAGCGTTCATCATCTCCGCTAATTTCTCCTCCATTTGGTCTTCTGCGACCTTGAATTGACTGATATATTTCAGCTTGTTCTCGGACGCTCGAGACGTCAACGCTCCTCGTATTCTTTCCATGATAGAATTTTGAGAGAAATCCTCTTGAATCTCATCCAAGAGTTCAAACAATGATTTTCCACCAGACTGGCCAATCCCACCTGCTGCATGCTCAGCTTGTGGAAGCAGTGAACGCAAGCCAAGCCAATCTGCATGAAGACAAGCTTGGGCAAGTCCTTCGGCCACGAGGGCTGGCTGATTAAATTCGATGCCAAATCCTAGATGGATAATCGGATGTAACAAACCTGTATCACAAAATATTAAGTAAGTATATTTAGTCCTCGACGATGCAAGGGTAATCGATTACCCACCAGTGAACATTCGCAAAAGCATCTCGTCTGCACACTCATCTTCTACAAACAAGTATTCATTCAACACATTGGCAACCCCCTTCTGGCTAATCTCAAGCTGGAAGAAAGCCAAAAAGTGTGGATAATTTTGGCCATTCTGCAAATGCTTCATGAACAGTTGTTTGTCATACAATTCCTCCACTATCGCTTCATTGGTGTGTCGTGCCCGTTTCTGATAGCTTCTATCCCTGCTGTAGGCTTCTTCAATCTGGTCTGCGGATGCACTAAGTGCAAATAAGGTGAGGATATGGTGGGGTGTATGATCTAAAATCGTATTGTCAGTAACTCGAAGCTTTGCGATGTTTCGATATGCGGTATCACGAGTGAATGAACACACGTGAACTGCACACGGGTCTATACCATAGGACAAGGTAACACTTACTATGAAATCCCATCATGTTGTAGACGATATGATGTCTTTCCAGATTATCCTGCAGCACCTCATTGACCTTCATGGCCGCCTCTTTAGTGACACCCGCATTGAAGATACCCGCATCTTGTGTTGACACGTGAATCTTGTACGCAGTCGCCATTTTGTATACACTCGTGACTTTGGCCCTATTATGGTTTTTATTGGTAGTCGAGAGCCTTGCCAACAATGTAAAGCAATTTCTCAATGGTCTGGAATTTGATCTGGCAGTCTTGTGACCGGTCGATCTAGCCAAGTTCCGTGCACCCCAATTGTCTCTCAGTGATAACGTGGCAAATGACCTGTTTTGAATTTGAGTTAAATTGTCATTTAATGACAGTGATGTAAAGGGTGGATAGTTCGGAATTTTCAATACGCTATGTGAGCCGTTGAGAATCTGTCGTCGCATCAAGGCCTATATGCTAGCGCACGAGCTCGGAAGATGAGAGTTGCCAAAAGAAATGATCTGTGACGCCTTATTTGCGCCTAAATATAATGCTTACGATACTTCTCTGGACAAGTTCCAGAGATCAGTAAGAGAAATGAGCTAGTCCCTTTTCGTTCGGACATTTCGATGTGAGAGTTTGACGGCGTTAAAGCTTAAATCCGACCCACCTTGGGGCAACATGTATTGCTGGTAATGAGACTGTCATTTAGAGATCAACCTTGAAATGATTCAAAACATGATATTGAACAATCCGAAAGCCGAGTCCGACCGCAAAGAGTAAACCGCCGCCCTCCAAACATTCCTCCGTTGGGGAGACCAAGAATCAGTCTCAAATCCTGCTCGGTTTCTTTTGTCCGAATGCTTATAAACTGAGCAGAATTCAGCACTGTCTAGTATCCGTACAAAGTAAGCTAGATCACGCACTGAAAGCGCGAACGTTCATGTTAAAAAAAGAAACTCCCTGCTTCACTTTTGATCACTTTCACAAGAACTCGGTCTCTCAAACAAACGGAAGAAGTATCGACCAATTACTTCACCCCAGACGCTTTGGACATGGACAATCAAGCCGCCTGGATCACATCTCCCAAGTCTACTGTCGAGATCGGACCGGCCCCGAAATACATACCGGACGCCGGACAGGTCCTGGTGCGGATAGAGTCAATTGGATTCAATCCCGTTGAGCCTAAAATACAGAAGTACGGCATGATTCGACTTGTTTACAGCGGGGTACGGCTGACTCTAAACTGCTAGATGGTCTGCACTCCCATTTCCCTATCCCGGAATTCTCGAGGTCTCGTTTGCGGGCATTGTGGAGCAAGTCGGTCCTGGAGTGACCTCTATCCAAATTGGCGATCGTGTGGTCGTGAGCAAATCCCATGGAGATGACAACGATCCCAGTTTCAGCGCTTATCAGAAATATGCTCTCGCTCGCGAAACACGCATTGCGAAGCTCGACCTGAGTATGTCACTAGATGATGCATCCGTCGCCATCACCAACTCGGCCACCATTGTCGCTGCCTTGACTATAAAGATGGGCTTGGCTCAACCGCCAATCACGGGCAAAGCCGCACCAAATGGTAAGAGAGTTCTCATTTATGGGGGATCTTCAAGTTGTGGGCGGTATGCCGTCAAGTACGCATCGGATGCTGGATATGCAGTGATCACCACCTCGTCAGCTGGCCATAGAGACATTGTTCAGCAGCATGGCCCAACCCATATCATCGATCATACCTTGCCTCAGGAGCAGGTGGTCAAAAGCCTCAAGTCGCATGGTCCGTATGATGCCGTCTTCGACGCGATCGGTACCCCACCCGTGACTGCCATCATGGTAGCCATGTTTGAAGACAAAAATGCCTCTTACCACTCAACTTTACCACTAATGGGTTCTCCTCAGACCCCTCCAATTGTCGAAAGGTTTTTTGCGAGTTATGCGTCGCTGTTCGATGAGGACGATAACCAGGAGATCCGGCGATGGTTCTTCGAGGAATATTTCCCAGAGGGCTTGCGCAACGGACGGATCATTCCGAGTATTATCATCAAGAAAGAGCATGGGCTTAATAGTGTACAGGAAGTTCTTGATGTCATGTTGGACGTTCCTGGAAAGAAGTTCGTGGTCAACCCGCAAGATGAGTAAAGCAGATGCAAGTAGTTCATTTACAGAGCTTAAAAATTGAACATTGATAAATGTTGCTTTTAATTCACGCCCGGATACTGTTTGATCTTTCACTTCTACTTTCGTTTTTCGATGGTAGATATCAACCTGACGGAGTGTTTCAATATACATATTGCACTTTTTCGAATTCCTTAACCGTGCTTGTATAAGAACTACAAGAACTGATCTTCCAGGTCTTCTAAATATGGCGGTGACTAATTCTATTATCCACTTGCACACTTGCAAGTAAGCTCTCGGAATATAGTTCGGGTCTCGGATTCTGAATTCATGATCGGCATCCAGGTCGGGTATAAAAGCAAAATCTCGGCGTCCCACTGGTTGCCATTAAACCGACACTTAGCCGCTTAGTCACGAGGATCGTGGTTGTTATAACTAGCCAAATATAATAATACCTATTGTGGTGAGCAACAGCTATTGTTCTTGAAGTTTCATCTCACCAGTAAAAAAGAAAAGCACCAAGCCTAACTTCGAACAATCATGACGGTTTCAGAACGCTTCAACGAAGACACGACAGGCGATGAAGTGGTTCAGTCTTTCATTGACCAGGTCAAGGGCCGAACTTGTATGCTCATCCCGAATGTTATAACCACTGCATAGCCTGGAGCCTCACTAATGCGGACACTCATGGTTCAGTCGCTATCACTGGCCCAAGCGTTGACTCACTGGGCGCAGAAACTGCACTCTCTCTTGCACGCCATGCAAATCCAGCCAAGCTAATACTTTTCGGTCGCAATGAATCTCGGATCAAGCCTATCATGTCTCAGATTCAAGCTCTGAATCCATCAATTCAGGTCTTCTTATTTGCTATAGATCTGAGTAGCTCTACTTCTATTCATGCAGCTGCTGAACAAGTCTTGTCAAATCCTCAGATTGGACCTATTCATGTTCTCATCAACAACGCCGGAGTTATGGCATGCCCTTACACCCCTGTTGAAGAATGGAAGGACAAGAGAGGCTCTCCAGTTGAGCTCCAATTCGCGGCAAATCATCTTGGCCATTTCCTGTTGACTACGTTGCTGATGGACAGAATCCGTCAGTCTGGTCCAGGCGCTAGGGTTGTAAATGTGTCGGCAGCCTCACACCGTTTCAGTGCAGTCAACCTGGATGACCTTAATTTCACTGTAAGTTTGAATGCCTCGGTGAATCTATATTTCCCTCATGTGAGATTTAATTCTTAAAAGAACGGCGCGATTTATCACCCTTGGCGGGCTTATGCCCAGTCCAAGTCTGCGATCATCTTAATCACTAAGGCTTTGGCTTCGAGAATTCCCAGTGAAGAGGTTACTATCTTGTCTCTCCATCCAGGAAGTCAGTTAAAATTTCCCAACAATAGCATTCTTGACCATATCACTAAATGCCACTTCAGTCATCTTTACCGGCCTGGCAAGGCACATGGAAAGTGCCCTCCCCGAACCCGCCCTGATTGAGGCCCACCTTTCATGTAAGTCAAATATACAGAAAGTGCTGATCGAAAGTTGACAACTTCAAGTTCCCAATGCCGAGTCGATTCAACCCAAACCGAAGCAACAAGGATGCTCCACAATGCTAGTTGCTGCCTTGGATCCTACCTTACAAAGTATGTCCTCGTTCCTCACGCTTTTCGAGCGATTTGACAGTCAAAAACAGCCCATTCAGGATCGTACATGAATGATTGTAAAGTTCATTCCGCCGCTACATTCGCCTCAGATGAGAAAGAAGCAGAACGTCTTTGGGAAGTCAGTAAGGAAATTTTGGGTATCTAATCTGATATCTTTTTGTAAATTTGGCCATGTCTGCGCCTTCTTAATGTCGTATATTCACTGTGGAGTGATAGCGTGCAGCAAATATTAATTTCCTCTTTATTTTGATTTAGTCCATTGATTTAATCGCATTGTCTGACTGGAAGGTCTCGTAATAAACTATTCCGTTTTAATTCGGAAACTCGGTGTTCGGAAACTTCGGACATTTGTAATCACTTTCGTGACATTACTGCACTGGCTGGGAAATGCCTAGTAAAATCGAATTCCCGACGCCATTTCTCTAGCCGAAGCGAATGTACCGGCCTCTAGAGAACTTGGCGGGCGACTCTTATGAGTGGCTGAGCGATGCCTCCTGTATCGGTGTGTTGCGTCTCACGGTCTATCCCGTGATGTCATCAAGTCGGGTTCGGAGCTCAAGAGCAGAACGGCTAATATTCGGATAGTGCGACTTGTGTCATGCGCGAAAAGTGTGCTGTCATAGCTGACATTCATATACAAGGAGCTAATACGATTGGCGTAGGTCAAATGTGATCGACAAGACCCATGTATGAATTGCGTCGATGCTCAGGTAGAATGTTGTCGAAACAGACGCAGACGGCCTCGCGGGCGCCAGGCCCGATCTCGGTGAGCAAGATGACTGTGCCTCTCTCCTGTTCAATAAAACGGAATCTTACTTTGAGTAGAGTACCTACGGCACGGGGCAGTCTTTTAAATCGCTCGCGCCCAGCCGCTGTTTCACCCCAGCGAGCAGAGCCATCGCAGCAGTTGCTATCATCCACCGCTAATTATGGTGGACAGAATCTAGCAGAGAATGAATGGTCAGCAGTCATTCAGCGCGGCTTACACACTGACCAAGGTAGACCACTTCAATCTTTATTTCCCAACGCAGATACTGGACCCAGCCTTGTGTCAGGAGAAGGGGTGACGAACGTCCATCGCCATTCCTCTAGCACTCAACAGGCGAGGCTCTGGCATGCTGAACCCAGTGATAGTGCCATCTCCAAGAGCCCAGCAAATACAACATCCTCCACTCGATATGACTCAAGCCATCAAATCTCAGAAGGTTCTGAATTTCTGGATCAGGAATTAAAATTGAGGACAGAGCTTTCACAGCACAGATATGCTGTCTTAAAAGCTGCAGCTGAATTCGTGAATCGAAATTTCCAGCCAGGCAATACATTCCAAGAACCTGCCTACCTTGGCGAACCTCTCCCTGAGAAAGACTCGCAATTACGCCCTTTTTCACCAGAAATATTCTATATGATGACCATCGGTATGTAATTCAGAGGAGAAAGTGTTGATCATCATCGAATTGCAGAATTTTATCTGACGAGTAAGGACCTGGAAACTATCGTGACTTCCCAAGGCGATATTTCTGGCCTGATCATGTCTCTTCGTCCACACTGGAGAACATGTGCCTCGCTCTGGTCGAGGGAGATATCGACGAGCAGACCCTTGTGCATTATCGGGTTTGTGCATACACAAAAGCTAAATTTTTCGTTACTCGCGTATCTGAACTTGGGCACACTAAACGTCTTCGAGACCATTTCCAGAATTCTAGAAAGGAATATGAAGCTAGCGCCCTCAATGCTTTGAACAAAATCAACATTCTAGCTCCTCCAAGTTTATCTCTTGTGCAGGCACTATTATCAGGAGTATGTTTAATCAAACGGACTGATCTTGTTGAACTAGGCACAACACACTGGTACTGACAAAGTCATTCTAGGCACTTTTGATGCAGATACGGGGAGAGATGTTTCAAAGTTGGAGGTTGGCAGCCTTTGCTGCAAAGAATATGGTGTCCTTGAACTACCACACCACAACGGATTTATTTCCTTCAACTGAGCAAGAGCACAATATTCATTTGGCTCTAGTGACGTGCTTTTACCTTGACAAGTCTCTAAGTCTGCTTCTCCTTCGGCCTCCATCACTGCCAACGCTGAAAATCAAGCCGGCAGAGTTGGTCTCGATAGACCCTCTCGTCCCTCTTACTGCGATCATGAAATCAGTTGTTGAACTTGCGCAAATTCAAGAGTCTGCTATTGATATTATTTTGAGACGTCATAGCTTGAATCACAAGTCATGTCGCTCTCATTGAAAGCCTTAGCCAAGATATGTTCAAAATATTTGTTGGATTACAAGAGGTAAGAGGAGAGACATATACTTGATCTGACTGGTTTTCACATGGCATTGGGTAACATTTCCCTCAGCGTCGGTTGCACCCGCCATATAGCGAATTAGAGTATGAGTGGCTAGCCATTGACTTCAGTTACTATGCCATCTTGACTACCATCCTCCACGCCAATCCAAATTCGGCAAAGGGCCCTTTCGTCCGTAAAGAATGCCTGCTTTATGCTCGGAAGGCATTTGTTGCCCTCAAAACAATACAAGACAAAATTTCTATCGATGGTCAGATCCCGGAAACACTTCCCAATGTTCTCACATGGTATGTAGGATACTCAAGAGTTGAATTGTCTGTTCTAACAGCCCCAGGACCATGTTGTTTCACCCTCTTTGTCCTTTCTTCGTTCTTTTTTGCAATGTTGTAAACACCTCGGATAAGGAGGACTTCTCATTGATGCGTGCCATCACCCAAGGACTTCAAGGATCTGCGACAACAAATCCCTCGATTTCAAAGCTACACCGCCTGTTCTCGTCCTTTCTCGATCTATGCTCCCCTCTTTTGCAGAGAAACTACGATATATCTCAAACCCAGTCCTTGCTCTCCTCTATTCTCGGAAATTCCCCTGCGGACAGGTGTCACACGCAACTTGAAAATCAACCTCTCAGTGACAACACAGATGGCGTGAATCTCGGTCAAGCGCAGCAGCGTAGCTCTGTCGGTCAAAATGCTTCCTACCAGGATGAAGAGACCGCATGGGGAACCGATCTTGTGTGGGAACTTTTTGACTCGCAGCCTTGGCTGGGATGGATGGAATGGGATAATACATACAATGCAGGGGCGTCACTATCTTTTGATTAATTCAGAGCTAGGTTCTATTTTCAGTCAATTGGTTCCACCAAAGCAAGTCTTCAAAGAAGGAGAAAATCAAGTTGCACCAAAATGTCATCTCAATCAATACTAGAATGACCAGGGCCTCAATCGAGCTGGTGGTGGTAGGTGTGCTTGGGTCCGAGATCCGAATGCCGGTCAAAATCCCGACCAGAAACGATAATGATCGTCAATACATCGCCAAGTGGTACACCTCAAGTGAGATCTAGCTTACCCTTTGCGGAACATTAGAGACAGGAGTGTCATGATATATGATATCTCAATCCGAGCAGGCATAGCGGGGATTGGTAGTAATGAAGCCATCCATGGATATATCAACTATCTGATTACAGTCACAAATACAATTAGTACGCAGTTCACAGCCAAAAAACCTGAGGTCATCAAAACCACATGTGATCAATGAAAGTGGAGGGAACGAAAATAGTGCTAGAGGCAATAGTGGAGCCCTTGATAACCGAGAAAACATTAACGGGCCGGGGCCAACCCCCAAATCAGAAAGCTTTCTCACACTCCTCGAATTTTCTCACCATCACCATTTCTCCCCATCTCGCAGTTGGCATCCAAACGCTTGCTTCAGCATGTGCTGATGAGAGCAGGGGACCCAGGCACAATCTATTACATAAAGCCCTGAGACTTACCAGTCTATCTAGCGCTTGGTGCTTTTCTTTTTTCTTGACAAAAAATCACCAAGGTGGTGCAATGGTAGCATTCTGTGGTGTTGAGGGACGATCTCGATCGTGCTCCTTTGGGGCCGCCCCAGCGATCCGGGTTCGACTCCCGGTCTTGGACTTCTTTCTTTCCTTTTTTCTTAATATAGGAGACATTCACCGAACATCACGGCCGTGACCTTTGATACTATCAACTTTCAAACTGATATTCTAAACATAGAAAACCAACCTTTACTCCACTACACAGCTGATGTTATTGGCTGGTAATCTTGGTGGGTCCAGTGTTCTCCACAATCAATCCCCTAGGTGGTGGGTGCAAGGGTAGCACAACTGCTTCGGGGTGAGAACAGGTAATTGGGGTCTTTAGGGGCCGAAACAGCGATCCGGGTTCGACCCCCGGCCTTGTTAGTTATTTTTGTTGTATCCTTTTCCTTTTCCTGTTTTTATATATAAGCGACCTTTCCCAAACAACTTGATTGAGAACTTGAATACTAGCGATGTTCAGATAATTTATTTTTGCTTTATTGGTTTTACTCTTTGAGATAGAAAAGGAGTTTTTAACTGCGAGAGAATTGATTGAACTGGCTGGTCACCGTAGTGGGTCCAGTATTCAGCTAGGCCGCTCGCATGTAAATTACGATATGTTATTTGCCCACATAGACTCGTGACCGACGACGAGCCCAAGAACCGGCTTGGGTCGGCTTGGCTCGCATGGACCTTGTAGCAGTCTAAGCGTGAGTAGACAATAGAGGCGACTGAGGCGATGACACCGGAACTACTGATGGAATGCATTGAGGAGAAGTGTAAAGTTCTACTTATATAAGCCATCTAGGTAAATGCTACCTTCAAAAAGATTGAACATTAGAAAATCAATTCCCCCTTACTGGCTATACCAAGGCCCTTGTCTACATTATGGCGGACTACTTACGTGACGGAACAGCCTGTATCACAGGTGCCGCTTCGGGTGGGTTTGCTTCTGTCACTCTGATCAAGACTTTGATTTTGACTAGGGAGCAGGCATCGGAAGAGCGACATCTCTAGCATTCGCTCGGGACGGATGTCGCAAACTCGTCCTAGGGGACCTGTCCTCTGCCGGTCTTGATGAGACACGAGATATGATACTACAGATGTATCCCACATCGGAGGTCGTAACTTCCGTGATGGACGTGACAAATATAGATCAGGTTGAAAGTTTCCATGCGACGGCGGTAGAGAAGTTTGGTCGCATAGACTTCACGGCTAATATCGCTGGCTATGGACACCAGCCAACCCCATCCGTTGAGCTGAAATCGAGTGAAATCAGCAAATGTTTTGCTGTCAACTTAAAAGGAGTACGAAGTGTATACGCTCATAGCAATTGCCTCCACTGATTCGGGTACAGGTTTTCCTTTGCGAACAAGCACAACTCCGTCAAATGCTCAAACAGTCTCCATTGGATGGTTTCGAGAGTCGGGGCAGCATCGTCAATGTGGCCAGCCTTTGTGCTACGATCGCAATGCCAGGTATGACAGGGTACTCTGCAACCAAGGGTGGTGCACTGGGCCTGACCCGGGGTGACGCTCTGGACTACGGCCCACACCAAATCAGGGTCAACTGTGTTGCGCCAGGGAACATCATCACGCCAATGCTATCAAATGTCATGGGCGAGGAGCATATGTCTATCATGGCAGGTATTACGCCTCTGAGACGCCTGGGGCGGCCGGATGATATCGCCAACGCAGTCGTTTGGCTCAGCTCACCTATGGCTTGCTATCTTACGGGTGTAAATCTGCCTGTCGACGGTGGACTGGCGCTGAGCACTGGTCCGTTTTGATTTAAGCATGCTAGATTTTGCGCATGATGTGATTTATTGTCTTAGCATCAACTTGAGGAATATGGGTCTTGAAGAATTTGACAAGTTTCTTTCGCAAATCTGAATTCTTCGTATTGTCAACGCAGCTACCAGGGGCGACGTGAAAACCTACTGGCAGATTTGCCCGATGTAGAGCGACCCGCCCATGCTGAGCCCACAGAAATTAGTCCGTGACCAAGCCTTGACATTCTAGCAGCTCCTGCGCCAGGGATCGCATCGGGGTGACGATCAAGCCTTACGGGGCCTTTAGACCGGGCTCGGGCTCGGGCTCGGGCTCAGGCTGAGCCTTGCCCCGGCTACAAACTTGTGGACTGACATCATCACGCCAGTTCAAGACTCCTAACTGACGGGGATTTTTCTCTGGATGCTTTGTAATACTATCCCTGAAAGTAAGATGTAATTCATTTTCCAAAGTAAGCAAAGGCTAGACAATATGGTACAGGAGCGCGCCCCCATCCACAGGCAAACTAACGCCAGTCACGGCAGTCGCAAGACTTCCAGAGAGAAAGACGACGCCATTGGCCACCTCAGCAGGATCGACGAGTCTATTCATGGGTGCATTGCGTGCTGACGCCTTCACCCATTCATCCGGCATCTCGCCTCTCAGCATGGGCGTATCCACAAAGCCTGGACAGATACTATTTATTCTGACCCCTTGTTCAGCATATTGACGAGCATCAACCCGCGTCATGCTAATGACGCCGTGCTTGGTGGCAGTGTAGGCTGCGATACCAGGCATCGTAGACAGACCAGCCATAGAAGCTGTGTTGACAATTGATCCCCGAGGAGCATGTTTCACCCCCGACACAGATAGTGGCTCCTGCTGGAGCATCACCTTGACCTCGTACTTTTGGCATAAAAGAGTCTGCGCTTGCCGTCAGCAGTGTCCAGTATGCAAGAGCTTCGTATCACAGGAAATATAGTGGATGTGGTGCCTAAAGGAACGGGGTCGCACAAAGGCGTAAGACGCGACAACCTACTCCTATTGTGTTTACGTTGATCAAACGCTCAAACGCGTCGATTGCCATCTCATGCGTGAGTGCAGCTCCTGTAATCATACCTGCGTTGTTACAGGCAAAGTCGATTCGTCCAAATTGGTGGACGCATTCGTCAATCATGGCTATCACTGACTGTTCATCAGATATATCGGACACAAAAGTAGCGACTTCGGCGTCGCTAGCAACCTCTTTGACAGCTGTTGTTGTCGCGTCAAAACCTGCAGTTGAAATATCCGCAAGGAATAGCTTTTTGCAACCATTGCTTGCAAGCTTGACTGCAATCTGTTGCCCGATGCCTAACGTTGGGACTTGTTAGCCCGTCTCTAGCGAGAGCACGCAGGAGCATGTACCTGATCCACTGCCAGTAATCAAAGCTACTCCTTGAGCCAAAAGGGGATCCATATTTTGTGTTGATCAAAGGTTGGTTTGGTATTGTTGAGGGGGAAAATAGGCTACTACTGGCTCAGCAAGTAGCAAAATAGTAGACTGGTTTTGTAGATTACTTGCTGTCACTAAGATATCCTAGCTTGGCACTTAAAATTTGAGATACCCGAGGGCGTAAAATGACAGTAAGAGGCCGTAGCCTTTTTAAGGTGAATTGGTGGAATTCGATCTTCGCTGTTCCGTGGTCTGTTATGCCGGTACTATTCTCCGCACAAACTGGGCCATTGTAGTTACTGGTGCATATCATTTGCCATGGCCGCTTTGACTTGGTCCCCACAGCGGTCTCGAGGAGGTTTCTCATTAGCCACCTTTTAAGCCCATGCCGGTAGCCCGGGTGATAATGCTCAGAGGTCAGTCACAGGGGAGAAAGCATGGATTCGGCAAGGAGATCACTATGTAAACGTGTTGCATATATTGGTCTTCAGTTGCTTTCCCTCGTCCTACTTTCGCCCAGACTCAAAATTAAATCCACCTGCGGCTTGATTCAAGCCGGCGCGTTATTTCTCAAGCTTTTTTAAAGCTATTGATAAATCGGTAACTGGCTCGAGTAGTCTCTACATGGGCATATGAATATAGTCCGAAAACCAGTACTAGCCAGCAATGGTACCAGCGCTTCTAGCTACACTATGATACTTCAATAGTAGCTAATTTTGAATTTCATTCTAGCTGATTTCTGATCCCCGAGTTCAGGGTTGAGTCTACACTCGGGCTCGGGTTCGGAATATTTAGTCCCTTCTGTTAAGGGAACGATCTTAGCTTTGTGGGGTAAATTCGAGATACACTTAAAAAGAGCACCAGGTATGAGAACGTCTTTGAAGGTCTCATTTGATCTTCTTAACAAAAGGGACGTATTGCTTATCCACCATGGCTGCTCCCAGTTTGACCCATGTTTTCAACGTGTATGTCATGATACCCGTCCCAACAGGAATGGGGCCTGGCAATGAACATGCTTCCATTACTGTCCTCAATGGTGTGGCTTCATTTTCAAATCAAGTGTATTATTTATTGGGACTAACCAGTTTGCAGGAGAGAGTGGATATGTCGAAACTGCCGATGGATCTACTAGGCTCGAAATAACGTCCATCTCCGACTGGTTGGACTTGGGTGCAAACAAGACGACCGCAACGGTCGATGCCAGAATGAGCTCCAAAGGTCTTGGAGGTCTCAACCTAGACATGCACTATCTAGGGAAGTTCAGTCTCTCTGATGGAACGAACGAAGTATTTGGAGGAACTCCAGGAAGCAGCTTCGACTTCAATAAAGAGTACCTGTACGTCACGCCCAGAATCTGGAGCCGAAGCAGCCAATTTGCATGGGTAAATGATGCAGTGTTCCTATCAGTCGGGAAGGCCAAATGTCTCGAGACTGGCACGCAGGTTGAAATCACATATAAGATTTTTAAAGTCGGCTAGTCTTACGTGGGACATTCTGAACACCGATGAAGGTGTGCCTACGCATAATGTAACTACAGAGATCATGAGTGAAAACTTACTCTAATTTGAATTACTCTATTTCTCTTTGAATGCCAGACGTTGAGAGCCCACCCGGCCATTATTATGAGCACCGTGTACGAAAATTGGTTACAACTGTGCGTAATTTTCAAGGTAATTCCCTAGCGATTAAACCCCATGAACAAAACTTGAAAGTCTGCTGCCATAAACACGCCGTGGTCCATCAAATCAGATATCGTTGCTCTGGGTCGAAAGAAATTATTACATTATCGAGGAAGTTTGCCAAAGTTTTCACTTCAGGTGATCTGGAAAAGGTTGTACTACGGTGCCTTTTTCTGGTTCTATCATGACAGCACCTTCAACTATTTGTTCGCGACAAGAGTGCTTCCTTACAAACATGCTCTAGTGCACACATAGTCTTTGTGCAAAAAGTATGGAGGGATTCCACTAGCTCTTCAAGGTTGGGGTTGCCCGTCGGCTTTGTGGCCAATCAGCGTTAGTCGTTTGCCCGCAAGCCCGCGGGGATTCGGTCTACCCCGGATTGTGCGGGGGGAACTCTGGAACCAAAGATGGTGGGGAAGCAGAGGAAAAGCTCCACATTTCTAAGGTGCCCAGCATGCTTCTGTACGAATTTGGAGATTCCTGGGGTGATTCCTCTGGACAAAGTGCGTACCATCGTTCCGAGGTTAGAGCGTCCGAAGTTAGTGCGTGGAACTGAACCAATCCTCGTCTTTATTGGACCGATGCTTTGGGGAGGTAAAAAACATCCACGTAAGCATAAAACATGCATTATCAACAGCTTTGCCAAGGGCCTCGAAATGGATCCAGATGATTGGCCACATAATGGTTACTCCATGTGGCATTGCCGATGGCTCTTTCAACTGCAGAATTTCAAATACCTCCTCCAATATCTCTGGTATTGACTACACAAGAGTCTGCGACTCCGAAACAAGATAGACCAAAAAGATATTGGCGAACATAGGGCTATAACAACTTTGTGTCAGATTGTTATTAGCTCGAGGCGGTCCGGCCAATCTCACTCGATCCATGAAGGCCATAACGCACGTAACCGCTCGAAAATGGCCATGCTCGCAGCTGCCGTGTCTTCCTCTTTCCAGCAATATTCTCTCTCGGAGCTGGAGACGAGCTTTCAAAGCCAATTCTGAAGAAACAAGAGCGTTCGGCACGTCTGCTATTAAAGCAAAGCTCAAAGTGACAGACTCCAAAGACGAGGTGACTGCGCGCACATATGACGCTGGGTATGATGTCGTCGTCGTCGGCTCCGGCTGCTCGGGCCTTACGACCGCAGTGGTTGCTGCCAAAAAGGGCCTCCGTGTTCTCGTTTTAGAGAAGACCAATTTCTACGGGGGAACAACGGCATTTTCAGGAGGCGGCGCTTGGATTCCGTGCAACAAGCATCAGCCCGGTATCGGGGTGCAAGACTCACGTTCCCAAGCGGAGAGTTATCTGGCCAAGATCGTTGGTGAAGACGCTGTCTCTGGCGAAAAGATGCAAGCTTTCCTTGACTCGGGCCCAAAGATGGTAGAATGGCTGGAAGAGCACACTGCCGTCAAGTTCAAAGGCGTTCCACTGCCCGACTATCACCCCGGCCAGCCAGGTTCCAGCATTGGTCGCACGATTTTGACCCATGCATTCGACGGCAAAGACCTCGGAAGGCGCATTCGAGAGATTCGGTATCCGATGAAAGGTTTTAGTGCGTTGGGTACGATGCAGGCAGATCCGGCGGATCTCGGAACTTTGACAGCGCCTTTCAAGAACGTGTCCAACTTCATTTACTGCACGCGCAAGATATTGCGGTATTTTCTTGACCTACTACGTTATGGAAGGGGTGCCGAGATGGCCAACGGTAACGCCTTGATTGGACAGCTTTACACGACTTGCCTTTTGCAGGGTGTCGACTTTTGGCGCAACAGTGCGGCCATTGCTCCAGTCCTTGGAGACGGCGTTGAGGGTCTGGTCGTGTCCCGCGGGTCCGGTAAGAGCGCCCGCGTCCGGGCACGCCGTGGTATCATGCTCGCCAGCGGAGGGCTTGGGAGGTCTCCCTCCAGCCAGAAATACGTTCCTCATGAGTGGACTGCGGTACCGCGAGGGAATCAAGGGGACGGCATCTCTATTGCCATGCAAGCGGGAGCGCACATACCGCCACCGAATAAGCAAAACGCCATATTTGCCCCAATCTCGCTGCTCCATCGCCCAGACGGCACGGTCTGGCGCTATCCACATTTTGCTCTCGATCGAGCAAAACCAGGAAGTATCATTGTCGGCCCCGATGGGAGGCGCTTTGCCAATGAGAGCGAGCCATATCAGGAGTTCGTCAGCAAGATGCACGAGCGAGGCATCAAGCGTGCATTCTTTATCGCCGACCGGACTTTTCTACGCAAATATGGCATGGGAATGGCATTGCCATGGCCGCTTCCCATAGGTGGCCTGCTTCGCCAGGGTTACTTGGTTCGCGGCTCGACTCTCACAGAGCTGGCTCGCAGAATCGAAGTAGATCCCACGTGCCTCGAGGAGACTGTGAGTCACTTCAACGAATGTGCTCGTACCGGTCGGGATGATGAGTTCAAACGCGGCGAGAATATCTACGACCGCTTCTATGGCGACGCAACGGTTCTGCCGAACCCTAGCCTCGCACCGTGTGTCACAGGCCCTTTTTATGCGCTCCCTTTGGTTCCAGGAAACGTCAGCATTATGTGGGGTGTCACAACAAACAAGGACGCTCAGGTACTCGACAATCAAATGAAGCCAATTCCTGGGCTGTACGCACTTGGGTGTGATCAAAATTCAGTCATGAGAGGTCAGTATCCTGGGGGAGGTTCGAGCATTGGCCCAGCAATGACATTCGGCTTCCGGGCTGCTGAACATGTGGCGAACGACCAACCTCTTTAGCTACAAAGCATTCAATTGAACATAGTTTTCAGGTCCTATCTTCATGCCGTTAGTCTCTCGACATAGAATATTGCAACGTCTTCGTCAAACAAGGCTTACAATGACTGTGCCTGATCAAATTTGATGATGACCTTGAGTGCCTAAAATATATAATCACCCACCTTGGCACATGGTGTACGTAGTGGCAAAGATGTAGCGAGAAACAGTCTAAAATCTCGCCTTAAAGATATTGAAAATTTGATTGTGTTCGATTAAGCCACGACTTCACAGCTGTTAAGAGGGCCTTAGTAGTTTGGCTGCACGACATGCCATCAGGGTGATCCTACGTGTGCCATGATCTTTCTTTTCATTGCAACAATAATTTAATCTCTCACCAATATAATGTGTATTCCAGTGTTACTCAAAGATTAGAGACCCGACATATTACGCTTATTAATGAGGCAGCTGTATTCCAAATTCACGGCCTATGTATGCAAAAGGAGCTCATTTCCCTGAATAAGGGCAAGCATACCCGGCGTGCGCATTACGATGACCGGTTGATCGAGGCATCATGTTCGCCGGTTCCCCCGATACCCGACACAGACCGAAAGTCAAAGACAATGCGGGGAAACTGGGGTGAAACTCTCTCATCCGCTGTCCGCCACCCACGTAGAATTATACAGAGACTTCTCGTCTCCCACGATTAACTGTGGGGTGCGTTAGCGGCTTCGGGGTCCGGCTTCGCTGACTACTGAACCCGAGCGCAGAACCACCTTCCCCGCAGACAGGGCTGTGGCTCGCGCTCCTAATGAATCGCTTAGCTTATGTTATTCTCGATGGTTTGCTCATATCGTAGACCAATGAACGTACCCGAGATAGTCGTGCGCAGGCCAGACGCCCCTGATCACAAGATGACCGTAAAAGTAAGGAAGAGACAGGGTCTGCGTAAAACCGAGCTGGAGGGTACAAGCTCCTGATGATAGCTTTGTCGGGCTCAGAGCTCGGCCTGGTACCATGGGAAATTATCGGTAGGTTAATATGTATATCCATTTTCCAAGTCTTTTTAAAAATTGTGCAAACTCCTATCTCACAACCGCATTGCATGATAGTCCATCCGCAAGCCAAATCCGCGTGAAGTAAAACGATTCTATCATGTGTGCCCAAGCAGAGAGATTAAATGGCGTCACGCAGGCGTTACCCAGCGGCACTGTTCTGATCGCCGGCGGTGGGCCTGTCGGCCTGTTACTTGCACGCATCCTGTCTTTCTATGGTGTCAAGTCGGTACTATTCGAGCGCAACTTGACAACGACAAAGTGGCCTAAGATGGATCTCACGAACGCGCGGTCTATGGAACTTTTCCGCAAAATAGGCCTGGCCGACAGCCTGCGAGAACAGGGTGTACCGGGTGACATTGATCAGAATGTGCTCATCTCCACAGGCTTGTCAGCTGCTAAGGTACTCACTCAGTGGGAGTTACCTGGTGTTGAAAAGTTCCGGGAGCGAATTCTGAAAACAAATGATGGCACCCAGCCTCAAGAACCGTGGCAGAGAGTCTCACAGGCAATATTCGAGAAGTGGCTCAAAGCGATATGCGACGAAGACCCTCTGATTGATCTAAACTACGGCTTTAAAGTAGAGTCAGTTGAGGAAAGCAGTGACATCCTCAAGACGACTGTAACGAATGTCGCTACTGGCACGCAGACGGTATGGAGCTCGGATTATGTGGCGGGCTGTGATGGCGCTTCCAGCAGGGTCCGCACTTCTCTATCCATCCCCATCGATGGAGGCCCAATGTGAGAACTTCCTTGATTGTGACTAAATAGCGCTAACACTTCAGTACAGTCCTTCGTGTGCGTTGCTAGTGCATTTCAAGTCTCGTGACCTCACTCGTCTGCATAAACAGGGGAGATTTTGGCACATCTTTCTCCTCGGGGTATCTGGAGAATTTGAAGCTGCCATTATATCTCAAGACGAGAAGGATACTTGGACCACACACCTATTTCTACCATTGGATGCTGAGCCCGAGAAGATTGATTCCTATGATGCCGTCTACAGAGTCCTCGGCGGCCTGTACGGGCCATATCGCATCGAGATCGACGAGATACTCGTACGCTCAATATGGAGGCCCAATATTGCCGTAGCCCGCACTTGGGTCGGGTCAACCGGGCGAGTGTTCTTGGCCGGCGATGCAGCACATCAGAATATCCCCACTGGGGGTTACGGAATGAACATGGGAATCGGAGACGCCTTCGATCTTGGCTGGAAGCTCTCTTCGGTCATTAACGGCCAAGGCGGCACTGGTCTGCTAAAGTCATACGAGTTAGAGCGCAGGCCTGTTGCTCTTCGAAACGTAGAGCACTCTGGCGTTCATTTCAATGTCCACGGCGGGCTAAAAGATATTCTAAGTGGTGGCGACCCTCGCCGTGTCGACGGTGATGACGAGGCAGCCCTTGCTCTCCGTAAGCGGATCCACGATTATTATCAGCTCCACGACGGAGAAAACAAAGACCTTGGTATTGAAATGGGCTATCGATACAACTCGCCCGTCGTCATTTGTCGGGAAGATGATGGCATCGAGCCTGAGTTCAACCCTCACAAGTACACACCCACCACCTGGCCGGGAAGTCGAGCACCACACCTTTACCTGACCGACGGTACAAGCATTTTCGACTTATTTGGTAAACACTGGGCACTACTGGTTTTCACCAACCAGGAAGTGGGACAAACTCACATTGTCACTGCTGCCAGAGCGGCAGGGCTGAGTCTCCGCCAGGTCGATCTCTCAGGAGAGGATGATGCGAAGAGGCTGTATGAACGAAACCTAGTTCTTATAAGGCCAGATCATCATGTAGCCTGGCGAGCGATGGAAATGTCGTCATTGAAAGTCGCGAAAGGCGTTTTAGAAGTCATCACAGGGCGCCTCGACTTGTCATCAGAATCATCGATCAATCAGGCTACGAAGACAGAAAAGCCCAAGGACGTGTTTACGTCTACCATTGGAATAGATGCTCAGATCAATAGCTTTAATTTGGAGAGGATGGCTGAGTTCCAACAATAGATTATCAGTTAGCCTTTGTTTTTTTAGTTACTGACAGTTGCTCAACCTTAGGCGCTCATCAATTCAATGCCGAGAATTACTGCCTTTCTTGTCTCCCAATTCTTTCTAGCAACAATTTTTGAAATTCGGCTTTCTATGGCTGTTAGAGACGCGATTTAAAGCCCGCAACAAGACTTGGCGAATGCCAAAGCATCCTTCTAGTGCGCGGTTTGTCTTTCACTAATGAAACGCACAGCGCGGAAAATCAAGTTAATTGTAGTATCTATGGTGATGGTTCAAACGAAATCCTGTTCTTGATGGTTCCAATCTTGTCAACGTGAACTTCTACAACGTCTCCATCTTTCAACCACGCAGGAGGCTTCATGAAAGCCGCTACGCCGCTGGGCGTCCCGGTCATAATAACCGTGCCCTTGCGAAGCGTGGTACCGCGGCTCGAATGCTGGAGAATAGCGGGAATACCGAAAATGAGGTCATCAAGCTTTGTTGACTGTCTCTTCTCTCCATTTACGAAGCACTCCATTTGTAGCTTTGTCACGTCCGAAATGACGCTGGTTGATGTGATGACCGGGCCAATCGGTGCAAACTTGTCAAATGATTTGGCACTCCCATGCTGATTCCCGGACCGCTCTGGCATTTGCCAGTAGCGCGATGATATATCGTTCCCCGCTGTATAACCCAATATGTAGCTAGCGAAATCTGCATCGGCCGTGAGGTTTTTGCAGTCTTTGCCGAGAACGAGACAAAGTTCAGCCTGGATGGGAAAATATCAGCTCATACGTTCATCCTCAAGAATTCAAGGGATCTCCACAAGGTGGGGCCTACCTCGTAGTCCATGGATACGCAGGCAGGGTTGATAGGTATGTCCTCAAATGGACCTGCAAGTGCATCTGTGGAAGTAATGTCAGAAACATACCTCACACATAAAGTTGCTCTTATATACCTGGTGGTTTCGTGAAGACAACTGGATAGTCTCCATAGCTCATCTTAGGACTGGTCAGTATATACTCCCCCAAAAGAAGGACGGCCAAAGACACGCCACATACATTTGCCTCCTCCGCATGCTGTTTGTAGTTGAGACCGACGCACATGAATATTGGCGTACACGGTAGCGGGCAAAGAACCTGTTTGCGACGCCTCAGTTACTGAAGTAAACAAAGATTAAATTCAAGGGTCTATCCGAAGCTGGATACCTCTGCGACATTGCGCTGCTTCTCTGTCAAGACAAAATCATCATCCCAAGGATATTCGCCTTTAAAGATCGGAACCGAGCGGCCAGTAAGGCTATCCACGGTGTGGTTGGAAGATTCGCCTGCATCACCGAAGTAGACTCTCCCCTTGTCGTCGCGGAAGCGGAAGATGCTTGAAAAGGGCGCCATAGGAGGATGCTGCACGTTGCCTGTTGTTCAGAGGTTGCAATTATGCTAGCCAAGGTATCTCTCTTGACTCAGTTGGAATAAAAGCAGATATGGACGGGAAAGGCTGCGGGCTTGGTGTAGGTCACAATAAATTGCGTGGGGGTACGGGTCGGATTGCCGAGACAAAGTGATAAATAGGCCACCATGTGAAGCAAACACAAGCACCGTCTTCTATCCATCAATTTCATAATCTTAAGTACGCCTGTCATCCAATGAAACTCATGCCGAGCACCATCATAAGACGTCCACAGATCTCTCGGGCTCGGGTTCGGTAACAGGAAGAACGAGGGCTTGAACCATCATTTGGCAGCCAATGAAAAGGCCGGAGTTCCACCCTGACTACATCAATAGACCAACAGCTAGTTTATTTCGGTGATGTTACGAAGATAGCTACTTGAGCTCGAAATTTCTTTTTCTTTTCTTTTCTTCATCCCTTTGCCTCGATTTGATCACAATGACATGATTACTATTATCAATCACATGAGGATACACATACTGCTTAATCTATGTAACACAGACGCCATACGGATGTAAAAGATTCACTGCTCACGAGTAACAGAAACGGCTTTGATTGGCCATGTGATCAGCTACTGAATATGAATGACTAGAATGTGAGGTCAACGGCAACAATGGAGAAAACAGCCTCTTACACAAGTGAGTCAGGCACTGTGACAATAATGTAGATGACAGCCTTCTGGGCCGCATGTATCCGTTTGTATGGCTTATTCACACAACGCCCATTTTCACGCTTACATTACTGATTTATAATTCCCTGTTTTCGATCATTCATTGTCCAATTATCATTCACCTGTGCGGATAACCTAAAGACGGCTCATTTATTAGTCGTCAACGGCTCCACCCCCGCCTTACCCTAGGGAAATGCGGGGAAGCTTAGAACCGACTCTTGCCGGAGGCCCCGCAGCGCTGAAACTCGTCGACGTCAGGGGTTCCCCAGGACCTAAGCGTTCTTTCATGGATGACCGTTCGTGCCTATGCACTGAATTTGCGCCATTGTCACCACGGCACGGCCACCTGTTACTACTCCACGCCTGCTGGAACCAGGTTTGGTAACGCTCACAAGCATGGCCTGTAAGGCCTGTCGCGCGCGCAAGATCAAATGTGATCGAACGCGGCCAGTCTGCCAGAACTGCCAACAGAGGTCAAGCCACTGCACTTACGCTGGCGAGCGACGCACTCGGCGTTGGACCGAGGCCGGCTTGTATTCCACCGACTCGCTGCCCGCGGTTCACCGCCGCCGGCCAGCAGATGTTCGGTCTTTGATACCTATAGACCAGGCAGTCTTGTCACCGCCGACACATCCGCAGATGCAGAGTCCCGGTGCCAGCCCGTCCTGCTGGCGGCCCATGGACCCGGACTCGATGGAGATGGAGCAGGACGCCATGGCAGGCGACATCGTGTCGCGCGAGTCGTACGAGCTAGAGCCGGTCCTCCACACACCTACCAGCTCCAGTGCCAGTAAGGAATATGATAACCTGCTCGACAAAATTCTCGACGGCGACGACATGGAGTGCCTGAAGGACCGCAATCCGGCTCTTTGGGTGCGCGCCAGCGATGGTGAAGAGTACACGGGCCCGTCATCGGGCATCTCCACCGTCTCCGATTTGGGCCTCAATTGGGTGCGTGACAACGTGGCCGAGTCGGACGTCCTCTGTGAGACCATCCAGGAAATCCGCAACGGCATCCTCAGCCACATTCGCCAACCCAAGTGTATCCCTCAGGACCTACCCCTGGCATTACTGACACCGTCAAATGCCAGGGCCAGCACTAGGGACATTGCCCGAGAAATACCTCCAGCGCAGGCCATGACCTACGTGGAAGCGTACTTCTCGACTGTGCAGGTCATATTTCCGATCCTCGACCGCGATATCTTTCTCGCCCAGTTGGCGGCAGCGGGGGCGGGTCAAGCCCTAGCCTCTACATACTCATGGCAGGCTCTATACAGCGCTGTGCTTGCATCTGGCTGTCGTGCCACACTTTCCGAGGAGACAGCCGAGGCGTTCAAAACATCTGGGCGCGAGGCCTGGGGCTACTTTCAAAATGCTTTGTCATTCGAGTCCCGCATCCTGCACGGCGCTACCGATCTCATGGCTATACAGGCCGTAGCCGTTATGACTATCTTCGCTCAGGGGCTGTCAAGCCCGCAGCGGCTTGAATACACACTCTCCTCGATAGCATCGCGGCTTGCGCAGAGCCTCGGACTCAACCGCCATCCACCATCCGAGTGGAATCTCACTGAAAGTGAGAAGCGGGAGAGGAATAGGATCTTCTGGGTCATATACTGCCTGGACAAAATGATAAGTCTGCGGTGTGGTCGGCCGTGCGTTATCTATGACGAAGAAGTTAGCTCCTGTTTTCCATGTGGCGTCGACGTTGTCCAACGAGGAGACGACGCCAATAGGGCATCGGGAGGGAGCCCTCCATTTGACTTCTTCCTCTGTTTTACCAAGCTCTCGCGTATTGCTGGCAAAGTCTCACGCATGTTATACTCCGCAACGGCGCTGTACACGCCCTCCTCTCGGCTTGTTCTGACGCTGAACGGCCTGTTGGCGGATCTACAGACTTGGGTGCATTCAATACCGGATATAATTCGACCTGGTAAACCCTTGAACCGGATGCTGAACACACAAGGGCTGTCTCGAGACCAGATTGTCGTCCTGCATACATCGTACTACTACATACTGTGTTCCATCTATCGGCGCTTTACACCCATATTTACCCCAGATAGTAAGAGCCTGGAGCACCTAATCAACCCAAAGTCACACGTGTCGCATATAGAAGCTGCCAGGTCTATAGCTTTACTCACAAAACACCTTGACTTTGAGAGTTTCAGTCCCGCATGGTACGTATACCAATGGTTATCCAGCATCTACATGCGATCGCATTTCACACTGGTGTGTCAAACCTCTTTGGCATCCAGTAACCTATGCTGGCGCCAACTCGGAGAATTTCGTTACCTAAGTTGCCGTCTGTTTGTATCTCTGATCCGCTCTAACATTTCTTGCCCTTGATAGGCTCGTTTTCTACTATCCATTTACTGCCCTCACCACCATCTTCGTGCATATTGTATCAAATCCACCCAGTGAATCGACCCAGAGCGACATTGCTCTAATGGAGACTGTGGTTGGATTTTTTGGCCGCCTCGAATATATAACCTCGGGAGAAACCGCTTTCACCAAAACGGCCGACTTTGTTCGACAGGCAAGAAGAGTAACAGACATGCAAAACAAATCACGGGGCTCCGCTGGCCAAAGCCCTCCAGATCCACCTGCTTCTAATCCTAACACGAAAACAGCATTCGCACCACTGCAAAATTACCCTGACACGAGGAATGGTACAGTAGAGGTACCACACAATGCGAACTGTGACGCCACAGCCGCTCATGGCCAGCCTATGAATTCTAGCAGAAATACGAGGGAAGGTGGGCGTGAGAACTTGTCCCAGCAAGTGGGTACAGAGAACTCAGTCGGGCTTGATTTGGGGCCGGCCAGCATGGATTATGACATTGGAGTTTCTCGACAGGGCCATGCTCTCTATGCAGATCTAGTTAGCCTTTTGGCGCAACCTTCTAATGACGATGCATCGAATATTAATAACTGGCTGGGAGATTGGGTTTCTGTGAGCTAGTTGAGAGGGACCATTGAACGGGCAAACGCCCGAAACGATAACCATTATGATGCAGAACTGCGGAAGGATTTTAGGGCTTTGGTTTCAGGCGATGTGCAGCTGTTTTGCCACACGTCACCATATCCGAAAGCTTTATGTTGTAGCATAGCCGGAATATGTATGTAACCTCTTAAAAATAACGGTTTCGTGCATATTGTATCAAATCCACCCAGTGAATCGAATACCTGTGTAGGCAAAGGCCCAATGCCCGAAACGAGACGTTCTGACGCGAGAAACACTTGCCATCATCTCATATCCCTCGCTACATAGTTGATCGCATTATTGGAAAGATCTAAGGGAAAGCTGCGTTATTGCAGCCGGAAGAGATCAATCAAACCAACGCGCGCGTGATTTTTCGCTGGAGAGCCCACTCTGATTTTGTCATTTCAGCTCAGCCTAAGCCCCCGGGTAGGCAAGGAGTAATATTTTGCGTATATGCACCTATATAGACAGGATAATGCCGGGAGGGGCTTTCCTATCTGGGCTGACGCCGCTTTTATGACGGCGCTCAGTTTCAGGCTCACTGAGTAAATGTGAGCACAGGTCAGACTCAGTGATCAAGCTCGTGATAGTCACGTTATATATGACTAATAAATGGGACGCTTAGTGAGTGCTCTAGGACTACTTTAGGCATACTTAGTGCGCTAGAAGCAGCTGGTATAGATACTATCTCAAGAGAACATACGAACGCAATATCACGCTACCGCTCTAGCTATTATTTCATTAAAAGTGTGAAGAATTCATGTATTAGAAAGAGTATGAGAAACTCTGGTGCATCAATCTGTGATTCATTGTTACGAACCCGTTTTGGCTGACTGCAATGCAATCGCAATCTGAACGGCAAATATATAACAAATTAAATCTTTAACCTGCGCCAGATTTTTATGGCTACCGGATACGGCTTTGCACGCTTGGGCCTGGCTTGAGGATTGCAGGAGCTTAGGTTTGACAGTGCCAATGTCATTTTCGCCAAAGGAGATAAACGCATCGCCGCCCGCTGACAATGCCAGGCAGGTGGATATTTTCTCAACGGCCAGATAGATACAGCACAAATCCTTCGTTTTGCAGTTTGATCAATCGTAAGAAACCTGTGGCCCTGATTGATGCGGATCATCGCAACTCTCTTCTATGAAATCAAGACTCACGATCAACTCTGGTAACCGCCTAGGCTACTTTGCAAGAATAGTGAGTGGAATTACCAAGCATACACCGTATTCGTTGCTGAGTGCCGACTTGGAGCTTTTTCACTCTTCAACGTCAGAGTCTTGGATGGTCTCATCGTCATCAGCAGCAACCAGGTGGTCGCGCCAGTCGTCAAAGTCCTGTAGGGTTTGAAAAAGGATATGATTCATCATCAATACTTTTGAATACAAGGATATTATTTGAGATATAAAGGTTTTCTTATCTCTCCCAGAGACAGAACACCACTTTCTTTGGTAGTGCCCGCCCCAAGATTTGACCACCGTGATACTCAGCAAATGAATTCAATCCATATTCGCAGATACAAATTATTATTCACTTATAATACTATCCTTTTCGGAGCACTAGACATCATCATTATACATTATTCTACCTTGCGTCCGTGCCTAGATCCACCTGGTGTGGTCTGCATTCCTGATCGTGGATAAGAACAATGAGTAACAAACCTCGTAATACCTGATATCACAATCATTCTTCGGGCCATTTCTACTTGTGCTAATGCAGTGATTAAATACGGTATGAGGAAAATAGTTCGAGTTATAAAGACGTCATTCAATTTCATTCGTATACTATCACAATGTTGAATAGTGATAATATATTAAAGAGTGTGTCATTTCCAGTCATCATCATCAGATCTGCTGATTCGTCAACTCCCAGAATTCCTTCTGAGCGAACGAGGGTCGGTCTTGCAACCTGCTGGCTCGCCAGTATAATCCTCGTTGTGCTTAAATCTGCACAGTCAGGCAGTTCAAAAGGCCCTATAAAATGTCAGAATGCCGATAGTTTTGTCAAGACCAGGGTTAAATACCACTCCATTGGTTTCACAGCATGCTGCCTGGTTATTGCACGCATCAAGCAAAGCTGCGAATGATTAGTCCGATTCAATGATGATCAATTTGAATACTTACGAACACACAGCGCAGGCAGAATGTTGATGTTCAAGAGACCGTTGGTGAGACCAGAGCAGCATTCGAGGGACTGGGAAGAGGAGCACTGGGACCCGGTTTCACCAGTTGGGGCCGCGGCAACAGCGCCGAAGGTGGCAAGGAACACGATGGCAGAGATGAATTGCATTCTGAAGGTAGTATATCGTAAAATCCTAAGGATAGAGTTGAAGTATGTGCGGTAGTATAGATATTGACTTGGAAGCTTGGATGGATCAATTGACTGAGATTGGAGGATATGAGTCTCTTAAATAGCTTTGAGATATAGGAGAAGACCTATACTTGCGAGATCACGACGCTGTTGCAGCTGAAACACCAGTCGGCTCAAATCACCTCAACACAAGATTGCCTCAATACGAAGCCTTGTATGACAAGAATCCGGTTTCTTTGAGCCTGATAAACTTCAAATCAAGGAAGCGACAATTTTCATCAGCCAATGTCTAGTTGGACCTTGCCACTTAAGATCTAGATCGTATTTTTGACGATCATGAAGGATCGTGACGGGATTTGCTTTGTTAGTGCATTTTACCCGATTGGACAAAATTGGCCCCTTTTTTCTTGAAGAACTCCATCTCGGACGGTCAGAGATCCCCTCGATCACTTAGCATTAATCTTTTGTTGATTGACCGGCTCCACAAAGTTTGATTTGGTCTGTTATTAGTGGTGCGAACGACTGATCATCCTTGATTATGACTACTTCCTATAAAGTCACATTGTGGCGAGATGTGAGATAGTGTCATCAGGGTAAAGTGTATGTTGTGAAAGTACCAATATTCGACTAGGTGTCTTATTCCTTTCCTAGTCTATTGGAACAGTATTATTCCCGAAGTTAGCAAACACTCGCCATCTACCGATTAACCTACAAATTCAGTCGAGGAGAGAGTATTCCGTGCTATTAACCTCACGTCATGAGGGGCCGAGCTCTCATGTGATCAGTGAGATTACTTCGTATAGTCTCACTCGGCCAGGGTCAAGATCTACATCATCGAAACAGCCAAGACACTAGCCATGTTCGGCTGAAATCAGATCCACTTTATTTGGTGCTGGGCGGAGTTCCTAGGTCGAAAGGATATTAGTCGGGGCTGCGGGTGCGGGGGTTCCCGAAAAGTTACAAGTCATATATGCGGGGCTTTGACAACCTTGATGAACTGATTCCGTGCAGAGATTGGATACACGAATCGAACCATCAATAGGACGCACCTGTGAAGAATCTGCTCGTGGTCTTTTTGATCCAGCCGAATTAGCTCTAATCACGAGAAGCGCTCTGTAGGATCCAAAGAGCATTGCTAAAAGCTCACAAGGGGTCGTGGTTGCCCCCTGCAACACAGCCTGATCTGCAAAATGGACCCTGGCCCTAAGCACACTACTGTATACCACATAATGGCGCGTACTAGAAAGTATAATGGCGCCTCTTTTCAGTTCTGAGTTTATGGCTTATCACTCGGAGAATTTGATTGGAAGAGCTGTCACTAGCATGCATGAAAGCATGAAAACTTGGCCCTCGTTATTCCTATGACTCTATGGCTTGGAATTATGAGATAGTAGGATTTTTCGATGGTGTTCTCGAATGCGAGATGAGAAACCAATATTTCTGCTGAACCTACCACACGCGCTGCTGGGGCATAGTCGCGTAATGCGTCGATAAGACCTCTCATATGAATTGTCTTTCTCGTGGGGGTCGCGTGGGGGTAATATTCATGAGACTAGGATTTGAACTTCAGGGTCAAACACCCGATCATGTGGAGAACGCTGGCGGCTTTCTCTGGCTCGAGGACGATGATGTTCTACTTTAGGTGATATCGTTCTGTAATCCAGCATTATGGGCGGTTTTAGCCCCTCTCGAAGATGCTTGCATTGGCCCGGCTAAGGGCTTGGATGGCCAGTACATCAGTATCAGGCCATTGTTATCCTATTAGATGACAAGAATCGTGACAATGACATACTCGAGCGTTGCCTGTGCCTTGGCCTCAAAGCCGCATGGGTAGCTCGCAACCTTTTGCCTTACCATTGACTGTTCGGAGCAAGATTCAGTCGTTCGCATTCCACGTTGCACACTAAATTAGCGCCTCGATTATTTTATTCCACCCAACACGCTCCGTACCAGTCGAAGATGTCTTCAGTCCTGCATACTGTTACATTCTACGTGGGCTTGCCTCGAGATACGTACGACCTGTGCCAAGGATCGTGTGGCTGTCAGGCCACTTCCACAGGGGAAATTATTACCAGCTCTAATGATTGGTGGTGTTTAGGGTGGTCTTAGTAAGTGAGGCGAATGGGGGCTTTTGATTTGATTCCTGCGCTAACGATGGACATGGGAACTAGCCGTCTCCACGGTCTTTTTTAGATACATGCTTGCAAGCTGCTTTTCCTTCTTTGTAGACCCATTTAATCGCCCCTGGGCTGCAATATCACGTAGATTTTCTTTTCCAATAATGCCCTCAGAGATATGACTAGATGGTCAGCAACGGACTTTCATGAAACCCGCCCATTACGTCACTTGGTCCCTCTTTCCTGTTAACGGATTATGTGGAAGTATGCATACAAACAGAACAAATGGGCGTTCGTGAAAAGCAGGGAAATGTCATCAGAAGCCAGAGACTTTAACAATGAAGGCAACTAGTACCGCAGGTTACGCGCAACCATTCTTCAGCGTTGGGTCTAGCTCCAAGGTCTGATGTCCTACAGCATCATGTGGCTCAAGGAAGACATGATTCGCAGACACGGGCCCTCTCAAAGCAAACTCGACTATTACGGTAATAAGGTACGTCAAAAAGCGAAGATAGCGAGACGAAGGCACGTTTGTTTGCGAAGCTCGACCATTACACCTTAGATCCTTTTGAACTTGATATTTATTAACTAACACACGTTTCCCCAATAATAATCACGCCGTATTTCTCGTGTATGCGCTCCTTGCTGTGGGGCTAAAAATAAATCCACAGTAGAAAGATAGCAATGCTAGCCTTTTCATATGCTACCGCGAAATTGTCAGTACATCGGGGGTGGGACGGATGAAGGATGAAGACACTGCAGTACATAATGATCTTCGAGCTCGTAATCATGCTGGCAATAGAAATTTTGAACTTATTTTTGCCATGGCATGTCACTAGAATTGCCTTGTGGTTTTTGTGCAGTAAAGTCACAACTGAAGACGCCGAATGATATCGGCCGTTCTTCCTAAGCTTTGCCCCTGATGGACACCTCAAAAGATAGGAATAAATTGCTTCATTTTATGTTTGACAGATCGCTTTTTTTGGGCGCAGCGACAACTTTCTTACCGTAGAGACGGGTGCGGCTGTCTCCAGTGTAGCCGCTATAGCGTACAGTCTTCATTAAGGTGAACGATCCGAGGGCTTCAGAGGACGTCATTCGGAGTGTACTGTATTAGTTCCGGAGCAATGGTAATTAAGTGGTCTGCGTTATAATTGTAGCACGGACAGCTGATGTGAAGAAATATATCCTGGAAAAGCCCGACTACAGACAACTGCTCGTATCCTCTTCGGCCAATTTACCTGATACCTTAGCATGTTTTGAGGTTAGGCAATACACTTTTTGAGCAGATCTCGAATCTTTGGTCTCTGTAACATGAATAATGGAATACACATAATCATATCGACCTTTTGAATACATTTATCTGGCAAAGAATATTTCCTATCCATCCATTCGCCTCCGAAAAATCTCGTCTCAGCACAGTTCTCAGTCCAGGGACTTGATGACAGAGTGCAGTAACCAAACTCTTTCCGCTTCTGTGTCTAGCATAGCATTGCACTTCACATATAGTCGTCCAATTATCAACTCTGACCTCTTGACACGTTTGCTGGACTGCTAAAAGCAGATGTATAATACCGTGATTTAATAAGTGACGATGCTGGAGTCGGCTCGGTGAATTATGAAGGTAGCTGAGAGAATTGAGGCCGCTGTTCTGGAGACGAATGTAATTCTTAAACGAGCTTCTCATCTCATATAAGTAGGAAGAGAAGATATGCTCACGTAGGGTATCATTCTAGCGACCGATCCCACGGCTTCTAAGTCGGGATTCAATCTTGAGATAACCCGTGTTAGGACAAGGAAATAAATGAGTTAAGATGAAAAGACTAAGGTCTTCATTCTCGAACTGTTGATATGGTCTTATGGTTCGTCACTATAATGCGTAAAATTCCAAAATCGATGCCATTGATGTGAGTTAGTAGAGTGATAATAGGTTGAAGTACGCCCGGAGGCATTAGGGTTTAAGAAGTCGACTTAGGGGCTATTGTGATGTCACTCATAGCTATCCCTCCATTAGTTCATATATCTGAATTGCTCCATATGAGCGCCGATCAGGCTCCGTCGGTGAGGAACATGTTGCATTGGGAACAACACAGCCCTACGCACAATGTCGAATCGAGTAGGATGGAGTTCGATAATTGGTGGACTAGGGTGTGTGGGTATAAGAAGTGTGATTCCTTTTGAACAATACATGATGAAGAATCCTCTACATGATCTGACTGGCTTGCTCAATTAGACAGGAAACAGCTCCCAAATACCCAACGAACCCCATTGGATCAAATCTTTCATAGTTCATCTTATAAGCTCTAGCTACATTGAAATAATAGGTTCAATCCGATGATGTACAAATTGGATGTTTGTCTATGATAGAGGGTACTGATGCTAGCCTGACCAGCGTAGCCATACAGTTCGTAAGATCTCGAGTCAATCTCTCGATCATGTCATGTCAACATGGTCCACTCATGTTTTGTACTTTAAAACCGTTGACAGGCGTTTCCCGCATTTTGATCGGCTTGGCACTCCGTCGATCTCCATCACTTGTGTTGCTGCACTGAAGGACCACTTCTCTTAGAGCGAAACGGCGCTCCAGTATCTGATCTTCCAGTCGTCGAAGTTCAATGAGAAGTCAGGTGGGCCCGACCCAACCCAACCCATCGGGCCCAACCCATTTACCGAAGCCTAGCTACTCCCGCACTTTTCTCGGGCCATGCGCAGTAAATAGATCAGACTACTCAGTGCGTGCCTAGTAAGTGCTCATTGCATGAATCGGGCTACTCAGTGCGTGCCTAGTAAGTGCTCAGTGCATGAATCGGGCTACTCAGTGAGTGCTCAGTAAGGGGATAGGGCTACTCAGGGGATGCTCAGTTTTACTCAGTGAGCAAAAAGCGGCAAGTGGTGAGCACTAAAAGGGAAAGGGAAAACAAAAATTGGCAGGCGTTATCCTGTTTATGTGTAAGATTGTGCTAGTCTACTTCCGAGCCCGAAGCCGGCCCAATGAGGAAGTGCGCTGAGCCCGAACCCGAACCCCGAGCCTAGTCAGCACCTCATGTACACCGTGGCATCTACTGGCTATTCAAATCAACACATGATTGCGAGTACATCTTAGAGTGAGCCCGTGCATTCTCCATGTATGCAACGCTATGGTTGTGCAAAAGCGAGGAAGATTGAGCTGGGCTAGATTAGAGAGAAACGCGTCGTGCTACAAGCTCTGTTAACCATGGCAATTTGCGCCGGCGAGAGGCGACATATCACTTAAGGAGAGCCAATTAGAAGATATAGAGAAAACGGAAAAAAGGACAAAAAGGAAAATCATATTAATTCATGCTTGATACGTCCGACAACCCTCGTGGCCCAATCTCGCGTCGCTTCTTCAGGACGTGGTCTTCCTCGCCGTTCTTTATGGCTTGTATCATTTCCTCTGCATCAAAATCGGTACCGATGGGGTTCTCGGCAAAGTATTGGCTCATCATGAAGGCATTTGCGTCCTCTATCGTGTCGAAATTATCCACCTGCGTCTCGAGCATGTTGCCATCCGGGTCCTTGTAATAGATGCTAGTGGTAGGGCCGTGATTGACGCACCAGACCGGCTCAATGTTACGAGCTTTTCGGTGGCGATAGGATGCAAGCAGGTCGGACAGGCTGTTGAAGGTGAAGGCAATGTGCTCCAGGCCGCAGCTCGTTTGCACTTTGGGCTCCGTGGTGGGTATCCCGATGATAGCCACACGGTGATGTTCGTCGTCATACGTAATGAACGAAATCACGTCATTCCCATAGGCAACGGTGCCGCCAAGGAAGGTAGTGTAGAAATTCACCATGCGCTCGAGGTTGGCAGTGCGTAGCACAACATGTGCCAGTTTAGCTGGGCTCAGCACCTTGGTACTGGGCGAGTCAAAGTCCACGGCAACTGATGGGGACATCTTTGAATCGTTGAGTAGATAGTATGTTTCTCAGGGGTTTCAATAAGTGTAATGAATTCCCTTCAGATCTGAAGTTCCCGAGCTCGTTCGCAACGGTCGCTTAATATATTTTTATGCACGTTTCATCAAGAACCTTAGCTGCAGCTTACAAGGCAAGGCCGGTGGCAACGCGAAGCCGACAACCGACCCCGCAATTCAAAATTCCGGTCTTCCCGGTTAACTGGCTACGGAAATCAACGTGATTGAATGCTGACCGATGGCTCATAGCTTGAATTACCCTTGGCAGGGTATATCAAAGCTCTTTCCCGTGACCAGCCCCTACTTCATTTCTCGAGGCATGGCTATTATCTGAATTTGTTTATTGCTTTCACACAAGGAAAAACAGGCTTTCATTTCCCCTGGAAAATGGCAAGCAGTTCAAGTATAAGTTATGTTACGGAGGGCACGAAATGGATGTCCGATCAGATCACTGGTAATACCAAAGAGCTTGTCGCAAGGTTCTACGAACTCGCAGACTCTAAGCAGTCAGATGCGGGCCAGCTCATGGCAACCGAAGTTTTCTCCGAAGACGCTGCACTATCAACACCCGGAGGGACTTTCAAAGGGTTTACAGGTATTGAAGCATTTCATTATCACTTTCCCAATTCATTATACGTGGCTTACCATGACCGTAGAAATATCCAAGTGCCGAGATCATGCTTGGGATACTGTGACCTTAAGAAGACACACACTGTCCAAGGTCTTTGCAGGCCACGGAGACGAGGAAGAGCTAGCGCTCTTTGGGACTGTGCGAATGACTTTTGTCAAGGGAGAGAGCCAAGACTCTGAATTTGTGGCCCACGTGAAGCTCGGATCTGAATCATCTACATCCCAACCTCGCATCAGTAGCATGGAGGTATGCGCGGTTAGTTTACCTTGCTGAGGCTTGCCTTGATAGGTCCAGAATTAAAGGTCCAAATGTGAACTAATGCTTATTATTTTAAACACAGATTACGTCTCCTAGTTCTGCGTAGCCTGTCAATTGTCGGATTACCAAGTAGCGTTCGCTAGCGAGGTGGCTCAACTGTATCTAGATCGCGCAATAATGAACACTTTCATGATTCCTCTCAGTCATTCACACCCATATGATAGTATCAGAAGATAGCCCAGTTATATGTTCTATAGCTTACTTGGTCGGCTTCCCAATTCCTCCACCTGCACAAACTGATGAAAATACTCGAGACTCCGAGGGTTCAGAAGCGTGCCGCTTAATTGAACTGGTTGGCCGGACACTATCTGCTTGACGGGTAGCTCAACTTTTTTGTGGTTTACTGTGATCTGTATATAGTGTAAGCGAGACCGAATTCCCATATAGAATTTTTCGCGCCCAGGGATACGGGAAGCTGAAGAGCTTGGGGAAGGTGGAATTCCAAGACAGTACTTACTGGTAATTCGGGCATCTCAAAGATGTACTTCGGTACATGTCTTTTGCTGAGCTCCTTTGCTATGGCCGCTTTAATGTCTCTCACGAGATTCTTGTCAAGAGTCTGACCGTTGCGCATGAGCACAAAGAGCATGACACTCTCATCCAGATCAATACTTCTTCTTTGTCCAACGCATAGGCTATCGGTGATGCGGTCTGAGAAATGTGCATCGACCACCGCATAGATTTCTGAGCTCCCGAATCGTACGCCAGATGGATTGAGAACACCATCCGCTCGGCCCATGAAGTGGATACTGCGAGTTTTTGGATGGATGATGCAAAAGTCTCCATGCGTCCAAACGTGGTCGAAGCGTGCAAAGTACGATGAGTGATATCGGGATCCAGGAGGCGCAGCAGGGGCTGGGCTGGAGCCGGCTGAGTCTCCCCAGAAAAAGCACGGCATGTTAACGAATGCAGCTGTGGCAACCAGTTCTCCAGGCTTTCCGAGGGCTACAGGTGACCCTACGCTACCGGAAGAGCTGGCGTCATAGATAGCAATCGGCACCCCGAGTGACGGACCTTGAGTACCGCCTACGAAGACGGGACTAAGCGGATTGCCGGTCCCGAAGCATCCTGCCTATATACCTTTGTCAGATCAATAGGAATACCAGGATGAGGGAATGATATACGCACAATATCAGTACCTCCTGACATGTTGATCAGCTGTACGTGTGGAGGAAAGGCAACATCATAGACCCATTCAAACAAATGGTCTGCTAGTGGCATCCCCGTACTAGTAACAACCTGTAGACTGTCCAGCTTGACAATGTCTCGCGGGTTGACGTGGCTCATGGCTAGCTCGCTCAGCCAGCGTGGACTGGTTCCGAACTTCGTAACATGCTGCTCGCCGAGTATCTCAACAAGCACCTTCCAATCTGGCAACATTGGTGATCCATCGTACAAGACCAGACGGGCGCCCATGAGCAGCCCAGCCACTTGAAGCACGTACATTATCCAGCTGGTTGTGGTGAATTGCAAAGCAATAGTATCGGCGGATGTACGGTGGTGCAACCGCTCCTCCTTGGTAACGTTTAGAATCACGCCTCCGACGGTGTGGACAATTGCCTTTGGAATCCCTGTTGTCCCCGAGGAGTAGCATATCAAAAAGGGTGCGTGGAACGGTATGCGGGCAAATGGGGGCGCTTTTGGTCCATTGGCAGCAGCCGATGAGCCTAAGAATGACGACCATGTCTCGGATTTAGCAATGCTGGACACGTCCAATGGCTGATCAAACCGGGGAATAGCAATTAGTTTTGAGAAGTTCGAGCATCTTTTCAGACCATTGATAGTGCCAGTCATCTTTTCTCGAAGATCCCAGGTCCGGCCGTTGTATACAGCTGCGTCGTCGAAGAAGACAAACTATGATTCGTAGGGTTAGCCGTCTCCGCAGTGTACAGTTGCAAAAGGGCAACACAAAAGGAAACTTGCCTTGGGGTTGATTTGGACAGCCCTTTGCAAAATTCCGCTAACACCCATATCGGTAGACGCGCTTGTGAAAATTGCACCAAGCCACGTTGTAGCCAAGAACACAAGCAAAGTGCTGTACGAATTGGCGCCGATAGCGACAACACGGTCTCCCTCCTGCACCCCACGCCCAGCGAGTGCCGAGGCCAACCGAGATGTATCATGACGCAGCTCACTCCATGATACGTTGCGTTTCTCTGTATTACCCTCGCGTATCGCTGTGATGGCAATCTTGTCATCCTCCTTACCACAAATTCCGTTATGGTCTTTTGCATCAGATGCACCGCGAGAGTAGAGTATGTTCTCAGCCCAGTTCAAGCGCACGCCCGAGAACCAACGAGGAACGCTATCTATCGGCGCGGCTTCATCAACCACGATGGAGTAACAGCCTTCGTGGATAATATTGGCCCATTCAAACAGCTGGGCGTAGAAAGCGGATCTATTGTGAATGGAATACTCGTAGAGCCCGGTGAAAGTCTGCAGCCAGGATAATGCGATTAGAGTAGACTCTAAATCAGGCAGCCTCCTGCCGGAAGCCGGATTGTAACTTTACCTCTAGTTTGGTGCCTTGTGTTGCATTTATCATCTGCATGAACTTGTACATCTCTGTGCTTTGGATATTTTTATGCTCCCAGAGCTTGCGGGGCATCGCATGTTCAACCATCTTTTGGTTACTTGGTAGGACTAGGACTGAATGAACGCCTGTAAACGCGTTTTGATACTAATGTAGAAGCCCTCCTGCTCCTTCAATTATATGCGGCTTTCCCTTGTCGGTGGTGGGGCGGCTTGAAGCCGAGACCGGCCGGGATCTTTCTTGGTTGGGAGCCCGGCATCATGGACTGCCTACTGTAGTCTGACCCCAGGAATCAAACTCTATGAGACGCAAAAGCTAAAGTGCCACTACTTCATACTTGAACTTGAGGTCCCCTATTCATGAAAATATGTCGTTGCCACTTCTACAGTATATGCTAAAGAGCTTCCCAGACAAATCAAGAGGGCCATCGCTTTGTTAAGTCCGCCTGAAGCGACTGTCTCCGAATCTGGCAATTTCCATTCAAGTATTTAGAAATTGGAAGGCGATGGATCTTATGAAGCAGCTTTCCATTTTAAAGTACGGTCTAAATTAGTCCAAGTCTAGCCCTAGGCTCTCAGGCATCTCCAGCTGCCGCTGGACTTGCTGCGCACATCTAGCTACCGTCGCACCATCAATAACTCGGTGGTCAGCGCTCCAACTCAAGATTGCTCGCTTCTTCTTAACGAGCTTCTCAATCCCATCACTATCTTTCTCAAATACAGGCTCGCTTTCGACCTTGCCTATAGCCATAATGGCAACCATAGGGGGTAAAATGACTGGTGCCACCACCTGGCCGCCAATGCTGCCAATATTGCTGACTACAATGGTGCCATCTATCATGTCATTTGGACTTAGCTTTCCATCTCTCGCCAGCTGCCCGAGACGGGAAATCTCTGCAGCTAGTGAAAGCAAAGAGTGGCGCTTCACGTCTCGTACTACGGGCACTAGGAGTCCTTTGGGGCTGTCCACCGCCATCCCAAAGTTATGCTGGCCTCTCATGATGAGCTCAGGGTTTTGACCATCGCCAGACGCGCTTGCATCCAAGATTGCGTTCAATATGGGGACCTCGGTGATTGCGTCTGAAACGGCCTTCATAATAAATGGAAGCGGCGTGAGCTTCAATGCATTGCCGTTGTGGTGTCGTAATGCCAATGAGGGGTTCGACTTGAAGCGCTCACATAGGTCCATTATGGCTGTCAGGTCGACTTTGTGTGTGTAGAGAAAGTGCGGAATAGCCAGAGATCTCGTCATTGTTTTGAACATACTCATTTGTATAGGTGTCATTGTTACTCGACGGTCATTGTAGTCAGCGCCGTTCACGGTGGAGGGTTGGATCTTTGCCTGCTGCTTGTGAAAGGATTCGTTGGCATCAGACTTGATATATCGCATAATATCTTCTTTTAGGATGGTTCCTTCCTTGCCGGTACCCTTGACATGTTTGATGTCAATGTTTTTCTCCTTGAGTAGTCGCCTCAACGCTGGGGTAATCGGCGTCGGGTTACTGGTGCTGTTTGGCGATGCTTGCTGGTCTGTTTCATCCAGTATGCGAGTTGGCATGGAGCTTTCTGAGAGCGATTCCTGCTCCACGGGCAGCTGTGATCCCGAGGTTAGCTCCTGGGTCTTCTTGTCGTTTCCTTCACCCAAGCTTGTGTCTGACAAATGAGCTCCGTCATGACTGTCGCTGGAGACATCGATATCGAGAAGTGCCTGCAATTAATCAGCCCCTGTCGCGTATCTTCATCCCCTGGTTTGCTAATTTGCTGAAGCTTACACTCCCAACTTTGGCCAGGTCACCAACTTCGTAATGTATTTTCTCAATGATACCTTCGAATCTCGAGGTAATCTTTAAAGCGGTCAGACAGAACACATCAGAACGTTGCTGCCGGCGCACTCAAACTTACTTCAACTGCGGCTTTGTCGGACTGCACTTCGCAAATGAGATCAAATTGTTCCACCCTATCTCCAGGCTTCACAGCCCAAGACATGACCTGACATTCCGTAATTCCTGCAGTATCAAGCCCGCCTGGGGTTAGGGTGGATACGCATTGAGAGCAGAGAGTCAAGATGGATGCTAACCTTCACCAATGTCCGCAAGCAAGTATGGCTTCGAGATGCGTAATGCTGGTGTGCTTCCTAGCCAACGATAGTTGGGTATTTGGCTCCTTGTCCTCACGCCCGTGGATCTGACTGTCTTGCAGGCGGTTGCGATGGTCCTTACCATCAACACTGGGGTTCGGTGCCAGGGGTGCATCATGGCTGTGGTGGCTTTGAATGATTACAGTGAGCAGAATGAAATGTCATTGAAGGCAATAGTTCTCGTTGTAATTTCCCAACATTCCATCTTCGATTTGCAAGTAAGAAAGGTCGCCGCCGGCCTCATGGCTAGACCGTGCCCGAAAGCCGGCCCGGGTCGGGCTACGGGCATCTCTCGGCTTCGCTCATGGCGTCTGACCAGCATTTCAACACCAACGCTATTATTCTGCAGCTTGCCTCGGTATTCGTACGCTTCCGAATCGGGTGCCAGGGCTTCAGAGTGATTCGTACGTCAGGATCTTTAGAACCTATTAGGGTCTATCACGCTGTGCGCTTGGTTGACATAGGCTTTTCCCAATCTTGTCCTCTCACGCAGTCGGCTAACACCATGGGACCTTTTACGTCAGGTATCAGAGCCTTTTCTCTTGTTTCTCGTTACTCGCGTCTTGGTCGCCATAACGGTCATCGATGGACTTCGACTTCAGTCCCGGCCGCTACTGATTATGTGTTGTATGTTCTCACTCTGCCTCCAAAGCGACTGACCAAGTACCAGGAGATTAGACTGACATAGGCTGAGGACAGCCCTCGTTTCCCTGGTGCTGTCGACAGCCCGTTCAGCTCCAAGATGGAGTGGGTTATTCCCGCCGAGCACGCGCGAATTCCGACCTTTCGCATATTGAATATGGAAAACAAGATTGAGAATCCAGCGCTCCTTACCTCAAACGTATCCAAGGATGAGATAATACAATGGTACAAAAACATGGTGACTAGTATGTTCGGCTGCTGTCTTGCTTCTCGCGTGACTGGGCTGATGTAGGAATCTTCTTTCGCGAAGTCAATATCATGGACAGCATCATGTTCGATGCCCAGAGACACGGTCGCGTTAGCTTCTACATGGTATGCTTTCCCTTCAAATACTCAGTATACTCATATACTCCTAGACCTGAGCAATTTATGCACTCATTGAGGAACTGTTTTTCACCATTATTAGGTCTCCCATGGTGAAGAAGGTCTCATAATCGGATCAGCCGCCGCACTGGGACCAAGAGACGTTATTACGTGCCAATACCGAGAGCATGGCATTTTCTTACAACGCGGGTTTGTTCTCAAAGATTTTATGAGCCAGTTGACCGCAAATTGCAATGATCCTGGAAAGGGACGGAATATGCCGAACCACTACACTGGCAGGTCGAAAGTCGGAGCGGTATGTGTGTTGCTTGCCACCATTCGAGCTAGACGCTGACTTTTCAGCATTCTGTGGCGTCAACACTTGGCACTCAAATACCCCATGCTGTTGGTGCAGGATATGCTCTAAAACTCCAGGACCAACGAAGCCCAGATACAGCTCCCAGGGTCGCTGTGGCATATTTTGGTGAAGGTGCTGCTAGTGAGGGCGATTTTCATGGTGCTCTCAACATGGCTGCCACAATGAGTAGCCCTGTCATCTTCATCTGCCGTAACAACGGCTTCGCCATCTCCACTCCAGCCTCGGAGCAGTACAAAGGCGATGGCATCGCAAGTCGAGGAGCCGGGTACGGGATAGAGACGCTCCGTGTCGATGGGACGGATATCTTCGCGGTCTACGAGGCCACGAAAGTCGCAAGGCAAAAAGCTCTCGAGCATGGTGGTCGTCCTATTCTGCTCGAGTTGATGAGTTACCGCATTTCCCATCACAGCACTAGCGATGACAGTTCGTCATACCGTAGCCATGAAGAGGTTGCTTCTTGGAAAGACTCACCGCACCGTAATTCGATCATGCGGTTACGCCAGTGGTTGGAACACGAAGACCTATGGAGTGAAGACATGGATAAACTTTTCAGAGCGCAGGTCCGCAAGGACGTTGTTCAAGGATTAGGTTCGGCCGAGAAGGAGAAGAAACCAAGTCTGGCCTCTATCTTTACGGATGTTTATGCCGAATTAACGGAGGAGTCTGATGCCCAGAGACGGGAGCTGAAGCGCCTTATCGAAAAATACCCGGCCGAGTATGATATCGACAATCATGTAGGCGGTATCGAGGGACTATAGTTGCCGGATGAATGAGAGTCTTTTTTAGCATATCGGACTTCATACGTTCCTTAATATCGTGCCTTGCTCGCCATGCAGGGGGTTAATGAGCTTTTGTCATTCCACATCAAGCATAGAGATAACATCAATCGTATTCCCGTTGCGAATGTTACATCTTTTGTCTGTATAGAGTCTCTTATCAACTCTTGCAGGCAAGCTGTAAAGGAAATTAGCTTGTGTCCTTTTGCGCAGTACGGTCACTGAATTAAAAGATTTTATGAGTTGGACGTATATAGTTTGCCCGGGTGTACTCTATGAACATGTAGTTGGCTTTGGTATACGGACTCTCCCAAGCTTTTGCTATGTATATATTCTTCTAAGGGACATCCTATCTACTTGCTTATCTTCGAAATCACTCATCTTCGAGACTCCGAAGAATGTTATCGTACACTCCTGTGATTATAGATTAGCAAGATAGATCCGAGTTTGGGTATGGAGAGGAAGTGGCATACTCGTTACGTCAGGGAAAATGTACTTTTCATACGATAGGCCCGTGTGAGTTGTCCACCCGCCAAGTCTCCTGACAGGGCTTTTAAGGTGGAACAACAGATTTTCTTGTATCGTAGCTGCGATCTCAGAGCCGACTCCATAGTTAACCATACTTTCGTGGACAATTATGGCGCGTCCTGTCTTCCGAACACTGGCTAGCACAGTCTCCCTATCCCACGGGTATATGGAGCGAAGGTCAATTAGCTCGATGCTAACGTCCGTTCTGTCTTTCTTGACTGCTTCTATAGCCTGCTGGCAAGTGTATAGTGGACGCCCGTAGGATATTATTGTCAGGTCACTGCCAGGTTGGAGAACCTCCGCTTTGCCCAACGGCAACGTATATGTCTCGTCAGGTACCTCCTCAGTCGCTGCGCGGTACAAGATCTTCGGCTCCATGAATATGACGGGATCTTTTGAGTGTAGAATAGCAGATAAAAGAAGCCCTTTAGCTTGCGTGGGAGATCTGGGCATGACTATCCGAAATCCAGGTACATGGCTGAAAAGCGATTCAGGCGACTGTGTATGATAGCTGAGTTTCTTTCAGTCAGCCGCGTCACGCAAGAAGCTTTCTGGTCAAGAAGTGTGGAAATCATCTTGCAGGTACTTACAGCGCACCGTGTCCGACACCCCCACAAGGCATGCGAATGACAAGACCGCCAAGATTAGCACCGCTCGTTCCTTCTCGATATCGGAACTTGGACGCTTCGTTCACAATCTGGTCAAAAGCAGGGAAAACATAGTCCGCGAATTGGATTTCAACTACAGGCTTCATGCCTTCCGCAGCAGCTCCGATAGCAACGCCGACCATTCCCTGCTCTGTGATTGGCGAATTGAAGACCCTGTCTTTTCCAAATTCCTTTTGCAGGCCGGAAGTGCATCTAAAGACACCACCAAATGCTACATCCTGTCCATAACAGAGCACACGGTCTGAAGATGCCAAAGCCGTGTGCAGCGCAGAGTTGATCGACTGGAAGAGATTGAGTCTTGTTGAAAGCCCTGCTGTAGGCAAACCTGGAGTTTGCGCGAAAGTGTCTCTCTTGTGGTGCAGTAGCGGAGAGGTGCTAAAATCTGTAGGGAGGTTCAGACGCCGTGCTGGCTGGCCGTTAGAGAGGGTCGCGAATGTAGACGAGTGGTGTGGACGAACAGCCGTGATCAAATTACGCGAATGCTTATTCCAGGCCATTATGTTAGAGAATTTGAACCAAGGAAACCAAACATGCAATGATCTAGTGATAAACATGGCCAAACCATCTATACTAAGATATAAGTACAGTCAAATTTGGCCGATTACTTAGAACCGCGAATAACCGCAGCGAGACCTGGCAACGGTGGGCTTTTTGCGCGGAAGATTTGCGGCCGGTGGCTCTGATCCTACAGTATTTTGGCAATCAGAGTATTCGGGGAGGCTGGTCGTGCAACATCAAGCCTGGGCCAATCTGTTCGCAGCCCGAGGCCGCGCAATCACATCCGTGGCTGCGGCCGGGGTCGGCTTGGAGACTCGGGCTCCAGATAAGGGCCCCTGCCAGAAAGCGGCGGACCCGCGTTTTGAGCTAGCATAGCCGTGAATGGTCACCAATACCCCAGTTTTCCAATCTGTCCTAGTTGCTTGGTGGGCTTACAGGGGTTAAGGTTCTACCCCGCAGTAACGCTCCTCATCTCATGATGCTGAGATGCCTGTCAATGAACGTAGAGGATCTGTACATACAGTAGGGGAGAGTAGACTTTTTGAGCTACACATGTCAACTGGAACGACTTATAAGTCCGACCGTGCTTGCTTTGTGAAATCCTTCAACGAAGGTTTTTCACTTGAGATTTTACCTGAGACGACTGGCTTACCATCAAGTTGCTTCAAGAACGACGATTCGAAACAGCAACATGACTAGCCTTTCATTCGCTTTGCTTCCTTTGTTAGCGGGGGTTGTCTTGCTACTCCTTAAGCTAGTCAAGGTTGGCTCTAGGCCTGCCGGATACCCACCTGGGCCTCCAACGCTGCCTCTGCTGGGTAACTTGCATCTTGTGCGTACCTTATTGACTTCGAACTCAGAGAGATTTCGATCCTGATAGATTCACATAGATGCCAGTCTCTAAGCCGCACCTTCAATTGCAAAAGTGGGCCAAGGAATACGGGTAGCTTTGCCTCTCTTTTCGGACAGAAACATTTCTCACTATACTGGCAGGCCAATCTATTCGCTAGTTTTGGGCACCAAGACAATGGTCGTGTTGTCCTCCGACACTGTTGTCAAGGAGGTGCTGGACAAGAGGAGCGGAAACTACTCAGACCGGCCAGACATGTTTATCGGACAGAGGATTGCCAGTGGAAACCTCCGACTGGTCGTCATGGTTAGCTAGCCACTGATCCAGAATCGAACATGCATGGGTTATTCTGACCTGAACAGAGATACGGCGACAACTGGCGTATGATTCACCGCATGATTCACAATTTTCTCAACATCAAGGCTGCCATCACCTATGTACCTTACCAAGAGCTAGAGAACAAATTCCTCCTGGAAGGTCTTTTGGATACCCCGGACGACCTACTCCGCCACGTCCGGAGATTCACATACTCTCTCTCCACCCAAATGATATATGGTTATCGCTGCGTCAATAACAAGGACCCGAATCTCATGCAGCTCTTTGAGGTAAGATAGCCCTGAGGCTATTGGCTAGACGTTGTAACTTTCGTGGGCCTGCCACTAATTCTTCCCAGAGTTTTGAAAAATGGGGTGAGCTATCAGGGAGTTCCAGCGCTCAAGTGGCGGATCTCTATCCAATTTTGCAGAAGCTGCCGGATTTCTTGGCCCCAAACGTTAGTTACGCTAAAAGCTTATTCGCGGTCGAAAGAAAGAATTATGTCCACCACTGGATGAAGTCAAAACAAGCGTTGGATAGCGGCAAAGGCTTGGTACGTTCTTGCTCGTGATACTCATGGAATGAATATACCACGGGGTAAGGCTGACTGTAATACCAGCCTTGTTTCTGCAATGACGTTTACAGAGCTCAATCAAAGGAAGGCTTTGATGACGATGCGGCAGGCTACATCAGTGGCTCACTACTGGAGGCAGGATCGGATACTACATCGTCCACTTTGTATGGTTTCATTCAGGCCATCCTCGTTTGGCCTGAGGTGCAACGCAAGGCTCAGGAAGAAATCGATCGCGTGGTCGGTCCTGATCGTCTTCCAACAATGGAAGATTATGAAAACCTACCGTACATCCGCTGCTGTATCAAGGAAAGCCTACGATGGATGCCTACGGTTATTCTTGGCGTGCCGCATGCTGCATTGAAGGATGACAATTATATGGGCTATACGATTCCCCAGGGCGCTACAGTAGTGAACAATGTCTGGTACGTATTCCTCATGCCGAGAAATTTGAAATCGACTATATGCATCCAAGAGATTTGGGATTAACAAAAATTGCAAAGGGCTATTCACATGGATCCTAACCGGTCTGACGAACCACGAGTTTTCAAGCCAGAACGGTTCACGGGCGATAATACTACCCTCTTTCAATCTGCGATGGGTGATACGAAGAAACGTGACAACTTTGTTTTTGGAGCTGGCCGCCGCATGTGCCAGGGTATTCATATTGCCGAAAGATCTCTCTTTTTGGGTATTTCGCGCCTCATTTGGGCATTCAATTTTTCCCCGGCCAAAGATGAGCAGGGTCAGCTCTTTAACTACGATGTGGAAGACCTTGTCGGGGGTATCACGGTGCAGCCAAATGAGTACCCGGTCCACATCGAGCCTCGATCTGCGGGTAAGGTAAAAATTATCAGATCGAGCGTAGAGGATTGCAAGAAGCTTCTGGATCCACAAACCCTTCAGTGGAAGAGTGTGCCTGAGGGTATGGCGTTCAGCACTTGGATGCCAGAACACATTGCGGCTTAAAGACTCTAATCCCCTGGTATCTCTGTTCTGATCATTACCATGACTGTGCGGGAATTATTTAATTTGTTATCTTTGGCCACGCAGCTTCATAGGCTAGTATGGATACGTCAAGTAGGCTACATGCGAGCTTAGTAGTAATTATGTCATATTCAGGCTGTGTCTAATCTTCTAATATTGAGGCCCTACATGAATATCTTGACTTAAAAAGTAATATAAGCATACAGTCTTTATATCGTTCCCTTCTTCTGACTTCACGCACCAATCTCCCCATTCAGACTTAGACATATCACAGAGATATCTACCCTGCATGTACCTAACATTGGAACTGAACGACAGCCCATGGCCTCTTCTCTAACAATAGTCAGGCAGTGGTTTAGCAGAGCAGACCTGGGCGAAATGGGAAGGAATCTGGAACTGGTTGCATAGCGGTGCTATTGCAGCGTCGATTTGACACCTGGGCAGATCCTCATATAATATATGCAGATTTTATGGGCTAGATGATTGACCGCACCTTCGTAAACATCAGAAAGACCCACGAAAGTACTGGAACTGTAGAACAAACAGACTTGGAGGCACGAATTGAACAAATAAATGCATCAAATCCAGTGCAAAGGAGTTAGGAGGCGAGCGCAGGCAATAAGCAAACTTGATTAGGACCGAAAAACCACCGATTCAGATCTCTAAAGTCTAACTAGCTCTATGACGCACAAATGCAAAAGCTAAGTATACCAAGTAGACTTTCCAAGGCGAATGGCAAACAAACATATTTTCAATCGCAAAAACAAACACAGTAGACCCGAAAAGGTGTAACAGTGGGAAACAATAAATCAAAAATTCAAAAGTCAAAAAGTCAAAAATCAAAAATCAATAGTTGAGCAGGGCAGAAGCACCAGGCTCGCTCGAGATGTAGATCACCTCGTGGTTGTCAGAGAAACCATTGAAACGAGTGGCACTGCACTTGGTGTAAGCACCCATCTCTTCGAAGTAGAGCCAGTCACCGGTATTGAGGAGACCAGGCAGATCAATCCGCTCACTGATCACATCAATACCATCGCAGGTGGGGCCCCAGATCGAGTACGAGATGTTTTCCGAAGTCGCAGAATTCGGAGTGCCCTGCTCGGGGTTGGCCGCAGACGAAAGGATCTGGGCAACGGGGTGCTGATGGTCGAAAATAATATTCGAGAAGTTGCCATAGACACCGTCGTTGAGGTAGATCATGTACGCATCGCGGGAGGGATCCATCGGGTCCGGAACGTCACGTCGAGCAATAATGTTGGCTGCCAGGGTAAAGGCATTGGCGACGTAGTAGCGACCAGGCTCAGCGATGATGCGGACATTGGGCGGGAAGTAGGTCTCCAAAGCGTCGCCCAGGATGGCCGAGAATTTCTCGAAAGTATCCTGGCAGAAACCACCACCAACGTCGAGGGTGTGAAGCTCATGTCCAATCTCCTCGGCCTGATCGAAGACCAGGCGGGCATCCTGGACCGCCTTAAGGAAAGCACGGGGGTCCTCGGCGCCCGAGCCGACGTGGAAGCTGACACCAACGACCTTCAGTTCGAGCTGGTGGGCAAGCTGGAGCAGCTGTTGGGCCACATCCAGGGAAGCACCGAACTTCATGCTCAATCGGCACAGGCTGGTTGAGTCGTCGGTCAGGATACGGAGGTAGAGTTCAGCCTCCGGGAAATGGGTCTTGATCTTGTACAGCTCGTCGGCATTATCAAAAGTCATTTGCTTGACACCCACCTCCTTGGCGTAGCGGAGGTAGGATTTGGTCTTGCACGGCTGGGCGTAAATGATTCGGCTGGGATCGATGCCCGTCTGAAGGGCAAGATCGATCTCGGACTTGGAAGCACAGTCAAATCCGTTGCCAAGCTGGGCCATGAGACGAAGGACCTCAGGGTCTGGGTTGCACTTGACAGCTGCAGGGGCCAGTTAGTCAGGTCCGAGGGAGTAGCTCACTGCGAAGCAGACGCGAAACGCTTACCATAGAAAGGCTTAACACGGCCCAAGTTCATCTTCCACTGCATATGCTGGCGATACACCTCGCCCATATCAGCGACATAAAAAGCATCCTCCTCTCCCGCTCCACAGCGGTCCACATCCACCTCAGCGGCACGCTTCTTCAATATGTCAAGGACCAGGTCCTTGGCAGCCAACCGAGATTGCAACAATTCCTCCCCATGGTTGCTGGTCACACCAAGATCACGACAGATGTGGTTCTTCATGGTGCATACCTCAACAGGGGTAATACACGCAGTCGGTGCCATATCCGTACAGCTGCGACTCAGCACGGAAACGGATTCAAAAGATTGGTATAATAAAAGAAAGTAGACGTTTTACGCGACTGCGCGTTAGGGAGGGCGAAAAGTTTCGCAACCGAAGTTGACTGGACCAAGCCTCCTAGACCCTTCCTCCTTAAGAGGAAGAACCTTCAGAGAAGTCCTATGCGGCAGCTCAAGGTTTGAGGGATGATCGTGGGGCGTCAACGGGGTGAAAAAAGGCGCACCCGACGGAAGCTCAGCGAGAAGCAGGAGGTGGAATGTTGTTAAGAGTGTCCCGGAGACGTCGAGTGGATACAATTTGGCTGAGAAGCACAAATGAGGCTGGAGCCGTGATGCCGGTGATGCCTTAGTCGAACCTAAGGCAGTAAAAAAAAAAGCTAGAAAATGGACACGATGTGTGACGCTACCATAAGTTAGTCAACCTGAGGGTAGACGAAAATAAAATATGAGAGAAAAAAATGGACGGCTGAGGTTCGGGGGAAGTTCAGATTTTTCAGCTTTCACCAAGGCGGTGTTTAGGGCATGAAGGACACAGACACAAAGGGTATAGTGGTAATTAAATCACGCACTGTGACACACCAATAGCCATCGAGTCGAGGTACATTAAACCAAGCAAAAAAAAAAGTACTCACCTAGATGATCCCAAACACGAGGGGAAAGAAAAGGAAAGTCCACTTGCTCTGGGGGAAAAACTATGGAACTGCTTACGGCATCCAGGCCCAGGGTTCAAACCGTTCCCGCAAAGAGAGTCCACACACACAAAAACTGGGATCTTCCCCCTCCGAGACCCAGTTTTCTTCTACCTATCCACTATGCGCGATTTCTATACTTGTTTTCGTGTTAGCTGAATGTAGGTAATAGGTACGATATGCATGTACGTGCGTGCCTGCGTATTGCATACTGTAGCGCACACCGTGGTAATTCTCGGGATGCTAAAAAAAAAAAACATGCGGTGTAGTCATCCCTGTCAATATTACGCTAGGAAATCTTCTTTAGTGGACGATGATATGTATGGTGATACATAAAGTACTCATACATGCTGGTGAGTAACCCCCACGTCAAAGCTAATTCCTTGAGTTTAAGAGAAAAAAGTATTACAAGGTAGCGACGGGTTTCCCAAAACGTTACAGGCAAGTGCCAGAACAAATCGAACAAGCTCCCCGCGCTAACGCTAATAAGGGCGAGAACCTCGGGTATGACGCACCAGTGGATTGGGCGCACGGACCATTAAGCTCCGCTCTGATCAACATGCACTATGACACGTCGACATGTTCACGCCGGTAGCAGTACAACTCAATTGTATCGCTTTGGTCATGCTGTGATGGTAACGGGACAGTTGTCTGCTGGGCAGTAAATGCCGCATCCTTCATCAAATCGAAGAAGATGGCTTCGCTCTCGTGCCGCCGCTTCAGGGCCACTAGAATCAACGCGTCCGGGGAAGTCCGGACCAATCGGTCTAGAACTGAAACTAAGGTGGGCAAGCTGTCTGCATTATAGGTACAGTCGGAGACAAGGATCAAATCAATGGGCTGGCTGCAGAGGTTTGGTGGCGGCTCATCCCAGTCAAGGTTTTGATACCGGACCGACGAGGACGGCTTGAGATGGGCCTCATCAATGTTGCGCATTACAATTTTCTCAACCTCAGGGAGGTCGGTGAGGAGCACATTGCATTGGTCAAGCATTGTTGCCAGTGCAATGCCCACAATACCACATCCAGCGCCCAATTCCACTGCCTGAAGGGCCGAGCCGCGTGGCTTGAGCAGCTGATCGAGAAGAGGAATGGCTGTGGCTGTGCCGGTGATGGATTGATTGAGGAAAATGATCGATGCAAGTGCCGCATCCCTGCATGAATAAATCAAATTAAAATGAAGAAGCGAGCTGAAGGAGAATGCCTATTACCAAATGTGTCGGGCAATGCTATTGCCCGTCTCCTCCCAAATTTTCAGAGTTGGATCAGATTTGCTTCTCATGCTGAATTCTCGCTGAATCAATTTCTCAGCTGGCTCTGATTGCCACTTAAAGGGGGCACTACAGCCCGATATCACCAGCGGTGTGGTGTCAATCCCAAGTATATCTTGCGGGATAGTCTGGGTCCGGATCTGGAACACTGCTTCGTGTTGGGAGACATGGTCGATTGAATATGGTCCCATGGAGATCAAAAGTTGTCGCGAGCCAGCTTGCCATTTTTGGGAACTCTGATCAATGGTTTCCCGGGGTGAACGCTGGGCCCAGGTTGCCACTAAATCCACATCTTCTGCTAGAAAATCATCCCCGAGATCAGTGGTGATGCAAATGAGAGCAGTGATAAAGACGGATTTTTTCTGCTGTGGTCGGGACAACTTGGCATTTTTCTTTTCTTGGTGAAACTTTGGGGGCTTTAAAAAGCGAATGTAATAAACCATGGTCAGAATTACTTTTGAATACCCAATTTTCTCTTATGCTTCAAATCCATTTTATCTTTTTTCTTTTTCTTTTCCTTTTTTTACCCCAGACCTTGGTATCACGTGTCAGCTGACTAACCCAGTAACCAGATGACATCGCTCGAATACCCCAACAATTGCGCGGCCCCGGACCTCACGTTCCTCAACCCCCTTACGATGAATTGACTTCCGCCCTTTCCGGTTTCTCCTGCTCACCCTGACCGTGCTGCAAGATGATGCGATCGCGCGATCCGCGCATCCGGCAGCGAATCAACCAGATCTCCCATAATATCGAGTCCGCCAACGAGACCGCCCAGGAAGGACTATACGCTTTTTCACAAAACTACTTGTCTCCATGTGTGGCCTCCATTGGCAACTGCATTAATGGATGTACCGCTCCTTGTTTCCCAAGCCGGGAAGATCAGCTGAGGCGCCGGCGCCGGGATAATGCCGAGGCCAACTTCGATTTCTACGATGACTGGGATAACGCCGAGGAAGAGGATAGCTTGCTAGGATGGGGTACCGGAGAATTGGATCGCCTTCTAGCGGGCAGTGGGTTGACCCGAAATACAGCAGAGCAGCCACGCCGGCCAAGAAGGATGAGTTACGGTACACGTAACACAAGACGGAGGAGTACAGTACACATCCCGGATGATCGCAGCGACCCCACGGTCATCCCTAGCTCTTCACTGATCGGATTTCTGGAACGCTTTCCCTGGAGGTTTGGGGCGAAAGGAATCAAGTATCGTCCCTCCGCAGCGGACTTGCAAGAACACCCGGGCAGCTCGCGACGCTATGCACACGAAGATGAGCCATTAATGGAAGCGACCGAGGATGAAGGAGGTCTAATATCCTATAATGAAAATAGAAGGGATCGAAGTGGGACTGGCTCGTCTCGCGATACATCCAACTCACTGAGCTCTCGTGGAGATCTGCTACCGAGTGATGAAGAAGAAGACGCAGTTCCGCTGGACGATGAATTTGCTCTTGTTTTTGGACGTCGTGGGACTGGTTTGGAGTCGGATGATCAGGGCTCCAAGTCAGAAATGGTGAGATCTGCTTCTGGTACTTCCAGTTTAGGGGATGCATCGTCCAAGAAGTCAAATCGCAAGAAGAAAAAGAAGCGTTCATCCACAAAATCACCAATGAGCACAGACCAAGAGATCATACACGGTTTCAATCCCCCGTCAATGGCGGATCTGCAAGTCGAGAAGGATCAGGCGGCACATGAGGAATTAATGATCAAGAAGAACCGAATTGCCGCACAAGAACTAGCTGCTAAGCGGGGTCTTCATCTTGACAACAGTCACCAGGTACACAGCACTATGAATCATTTCGCAATGTAATTAAACGCTGACATTGTTTGCAGCCCACATCACCCTCAACGACAAAGGAACCAATACCCAGGCAACCCTCTCAACAAAGCCTCTTACCGATGGGCGAACAGCAAGTCGATCATACTGATCAAAAGTCCATCGGGTCATCTATCCGACGGCTTTCGGGCGAACAAACAGAACCATTCCCACCATTTCCGCTACCAGAATCTCCTGACATATTATCCCGACCCACCTCCATTAATGATCCAGGTAACGGGGTAAATCTGGCTGGTGAATCCAGTCGCCACAATACTGACGTCTCATGAAGCTCGCTCTTAGCTTCTGCTGAAGATGATGCTATGTGATATGCTCAGTCGATCTATTACATCCACGCACGATATGATGACCCTTGTTTTCACTGTACTTATACCCCACCGATGCTGGTGCAATATATTGATTGCGGCTTTCAAGTCTTCCTAATTCGAACTGTACCTAGTACGTACTAAAGCACTGTAAATAAAACTCGAGAAAATTGCTTGCCCAATCAAAAATGCACTGAGCTATTGCATGCAAAACCGCCTGTGGTGTGATAGTAAGCACAACCAGTAATGATCAATTCTTTCATCCTATTCTGGTGTGCTCAAGAGCCCTGGAGGTATCTATCATGGGAACTCGATGAAGAAACATACGTACCGTGATCGTCGGAGATAAGATAATCCCTAAATCCGGTCCCCTCCCCTGTTGCGTAAACGACTGAATGACAGGGACGATTGCATGCAGTTATTATAGCTTCTTAGGGTATCGAATAAGCGAAGATTTCAAGTGGGTGATTGATATCAATTGTTTATCATTCATTTATTCTAAGCATACATGGTTGTAGTACAGAATATGTAGGGATCAACCCAATGTTTCCAACACCGCCTTATCACATAGTAGTGACCTCGGAGATAACCTTGGAAATCGCACAGAATCCAACTAACTTTCCTATCTAATCCTGTGCAAACAACAACGTCTCCCACTAGCTCCATCCATCATTATTTTAAATACCGCATAATGGCCAAAGCCAGGACTGAGTCTGAAAGGCGAGCCGCTCTTACCAAGGGTAGGGCTCCGCACGAGCTACCTTGGTATAAAACAGATTTCGAAGAGGTGCCGGAACCTGCGAAGACCATCCTGGAGAATTATAGCAAGATTCCACCAGATCAGGTGCTACAGCATGTGAAAGATGTGGTTAGTCAAGTCTCGGTTCTAAGCACCGATACACTAATTGACATGTAATATTTTCCTTAGCGGGATCGCGCTTTCGAAGTGGTAAGTCCCTCCATACTCAGTCCCACCTGAGCATAGATTGGGTTGATTAACCACTATCATGCCTCGGTCAATGCTAATTTCAAGTTGCGACCTAGTTCCCTTATCCTTGTATCGGGTCATTCCGGTTCCTGGATATGAGTATCCCCAAGTTACCAGTCTACCCTGAGATTCTCGAACGATTGAAATCAGGCCAGAAGCTTCTGGATATGGGCTGTGCTATTGGACAAGAGCTGCGGCACCTGGTATGTCGATGTGGATATCCCCTAGGCAATGCCACGCTCCCATTCAAGCTCCTAAACAAAAACAGGCTTACGACGGTGTCCCATCCGAAAATTTATACGCCTCTGACCTCCACAAAAAATTCTTTAACATGGGCTATGACCTCTTCGCGGACCGTGAAACCCTCAAATCCAAGTTCATCGCATCTGACATCTTCGACGATGACTCCGATCTCGTGAGAGACCTCACTGGTAAACTGGATATCATCAACACGGCCTCGTTCTTTCACCTGTTCGGTTGGGACCAGCAGATAGTTGTTGCCAAGCGCGTTGTTAGCTTGCTTCGTGCACAGCCTGGTTCACTTCTGATTGGACGCCAGGTTGGGTGTGCTGATCCTGACGATACTAATAATGAGGGCAAGGAGTCACTGATTTACCGCCATAATCTGGAGACATGGAAGAGCCTTTGGAGACAGGTTCAGGAGGAGACCGGGACGCAATGGGAGATTGAGGGGGGATTTGAGGATTGGAGTGCCTATACTAAAGGTGTAATGAGGGTTCTCCATGGCGATAACCCCATTAGGATTTGGTTCGTTGTGAGGCGGGTTTAGATGCATGTCTGTGAACGGACCGTGGTATGAGTATAGGTCAATTCTATCGTATGGAATCTATGTGGGGCTGTGCTCAATTATGGTGGGTTTGATATATATTCATTATGGGTTTGAGATCCAATCTACTCTGTGCTGTTCCAGACTGTATTTGCTTCAAAGGACTGAGCACTGCTGTCCAGCAAGCTCGCATAGGGGACAGGCAGGCTGGCAGGTAGCTGAGAGAGAGATTTGTGGGTCTGTGAAAATGTGGTGGAGTCCTCAAATAACCAAGGCGGATTTGCTAAAGACATGATTTCATGGTCGAAGATCGTCCACGAATCATCGGCACCAGGGCCCGGAAACACCAATGCAGAACTTGTGTCTGGCGGGGTATGCATGGCCTGCATGCTGGATTCGAGGCGCTGTAATAGAACAGTGTGTATACTCACTGTAGTTTGAGAGCTTCGCTCTAGGCTTTGAAGGTGGGATTGAATGAGGTGTAGGTCTATAATTTGTTAAAAGTGATTATATTAGTGGGACTGGGAACTTATACCATCTTGGTGGGTAATGCCATCCTCTACTCCACGAAGGAGGAGGATAGCAGCCCATGTTATCATCTGGCTCGAGTTTTAGCAAACCCCATATAGGATATTAAGGACCATGCTCACTATCAGATCCCAATTTGACCAAATACTTGCATCATCTTGGCGCAGTCTTAATACTGCTCGTGCTGACACCAGCAGCTCATGTCTCTCGACAGGACTAATATTAGCCGAGCTGAGATCAAATCCCCGAGCAGGATGGTAGATTGAGAGCACATAAAGCTTGTGCAAATGATACTGTAACAATATCAAAATACCCTGTCGGTCAGACGGGGATGGCTCTTGACCAGAAGGCTGGCATCAGCAAATGATAAAACATCAGTCGGGGTCGTTTGAATCCTTACGAGATGCCCCATTATACCGAACAAGCCAGTCATCAAGCTTTCGAGCCCAAAGACGTATAACCTCAGAGTCTCGCTCTGTAAAAGGACTGCGAACCGCCGGGATACAGTCAGTGGCATCTGCATTTATTGAGCACCAAATTGTCGGCAGGCCTCTTCCCACAAAGTGGCTGAGACCAAAGTGCATCATTTCGGCCAGACCTTGAAAAGCATTCTCTTGATGGCTGTCTAGACGGTGGATACCAGGCGTTGGTGGTTTGTGGGGAATGAGAGGGTAGGACATGTGTATAGACGCATGTTCAATGTCAATGACCTGCAGCCATCAGCATAGTCAAGCAATCTTCAGGATTCAAAATATAACTCACTTGAAGACCAGAGAATAGACCACGCCAATCTAGTGTCGAAGTTCCCAGATCAAAGGGACAGTGGTCTAACCAGAGTCGGTAACCCATTGCGATCCACAGACCGGTCGTTTCGATATAAGCTTCGGAGCTTAGACTTGCCATGATCAGACCAAGGACATTGTGGAACGCTTTGGGTCTCGTAATATCTATTGTTTCTTTATCCCTCCTCTTACAGAGGTCGATATCTATATTTGGGGATGCCAGCTCAGCTATTGCGCAGCAAGTCGCCGTAAAATAGCCTGCTTCTAGGGACCCCAGCTCGGAAGATTTGTGGTGAAGCGCGGCGATGTATAGAACAGCAGCTAGTAACAACGGTGTTGGAGAATTAAAGGCATCTCGATCTTTCAAGAAGTGAAGCAGCGGTAGATTGTTGAGAAATCTGTAAAGCCAATGAGTCCGTCATCTCAGGAGATCAACACGGCCCCCGGGATCAACTTACGAGGTCCAAAGGCACTTGATATTTGGTCTCGCCCAAATAGCCTCTTCCTGTACTGGTCGAGTTATGGATCTCAGATGAGCAACGGCGTCCCAAGCTCCTTGTATGAATATAAATTGGTCATCTTCCTCTGTTGGTGAGACTGAAGAAACAACTGGGTCCTCTAGGACATCTCGTTCAATCCCTAAGGCAGATTCAATTCGATCTAATCGATCCAGAATGGACTGATGGTCACGCATTGCAGGATGTATGTTGAATAAGTCTGCCTCCTCGAGGTCAAATAAATCATGAAGTGCAGAGGCCTTGACAGAAAGTAAGTACCGGCATTGCGCATGCGCTTTCAAGGTGATCATGTACAACATACATTAGCCCGAGGCTTGAAAACGCAAGTAGTCTGAGTATGGCGGCATCGACGGCAAGGTGGAGCCCCTGAGACTTCACATTTCATCTAAGAATGATTTTCAACGCATGGTCACACAATTATAACCACGCAGGATATACCTTTAGTCGCCGACAATTGACTGGCTGTATATTTAGTTACGTGCTGCATAAGTATGGGGTATTGCCCATGTCTAACTTACCACAAGCCTTCGTCGGCTTGGGTCCTCGAGCTGTTCTGACCTGTTTATCCATGGTGTTTGACGTGACATTTACATTTAGAGAAGGATGGATGGTTGAAGTCCGTGCTACTTCTTATCTGCGGGGGCCAAGCGGGCCCGCTTATGTGTTATCAGGGGTTTGCTACACAGACCTGAACACATCCAATGTCATATTGCAAGGTTGTTAGGGGAAGTCTTTCGGAATCGAGGCTGGAACTAAAAGGTCTACCACGTGTTTATATGGTATATTCAATGATCAGCTACTAAGGACTAGATATAAAGCTGTTTCCACAGCCTGGGTATCGAGACAAGTAGTGCCAGTGGATTAGAAAAGCTGGTAGTTACTAGTGTCCTAAAATCCTGCCATATTAGGCGGCTTTTGGGGAGCACTTTGATGAATGGTCATGGGTTATTACTGTGAATGGTGCCGCATTGGAGCTTGTAGTACTCGGATACTGGCTTTGTCCGATCCAGGTGTATGGCTAAATTGTGTGTAGAGGTATCAACATGATGACCTACGCAAGTGCAGTGAGACCACGGACACGTTAACTAGGCTAGAAGGGCTGGAGCGTTGAGATGCCTCGAGAACATGACCTCACAAGTCGGTCCGGAGCCTATCGGACTTATGTCAGCCGGAATAGCAGTACTCCCTGCTACAAATGAGGAACTTGTGGACAAAATGACACCAATGTAGAAGCTAAGGATTCCCCTATATGATCAGTCAAGCGTGAAGTATCTCAACACGTATTAGAAGCGTAATAACCATAGTGTGGCTGGATGTGCGGCTGGGTCGATGACTAAGGCTTCCCCCTCGTCGAGTTCTCTTCCGAAGAAGGAGCCATTGACCTCCGCCTAGACAGGAAAGCACGGCGAATCACTATTAACTTGCCCCAGAGGTGTTGCTCTTGACCGGGCCCGCTCTGCCTCTGGGATCTCTTCACGTCTCCCCATCCTGTCCCCCGATTGAACCCGCACCTCCCCCTCCGAGTGTATCCACCCCGAATCTGCACAATTTTTCGGCTTCATACCGGCCACGCGACCACTACGAACCCATATCGAGCCCTCCTCGGATCCGCAAGATCCCGCGAATACCGCGCAATATGTCGTCCGCCACCATGGGTAAGAAAAACAACAAGGGGAAGAAAGCCACCGATCCGAGTGAGACATCCAAACTACTGGCCGCCAAGATCTCGCAGTTGGAACAGGATGCCGTTGGTGAGAAGGAACAGGAAGCAGAAATCGGTGCGTGTTACCAGGGTGTGCGTGGAGTTCCTCGCGATCTCCAACTTGAGATTTTGAGGCCACTTGCATACGTGTTTCGTCTGGAGGCTGGACTTGGTTACTAACTTGAAATATACAGAGCGCGAAGTTAAGAAGGCGACTCGAGATCTGAACCAACTTCTCAATACCATGGAATCCCCAATGACTCGCCTGGAGGCTGTTTCCAAAAAGTATACCGAGTTGCTAGCGGACATGAAAAAGTTGGACCGGGACTATGCGAAGAGCAAGAAACGCGCCGATCAACTGCAGAAGGAGCAGGAGAAAGGCAAATCGGAATTTGGAAAGACTGTCACCATGAAGGACAAGCTGGAGAAGCTGTGCCGAGAGCTGACCAAGGAGAACAAGAAAGTTAAGGTAGGCAAGCCAGACCTCCGGGGCTGGTCTATTGCGCTTACTAAAACATTGCAGGACGAGAACAAGAAGCTGGACGACACAGAGAAGAAGGCCCGTTTGATCGTGAATGAACGACTGGACTCTTTGCTATACGACATTCAAGATGTCATGGCTGCCAAGGGGAATCCTCGTAACGAGAAAGTGGATACGGATTTGGATGAAGCGTACGCCTTTCCCCCGCCAAAGTGGAGCAGTTGTGGCTCTTCAATCTACTGACACGTGAATCCTAGACTCCGTGTAAAGCTCAAGACTATTAGCGAGCAATTTGACACCCGCGAGCTTCATTACAAGGGTCTCCTTCGCAGCAAGGACTCGGAGATCCAGAGCCTGACCGCCAAGTACGAGGAGCAACGCCGAGCTGCCGACAATGAATCCGTTCGCGGCCGAGCTTTGAGTGCGCAGGTCTCTACCTTCTCTCATACGGAAGCAGAACTACGCAGTCAGCTCAACATCTACGTCGAGAAGTTCAAGCAGGTACGGAGGCCCTCGTCGTTTCTACGCCGGCCATTCAGTTAACGGATAACAGGTCGAGGATACTTTGAACAACAGCAATGAGCTTTTCCTGACTTTCCGGAAGGAAATGGAAGAGATGTCCAAGAAGACCAAGCGTTTGGAGAAGGAGAACCACACTCTCAATCGGAAGCACGAATCAACCAATCGCAACATCCTTGAAATGGCCGAAGAGCGTACTCGGAATCATGGAGAACTCGAACGATGGCGACGCAAGTGTCAACATCTCGAGGCTCTGTGCCGTCGTATGCAGGCACAAGGCCGCGGCGAAGGATTAGCCGAGGGCGATGATCACTTAGAAAATGATGACGAAGGCACCGAGAGCGAGTACGATGACGATTACGAAGACGAGGAAGACTTAAGCGAGGAGGGAGAGTTAGACGAGCATGATCGTACCATCTCCCACCCTGCCGAACGGCCTGTCTTTGGTCCGCCTCCGCCTCCCAGTCTTCTCGAGGCCCGAGCTTCTAAGAATGCCGTTCTGAACGGTTGCCATTGATTGAGTTCTTGCATTGCTTCATTTCAATCTGTCTATGTTACCATATTCTTCGATTCTGTGATTTGAGGCGGTGACACGACTACTACTCTCTTGTGCCCCATTGCTGTTCGAGGGGATTTATGAGCCCCGGATGTACTAAGATACGAAATAGACTCGATTGTGGATGATACGAAATGGGCAACAGGGTTTGTTGATACTCTTCAAGGGACATGTGTCGCCTATGACATGCCCTTCTAAGGTTCAACACTTTAAATAATTTTGTTTTTGTATCGGTCACCATGGGTCAACTGGTTCATTCAGTTCCAAATGTTTCTGTACAAGTACACGCCATATCAAACAATCAAAGAATATCCACCAGTACAACCAAACATATATGATTCATTTATAGCTTGCTCAATTGCCCATTACCAGTGATGTACGAATTGCCTGTCTTGAGAACATCCACGGCCTGCTGGACCATCTCCTTGACAATTACACCAGCTGGTTTGATCTCCTTGACGCCCGCCGAAACATCTCCCATCAAGAAAGGCATATCAACGTCCTTCTCATTCTCCAAATCATGCATCATCGGCACAACACCCTTAGCAGTCAACTCCGCAATGTCAGCAGGCCGACTCTCCCACTCCTTAACGTAATCGTTAGGCAACATGCGCAACGGCCGCCCAGAAACGACCAAAGTCCTCTTTGTCTCCCCATACTTAGCCCCAACAACGGCCTCCTTATGCAGACGACTCGCACCACTCTCCTCCGAAGCTACAAACCGAGTCCCAACCCACACACCCGACGCACCAAGCATCAAAGACGCCGCAAGACTGCGCCCATCATTGACTCCACCGGCAGCAACAACTTGCGCCGGCAAACCCGTCAACGGACTCTTGTACTTCTTCGCAACATCCACGACAGCAGGAATAAGCACTGAGAACGGGATATCACCCGTATGCCCACCTCCCTCACCACCTTGCGCACAAACAATATCAACTCCGCGCTGGAAGGCCTTCTCCGCATGCTTCGGCGCTCCAACCATATTCATGATCAGTAGCCCCGCCTCATGGAGTCTTTTGACAGTTTTCTCGGGCGGGACACCTACAGCCGAAACGAAGAGTTTCGCGCCGTGCGAGATTGCAACTTCGACTAGCTCGTCTAGCTGTCCGTGCGTGTAGTCGTGGTTTGTTGCGCGTGCGCCTCCGCCTACTTGAGGCAAGGCGAGGTCTACACCAAAGGGTAGTGAAGGATCGCGGAGTAGTGATTTCAGCTCCGTTAGCATCTCTGATAATTGCTCTGGTGTATAGCCTAAACCGCCCACTGTGCCAAGGCCACCTGCATTTGAGACTGCGGCGGCGAGAGGAGCACCTGAGGCGCGGGCCATGCCAGCTAAAAGGACTGGGTGCTGGATATTGAGAAGACTGCAAAGGGGCGTGTGGAGAGACATATTGGCGAAGTTGGAGCTGTGATGTTCAGCAATAAGAGGTAGAATAGGTTGTTGAGTTCAATGGCAAGGTGAATACTATTGTATTAAAAACTATCACAAGATTTTATGTGGCGGAATCTCGTCAGGTACTTGGGTACAAGGTATGGATGTTGGGGTATCTATAATTTTGATGGTCGGAGTTCAAGAATGCGGGGAAGCTGTGCTCAACCGGACCGAGGCATTTTGACTAGCTTATGAATGCACATTTAATACTAAACCCTGACAATACATAGATCGTATTAACTAGTCTCGTGCTTTGTCGATCATCGATTTTAAAGCTCGTGCATCATATTTCAAGATGCCTTTACTTGTGCCGAAACCATATAGCCGACTTCAAGTTCTCCATTATTGAACTAGCCTATGTTCATTTTCATAGTTTTCTCATTGACTACTACTAGCCACTAGCTTGTGATACCTCTTATAGTAGCTACATCCTACAATGACCAGCAGATCTGAGTTCCATGTCTTGTGTCCAATTGAGCCTCGTTAAGGTACAAAAATAAATGCAGCAGGTATCCATGCTGACTACACTGTACGACAATAACACAAACACACGGTAAAATTTGAAATCTCTAGCCACATACAACTTAAAATGATATTTTGTGGGCCTATTTCTCCTGCTGCGTTGAACTGAAAATAATTAAGGTAAAGGGCGCGATGCCTAAAGCGGCAATGTAATTGGACGCGCTAGATCGCGTGGGGTTCGCGTCACCCAAATGTTTCCCGCATCACCGAACTCTTCCACTCCGCATCAAGGTCAAGGGATCTTGAAACCCACAAAATGACTCCAGGTGATGACTACGGGTTTCTAAGGCCTCCAGGGTATGTATCAACAGTATGCTTGGTTCCATGGGAACAATGCCACGTTCCCTTTCACTAAACCTGGCTGACCATTGCGCGTGTTCTGTTTGGATAGCAACGAGGAATACGAAGAGACCTACCGCACTCCCTCGAACTACAAACCCCTTGACACATTCAAGCTTCCATCTGGGCCTGGCCGGCACTATAAACAGCAGTATGGCGATATGTACTTCCTGCGGCTCGCTGGGCTGAAGCCCGCGGTCGAGAAAATTGCGACAGAAGCATGGGAGGGTATCAGTGTATGACTATCCCTCGATCAGATATTCGCGTGAACTGCGCCAGGGCCTGACTAACAATATTCTTCTGCATTGAATAGATCGCCGGAGAGCGTGCCAGACGTGTGGATCGAGTGCTTGATGTACGACAGGGTGAGCTGTGCTGGGTGGCCGGCACAGTGTATATGGATATGCCAATGAAGCCCAACATTCTGGACGATCTCACCAAAGAGGTAGGTTTGAATAACTCTTAAAGTCTGTTGGCTACATCTGACCGACGCCTAGAACTTTACCTCCGCACCACCTCCGCGCCGTACCTATGTCGACTCAACCAACCCAGCATTGACCCAGACTACCCTAGAGGATGCGTCGGGCCGTGTTCGTCTGGCTGGAGACTTCCTTTCATCCGTCCATCTTACTACTGGTACTGTCATCGCGGCGTTAGGAACAGAGAATGCCAATGGAGATTTCGAGGTTATCGACATTAAAGTGCCAGACCTGCCTCCACAGCCACAAAGATGGGGCAGTGAAGGTCCAAAACATAACGGCAAGGACGCAGCTCCAAAGGAATCTGGAAAGATTGCTTTTGTCAGTGGACTTGGGATTACAGGGACATCGAGCGATACGCTCGCATTGGAATTGCTTACAGAGTACCTTCTTGGGTACACAGGGTTCTCTGGGAATGAGGACACTGGCCTCTCTTCGGGTGCTTCAAAAATCACACGACTCATCATTGCGGGCAACTCTCTCGGAGCTAGCGTGATAACCGATGCAGCATCAGCTGGTACGGACAACGGCACAAAGAAGAAGGTTGTCCCGAGAAAGTACGGATATGATGCTTCGGCGTACAACTCTTCACCCATCACACAGCTGGATAGCTTCTTGTCGGAAATTCTACCTAGTATCCCAGTCACCCTGATGCCAGGCGAGGCAGACCCAGCAAATTTCTCCCTTCCTCAACAGAGCATTCACCGTACCATGTTTCCAAATTCAAGAGCATACGCTGCGCCTCCACCATCTGGCGAAGAGAACCCGGAAGCAGGCTGGTTTGACAGCGTCACCAATCCTTGGGAGGGTGAAGTGGAAGGCTGGCGAGTATGGGGATGTAGCGGCCAGAATGTCGACGATGTTCTGCGGTATCTCGACTTCTCTGGTGAGAATGGAGACGCAGACAAAGACTCGGACGATTCTGGCGCTCGCATGCAGGTTATGGAAGCAATGCTCCGGTGGCGAATTGGAGTTCCCACAGCCCCGGACACACTCTGTATGTTTAATGTTTCTACAAATATACTGGATCTACATGCTAACAATGTTCTAGGGTCGTATCCGTTCCAAGAAACCGATCCGTTTATTATCGAGTCCTGTCCGCATATTTTTTTCACAGGAAATCAACCTTCTTTCAAGACTGCCGTGATTGACGGTGACCTTCCTCTCCACCTGGATGGTGGTGATACTGAGATGACAGACTCTGCTGGCGAGACATCTGTACCTCGAGTCCGACTACTGTCTCTTCCACGTTTTAAGGAAACCGGGGAGCTGATTCTGGTTGATTCTGAGACTCTGGAGGTTGAGGTTATCCGGTTTGGTGTTTTTGCAGGACAGGAAGAGAAAAAATAGATCGATAGCATACTCGAAATAGGCTAATGACATGACTACATTCTAATCCATCATGCACTGTTATCCATTGCTCTATTGTCCTTGAGAATGTATGGTTTGGTCTATAACAGATGCACAAGAGGCTGATGGGTCTATCCTGAGTGGGACGCGTGATGTGAAGCTTGATTGGGATAGATGTATTCCTAAATGGGATGCGTGATATTGCTTGTCGCTTCGTTTGATGAGTCGACCTTGGGAAAGGGTGATCTTGCAGTCCTATTGGAGTTTCGCGTGATTGGTCGATCCTGAATATCAAGTGTGATCTTGGAGTATGAGGGTATGATCTTGGGACACCCTCTCCCCCTCTTCCAAAAGTATAAATACCCTCATGTTTTCTTCCCATCTCCCTCTTTCTTCTTCCTTTCTCATCTACCTTCCATCTTTTCCATCTTTTCCATCTTCCTTCTTTGGACTTCGAACTTTGAACTTCCTTCCATCAACCCACTCAACTTTGTTGACATCCATCATATCCATGATGTCCTTCTCTCATCAGACTCATGTCTTCCAACACGTATGTTTGCGTTTCTCTTCTTACATTTAGTTCTTTGTTTACTTCTTTTGCCTGCCCTCCCGTTCCCCTTCCCCTCTTCCTCCTCTTCTTCCTCTTCCTTCTTTGGACTTTGGGCTTCCTTTTTCCCATCAAACCACTCTCATATGTTGAAATCCATCACGTCCATCTTTTAGCCACTTAATGTCCTGCAAAATGCTCTTCAACATGTATGCTCACACGCTTGTTAACCTCATACTCTTGCTTTCTGTTCATTATTTTGCTCACCTATGCTGATGATACTCACAGCTTTCTAAGTGCCCATCATCATTCACACCTTGGTCACATTGATCAGCACACCTTTCACTCCAATCAACAAATCCCCAACTCTCCATGACGAGATTCCAGGTACCTTTTGACTGATCATTTCCATTCCTTGTGACTCTGCCTTAACCTGTCAGACTTTGCAAGCTTTTCTTTTCCACAAATTCTCACAATTTGCTACACCATTATCTGAGTTTGCGAAAACCCGCTCTTCCCTAGAGCCTTGAATGAACTCCGCTGCACCTGAAACACAGTCCCTGAACTCGTCATCGGCTCAAAAGAAAACCTTGCTGCTTGGCTCAAGTCCCCTCTGAACAGGCGTCACTCGGCTACAAACCACAAATCACCTATAGCCAACCTGAGTTTCAGGACGAATCCAGTTTGGATGAGGTCACAAGTTCTCACAACCTCCACGTTGACCTCCCCCCTCCCCAGGTCTCGACCAAACTTCCAATTCTGCACAACAACGCTCTGTCTCATTGTGGTGTGGAGGCACAAGCCACAGGTTTATAACGACGGCATGCGGTGAAGAAGCACCGGCCAAAACAAAAGGAAGGAAGGAAGAAAAGTCATTCGAAAGATACACGGGAATGAGCCAGCAAAAAGGATTGAATGGAAACCTGGGACTGGTGGGAACGAAGGAAAGTTGGTGATGTCGCCTTGAACTTTTATAATATGGAGGTCCTGTTGTCTTTTTTATGTATGAGAGTCTGGCGTTCGGATCTGAAGATGCTTGTACTTGATTAGATGTTAAGGTTGCCAAGCCCCACTTCACAAATTATATCCGCGGAGCGCAACTTTGCCAAAATTTCAAGCTCGACTACCAAGCACACATAGATCAGTAGAACATCCCTCAAGTACTTGGACCTTGAAGTCAATGATTTGCTTGATTATCGGAACATAACAAAGCCTCATCCATACCGTCCTGATGTTGCTCAACGCTGAGACTGGTACGCACTTATACCCCTTCCACACACCTTAACCATCTTTCCGACCTCAAAAGAAGTCCCAATTCATGCGGCAACGTAGTAGGTCTTGTATATTAACTTGTTGAACATAGCCATCTCGACCTCGAAGGTCCTACTCGTCCCATACTCAACATGGCACGTTCCCCGCTATCACGAATGGATGCAAGATGAGGTAAGTGGAAATGCCATCGGGAACCCCACATTCTAAACAACTACATTCTCAAATACTAATATTGGCACTAGGAAATCCAAGAAGCAACCGCTTCAGAACCGTTAACTCTTGAAGAAGAATACTCCATGCAACGCAGCTGGCGCCAAGACGCTGACAAGCTGACCTTTATCACCTGCCGACCAGTAACACAGCCCGGCACCAACTCAACACAAATCAAATTGTGTCCCGAGGATGAGTCCGCGGCAAACATGATCGGAGATATCAACCTCTTCCTCCGTGTCGAAGATGGCGAAGACGGAGACGCACCCCCACAAATCGTGGGCGAGATCGAGCTAATGGTAGCCGAGAAAATGAATCAGCGACGAGGATTCGGCAAAGCTTCGGTTTTGGTATTCATGAGGTATATTGCGGAGAAACAGGTCGAGATCTTGGAGGAGTTTGTGCAGAGTCTAGATGAGGGTGAAAGGGAGAAGGTGGTGCAGGCTGCTGGGTCAGAAGGATTACGGCTGCAGTGTTTGAGTGTTAAGATTGGGCAGGAGAATGTGAGGAGCTTGGCGCTTTTTGAGAGCTTGGGATTCGTGAAGGTTTCTGCTGAGCCGAACTTCTTTGGGGAGTTTGAGTTGAGAAGATTGGATTTGGCGGTTAGTGGGTTTGTCGAGGCTTTGGGGGTTGCTGGTGTTGAGGGCTACGTTGAGTTGGATTATCAGCGCAAGGAATAGATTTTTACAGCGAATATATTATTGTGTATATAAATGGATTCGACTACAAACCTCGTGGATTTAACGGATCAATATCGTTTATTGCGACTATCTTGAAGACATCCCGGGCACACCGTTATGCTGCTGCAACCAAAGAACAGAGTCAACTTGATTAGCTCGCCTTGCATAATGATGGGGAGATTCACCGTTGGCATCCAGAGAATCTTTCGATAACTTTGAATGCCTCTCCAAATATTCCAAAAAGTCAGGTCCATTTTGCACAGCAGCATGCCACGAAGTAGCCAAACTGGTAAAAGAAGAACGATATCCATCTAGATCAGAAAGGACAGTCTCCTGAATAGGAAACCCAATCTCAGCAAGTCGAACAGCAATTTTCTCGGTGACAAATGTACAGAGAAAATACTTGTCCACAGAAGAAAGACCTTTCCGAATCCGACTCTCAGGACAAGGCTTCCACAACTCGAGTAAACTCTCCAAGAACTGCAAATCTTCTCGCCAAGCCACAAGTGACAAGGGAGTCGGAAAATGAGTCATTTGAAACGCATTTGCTGGCATGCACAGAATCAAATTCATCGTACCAACAGGCTGGTCCCAAGCAAACATGTACTCGAGTATCTCGACAGAACGAGCATACACAGCAATAGCGACATAGGTCCACCCATACACATTGCATCCATAGCAATCCATTCCAGGAAGTCGTCTGCGAATCCAATCAAAACATCCAGGGCAATCATCGAGAATCGCGCCCGTGATCACATCTGGTTCCACACCCGGCCATCCGGTGATTGAAACGAGCTTGTTAAGCGGGGCTTTCCGTCCGCGCTGGGCATCGCGATAGGGTCCTAGAAAGGCAGTTTCTAGCTCGTGGTGGAAGCGTCTATTGTTGTATAGGAACTTTCCGACGAATGCTGCGGCTGCGTCTGTTGATCGCGAGATTTGGCGGATTCGGCAGAGGTTAGGATGGGTTAAGTATTCCGGTTCTGTTAGAAGACTATTCAGTAATGTATTCAGACTAATTTGGGGAGATGGTGATGGTGAAACTTCAGTGGTATCAGTTGAGATGCTAGGAGTGGAGAGTGCTGGTGGAGTGCTTGGTGGGTTGCTTGATAGAGGTGATGATGGATTTGTATGGTCGATGACGCCAATTGGGTACATGGGGAGGGGTTCCTCTGTTTGGTGGGATGATCCTTGGGAGCAAATATCATCCTGAAGATCAAGGTGAGTATGATTGAGGTTTAACTGGCTGAGTTTGAGGATAAGTTGATCCATGCTGAACTTTATGGATAGGCATTTGTTCCAGACATGGGCAAAATTTGGGCGAAACTCAGCATATATATATAAGTGTTTTGCTTGAGACATTTCAATGTTCGCTTTGAGCTGATCTTCCTGACAAAGAGCTTTGTTCTCAAGGTTGGTTCCTTTGTCGTCACTCTACCAAGCGCTTTGTTATTAGATCTTTCAACGAATCCTAAACATCAACCAGACCTCAGTTTGTTCTCATTGGAATTTCTCAATATTAGATGACAGGATGATCATTCCGGTTGACACAACACCCCCGCAAGTCCGGAACATAACACTCACTGTCTTGGCGATGGAATTTTTCAGCTATCCAACTTTGATATCACAAGTGATTGGCCGCAGCCACTATGTGCGGCCGTAGCGGCGGCAAACAGGCCAACTATAACAAAGACCCCACATATGTATATTAAAGGATTATGGAATATGCAATGAAGTCAGGTGCCTCTGCATCGCTCTTAAGAAGAAGGGAGGGCGTACTGACTTGTCAAATATAAGCAAAAGGTGTTTTCAGGTGTACACCGTCCAACCAGGGTAAAAGACCTATCTAAAAAGTGACCTGTTTGATACGTGAATATAGTAGAACTGCGTTTGGAGCACCATCAATACCTCTCGTCAGCCCTCAGCTAAGTCTTTGTCTCTCTACTATCTTCCTGGTAAACTAATTGGTCTGCTCGTTTACGTGGTGCCTAGGCCATAACAATCCGAAGCTAGTCGAAAGCCGGATGCCTGATTGACACCTAAGTTGTTGGTGGCTTTAAGGAAGCCTAATTGTTTCCACGCAGTTTGCAATCTCTCCTGTACGCCCCCACCCACGAAACATTCCGTAATAGCCTCGCTTCGCTCTGCTACGAAACGCACTGAGACACAGACACTACCTATGGGGTATGTAGCTGTTTTTTTTTTTCTCTTATCGTAGTGGGGCCACCATACAGCACGACTTAAAGATTCCACACATGCGGCTAGAAAGCTACACGAGGCCGCCACACATGAATCACTAGGTATCCGTCTCCACCGCCGAGACCCAGATCCGTGTTCGTCCGTGTGCTAGAACGATGAACAGCCGAGGGCTGACACGTGTGGATGGGTCCACACGGGATGCCAGAATCCAATGAAGTCCGGATTCACGATCGTTTGTGGAGACTGATTGTTTCCGTGACGAGGCACCTTATGTGTGATATGCACGTGCAAGATTTAGCGGGAGCAGGGGTGTGAAGAATATGCCCTGCAGAATTGACTGAAGAAATAATCGGTGGAAGGAATCGACTGTGGATTTTGCGCCTCGTGGCAGCATGTTACATAGAACTATACTTAATGTAGTTTAGGCTGGGTTCGGGGAACGCCGTCCGGGGTCCCCATCCTTGGAAGTGGGTACCCCTGTTTGGCTCGGGCCTTACAAAGAATACGTGGTGGATTAGAAGAGGCTTGTAGACAAAAACTTGATGAAATTATGTGACCACTCATTATGATAACTCATTACATATGTAAAACTCATTATAACCACCAGGGCGCACATTATCGCCCACTCTCAGAGTTGGGAATGTATTTTATGGGAGCTGATTCCCAGGCAGCTCGACCAAACAAAGTATTTTCGAAGGACCCGTGTCTAAGACGAGTTCGAGTTATCAGCACAGCTGAAAGCGGAGCCTAGAAGAAATGTTAATTCAAATTTTGATGTTTTGGAGGCGGAAAAACAATACCGATAGTTCCTGTAGCATAGGCATCAATGATTTCAATGATGACACCATATGTGGCGCCGACGAGGAAGAAGATACCCAGCACAACCATTCCCCAGTGCAGCATGTATATGATCTTCTGCGTGAAGGTACCTTTCCTGTAGTGGCTGTTGCTGTACAGCCACAGGAGTCCAGGAAGGGACATGGCCAGAGGAGCAAAGCAAACGGAGCCAACAAGGGCAACCAGATAGTTGAAGATAGGAATGGCCTCAGCTAGGATGAAGGAAATGGCACCGAGGACAATCGTGCAGCTCATCCAGGTAGCCCAGTGAACGAACGTGTTGCTTTGCAGGTGGCGAGTGTTACCCAAGATACGCACAAAGATGTACTTGGCCGCAATCTGGAGGAAAACAGAGTCAGCGTTGTAAAATCAGATGAATGCGAAAGTCTCACGTGAAGGTAGATCGTGGCGCTGATGACCAGACCTAGCAGTGCAACACCGTAAGACACCATCTTGATCGTCTGTCCGGCGCTCTATACAAGAATTGTTAGCTGATGATTTTCGACAAAATAGCAGAGGCGGAAAACACATACACCCAAGGAGGGACTGGCCACCCATTGTCCACACCAGCGGTAAACAACCAGACTGAAAGCAAGGTACGAGGCAGTAACCAAGCCCATGCAGAGATATAGCGACTTCTTGTAGTCCTTCGGGTTCCGCATCTCCGCCATCACCGGGATGAAGGCGCTGGTACCAGCCGAAGAGACGAAGATGGTGCTGGAGGCGACCATGCCGGCAGCGAATCCGGGGTTGTTGATGGCAAGGTAGCCGAGTTCATAAGGGCCCGTTTGGGGAGCGGCGGCTGGTCGGTCTCGCGTTGTGACTCCGATGACAACAATCAGAACGGCTGCATAGATCGAGATGAATCCTGCATATGTGAGCCAGCCCACATGCTGGAGCTTGCGGACTGAAGCCGTCGCGACGATTACAATGGCCGCAATCAAAGACCACCAGACGGTGCATGCGGCGTGGTGCGAAAGGGCGTTCAGTCCCGTTGACACTCCAATGATACCACTGCCAGTCACTAGGACGTAGCCGATGAGGAATACAATACCAGTGACTTCCTTTGCGAACCAGCCGCCGGCCACCTCTGCCATATCAGCAATGGAGTGGCAGTGAGGGTACTTCTTGCGGAAGTTGCCGAGAATCACGAAAGAGTAGGTGTTGAACGCGCCCCAGGCGACGATACTGATGGAGCCACCAACTGCACCGAGAGAGTACAGCGCGGATGGTAGCGATAGCACACCGGTGGCGAAGAGGACCTTCACCATGATAATGCACGCCTTGAACCAACCGACATTGCGGAAGCTGACGCCATCTGTGGTCTTCTTGAAGACCTCCTGCTCCTCGATCGAGTCCCGAGGGCTTCCCAGCTCGGTATCGACCACGCTTGTCTTCTCATTAAGGGTCATTATGAATGATTTTGAAAAAGAAACAAAGCTACCAGGCTGGGGAAAAAAGTTTCAGAGATCCAATGCGCCAGGATTAAGTACCCGGCCTTCTGTTATCAGTGTGGATCCCTGCATGAGCGGCCGTCTGAAAAAAAGCTCTCGCTCCAATAGGAGCTAATGGATGAAAGATTTGCCAAGTCCAAAGCTTCATCAAGTAAGAAACTTTTACATAAATGTATTGTCCTCAGAGGCCAGCTGCCATGGCGGTAATCTACTGTGGGCCCTCGAGTGCTAGCGTTGGTCAATTGCCACTAGTGTGCCGTGCCCACGCCTAGTAGTAACTAGCATGTTGATAGTGAAAGTGTACGACCAAGGCTGCCAGCTGCACAGATTGCAAGATCGTCCATGCACTATTCGTATGCTGCATAACATCACTGAAGAAGAAAAATCGTCAGAAAATGACTATCTGGGGAGAAGAAAAGTGCGTTCTAATATAGTGCAGTGGATTGAGTTTGAATTCCAACTATTGCCGAGATCAGTATGAGGAAGCTAGCCCTTCTGGGACAAAGGTGGTTAGATCCCAACAAATCTGTTGGTCGATGCTCCACATGGTATGTCTTTCCTTTTTGAAACTCTCGGTTTTCCCAAGGTCTAGCCAGAAGTTAGATGGTGCCTCCAAAAATTTCCGCATATTCCACACTATGCAGTGCATTTTTGTCTTCCCTAGTCTCCGGCACACTTGCAGACACTGGATCGTTTGTACCGACACCGGATATGTTCATATTGCTGGCAATGGAGACGCCTGGTTGGTCTCTTTCAATATTGATATTCTGATGTGACGAGACCTTTCCTCGAATTTGAGGGACAGTGGACGCATAATACGCATGTAGTCAAGATTCGGATATAACGGTGCAATGGAAGTGGCCAAGCTATGTGCACGTCAGATTAGGTTGGGGTGCGTGTTCATTAAGGTGGCGAGTAGCCCGACTACTTAACTAGTCAAAAGGGGAACACTCGTCGGCAGCACACTCGAAGATGTGCGGGTCGATCCAGCAACACAAAATAACAACACAGGGCTAGCGCAGGCTGTACGAGTTATCCAATGGGCAGCACCCGTATGTGCAGATCAGAGAGGTATATGAGCGTGCTATTCAATATGATCTTCATGGTGCTAGATATACTACCCGTGTCCAGCACCCCAGCGTACTGAAAAAAGGCGTCACAATACAGGTCGGAAAACCCGCCTCCGTTCTAATCCGTAATAACAAGTAACAGGGGGGTTCCCCACAATAATATCAAATAGATATCAGGTTAGACTATGAATATGAGAGCAGATAATTGACAATGGAATAAAGAAGGCTCAAATATTTCAGCCACTAGCCTATATCGGGGTCTAGCAACTGATTAAGAAGAGCGGGCATCATTGTTCAAGTAGGACTATCTTTGGTCTTGCTCAATCGAGCAAAGCATATGTGATAGACCTCTGGAAAACATTTGATGGGCCGGCATCTCCCGCCCTCCGCCCGCGAGGGTCAGGTGGAGCGCGGGTCCTTACCCAGAGGCGATGCTCAGTGAGCAGGTCAAAGTGCTTATGTAATGCCCAGTGAGTTAAAGCGGCAAGGAGCACTAATTCGGGGGAAATCAAAATTTGCCAGACATTTTTCTCCGGTATATATACATTGTAGTATGCCCAAATTCTTCCTTTGATTATCCAAGTCTTTCGTCGAACATCAAATAACTAGACAAGTTCTCAAGAACGCAAATCATTCAATTGATCCTATACATCCGAATGAAAATTTCGTTGTCTTGCCCATAGGTGTTTAGCGCCAAAACCTTAAGGGAATTCTGGCAAAACTTCTCGATAAAACTGTTATAACACCTTCTTACTTCCTATACATATACATATTACTACTGTAACAGAACTGGGCCTTGAATTGTGTATAAAAAGGTGTATATTATTGTGTTTGAATCACAGGACTCCCTCAGTCTCCATGCACTTCACACTAGGTACAATTTGAACGGTACTACAGGCGAGCTGACCGAATCTAGTGTGCTCTTGGCGATATGGTTCGATAAACAGTCTGAGTGCATGCGGGAAATCTTTTTTGAATATGCCTAGGTGGTAGTAAGGACATGGGCAAAACGCAAGATTTCTTGGCCTGGGAAACGTGACATGATTTGAAATGTCCAGACTGTTTACGTAGCACCTTACGGGAGTTCCAATCTACTGTTGGGAATAAACGGGTGCATCAAGTAATGAAATGCTTAGTATTGATGCCATTAAGATGGACAAGGCAATTCCTCGCACAAAGCGCACAAGAAGCCCAGTAAAGATGTTTCAACTGTTTTTTTCATTGGTGTGTAGGGACTGGAAGCTCCGACAAAAGCGATCCTCGAGTGCGTCCGGAAAATGCGAGTTCGTTTGACCGGTGGATTATCACATCGGTATACAAACGCAAGGTTGACGTCTTTTTTCATTTCCACCACCCCTGTGTCGGCTCGCAGAGAGAGTCAAGGCCGTGCCATTCGTCCCTCCAACAGTTGGTCTTGTATTCATCGACAACCATTCGCACCGAACTCCATGCCTCCTTTTATGCCATTGTCACTGAATTTACAGGGACTTCTTCTTGTCGCCGTTGGTGACGTCGACAACCTTGAGGGCTATAGAGAAAAAGGGTATGTTAGTATAGGCTCGAGTAATCTTCAATTCGTCTCATGGTGTGCTCCCAAGTCTTGTTGCCTCCTTCAATCGCAATTGATTTCGAACAGGCTTCCAACATAGAGTCACGGGTAGGAAGGATCGTGTGGAAGTGTGGGGTTCGACGCACCAGGGGGAAGGCTCTGCTTGAGCTTGTCGGCCTTGTCGGAGTCCTTGAGGACAAGGGTGTACAGGAAGCGCTCGCAGCGGACCTTGAACTTGATCTGCTGGGTCTTGCCGTTCTTCTTGATCCGGGCGGCTGTAAAAGCAATTGATTGTTAGTCTTCAATTCCGGGTTCTCGCCTCATGGCGGGCTATTCTCCGAGCGGGAAAAGGGCGAAACGTACAGGAAGCGTCCTTCCGGCGGCAGATCTCAATGAACTGCTTGATATCGGAGACTTCGCGAGGCATGGTGACGGTTGATGCGGATTGAGGTTGCAATGGTGAGGAATCGCAGTCAAGATGGAGTTGTGTGGATCGGATTAGGGTTTTTGCTCCACGAAGCCCTGGAGGTCACGTGGTTCCGTTGCGGGTAGGTGCGCGAGGCTAATCGTAGTCGGCGACGGGCAACGTTCCGATATGTCTTCGAGGAGGGTTGGTCCTGGTGCAAATGTAGCGATTGTATTGGATTGGTGTCGTCGATCAGCGGAAGTCCAGTGGGGGTTGGCAGGATCATAATATCCTGAAGGCCACCGGCGGGGGTGGGTGCTCTCATGTCGCAAACGCTGCATCGGCTCGGCAACGACATGCGGACATGTTGTTGCATTACGGGGTTGTAAATCGCTGTCCTGACTCTCCAAGTCGCGGCTATTGATAGACGGTGTTTTCTTGGTAATATGGAAGCGAAGTCGATACCGTTTCCAGAAGATTATGCTGGTGACTGTTAGACTGTTGACGGACGTAGAAATGATACACTCACCCCTGCATGACCGCACTTCCCATAGCAAGCACGAAGGTAACGGCTGTAAAGAAAATGACAGCTTCCATGCTGAAGTTTACTGATGCCAGAAAATGTACATTGAGAATCGGTGTCGACCGAGTGGAGTATAGATAGAAGGTTGCTGTGAAGCCAAACTACGATTTTTATTGCAAAGATAGTTTCAAACGTGTATTCATTCATTATTGTAGCTTCCTAGAGCATGAATTCAAGAAGACTGAGCAGGAAGGAAGCTATTGTGATGCGTGTAGATCGGAAGGCAGCAGCGACATGAAGTGGCGCAAGTGGCGTGAGGTGGCGGTGCATCTCTCTAAGTGGTCTACTTGTCCAAACTCACTTCAAGCTTTAGACACCACGTCGCCTGTTCGAATTTTTGTTTATATCAAAGTGGATATTACTATTGACTCCTACTATTCACATTTCACAGCGGCTTCAACCGTTTGTACATTGAAAAAGCCAAGATGCCTACGCCACTGGATCGCGCGATGAACTCTAAGGTACTTACTCCACCCTGCTGAAACCACATTGAGTATAGCTAACAAGGGGTTTTTAGAACCTTTTCATGGGTGAATATACAACAATGAAATTGCAGTCAAGTGAAAAAAACTCCTAACATTCTATTATGACATAGGGTTTGCAGGGATGGTGACGGCCGTTGCAGCCTGGTCCATCTGGGGCTCCGACATGTTCCCCAGTGAAGCCGACCCCAAAGGAAGTAAGCAACAAGCAAGACAAACATTCAAATACATGCTGACTGGAAAGATCCCGAGGACTGGACTGTCGATGAGATGAGAAGGTGGCTTCGTGTGGTATGTTCCAGATCCCTTGAATCGAGAGACCCTCACTAACTATGTTGCAGCGGGGACTTCTGCCGAGCGAAAATGCAAGCAGGGAAGAATTGCTGGAGAGAGTCAAAGCCAATCTGCGGATACTGCGTAATTCCAAAGCCCCGGTATCCAAGTCGTGATGGCCGAGCGGTGGTTTGGTCTCGTTGTTTTCAATCCTTCAAATGCGTTCTCATGTGTAATTCCCCAATTGTTTCGCAATCGCGCTTTTCATCAACTCAATAATTCCTGATAAGCTTCTTGTCCAGCAAAGGTTCATGCCTGAAGATGGCATAGAGATATCTTATAGCTCACAACTATCGCCGTCACAATGAGCGACAAATATAAGCAAATCGTTCATCCATATCTTTGTTTCCATGCGACTCTCGACACATATCAGACGACAAGGCGGAAGTTTTGGCTCTGGATCAACCAGTCTCGTCGGCGCTTGCCACGCTCAGCAGACGGGTTGGGTACGAGGACGAAGGTTTCACTAAAGCCGCGCTGAGGCTGATCGCGGTTCTCGCCATATCGCACATGTCCGCTCACAATCACCAATATCGACATGTCCTTAATGGTCATCTGGGCGGCCGGTTTGATACCAGACTCGGTAACGGTAGGGTAAGCGCGGTTGATAACTTGGCAGTCATATGATTGGGCTTCGTAGTGTGCGTGTGGCATCTGGTTGACGAAGATATCTTGCACCGCAGCACCGTCTGCCACAGTGTTGCCGTTGAAGAGGATTTTTGAGGCTACTGGAGCGTAGAAGGAGGCGATAGACTCGCGGTTGGAACAAAGGGCTTGGTAGAATGTTTGAACAAGCTCGGTGGCAGCTAGAGATTCCGATCAATACAAGCGACATTGGTAGGGGTTTGGGGCGTTAAAATACCCTCAGTGGACACTTTGACCAGCTGGTCGTCGCTTACTGAAGACATTGCGACGGTCTGAGGAATGGCGAAGTTACAAGACAGAGCAGGTATAGAGGATAGTCTTCATGTACACCTCCTAGATGAAGTTATGTACCAGGAACAGGATTTTTCACTGGCTCTGCTTTTATCGTGAGGGCGGAGGAAAGGCGTGGGGAACAAAGAAAAATGACGAGCGGGAGCTTGGACCACTTCCGGAGCGCGATGCGGAATAACATGCGACACTGATTTTCTTCTCCGCAACGCTCCCGATGGCTTCCATACGAGCGCCATTTCGTGCCCTCCCAAGGACCAGCTTTCTTCTTGGTTCTCGACGGTCATGGACTTGCACCGCCTGCAAATATGGAAGTCCTAGGACTTTCCAGCGTGGAGTTGCGTCGACTGCGACTCAGACTCCGGGGGACTTCAAAAAGCCGTACTATGTGACCACGCCGATCTTTTACGTCAATGCTGGTAAGCAAATCTCATCGCTGCTAATCAATCACTTTGTCTAACCTTTTGGTCTGTGATAGCACCACACGTCGGCCATTTCTATACCATGGTCATCGCCGATATCTTGAAACGATGGCAGGTCCTGCTGGGAAACACCGATGCTCAGTTATTGACCGGAACTGATGAACATGGAATGAAGGTACCACGGATATCTGTAAAATTGGAGGGACGTTTTAGTTGACAGTCTTGTCAGATCCAGCAAGCAGCCCTCGCAGCGGGAATGGATACCCAGGCTTTTTGCGACATGAATTGCCGAACTTTTGAGGTACATATCTTAATCCATGATTCTTCTTTCTGGACAAGAGACTAATCTTAAGCTGTGACAGGCCCTAGCCAAAGCTGCAAATCTGAATAACGATCACTTTATTCGAACCACTGATTCGGCGCATCGGGAAGCTGTACAATATTTCTGGGTAAGCAGGCTCGCTCACTGACAAGGACACAACTAATGGACGATTAGGAAATGCTTCAACACCGAGGTTACATCTACACTTCTAAGCACGAGGGATGGTACTCCGTTAGCGATGAGACTTTTTACCCGCAAACGCAGGTACAGAACTCCCTGGATCCAGCAACGGGACGAAAGAGGATGGTAAGCTTTTCCCAACAACCAACATCAGTGATGGCTGCTCACATTTCACCAGGTCTCAATTGAGACTGGAAAGGAGGTAGAGTGGTCCTCGGAGACCAATTACCATTTCCGCCTGTCCGCATTCAAGGACCGCCTGCTGGAGCTATATAAGAGAGAAGACTCGTTCATCACGCCATCAAAGTATTCAACATCCATTATTCAATCGGTCTCATCCGGACTGCAGGACCTGTCAATCTCACGGCCAGCAGAGCGTCTCACCTGGGGCATTCCGGTTCCCGGTGATAACACCCAAACAATCTATGTTTGGCTGGACGCGCTCGTGAACTATCTCACTAGAGCCGGATACCCATTCCCTCCCGGGCAAGAGGAAAACTCCATGTGGCCCGCAAATGTCCATGTGGTCGGGAAGGATATTGTTCGGTAAGTGCGGTGCAATAGTATTCAAGCCCGGATTTGACCGTTGATCATTTACAGTTTCCATTGCGTCTACTGGCCCGCATTCCTCATGGCTTTGGATCTTCCTTTGCCACAAAACGTCCTGGTGCATGGACATTGGACTATGAATCGCGAGAAGATGTCAAAATCTACTGGCAATGTGGTGAACCCATTCTTCGCCATCGACAGATTCGGCGTGGATAGCATGCGGTTCTTCCTAGCCTATCAAGGAGGTTTCTCTGACGATGCCGATTACGATAACGCTTTCATCATTCGTGATTATAAGAAGTTGCTCCAAGGAGGAATTGGCAACCTGGCAGCGCGCTCAATTGGGCTTGCCAAAGGAAAATTGGGCTCATATATCAAGGACGCCACTTCTAATAACCTCCCTGTCCCCAGCCCGGCGGATCGGGAACACCGGAAAATGTTGGTCTTGACACCGCTCAAGGTTGCAGAGCATATGAAGGGACTGAACCCGCGTGCTGCGCTGCAGGAGATCATGAGCATCATCGAGAAGGTATGAACGAGCGCCTAATCTCCTCATCGGACAATAGTTGACCATGTACGACAGACCAACAAGTACTTCCATGCAACGGAGCCATGGAAGAACCCCAACCACCAATGGGTTCTCTTCAACGTGGCAGAGTCGCTCCGCATCTCTGGCATCATGCTACAGCCGTTCATGCCCGCAAAGTCACTGGAACTTCTGAAGATGCTCCGCGTAGATACATCCAATCCTGCCAAGATAGGATTCTCTGCAGCGGTCTATGGATCGGATTCAAAGTACGGTAAAGGTGCCAAGAAGGGTCATCTTTTCCCTCCTCTCCTCGCTGAAAACTAAAAAATCTTGGCGCGAGCTTCCTCCTTTGATGCAAAAGGATGGGCCAAAATGGAGGCACATTGGCCCCACTATGTACGACTATGTATAGCATTTGAGTAGCGCATGTAACTGTATTTATTTCCATCAAACCATTACCTCTCTATTAATTTGATCGCTCTGGAACTACTGAGCGCCCCTGAGACCCCGATATCCTCTCTAGGTTTAGCGCCAAAAGACCCTGAGTCATTACGAGATTAAATTGGGCCATGCAAGCCTCTCGCTTCTTTCACTGAGTCACATAATCATGCCAAGGATAATTCCGGCATTAGCGCCAAGCATGGACCCTGAGGCTCCTCTCCACAACAATCTATAAGATGGAACATGAAATGCTCAGATACTGAACCACAAGCATGTTGGCTATGGTATTTTTACCTACCTTTCTCTTTCCTCCAGATATAGTGCTATGCCCTCAGATATCCAAACCAAGTTGACATATCTCCACTGGCAAAACAGCTATACTCATACTCGACCATACCGAATCGCCCAATTCGGTCGCAAGAAGAAAAATGATGAACAGTCCCATAATTTGGTCTTCCAAAAAGGAGACTCTGCTGAGACTATCAAAGATATCCGAGGTGTAAGCGATCATACAAAATTTTCCCTCGAGACCAATGGCTTTGTGTATGCGAAGCACCCGCCGCCATTGTTCACACAACCAAAGGACTTTGTAGACCCTGATCAGGTCCGCAATGTCTTTTTACCGGAATGTGAAGCAATCGTGAGAAAAGAGATTGAAGGAGTTGATCGGATTTTCATTTTTGATTGGAAAGTAAGGAATTCTATCTCAGCCTCAAGAGAAATATACTTATCGTCGTTCTGTAGATCAGGAAGAGAAAAAGTGCCAAAGAGCGACGAAAGAGGAATCCAAACTTATTGAAATTCGCTCGACAAGTTCACGTCGGTGAGTTTTTTTTCGTTTCCCAATTCATTACCTCAATGCGTAATACATGCTTTTATAAGTTCTAACGGAGCTCAGATACGCTTCTGACACGAGATGAACTCGAGACCTCTTTGACAGAGCGGATCCGCAATCATCTCCCTGAAGAAGCACATCATCTGCTTTCTGGTCGAGTACAAATGATAAAGTGAGTATAATCAATGCCTCCAGGCCATATATCTACGATTCTTTTCAGTCTCTAATGTATCAATAGCATTTGGCGGCCAATAGGCGGACCAGTTGAAGACGATCCAATCGCTGTGTGCGATGGACGAACTCTTGATACATCCAAGTTGATTGGAACTAATATGATCCGGGGTGATTATAACGGTACACTCATGTACCCTTTATATGACCCAAGTCATGCCTGTCAGTGGTACTATATGAGTGGACAAGGAGTTGAGGATGTGCTGCTGTTTAAGAGTTTTGACTCCAAAGAGGGGAGCGTTAAATGTAAGTGGCTTATCATTGCACACTGAAAAGGATGTCTAAGCCCTCATGATGAGTCTAACAGCTTTTACGTGCTTTAGATGTCCCCCATACATCATTTTCACTGCCAGATGTCCCGGAAGATGCACCCTCGAGGATTAGTGTCGAGGTGAGGGCTTTAATTTTTACACATTAGATCTAAAGCTTCAGAGAATCGACCAGTCATTTTATTTGCACTTAAATCTCAGTCACTAAACAGAAATATCCAACATCTTGACCCGATAATCCCAATAATTCTTCCGAATAGGATCATACTTCTCCAACAAACCCAACATCTCAACAGCCTTGCCCTTCCTCTCATCGGAAGCATAAACATCCACCAACCACTCAACAGCATGAGAGCTCTTAACGATATCCTCTGAAACAACAAACTTCCCGGCGAAATCCTCCCACTCCCCTAAGCTCCTACCAGACGCAAGTAAAACACCCCGAGCATACCACCACGGGCTCCGATTCTCCGGTGCCCGCACAATAGCGTTTTGCGCAAATTCCAATTCCGCATCAATCATATCCTCGTCGACAACGGCCAACACGCCCTTCTCAGCCGGCGTAGTTGACATATCGCCCGCATTGACCATACCGGCGTCATGCTCGGTGTCAGCGCGAGGACCGAAGCGGAGCGTGTACCGGTGACTCCAGGCGGAGTTGTTGCGGACGTCAGCTTTCAGGAGGACGTTCACGTCTTCGATTTCGCGGGGGTGATCCCATAGCTTGAAGTGGCGGACGAGCCAGTGGCGGTATGTCCATACATGGTAGTTTTTGCTGTCCTGGGCGAACATTTCCATTAGGAAGTCTAGTTCCTTAGGTGGAAGACTGGGGAAATGTTGGCGGGAGGACATGAGTACTTGGCGGTGGTGCCTGATGATGTTAGTCTTGCTTTTAACCCAATACCCAGGCGTAAAAGTGTATGTACCAGATTTGATAGTTTTTCAAGTATTTGAGAGCTACCTGGTTCAACCATGCAACTTCTTCTTCGATATTCTTATCCAACGCGAAGAGGATTCTGGCGCGGTAGATCCTGGGAGGAGTTAGAATGGGTAACTGTGACCAAGACGCATTTCGAGAAGTAAACCAAATTCAACTACTTACCAAACAGTGTAATGAGCAGGGTTCATCGAGATAATATCCTTAGTCAAGTCTAAGGCCCGATCAGACATCTCATTGGCAGCCATCACGGCCCGCAGGTAAGATGTTGCCTCGAGGTACTCGGTGGGGTAGGCAATGGAAGCCAAAGGCAAGGCATCGGCACCTTCGCCATCATCCAGTGGAATTGGAGTCACAGAGGCCCATACTGGGTCGTCGGCGTATTTTCCGACCATTTTGAGGGGTGAGTTTGGCTATCAAACCTGATGCGGGGGAATTCGAGTGGATGAATGCGCTAAACGCTAGATTCGTATGAAGTCGGAATAAAGGAGGGGGAAATTGAGCGTTCCTCCTCTAATTGCCTGGTCGAGTTCTGTTAATTTTGCCAGGAGGAAAATGGACTCTTTATGTGACAATCAGAGTTGATCATTCATCGTGAGTTGAGGTGCTTGGTGGGGCCGTGGATTCTGTTTCGAGTGGTTTTATTGGTTGCCTGAGGCTCGAACAAAGAGAACAATATTAAGAGTTAATGGATTTCTGTACTCGTTTCAATTCCATGTACATGTCATGGATTGTTTGTTGAAAACGTAATTACTGATTTCATCTCTTGCGTCCTTTCACTCACCCAAGCAACGGACCCTTTTCTTCGGGTTTAGTGTCCAGGTTGCTAAATACACTCAAAACAAACAAGATCTGCCAGTATAGAACAGCTATTGTTGAGCATAGCATTGCCAGCAAAATTCAACTGTGTCATGCAATACTACCAAGCCTACAGTAATATTTGGATTCAAAATTACGTCTACACTCTCAGACTTTCTGAAATTCTACCGTAGGCTACTGGGCCTCCATATTTAAATACATCGGCGATTATTTCCATAAGTCAATCTAGCTAATCAGATGGTATTAAGAGCGATCCAGTCGGCCACGCTCAACGGGTCGTTATTGACATCAGGACGACCATCCGACTCAGGCTGACAATAGTCGTAGTAACCCATGAGGCCAACTAGCTCACCGGATTCGTTAACCACCGGACCTCCCTGGTCATGGTCACAGGACCCTTGCTGCTTCTCCGGTGCAGCATCACAGTTCATGTTGCTGGTCACCGGATTGACATCAGCCCACAGCGGGTTGCAATCCTCGGATGAGATGAATGTGGTATCGAGCTGTTGCAATGCTTGGGGGTTTTCATTGGACAGCTTGCCAGTCGATCCCCAACCATAGAGGCTGACAGGCGCCCCTGTCAGCGTAGCTTGTTCAGCAATTGTCACGGGTTTGATATCCGTGACTGAGTCCGTCAGATGAAGAAGAGCAAAGTCAGAATCTCGGGTGTTGGTGTTGTAGTTCGGATGTTTGATAATCTTCGTGACCTGTTGCAATTTGCCGCCAGTAGCATGTTCAAGGCTGCCCAATCGTACCTTTAATGAGGACACTGAGGACCCATCGGCACATCCAGCAGTAGTAAGAACGGTTTTGGGGCCAATCAACGAGCCAGCACAGATATAGGAGTCACCAAAAATTCCACTCGAGATGACTGCGGCTGTGAATGGAGCATTATCCGCAGATGCATCACTCCCTCCCACTAGTCCATAAGCAGACTGGGAAAAAAGAAGAATGAGGGACAGGAATTTTTCGGGCGCTTGTGTGGCCTTCATGGTGGGCAGTTATGAGGGAGCAGGGTACAGGGACTAAGGTGGAAGAGTACCAAACTAGGGATGCGCTGCGCTTTAAAAGCGGTGATTTTCGATCATCCTCGATCTACGATGGATCGATCCATTTTTCGTGAACATGCCGATCAAGGAAAGCTACAGTAGCTTCGGGAATCCTCGGTGTCTCCCTATACTGTAGATACTTATTGGTTCCACTCAGCGCTCGCCCAGGGCAAAAGCTCAGCACGATACCTACGTCATTGGCTTATGAAACCCCAGCTGCAAGCCGAATATTGCAGATCTGGACGCAGATCAGCAATAAGCCGCTCCCCTTGCGCCATTTCAGGAATGATAATACCACGATCTCCAATAATCACTGCTCCACAAAGTGGAGTCTGCACTACGATCGTCAATAACACCGCAGGTTCATGAACCCACCAACCACAGCCAGGTTACTCCGAGCTGAAGAATCTGTAAGCAGGCAAGTGGATGTGCTCCATACTGGGTTTGTATTGACGTATAATCGCACTGTTGACTCACCACTCATTCGACTTGAAAGGACAGAAACGAGGAAAATCGAGGATAGACATTCCCTAGCTAACTTTGTAGCTAATTCGCTAAGGAAACAGTACAGTATCAATACGATTAGAGTTCAGCCGAAAATGCTAGACTGATAATTATTGCAAATAAGGAAGTACAGTCAGTTGTAGTATTGTCCAACACCCAGCACACCGTGTGGGTCTTTCCTTCCGATTCTGCAGTCTAATCAAATCTTCTACATCTCAATGAGCGTATTTCAAGCCAGGGTTCAGATATGAGAATCTGAGAGTAGCGGTAGATATGATTTCGAACAATACTCAACCCCTATATAAGTAACATCTACAGACAATATAATCTAACCCAACCTTCACATATACACCCAATTAGCCAAAAGTCTCACCCCCGTTTTCCAAATACTTAACCTCCTCCTCCGTAGAGGCCCTTCCGAGAGCCTTATTCCGATGCGGATACCTTCCAAACTGCTCAACAATAACCAAATGCCTCTTCTCAAAATCCAACGTATTATCCAACCACCCCTTCAAAAAATCCTTCTTCTGAAACAAAGTATCAAAACATTCCCTTTCATCTTCATCCAAAGAATCCCTCTCTACCTTCAAAAACGCTTCCATATCTCTAGCCGTCTCTTCATGCATTTTCACAGCCTGGTGGTGCACGCCCACATCCTCGGAGTGCATAAGCGGTAAATGGAACCAGAATCGGTAGGAGAGCATATACCGGATTGGATTTTGGGCTGGAATCCCAAGCGAGATGGCTTTCAATGCTATCTCGCAGGCCAGGGGATCGAAGCTCGTGAATACTTTCTTAGATTCCGGGCCTCGGTAGCAGTTTCTGGGCACTTGGTCTAGGAGGAGTACAAGGCTAAGCCAGGTTAGGGGATTTTTCGTGTCCACTGCAGATAGTATTTCTGTGGCTGTTGCGCCTGAGCTGAGTATTGCTTCTAGAGCTGGTTGAAATTGGGCGCTTGGGTATGTTAGCATGGAGTAAGGGGTTTGTATGATTGGGATGTCGGTGTGGGATTGGGGATGGCTTACACGCAGGCTTTGTCAAACTCTGCATCTGTAGCGAACCAGCGCTTCATTTCGCTCTGGCCGGGGAGGATCAGGGACTTTTCATCGCTTAGGTGATCGAACCAGAATGTTCGGATGTCCTCCAGAAGAGAAGGGGTGAGAGTTTGCTTCAATTCTGTTGAGACACTGGCCATCTTGGGCTGCGTCGCGTGATGTCTCCTTGAAGATGGATATCTATGAAATCCTGGTGTTGTCAACCTGATAGTTGCAGGCCTGTGAACAGACTGGGAAGCCAGTAGTCTAGTCTGCGGCAGCAAGGCAGGTCTCAAGGTCTGCCGAGTCAACAGACCAAGTCTAGACGTGTTGAACTACGTTGGGTTTAGTTTAATGGTAATATTCACTCAGTAGAGGGCAATTCTTACCTTCCTCGCGAGCGCCAAAGACATGGTGTGGCGTACATATTGTCAAATTGGGGTCTGCGCGATAAGGAGGATATGAGTCAGCGGGATCCACTTGTGGATGCGAGCTATGACGGGGAAATAAGGGTCCCGGGAATGTCTCTATTGCTCCAATGGCTCCTGCGAAATGGTATCATAAGCTAAATTCATTCGATGATTACTAGGATATCTCATGCTGCCCACCGCTAATCAGCAGACACAATGCGCCAAAGACATGCTCATGCGAAGACAAGGGGATTATGAGCCTTTCCTCCAATAACCCAAAAGTCAATTAAAACATAGATCAAAAGAAAAACCCGAGATGGCTTAGGGCTTTTTGAAAAGCCACATTCCAAATAGCTTTGATATCATGGTCAGGCGGAGGTTCACAGTCACAATTGAATGTGAATGCAAATAGACAATATTTAAAGAGAATAGGACAACAATCAAGGGAAATTTATATCAAGATAGATAAGAAAAATGGGAAGGGCAGGGGAATGGAAAGGAAAAGGGTGATTAAAAGCCCATAGTGTAGAGAAGAGGGGATCAAAGTCGGGTATTAAAGAAAAGATGGGCAGCGTCCGAGTATCAAACAGCTCGTTTCCAGAACTTCCAGCCTTCGCGCCTTTCGTGGAATCCGACACCTACAAGACGCTCAATGCCGACGTGACCTTCGGCCTCTTCGAATTTCTGCTGGTCGATCTCCTCACCACCCTCCTCGTCTGTGCCGTTGCGCAGGACTGCGGGATAGAGAACACCAACACCGTCACCGCCCAGAGTAGTCTCGTACTTGTTGTTGCCCTCAATTGCAAGCTTCTTAATTAGCCCTTTAACAGCTTCAGGATCTGCGTCGGGACGAATAAGGGTCATAGTGCAGCCGCCACCACCAGCACCAGTCAACTTGGTCCAGCCAACGTTGGCAGATTCAACTAGTTCGCAAATCCGCTCTAGGCGAGGATGAGAGACGCCCAGAGAAACAAGCAGGCCGTGGTTGATGCGAATCAGAGTTCCAAAATGAGCCATAGTCTCGGCGGAGTCGCCGTCGAACTCTGGATCCTCGATCAATTGGCGAGCAGAACATGTCACATGATCGATGGAATTGAGTACAGATTCGGTCACGGCGGGGTGAGCTTTTTGCAGCGCGGAGACCTTGGCTACTTCGGTGGCGGTGGAGCGGGTCTGTTGGGTATCGACGAGAAGGAGGGGCAATTCAGGGAATGAAGGAAGTGAAATGACCTGGGGAGGTTTCTCATAATCGGTTCGTTTGAAGTATACAGCCTTGCCGCCTGCGGAAACTGTGTTGTCCACTCCACTGGGGTTTCCGTGAATGCAAAGCTCACCCACAAACGCCCAGCGGTTAATCCGTTCAATTTGTGTCTCGGCCTCATCTGGGGGCTGATCGGGGTGGGGACCGGCAAGTGTTCGGATCTGGAGCAAGAGTGCGGAACTCAGGCAGACGCAAACACTGGCGCTGCTGCCCAGGCCAGCGCCGGTGGGGATGGTGGAGCGGAGGGTGTAGATGGCGCCTGCGCTTTGCGGGGACCCCAAGGAGAGGAAAAGGTAGAGGAATGCGGAGGCGGAGCGAATGTGGATCTTGCGTTGCTCCTCGGGGAGACCCTCGGAGATATTTGCAAGGTGGGGATCGAGGGCTTGTACGAGTTCGTCGTCGAGGGAAGTGACTAAGCTGTAATAGAACTTCTTCTTATCGGGGTGGTGAAAGACATCCCAGGGAAGAGCTTCGATGTCCCAGGTATGTTTCAGTCCCAGATCCCGGAAATTCAAAGTAATTGTCCGCTGTGATTTGGAGAGAGTGGTGACGAGGAGGTAGGATCGGAGGGAAATAGCAGCAGCCAGAGCGGCCTTGCCATGTACGACGGCATGTTCACCGTACACAATGACCTTGCCAGGTGCGGAGACCATAAAGGCCGGTGCCATTGGGGATGAAGCCTTGCGAGACATGCCTGGGCGCCTTGATCTGGTTCCGTTTTCTTTGGGGGATCCGGTGGAGGAGTCGGAGAGATCTGAGTCAACCCCGTTGCCGTTGCCGTTCACAGGAGGGTGAAGGAGTTCGTTTTGTATGTCGTCAGGTAAGAAATGGGCTACCGGGCGACGATGACCATTAGAAGTCCGGGCATCATGCAATTGCGCCTCGTAGATTGTTGACATGGCCGGGATTGAAATTCAGGGGCGCGGTGTAATATTATCCAAGTGGGCGCGGAGGAGTAAGGGGGGAGGGGTTAAAAGAAAAAGAAGTATGGAACACAATGGGATCCTTGGCATTGGCACTGGAGCACCAAACTGGAGAAACAATGGGAAAGAGAGAACCAGAAGTCGGGGGATTTTCAGTGATCGAACCTACGGAGTATACCAGGGCACGCGCGACCACCAATCATTGACGCTGGATTTCTGATTGGTCATTCTCCCCAACTTTTCGCCAATTTTATTTTTAATTTTAATTTGCGGACGAATCAGAGCCTCGGGTATTCTCACTACTTTTCAATAGGCTATTACGTATCTCAGCTGAGGTGTGTGGACAACACGTCGCTTATTCATGGCTGTGCTTATGTCGGGCTATGTCATTTCATTTATATCCTCATGAATGCCGCTCTTCAGCTTTAGTCGAAATCCTAATTCTATTAAGTTCCGTCTATTAAGTTCCGTCAGCCCCGCTGATCTCCGGTAGCGGCTCTGACATGCAGAACTAGCATAGATCCATTCGGGAAGTCCGATACTTGGGCACGTCCTTTGACAGAGATTTGAGTTCCTGTAATCCCGAGTACTTGGAAATACCGAAAAATGTATTGTCTATACATACTGATCACGCGAGCTAGATACAAGATATTGACATAATCATTAACTCATAGATTCATCGTCACAGTCATGCTATTACTGTGAACCAACAGACACGGAGGTAATCCTTGCCACAGTACCTCCAGGTCACTCAAGTACGAGGCACTGTCCTGTTCGCGGAGAGATGTTCCCTCGACTGGCGACGGTAGTGTCGTAAAAATTACAGCTGTCTCGCTGCTTTGCTGGACCATCAGCTCGTTGAGAATGAGATGCTGTGCCCGACTAGGAAGATCGTTGAAGGACAGCGGAATCGAGGCTGGACCTGGAAACCCGGACGCCGTTTGGCTGCTCTGTGCACTGGGAGAGGTAGCCGAGGCGGCCGAGGGGCGCCGTGCGTAGATAGACTCGAGTTTCTGCGCAAAGCGAGGCGGTGATGCATTCTGTGCGAACATGATTGACGGGCCGGCCTCGTCTGCTCCCGTGTTCACCTTGGCTTCCGGGATCGGAGAGGAGCTAAAACGATTGCTGGATGCAGAACGGCTCATACCCGGACGTTTGGGACGGGCTAGGCCAGGAGCTGGTGATTTGCTTTTGGGGGATGCATTGTCTTCGGTTATTATGGAAGGAATTGCTTGGCTAGCAAAGTCTTGCGCCATTGGACGAGTCGATGGACTCGCATCAGGTTTTTGGTCGTCACTTTTGGAACGGAGCAATTGCGAAGTGCCATTCCGATTGCTGGCAACCTCGTCCTGGTCCTCGTCACCAAACTCGGGATCGCTAGTGTATGGATCCAATTCGCTGTCACTGCTACTCTCACTGCTCGAGAAGTCCCCATTGTCGTCAACAAATCTCTTATCAAGACGGTTGATTTGCATCCCTAGATTGACACCTCCCATTGCCCTATAGCTCGATATGGATCGTCTGCGTTTATTGGACTGGATCAGTCTCCTGAGTCCGGTCGCCTGTTGATATGGTCGGTTTCCGCTGTCAATGCTCGAGGGTACCTGCCACGTAGCCGCTCTCTCCAAACGCATGTCATCACCAATCGCGTCAACTGCCTGGTTTGGGGAGTTATTGCGAGCTCGCAAAACTCCTTGCCACCATTCCTCATCCTGAAGAACGGAATGAACATGATCTTGGCCATCGGCAATCTCTGAAGAGGTATCTCCGTTGACTATAATGCGGTATGCCTTCAAGTCTCCGCATGCAAGCCAGAAGACAAGGACTTCAGCTTCAATGCGTAACTTATCCAGAAGAGCTTCGACGCGTCCCCTTTCATCCTCCACATCCGTCTCATACTCAACAAACACCGCCACCCGCAACTTATATGTCTTCTTCCACGATGGAACGGTGTTGAGAATGCAGCCCAGTTGCAGGATGAGGGTATAAGTATCGAAATTGGTGGTCAAGACATTTTGCTTACTCTCAATGTCGGCTCCTAGCTCCGCTGACATCTGGATGGGCCAGAGGTCGATATACCTTTTTGTGTGACGGCCGTGAGGGTCCGGCAGCTCCAAATCCTCGAATCCTTTAGCCACAGCAACGTTGATACGAAGCTTAAACAGAAGGTCCTCAAGGACTGTCACGTAGCTTTGGTTGCTCATGGGCTTTGCCGGTATCCCAGATTCGTCTGATACCTCTCGCTTTAAGCCAAAAACTGATGAGCGACGTCTTGCCTTAGAGTTACTGCTCAGAGACAATGTTTCCACTAGAGACTGGTCCTCTCGAAACTGATCGATCACCACGATATTGGGTCGCATACCCCCCAGTCCTGAGTTGAGAACAATGTTTCGCATACCCCATTCTGCGGCGGGGGCAATGGCAATGTTGACAAAGGCTTTGATCTTGGAGTATTCAACATACTTAGTCCATGCGGTTTGCTGTCGACGGGCCTCTGGAACGGCCGAAGAGAAGTCCTCGGTGACAATAACGTGGCCCAATACAAACAATGCGCCTTTCTTCAGAGAGTTGCAAAAAGAGACCATTTTGTACTGTCGATCAAGATCGCTCACAAATAGAAGAATCTGCGGTCGCCAAAATTTGACATGCTCTTGACGTAGACGCAACAGATATTTCCGCACCTGATGATAGATCAAGCTCTGGCTGACATCTCCCCATGGCTTGGGTGGTGATGTGTAGTGAATCAGCAGGAATAAAACGAACAGAACGCTGACGGCACCAGTGGCGTATAGACCATCCACAAAGTACATGCTGATGCCGCTAACCAGGGTTCCCGCGGCTGCTGTCTGCCAATTAAAGTAATGGAAAGATGGTCGGAAATTGGGTGCGGACCCAATTTTTAGCAGAAAACAGGCCAGATTGGTAACTAGAAAGGTCATCAAGTATATCATGGTTATAAAAGAGGCGATGCGATTGATATCAAACAACATTGTGACCTGGGCGAGGATGAAAGTTATGATAATTGCATAGATGGGCTCATCATTTTTCTTTGTACCTTGACCAAAGATTTTGATACCAGGTACTAAGCTATCTCGAGCAATGGCCTGGAGAAGCTTGGCGGATCCGGTGACGCCCATTAATACGGAGAAGAAACTAGTCGCGAATTCTCCCAGCAGGATTAGGCCATCAGAATAGTTGACCTGTTTTGAAGGTGAGACGTAATTGACAAACATTCAGAACAGACTGCAACTTACGATTTGAATCACGTTCACATTGTTATAAAAGGATTGTCGTGTGATGGAGGCCGCCATTGCAAGGATCACCATTGTGTACGTGATGAACGTCAGAGCTAAGCCAGACAAGGTGCCTTTTGGAATTGCTTTGCTTGGGTTCTTAAGATCACCCGACATGCTCGCACCTCTAGTGGATTATTAGTAAAAATATTTTCTTCCATGGTATTGCTAACTCACGCAAAAATGCCTGCTGTTGCGGGAAACAAGATGCCAAACAGATCTTGGAAGCTTTCCTTTCCTTTCATCTGACTCCCCGCAGCACCTTTAGTCAGGTGGGGTGTGAGATTTCCCGCGAGGGTTTTCAGGCTCAGCCCAGTAAACTCCACGCCTTCTCTGGAGAATGGCTTCATGAATATGGCAGATAGCGGAATACTGAAAGTCGCCACCAAAACAATAATCAAAAGGCCATTACTAGCTCTCGCAAAGAGAGAACTTCCAGCAAAGCAGATGGCGGTACAGAGGACCAACAAAACGGTTCCCCACAGATACGACCACCAGAACCCTTCTTGGAGGAAATTTGCCAAGCTGCCGGATGTACTACCAAAGTTCTGAAAGAAACAATCGACTAGGCCGACCGAATTCATACCGGTGTTGAAGACATAGCCCATGTAGAACACAATTCCAATTGATCCACCGAATTCGGGACCGAGGGATCGGGATATCAAATAGTATGCACCTCCGCCTCGAACCGTACCATTTGTTGCGATCGCAGAGAGTGACATGGTTGTCACCAAATTGATTGTGTAAGAGACGGCGAGAAGTCCTTGTTTTAATCAGCTTCGATCGTAGCAGCACGTGGGAGAGGAGTTTACCTAGTATTCCCAGCAAACCTCCTTGCCCCAGAACAAATCCGAAGCGCAAGAACATCAAAATACTCAGTACATTCAGGGTCACAGGAACAAATACACCAGAGAATGTACCAAGCTTCTTTGACTCCTCCGCCGGTCGAGGTCGATGCCCATGCCTATCCTTCTTGTCGACATTGATATCGCAGAGGGGGCCTGCAGAGGGAGGCATATGTGCCGGTGCAGGTTCTCCATTATTCTCTTGTCCTTTGCCATTGTCTGTTCTTCTAGCCCACAATCTGCTCAGGCCATGAAAAGGGTTTGTGGACCATGATTTGTGATGGTGTTCAGGAGCAATGGGGTCCAGCCCCTGTTCGGGGAGCGAAATGGCAGGTGCTTGAGACAAAAATCCAGCACTGGCAGAGGAGTCCAGCTCGTTTGGGTCCAGGCGTGAATCATCTGCTTCAGCGGTCCGAGCTGCGAAGTTCGGGCGTCGGCGAGACATGGCGGGTATGATATGTCCGCCGGGTTCGGAGGTCAAACACAACGATGCAACCGTGATGGGTGCATAAGGGATTAATAACACCCACACCCCTCGATAAGGAAGGAAAACGAAGGGCAAGGCAGAGAAAAAAGCAAGGAGTCTTCTATAGTCACGAAAAGAAGCAAAACAACCACTTGCGTCACCGCGCGTCTTGACGAGATGCTCAGTTATCACGTGATCAGTGACATAATCAGATAAGAGATGCCGTTGACTGGCGAGTCAGCAGGCCATGACATTGAGATATTCTGTCCGCAGATAGCAGGGAGCTCTTCAAATTCTTGGCTCTGAGACACCAAATTTCTGGTGCCCGGGTATATCAGGTCGAGGTAAGCTGCAGGCCGGGAATTTACCATATCTGCTGCTATCGTCCTGACTCGACATGCGGATAAGTAAATAGGAAGACAGATGACAGATGGAATTCCAATAGTCAGGAAAGAAGGATGGATCAATTTCTTGGAGACCGAGCCAGCAGGTCTTTCTATACAAATGTGTACTACTAGCAACTGAAGTTTCTTTGAAATCAAAGACAGGGCAATGCAAACGTGCATAGGTCGTCGACTGACCTAGCACTTGTCCCTATATGAAAGAGGAATGGCTTGAAAATCGTGTTATCGACAGGGAATCGAAGATGGATACGCAAAATATACTTATTAGGGTCGGCATTATGATGGATGTCTTTAAAAGGTATAAGAGAAGGTGGGGCGGGATTCTCTACTTTCCATTGGACCTGATCAAAATAAGCTCCTGATGTGGACTAGTATAATCTGCAACTTTCAGGCCGGTTGCTCTTGAATGAATAGGTACTAACATGAAACCCAGGCAGATATACCATTACCCAGTTATTGCACAAGAAATCAATTTCAATCCAGTCTATCTTCATAAAATTTGCAAAGGTGAACCCATGCATAGTCCAGTTGGTTGACGAATTTGTGATGACTAGATTTCTATATTGTGCCTTTTGGGTTTCGTTGATTTATTGTATTTTAGTAACAGGAATATATGTGGCTGGGAATCTATATGGTGCCCCAAGCTCCAGGGCTACTGCACTTAAAACTTGATATTGTAAATTTCGTGGCAAGGGACTCTAGCTGCAGCCTGCTACTGCCGTAAAGCAGAATTCAAGGCAAATTGAGAACTTCATCCCACAGCCTTTGCAGTATATGTAACAGTCTACACTGTGAGTGGTGCCTTCCTGGGCGACTGTATGCCTAGAATTCTTTCTGCACCAATTCATCAATTTACAAGAACAATGTGTGACTACTGCTATTTCATGTGGAGCTTAAGGCAGATTGGATGCTATCGATAAGTATCCACCGCCTGCTCCATCGGGGCAAAGCTGAGCACTGCACCCGCACTTGGAGACGATCGACCTCCCTCTTTTCACCAGCCTCCATACACAGCTTCTCTCCCCTGGTAGATGCACGGCCCTGGAATACTTGGCAACAACTAACAGGCCTTTTTCCATATGCCCATCTCCCTCCCGACACCTGTCCCCGGATCCTGATCAGGAGGAACAAACATACAACATGACAGATAACGGCGAGAGTTCCTCGCTGAACCCAGCGCGGGCAGTGCCAATTTCAGCGTCTTTTCGATCATCGTCCCCTGCACAGGATGGAACTATTAGACAGGCCTCCATGGCTCGGCTGGCTTCCCCTGTTCCCTCTCCATCTTTTGGGACGTCCTTGTCGTCTCGACAAGGTGTCCCAGCTGGTCGACCGATCAGTACCACAACCTCGAATTTCAATTCCGAACACAATTTCCGGGCTGTCAATGACCTTTCCTCGCTACCAGGGCCAGGTCATTCTATGCTTGCGTCTCAACTGCAGGAAAGTCTTGGTCGCTCGCCCCCTAATTTTGGAACCCCCTCTCGAGTAGCTGGATCGCCCGTGGTCCAATCAGCTCTCGAAAACCGCGCTGTGACTTCGCAATATGGATCTTTTGACACGAGAAATGGTATCGACTCTCCAGCTCCCAATGAGGATCCAGAGGTGGTGAAAAGGCACCTGGTTATGCCGTCGCAGGTCTCCGAGCATCGTGATACCGGGTCGGAGCTTGGAACTAGCATGGGCGAAGACCATTTCTCAAGTCTGCAGCTGCAGGGAGGCGACATGACTCGAGAGGTCTACCGATGGGCAGAAGATGCCGAGTCTGATAACCGGTTCGCACGCAGCAAGAGCTTCAGCGTCAGTCGGCCGGCTCCATCAGCAGAAACCGAAGACATTCACACAATTCTTGTGCCAGGAGGGTTCCGACGAGACTATTTGCGAAGAACTGCGGGGAGCCCGCACCGCGGAAGTGTGCAGGGGTCTAATTCTGGCGCACCCCCTCAGCACCAGCTCCCCACTTCCAATTTCTTGGAATTCCTGACACTGTATGGTCATTTCGCTGGAGAAGAGCTGGAGGAAGATGACGAGGTCCTGGGTCCAGATGAGTACTTTTCGTCTGGTACTTGGGACGAACCGGAGGACGGTAGAGAGTCTGGAGAAGATGCGGCCCTGCTTCAAGGTGACTATGCTGGCCGCAGGAAACGAAAGCACAAGGCGCGCGCACCTGCAGGTACCACAACTGTTACTGGCGCCGTCATGTTGCTGCTCAAGTCCTTTGTGGGTACAGGAATTCTCTTCTTGCCCCGCGCTTTCCTGAATGGAGGCTTGCTATTCAGTAGCATGGTGCTTCTCGGAGTCTCACTGCTCAGTTACTATGCCTTTATCCTGCTGGTGAATACGCGCATGAAGGTCGATGGATCTTTTGGTGATATCGGAGGCATTCTGTACGGAAAGCACATGAGACGCATTATCCTCGGGTCCATTGTTCTCAGCCAATTGGGATTCGTAGCGGCATACATTGTGTTTGTGTCGCAGAACTTGCAAGCGTTTGTGCTCGCTGTGAGTAACTGCGCGTCCTTCGTTGATCTCAAGTACTTGGTGCTCTTGCAATTGGTCATTTTCTTGCCCCTCTCCCTGATCCGCGACATCAGCAAGCTTGGGTTCACTGCGCTTATTGCGGACGCGTTTATTCTGCTGGGCTTACTGTACATTTACTATTATGACGCCAGCACCCTGATTGGCAATGGTGGTATCTCGGATGTTGTCGCGTTCAACCCTGCAACCTGGTCTATGTTCATTGGAACTGCCATCTTCACATATGAAGGTATCGGTCTCATCATTCCCATTCAGGAGTCGATGAGGGAGCCCCACCGATTCGCCGGAGTTCTGGCTGGTGTCATGGTTGTCATCACTTTGATCTTCCTTTCTGCAGGAGCTCTCAGCTATGCTGCTTACGGATCGGCAACCAAGACTGTCATCCTGCTCAACTTGCCTCAGGATGACAAGTTTGTCAATGTGGTTCAGCTGCTTTACTCGCTCGCTATCTTGCTGAGTACCCCTCTGCAGCTCTTCCCTGCCATTCGTATCATGGAGAATGAACTCTTCACGCGCAGTGGCAAATACAACCCGTACATCAAGTGGAAGAAGAACGCCTTCCGTTTCTTCTTGGTCATTGTATGTGCCATTATAGGTTGGGCTGGAGCCGATGATCTTGACAAGTTTGTTTCGCTGGTCGGAAGTTTTGCCTGTGTCCCATTGATCTACGTCTACCCGGTAAGCTTCTCCTAACCTTTTCATTAATATCTTCAGGTACCCAGACTAACTCTTACCAAAATAGCCCCTCCTTCACCTTCGTGCCTGCGCCCGTACTCGGCGTCAAGTATTTGCCGATATCGCTCTCACTGTCTTAGGTGTTATTGGCTGCATCTACACAACGACGTTGACCATCCAAAACTGGATTGCCGGCGGTGATGTTCCAAGCCCAGGCTACTGTGATTCTAAGTGATTGTCCTTTCCGGATTTCGGCATTGTTCAATAATTTCCTCGGTCTGTTTCAACACTAGATGGCATAGCATGTTGTGATTTTTTCTCCCATTAGCAGCGAGCAGATATGAATCTTGGTGTCTGCTTTTTTTGACAGATGGCCGGCTGATTTGGCGGACTTTAGAGAGTTGCATGGGTTGTATGGGCTCTTGTACATATATTGTCTTCTAAATGCCAGAAAGCAAAGTTCTCGAACTTATCCCAATTAAAACCGTAGTACATAATATATACGTCAAGTGCCACCTGGGCAAGTTCTGGATAAAATGATTCAATTTAGTAATCTATGTACAGTGACCAGACAAGTACACCAGACCTTTTTGAAGGAGACTAGTCTACTTTCCAGCCAAAACCCCCGTCAGATCTCTTGTCTCTATGATCCCGCCCTCAAGCACCACACTGAATACCTATGGTTCCCCTCTTCCAGTATTCTCCTAACATCAGTCACTCGGAAAAGATCAGAAGAACACATATGTAAAGAATAGAGGTATAACGCAGTAGAACAAGGGAAAAGACAAGCGAGCCAAATGAACATCAACAAGTACAACCGAGGATGAAGTTTTTACGCGGAAGCGCCCTCAGCAACAGCCTTGCCCTGCTGCGCCTTCTCGGCGAGCTGAGCTTCCCGACCACCCCAGCTAAAACACAAAAGCATGTCAGTATGGGATCAAAGCATAATGAGTGAAACCACATGGACACAGCCATGTTGATTTCCATCAGATACATATTGGAGCAACTTACTTCCAGTAGTTCAGATACCGGTATCCCTGGGTAGCCTGGGCGCCGAAGTTGGTCAAGTGGCAGGCAAAGAGCAGGTAGTTCTTGGGTGTGATGGCGAGGGAGTAGCGCATGAAAGTACCAGCGTAGACGAAAAGGGCAGCAGTCATGGTACCAGAGATACTGCGCAGTGGTATAAGCGTTAGTCGCGATCTTTCCTTTCCTTATCTGGGATATCTGTGATAGATAGACAAGGGAAACCAGCTTCCGATTGGAATGAAACTAGGCCGGAGCATTGACTCGGGGCAGTAATCGAGTCGGAGGGTTCAAACGTACATCTCAGGATCCTTCTGAGTGTCCATCACAGCGGCGAAGGGAATACCGAAGTTGGAGACGGGGCCCCAGAAGTCTGCAAAGCATCGTCATTAGCAATCTGCTTTCAGAAGCATAGCTTAAGCCTATTTTTCGTCTCCGAGTTCGTGCTTCCGTCTGGGTTTTCGGCCGGTTGTTTCCGAAGCATCTGGAACCAGCCATATTCTTGCGTTTTGACTTCCAAGGTGTAATATCATAGCTGGCCGATCTCGGTCCCGGAAGCACGGCGGGAAACTCGGGGGAAGAATTGGGGCGCAGGAAACGTACGAGTGGAGCAGACATAGTCCGCTACCTTGTTGGAGCGGATCTTGGCGTTTATTGCCTTGATAGCAGCGGCCATGGCGACGGATGCTGGTAACAATCGAGGGTTAAGGCGCGGTAAGTTGAGGTTGGGGTTCTGCGGGTGTGGAATTGACTCGACTTGACCGGGGTCGGCCGTTGGTCACGTGCCTGTATCGGATATCAAGCGGCTTATTTCCGTCAATCAAAAGAGGTGGGATTTAGTCTAGGCCTTGGTGGATTTATTGTTCGGTATTTATATTGCCAGGTCTATGTTCACTATGGACAAGTGAAGTCACTGTAGGATTAATCGTTGCTTGTGGTATCCCAACCTTGGAAATTGAAACTTGCCGTGCCGTTATCTCTAAAATATATAGTGCTAGGAAGGTACGGTTGACTTGACCTCACAACGTTGGAACCAATTGTAAATTTTCTAGCTTCATAGATATGGAAAACAAATATGTATTGCATTTTTGCGACAGGGGGTCATAGGAGCTAGCTAGCATTATTGGGTACTAAATGCAAATCTCAAAAGGATTTCTCGGCTTTTTTTTGGTTTCCATCCTTGACACGACCTCCATTCCGCATGCGCCGCAACGCCTTGCCCGGTAGATTGTGGGCTGATCTAGCCTGTATGCGCGCTATTTCTCCTGGACACAAGAGCCTCAATTCACTCCTAGCCCTGAACCGTCCCTATACCTTTCCAGGTGAAAACAAACCGCCAATTTGAAGCTTGGAATTTTCTTCCGATGTACACTTAAATCATCTGCCACCGAAGCCTGGTGGGGGGTATCCTCGTCCCTGTCCAGGGGGCTGGAAGCCGGGAGGAGGTTGGAAAGCACCCGCTAAAGATAGAGGCGTTAGCTGGGGGGACAATCAAAAAATTTGATAAAGACAAAGACTTACGAGGAGCACCGGGGGGAACGAAACCAGGAGGGGGAGCAAAGCCAGCTAAAAGAGCGAACATGTTAGTCTCTAGAGATATACTTGAGTCATCATTTCAGGAACTTACGAGGTCCACCTGGGGGTCCTCCACGACCAGCGAATCCTGGAGGGGGCGCACCAGGGAAGCCTCCCGGAGGGAAACCACCGAAGCCACCGGGAGGAGGCGGGCCACCGACACCAGCAGCAGGACCACCGAGTCCAATGGGCAGGCCACGACCAGCGGGCTTGCTGACACCAGGGCCGGCAGCGAGAGTGGCAGCGGGGCCAAGACCGGGAGCGTTACCGAGACGGGCAGAGGGGTCGGCAGGAGGGGGACCGTCGACAGAGCAGGAAACGACCTGGGCGCCGCGCACGATGGTCAGACCGAGGGTTCGCTTCTCCTCCGCTTCGACCTGCGGGGTGGCAGTGGAGCCGGGGGCGGCCTTGGATTTCCGCTTGATACGGCGGAACTCTTCTGTGTCGGCGAGAACAAGGTTCATGTGCTGCAGAGAAATAAGATCTGTCAGTACTTGCTATGAGCATGTGTTGATGGGGGACAAGGACGGACCTTATCGAAGGCCAGCATCTGACCGGTCATCTGGCGACCATCGTTCAGGGTAACTCTCATCCGGTAGTTGATCTAAGAGACATGTTAAACGGGGCAATTGGAGTAGGATTGTATCTTTGAATTGATCTTACGAGGTTGGCCTAGACAAAAGAAGTTAGCGACAGCCATTCGGGGCATATGGTCCAGGATTGCACTGAGGGATCGCGGAGAACTCACCATCTTGCCTTGCTTGTTGGCGGCCATTATTGGCTAGAACGCGCACGAGTGCGACTTCGAAGACCCAAAAAATTTGCAAGAGAGACAGTAGTAGTGTTCTCTTGACGGGTAGATCGAGCGAGGCGCGGGATCCAGTGAGAAGCTAAGCTCTTGATTGATACGGCGCAGGTCTGCACTCAGTTTCTGGATAGTAGCTGACTCATCAACTGACAATCCACACCGCCTGACCGAGATATGATTAGATCAGCAGACCTGAGATGGTCACGTGCTGTTTGAATTTAAGATTTCCATCACATGACATGAGGGCTCGCTTCCGACTTCCCGTGACCTGGATCCCGTGATTTTGGAGCCCACACAAACCGCTTTTGTGCTTTTCGCAAGTTCAATCTCGTCGTCAACCACCCTCACGCCCAACCACACACCAGTCGCCATGGTATGTTAACACCACAACCACCATTCTATAACGCACAACACACATTCTAACAGCAATGCAGTCGGACGGAAAGGACAAGAGCGCAAACCCCATGCGCGAGCTGCGCATCCAGAAGCTCGTGCTGAACATCTCTGTCGGCGAGTCTGGTGACAGACTTACCCGTGCCGCCAAGGTGCTGGAGCAGCTGAGTGGTCAGACCCCCGTCTACTCCAAGGCCCGCTACACCGTCCGTACCTTCGGTATCCGTCGTAACGAGAAGATCTCCGTTCACGTCACCGTCCGTGGCCCCAAGGCCGAGGAGATTCTCGAGCGTGGCCTCAAGGTCAAGGAGTACGAGCTCCGCAAGCGCAACTTCTCCGAGACCGGTAACTTCGGATTCGGTATCTCCGAGCACATCGATCTTGGTATCAAGTACGACCCCGGTATCGGTATCTACGGCATGGACTTCTACTGCTGCATGTGAGTGATACCCAGGAACAAGGTCAGAGGAGGCGAGGAACAAGACTAATCATGGTTTTTTAAATAGGACCCGCCCCGGTGAGCGTGTTGCCAAGCGTCGCCGCTGCAAGGCCTCCATCGGTGTCAACCACAAGATCAACAGCACCGAGACCATGAAGTGGTTCAAGAACCGCTTCGACGGTATCATCCGGTAAACGCCTCATGGAAAGTTGGGGTGAATGAAATCTTGTGATTTACGATTCTCCCTCCCGAAAAGAAAACAAAAAACTCGGCCCAGGATGAGAATCAACCCGGCCGGGCTCCTGATCTCTGCGTCGGATATGGTGTTCTGAACCCTTCTATTTTTTTATCTACCACGGCAACCAGGATAGGCGTGTTAGAGACATGAATTCACTACACATTTGCACAAAGCGCATTCCCTTTTCACAATGAAGGCTTCACGAAAGGTGTTGATTTCCGCATAACCATTGTCGAAAAGACTGGTTGATACTGGACTCGTCCGGTGTCACCATGACTTGCTTGATTTGGGTTTGCCCCGTCAAAGAGTCGGTCTGTATCTCCAGGTTCGTCCTGCGAGATGAGTACCATCTGGCCTATCTTGTCCGTTACTGTCTACACCTGGTGTGCTTTCTTTGCGTAGCAGTAGTCTTCGTAGTACGTAGTTGTAGTTGGGCCGAAATACCCCTCTAGACCAGCCCACTATCCCACCAGCCCACCCTACTTGAAAGTGCCCATCACACTTCCTTCACAAGGACTGCACCAGACGGTAGTAACTTTCGACAACTGGTCGCTGAGCGACAGACAGCCCTATGGTGTCCAACGCTACCAACACGAACTCCAGGATCATCGATCTCTATTACATTACTTGTCAGAGTAGTGCGTCAACAAGTGGTAGAGAGTGTTGACAGCCTCAATCTTGAATATAATTTGTTTCCTATAAAGCTTTGCCCCTACTCTGTAAACAGTGGTGTAGGATTAAACGGATAAACGAAACATCTTATGGACACCAACCCAGCACCTGAAGTGCTGCTTGATGTATGAATCGGGGTCACGTGCCTGTACAAAATGGGGATTTGTTTTCTATGATGGCACCTAGCTGAAGTAACCCCTACAAATCAGAAAAAATGAAGTCTTACATGTGGTAAATCAGTGAAGTAATATCACTGAGATATAACAACAATATATCATGCTTCCAAGGTTGGCCAATATAGCATATCAATGCGTTCCGAGCCTGAGCCGTCGAATATATATATGGATACAGGTACTGAATCAGCTAGTCCAAACTTCACCTTTAATGCATTTCAATTCATGATTTGTGATAAAAAGAAAACAGACATAAGAAGGGAAATAATAACTGAAAATATAAGACCAAAACAATATCCATCATCCACATTTCCATCTCATACTCCCACACGTACTTGACTCGAAGTCACTTTATCGGGCACCTACTTTCCCCGAGTATACCCATTCCAAAGCTTCGAAAAGTATCCTCCCTGAGCCTGCTGCTCGTTCCAACTCTGCCTCCGCCCTGCCATACTCGGATCCGTACTATCCCGCTTCTGACTCTGCAAGGTCGAGAAGAGACCTGCACCGCCACCCGGGGACGAGGCACTCGAGCGTCGACGCTCGCCGACGCTGGGTACGGCAGGCGAGCCGGATTGGTTTGCGGTGTTGCCTGTGTTTGAGGATGTGGAGGCGTCGGAGTTCTGCACATATCATGTTAGTCAATGTCAACTTGTGGTGGTGGGCTATAGAGTGAAGTTAGCGAAATTGTTCATATACGGATGCAACGGGGGAATCCTACCATTTGAAATCCAGTTCCTCCAGCAATAATCCAAACTCAACACGTTTGCCGAGTGGTGTATAGGAATAATGTTTTGGGAAAAGCGGGAAATAGAGTAAATGGTACCTTCCGGGCGTTCAGATTAGCCGTCATCTCTGGCGTCAGCGCCCATGCTGCACGAGAGGTTGGTCCCTTTGCACCACCAGCCGTCCAGGCATTGACGTGCTCGTAGCGATCGCCAGCAGCACCATGCCAGTGACGGCGTTCGTTGTCGTTCGGGCTGTCGGACATGTTTGAATATTCGTATAGAGCGATATCTGTGAGGCTTGGTTTTCTTGTTCCTGTGATTGGAACGAGGCTATAGTTTCTTTAGAAATGGTTTTGTATGTTAATTCAGTTCTGCTTGGATTGAATATATGTAGAAGTAAAGTGAAACGATTTAATGGGAGCTAGGAGAGTCACGGGGATGGGGAGGAGTCAAAGACGTCATGGAGGGAATATTTGGTCTGGATGTTTGGGATCCACGGGTGGGGGTTTTGGTATTGATGAGATCGAGGTTGATCTGAGCATCGGGAGTATTGGAAGGGAGAGGAAGAAAAGAAAAAGAAAACCGTACGAAGAAGAGATAATGGCTTACCTTGATGGGTGTAGAGGAGTAAGAATGCAGAGCAAATGAGGGGAAAACCACATTTATATAGCAACGCACAAGAGTCTCTTGACCATACAGCATACACGAGAAACCCAGAAACTACTACCTTAAGCACTAAGTCTCAGCTCAAGTCCATACCGAAAACTCCGGACTTCGGTAGTTACCCCATCAGGCGATCATCGTGAAACCAAATGAATCACCATGATTAGTGATTGAGTACCTACATCGGATGGGCCTAGAGTTATTTTCTGAATTCAACCACTGATATCCAGAGGATAAACCTGTCTCCTGAATCCAGCGAGTCGGAGTGGGCATCATCTTGATTACGCGGCAACAGCTTGACGTAACTAAGAATGCGGGGAAAGCTCAGAGGCAATCAGCTAACTGCTGCATATATTAGACTAGTACTCGGTACTTAAGTTAATATGCTACTTTGCATATCGGCAGTAAGTACCGAATACCCCGCAATTCTTTTGCCTTGTACACTAGCTTGGCGATCATGTTTCAGTTTGGTTAGTTCCAGGTTTGGTATCTGGTCTTGCCGCATGCGATTACGTCGATTGTTTTGGGGGTTGAGTTGATCTCGATTGCGATTGAGTTTGAACTGGATCTAATGACGGATTCGAGTTGTGTGCTGGTGGGATACCCAAATTCTTACTCATTCCACTTAAGGCATGAGTGATCCACAGTAGATCAGAACCGGTGGGGATATGTAGGCCGTAGCTGTTCATCACTGATTTCGAGCTACGTAGTGTTTGTAACTACTTGAACACCAGGGAAATAGTTACTGAGCTGTTACGAAGAATAATTGAAGAAAAGATATCCATTCGTCACGGACGATGACAGTAATAAGAGATAACCAGAACCTAAGCCAGCAATAACAACCAAAGATCCCGCAGGAAAAATAAACCAAAACGCTGAAAGTTATCATTCACATCTTTGCGCATCAGTCGTGCACATCTTATACACAACTTTTAGGCATTTAAGCCTTGCCGATCCTGCAGACCAAGTCCTGGCCGTCAACGGAGTCACCCTCCTTGACTTGGAGGTTCTCGACCTTACCACTGTGAGGGGCGGAGATGACCATTTCCTGAAAGAATTGTTAGTAAAAGGTTCATAGGAATCGTACTCGTAAAGGGAGGAATTATCACATACCATCTTCATGGCGCTCAGCACCGCAATGGGGTCACCCTTCTTCACCTCGTGGCCGTCGTGGACACGGATCTCAACAACAACACCGCTCATGGGAGCACCGACCTGGCTGCTGTCGGCAGCGTCGGCCTTGGGGCGGGCAATGTTGTCGACGGAGGCCTTGTGGTCATCAACGCTGACCTGGCGGACCTCACCGTTGACCTCGTAGAAGACCTCACGCTGACCGGTCTGCTCGGAGAGGGGACCGATGGCGAGCAACTTCAGGATCAGAACCTTACCCTGCTCCAGCTCGACGTGGAACTCCTCGCCGATCTCAGGACGGGCCAGGAAGAAGCGAGTAGGCAGGACGGAAAGGTCACCATACTTGGAGACGAACTTGCGGTAGTCCTCGAACACCTTGGGGTACATGGCGTAGGAGGCAACGTCACACTCGGTGGCGGAGCCGAACTTCTCGCGGATGTCCTTCTTGATCTGGACCAGGTCCAGGGGCTCAAGGTAGAGACCGGGGCGCTTGTCGAGCTTGCGGCGGTCGCGCAGGGCTCGGGAGCGGAGAGGCTCGGGGAAGCCACCGAAGGGCTGGCCCATGAGACCCTCAAGGAACTCAAGGACGGAACCGGGGAAGTCGAGCTCGCCGGCGCGCTCCACAACGTCCTCAGCGCTCAGCTTGTTGGACACCATGAACTGGGCCAAGTCACCGACGACCTTGGAGGTCGGGGTAACCTTAACGATGTCACCAAGCAGGTCGTTGGCGGCCTCGTAGGCCTTCTTGGTCTCAGCCCACTGCTGGCCGAGACCGAGCTGACTAGCCTGGAAGATCAGGTTGGTGAGCTGGCCACCGGGGATCTCGTGCTCGTAGACCTCAGGGTCGGGACCGGTCAGACCAGCCTCGAAGGGAGAGTAGAGCAGACGGAGCTGAGCCCAGTAGGTGTCGAGGGCACGAACGTGACCGAGGTCGAGCTGGGGGTCCTGCTCGGTGCCCTGGAGCGAGGCCAGGATGGCACCGATGCTGGGCTGGGAGGTCATACCAGACAAGCTGTCAGTGGCGGCATCGACGGCATCAGCGCCAGCCTGGGCGCAGGCAATCATCGAAGCAACACCGGTACCAGCAGAGTCGTGGGTGTGAACGTGGATGGGGAGGTCGGGGTAGCGCTCGCGAATGGCACCAACCAGGAGACGGGCAGCCTGGGGCTTGAGAACACCAGCCATATCCTTGATACCAAGACTGTGAGTGCCCATCTGGACAATGCGCTCAACCAGAGCCAAGTAGTACTCCAAGTTGTACTTCTTGCTGGGGTTAAGCATGTCACCGGAGTAACAGATGGTGGCCTCAACCACACCACCGGCCTGCTGAACGGCCTTGATACCAACCTCGAGCTGGTCAACGTCGTTGAGAGCATCGAAGACACGGAAGATGTCAACACCGTACTTCTTGGCCTGCAAACAGAAGTGGTAGATGGCATTGTCGGGAAGGGAGGAGTAGGCGACACCGTTGGCACCACGCAGCAGCATCTGGAAGGGAATGTTGGGAACAGCCTTGCGGAGCTTGCGCAGACGGTCCCAGGGGTCCTCGTAGAGGAAACGCATGGCGACATCGAAGGTAGCACCACCCCAGCACTCAATAGAGTAAGCGTTGGAGAGAGCGTGGCTGGTCTCGTGAGCGATGTTCAGCATATCAATGGTACGCACACGGGTGGCCAGGAGGGACTGGTGGGCATCACGCCAGGTGGTGTCCATAATCAAGCAGCCCTTGTTGGCACGCACAGCCTTGGCCCAAGCGGCGGGACCCTCGCTGTCAATAATCTGCTTCCAACCCTTGGTGCAGGGCCGGGAGACATCAAGAGGGGCACCAGTGGCATCCCGGAGGATAGGCTTGATGATGTCGACCTTTAACTTGGGCTCACCAATCTGGCCCTTGATGCTGCTGCCGTTGACAGCGACATCACCCAGGTAAGCCAGCAGCTTCTGGGCACGGTTCTGAGAGCTGACCAGGGCGAACAGCTCGGGGGTATCATCGATGAAAGTGGTCCAGCAGGTACCATCAATGAAAGTAGGGTGGCTCAGCAGAGAAGCAAGGAAAGGAATGTTGGTCTTGACACCACGGATACGGAACTCAACCAAGGCACGCAGGACCTTGCGGCGAGCAATCTCGTAGGTGGAACCACGGCAGGTACACTTGACCAGCATGGAATCGTAGTGAGGGGTGATGATAGCACCGGCGAAACCGTTACCACCATCGAGACGAACACCGTTACCACCAGCAGAGCGGTAGACCTCAATCTTACCGGTATCGGGGGAGAAGCCCTTAGCGGGGTCCTCGGTGGTGATACGACACTGAATGGCAAAGCCACGGATGGAGATGCGGTCCTGAGTCAGACCAAGCTGCTCAAGGGTAGCACCAGCAGCAATCTGGATCTGGGCAGCGACGAGATCGATACCAGTAATCTCCTCAGTGATAGTGTGCTCGACCTGAATACGGGGGTTGATCTCAATGAAGTAGTGGCGGTTCTGCTGGTCCACCAGGAACTCAGCAGTACCGGCGTTGCGGTACTTGACGGACTTGGCCAGCTTCACGGCGTCCGACAGGATCTGGTCCCGCACGTTGACGGGCAGATCCTTGGCCGGAGCAATCTCAACGACCTTCTGGTGGCGACGCTGAACGGAGCAGTCACGCTCGAACAGGTGGACCACGTTGCCCTGGTTGTCACCAAGAAGCTGGACCTCAATGTGCTTGGGTTTGTCGAGGAAGCGCTCGACGAAGACGGTGCCGTTACCAAAGGCCGAGCGGGCCTCGGAGGTGGCACGCTCAAAGGCATCTTTGAGCTCGCCCTGGTCGCGGACGACACGCATACCACGGCCACCACCACCGAAAGCGGCCTTAATAATAATGGGGAAGCCATACTCATCAGTGAAAGCCTTGACCTCCTCAAAGCGCTCGACGGGTCCTTCCGTACCGGGAACAACCGGGACGCCGCACTTGATCGCCAGGCGGCGAGCGGAGACCTTGTCACCAAGAGCATCAATGGTCTCAGCGGTCGGGCCCACGAAAACGATGCCCGCCTTCTCGACATTTCGGGCGAACTCGGCGTTCTCCGACAAGAAACCGTAGCCAGGGTGGATCAGGTGCACACCGTGCTCCTGGGCGATCTTAATGATCTCCTCACCAGCCAGGTAGGCGCCGACGGGGGTATATTGACCCCGCTGGCCAATCATGTAGGCCTCGTCAGCCTTCTGACGATGCATGGACAGACGGTCCTCGTGTGAGTAGACAGCAACTGTCTGCAGGGACAGCTCGTGGGCTGTACGGAAGATACGAATGGGAATTTCACCACGGTTGGCTACCAGGATCTTCTGGAAGTGCATGATAGTGGAATTCGCCCGCAGACGACGGTGAACGGAGTCATGGTGGTGTTCGTGATGGTCCTCGACGAACTCGGACTCATCGATAGCCTCCTCGGGTTGGCGGTGCGGGGCAGACATTGTGACGTGGGGAAGGGATATGGGAGATTAGGGAAGTAGGACTGGAAGTTGGGGATCGATTAATAAATTGGCCCGGAAAACTCAATTGCCCGAATGGCAGGGAAAAAGGAAAACTGGATAATGTTTTGCGCGGGGGAGTGACTCACGGATTAATTGGGCTTTTGAAGCTCTGGATAGCTAACCCCAGGCCGATTTCGGCAGAACGCAAGCGCAATTGCTCGCAACTAGTAACAGAGAGTCAGATTAGACAGCGACTCCCTAGATAATGAATCGAGGAATTGGGAGAGAAGTGAGATGAGGAAAAGAAAAAGAAAAGTGGGAGGTGGGATAGATAAAGAGGGGGATGAAACTATATGGTGGATCTGCACGAGTCACAGGTACTTTCCGGGGCGAACACGCTGACAAGCAGAATGAGGTAACGAGTACTTACCGCCACTCACCGGTACACCGGACTCTCTTCAGATCCAAGGAATTTACTTGATAGCCAAGCAAATCAATAAATTCAGTATTGATACGTGGTAAAATATCCTCCCTTTCTCTACGAACTCCCCACTCTTTATATAGTCATTCCTAATGCCTATCTACGGAGGAAAATGAGGGGCCCACTGTCCCCCAAGGAATCTAGGCGAAGTCGGCGACGAGATCTCCCGATGATCTCATACCTTTGACTCTATAGGGGATCGGGTGGATTAGGTAAATAGGTGAGGACACTAGTTACCTCGGGTCCTCGGACCCAGAGCTCTCGTGGGTAAAAGAAAAGAGGTTTAGGGATCACGCAAAGAAAAAGTGGGTAACGACGCCCATGAGTCCAGACAATGACGGATATAGACGGGAAAACCTGGAGAATTTGTCCGGGGGAAACTCGGAGAACTCTCGATTCATGTGCAGAACGAACCCCATACCAATCACCAACTCCGATTAATCACGGGGAGTTCACCTCGGGGAAAGTCATTCCGAAACTCCCATTCTTACTGTATTTTTTTTTTTTTTTTAAACTTATCATTTAACGGATTGCCCAGGAACCTTCAACCAGGGACATGCATCGGGCGCATATCTGAATTCATTGGGTCATGCGTACAAATCCCTACAGGTAATGATCTCCAATGGACTCCGTCGTATCGTCCCCGGTGTACTCTTCCGACACCGCGAGGACCGCACGGGACCATCACCGACGGTCACCGATCTGTACCTGATCCTTACCGAGGATATCCATTATTCTCCTTGGCATGACGGTGATCTCCCGCCAATGTATGACAGGTGATGATTTCTAAAACAGCCAAGGGAGCCAAGAATCGCGGCATGAAGGGGGTTCATCTCAGTACTTCACGGAGTATGATACCCGGAGACGCGATAGCCTCCCCGCCCCACCCAAGTGCCGGAAACCCTTCCTAAAAATATCATCCCCGCCTGAGAGTACAATCTTACAGGAAAGAACTATAGACAATAATCAATTGATAATCTTATATAGCTCCACGTAACCTCAAATGTGACTGCATTGCAGCAGCCAAGTCCCAAGCCCTGCAGTTCTGATAAGCAAGTCAAAAAGTAAATCCGCAAATCAGATCCATCTACACCAACACACCTTATCACCATCCCAACTGAACAACAAACGTCATTTAGGTATTCCAATTTCAAATTCAAGGTTAAGATTCAACACGTCAGCCCCTCCTGGAACCGCGCCTCAATGACCCCAGATCTCCAGAATTTCGTTCCTAACGGAAAAATTCACTGCCACTGTTCTTCCCGCGCCCTACAGCTGGGGGAGCTATACACTCCACATTCTCCACGGGGTAAAGAATTTCCCCGGAACACAGACCATTCCTGCTCTTCCATCCAGCCGGGCCGAGGATCGCTACAAATCATCGGTATCGGGCTCAAAAAGAGCGGAGTAAAAGAAATAATCAAGAATAAAGTGGCGAGCATTAGATACGCCGATTCGGAGATTCGCCAGCTGCACTCGGCTCGGGTGTATGCATTTGCCTAGTGCTGCTAGTGCCCAGGGTAGGGTCACAGACGTCCTGCAGTTGGAACAGAGGTACCGTACATTATCAAAACATTAATTTACATACCTACAGCTGGTATATTAAAAAAAAAGCAAATTGATACTCAAAAAGTAGGTCAGCGTCGATCGCCAAGAGCTTACTTGACTAGTTTCCTAATATGCTACCCACCCTCGATGATCAGTCTGGGCACGTATGTGGTGTCACGGAATCTAGTCATCTCTCTGTGCGACCAGGTCTGGGCTAGGCGCTCCTTGCGCGGGGATCTATTGACTACTATTCGTATGGGGCTGATAGTGAAGAATGCCCTGCCTTGGCGTCTTGGCGGGGTATAGATGTTACCATCGTCCATCGTCTATCATTGATTGGCATTGCATTTCTTGGCAAACATCCTGCAGCAGACCCCTGACCGTGCAGGGAGGACGAAGGCTGGGTTGGATAACAAAACGCCATGTAGTTTACTAAAACGGAGGCCTATCATGGCCCAGGCCGGACGTAGGGAAGCATGAAGAACGCAAAAGCCTATCAAAATACATTGGATAATAAAAAAGAGCACGAAAAACAAATTAACGGGGCGGCCGTCATGATATCCTCCTATGGCACATTTTCCCCGCTTGGTAACCTTTCCCCCCAAGGACTCAAGTCTTTTGCTTCGCACCAAAGAAGTCATCACGTCGCTTTATGGTACATAAAAGAAAAATAAAAAGAGGGGAAACAAAATTCAGGGAATCATTGCATCAATCTAGAACGCGCGGTAGCCAGTGACCTGGGGGGCGAGACCGTTGGCCTGTTGCCCATATGGCATAGGGCTAGCGGCCGGGCTCGGCCCTTGGGTCAGCATGAGTCGAGAACCGCCGAGGATGGGGGTGTTGTCCTCCTCGGTCTTGTGCGTCTTCTCCCGAGACTTGCGCTCCTCGTTATCCTTCTTGAGCATCTCAATGGTACGGGTCTGCTCGCAGAGGAAGTTGATCATGAAGGGCATGGTGAAGTCGTTCAGGCCCTTGCGCCATGAGATCTCCATGATAACGTCGGGGCGGATGAGGTCGTAGCAAGCATACAGCATGCCCACGTAGCATTCACGGCTGCCAATGTCGACAAACTAAAGAAGGTTAGCATCATGATTATCGTAGGAAAGGTATTAACACTCACGTAGCGGAGCAATTCTTCAACCACCTCAGTCTTGGCAGAGATTGCGGCAGTCTCAATGGCATCCTTGTAGAGCTTGTCCTGCTTGGACAGGGCGATTGACTTCTCCCAGCGCTTGTTGTTACGGTAGATGTTGGCGGCAATCTGGCGGAAGAAAATGAGATCGTGCTTCTCCAGACGCTGAGCAAGTTCCACAGCATCAAAGTTGTCGTAATTATCCACCGAGTCGCGGAGAGTCTTGTAATCTTCCTCCTCAATCAGAAGCTCGTTGATGGCATCGTTCACAGCGCGCTTGTTCTGGGTCTGAACGTTCAAGAGGAAAGGCTTGATCAGGGGGATGTTATCCGAGCTCTTGAAGATGCGCACGACACGGTTGACATCAATGCGAGGAGTCAGAACCTGGAGTAAGTCGGTGATAAGGAGAGGCTGCTCCTGCAGGTAGAAGTTCAGAGCGCGGTAGTAGATCTCCAAGTTGGCAACCTTAACGACAATGTCCTTGAAGGAGTGGTGCTCCCAGGAATCGGCGGCACGCTCCATCATGGCCAGAGCGGCGTTGTCCCACTCGTCGTAGTGGCAGTAAAGGAAGACCAGCTCGGGCCACAGGTTTGCTTCCTCACAGGCGCGGATCATCTTAGGGATGTTGATGCGAGACCAGAAGAGCTTCAGGTGTTCCATCACACGATCCGGGTGGTACTTGGACAAAGCAATGCCCAGCTCGGTGAACATACCCATGTGGGCACGCTCCAAGCCCAGACCAGCCTCTAGAACGGAGATAAGCTCATCGAAGTAACCATTGCGCTCGTACTGGCGGACGAGTGTCTGGAGCTCCTCAGCGTGGACGATAAGGTTGAGACCACAAATCTGAGCAAGGCGGAATTCCTTCTTGTCAACGCAGGCCTCGTTGACCTGCTTCCAGACCTTGACGCTGTTGGCCTTGCGAGCGCACTCGACAGCGGCCTGGTACTCTCCCAGGTGGACCAAGGTGGTCGCAAGCTTGGCCCAGTTGGAGATGCTGGTGAAGAAAATCTTGGCGGCCTGGTGGTAGCCCTCCTCGTAAGCCTTGTCACCAGAGGTCTCAATATCAGCGACGTTGGTCGCCCGCAGGAAGTCCTCAAGCTCAGCGAGCTGATCGAGACGGGCGAAACAGAAGGCGAGAGCGGTATCGATGGCGGGTTCGCGAAGGGTCTTGCGAGCCATACGGAGGAACTTCACAAGTTCCTCGTCCTTACCAGCGTGTGTGGCAATCTCAATCACTTCGTTGTAGTTGGATGGGTCATCGGCATGGATGTACGACTCAATCGAGTCGGACACACGCAGACCATCAAGCTGGGCCTTGGCAACCTTACTCCAAACGTCGGGGAGCTCCATACGCTCCGCGAACTCCTGAGCCCGGTCAATGCTGACAATGTTCTCAACAAGCACATTGACGGCAGCAAGGTAGTTGTTGACCTTCTTGTAGATCTCAAAGGCCTCCTCGTAGAGACCAACGCCAATGCACATCTCAGCAATCTCATCCGCAGAGAACTCGTTCAGCTGCTGAATGTAGCCCATCAAACGGCCCTTGTCGGCCTTGGCGGCGGTCAGCATCAACAAGTTCTGCAAGCTGGTGTTATCATTGAACGGTGAGGGTTCCAGAATGATCTTCTCCAGCAGCTCGATCAGCTCACCAGGGAGATCAGCCTCAAGGAAGCACTTGACGGCCACGGAAACCTTGTCAGGCTCAGTGGACTCAGGCACCGCAGTGGCAACGACCTGATCGACGAGCGAGCGACGGTGGATGTTGTTCTCGCTGAGAACAAAGGTCCAGACCTCGGGATCGGCACGCTCAACCAAGTAGCGGGCCTGGGCACGGTACATGGAGTTCTCGTTGGTGATGTTGATAAGCTCCAAGTCATTCTGGCCCTTGCTGTAGGAAATGTACGCGAGGTTGGGATCCCGCTTCTCGCAGTACTTTCCGACAATCAAGGTGTCATATTGGTCGTTCTCCTTGAGGAACTTCTCGGGGTTGTTGTTGCTGTCAATGTATATCTTGGCAAGGGCATTGTAAACGGCCTGCTGCTGGCTACCAGTAGAAAGGGTAGCCTCCAGGAAGGGCAGAAGCAACTTGAGGCGGTTACGGCTCTCAACCTCGGAAACGAGCTCATCGATGGGGATGACAGAGGGGTCCACAGAGGCGAGCAGGTTCTTGATGATGCTCTCATCGCAATCGACATCCAGCAAACCACCAATGACAGCAGGGGCGCGGGAGGGGTTGACGCGCTGCACGTACACTTCAATGGACTTGAACTGCTGGTTCTGGTAGAGATAGAGGACCAAGTCGTGGATGAAGTTGAACCGATCGCAGACGATGATAAGAGGGAGCTGCTCGGTCAAGTGAGCCTCCTTCAGGAAGTTCTTCACCTTCTCCGCGTTGTAGTAGTTGCTCTCGCGACAAATACGCTCGACCTCAGTAAGCTGGTTCATAGCAGTGGCGGCCTCAATGTACTTGAAGTGCACCTCGGGGTCCTCACTAAGGTTGACAATGCTGCCAAGGTAGTAGTAAAGGCCCTCAGCAGTGCGGTACTTCTCCAAAAGATCGATGAGGCGGTTGGCACCGAGCAGGTCGGAGAACTTGGTGGCGATTTGGATCACGGCCTGCAGGTTCTGGCGAATGTTGGACTCGAGCATGGTGTCCAAGCAGTCGAGAGACTGCTCAACAGACAGACGACCGAAGTAGTCCATCAACCACTCAGGGCTTAGCTTGTCAGTGCGGACAATGTTGCGCTTGATGACCGCGGGATCGTCTGAGTTCTCAAGAGCGCGCTGGATGAGACCAGCATTCTCGCAAAGCTGGGCAACACGAGCGTGGTCGTAGTGTGTGAAAATCTCGTTACCAAGGATGGCGTCCGCAACTTGGGATGCGTGAACAAGGTTCATCTCCAGGAGTCGGGTCTGGAGATTGCCCTGCTCAGGCTTGTTGTCCTTCAAAGCATCGAGGAGGAAGGAGGTTGCCTGTTGGATCATGTTCTGGGAAAGGAAAACATCCACAACTCGGTCAAGGTCGACAAGAGCACCGGACTCTTCGCTTGCAAGCTGAGTAGCAAACTCAGCACCCTTTTCGGGGTTGACCCGCACGATGTGCTGGAGGAGCTGAGTGTAGTCGGGCTGGTAACCCGCTTGCTTGGAGTAAGTGAGGATCTTGTCAAATTGACCAGTCTCGGCGAATCCAGCAACAACCTTGTGAGGAATGTTGGCCTGGAGATACACATTCAGAGCCAGGGCCATGTCGTATGGCCGAATGATGTCTCCAAGTTCCTCCGAAGACTCCAGCTTGTTCTCACGCAGCCACTTCTCCAGCAAGTGCTTACGGTTCTGCTGCAGCACGGGCCGAACAAGCTCCACACTCTCGTAACGGTTGAGAGCACCCTTGTCAAGCAGCATACCGAAGTACTGCAGAATGACTGACATTTGGCCGGTCTGGGGGGCGTTCTTGAAACGGGTGATGGTTTCGGGTGTACGGAGGAACCCACGAGGGGAGTTGGCGGCAACCTTGGCAGCCTCACCATAATCGCCCGCAGCAATGAAGTTATCAAACTGGGTTTGGAACAGGTGGTCGACTCCGGGAAGACCAGCCCGCGAGGCAAGCTTCACAGCGAGGCCAGCCATCGCGGGGTTCGCAGTCAGATAATCGATGACCGTGTTCTCGTCAACGCTAACGGACAGAACCTGACCCTTGCGGTTGACACCGAGAATGCCAGCACCCTCCGCATCAGGGGCAGTTGTGAAAATGGTTTCACTCGAAATACGGTTCATGAAGATGCAGGTACCGGTCTCGAGATCGTAGAGGTGGATGAAGCCGTACTTGGTCACCAGGTAAATGATGTCGTACTTTGTGGACACCTGCATCGCCACAGGGAAGTCATTGACGGCCTCCTGGGGGAAGAACACCTCCACAGCCTTCTTCTGGAATCGCGGGTTGGGCTCTTGGTGATCGATCTCGGCGATTTGCAGCTTCGCGCCGGTCTGGGTCCGAACGGCGAACGAAAAGAGGTGGTGAGGCAGGGGAGAACCCTCAACATTAATGGAGGCGAAAGCGGCGGCATGACCCTCAATGAACTGCGAAATACCCCGTTCTTTCGAATAGAGCTGCATGGAACCCACGACACGGCCCTGCTGTTGACTGATACCAACGACGACCATCCACTTCTCTTCGGAGTTAACACGGTAGTTGATAATTTGGCAACCCTGGCAAGGAAACACAGCCGGTCAGTATGAGATTCCGCGCGAATCTAGTTATTGAAGTAAACATACCGCTAAGTTGGGAAGTCGGTCGAACATCTTCACGGGTTGTTGCTGAGTGGCATCGTAGACATCCCAGTGGTACACGGCGGTATCGGTGACCAGACCCAGGGCCTTCTCGCTGAACCACTTCCAGTACACAATATCTTCATTCATCACCGCGGACTTAAGTTTCGACTTTGCGCCGAGGTCGAAGATCTGAATTGTGCGGCCTTGGGCCTTGAGGGCAATGATGTTCTGGTTCCAGTGCATGATCGCACTGTCGGCGTTGATTGGCCGGCGCATGACCTCATTGTTGTTCTTCAAGTCAACGATGATGACTTGGGGCTTGTCGTCCTCCTCGAGCTTTTGACGAACGCAGATGTAGTGATCGGACTCTAGGGTCTGCGATGCGGTCATTGCCAGGTTAGCCGCGTCTCGACCGCTTTTGTTTTGAGGGACATGTGGCACTTACGCATGAGGTGAAGCCAATTGATGCCGGCTAAAAACCACCAAATATGTTAGTCAACTGTATCAACAAGCTAGTGATGAATGCCGGGCGCAACCGGCGTATTCGTGTAGCCAGGTTTGGGGGTTCGTCGCAAGCAACTTTCCGGGGGAAGCGCAGGTAAACCGGGGACGTACCGCAATGCCGACATTGGTCAACTATTTTCGCAATTGTAGTCAGTAGCTGAAGCAAAGAAGACTGTAGACACCTCGACAGGGTAACATGAACTCACATTGACCACCTCTGTGAACTTGATAGGGAGAACCATATTTACTTAGGCCGCAGTACGACCTGATCCACCGAACTGAACGCCCCAGCAAAATGATGATATGAAAGGAAAAAAGAGGAAGAAGTGAGGGACAAGGATGAGAAGAAGATGACGAAAGAAAGGAAGAAAGATGGAAAGAGGAGAGGGGTATGAATCTAAGGAAGCGGAAGTGACCTCAGGAGGTCCGCTGTTGTCGTTGCTGAGGTGTCGCTTACCCGGTAAGTCACGTGATACAGGGGTTGTCACTGCATTTAAGGCTCCATCACGCGTCATTGGCTTAAGACCCGCTTTCTTGATTGGCACGTTCTCTTCACCGCATCCACGCTCTAGACTCTGCATTCTCTACATTTCATGTGGAATGAGCTGACTTAAATATCGCTAAGCTACGAATTAAATAAGCTCCCGTCTTCTATATTGGATTACAAGCTTCAATTGCGATTGTATACACCTGTAATGGAGATCCTTTTTGTCCACCTGGAGGCACCCACTTAGCTATGACTTGGCCTACCGTGGCCTGGCAATTCAAAGTACCCCTTCTCATTCCTTCTTGCCAAAAACTTATAAATATAGCCTCGTGTCTCAATTTAATTACGTGTAATATAACCGACTTATAATGCAACACTGTCTCTTATTCTTCGAAAGTAGGTGCCCACGAAAATATATACCGTCACCGAACTGAGCCCGCTCCAATAAATCAATACATTGCTTCTAAGTACGTTCCAGCGATGCATACAGCTCCATCTTCAAGCTTTTCATCGAAAAGTAGAAGGCAGGGGCTGGTCAGGGAGTTTTCGACTTTGTCCATTACTTCCACAAGCTTGAATTGCTTTTCCTCTGGAATTGAATCCGCCGGAGGTAGCTGGGCTAGAGCCGCAGTCACCGCGGCAATGGCATCAGAAGTGGAGGTCATTGGAGATATCATACACTTGACGAGGATTCATTGCGAATAAGGGAGAATTGGTCATCCAAATCATTGGCCTATCTACAAGCACCAGCTAGACTACTCCCTGGGCTGCATGAGGCCAAAAATGCACCGCTGTGGCATCTGGCCCCAACTTACAGGTATGACTCGGGGACATGATTAGTCCAACTTCAGTATGCGTATTAAATATCTCACATTGGAAAAAGCAATCCAATGGCGGGGGGTTGCACTGTCAATCAATTAAGAGCAGCTTATGTAGTTCCTCAAGTGCTTTGGGGTCCACGTAGTTATGTATTTATGAACTTCACTGAGCAACGTTGACAAGTCGCTAGTCTTAATTCCGATTATGGTAGCTAGCTCTTTAGAAACCATGAAGCTTCCAATGTTGCTCGTGCTCCATTATTTTGGATATTTATTGTTTCACACTACAGGGTCTAATGAATTTGGGGTTACAGAGAAGCTTGCCCCCCCAAAAATTGACTTTCTCTTCTATACATTCGAAGCTCGATAACAGAATAGCGTGATCCATCTTCGTTGCATGATACGAGCCTGATTAGTGCAAAAGGGCCCTAGGTTGCCTACTGCTCAAGAGTGAGGTGAGGCCAATTGTTTTGGGGCGATGATCCATGTACACGTCTAATGATAAGAGCACCCGTATTAAGCCCCACGTCGATTACAAATGCCTAGAAGGCGCGGGGTACCTAGCACCTAGCCATCATCTTCCCAATAATCATAATCTGGCATTGAATTTTCATTTTTTCAACACTCGAATATCTCTAATTACAGAATGTCTTTCGAAAAGAAACCAGTTACCGCCTCCAATGCACCTGCACCTCCACCTTTCCTGTCGCAGGCCATCTTGATGGGCGACTTCCTCTTCTGTTCCGGACAAGTTGGCTGCCACCCCGAGACCGGCGCACTTATCGAAGGCTCAATCGGAGAGCGAACCGTAAGCTTAAGCTTTGAGATCAATTTCTGTGTATGCTGGATGCTAAAAAATCGTGCTCTAGAAACAAATTCTTTCAAACCTCCGTGCCGTTTTAGAAGCCGGTGGAACTAGCCTGGAAAACGTTGTGAAGTGTAACATTTACCTCACGAGCATGAGCGATTTCGCTGCTGTTAATGAGGTTTACGCGGCAACATTCACGAAGCCGATGCCTGTAAGTTCGAGATGCTTTCCTCGAGATGACAAATGTCAAGATCAGTCTGACTGAACGCTTTTACAGGCGCGTACTTGTGTTTGCGTGAAGGAATTGCCACTGGGGACGGATGTTGAGATTGAATGTATCGCAGGTGTTCCGAAATCCAAGCTTTGAGCGAGTCAAGTATCGACGAAGTATCTAAATTGTATGTAGCGAACCCAATATAACGCCACAATGCAATTATCTCTATGAGATGGTATAGACGCGTAATAAACCATAAACAGCAACAACCCCACTATTGATGCATCAATGCACTATTGGGCCTGCTGGGCGAATTTGCTATTCGCCCGAATCCAAGCACCATACTTAATAAAAACAAACGGAACAACAGCAATCGCTATCGAAAAGAATCCGAGCAGCGAATTCGCCCAGTCGATGCCCAACTTGGTATACATGGGATTCGCAGCCATGGGAAGGAAGATGGCAAAGGAGGACCGCAAGGTACTCGCGGCTGCAGAAGCCGAGGCGGAGAATTGCTTATACGCGTCCGTGAGGTAATTAAGTAACGCGATGAAGATGAGAAGGTAGCCGAATCCGAAAAAGATCCCTGACATCATGGGCATGACGGGATTGATGGAGAGCTTTGCGGACCAGCCGAGCCAGAAAAGAGCAATTGGGATTCCTGGGGCTCCGACGCAGGCTAAGGGAAGGCGGCGGTACTCTTCTGATTTTGCCCAGCTGTGGCCGGCGGCTAGAGCTTTGCTGTGGTATCCACTGTATAGGAAGAAGACGACGAATGCGAGGATTGATCCAGGGAGGACTGGTGGATGGTTAGAGGGTGAGGATCAATGGAGGCTAGGGGAATCTCACTTGGAAGGAAGGCTAGCCCGCCTATACCTGCTGATAGGCCATATAGATCTGAAATGGTTAGCTTGGAGCTTTTTGAGACAATAGTGGCAGGATGTACCTTGGAAAATGATGGGGTATGCCTGGAAGTACAGGTACAAGATAGAATAGATAAGGGCGAGGTACAACGAGCAACAGAAGACAATCGGCTCTCGTGTGAACATGAGGAAAGGTCGACCAAGAATGACGCGCATCTCGCTGGAGAAAGACTTTGCACCATGATCCGAAGACTTCTCAATATATCCTGCTTTCTCATCATCTCTTTCACTCCTCCGGCGCAAGACCGGCACATACGTCTCGGGCATGGTAACCAGAAGAGGGAAACCAGGGGCAGCGATGATCAGGCCTGCCCAGAAAGTCCATCTCCATGTGATGGTAGAGATGAAACCCGAAATGATTGGACCCAAAAGAGGCGGGAAGGTGGTAGCAAACATGAACCATGACATTGCTAGCCCACGGTGATGAGGATTTTCGTAGATGTCCGAGAAAAGGCCACCCAGCACAGCATTTGGTGCTGATCCTCCCAATCCACAGAAGAATCGAAAGACAAGAAGCGCCGGGAATGTCGGTGCCAATGCGCATGCCATCATGAAAATGAGATAGATTGAGTATGTTGCTACTAGCACAGGCTTCCGGCCAAAGTGTTCACTCAAGGGACCGAAAATAACAGGACCTGAAAAGGTATGAGTGAATTTCATTCAATATTGCGCTGCAGATGTTCCACATACCTATCGCAAACCCAGCCATGTAAAGGGAGGTTGGAAGAACCATTTTAATGCTATCGCTAGCAATATTGAAATCGGTGGCAAGCTCATCGTGGGCTCCAGATGCAATTGAAGATCCAAGCGAGCTATTAAACACAAAATATACACCTGCAATTACAATATGAAGCTTCCGCAGCTGTTGGATTCATATTAGCGGAGTTGACTCATCTTTCGACTCGGGAGTACTATACCAAGGCAAACTCAAAAGGATGGTGGAAAGTACTCGGCATACCGGTTTCCCGAGTACGGCATCGCGTATCTTGCTTCGAAATTATCGACATTCTCTCCGATATTCCACCGCTCGCTCAATTGAGATTGAACTTTGATTGAAGTCATTAAAGTGACTGAATATTGTTGTGGACCGGCATTCGCCCCGAAGTCATTGTGGATACCCATTGGAAATTTTTTTCCTGATGGACTGAGCAATGACTGTAATTGGCAGTGGTTTCCTTGTATAAATGTGGAGTTTGACGCCAGGGCCAAATAACTATGGAACCGGTACGTAAATGCAAGAAGAAATTTCGGCAGCCCGACCGGCTAAATGACCGGCTGGCTATCGTCGGGACTTATTCGCAAAGAACTCCGTCTCCACCGGATCCATACGAGCTACGGTACTCCGTAGTGACCGTATACTACCTCCAGCTCATCCAGCTCATTAAACATGGCAAATAGGCCCGTCTACATACTCGGCCTCGGGAGTATCGGGTCATTCATTGCCCAATCTCTCCGCTCTCTTGCCGTCCCGCCGCCCGTGACACTTCTCGTTCACAGACAAAGCCTCTTCAAGGAACTCTCAGCGAATGACTGGAAACTCGGTCTACGAGTTGGAGAGGCTGGAGATTTGAAGCAAAGCTCAGGATTCAATGCCGAGCTGCTGGGAAAGACAACCTCGGGTACCAGCCCAATACGCGACTTGATTGTCGCCGTCAAAGCATCTGCAACAGTGACCGCTCTCGAGCCCTTCAAGGATCGAATTGGACGCGACACTACCATATGTCTATTTCAAAATGGTCTTGGCCAAATTGACGATCTTAATGAACGCCTTTTCCCCGACCCCTCGACACGGCCAACATACATGTGCGGCGTGATCCGTCATGGCGTGTACCTGAAATCAGCCAGCGAGGCTATATTATCTGGTCCGAATGGGTGCGTTGATGTCGGCTTTGTAGAGGGGGACAGCGCACGTCACGATCGTTTCCTTGTCGACACCCTCATCCGGTCGCCAATTCTTCGCTGCACTGAATTGAGAAAGGCCGACCTTATCAAGGTTCAGCTACTCAAATTAGCAACGAACTGCGTGCTGAACCCATTAACAGCGCTTCTGGATGTCCGCAACGGCGAACTATTGGAGAACTCTGCGCTCCAGCCACTACAGCGTCAGTTGTTAGAAGAGATTTCGGCGGTTTTCCAAAATCTTCCGGAAACAACAAACTTGGACTATGATCCTTCGCAATTCTCGGTTACATCGTTGGAGACTACGCTTCATGACACTGTGGAAAAGACAGCGCATAATTCGAGCAGCATGCGCGAGGATGTTAGGAAGGGGAGGAGTACGGAAATTGATAACATTAATGGCTGGATCGTCAAGCGAGGCAAGGAATTGGGTATTGATTGCCCAGTCAATACTTGTTTGACCCAACTAATACTGGCAAAGAATCGATAAACATGAATGGGTCAAATTCCGGGATTTTCAGGTAAACTTGTTAAAGTAAGCTGTTAAACCTACATGCCACCAGATCGCGAATAATTCCACATTCCGGATATTTGTCGGAACCTGCGCTGTCAGAACAATTGAATCACTTACTATTATACAAATTTAATAACCAGAGATCCTTGTATGATGATTATCGTCAGTTTTGTAGGCTTCTGATCGATTCGGATAGTCTTCTGGCGTTCGCGGAAATTGCCGACGTCATGACTTTGGCAAGACATTGTCAACAACGACAATCAATTCGCAACGTTTGAATTGAGAAAGAAGGCGAAATGACAATAATTTTTGTCATTCAAGCGTCTCGTGCCTGAAAATTGATGGCAAATTTGAAGATCTCACAAATTGTAAGTTTAAATCGGCCCTGAATAGTTCCATGATTCATTGTGGAGCTCCATCCATTTAACACTCCTACCCTAGGAAAATCTTTTACTATAAATACATGGATCCGCAGCACTTTTTTCGTGGCACATTTTGTTTTACTTTAGTTCCTGAATCCTGCCACCATGTGGTTTGGTTCGATAGGACATGTGCAATGGGGCTTGACCATACTCACCACATTATGTGTGACCCAAGCAGCCGATCCAATCGAATTAACAGTCTCCCGAGAAGGAGGCAATAAATCGAGCCCTTTGCTCTATGGAATTATGTTTGAGGTCAGAGAACCGACTTTGTTCTGCGTCACTTCGCTGACTTTTATTTAGGAAATGGATCATTCAGGTACGCCAGCTTGATCCACACCAGTCTACAGGCGCCGCTAACCCTTACACAGGTGATGGTGGAATCCATGGACAGGTACTCCAGAATAATGGCTTCCAAGGCGACAGCCTTGGATTGACCGCATACGCGCCAGTAGGGGCGGCGACTATCTCCCAAGATAAAAGCCATCCTGTGAGCGATTCCATTACGTCTTCGCTTTCTGTCTCGGTTCCAGAGAACACAACGGACTATGTTGGTTTTGCCAACACAGGCTACAATGGAGTGCCAGTTTTAAATTCCACATACACCAGCTCATTCTGGATGATGGGGTACTACTCAGGGACGATCAATCTTCAGCTTGTTGGAACGAACAGTGGCATCGTTTATGCTGACCACAACTTGACTGTGGAAAGCACAGATGCTAATTTTACTCGATACGAGGCGACCTTTAATTCCACTTTATCCGCTGATGGAGAAAATGAGTGGCACTTGACATTCGATGGCTCGAAAGTTGCCGGAAGCTCATTGAATTTTGGGTATATTGAGCTGTTCCCGCCAAAGTACCAAGACCGAGATAATGGATTGCGAGAAGATCTGGCAACCTTCCTTGAGGAAGTTGGATTTAAATTCCTTCGATTCCCGGGCGGAAACAATATCGAGGGTCTAGAGATTGACAGCCGGTGGAAATGGAACATGACAATCGGACCCGTAGTTGACCGACCGGGACGAAATAGTGATTGGTTCTATCCCAACACCGATGCGTTGGGCCTTGATGAGTATCTTTGGTGGTGTGAAGACATGAACATGACACCTTTGCTGGCTCTCTGGTCAGGCAAGTCATACGGCGGAATTGTTTCCGGCTCCGACCTTCATCCATTCGTCGATGATATCAAGAACGAACTGGAGTACCTGTTCGGTAACACATCAACCGATTTCGGAAAGTTACGGGCCCAGAACGGTCGCGAGGAGCCCTGGAAGATCGATTATATCGAAATCGGAAACGAAGACGATCTCACTGGCGGTTGTGATACCTACCCGGATCGCTTCAACCAGATCTACAAGGCTATTCATGACGAATACCCTAATATCACGCTCGTCGCTTCGAATGGTGACTATTCATGCTTACCGTCACCGCTACCTACAGGTGTCATCATCGACTTGCACTTGTACCGTAACCCGGATGACTTTGTGGCATTGTTCAATCAGTTCGACAACCAGCCTCGAGATCAGCCGGTCATGGTTGGCGAGTACGGATGTCGCAACACATCTAACGCCAAGGGTACGTATTGGTCATATATGCGAGGCAGCTGCAGTGAGGCTATATACATGATGGGCATGGAGCGAAACAGCGACATTGTCACGATGGCAGCTTATGCGCCTATGTTGGAGCATTTTGGGTTGATAGCATGGTCGGTAAGGTTTATCGCACTAAAAATTCGCTTATACCAGACTAATCGTTTGTATGAAACCTCAGCCGACGCTCTACGGATTCAATTCAACTCCCGGATCACTAACGCCGTCGACATCTTATTACGTTCAGAAAATGTTTGCTTCAAATAAAGGCGACACGGTTGTTCCGGTCAGTTCGTCGGCGGACTTCGGACCTCTCTATTGGACGGCTACGAAGACGGATTCACAGTATTATGTGAAACTTGCGAACTATGGAATGAAAGAGCAAAGCGTTTCCATCAGCATTCCTGAAACAAGTTCAGGAAGGTTGGAAATGCTTTCTGGATCGCAGTTTCAAGGTAATCAACCTTATCAGATGGAGATTGAGACGGAACACACTGAGGTTCATAGCAAGAATGGGAAGTTCTCAGTCAAGATGGACCCCTGGGCAGTTGCTGTCTTGGTTGTTTCTTGATGATGACTTCGAGGTATACATGTTTAATGTCTTTCCCAGGCTATCTTTACGCCACTAATACTTCAACGTGAATGATAACCCCATTTTCACACTGTGTTTCTCTCATCAGCAGCTGCATTAAGCGCAGCTTGTACCATCTCCCTCTCCATAGTAATAAAAATACTATGATCCGCATCATAGACCTCCGTCTTCACCACAACACCCTCATCTTGCACCTTGGCCAACATGATATCTTGATAAACAGCCGGAACCCCATAATCCTGCAATGTACGGATATAGGTTGTAGGAATTGTTTTCCAAGCGCACCCTGTCGTCGGATCCTTAAAAACCCGCGAAGGAAACCAGACCAACGTTTCCAGTGCTTTGTCAACAGTAGCCTGGTCCGCTTTACCGCTGAAAAAAGAAAGGCCCGGCTCATTAGGCATCGTCACACCATCCGTCGTGGTAGTCATATAGTCATCCAACACCTTTTCGAACTTGGCTTCCTGCACAATATTCCACATGGAATACCCAGTAGGAAGAATATAGGCACAAAGATACAGTAAGTGAATAACTCCGCCGGGGTTTCCGGATGATTTCCGTTCGGATAATGATAGGCCCTCCACGGCGCTGGATCCGACGGCGCCGCCGTATGAGTGCATGATCATGAGAACGCGCTGACCATCGTCAATGAGCGTGTTGACTAGTTCTTTCACGCAGGCGACATCTTCGGGGAGGAACGCTGTTGGTGGTCGTGCGTTGCTGCTTGTAGGTAGGCGGGGGCAATGGACTTGGAACCCCTGCTTCTGGAGGGCGTTCACGTAGGTGGAATAATTGGCTGGGGTGTGCCAGGCACCGTGAACCAGAACTATTGTAGGAAGTGAAGACATTTTCTGGGCGAATCCTGAATTCTGAATTGGGACACGTTTACTCAGGGATGTGTGCTATGGTGTTGGACGTGGGGTGTGGCTTACGGCCATTACCCCACTCTGGTTGTATCATCCACACCCAAATCCGTAGATGGTCTGATAGATGTATTGCGATTCGAAAAATGTCCTTTACAGTATTTACCCACGGCGGATTTCGATTGATGGCTACTTGTATTTATGTAAGTAACTTCCAATCTATGTTAGCTCAATGGAAATAGACTATAAATTCTGAAAGAATTGTTTAGTAGGACGCGTCTACTTTACTTTGATTAAGTGCCCAGGAGGAAGTAATTGAGGCGTCAAGTCTGAAGCGTGATACCAATGATTTATCCAACAGTGTATGGCATGATCCATTTCTATAATTTAAAAAAGCCAATTCTAGCAAAAGAGACAATCTCGGACTTCGCCGTCGATAGGGAGCTGTCAGATGAATAGGTTAAGCTTCACAGCGCAACCCTGTACAGAGATCGTGCACTCGATCGTTGCATACGTCAGAGACATGTCTAAGTTCAAGCAGCCAATCTTTGCGTCAATGCACAGAATGACCGTTTCATGGTACACAGTAATGCCAAGCCCAAAAGATATACCTGTTCCAATTGGGGCTCATCCTGCAGCGAAAGCTTTAAATGAGTCTAGTTCCTTTGTATTCAAGCCCGGGGCTTTATTGTGTCGAAGTGTGGTACCTACTGTGGTAGTAACACAATCGCTCCTGTGTGAACCACCAAGCTTGTGCCTCTAGCTTGTGCCATGGCAACGTCCTCACTAGGCTAGAGTGTCACCTAATTTATGTATCGGAGGCCAAATTTCCCTGCAGGAGGTAACAGTATCCCTGCAGATGTCCATCGATCATCCTTCAGGCGCAATGTAACAGTAGAACAGATGAGGACCATACTCGGTCTTCCCGAGACATATGCGCGTGCAAATGAAGTGAGAAAGGTATATTGGCTGGCAGACCCGAGGTATATCATAGGTTTGGTTTTATTGAAGCGCCACTTGTTTACGTGGACTGAAACTTGGGGATGTATGTTCCTCTTGTGGGATATATGGTTGCACGACTAGTCACTGTAACCTGGATCTAAAGGTACGAAGGTACTACAGTACACCTCGCCATGAGTTAGTTTTCACTGGCAAGACTCATCTTGTAATGGTCATACATCGGGACAAGTTTGATTCAGCTATCACCTTTGCAGGGGCCCAGGGGATGAGGGTCGGATGATCAATGCTATGTCAAGCCTTCAGGTATAAAGGCAGCCCCAAGAGAAGCCCATGGTAAAAAGCTCTACCACCAGCATCTTCATTATTCACTGGCCATTTAACACCTCTTTCGACTCACCTCTTGCCAGTCGATCAGACGCCGTCATGATCCACTCATACACGCGAGCTGTTTTCTTGCTAGGACTCGTGTCTCTAGCCCTGTCTGTCCCCATAGAACCAAACACGGAAAAAACGAATGATTCTCCAAACGGCTATGTCCCTCGTTGTTAGTTGACCCAGACATATGTTCACTCATGCACAATCTCACACTTTGAGTCCAGGCAACCAGTTTTATAGAGTGCAACACGGAGATACATGCTGGGACATCATCACTCAGAGCCAAAATACCTTCACCATGGACCAGCTTCTGTGCTGGAACCCAGACATCAATCCCTGGTGCTCAAATCTCATTCCCGGTCGCAATATATGTATCGGGGTCGTCAACCCCGGTCAGTTGTGCTGAGTAGCTTAGTTCGACTCTGATGGTGGCTTTTGTTGAATGGGCGTGTACATTGCCCAACTACCAAGCTTCGTTAGAGACGCTATGTTGATGAAAAGTTCGCTGTTAATGCAGCTTTGATAAATGCAGCTTTGATTGAATGGAACTTTGAACTGCCTTTCACCTGCCCTTCCAGCATTTTTCCAGTAATTCTCTCATCGTAATAGGTCGCACATCCGGGAATCGAGTGTTGAGCCTGTCCTCCTTGGGAAATTGGAAGACACCATTCACAATGAGCCGACTGCACAGAGTCGTGACCTCTTTTAACTCCTCAATTGAATCGTCTGCTGTATCATCCAGACCCGGTGGTACAGTAACATCCCCTGCGTTGATTTGCTCAATGCTATCGTATGTCACTTTGAACTTCGCTCCTGTTGGGTATTAGTAGCTACTTTAGCCTTTGAGAGAGAAGGGGGATATTTTATTACCTGTGATTTCTTCAGCCATGCTCAGGATTTGATTATAAGTGACTTCATCGCCCACGATCACGCTAAATTCAGGCCAATCGTCGAGGTCGAGGGCTTTGATCACGTAGTTCGCCATATCGTGCGTGTATGTCATACAGATGACATCGTTTCCATTCCCGGGGATCGCAGCTTCGCGCTTGGCGATGTTGATACCGAAAGTGTAAGGCTGCAGATTTGTTTGAACATGCGGCATGCCCCAGTAGTCCATGAAGTAACCCGGGATGACACGAGTGTACTGCAGCGAGCTATTCTTCAAACGATCAGCAGCATCAAGCCAGTATTGTATACTGGGATCTATCGGAAGAAGACTGTCATCGAAAATATTAGCGGGTTGGTCACGGCGAGTGTTACGTTTATGCTCACTCTGCTGTTTGAATGAACGAGAATTCGCTGGGAATGAATCGCTGGGTTGTTGCAGATAGTTCGGCTGCATCAATAAGGTTCAATTGAGATTGGCTGGTCTCGTCGGAGACAAGACCAATAGCAGATATGATGGTGTGAACATTGTGAGCATCAAGTGTCTCCGCTATCGACTGAACTTCATCGTAATTGATTTGCAGAACCGGGATTTCAGGAAAAGCAGATTCTTGTGTCGACTTCATTCGGTCAGTAATTGTCTTAGTCGATGGTGTACATGGTCCTTACTTGACGAGAGAGCACAATGACTTTGAATTTGGGTTCTTGAACCAATCTCTCGACAAGCGTCTTTCCAACCCCTCCCGATCCTCCGGCTACGGCGATGACAGTCATCGTTGCTGTTACTGGGATATTCGCACTTCCTGTTCCTAGGGATGGAGGACCTTGATTTGCGCTGCGAGGAATCTTGGCCAATCCCTGTAATATGGTGCCCGGCTTGCGTTCCCGTGATGATCGGACAAAAGGTCGGGTTTCACCCCACGTTTTGCCCCACCAATGGCCAACTCGCTTGAGTAATTTCCATTTCACGACCACTACTTCTACAATACAGTAGGTAGAGATGTAAAGCAATTTTAGCGTAAACAGCACGCGCGAAAAAGGTCCATATTTATTTTTATTACGTCCAATGATACCGGTATCAGGGGATCACTGATACGAGATCGGGCTCTCGGGCTTCATCATCGGTGTTCATGACTAAGACCGCAGACACGCCGAAAACCTATATAAAAGCTCCCGCTCTCCCCGTTATCTATCTTATGTCGTCAATACCTACGTCAAGACCTAAATCCACGGGTATATATACAAACTTCTTCTCGAATACCAAATAACTCTCTTCAAAATGTGCATGAAGGCTCAGTGTTCCACCTGCAGTAAGTTTACAGACTTCGTGCATCTGATCATGGCTAATCAGTTCAAAGACAAGGTGACTTGGTGGGGCTGTGGCGCCCACATCCCGTCCGTTATGGACTCAGTCCCCGAGAGCGAGTGGTGTGCTTGCACTCCCCAGGTCGAGAAGGACGGAAAGAAGTACCCTCCCAAAGCCGCTCAGTCTTGACTATCTGGTTGTGTGATTTTCTAGAATGTTCAGCGAGGCGATTTCGGGGGCGGGTGTGGTGTCGGTGTTTGATAGGGAAGCTTCGAGATTTTACCGTGAGAGTATTTCGGTGTTGTGAAATTGAACATCTATTTAATATGGACCCCAAGCGATTCATATTTTATTCTATCCACAAGGTGGATCTCGGGAGAAGACGCATCCAGGATTTCCAAATCGTATCAATGTAGATACCCAGTATTAATCCCACGGCATCCACGGATATTATCAGATATGTTCCACCCGTACACTATTAATCTTTTCCTCGTCAATTTGCTCCTCGGACTCAATCCGGCCGTGAGCTTTGAGCTCCGCGGCCATCTTTCGTGCATGCTTAACTGGGTCTCCACCCCGAGAGAAGATCAAATCAACATCCTCCAGACGCAGATTGCCGGTCTCAGGATAGAAGAAATAAACCACTGGGATGAAAATAAAGTTGGTGATCATGAAGATCAAGTATGCCTTCCACTGGATGCGATTTATAATGACAGGTGTGATCAAGACCACGGTGAAATTCCACAGCCAGTTAGAGCTGACACCAATGGCTGTTCCCTTGGTTCGAGCTTCCAAAGGTAGAATTTCTGGGACATATGACCAAGGTACAGAGTTGATAGACATGCCATGGATAAGCATATACAAAAAGAAGAACGCAACTGAGGCTGAGGCGTAATTTTGTTCATCGGGCTCGTCAATCTGCGACAATAGAGCTGCGATCATGAGTATACAAACGCCCAAACCGAAAGATCCGATCATCATGATCCGTCGCCGGCCCATGCGATCCAGCATAAAGGCTGGGAGGAGAGAGCCTATTATGAACATGACTTCAATACATCCGCCCAAGATTGAAGGGAGCTTTCCAGTAAGTCCAACATTCTTTTGCAAGACAGCTAGAAGGGAACAGCTCAATGAAATGGTGGAGACACGCTTGCGGAGACCTTCCTTATTCTCGTCTTCCATTTCTTTGCGGTGTTTCACTCTCAACTCCTCCATCTTGTCGTCGGCTTCTTGCAATCTTCTGGGAATGTCCTTTTCGGGGATCAATTCCTCCCTTAGCACAAAAGCGTCTTTGAAGTATTGCAGTTCATCCTGCTCATCATTGCATTCGAGCAGTCCTTTCGGATCTACTTCATCATCACTCGGCAATGGCAGATTGTCATCTTCCTCGGGCCACTCAATTTCACTTTCGACATCCGAGAGGTCATCTTGCAATTTTTCCGGTTTCTTTTTTGAAATATTGGCTTTCTTGGCATCGCGTGTAGATTCGGCGTCGAGGCCTGCGGTTGTGCTCTTGCGCTTCCGATTGGCTGGGGCCGTTGTTACAGTCTTGGGCACGATTTTCACATCCAGAAAGCGATCGTGGTCGGGAGCGGCGGGATCTTCCCAGATCAAGGCGTTTGCTGATTGAATGTCATTCTTCTTTTTTCACCCTGTGTATTGAGATCGTGATCAAGAGCTGCCATTACGTGTGAGACATTGACCACATTGTCGATCAAAACCTCCACACCATGGATTAGCTTTTTCGTTTTGCGATCTCGTCGTAGGAGATACCGAGTGTACGGGCCTCTCGGCATTCCTTTCGCAGGTAAATAGAAAACTGCAAACTGGCCACGTATCGTACGGCTGAAAAATGCTAAATGGTCGATATCCCTTATGCTAGGGTTGTAAACTTTGCGTTCCTCGGTGCTCATTTTCAGAAATTTCGGCAGAAGGTCACGCTCATTCCATGGTTTGAAACGGGGTGTAGTGACATTGAAGGCCGGGTCGATGTATCTTGCCCAAGCAGTACTCTGCGTATCGGGGTCAGATTCTGGGGTTTGGTCAGGCGCGGTGGCGGGAGGTGCCGCAGTGGACTTTTTCGGCTTTGGTGGCGGCATACTGATCAACTGAAACGAAAATGAAAGTCAGCATCTGTGGTCTCGGGCAATAAGTGCTCCCTTTGATGTGCACATGGTCTCAATCAGTCGCTACTAGCTTCTCGGGGCGCAAATGGGACTCAAACAGGGTGTAAATGGGAGGTAAATGGGGTGGGGATAAGGTGCAAGAAGGCCTCATCAATGACCTCGTTCCTTCACATAGCTCTCACTTCACTGATCTACCCACAGGGCGCAAAAGGGACTCAAACAGGGTGTAAATGGGCTGTAAATGGGGAGGGGGGGTGCAAGAAGGTCTCATCAATAACCTCGTTCCTTCACATAGCTCTCACTTCACTATTTTCCCCAAGATTTGCCTCATGTGGGGAGGGTATTGACTGGTTAGATATGGCTAGACGAACCTGATATTCGGTAACTGAAAAAGAAGTGAACTTTATCCAGAAGTTCAAAAGATTTGGTGATTGAAGAGTTGAGGAGAAGAAGAAGGATTTTGAGCCTCGACCGGTATTTATAGTAGCGGAGGATTTTGAAACTGGATATTAAATTCATCCCGCAAAATAAAGACCGCTATGTATCGAAACCACAGATATGACTTCAGCTCACTCAATCTGCCAGTGCTCCCGTTCCCATCGTCCCCATTGTTCCAGCTGAGTCTGACTATGCCATGAAACTGGCTCTTCCTTCACTTCCAGTTCCCAAGCCTCTTCAGCAAGAGAGCTTTGCAGCTGCTCCTCGGCTGCCACATCTATCTCGCTATCTTCATACGCTACAGCGGAAGTAAGACAGCATTGAAGTTGTTCCTCCGAAGCGGCATCCATCTCAGAGTTCTCATACGCCTCATCAGAGCTGCAAAGCTGCTCGTTGAGGGCGAAATCCGGATCATAGTCCTCGTCACTGCCATTGTCCTCATCTTCACTCTCAGATTCGGTCTCAGTAGCAGGAGTTGCAGCAGCTGACTCTGACAATCTCTCCCGGTTGATCCTTTTAGTGCGGTTACTTATCTTCCGGCGGATACCCCGAACAAGGCTGGGAAGCTCACTGGCCGGTCTGAGCATGGCTAGCTCGGCCTCATCCTGGAACTCGTCGGGTAGCTATGGTTGAGTGAGCTCAATTTTTCGCTTCGATGACTTCAAACAATTGCACTTACCGGAATGCAGCGGTGGTCGACAGTTCCACAATAATGGCATCTCTTGCGGCCCTCACTCCAGACACAGTGGTGACCGGGAAACTTTTCCATCCGGAGAAAGCATCTTTGACATGTGTCTCTCGGAGCTTCTATGCAGCGATCGCTCTTAATGGACATGGGGGAGGCTGACTGAGCAACTCTAGCAGTGGTGTTGTGGTCAGCCATATTTCTTTTTGTCTTCATTCTTAGTGGGGAATTGGTGCAGCTTCTAGCTAAAGGAACTTACATGAGTAGATAAAGATTTCAGGTTGGTCACTGGTGGTATCTGCAATGTGGGATGTTTGTCTAGGTTGGGCATCGTTGAGCTGAATGAGATCGATTCTATATACACCTGAGAGGAAAGTCATTCCTTCAAGATGGTTCTAGTCTACGTAGCTTTCCAACAAAGATACATCATGGCTTGAGACATTTCCGGACACCATTGAGTGTCAATTTTGCATCTTCAAATCGTCAACCTGTATAGATGTTCTTTGTTTGAGATGCAAAGTGAAATACGAATTTAAACAAGACCGACAAGCGATGTGATTGGATACAAGTTCTTCGGCCCTTATTTAAAAAAGAAACTCTATGTTTCCACTGATTTTGGATATTCCTTTGACTCTTCTGCTCGAGGGGTATCATAGCCTAAGACAATGGTGCATGATTCGGTCCGAGACGAAATGAAATCCAAGAAATAATTAATGCCTTTGAAGGCCAACTTCAACCCCAAACAATGTCCCATAATTTCAAATGAGATCACAGTGATACTATACCATCATTCTAGAAGTAACACACCTCAGTCTTGGATATTCGGAATGTTTGCGTATTTCTGCACAAAGCTGACGAAGTAAGGTGATATGATTTTTTTCCCTACAACCGCGAAACTGATTTTTTAGAGAATCATAGCACTGTAAATGTTCCCATATCTTTCGTAGAATCTTCTCAGGTTTGACTGAGATGAGCGCATTGCGGCCAGGCTTGCAAGCCTGAGACTTCAGTCATTAACGCCCGATTTAGTCTAGCGTATGGTAGCTAGATCACCGCTTTATTTTTGCCAGGCTAGATTATCAGCCACTGGGGCTAGTGCTGAGATAGCGAATGTGGCTGTGCTTTGTCACCCGCATCTCCCTCGCATTCACCAGGCGTCTAAGTGAATAACGCCAACAACCAATTAAGGCGAGGGTTTTGGGGCCCGTTTCCGTTTCTTTAAACATAGCGGAATACTAAAAACACCTTGCACTAATTTGGCAGCATAAGATCGCTGCCAATTCGTTGGAGCACCTCAAAAACCTTAATCACTTCACTTGGCTAGGCCCATTGCCATAAATCCCCAGAGCAGGCTAGTATATTCGGTTTGCGGGGCCCCGCAAGTTTTATTTCCGTTGAGAAAAGCCTTGGTTGTTGTGTTAAGCAGAATCCTCGTTCAAAGAAACGGCCTGTGGCCTGAGGAGTTTTCCTCCCATTTTCTCACATCATGTCTACCGCACCAACATCTGCCCCTGCGGCCAATTCAACCGCTACTTCTGTCCCTACGAAGGTTGAAAGGCAAACTTCCAGTATGCAAGGCACAATTCAGTCCGGCAATGGAAACGCCAAACCCGTCGACTGGGAGTCTGAGATCCAACTTGTGTCGTCACTAGCAAAGCTTCAAGAACTCGAACGCAAGGTGAGTGTGCTGCGCACAATTCGCAGATTACCATTCTACCCGTACCCCCATCCTAGGCGGGTAGGGTATGTGTCGTGCGACTATGGCCCAAGGCTAACATTACCAGATCCACGAAATTCGACAATTCGTCCCAGCTGGACTCTTAGAACCAATAGTCCCAATATCAAGTTCAAACACAGTGTCGACCAACAATCCCGCGGCCGAGACACCGGCAATTTTACGCAATGATCTTGAACATGCAGCTCACGATCGACTTGCCAGCCTTGAACAGTTCCAGTCCTTGTGGCGCAGTCCGGAGATGAAGCCTGTTTGGGCTCATGTCGAGGCGCGCCTGGGAGAGGCCAATGGTCAAATCCTCCAGCCCACCGGCATGTGGGAGAAGGATTATGATGTTCTCCTTGCTGAGCTTACCAAGGCTGAGAAGACCAAGGAAGACGAGCGGTTACGGGAAGAGGAAGACGCCGAGCGGACAAAGGCCTTATCGTCGGAAGGAGAATGGACTGCCGTCATTGAGAGATTTGAGCAGCGGAATGTTCCGGGCGTTCGAGTCATGAAGGGACAAAATCAGACTTCGCTGGCTATTGCGCTTTCAAGGGCCGGAATGGTCTTTATCATTGCGGGTGTGCGTGACTACAATTCATCTGCTGTATCTGGGTGGCAGGTATCGAGCAGAGTGGCACCAGGTCGATCTACGACGAAACTTGAGCAAGCTGTTCTCGAGTGCTTGAACTCGCGACCGCGCAAATGGGACCTTGCTTTCCTACTGGTACGTGCTTATACTTCGTTATTCACAAAGGAAAATTTGACATTGGTCGTCTCTGTATTGTTTCTAACTATTCTCAAAGGACATGATTGCTTCATATGCAGACATTAAGCAGACTCCTTGTATAAAGTGTGCTCAGCTCACCAACAACGCTGCCCAACTCCCCACAATCCGTCGCGCACAATCCACGCAGCCTTCAACAGACGACAAATCCCGTCTATTCGTATTCGACGCCTTTCATCCCAACTGTGCCTAACGGGCACTCTCAAATTTAAGAAAGGTCAAAGGAAGGATCAAAAGCAACACAAGCGGAATACCAAAATGCAAAAGAGCCTCATCCCTCTATAATTTCACTCCCCATCCACGGATTCATGATCATCATGCTCCCCATAAATAATATCATGCCAGTAATTGGCCGGATACTCGTTCCCGTTCTGATCCCAATACCTCCTGGGCACATAATGCTTCTCCGTTCCCTTCTTACGACGCACCCATCCCCCCTTCCCCCGTGCAGTGCAATACTCCACTCGACTCCACGTTCCCAAGTCTGGAACAGTATATTTCCGTTGGCGGTAATCGTAGCGCTCGTCAGCAGCTCGGCGGGCCCAAGGTACTTCGATCTTGGGCTTGGGTTTGGATTTGGAGCTGCCCTTGCCTGATATAGATGTCGAAGTCGAAATGGAAGTAGTAGCCCAGGAAGATGAAGATGAGGAGGATGACGACAAGGGATTAATGGACTTGGGTGGAATACCGTCTTCCCACCGGTCCCAGTTCGTTCTCTGCGGTGACCGTTTGCTTTGGGTAGATGGCGTAGTTGAGGGTGTCAATCCTCCCGGAGGCGAAGATCCAACTCTGGTTTCAGATCCTGAAGACGAGGACGTTCCCTTTTCGCCGATGACACCGACGTATATATCGGGTCCTTTGTTCGTGAGGACATCGTGGAAGCGCCAGCGTCGTGGCCAGCTGGATGGGTTTCCTGGTCGGGGATCTTTGGGCCAGATCCAGCCTAGAGTCTGGCTTTGTGGTGCCATGTTTCTTCTTTCTCTTTTGGTTTTGGTGACGGGTTCCTTTGAGAAGAGATGATAGGGTATAGGAAGCCAGAAAGAAGTAAAGATCGGGACAGTTCTTGATCAGGGTTGGCGGGTTGGGACTTTGGAAATTGATATAGCAAAGAGAAAGTGATCAAACGCGTATGGATGCTTTATGTTTATCCTATGCTGGTACAACATCATGCTTGATTGTTTCTAGAAGGGGTTTCAAACTATAGTTCACGTACCGGAGGGTTCTTTTCTTTCTTTCTTTGTTCTCTCTCATGCACAGAACTCACAAGATTGTTTCTGTTCTCTGACAAGACAGTTTGAGACTTTATTTTCAGAGTGGACGAATACTGGAGCCGATTAGAACAACGCTAAGCTCCTGTTTTTTTAAATGTTCTGTGGATCCAGCCATGACAATGCCATCATGCAGGACTGAAAGGAAGTAAACCAAACCTACCGGAAACATCACAGACAAAGAGCTCTTGTCTCATGACTTGCAGCTGAGAACACTGTCTTGCCCGAAAGAAAGGCTTTCTACAATGAAAAAGTAGGTTACGATTAGGACTTTGATCTACTGAGGCTCTAAATCAGCTAGGAGTCAGTCAAATAAATTTGAAGTATCAAGCGACGATCGAGTTGCAGAGTGAAAGTTTTTTGTCGTAGACGACCGTCTCACCAGGAGAAACAAGCGGAAACCTGGAAAGCAGGGAGCGGACAATATGGGATTCCCCACTCGACTTTGATGACTACTTGGTTCAACACCTGGGCAGAAGGGAGTATATATGAGTAAATACATTGTCTGAAATTCACACATGCCTATTCTAGTGCAAATTACATTCAAAAGTATGACCATTAAGTAAAGTATGAACTTGATGCCAATTTTTCCAGTGAAAAAAAGAGAAAACCCAAAAACTTGAGAAACATGAATGCATCCTGAGGTACCTATATCCGAAAATCAAAAAACGCCGTTTTCTTGCTATTAATCGTGATGTTTCGCTTTCAAGAGATGGATAACGCCTTAAACCAAGAAATATATCCATAAGAATGTCATGTGGCTCTAACCTTCCCTAATGTGGCCTTAAAGGGAGAAGAGGCCAAAGCTGCCCGCAAACCATGTAAAGGAGAGGACTGTGAGCATGGCCATGCCGACGACGAATTTGAGTCCTTGACGATTCGTGTCAGATAAGGCACCATTGCAAGTGACACAGAAGTATCCTAATGAGTTGTTAGTTGACTTCCTAAGCCAGATAAAGAGAGCGACAGGGAATAAACGTACCACTCAGTGATGTGGCTTTTTGAGTAAAGTACATTCCAAAAGAATATCCAGTATCGGAACCGAGGTAGCCTGCGCTGGCAGTGTCACTGAGAGACTTGTCCGCATCGTAGACATAGAGCGTGTAGCTTGCAGTCAACAATGGGATAGTTGCGGTCTTCTCATACTCACCCGTGTCCCAGATGGCGGTACCGGTGGCCTCCATGCTCATGTTCTTGGTCACGGTGTAGGTCACACTGTTCAAGCTGCAGGATGCCACAACGTCCACAGCCGTGGGAGACACGGTGACGGATGTGTAGTTCCAGACGAAGGTGATGTTCTGCCCGATCTTGTAGTAGCTTGTCGTAGTGGAGTCCGGGGTGAGCATGGAGATGCCACCCTCGCCAGCAGCCGGGTCGATTGAAACCGAGGATGATGTGGTGGTTGATGATTTTGTCTTGGTATTTTTAGATGTACCGGTGGTGGTGGAACCACTTGCTGTTTCATCACTGGCGGTCTTGGTGTTGGTAGAGGTGTCAGTCTCGCTGGAGGACTTAGTGGAGGTTTGGGAAGCGACTGTGGTTGTTTGTTCGGAAGTCGATGCTGTCGATGATGTCGTGGACTCGTCTAGGGGAAAATGTCAGCAAGTTCGAAAAACACGAGAGTAAGCTGTACGTACCTGCACGTCTATCCAACATGTTACCTCCGAATACCTCCCCATAATTTGACCATGGCCAAGCCACGGCGATGGTCCCCAGCAGCAGAAAGGTGTACAGAATGCTCAAAATAGGCCGCATGATGACGGTTGTCGTGAGTGATACCAGGCGATTGGGAAAAAGTAGATCAGGAAACCGATAGGATTGAAAAGATCCCCCTGATCGGAAAAACAAGCCGAATCAACAACCCCTTGCACCGATTGACAGTGTGGAGATAGGTTACTGTTGGTGATCAAAAGACGGCTGTACACGTCCAAGGGAAGGCCTGGAAACCCTCGTTGGCTTGGTAGGATACCTGTGAAGAGGCTTGTTGAGGAGACGAGCAACCTAGACAATGTGGACGAGGAAAACCCGACACGCCGGACGATCTGGTGGACCCTGAACTCTGTCGATCACCGGAGAATGGGCTAATTGTGTGGAGAACAAAGGGCCTCAGAAGGCCAACAAGTTTCAAGCAAAACCAGCAGCGAACGATGCAGTCAAACGAGCGACATGAGCAACAAGCGAGAGATAGTTCGAGGCAGAGTTGGTGAGGAGGAAGAAAAGGGTGTTTGAAATGTATTGCGGGGCTAAGCCCAAACTGGCCATGGTGGCTGTCAAGGCATGTGAGACATCAGGCCTATTTATAACTCCATACACTGAACGACTGATCAGGCCTACATTTCAGATCATGATCTCTCGTTCAAATACATCTTCAAATTCATGGTTGGGAATTAAAATTTCCCCAATGCTGACCTTCATCTTGGCGTGCTGAACCCTGAAAAGAAAATCCTCGGGAATATCCCCTCATCGCCAGACCCCATTGACCCACCCTCGGCAAAAGTAATACCAATTAAACAGTCAATTAATCCGAGACCATCCGCATATTCTCCCAATACCAGAAATTATTTCCAACATTGAGGCCATAAACTCATTGGGGGCTCTCACCAATCCTAGTCATTGTTTCTTTTGATTTTTCCTAGTCAGGCTTGTTGTCAGCTTATGTAATCATACTGTCACCAAATGGCCGATCAAGTTTTTCACATTGTATAAGAGCTTGTAAAATCGCCTCGCGCTTCTATGTATTGTCTTCAATTCTCAACCCCAACTTTCAAAATCAGAGTGCTAAACAAGTTCGGCTCACTCATTTCAACCATAGAAAGCATCAGGGCGAAACCTTTGGAGAATACTTGTCTACGTACGTTACCATGTATTATGGCGGGCCGCTATAAGAGTCTTTAGTCCGCAAGGCGAGAGTCCAGGCGTGTTCTGAACAAGTTCTGTCAGTGAACTTTCTCTAACCATAAGTAACAGATGGACGAAGGGCGAGATTTGGGGGGAGATTTGATACGACCGGTCTTTGTATTCGGAAGGGAAGACAGGACAAACTCTTAGGATCGGGGGTTAATGACTAAATAATTCCTTATGACAACGTGGTCTCCATTTTCTTCAACTTCCTCCTCGCCTTTGCTTCCTTTTTTGCCTTTGCTTTCTCCTTCGCATTTGCGAGTGCTTTCTGAGACGCGACTCGATCAGGATCTTTCTCATCAAGCGTCCTCGTGTGTACTGTAACCACATGCTCGAGTATTTTCACAGCGAGTTTGATCTTGCCAGTTGATTTGTACGCCATTGCGAGTGAGTGCTGAGACAATAGTAGATGGCGATGCTCCTCATCAAGCGTCCTCTTTCGTACCGTAACCACGTGCTCAAGGATTTGCACGGCCTCCTCAAACTGGCTATTGAAATGATACGCTGTTCCCAGCGCATGCTGAGACGCTAGTCGATTAGGATGCTCTTCATCAAACATCTTTTTTCGTACTGCAACCACATTTTCAAGTAATTTCACGGATAGTTCATACTGGCCGATCGAGCGATACGCTATTGCGAGTGCATGTTGGGACGACAGTCGATCATGATCTTCGTCGTCAAGGTTCTTATTATGTACCGTAACCACATGCTCGAGGATGTCCACGGCTAGCTCAATCTGGTTGTTTAATTTATACACCTTTGCGAGTGCGCGCTGAGACGAAAGTAGAAAGCGAGAATCCTCATCAAGCGTCCTCTTTCGTATTTCAACCACATGCTCGAGGATTTGCATGGCTGGCTTGATCTGGCCGTCTGCTTTATACATCTTTGCGAGTGAATGTTGAGACGATAGCAAATCATGATCTTCTTCATTAAGCGTTCTTTCTCGTAAAGTAACCACATGCTCGAGGATCTGCATGGCTCTTTTGATTTGGCCGTCTGACCTACACGCCTTTGCGAGTGCGTGCTGGGACGCCAGTCGATCAGGGTTTTCTTCATCAAGTGTCCTCTCGTGTACAGTAACCACATGCTCAAACATCTTCACGACTGATTCAATCTGATGGCCGCTTGATTGATGCGCCATTGCGAGTGCATATTGGTACGCTAATAGAGAGCGATCTTCTTCGGCAGCCGTCCTCTTCCGAACCTTAACCACGCGCTCGAGGATTTGAACGGCGTTTTTAGCCTGGCCGTTTGATCGATAAGCATTTGCGAGTGCATGCTCTGAAAATTGTCGATCAGGATGCTCTTCACCGTGTTGACTCTCGTGCCACATAGATGCGTCTTCAAAAAAGCCAAGCGCCTCTTTTTCTCGGCCTTCCGTCGCGACGAAATACCCAACTTTGATAAGTAAGCTATATCTCTCATTTATGCCCCTACTTTCGTCTCTGCGAATGATTTTAAGGGCATGCGGTAGGTACGCTCTGCATTTCTCAAGGCTGTAATTTTCTTCGGAGGGATAGCACTCGTCCAGGCGCTGTATCACTTTCTGGATGACCTGTTGTGCATGACTAGCGTCCTCTACCCACCGTCGTGTTGCAAGCTGAACCAGATCATGCATATCAAATGCGTGGCCATCGTCTATTTTGGTTATAAACGCGAAGCTGCACAGTACTCCAATCGCACGCTCGGTGTTCTCTTTTGATTCCAGAGTAGGGAGCATTAATTGTGGAATTGCCTTTGGCTCAATATAAGACAAAAACTCCAACAGCTCTGCAGCAGAGGGCTCAGACTTTTTGATCTGTTTAAATGAGATGGTCCAAGTAGTCACAACAGCGTTCGGCATTGAGCGGTATCGAGTGCGATCATGAAAATCCCTACTCGCGAGATCTGTTCGATCCTTTTCTGTACTATGCATGATCTCGAGGTATTTTGAGACCTTTACACTGAGGTGGCTCATATAAAACGCCGCCTGCACGATGGCTAGAGGTAGATATACCAGTTCCTCTAGTAACTGAGTAGTGGACTCCGGCCCGCAGAGCAAATCTTTCCTCACAATCTTGGTAAGAAAAGCCTCCCCTTCTGCTAACGTCATATTTCCAAGCTCAATTATGTCCGCTGTTGCAAATGTCACCGCTACCTCGCGGGAACGGGTAGTGAGCAAGGTAACGCCGTTCTCGCTAGCTGGGAAATACTGCTCAAGATCATTGAAAAGTAAATCGAGGTCGTCGGCATTATCCACGATGAAGAGCCATTTCCCGGCTGCATTGGAACTGAGATATTCATGGACTAATTCCATGGCACTCTCACGTTCATCATCTGAATGTTGTTGGATACCGATCTTCTTCACAATTCGCGAACATGCCTGTTCAAAAGTCTGCAGACTTAAAGCGGGAACCCAAAAAACAGAGAACTCTGGCATCTGCTTTTCGACCCAATCCGCAAGCTGTAGAGCGACTTGGGTTTTGCCGATGCCCCCTAATCCGAACAGCGCTAATATTGGAGTGTCTGCCTGGATAAAAAGCCTCTGCTGGAGTTCTTCAAGCGTTGTTTCCCGGCCGGTGAAGTGACGGTTCCATAAGGATGGAACAATGTGAATTCGGGAATGGTGATCTGGTATGAAATGATTTAGGCTGATACTCTACTTGGAGATTTGGGACAGTCGCCTTTGCTGAACTACCTGCTCTTGTCCCTCTGTTCTGTGCTCCCTCTATCCTCGGAGACTGCGGCGTAATTCTAAGCCCAGATAGCTCAGTCTCTATCTCTGGCCTTGCCTCTTCATTAGCATTCATAAGGCTATGCGTTCTCTTATATAGAAACAATCACCTCTGTGTTTCTTCCACGGACATATGGTAAAATAATTGCCGTGCATAAGCGGCCGCTACTGCCGCTGCGTACCCATGCCATACATCGTTTTTGTGCGTGTCGCAATAGTCGGATATTCCGCGGATTACCAAGCATGGGAAATCTGTGAGAGCACCAGCTGCTTCTGTTTCAAAACAGAGCGCCTTGTGCTCCTGTGCTAGCTCATTCCGCCTCTGAGCATCCTTCATGACCAACCCTCCAGTTGCTATTGTGCCTCTATGTACCACGACAAAAGACTCTCCTTGCTCGCCCAGTGATCGCTTGATACGCTTTTGCGGGTCACAGCCACTTTCTTCACAGGACACTCCTTTCACACGATGTACACAATCTGGTTCGTAAAGGTGATCGTTCGCAATCCCAGGAAACTTATAGCGGCGAAAGGCTGGGCGGTCAGTTGGTATTTTCTTTAGATTGGCCCAAACCGGATCGAGGTCCAATTTGTTACGATGCCTAGCCAGCTCTTGTGCAGCGCTGAGAAGAGCCGTTGGTGGGGGGCTAAGAGAACCTTTGCGTTCAAATTGGCCTGGCGTCCATCTTCCATGGTCATACTGCACAGCTCCAACTTGTATGTCTATCGGTTCACCAACCACCACATGCCCTAGGCGGATCATTCCCTGCTCTGTCTTTACTGGTACACCACCGCCAATGCCCACGACTAAAGCGTATCTGAGGGACGGGAATGTCATTCTCATCTGCGCGACAGCAGTAGCAGCATAGTTGTTCCCTACACGAGGAAGGCCAACGATCACGATGTTCTGGCCATTGATACTGCCAAGAATGTACACATGATTATCCCCGGGAAGGACTGGCAACCTATCGTGTTCTTCGTCCAGCATTTCCACTGCCGCGGTATGTTCCACCTCCATTGGACAGATCCATCCCACTCTGTAGGCATTCCGGTTCAATCGCAATGGCATATTCGGCCGCTCGTACCTATCAAGGAAGATTTTTGGTTGAGACTCGGTTTTGGCAATGATACAGTCGGGATTTAAATGTCCATAACTGTAGGCGGTTCAACTTCTCTTCAACATGGTCGGAAATAGCGATAAGGCTGGAAAATTATGAGGGCAAGGACATTTTAGCGCCAGCCCCAATATGAAGAGAGGGGTAGCACAAAAGCACCAGCCTAGTGCGTTTCAGGGCGATTGGCCAACGAGGCACCTTGAACAGTCATCGTAATATGCTAGGATGACGAACTGCATGAGCCTTTCCTGGCTATTGGCCGCCGCATTGTGGCCCCGCTGTACAGCCAGCCTGCGAATTTCCAGATAAGGGGGAAGCCGGGCACGGAGTTAGCCACGAAGATGCCGTTTCCGATAAAGCCGGTTTCGCATTATATCTCAAGACTATATACTCTATGTCTAGATGTGCCCACTCTATGCCTATTCTCTGAGAGCCAGAGCATAGACGCCATCAACAACGAATAGTCCCCTCAAGATTATCTCTCATCTATTGTTAGTGCCGCTAGCTAACTTCTTCCCGCATCAAGGTCTCTCCTCGTCATTTTGCCCCTCTATAAAATATCTGATTTCGTCACAAAGCCGAAAAATAGACTTTTGATATAGGTATATGTGCCCAAGTTAGATGGTGAAATAAAGCCTGTCAACATAAGATCCTATTGGGCTCCCAGTTACCAAGTTTAGCAATCGCCAGCTAAAAAATAAATAAAGGAACTTGAAATATATCTGATCAAAGGCAACCGAGGAACCTCATAGAAAGGTACCTTATATTCAAGTTGTCGTTACACCTGCATAGACCAAGGTTAAACTTTGGAAGGTGGGGGAACAGAATGTTTACCCGTCCACGGGTGATCAGCCACCCCGATGCCCTGGAGGTCTGTGACACTATAAACTTTAACCTCAGCGCTCAAGCATATATAAAGATAAAAGTGTATGCAGAAAATAGATATATTATCATTAAACTCCAGTCTATCCAGTAAATGACCAGGATCGTAGTGAATGTACAGTCGTGAAAATAGCCTCTTTATAATCATAACCAAAGATCGAAAACAATATCATCGCAAACCCAAGAAAACACCCTCAGTTCTAAGATAGGATTCTAGGACGAAGCCTTGAGCTCGACGGTATCGCACCCTGTGTAGCTGCCAGTCTCGGCAAGATTGACATAGTAGAGGGCGCTATCAGTGCAAGCTAGAAAACACCAGTTAGCCGTGAGTCCGAAACAAAGAAAGAATAATAACGATAAACCTACCAAGCCAGCCACCCCAGTTTTTGTTCGAGGTCTCCAGGTCGCCATCACTGGCAAAGCTGAATCCGGTGCTACCGGTCGTGGGGCTCACGCTCACTTCAACAGCAGCCTTCCGATCTACAATGGAATGTGTCAGTTTAACAAAGATACAAAAGCGGCGAACGAGCCAAGCTAAAAGGGTAGCTTACCATCCTCGGAAACGAGTGCCATGGCCCACGGCGCGCCGTTCTCCGCTTGGTACCGCACCGTGCCGTTCGAAAGGTAGAATGAAGCTGCGTCGCTAGCGCCACCAGTGAACACCGCCAGACTGTTAAGTGGGTCGACGTGCTGTAGGGTGAGGTACAGGCCATTCAGACTGCTGTTGGAGGCGCCCGTGGTCTGCAGGCTGAAGGTTTTGGTGACGGGGCCAGCAGTGGCGGTGGCGGCGAGGAGAGCCAGAGTAGCGAGGAACTTCATTTTGGCTATGGTTCGATGATGATAAAGATGCCTTTTTCGTGAGAAACAAAGATAAAGACCGGTTCCACTGGGAGCAATGATAATCAGGAGTAAATCAAGTTGGACGGGGGCGTGAGATATTTAAGCCTGAATAAGGTGCTGGGAGTTGGAAAAGCTGGGAAATCGCGTGGAGAAACCCGCCACCGAGTGGGTATAACTTGTGAGGATCCGCGATCGTGGGATCCTTGGGCTGACAGTTTTTAGTGTAAGGCGGGCAGTTCTGTGGTTGGTACCAATAATATTGTTTCGATGTGATCTGCAATTCTCTCCTGTCCGGCCTGACTTTATAAATAAATGGGCCTGTGCATCTTGTCTTAGGAGCTGCAGGTCACATCTGCATCCTCAAGGTCGATTCAAGGGGGTCCGCCACAGCCTTTCTCGTTAGTCTCGCTAGTGTCGTACAGCGTAGCTCGTCTGCTTGAATTGTTTCGTTTAAAAGGGCAGCTTTCTCCAGTGAGTGGGGTATGGGCATTTGCCCCAGTCACTAGTTTTTGTCCGGACACCAATCACAGGGAAACAGCTTTGAAGATCATATCCACTTCAGGGTAAAGAATAAGAGCACCCGAAACAGATGTCATTGGGAAGTGCTTCGAAGCCTGAGTAAGTTGACATCAGATTTCCTAAAATAGAAGAGAACTAACTCTAGAAACGTATTCACTAAAGAAAATAAGATGTTAAAGCACGGAGAAGTAATAGGGTCCCATGATAGGCAGCAGTCCAACTACGTAACCACGGATTTCACCCGCAGCACAGAGACCCCTGAACCCTTGACTGACTGATGTGATTGACCCACAGAAATTCCAAGTTACCCTTGGAATTGCTGAGAGGATTTTTAACACGAGCCGCGTGATATTCATGTTTCCATTTTGATCATGCCTGTTCCATGGACAAATGCAACTATGTCCTAAGGAACCCTGCGTGGAGCAGACCGGGTAGAAGATGCAGCATTGAATTTTGGGGGCGAGCAAAGCCGATGCCTTCCGGGAAACAAATGAGCAGAACTCTCTCGAGAAGTAAGAGCTGCAGGTTTACAGTAGAATCTCAAGGGTCTTCGAGTGCAAGGAATTGATTGTCTCACGAGTCACGAGGCACATCAGCCTCCACATTTGTACTCAGCAATTCTCGTTAGCATTGAAGTTAGACCATAATACCAGCCATTCTACCCATTTGGTTCATGACTGGACATTTGTGAAGAGCTAAGTTTATTGGATCAAAGACAAAGCAATCCATGGGCACGACGAATTTGGGACTTGGAGAATTCCACTTGCGTAAGAAGGCGGAGAGATCTTGATAAAGTTTGACCAGCAGAATTACACCGCTTGCTTATATCATCATATCATGAGTAATCCGGTCTGGACAGTAAAGTTAACTTAACTATACAAGGCATGTAGTTTTGGTATCTGAAAACACACGGTCCAACTTTGCTGTCAGTTATATGAGCACTGAATAAGAAGAAGTTTAGAATACCGTGACCAGGCATGGCTTTTCCAATTTTAACACACTCAACCAATGCCGGTCCAACGGTGTTTCCCTGATGAATCAATGAGTGGACAAAGGACGGGCAATGAACGAGGGCAATGATAGAGATTGGGTGAATGGTATATAAATTTGAAAAGCCGGATCGGACTCTTTAGGCATTCGGGCTGCGACGCTTTGGCGACGCTTTGGCAGTTGGGTATGCAATGACGCGACGATCCTGGACGACACGTCGCCGAGGAGACCACAATCCGCGAGTGGTGAGATCACCAAAATCAATAGAATCATTTCACGGTCATGTTGTACGGAGTAAGTCTATAGTGTAGAATCATCTGGGCCTGCATCTCTGACCAATGCTTCATGACGATCATTTTGCCAGTCAAAAACTTAGATCGAGATTGAGGGTTCGAGAGTAAAGACCTCCACTTCCCACAACTTGCCTTTCTCCCTCCCCTCCATCTCCACAGATGATCTGTGGTTTTTGATGTATTGGAGTTTTGGATTCTGGTCATCTTGAGAAGTTCCCCTCCACTTTCTTATACTCTACCATTTTGGGACGTTCCCATCTCTAGCTCTTCTTGACCCCCAGAATCACATTCTGGGACTACGTCGGTGGCAGACCCGCCCCTCCAATTTCCCATTCCTTCTCACACGGAGTTCCTGGGACTTCGATGATGAGGCGCTGCGAAAATTAACCTCCTTATCCCCCCTCAATCGCTTGTATCGCAGGGACCCCCTGGTCCCTTTGCGATCGCGCTTCTCGCGTGTGTTGTGTCTGATTTCCCCTCCCGCACTCCCCACGCAATACCCCCCGATCGCATTGTGGCTGCCATACGGTACACGACGACGCCCAATTCTCCCATTCTATTTTACCCCAACTTCCCAAAATCCCAAACGTCATAGAGCCGTGACTTCTCGTCCAACATGGATTCCGGATGGCAACCCTATCAGGATCCCCTGATGGGTCGTCCCGCGCAGTTCAATACCGGATTGGCTAGCCATCCCCAGCAAGCCTCAAAGTACGGTCAGCCACCACAGTCACAGCCCCCCGTCGGATACACCTACGAGACATTTCAAACTCCTGGCACCTCGTCCAAGGCACCTTCCACCGGCCCAAACTCCAAGCCGGTCTCCATGGCCTCGTCTCCTACAGCCACGCCACGTAGTCGGGATTATGTCACCGATGCCGACACCACCATGGAGGACGCCGACCCCTACAACCGCGCCAAGTACCCATCGAGGCCAACCCATCACAGTCGCGCCTCGTCCCAATTTCTGAACCAGGCTGAAGAATCCTCGGCCGCTCGCAGATATTCGCCGATGAACGCTCTGTCGCCGCCGATGTCATACCCAACGAGCCCCGGGAAGCAGGGCTCGGGCTCGTACTTCTCGCCCTCGTCAAATCAATCGCGACGGTCGCCGGGTCGAGCGGGAGACTACTCGTCTCCGCCACAAGGTTATCAATCGCCGCCTTGTAAGTGCTCGTTCCCTCGTGTTGCGCCTAGGATTCTGTGTGCTAACCTGCAATCAGCGAATCGCCCCCCTAGACTTCCCCCCTTCAAGCGTCCGACCTCAGCCCCGATCAGTATTATCCACCCTCCGCAGGCTCTCACCTCGGGAGTGCATTTACGCCTGAAACTCGATCTCCAAGATCTGGCTCCTTGCCGTCCCAAGTTCCAGGCCGAGGTCCGGTTCCCAAGTTCAAGAAGGTCGAGTCGGTGCAGAGTCTCAAGGGTCGGGTTCATGACCAGCCGGCCTATCGACGGGCAAACCCAGAAGGTGGCTTCATCAGCGTTCGTGATTTGCCATTTCCCCGTTGTCGACTTGCCAGCTTACCTTTTACAGCCACTTCACGCCTTAACTAGTCACCTCCCCGCGACCTATCGTATTTGCAACCCGAACTTTAACTACGAGTCATCCAGGAACCCGCGCCGGGTGTTGACAAAGCCTAGCAAGGGTACCAAGAATGATGGCTATGACAATGAGGACAGTGATTACATTCTCTATGTCAACGACATTCTGGGCAGTGAGGAGGCCGGCCACAAGTAAGCTTCTTGGTTCCCGTCATCCCCGGATTTTGAAGTCTAATAATCGCATCACAGGAATCGCTACCTTATTCTCGATGTACTAGGTCAGGGTACCTTCGGTCAGGTTGTGAAATGCCAAAACCTGAAAACTCAAGAGGTTGTGGCAGTTAAGGTTATCAAAAACAAGACCGCCTACTTCAACCAAAGCATGATGGAGGTTTCCGTCTTGGATCTGGTATGCCATTCCATCACCAGCAGTCAACACCAAGTCGATCTCCCAGGACGTGCGCTAACTCCACTGTCCCACAGCTGAATAGCAAATACGACAAGAACGACGACCATCATCTCCTTCGTTTGAAGGACACCTTCATCCACCGCCAGCATCTTTGTCTTGCATTTGAATTACTCAGCGTTAACCTTTACGAGCTCATTAAGCAAAACCAGTTCCGAGGACTAAGTACAACCCTGGTTCGTGTGTTTGCGCAGCAGTTATTGAATGCGCTCAGTCTCTTGAACAAGGCCCATTTGATCCACTGCGATCTGAAGCCTGAGAATATTCTCTTGAAGAAGTTAGTCTAGAGAACCCTATTTCACCATTCTTTGCTTCCTTTAACTGATTTTCCTACCATCGTTACAGTCTCGAAAGCCCAATCATCAAGGTCATCGATTTCGGCTCTGCGTGCGACGAGCGCCAAACTGTCTACACATATATTCAATCCCGGTTTTACCGTTCGCCGGAAGTTCTGCTTGGCCTCCCGTATGTGCTCCCAATTTCAAAACGCTCCCTCCTTGGGCTTTCCCGCTGACTGGACTAGCTACTCCTCCGCAATCGATATGTGGTCTCTTGGGTGCATTGTCGTTGAGCTCTTTTTGGGATTGCCTCTGTTCCCTGGCTCTTCTGAATATAATCAAGTCTGTCGAATTGTCGACATGATGGGATTGCCTCCAGCATGGATGTTGGAGATGGGTAAACAATCGGGCGAATTTTTCGAGAAAACGCAGGATGAATTCGGGCGAAAGACCTACCGTCTCAAGAGTTTGGAGCAATACTCACGAGAACACAATACCAAGGAACAACCCAGCAAGAAGTACTTCTCTGCCTCGACACTGGAGGAGATCATTCGAAGCTACCCCATGCCGAGGAAAAACATGAAGCAGAATGAGGTCGAGCGAGGTAAGTTTTCAAACACTTTGGGCCAAAAGGTTCCTTCGCTAATTATCATCGTACAGAGTTGAACAACCGCGTTGCCTTCATTGATTTTGTCCGCGGTCTTCTGTCCATCAACCCCCTTGAACGATGGTCACCCCAGCAGGCCAAATTGCATCCGTTTATCACACAGCAGAAGTTCACGGGTCCATTTGTTCCCCCAATGAACTTGAAGTACGCAACTATCAACAAGACCGTTGCTCCGGGTGTCCAGCAACAGCAACAAGCGGAAGCTACTAGCAAGCAGAGAGCAGCGCAGGCGGCGCAGGCACAGTCTGTGCAAGCACAAGCTGCGTATCCGGTGCAAATGAACCCATACCAGCAGCATACCCCGACCCATGCGCAACCTCCTCCGCCTCCCCCCATGTACAATGGAATGTATCAACAGCAGGGTGCGGTCCCACCGCCGCCTTACCCCACACAGCCTCCTGGGTACACTAGCCATCAAATGGGTATGATTCCAGGTGGATCTCCTGGTCAAATTCCCCAGCCGCAGTACGGTCAAGGACAGAGTCTGTACGCTCAAGCGACAACGCGCGCTGGTCGTCAACGTGCATCAACCATGGATCCGCAAGGTGGCATTCCTCCGACGATCCAACGTGTGGCAAGCCACCTGGATCCCAATGCTCCGATTCGCTTACAGCCTAGCCCTGCCTACTATCCTCCCCCTCCCGATGGCTATGTGGACGCCAATGCCCAACGCCGCCGCGGTAGCCGGACTGGAGGGACCAGCAATAACAGTAGCAATGGCAACGGCAACGGAAACCAACGAAACCGAGACTTCATCCGCACCCTCGAGGATGGGGTTTTGGGTGAAGGATATATGGGCCAAAACCAGTGGCACTAAAGGGAGCCTGAACAGGCACCTTGGGGACGAATGCGCTTATATGGTGCCTGGGAATCTGGTATACTGGTTGCAATCTTTTTTTTATCGCAGTCAAGCATCCACGCGCCTGATGCGTGCACCTTTGCTGGAGCGTTGTTCCAATAGCTTGCCGTGTTCTGTGGAACTTTTGCTTGACTCATCTACCCCCGCTCGTCCCACGAGGCTCCCGTTGATGGTCTCTAGCATGACAAAGTGCTTCTTGGCCTAGAGTCATTGCTTGATGGGCACAATAAATTGGTCCGTGTGGTCTTGAGTCACAAATGACAAAGATCTGAAAATGGACAGTAAGGCTGAGAGGGCGCGATCGAAACAATGCTTTTCTACTTTCCTCTTGATGTAGCGTTGTGTCGAATCCCACGGTTACTTGCACTAGGATGCAGTGACCGAAAGTTACGATTCTGTATTTACCGGGCCATGATCAAGTGGCGTCGCGACTTTTGTTTCCTTGCTATGTTTGTCCTGCAAATGATTTGGTGCGCTAGGGTCTATTTAACCCGCGGCTTTGCTCCAACTTTTTTTTCTCCCTTGTTTCATGTGCCTTCAACTTCTGTTTCTTCTTTCAGCATAGCCTGGAGTATGAAAGAACGACTTCACAAACCCCGTTTCCCCCTCCCCCTATTCGCTTGTCTTAGTAAAATTTTATTTTCCCATGGGTTTGCTTAGAAATGATTTTGTTCATTTGTTGTTCTATATTGTATTTGAGATACAAGATACGTCTTATGGTGGCTTCAAGGGTTTGTGTCAATTATGTCAGCTTGGGGTGTCCTTGATGCCGTGGGATTTGGGTACAAGTGTTGGAGAGAATATATATTACTTTTTTAGGGAAGAGCAATGGCATACAGCGAAATACTATCTCTATTCAGTATAAATTAAGGACATGTTCTATACTTGTAGATGTAGATGTTTTGAAGGGGATGATTGAGTGGCGCTAGTCCCGATTAGGTATAGCCAACCCCTCGCTTAAATTTCGTGTGTGGCTCTCACCCGGACCATCAACTCCAAGTTTTAAAGGATCTGCCTTTACGCCTTCGTGCACCGGATTACCCCGTTTTCAAACCGCAAAGATGCCGCCGACGCAGCCACCGAAGTCACGATTCTTTGACGGCAATAGCTCCTCTGATGAGTCGGAATACGACGATCGCTCTTCTGAGGAGGAGGAGGACAGCGATGACGAGTCCGGCAGTGATTCGGGTTCCGACTCTGGCAGCGATTCCGACGGTGAAAGCGCCGGTGGTGATGGCTTCGACTTCCTGAAGAGTGATGACGAAAGCGAGGAAAGCGAAGATGAGGAAAAGGTTACGATCGTCAAGAGTGCCAAGGACAAGCGTTTGGAAGGTCTTGAGAACAGCATCCGCCTGATTGAAAACGCTCAGAAGATCAATGACTGGGCCGTCATCTCGACTGGTGAGTCCGCTCTACGCGATTTGGGAGGCTTTATACGTGGATTGAAGGCCGTGCCCGCGGGGCTATACCGGGAGAGGGGTCCCGAAGCTTTTGGATTGAATGCTAATACAGGGTCTTTGCAGAGTTCGACAGCCTCAACCGCCAGATCGTCAAGGTCAACCAGTCCGGTCCTACCCCCCGCCTTTATGTCAAGTTCGTCGCCGACCTTGAGGACTTCGTCAACGAGGCCGTCGCCCAGCAGAAGTCCTCCAACAAGAAGATGAACGCTAGCAATCAGAAGGGATTCAACGCCGTGAAGCAGCGTATCAAGAAGAACAACAAGGAATACACCGCTCAGATCGACAAGTACCGTGCCGACAAGGACGCCTACATGCTGGCCGACGAGGAGGAGAAGGAGAAGCCCGCACCCACTCCCACCCCCAAGCCCAGCAAGGCCGAGAAGATCGAGAAGTTCATTCCCCAGGCTAAGACCGATGATGATGGATTTGCTACCGTTGGACGTGGTGGCAAAACCCTGCAGTACACCGCTGAGAGCATTCTCAAGCACCTGCGTACCATCGTTGAGTCTCGCGGAAAGAAGAACACTGACCGCACCGAGCAAATCCGCACAATGGAGAAGCTCCTCGAGGTTGCCACTACCCCTTACCAGCGCATCCGCATCTACCTCACCCTCATCTCCACCCGTTTCGACCTTTCCACCACTTCTTCCGCCACCTACATGAGCGCCGAGCAATGGAAGAGCGCCGATCAAGAATTCGCCGCCCTTCTGTCCGTTCTGGAGCAGCACCGAAACTTCATTGTTAGCGACAATGCCGACGAGTGGGAGGATGACGAGAAGCAGCCCCAGGTTGCTGAGGGAGAGACATTCTACATCCCCGGCAGCATTGTTTCATACATCGAGCGTTTGGATGACGAGCTTACCCGCTCGCTTCAGCAGATCGACCCCCACACTGCTGAGTACATTGAGCGTCTAAGCGACGAGCAGCAGCTGTACACCAACATTGTCCGCACCCAGATGTACGCAGAGAGCCTCCACGCCGTTGAGAAGAACGAAGTCCGCCAGGACGGTGTCAACCGAGTGGTCATCCGCCGCTTGGAACACGTCTACTTCAAGCCCTCCCAGGTCGTTTCTATCCTGGAGGATGGCTCATGGAAGGCTCTGCCTGAGAACCTGGACTCTGCCATTACTCCCCGCGCTCAGGCTGGTGATGTCTCGGTTCTTATTCAGACCGTCTGCAATTACCTGTTCCAGAACAGCGACGGTATCATCCGTGCCCGCTCGATGTTGTGCCAGATTTACTTCCTTGCTCTGCACGACCACTACTACCGCTCTCGTGATCTGATGCTCATGTCCCACTTGACTGAGAACATCGCCAACTTCGATGTCAGCACCCAGATTCTTTTCAACCGCACTCTTGTCCAGATCGGTCTGTGTGCTTTCCGTGCTGGCCTCATCTACGAGGCTCAGAACACCCTCGGTGACATCTGTGGTAGCGGCCGCCAAAAGGAGCTGCTCGCCCAGGGCATCATCCTTCAGCGGTACTCGACTGTCACCCCCGAGCAGGAGCGTCTGGAGCGCCAGCGCCAGCTGCCCTTCCACATGCACATCAACCTGGAGCTGCTTGAGTGCATCTACCTGACCTCCAGCATGTTCCTTGAGGTTCCCCTCATGGCCCAGACCTCTTCCGCCCCTGAGATTCGCCGCCGCATGATCTCTAAGACCTTCCGCCGCATGCTCGACTACAACGAGCGCCAGGTGTTCACCGGTCCCCCCGAGAACACTCGTGATGGTGTCATCATGAGTGCCAAGTTCCTTGCCGCCGGCGAGTGGAAGAAGGCCGCTTCCATGCTGTCCTCCATTAAGATCTGGGATCTGATGCCGCAGCCCGAGAAGATCAAGGAGATGTTGTCCCAGCAGACCCAAGAGGAGGGTCTGCGCACCTACCTCTTCACCTACGCCCCCTTCTACGACAGCCTGTCCATCTCCTCCCTGGTCGACATGTTCGAGCTCTCCACCAAGAAGATCACCGCCATCATCAGCCGCATGATCTCCCACGAGGAACTCGGCGCCGCCCTCGACCAGGTCAACGATGTCATCGTTTTCCGCAAGGGTGTCGAGCTCTCTCGTCTCCAATCCCAGATCGTCACCCTGGCCGACAAGTCCATGGGTCTCCTCGAGTCCAACGAGAAGACCCTCGAGCAGCGCACCCAGGGTATGGCCAACGCTTTCCAGCGCGAGTCAGGCCCCGGTGCCCGTGGCCGTGGTCCCCGTGGTCCCAACCAGGCTCGCGGTGGTCCGCGACTGCCGAACAACCAGCAGGGCCGGAGACCTGGTGGTCAGCAGTTCGGTGGTGGTGCATTGGGTGGTGCGATCAAGGCTTGAATAAAGGTTTTCTGACGTAATGGCATGCCTATTCTTTTTTATTTTTCTTTTTCCTCGTCTTCCTTTTCCTTGTCATGGTTCCTCTTGCCTTTTCTTATGCCGTTTCCGAACGCGAAGGAAATCCCTCGTGTCAGTTCAACGACTCAAAATGAATGAATATAAATGGTTAGAAAGCATTATCTTTTCTCAAGTAGTGAGAGGCTCCCATGCGCCCTGTTAACTGTATACTTTCACGTCACTGCACATGTCAAAAAAAAAAAAAAAAAAAAAAAAAGCTTCTAGTAACGGGGCCAAGCAGACTGCTTGTAGCCTTCGGATCCTGTGAGATTTGCCCAATTACAGATCCGTACCCGGGGCCACCATGTGTACTGTACCATTACGAGAAGTCTTCGATATTATCCAGTTACGCTTTGTAGCCTTGGCTCAAAACTAATGTAACTTCAATCAGTCACCACTTTTAGTGTCTTCTCTTATCCACGAATGTATCCATGGATGTAGCATGACAGTCCGTACTTCTTACCAATTTAAAAATGGGTATACTTAAATCAAGACAATAGGCTAGATTTCAGAAACGATGAACACTCGGTTTATAGGTAAAGCCATCATAACACTGATAATACAGCTTTTCTGCATGTGCATAATGCCTCTCTTGCGACTCATGTTTTGTCGCTGGATTCCTAGGTTGATCACTGTAGAATCCAACCCCTCTTGATCGGAGATTACAATATCAGGAAAATAGTGGGCTGTATTTAGACAAAGCAGTGCATTGAGCTGATTGAAAATTCAGTGCTCAAGCTTTCTATGTTCAAGCTCTGTAAACTTGTTCAAGTCAGTCTTGCATTTTCATTGTAGGGTCTGCACTTTCAGGTTGAGGAGTGAGAATTCTGATTCTAAATGTCTAGGTGGCAAATAATTAGACTTATTGTACTTGTATGGATTAATATTATTCAGGTAGTCAGCTTAGACTTTAATCTTGAAAATTCTCGAGGTCTCTTACGGCCTTTGTGATATCCCGATATATGGGGGGTAGCCGGAACATCTACCGGATGGATATATATGTTTAAAACGACTTTTTATTTTGAGGCTGTAGCCTAAATTAACGATACATATCTTTGGTCAATTTTCGAGACTAGATCGATACCTAGCCCCTGATGATTATGAATCATTATAGTATATCTTCTTTAATATAGTCTGATCTTGGACTGTGCTTCTCGACATAGCTCATTGTTCTAAACTGCCTAAGTGTATAATGGAAGGATTCAAACATTTTATATGGACCACAATTTATACACCTTTTATGCGAGTTCTGATTAAGACAATGATGCTTGAAATCCACATAAGCTATGAAAAATTTGTCGGCGTGGTTAACAAAACACAAGCATTCCAACATTGGAAGGTGGAAAATGAAATCGCTCCAGAAAAGTCCCTTGATCAAGGTCGACTTCAGAAAGATCAAATGTGCTCAGTCGCTGTCATTATTCCTCTGAGCATCAGGATAAAACATGCAAGTAGAAAGAAAATGAATTGGGACTTCGTCAAGAGTGTAGACAAGTAAGTTGTGCACTATGTTCAACAGCCCCGGATATGTTGGCCTGTTCCTTAAGGCTTAATGGGTCCACACGTTGGAAATAATTTTTTTTTCAGTGAAAATTTACATTCAGTTACGTAAAGGAGTGAAAACTACTCCTTGTCTACAAAATAGAGGTAGGCAATTGCGGGTTGACTGAAGCATTGAATTACCGGAAACCTAGACCGTATCGCTAATTGACTAAAGAAAACACAGCCCGTGTGCTAACAAACAACCCGTGACAATAACGTCGTTAAAATTTTTGATGGAGCGAACTCCGAGAACCACCCGGTTTGCGAGAGGAACTAATCTAGTTCATCTGGCGGACGAGAGCGTTGATGTTCTCCTCACGGTTACCGGTGTCACCACCCTGGATGTAGTGCTTGAACTTGCGAGTACGGAAGCCACCGTTGGGGTTGGAGAGCTTGAAGGGCCACAGGAAGTTGTTGGCCTGCTTGAAGTTGGGGCCAACGGTGTAGATCTCGTGGATGAGATCCTCCATGCAGACAATGCCGTACTTGCCGAGGTTGTCCTCGATGATCTGGTTGTCGGTGAGGGCAGTGCGCATCTTGTCAACCTTTCCGTAACCACGCTTGTACAGAAGCTCGCGGACGGTCTTCAGGTTGGGGTAACCGTAGGCAATGTAGGGGTTGACAATGGTGAGCATCTCCTGGGTGGCCTTGGTCAGGCGGACGAAGGTACCGCTGTTGATCTGGATCAAACGGAGCAGCTGGAGGATCTTGCGGGGCTTGGGGGCAATCTTGTTGATACTGAAGAGAAGAGTTAGCAATGAGGGTCTTGCACAGAGACATGCAGTGAATGCTTGACATACCCCTTGATACGGACAACGAAGACCAGCTTGGGCTCATCGTCAACGTAGAAGTTACCCTCCTGGCGGGCAGCGCGGGCCAGGCGGATCTTCTCACGCTCAGCGTTGCGGTACTCCTGGACGTAGGACTCAGCGCGCTTGAAGATAACGCCACGCTTCTCCTTGTTGGCCTATATGAATCAAAGTCAGTATAGAGTTTTCATATTGTTTTGGTGATATCAAGCATGTGTGGTATCCAATGTATCAGACCCGAAAGATGGTTAACAGGCGACAACATCGACCAATTGGTCTAGTCGCGAGGTTGGTGTTTTCATCATAATGATGGAGAAAGGGGGTTGGGAAAAATTGAGAATGGGGAAACCGACCTTCTTCTTCTCCTCGGCCTCAGCACGGCGCTCGGCGCGGGCAGCCTCCTGGCTCTTGCGCTTCTTGAGGAGGGTCTCGGGGACGAGGACCTGGTCCTGGGTGGGAACGGAGCTGTGTGGGTGTGAGTATAGTCCATATGAATCATGAAAGCATGAAACAATCCGCCGAGTGTAAGAACTGCAGCATATAGCGCATTCTCGACTGAAGGCAAATAATATTTTATAAAAAACTCGACGAAATGTCTTTAGTCAGTGAAAGCCATGGCACTGGGGCTTTGCGTCCATGCTTCGGTACTCAGTGGCATATTCCAGCACACTTTTCGCAAAGAGAAAATTTCTTCATCTTGGACACCCACTTAAGATACCATGTTCGCCTTCATCCAACAATACCCCGGACAGATGTCCAGGAAATATTTGTTGACGCTCTTCGTCCAAGCATGATGACTGTTATTTCAAACATCAATCACACCGGAAAACGATAGCTATACAACAATATTTTTCGAGGTGAAGACTCGAAAGCTTTCAACCTCAAGACTCCAGTCGCCCTCCACTGTCACGCCTCGTTGAATAGCAACACGCATATCTCAAAGTTGTTCGAGCGAAAGGGCATAGGAAAGATCGAGCTGGTGCACAGCGACCGATAGTCGTGGCATTGCCAGCGAGAGGGACTATACCTGCATTCTCACAATCACAGAGGATTGCTTCAATGAGAAAGGATCAAGGGTAATCATACGTGGTAGGAGCGGCCATTGCGAAGGTCGAGTTGTCGAGAGTGGTCGGAGAAAGTTCAAACCAGGAAGGAAACTTAAGGAAGAAAAGTAGAATTCGCTTGTGTGGGTGCGGGTCCACACTAACCGAACATGGTATAGCCTGCAGTGATTTCCACGCTAAACCACGTACGGATCCTGTACCCTTATCACCCCGTGACTAGGGCTGGGCCTTATCGTCTGCTGACCTTATCTGCGGCTCCACCTGTGCTCCTATCTGGGTGCTCATCAACCCCTCAACCTGCCACCTGACCGGACACTTTGAACAGCAACCATGTCCCGCCGTGGTGTTGGGCTCGGCGCCTTTGTAAACCGAAACCAGACCACCCAATCCTATGCCACCCATGGCGCCAACCTCCGTTCTACGCATCTTGCCTCCCTCCAGACCCAGCTCTCCGTCTTCCAGTCGTTGTTACACACCTTTGCCTTGGAGCACAGTTCTACAATCAAGTCCAATCCTACATTCCGAGCCGAGTTTGCGCGCATGTGTAATACCATCGGGGTCGACCCCTTGGCTGCAAGCAACATCAAAGGCAAGAATGGCCGCCGTGGACTAGGGGAAGGAGGCAGCTTCTGGACCCAAATCCTGGGCGGGGATATGAATGACTTCTATTTTGAGGTTGCGGTCCGGGTTGTGGAACTGTGTCGAGAGACAAGAAGTGAGAATGGAGGGCTGATTGGCGTCGAAGAATGTCGGAAGCGCGTCGGCAAGGGCAAAGCAATTGGTAGTGGACTGGAGGTTTCGGCGTATGGTTGACCTAATAGCTTGCCTGATATTTAGGAGAAACAAATGACTAATGGGACAGAGAACTTATAGTGATGACATCCTTCGTGCGGTTCGATCTCTGGAGCCTCTTGGGTCTGGATTCTCCATCGTCCATGTTGGGTCCAAACAGTACATTCGATCCATTCCAAAGGAGCTCAACACAGACCAAGCTACCGTTCTCGAAGTAATCCAGGTTTTGGGATTCGTGAGCGTCTCGATGTTACGACTTAATCTCAATTGGGAAAAGGCTCGAGCTCAAACAGTGATTGATGATCTGGTCGCGGATGGCCTTGTTTGGCTGGATGCTCAGGGTCCAGAGAAAGAGTACTGGTCGCCTCAGAATCTACTTGATGATAGTGGGTGAATCTGAGACATCGTATCCTCATCGATGAGCTCGCTCTTACCACCGAATCGGGCTTAAATTTGAAAAGCCAAAACCCCAAAATAGGACTCTTGTCCCAATTCAGCACTTCGAAAGACCTCCGAATGGATGATCAATACCGCCGCAAGCTGTGCCTACTTTTGGAGCCACGGAATCAGGGTTTCATTGCTTTGGAGTTCGTATTGGGAGCCAACGGTGGATCTTGCAAAAGTGGCTATCTAGAACCCCCATCATTACGACTTTGCGTGAACCGCCTTTACTTGCAAAGAGAGGGATGTGAAGTTATTGTGATGGCAAGGCTGCCAGTCCCTGATTCATTCTATCGTTCTAAGATGGTTTGATAGTTTTAATCATGTATATACAAGGCACAAGAGACCTCCACACAAATATAAACATAGATCAAATCTGTATCACTTCCTGTACTCTTCTGTTTCGGTCCACCACAAGACGAAGTTGGCGACCCTGCCAGTCGGATGACGAGGCTATAACTGGATGGTGAACCGCAGGTTTGAAGACACCCTCGCGAAGGGTTTCTGTGAAAAGTTCGTATGAGGGATAGTCTGGAGATGAACAGTTAGCACCCGATCTGACTATGATCAATTTGAAGGGTAACGAACAGCCGTCTACGAAATGATTGACCTGCTCCTCAGTCATGCCAGTGCCCTTAGATGCACGGAGAGAACGCTCTTGTTCCTGGCGCCATTCGTAGACAAAACGTAAATTCTGAGCATCTCTGATCATACGGATTAGTAAATGCCTTGATAGAGACAAACGCGACATAGTCGAACACTTACATGTGGATCAGGGCATCGAATTTACTGCACCAGTATGTCAGTTATACTTCTAGTCCTCAGCGTCAAGAAAACTTACTCAGTCAATGCATCATATCGCTTCAGTGCGTCATTGACAGCCTGCACATCCTCCAACTTAACATAGCCTAGACGGCCTTGATAATTCCCGGTCTCCTTTTGCTGCACAGCAGTTTCCCACTTGGAGCGCAGAGTTTGGTCATCCCGAGGACGAAACCCGACACACCAGCCTTCAAAAATGACAATCTTAATTTTCTTCTGTCCTTCCTGGTTCACGACTTTCCATTGCGACTCAGGCACACGATCACCTTGCCCGGAAAACGCAGACTTGTCATATTGCGGAATAGCAGTGGGTTGCTCGGCCGCGAGCGAAGCAAAGACCTTCTCACCCAGATCTAAATCGTGAGTGGAAGGTTGACCACGATGTTGAAGAAGCGGGTTATTTGGGTTTGCTTGAGCCAGCGCAAACTGATCGGCGTGTGTAAGGTAAAGGTCGTCAAGCGACAAGGTCACGACGGAGAGCGAGTACGGCTCGGAACGGAGTGTCTCTTGCAGAGTTGACACCTATGGCAATTGATTATAGTGATTAGTACCGGTGATAAAAGTCCGAGGGATGAAGGTTAGTCCCGGTATCCATTTGTCCCGAGGTCTGGAGCACTTACCAGGACGGTCTTGCCGGCACCCTGCACGCCATTGAGACCTAAAAAGAATGGCGGGGTATTACCGTCGCCGTACCGGGCCGAGTGGACGCGGAGACGCTCCAGTAGAAATGGGATGCAGTGCTGCGATTTGTCGTCAATTATCGGCATTTTGGACTGGATTGTTGTTCTAGTTCATTTCGTGGGGAGCTTTGCATTTTATCGGCTACGGCATGCGGCAAGTTGTCCGATCGGCGAGAATCCGGGGTTTCACTTGGCCCTGCGGGGAATCTGATTATACGGGGAGTTGATGTGATTTCTCGATATAACATGAGACTTTATTCATAGGGGCTTTCTGGTGTATTCATTGTAAGGGCTGATATATTATGAGGTCCAGACCGATGTTTCATAGTACTGTATGAATTGATTGACAACCATGACGTTGTTGGTCACATGCCTGAGTCAGCATGGTATTCGGTACTTGTGAATGTATGGGGAATTATAGGTGACATGCAGTATACTGAACAGCTATTGGGGTTCAAGACATATGTCAGACCACACAATGACAATCAAATATGCAGAAAAGCATCTGATTACGTTGAAAGTCGATCGTCGGCATGTGAAGTGACGAGGATTTGCCCGTGGTGAAATGTAACGACTTGTATACATTACACAGTCTGGGAATTTCCAAACGTGCCGAGGTTCCCCCAGCTGTACCGAGCTCGGGGCCGTTCTTTAAACCCCCCCTCCGCCTTTTCTTCTTTTCCCCAACTTTTAGTTCTCCCCATAGATCTGAAGTCGGAAGTCATCATTCACACATCTTCCGCTATGTCCGAGTTACGTTTTGATAATCAGACCGTCGTCGTCACCGGCGCCGGCGGTGGTCTTGGAAAAGCATATGCTCTCTTCTTTGCCTCAAGGGGTGCGAACGTCGTTGTCAACGACCTCGGTGGCTCTCACCACGGTGAGGGCAAGTCATCAAAGGTATGTAACATCACCAAAAGACCGGGAGGGTTTCAAACTAACTTGGCTCAGGCTGCAGATGTTGTAGTTGAGGAGATCCGCGCCGCGGGCGGAAAGGCGGTTGCCAACTACAGCAGTGTAGAGGACGGTGCCGCCATTATTGATACTGCTATTAAGAGCTTTGGTCGCATTGATGTGCTCATTAACAATGCTGGTATCCTGCGTGATATTAGCTTCAAGAACATGAAGGACGAGGATTGGGACCTGATCAACCGTGTCCACACCTACGGTGCCTACAAGGTACGAATCCTGATTTTCCATAAATCCGGAGAGAAGAATACTAATGAGTCTTTCTATTTCTATAGTGCGCACAAGCAGCTTGGCCTCACTTCCGGAAACAAAAGTACGGCCGTGTCATCAACACTGCCTCAGCAGCCGGTCTCTTCGGCAACTTCGGCCAGGCCAACTACTCCGCCGCGAAGCTCGGTCAGGTCGGTTTCACCGAGACCCTGGCCAAGGAGGGTGCCAAATACAACATTATTGCCAACGTCATTGCTCCCATTGCTGCTAGCCGTATGACTGCCACCATTATGCCTCCGGATGTGCTGGAGAACCTGAAGCCCGACTGGGTTGTCCCCGTCGTCGCTCGCCTTGTTCACTCGTCCAACACTACTGAGACTGGTGGTATCTACGAGCTTGGCGGCGGTGCCGTAGCCAAGCTGCGCTGGCAGCGGGCTAAGGGTGCTCTCCTGAAGACCGATGACTCCTTGACTCCCGGTGCCATCGCCCGCAAGTGGGCCGATGTCAATGACTTCTCCGTATGCGAATACCCTACTGGTCCTGCTGACTTCATGGGTCTGCTCGAGGAGGGTCTGAAGATGCAGAGTGCCCCGAAGGGCGAGGAGCCCGACTTCAAGGGCCGCGTGGCCCTGGTCACTGGTGGAGGTGCTGGTCTTGGCCGTGCTTACTGCTTGCTGTTTGCCAAGTACGGTGCTAAGGTTGTTGTTAACGACTTGATGGACCCGGAGCCTGTGGTACAGGAGATTAGAAAGGCTGGTGGCGAGGCTGTTGGCAACAAGGCCAATTGCGAGGATGGTGACGCCGTCATCAAGTCCGCCATTGATGCCTTTGGACGTATCGATATTTTGGTCAACAATGCTGGTATCCTGCGTGACAAGGCATTCACCAACATGGATGATAACCTGTGGAATTCGGTCATCAACGTCCACTTACGCGGAACCTACAAGGTGACCAAGGCTGCCTGGCCCCACTTCCTTAAGCAGAAGTACGGTCGTGTTGTCAACACTGCCAGCACCAGCGGTATCTACGGTAACTTCGGCCAGGCCAACTACGCTGCTGCGAAGCTTGGAATTCTTGGTCTCTCTCGCGCTCTTGCCGTTGAGGGTGCTAAGTACAACATTAAGGTCAACACCATTGCCCCCAACGCTGGTACCGCCATGACCCGCACTATCATGCCCGAGGAGATGGTCCAGGCCTTCAAGCCTGACTACGTCGCTCCTCTGGTTGCCCTGCTTTGCTCTGACGCCGCTCCTGAGCCCTCCACCAAGGGTCTCTACGAGTGCGGTAGCGGTTGGTTCGGTCGCACCCGCTGGGAACGGTCCGGCGGCCACGGATTCCCCGTGGACGTCAAGCTGACTCCCGAGGAGGTGCTTAGCAAGTGGGAGAAGATCGTCAACTTTGACGATGGCCGTGCTGACCATCCCGAGGACGCCGCTGATGGCTCCGCCCGGGCCATGGCCAACATGGACAACCGCTCCGGCGGTAGTGAGTCCAAGAGCAGCTACCTCGAGAACATCGAGCAGGCTAAGGCTGCCTCGACTGAGGGCACCGCTTTTGACTACACCGATCGTGATGTCATTCTCTACAACCTCAGCCTGGGTGCCAAGCGCACTGACTTGCCTCTGGTTTACGAGAACCACGAGCAGTTCCAGGCCCTTCCCTCCTTTGGTGTGGTCCCTTGGTTCAACACCGCTGTTCCTTGGAGCTTTGATGACATCGTGAAGGACTTCTCCCCTATGATGCTCCTCCACGGTGAGCAGTACATGGAGGTCCGCAAGTACCCCATTCCCACCACAGTCAAGACCTTGACCTACCCCAAGCTCATCGACGTTGTCGACAAGGGTAACGCTGCCCTGGTTGTGTCTGGTTTCACCACCAAGGATGCCACCACTGGTGAGGACCTGTTCTACAATGAGTCTACCGTCTTCATCCGTGGAAGCGGTGGCTTTGGCGGATCCCCCAAGCCCACTGCTGTTCGCCCCAAGGCTGCTACCGCTGCCTACAAGCCTCCCCAGCGCAAGGCTGATGCCGTGGTTGAGGAGAAGACCTCCGAGGACCAGGCTGCTCTCTACCGTCTGAACGGTGACTACAACCCTCTCCACATCGACCCCGAGTTCAGCAAGGTTGGCGGCTTCAAGACCCCTATCCTTCACGGCTTGTGCTCGCTGGGTGTGGCTGCCAAGTCGGTCTTCGCCAAGTACGGTGCCTACAAGAACCTCAAGGTCCGCTTCGCTGGTGTCGTCCTGCCTGGTCAGACCCTCCGTACCGAGATGTGGAAGGAGGGCAACACCGTCCTCTTCCAGGCTACCGTTGTCGAGACTGGCAAGCCCGCCATCACCGGTGCCGGTGCCGAGCTCCTTGAGGGTGCCAAGGCCAAGCTGTAAAATAAAGGAATTTGTGTTTGAAACGATATCCCTGGGTATTGAGCGATCTGGAATACTCTAGTCAGAATGTGGCTTTGTACATAAATATTTTTTTCCTGCTGTGTTAATGCATGAAACTTTCTTCATTATCAGATCGCTTTATTTATTGTCATTGTAGACGGTCTAGACTGGTCTAGACAGGAAGTGCATGGGGCATGCGCAAGGGATGGAAATAGACCCAAGCCGAACAATGATAATAGATCTAAGAGCCTCGCGGTCACGCCAAGTAGGATTAAGGCCAATCTGACTCATTCTTGGTCTCTGTTTGAAATCGCTTTGATAAATGTCTTGAGTAGTTCTGGAAGATTAACCAATCCCATACTGGCTCAGGCAACCATCAAACCGACCCCAAATCGCAAGTCACCGCCCTCACTCATTCCTCTCACTCTTCATTCCAACCAACCGCCACAAACATCGCGCAATCCCTCAAAGCAAGCAATCTTCCCGGGCAGGACCGAAATGTAGCAGTGTTGTGCCCGTTTCAAAAATGGTGCTCTCGCTGCCGGTCCCTAGCTTCTCCAAACCCTCCACATCCCCCCCACGCCCCGCCGACGGCAGCGTGCCCGCATCACAAACCCGCCGTCATCGCGACTCAGCGTCCGCTGCCTCACCCGGCTCCTCAAACCGGAATTCTTGGAAACCGGCCGCCTTGGGTGGTAGCTCTTCGGCTCCAAATAGCCACTCCATCACCCTGAGTGAGGCGTTGCGGAATAACCCGTTCGGCAGCCCGTCGCGCTCGTCTCGGTCCATCCAGGCACCTACAAGTGGAACGCAGGAACGAGAGCAGGAGCAGGAAGAGTTAAATGCGGCCCTTGAGGCGCTTGCCCGGATTTTTCCGGATGTGAGAATCGAGGTGTTCAGGGAGTTGCTTGTACGTTTCGACGGAGAGAGCAGGCTGCATGTATGCGTCGAGCAGCTGCTCCGACATAAAAAGGACTGGGTTTCTGGGAGATGGAATATATCAGAAGGAAGTGGTAGCTCGGATGATGAGGGTTCGGATGACCGCCCTGGTTGTGTTCATGATGCTTTCACGGAAGGAGGTCTCGTGCCGATCGAGGAACGGTTCCGCTCCGATGAATACAAGGCTGCAGTACGAGTGGCGCTGGCAAAGGAGTTTAGTGGCCTCAGCAAAAGCACACTCGAGGGTGTTCTGGCTGAAGTGAATTTTAGCTACCTGCGAGCACGGCCCATACTGCGGGACCTTTCACGGCGAACGTGGAGGGCTACATTCAATAGTATATTACCGTCATTTAGACGAAAGAAAGACCGAGAGGAACATCCGCTTATCGTGTGGCAGCGTCGTGCGGATGGAGTGCTTCTACCAAGGCTGAAAGATACTGGATGCGTGGAGTTGGACGGGGAGTTACATGCGATGCTCGTGAATCCAGTGCTGCTGCAAAGGCGCGAGGAACAGGAGGCTGGCGATTTTCAATTTGCCTTGGACATCAATGAGAAAGAGGCTAGAGCGGCTGATGCCTTGTATGAGTGCGAGTGCTGCTTTGCCGACGTGACCTTTGAGCAGATTGCGACTTGCTCGGCGAACGTCCATATCATCTGCTACAACTGTATCCAGCGGACTACCCACGAAGCTCTTTTTGGTCAAGGGTGGGGTAAGTCTGTGGACTTAGAGCATTCAACACTGAAATGCCTAGCTCCACTATCTGTTGGCGCTTGTGAGGGCTGTCTTCACCCTCAAATTGTGCGCCAGGCAATCTTACTGGAGACAGCCGGGGCCGAGACGTACCGCAAATTTGAAGACCGGCTAGCGTCTGAGACATTGCTGAAATCGCAACTAAAGCTCATCCGGTGCCCATTTTGTTCTTATGCTGAAGCGGACCCTGTCTATCACCCTTCATCCCGGGGTATAGACTGGCGAGTCCGTCGCGACGGGGGTATTATTCCTACTATACTGATGACCTTTCTCTTACTTGACCTTGTCCCGCTACTTGTGATACCTCTCTTGCTTCTTCTCCTTTTCAATCCCTCCTCTGTAAAGGCTCTCCTAAACAACTCCATCCGCAACCTTTGCCTCAAGCTTCGGCCCAAGAGATTCAAATGTTCCAATCCTACCTGTGCACGGATCAGCTGCATGACATGCCAGAAGGCATGGCGAGATCCCCATGTCTGTCATGAGCCATTGCTTCTCGACCTACGCGCAACTGTCGAGGCTGCCCGTACATCCGCCGTGAAACGAACCTGTCCTCGCTGCAGCCTCTCCTTCGTCAAATCCTCAGGCTGTAACAAACTCACCTGTGTATGCGGATATTCAATGTGCTACCTCTGCCGCAAAGCCCTTGGCACTCCCGTCCGACCACCACCACAAGCGGACCGCGACCGCAGGCGGCGTCACATTGATATAGATCGAAACGATCTTCCCGCTATGGGCTTTGACGGTGTATTCGACGATGAAGAATTTGAAGACGATGAATTCGAGGAACAGGAAGGCTATAAACATTTCTGCGAGCACTTCCGTATCAACCCTGGCTCTCGCTGTACTGAATGCACCAAATGTGACCTCTATCAGGCCGAAGATGAAGAGGCTGTTGCCCGTCGGGCTGGAGAGAAAGCTGAGCGCGAATGGATGATCCGCCAAGGAAATGATTCTACTTCGACCGGCTCTGCGGCTACATTGGGACTTCGAAGTGTCAATCAGGATCTTTCGGCTGGCACAGAAGGTAACAACGCTACCCGTCGTACTTCTGCTTCCTTATGGGATCTCCATCTTAGCACCGGAAAACCATGGGGCTACTGGTTCAGCGATGTCTGGCTGGATGGAGGGTGGAAGTTGGAAGGACAGGCTCTGGTGGACTGGATCGTGGAGCGAGTCGTTGTTATCGATAACATATGACATCTTTTCACTCTGTGAAACTTAAGCGTTCTTCTTGTTTATGTTTCCCTGCTATCTTTTCTGTGAATTTGGCTTTGTTTTGCGGCACTTTTGCATCGCTTGTGACTCCTTCATTGCCGCAATCAGAAGTTTCTTGGTATGGCGTCTTATGGAGGATGGGTTTGCTTTTCGTTGCTTCGAATTTGGATTGGAATGATATGATGACCGATATGACACGCATGGCTCTTCTTTTTGCGAATGTTTAAAATACTCCACTCTTTAATACACGATGTTTCAGGTTCTACCTGCTAAAAATGCTCATATTTTGCTAAGGTCATGATCAACTATCCAAAATCTAAGTATTCTTACTGCTTGGAACATTGGAACTCTTCTGGTAATCAGGTCCACGGGCCCCGAAATCCGTGTTCTGTTCATATTCTCTATTCACTCAGCCCTCGGCACCACATGCAATATTGACATCTCCCCGAGATTACACTACTCTGACCCATGTACTACCCAGATTTTTCGGTCTGTCTGGGCTCCTTCTCCGGATCAGACCCATTATGAGCTCTCTTCTTTCCCTCCTCTTTCAGAGCATCATCATCAGCTCTGCTTAGCCCAACCTGAGGTATGAGCCAGAAAGCAAGCAAAACTGCCAATGCTGATAGCCCTGCCTCTATTAAGAAGATGATTCGGAAGCCTTTTCGGTATGCTGGGATCAAGACACTGCGGATATGCGCTGCCTTCTCTGCAGACTGGGCTGATAGGAAGGTCGAGGGATGTGCTAACAGGGACTGTGAGTCGGATGCGGAGAGATCGAGGCCTGATATTGAGAATGCGATAATGTTGTTGCTAATCTCATATTGTTAGAGAAACATCCCGAGCAATAGGATGAGTGGTTAAGTTCTTACAGGATTGTCCCACTGATCACTATTCCAAGTGTGCCACCGAGATTCCGCATGAAACTAAATTAATATTAGGCATTGCTTATACACATTATGGGGGAAAACCTACCTCCTGAATGAAGTGATGACGGCCATGTCTCGACGCTCGACACCAGCTTGTAGTGCGATGAGAGATCTATGTGCTAATTTAGCGGTGCAAAGAATCTTTGCAAGATGTAAACTTACGGTTGCAAGGTACTTCCGACACCTGCTCCACTCAAGATAGCATAGCCAACTTGCTTTCCAACCCCCGAGGTTTCATCCAGTGTTGAGTAGAGACCGAGAGCCACTGCCCAAATGCCAAACCCGAAAAGGATGCTTTCTCTGTAACGACCAATCCAGTGTACGACAAGACCAGAGATGGTACTGGCGAAGGCTGTGAGGAAGGATTAGCGAATTACATCGAACCAAAGATGTTGGAACCTACTTTGCACCACGATTATTGGGATTAACATAGCAGCCGCTTTCACAGTGCTGTAATTGTAAACCAGTTGAAAGAAGGTGGGAATATAGTAGAGCTGCACCATACTATTCCACCCAGCGATAAAAGTGGTAAGAGTGCAACCATTGACAATGCGAGCGCGGAAGATATGAAGCGGAATCAAGGGCACAGCAGCACCTTTCCACTGCCATAACACAAACACAACGACGACCACGAAACCTACCACCAATGATGCAATAACGTGTGGAGAACTCCATGAATAGTCGTTACCTCCCCAATTCAGGCCAAGGAAAAAGACCGCGGTTCCTCCAAGAGCCAGGACCACACCCACAAAATCGATGGCTTTCACCTTGAGTTTCCAGTCACCCTCCACCTCCCGCAATGGCATGAAGAAATACACACACGCTGAACAGATGGCAGTCAAAGGCAGATTCAAGCGAAAAATCCATCGCCATGAATCGTGTGATATAGATGCCAATGCTCCACCAATGAGAGGGCCGATACCATTGGCAATGGCGACCACTGCACCCATGATACCTTGGTACTTTCCACGTTCACGGAGAGGAACAACATCGCTCACGATCATCTGCGCAACGGTCATCAAGCCTCCACCTCCTACACCAGTAAAGGCGCGGAAGACGATCAGTTGAGTGACAGTCTGTGCCAATGAGGCCGCTAAGGATCCGAAGAAGAAAATCGCCAAACCAACGAACAATACAATCTTTCGAGACCAAATGTCGGAAAGCTTTCCATAGACAAGTTGGAAGCATGTGGATGTTCTACCAAATCAGCCCAATTCAAACCATCAAAAGCCATCGCTCTCGACTCACACGAAATAGGAACCGGAGATCCAGGATGCCTGGTTACTCGCTCCCAATGAATTGGCAATGATATACAGACACGATGCCAACGTCGTCTGGTCCATCAATGATACAAAATCAACGCTAGCACATGCTAGAAAGATCTGATAAAGAAACGCCACAACGAATCAGCTCAAAGCCCCTTGCATTCGGCTAAGATACAAACTTACAGTGATAATCGTCCTTCTAGGTACATAATTCGTCTGTTCGTTGAAAACATGCACTTTCGGCCCATTATTGGGACTATTATCCAGAGAAGGCTCCCCATCACTATCGCCTCTAGGACTGGAGTGACCTGATCCTTTCTCAAGGACTCCGGACATGGCGTGGATGTTTTTCACAGGATCATAAACACCGAGCAACGCAAAGGAAGCTGCATCCAGAACCACAGTGAAACTAAACCCCCTGGATTATGACTGCCAATTTAATCTTCGTAGAATTTCCGTAGAAGTTTCTTGAATCATTTCCGCCGCGATCTTCCGTATCAGGGGTCTTACGTACTCCATAATTGAGCACATTTCTTCATGCATTGTTCGGGTGGAGTCTACCGATTCGACAAAGATCGGCGAACTCAGCGGAAACAAACCTTGACAGCTGCAGATCCACAGTGGATTTCCTAGCTTGCTGTTTGAGCAAACTTGCTCAAACACTCTCAAGGTACTTTTATTCTGCTCAATTAGTAATTAATGCCAGCCACAACGCGGGATGGCCGCATGAGTAGCGTAAGCGAGAGTTGGATTAAGTTCGTTTGCGGCCGTGGCTTTGATCCTTGGCGTTCTTTCGGAGGACCTTGATAATCTCTGTGATGAATGCTGCATGTGCTTACTAGATCTATGAGTACGCGAGGTCAATTGCGAATCTTGGAATTCCACGATTTCTAGAACATTTTTGGGGACTTGGAAAGATGGGACAACTGCGTAGTGCTCCAATGGGTACTCCTGAAGCGTATCTGAATAGAGAGACATATGGAAGAGTGACGCTATCTGAATTGTCGATCATGCCGTTTTCATCAGTTCGATCGACAGTCCGAGGAAAAGCATATGGCGGACCGACCAGGGTCCATTATTGTTGTCGGAGTGTTGGGGTGCGAGACATTAGTCAATCGCTTTAGTTGCCTTCTATCAACGCGGCCTCGGGAAATAGTCTTCGGCGCTTGCAGCGTTCTCGTTAGCAGATGAGAAGGGTTGCCCCTCTTTGAAACCTGGATATGTGGCATGTACAACTACCAAGGTGGGACCGTGGGGAATACACCTCTTTTTTTCTCTTTTGCAGCCTTTGTGTTTGCCTATTTTGGGCAGTCATCAGCGATAGAGGTGTGGGAGGGGCTCATGCGTGCCGCTATGAAGTATATTTGTCTGCTAATTTCCCATGTTTTCGCTTTTCCCTTCCTACCTAGAGATTATAAAGAAGCTATCTGCCTATAGATCAAGGTGTTTGTTTCAACAAAATGGCACCTCCAAACATGGCCAACTCAAATGAGCACAATGTTTACTTCGGCACGGACTCGTTGAAGAAGTACTTTGATCCTGATTGTCAGCCTCCGTTGCCTCTTGTTGAGCTGCCAGAACATCTCAACCCATACTATCAAGATGGGGTTCGCATATACGCCAAGATGATGACCATGCACCCAGCAAACAACGTTAAAGCTATGCCAGGTAAGATAATCTTGGAGCATACAAAATGTCCAGCCCGAGAAGATCAATACTAATCTCAAATAGCTTTGAACATGTTGGAAACAAGCGTGGTTCCTAACAAGACCAACACTATCATCGAATACAGCTCCGGATCAACGGTGATTTCCATGTCCATGATTGCGAGAGTCATGCACGGCGTCAACGATACTCGAGCTTTCCTGAGCAACAAGACTAGTGATGCCAAACTGAAACTGATGCAGTTCTTCGGTCTAAGCATCACCCTATTTGGTGGACCCTCGCAACCAGAGCCCGTCGACGAACGTGGTGGCATCCAAAACGCCCGCAGACAAGCTCAAGAGTCCGATTCAATCGTCAACCCTAACCAATACGAGAACGACAACAACTGGCAGTCGCACATCCGATGGACCGGACCCCAAATCTTCAAACAACTACCCGAGATCAACGTTCTCTGTGCTGGCATGGGTACATCGGGTACCATGACCGGACTAGGCACATACTTCAAGAGCGTGAAGCCATCCGTGACGCGGATCGGGGTGTGCACAGCAGCTGGTGACCGCGTACCTGGCCCCCGGTCCTATGCACTATTACGACCAGTCGAGTTCCCATGGAAAGAAGCAGTGGATACCATCGAAGAAGTCGGGTCCTCTGACTCGTACACCTTGTCCCTGAGACTATGCCGAGAGGGGCTAGTCTGCGGCCCATCATCCGGATTCAACCTGCAGGGCCTGTTCCAGATGCTGGAAAAACGTAAGGCAGCCGGTACATTAGCTGATTTGGCCGGTCCAGACGGAGTGACTCACTGCGTCTTTTTGTGCTGCGACTTGCCATACCAGTACATTGAGGAGTATTTTCAGAAACTAGGCTCTGAGCAATTCCCTCCCATCCACAATGAGGTAAGATGACGTTTTCGATCCTATTACCCCGCAGAAACATCCCAAACCCCGCTAATACAATGTAGCAATTGACAAAAGTCGATCTCCACCGCTATGACGAAGCCTGGGAGCGGGATGCCCTGGATGTTCTACCGCAGGTGTACGGATGCCCCCGGTCCCTCGCGGAAAGTCAAATGAGCGAGATCACGCTAAAACCGCAGCACCGGGTCCTCGATCTACGGAAACCAGATGACTTCCGTGCTTGGCATCTTCCCGAGTCGATCAACGTCCCGCTGGCCAGTGTCGGGCCACACACAGCATCACCGTTTTCGGATCCCGCGGTGTTGGAGGCGCAGTGGGTGGAGCTGGAAAAGCTATTCCGCGACGGCCGCTTGGTGTCTCAGCTTGGTTCGCATCATGTCCTGGTGGTATGCTACGATGGGGATACAGCACGCGTGGCTACTAGTGTTCTTCGGGCGAAGGGCCTTGAAGCGGACAGTGTACGCGGTGGTTTCCATGCGCTGAAAATTTATGGGATCGGGAGTGAGAGCCCCGCTGTGTCCACTAAGGCTTCTGGGCCTATTGCGGCAACTGTTTCTGTTTCGGCCGTGGCCCTTGATTAGCTGATTGAGATCGTCATACCTCAAGGGGTATTGTAAAGGGAAGACGATGGGAATGTAGGGTTGGATCTGCCATGTGAGACGCTAGGCCGGATGCGGAATACTTCTCCTGTGAATCTCTGTACATACTGCGTTTTGATTGGTTGCATGGTGTTGTTTTCTTTCTTATGTTCTTTCCTTTCTTTTGGTGAATACAACCCTATGATTTCAGTACCAAGATCAGCTCAAAGTCTAGACCTGAGTAGAGAAAGAGCGAATTGAGGGCTGAGAGACTACGTCATCGATATAGGATTTCTAGTAGCTCTCAGCCAGACACTCAGAGTGATACTTTCAGGTACTTGCGACTGCGTTGTAGTTGCTGCATAAAATGGCACATATCGGGAAGAGTCGCTCGTACCTGTCAGGAAACAGTAATCCATAGAAAGGTTAAGCATTAATTACACGCTGTTCTAACTATGGTAGTTAAAATTTAGGCACCGTGTTTAGATCGCAGGGATTTCACGCAAATCTGCTCAGCTTTAAATCTTGACACCGAAACCATAAGACGACAAAATTTAGTGAGAGGGATAGGAATTTGAACCATAAATAATAATAGAAAGCGGGAAAATCTGCTCAATTTCCGACGGATCGTAGATCGGCCGCCAGGAATGCGTCGAATGAGGGATGTGTTTGCCGTCATCATCTTCCCCAGGCCCGTTTTCGGTGCAACGCTCTACACCATGAACCCGACTTCCTATTCGAACGGTACAAAACTTTAAACTGTCGATCATCCAACATATTCTCAATTTCGGTTCTCGTTCTTCTGTGCAATTTAACCACAACAACCCCGGGGAATGCAAGTGTGCACACATCTCTCAACCTCCAGCGACAAAAGTCTTATGGTGCAACTACCGCAGCCATGATGGATATGAAGATGAACGGAGGTGGTATTCCCTGGTTGGATCAGCCAGTGTTGCTTCACTCGTCTCGTGCAGATAAGTGCAAGCTATCGCCGGCGCAGTGTGCCTATCGAAACAGCCATTGGCGCTATTGGTATGTTTTTGTGGCTGCATTCCAGATCGCCCCCTTTACTGTTTACATGCTGATAAGGGAGATGCGACAGGTACGAAGCTGACCATGTGTATGCGCTTGCCACGGTCTACTTTTGCTGTGCCATTATCGGTGTCTTCGCCCTCTCCAATTTCCTCGCTAGATACTCTCCGGAATGGGTCAAGAGAACCCGGGTATGGCGTGCGACTACTTCGGTATCCCGATACCTGGCTTATCGCGGGTATGGATTCCCGATGATGCGATACTGGACCCCCTCCTTAGGAGTGTTGTTGTTGGGTATTGCGGGGGTGGGCTTCTTCCTCGGTAGGAGACCAATGGACTTGATAAACCATGAGAGGAGACTGACTTGATTGGGCAGGAATGACACTTGGCCCGCAGCCCTATTACTGGCCGACTGATGCAAATTATGGAAGTAGTCCTCCTATTGCTACACGAGCAGGGTGGATGGCCCTTGCACTACTACCATTTGTGCTGTGAGTATCGTGAATACGATGTGAGATGATTCATGTGCCGAGCTAATGATTGGAAAGCGCTCTGAGTGTCAAAGCGAACATGATATCTGCTCTGACTGGTATTCCCCATGAGAAGTTACAAGTCTTCCATCACTGGACTAGTTACGCCATGTTTGCCCTAGCGCTTGTTCACACGTTCCCATTCATCATTTACCATGAGTGGAAAGGTGATATGGTAAAGCAATGGAAGACTAGTGTAGTATACTGGACTGGAGTTGTCACTATTATTGCACAGGCTTATCTAACTCTGATGTCTCTGCCATTTATCCGGTAAGCCACTTTTCCAAGCATACTTGAAAAGCTTGACTAACTGTGAGCAGCAATCGCTTCTATGAGTTCTTCAAAGCCACGCATTTGCTCGCGGCTGTTGTATTTGTCGTATTCTTCTTCCTCCACTGCGATTTCCGTCTTTCTTCATGGTAAGGACATGAATCCGTTCCTGCGAATGACCTATACTCACAGTTAGTAGGGACTACTTTATTGCCGCAGGTGCCATTTATCTGTTGTGTCTATTCACCTCTCACGCCCGCACTTACCTGATCAACGGCCTCCACACAGCGACCCTCGAAATGCTACCAAGTGGTCTTGTTCGCGTCTCAGTCCCAACAGTCATGAACTGGACACCGGGTCAGCATGTATTTGTGCGATTCTTGACATCGGACTTCCACCTATTCACCGCTCACCCATTTACCATTTCATCTGTCTGTCGAGAACCCGACAAGACAGGACAAGCCTCTGAAATTATCTTTTACATTAAGCCACGCGGAGGTGTGACTGGCCGACTAGCAGCCATAGCCGCTAAGAGCCCCGGCTGCTCAAAGAAGATTCTAATCGAAGGACCTTACGGGGGCGTCAGCGCACAGCACATGTCCCGTTTTGATACCCTTTTAGTGATTGCGGGTGGTTCTGGGGGTGGATTCTCTCTCGCAATGGTCGACGAAGCATTACGTCTTTCTGCACTAGAATCAAAAGAGAACAACTCTGGACACGAAGGTCGACGTAATTTGCAGGTTGTTTTCTCAACTCGCGACACCGCCATGGCAGACTGGTACGCCGCAGAGATTGAATCACGACTTTCCCATTCTACAACTCTTTCTTCAGACCCAGATAACGGATACGAGACAGCCGTTTCAGTGCATATCACATCCCGCGTTAACTCGGCTTCTTCTTCGCCATCCATTGGCTTTGAGAAAGACGCCGACAAGCTTACCCCAACTGAAATTACCACAACGGGGTCATTCAGCCTCAATGTCCACCGAAATGCTCGTCCAGATATCCCTGGTCTCATTGCGCGTACTGTGGCTATGGGAAATACTCAGGGCCAGCACGTCGGGCGGAAGCAAAGAATCGGAGTCCTGGTCTGTGGACCTGCTTCTATGCTCCATGATACACGCAACGCGGCAGCTCTGGCTCAGACCCGAGCTCTAGGAGGCGAGGTTGAGGAGCTGTACCTTCACTCGGAGCCTTTTGCGTAAGTTCTATCCTCTACCTCGAAATACAGGAATATCTTTTACTAACAGGATTTCCTAGGTGGTAATATGTGTTTTTTCTGAAGATCATATCGGCTGGCCTGATATCTGCTCTTTCGTTTCGATACTACATTTTTTTAGGTCATGTACATTATTATCAGATGGTATTTTCGCTACCTTATTAATATTCGGTTTGCCGTCAGGCTTACTTAATCTACTTAATCCTATTTATCTTACAATATCCAATATTTTTGACTGAGGTTTTCCGCGTCTAGATCGCGGCACTGTGGCCCATTCCCCTGCAGGTCTGGCGGTCCAGTATCATCTTCAAGACAGAAACAACTCAGATTTTGTACGTCATTGTCACCCAGCAATGAAACAATTGGCAGTTCCTCACGGCTCAACCCTTGAAAAGGGCAATCGACTCACGCTCCTAGGACATAAGTATTTCCTCAGTCCCCTTTTCGATCTCACCATAAAATACTAAGATGTTGCTACGATATAACACACAATTTGATTAAGTACATTAAATCGTTACAGTAGAAAGGCATGAGCAAGAATACTATTTTCATTTGCGTTTTTCACCAGGAATTAAACCCCATTTCCAAGCAGATCGTAGACGCTTCAGCGCGAGAACCCTTTTACCTGGCACCTTCTCTCTAAATGGACGTTTCACAAGTCCATGTGCCCTTAAAGCCCGATAAATAGTCTGCCGAGACGGAGACCCTCCCACATCTAAAGATAGCTGCCTGTAGGTCCAAAACGGATTACGCCGAGCTTGCAAACGTATGAACTTGCGATCTTGATCACTGAAAATACGTGGACGACCTGAGCGAGGGGCGGAGGTGATCCGTTGTTCTTCTTTGAAGCGTTTGAGAGTATTGTATATCGTCTTGCGGTCACACCTGTAATCCTTAGCTAATTGTGTTTGGGAGGTGCCTGATTTGTGAGCGTTTATAATAGCCGTGCGTTCTTCGGGGGATAACTCAGCTTTTAGCTTCCTTTTCACAGCAGATCCTTGCTCCATTGCGGCGGTGGGGTGGTGTAGAAGAGAAAGAAAATACAGACGAGAGGTGGTTGTTGGGGTGATGGGAAAGTGGAGTGGGGAATCACTTCTGGTTCTCAAGTGTTATAGTACATTCTTAACCCCAGACTTGGTTCCTCCCGCCATGTGACAAAAACCCATATCGACTGCTATCCCACCTTGAAGTAGAATAGAATGGTGTCTCTGGCGCAGATAAAGACGCTCGGTAATTCTCCAGGCGTCCCATACTGATTCAACGTTGCCAGTGATTACTTCTGCGGACCTGTGAGGGCCATGCAATGTGGGGGCTAGTCGAGATATTCAGGCAAGAGGGGCTGATAGCTCTGATAAGAGTCCGAAAGGTAAATATACCATCTCCAAGGCCATGCCTATCACCGCCAACCCCTGCTGCAGAACACGTCCAATGGGTCAAAGTTAACCGAATCATATAAGCAAATTATTCTCTTCTTATTGCCTCTTTGACAATTCAGAGCATTACCGTCACGAGGATTCCAAAGGGGCTAAAACTACATATATGCAGGATAATGCCTGGCAATTTTTTATTTCCCCTTTCCGTTTTAGTGCTCACACCCTGCTCTTTGCTCACTGAGCGCTCACTGAGCATCACCTGAGCAGCCAAGTCAGCAGCTCGCCTCGATAAAATGCACTACACTAGCCCTATCTAAATGCAGTCGTTCACCCAGTACCCTTAACCGTTGTCTCCTTAATAAAAGGCTGGCGTTATTAATATGGCGGCTGATACTATTGTTTTACCTCTAGCTAGAAGGTAAAAGCTTAGTGGGGCCAACTTAATTAGCATTACTATTTTAATCTCTCCGGTATTTTACTCGGCGTGTCTCGCATCCGTGATACCGTCTCTTTATAGTCGTGGCATACATCGAACCCTCGAATTTTTGCTTAAAAATAACTACAGTTATCTCAAAACTTTTGGTTGAATGTTTTGTACTTGTAAACCTAGGTTAGTGTCTTACTTATCCTGACGTTTTCGCTTTGACTTTTTAAACCGACTATCACTTTTGCTACATACCGCTTGCTCCTAGGAATACGACCTTAGCTCTAGCGACCTGAACATCCGTAACAAAATTGTAGACCGACTGGCTATGAAAGAATTGCGACCCCTAATTTGTCTTGAATATTCCAACTAGCACTCAGAAAGCACTTAATGGGAACATATATAAGTTCAGCGAGTAGAAGAAGCACTTCCAGCCAATGCCTACACCAAAACTATTATAAGACTTAACTCTCGAAACCTCGCAGTGGAACATCATCGGCCTCGCCAGTTCGAAAAATTATAGACCCAATCGCGCCCTTGTCACCCATCCCTAGAACCCCAAGTCTTCCTTCAATGTCTCACCGAAAATCACAACCGGCTTCGACTCCTGGAGCATGAAGAGGACACGTGCCCACTCTGTCTTGCTAGTGTTTCGCCACAGGTGCTTTGTTCCACGCTGGATGGCGATATCTCCACGCTGCAGCGTTTTCACTTCGTCGCTGTCCAGCTCTAGCTCCACGGTGCCCTCTATCACCACAGCATAGTCCAGCGACAAGGTCCGGTGCAAGGGACTAATGCTTGCAGGAGCCAAGTCTATCAGACACAGCACAGTTCCGCCGGCTATGGTAAAGCCTGGAGTGTTGGTCAGATAGTGCTGATAGGTTGCCAGGTCTTTGCTCAGGTCGATCGGGAACTGGTTCGTAGCATATCCGAGGTACAAAGAATCGCCAGTAGGTATATTCTGGGCAGGAACTGTAACTGGGATGTCCTTGTTGAAGACCGCAAGACCATTGGCGGTGTGGCCTGTAATGAACCGACTGGTCTGACGGAGCCTGTTGGGAGGGTGCTGTTCGGCCATGATAGTAGCGATGTATCGGTTTTTCCCTAAGTGGCGGTCTTAGCAAACGGCTGTAAATCAAGATAATGATCTAGTGCTTACGGTAATATCAAGATAAAAGTGATTTGATGGGGTTGTCATGATCGATATCAATTGACCCTTATATACCCTTTTCCCATACGGGAACGAACCGGATTCATCGCGGCGAGAAGTTGCCCCGAACCTGGTGATTATAACCAGGATTTTTAAGCCTCGCTATTTTCATCATTCGACGAGCCGACGAGGCAGCGCATGAAAGCCCGCCAAACTTACGCAACTATGGTACGCAGATTTGATTCGCGAGGAGCTGGTTGAAAGTCTGCTTTCGTTTATGTCTGGATCGGGCGGATGAATATGGGCCGATCGCGCTAGACTTCTTCTAGGGGTATTTGCGCGAGCTCGCTGGACTCCACATTTGGATATTGGTGATTTATAAGCTGTAGGACTAGTTAATAGCGGTGGTGTCCTTCTGACCTTGTGGTGTTCTTCTTGTAAGCTCCTAACCGTAATTTCGTTTTCCCAAAACATGGTATTATGCGCGACCTTCCTTAATCGCTGTACCTTTGTTCTCGGGATCTCCTCCATACCCATATCCGCACCTCCAGTCTGCTTTTCACTATCATAGCGAATCTTGATACCGAATGCTCATGCTATGGGAGCGCTGAGTAAAGGATGCGGGTCCTGCAAAAGAAGAAAGGTCAAATGTGATGAAAACCGACCATGTTGCATACGTTGTTGTAAAGCGGGCATTGAATGTACTGGGTTCACACCCCGGCTCAGGTTTGTGGACGAAACGCCCCGCATCCGACGCTCCTTAGCAGCTTCTCGTGCCCAGTCCCATAAATCCTCAACGGTAACAAGATTCTCACTTGATATCTTATTCGAATCTAATTTGCCGATTCTAGCCCCCAAGCCCTGCTCCTTTATTGGCAGATACGTTACCTTTAACGGCATTCAGGGACGACATATTCATATCCTATCTATTTTCCAAGATGTTCAGAGGAGAGTACCAACATCCACTGAATGCTACGCGGGAAATACAGTGTGGCTTACCGACACATTGGATTCCAGAGCTGGTCAAGACTCCTCAAAGGCCGCGCCAAAGGTCGTGGGATGCTTTGGCCGCGATTGTTTTCGGGCAATCCCATAACAGCCAAGATGTGATGACACACGCACTCAAGTTGTACGGACAGGCTTTGTCAGAGCTTCGCAATAAACTTTCTAATCCCGATGATCGTTGTACTGAAAGCACGTTAGCGTCTATGACTGCTCTTTACATCTATGAGGTACGCCACCGAGTCACATCAATGCAGAAATATATTGACGGGCGCAGATACTAGCGTCTAGAACACAGAAAACTTGGATGCTGCACGCAGATGGCCTTGGTCGGCTTTTGGAGTGGAGAGGCCCGCGGCAATTAAAGTCATATGCTGAGAAAAGCATATTTCTTGAGCACCGTATTATACTGGTAAGAGACATCTCAGTCCGACAAGCCAATATCTGACGGGTCACAGGTAGCGAAGTCAATTGTTTCACATCAGAGAACATTTCTTCATGATCCTATTTGGAAAACGGTGCCTTGGGAAGATAATCTGGCATCGAAATCAGAGATTGATTACCTTGTCGATATTGGGACAGACATTGCTGAATACATTTCTCAACTAAAAAGACACCGCACCAGCAGGGGCAGCCAGGAATTTGAGTATTCTCGTCTCAGAACTCAAGTTGCCACTTCTCTCAAAGAGTTGAATAATTGGTGGCACCAGCGGGAAACCGAGCATACACAAGTTGCTACAGAAGTCACTTCACATTGGACAGCCAACGAACCACTCTTTCCCACGCATCTAAGATACGACACCCTGTGGACAGCCTTTGCGGTTTGTACTTACGATGCAATAAGAATCTTGCTACTGCAGTTGTGGTATACGCTCCAGTTGTTCACCAGCTCGATCCAAACAATTGATCAAGAGTTTGTTCTGGACGTGCCGAATAGAACAGCTCTACTTGGTATATCATCCGACACTAAAGGTCTCGCTCGTGAGATTCTGCGGTCTCTAAACTATTCCTATGGGGAGTCCCGACGTTTTGTATGCACATTCAGCTTTTTGTTCATTCAAGACATTGCCTATGGGTGTTTTGATGAGGGCTCAAAAGAAGCTATATGGGTTGCCGAACATGGTTGGGCTGAGCTTACAAATTTTGATGTTGAAGACGCGAACTTGTTAAAAAGACTGCTGCCTCCAGGCCAAATAAAGGCTGGAGATGTTAGTCTAGGTTCAGTTGGTAATGCTGCGCATGTCCTATTGACACCAACTGATCAAAATTTTTAACCGGGCTAGCACTGGATACGTGAATATTATCAAGTTTTCTCTTTTCCATCATATATAATCAAGCGAAAGACCTTGTCAAATTGGAGATAATAGAATCCTTGACCTGAAACCAGCCTGCTAGTTGTAGAAGCAGATTAATGGAAGGAAGGTGGTTTACATTGGATAAAGGAATGGTTGGTGGGGACGTGGTGCCCTTATATAGCTGAGAGTTTGAGCTCGAGACGACTTCGTACATGGTCACGAGTCTGAACCCGTGCTCACGTTTACTCAGTGAGCCTGAGCCTGAGCGCCCTCACCAAAGCGGCGGCAGCCCAGTTAGGAAGTCCCCACCCCGGCAGACATTATCCTGTCTATATAGGTGCATATAGCAATTTAATCCATAATCAACAAACCAGCTGATCATGTGCGTGAGCATGAATTTAGTAAGCTAATTTTAGCGAAAGCCTGGGCCAATGAGGTGTATGGTTCTCTGCGGCAAGTGAAAATCAAGTGGAAAAGGTAAAAGCCGTACAAAGAATGTGTCGTATGTGTCGTACGACCAAGCTATGTAATCGCGCCGATCAACTTCCCCGCAAAGTCGGGGTAAGATCCACCTATGACCTCAACCTGAATTCATTCCAACTTCCCCTCCTTCTTTCCTTCACATCTCTCATTCAAACAAATATCGCAATTATGACTAGAGGATTCGCTACCATCACGCCCGAGTGCGAGGCCACCTTTGACGCTGTCAAGGAGACTGACAAGCTCAACTACGCCATCTACGAAGCTTCTGCACACGACAAGAAGATCACCGTCGCTGAGTCTGGCAAATACACAGACTACAACGAGTTGCTCGCCCATTTCAAGGATGATACTCCTCGATATGCGGTGGTTGAGCTGCAGTATGAGTTTCCGGGGGATGATAAGCCACGACACAAACTAGTCTTCATCACATGGTATGTGGCACGTGCTCGTTGTATGTCTCTGCTACAAAGGTACTAATGTTTCAATCCTCAATTTAGGGTTCCGGAGGGCACGAGCATTCATGACAAAGCCTACTACACCACAAACAAAGATCATCTTTACCGCGCGCTTTCGGATATTAGCCTTCATATTCAAGCAGCCACTCAGGCGGACCTGGCTCATGCTAAGAGTATGTGCCAATGACCTGACTAGGATCACGCAATAAAGTCGAAGCTAACGATTTGATCTTCTTAGTTCTGAGCCAGTTCAAGGCGCTTTAGAGGAGACTTAGATTCGCTTCTGCATGCTGGGATTTCCGGTTATTGACGAATAGCATACTTTACCATATAGCTACAATATGAAAGCTTTTCCATCGGGAAATAGTCCTTGGATTGGACTAGTAGAATTCATGAGTCTCTAGTATGAGCACACTTGACTATATTTAGATTATCCCTTTACTTGGGGGGTCCCAGACTCAACGCTAACAACCATTCGAGCAATAGCAACTAAGCCATCATGTTGCAGACCAGCCCATTGATCCTTGAATACAGTAATGACCTACTAGAGATTTCAAGATTTCAAAATTTCATATCTGGAAAATGTGGACACCAAGTAATTGCAATTGTAAAGATGTTCCCAAATGAAGGTGAATGAATCATATTAACAGCCCGATGCACCCATCTAAGCCCTAGTAAATATACCAAATTGAAGTATAATGCACAATCTAGTAGAACAAAACAGCCTATATCAGCCGAACCCGAGAGCGTAACATAAAATTACAGTCGAATCAGAACGTCTAGTTAGTAGATTCTATTCAACGCCATGGCAATGATGGAAAGGTGGATGCAGGGGTTATCCGCCCCAAGCATAGACGGACAAAAGAAGAGAAACAGCATAGATCCAAATGCAAGGCGCAGATCAAGATCAGACTCCAGTTTCGAACTCCAATCAATCGCAAACCAAAAAGTCACAGTTGTGGTCCACAATGGATCGGAAAGAAAACATGGATATCTCAGAGAAGAGGGGAGAGGAGAGGAACAACAAATTCTTCGAACAAGAAAGTAATGGAAACAAGAAAGTCGTGAGGGGGTCATAAGTTTCAATTCCTCTCAAGCTTATCCATAAGCGCAGCCCGCATCCGCACATTAACCACACCACCAATACCATAAGCAGGAACGATCTTGCCCATGCGCGCAAAAGAACTGGAGATGTAATCCCTGCGGATGCGCGAAGCACGTTCTGACCACGGCATACCGCCCGGCGGTTGCCGGTTGTACAGATCCAGACCGAGGAGATGCAAGGGTGTACTAGCGAACTGCATAAGGGCCGGACAAGAGAATTGAGCGAGAGTCGACTTCATGCGTGGAGTCTCAGCAATGAAATCCGGTATTGAGGGTGCGATCAGGGGAGGGACGTTGAAGGATGCGAAAATTGTGATGCTGTCGCGGAGACAGAAAAGCCCGTATGAGATTGTGGGGATTTTCGGCGCGCTTGCGGTCATGTGTGGGTGGCAGCTGTATTTCGATGCTTGTGTAGGTGCTGCTGGGGCTGGGCTTGAGCCTGCGGTACCAGGTTGGCTTGCTGGGGTTGTGGGAGGAGGGTTTGCGCCGAAGATTTTGGCAAAGCGTGCATCTTTGTACACGCAGATTGCCATGTTTACGACAGTTGTAGAGATGAACTTTGCCGGACCAGCCGTTACGGTGGAGAATGATTGGTCGCGAAGTGTGGAGGAGATGGTGTCCATGACGTTTGCTGTAAGGTATGTCGAGCTGTATAAGGTGTAGATGAGGATAAATGGGGTGCTGAAGAAGAATCCGCTCGGTTTTGAGATCATGGACCGGAGACAACTTGTAATTGTGTCTCGGATGGGGAACCCTTTTGAGGCTTTCTCGATGATCGCGCTGTGAAGAACTGTTAGCTACTGCTATTGCTGACTGCATTGCTTATTGACTCATTGGAGTGCAGCAAGAACTCGAGTAGAACGGAAGTAAATATGGAAGAAAAATTGGACTTACCGATCAATGATCGTGATCAACGGACATGTTAACGCGCCGGCAGATGCTGCACTGGCTACGTCGACACCGAGTCGAAGCCCGAGATTCCTTGTATTCCATGCTTGCGTAGATTTTTGTTTCGAAGCCGACATCGCGACATGTTCTGAGACCGTGGTCATGTTGAGTGTGTTATGCGCGATAGCATCGCGTGTCATCGGGGTAGAAATCTGGGGTCAAGATCACCAGTGCATTGAAGAACCGAATGAAGGTGAATTAATTACAAATGTGAGCGCTATCTTTTAAAACCGGAGATCAATACAGCTCGGACGAGAATGGACCGGGCGCGATCCGGTGCCGGGTCTCCGATGCCGGATTATCTGCCGGATAAACGTTAAGCGCGCCTTCTATGCTACAACAGAATACAGCGTTTAATTCATGACCGTGATATATTTTGATCCCCAACGCCATATACATCAGAAAAGAAAGAACTAAGCAGAGCTTGTAACTGCCGCCGAAATACCATCCAATGTCACATTCACGGCACCGGCTTGGACGAGCTGTGGCAAATTGGTTAGTTGAGGGTTTTATCTTTAGCCATTCAGGTCATCACATACCGCTCGTTGCAGATCATCAATGAGATCATCAACATCTTCAATACCCACGCACAACCGAATCAGATCCTCGGGCATGGCACGTTCCGCCCGTGTCTTGGCATCAATACTAGCATGGCTCATCCGGCAAGGCATGCTGATCAAAGAGTTGACACAGCCAAAGCTAACACTAATAGCCCAAATCTTTGCGCTCTCGACAATGCGCTCGCTAACATCCACATTACCGGTCTCAAAGGAAAGCACGGCGCCCGCACCGCGTGCCATGGAGTTGTGCAACTCGTACTGCGGGTGCGAGCGCAGACCGGGGTATCGCACCTTAAAGCCGTGGTTCTCGAGGAACTCGGCGATACGCTGGGTGTTGCTCTGCTGCTGGTCCATACGGACCTTGAGAGTCTTAATACCGCGCATCAGCAGCCATGAGTCGAAGGGCGAGAGACCACAGCCTGAGGCGTTAATGGGGAAGTACAGACGCTCGCCAAGGGCAAGGTCGTTGACTGCGATGACACCGGCCATCAGGTCGTGGTGTCCGGAGAGGTACTTGGTACCACTCTCGTAGACGATATCGGCACCCAGGTCGAGGGGGTTCAGCAACAAGGGAGACATCATGGTGTTATCCACGGACACCAGACAGTTGGGGTTGGCCTCGTGGGCGGCTGCGGCGATCTTGGCAATATCGACAATCTTGATCAGAGGGTTGGTGGGGGTCTCCAGAAGAACCATGGTGGTCTTCTCGTTCAACACCTCCTGTACCTTCTCCACCCGGGTGGTGTCAACGTGGTGAACGGTGATACCACCGTTGGTTGAGAGGTACTTCAACAGGCGGTGTGACCCGCCGTACAAATCATCACCAGTAACGACCTCGTCGCCAGGACGCAAGAGTCGGGTAATCACGTCGAGGGCAGCCATGCCAGAAGACACGACGAGAGCCCGCTGGGCCGACATGATCTTGGCGAGGTGACGCTCGAGGTGGGTGCGAGTTGGGTTACCGGACCGAGTGTAGTCATATTCACCACCCCCGCCTCCGGATGTTTGCTTGAAGGTGGCACTCTGGAAACAAGGGTATTAGATCCTGACATTTCCACAACGAAGTTATTTCTATCCATTCTTGTGAGATCCTTACCTGATAAATTGGCACACTGCTTGCATTGTACTGATCACTGCCCTCGGTGTACACTAACTCGGTGGCAATGTTGTACCGGCGGCTGCCGTGCGGGCTGGATGGAGCTGGTGAAGGGGGGAGGTCATTGCCCTGGAGGTCGACTTGAGGGAATGCCTTCTTCCCGGAGCTCGACGCGCCCGAGCCATTGTTGGGGGCTCCGGATCCTGATGCCGACATCGCTTTGCTGCAGGGCGGGGCAGATATAGAGTGTGGGTGGGGATAATGCGTGGTAAGGGGATGCCAGATGAGTTGTAATTGCAATTCAATGAAAAAGATGAATGCTATAGAGTGATGAGGTATGTGAAAAAGGAGAATTGGAGAATTGAAATCAAAAATGCGATTACTTCTCCCACTTTCTCTTTCCCCCGGACAACTTGCTGCTATGACTCCGCTCTCGGAGGCTTCTGATTGGTCTATTGGGCGGCCCTGCGATTTCGTCATTTGCTAGTCCTAATTAGGCTAAGCCGTCCAGATTTTACTTTCATAGAGAGGGCTTAGTTTAAAGTCCAGTGTTAACCCAAGTATCGTGTTGATCAGTTATAATATTCGAATCATATTTGATAGAAAGAAAAATAAAACATGTCATATAAATCCCAACCTGAACGTCCTGAATCAATTCCAACAACCCCACCAGCAGAACGCCAGGCAAATTCCACCCCAACATTCCATTTTGAGTAGCCAGTAGGATGAGACGGAAAAAGCAATTCAACTGTACATTATGATAAATTTCACACAGCCAGATGGTTATAAAAGGGTCGGCCTAGGCAGCCAAATCACCGAAGCCACCATTAATACCAAAGAATTGAAACCTGACAGAATCAGTATTAGACCATGTTTAATCATAGGAAAGGGGGGAACATACCAGTCTTCCACATTCAAGGTCGTCGGCGCAGTCGGTCCACTACGAGAACTGTTGCTCCAGTTGTCATTATCTTGGCTGCCAGCGTCCAGCGCGGCACCACTCATCGTCCCATCCATGCCTTGCATCGGCCAAGTCTGTCCTTCCATTCCGAACATCTGCTGCGGGCCTGTTGGCATTCCCATGCCTCCGGGACCACCCTGCATCATTTGAGGGCTACCCTGAGATGCAGACATACTACGCCCGTGGACGGGCTGTTGTTGCGGGTTACCCATAGGCCGCTGGCCCATATTCTGAGAGGGAAGAGAGGGCATATTTAGCGTTGGATCCATGGCGGGAGGTGGGGATGTCAGCTCGGGGAAGATCGCAGTGCCGTCGGGGAAGAGTTGGTCAGGTTGGAAGTTCTCCCATAGAGATGGGGACAGGTTGGGCGAGGCACGAGTCACAAGGAAGAAGTCAGGTGGCGTGGCGGGGAGGGAGAACTGGGCATTGAAGGGGGTTGTCGGTCGTGTATTGCTCCGTGAGTTGGCGGCTCCAGAGATGGGGTCCGCAGGGCCACGGTGCATGTTGGGAGATGTCTGAACCAGAGGAGGCTGATTCAATTCCCGAGACGGTGTGACAGCCGGGGTTTGTGGGCGAGAACGCTCATATGACACGGGAGGCGTAGGCCCACCATTTGGCAAACCCAGATCCATATCATCGAACTTCCGCTTCGGCGGATCTGGTCTCTTAGGGGCGGCTGTGTTTGCATTTGCGTTGTGGTCATGCGGCCGTCGCTGATGCCGCCTGCCTGCCGCCTTTTGAAGTCGCTCCTCCAGAATTTTGTTGCCGAGGATAGACTCAAACAAGGTATTGACCATCTTCGCGACTAGCCACACCTTAGAAACATCTTTGAGAGCGGCCATGCACACATTGATACGCTCTTGACAAGTCGCCACAATTGAGGGAACTGAGGAGCGCATTTGGTACACATGCATGATCAAAGCGGAGAATAAGCTGTACACGATGAAAGCTGGGGTATAACGAAGCTCTCCGTGGCTGTGCAGATTCTCGATAATCGAAGTCATCATTCCGGCAGCTTGGAACGCAATAGTGCGCGATGGGTACGCCATTTCTTCGACTCTGTAGCTGTTAGGAGCAGAGGAAGCAGGAGGCATATGAGCTCTATGCAGAAGACAAAGCGTAGTGTAGTAATTCGAATGAAGGAGAGCAGCCCAGAAGTGGTGGTTAGATCGTTGCCAACAAACCTCCTTGGGGCAATTCTGTAACCAATCTGCCAGGGCCATGTCGGAGTGTGTGAGGTCCATGGCATTCATGCGTCGGGATTTCGATGCCACGGAATATTGTTGTGAAAGCACCAGACCCATAATCTCACACAGCTTGACATACTGCAGGAAGAACTGCACATGCACCGGATCTGGCGGGTACTCGGCTACAACGTCGAGTTCATCTTCGATGAAGTCGTCCTCTGTTACCATCCCAACATCTGAATCATCAGTGTTGATCCCAATAGGTCGGCCCAGGGCCACGGCAACTGAGCGATCCCGGGTGAAAAGTGTCCACCAAATCCTCTTCCAGAGTCTCTTGTCGGGTTTACTAAGCTGAGAGGTTTCAACACTGCGGTGCATTCCCGAACCTTGAGCAACTACCATCGCGACCCGAGTCCAGTAGAACACGTTTTTGGTCACATCTAGAAACCGTCAGAATAGAACAAAACAAGACATGGAAACGCATGGATAAAATCTCACCTTCCGGTCCTTCCCAGTACCAGCCCAGAAGCACCAAAGCCTGCACAATAGTGACCCGGTCATCCTCATAATTAGCATCATACAGCGCCTTAGCACGCTTATAGAAGGTCATCGCAGCCGGAGTGGTCGATCCATTGGCATCCATGAGCTGAGGATTCGTGCAAACCCTGGAGCCCGCCAGTAGTATGGCTTGCAGCAGCAGTAGAGACGGCGGGTTCTTTGGATCACGGTAGTGACGCATAAAGCGACTCTTGTTAATAATCGGGACAACCGGCGCCACCCATTTGAAGTAAGCATCGACCAGCTCATCACACAGTTGCTTCGGCGGCAACAAAAAGGCTCCTCTTTGGTGTAGAATGTCAATCTCCAAATTGTCGAGGTCTGTCAAGCGAGCACGCGATCCTCTGATATTCGGCGGCAGCGGGTAATGCACGACGTCTGTTGTTCCATGGCGATCCTGAACCAGTAGTGACAAGTTGGACGATTCGCCAAGGTATGCCACGCGACCGGCTTCTTTGATGGGCGCCCGCGCAAACTTGGGTTTCATGAATTGGGCATAGGCATTATTGACCGAAGCTTCCTGGGCTGCCTCCGCCTCGGACAGATCTGTGACAGGCATGCCATCGACGGCCATGCGGTTCTTGCGGTACCCAAATGCATCGTCCTTTTGGTCTGAGTCCGGGGATTGTCCTCGTTGGTCATTCGGCGGATTGTCGATCGACTCCTCAGTACTGGAGGGTCGGAAGTGAGCGACCGCCGCGTCGACTAGCGAGGAGGCTGTGTGAGGTGGGCTGTCATACCGAGTGTCGTCTTTTGCTTTGGTGGAGTTCTTCTTTCGTTTCGGGGAGGGAATCTTGCATTCGATGGAGAAGGCGACGCAATTTGTGCACGGCACACCTAGGCTGGCGGCATCGCAACGGACCTGTGTCGCAGAAAATGGTGTTTAGCTAGGGCCGACCGGGGGAATCATGTTGAAACAAATTATAATATCTCAAGGATATTTAATTTATCGAACTCACTTTTCGAGCATGGCATGTCTGCAATTCAATTTCATTGTTAGTTGTTGTTCTGGAGATAGACTCGATGCGTAGATAAGAAGGGACCGAGGCACACAACAGCCTCGGCTCTCCTCAGCCAGATCGCGTCGCAGGAAAATGAATAAGAACGTACCTCGCACGCGCGTGATGCACGTTGTCTGAGGATTAGATAAAACAAATTAGCATCTTTAAATCCTAGCCTTTTTATATAATCCCTCTTTTATCCCCCCTCTGCCTGGGAACCTGAGGGGAAGAGTGAAAACCCTGTGCGAAACTGCATCCCCCCGTCGCGCCCACTAGGCCCCCGCGACAGAACAGTGTCCCCCATTTCACAACCACCACACATATTGGACTCGGTGTTCGCTTTGGTGACTTGAATAAAACCCAGGACTCACCTTCTAAAGCTGAGCGCTTGGCCCGCAGCACCATTGCGCACGGTGATGCCGGAGGTACCTGTTGAGCCAGTGGCACTGGGGGCCGGACTACCAGCGGGATCGGTCTGGGATTCGATCGTAGTGCTCATGGCGGCGCAATCTCCATGCAGTGAGCGGGTGCACGATAGACGGAACGGTAGGGGGAGGGGGTGGAAGGGGTTGGCGAATGATATATAGGGTCAAAAGGTCCCACGTCGAGTACGAGGAATATGGAAAGGGGGGGAGGTCTGGTCTCACGCATAAACCAGCGCCACGCGATCAAATTGAAGTTCGAGGCAAGAAAAAGGACCGGAGAAGAAAAGAAGAATATCAAGAAGCCGTTGGAGGGAAAGTAAAATGGGTAGTGGCAATAGGCAGACTGAGGTCACTTGTGGAGCTCTTCCCCATAACCAAAAGATGGGATTCTCTAAGAATCACGGCCGCTCTGACTGGTTCATTTTCTCTGGCTCTATTACGGAGTACTTTCCATATAATTTACAAATTAAGCTACTGTAGATATTCAAGTACCCTAGAAAGTTCTATATTGAAATCCGTACTTAATCCCTCATACTATGGTTTCACTATTATTAATGTAAGAGATTTTCCTGCTGTAACACTACAAACCCCTGGTCCCCATAGAACCCACCTCACTTCCCACTAGTGGGCTAAATACCACCTTACTGTAAGTAGATCAAACTTGGGCCCATGGCGAGATCCATTTTCAAAAATACACCAACCTTGAGAACCCTAAGAACCTTGAGGAACCATAGATCCTTCCACACCTCACACACAAATAGATATATCTCGGGAACGTTGGAACCATCCGGCCACACCGGGAATCCGACCCGCTCAATGAAAGGATCGACGGAGGGGAATTAGCAAGCTGGAAGGGAGGCCTCAGGATTCTAGAGGGGTTCCCAAAATTAAATTCGAGATACACTAACATCACCTGTTCAAAACGCCGAAGAGCAGCCGGCAGCGAAGATTGAGATGAGAGTTTCTAACGCACAGTAAATAATCACTGGGTGAGGGACCAGGCACGCTAGGCCAAGATACCCTATTTAGAGATCCACCCGATGCCGTGGAAATAATCTTGCACATACCGTGGAGCCTCTTGCGGGGGAAGTGGCACTAGTGGTGCATTCTACGGATTTTGTGTGGACAAGTGCAGTGAAAGTACAATGGCATGATCAAGCCACAACCCCAGACATGTGTACTACTGTGATCCGAGCCCCCCGATCCTCCCGGCTTCACAATCCTTACCGCCACGCGGGAAGATGCGGGGATAGACAATTGCTTTGCATCCTTGTAATCTTGAGAGGCAAAATGAGAAATTATAAGAGAAACATTTGACATCAGAAAGTGGCTTCGGGGGTTTTGTCTGGATTTGGACACTGACCTGTGAGGTACATATACTCGTTATGCATGACGGATATATGCTGTGTCACACAGCTTGATTGTACTTCGCTACTTAGTGCATTGCTCTTGTCCTATGGCCAGCTTAGACTAATCAGCCCTGGGAACCTGCAGTGAGCAGCTTGACCTCGTGCACATCTGCGCCTACATATGTGGATGTTGACGTAGGCATGCAGTGCCCAATATACAGCCTCTCTGGACGGCTGCTACTGCACATGCCCAGGTGTAGATCATTCTACGCCCATTAAACGTCGCCTATAATACCCCTCCAATATCCATAAGCCAAGGCACCATTGCCACCTTGGTTATTCCACCTACAACTACTAACGCCTCAACCCAGAGTCATTGCGGGGACCAATCCCAAACCCGGGGAACAATAAATTACTGCGGGGGTCAAACCCGTAAATCCTTCACGAAAATGAAACAATAGACCGCGCAAAAGAAAGCATCCCCTTGCAGAGCCTACGGTGTCTTACTACCCCATCTGTCCTGATCTATCTTGTGATGCCTCGGCAACTTTGAAGAACTGGGGCAGCTTCGACCAATTACAATGCAGATAGCTCCGCATTGGTCAGATTGAGGCTTCGCCAAAGACTCAACTGACACGCGGGTCCTGGCTGTCAGGCACCAAATTTTGAATTTCTTGGTCCCGTCGTGGTCCGTTCGCTGGGGCCAGATCGACCATCTGTCATCGTGCCCTGGGGCGCTAGCTTGTGAGCTTTGACCGTTTTTGGAGGGATGTGAGATGGAACCCGCGATAGTGGAAATAGTGTCCCGGGTTATCCGATTGAGAATTTGCATGTCTATTCTGTGGTTGCGGTGAGATATATTACGAGGGGCTAGCGCTGACAGGGGTTCAAAGCATGTGCCTGCCTAGGTAGGAGGAGTCATCAATTACAAAGAATATGGAGTGGGGTTAATCATCAAGGCATGATCTATATTAACAAGGTGGCCTCGAGAAAACGACAAGATATAAAGTACATGAGTTCCATATTAAGATCGTTTATTGTTGAGCCTTTCGGTTCTTCTTGCCCTTGCTTTTGGGCTTGGCTGACTGCACTGGCTGCTCCTTGGGTTCGGATTCAGGTTCATGGCCACAGTCAGCAGCGTCGCTGACAACCTGCACTGCAGCAGCGGCCGCGGAACCAAAGTCCACGCCGCTGACGAATTGTTCACTCAAGAACTCGAGTCCTGCAACGAAAATGCACAGGATACTGGCGATGCAGTAATGGCTGATGGTCATGCCAATATCCAGCCAGGAGCCCTCGTCGCGCACGAGATAGAAGAAGTTCAGCGTCATTACGTCTGAAATGGACATGACCACCATAAACAGGGCACTAGGTCCCACTTCAAGTCGGCGGTTGAGGATGCCGAGATTGGCACTGATGATGGCAAAGGGGATTAGGATTTGGAAGAGGAGGAGCGCTCCTTGGCTGAAGGGCGCGAAGACAGGGATAAGTCGACGAACACTCTCCAAGGTGAAGGTGGAGAGGGAGGCCACATTTCCGGTGCTGAAGAAAGCCGACTGCAACAAGAAAAAGAAGAACAATGCCACGCGGGCATCAGAGACCGTGAGGGCGCGGTAACGGTATGTCTGGCCGTCAACTGTCGCGGTAGCAGTAGGTCCGGACTTCGATGTAGCCGACTTTGACGACTTGGCCGCGTTGGATCCATTATGGACATAGATGGCATGCTCAAGGCGGACCCAGGTAACCAAGGTCATGCAGAACACGAAGTAAAACAATCCCTCCCACGAAATAGTGAGAATAATGAACGCGGGCGAGAAAGTCAAGAAAATGACAAGGAGGCGGTGTAAATAGTGGCTGTTCGGGTACAGCCGGTGAAGGAATGGAAGCGCCACGGATGAGCCTGTATCGCGATTAGTCCTGTCTATGACCCGAAAACGACCCGAAAAGGGTTGGACCTACCTAGCACACCCCAACCAACGACTTGGTTACCAAGAGGCAGACCTTGTCGAGCTTGGAGGAAGGATACACTTGATCGGGTGACAAGCAAGGCGAGTAGAACCAAACCAACTTGGGTGCCCACAATGATTCGTGAGCCAACTGTGCTGACTGCTGCTGGGCTTTTAGGTGCAACGCTGCTTTTTCCAAGGATCGCATCCTCGAACATCAGGTATAGAACGCCAGTAAGGAACATCAGAAGACCACCATAGGTACTAGAAAATGAAGATTAGTAACAGCAAAAGATGTTCAATTTGTGAGATGCTCACATAGTATCAATATCCTCCATTTTGCTGACAGGGAGGATAGGGAAAATGCTCATAAGAGAGCAGCCAAGGACCCATGCCACGGTCAAGAAGATATGATTACGAATAAATCCAAACCCGTAGGCCAAGGGCCAAAGAGCACCCAAGGCAAAGCAGATGGTTAAGATTTCCCGATAGAAATAGGCTTGGACCTGTTCTGTGTCAGCTGATGGACGTTTCCCAAACAAAAATCACAGATCGACATACAAGTGCCTCCAGTACACCGAGGAACGCCAAAAGTTGCACCCCAAAGCTCACATATCCACCGAATGAACGGACGTGGCCAAGAACAATCTCACGACCAGCAATGAGAGCTTTCCTGCGCGCAAAAACTTCTTCCCAGAAATAGACAGGGAAGAACCCGTAGAAGTAATAGCGCCATGATGAACCCTGGTACAAGAACACAGAAAACAGGGCCACCAAGATAGATGAAAAGAACGAGATGCTAGCAATAGTCCGGTGGGAATCAGACGTTCCATGCAAGACGTGCAAGTCAATCACTGTGGTCAAAGAATAGGCAATCCATCCCAGATATCCGAGAGTGACAATGTTCCGCAGGAACAGCCAGTCATAAGTCTGGAGATAACGTAGACCTTCAAGTCCGAGAAGTAGCAGTTCAGAAGATAGGGCAATTGAATCCTCATAATCACCCTTGCTGATAAGCGCCTCCATGTTTGCGAAACGGCCTTCAATTGAAGTTTCACCGTCTCCAGAAAGGGGCTGGAAAGGCACATAGCGGAGCAAGGCTTCTCTCTTTTGCTGTTCCTTGACCTGGTACATTTCCAGCACGCCCCGTGTATTTGCAAGAGCGGCCAATGCCTTCTCCTCGGGGCTGCCATCGAGATAGGCCAATGGCAGCTGACCCACAGAGTTGACCGGATAGTCAACACCCACCAGGTAGGCCATTAGAGCGGCAACGTCGGCTTGTGCTACATCGTGGCGTCGAACTTGGTCGAATCCCCAATCCGACGAGAATCCATCTTCGTGTCCTGTTGCAACCCCTGGGGTGTTTGCGAGCGGCTTTGCAACACCAGAGCCCCAGGCAACCAGAGGAGTCCGCGTGTTATCCGGGTGACCATCACCGTGGCTACCCAAGTCACTCATGCCATGGTCCGCGGTGAAGATGAACGCGGTTTTGTCGTCCGCATAGAATTCCTCCACAAGGTTTGTCACGGCTTGCACACCACGATCTACTAGCTTGATGTTACTCAAGTATTCCTTGGAGTAAGGTCTGAACGCGTGACCAGTGGTATCCAGCCCAAGCAAGTGAAGGAAGAAGACCAACTTGTCCTCACGCAGTTTCCGATCCAGCTCCGGGTCGCTCTTGGCAGACTCAAAGAGCTCATGCACCTTATCAAATACCCAGGTATCCAAGTGTGATGCATCCACACTGAAGTCCTCCTCTTCTTCGCCGTAGGTATCCGCATCGACTCGACCCGGTTCCGCACCCTCCTTGAACATTGGAAGGATATCGGGGCTCCCCCAACTCCATGTGTGTCTACTCCGGTTGAATACACTGTCGAAGTTGACTGGGTTCAGCTTCCAGCCTGTTGTAACCGCCGATACATCCTCGTATAGGCCGGCAATGAGCGCAACATGTCCCGGTCGAGACTCGGTGGGGACCCGGGTGTGGGAGACGCCAAAGGTTCCATGCGAAAGGACCTGGGATCTAATGAATGGCGATAACCGGATCAACTCATCGCTTGGTTCGGCGTCGTTCTCGGGGGATGGGTCGGGGAAAGCCTGGAAGGCCTTGTCGGCGCGCAGGCCATCGGCAACGAAGAGGACCAATCGTTGAGCTGGTGCACTGGTACCTTCGGGTCGTTCGACACCATATGATCGCATACCACTCACAATGGGGCTAACGAAGTAAATGTCGAAAATCGAGTATGTATAGATCAAGTGGAAGACCACCGCTAGGGCGAGGAACCCAACGCGGCCTAGACGCGCCATGGTCTATCGATCCTCACCTCTCACGAAGGGTGACCTGGCTCAGTAGATGAAGGAATGGAATGAGGCCCCTGGTGAGCCAGAAAGAAAGGAGAAAAGAAAGAAAGAAGAGGGCAATTACAAAAGGAGGTCATCACGGACATGGAGCAATTAAACCACATATCGAATCGGCGGGTAACTTGCGGGACGGGCGGTGAAACACCAATCAAGATGCTCCAATTGTGCACGGCGGTGTTTACTTTGGTTAGCTCCTTGCTACAACTCTATACCTGTTTACATGTTTAATGCTTAAATATCTCTTGGAAATGAATTGAATTTATCGCTCACAAACTCCTTATATCGACTTTGACAATTGTCAATAGAATGCTTATATGGCTTGCAAGGCTATGCACGCGATGCAGTGCTGGACCGCCGTTTAGTCAGAGCATCAATCACCCGAGTATAGAACTTCGGCGCCTGCTCACGCTCGAAGGTAATATGATCAATCAAAAAGTCCGGTAGAATATCAACAAGGTCTCGATCACGGTTAGCGTCCAAGAGAGGCAGATACTCAAACACTGCCTTTTCATACTCTGAACTAGGCACCTTGGGGATGGCCAACTTGAAATGTAACGCTGATAGATAGTCAGTACACTGATCATCAGTAGAGAACACGAAACGAGGCACTCACTTCCGTTGACTCCCGTCTGAATACAGTCATACAAATAATCGGCTTCTCGATCCACAACACCACGAACGATCAAGCCAGTCAAGTCGCTATATAGATCTTCCTTGAGCTGTGCAATCTGTGCCGCCTGCGCAGCTCCAGCGTTGGCAGCCGCGACTGCACGGTTTGCAGGGCCGCCCTTGATAGCACTTCCAGGGATCTTGGTCTTCTCCAAGCTTGCAGCTGTACTACGCGCAGCAGCCAGCTTAGTCTGCAACGCCTTGACCTCAGTTTGGGTGGCGGCAAGTTGAGAACGCGACTCATCTGCCTGCGACTTAAGCCGGGCAATTTCGGTATCCCGTTCCTTCAGTTGCTTCTGAAGTGCTCGACTCTGTTGTCCCAGAGCTCGCTGCGCTTCCAGCTCGGACCTGAGAGATGCGACCAGCTCGTTGGAAGCTACAATGAATTAATGCATGGCCAGAAGTTTAACATTCGCTAGGAGGTAACATACCCGTAGTGACAGTCTCACACTGTTTGCGCAATTTCTCCATATTTGTGTTGGCCTCTACGACTCCAATTTCGCGAAGATTGCGATACTTGGATTCCAGGGCTTCTTGCTTCTTGGTGAGTTCACCAATCTTACGTCTCAACTCTGGTTCTCCACCTTGCTCGACATCGCCTGACTTGCGTTTACGAGGAGAGGATTCTAGTGTGTTCCGCATTGTGGACAGCCGGGATCGTGCATTCTTCACAGCGGATGAAGGCAAATGACGAGCAGGGGGTGCTTCGTCGGGAAGTATAGACTCATCTACAACCTCTGCAATAGGTTCATCATTCTGAGCTGGCTCGGCCTCTTCCGCTTCCTTCTGTCGTCGTTGAACTGCGCGCGGACGGGGGCTAGTTTCCGGTTCTTCTCTGGACTCTTCAACCATAGTTTGTTTGGGACCAGAGGGTGTATACTCAAATCCGCCATCTGTGACTACTTGCTTTGCCGCGCTGGCCGCACGGCCTGTTCGACGAGTCGGCGCAGGCTTAGCAGCTCTCGTTGCACGGGTTGTCTTTGTCGGTTTCGTTGCCTTGGGGTCCTCGTTTTCTTGTTCATGATTTTGTTCATCGACAGCTTCATGCGTGACCTCCACCTCCGTTTGTGTCTCTGGGGCTTCAGAGGTGCGACTACCGCCGCGTGGCCGTCCTCGCCGACCAGTCTTCTTAGCCTGGGGGGCCTCGGTTTGTGCAGCTGTAGCCGACTCTCGTTTCTTGGCTTGGGCTGTTGGCTGGGATTCGGCCGCATTGTCGTTCGATGTACGCGGTCGGCCTCGTCGTTTCTTGGCGGGAGGTTCGTCAATCAATTCTTGCGCAGGAGCGCTCCCATTCCCCGTCACCTGCATTAGGTCTTCATCATCTGAGCCCGTAAGTCCAGATAATTTCGTAGGAGCTTTCCGTTTCGGCATGACGTGCAATTGAAGTAATTCTGTTGCTATGGTGTAAATCGCTGGGGACAAAGTGCTACGCGCGCCGCGCGAACATCAACAACGTCTCCGCCTTGAACATGTGACATTCCGAGCCACGGATCGACCGCGCCACAGCCCGATTCATCTCAGTCATCGGGGAAGTTCTGTTTCCCCCCGTACTCGGTGACGAGGCCTTTAATCCCTTTAATTATTTGTCGCATTCTTGATATCTGCATATTTGCAGCTGCATCGCCATGTCTCCACAAGGTGACCGAAGCGGTCTCCCTTGGGTACGGTTTGTCCAAGAACTGGGCATGATGCTAGTTACGGTGAGTACTCGATCCACAAGTCCCCGGTTTAAGGGTCCAACGTACCTCCCATCTGCAAGCCCATAGGTATCTAACTATCTGTCCAGGGCATGGTCGCATATGGTGGCGTCAAACTAGTTCTAAACCACCTCACGCCTCCGGACCCAGAGAACCAGAAGAAAGAGGAACAACGGCAGAAGTCAGCGGCCATCTTGCGCAGATTATATGGAGACGATGAATCCAAAGGCGGCGTCCGAAAAAGTGAGCTAGTTCTCAACCAATATGAGCAAGCGATCGCTGCGGAGCTCGTGGACCCGAAAGATATCCCCGTTCGGTGGGACGACATCGCCGGCCTCGACGATATTATCAAGGATCTCAAGCAATCTGTGATTTGGCCATTGATGTACCCGAAACTGTTCGCCGCAAATCCTGCCACTCTTAGAAGCGCGCCGTCTGGTGTGATCCTTGAGGGACCACCTGGTTGTGGAAAGACTATGATCGCTAAGGCGCTGGCGGCCGAGAGCGGGGCTTCTTTCATCAACTTGAATATCTCTACATTGACGGATAAGTGGTATGGTGAATCCAATAGACTTGTTCGAGCGGTCTTCACTCTCGCGCGCAAGGTCCAGCCTTGCATTATCTTCATTGATGAAATCGATGCGCTCCTTGCGAAACGGTCGGAACGGGATCATGAAGCAAGTGGAATGGTGAAGGCAGAATTCATGACACACTGGGATGGTCTTCAGTCAGAGAGCTCAACTGAAGGGCGCCAGCGAATCGTCGTCTTTGGAGCCACTAATCGTAGCGACGCTATTGATAAGGCCTTTATTAGACGTCTGGGCGGTAAGCCTATCGAGGTGAGACCTCCAGATGCAAGAGGCCGTGCGATCCTTTTCAAGAAGCTTCTGAAGAACGATTTTGTGGACTGGGAGGACTTGGAACTTGAGGAAGAGAAGGAGGATTTGATGAAGATGGACATCAGCGAATTACTACAGAAGCCGTTGATCCGAAGAACAGAGGGCTGGACCGGCAGCGATATTAAGGATGCATGTGTCAGAGCAGTCAACACCACCACACCTTACGAGACCATCGAGGCGATGTTGTTGACTGGTAAAGATCTGAACCAAGTGGCCACAGAGGAAGTGCTGGATCCCGTTCGCCTAAGCAACTTCTTCAAAGACGTTGAAATCAAGCCCATGCCGGTGAAACTACCAGTTGCACCATTCAAGATGGTGGCCGAGGAGAGAGAGGATTGGTCCACCGAATCTGAAACCGCCTCAACTGAAGCCTACTCCATGCGGCCCGAGTCTCCCGAGTGATGACATGTCTTTTCTTCATTTAGACCATCCATGTGACTTTAATTTTCTCCTATCAACCTCTTTGGGACGCTGTGCGAAGGAAGGGGTGTTATTTCATGGGAAATTCTTATCATATTTACTTGTTGCTGGTCACCCCAGTGGATTGCAATCTCAGTTATGGCAGGACCGCTTTGTGCATAGAATTATTCTGATCTATTTCATAGAAATAATTGGATTAGGGTTTGGATTACGATACAATATATGTCTTGTTTATCGAGGCTCATGTTAATCAGCGGCCTTTGCGGGCGTCTAATGTATAGATAGAACATCTGGCGGGTACCGGGTACACACTGTTTGGTGAGACTGAGCGTCAACGTCATGTACAGTACCCCTACCTGTGTGAGCGGCGAAATTACCTGCCGATCATCTACCAGCGTCTCCCGAAACTACCCCTGCTTTTATGGTAGATCTTGACATTTCCCTCCTATACAAATTGCCTCAAAAACAATCCGATTCTAACTTGTTGCTTTTTGGCTTTGTCCGCTTCAAGTCGGGGTTGTCCGTTGTGGGCCGTTATCGTCACGACGGCCACGCCTCCCTCTACCTCCTATCGCCTCATTGAGCCACCACTCCTCACTCCACCCTCCCCGCTTCCTTCACTCTAGACAACAAATCTTCTATATAGAAACCCGAGACCATTGTGGGACGCATACAATCTGTTTGTTCGGCTTGCCCCATCCTTGAGGCCACGAATGCGACACGGCTGGTGGATGACGAATGGGTCTCTCCTAGGAGACTACTGATGGCAATCAGTGCCTTGGCAGCACCCACACTTCCAAAGGGAGCCTTCGACTCGCATCCTTGGGAGCTGACATCTTCGGACCTCACTAATAGGAATGAGTTCCCAAAATAGCATTGCCAATGCTTCCATGAGCTCCAATACAGTCGGCGCAAGCTCCACCTCGACCTCCGCGGTTCGATCGCGCCCTCGCCGCCTGGTGTCCTTCATGGACGACGAAGATGACACCTCCACTAATAACGGTCATTACGCATACCATGACTCCCAGCCTTTCACTTCGGGACTGTCCACTACGCTTCTACCGGAGGGAAACACTCGTTCTCGCGGCGCTACCCCCTCGCCGCTTTCATCCCGTGGAGCATCGCCTTTGCCCATGAGACACCCCTCCCGAGTTACCGAGTCAGAATATCGCAGTCGCAATGAGTCTACATCACTGGGTTGGAACGGATCGTCTAGGCCGGCACAGGGAGGATCGGACTTCCTAGACTCCCCATGGTCTTCGCTCCAAAACCTCGCGTCGTCGGTTCTAGGAAGCAACACAGGACGCAACGCAGCGGATAATTCGACAAAAAAACACCCGAGGAGGAAACCGTCGCGATCCGACGCATATACCCGGAGTACCCCCAGAGCAAATCTTCTGGCGTGGGGGCCATCCGCGCCCGCTTCCCCAGATATTGGAAGTGGTACCAAGGAGGAGCGGCAGGCGCTAGTGCAGGCGAAGAAACGGGAAGCATTGCTGCTCGCAGACTCTGATTTGATATCAGGCCGCAACTTTCGGCATAAGAAACGCGACTCGGGGGATTATTCTGATCAGGTAGCCGACCCAGATCACGATGAAGACGCGCTGGCGTATATTCATCACGTGCAAGCATCGGATAGCATCACAGGAGTGACGATCAAATATGGTTGTCAAGCTGCTGTCTTTCGAAAGGCGAATGGTTTCTGGCCTAACGATAACATTCAGAGCAGAAACACGGTTCTATTGCCAGTTGATGCATGCACCGTGAAGGGTCGACCCATCGGAGAGAAGGAACGCGTGGATCTCTTGGGGTGTGATTCTGAAGATGGGACTGGCAGCTGTATTGCGCCTGCAGCAGATCATACCGATAGGCCGGCAACAGAACGCAGAACTTCCGGTCACTCCGAATCAGAAACCAACAAGATCTGGAAACACGAGTCCTGGGTGCAGATAGAGGGATTTCCAACGGCCATTGAGATCGGACGTGTTCCGCGAAGAGCTTTGGGATTCTTCCCACGAACGCGCCGGAAATCTATCTCATACACTGATGCGGAGCCTCTTTCGGTGATCTCATCACAAGCCCCAACGCGTTCCCCATCTCCGTCTGTATCGGCCCAGCTTAATTCCTCCCAAACCACACTCCCAGGCACCCGCCCTCTTGATGGTGACCCGCCCAAGCCCAGTGGCTCGCGTCCGACTCGTCCTAAGCATCGTCGTCAGCGCAGCAGTATCCATCTTTCTGGAACCGGCGTTGGTACTCTTGACCGTACATCGGCCGCACCCGGGCCTGCTTTAGATGGACTAAGCAAATTTTTTTCGCAACACATACCCCAGCTAGCGCCCCCACCACCACTATCAGACCCCCGCCGACCATCTTTCGGCTCTGAGGGCACCATGTCTAACGCCTCAACAGGCCTAGAAAACATAGGTGGAGCGCTCGAAGGATGGGTTCGGAAGGTGGCAACGCGTGCCAAAGCCGGCTTCAATGACATGCAAGGTTCCCCAACCCTATCAGCATCTGGCCGAGGTCGGAGTCCAGGTGTGTGGGGCATGAACGATCTAATCGAGTTGGATGATGCCTCAGAAGGTCGACGGTCTCCCAGCGTCTTAGGGATGGCGAGAAGACCAGAACCAGTCACATCTTCCTCATCCTCATCTTTCCGCCCCACAGCCTCCACCTCCGTTACGAGCAGGCCTCGTGCGACTGGCTCGGGCCCCAGTGCATATGGTGTGAGAACCAAGGATGATTGAGGTGTTTGGTCTTCACTGCAAGCGTACATAATAGAAGCTCTTGTGTATGTGAATCTATTGGATAGTTCACAGATGTTGCATGTTTTTTTTTCTCTTTCTCCTTCAAATCTCTTGATTCCTCATGAGCGGCTTGGTGTTTTCATTTATTTCTCTCGCATTCCCACTACCCCTCTCACTCTGAGTCGCTTGGTGGCCCTCCTCATTATAATAGGGAATTGTTGAATATACCATCCTCTTTGGCTGAATACTTGCAATTTTGAAAAATCCAGGCAGATAACAAATGTAGAGAGATTTACCTAGTATACACGGAACAAGGAACAACTTTGTGCTCGTAAAGCTCAAATCTTGAATATGCACAAGAAATTTAGGAGCTTTTTATTTGAACACCACAAAATTAGTTGAACACCCTCACTAACGTATTCAAAGTAGCGCAGTATCCAAGATTCAGAGGGTAATATTATTGAGCACATACCCAAGTACCTATTTGCTCACGTTACTCTATTGACTACGCTGGAATGTGAAGGTGGTTAAAGAGTGACACCCGTTACACTTATATCATGACTTTAATGAAGCGTCATCACGTATATTGACGTGTATTAAGCGAGGTGATGCAATGTACTCTAATGCTTGAGATGGCGGGTTTTCTGAATTACAATTACTGTACCATACCGAATATAGAAATAGAGTGGTGTTCAACTAATTTTGTAGTGTTCAATTATCGCGCTCCGAAATTTATATCCCAACCTTGTGATTGTACTTTATTGTCGAGCTAAACTATTCGCATCACCGCGCAATGCTGTTAATATACTGCATTCCTGCGACACGGTAATCATCTGATTCAATGTAGCTCTCATCCCGCGGAAGACGGAAGACAAAGTTAGTGGCTTGCGATGAGAATTGGGGCCAAGTCGGAATGTTCGGTACTAGAATAATCTGGGTAAGCAATAGATCTGAATGGTGATTTCCCAGCAATCTATGGAGAGATGGAGGTTACAGGACTTACTTCCATGACCATTGGGATTCAAATCTGCGGCAAAAGAAGTCCACATCCGTGCAGCCATTTGTCCAAGTGCCAATCGGCCAGGTAAATCTGCTCCCAGAGAGGTGATATTTTGGACTGGGTTCGCGAAGACAAAAGGGATCTGTGTCAAAAGTGAGCTTCAGTGCATACGTACAATCTAGAGTGGCAGGTTAGTCTGTACCTCTGCAAAATGCTGCACCCCGATCAATGAACTAGTGTTCAAAGCGGCCACGTCCCATCGGTATGAAAACACATTATTCTCGAAATCCGACATAGTATGCGCCAGCATTCGGCGAGGCGCAACCATGCACAGATCTCCGGCTATGGATTCATATCGCTTGTACTCATAGCCTAAAGAAGGCCAAGTGGTGTTGCCCCAACCGTAAGGGCAACCGATAGCAGAAATATTAGGATAGTAGCTCAAGATATCAGTGGCTTCTTCACTGGAAAGTACCCACCGCTTCGAGGCTGGTGAAGTATGTTAGCTGTGTGAATCATCACATATATGATCGTGGCGTCAAGTAAGGATACACTAACAGACAAGCTGTGCAATAGCCTCTTCATCCGTGTTGACTCCCGTTGTTCCAAAGCTGGTACCTTCATCGGTATTGGTACCTAGAAGGATGGGAACCTTGGCGATTTTGCCCTCTCGATAACTGATTTGTGGGTATTGTGAAATGAATATATCATCAATAGTGGCAAACCACTCCAGGCCAGCGTAGGCAACGCTATAAAAAGTTTCGTATGGGAGATCACGGAGGCATTCGAGGGTGTTTGTGGTGTTTGAGCACCCGGCTCGCTCGACAATTCCGTCATACATCGGTTGGTGCCATTCGGTCCCGTTGTATGGAGGTCCAACGGCGTTCCCGGAATCCATTATGGCTGCAATCAATCTTAGCTCAACACCAATCAGTCACCAATTAGATCTTACCAGCTCTGAAAAGGCCTTCATTATCACCACCATTGGTGACTAAATGATCTCCGACACTGTAAGCACCGCTGTTCAACTAATCAGCGTCTTTGTATATTCCAATATCGCAAATGTGGCTCAATGATACTAACGCAGATTCGCCCCATATAGTGACTTTGTTGGGGTCACCGCCAAAGGCTTCAATATTCTTTTTGACCCAGTGCATGGCAATGCGCTGGTCTCGTAGTGCAAGGTTGGTATTTCCTTCAGCCTGGCTCGATGTTATTGACCACATAAGGTTTTGGGTGAGGAATTAATCGACTTACTCGCACTTCCTTCGAGTCCAGGAATCCAAAGGCAGCCAGCCGGTAGTTTATTGAAACACCAAGCACTGGCTTGCCATTCTCTGCACTCTGCTGAATTATATAACTCATGTTGTACCTACCGAAATTTTAGCTCAGAATGTATGCAATTATGTATGCGCGCTGACCTTGGATCAGCAGTAGATCCTTGTTGCCATCCACCCCCAAAGATCCAAAGGAGGACCGGTAAAGACTCTTCACTGTCATTTTGGGGCCTGATAACGTTCAAATTTAGACAATCCTCGTTCAGTGTAACAAGGCCCTGGTTGACCAGATTCGTGGTGTCGGATCCATATCCAGGACAATCGTATCCGTACTCAGTTGCGTTGTAATAAACTTCACCAGCGTGAGACTCGATACCAGCTGCAGAAAGGTCATATGCCCCGGAGTCGCTATCACTGGACGCGTATTTGGCCTTCAGTTCCGCTGGTGTGAAACGGACTGGCTCATCGGCAAACTTGACACCTAGAAAGAGATCTTGGTTGAACTCAGGAAGGGTACGACCGACGAATATTGTTTTGTTATGTGCATTGCTGGAAGTGAGTGTAGCCGTTGGCGGTTCATTGGAACTTGTCTTCCTCGTTGATAGAGGGGTGGAGAATGCCAATGAAGCGAGGGACAGCCATAAGGCCAAGAGATGCATAGCTACGAATTTTGTTCCTTAGCAATTCCACTTTCAAGGTAGGTACGCGAGATCTCTGTGACGAGAAGTGGGACTCTTAAATAGTCCCCCCCACCCCTTTACCTACCATAGCCCACCCCCAATGGGACGCAACCGGAAGAATATTTTATGCAAGCCATGATATCCTCCGAAGGAAATTGTCCTGGGACAATGTTTCATGTTAAATCGAAGTTTGGCATGGAAGATAACCCTTGTAGATGATGTAGAGAACGCTCATAGGTGGGAAAATTGAGCTGGGGAAAATGGGGAAAATGGGGTAAATAGAGCGGGGTGAGATTTTTGACAATGCTTCAATAATGCCTTGATATCTGATAAAAAAAGAATCGAGGCCCTGGGTAGCCTGCAGCCGTAACCTATTCAATGCTGCCTATGACAAAGGAAGTATTGACATAGCGAGCCATCTGGCTACACTGCTAGCGACAGAGAACAATCACTTTCGGTGCCAATCGTTCGGGCACTTGGCGTGTCGCTGTGCAGGGCAACAAGCGAGCGATCATCTTAGGTACCAGAGCCCGGCGCTTTGGCTGCAGCTTACATGTACATAAAACCTTAAAATGACAATATTGAATGTCGATATTGGGTCGATCGCCAGCATGGTAGAGAAACATACTAACGATCCTGTCGAACCACGACTCCCAAGGTTGTTGATCACGGTAGGTGGCCACCAGCTTAATCTGAATGTTGTGTTATATACTCTGCTTTTGATGTTATGGCTTTATTTTTCATTTTCTCTTCCCAAATAATACAGTCCTTTATTCCTGAATGACCTGAACACTACTGCTAACCACATTAGGGAAAGCCTAGTAAATTCAATTCAGAGAGTAATGTTATTGAGTACATACCCAAGCACCTACTTGCTCACGTTATTTTGTGGACTACGCTGGAATGTGAAGGTGATCAAAGACTGATACCCACTAAGCTTACTTATATGATGACTCTAATGAAGCGTTATCTCGTATATTGAGGTGAATGAGGCGAAGGTGATGCGATGTCCTTCGATATTTGAGATAGTTGTTTTTTCCTGAATTACAATCACTGCGCCATACTGTACCAGACATAGAAATGGTGTGGTGTCCAACCAATTTTGTGGTGTTCAAATAATGAGCTCCCTCCATATATATCAACGCGGAGTTCAACCTCGTCATCCTCTGCTGGTCTACATTTCCATTCCAGGTATGTGAAGCCCCTGCCTTGACTTGATTACCGGGGAAGCCTGGCTTTTTTCAACTACAGACATCTACTTTTTCTTCCTGAGACTGCTCGTCTCAAATTGGAAGAAATCGCGCGAAACTTTGGAGAAGAAGTTGCTGTTCACCTCACAGATGAACCTGATGAAGAGAAGGCTCAGATTGACCATCGTCTAGTTCAGTCAGGTTTTCCGCTTTCTGCGAGGTAGGGATTTGCCAATAATAGAGAGAAGAACGTCATGCCACTGCCGCAGACGGGGCTGAGCAAAACCTGGCGAAGGCGGAGTAGGTCCACGAGTATATTGAATATATTGCTCATGGACTTGAATTCTAATAAATCTTCTCAAGAATTTCAAGGCCTCGCATCGATCAGAAGCGGAATAGCCTTCTTTCGATCATACATAAAACTAGTTTACTATCAATCCGCATCCGCAAACCATAACTAGAGAAGCTTAAAATAGATGGAAAATCACGGGCGTGCTTCTAGCCAGTAGATCCTCTGACTAGAGGGCTATGCGCAAAGGTACGTAGACACATCTTACCTAGAGTGGTATAGTCCTGATTATCATGCATACACAGCGCATCGCCGGCGCTAACTCGTTCCCACTAACCCCTCAGTTCAAAACATGATCCCATCCCATATTTAATATCACATTATGTCCAAAAAACATTGATCTGAAATCTATAGCATTTTTTCTATATTCCAGATAGCAGATAATGGATAAATTCAAAAAATGGCGAAAACAACGAAAACCGATCACCTACGTGCCAGAAACTCCAGATCCAACTAGTGAAGTGTTGGCCCCACCACGCTACCAAACCAACCCTTCTCCACTACCTGTTCCAACGTCCGCATTCAAGTTTGGTCTTAAAACTATCCATGAGTGCTCTGATGCGGTCGTCGATATTTGTTTTGTACATGGGTTGACCGGCGATCGCGACAAGACCTGGACCGCCGTCGGCCAAACCACACCATGGCCAAAGATACTACTTCCTCCCAAACTCAATGCCCGGGTTCTGATGTATGGATACGATGCAAATGTCGCACGAAAATCAGTCGTGTCGTCGAACCGTCTCATCAATCACGCACAGAACCTTTTGGGGGACTTAACAGCGGACCGAGTCTTTTGCAATGCTTCCTCTCGTCCACTGATTTTCGTCGCTCATAGCCTTGGAGGTCTAGTGTGCAAAAAGACTATTCTTCTCTCACAAAACGCCGCCGAGCCTCAGTCGCGGGCTCTCTTCGATTGCCTCGAGGGAATCGCATTCATGGGAACACCACACAGGGGAGCTTGGATGGCAGATTGGGCCAAGATTCCTGCTTCAGTGTTTGGCCTTGTGAAATCCACGAATGTGATGCTGTTAGACATATTGCAACGAGATAACCAGCTTTTGGACTCAATACAAGTCGATTTCCTGACTATGATCCGAAGAGTGCGAGAAAGTGGTCGGGCAATCGGTATTGCCTGCTTTTTTGAAGAACTTCCCTTCCCTGTCATTGGAAAGATTGTGACTGAGGAATCTGCGACGTTGGATGGTTATGATATCTACAGCATTTATGGCAATCATCGTGATATGGTGCGGTTTGGGTCAGAAGAGGATCCTGGGTTCAAGAGGCTGCTATGGAAGCTTCTTACTTGGACTTCACAAGTCGGTAAAACAACCTTGTGATGCATGTGGCTTTGAATTTGAATTAGCTGACTCTTTTCGAAGGTGACAAAACAAAAGAAAAATATACCTTTGGTGCCGAGGATCGTGCCTGTCTAAAAGATTTGCAAACAACCAATCCCCGCGACGATAAGTCTCGCATCGAAGCTACAAAGGGTGGTTTGTTGAGGGACTCGTATAATTGGGCTCTAGAAGACAAGAACTTCTTAGACTGGCATCACAGAGTAAAGGGTGGAGGAATCTTGTGGGTCCGAGGAGACCCGGGGAAAGGCAAGACCATGCTTTTGTGTGGAATTATCGATGAACTCTCGAATATGAACACAGGATTTATCTCATTCTTCTTTTGCCAAGCCACCGATACACGCTTGAATTACGCAACGGCTGTGCTGCGGGGGTTGATCTATATGTTGATTGATCAGGACCCATCCCTCATTTCTTATGTTCGACAGAGATATGACGAATCAGGAAAGCAACTCTTTGAGAACCCAAATGCATGGCATGCACTGTCGGCAATATTCATTGAGATGTTACAGCATTTAGAGGAGCCCTGTTTGATAATCGATGCCTTGGATGAATGCACCACTGGGCTGTCTTCACTGTTGGATCTCATAGTTCAAGTCTCGTCGACCCATCCCCATGTCAAGTGGATTATCTCAAGTCGAAATTGGCCACAAATCAAGGAGCATATGAGCATGATACCAGATAACCAAAGGATGGCACTGGAGATGAATGAGAGTTCTGTGTCCGAGGCGGTCAAAATATTCATTTACGATAGGGTGCAGCACTTGGCGAAGCTCAAAAGATACAGTCAGCAGATTTTCGACGCTGTCTATTCCTATTTGCTATTGAATGCACAAGGGACGTTCTTGTGGGTTGCTTTGGTCTGTGAAAGGCTAGCCACCATACCCCGCTTGAGGACCATCGAAAAGCTCACTGCTTTCCCACCTGGACTTGATGCGCTGTATGAACGAATGATGCAGCACGTTTGTGAGCACGAAGAAGCTCCTCTTTGCAAAGATATACTTGGCCTAATTTCCACCACCTATAGGCCTATCACAATCGATGAGCTGACAGCTTTCATTGAATTGCCTGAGTACGTCTTGGAAGATGGGTATGAGTCGTTGGAAGAAATTATAGGATATTGTGGATCTTTCTTGACCGTCTCGGAGAACACTATCTTTTTTGTACACCAATCTGCAAAGGACTATTTGCTTGAGAAGGCCAAAACCGAAATAATGCCTGCTGGAATGGCAGCAAAGCACAAGTTCATCCTTGAGAAATCTCTTGCCATCATGGATAAGGAACTTCGACGAGACATTCTCTCCTTGGGGAAAACAGATGGCTCTATCAACCCAGTATATGAAGAAAACATGGCTTTGGGTCCACTTGCAACAAGTCGATATTCATGCATTTATTGGATTGATCATCTGCAAGATTGTGACCAAGGAGCGGCTACTCATGATTATCTCCAGAATGGCGGCTTGGTGCACGAATTCTTTTCGATAAAGTTCATATTCTGGTTAGAAGCCTTAAGCCTCTTAAAGAGCGTTTCAAAGGGACTTGAAGACATGCTCAATCTTGAGGCTTTGACTAAGGTAAGTCTGTTGCTAATTGCTTCCATGAACATCATTTGACTAAAAATGTTCTTATGAAGCCAACACCACTCTATGGTCAAGTTTTCGATGCATCACGTTTCTTCCGTTACCACAAACATATGATTGAGCATCATCCTATGGGAATATACAACTCTGTCCTTCTTTTCACTCCCACGTGCAGCAGAACCAAGGTCTTTTTTCAAGAAGAGCAGCCAGAATGGGTGACGATAAAACCCGCCATTGAAAATTGGAGCCCGTGTCTTCAGAACATTGCTGCTCATGAAGTTGGTGTCAGGCATTTGGAATGGGCACCCGATGGAAAACGGCTCACGTCATTGGGGGAAGAGGGTTCCATCAAGCTTTGGGACTTGGCAAGCGGTAGCTGTTTGTCATCCATCCAGGCACACACGGTGTATGGCACATCGATCAATTGGTCCCACGACGAAAAATATATTGCTTCGGCCTCATATGACCGCCAGATCAAGATATGGGACCCAGAGAAAGAGCAGTGTCTATTGACTCTGCACGGACATGAAGGTCCTGTGAAAGCTGTCTTTTGGTCACAAGATACAACACATCTTGTCTCCGTATCTTGGTCTCTGAAGGAAAGAGACTTTTTCGAGTTCTCCCCATTGACCATCAAAGTTTGGGATCGAATAGTTGGTCAATGCGTCCTGACACTTGAAGGTGATGATAGCCAGATCCGCTCTGCTTTCCCTTCATACGATGGAAAAGGCATTGTTACTGTGACATGCGATGGTATAATTAAAACTTGGAATGTTTTCTCCAGTCAGACGATATCAACTCGGAATCTCTTCGCTCAGTTTGGTAGTCTCAGCCTCTGGTCTCAGGATGGGATGAACCTCATCCAATCGGATTGGCTCTCTAACACGGTCAGGATTTTGGACCCTGTCAGTTGGAAGTCCATTGCAACGATGAATACAGAAAAAGACATACGTATTACGTATCTTGCACTGTCACGTTGCGGTGGACTGCTTGCCTCGGCGTCAAGGAAGGGTCCAATCGTGATCTGGGATTTGTCTACGAGAAAACAGGTGTCAATACTTGAAGGCCATTCTAAATCCGTTCGTATTGTGATTTGGCTGAGAGATGGGACACTTGCGTCCGCATCCGATGACATAACTATCAAAATCTGGAACCCATCTACTGGCCAATGTCTCTCAACTTTCCAAGGCCATGACAGTGCAAGCTCTCTACTCTTGTCAGCCGACGAGAAACAACTCATATCAGCTGGTGAATATGGCTCGACCATTAAAATATGGGACTTGAATTCGTCCACGACTGTGAAAGATCATTCTCAACCCGTGAGCAAGATCATCTGGTCGATTGACGCGAAATGCTTTGCCTCATGTTCAGACAGGGAAATGAAGATTTGGGATCCATCTACAGCAGATTGCCTTTTGACGAAGAACCACGGCGGCACTATTTATCAAATTTGTTGGTCAGAAAATGGACGCCTTGCGTCCCTTTGTTCAGAAGGAATTCTCAGAGTATGGGATTTATCGACTGGTCAGTGTTCCGTGAGTATAGAGTCTGTTGAACCTAGCGCTTCCTTGGCCTGGTCACAGGATGGATCAAGGCTTCTATTAGCCTCATACGACAGCCTCGTTAAGACATGGGATGCAAACTCTGGCCAGCACTTGTGTACTTCAAAAGTGGACAAGATTGGACATGTTGTGACATGGTCGCATGATGCAACAAGGTTTGCCTCCACTGCAGACAATTGGAGCATTATGATTCATGATGCATATACTGGCAGTGGTGTTTTACATCTCGAGGGACATCAAGGTCCAGAAGTCGAAGAGATTCCCTTCTTTCTGAGACGGCCCGTTGTCATGTCTTGGTCACGCGATGGAACGCAACTCGCCTCCGCAATGGGCTCGACTATCAAGATCTGGGATCTAACATCTGGCCAATGTACCTTGGTGCTCGAAATCGAACAAGATTCAAGAGAATTCCACTTCCACTTTCCTCGTGGGCCCTTGTTTGGTGAACCACACTCTGGTTATCTGCATACGAAAGTCGGCTCCTTCAATATTGGGCAGTATGTGAATTCGGCAACAGATGCTTCAGCGAGCCTCATTTGTTCCCCACAGCCGATAGGGTTCGGTCTTAGTAATTGCCGCCGCTGGATTACCCATAACGGGGTTAATTTTCTAGCATTACCATTTGACTATGTCCCAAGCTGTTCCGTTGCAATAGCCGTATCAGGTAGCACCGTGGTACTCGGGTGCGTGACAGGGCGCATATTGATATTGAAATTCTCGAAAGACATTTCCCAATGATAGCATGATAGCACGATTTCTTGTTACAGAAAGATTTACGGAGTTTTAGTATGAAATCATGTGGCTCGCCACCGTTCTGAATTCCGGTTTTCACGATTGATCAAGCTGGATGAAAGGAGCTTTTGTTGGTTGGGATTTCGCCCCCCTAGACTCTAGTCCACCGCTTCATCACTCAAATAGCGATTTTCATATTGTGGCTCGGACGAAACTGTCTAAGCACGCTTTCCACCGATGCTGACGAGCTCAACCTGGCTGTAATGGAAAATATTAGCTACCAATTCCTGCTTGGTCCTAAAGCTTTGCCGGACCCTATAACTAGAGATAGACCACAACTTACAAGACAAGATCCGCCTTGGGGGGGGATGACAGGAGGGAATCCGCTATAATAATTTAGTATCTTGCAGAAACTAGATGATTGTGCATTCCCTATAGATATTGGGCTTTCGAAAGCATGCGAATGGGGTATTTGTCGGGATCCACATATAGATCGGGTGCTATAACGTACCGCTCGCCGTAGGCCATGTCGCTGCGTTAAGTCAGCCACATGATATTTTCATGTCGAGAGAGGAAAACTTACTAGGGGATTTGCAGGAAGGCCTTCTCGCCCAGGCTCATCTGGGGAACGCCAACGTCCCAACCTATACGAGGGGCATTAGCAATTTTCGAGCTCTGTGATTGGAGGATTGAGGTCATTCTGGAATTTTTTATAGGTATTCGATGTGGAGGTATTCGGTCGGTATAGGGGGGCTAGCGCACCTTTAATGAGGCGTCCAACGCCGATCTTGCTAGCAAGAGGAGTACCGCGGTCGTAGGAGCTGTCAAACCTATTGACGAAGGAGCATATTAGCAGGAGGAAGACCGGACAATTGACAATAACACGTTATTCTGATGCTCACTTTGTGCCCATGTTGTTGGGAGCCTTCGGGTCATACAGACAGCCGGTGTAGTGCATCTCGATCATGGCACCGATCGCGGGGAAGTCGACCTTGTTTCCAGCCGAGATGAGAATCTTCTCAAACGCCTTGAGACCTTCGACAGCCATTGTGAAAGTAGATTTCGGTAATGGGGTAAATTTGATTGAATAGAAGTAATTGATGACAGAAGAAGAAAAACGAGGGGCTCCGAGAGCTTTATCCGCGTTTTCTCCAAGTGGGTCTTTGCCCTCACGACGTAATAGCCGGCAGCCACTCACAGTCAGAAAAACCAATGCTGCTGCTCCACCATTGGTTCACTCAATTACGAGCCTTGATACAATATGGTAGAGCGGAAGGCATGTGACGATCATATCTATGTTCTATGGTGAGTGCATTAAGGAGGGGTAACGCCAAAGCTACAAGCCTGAAAGTTTCTCGAGATAGCACGCAATAGAGCTGCAGAAGACCTTGCAGGGGGGAAAACCACTTAGACTTTAGCACATATCAATTCCATTGTCTCAGGCTAAGCAAATGGTTCGGGAAAAATATCCAATTTGCGCCGCCAGTTAGCGTGGCGCTAAACAGGGATCTGATTGGGATGTCCACAACATCGGAAATATGGGCTATCAGAAATACACCCCCAGAGCTTGACCATGGTCAGTCGTTTTTTCGGCGTTATATTCAAATCTGGGGATAGAGATTACAGGCTCATTGGATCCTGCCGCTCATGGGAACGTGGCGGGTGCTGTTTCGGGCGATACAAGGTCGATCTAACTCTATATGCTCAGCGGTGATGATTATTGAGTTCTCGATCCTCCATACGTGCATGACAGCCCGGTTTTATTTCGTACGTGCATCCGAGATGGGATGGACTCTGGTATCTATATTAACTTATTCGTGGGAAATTATAGCCTGCCCCACTTAAAGTAACTATACATTGCCCCAAAATTCCATATTTTTCAGCTCCTCCAGGGACACTGACGCGATTTGTGTACGCGGAAATCGCGCATCGGCCGCTGTGGCTTGAGCTGGTGTTTCCGCTAACTGCAGGTAGTGCAGCTGCGAAATGCCGGTGTGATCTAAGAATTCCAGTACACGGTGGAAGTTCAGACTGACTTGGTCGACGCCATGACTGTCATCTGAAAGACAGAAGCGACCTCCGCGTGCTATGAACTCCTAATAGAGAAGTATGGTTAGCATGGAGCTCAAACTCAGGGTCTCACGTTTCACCTACCTTGCAAATCTCAGCTTTGGGATACGGCTCACTCATCCCCTTCCTTAAAGCAGCTCCATTGAGCTCCAACATACCCCCATAGGAAGCAACGAAATCCAGATTCCTTAGAATCCGACTCCAAACACCAGGCCATGTCTTGAAACTGCGCTCCATGTCATCGCTCTTAAGCCGAATAAGATCAAAATGACCTACAACCAGTGGCTTCAATTCCTTCAGCATGTCTAGTTGTGCGTCGAAATAGTCCTCGAACAAGCGCTCGTCCGTCCCGCCAGCAAGTTCCCGCGCACGCTCGTACATCGGTCGATCAAAGTCAATGGGAACAGTGTGCATGTGGTGGATAGAGCCAATGAAGAACTCAAAGGGGAACCGAGATAGCGAGCGATTGATGAGATCTTTAGACTCAGGACGGATCCAGTCGCATTCGAAGCCGATGATGATTTTGATTTGGGAGGCGTATTTTGTGCGGAGTCGTTGCGCTTCTTCCCAGTAAGCGGCTTCGTTGGATTCGTGCCAGGCTTCTGTTTGGCCGACTTCGATCTCTTCGGGGTAGAAGTCTTCTTTGTGGCGAGGCATGTGCTCTGTTAGGCAGAACACTTGCATTTTCTTGGAAATCGCTGTTTGGATGACCTCCTCCAGGGAGTCTTGTGCATGGCCAGGGCAGAATTGGCCTGAGTGGCTGTGGTGAGAAAACGGCATGTTTGCTATGAGTCAAGTCAGTGGTGCTCGATATAATGGGGATATTTGGTTGCGCATGGACGTCTGGAGGTGGTAGAAGGGATATTGACATACCGGTAAGTGCAACTATCTTCTTATTTTGCTCTTGCCTGTGTTCCTTGAGCAGCGTAGTCTATGAGAGTAATATGTGACCGAGGCAAGCCCCGCGGAACCCGGCGTTGATAACGGAGCGATAAGAGTTTCCGTGCTTCCACTATCGCGACGAATGGACGAATTATAGAGCACACAGCTGTTTCACAAATTTCATTAATGTTACAAAGAGATAATTGAGATAATGTGCAGGTAGTTTACAGGCAATCAATGCAAATGTTATAGCATCTTAATATGACAACATCGTTCGCAGTTTGTCATGTATATGTGCAAGGCCTGGAGATACTGTATTTCCCACAGAAGCAGGCCCATAATGTCCTTGGTACCTTGTGAGGACTGAGGCCCGAGGCCAACCGAGCAAGCGACCATGGCTACTTGGGTACACTCATGCCACAGTATGCCCAGGATCCTCGTCATTGGTATGTGTAGCATGTGCTCCTCGGATACAGGTATGATATGAGCAAACGCTTCGTCGCGCGCGGCGGGTTATCGCCCTCGACGCACTCGTTGCGCAGTAGTAGTAAGATCAATCAGATCATCCAAAGACCCAATTATCCCTTCAACCTGCAGCCAAAACAGTCGCAACAACGTACTCCCCATCATGAGAGATAGAAAGCTTTCCAACCCGACTATCACTCCCGTCTTCCGCACTCCCCAAATACACAATCTCCGGCTTCCGACTAAGCCCGTTAACCAGGTGAGACTGTGCCACACCCGTGTTCACATCCGTATCCAGATCTGAGTCCGATTCTTCCTGCACCCGAACCATAACGTCTTTCCATCCGATTGACGCCGCTCCGTCTGGGGCAGCTTTGCGCGCGGCTTCCTTCGCTGCGAACCGGCCTGCGAGCCAGCGCGTCATGTCGGCTGTAACGAATGAGGAGCGCGTGGGTGTAGCAGAATTGTTTTGCGATTGTGATTGGAGAGATAGGGACTCTTTGAAGCGGTGGTGAAAGTCGCGTTGTTCTTGGTCGCAGAGGATGCGGCGGGTGAAGCGTGTTAGGTAGTTACCACGGCGCGTGAGGAGGGCGGTTATTCGGGGGAGGTGCACGATGTCTGTGCCGATGTTAAGGGCAAATGGGAATGGTACTGGTTTCATTGCGATATATGCAGCGGGGATGCGGACCCGAGAAGTTGGGAAGGTGGTTGAAGGATAGTTGGCGGTTAAGGTGTGAAGGTTCGGGATGCCGGCGGAGTGGAAGCTGAGCCAAAAGTCGGACTGTGCGACCGTGGGATATAGCATTGTCCGTTGGGAGACGAGGACTGTGATCGAGTTTGGTTTTTTTCGTCTGACTTGAACCCTTTCAACGTAGCTACAGCTTTAATATTAGGCGACACCGACTCCTGTCTACGGTGCAGTCACAACGGGTATGCTCTACAAATCTGCTTTCAAGCCAACATCATCTGACAAGGATGACCATGGAAGAGTGCAGATAGTCTGCCAGACACCTATAGTGCTGGTGATATCAAGCTATGGGCATAGGCTGAAAGCCAACTATTCCCGAAGCACAGGATCACAGACCCAATCAAATGATAGAAGGAACAATTCTTCAATGCAGCGTACACGCCTCTTATGTACAGATCCATGTAAATCCATCCATCGACTTCCGGGATCAGCCCGTTCGGGTTTCGCAGAACATCTCCAAGGCCGACACGTCTCGATGCAACGGTGCAGGGAAAACGACGAATGGGATGGGGCGACTCGACTCATGCATCACGCGGTTTCATATCGTGCCGATCCATAGTTAACATCCGTGTATAAGTTGACGAACGTTTAGTGTCCGGAAGCGGGCTTCTTGTCGCCTCCGTCAACCTCCTTCAAGAAGTTCCTGTAGAAAAGCTGTCAGTAACATTGTACAGCTTCAATTGCGCAAGATTCCAGCTATGGCTAAGCATTCCAGCTGTTCCAACGCCCAATTGAGTTATCGGGTAGCTGAGTTCACGTACTGGATGAAATCACCCTCTTCCTTGGAGGAAGCGTTGATGGGGGGTCCAGCGGCGGTCTTGGGCTTGGAGCCACCACCGGCGGCAGCCCAGGAACCAGCGAAGATCGTGCCGAGAGTGGCCATGGCGAGCTATTGTCATCACCAAGATATTTGGTTAGCCTGCTGAGCTTTCCTTCTGTAGCCGTGCATTGGACTTAAAAAGGGATAGGCGGGCGACGGTGCCAGCGGTGGGGAAGGAAATGTTTCGGCCACTTACGACGTGGGAGCCGACCTTCTTGCCGGCGATCTGGTAGTAGACGACCATCTTGAGTGATTGAATGGGAGAGCTGAAGATTAAAGGCAGCGATGTGGAAGCGGAATCCTCAGGCTTGACAGAGACGAAGTTGGCTCCGAGACCGCCTTCCCTGATCTGGTTAGCGTCTCTGAATGACTCAGCAGCTATATATCATGTGATCTCCCGTAATGGCCCGTGAGGCCAGGACATCAACAGTCCTCTCTCGAAAGACATTGAGTGGGATGCAAGATTCCAAGGTTCTGATTGAAGACCGCTGGTTTATGTTAACCTTTCACTGAAAGACTGTTCTGTATACAAGGCCATGAGGAGTTTCTTCGTTCAAGAAAGTATACTGCAAGAAGGCCCCATAGAGTTTCAAAATTAGTTACGTTGAAAAGTTTGATCATCATAGCATGTGCACTTTCCATGAATTCCCTCGCGGATGCGGCGGTGGATGGCAGTTCGTATCATTTCCGAATGTTACTCTTGCGGTTTTTGGTGTGCAGGCGGTGATGCAATCATGATTTCGCGAATTTCACTTTGTATCAACAACGTTTTGTATGGCTTCATTTTTGATTTTTGGCGACCATTAATACCCCAGATCATTTCAATCTTTCTTTCCTTCTTCAACTCTCTCATACACACCAGTAACTTGCCATTTACATGACAAGTCCTGCTTGCTCCGAAAATTTCCCAACATTCAGATTGCTTACAAATAAGTGCTGCACTTCTTAGTCTCCCCATTTCAAATGTTTCGCTGGAAATATTCTAAGACACCCCATGCTTGAGTAAGAGCAAAGTGAGAGGACGTCACCATCTAATTTACGGCATTACCTAGATCCTTTTGCGTGAGAAACTGACAATTTTGCTGCTCAAGCACCCTACCAACCAGATCTTATATCTCTCACTCAGAGCTCACTCCACCAACCACAGCTATGCCGCCCAAGCCGTCTTAGCCGCCCAAGAAGGGCGTTGCGACAACCCAAGCTTCGCAAGACCAGCCTGTAAAAGTTGACCTGAGACCCTTGCATGATACGGCCTTTCACAAGGCCAATATGCCTAATTGGATTCGCCATTGCCTTATGGCCAAAAGACCGCAGGGCCGGTAGGTGCACTCCATATTTACTTTTTCGGCCCTGAAAATGCTAATTTTTAGATACTTTATGATCGGGCAATTTGCATTTGAGATTTGGGTCGCCATCGCAGATCCATCAGATGAGTATATGGAGTTTCTCGAAAGAGGCGGTGGCAACCACAGGGGCTTATCTGCCAATTTACTTTCGCGGTCCCCTCAATATTCTCAACAGCGCCGACATGCTTCTCTTTGGGTTTTCAGTTTCTGCGACTACGCAGCAGATTACAAATGAAGTATTACCTGACTACCGCTTCAGAATTGCTACTACGAAAGATGACAGCGTCTAGTAACTGAAGTATCATCAAGGCTGGGTCGAATGATCAAAATGATGAATAGGATGCTGAGGAAATCGGGGATGCGATTTCTGTCGATTTGGATTAGATAATGAAGCTATACGACGATGATGACGAGATCTTGTCACTGAGGCCCGAGGGGGAAAGTGTCATGATTCTCATCCCTTTTGCGGAGGAGGAGATTCCGAGAAAGGCCGTGTGATCGGGGTGAAGCCGAGCTCCCAGTTAACGTGGCCCTGCAAGATAATAAACTGACAGAAGTCAAAGCAAGATTCGACACAGCTGGAAATTTGCGAATAAGGATCGGATATATGGACAGCTGCAACTGTACCTTTATGGCGGGCTCCTTTAGTTCTTTTTCTTTTTCTGGAGCTTTCTAATTGAACACCACAAAATTAGTTGAACACCCTCACTAACCGCATTCAAAGTAGCAAGGTATTCAAGATATAGAGAGCAATATTATTGAGTATAAACCCAGGTACCTACTAGTATACGTTACTCTATAGGATACGCTGGAATGTTAAGGTGATTGTGATATCCATCAAGCCACCTTTTCCTACCTATATCATGGCTCTAACAAAGCGTTATCTCGTATATTGAGGGAACTAAGCGCGATGATGTGATTTCCCTGGATGCGTAACATATCATTTTATCTGAATTACAATTACTGCGCCATACCAGATATAGAAATGATGTGGTGTTCAACTAGTGAGCTCCTTTTTTTTGTGCACTGGCTAGCAGTGTCAAGCTAAGGATATGAATGACGAATTATCCTCCTTCTAGCTTGCTTCATGTCAGGGAACTACTTCCGTCCTCAAACTCTTTGCCATATTCCCATTTCTAGCCGCGCCCAACCTTATACGGACTTTGTACCCCAGCGGGTCATGATGTCCATACTACTGACAGCTCCAAGCCATATCTTGATTGGTTCACTATGCATGACTCAGCATTTTTCGATCCCCGAGATGGCCCGGCATGTGGACATCCCCGGGTAAAGCACGAGCCCTGTTTCCGGATCGAATAAAACTGTTGCCAAAACAAATCCTCTCAAATTGAAGATAAAGCATGTAGATCGAATAAGCTTCGTATCTGAACCGGCTAAAGCAAATATAGTTCATCTTTTACCCGAATCTCAGCCGTCAGAGGCCAATTCGTGGAACCGGGCCGGGAAGTAAACTATTCCATGGTCATCGCTCTATACCCCGGCTATGGCTGTGTCTCTCGGCAGCCACCGACGGTTAACAGAGGCACTCTTATAAGGTTGGAACCCGCCGTAGCCTGATCTCGATGTCTTACCTATCACTTTTGCGCATGCCCAACTTTCTTCCTTTTGCGATTTTCAGCGATTGAACTCCGTGTGCACACGATCGTTATCCCCAGCTTTTTCTTTTAGGCGTTTTAACTTCTTTACATAACTAGCATCGCTCTTTTGATCTTATTTCCTTCAATCGTTCGTTCTACACGTGAAAATCAACATGGCTTCAGGTTCAGTTGGTGGTGGTGGCCAGGAAGATGCGCCGCCGGTCTTGCCGCCCAGCAAGTCTTCTGCGTCGGGAAAGCTTTCTCCGCGCTTGCAAGAGCTCCTAGATCGTGTTGACTATTACGAGGACCATTACTCTTCATAGTAAGTCACGATTGACCTGAGCTGCCCAATTTTTCACTATTTTTGCAATTTTTTGTCTTTCCGTCGCATCTTTTTTACCTTTAGTTGTGATGGGTGGTCTCTTGCCTAGAGCGGAGCGGAGGGACCGAGGGGCATTGCCCGCAAAGTCCGACGACTCCACTTCCCGGCTTATTGCTGGCTATGACATGACATACTCCACTAAAGATTCCCCAAGCTTCAACTGCCTCACAAAAGCTTAGTTGAGCAAGGGAACAAGACCAAACTAACCATGGACTCCTCGGATCCCAGCTCTGTCGATTCGACCGACACCAATTTCCGTTACGCAGCCTACGGTAGCCGCGTCCGTACCATCCTCCTCTCCGCCCACCGTTACGTCGCCTACACCTCAGACGTTGGTGAATCCTTCCGCCCAGTCGCACACCCGTGGCTCGTCCGCTCCGCCTACGGTATCTCCTGGGCATACCTTATCGGCGACGTAAGCCACGAAGGCTACAAAGCTTACCTCCGCAACCGCCGCGCTCTCACCCCACCCGGCGAGTCCTACAAGGATGCCAGCGACGTGCCCCAGACACAAATCATCCGTGGCATGGCTACGGGCAACCTCTCTCGCCCTCTGAGCGGACCCAATGATGCGCTACAACCCTGGCCTACGACGGAAATCTCGCTTGCGGAGGACTATCGTATGGTTATGGCCAAGCGCGCCGTTTTCCAGAGTGTGGCAAGTATGGGATTGCCCGCGTTCACCATCCACAGTGTAGTGAGATACTCTGGGCGCATGCTGAAGGGGAGCAAAGTCACGTTTTTGCGCACTTGGGTGCCAATCGGAGTATGTTCTTTTGCTTTTCTTCTTTCTTGATTGATTTTATGAGGCGCTTATACTAATTTGATTACAGCTCGGTCTATCGGTCGTCCCATTCCTGCCCTACATCTTTGACCATCCTGTTGAGGAGGCCGTAGACTGGGCCTTTGGCACTGCACTCCGCATTTACGGAGGCGAGGACGCCGTTCGGCCGCTGCCTGCACATGTCCGTAGTGGGCATGCTGATGGCGCGTCGGATGGCGAGTCCCCTGTCACAGCAGCCGCGGCGCAGCTTTCCTGGGAGGAACACAAAGCGGAGCGGGATGAGCTTCGCCAGCTGCGTCGTGAGCAGAATGCTGGTAAGTGGTGGGGTGGGCTTGGCGGTTGGTCTGGGGGTGATGAGAAGAATAAGAAAGACTAATCTCATGAGGAGATTGGGGTGGAGTTGGGTGGAGTTTCTTTCTTTTTTCCCAATTTCTTTCAAATCTTACTTCCCGTCGTTTTTGCTTTTCTTCTTGGGCAGTATCTCCCCTTTTTTCTTGTACACTATGTATTCTCTCTTCCTAGCGTCCAGTTCATATCCCCACTTTCTGGCTTTAGATGTATTGTTTGTCACTGGCCTGGATCGTGGCTGTTATATTGAGAGAATTGGGATATTATTCTTACCTCTTGAATGGAAAATGACTTCTTCATCAAGCATGATTATTTCCAAGCATACAGTATTTGCTTGCTATGTGCCAGCAACAATTCAAATACATTATTATAGTCTTCAAACACAGGAGTCAACTGCAACAACACCAGGAAATGACTTTTCAGTCCTGAACAAAGTGATATGAGATGTTTCATTTTCCACGATAAACGGGTCTAGAACCTTGGAATGGTCTAATATTCTGATACAGGCTGTACATCAGCCGTTGTTAAGGCAACCTTGTCCCACACACGAGTCTACTTTGGATATCTCACATGCACAGACGCAGGAACGAAACCTTGGAACTAGCTCAAGGTTGGCTAACGGGGACGCAAGGGCGCCACTGTCTCGGCAACGGCGATCCCTTACACTAATGATACATGACTACAAGATCAGGAAAAATTAAAGTAGGAAATCTACACCTCTCATTCTCAAATTCTCAACATCTACTACACATCCATCGCAAAACAACACAAGATATACATCTGTACAACAAAAAGGGAGCATTCAAAAACAAGGATTTGATCCTGCGCAGAGAGAGATAGGTAAGGAAAAGGAAGTAGCGTCGGCTCATCAAGAATTGGGCCACCCAGACCATTAGGGATGTGCAAGAGTCCAAACATAATATGACCAGTAAAAAAGTAGATTTCTTTCCAGCGGCACAAGAACATGAAGTAGAACATTCGTCTCATTCGGAGGTCATAGTGCCATGGTAAAGTAATAGAAAAGAAAAGGGTATGGGAGAACAGAAGGGGGAATAGTTCAGAAAAATAAATGAAAATGAAATGACACAGGTCGCGCCGGCAGGGACATGACGTCGCTCGGAGTATCAGAAGAATGATAAGAAGGGAAGAGGTAAATGTTGGCCAATGCAAAATTTCACAGTGGGAAGATACATGATATGTGACATTGTGCATCCTTGGAGGGGATGATGAACAGTGAAATAAAGTTTTGTGCAAGCTCTCATCCTTCCCACTCTCAACCTGATAGCGCAGAGGTCAAGATCCACTGACGAGAAAAGGGAAGTACCAATGTCGTCGAGTATTTGGGACTCTTCTCGGCCGAGGGATGGGGAGGAATAGAGACAAGAAAGGATCTGGTCTATCCATGTTGGTATAAATTTTTTTTTTGCTGTTTTCCTGTAAAGGGGGACCATCTAGTTCCAGCCCAGAGAGTTCTCCGCCATAACGGGGGCACTGATCATCTGGGAGCGCTGGCTACCAGACACACGGTTACCAGCACCGACGACAGAGGAACCCTGGCTCATCTGGTCGACAGAGCTGGAGCGCTGGTGCAGTTGCTTTCTCTTGCGGTAACGGCGAGCAACCCAGAACATAGCGGCACCGTAGGCGGCGGCACCAGCCACGGCACCGACAGCAATGCCGGCGGAGCTAGCGCTACCCTTGCTGCTGCTTGAGGTGCCATCAGAGGAGTCGTCGCTGCCGTCGCTGCTGTCGCTGCCGCTGCTGCTGCTGCCGTCGCTGCCATCAGAACCGGATGATGAGTCGCCGTCATCACTGGGCCAGTTGCCGGTGAAATCCAAAGGAATGGTGGAGTCAATCATGCTCATCAAGGCCTTGACAGTCGCGCTCTGCTCCTCGGTGTAGAGAAGAGAGTTCGGGTTAGTCTTCTGAGACTTCAGCTTTTGGTAACCTTCAGTGGGGAAGTAGAAGATAGCGAGGGTGGCGTTGTATCCGGTGCTCTCCCAGTTGTAGTAAGGCTCAAGAGCGAACATCTCAGCCTTGGCACCCCAGTAGGGAAGAGCATGCTTCAGGGCCTGAGGGATGTACTCGAAGATCTGAGACGAAGACAGAGGAGTGGTAGCGACGAATGACCAGGGAAGGCTGCCGTCAAAACCGAGCTGAAGCAACATAGAGTCGGCAGGAGCCTGGGTGACACTGTTGGAAGGAGTAATCGAGTCAGGAAGGGACGCAACCACGCTGTGAGTGGCAGTGCTAGTGCTGATAGCACTCTCGGTAGTGGAAGGCTGGATTAGAATGCTGGAGGGCATCCAGTCGCTGGAGTCAGAAGAAGACGAGGTGGTCTCAACAGGCTTCTCGGTGTGAGTAGTGCTAGTAGTCTCAACGTGAGAGGACGTTGTGGCCTCGGGCTCAGGGGTAGGCGTGAGGGAAGCAGTTGAAGTAGGGGTGACCTTGACGGTCTGGCTTCCCATGGGAGTGGGAATGGGAGTAGGAATAACACCAGAGCCGGTGGGTTTGCCAGATCCACTTTCAGAGCCACTTCCAGAGCCACTTCCAGAGCCATTTCCAGAGCCAGCACTGGGGGAATGGGGCACAGGGATAACGCCAATCGAGCCGGTGGGAGTTCCGGTGGTGGTGCCGCTGCCGTTGCCATTGCCGTTACCGCTGCCGTTGCCAGTACCAACGGGAGTGCCGCTAGGGCTTCCCGGCTTGTAAGAGGTCACGCTGGCCAGGGGGTAGGGACGGCACCGATGCCAGTGGTGGAATCGGTGCCATTGAGAGCGGCCGAGACGCTGGCCAAGAGACTGGTGAGCGCATCGCCGGTTGCGGTGGGGCTAGCGGTCACAGGAACGCTGACGGGGATGGTAGCCAGACCGGTGCTGTTAGTGGTGGCGGTTCCTGTAGCAGTAGCAGAGTCGCTTCCCAACAACCAAGCCAGGATATCGTCACTCGAGGAAGCAGAGCTTGAGGCAGAGCCTGATGCAGAGCTTGATGCAGAGCTTGATGCAGGAACTGAGGCAGTGACTGATCCAGTAACTGATCCAGTAACCGATGCGGTGGCGGAAGTCGTGACCTGGGCTGAGGTGGTAGCACTAGTAGTTCCGTTAGATGCGGCAGTAGTGGAGTCACCGCTCAAGAGGTCCGACGCTGCAGCCGCAGCATCGCTCAGCAGGTTGCCTGAGGAGGCGCTAGTTGTCGGGGTGGCTGTGGTACTGGCGGCGGTGGAGCTGCTAGAGGCGGCGGAGCTGTCCGAGTCAGTGGAGCTGGCAGTGGAGCTGCTCGCGGTGCTGCTTGCGGCACTGCTTGCGGCACTGCTTGCGGTACTGCTTGCGGTGCTGCTCGCGGTAGTGGTGTCAGAATTGGTTGTGTCGTCCACGGCGGTGGTCACAGTCGACTTGGTAGTCGCGGCGGCGTTTGAACGAGTCTCCGTGGTGATAGTGTGGCGGTGTCCTTCGGCGTCAATGGAAATCACCACAACAACCTCCTTTCCGGTGGTGGCAGCAGCCGCAGAGGATGTAGTCGCGGTCTCTCCGGTGATGTCGTCCACTAATGTGCCGAGGGGGTTCGGTGGGTCGTTGTTCTTGTAGGTGCTGTTGTGAACAGTACGCTTGATATTCTGGGGGAAGTAGTAGCGCGGTCGTTCCACGTGCGTCGCATCGTCATCTTGGATAGCTCGCTGCGCAGCCACCAGCTGGAAGCCCCCGAGGGACAAGGCGGCGAAAACGGACAAAGAGTTGACACGCATTTTGAGGTTAAATAAAGTTGATTTGAAGCGCTCAGGAGTCCGATAATGGAGGGTACAGTACGAGTAATTGGAACTCGTCTGTCAACACCTCAGGGATGAAATGGCCGAGGCCCTGATGGGTATCTGCGATTCGAATCCGCTGAAGTTCCTAGGATGTTCACGAGAGTCGTTGGACACAGTCACAACGTCTCACAGATAACCTAGAATTATAGATCAAGAAACCGTCACGATGGGCAACCGAATCTTGTAGTGAGACCGATCGAATAGAGCGATCGACTGAATAAACGAATGGAAGGGGTCGTAAAATCTGAAACGACCGGAAAAGCAGCAAAAGCGAGTGTGGGCTGGGTAGCAGTAAGGAGTGAGCGACAGTCTACTGGAGAGTAGATGAGAACAAAAAGCAAGCGGCGACCGTGGGATTATGCAAGGGGAGCAGAATTGGCTGGACCCAGGTCAAAAGTGCCGTCGTCGTCGACGAAAATGGGAGAACAGAAAGGAGTGAATAAAGGTGAATTAAAGAACATGCTCTCAAGAGCGATCTGAATTAGGGGCGAAGTTGAAGGGAAATGGGGGCGGACACGTGTGGGCAGTCAACAACAACCGTAATCTTACCAATCTTACCGTAAATTAAGAAAATTAGCATTATCCACATTGCTATCTACACGCACTCCGCTAGCATCATCGGCCATGATTGCGGGTTCAATTTCTGGGTTCCACTGGATACTTTTTGATAATTTCATTTTTCTTAAGTTCCAGTTCATGGTTGTATGAATACTGGACACACTATCTACTATAGCTGCCTGGTCTCTGCTTTAGAAACAATCATTATACGTCCCTAAAATCACGCAACATACTAATGCAGGGAACTGGAATGAATATGTCCACTGCAATCTACACGATTGAACTTTTCTAGCGAACTATGAGGCAACCTTACACTCTCTATTCGGCTGAGATCGCCGATACGCTCGGAGCATTAGAGCTGCACGGTTCCTGGGCCGTTTTGCCGTTGTACGACCTTGCTCGGCCTAGCTGATATTTGATGGGATCAGCATAGACAGGGGAAAGGAGATCGATCAAATCGAGATAAATCCCGTTAATTAGCCAGGTGGAGAAGGAGCAAGCCTCAAGTAAGAGACGGAAGAAAAAAGACTAGTGGCATAAATAGCTCGGCCTGGTTGCAAAATGGAGCAAGAAGCTCAACACTCTCTGGTTCAGGGTCTGGAGGGGTTGATTTGCAGGCTTTTCCACCTCACTGTCGTTTCGTGCTCAAGGTTGACGATCACTAAACTTCCCCTAGGCTATTGACCTTGGAAGCGCGCATCCTAATTAAACCATTGCAATTTTAGCCTGGTTCTGGGCACGCTACTAGTACTTTTGCCGCACAAGGTTCAGTCCGTCGCATGGCCCAGACCGACGGCGTCGTTGCGGTGGAGTCGAGGAGACCACTTGCGTGTGCCTGGCCGTGGATGAAGAAGCAAAGTGCGTGGTGGTAGATTCAAAGCGGGACCATGGTCCTTCCCGCGCAGACATGATACACGGGGATTTCAAGCAGGTACGGGTCCCACCATGCCCAATTTGGAACTAGTGGCTTGATCCTGAACGCCCGTTTCGCTCTTGCCGCTGCTTCGGGTAATCGATCAACAAGGAGATCAAATCACAGTTTCTTTGGTAATACGCTCCATAGACGCTTGGTCGCCTAGCGATTCTTTACTTAGCGAGCTTCGGCCTTGGTTCTTGATTTCTTGGTATCAGTAGTTCCGGGACTGATCCCCTTTTGTCGTATGGATATCCCCTTTTTGATGAACTACTGGACTATACTTGGAGAAAAAGAAAGAATACAAAAATGGCCCCGACGCTGACCATACGTCATGCTACTCGGGCGATTTTTTAAGTTTACTTCCTGTTCGGGCCTTTCAATGAGGTTCGCTGTGAACTATCCAAAAATAGGGTGCTCAAAGGCGCAGCTATCTAGTATGTGCACTCATCTTGTATGAGCTAGGATCAATATCGCAGAACATTGACGATCCGGTGAACGCACCTCGGGTACCGATCGACGATCACCGAAAGAAAGAAGCAATGACAGGAAAAGAACAAACCAAAATCCACGTGCCCCGAGGGGCCATGACATGATCGGAATGAAGGGGAGAAGCTTTCTCGCGAAAGCGCGTCCCTCGAACATTCCTCCTGCTGGTATTTGGTGGGGGTGACCAGTCATCACGTAGTATAAAATACGCGCGAATTGAACATGATTCAATTCCTTGCAGCTGCATTTTTCTCGCGTGGAGGCCTGTTCATCCTGATCTATAGTTTCTTTGCTAAAAAAGAAATAGACTCCCGCACCATTGCCATGCTAGTGGAACCAGCTCCCGTTCGACACAGACACCGAAACCGCTAAACCCGGAGTCTTCGCCCAAAACTACTTGGTGGCCGGATAAATATAGACGGGATAAGCCACTATTCTTTCAATTCCGACCCCAACTTTCCCGTCATACACTTGAACCTAAACTATTTCCATGCTTCCATATCAACAATCAGCCTCTTTTCTACTCCGTAAAAGCTAAGCAATCCAGGGCTTGAACCTTGAACCCCTTAAAAAATCCCACAGAAATCAAAAATACACAAAAGCCACGATCATCAACAGTACCACGGACCGAAACAGCCGCTAGGCCTGTTCCTGAGTTTGCGCACAGCTGTCGGCCCCACCCGCCACCCAGGCATTTTGGGTCATGGCGTCAACTTACCTAAGCACACAAATCATTTTTCTGGTAGATCACGTGACTGGCGTTCTGGACAATGGTCCAGTGGAGCATGTCGTCGTGGTCTGGACTTCGGGCTTGCGTCAAGCAAAGAATTTCATGCAGCATTGTGGATGCTCTGCCTTACAACGTGGAGACCGTTAGGCCAAGCCACTCCGGGGCACGTCATATTGCTGGACGTTGAGGCCTAGAACGGTGCTTTGTGTGGTTAGGGCTGACGGAAGAACCGGAGGATGTTCAAATGTTCTAGATTAATGTAAAATCAGTGAGTATCCCAAGTACGGTTCGTCGTCATCGAACCTTTGTTCTGTTGGATATATACCCTGGGTAGCCTTAGAAGGACGGTGCCCAAATGGTCTCATGGACGCGTATTAAGTTTCAGGCGAAGATATATATATTGTGCAATTTGGGCAGAAGTACCTAAATCCATGTATATTGTTCATGAATATTCCAGATCCACCTAAACTTATAACACTAGTTCGTGGCCTACGCTGATACCTATCCACTAACTTTGTTTCATACCCAAGGTTGACAGCTGGAGGAGTCTCCAAGGCTGAGAAGAATACGTCAGCTTTTTTCTGAACGGCATTCATTTGATTACAGTACTTGGTTAAGCACGTAGTCCACCAGATCTAGAACTTAGCCAGCTGCATGGACATGTAGGCATTCTTCATGCAGCTGGTAAATTATGGACCTTGACATGTTTAGTTGAAGACTTGCTAAGTTCGTCTGTTACGTTATGCTGAGCTTAGTGAAACAGTATGTTTCTTTAATGTCTAAATGAGTAGCATATATTTCAGGCCGCATATGGTTGCTTTATAAATACAATGTTATTCTGATTTGCTGCGGGAGCCTGGAAGCTATAGGTGGCCAAGTCACTTTTAGCACAATAACGTACTGTAGCTCGCTCGATGTTTTGTACTAGAATGTTCAAGCTCGTGGGCGCTCGGTTGATTATGTTCTCACAATATATCAATCTCCAAGGAAATTATATCGAGGTATGAAAAAGCATCATCTTGTAGATCAATACATGATGAAAGGGTTTACAGTAAAATGGTTTCTGCTCAAAAAGCTCAAACAAAATACTAGCGACCTGGAGTGCGTTAGTTGGCCTAGAACCACTTAACTTGTATATTCACGATTGTGCGCAGATTGTCTCGCTGAAGAAAGTATCACAACACCGTGCGCAGAAAGTAGCCTTAAGTGAAGAATCTCGCGCTGCTACTTTCTACCCATCACCACAACCATAACACTTCCTTCCCTCCCCTCCATCTTCTTACACCTACCCACTTCCCATCTGATTCTTAGCTCAAGATTTGCTTTCATCTTCGTTCTCCACGATGGAATTTTTCGGCGAGCCCAGTATGGCTCATCAACAGACGAGTACTGCCAGACCCACAAACCCAGGCCCTCGCCTTTCCCGAGTGCACAATTTGGATGCAAAGTTCTTCTTGAACCGCCCAATGGAGGATATCATCCCTGCAAAATACCTGAGACGGGCAGAACATACGTGTAAGTTTAAGCTTCCAGGCCATGGTTCATCTTAATACAGTCACCCGAAACCCTACCACAAACTCTACCCCAGGTTTTCGCATGTCGATTGCCCATATGTACTAATCACTCTCTCGAACAGCGTCTGTTCAGCGAAAGCCCTGGATTTTCCGTGGAAATGTCGAGGATGCCCGCGATGTTGACCAGGGCGAATGGTCCAAAGTCGATATCCGATATAGAGGAGTCTTCAAGACCCTAGCCAAAGTACCTACTTTCTCAAAGGGGCTGTGGGATGGCGGGTCTGAAGACCATATGGTTCAAACTGATTCAAGAAATTCGCGATCCCAGGGGCAGGTCATCTACGCGCTGATGAATGAGGTTGCAGATATGATTGATCTACAGCGACCTACCCGAGAAGGCGATGCCATTTTCTTCTTGAAGTGAGTGATAAGTCATCCTTTAGGCTGTATGGTCAGGTCTTGTGGAAATTGTCCATACTGATCACCATTCCTTTACTCCCAGGCCCCGACTTGTATCCACCACGCTTGAATACTGGACTGGATATCGCGAGAAACACAGAGATGGGCCCAATACTTCGGGCTTCCTCTCGCTAGAATTTGAGCCTGACAATGGCCAGTGCTGGCCATTGTTACCCGTGTCTACAGTAAGTCTCCTCCACTATTTGCAACTAGTCACATCTTATACACTCTGAGAATTACCATCTAACAGCCAGCTACACACCAGACAATAAAAGAAGAACACCTCATCTCAGCCCTGAACGAAAAGTTCAAGCTAATGCTGGGCCAATTACTCCTCCACGTTCGCCCTCTCCATATCCCTGGCGACAAACTTCCGGATCAAGAGATATTCCTTCTGGGTCTCCACGGCTCAAAGCTCCACCTCATGCGGGCCTACTTCCCAGGCCAGAAAATATCCAGCCTCTGGTGCCGCCGCGAAGTCCCAGGCCCAGCACCAGTCCTATTTCCCCCTAACCGCCGCCGTCGAGCACAGTCCTCCCCTTCAGCGCCACACACAGTGCACATTGAAAACTACGACGCAGACACGGAAGACGATACCGATGATATCGATGGAGCCATGAACTTCCCCACAGCCACAAGCGCAAATACAAACACAGACACGGATATCGCTGGATTACCCCGTCCGCCAACCCGTCGAGGCCGCGCCACCTCTCTCCGTAGCCCCCGTTTCTACGGCGCAGAGAATATGGAGCGAGTCCGTCGGCACCTCGAAGCTACCCGTCTACGCAGACTAGACTACGAGCCAAATCCACGCACCTTCCGTGTTCTAGCTACACGCGAGTACGATCTATGGGTGAAACAGGATTTCACAGCGGTAGTACAGCTGCTCGCTGCGTTGCAGATGTATCTGCTTAGCGGAGAAGCGAAATGTGGAGCTATCCAAGAGCTTTTTGAGAAACATCCTATCAACCGTGCAGATGAAGAAGATGAAGATTCTGATTCGGACTCTGATTATTTGTTTCCTGGTGTCTATTCTGAAGAACAGCGGAGTATGTTGATGAAGGAGCATATCAAGACTGAGGAGAAGAGGATTGCAGAGCAGGAAGAAGTGTTGCGACGTGATCAGGTTGCGAGATGGGCGGAGGAAGATCGGGTGGCTAGGGTTTCGGAGGCCATGAGAGTTGGGGGCGAGGATGGGATCTCTAGCTTGCGGGAGGCGAGGAAGCCTTGGTGGGAGTTTGTTTGGGATGATCAGGAGGGGGTTTCGAGGGGTAACGCTGATGAGGATGAGGAGATGATTGTGGGAAATGTTATGTAGAGGGTTTTACAGAAGGGTTGGAATGTCCTCGACGTTAAGAAGTATCTAGGAGGCTATTTTTATGTTGAGAAACATCAGAATGCAATATGGACTTAAATTTGTTTCAATCTAAACTTGCGAGTCTTATGTGTGATTTGGACGTAAATGCCAACGCTAGATGACTGTGCAAGATTGGGGGATAAGATGGGTATAGAAATGTGTAGAGTAGTGAAGCCTGCCTCACGATTCCTCTTTCGAATAAAAAGACCGATGATCAAATCGATAAGAAAAATAGAATGTGGCACACCAATGGTTAATCCCGGTGACGCCGCTCTGACTCGAAGGCAGTGAAGCCATCGATGCCGTAACCGTCTGTTCCTCCAGTACGGAAGTACTCAACAACCACCCCGATAGCATAGCATGATGCTGCCGTGGCTGTACTAGTCAAGATTACCCGGCGAAAAATCTTGTGGGAAATTGACTCTGGGTGGGAAGACACGGGTTCCTCCACACTTCTTGATCCAGGGGTTGGGGGTGGCTACAGAGTCGACCAGTTAGGATGGCGAGTGGAATAGACAGTTTCACTGTCTGCTCACCTGGTTGGTGAAAGATGGGCTCGAGGAGCTGGCGGAAGCTCTGGTGGGTTCGGAGTCATGTCGAAGAAACTGGGCGGTCTCCATTTGAGGAGCAGGGTCACGCTTGGTGGGGGCTTGGGAGGTGACATTGTCCGCCTTTCTGAAGACCAGAATGTCACCGCCGCCAGTGATAATCTCATAGCCATCACGCTGCATCTGTTCGAAGTATGGGACGAACTTGCCAGGGTTTTGAAGGCGAGACAAGACCTCGACCAGAGGACAGGATTCGTTCACACCAAAGAACAAGTCAGACTCGGCTGTGGTTACTTGCGATGCGGAAGAATCATAAGTCAGAATGCGGTAGACAGCAGCCGGGGGCTCCTGAGTCTCCGAGATGGAGCTATTTTTGGCTTGTTGGAAGTAGTCGCCAAGACGGTCTTCAGTGCCAGATAATTCGATATCATTGGACGAACAGGACTGGGGCTTGATATCTGCATCCAACAAATCATAACGAGCCCGGATATCGCTGGCTTGCAAAGAACTCAGATCCTCAGTCAAGGCAGGGCTGCCACCAGCTGCCTTGGTAATGAACATGGCTTCTAGCTCATTGCCAGATCGGCAGTCTTGAGTGATGTTGGCCTGTTGAGTATGGAGATCATCAGCGACTAAAGAGGGTTGGAACTGTCCATATTCAGTCGTGGAGATCGACTCGGCGATCAACTTCGCGTCCAACTCACTGCCCGGTGGGCAGTCAACAATGGCTTCAGCATTGTCGCCAGCTATCCCAAAGGAAGGATTAGAAGCAAACTTTGCATCCAGCTCATTTCCCGGGGAACAGTCAACCAAGGTATTTGTGGACTCAAGAGGATACGTTTCATGATCCTTCAACGGATATGCTTGATCCATACCAATGGCAGGGTTTGAAGCAAACAGGGCCTCCAACTCACTACCAGGAGCGCATTCGACGCTTTCCCCAGACTTCAAGCCAGCATCCACAGACAACTTCTTCATGTGTCTTGAAGGTTTGAAGACCTCAGCTTGAGTCTGACCAGAATGATCAAATTCAGAAGTGAACAACGCCTCCAACTCGTTACCAGGAGGGCAATCAATGTTGATGTTAGGCTTATGAGCAGACTCTTGATAATCCCCGGTCTTAGTTCGAGCGTTCTGGTAGCTGGTCGGAATGAAGGTGAAGAGGGCATTCAGCTCGCTTCCAGGAGGGCAGTCGACTGTCTGAGAGTCAAATGGCTCTTTGGGAGCAACTTCCCTAGGGGCAGCTCCCGGTTGAAATTGATGCTTGTCAGCCAGAGACGGGTTGCCAACAAAATTTGCCTCCAGCTCACTCCCAGGAGCACAGTAAACAGCAGGTTGCGGTTCCTTTGGTACCATACGACCACAAATAGGGTCGTATCGAAGATTGTCTCGACTAATCTCTGGAGATTGAGTGAAGTTGAAGTCTTGGAGGTGTGCCTTGGGATGAACATCTTTGGCCATAGGGTGCTCGGCATCGATGAACGACCACAGTGAGCCCGGCCGAGATTGATGAAGCTCATCCATTCGTTTGAAGAAGTCTACTTGATACCCAAAGATTGCACCAAAAGGGCGTTCGGAGAACTGAGTTCTCAAATTTGACATCCGCTCTAGCATCTGTTCTCGTTCGGATTCCCAGAAACTCATCTTTCCGCCAGCGGAGATGCCTGAGAACCCAGAGCGGGTGCTGGCGAGAGGTTCGCGATTAGACTTGTCAAAGGGCCAAGTTCGTTCTGATTTATTGCGTGGACCATGGGTGTTCCGAGCAGCGCAGCATATGCTTCGACTTTGGGTGGTATGGGAGTACGCTAATTGGGACAGGGCCGGGCGGGCAATACCAGGTCTCGACGTCGCAACAGCAGAGAATGCGGCTGAAGAACTCATGACGGAATTCTCGATGATTGAATAGAGCTGGTATCTGATTTGGAAGTACACTGGATGGTATTCACAGAGGCTGGATGGTTCGCGTAAGGTCTAAGATTCGAAGGTGCTGTAGATCATATCTCCACCAAAACCCACACGATCTAAAGCGGGTCGCGCTTATCTGATGCGCCCGATGGGTCCACTGGGATTGTTGAAAAGAAAGACTTTGGAATACCGTGACGTTGAGGCAAGAGGGCAGGAAAGTAAATGTGATATTGGAGATAGAAACAGAAAAAAGTAGCCAAATAAGAGGAAGGGAATCTTTAAAAGGGATGACGACGAGGGAGATTCCATATACCAGTAGGAGGACAGCCCTCCGACATAGCGGGGGGAGAGACTGAACCGTGGGGTCAACCAATCATAATCGAGTAAGTCGCATCCCCGCGAGCCAAATTGCTGAGGTCATCAGCACTTTGACGTCACCCTATCTCTTTTTCTGCTTATCATTGGTGATAAATCCGCGTAACCTTCCATCCTTGATGAACCATATCAGCATGCAGTATGGAACCCAGATCTAAGTCGTCTCTGGTTACTATGACCTAGGTACGTGTATTCATGGTCGACTCTTAAAACCAGGTGAAATCAACTGGGGGTGTCAATGAGACCATTGATCCAGAACCGTAGCCCTTCCACCCCTTCCTCCCTGCAGAGAGCCCCCCGGTCTTCTGCCATCTCAAGCTCTTCAGCAGCCACGCCAACACTCCATTTGAAACGCTGGGCCGTTTCTTGAGCAGTAACGGCCCGACCGAATACTGTCCAATCCCATGGGACCGATTCCTCCGGCGGGACTCGCCGTAGCTCTTCCATCCAGTCTTGTAGTTGACGAAGTGTCTTTTCATCGCTCCAGTCATATTGCTGAACGACTAAGAGCCCGCTCTTGAACCGTCGTAAACGAACCGGTAATCTGAGCTTCTCCCAGAGCTCCGCAGCACGTTGGAAATCTGACGGGCTAATGAGTTCCACTCCATTTCGTGACCGATTAAAGACCGACCATAGATCGATAAGACTCATAATGCCCCCTTCTCGTTGTAGAATACCTTTACGATCATCGGTCAGGTATTCGGCCAAATTGCGGGCTAGTTCTGATAGATAAAGATTCTCCGATCCAGAGCTGAGCATGTCCTTAGTGGTGACCATCCCTAGAGCGGCTGCAGATTCAGATAAGACCGCGGTAGTCTCGGCGGACCCCTCGTTCGTGGACATGCCCGACTCCCGTGCCAGAGTTTCAGCCAGCGCAACAATTTGCTTGGCAGAAGCCATTAAAGCTTCTAGATCCTCGAAAGCGTTACCGATCACTAGTTGATTGTTCATCCGTGCTTCCAGTCCCCGCTGTTCCAGGCCCGCAATTCCCACGGCAGATACTCGTGGAGGTGCTGGTTGAGGACTTTCCAGCATGTTAGTAGAAGTAGTAGTCGTGGGCGCACTTGATGCACTCTGTTCAGGGGGAGGCACAGGGGGTGCGTTTTGAAGCAGCCATTTTCGCTGGATTAGAGCGTTCTTCAGTCTCTCATGGAAAGTTTTATCTCCACCTCCACGGAAAGAGAGCTTGATGCTCTCGATCACTTCAGTGTTCGGATTTCGCGATTGCTCGAAGAATGGAGCCGGGGAATCAGTACGACGACCACGAGTCCGATCCAAAGAAGCCGTAGATACTAATGGTGCCCCGCACATTTCACATTCTATTAAAGATGGATGGTTCACAAAGGTGCATCGAGGGCATGATATGGAATCTGATGCAACGGGCACCGATTGATGGTCAGTGCCATGGATCGTATTATCTCCAATGGGAACTGAGCTGGGTCGTGGAAGAGGTTCCCGACTGGCTGCAGCACTGACCGCAGCCTTTAAAACGGTTGTAAAAGGTGGCTTAATACCGCATGCTAGGCATGGTGGTAAATGGGTCGTCGGTTTCGCTGTGGCAGGATCGAAATTTGAAGGCACAGGATTCGAGAAGGTGCAAATGGGACAGATCCACGTCGAGTTCACTGAGGTGGAAGGCGGCTTTTGCGGGGCGATCGATAGTGGAAGAGTAGAACCCGGCTTGCCTGAGCTTGGATAGAGGGTCGATGATGGGGGCACGGCAGGACTAGACGTTGCACTGCGCGACTTATCGGTCTTACTCTTTTGCGGTTTGGGATATATAGTAATTTTTGGAGACGATTTCAGAAAGCCTGCCTTTGCATATATCCACCATGTTAGTTAGGCGATCGTTTATCTTGGAGTGGGGGAGGGGTCGCTCAAACCTGATATTCAGCACGATCAATTTCCTTCAGATCGATCGCCACCGAGTATTTTCGAGGATCATCTGTCGCTACATAGCATACCCGATGGGATGTTAAGTAGGCATGGCCATCTTGATAATCGGGGATCTTGTATTTCCTAGTCAGGGCACTTATCAGTAAACATATCCAATGTTCATAGCATCATAACAAACGGCATGCACCACTTACCCCTCATACAGCCCCACCGCATCCTGGACAAAGAGAAGAGTCTCGTCAGGTAACAGCAAGGGTCTCAGTGCAGTCGTCAGGTCCAAAGACTTGAAAAACATCTAGCAGGTTCACACGCGGTGACAGCCATGGCTTGGCTTGCGATAACAGATAAAGCACGGATGACGGGGATCCGGAGAAACCAATGTTCCTGCCAAGCGAAAGCAGATCGTCAGTTCGATTCTTGTGTGTTTCATCCTCCCAAGGTTTCCAAGTCTTAATACCCTTCTTGACCCTCGAATTCAAACCTCAACTTACACCTTTCGTCGAATATCTTGTGGCGTAGGAGCATTTCTTTTCTTCTGTCTCCTCTCTTCGACCACTCCCAGTTTCCCCCCTTCCCAACGTAGCCATTTTTTCTCTCGTCTTACCTTCCGATTATCCACCTTTTCCATCTCTTCTTTGATTTCTTTTGCATCACCACAACTTGTTTCTTAGAAGTTGGGATGAGCTCTAGCATTCCTCCTTGGCGTGCGACCGCCTCGGCTCCTTCTACCGCAGGAGCTTTTACAACTGGTAAGCAGAAGAGGAGAATCCAAATGACCTGGCTTGGCGCTAACCTTGATACAGCGACCCCTGCCTATATTCCAGTACAAGCCCGTCGTAGCCTCAACCACCATAACAAGTCCAACCCTTCAACCTTGAACGGAGCATACCAGCCCGCTATGTCGACAACGGATACAGCCCAGGCACGTGTGGAGTTCTCTCCTGCTATTCGCACCTATGTACAGCGATGTTTTGCTCCCGAAAATCAGATCGCCAGCGTGAGCACCGCCGAAATGCAGGAGAAGCTCCGAGAAGTCATCACCAACGCCGCGAAAAATGATCGACTTAATGCCATCGACTGGGAGCGACTGCAACTACCCCAAATTATAATCCAGAACGAACGCAACAAGATCTTGGCCAACCCCAGCGTCTCGAGCTGGGCCATGTCAGGTCAACCCGCATCTCCTGGAGATGCCTCGCGCAAGCGCAAGTCGACAGAGCACCAACAGTCTGAGCCTGACTCGCCACCATGGAGAAAAACTAACAATCGCAATCGTTTTGAGGACCGAGTCACTTACCCAACAACAGAGAAGAAAAGCCGCATGGCACTGGACGCGTCAAGTAAGTCCAAAGCTAATTTGGAGATGAGGAAGAAACGGTTTGAGGGGGCTGGTGCCACTTACGGGAAATCGGCCACCTCCTCTCCCCAGCCCGAAGTGGACCAAGGACCCGTCGTTGGAAGATGCGAGAAATTAGAGAAAAACTATTTCCGTTTAACTTCTGCACCGAATCCGGATACCGTTCGTCCTTTGTCGGTCCTGAAGATGACCCTGGATCTCTTAAAGAAGAAATGGAAAAAGGAGGGCAACTACGGCTACATATGTGACCAGTTCAAGTCCCTTCGCCAGGACTTGACAGTCCAACACATTCGGGATGAGTTCACCGTGTCCGTTTACGAGATTCATGCACGCATCGCCTTGGAGAAAGGGGATCTTGGTGAGTATAACCAGTGCCAAACCCAACTGCGGGTTCTCTACTCGCAGCAGCTGGGCGGCCACCCAACGGAATTCAAGGCCTATCGTATTCTTTATTTCATTTACACCCGGAACTGGACCGCTATGAATGATGCTCTAGCCGATGTGACTGCCGAAGACAAGAAAGATCCCGCTGTCAAGCACGCTCTTAATGTTCGCTCCGCTCTCGCGCTCGGAAACTACCATCGTTTCTTCATGCTCTACCTGGATACCCCTAACATGGGTGCATACCTCATGGATATGTTTGTGGACCGTGAGCGGTTGAGTGCTCTTGCCGCCATCTGTAGAGCGTACGTGTATCCATATCATCCTCTCTCTTATCTATGGTTGCTGACTGAGACAATAGCTACAAGCCCGACGTGACTATTCGGTTCATCACTGAGGAACTGGGATTTGAGTCCGATGAACAGACCGCACGCTTCGTCATTGATCACTCCTCTGCGGACCTACTCGAAGAGAAAAGCGGGACTGTGAGGCTGCTGACTGGCAAGGCGGGTGGCCTGTTCGAACAAGCCAAGGCAGAAGCCCACCGCGTCGTTGATATCAAAGGGCAAATCTAAAGCCAGTTTCGATACAGAATTTCCCGTCCCGGGGTTTCACGTTAATCACATCTAGGCTGGTCATCCAAATTATCATATTTGTGGCCGCCGTGGTTTCCTTGTCTTAAGTTCATTTCATTTTTCAGAGCGACAGGCGTTATTTTGGTCTCTCAAAACCCTCGAACCCCCCCCCCCCCTTGAGTTGTGTGGCATCTTTTTTTCGATTCCCCTTCCCAGCTTTTCAGCCTTCAAGCATCCGCGGTTTCACATTTGGAGTCCAGCCATAACTTCCAGCACGACCAGCAACCATACTAATATCTTGCACATTTGGCATCGATGGATGGACGGATTTGGCGGAGTGTATGCGACTGTTTTGCTGGCGTCCCCAGTAGATATCTTTTACCATATTCCCAGCAGATTACATTTGATGACAAAAATTCAAACTTCATTGCATATTCATGACTGTGCCACCTTTCGCCACTGTCACGAACCTTGGGAAAGTGGCTAACGACGGGATGTTTTTTGACCTAACTACCGATTGGTGCCTGATTAGCCAGGTATCAACACTAGAACCTAAAATTGCGTTACCATGATCTCTGGTTCCGTACTCCGTAGAAAGGAAGATGTGCAATGTTTTGCCCCCCCAGATTTTTGAATCCCGGAGACAAGGTAATTTGACTGCTTTCACTAGTCTCCACGCCATGCCTCGGGTCTCGCGCAACCGACAGTTAGTAGCCCATACAAGCCTAATTACCGCCGGACCACGTGGGTCCCACGCTTGTGGCAACCATGGGTGGCCAGAGGGGCTCTTTACAGTGGCGCGTACCGTTTTCCTATAGTGACTTTAGTGTCATGGGGGACCTAGACCGATTAGCGGGGGAGATGAATTTACTACAATTACCGTTGTAACGCTAATTTAAGACATTTATCGCATTTACACTTTGTACCCCGTATAGCGGAAAGGGTTAAATATGTACTTAAAAGGGTGTGTTGCTGACATTACTGATCCTGGTAATTCGATCAATCAGGCAATCTTGACATCATAATTTCCCCCATGATCGGCGCTGTCTTGACCAACTACGGTTGATGGGACTGATCTTCATCACCCCTATACGGAGTAACGAGTACTCCGAATATAGCGTTAGAAAACCGCCCCCAACGCCCTTCCCCATGAAATCCCGCGAACCCGAACCCTGATATGCAACGCATAACCAACCCTATCTTGATGATTAATGCAGGCGTATCTCGTACCTGGAAGCCACCCAGGAAAATTGGCATCCGGCCCACTGGAAATGCTCCGTTAGGCGTAGTTCATCGGGCGAGTGCAGAAGCCGCGCATCCGAGTCTCAGAATTTAATTTATTTGGATCTAAACTAGACGTTTTTAATTATCATTTCATTTCTGAAGGTCTATCCAGATCTAGATGCTCCCTTGAAAGAGATGTCTCAACCCCAGTGGCTTTCTCTTTTATGTTTCCCTACCCTTTGACGTATTTCTTTGTTGATCGCCTGGAGCAAGGTCAAAGGCCACGACGATCCCAGCGTAATTGGGGTAGAAGGCCGTCAGATCCACGGTCCCAGCGTTTCTCGGACCACGGAATCTGGCTAAGGGTGGGGGCCCTGGTAATTGGATACATGAATTCTTGTTTTTTTTTTTTTGGCGCCTTCTCCCGGGAATTGTGCAAATCAGCGTGACCTGGGGGGCATGTGGTTATTAAAAGACAGACCAGTCAGAAGGCAAAGGACATTTTCTAGGATGGCAGGGTGTGATTATTAGCCGCCGATGGCTTCTGCCCAACGAGATCCCGGCGGAGTGGATGTTGTATTGTAACCAGATTACCAGGTATCATATCCCGAGTGGACACTTCCGACATTTAAGGATGTTCTGGTTCAGCTGGAATGATCAGCCAAATAGACCACTGCGCATTTTCCTGCAATTTTAGTGCATACATCAAAGAATCTCGTACTCCGTAAGAAGTCTAAAATACATCAGCTCGAGTACAAGGTGGCTCATTCATCATTTTTTGCCACAGCTAGGAACCCGGTCTACGTTCCCTGGTTGACGTAGGCTTCTGGAAGGTTTATGGATCCATAAAAGATTGAATCGCCATTGGAGATAGAAGGACTATAATAGAATTGCCCTTAAAAAAGAAAACGAAAAGAAAAGCGGGCCTTTACAACTCCAATCCCAATCCAGCCCGTTCCTGTGGTTGGAACCGCAATACGCAGATTACACCCTTGGTCACTCACTGCTTCCTTTGCTCAGTAACGTGCTCGTGCTTCCAAAAAAAAAAAAAGTAGGAACCTCCCTGATTTCCTATTTCTTCTTCTTCTTGGAATCTTTGAAATCAAGACTCCTCTAACTTGATCCGCCTGGGCTTCCGTTCGACATGAAGGTGAGTTCCCACACCCCGCCACTGAAACATTACCAACTCAGAGGGTATTGTGTGTGTCATTTAATTAACCCGCAATCCCCAGGCTATCAGGCGGTCCTTGAAGGGCGAGAAAGACCCCAAACATCACCACATCTCCATTACCCCTAAGTCCGCTCTTGCCATTCTACCTCCTAAGAAGGTGAGTTTTTCCCGAATTTCCCTTCTACGCGTGAGAATCGCGTCTTCCTTTCCCACCCCACCCAGCCACCAAAGGAGAAGAGGGGGGGGAAAAGAGTTCCACAATTCCAATATTCCAGACAAAAAAGACGACGCGCCCCTCTCTCCCTTGTGTGTAACCCGTGCTTGGCAAGTGGCTGACGCACTTTGCGCGCTCGCAGGTAATCAAAGCTCTTTACGACTACAAACCCGAACCCGGCACCTTCCAGGAATTGGCATTCAGCAAGGGAGACTTCTTTCACGTTATCAGCAGGGAGGACGACGAAGACTGGTACGAGGCTTGTAATCCACTCATCCCTAGTGCCCGGGGGCTCGTGCCCGTGTCCTTCTTCGAAGTTATCGGAAAAAACGAAAGGGATAGTGGGGGTTCGGTCGATCTGCATAAAAAGGACCACCACGACTCTGGTTTCGCCGACCGCAGTCCCGCTCCTGACTCCTCTCCTAACAACACCCGCCAACCGACTTTCAGGATGTCTGCCATAGCTAAGGGCCAGGGCGCCATGGTTTATGGTATCGTCCAGTACGACTTCCAGGCAGAGCGTCCAGATGAATTGGACGCTCGCGCCGGCGAGGCCATTATTGTTATTGCCCAATCCAACCCGGAATGGTTTGTCGCGAAACCAATCGGCCGTCTCGGTGGGCCTGGTCTGATCCCCGTTTCCTATATCGAACTGCGCGACATGCAGTCTGGTCAGGCGGTGACGGACCCCCTTGAGGCTGTGCGACGCGCTGGAGTTCCTAAGGTGGAGGAATGGAAGAAGATGACTGCTGAATACAAGAACAGCAGCATCACCCTAGGGAAGATTGATTCCTCACCCACCAACAGTGGCATGGGGCAAATGACTGGATCAATGGACCAGATGTCGATGAGCTCAGGAAACTCTGGCCACATGAGTCAAAACGGGAATGCCTACGTGAGTTTTTGATCGCATTACTTGTTGATGTGGCCTTGCTGACTATTCGCTCGTTTCAGGGATATCACCAACGTAATGCCAGTAAAGGCACATTGTCGTCGCAGGCCCAACAGTCGCACACCCCTTCACAAAATTACCCGCTGCTTGCTCCCGTCGCCGCTTCGATTCCCCGCTACTGCTTCGACAACGACAAGTACTGGTATATTATTGAGGCGAAGATGGAAGATGGTCGATGCTGGGAATTGTCGCGTTATTACCATGATTTCTACGACTTCCAGATTGCGCTTTTAACCCAATTCGAGGATGAGGCTGGTAACCGAGGCCGCCAACGGACACTGCCATTCATGCCCGGCCCCGTCACCCATGTCACCGATGCGATCTCCAATGGCCGCCGACAGAACCTTGACGAATACATCAAGAAGCTCCTGGCGATGCCCCCGCACATCGCGCGCTGCCAGCTGGTTCGTCAACTGCTTGCGCCTCGGCCAGGAGACTTTGAAATCGACCCCAACGCATTTGGCGAGGAGGCAAGATACTCCGACAACTCCCACCACTCTTCCGGCGCGGAGCCCTCACAGAGTGTGTCGCGACAGTCTTCACAGCTACCAATGAACGCATCACAAGATCGAATTTCGCAACAACAGAACCTAGGCGCACCAGGCTCGGCACCTTACAGCAATGGCGCCCCGCCACCAATGAATCGACAGGCGAGCTCCTTGACGCAAGTCTCTACCACTTCAAACACCGCGATGAAGGTCAAGGTGTTCTTCCAGGATGATCTTATCGCTATCCGTATTCCTAACGGTGTCAGCATGCAACATCTCAAGGACAAGCTTTCAGATCGGTTGAAGATCCAGGAAGACATTATCGTGCAGTACAAGGACGAGTCCACCGGCACCTATATCGACCTGCTCTCTGATTCAGATTTGGATAATGCCATGCAGCGTAATACGAAGCTCACTCTATTCGTCAGCATTGCATAAACAAAAGCAGTCGTTTTGTTGTCGCAGTTGTGATAGGCCTCCTGCTTGGTGCAAGGATTTTGTTCAATTCCCTGGTATATTTTTTATGTCTCTTCTTTTCCTATGATTCTGCAATGAGTATGGCGCATCGGAGTTCGGGCATCCCATTTTCGACATTCTCCGTGCTCCATCAGCCCTTTCAGCGATTTGCACTTGATTTTTTTTTTTGGAAGGGGAAGATGGTGTTACGAATATTATGCGTGATGTATGGTATGGATTTTCCTTTTTCGCCAACCCTTCTTTTCTTGCAAATGCTTCCGTGATCCTGTTCCGAGGTATCGTTTTGTTTTGTTGTTCCTTCGGCTATCATTTTCATTTTCTTATTTGCGATATCTCGACCGTTCTCGGGTGACATACCCCGGTCTGCGTGCTTCGGTGACATGTACATATGCTCCTTTTTTTCGTGCATATCTAGGAAAGGCTTCCTGTTCTACTTGTGACCAAGCAATCGAATGTAATATCCTAAGATGTGTCATTCTCGTCCAATGCTTCCCGGCGTCCAGTTCTAGTTGCCGATAACAGCCGATCTACTTCCGAACCACGTGACTCGGCTCATCGGCCCGCTATTTTCTCGCCCTGACAGCCATAGAATGGCTTCCGATTAGTACATTCTTTGCCCATTGTAGATACTGCGACATTGTGTATATTTTTTGACCTGGAGAAACCACCAGCGCACCGCTGAACCCTCATACCCCCAGTTGCGCGTACCTGCCACCGCCTTGATCCACTTGTACGCCGCTTCCCCGGAAAAAAACAATTCCTGCGACACCTCGGCTACGTCCTTGCCTCAGCGTTCCGACAATCCACGCGCCACGATCCGCGCATTATCTTGAACCGTATATACGCATAGCATTATCAGAATCGCAAATGAGTCGGCCATCTGCCAAGCTCTGCGCCGAGTGTTTCCCGGGCTCCTTGCGGCCGTCCCGGGCACTGCGGGGCGTTGGTGTTGCTCGTGAGAGGACATACAACGCTGCTCAGCGCAGTGGGATCTCCTCTGCGGCTGCACGTCGGGATAGGACCTCGCCATGCACTTTTTCTGCCGGCAGATTTGTGGGTGAGCAGTCACCATTGCGATCGACGCAGAGGGTTCGGGGCCTGGCCACTACTAGCGATGCGACAGTAAAGGAGGCTGAGGTGGAGAAGGTGTCTGGACCCCCGCAGGATGGACCGATGAAGGAGTATGACGACCGCGTGCAGGAGGGTCGTTTGCGCGATGACCCGTACCAAAGAGGTAAGCCGGACATGCGTAGTTTAAAACATAAGCGTATTGTATGCGCTGGCTAAAGACTTTTAACTGATCTGAATCTCTTCCATGTAGCAATTATTCAGAACCTGCAGAACTTATACGAGGCTCTGAAAAATTATACTCCTCCTGCCGTCATTCATCCATCTGTCCAGTCCTTGGACCCCGAACCTGAACGGTCTTTCTTTGCCTCGTTGTTCAGCCGTGGTGGCAAAGAAGCGCCAAAATCGACGATTCCCGAGTCCCTCCCCAAGGGTCTGTACATGTTTGGCGACGTTGGGTGTGGAAAGACCATGCTTATGGATCTGTTCTTCGATACCCTGCCTCCCAATATCAAGACCAAGACTCGCATTCATTTCCACAACTTCATGCAGGATGTACATAAGCGCATGCATGTTGTCAAGATGAAGTATGGTAACGACTTTGATGCATTGCCTATGGTTGCTGCAGATATCGCCGAGACTGCTAGTGTGCTTTGCTTCGACGAGTTCCAGTGCACTGACGTCGCCGATGCGATGATCTTGCGGAGGTGAGATATCACCTTTGATTATTATGACACCGGAGGCCCTCATTTACTAATTATTTAACAGACTCCTGGAGATCTTAATGTCACACGGTGTTGCCGTCATCACAACCTCCAACCGTCACCCCGACGATCTGTACAAAAACGGCATCCAGCGTCAATCATTTATTCCCTGCATCAACCTTCTCAAAAGCCAATTGAACGTGATCAACCTGAACTCCCCCACGGACTACCGCAAAATTCCTCGCCCTCCTGCCGCAGTTTATCACAACCCGCTTGGCTCAGACGCAGACGCCCACGCTCAAAAATGGTTCGACTACCTAGGCGACCCAATCAATGACCCACCCCACCCAGCAACCCAAGAAGTTTGGGGCCGCACTATCCAAGTGCCTCTAGCGAGCGGCAAAGCCGCGAAATTCACCTTCAACCAGCTGATTGGCACAGCCACCGGTGCAGCAGACTACCTCGAGCTCGTCCGCCATTACAATGGCTTCATCATTACTGACGTACCAGGCATGAACCTAAACCAACGCGATCTGGCCCGCCGGTTCATCACCTTCATTGACGCAGTCTACGAAAGCCGCGCGAAGCTCGTTCTTACCACCGAAGTCCCGCTGACGAACCTCTTCCTCTCTGCGGATGACATCAAGGGGTCGATGAAGGATGGTGATCACTCTGACCTGTCGGATGCCATGCGCAACCTCATGGATGATTTGGGTATGTCTGTGCAGGCGCTTAAGAATACGTCTATTTTCAGCGGTGACGAGGAGCGCTTTGCCTTTGCACGTGCGTTGTCCAGACTTTCGGAGATGGGGAGCAAAGAGTGGGTTGAGCGGGGCATGGGTGTTGGTATGAGTGAGCAGGGGAGCAAGGAGGATCGAGAGGCTTGGTTGAAGACTCGGAGTCATTGGAGTGAAGATAACATGTAGATAGCGTTGAAATTTTGGCGGCATCTGCATTCTGTTTTGCATATCTGTTACTTGTATTCTTGAAGCTTTTAAGATAGATACCTGTGTAGATATTGGTGGTTAAACTATATAGGAAAGTTGTATATATTCAAAGAAATGTCCTAGTCACGTTGTTTTCGCTAATTGGTCAAATGGAGATCACCTGTAGGATCAAGATCAGATAGTTATGAAGTAGAAATAATAAACTCTTATTGCCGTGGGATATGCAATTACGACCATCAACCATTTTGACATCCCTCGTGATTTAGCAGTGTCCGAATTAAGTGTGGTCAGAGTACGGATATTGCCTTGGAGGTGGTCAGACATGGGGTTGGTATGTAGAATGGTAAAATATCTCTAAATCAATGGCGAGAAGGCCCACACGAGTCCTAAAGATGATGCTAACAGTGGTTTGGACCGTGTCAATTGGATGAACTGGTTTACGGGGCCTTTATTTGCGAGGGCTCAGAAGTAAATTCACGAAAGTCCTGCAGAGGGTCATTCCTCGATTCTTTGGGTCTCTTGTATGGTCAGTAGATACAGCGTTATAATATTCTCACGATCTTTCTTTCTCTGTCCGTACCGTTGATGAGATGGGAAACCCTTTGTTTGCCTACTTCTAGCCCCTGCCCTATCGTGGTAGTCGTCTCCTGATCTATGGCGCCAGCATGCAGAGAGGTTATATCCTCTTCTCTCAAATCGCAAGCATGAAAATTTCGTTCGTGATATACCGGTTTTGTGGTCCGGGAATGCTTTACCTATAGTACACCGTGCCATCCAGGTTCTAGTGAACAACAATAGGTATTTTACTTTATTGATCTCGTTCAGCACTGCGCATTATATTGACTTCAGAAGACAATATATTCTTATAAAGAGAGAAAAAAACTCCACTCATGACATGTCTATCCGCTCGGTCAGGAATATGTGGCTCGAGAGGAGATTGTTGGGTTGGTCAGAGGGTACCTGTGTGGGTGAGCAACAACAGCGCTTAGTGAATATTCAAGGCTGAAAGAGGTAGCGATTGGCGTTTTTCAAGTGATCGGGATGCTCAATTGAGGTTTGATGGAGTTGGCTGAAAATCGAAGTAGCCTTGCAATCTGACCCTGCCCCATCCCGTGATGCAAACTGATTGCTAAAGTTTCATTCCTATTTGCATTATACATAGATCGGCAACGATAAATGATGCACAAGCATTTGTGACGTGTTGAAATGCGGCTGGGAGCCTCACACTGCCCCTGGGCCTTGGCCCCAAAAGGCGCCCCATGAGACCCGCAATACCGAAACTTCGATCTTTACTTTGAACAACAATTTTTTATGCAGATCAGTGACTGGAAGCACCCACGCCGCTCAAGCCCAAGGGGCCGAAGTTTAGCATTGGCTCATCCGTCTTGCTGCGGGCGCAAAGACTCCACCACGCATGCATTAAATGACGATGAAATCTGGATTTACTGTGGGACTTTACAGTGACTAACATATATTAGGTAGGCTCCTGCTTCTGCTGCTTCATGCTGTCACTACAACTATCCATTAGCCCCTCGGATCTATTACCCCAGGCTCAGGAACAAAGAGGAATACTTCCTGTGGAGGTGAGTTACGCAGCAACTACTCTGTTATTCAGCATGTTGCCTTGAAACGCAAATCAACCGACAAGAACTCTGACTCCTGAGTCACAGCAAGCAAAAGCACCTAAAGATGCCTCAACCTGAAAACCGTTTTGGGGAGAATGGGTCCCTGGAGGTGGGCAACCAACCTCAGAAGCCAAAACGTAATGCCTGCCTTCGCATCTGTGGTTCTCCGTGGAGGGACCTTTCCACACTGGAGCGTTGTATGAGGATTCTTTGCTGGTTTGTTTTCTGGGTCGTTATAGGTGTTATCGTTGGTTTGATCGTCCGGTTTACATAATGAAAAGCGAATCGAAGGATTTATTCAGGAGATCGGTTAATTGCCAACTTCATTTTCAATGATCTATGACATTGTACTTGCTTTGAAAAAACCGAGTATAATAGCGTTTGACTCAACAAGCCGCCTCATTCAGGCAAATAGTTCGACAAGGATTTTAGAACTGAAAGAATATAACCCAGGTTGCACAGCTCATGAATGAGTGGAAGAGGCCACAGGTTTGTGCAACATGACAAAATATGATAGAACATGTTCGTAACTACTCAAAAGACGTACTAAATTCCTCATAGTCATTGGGCCGGAAGTCAATCTAAAGATTCAAATGCTGAACTATTCGATTGGCTATTCCAGTTCTCCGCTACCATATAATCTTCATCACCGTATGTTTCGGGAGCGAAGTCGAAATGTGTGGAACGAAGAGTAGGAAATCTGGAGTTGGATTGTGGGGGATAAGTAATAGATTGGATCCTGTCGATTGGCTCGTCTGTACCCCGGGCAGGAGTTACGTTCTGGACGACAGGGTCTGTGAGGGCTGCAACCCGAAACTCTCTCTTTCATCGCTTAATTATACAGCCATCTCTCGTGTTTTCTTCCCCCCACCCACCATCCATACAGACTCCTGTAACTTGTCTTTCGGTTGGTCTTCTTCGATTGCAGCATGTGCATTTATTCAGTCCGGAATACCCGAGGTCAGGGTCCGAACCTTGGGCATCGGAATGTGGGGTACCGGCGGGGCGGAGACATCGTTATTTTACTGCAAATGCTCCGCTTGGGTGATGTTCTCTGCTTACCTGGATTGATTGATGCCATTTGAAGATGTCAGCTTCATCACTCCAGAGCGTCTTAACTGCATTACTCATTTGAACCCGGACTCAAGCAGTGAAGGCATCCCTAAAAGTTTCTTCTCACGGAGAGCTCCCATCGGAATGGAAATTGCTGCCTCTCGATGTGTTTCAAAGGCTTTGAGACTAAGTTCGCGCCACTTAAATTTGTTTCGATTTGAATTTTTCTTTGTATGTATGCTTGTGGGCTTACAAAAAGATACCTGTGCGGGCATTGGTGATTCAAATAGAATTCTTCTTGTATACTGTATATCCATTATAAATGTTGTTTTTCCTGCTCATGTTGTTCCTTTCACGACCTCCAGCATTAGCCGCCGACCCCTGGGCGCGATATTGAATCTATCCTCCATTTCCATTTCCCAGCCTTCCATTTCCCTTCCAAGCTTGAAAACAAGCCCAGATCGCATAATCACCTCAACTGCAACATAGAGTTCCTCCAATGCCAGATTTTGACCAATACAATTTCGCCTACCCAGGCTGAACGGGGTCAACGACATATCCATCTCCTTTGTACTAGTTAACCAGCGCTCAGGGTAAAACCGGTCTGGCTCTGGAAACACCGACGGGTCACGGTGGTGCACGTAATTCTGCATTCCAATAACAGTCCCAGCCGGTAAGGTGTATTCTCCAAGCTGGAACGGCTCAGTCAGATGTCGTGGAAGGGTAGAAATGATGGTCGGAAACAAGCGGAAGGTTTCCTTAATCACAGCATTGATATATGGGCTATTCCGAAGCGCCAATATGTCGTTGGGTGGAAGACGCATTACTTCATCTCGTAGAGTGACTTGGGTTTCCCCGTTTTCGGGAGAAGCTAAAGCATAGAGCATGTATGCTAAGGTTGTCGAAGTTGTGCCACTTCCTGCAAACATGATACCCATGGCTTCTTCAACAAGTTCATCGTGGGTCAGCTTTCGACCCAAAAAACTGTCTGTCCCATGGAGTAGCGGGGACAGCAAATTCTTTTCGACGGAGGTCCCTGTCGACGATGTTCGTAGGAGATGATCAACCATCTCTCTTGACATCAGCTGCCAGTATGCATCCTTTCGATAACAGTCGCCAACGTGGCCGGGAAGCCTTTTTCCTAGTCCAGTCGAGCGTAGCAATGGCATTATGGACGTGAATATCAAGGTTTGCGCACTGCCGTCCATGGCATGCATCAGCTTCAATCCTAGATCCCCTCCCGTGGCAGAGAGATCGGTTGCAAAGCCTGCCTCGCATATGACTTCCAGGCTGTACAGTCCAGAAAGCTCAAACGCATTTACAGTCCCGTTGGGTGATTCTGTGGCTCGCCTGAGTAAGTTTCGGGCCAAGTCTTCCGCTTTCTTGTGAATCAAGGGGTTTAGTAGAGTGATTCCTTGAAGAGAGTATGGCGCAGCACTTAAGCGTCTGCGGGCGGCATGCTGAGCTGGATTTCTGCTTCTAGTCAGTATGATATCTCGCCACGAGTGTAGCTCGGGGGTGAAGTGCTCACGTCATCTGGAAAATGTTGTCTTCACCGACAAATGTGGCGATGGAGTAGAAGTGAGGATCTTTAATCACTGATCTCGAATCACTGTAAATTGCTCGATAATATCGATAGTCCCCAACTGATACTTCATTCGGTCCAATGCGTACTACCGAGCCATATCTCTTGTGAAGAGAATCCAGCTCCTAGTTACGGATTAGAGATGAAAAGCGTAGATAGGCATTAATGTGAAGGGATTTACTTGAGCCCGTTGTCCTTTGATTGCTTTCAGCGCAATTGGAAGTGAGGTTATTCGGGCCCACGATGGTCCTGGGAGTTTATTCAATGGGCTAAACAGAACCCGGAAAAAGAGCTATAGAGCATTTTAGATGATCACGATGCGGCAAACCTAAGATTGGAACCCCGGAACATGGTCCTTACTTTGAATATGGCTAAAACCGAGTACAATATGGCCAAACACAGTAGCACACGCCCGGAACTTCTCACAAGAAGTACTGAGATCTCCATGGTCATTGGGCAGGAAGTCAAACTAGATGTGAAAGTGCTAAATCCCCAGGTTTAGGAAATACGTTTCTTCATAGCACTTGACCTGCCTTTTTAAACACCATGTAGTTCTTCTTTCCCATCGGCTCTGGGGGTGGAGCCGAATTGTGTGGGGACGAGGATTCTGAGAACCTAGAGTATTATTGCGGGGAAAAAGGCTTGAGTGGATCCCTTCCTATTAACTCGTCTATAAACCAGAATGAAACAATCAATTCAAGGGAGATAGTACAAATATGGCGTCGGGAGCTGAACCTGTGTGAGAGAGTATAATATCGGCTTCATAGTACTAAGTTTCTGGGTGGCAACGTCTGCAAGGGCTGCGACTGTCATGTGAAGCTCCTCTGCTTTATGACTTAAATATAGCAATTATCTACTGTACGTGCAATTTCTACCCCGACGCAGCTCTATGCGCTAAGTATGCCGATTTGGTTTTCTTTAATCACAATATGTACGACTTTTCAGTCCGGAGTTACCGAGGTCAAGGACCGAAAATCTGGAAATCGGAATGTGGGGTATCAATGGAGCGGAGACATCGCTATTTCACTGCAAATGCTCCGCTCGGGTTATGTTCTCTTTGGGAAGTGTACATCCATTAAGTGACCATTTGATTGACAATGGAGTCGAATCTCCAGGAGTCCATAATATGTGAGCACTGTGGAAGGGGGTTTGGCCGCCAAGAACACCTCGATCGCCACGTCCGCTCACACTTAAACCACCGCCCGTTTCGCTGTGACGGCTGTGATCGTTATTTCTCACGCCGGTACGAGGCCCATCAAGATCTTTCGTCTGTTTATATAGTGACTTCGTCTTACAACCTTTTCAGAGATACTCGGAACCGCCACGCTGCTGCAAGCTGTCCAAAAGCAGGACGTCCTCGCACCAGAGCTTATAATGATCGAGCAACGGCAGCATGTGTCCCTTGTTCGCACTCAAAGCTCCGCTGCTCGACTGGGAGTCCTTGCACTCGTTGCCAAAATAAGGGAATTACCTGTAGCTACCGTCAATCAAACAACACGGGTGGACGCTCTCGAATTCTCAAGACCCTTCGAGCTTCAAGCATGCGCTCAGATTCTCCATTGACACCCAACGGCGTGGAAATTGAGCAGTTTATGTCGCCCCAAAGTTTCCGGCAAACGAATCTGACAAGTCAGCTAGTTTCAACCACCACACATCCCGACGGTAGGTGTCTTGTTCCCAGTTGGGGTCCATGACAATCGATCTGATTAATCTAACGAGGCTCGTCAAACTCATAGGCAATTTTCCTCCCATAAGTCCTAGTTCAAATGGTCTTTCAGAAATCCCTCGGCTCGAAGAACCAATTTGGCCCGCTTTTGACCTCCATGATCTAGCTTACCTGGATTTATTGATGCCATTTGACGATGTCAGCTTCATCACTCCAGAGCGGCTCAACTGCACCACTCATTTGAACCCGGACTCGAGTAGTGAAGGTATCCCCAAAAGTATCTTCTCACAGAGCGCTTCCATCGGAATGAATAATACACACTCTCGATCTGTGTCACAAACTCGCACGGCGCACGAAACCCACATGCGTTTCAGATGCGGTGGAATGGTTCAACCTTCTCTATGGCGATCGCAACGCTCAGCTTCTCCAGGCCATCATGATACCCCCTCCTCGATCGCTAAAATAAATTGCGAGACGGAATCAGATCTTCAATTCATCGGTATCTCTGACAGTCACCTTCTGGAGATGGATGATTATGCCCATGTGCCGAACCTGAAATCTGAAAGTCCAATATTACAGAACATGTTTGATTTCATTGGCCAAGAACAGCACCGTGTGCTGGGAACAACTGAATCAGAAATCCCGAATTTGTGCGATGTAAAAGCCATCAATACTTTCATTCAACTCTATTTTGAGTTTTTCCACCCCCGATTCCCCATGCTCCATACGTCGAGCTTTCACGTGTTTAACACCAGTTGGATAATAGTTCTCGCAGTTGTTGCGATTGGTAGTCGATACTCGAGAATCAGACAAGCCCAACAGTATGCCAACCTCTTTGGGAAGTTTCTCAGGCATGCGATTGCGTCCCTGGTACGTGTTTTCGCTTTTGGTTTTGTTTGCGCGACTTCCTTTCCTTCCTTTCTCTCTCGTTATCCTTCCTGCTTGTCTAACAAATAATTTGCATTCCAGGGGAAAGACGAAATTCAACATACGCTCCGTGTACCATTTGTCCAAGCGATCATTCTTAGTCAGATAGACATGTCATACAGTGGTACAAAGACTCTCTACCTCCAGTCTCAGTTCCAGAGGAACATGGTGGCTACCTTGTGTCGTGGTCTTGGGACTGGGCTTTCAAGGGGATATGTCACCCACACGATTCAAGATCGCCATCGGGATACTGAACCATACTACAAGTGGCTGGGCCGAGAGCTAGCTGTTCGTGCAGTGCATTGTGGATGGGTAAGCCATATCATATCTTCCTTTCGTTAAATCTCCACTGACACAAAGTTAAGCTTTTCGATTGCCAGTTGAATCTGAACTGTGATGTCACAGCAATAATGAGTCTGGATGGCTTTGATATTCCATTACCATGCCATGAGGATGTTTGGAATATGACTGAAAGTCAATGGATAGAGGCCTTCCAGAACGGTAAGATATGGAATAAATCATGCCTGAAAATGCCAATTTTAACCGTGAGATAGGGAATCCTCAGAGTATTCCGGAATCACATCATATGTATGAAACATTGACTTTAATCACACAGGATAGCGAAAATGTCCCACCAATTGGCGACTTTTCGCGACTCCTTGCAATGATGGCCATATATCAGCAATCTCGAGTGATCATGGACGCTTCATTTATAATGACAGATACCATCCAGACATCCCGCTCGCAGAGCATCCTTGGGGTTTCTATATATACCGGATGGAGAGATATCGCTATAGAGACCCTAGGGCTGCTGGGCCAGAGCTCAAAGAGCTCAGTGTTGTCGGACGTGTATCACCACCTCATGATTGTTCTTCACATCCCACTCAAGAGCCTTTGTACTGTTGCGGGCTGGGCATCTACCGAAGACGCGATCCTTGCGTCAAAGAAAGAGCTATCTGCGTGGATGGCTGATAATCCCCAAGCTGCTCGAAAAACGGTTCTTCATGCTGCTATCTTGTTCAAGTCTCTCCGTTCGAAGCCATTGATTACGTACACTGACGCTCATGACCTTTTGGCTGCTACTCTCGCTATATGGGTCTACGCATTGCTTCATATAACAAGATCTGACGATACGCTGACCGGTCCAATCATCTATCTCGATCGCCATATGAACGAAGACCAAAAGAAATCTTGGATATTTGATTCGAATGAGGATTCCCCTCTGCATATATCCGGTGTTGGCTGTATCCTCAAAAATTTCGCAGCCACGCGAGTGCTGTTTGAAGCGAAGGGTTGCTTAGCTCGGCAGAGTCACTTGTGGGGGACATACAACCAGATTATGACTGTTTTTGAAGTGATGGCTTCCTCTGGAACTGCAATTAGCTTGGATTAATGGTGACCTATTTATTACATTTCGAATACAGATTTAAATCCATATGCGCCGGATATGAGTAGTATGTGAGACCAGATATTAATGCATGAGGGTCTGCAGATCTGAACTGCAATTATGGAAAGGCACCCCACGCCGACACTAGGTACTTTTCCCGGTCTGACACCGAAGCGTTCGGGATTCGCGTCAAATAATCATATACTATGTCGAGAGCTGAGCCTATTTACATCTGAATTTAGCATTTGTTCGGTAGTGAGATAAAGAATATCCAGTACATACCATAGGTGCTCTGTCTCGTGTCGCCTCATCAAAGGCTTTTCTTATAAGTCCATCTTTCCCATTTCTTGGCAAAAGAGACACGGGTAGATCGCTATTCGGGTTCCCTGGAGGCTGTCCGCGGTATTGTGAGTAATCTAGTGGAAGCTTCGCTGTCGGAGAAGGCTGGATGTCAAATGCCCAGAGTATACGCATGATAGAAACTCCAAGAGATCGCTCAGCAACATGATAGCCGGGGCCTTCGTATCCATGTGCAACGTTAGCGCACATGGGCAGCATTCAGGAACACAGCTCAAGTTGGGGATAGACTTACACACGCGCCTTCCTGAGCCAAAGGCAAAGTGATCTCGCCGTGTGACATCTGTGGAGTTGATACTCTCCATCGTCTTGTAGCACGAACTTGTTAGCAATATATTACTCGGCTCATCTTTTGTGAACGCACTGTGGTTTTGTCATGAGAATATCGTTCCGGCCAAAATCTCTCTGGATCTTCGTGGCGATTGGCGTCGTGTCCGATGGCCCTGTGAAGAGACAGTTTAGTAAAATTGATGATCGCCCGAATTTGACAAACACTATCAGGCCTTTTCAAGAAATTGTCCTACCATGCATTGATATGAATTCTTGAGCCCTTCGGGATACGGTAGCCTCCATATTCGAGTTCCTTTGTGGTTACGTGGGGATGACCTAACGCAACCGGTGGGCGCCAGCGCCAGACCTCTTTCATAATGCAGCGCACGTATGGAATAGAGTCAAGATCCTCAAACACGGGTATTCGGTCACCAACAACATCGTCTATAAAGAGGTTAAACATATTTTGGCGGAAAAAAACACGATATTGCTTACCGATTTCCTTTTGAGCCTTTTTTTGGACGTCCGGAAATTGAAGCATAGCTTCGAGAAAAGACCAAGTTGACATTTGACTCTGCAAGGATTCTTCAGTTTATGCTGTGCTTTTTCGATAGAGGACTTCAAACCGTGTCTGCTGCCGCCATGACCACCATAAGAGAAAGATACGCTGCTTCCTCCGGCTCAACTCCGAATTTATTTGAATCCTGCAGAAGAGTTTGAAGAAAGCCCTCTTGCGGGATTTCTGGATCACCGGACTGGGGATGTTTAACCCGCTGAATTATTGCGAGCCAGTAAGAAATAGATCACGTTAGGCATACTCAAGACCTTACATTCAGGCGTTCCATGCACCATTCCAAGTCCCTTCTAAATCGTGCCCTGGCATTCCGCTCCCAAGGTTTGAAAAGCATGGGAAGTGAATCCAGAAATGGTAGCACGTCAACCATATATGCCCCGGGAAGAGTGCCTGTAGAATATTCATTAACTTTGACAAATATGGACCATCGAGTTGCTCATACCTAAAATTTGCGCGAGTCCGGTTTCTGTACTATGGTTAGTGAACCGTCTGATTCTGGTAGGGAGGCTTCTCGTCATTAATTTACCGTGAATGTATCCGATGGCCGGGTTATTAGTATCGGGAATCTGCTTTTTCCTTAGCAAATATCCCGCACTTATGATGTTGGATGGACCCGACCTCCATGCCGAATATCTGAGAAGCGAAGGTACTATAAGTATACCTGGAGAGGCTATCCCAAACTTTTGAATTTGACTGTTCTTTCTGTCCAGCGCTAGCAATCTCGTTGAGAAACTTTGCAGATTCAAAATGCAGATATCTAAAGATTTTCTATCTCAGCGCCAGCAATGAAGATACATTATCGGAGTTCCGGTGCACTTACTTGAGTCCAGCATCGGCCTTGGGCACACTACTCATACATGAGTGTATAATCCGGCGTTGATTCTATCCAAACATCAGCAGTCTAGGCCAGGGCTAGGGCAAAATTCTTATGATACACATGCCTTCCATCTAGGCTCACTGGCATTCAGAAGAAGCACGTTCATTTTATTGCAAATTTGCTCATTGCTGACGATCCAACGAGGCCGTTCGGCAGTTGCGGCAGATGCACGATCGAATATTTCCTTTGGTTGTCAGCTTGAAACTATTGATGAGTGTAGATCCCAAGGCTATAGACTCCACAGGAATTCTCTTCTTCGCCCTACCTTCACTGCCCGGTCCGAGCTGAGATAGTATTCGATCATAGGTCCAATTTTGACTCCGATGATATCCCCATACTTCTCTGCCCACCTTTGAAGCAACAGATGCTGCGATGCTTTCTTGGCGTCTTTGACAAACTCAATCAAGTTTCCCAAGATGGGAATGCCAGGGGGACAGGGCGGCAACGGGAGCTTCCCTCTTTGGGCATAGTTATGCCAGACTTTGTATGTTAAGAGCACCGTAATGCTGAGCACGCAGATATATGGCATGTGGAGGAGGGTTTTATCTGTGATAAACATCTTAATGGAATGATTCGTGTAGTTGGCAGAAAGCGAAAGTGCGTGTCTAGGGTGAAACTGAGATAATGAACTCTTTAAGTAATCTCCACTCGGCTCCTTAATACAGTCCGGAGATTCGGTTTGCGGGGATCAATATGTTTGCATGGCATAGTAGTTGGGTGTCGGTGGGGCCGATGGTACAGTAGAATCGGCCCAGCGGGGCATTCGGCATCGTCCTGAGCGGAGAAGAATTCTCATAAGGAAAAGCCGAGAGGGCATAAACTGACAGAAATGACATTGGTGAGACATGTAAAGTACTGCAAGATATGGCTGTACTCTGTTCTTGATGGACGATGACGTCATTTTCAGCGTCCTCTTCAGCTACAAAGGGAATTATAGCAGTTGGCTCGCCTTATGCCATTCTCCTTACCTTTCACATTACCACTTAATAGTTGAGAATTGTTTCTAATGCCTCCTACAAGCAGCATACTCATAAACATCAACAAAGAATAATCTAGATAACATTCAGGCTTCACCATGCAACGGTTGATTTGCCTTCGGAATATTTTTAGTACGATGGGTTTTGGCATGCACTCAACGAAAAGGCATTAGACGTCAATACTCAGGAATCAATGGTGGAAGTAACAGCTTACAAGCTAGAGTCAAGAAACGCTTGATTCATTGCCTCAGTCCGTGGCCCAGCAGTTTCGTCTTGTGCCTACTGGCACTTCCGCCTGTTTCAGGCTAGTGCTCCTTGACAGGTGTCATATTATCTAGGTGGATCACTTTCCCTTGGATAAGGTTATCCACACTAGCTTCTTTAATGTTTCTCCGTCGAAGTGTTTACACATGAGAACTAGGCGATCTTGGAATATTTACTACATAATCTCGACGTCCAAGCGGATTCTCAGAGTCGAGTTCTTATTCGATGACTATCTTCTTCCCGATAAAACTTCTTAGAACTCCAAGAAGTTATATAAGCTCACCTAGCCATGCTCGGCAAAGTTTGAACTTGCCCTGAAGCGCTAAGTCTCGGACTATTAAGCCGGAGTCCGATTGTAGTGATATTGCCAAGTCCCTGTCAGTTACTTCCATCGCTTTAAAGATCGAGCGATACACAATGACCTCGGGATCAGGTGACGCATATGCACAGCACAACGGTATTACTCAAAACCCTGTGACCCATCGTAGAAATGACCCAAACAGTCTAGCGCAAATTATGCAAAACACAAGAAAAGAAATTTGAGTTTATCACAACTGACAAGGTTTGTTGCTTATATACTCAACCAGTAATCAATTCACTAGAGGTGGGGTACCCGGCAAGAGCGGCTAGTTTGCAAAATAAACAACTCAAAAATTGTTATCTGATCCGATTATCGGCCTACGTGGAAAGGGAAAATGAGCCTCGGGACTGTGATCTTCGGCCTGAAGATCAGCAAACCATGCTGATCATGGGAATCATAACTGAAATAACGAGAAGGCTCCAAAGAGTGGCTTGTCACATTTTCAGGGCTATCGGCCTGTTATATCACTGTTCTTGTTGAGGAGAACACCCCCTCCACTGTCGGGCAGCAAGCACGGACGATCCGTTCAGCCGGTGCGGGTCAAGCTACCCTAGAACTCTACTCGACACTTTCACCTGCCCAATAAGGCTTTTTAAGAGCTAGTCTCCGTGTACAGGGCCCGGATCAGATAATAATAAAGTTTTCCTTGCAAAAATGTGAGATCCCTTCTCTGGCTGCGCCACAAAGCTCAAAGCTCAACAAGAGCTACAACCACTAACGCCTCAACCGAACCGAAAAGAAATCATAATTTTAAAAGGAAATTATTTAACCTTTACATTCGTCATCAATCATCTAAAACCATACAGGCAACGACCATGGATGTCGTCATGCCTCCGGTGGGGGTATAAAAATCTCTGGGTCGTGTTTCTCCGCGTCCTCTTGGCTCTAATTCGCAGCTCCGGTCCCACATCTCGTCTAGCCCCGTTGCGGACTGTAATCTGGATGCGATGTATTCTTGTAACTCGGGTACCGCGTGTAGGCAGTATTGTGCTTCTTTGAAGCGCTGGATTTCGTGGACGGATGCAGCTAGCATTGTATATTTGTGAAAGTTTATCAGACCCTCTGGTGTGAAGGGTTGGTTTCCATCTTCGATGAATGTTAGGTCTTTAAGGTAAAGGCCTGTATTTTCTCTTAGTTCTGGTATGGAGGTTTAGATCTGGTTGAGGTTTTGACTTACCGAGAAAGGGGATGCAGGGTGGTACTGCGATGCGTAATGCCCCACGATAGTTGCTGTAGTTTTGTGTGCTTGATGTCAAGGCTTGTAGAGGCCTCAGTAGGTTACAGCTCTTTTCGGTGACCATGGCCCATGTGCGGGTGAGTCGGTAGATAGGGGCGCTTTGGAACCCTGAGAGAATGGATACCACTGCAGAGTAATTTTGAAGCTCATGGCATATCTGTGAGATAAGATTAGCTTAGTACATGTACGCATCATATACTAAGGGAAGGGCCACAAAGCGTACATTCGCTATATTTACCAGGTGCCCTATTACTTGTGCCCGCTTTTTGATATCGGACTCTGCAAGAATCAGAGCACCAACCCAGTTGGAGAGCTGATTAGAATACCGAATCAGAGCCCGAATGTTGGGGGCCGGCGCAGGGGCTGTAAAGCTCTCTTTCTTCTGCCATGCTTTATTCAAGAGTTCATTCGGTTGTATTTTGCCGAACATATGTGCCTCCATAATAGTTAACTGCCGAGCAAGCTCTTTGGCGTCAATCTTGAGAAATAGAAGCTTGTCTAATTTTCGCGGAAGAATTGGTTTAGGTGGATTTGAGATGGATGGTCGAGATATTTTCATGCGGGACATTCCAGCCATGCGGCGTTGGATGATTCCGAGTAGTTGAGCCACTGCACTTGTCTCTGTAGCGGCTGTGGCGCGAGATGTAAATTCCCGTAATTTTAACAGATTATCGTCGGTCTCGGGACCTTTCGGCTCAGTCCAGAAGTGTTCGAACCATTGTTTAAAGATGTTGATCACGCGTACTCGAACAAGGGGCCTTGTTGCATCTGCTTCGCTGGATGGTAAAGAGTCAAACCGAGCGATGAGAAGATCAATCAGAGCGGACGTTGATATGAAATACTTGTATGTGGTAAGGAATGTGCGATTGAAGAAGGCGTCCAGCTTATCATGGCGTGTCAAGTTCTCCACTAATGCCCCGAGAGTGCCCGCCTTCACAATCTCAATGCTCCCGTTGTGATCGTAGATAATCTCTTCGTGAGATTCGATATGATCGGAGTTGGAATCCATCTCTTTTTTGCATTGTTCGACCATAGTAAAAACGGAGCCCCGCAATACTTGAACTATCGGGCATGGACCATCGAGGTTGTCCTTCATCTGCTCTGGTACTCGGGCTCTGCCTTTAGCCGATGAACAGCACTAAAGTTTGACAGCTGTTCCAAACTCCAGCAAAGGTTCGGGGGCATTCCAGGCTTTTTGAGGGAAGAAAGAGGAGCAACAATACTGATTCGGCTAGTGGGGTTTCCTGCTCACGCCGTGCACATGGCAAGTCTCCACTCCAGCTGGCACCGTGAATCTGGCCCTACGCGCCCACAGCGGTGTTTGGACCATTTGATCTTTCTCCGATCTCACACCTGCGCCACCCCAGCTTGCATGCGATTGCATTGAATCTAGACGAAATTGTGTTTCTTTTTCATGCATGGGCTTTTGTCAAGTGCTGCTGCGTCCGTACGAATTCCACGTTAGCGCCGACGGCGTCCTTTCGGCCCGATGCTATTCTGTCGGACCACAAAAATTCCCATGGAAATTCAAAATTCTAAGTTCCCGTCTAGAGAACCCAAATGCCATTTGACGTAACCGATAAACGAGCCACAGCCCCACCAGCCATTGTGACGCGTGTGCACGCACAAGACACCTTACCCCGTTGAATTGACTTTAGTTACCGAGTCTATCACCCTACTAAATGGAAATGCCAAGCAAAGAGCTAATCAATTTAAATTCAAGTTGGTATAATGCAAGTATAAGCAAGAAAGACTTGCGGCCTCCCCAAAAAAAAGAATAGGCGAAAGGGTCAGGTTTTCATGGCCGAGGTATGATGAACTACTTTTAAGTGTCGTGAATTCTTGCTGGGCGGAATCTATTAGAGACTGTGGCCAAACTCAGAAGACCGTGCCCCTGGTCTGCTGTCTCTTCCTGAGATCAACATCCTTGATCATGATGGTCCAGGGAATTGCCAAGACAATAATGCCGCATCCAACCGCGAGCAATCTGACCTCGGAGTAGGCATATGCTTTCTGAATAGCCTCCCTGGTCGCAGAGCCAACAGGGTACCCCCGTTGCACAGGAAGACTCTCATAAATGTTCTGCAGGTTAGGCAAGGCCGACTCGGGGAGGTATCGGTACAGGGCTTTCAGGTAGGTATTCTGCCAGATAACAGTACTGATAGTGAGACCCGCGGAGTCACCAACTGTGCCCACCACGTTCAATATAGCAAGTGCGGTAGCAACATGCTGGTGATCCACGGTAGCTAAGATGGCAATCTGCTCAGTAAGGATAAAGATTGAACCACCAATCGCTAGGAAGACCTGGCACATGATTTGGTAGCCGACATTCATGTTGGGGCGCCGGAAGTAGATCATCAACCCTTGAGTGAAGATATAAAGCGGAACAGCGATATAGAGGGTCCACTTGTAACGGCCAACCCTGCGGATGAACCAACCAAGGAACAGCAAAAGCACTCCCGATACCATATCGAAGATGTTATCGACATAATTCGCGGTTGTAATGGTCAGGTCATTGTTGACTTGGAGCCATGACGTGAAGTAGTAGCTCCAGCAGTAGTTTGAGACCTGATATGTGGTATCCAGGAGTACTGCACCGACGACAGTACGGTTTGCCAGCACACGCCACTCCTTTCCTACCAGAGGTACAGGAGCTACCCACATTTCAAACATTACAAATAAGAACAGCATGGAGAATCCCACAACAAGCATCGCGATGATATAGCCCGTGGCCCAGCCATCAGGAGCATAATCAGCGATGTCGAAAGGCAGTTCAAATAGCACAAGGCCGGCGGTGAACAGGAAAACTCCACATACTGGGTCTGAGTTAGAATACTTTCCAACCACACGGGACAAAGGAACCGATACTTACTATCAAATTCAATTGTCCAATGCCAAATACTTTCAAATACAGTCCGACCACTTGGTCGTTTGATGCGGTGGCCCTCTTTCTCGGCCTTATGCAGATTGTACTTCAGCATGATGTATAGAGGGGCAGCGACGACAGGGGAAACAATTGCCCAAATGCCAAAACCCCATCTCCAGTTAATATTGTAATAAAGTTCATCTGCAATCTTCGGTCCCGCAAAGGCTGTGATAATGTACGGAGAGGAGGTGAAAGCGTAGGCAAAGGCACGATTCTGCAAAGTCGAAATATCGGCTGTCACGACGTCAATCGCATATTCCAGACCATAGAGTCCGGTATAATAGAAAGCCTAATAGTTTAGATGTCAGTATTCAGACATACGTAGTGCACGGTGTTAGCCTCAAGCTTACATTTGCGGCGCAGTAGGCTGCAAAGGAGTTGCAGGAGGCCATCAGAACCAATCCAATGACCAGGAAGAGCTCCATCACAAGGATACCCTCCGCGCGACCCCACACATCCATCATCTTAGCCATGGGAAGATAAGTGGCAGCTGCCATGACATCACCAATAGCTGTAGGAACGGCGGAGAGCGAATGTGCTTGAAATGAACTTGTCACATATGGATTGAGACTGTTCTGGATCGTCAAAATGAAGGCGTTGATGAAATAGACAAACCAAATACTATCGATTTGTACATCAGTAAGAAACTCAACGAACAAGAACCACGCGACCAAATCGGCGCAATTGTCAACCTACTTGACGAACACCCCAATCAAAATCCATTTTGACCAAGTAATAGTAACAGCCTCGACATCTTGCACACCTCGCTGTGCATACTGATCCGGCAACTGGTCGCATGGTTCAGAAGTACAGTAACTCGGCGGGGCAGTCAAATCCACTCCACCCTTATGTTCTTGAACCGAGCTCATCTGTACAGAGTTCCCATCACTCTCCTCATCCTTCCTCGACAGATGCTGCCAGACCGTACGGCCTCTTCGGAGCAAGGGTCGAACGACCATGTTGGCAATGGCAATCAACGGTGGAGTAGGAAACAATCCAAAATCCACGAAAGAAAGATCCTGTCACCAATACTAAATAAAACCAAGGCCGAGAAGGACCAGGGTGATCCTTCCCATTCTAGTCCACAAGCACCGAAGTCGGATGGCTGATCGGAAACTGTCCTAGCACGAGCAGAAGGCGACCGGGGGCCGTCTTGGCCCTGCACGGTGAGATTAGTGGGCGGAGATTCATCTGCCTGACTGGCGGAGCTGGGATCCACCGGGGGTCAGAAGTGAGGGAAAAAAAAGCAAAGAGAAAACCGCTCACACCACTCATACCATCCGTCCGGAGGGACGCGATCGACGCTAAATCCTTCGTAGTGTGGTGGGTCTGCATTCAGCTTCATGTCCGTTACTGGCCAATTTTCCCCGAGTGTGATGAGGAGGGGCATATTCCTCTAGTCCGTATTACTTGGGAGTCATATGGCGAGCGACGTATTGTGAAAGTAGTAGCATCTCCGTCAGTATCTCCATCAAGATCTCCGTCAAGAGTGAAGCAAAGGCCAACGGCGCGGGTTTGGGTCCGAGCTATCGGGAAGAACCCAAGCAACGTAAACAAGGAAACAAGTGACAAGTGGAGCAAAGATTCCGTCTCTTAGTAAACTTTTCACTAGTCGCATCAAGCACGGTTAGTACCGGTTATCAATCAGATAATCTCTTAAGCGAAACAAGCGAATGGGAATGTGTGCCTTACCCGCCAGGCAAGCATTCAATCCCGCGCTCTGCGCGCTGCGCAATCGGGCCAGGAGTCTGACTAGCCTTGTCAATGGGATCCATTTCCATCAAATTATGTTTCAGATTCAAAACCGATAAATCTCAACAGAAACTACTGGCCCTTGCTCCTTGTTAAATTGTTCACTTTGCCACAACATCGAAACTAGTTCCAGCGACCGGATTTCGTCGTGTTACGACAGGCACCGGTTTTAATGCCTGAAAAGACTTACGACTCCCATCCTCAGCTCGGAGTCTCAAGGTTACGCATACGTCTTGGTCCTTCCATTCTAACCGTGTAAAGGTCAGATCTTACGTGTTCATTGTGCGGTTATTGTACATCCGGAACATCCAACCTCATCTTGAGTATCGAGTCCGTCGACCCTATAACGGGAGCCAAGCGAGCTTCATTTTAATAAGTGGGGGAACCGAGTCTTTCCTCTACTGAAAGTTGTCATACGCCAAGACGAATAGTACCGGTGGGTCTAATCAACAAGACTGCCCACACCACACTGTCGGTCGCCCAGGATGGCCCCCATATTACAGTATGCGCTATGAATTTTGACCGTTTCAAACTGTACTAGCATCACAAAGTGGACCCCCACGGGACCCGGTCGGACACCGAGATCTAAGCAGGCTGGGATTGTCTTTACAGTTGGCTCTGGACGGTGGAATGATCCACCGCCCGTTCATTCCGTTCTCTAAAAGGTTCTGAGCCGCACTAGGCGGCGCGAAGCGAATTTCTGTTCTCAGATCACTGACACTCACGGGGGAAAAAAAAATCAGAATATGACTCGAATTGATCTCTTAAATAAAATTGAGGGGCTGGAAGGGACTATTGCAATTTGGGGAAATCTTAACGAGATTAGATGATAAGCCTGTTCTTTGCTTACAGAAATACACCGCGATTACCGAGGGCATTCTATATGTACTGAGCAGGATTTTGAAGAGCAGAACTATGCCGTTCTTCATCCTGCCTGTATTTGGTAAAACAACCCATGTTTGGTAGAATAATGTTCATCCATAGATAATCTAGAAACATGCCCAAAAGCTTTCTAGAAATCATTAAAAAAGGCGATTAAGGGATAAATGACAGCTCAGGTCTGAATAAGAGTTGACAAGCCACTTGTCTTAGACAAAATACTATCCTACTCTGAGTTAGTATTGTGGCTTTCTTTTTGAGCTGTGAATATACTGACCAAGATCCAAGAAGGTGCAATGAGCGATGCCAGGCGAGTAGCCGAGGCCGAAGCACCTCTCCATACCTTCCCGCTAGCACCTTGAAGCACGTCTCCGACGACTTTCTTCGCAAACTCTTCCCTCTTCATTCGCTGGACACCATCGTTTCCAGAAGCCAGCTTTGCGATCTGCTCCTGGGCCTTGAAATATGGAAATGACTCCTGCAGAGCGGGGGCTGGGCTGTTCTTCATTATGTTTGTTTCGATAGCTCCGGTGATGATCGTGATGACCTTGATTTTCAAAGGCAGCATTTCCAGTCGTAGGGTTTCACCAAACATTGTGAGTGCGCCCTTCGATGCATTGTAGACACCTGTTTGTATAGAAAAAAATTCAGTCAAGTTCTCATCTATACTGAACGAAACATACTCATGAAAGGAGTATGTAGATAGCTGCAGATTGACGACACATTGACAATCGTTCCTTTGGCCGCCATCAAACAAGGCGTGAAGGCTTGGATCATGTCAAATACACCCCAGAAGTTGACATCAAATAGTTTCCGTCCGTCCTCTGAATCCATTTCAAGCATTGGAATAACAACCTGTTGACCGGAGTTGTTGACTAGAACGTCCAGTTTCCCACCTGTTGCCTTTCGTACCGCCTCGAGAGCAGATTCTATATCACTCGATGACGTGACATCTATCCGCAGCAAGTGAATGTTCGGAACACCCTGAAGCTCTGTCATCTTCGAGACTGTTCTTGCTGTAGCGAAGACCATGAAGCCGTTCTTTTGGAACTCGAGGGATAGGGCGGAGCCAATTCCGCCATCACTACACCCGGTAATCAGCACAGTTTTCATTTAGGCCCAAGAGAAAGGATGAAGTCTGGGAAGGATCAGTATGTAACTTTTCTGTCTTTTATACATTTTCCTGCTTCTTCTCAATAACATTTCAGAGTTCTAGTACTTCAATGGCGCTAGTCCATTTGCCCGCTAGCGGGTAATCAAGATTATGGGGGCTAGTCCATATCAGGTATAGCGTCGGTGTAAAAGGCCTCCGGTTTGCACCCCTATGAACTTTCGCCTCTTTCACGCCAATAAGTGTAGCAATAATCTATCTCCTGGAAACCTGCACGACAAGCTGAGTGTTACAATGGAGCTAGTCAATATCAATGGAGCTCGGCCATTGGGTGATGTATGTTCTTATCATGATTGATGACGCAGTTTGCTCTTGGCCTCAAACTAATCCCATGACCAGAGCATCGGCGGCAACTGGAAAAGAATCGCCGATCTTCGTGAGAGACGTCGAATACAGAACAGGCTAAATCAGAGAGCTTATAGTAAGTACATATATGCTAGCAAATTTACCCACGGGGAACTAATAATCACTAGAACTCCGGAAAAGACAGACTAGACAGCGCGAACTCACCGAATCGAGTCCTCGGGTACATTTAGGCGACACTGGGTTTGGAATGTTAGTCCCGTCCAGTGCTTCCGATGAGCCACTGGTACATGGCTCCTTCAATTACCCTCTCACTGTCGATCACCTACTATCGTTGATCCATTTCAACGTCTGGCGTGCGCTTCTCACAAATAGTGGCAGCATGAGCCTCTCCCATGTTTTCTCAACATGCCCCTCAACGAAAAGCTACATCACACCATCACTTTTTCCTTCTGAGATTCCACCATCTCTGCGTCCAACAAGCTTACAGCTTAGCGTTCCACACGAGCCGTCTATTGACTTCTTTCCTCTTCCTCGACTACGTGATAATCTTATTCTAATGGGAGATAGCTTATTCAAAATGAGTAGCTTTTGTCGAGATATGCTTGGGACCTTTTTCCAGAATCACGGCATCGATAATTGCGATCGGAAGGGTTTGATTGTGTGGGGTGATCCGTGGGAGGTGAATTCCTGGGAATGTACGCCGGGTTTTTTGATGGAATGGGGCTGGTTGCTGAATGGGTGTGATGAGTTACTATACTCAACTAACCGATGGAGAATCTCTCGTGGAGAAGAGCCAATACTTGTCAAGGCTGAAGTTTCGTCCTCGGTCAGTCGCAAAGAACGGATACCTAGATGATCACAAGTTTGCTGTACACCTGCGCTGGCTGCCTGGAATGTCAGGCAGACATGCCGTCAACAAGAAGGATTAAGAAAGAGAGAAGAACCAAGTACAGTCATTCTCGAAATCGGCTTGACCGATACACACTCAATCACTCTGTTCTGGTCCCACTGCTAAGACTTCAGCGCAGATCATATATTGGGCTGGTCGCGGGAAGTTGAGGGCCACTGTAAAATGCTGCTTGTATGGTATCGTATAGTGCTAGTAAATTTACGCCATGTGTAAGAGAATTGGGTAGAACCTTATGGAACTTGACACGGTTGGCAACTTTGGTTTTCCCAAAATTCCTTCTCAGCCTGTATTATGTGGGTGAGTTTGTCAGGGCTGATTGATTATTGATTTTCTGTTTCTCGACAGGCTAGAGGTGGGGTTTGTGTGTGTAACAAGGTGAAAGAAAATTGGGGAAATCATCAGCCGTTAGAGTAGATTGCTGAATGGTTGGGGGAGTTTATCAGCTCGTTGGGCGTCGAATTTTGTATGTTGTGAAACCATGTTATAATTATTGGGCGTCGATTCAGATCTATCAGAATGCATGTTACACTTTTGATTCCCATTGGCCCGCCAAGCCCCACATGGATGATTGCATTCCTTACTTTCCCTGACCGCTGCTTAGTTTCTGGTAGTATACCGAGATATCATATGCATGATGGATTTTAGATCGTCATTGTGAATAGGACCAAGTATGGATTGGGATTCTGACTGCAGCGTTAGCATTCCAGCATAGTTATTTAAGGATGCTCTGTCTCGCTATGAATTCAGTCTCTCATTCAAATTCAACAAATCTCCAAAACCATATATCTTAATCGCAGAATGTCTGACTCTAAAGTCTCCGCAAAGGTCCCTGAGGATAAAGCTAAGGTGCGCCTAGTCCTGAAGCCAATTGACTAATATAAGTAATTATGTTGCTAATGACTAGTTGGCATCAGAATGTTTACTACTCCCGAAAGTGGATTCAAGAGAGCATTCAAAGTTTCGGAAATGTTGTAAGTGCGGTCTACAGATATCGAATATTATTATGATATTCTAACACTTATATGAATGATAGGACACGAACAAGGATGGTTAGCAAATTTCGAAAGAGGCATTACCTTGAATGTGTTCAGACTCGACTGACTATTGTTCATGACAATGGAACTAGGTTTTCTGAGTAAGGCCGAAATTAAAAAGGCGTTGAATGAAGAATACCCAGACGCAAACTCGGGAAAGGGAATCACCGATTCGAATATTGATGAAATATTCAAGATTTTCGATTACAACGATGATAAGAAGCTCAACATTGGTGGTAAGCGAAGCCATTTCCTTCCCTCCCCAACCTTTTCACGTATATACATCCTAGTGGGCTAACGGCTACTAGAATTCATCGAATTTGACATGTTCATGGATGCGACGCTCTTCAACTATTACCATGCTGTCCTATTTTAGTTATTTGGGTCTTGTCCACGAGTGGATTAGGGTTGGCGTGAACGATAGTTATTCTTCAACCGTGCTAGTCTCTTCGAACAATGCCAAGATGCTTTGAAGTCGCTTTCAGAATGAAAAAAAAATAGTAATACGTATGGACAGGTTGAGAAGAAACCTCAGAAAATTGTGTGTACAATACCATATTAGCAGCATTTTACAGTGGCCCTCAACTTCCTGCGACAAGCCCAACATATGATCTGCGCTAAAGTCTTGGCAGTGGGACCAGAACAGAGTGATCGAGGGTGTATCGGTCAAGCCGATTTCGAGAATGACTGTACAGGCGCGTTCGAAATCACTTTCACCTTTTGACTCTCTTCTCTTCTTTCTTGAACTCAAACTTGAAGCACGCCAGTCTATCTTCGATCTAGTCTATCACAGGTTCTCAAAATGTTTTGTAACAATAAACTACGCCATCTTGGGCTATTACATACTTTCCAGAAACGTGGATACGATCGTTAAGTACATTACGTTTCACAATAAATTTTAAGGTCCTTCACTCGAATCAGGGCATATCATTCCCGAGAGCTAGAAAAACATGGCATGGCGCACTTTTGCGTGTCTACCTCTGTCATGGGCAAGTAAAAAGAAAACATACCATTTTAGGCAACTCTGGATTACGAAATCACGACGGTTGGTTCCTTCTTCTAGATAGATTACCTGATAGCGGGGTATACTGGAAACCGGCATATATAACTGTGGACTTATGCCCCGCTCAAAACCTAACCCTAACCCTTCGGGGGAGTTATATTGCCAGGACGGACGAGTTCCGCAAGCGCTGCCGACAAATATTCTGAGCTTACGAGTGCGTTTATGTACAATGAGAAGTTTGGAAGGAGGGGACTGGAATCTAGATTCTTGTTTGAAGGTCTGTTCGCAGGGAAAATCGGAAAAATACAATGATCCAGTGGCACCCCCACGAAATGTGGACCACGCGCTATTATCATGTTATCAAATGTTTCACCGTGCACTAAGTACTTCTAATTGTATGCGCAAATAGATCTTTAGTGGGTTGTTTTTCATGATACTTGAGGAATGAATGGTAGGCCAAGACCTTCCCCCGCCCACTAAACAAAGTTACCATATAAGTGGAGCATTGCGTGCTCCTAAGTCTAGTCATTCATAGGACAATCTTTCGCGTGTGGCTTGAGGTTTGTGAATTAGAAATCTGGCATGGCGTATAGGAAGCTCGGTGTTGGGTCGGTTTGCATCTATATTACTGCAAGTAGCACATACTATTTCATGAATGTTGGTCGCCAGCGTAAACCAAACTTAATTGGGTTATCTGCAAGCAATTGCGGAAGATAACACGAAATATCGCGATCACGATTGGTTCTGGCGTGCTACTGTGTTTCAGGAAAGAAAACAAAAATGTTGAGAATAAGAACTCAACACTGAGACTTGTCACCATGGCTTATTATATTCATTCTAGAATACCGTTCAAGGCCAACTCACATAGAGCCTTCCACATCCACCATGGTGGCCCTTGAATACTTTATTGATATCTACCGATCGTGCCTCTTCCAAATTGTCATCGTCGGGCTAGTCGCCTTTTGTGAACCCGGTATTTGGACCGCCCTGAACAATCTTGGAGCGGGGGGCAACGCGAGTGTGAGTCAATCTGGACGTTGTTTTTAATCTTCTGCACATGTCCAACTAACAGATCATCTAGCCACAACTGAATAATGCTGCTAATGCCTTGACATACGGCCTTATGTCAGTAGGTTGCTTTCTTGCTGGCGGTGTCACCAACAAGATTACTGCAAAATGGACCTTATTCATCGGAGCGGCATTTTATACTCCTTATGCAGCGGGTTTATATTGCAACAACCGCTATGGGAATGAATGGTTCCTTCTATTGGGAGCCGCTCTTTGTGGAATTGGGGCGTCTCTTCTCTGGGCCAGTGAGGCTGCCATTGCAGTTGGTTATCCAGAGGAAGAGAAGAGAGGCCGGTAAGCTGAAATGGCCAAATCACTTGACTTCTTTCAATTAACGCTATGTTAGATACGTTGGAATCTGGATGGGTATTCGGCAAATGGGCCCACTTGTTGGTGGTGCGATATCCCTCGCTCTCAATGTGAACACTGCGCATGTTGGAAAAGTCACCTACACAACATACCTGGGGCTTGTCGCTATTTCTTCTCTTGGAGCTCCATTCGCGCTGTTACTATCACAGCCGCAGGATGTCGTCAGAAAAAATGGCACCAAGATTCCCTACATGAAGAAGACGAGCTTTGCTATTGAGGCACGCGCTATCTGGAAGCAATTGAGAAATAAGTACATGTTGCTACTCATTCCAATCTTTCTGGCCGGACAATTTGGTACAACTTACCAAGGAAACTATTTGACAAGTACGACATTGGGCCGCTTTTTATCGATGAATGGTGTCACTAACAGGTGAATTAGCTTACTTCACCGTCCGCTCCAGGGCCCTCGCATCTTTCTTAACAGCCGTGGTCGGGGCTATAGCCAACATAACGACAGGCATGCTCTTAGATTTGAAGTACTTCCCAAGAGAAACCAGGTCTAAAGCCGTATATATATTCGTCCTCATCTTTGTCACAGCAGCTTGGACATGGAATGCTGTCACCCAGACGAAACTCTCCCGTATGGCTGACCCGCCTGCCTTTGATTTGGGCGATGGTGTTTTCTTCAACTCGTCTTTTACTGTTTACATGTTCTTCAAGTTCTTCTATGAGGTGCTGCAGACATACATTTATTGGTTAATGGCCGAGATCAAGGGAGCCCAGCAAGACGGCGATATCGCGAGGACAACCGGGATTTTAAGATCATGGGAGTCCATTGGTAGCACGATTGCCTATGCAGTCGGCGCAACTTCCTGGTCCAATTTGAACCAGATGATACTTGGGTTTTCACTATGGGGATTCACAATCCCTTTTGCAATGCTCGCTGTATTCGGCAATTGGAACAACGCTACGTTCGAAAATGAGAATGAGGAAACGGAAGCAGACAATAGCAGTCTTGAGGCACAGCGGGTGGTTATCAATTCTGACGGGAAGAATTGAGAAGCATCCCGATGTGATAAGACTACGCCGGCAGGATACTGCTTTCTGCATTTCTAAAGTCGCGTGGAGATTGGCTTATCCACTTTAACTTAGAAGCATAAGGTAGACAGTACATAAGTTTAGGAATTAGACATTACTTACTTTAAAAACAAGGATTCTAGAGCTCGCGGGGTAGGTATTTGATATTATTCACCAATTACAATGTTCACAACGACCCACTATACAACCTCCTTACCTTGGAACCTTGTGTTTTCCCAATTAGCTCGAATCCGAGTTCGACGTGGCATCTTAGACGGGAAAACCCCAGAATTGAGTTAAACCACTGGGGATAGCTACATAACCATGACGTCATTGAAAAAGTGGAGAAACGTCCCACGTCGAAGAAATCAGGACAAATGATTGCCAGAGAAAAATCAAGAATATTCTCTATACCGCGACCTTTCGGCATTTGCTTCATAATTATTAATGAGGATTCGCCGATCTGGATGAAAGCGCACGTCATTCGCTCTGCGATCGGAAATCGAGACGACCTTGGTCAACCTTCACCAAGGTAAAGGTACATCACGGCAAAGCTAAGAGGACTTGCCGATCAGCGTTTGCTTCATACATAACCTTTTAAGCTCTTTGGACATTGACCCACCAATCAGCATCTTCCCATTCGCAATATGCCCGCAACAGGTTTTAGGGACAGAGGATATAGTCTCCGCATCGGCGTCTGGTATTGGTGGCAATGACTGCAAGGCTGGGTCATACTTGGATCATTCCTTCCTTGCATTAATCAATTAAAGTTGTTCATGGGCAGCTTTGCCTAGTAAAGCCGGGCCCACCGGCAGCTATGCCACGAATTACTCAGAGTTCGACCCAGGTGAGTCGAAATTATTAATCCCGGTGGGACACTTGATTTTATTTCCAGTTGCTATGATTGGTATACTTTACCCCGAGGTCAAGTTACATCATTGACGTATTGCATGTACATATCCTGGTTTGAGGTCTTATGATTTCGTATATTAACAAGAATGCCCGAACCTGTTACAAAATTTGTTTCTTTCAACGAATTAACTCTGGTACACTATTTTTTACCCATAATAATTATCGGAAAAGCACATCATGACTGCTCAGCCTAACTCAACGACTGGGGACGGCAAGTTCGCCGATATGGAAAAGGACACGGTCGATGTCCATGCGAAGCAACATATGACAACCGACTATGGCATCAAGATCTCAGACCCAGACCATTGGTTGCGGACAGTGAGCGACAAGAACACGGGTCCATCGCTTTTGGAAGATCAGATTGCTCGTGAAAAGGTATGTCTTACATATAAATTCAATCGATGTCACCACTAACCCAATGGCTTGATTAGATTATGCGATTTGATCATGAGCGCATCCCCGAACGAGTTGTCCATGCCCGTGGAACGGGTGCATTCGGTCATTTTAAGCTGTTCGAGAGTGCTGAAGACGTCACATCAGCCGGTGTGTTGACAGACACCAGCCGCACCACACCTCTCTTCTTGCGTTTTTCGACAGTGCAGGGTAGCAAAGGTAGTGCGGATACTGTTCGCGATGTACGCGGATTTGCTATCAAGATGTATACTTCTGAGGGAAATTGGGATATCGTTGGAAACAACATCCCTGTCTTCTTCATTCAGGATGCGATCAAGTTCCCTGATTTCGTGCACTCTGTTAAACCTGAGCCGCATAACGAGGTTCCTCAGGGCCAGAGTGCTCATAATAATTTCTGGGATTTTGTTTATATGCATTCAGAGTCGACTCACATGAACTATTGGGTATGTTTTCATCGCTAAAGGCTTCCGAAGTGATTTGCTAACAGTACAACAGCAAATGTCTGACCGAGCTATCCCCCGCTCATACCGAATGATGCAAGGATTTGGTGTGAACACCTACTCCCTGGTCAACAAGGAGGGAAAGCGTCACTTTGTCAAATTCATTTTCACCCCCGAGCTTGGAGTTCACTCCTTTGTCTGGGACGAGGCTCTGAAGATCTGTGGCCAGGACCCAGATTTCCACCGCAAGGATCTTATGTCCGCTATTGACGCCGGCCAGTTCCCCAAGTGGAAGTTCGGTCTGCAGCTTATCCCGGAAGAGAAGCTAGATGATTTCGAATTCGATCCCCTCGATGCGACAAAGGTCTGGCCCGAAGAGTTGGTTCCAATCCGGTACATCGGTGAGCTAGAGCTCAACCGCAATGTCGACGAATTCTTCCCCCAAACCGAGCAAGCAGCCTTCTGCACCAGCCACATCGTGCCCGGTATCGATTTCTCCAACGACCCCCTTCTGCAGGGCCGGAATTTCTCGTACTTCGATACTCAACTCTCCCGGCTCGGCGCAAACTGGCAGGAACTGCCCGTCAACCGTCCTGTCTGCCCATACATGAGTCTTGTTAACCGCGATGGCGCTCAACGACACCGCATCACCAAGGGAACGGTCAACTACTGGCCAAACCGCTTCGAGGCTAACCCACCTGCGTCGCAAGCTGAGGGCGGATTCACCAGTTACCCCGAGAAGCAAAGTGGCATCAAGGCCCGTGCTCTCTCCGAGAAATTCAAGGAGCACTACAACCAAGCTCAGACATTCTACAACTCTCTCTCGGAAATTGAGAAGATGCATCTCGCAAAGGCCTTCTCTTTTGAGCTGGACCACTGCGACGATCCACTCGTTTACGAGCGTATGACTGAGCGTATTGGAGCTGTCAGCCTTGAGCTTGCTCAACAGGTTGCTCAGAACGTCGGCGGAAAGTCACCCGAGAAGCTTTTGAGGCCGAACCATGGCCAGAAGGCTAAGGGCCTCAGTCAGTTGGAGTACATGCCCGAGAAGCCTATTATCGCTACACGTCGCATCGCTATCCTGATCGCTGATGGATTCGACCACTCATCCTACATTGCCATGAAGAAGGCTTTGGAGGCGCAGAATGCTTTCGTCTTCACGATCGGTGCCCAGCGCAAGGGCGTCGTCGCTGAGTCCGGAGAGACGGTGGTCCCAGATCACTTCTTCAACGGTATGCGATCCACTCTCTTCGACGCAACCTTCGTGCCCGGTGGAAAGCATGTCACTGCTTTGGCAAAGAACGGTGTTGCCAAGTTCTGGATCACCGAGTCATTTGCCCATCTTAAGCCTATTTCCGGCGTCAATGAGGCGGTCTCTTTCATCGCGAAGCAGATTGATATGGAGGAGGTGAAGGTTGCCAAGCCTGGTTCCTCTGTTGCTGAATCCTATGGTGTAGTGACCGGCCATGGCGATGCAGATGCACTGCTCAATGTTAAGGATGTCGGTCCTGAGTCTAAGGGCCTTGCCGAGCAATTCATCTGGCATGTCTCGCGTCACCGTAACTGGCAGCGTGAGCTGGATGGACTTGCTGACCAAGTTGCCGCTTAATTTGGCTCTTTTTGATGTGTGTACGGAATATGTGTCATGACATGTTAAGCTAAGGGCGTTTTGGGAACGATTTATTTAGTTTTAGTAAATCAAATTGCGATTATTTCTCTTAAAATTTTTCCTAGTCTCGGAATCTCGCATTCACATGTTGAACGTTGGTACCTTGGTGCCTGAGTATGGGCCTGCATTCTTCGCGGGTTGATCTTGTGGGCCAGTCAATCCCTCGGACCCCGTCCAAACGCTTGCGTAGGGCTGGGACAAACTTTCCCTTTCTAACAGTCGATAGTCAACCCTTCATTACTTCACTTGAGGTTGCTTAAACAGCTATGCTCGAGCGCGTGAGCCTTTCGCATGTTAAGATAAGATTAATATGAGGCCGGATTACTTTCCATTATAATTATCATATTCCAAAATGATAGCCCAACAGTATCAATTTTAAAACCCCGCTAGAAAATTCATATTAAGTTTAAGATCCAGTTTAAACCAGGAGTCAGAATGTCCAAAAACTGGCGGGAGTAGGAGTACCCAGGTGAAAATGGGCTCCCGCATAGCATACCGCATCTTTGTTACATGCCTCCCTGTGGTCCTGAACCCAGTTACACGATAAACGTTGCAGCGCGCCCCAGCCATTGATTTAATCTTTGACCAGCATGAGGTAAAAGTTTCAAGGTGTGGAACAAAACGTCCCTTTCCCTAGATGTCCGGGACCTTTTCCTATTTGTTCTTATTTCTATTCTCGTTGATTTAAAGTCCCCTTCTGTGTACCTTTTCGTGTACCTTTTTGTGTCTTCCGCCTTCTTGCTTATTATTTTTATTTTTTCCCAAATCTTGCACGGCTTGAATTTTATTGGTCAATTGTGTGATTCCTGGGGAAAGAGGTGTGGTTGCGCTCAGTCTTGCAGAGATTCAGATCATGCCATTCCGATTTTCGCGCTCGACGCGACTATACGTTGTTATTGCTATATCAACATGTTTCTTTCTGGGAGAGATTTCAGGTTAGAGAAGTTCTTTTGCTAATAAGTGAGAACGTGCTGATTTTGATTAGTGGGGTTCTATACACATTCGCTAGCGCTCATTGCTGATGCCTTTCACTACGTATGTTTTCCACGGATATCGAGGATAAAATTTGCTGACAATATTAGTTAAATGATTTGATTAGCTTTGTCATCGCATTACTGGCATTGAAGGTATGTATTGCATAACCACAATGGCATCGGACATGATTCTCACCTATCTCTAGGTCTCAGAAAGTGGCGACTCACCCAGTGGTCTTTCCTTTGGATGGCAACGAGCTCAACTACTAGGTGCATTCTTCAATGGTGTTCTCCTGTTCGCACTCGGAATCAGTATTTTCTTACAATCTATTGAACGATTTATCGCTCTACAGCGTGAGTCTCTTTCTGGATTCTGTATTTTGACCTATTGCTGACCTGAGTCTAGGCATCGAGGACCCCAAATTGGTGTTGATTGTTGGATGCATTGGCTTGGGCCTCAACATTATAAGCGTGCTTTTCCTCCATGGTCAGTATTCCAGTTATTACAGTAGACATTAAGCTGACCAATTCCAGAACATGGACATGACCATGGCCATGACCATGGCCATGACCATGGTCCACCGACAATTGAAGACGGACTTTCTCCTATCAGTGACGATGATCAAGACTCCATTTCCAAGCATCATGACCATAAGCATGTGCATTCCGAAAAACTTAGTACAGTATCCGCCCATGTTCACGATCACGGGCACGAACACGCACACGCACACGAGCATGATCATGGACATGGACATGGACACGACCACGGCGATCTCGGCATGATGGGAGTCCTCATACATGTACTCTGCGACGCAGCCAATAACCTCGGTGTTATCGCCGCCGCTCTAGTGATCTGGCTAGCCAAATACGACGGTCGCTACTATGCCGACCCCGGCGTCAGCATGGGAATAGCTTTCATGATCATTTTGTCATCTATTCCACTCAGTAAGGACTCGTTTGCCAACCCATGGAACCCTGCATAGGTAGCATTAAGCTAATATCTGGCAGTACGAAGATCCGGACTGATCCTCCTGGAGAGTGCTCCAATTGGACTCGACTTAAATGACGTGCAACATGATCTTGAGAAGGTACACACCCTAGACGGGTCCATCAACCTTATTAAGAGACATCATGAGACTAACAAATCACATGCAGGTTCCCGGCGTGCACTCCGTTCACGAGCTGCATATCTGGCGTTTGAATCAGCAGAAAACTCTCGCATCGGTGCACGTTGTTGTTTCCGATCCGTCAGTGAGCACCTTTCTTAAGACCGCCAAAACAATTAACGAATGCTTTCATGCCTATGGTATTCATTCTGCAACATTGCAGCCAGAGGCGCTATCGGAGTTTGAGAACGATGTCGTGCACCCGCACGGGGAGAAATTACCTCGGTGTCAAGTGGTGTGTGGGACATTGTGTGAGGGGCTGACCTGCTGCGGATGATGGAAGTTGTAAAAATATTGATATCCTGGGCTTGGGCCGTAAAATGGAGCCCCCTTACATCAACCATCACCAAGTGGTCGAGCGGAAACTCGACTATTTCATCTTCCTTGGTCTAGTGGTCATGATTTCCGCTTGTCATTAACACCGATAAGCGCGGGAGACCGGGGTTCGATTCCCCGAGGGAGAGATTTCTTTTTGCTTTTTTCCAAATTCCAAACATTCAATTCTTTGGATTATATTGAAAACTTTTTCTTTTTATAAGCAGTTTCATTCCAAAGAAAACATTGATGTACCTAATGCTCATTTTTATTGATCCGCGTCAAATATCACTCATCAATCATAGATTATGGGCAAATGCATCGTGTCAACAACGACCCAGCGGCTCCTCCAAGGCTCCCGATGTCGAAAAATAGAAACGGTAGGCTTGAATAGCCACATGAAAATTCGAGTGCAGACAACCAAGGCTTTGAAGATAAAGAGATGTTGGGATTCTTCAAGGTTGAAGTTGCAAAAGACCTCGGGAGATGTTCAATGCCCAGGTACAACCTGAATGTAGAGCTTAAAATACGGAATGTCTCCGCTGCGGAGCCTCTTTCCTGGCATTTAACAGGATCCAGCTCAACCACTCTCCAAGCCACAGAGATAAGCGACGCGGCACCCCCCGGGCCTCTCCACCTTTATCTCAAGATGCGGGGATCAGTCCGCTGCGGTAGGTTCAACCTAGGAATGCTTTCCGATTCCGACATGCATTGCAGCAAGATAAAAAGGTTGGAGATTCGGCGATCTTCCAACCTCCCCTCCTCACCCTTTGATCTCACTAGGATCATAGTATAACAATTCATTTCCTAGTACCTAATCAACTCACGGTATCTGATAACATTAAACCAACATGTCTCTCGAGCAATGGGAGCGTCAAGCCCAAAAAGGAAGAGATATCCTCACCAACTCCATTCCGAAACAATGGCTTGCACCAGCCGACAGTCTCCCTCCTGTTACACAGAAGAATGTGATTGATTTCCCAACGAAAAGTGGACTCCTGAGCGAGCGTGAGCTCTCAATCACGGACCTCTCTGCCACACAACTGGTCGCGGAAATGGGAGCGGGGAAGCTCAAGGCAGAGGAGGTAGTGGTGGCATTCTTGAAAAGGGCAGTATTAGGCCACCAGCTGGTAAGAACAATTGCCATTTCCTAGGCGAAGGCGACATACTGAGGCATCTTGCAGCTGAACTTCGCAACGGAATTTTTAGCCGATGAGGCAGTTGCTCGAGCCAAAGAATTGGATGCACACTTTCAACGTACTGGAAAACTGGTCGGACCTCTGGTGAGAGGCCATCTCCTAGAAAAACTTCAAGTCGCACACTGATGTTTTGGTGACTAGCATGGCGTTCCGATTAGCGTTAAGGAGCACATCGGGATGAAGGACAAGACTTGCAACACAGGTTATGTTGCCTGGTACGTTACGCAAGCTACTGAACGACGAAAAATCCTGATTTGAGGTAACAGGGTCGATCAAGTCGCCACCGAGGATGCCCATTTGCTTCAATTGCTAGCTAAAGCTGGTGCAGTGTTCCATGTCCGAACCAACCAGCCTCAAGCCCTCATGGTAAGTACATCCCAGTCCCATTGTCAATTATGTTGCTAATAACATATAGCATCTTTGCTGCAACAATAATATTACAGGAGCCACACTCAACCCATACAACCGTACCTTGACTCCAGGGGGGTCGTCAGGTGGTGAAGGAGCTTCAACGGGGTTCAAGTGTGCACCACTTGGTATTGGTACCGATATCGGTGGATCTATTCGTTGTCCAGCTGCCTTTTGCGGTTCATACGGATTCCGGCCCACATCAATGCGCAACCCACTTGCTGGAGCCAAAGTCGCGGCTATTGGACAAGAGACGATTCACGGTGTCATCGGGCCTTTGTCAAGCACTTCCTTGGAGGATATTGAACTGTTCCAAAAAGCTGTCTTGGATCAAGAGCCCTGGGATGTTGAAACGTCCTTAGTGCCAGTCCCGTGGAAGACAGTAGCTCCTACTCGGAGCATGACTGTGGCTATTATGTGGGATGATGGGTATGATTTATTAGATTTTGACGATGAAGTGGTTGCTAATTGAGTTATAGTTGCGTTCGCCCCCATCCCCCTATTGTCAGGGCCCTCAAACTTGCGAAAGAAAGGTTGCTTGCAGCTGGAATCAAGGTTGTGGATTGGGAGCCATATAAGCATGATCATGGGTGGAAAATCATCGTAAGTCTTATTTCCGCTTCAAGTAACAAGCAAGACGACTAATATCTCTACAGTCTAGCCTTTACTACCCCGACGCCGCCGCCTTACAACGCAAAATGATTCGCGAATCAGGCGAGCCAGTCCTCCCACTGAGCGAATGGTGCTTCAATTACTCCCGAGCTGTTCCACTCACTCACCCCGAAGCATGGGAGCTACAATACGAGCGTGACGTTTATCGCGACGACTACAACGCTGTGATGAAGTCCCGTGGCGTCGACTTTATCATTTCCCCTACCTATACCGGCGTCGCAGCTGTATATGGCGAGTCACATTACTGGAACTACACTGCAATCTGGAATGTGCTGGACCTTCCTTCGGTTGTGTTCCCATCAGGTCTTACGGTTGACTCGAAGCTGGATGCGTTGACCGAGCAGGATCAGAAATATAAGCCACGTAATGAGGTTGATGAAAGGGAGTGGGAGAAATATCAGAGCCCGGAAAGGTATGAAGGTGCGCCTGTGGCGTTGCAAGTTGCTGGTAGACATTTTAAGGATGAAGAGACATTGGCTGCGGCCAAGTTGATTGAGGAAATTATCAAGAATGGGAAGAAGGTGTCTAAGCTTTGATACGGGCCACGATAGATTGACACCCTATCTAGCGGTTTTACCCAAATTGCATCATGATTCACGATTTAGTGTGACCTGGCTGTTCTGTTGGTCTGTAACAATAATGAATTGGATGTATCCTTTGGATGCTCCAAGAGTCAGCAGCTAATATCGAAGGGTTTGTTTATTCATATGAGGTCTAATCTTTTTCCGTGGTGCTTATCCAGCTTTCATCCTCTATAATTCCCCTTTTGCCGTTTATGCCGCTCCACTTAACATAACTTAGTAGACTTAATTCGAGCCAGATACAAAGTGGGGTGTTTCCAGACAGTGTTCTAGAAAGAATCAAACTGAATATATTGGTGAAACTGATCTTAATCTATCACGTGGATGACTCCAAACTGACTAGACCTAGAGATTATCAGAGTCCCTAGGCCCACGTTTCTGCACGCTCTTGACATACAAAAGTATTTATTCACTGGCAAAATAGGCGATTCCTCGGATAATTCCCAAATATGACTTAAATCATGAACCTTAGAAGAGCAATCACTCAATATTAGGCACTTCCTGATCCATAACAACAGCATCCTGAACCACTGTTTCGGGGAAAGGAATGTACCCTTGTCCTTTCACAAATGTTGCGTTCCACGGCCCTTGAGTCTTATCCTCACTAAGCTGGATATAAAACTCAGCATGAGCAGAGCCATCAATTGCGGTGTAAACAGGGTTTCCATCCGGCTTGCGCTCATCCGCGAAGTAAAATCTGAGGTAACATGGTTAGTAAATCCTTAAGCAAGGTTGATTTCACCAGACTTACTTGTAGTCCCGGTCTTTGTACTCTTCCGCTAAGTAGTGGATGAGGTGTGCAGCACCAGCTTTACCAACGCCCTGGGCCAGCAGTGGTTGTACCACCATGAACGGGAGCTTATTTCCGGTGTAAATGAATGTTCTCGAGGATACAGATGGTAACAGAGCAAAAGAATGTATGGCCAATTGGGCTGCAATGTACGCAGAAACAATATTAACATTGTTATCAGATTGAAAGTTGGAAATTTGTTGCTCTAGAGCACTCGACGGATTCAGGCTAAGGGCAGAAGCTATTGGAGCACTCTTTGTTAGGCTTTGTCTGCTATCCTAGGTAATAGAGAGGAACCTACCATTGTAGACCACAACGCTGGGGTGGCCAAGTTCTTCGATGACTTTCGTAAATATGGCTCCAACTGAGGATGGGTCCGATAGGTCCGCTGTTATTTGTAGATAGCCCTTTGCGCTATCTGAACAATTATCTGAGCGCGACACTACGGCGACTTCGTAGCCGTGTGTTGCGAAGGCCTTCGCAACCTCGACCCCAACGTGTGGTCCATATCCAAAGATAAGGGCAACTTTATCACCCATATTGGACAGAAGAAGTCAATGTTCAATTGGACTTTGCTGTTATGAAAAGAGGTTTTTTTCTGATCTGATTGGAAACAAAATATAAATCAAGTATCACTAGAGACGGACGGGGCCTTTTAATTGTAGGTACAATATCCTGAGAAAAAGTGAAGTGGGGTCGATCAGTAGTTCTATTGGCCAACCTTTGCTAGTGTCGGAAATACTTGCACTGGCTTGGGTAAGCCAAGATTGATGATACGTACCAGCACACTGAACACATGGATTCGCGTTTCAGCACTTCTTGTTGGTTCTTCTCGATCTTCCACAATTACTTTTAGATATCATATAGAGAGATTAGCTTTACAAGGTCCTAAAGTCCAGCAGCCTCGAGAATTGCTCGTCGATATCTACTCCTGTCCTGTAGCCAATATTATTGTTTTAATTCTTGCTATGCTTACTCAAAGGGCTCTCTGGTGTCAGCAATTCCCGCGAGCGGCCCGGAATTACGTAGAACGTTCATGCACGTGATGGTAGGCATCACCTCATAACCTTCCTTGAAAAGCTGACCAAAAAAAATATTTCAAAGGTCTTGACAATGGGAAATAAAGGGTGCTGGACATGCAGAGGTAATAAAAAACCAAGGTCTCTGTTTATTGCCGAAGCTAATCCGTTTCTTTTGACGCAGCGCGCAAGGTGAGATGTGATTTGAGTCGACCCTCGTGTGACAATTGCACCAAGGTAAGACAAGCTTGTCGGGGCTATGGCATCCAGCTATCTTGGCCACGGGAAGGAGACAATCGACGGGCACTGGTGTACCATGGGATGCCAGGGACAACATCGCGGCCGCACAGGAAACGGGGTGCTGTGTTCTTGAATACCTACCACTGGGACGTGTCCTTGTCGGATGCGCTCATGGAAAGAAGGGAATTGAGTAAGCTCTAATGTACTATTCCTGAGATCTGTACATATGTGGCTAATGTCGCGTCGATACAGCCCGATATTTGCACACGATGAAGGTGCCACACTTGCCATATCTGCCGGCCTCTCATCTCGATGTGAATAAGGCACTTCTGCTTGACTTTTGTAGGTGTTTCTGATAATTGACTCGGGCAACAACGGATAACAAGAACCAGTCAACCAATTTAAATCGCAGGTATTGGCTCCCATCATTGATGAGGCATTGTCACATTATATCATGAGGGTTGCGCTGTCCGATTCCTCTTCTCCTTCCAATTTAGTCCTAGAAGGAATATTCACAATAGCGTCGCTACAACTTGAAGGGGTCTCGAAGAGTCGTATTCGCCAACACCGACTCATCTCAATGTTACGAGAAAAAGTCACGCAGATTGATAGGGAGAACGTGCTTCGAAATCTCATTGCTACAATGCTTCTCTATCAATATGAAGTATCATTCTCGTCAATATATATTTTGTTTGCATGACGATGCTGATTCAATCTTAGATTTGGATGACAGATAGTCCCGAGAAATGGTGGACTTTCTATCTGTGTGGTGCAAAGAAGGTCATTACTGCTTCCGCTGAAACTGTCCAATTTCACAAAGACGAGAGTGCGGTTCTCATGGACTGGATCTACTACCACGAAGTGATCTCAGACTTCAGCCTGCGGTACTGGGCCGAGGCAAGCACCTTAAGCAGTTTCTGCAGGGGTCCCTTAGCCATACGGCCTGAAAATATGATAATCGATGGATATGCGGTGAGTTTCATGGTAGTTCTAGCTATTCCAATATGCCGACTAATTGAAGCGTAGAACTCAAGCAGGATTACATGTCCCATGGATGTACTTGATCTGATTCGGATTATATGCAAGCGACCTTCCACAAATCACGATGATTTTGCATCGTACAACGATGCAGATATTGAGCGGATTCAGGATCTTCGACAACGTCTTCAGGAGTCCGTTGGAGAATATGGGACTTTTCGAGATATTTCAGAAGTACCATTGACCAGAACACAAATGTTGGCCTATTTATATCGATGTGCCGCACTGATATACTTGAACCGCGCGGTAACAAAGGCAGCCACGACTTCATTCCAGCACAGAAGACTAGTCAGGGAGGGTATATTGGTTCTACAAAACCTTGGCTTCTGCGAAAGTGCGTGGCCGATGTTCATTATAGCTTGCGAAGCTATTGAAGATGAGCAACGTCTTCACATATTGGAAACACTATCGCAAACTCCACGAGAACCACTGCACCGGTCAAATCATATCCCCTTAATTCACCACATGATTGAGACGATATGGAAACAGCATGACCTCAGCTATGACAGCAACGTTGATTATACCAGTATCCTCCACGCTGTGATTTCAACTGCGCCAGCTTTGCCGCTATTCGCCTAAAAGGTAGCCTCGCAAATAATGAACAGAACAGAAGAATCCGGTCCTCTATCGCATAATTTGTACCAACTCTCTAGGACTACTTGCATCTTCAGTTGGTTACTGGACCATTTACTATTTCTAGCCGTTAGGGCCACCTGAGCAACAACAGTTAATATCATTCTAGCCTTTCCGGAGGCATTATAAAGGCCTCGCCCTCGCGCACTAGAAAGATAACCTAATATCGAGAGCGGTAAATAGGTCATAATAGGCCTCGGCGAGGATCAAAGCTTCGTCTGTGAGTAGTACATACTGTATGCATGTAGCGTGAGAGCCAATTTCTAATATAAGTCCAGATCTGATGATACATTGAGATCGTAACAATCGGGGTAGTGGAGAGACCAACGCCTTTAGATATCAGATAACATGACAGGACAATGATACTTATAACCATATCTCAATTGTGCAGTTGCGCATGAAGCCGCAGGCGAACAGAAGCAGCGGTGCTGAGAATCAAGTGATGGCAACGATAGCTGCCACATAGCCATTAATAGCGAAGGGGCGGGCTGACAATTTGGCCGCTTCCGAGACTGACAAATTGATAGCAACTATTTCCGAGCTGTACATGCGGGACTATGCGCGTAAGGGGTCCATTAGGTGACCGTGTAGTCATCGTATGGGAAATGTCAACTCTGATTATCTGTCTAGTGCTCGCGATAAATGATTGCTTTCCAAGCTTCCATTTGCCAACGATATGACCCACAAGACACCACCAGAGATGGACATTGCTTTGGGTCTACAGTGGGTTATAGAATAGCAGGGGATGCGTCATATAAGCTGATTGGCCCGCCACTCGGCATGCAGCTTCACTGTCGGAAACCTTGCAATAACATAGTAAGCCTATTGAAAAAAGTTTGGAAAGATCAAAATTATATGCCTAATCGTTCTACCCGAAGCTTTTCATAGTGTCGGAAAAACTTGCAATAATTTGGTAAGCCTGCGAAATACCGAGACTGTCGACCCACCAGTCAACACAGTTGGCCTTTTACCAACCACCTTCTTTTGATCTCTCGGTTTCTGCAACTGTCTTCAACTTATTCGAAATTACAAATCAATACCTTTTGCAAACGAATGCAGCAAATCAGAGATGGCGTTCGATTGTCCAAAGTTTTTGCAACCACGTAAGCTCGATGAGTGGAGTGCAGCGATCATGTATGGAGTGCTTATAAAAGGTACCTGATACTCCAAGTCAACCATTGCGCTCTGCACACCTCCGACTCTTCAAGTTAACCAAGCAAATCACTCCTGATACATCATCATGACCTTCACCAAGCTCATCATTGCCGGAAGTACCGGCTACGTGGCCGACCATGCGCTTCGAGCCATCTCAGCCTCGACAACGCCCAAGTTTGACGTCACTATCCTGACTCGTGTTGATAGTGGCAAGGTACCATCGTCTGCACCGGGTGCAAAGATTATTCCAGTCGACTACAATGACCACAGCGCCCTTGTACGCGCTGTCATGGGAGCCGATGCAATTCTCTCTTTTATATCCGGTCCTCCGTCGAAGGTTATCGACCTTCTGTTGCTTAAAGCAGCACAGGAGGCTGGGGTCAGACGCATTTTTCCATCCGAGTACACTTTAGATGTCCTCCACCCGAAGCAAGTGTCTCTTTTCACTGAGGGTGGTGATTGGCCGGAAGATACTTCGCCAGTAGTTACTGCACGCAAGTTCCTTGCCCTCGCTGACGAAGAGGGGCCTACAAGCTTCACAACGCTTTTATCATCTGCCTTTATTGACGCATGGCTGGAGGGCAACTTTGGCTCGTTTGATCCCCTGAACCAAAAAGTAACAGTGATTGACAGCGGCGATCACTACTTCTCTGGATGTTCGTTGCCCTTCCTCGGGGCGGCCATTGTTGCCGTACTTCAGATGGACGAGGGAAAGACCAAGAACAGACGTATTCCAATCGCCGAGTTGCAGATGACCATGAACCAAGTTGCGGATGCCTATAATGAGGCAACTGGCGTCAAATTTGAGAGACTTCGCGTCACGTCTCAACAATTGATTCAGCAGCGCAACGCAAGCCTCGAGGCTGGGAGTCCTTTAGATGCACTTTTCATCGCTACTCACTTAGGTGCTTTTGATGGGAGCGGGGCGGCTGATCTCAAGGATGGCTTGGAGTTCGATGGTGATGGGTTTTTGAATGTGAGGAGACAGACTCTCATGGGAATAGCGGTCAAAGCTTTACAAAAGGTGGGAGCGGCCTGAGCAGCATTTCATTGCCATGCAATGCAGCCCGTTGAAGCTGCAAGGGGATAGTTGACAAGCTTGTAGGCTCCTTAGGCTTCAAGGGGTGCGAGAATTGACATGGAGAACTTGCAGAATGAAGCCGTAAAGTAAAGATGCCAGTCAGTAATGAACTGTTTGTCAATACACCTTCGTTTTCAGACTTTAATCCAACTTGCATTTGACCTTATGTGATGACTCAATTGACATCTAAAGTGCGCTAAATAGAGGTCATGCCATCTTAAAATTATTAGCTACTTATTGGCCTTGTCGTTGGAGCCGATTGCGAGGCTGGAGAACCCCTCTAGATTGCCCTAAGACCTTATATTAATCTAGAGCGTGGATCATCTAATTGCATAGGTCTGCGGCCAAAGAGAGGTATATTTATATACGGAGTAGAAGAAAACAATTCGTTCAAAAATCTCAACATTATCAACACATCATTAACATTTGAAATGAGATTCAAAGCGCATAAGTACATCCCTCAATAAGCATAGACACATGAAGGTTCTTTTCAAACCCAATATCGTATCAACAATTTCCATCATGAACCAAGGAAAAAAAGTGATAAACGCCGAAAAAATAGGAAAATCATAAATCAACTCCAGAGATGATTAGAGGAATGAGATATCACAAAAGCAAAACATAATGCGAGATCTACTTGCGCCAGAACATCGCTTTTCCAGCTGTCCGACCAGCGGCCCATCTAGCCTCATTCATACGATCCTTGAAACTCGGCTTGCCGCTGTACCGGACAGGCTTCTGAGCAGTGCGCTCACTTGCGCCGGTACTACTTCCACTGAAAACGCTGGGAGCGAAGTTCGTGAGGTTTCCAGCGTCGAACTTGGTTTTTGTTTCGACGATCTTGTGGATTAGGTGCAAAAGGGCGTACGTTGTTGAGCCAACGACACGGATCAGGGCAAGACCGGCCACAGACCATAGAATGATTGAGAGGTAGATGTTTGTGCCGCCCGAGTCTACACCATAGATCTGGGTGACGACCATGGCAAGAACAAGGTTGGCTATCATCCAGACTGCGACCATGTACGTACGCACGGCACGGTAGTAATCTTCTTGCATTTGGGCATCGCTGAGTGGGGGCTCGGGAACCTCGAGGCGATCACGGAGGTTGCGGAGGGCAGCATCGTAGCCACTGTCAATATCGAGTTGCTCTGATGGCATGTCCAGCAAGACGGTTTTGCCGTCGATGGTCTTTGCAGTACCAAGATCGCGGTTGATGACGTTGTCACCTTTTGTACCCCAAGTAACATCGTGAGTGTTGCAGAAGGCGTACACCTGCAGTGTGCAGATGTAACTTGGCATCAACAAGAAGTATTGGAGTGAGGAGGTAATCATGTGCCATGGGTCGAGGTAAAGGATGGAGATGTAGAAGTACAGGCCGACAGTTGACAACATGGAGATGACAATTTCCATCAGCAAGGTGCTGCTGACTGTGAGGGAACTATCGCCAACTCCTGCACGCGCCTCCAACTCCAGTACCAAGAGATAAAGGGTACAGAAGATGGTGTAGGCCATGATGATAGCGTAGACGATGAAACTAGTCAAGTAGAGGTTCTTGGCACCTTGCGGACGATTACCCAGAGAAATGATGAACTGCAGGCACATGGTCAAGGTGCAGGCATAACGTAGTACATAGAAAATCCATTTGCCCATATTGTGGCCAAAAGGATCAAGTTTTTCGTCAGTCAAAGAGCCAGCGATGAAGTAGAAAGCCAAGTAGAAATTTGCCTAGAGCCATGGGTTAGTAGCGCTCCTATCAAGGACAATTCAGAGAAAACTTACCAAACCAAAGTAGGTGAAGAGGAGGTTGAAGAATTGGTACACAAACTCAATGTGAAGCAAAATTTTACGACCAATACTGTGATCAGTCTTCCAGATCTGGCTAGCATTGACGTTGGAGTACACAGCCGCGAAGAATGCACCGTTCAACCAACGTCGACGTTGCGAGATGAACTCAGGAACGGTATCCGGCACATCAGTCTCACCAACGGCACTCTTGACGAACTTCAACACCCACTTCTCTTCTCGTTTGGCGACCAACTCCCAGCAAAGAATTCGGTCCTCGGCCAGGTACATGTTGGCAGTGAAGACATCAGCATCCTGACCGTGAAGGGTTTCACCCTTGAAGTACTGGTTGAGGGGGCCATTGCCATCGGCATCGTTCTGGAGAGCGAAGAATCGGTAGGCACTGAGCGCACCAGGTAACACAGTAATATAACCAAAGACAGACTCTAGGGGCTTGTCCAAAATGTTGGACATCTTGTATTCGAAGTTCTGACTAGCCACGAGAGGGTTGAGCAGACCACGCATGCCCTTGCCCTTACCGGCTTTAATCTCTCCGGCAGCACCGGCGACGTTGGAGTCATTGTCAAAGGCCTTCCACAAATGATAACAGGCAGTAGGATCTGGCTTAGTACCAACATCAAGAAGAACACAGATGTTGGGCTGGAGGGCGCGACCGAAAGCGTTAAAGAACCAACGGTGGGAGTTCAACTTCTTTTGGTTGTGCTCCTTCAGACAGAAAATAACTTGACAAGGCACAATACCCTTCTCAGCTCCCTTGAACTTCAGATCAGAGTCGAGCGATACCTGAGTGGTGTACTCGTAGACGTGGGCCTGGACCTCCTTCTGGTTGACAACGTTCTTGGCAATACCCTCTTGGTAAACACCAAGAGCAGCCAGAGCGTTAAGAGTGCGAGGGTGGACCTTCTTACGACCATCAGAAATAATGCAGACGACAATCTTCTTCCATCCGTCTTTACCCCAAGTACGAGACTTGGTACGGGAGCACAAGTGGCTGATGTTACGCATGACACCATGCATAGTTCGGGTGAAACCGATCTCGTCTTCGTTGTACATGGTAATACAAATAAACAACTCAGTCTCACGAGCAGTGCTGCCGATCTGCTGTCGAAGCTTGTAACCACGGCTAGTAAAGTCGTCGGGGTCGGAGGTCACAGCGGTGTATCTCATATGAGTGAACTCACGCTCATCGCGGCGAGGAAGGAAACTGTGCAGAATGGTGGGAATCTTGCACTCCAGGATCAGTTCACCATTAACCAGCTGAACCTCCTTCTTCGACACCTGAGCATCACGGACACCTCGGCGAGCCTGTTTGTCGGGGGCGGGACCGTAATGCATATTCGGATCCAGGCTGGCTTCATCATATTCCTCATCTAGATCAATCTTGGACATAGCGTCCTTTTCGTCGCCCATAAAAGTTGATTCGCTCTGGAATGATCGTACACTGCCGCGGGAGTTGTGGCTGATGGTCTGGCCACCGCCACCAAAGGGATCACCGAAGGGGTCTTCGCTCATGTCGCCAATATCGATGCTGCTATCTGCTCCCATAGATGCGGTAGGCCCAGAGAATAATGGAGCCGGGGGCAGTGGTCGTCGAGGACTACCTGTGTAGCGTGAGCTCGAGGTACCCGGTCGAGGACTGCCATTGAGATCGGCGCGTTCATATCCAACGCTCGAAACAGATGGAGGTCGAACATGTCCTGGGCTCCATGGTCGAATGGGAGACCCTGTGCGTGGCGGTATTGATGGGTAGACTGAAGGGTCGGCTAGACTGGCAGTTGGTGGGGGCATATTCGGGACGCCAGACAAGCTTGACGCGGGACGTGAAGGCGAGCTGGCGCTCGGTACCTGGTAAAATCGACTATCATATTCTTGTGTTTGTCCGGTTCTATTCCGCAATCGCCCGTTAGTTCGAGTTCGTGGTCGTGACGGACGGTCCATTGTGTGCATGTGTGACAATATTGTCAAAAGTTGGGGTGAATGGGGCAACGTGATAAACAAGTGCTAAGTATGCACTGTTTATTGCCCGCCAAACTCGACCAACTTTTCGAAATGATAGTCCTCCGTCCAAAAGCGGCTCATTCCTGAGCAGACAATCAAGGACGTGACACTTCCATCGGTCTTTGCTTTTGGTTTTGTCGTTGGGGCAACCACTGGAATGCGGCATAGGAGAAATAAGGTACTATTTGAGGGAGTGAAACAAACTTACGGAGTTGTGTCAAAGTCTTGGTCATAGACTTGGTTATAGCCTTGTTGATAGAATGGCGAGCCGGCTGTTGGGCTTTCGCTCAAGTCACCATACTCCTCACCACTAGTAGGAAGCAGGCGCATTGTCGGGCCAGTTTGGCGCGACGGAGATTCTGCTTCGGATAAGAACGAAGAAGTCTCTTGGTCATAAGACGGGGGCTCATCCCCGAAGCTGGAGGGCGGGTGACGATTCATGATTGGAATATGTCTGTTTTCGTGTGTCTCAAGTACTCATAGTAGTATCGTATGTGGGGGGTATCGTTTAAACAAGTTGCAAAATAGCACACACTGCACGTTTCTCAGCTACCAGCACCGAGACAGCGGGATGCGGTAGTTCTGACAGGTTGACAGTTGCGTGAGTTGATGGTTTGGACGAAGAGGAATGTGGGCCGGAAGGAATGCTCGCAAAGAGATGAAAAGAGGAAGATAAATCAGACAAGGCGAGGGAATGATATGTGATGGAATAGTCAACGGCAAACAAGTCTGGCCCGGTTCATCCGTGCTCGATCAACAAAGTGGAGGTGGATCCCGTCGCCATGGCAACGCATTTGCAAGGGAGTTCTTCTGCACGGGGGAGTCGATAGAAACTCGTGAAAGACATCTTCGATCCCAGTACTAATTAACTAGTTACATCAATTTAATATTAACGGCCTCTGTCTCACTCTAAAACAGTGCTTGAAAAATTCACCCGTTCGCGTTGCTTGGGGATGTAAACATGCTACCACTCTCGAACTTAGAATTAGTCTCCACCCAGTGGGTCCGAGACACCGAGCTGCGCAAGCTCCACGTTGAAAGTACATTAAATTCATTGATTTAATCCGCAGATAACAATAAGCTAACCCAACCCAGAATGTATGACGACTGCAAGTGAGAACATATCATTATTCAGTCAAACATTAACGAATCATCGAACCATCATAAGCCATCCACGCGGCAACATCCATATCCGACTAGCTTCATTTTCCCGTCCAGCTCCAGCTCCAGCTCCAGATCCAACCACCTCAGTGCTTGCCCCGGACAAACACAATTACAATTTGTCATCATAATTTTCCCCTTCCTCAAAACTTACACTCCTTCGTTGAGCAAAGGCTGTCTCTCGCGATCGGTGCTCTCGGGGTGGACGACACGACGGAACAGCGAGTCGCGTCCAGTATACTTAGTAGTCGAGATATATAGTGAGACCACGGTGAAAACGCCGAAGACCACAAAGGCAAAGATCCATTGCAAAGCAATGATCTTGATCGAGAATTGCTGAATCGCCAGCGCTATATATAGCAATTAGTACTGCCCGGTGTGAGAAATTTGAAATATATAACCGTTGACTTACACAAACTGAGGAAGCTGAGGCAGTATCCCAAAATATAATCGTCACGCACTGTGATATGGAACAGTCCCACAAACAGGATCGCCCAGATGAAGATATTGGCAACGATACGGCCAGGTAGGTTATGGCTGTGGACAGCCACAGCCCCGTTCCAGAATAGTGCGAAAATGGTCCAGGCATAAGGACCTGCGACAGCAGAGAGGTGCACGAAATCTGGCAGTTTCGCGTGGCGCCAGTAAGCAATGCCCTGGTTGATGAAATGGGCCATCAAAATAACCTCGGCACCCCAGAAGTGGTTGCGAGTCCAGAGCGAGATCCAGGCGAGAATGAATAGGTTGTTGAGGATAAAGTGGGTGGCTACATTAGCAGCAGCAGCCACGATGGCAGCCTCCTTGTGAAAGAGGTGCCACACATAGCTAAGCTGTGAGAGGAGCAGGAGGACCCTGGAGGCAAGAGGTATTAGCTCGACTCATACCCCGAGTATGGTCACAAAATATATCTAGCACTCACCAGTAGATTTCGGTCGTAGTCTTATTCTGCGTAAAGGGTGTGTTATGCTTCTTGGCCTGCTTCCAGATCTTCTTGCTGTGCTTAGTGTCATCTGGCGAGTGAATGGAGTAGTAAATTCCAACGATGACGACCAGCGCCCATGTGAGGGGTACAAGGACCCGGTAGGTATTTAGCGCATGGATATTATGCGTCTCGCGACGAGCAAAAGGATTGTAGTTCGCCATGGTGAAGATTATCGATGACGAGGAAGGAAAAAAATGTACTCTAAGGGGCGGGGATGGCGTTATATACAGGCAAATTTTTGGATCCCCGCAATATGGTCTGATGACCTACAGCCCACCACTCATATTGCAGCTAGGAGTTACAGTGGCCAGATTCGGGTACATCATGGAAAGTATAATGATGTCAAAATGCTCTATCTTATCCGGTCTCCCGCACGTACCAACATTAAAGTTGGCAGCTTGAGACCCACTAGAACCAAGTTTTTGTTCATTTTGGTTACTAAGTGTAGGCAGCAGAAAATGGACCCTGATGGTGCTTTCGCGTTTCACTTTTTCAATGGGCGCAGGGGATTCGTACTGCGAGTAGCAAGTGCGACAAAGCTGCGACACGAATGGCGCAACTCGCTGCTCGTGGTGTTGATCGGCGTGCACGGTCCTGCGCTTTGGAGATCAACCTGGGGTTAAAAGGTAGGTAGCATGTATGAGCTGCGAGCTGAATTGCCTTAATGTTCCACAGAAATATTGAAATGAGAAGAAAAGAGTTTATATACACCTGAAATGTGATTCATCAAAATTGTTCATTAGTCCTCATTTGACCTTGCATCGAGAACAATGTGTTGAAAGTCTACATAGAGCTACACGAAGCTGAGGACCTGGGGGAACGCGGGGCAAGGGGCCAAAGCTACAAAGTAGACAACACTTTATCCAAATGTTTGATTGACTCAACATAAACTATAAATGGGGAAAATCTGATCCAAACTGGGTATCAAACATGCCTTGCGTGCTGGCTGTCCGCTGAAAAAGAAAACTCGGCGCCTACAACGCTTGGCGTTTCATCGTATTTATCGTTGCAAGTTGATTCGCTTTGTATGGTGTATTTTCTCAAGGCACCGGGGGGTAATTTCTAAGATTATCTGGCTCACTGATTGGCTTCCCGTACAGCCCGAACAGCCTCCAGGATCCGGCTATGAATGGATGCAGGCGCCACAACCATGCCGTGGCAATCAGCCAAAGTCCGACCCAGGCCGCAATCGACTGGCCGGCCGTCCAGATCTGTCACAACACAGCCAAGCTCCTGTGCAATCAACATCCCGCCAGAGTGGTCCCAAATTTTCGATCGGTACGATGACTTGAGGGGCACTTTGATGAAGGAGTTACATCCGCCACGCACGGCGATGGCGATATACCGCATCTGAGCGGACCACAGATCGACTTCGTTCGGCCAAGGGCACGTCAAATGCGCTGCGATTTTCTCATGCAGATCTAGTCGCTGGGAAGTCGACTCCTGCGTATCGACGAATCGCACCTCGCTGCCCTCTGTAATCTGTGACACTCGCTCAAGCTGCTCTCCAGACAAAAGCGCACCTGTCCCCATCGGCTGGATGAATGCTCCCTGTCCTGCGATCGCAGTCAAAAGCAGTCCGTATCCATCACGGTCCACGAGATCCTCGGCCACGCGCCCGGACCCAAGATCTAAATTCGGGCAGCCGATGATACCGAGCTTCTGTTCTCCGTCCTCAACGAGCGATAGACAAACAGCGTACTGCTGTCCGCGAATGAACGTCGCGGTACCGTCTACCGGGTCAAGTGTCCATGCCCGCGTGCCGCGCCTGCACTGACCGCGAGCGCCCAGATCAATCAAATCGAGCAGCTCCTCGCGGGTTTGTGGGGTATATAGAAGCGCCTCGCTCGCTTCGTCGTCCAGATGAACGGATGTGGCAAGCTCCCATGTGCGCTCGAGGAGGATGGGGTTCTCGCGGAGGGCTGTGGCGTCTTCTTCACCGACAATGTCGTCGTTCGGGAAGGTATGGTGGATCGCAGCGATAATGGAGGCTTGTGCGGCGAAGTCAGCAATAGTCACAGGTGAGTCATCGCTTTTGCTTAGAGAGCCCTTGTCGACTGCGGAGAGTAATTGTTTTGTAAGGAGCGCGGCTCGCTGGACGGCCAGGCTAGCCAGATGGAGCTCCTGTGTGTAGGCGTGTGAGCTCATTTCCGCGATATTGAGAGGTCAATTCCAAAAATGCGTCAGATGCTTCAGACGCGATGGTTCGGGTATTAGGTAGATGTATAGCAGAGAAGGTCTCCAGGTGGAGTTGAATCGTCGAAAATGTGATTGTTTTGTGTGAAGCTCTTTTAAATGCCGCGAACGTCGAAATATATTTGGTCCATCCCGCTATCTCATATATAGTCACGTGTGTGGGAGCGCCAAATGCGTCATCGAACCCACAAGGTTCCACTACGGTGAACGAATATAAACAGCGAGTTCCAAATACGAATATGATCAATTATTCAAGAGATTTAACCGAGAAATAAGTATGATATTTAATCTTGTTTGGTGCAGAGCCCAAAACCAGACACGAATCGGATGCCAAACCAGTGACGAATCTACGATCGCCCTGATCTGCAAATAAACGAAAGCCAAAAGGTATATCTCAAGAACGCCGGTGCAGGGGAAAAATGGACATAACAGGCATAGAGGTCGCTATCGAGCTGAACTCAGAAAGAGGCAAATGCCAGCTCGTATGCAAAGGCCAAGCTCATCTTGGCATGCTGCAACATGTGATCAAAGCTAAGGTACTTGATCAAGTCATCGGTGGAGTGGATTCTCTTGTCCGAATTCTCGAACTGAGACTCAATCACAAAGGCTGAGGGGTAGCCGAACCGGCTGGCTGAAGCATGGTCGGAACAGGCATAGCCGCACTTGGTCTCGACGTAAGGGATATCGCAATACTAAGCGGGGCCAAGTCAGAAAAGTGGATCTTTGCATGTTAATTGATGACAAGTCACTTACAGTGGTGATAACTTCCTTGATGAATGCAGTGAGACCTTGGTCGACGTAGTCGACAATGACGCCCACTGACTCCGGCAGGCCGGCATCCAGGGTACCCTGGACATACCCAGTCATGTCCTGCTGAAGCATGGCCTTGATTTCGCGGTGATCCTTCTTGTACTTGGAGAAGATGGCCTGAGAGCCGAGAAGGCCTCCCTCCTCCGCGGAGTACCAGTGGAACTCGATGGTGTTCTCTGCCTTGCCCTGGGCAATCGCCTCCGACCGCAGCAGGGTTCGGAACGACTCAAGGATCGTGACGGTTCCACTTCCATCGTCATCAGCACCTGGAGCAGCCAGGATTGAGGGGAGGAACAGGTTGATGCTGTCCTGGTGGGCGCCCAGCACCACAGTGTTGTTGGTCTGACCCGGGATGCGGGCGATGATGCTAAACTGACCCCATGGGTGGTCGAAGCGCTCCACGGTTGCGCCGTACTTGCTAGCGCCTGAATCGTGTACCACGGTGCTGACCTGATCAAGCAGCCATTCAGCAGACTGGATTCCGTACTGGGACTTGTAGTAGCGGGTGTGATAGGAGGTGAAATGCTCCAAGTTCGCCTTCATATTGCTCTTGGAGAGTTCATCCGTTAGTGGCACCACAGCTTCAGTGTGCTGCATCTGGCCCGGGTACCGGACGACGCGCGTTGTGTGAAGAGCACCGTAAGATCCAGACTGGAACTCATCAGTCACATCGATAAAGTTCACTCCATCCTGTACAGCGAGAACGAATGATTAGTAGCGGCGAGAGATGTTTGAATTAAGCGACCTACCAATTTCAATGCCCACTTCTCCTCCTCAGTCACCCAACGGGTGGTGTATGGGGCCAACTCAATTAGCCACTTGGGCTGCTGAGTGTTTTGGACGATTGACGGCCCCAGCGGCTCCTGGGGGATCACCGCAGCCAGGGCGGTCGAGACCGTTGCGCTCAACGCAAGTGCCAGGAACTTCATGTTGAACCTGCAGGGTCGAAAAGATAAAATTTAAGGATAACGAATCGGAAAGAATGAGCAGGTGACGAGGTTATAAAGAAGGCGAGAATTGCCGCAGGGTTGGGGGCCGAGCTTTCATGCGCCTACGTATCGCAGAATGGAGCTCGCCAAGCCCCTTCTTGCCTATTTCGACCCCGCGCTAAACAGGGTTATTAATAGCGGGCAGCCTTGCTCGAAGTAGAGAAGAAAGTGATAGCTATGATCCCTTGATTATGATGATATGAAGTATCTAAATCCACCTTTTCCCTGTTCTTTGATGATGTTACCCCTTCATGAGTACTCCCCACTTAGAGTCATACCAAGTCTCACGGAATGATTTTCGCGCGGGGATTATTGGGTGGAGAGGTGCCGTCTCCACTTTGCCTGATTAGTCAACTCTTCTCGTGAGTCACCGTGCGGAGTTCGGCATGATGCTCAGAGCCTTGCCTCTTCTAACAACTGTTCCACAGTTAAATGGGGCCAGATCGTAGCCGAAGGATTTAAACCAGGAATTAATACGATCCAACCCGAGGTTCACAATCACGGGATTTCTCGTGACTTTGATCCGCTCTTTCCTGAATAGGCATCCAGGGCTAGGGTTTATCAGTGGTCCACTTTCCGCCAATCAACGCGCTATCTGTATTCCCGTGCAGCCGTCGCTTTATCTCGTTATCTCGCGTCTCGAGGGTCCTTGTCCTTTGAACCTTACATCATTATCCCCTCTCCTTTCATACCTTGTAATCTTAACCTATACAGAATGGCTATCCATCCGAGACTACGACCCCAAGCGTCACAGGGAAACCTGTCACCACAGCAAACTATGGCTATCTCCTCGTGGACCGAACAGGCCTCCGCGTCCCTTGAGAACCTGTCCCTCTCCGAGTCCCGCCCCGCCACTGGAGCTGCGGAAACGACACCGACACGGTCAGGGCTGCGGGGAGCAACTGTATCCCTTTCGATTCCCCTCGACGACGAAGCTCCGCCTTCCCCTTCCCCGCAGGCCAAGGTGATCAACCCTATTGCGGAGACACGCTCGATCCCGACTGTCAGTTTCCGGCGCCGAGAGTCGGAGCGCAAGGATAGCATGAAACGGCGCGAGGCCTTGCTAAAGGGTAAAGATGGCAGTCGCCGACGACAGCGTTGGGAGAATGGTGGGTGTCTCGTTCCCTGGTCCCCATGAGGATCAAGATCCGGTGGGCCGAGGAAGCTGACGTATTGAAGATCGCTTGTTGCACAACCCGTGGGCCGAGCCCCCAGCTCCACAGGACTGGGTCATTGAGCCAACCTACACACGCCACGATCCAATGCCCTACTACCTGGCGCCGCTCTGGGAGGTCCACTATGCTAGAATGGCAGACCATCAATCGGCCCGCAAGCATGCGGCCAAGACCGCCAGCCTGAAGCACCGCGTTCCCAAAGACCTCCGGTCGAAACTGAAGCACGCGCGCGCTGCTCGTGGTATGCTTCAAGATCTGGAAGATGACATTCGACTTTTTATCCGGAAGTGGAACGAGAAGCAGCAGTATCTCCAGAGCGAGGGTCTTGAGGATGCACCCGAGGATGACTCAGAAGACGAAATCGTCTTTGTTGGTCGCAATGGGCAGATGCATGATTCCCCGGAGCGAAAGCAGAAACTGGAGCAGATGCGTCAAGAATTAAACTTGCATCATGAACGCGATGGTGAGAAGATGGTATTAGAAAGTTTGGTGGATGACCGTGGAGCGGCATTTGGGTAGGTTTGCCTTCGGGGAATATCATCTCGACGATCCAGGGCACTGACCTCATTCTTTTAGGCGCTGGCTTGTGCACTCCATTGCATCATACTACGGGCTGTATACCTGGTCTGTGACTGTCGGCTCCCCTGCTCGTCGGGAAGCCTATGTAGGTGTCCGACCACCAGGCCCTAGCAGTCGAGCTGGGCTCATCACTCATCCTGCTTGCCAGTCAGAGTTGATTCAACCGGGCGAGGAGCTCCCCCAGCCCCTCTATGCGCAGGTCTAGACGTTGGTGATTTCGGCGTCTGCCAGATTGAGTAGACTTGCTTCCTTTGAACATTCATTGGGTATATATTTCGGTTCTCTTTAATGATGCCATGCTGGCAGGGTCCAGCGTTGGCTTGGGTGATATTCTTGTTTGCATATAAGGTTTTATTGGACATCTTATCCCCATGGCGCGTCCGAGGAGCTGTAGAAGATTCCAGTGATGACGATGTCGCGCCTAGACAAACGACAAGACTAGCGGTGAGACGTAGATTTGAACTGCAATGAAAGCGGATATGACTTCAATGTTGTCATGGACCGTATTCGAAGGTTCGGACCTGACGCATTGAAATTCTCCGCAAACCTTCTATACTGTCCGTGCGTATCGATCTCAGACTGTATGTCGTCACCTTAGTTCATCATGAATGTTGTGGAGTCCAATTTATCTGATTCACGATGGCACGATGGAATGAGGGGAAACCATTCTCCCGGTTCTCCCCTGTCTTATGCCGAGCTCCGTCATCCGTCTCTCCGAGCCATTCCCGGGACTTAGGTACCAGCGAACCTAATAATTTTCCGACCCCAAGGAACACAAGGTACAAAGCGCCTCCTTGTCTATATCAGACTATAATATATCCCTCCTACCTGGTAATGGATGATAAGGCGTACGCCGACATGAGTAGCATCACCACGATATTCAAAAACCAAAGATCGGTTTCGGATCGGACCGCGAAGCCTCCACCATCAAGGTCTCCGCCATGACGTTCTTGGGCATTCTATACGAGCCCGACCCATGCAACCTCAAAACGAAATGGAAACGAGATCCCGAACAGGTTCGAAAAAGAATGGACGATCAGACCCTGCAGCCTTGTCTGTGACTTAATGATCGGGGAGGAGAGGGGGCCGAAGCCCCATTTCCAGAAGGCCTGCGCCCGTACCGCGTGTCCAGACCTGTTCGGTGCACTGATCGCTCCGCGCTCACTGGTCAAGGATGGTGGGGAAGGCACACTACACATGATACCAGAAGGTTAGGAGGGGGTTCGGCAACGAATAGAGATCCGCCACACCAGAAACACTGAGCTTCTTGCTCCCAGACTTCTAACCTAAACCGCCTTGATCGGGAGACGCATCACACAGCTGGTCGTTTTAGGCAAACTCCGGGTATACCTTGATTCTCATAGGTAGTTTGCTTCCCGGTGGTGAGGCGACTGGCTTTTTTGTGCTTGGTGATTTTCATTTTCGCCCCTTGTCTTGGGCTTGATTCGTCGCTCAGAGGGTTCAGATGTTGCAGCTTGCCGGTGTTGCCTGTACAACGAGATAATTTCTTTTTTTTTCAGGTTGTTTTTATTATTTTTTTGAGTGGTTTCTTAGAGATTTGAAATGGGAGGCAGACTTGGTTTAGGGAAGTTTGAAAGGGAGGTTCGTGAAAATACTGTAGTAGAGGCCCGATCGACAAACATTGGGTAAAACCGGTTGACAGAGACATTCCCTTCATTCTTAGTGTCCTTTGTTCCATCTACTGCGTAAATACTCCTCAGAAACGTCCAAATACCTCTGCCACATTCTCTTTTATTTGATGTTTGGGTATACATACACTGCCCCTCTTTAACTCTCCACTTTTCCCCATCCCGTTGGGCTTATGATCTTACTACCTGATCCGTTCCTCTCGCTCTCTGTCCTTCTCTAATTCTACTTCGGACCAAAACTTTTAATCCCTGCAACCTTTCGAGTGTCATATGATTCTGGACCAGGCCTATTCTCTCCGATATACCCCTGATCATTTCTCGCGTGGAATCTCCCGAATTCTCTCCCTTCTCATGCCAGCCCTCTGAAGTGGCTCTAGGTGCGTCATGGGAATCTGACGACCCCACAGTCGTATTTATTGCATCTCGGAAGATCGACTTGGTTCCTAGTCGTGTTTCGGATTTCTGGAGATCTTTCTCCTGATTCTATCGCTGTAAAAGCGTGATCCTAGCTTTCTTTTCACCTAACCACATCGACTTTTGTCAGAATCTTATCGCCATTCAGCTTAGGTTTCTGCAAGGTTATACAACGGAACTACAGTCATGGGTTCTTCTTATAAATCATGTCAAGACCGGACAGGGAGTGGAGGTAGCTCAAGCTCGACAGACACAGATGGTTCTATCGAAACAAAAAGTACAACACCAACGCTGTTTAGTGCTGGAACAGTCTCAGCGAAGCACCGTCCCCGGCACGAAGAATTTAAAGATGATGGACCTCGTGATTCAGTCTCAACTTACGCATCGACGACCCGATCCGCGGCTGACATCCCCCCGGAAGAGCCAATGTATGAAGTTGACGACCGCCAAGAAAGCTTCTTTCCAACTGATGCGCTCTCCTCAACACCTTCCTCCTTTGCGACATTATTCCCCTCAACACGAAGATTACTCATCCGACATGACGATGCAACGATTGACGGGAACATGAACTTACGTGTAGACACGGTTGTCCCCCGTCGTGGTGGATACCAACAAGACGTGATCCTCTTTCATCTTCGCATGTATGATCTCTTCTCAAGGAAATTCTCCTTCCGCCGCTATTGCCGTGACTCGGGCCGAGAAGTATGTCACTCAATCCGGAAAGAAGCGACCTCTGTCCTCCACAGCGCTTCAGGACAACGACGCCGCTCATTGGGTAGCGTACTAGCCAGCTTTCGACCCGGATCGAGTGGACAGCCAGCGCCAATTGCGGGCGATCTCAAGCGCCAAAATTCAGGATTTGAGAAACAACATCACCGTTCCACGAGTGATGAAGTAGGATCGAACAGTGAGAAGGGACCGGCGCTCGGTGATACCATTTTGATGGAATTCTCCAACTATGCTCACGTGGAACTTCGACGAAAAGGCTCTGGTGCGGCAAAACGGTACGAATATGAATATTGGTCCACGAAATACCAGTGGCGACGCGAGTTCCGGAAAGAGGGTGATCTGCGTGAAGTGTCGTACTATCTCGTGAATACACGTACATCCAACACAATCGCCCACATGGTCCCGGAGATCATGACACCCCTGGAAGCGGTCGAGGAGGAAAGTAAAGGTGGCTGGATACCACCGTGTTCATTGTGGATCAGCGACACATCCGTTTATGAAAGGATGCCTGACATTGCCGAGTAAGTCGCGTTCACATCCCTTGTTTTCTTTTCCCTATCGTATCACACCCTCCCTAGTCTAGCCTCATCCTAGTCCCACTCTTCAACCCAACAACACACCATGCACCCCTGTCCTTCTTTACCCCTCTCACCCCTCAGCTCCACCTCTATTCGTTACAGATTGCAGTGGCTGCATTGCAGGGCGATAGCGAGGCTGACGAACCGGTTCCTGTTTTAGCGTCATTGTCGCAACAGGACTAGTGGCTCTCGTGGACGATTGTATTCGCCGCCGTTGGCATCACGAGCGTCGCGTTCCATGGATCCTCCCCGCACGATCCTCGCTCACTAAAAGTCTGGAACGCATGGGCCCACGTCGATTGATCGGCGAGGTCCTCCAACGACGGGGATCAGCCTAGATTAGACGGGGATTGGCGATCAAATTCGACAGAAACAGGTACAGTACATATAAGATGCATGAATCATGAGACACCCATGAGCTGTGAGCTATGAGCTGGCTTTTGCCATGGATGGTACTTTTATTTTTCTTCATTAAGAAATCTTTTTTTTTTCTCTTCACCTGATCTGCATCTGGTCTAGATGCATTTACGATGTTTATGACAGGGTCATGATGAATTTATTTTCTTGGAAGTTGCTGATTTTGCTATTCTTCCCCTCTTATTGCGGGTCCCTTTTTTCTTTTTTCTTCCTTGTCGTCGTATACTTTGGGATCATGTCAGGCAAACGTGCATCGGAGATCCATCCGACCTATTCCGATTTTTATCTATTGGATAGCATGTACGGAGGCTCGGGAGGCGTTGGGCGGTTCATCTCTTGGAATTGGAAACATTGGAAACGAAACAGCAGGTTATGTGGCATCTTTTTCCACCAAGCATTGACATCTAGCATCATGATTATTTGACTTAATATTTTTTCCCCCACCTTCTTCCATGGTTCAGGTGACTATTGTCTTCTAATCAGTATTTGCCTCTTCGGGATTTGCATCTACATGACCTCCTTCTGCGCTGCTCTGCTGGCGATGCATACCGTTGTAGTTGAAAAGCCTGACCGCTTCTCACCAGACCAGGATAAGCTAGCTGAACAGGAATATATTTGCTTCTGTTGCATTGTTGTCAAATTTCTAGCCTCACCGACAGAGTCCGACAAGGATAAACCAAGCTAGTGAGAAGGAAGGCGTAATCAATCTACATTTACCCGTGGACCAAAGCTATGACCGGATGAAGGAAGAGCATCCCCCGCTAGCGCGAATGTGAACCATGGAACCAGTGAAGAAAACCTCCACTTCAAATTAAAACTAAACCCCAACCCATCACAATCGGCCTATTTATATTCTAGCCCGGTCAATCGATTGGCTCTGAATGAATCTTTTTCAACGCCCAAGTATTGAGACAAGAACCCTGATGCTGCCTGAGTTGATTAAGCTTGTGCGGGGCAAGGGCGCTTACTGGGAACTCGTGAAACGTTGGCCCAGAGCCAAACGTTAGTCTCGGTTGTTTTTCTATTGTGTTCCCACTCCTCGAGCTAGTTTCGTCTACCGGGCGGCTTTATAGCCGCATGATGAACCATGGATCATGGAGGCTGGGAACCATGGAACCGCACCGCACGGCCACAGTAGCAGAATCATCATACTGCAATGTATGAGTGCCCAACTTGATCGCTTTGCCAAAATGCGGCGAATCGGACCCGGGCTTTCCGACTGGAATGTAGTTGTGAGGCAAGAGTGTTTTTTAAAGATGTAGTCTACTTGGGTTGATTTTTTACTCCTGGTTCGAAAGTCCTTAGAGTAGTCTTGGTTCTTTGTTGGACCCCACAACTATAAGGGCGGTTGCGATGCAGGGCCAGCGGGTAGAAGTTATGAGGAGCTTGAACTAGGTATGACCTACATGCGGCGTTGCTACCGAAGTCCCTAGCTGTAGATGCCTCATGTACGTCGTGGAGATGTGGAGATGCACATTGTGGCACAGGTGGTAGCGAACTGGCGTTCCTTGGGCCTCCCCTAATGGCTTACTATTTGTTGTCCATGTTATTTTTGGGGACAATTCGGATGTTGTTTCCATGGTAGTTGATCCTGGTCGCTATCTGCAAAGCGGCCCGGTGGTTGACGGGTCCTAGTTAACTCCACCTTTCCATTTTTTCAGATACCTCGGAAAAGAGAGGAGAATGCCAGAATGCGAACTTCCTTGTCATGGCAAGGGTCCTTTTACAATCCGATGAGCTGGCAATACCTAGCTTCATGAGTTGTTATTTTTTCTTTTATTATTTTTAATTTCTTTTTCTTTTATGCAGCCCGACTAATCTATATTGTCAAGGCTTTTGGGTTTGGCATATTGGTGAATATACTGGGGTTTTGGAGTAGATTTTTTATTTTTATTTTATTTTTCTTTCAATTTCGCTTTCTCGGTACTTTTGGGCATCAGAGCCATTCGTCATAAGCTACGGGGGACAAAGCCCTGCTCCGGCTCCGCTTGGGCAGAGATCACCCACAGACATATCTTCCGCCACCATGCAATTCATACACAGGGTTTCTGTTCCAGAAACTAAACTATTCCCACCGATTTGGTACACGTCCATGCACCAACTCAACCTAACCTCACTTTGGCTTTTAATGCCTGGACGATGAGGCAGTGACGGGGCGGCACAATATCATCAACGTGGGGTTCTCTGAGTTGTTCATCGCTTCATCCAATCCTGAACCTCCCCGTCATTTTAGGTATTGAATATTTTGTCTTTTTTTGATTATTCTCTCTCTATTGCCCCTGTTCACTTTGATGTATTTTTTGCATATGGGTCTAGGTCTGGATCTGGATCTTGTTCTTGATTTTTTGGTGTTCTTCCCCGAGACTAGCCAAGTTTTTTTTTTTTCCTTTTCTAATTCTTCAAATTTTTTTTTTCCCCGGCCTTTCTCCCTTGCCTTAGTAGACGAATGGCTGTCACATTATTCATTGTGGGCTGGATCCTGCAGTGGGACATCCTTACAATCTTTCTTTAACCCTTACGGCGTCCTAGCGTTTCTTCAAGGGTTGGTCTGGTCGTGCGCCGGCCCGTTCCAGCTTGCAGCCTCAAAATGATCCGCATGTCCCGCACCAGTGAATAGGGAGGGGGTACTCAGGCTGACGCTGTGCCATGTACCCATTACTATGCATAAGCCCGCTTGGTTAGTTGGGTTTTCCCGTTAGGCTCCATGTTTGTCAAAAAAATAAAATAAAAGAGGGGGATTGGATGAAACCCGAATGGAAAAAATGCCCATTCGGGTCAATTAATTATTTGAATTTATGTTGATGATAATGGCCCACCGTTTATATGACTCCCCGCATGTCCATCACCGAGGGGCATTTAAAAAGGTCACGCAAGAATCCCGTCCATTGAGCTTGCATTTCTTTATATTCACTCCTGGACTTCATCTGCTTCCGTCATCGTACCCTCGACTCTAAATTCCTCTTGGATTCTCAATTGATCTCAATTGAGAAAGAGCTGTGATCTAAACTTTCACTCGTCCATTCACTACATTGAACCATGTCACTGCCAGCCAGTCCTTCCAATCTCGCATCACCGTGGCAGGATCGACTCTTAGGTAAGCCCAAATCAAACTGATGGAAGGCCCTAGGGGACTCCGAATTCTGGGAGCTCTTTCAGCTGACCAAACGAAAGACCATTGCAGACGCACTAAACTAGCAGCCCCTATCTTCAATATTGTCTCCGATCGGCGAGGTACCTACCCCGTTTTCCTTTGCTTCCTTCCCACCGTCTTTTCATCCCAAGAACCCCACTATACCTGCTCTTTTTGTCTATCTGTTTGATGGGCTTGGCTCCATACCCTGCCTGGACTTTGACCACTGCGTCGGCATTGCAGGTGTGGAGCTACGGAGAGGAACCCGTACACCGACTTTTAGTTCCGAGAGCTTGACAGCGGATGCTAATCGCCCTTGCGTCGGAAATGTAGGAGGTCGAACCGCCTGGTCTAGTACCGTCCTCGTCCAAGGCCGAACAGTCGCCGCTCGCTACTGGTATGATGGCCAATACATCAACAATGCTAAAGAGGATGCCGCCGAGGTCGCCCTCGGACAGCTGCAGAATCAAACTCGTGTGCCCACCGTTTACCCAGGTCAGGTCTGGCGACAGGACCTCGGTAATAGCAACGGGGCTTGATTCTCTCTATCTATGACTTGAATATTTTCTTTTGTCCGGGAGGCATTTTGTTTGTTTTTTGATTCGAATGTGCGCTGATGTGCGTGTTGACCTGCGTTCTCATTGTTTGTTGAGGTCCTTGTCCCTTGGATTTTCATTTTTTTTTTGGCTTTTTACTTTTATTTTCTCGTGTTCATGCTGCTGCGCATTGTGCCGGCCCACAGCAACACACAGGTCCTTACTTTTGCTCTCATTTGTTCGTTGTTTATGCGCAATGCAGGTCGAAAAAATCACCACTCACCACACCTCATTCCCCTCCTGCGTCGAACGCCCTTTTTTGCCTTCCTCGGGTCTCGGATATGCGCGCCCCATTCCCCGGTGAAAGGCTGATAGTCGGCTTGCTGCAAAGAAATTTGCAGAGAAATTTCTTCACCGTTCGGATACGCGGCCTTGGATTACGTGGATTCGGGCAGAAGAGGAGGAAAAATAAGCAAAAATTGGGCGTAAAGATACGCTTGGATGGGGACATGTTCATGGGCCCTCGTTTGCGCCATTGATCGACTTCTTCTTCGACCTACGTCCTCAATACCCTGCAACCTGGGCTTCCTTTCATGAAACTTCCCGTTTTGTTGTGATACCCAACTCAATTCCAACTACCCCAGGAACGGTGTCTTCTCTTATTTGCCCCACTCGTGGTGCGGTGGATTCTCAGAACCTTATGGTTGATACCGATACCGCCGTTCTGCGAATTTCCCGAACAAAGCAGATTTTAAGCAGATCCCATGACCTTCATGAGAATCAGAGGAGGACTGGACTGAACCGAATCGGATGCATTGGGCTGAACTGGGTTGACATGACCAGGAATGTCCTTCTAGTCTGCTGTCTGTGCGTGCCATGATCCTCGCCACTGGTGGAAATGGAATCGGTGAAGAAGTCCAGGGCTGTGGGGCCCTCCCGCCAGCCACCCGCATGACCATGGCCCGAACGAAAGACTGTGTCTCTCTGCACCCGGGATCGTATTACTTCTATCTCAGACACCTGTCGATGGATGAGTACGGGAATTTTGCGATACCCCGCTGGGGTGTACCTTATACTACCTAGTCCCAGTGATATCACCTAGACGGGACTAGGCTCGGCATTGCTATTGATTTTGTTCTGGAGCACTATATGCGTCTGTGTTACCCGAAACGGAAACAAGGTCGTTCAGATTTCAAACCAGGGACGAAACCACGGCAATCGAAGTGGTGAAAGTTTGAATTCCAGGAACAGGATTCTTGGAATCGCGAGGTTTGAGGTTTATTTTATTTCTTTTCCAAGCATAAAAGCATTCTTGCTTGCTTGTTTGATTTATTTTACTTCGATTAGGTATAGCTTTGGGGGTGGGTATGATACGGGAGTTTTCTTTGGAATATTGTACGGCTTCGGGATATGTCATTTGGACTGGATATGATCTTTTACACTGTTTTTCTTTTGTCTCTTCCTTCCTTCTTACCTGCCTTGAACCTGGTATCAACTGTCAGGTGTCAGGGCGAAGTTCTCCAAATTGGTTGACATCGCTTCAGCTATAACAATTATCGACAGGACATTTTCTAATCAGATCACTTTTTCTATGTTTATGGATTTTCGAACTCACTGTTCTTTGCAAGGCTCGGTGGCTACTCCAAAATATCTTTATCACTGTAGCTTTGGAAATGAATTTAAGCTTTTGTTTGTGTTACTTTGCCATGTGCATGGCAAACCAGAAATTCTCCGAGATGTCGTACTTTGGTTCCCGCTATTCATCAAGGTGGGAACGAGAAAACCCCGGATCAAAAAAATCACTAAGATTTCGGAGGAGCTTTTTAATTGAACACCACAAAATTGGCTGAACATCCTCACTATCCACATTTCAAGTAGCGCAGTATTCCAGATTCGGAGAGTAATATTATTGAGGAACATACCCAAGTACCTACTAGCTCACGTCACTCTGTAGACTACGCTGGAATATGAAGGTGATTAAAAGTGATACCCACTGTACCTCTTCTTACTTATATCATGACTCTAATGAAGCGTTATCTTGTATATTGACGTGAATTATGCGAAGGTGATGCGATTTCCACTAATACTCGAGATAGCATTCCTTTCGATTACAATGACTGCGCTACTTGAAATGCGGTTGGTGAGGTTGTTTAATTAATTTGCAGTGTCCAATTATCGCGCTTCATTTCGGAAGAGGATCCCAGGTTCTCAAAAAGCCGTGAAATGTCTTGGAAGCCTTTGCGAACGAATCGTGGAATCCCACAAACACCTGAGCAACAAGCCCCGACTCCCCGTGTCAAACACGAGGCCTTCAAGCATAAGAATAAGTTGGAGCGTAGCCTCCATGAGCCAATCAAAAATTCCATGAGTTCATTAGTATGGTTTCCACAGCGAGGCTACACTTGATTGCCTAAAACCCTCCTGAACACTAATTGTTGCGATTAGCCAATCATTTTCATTCACTTGCAAACCGCCCCTGGCGAAGACCCGTGCCCACGCCCCGAGATGTTGCCCGAGTCATGCTCAGCCTTGTCCGGGCGAGGTGGGGGCTGGGCTGTGCCATCACCGTAAAACCCCTCTAAATCAGTATCTCCTGGTATATATACAGTAAAGTGCTTCAACAACTCATTGCGACTTTACCTCCCCACGCAAATAAGCATTGGCGCCAAAAAGAAACCAACGCTGGAATTCTGATTATCGACCTTGACCAAAGCTCCAATTGCTAGAAAGAGATCTTTGAGATCCTGAAGCTCGAACATGTGTTTCCCACAATCTGGCATGTTGAAACCTCAATCTCCTCGCCGGGAGGCTTACGGCAACAACTACGATAGATATCTTCAAGATTTGCAAAGATATCAGAGGGCACTTGAGGAATACCACAAAGACAAAAAGAAGCGTCGGGCCAGACATAATGCCCACAATGCTGGTTTGATTGGCGCCGCAGCCGCAGCTAGTGCCGGAGCCAGTGCCGGAGCCAGTGCTGGAGCCAGTGCCGGAGCCGGTGGTGGTGGTGGCGGCGGCGGCGGCGGCGGCGGCTGCTAGATACACATCTGGTCATCGAATACGAATTTTGAGCTTTTACAGAAGGGCTCAAGTTTATTGGCTTGCATATTGTGATCTGGTCTTATGTATGGGTCCCGTCAAGGTTGTAGGGTCCATTCCGAAACCTTGCATCTCAAGCCCCCCCTACATTTGTACAATAGAAAGTGACAACTTGTGATACCACTCTACAAAGCCACATCTCCCAAGATTGTGTTGATATCTATCAAATTCTTGCAGCAGTAAGCCTATGGGTATATTTGGAACAAAGCTACGGACAGATTATATACCTCCTGCATACCGCCACATGTCATAAATCCCCTGCCGCTCCGCTTCCAGGTCAGAGTCTGACTCATTTGTCATATTCCAGACCCACCCAGATGAGCTATCTAATATGCAAATTTCTTCCCGCTTCCATCGGAATTACCCCGTTTATTCCTCCACCCGTAATACAGTCTCAAGAGGATACATCCAGCCGCCACAAAAAGAAGTAAGGCGGCATTAGTCCAGTGGCCTGTAGGATACCCCTTCTTTTCTTCATCAGATTTATAGATCCACACACCAACAATTTGGCCCGGTGCCCCAAATGAGATGTTTAGTGCAATGGCCAGACCTGCTCCGGCCGTAGATCGCAAATTCGATGACAGCCAGCCGAGGAGTGGGGGTATGCAGGCGAATGCTCCGGCGGCTGCAACGATGAGGCATCCGTAGCGATGCTGGTATTTGTTAGTATGTATTTTTGGGCTCGATTTGGATGTTTTTTTCCGAAGTGACTTACAAGGTATGCTTCTGCTGGAAGAACGGCCGAGGCCAGAAAGCCCATTGCGCCAATAAACGCGAAAAGGGCGGAATGGAGACCGCGACTAGGATGGTCAGCTTGATCGCGACTACTATTTGATTTTTATGATAGACGGGATGATAGACGAGACAAACCTATTGAAGTGATCTGCTGACCACGCAACCACTACCGTCACAACGTATGCTACTGCGTACGGCGGCACCGTCATGAGCTGTGCTCGTAGATTAGAATATCCCAGACCAGCAGTGATGGCAGGAGTGAAAAGTGAGAGGCTCGAAAAGGGTGTGGAAATGCCAAAATAAACCTGCCAGTATGCATGAGTTGAGTGAATCTCACACAATCGTTTCCACACGACCAACATACCGCATAATGAGCATACAAACGCCAATCGACAAGAACAGCTTTCGCATCTGCCCAAGACATAGCACTTGCAGAACCATGTGATCCCTCGGCTTGTAGCCGATATGCCGCGAGCTCCTTCTCCTCAAAAGACAGCCAAGGCGCAGTTTCCGGATAGTCTGGCAAAAAGAACCAAACCAAAATAGAGGACGCACAAGAGGGCGCTCCTTCAATAATGAATAGCCATCGCCAAGCGGAGAGTCCATGTGCACCGTTCATATGACCAACACCATAGGCGATTGCGCCGCCAAATGCACCGGCTAGTGTTGCAGAGGCTAGGATCAAGGCCACCCGCATCGATCGTTCGGAGTTCCGATACCAAAAGGTCAGGTAGTAAACGAAACCTGGGAACAGTCCTGCTTCCACAACACCCAATAGAAAACGGATACCAGTCACTTGGGCATAGGTATGAGCGCCACCAAGGCCCATTGTAATTGCACCCCATGATAGCATGAGGAAGGCGATCCATCGCTGTAATTGTTCAGTATGATATCTTAAATGTTCAAATCTGGAAGGCTAAAGCGTACACTTGGTCTGAGCTTTTTCAAAAAGTAGTTTGACGGTACTTCGAATAATGCATAGGCAATGAGAAAGACCATCAATGCAATTCTGGCTGGGTCAGTTCACCATGTTACAGTGCGAATCTAGAGTTCCTCACGTATACTGATAAGAGGTCATGCCCGTCTCCGTAAGAAGATCATTGCCAGTGTTCTCATTCAAGATTTTGGCATTTCCCACTATGGGTTAGTATTCATATTATTCAGACTCTATTGCAAGTCATTGACACACCAATGTTAGATCGATCCAAATAACATAGCAGGTAAATCGCTGCGCACAACGGAACGATCCTTAAATCCTGTTTCCATACCAAAGCCTTCTCACGCGCATTAAGGACCGGATCCCTGGAATCAAAGTCCGAACTCTGGGCCACATCAGCCACCGAAACTCTCATTCAAGCCCAAGGTTGTTGTGGAGCTTACTGTTACCGCGTGCTCAATGTCTTCTGGAAATTTCTCGGCCATGATGTGGTGCAAATTGCAAGGATGTTGTCGATCAGACCGCACAAAAATATCTGGAATGTTCAGGGGCATTGTTTGTCCCCCTCTTTGTTTGCTACATTTGTTTTTCCCGGCATTTAGTCCCTGAACCCCGGACAATGTACCCCCGCATTTCTTCCCGCACTGGAGATCGGCGATTGTCCGAACCTCCGATTCACCGACTTCGGCTGGAATCCGTGATCGACTCATGGATAGTAAATAAGCAAGTTGAATTAGTTGATGCTATTAGTCATTTGCCAATTAGAACGGTGGTCATCTTGAATGCTAGTCAGTGTTTCGAAAACAAATAGGGAAACCTTTGAATGAGGGTTTCAACACTAATATTGGAAGATTCTTCATAAGAATGATAAAAAATTTTCGCAGCACCTATTTCAAGCCAATTATAATGGGTGTTCTGTACAGTAAATTCTAGAAGTGTACTAGGAAGGCCTTTGCTTCACAAGTAAACACTGCCATACTTGAACCAAACTTTGGCCTGGATGCAAACCAAGCAAACACCTTATCGCGATACCGTTCCTGATCGCATCGCAAACACTGCGTCTGTGACAATTCCCTCCATGCAACGCCAGTCGCTGGCCAGATCACTCTTTAGGAATACCCGTTTGGCACTTAATATTCAAAGCGCCAAAATGACTACCACTACTGGGCCAAATGGGCAGTCTAAGCCCTCCGCATTGACATTTGAGCGGCACGCGAAGTGCTCGGTATGATTTCTGCCCCTCCATGCCTCGACAGGACTTTGCCTGACTTTCATTTCCATTTTTAATAGACCACAAAAGCTCGCGCGAGCACACTTATCCTCCCTCATGGCTCTGTTCCTCTCCCGATTTTCATGCCTGTCGCGACACAGGCATCTCTTAAAGGCCTGACTTACGACCAATTGCGGGATACTGGATGCATGCTGTGTCTCAATAATACCTACCACCTCGGATTAAAACCCGGTCAGGAAGTTTTGGACTCAGTTGGTGGTGCGCACAAGTTGCAAGGATGGGATCGGAATCTCTTGACCGATAGTGGAGGGTGAGCAATGTTATTTGCGCAGGGAATTATGTGACTTGGCTGACCAGGCCATTGTGTCTTGAAGTTTCCAGATGGTGTCTCTGCTTAAGCTGGCTACTGTGACAGAGGAAGGTGTGCGGTTTCTCAGCCCCCACGATGGCGAACCAATGTATGATGCCCTATCCACCATCTTGGACGCGAGTTGATACGCAGATAACTGACTCCCAGGCAGGCTTCTCACTCCCGAACACTCTATTGGACTTCAGAACTCAATTGGCTCAGATATCATCATGCAATTAGACGATGTCATTGCTACTACCTCCCCTGATCATGCCCGGATTAAAGAGGCCATGGAGCGCTCTGTGCGATGGTTGGATCGCTGCATTGATGCGCATAAATACCCCGAAAGGCAAAATCTCTTCTGTATCATCCAGGGAGGCCTAGATTTGGAGCTACGGAAACAGTGTTGCGAGGAAATGGTGGCCCGAGATACCCCTGGAATCGCCATTGGTGGTTTGTCGGGAGGTGAGGACAAACAGGAGTTCTGCAAGGTGTAAGTGTTTCATTCTTTTGAGGAGGTTTGGCTGGCGCTGACTATTCCAGTGTGGATACTTGCACTGGACTTCTTCCCGAAAACAAGCCTAGATACGTTATGGGAGTGGTATGTTGTCTAGAATCAATCCTCCACTTCCCCGTTCTCAAACTCACTTCGTCTAGGGATATCCCGAAGATATTGTCGTTGCAGTCGCTCTTGGAGCTGATATGTTTGATTGTGTGTGGCCAACAAGAACCGCGGTACGTCTAATCAAAAACCTTGTATTCGTCCTCATGCTCATAAATATCAGCGTTTCGGACAAGCAATCCTCACGTCCGGCACAATAAACTTGCGCCATAAATCTTTTGAGGCAGACTTTTCTCCAATTGAAGAGAGATGTACCTGCACATGCTGTCTTCCTGCCGACAAAGGAGGTCTCGGCCTCACCAAGGCCTACATGCACCATGTCACCGCGAAGGAGACAGTTGGTGCTCATTTGTAAGACCTGTCTTTAAATATTATAGAGGTTCTTCGCTAACATTTCCAGACTCACAATGCATAACGTCCATTTTATGTTGACCTTGATGGGGAGAGTGCGGCAAGCTATTCTCGAAGACAGTTACCCAGCTTTTATTCGCGAATTCTTCTCCAAAATCTATCAAGGCGACAAGTCAAAGTACCCTGAATGGGCAGTTGGTGCGCTGAAGGGTGTTGGGATGGACTTGTTGGAAGACTAGTCTCGATCACTACAATGATTCAAACGAAGTGCTTTTCCTCGAAGGAGGAATTAACGGGGAAAAGCAGGACATGTGCATATGAGCGTTTTTGATTAGACATTGCATACATTGTTCAACCAGAATACGGCATCATGATATACGACCTAACTTGATAATGTGAATGAGCATCGGAAATATCCTCCCAGTCAAAGCCAGCACAAAACTTGACTTCAGTCCTTTCAATCTTCAATCTGTTTTACTCTTAGTGAACCTCCCGGTGAAGTGTCGAATATTCTTCCCCCAAAAATAAACCGGCAAACCCAACAGCCCCAATACAGCCGTCAAAGCCCCAAATATGCCAAACGCTCCATCATACCCACTCCTCGTCACAAAGGCACTTGTTCCATAACTCGTTCCAAATGAGATAAAGCCTCGAAAAGCACAAATAATAACCAAAAGCGGGCCTGAACTCCCAGGGTAACTATCCAACAAGTACGTAATCGCCACAATATTCGCACCCACAAAGCAGAGATAATACCCCGCGACCGCCCACACATATACAAACCAGTGATACTGCTCCGGATGCGTTGCGCCTTGTCCGTAAAGCACCGCAGTGAAACATCCAATGATAACGGGGAAAACGAGCGGAATAAGCCGAGTCTCTGGCTCGTGCATGCCATTGTTGCGTTTTGCGCGCCAGCGAATTAACGAGTCCGATCCGAACCCGAATAGTGGGAGGCCTACTAGCGCGACAATAATCTGTCCGCAATTCACGTAGCTGGTGCTTGTGTCGGGCCAATTGTATGGGGTCCCTGTGAGGATTGTGCCGTATGTAGTTCCGATGGCAATGTTTACGCCAATTGTGAGGCCGTTTATGCATAGAGCCCAGAAAACATTTGGGAAGAGGAGAAATTGGAAGGTTTGCTAATCATTGGGGCGAGGGATCAGATTCTGCATTTCAAGCCGGAGGCATTATGAAGAGAACTCACTTTAAGCACGTCGGCTGCCTTGCGCCACTCAGGTTCACCGATCCAGAGTCGCATATCTGATTTCCAGGTACGCGCCTCATAATGCACGTAGTCAAGAGGCGGTTTGACTTTGCATACTTTCGAAGTTGATTTGAGCTCTATGTTAGCTTCGAGATCTGATTTGCCTAGGTTCTCCGATACTGAATCTTCCTGATATGTGGCCTGATTTCGGTCATATTTGGTCTCCGGAAGAAGGAAAAGGGCGATTAGGAACTGGAGTCCTGCTAGTCCGGCTCCGAGCCAGTACCAGCCTGCCGGTGTGATAGCTCCTGCGATAGGACTCCCGAAGAGAACGTAAATGGTGGTCAAGACTACTTGAATAGCCTGTTGAGTCATAAGACATTTACTTCTCTCGTGGAGGAAAAATAGTTCCTGGTGAAGTATTTATTAGTGCGATAATCACTTGGTGGGTTTTATTTGCAGAAAGTAAGTACCTGAGTTATCATTGGAACCAGTGCTTCACTCTGTCCTGCACATAGTCCCAGGATCATACGAGCAGCAAGATGCCATTCGTACGTTTTAGCGACGGCGCATAATGCAGCTCCAAGTATGAGGACTAGAGTGAAGCCCAATATAACGATTCGACGACCGACGCCAATGGCAAGAGGCATTCCTATGAGATTTCCAATTCCCCTAGTGAATGTTAGCTTGTAGCAAGGAGGATAATACATGTGTTAGATGTTTACATGAACAGTGTTGGGTATGTCATCAACGCAGTAATATCTGCATAGTCCTTGCCGGCCGCACTGTATTCGGGGATATAGAAGGTCATTATACCACCGAATCCAGAGACGAGGGCGACACCTAATGTTGCAACTGAGAGAGGACTTTAGCAAGAATATAGCAAGACAGTGACTCAGGACTCACAAGTAGATATCACAACGAGAATCACTGTTTTCTGCCATAACGGCATATTTAATGGGTCTTTGCCAAGTAAGCTCAAGGATTCCCAAATTTTGAACTCCATTCTGGTGTTCACCGTACCTCGTGGATCCGCCGTTGGCGTTGGGATATAAACAATGTGGTCTTCGGTCAATTTCACAGTTCCTACAACCTTGACTATCCCATCCAGCTCCTGGCCAGAGGACTCATCGTCTACCACTTCAACATGCTCACCACGGGCCTTGTCGGTATCCTTCATTGTGCCCACGAGTGTATGGTAAAATACCGAACGACAGAGACCAAAAAACGGACGATTTTGAACAGATTCAATCGAGTATTATGAGCGTCGGATTTCTAGCATTGTATCTACTTAACTCCAGAGGTGGCTTACATATATAGTATAATGCTTTCCCATGTTCCTCGGCTCCCGAAGCTAGAGATGTTTTCCACCCCCGCAGGCTTTTAATTTTAGCCACGTACCAATCCTTAATATTGCATTCTAAGTTTGTAGTCACTTACCAGGTGGAACTTGTGTATTAAACTTTGCAGGAATGCAATCCGTTTGACAGCTGACCCACTACTTCCCCGCTTCCCCAGACTGTTGTTGCAAAGGGAAGTGGAGGACTCGTTCGTAACCCCGTATCTACCGAGTGGGGGACGCTTACTGCGGGCCTGGTGGGATCATTTCCCCCACTGAAACTTTAAGTGATGATGTTGCGGTCTTGTTTTTAAATATGAAGTAATTGAGCAACACAGCGCCTCTGGAGCTTAGTATCTCCATCTTGCATGCAACCTTTAGAAACCTCACTAGCAGAAAGAGCAGCAGCCATGAGGATCTTTACCAGTGGTCTAAAACCCTACTTAGCATGAAGATCTATGAGCTCAAAAGGCTTTCTCCTTGGTTAAAGAAACGAAATGCAAGGAGATAATGATACATTTCTCAAAATTGACTATTATACCCTTTAGTAGGGATACAAGCGTAAGACCGGTCAGAAGATTGCGGCAGATAAGATTAAAAACATAGCTTGAAGTTGGATTCAAGTGTAATTAAGACCATGGCAGTATTCACTGTCATAGAAGAGTTGAATCTTCTACCCTTATCACTTCCATTTGCGATTGTAAATCCTGGTTGGAAGCAAGGATGTCGCAATTTACCAGTTCCCATTGCCATGGGAACCCCAAGTTCCGGTAGAGGTAGCTGTCACCGTGCAAGTGGAAGTGGACGTAGCGGTGATCGTAGCCGTAGCTGTAATAGTGTCTGTAGTGGTGACAGGGTCTGTAACGGTGACGGTATCGGTACAAGTGACAGTATGCGTACTAGTGACGGGATCCACAATGGTGATGGTGGCCGTAGAGGTTGCTGTAGTACACCAAGAACCGTTGCTAAGACTGTTAGTCATCATCGCTGGCCTGATCATCATGATTAAGCGGAGACTCACTCTGTGTGCTGGCCAGTCCAACCCGACCCGTGCACATCGGTAGGCTTTGCGCCGTTGTGGTCAGTCAAACCAGGCAGTGCAGTGACAGAGGCACAGATGGTCAAGAGAGTAAGGATGGAGAACTGCATTTTGACAGGTATCTTGATGAAGATGAGTGTAAGAAATGTTCTTTGTGGATTTCAAATGGCTTTTTCTGATGAGAAGGGACTCTTTGTAGGTCAGGGTAGCGCCTTATATAGCCTGCTGATGGTAGGTACTTTTGTACCTAGCTATCTACAAATCAGTATATTTGTCTGCTTCATTGCTCGGATAAAAAGGCACTATCCACATTCTTGACAGTTACACGGAGTAAAGAAAGTGCATTGTAGTAGAGGAATGTGAGCGCGGAGCCTCCCACCATTCAGATTACTGACAGCTTGAACCCCTTGCCTCCGCTAGAATATTCTCCGTTGATATTCTTAGATATCATATTCTCCGCGACCCTCGTCGAGAGTGGAGAATGTTAATGTATCTATCCTAAAGCGGTAATTAGCTCTACATTTGAGTTTTGATGCCCAGAAATCTTTATGAATTGTGAAGTCCTTGCCATTTAGAGTTGAAAATTGCAGAAGCTTCAAGAGAGCAAAGCTTATTACATCTGACACAAAATGTGATTTTTGATTTTTGCCCACCTTGGCAAGTTGAGCCATTTAAATATCTCTTTCTATCCTCTCGCAACTATCCTTTTCCCTAACCATCATATCGACCGCCTATTTTGCTACACATCAAATAATAACATGATATTATTGCATTACTACCCTTTATGTAAAGAACGCGCTTATCTCTCTGTGGTCATCTGCTCTCAGGAAAGCTGAGAGCCGTAATACTCTCTTGTCAATGCGCATTTTGTGGCTGATAAGGGGTAAATATGTTGAAACTTTCGATATTCTGAGTAGCTAGACGCACTCTGGCTAACAAAAAGCCCCTTCTCCGGCCAACAAAATACGTGAATCAGATACTCAGGGCCACCAGGAGGCAACGAAAGGTAAATCCCTGGCCAACAACACGTGTCGGCGTTTGCCAGCTCCGGCTTCTGAGGAATCCATCCACCTGACACTGGCCGAAAAATTCAGCCCGATCCTCAATGAGATAATATCCCGCGAATCATTTGATCAGAATCGTAGAATGTCATTATTCTAGGAATGCATTAAACTCGCCGAAGTCACACCAGGGTATGATTCAAGTTGTCTAGATTCTTTACTTTTATGATCATGGGCTCGTAGAACACTGTTTTCCAAATACTCAACAAAGACTAGAACGTTCTAAAAGCCCTCTATAGGATCTATGCTCATATCAGTGCTCACTGGGAACAGTACAATTTTACTATTAGGACGGCGGTGTAATTATTTCATACCAATGTTCAATAAATGCTGCTCCTAGTCCAACGTCTAAACACTCTAACCTCGATTCTTGAGTCCCTTTCCTTTCAGCTATCTATGATAGGTCATGTCTCGCTTCTTAAACTTGTGCCATTTATTAAGTGCAGAGAAACAATGTAAAGAGAAGAAGAAAAAAGAAGATAGCAAGTCATAATTCATGAAATTCAGAAGAAATACTCTTTACATGAAGAATTATGGGAAATGGAGATCCAGGCGATAATCTAAAATATATGTATGCTATCACCATGCCTCTTTTTCTGTCCTGGCCCCAAGCAATGAAGACTTCGCCATGTAAGAATTCTTCTTGACCGTCATCTAACGTTAGGCCTTGCAGACTCCAACCCTGTCTTGAAAGTGATCTTTCTTGTGATCGAGATACGCACTACTCTCACTCTCTTCAGAACAATATCCTCTTCTGAGATTTGGAGGTGCGGCTAAAGTATTCTAGTACCTGACCAGGCTGCACTGCAGATCCTTACCATCTTGTACAAGCGCCCAGCCCCCCGCTTCAGCCCCCACGCCTCAGCCGTTTTCACACTTAGTCGAATCCTCGTTCTCCAACTTTCCCCTGGTTACTTTTCTCAATAAACTGGATGGTTATATAGGGTATACCAGTATTTGAACGTCAAGATGAGTTTCGGCATTGGCGTGGGGGATGTTCTCGCGACTCTCAAACTCGCCGATGAATTGAAAAAGCGGTTCGCGCAAGCTCCCAGTGAGTTCAAAGCTATTTTTGGAGAGTAAGAAGACCCCGACCTCTTGGGATACTTGAATTACACTAATCATCAACAACAGAATTAAAAGTCTGTGGGCCGTCCTTCACGATCTCAATGATATTCCAAAAGAGGGCCTCAGTGTGCACCAGAGGAGCGAGATGGAATCAATTGTTCAAAAAGGGCGCGAGGTGCTTTTAGAAATTGAAGACAAGCTGAGCAAATACAATGTCCTTGCATTTAAGACTTCGAGCTGGAAGAGCAATGCTCTTCGGGCATGGAGCCGAATCAAGTGGGACCCCGCTGAAGTCAACAGCTTGCGGAATCGCATTATGTCTTGCATTTCCCTTTTCAATTTGGTTATGGGGAACATTAATCAGTATGGAGATATTCTCATTACCTCTCTGCTTCTAGATTTGCACTGGTTTGCCCTGGAAACTGCATCGCTGATGATATAATTAGGGATCTGACCCTGGAGATTGGTGCGGAGGTCCGTTCCATAAAGGGCAATCAGGACGCTCAGCTACGCAATGAAATGCTCGCATTCATTTATCCGATCGACCCCTCGGAGCGACAGCGCAAAATACTCAACATGCGGCATGAAGGCGCAGGGAAATGGCTACTAGAAAGTAAGGAGTTCCTCCTCTGGGTCGCCAATGAAAAGAAGAAGGCTTTTATGCTCTGCACTGGAGTTCCCGGGGCTGGCAAGACGGTTCTTGCTTCTATCATCATTGACCATCTTGAGAAAAAGTATGCCAACGACGAGAGTATTGCGGTTACTTATCTATACTTCGACTATCGGCAGCGTATTGAATTTCCGGACCTCCTTTCTAGTCTCCTCAGACAATTGCTCCAGGGCAATCCGGGACTGGATGGAATCATCGCTGACTTGAACTTCCGACGCCGACACAATCCTAGTCGTCTTTCTGAAACAGAACTTAAACAGGAACTTGAAATGGCGATATCTCAGTGCAGTGAGGTGTTCTTTCTCATTGACGCGCTGGATGAATGCTTGGATGTTCGTGTACGACGTCAATTCCTCATCTGGATTCGACACCTTCTCAATTCCAACGGCCATACGAAGATTAAGGTCCTTGCCACCACGCGGCACGAGGATCAATTTGGCCAGTCCTGCTTCAGCAATGATCTCAACTTGGAAATCAAAGCTAGCAGAGAAGATGTGGCAAGCTTTCTCGATGCAAGCCTGGATTATCTCCCGCCGTTCATTCAGAGGAAGCCCGAGCTCTGGCAATATATTCGTAATCAGATCATTGAATCCGCTGGGGGAATGTAAGTGTCACAGAGCTGTGACATCCATGGATGCAAGATATACTAATTTTTTCCAGGTTTTTACTTGCCCGTCTCTATTTGAATCTACTATTGGATGAAAAGAATGAGAAAAGAGTTCGAACACTAGGCAGCCAGCTCAAATCTGGCTCAGGGGCATACGATCATGCATATAACGAGACCATGAAAAGGATCGAGCAGCAAAGCCCGTTTTCTCAAGACCTTGCCAAGAGGATACTAGGATGGGTTACGTTTTCGGCACGACCACTTACCGCTGTCGAGCTGCAAGATGCTATTGCGATCGAAATTGGAGAGCCTGAGTTCGACGAAATGAACATAACAGATATTGGGGAGATGATCTCTGTCTGCTCCGGTTTGGTCGTCCTAGATGAAACGAGCAACATCGTTAAGCTTGGGCATTTTACAGCTCAAGAGTATCTGAAGCGCACGTCAAAGTCTTGGTTCACCGATGTTAATGAATTCCTCACGAATTCATGTATTACATATCTGTCGTTCAACTCTTTCGATGATTCTTATTTGGCCCAAGGCGTCCCTCAAGTGCAACGAAAGGAGTTTCCGTTCTACCAATATTCGGCTCATGAGCTAGGGACCCATCTCCGTCAGAGCCTTGGCAATGGCTCTCTCCTCTCTGCGTTTATCAGAAACGACGCCAAGGCTTCTCGATGCATGCGAGAAATGTTTGGTCTGTCAGGAACCAAATGCAGCTTCATGGGGCTACACCTTGCCTCACTATTTGGACTTGAACATGTCGTGGAGGGATCCTCCCACTCTGGCAGCGATCTCAATGTCTGGGACTACCTTGGCCGCACACCTCTTACATGGGCTGCAGCATCTGGCAACGAGACAGTAGCTAGACTTCTACTTGCCCGGGGAGCCGATCCTAACTCTGCTACACAAGAGAACTTTACCCCACTTTTCTACGCTGCAGCCTACGGTCATGCCGAGGTCGTTGGACTTTTGATCGAGGGGGGTGCCAATGTCAATTTTGAAAACAAAAGCAACGACACTCCGATCTTCTTCGCTGCGAAAGGTGGCGGTGAAATCCGATTCGATTCTAGGTCGCTATTCAGCGTGGGTGATCATGCATTGGTTATAAATTTGCTGCTCAGCGCGGGTGCTAATCTTGACCACGCAAACAATGGTCGTGAAACCCCCTTATATGCCGCAGCGGAGAATGGCCATGAGGCGGCTGTTGAATTGCTAATTGAGAGGAAAGCCAACATCAACTCATACCCTGCTCCTCTGGCCGCCGCAGCACAAAAAGGCCATGTCAAAATCACCAAACTACTCCTGGAAAGCGGTGCCAACACTCCATTCTGTACTGGGGATACAAACCTGCCGCGCTACTTTTATGCGCTTTCTGGGTTATCGAATTCGATTTTATGTGACGATGAAAGCTCTTTGGCAGTAGTACTTCGAGAATGGTGTAAACCAAACTTTCAAGATGAGTTTGGGCGATTGCCATTACACTGGGCAGCTTCACGAGGCGACATCACTCTGGTACAGCGCATTTTGAATGCCGGATGCACCCCGAATCCCAAGGATAAATTTGGTAGAACACCACTATTTGCGGCCGCTTGCAGGGATAGAGTAAACGTGGTGAAAGTATTGCTCGAACACCCCGACATCGAGACCCAAGGTGAGGATAAATTGGGACTTACCCCCCTTCAAGAGTCATTCAGAAGACAAAAGTCCTCTAGTATACCCAGGTTCCTCTCAGGATTCCCAGGAAGGGACATTGCAGGACCTTTTGACAAGGTTGTCGATCTTCTGAAAGTCAAGACTGGACTGCAAGAGGACTGTCTGCCCCATCTCATCCCTCCCTCGGCTTACAGCCATTCTCTTCCTCAGGCTGCTTTCCGTGGACATTGTGATGTCTGTCTTAACAAATTGGCATACAGCTCACGGCATTGTAAGAGCTGCAACATGATCACTAAGGACACCGCTTCTGGATGCACTGTTGTGTACTGTCATGTCTGCGTTCAGGGGATAAATGACTGTCCTCTTTGTGGGCAACCATTTTGAGAAGTGAGTATAGGCTGAGACCTTAATACAACTAAGTCAGTAATGTTGAGTTGGTGCACAAGCTGCCCTGGGGGAAAAGCGGACAGACATTGTATGTCTAGGCCTCGTTTCATGCCATGCGTCGTCAATATTTTCTGTACCAAAGATATTTCGGTCACTCCCGGGCCCTCGCTCATAAAGAGCTGTAATCACACACCAAAACTGTAGAAATCATGTGTTCGGGCTATCGCCTTTTCATAAATCATATAGGTGTAGGCTCCAAGGTTAGTGCCCTTAATGCTGTATTCTGCAGACCCTAGGAGATCAATAGAGGCGAGCAGCTTCACTTCTCATTTGCTTTATCTTCTCTATCTTCCGTCTTCCTTTTCTTCAACCCACCATCCACACAAGATTCCATACACAAAGTGCATTCTTTTCACTGCATTGAAGTACTTTATCTCCTCTGTCGAGGCCTCATATGGAGAGTTTTAAAACAACTTCATGATTCGTTTACAGGATACGAGACCTAATGGGAGGATAAAACTTAGTAAAAAAGATTGACTGAAAAGGCCGTATTGAAAAAGGAAAATGGTATCCCTAATCAACGTCTCTTTTTGGATGTATAGTAATAGGTGACCATCAATGAGAAGACAGTTAATAGGCCTCTACTCCGGCTAATTTCAGAACGGTCTCGGTCACATCAGGCTTCTCAAACGGTTCACTTCGATCCTTCGGACATACCACGCCATCACGCATCGGCTTCTCCTTCGTGGGACGAATATTGCTAGAACAGAATCATTAGCCCCGAAATGACACTCCTTTGATGGTTTGGGATGGCATACCAATGCGGCCAATGCGTCGTTCCAACAAAATTCTCAAAACACTCCTTCTTCAACTCCAACGCCTCGGGGGTAGCGAATTTCCGCGGCGTCATGCAGATATACTGCACATGTCGAATCTGAGTTCCCTCCGGCAGACATGCGTAGTGCATAGTCCGCGAGTCCCAGAGAACAAAGTCTCCAGGCTCCATATTAACCTTGATCAGCTCACAGCCGCGGTCCTCGAACCATTTCACATCCTTCTCGTTGAAGAGGAATAGATCCATGAATTGGGCTTCTGGGGGTGGAGCGTCTTCGTGATCATAGGACTCGCGTTTGTGGGCGAAGAACTCGTCGAATAGATTTGCGGAGCCTTTCATTAGCATTAGGCCACCATCGTTGGGACCATTGGGGGCATAGTTAAGCAGGCCCTGTACTGCTTGCATTCTGTATAGAATATTAGCTGGGCGAATGTTGGATACAGGTAATTTTGCTTACCCCTTGCGGTCTGGATTCTGGTCGCAGTGAGGCCAGGGACTCCAGTTAAGGTCTTTCCGTCTGGGGAGTGAGATATTCATCCCGTCAAATGAACAGATAAGTTCACTGGTTCCCCAGAGCTTTTCGAAGATATCGATGACAGCAGGCTCAGTGCGCGCTTCCCAGGCCATCTTCTCATGAGGTGCTCCGTAAGCAAAGTACATTCTATTGATTCGTTAGCTTATAACGGCATGTCCGTGGGTAAAATCTGCAACATACCCTCCTTTAAAGCTGACAGGCAGGTGGTCTGCGGTCCAGGTGGACTCATCGTTTTCGTCAAACCCAAGGTCAAATTTCTTCAACCACTGAATTTGCTTGTCGCGATAATAACTGGCACGCTCGGGGGTGATGACGTTCTTGATCACAACACAGCCATACTTCTGGAACTCATCCTGCCAGTCACCCCGAGTCTGAACAGAGGCGACCAAGTTCGAGCTCGCAGTCTCAATCTGTATGGACGACATCTTGGAAGAGACTTCGAAAACAATTCAACGTTTGCAAATTTAGGTACTTTATCGTCTGTTTACCAAAATGAAGGTAACACGGAAAGCACTGGACGTTGTTCAATTTTCAAAATGCTGTTCGATGGGGACAAATAAATAAGATATAGTCACAAGGCTGCCTCTTCAGGTGTAGTTGATCATCTTTACATTTTTATCGAGAAAATCTGTCAGTCTCAAACAACCCCCAACCCCCACTGTTTCCATTCCGGTGGGCCTTAAAGCATAAAACATGTTCGGCAATTGAAACAAAATGGACATCCTAGAAAGCTCCCCACTTTCCCGTGGTTGAACTTGCGGGGAAAAGTACAAAGGGTCTAAGCCAAACACCCATCGGCAAGCGGGGGTGGGGTGGATCAGAATTGACAACAGTGGAAAGATGTGGAGAACATCTGGATCAATATGCAACTGATGGGCATTGAATTCGTTGACTGGTCAGAATGTATAACTGAGACGAGGCCCAATCTAGGAAACTCCATTCAGTACAATTCGCAGTATCATCACACCAACATCTATTCAAATGCCTCCTCCAGTCCAATCTGCGTATAAGCGTATCGCCCAGCCAACCGCTGGAGAAAACGGATACCAAGCACGCCAATCTGGCAAATCCGAGATCCTTCCTGTTGGCTGGAATGGATTCAATGGCAAACCCCTTGAAAGCTCCATTCAAATTGATCACGATGTTGAGATTGTGGTTCGCGACGGCGTCCGTCTATATGTTGATGTGTATCGGCCAGCCCACTCGGATGAGAAAATTCCAGCTGTGCTCAGCTGGTCCTTTTATGGCAAAAAATATAGCGCCTTGGATATGCTCCCCATGACGACCTGGCATTGCTGTGTGAAGCCATCGGAGCTCAGTGGATTGGAGAAGTTCGAAGGGTTGGATCCGCAGATCTGGTGTCCGCGTGGATACGCTATTGTGAGTGTTGACACACGTGGTGCTGGCCACAGCGACGGCCAGATCTGTGTGATGGGAAGTCAGGATGCGGAGGATGGATATGACGTGGTGGAAGCGGTCGCTCGGATGGACTGGTGCAATGGAAATGTCGGTATGGCAGGCAATTCGGCACTGGCCATCTCGCAGTGGTTTATTGCTTCACAGGAGCCACCTTCTTTGAAGGCCATTGCGCCTTGGGAGGGATCTGGTGATATCTATCGCGAACAATTTTGTCGTGGCGGTTGGTTCTCAATGAGCAACTTCGATCTCATTGCGAAGGCTATTGTGCGTGGCCCTGAGAGTTCTGGACTTGAGGATTTTGAGGAGATGTATCGTCGTTCGCCTGTCTCCAGTGCGTTCTGGGAAGATAAACGCGCCGATATTTCTCGCGTGCAATGTCCTGTTTTCATTCGGGGATCGGATGTCAGCTCTATTCACACAATGGGTTCTATTCGTGGTTATTTGGAAGTGCCTCATGACAAAAAATGGATTCAGTGGGGCAGCAATCAGGAGTGGTATGAACTGTACAGTGTACCCGAGTCGACGACGGAGTTAGCCTTGTTCTTCGACCGTTATTTGAGAGAGAAAGATAACGGATGGGAGAATACGCCAAAGGTCCGATGGTCTGCGCTACAGTTTGGAGACCGGGAAGCCATCGACAATATTGCCCTTGAAGACTTTCCCGCACCCACAACTGACTACAAAGAATTCTTCCTGGGGGATAACAAGCTGCTTTGCCCTTCCCGTTCGTTGACCACCCAACGCATCAGCTATGACTCGGAAGACCGCCACAGCTTTGCCGAGTTTAACTATACATTCAAAAAGCCAGCGCGATTAATCGGTCTACCCAAGGCAGTACTGTACATGTCTTGCGATGCACACGATGACTTCACTGTTTTTGTCATTATACGCAAGAAAGATAAAAACGGTAAAGACCTGATGCATCTCAACTTTCCCTTCGATGCAACCCCCGTGAACTCTATTGATGAGATTCCGGAATCAGAACAGGCGAGCCTCAATCTGCACTTAGGTTCTGTTGGAATTCTACGCGCTTCGCACCGGGAAATTGATGAGTCAAAAAGCATACATCCACAGTTCCCCTTCCATCCTCATAAACGACAGGACAAGATTTCTCTAGGCACTATAGTGAAGCTGGAGATCGGCATTTGGGCAATGGGCGTGGACTTTGAGGAAGGCGAGACCATTAGTTTGAGGGTACGTACAATGTATTCTTCGATGTTATTGCTCTCCTGCTGATATTCTGTTCTACATAGGTTGGGGGACAGTACCCTAGTATCGCCGAGTATAAGTCGTTTTCGAGACCAAGGCCGGAGCATGAGCTGAACCGGGGCAAGCATGTTATCCACTGCAGTGAAGAACATCCCAGTGCACTCATTCTTCCATTCATCTAAGTTTCTTGGTATTAGAAAGCAAAAATTTGGAGTGATGATTTCAAATCACGGTCTTGGTGCCCATATTCCTTGTTACAAGATCCTTGGCCGCCAAGCTTCGGCAATCAATCGTGGACAGCCACATAATGCAAATGACGAAATAACATGATTCATCATATAATGTGATCTATCTCATTCTCGAGTATATTGACTCGCGTCCTTCAATCTTGAGGACTAAGACAGTAGTGGTGCAAGGGAACCATACTCCACAGGTCTACCGTGTAGAACACGGCATGAGCGCTTCTACTTTTTGCAATTAGAGTGATAGCCAAATTTCAGTTGAGAGATCCAGGTTTTCCGGCGATCGTATCAATAGATTAACCCATGCCACGTGTGCCGTGGTATCCCGGATGCCTAGTCGAAGATGAACTACCGATGGTCGAATGTTCAAGATCTCGGAGGTTTGTACTTTTTCGGTTTTATCAAACACCAGAAAGACCCTGGAAAACCGTTTACATGGTAGATAAAGGTTGGTTCCATCATCTAATTAATATGTGTTCTATTTGTTTTTGGGCTATTCTGAAACACTAAATACCTTCGTGGACCCTTGCCCGAAGACTCAATTTTGGTCTCCGGTTATACTTCGGCTGACCCGTTACCGGCTGCCATGGTCTCAGCCACAACGTCTAAGACAATGTGAACCGCAACCTATATAAATGCGTTGGATCGCACTGGTAATAGACAGAAAGCAGCAAGAAATCTACTTCATCGCCATCGCACCGCTACAATGTTCATCCAGTCTATCCTTCCTTTGCTTCTTGCTTCGTTGGTCGCGGCGTCACCTACAGGTCTCGCCCGTCGTCAGTCCATCAATTCCAATGACTTGACCGATGGAAACTGCAAAGATACTATGTTCATCTTTGCTCGTGGATCTACTGAAGTCGGCAACATGGTAAGAATACACGTTTCAAATGTTCTAAACGGCCACGCTGACTGTTTAGGGCACTGTTGTTGGTCCGGAAGTCTGTGAAGACCTGAAGGTCAAGCTGGGAGGCGAAGTGGGCTGCCAAGGTGTTGGAGGCGCCTACACTGCCGGTCTGGACACGAACTTCCTTCCCGCGGATACTTCGTCCGCAGCTATCCAAGCTGCAGTGGACATGTTCACCGAGTGCAACACCAAATGTCCCAATGCGAAGATTGTCGCTGGTGGATACAGGTATGATAATCTCACGTTATGGACCTATTTGCTCATCTCTAACGACCCTCTAGTCAGGGAACTGCTGTCATGGACGGTGCGATCCAGAAGCTGTCTACCGAGGTTGTGGACAAGGTCAAGGGTGTGGTCTTGTTTGGATTCACCCGTAACAAGCAGGACGGAGGCAGAATCCCTGGCTACCCTACGGATCAGACTAAGGTCTACTGTGCCACTGGTGATGAGGTCTGTGATGGAACTCTTATCATCACTGCGGCTCACTTGACCTATGGTGATGACGCCAGCTCTGCTGCAACCTTCCTTGCCTCGAAGGTTTGAATGTTTTATTAGGATGAATGAGCTGGCTCAAAGCGCATCGTTGAATAACGCTGGTGGCGCTATGACAATATGAGCTCAGAGGTGGTTGGCTTTGGACCTTCCATATCTTGTCTTTCATTTCTTATCGTTCGTTTTTGATCTTTCACCTCTTATATTTCGTTTCTTATATTTCACTTACCATCACTTTTGTCACCGCTATTTTATTTTGTTTTAAAGTTAGAATTTATCGGCTAGATTCTTATTGATGCGTCGCAACTTCAAACCTGAAACATTTTCTTTCTGTAGTTTGGTACAAATTCACCTTGGCCTAGAAACTTGAAACCGAAACAACTGTGGAGACAAAACGGTGACTACTTTTATTTTTTTATTTTCCACCACGGATCAAATATTACCTAGTCCAAAGACAAGGTGGAGGTATACGGTACACATGCAGGAACTGCCACCTAAATGGCTTAGTGTGTGGTTATGTTTGGAAGCGCCAACCCAATCACTCCATGTTGACTTTCTTACGGCTGGAATTTGACTTTCAAGGGAACAGAGGCGTAGGGTACAGAGCATCAGCCATCTCACCCCTAACCCAAGCCCCGGCAACTACGCAAGCTTCCCAGATTACAACGACATACAGATGCATATTTTCCAATTAATCTGAAGCCATCCAACGGCGCGGCAGGGAAAGAAGATCAAACGGTGATGCCTATATCCACCTCAAAATTGTGGCGTTGTCTCAAAAATCAGAACGGACCCTGCCCCGCTTCGGATACATGATCCACAGCCAAATAGACTAGCTGCATGATCGACAGAAACTCAAGCTCTATTTCGAAATATCTCTCACTTGTATGAAGGTTCATTCGCGAGGAAACGAACTATTTCTCCAGATTTCCCCAGCTTGACCTAAAAACAGGACCAACGGACTGCCCTTTTCGTAAACGGGCAGAGGCGATTTTCATCCGCTCAGGGCTTATTATTGCATCCGCCTCATTATCATGGTGTCTATCACAAGGAACCATTCAATTTATAGTCATTTTACCTTCACGAACCCTGTTGGATGAATTGACACGCCTGAGCTAGTTGCAGGGAACCCCATTTTTCATCACGATCGATATTTTGGTCTGGAGCTCAATTCAACGCATGATGATGTCCTGCGACTTGAAATTTCAGGTATTTAAACCTCGAATTATCGCAGCCTTGAGTATGAATCAGATTCATTCCCTTCTTCAACGCGATAAAGACCAAACGGATCTTCTTCTTCTCCTCCACCATTCAACTCTTCCACCCCAAAATTCACCATGGTTGCCGGACAATACTTCCTCGTTGGCCTCCTCGCCCTCGGCCAAAGCGCCCTCGGTCTCCCCTCAAGCTCCAGCTCCGGCGCAAGCGGAATCCTCTCCAGCATCGACACCATCAACTCTGGTGTGAGCGCGATCAACTCAACCCTGAGCACATTCTCCGACAATTCTGATGTCACTTCAACCGCTTTGAAGATCCAGTCCGAGGCTACTGACCTCCTGGATGATATCAACAAGGGAGCTCAAGTTGCTGAGAATGTTGATACTCTTGATTCGGATGATCAGGACAAGCTTTACTCGGCTACTGTTTCTCTGTCCGACAATGTCTTTTCCTTGCTTGATGGGCTTGTCGACAAGCAGGATGTCTTCAAGAAGGCTGTTCTTGGTGGCTCCGCTGATGGGCTTGTTGAAAAGGACCTTGAGAACTTGAAGAAGGCTACCGATACATTTGGTCAGGCTATCATCAAGACTCTGACTGGTACGGTCAAGGACAAGGGACCTGCTATTCTAGAGAGCATTGATACGCATTTTGATACTGCTATTAAGGCTTTCTCTTCTTAGGTTGCCCGAGGAAGATCAGATTGATGTCAGTGACATTATGTGGTGATTTTCATGTTTGGAATTACCTTGCCATTATAGGTATCCAGTTCTCATCAAAGGTGGCTTGAATGAGGGGAGATGGGTTCCGTATGGAGGATTTGTCATCATAATATGATGAGAGATTGTAGCAGGGCGATTTCAACAGTACGCTCTCTTGAATGAATAGTACGATATGAAATTGGAACATTAGCGCTTTCCCGCTTCTGTCAAACTTTGAATCCAGCCCTTGGAATATCTTGCTCGTAGGGATCTAACTATTCCCATTATTGCTGGTCATGTTGATCAATCATTACCGATATGTGCAATGTTCAAAGTAGCAAAAGACAACACTAAAGTTGAAGGATTAAATTTCATTGAATCAGGTATTCAGCTTCCAGAAAAATCAAGGTTCTAGACGTTGCCACTAGTCTTGTGTTATACGGGTGAGACCTACTGTGGTTCATGTAGATTCACAGTAGAATTCGAAGCCAGTGTATCCCCCAGACCCTCACGCTTTCTTCTCAGCCCGTACCCGGAGCTACGCTATAGTCCGTATCTGGTACTTAAAAACAAATCCTGCTTTGCCGTATCATAGTATGGAACACTATTGTGTTTCCTTGTCTCATGAGGTATTGTGGATTACCGTATAGTCTTGTAGAATGTTCTAGTATTGTCTGAGAAGAGGTAGGGGAGGTCTGGTAATTTGGCTGGATCCTCACTATGTCTGTCTCTTCAATTTCCTTAGTCTATTACAGTAGCCTTCGACTTCACCTACCTCCTACATGACAAAGACCATGCTAATACTGTAAAGAAGTATATTTGGTAGCTTAATATACTTCATTTATGTTAATCTATAGACATTTTCGACCAATAAAGAGCGAATGCTTAGCGCCCGTGAAGTCACCTGATGGTGAGGCTGAGAGCCATATTCAGGAAGGTTGACACTTTCTCATCCTGATACCCTCAAGTTCGTGTTTATCCAGTGTTGACTATGTCCTGTGTCAATTTTGGCGATAAAAATTCAGGCTACCAGGTGGGAATCAATGAAGGGGTAATAAACTTTTCAGCAGGTGAGTTTCTAATAGCGTTGACGATGGGACAGGTGAGATCGACTAACAGCAGCTTCCCCCTAGAACAACTGGAGCCCCGCCCGGAGCCTCTTTCGACAGTGCCATTCCCGCATGATCCAGACTTTGTTAGCAGAATTGCAATCCTTGATCAGATTCGCGAAAAAGCCTCAGTTCCGGGATCTCGCATAGCTCTCTTCGGTCTCGGCGGTGTTGGGTCAGAGCAACCCTTTCGAATCTCGTTCAATGCTAACGATTAACAGGAAAACACAACTTGCCATCGAATATGCTCATCAGCTCCGACAGCAGTCGGCGGAAACGTGGGTTTTCTGGATCCATGCAAGTAACACGGCCCGCTGTGAAGAGAGTCTCCGTGGCCTGGCGGATCGGGTCAAAATTCCCGGGCGACAGGTTCACAATGTCAATATATTCCAACTCGTCGGAAATTGGTTACAGGATGAGAATATTGGAAGATGGGTTCTCGTCCTCGATAATATCGACGACGATGAGCTCTTTCGCAGACCCATGGCTACCAGCACAGGAGACCAGATCAACATGCAAAGCAATGCCTCGGCGCAACCGCCGATGAGGTACCTCCTCGGAAGCACTACTGGGACCATCATCATCACTAGTCGGGATAGAAATGTAGCACTAGAGGTCGCGAATCATGCAAACGTCATCGAAGTGCAACCAATGAATGATGCCGAAGCGTTGGTTTTGCTGCAAAAGAAGTTAAACACGCCGGAACATGAAAATTTGACGCAGCTAGCTCAAGAGCTTGAATATATGCCACTCGCGATCGTACAAGCTGCTAGTTATATCACACATCGATCACCCCTTTGTTCAGTGTCGCAATACCTCCAAAAGATCCGAAAAAGTGACCGCGAAGCAGTGCGCGTGCTGAACGAGGAGGCCGGTCTTGTCTACCGAGACTGGGAAGCCAAGAACTCCATTCTGCTCACATGGCAAATTTCATTTGATTTTATTCGCCGGAAAAGGCCGTCTGCAACGGACTTGCTGTCTTTGATGAGTTTTTTCGACCGGCAGGGAATCACCAAAGATATTCTTCAAGTTCAGCAAAACCAGGAAAGAGGCGAGGAGGATAGCTCAAACACTTCAGACACGGATAGCGAATCTCGTAATGAACTGGACGCCGATTTTGAAGACGATATAATGACTCTTCGCGACTTTGCACTGATAGCGGTCGGAAGAGACGGCATGTCTTTCACGATGCATCGACTAGTGCAGCTAACAATACGCACATGGCTGAAGACCCATAACCAGCTTGAACACTGGAAAGGACAATTTATCGAAAAGCTGTATTCTGAATTTCCGACGACCGGTCAACATGAGAATTGGGAGAAATGCCGCTCGCTTTTTCCACATGTGAAAGGAGCAGTGTCGCAACGACCAGAATCCCAACACTATGTTCAGCAATGGACTGAGCTACTCTATAGAGGGGCATGGTATGCGCAAGAACTCGGGTATATCACAGAATCAAGGGAAATGGCATCAAGATCAAGAAAGTTCCGATTGGAGATTCTAGGTAAAGAGAGTGAGGAGACTATTGCTAGCACTGCAATGTTAGCAGGAGCATACTGTTTCGAAGGCCGATGGGAGGAGGCCGAGCATCTCCAGGTGCAGGTGATGGAGATAAGTAAAACGAAGCTCAGCGCCGACCATCCTGATACGCTCACGAGCATGGCCAACCTCGCGGTGACATATTGGAATCAGGGCCGGTGGGACGAGGCTGAGCATCTCCAGGTGCAGGTGATGGAGATGAGCAAGACGAAGCTCGGCGCCGATCATCCTAATACGCTAAAGAGCATGGCTAACCTCGCGGTGACATATTGGAATCAGGGCCGGTGGGAGGAGGCCGAGCATCTCCAGGTGCAGGTGATAGAGATGAGCAAGACGAAGCTCGGCGCCGATCATCCTAATACGCTAAAGAGCATGGCTAACCTCGCGGTGACATATTCGCATAAGGGCCAGTGGGAGGAGGCTGAGCAGCTTGACGTACAGGTGATGGAGGCCCGCAAGGCGAAGCTCAGCGCCGACCATCCTGATACGCTGACGAGCATGGCTAATCTGGCGTCGAGGTATTGGAATCAGGGCCGGTGGGGGGAGGCCGAGCAGCTTGACATACAGGTGATGGAGATAAGTAAAACGAAGCTTGGCGCCGACCATCCTAATACGCTCACGAGCATGGCCAACCTCGCGGTAACATATCGGAATCAGGGCCGGTGGGACGAGGCCGAGCATCTCCAGGTGCAGGTGATGGAGATAAGTAAAACGAAGCTTGGCGCCGACCATCCTAATACGCTCACGAGCATGGCCAACCTCGCGGTAACATATCGGAATCAGGGCCGGTGGGACGAGGCTGAGCATCTCCAGGTGCAGGTGATGGAGATGAGCAAGACGAAGCTCGGCGCCGATCATCCTAATACGCTAAAGAGCATGGCTAACCTCGCGGTGACATATTCGCATAAGGGCCGGTGGGAGGAGGCCGAGCAGCTTAACGTACAGGTGATAGAGGCCCGTAAGGCGAAGCTCGGCGCCGACCATCCTGATACGCTGACGAGCATGGCTAATCTGGCGTCGAGGTATTGGAATCAGGGCCGGTGGGGGGAGGCCGAGCATCTCGAGGTGCAGGTGATGGAGGCCCGCAAGGCGAAGCTCGGCGCCGACCATCCTAATACGCTGACGAGCATGGCCAATCTGGCTTTCACGTTGAAATCTACTGGTCGGTGTTCAGAAGCAATCGATTTGCTCAAAACCTGCCTTACCAAGCAGCAACGGATTTTAGGTTCCGCCCATCCTAATACAGTGTTCAATTCCGACACTTTGTTGGCATGGGAAACTGGGGATCTGGCTATCGTGTCATGACTGATACTTCCTCTTCCGTTCGCCTGCCTTTGATTAAGCACCCCATATTTGGTGCTTGAATTTTATTGGCAATCACCACCCTTCAGTTCAATCAGCAACCGCAAGTCGGCAGCCCTTTGGTTTTCATACATGTAACTTACAGCTCCTGTAAAAATGCCTTGAGAGGACTTGACCTCTTAGAGTTTGCCATAGTACCCTGGCGCTACAGTAACAATAACTGTATTCAACGTTAATTGTTCCGACTTTGGGTTCCAGAAATAGTTTCCTTACATCACTCATGGAAACTGATTTAGTGTCTAGCTATAGTGGTCTGATACTGTAGTTTCACTGTTCTGACAGGGCGATGCAGGCAACTTTTATATTTGAAATCGCATGATCTAGTAGCGTCGACGACGTCTTAACTGCCTAAACGTTCAATACTTAGACCTGTGTGCTAAAAATGGCCATGAGCACTGTCTTCTCCTACACTGACTTGATGAATACACTGCGCAAGATATGACCAATCTTGTGATCAGACACTTTGCGTGACGCTCCAATCTCAGCTAATGTTAAATGTCAGGCGAAGGAGGTGAAAACTCCACTTTGACTCCTGCGTCGATGCACATCTGCAAATTAGGCTGACAACGATAATACAATGCATTGTCCATGACTAGGACAGACTTTGGCTCTAGCTATCTTCCGCAATGAAGAAGGAGCTCATAGATGCAGTCCTCAAACATGGCGGCATCTACCAAGCCGCGATAGACGCGAAAGAGCAAATTGTCATAAAATGGAGTGGCAAGAAGGTGCAGGTGTATAGGGATTTCAAGTAAGATACGTCATGACACGTCAAGCAATAGTCCTTATTTTTAAACAGCGCTGCTGTTTCGGGTACGTGCCGAGAAACAAAGCGTGAGTGGGTAAACAGTATGCACGATAAGATAACACTCACGTGATAGCGTGTCGCGTTGACGCGCGCAGAGATCACTAATTTGGGATTGGCTCCTGGCGCTTTTCTCTCATTCCTCAGTCTACGATCCAGACAGCCCCAAAAACGCCACTGGATAACGTGGCAGATCATAAAGGAAGTGAAGGATCACATTTTTAAATATCACACCACCATGACACAAGAACAAGTCGCTACGGCGCCCGCAGCCACACCTCAGCCGCCGCATGACCCCTCCCATGAGGAGCACCAATACCTCAACCTGATCCGCGACATCCTAGCTCAAGGCGAGTTTCGCCCCGACAGAACAGGCACCGGCACGAAAAGCATTTTCGCCCCTCCAGCTCTCCGATTCTCTCTCTCAAAGCCCAACCCAGAAGGCGGCTCCCCAATCCCCGTCCTGCCACTCCTTACCACAAAACGAGTCTTCCTGCGCGCCGTTCTTGCCGAGCTCCTCTGGTTCATCGCGGGCACCACCTCCTCATTACCCCTCTCCGAAGCCGGGATCAAAATCTGGGATGGCAATGGCAGCCGCGAGTACCTCGATAAGGTTGGCCTCGGGCACCGCGAAGAGGGCGATCTTGGCCCCGTGTACGGATTCCAGTGGCGGCACTTTGGTGCCGAGTACGTTGACGCCAAGACGGATTATACAGGCCAAGGTGTAGACCAGCTCAAGGATATTGTGGACAAGATTATGAACTCGCCTTTTGATCGCCGGATTATCATGAGTGCGTGGAACCCTGCGGATCTGAAGAAGATGGCTCTCCCGCCTTGCCATATGTTTGCGCAATTTTACGTCTCGTTCCCGCCGGGGATGAAGCTTGATGACAAGGGTCGCCCAGATGCGAAGGGAACCCTTTCTTGCCTTCTTTACCAGCGCTCTTGTGATATGGGTCTGGGCGTTCCGTTTAACATTGCTTCTTATGCCCTTCTCACCCACATTCTTGCTCATGCTGCGGATTTGAACCCCGGTACTCTGGTTCATACTATGGGTGATGCTCATATCTACTTGGATCACATCGATGCGCTGAACGAGCAGCTGACTCGTGAGCCTAATGAGTTCCCGGAGTTGCGAATCAAGCGTGATGACCGTGGCAGTGCTGTGATTGACGGTTGGAAGGAGGATGAGTTCGAGGTGATTGGCTACAAGCCTCACAAGATCATCAAGATGAAAATGAGTGTTTAGATGCCTTGTCTTGATTCGGCGTTGAGCCTCCTGATAGCACATATCCACCCTGCTTACATGTTTAGACGATACCAGTTGAAATTTATAAATACAATGCACCAAATGTGAAGTTTCGCTGTTGAAAAAGTGTTATAGCAGACTGCTATAACGCGAAAATGCAGTGTATGAATCTAAAGCTATGCAGATTGTGTATCATGCTTGTAAACACCCCGAAAGAAATATATAAAAGATCAATGCTTGATGCGTATGGTCATGACTTCTCCAGAATAACCCCGGCGCCCCGTAACAACACAATTGTATCCCCCTGCTTCGCCTTCACACCAATAGAATCCGAAAATTCCAAAAACTCCCCAGACTCAACATGGAACATTCTCAACCGCGCCTCTTCTCCTCCACTCCTATTATTCAAGTTCTCAACCCTCAACTTCTTCGCAACATCATCAAGAACCCGCCCAACCTTCCACCTTGAATCAAAGTAGAAGTCCCCAGACGGCGGCTCCGCAGCCTGCGTATCGGCTGTCCCAACAGCATGCAGATATAGCCTCTTATCAACCGGAACATTTGCTTCCCCTTTCGCAGTCCTCTTCATCGTATTCACATTAACAGCCCTCGCGGCTGGGCTGTTAGCCTTAGGCTTCACCTTCGGGATCAGATTTGCGCTTGCGGCCTGTGTATCCTTGCCCCATGTGCGCACACGCGCAAACATAGACTTGATAGTCTCGTTCGCTGAGGGCCCGTTCCCCTGCCGCGCGCCCAGCGGGGTAAGCTTGGCGCAATCATGTTCCTCACGAAGTCGATGCTTAAGACAGTATTGGTGGTTGCAGTTTGGACAACGAACGGCCGGATCTTTCAGTGTATTTATAAGTGTTTTGCAGGAAACGTGGTAGCACTGCTCTGAGTTGTAGATGTTGGGTTTTTGCGGTGCGCTACCGCGGTTTTCTTGGTTTGTGTTTCCGTTCCTGCGACGGGCCCATTCGCCTGCGCGAGGGCATTTGTGAGCTGTTTCGGAGCGGTGCTCGAGGCAGTATGTGCTTTTGCAGGATTCACAGCGGAAGGGGAGGAAATCGAGCTGGCCGCAGTAAGAGAGTTGGCAGTGGCGTCCGATTGATTCGAGGTCTTCGTTGGCCATTTGGGTAAATGATTCGTCGGTTGAGGGGGTGTTCCCTCGGGATACTGTGATAGGCGACATGATGATGTAGTGAGTGGATTTAGTGAGTGTAAGATCGAAGGAAATGCGATGCGAAATATATGGACAAGAGTATCCAGATGTGAGTAGAAGATGCTGGCTTGATTTGACTAATGCGGAGAAGGCTTATCTAATCGGTTACTCCGATTCTATGCAGAGGTGCAGGTACCATGGTTGATTTGCCACTAATACTAAACTGGATGTATGTGCCTGCCTAAGTAGACTAAAAGTTGGTGGCTAAAACAGCGCAGTCAATCGAGGATTTATGGTTGTCTTCAATTAGTGACGTAGTTGGTTATCGATCATCGGTATGCTTGCAGCTTTGCGGGACTGTATTATCCGATCATAGGAATGCTCGGCCTTATTGATCAAAGGTGAAGATATCATCTTTCAAATTCTCCATAGTGTCTTTGAAGAGTTGGTTCGATTTACATTTCACACAAATAAGTGAGAGGCGCGATCCATACTAGGAAGGCCCAATTTTAGAGTGTAAGACCCCCTCTGTTCGGCTTCATTATTCCCGTATCTCCCATCCTTGAACAAAATTTGGCGAAGTGGCCGAGAAGGGACGAAAATGAAGTGGCTCCAACATTTCAAACGTTGGGCGTACCTAGTCGCGGTCATAATATTCAACAAACCAAGATATAAAATACCTCATCAAATCTAGTAAATATTACATGGTCTGTATGGATATCTACGTTCCTAGGCCTAGGTCAGCGCCCGGGAATTTGAGGTGGATGCTGCGGCATGAAAGAGACGATTTCATGCTGATGCTGATGAATGAATGTACGATTGATAGACAAATTCAAGAGTCAAGATGATTGTTGATTTCAAGTTATTCGACATATGATAGGGTGAGGATTCCGCTGGGGTATTGGTCGGAAGCGATACTGCATATTGCCCGGCATATCCTTGATTAAATCAAACCATATGGGACGAAAGTAAATTGAAGGTCAACCATCAACTCCACAAAATTGGGCTACGAAGAAACGAGCAAAGAACGGAAACGATGAACGGGGTATCTGACGCAAAAGAAGAAGCCTAAAACCACGCCATAGGGTTGATAACAGAGCCCATCCACAACGCCGGGGCAATCCAGAACGAGAAAAAGACAGGAAGGAAATGGTCACATTAAGTGAGCATTACATCGATGGGTAGTTGGATCCAGTATTGCCCTGGGGGTGCGACTGGTCCTGCGGGGGTCTCTCGGAGGAAGTATCCGATGCCGCAAAAGGGATGGCGCTGCTTGATGTAAAGACAGGTAGGCCGGTCTTCGTGTGGCCTTCAGAAGTAGGGGGTGAGAAAACGTTGCTCTGAGGGGTAGAAATGGCCATATCCAGATCGTTGCCGGGAGTGTGAGGGGGAGAGTCGTCGGCAAACGACGCCGGTTGCTGGCTGGCAGCAGGAGATACACTTGGGGTCGCCCATTCAGAAGGGTTGGCGACAGGGAACATCATTTCCTGGGAACTGGGTCCGGCTGGGTTGGCAGGCGGCATCATCGGCGAAGAGGCAACAAGTGTATCAGACAATAATCCGAAACCGAAGGGTTGATTCTCCTGTTTGACCATAGCGTCACTTTCAGAGACACCTATGGGAGGGGTTGGCAGAGCTGGGGGAGAGCTAGTTGGTAGACTCCCAGGACGAAGAGCCGTCTTGCCCCGTGCAGTCTTGGTACTAGTATTCGTCTTCCTGGTGGCGGGAGATTTGGGAGTCTTGGCTCCCTTCGCAGTTTGCTTTCTTGCTTCATTGGCCTTTTTCTCTCGGGCAGCCTGTTCCTCGGGAGATGGCATAACCAGTTTGATTTTCTGGAACCCATTCGATAGGTTCTCCAGATCATCATCTTCAGGCCGCGCCACTTGGTCAGAAAGCTTTGAGGGTAGGAAGGTATTAGGGACCTTGGGAACTGGGGGAGCTTTCCTCGTAGCAGACGATTTTCTCGGAGTATCCGGGCTGGTTTTCCGTGAATTGTTGGTAGAAGTAGGTCTGGAGCTTTGGACTGAACCCGAACCATCCATTGAAAGAATATTTGGATTTTTCGAGGCGTCTGTGTCATCGGTAGCAACCGGAGCCACTGCAGTTGTACTCTTCCGCCGACGGGCATCCACGGACGGGGATGATTCACGGGAATCATCAGGCACCTCATTGCCATCCAAAGTCTTTCTCCGGTTCTTGCGCATCGCCTGCTGGCGTGGCGTGGCAGGCCGGGGGGAGTAAGGTGTCGGGGATTTGGCCTTTCTCGTACGAAGCGTTCTCTTGCCATCAGCTGGAGTTGGTGGTGGCCGACGAACAGTGTCAGGGTTCATTGAAACACCGTCCCGCGCAACCTGCCGTCGTTGGCGAGAAGCGGCGACACCTAGATACTCGGGCGCATGGCTCGTGGTTTCCCGACTTCCAGGAATAAGAGTCTTGAATGCTTCATGTGAAGCCGTGGCCCAACCAACCTCTGGCAGATTGGAAAGGATAGGATCGAGACCTGAATAGGAGCTTGAGGTCTTCCGTTCTCGTGGCGGGGCAACCACCTTGGCTGAGGATGAGCGAGTGGAGCTCAGGAACGTCGAAGTCGGTTTCTCGCGACTTTTGGTCGACGGGGTGACAAGTGGCTCCAGTTCGTCAAGAACACGAGAAGACCACCAATCACCAGGTTGGTCAGGCGAAGGGGTTTCTTTAGAGGTGCTAGCCAGCCCACACAGATGGCTGAGCACACCGCTGGTCAAAGCTCGGTCACTGTAGCCGCCTTCAAGTACGCTGATCACACGTCCATCCACCCCGAGGCCTTCCTCCTGAGCCATTTGCACAACATCGGCCGTAAATTGGGCGTAGAATCCGGTTGGCACATTGCGCTGGTGTCTTTGCATGCCCTTGCTTTCCCACTGACTTGCATCAAAGCCCGCGGAAATGAAGATAGCAGCCTTGGGGCGCGGGCCATTGGAGGATTTGGCGAGCTTTTCGGTGTTATTTCGGAGGAAATCGCGCGCTTTGTTGATAAGTGTGTTGTATTTGGTCCGGTACAAATTCCAAAAATCCGTCTCGGTTTCCCATGTTTCTAGATGGACATTCCAGATGGACTGCCCATGTGCACCATCGATACAGACACTTGCATTGCGGACGTTTTCGGGGGTGGTATTTTTTGGTTCGCATGGGTAAGAATTGATATCGTGGAGGCTGTAATATCCGATTGGCGCTTTCTCATAGGGAGAGGACCTGCGGGAGCCTTCGAAGACCTTTTCGTTGTGTTTCCACGCGATATCTTGAGAACCGTCGCCATGATGTAGATCAAAGTCCAAGATAGCAGCATGGGTCAAGCCATGCTGGGAGGCCGCGTATGATATGCCGACATGGACATTGTTGATCCAGCAGAATCCGGATGGGTCACTGGCCGAGCAATGGTGACCAGGCGGGCGAATGCAAACAAAGGCGCGGTCTGTTGGGCCTGGTCTGAACACAGTATCAATAGCATCACATACCGCACCCAGAGCGCCCTGAAATGCATCCTGTGATTCTGCGCATAGGTAAAGGTCCCCCATGGGAAGCTTTGCTCGAACGCGATTTCGGACCAGTTCCTGACCGCTCGAGATGAGACGCGACTCTGCATGCTCACACATGCTCTGAAGTTCTGTCATCCAAGAGGTTCCATGGACAGTAGTCACTGCTTCGTGATGCAATGGCAACGAGCGCGACGACTTGGAGATTTGAAAAGGCGGGGGTAGGAGGTCAATATCAAGGTTAGGATGAGGCGCAAAGCGTCCGCCTGCATATCGCTCACCAAGTCGGACATAAGCAGTGGCCACTCCCATAAGACAGGCGCGAATACGCTCTGGGCGCTCGACTATATCTTTCAAGTACTCCGCCGTCGTATCTGGGCGAGAGAAGCGATGACCATAACAGGCATCATGGAGCACAACCACTGTTTTGCACTTGAGATCGACTGCTTGATGCAGATCGATCTCTCTCTTGAAATGATGTGCGGCAATAGAAGCTGCCGTCAATTCTTGGACCTCTGGAGGAGGTCCCAGCTTGAGCCGCAACGACATAGTTGTGGGCGACGCGATGGAGGTCCCCGAGGTCGGGGACCCCGCGAAATTGGTGGACGAGCGACGCGACGCGTCTGCGAGCGGGGAGGAGGGCCCGTTGTTGCCCGAAGCTGATTTCAGCGACGCAGTTGACGAGCGCTTTTGGAGCGCGGGAATCGATTTACGACGTTCGTTGCGCAAAGAGCTGGAGCTCGGGGAGCGTCTCGGCGCAGGTTGGTTGGAGTGGGAAGGATGCGATGGGGCATCAGGAGATAAAAGGGAGGGAGATTTCGGTAGCGGAATTGCCGTCGCATTCGCGAGAGACAGGCGATTCAAAGAATCGGAAATATCGCATTGCGGCGCGTCCATCGCGGCGTGATTGGCGTTGTTATCAATGGACCGGGGTGGGTCAAGCGTGGATTTAGAGGGGTCCATGATGCAAGGCGATCATAGATCCGAAAAGCATGAGAAAACAAACAGTTGATTTAGCGAGACGATATTGAAATGGGCGAGACGATCTCAGGTTCAACGGTATCGGGGGGATGAAAGGTGTAAGTCACAAGATGAAAAAGGAGTGCGGGATGTGTGTTTGGACTATTGGATCTCCTTCCAAGTTGTATGGGGCAAGGGGTCAGTCGATCCCATTCCTACATTCTTCCATAAAAACCCATTATGAACGTACTTCTACTGTGTACTATGTTTCACTTGGATATGTTTAGGAAATCACATTCTTTATATTGATTCAGATATTGATTTGAACCATCTAACACCATCTAACAGAGTCTTATCTTTTGTCTCAAACATCAGTATAAACTCTTCCAAAACCCTGATTCACCCATGAAAAAGAAAGAACCCCAACACCAAAGCTGAAAACTCAACAGAAATAGAGAGTATCAAAGGCAGAAATAACAGTCGAAAAGGAAGCCGAAATCAAAAAAGTTATTCATCATCTAACGCGACCACAAACCCCGCCATTGGTACCATTGGTACCAGCGGCGGCCCATAGAAGATTTCTCGTCCAAGGACTCTTGAGATCGTCGGCGCACTTTGTCTTCTTCCTTGCGAGTCTTCTTCTCAGTCTTAAATCCCTTAGTAGCATGAGAATTGCAGAAACAATGCATATGGACGGTCTCTATGCTGACACCCGGACAGCTGTTGCGGCGCTGACCAGGGCAAACACTGTTTCCAGCATCTTCTTCGCAATGGCACCACTCATAGAGAGTGAAATATTGACGGCACATGTTGGGCAGAGGGTTGAAAAGTTTCAATTGGTAGATTGGATTTGGAATATGTTGGTGAATGGAACCCAGAACCCTGGAGAGTGGAGCGTAGTATTGAAGTATAGGTCCGACCAATTCCGGAAAGATCGATTTGCTGCTGCTCTAGTCGGTTTGATGAGCTAGGGCGACTTGGATTGGGAGGTTATTTTCAACGTTGGCAATCTTGCAGTCAATGCAAGATCAAAAGGTGGATTGGACAAAAATTGTCTTTGTCGAGAAATGAAGTATAGCGGAAACGCCGGGTAGAGATCGTCCAACCAGGGGCAGATCAAGAGGTTGAGGCGAATGTAGTTTCAGACCAGCTGAATAGTAGGCAAATAGGTGGAAAAGAGAAGGAAAGGGAACGAAAGTGCCGATCAGAAGTCTTTATGTTCTAGATGTACAGTGAATAAGACCGGGGCCTATGGTAATAATGAGTGAATGGCAGCGCGTCCTGGAACCATGGATCAACACTAGAATCTGACGTCAAGAAAGCCAACGGACTATTCGGGACCCTGCGGCTCATAAATAGTGTAGTGGATTGCCTTGTCCGGCGCTTCAGGTTACATCTTCACCATCGACCCAGGTGGTATTGGCTGGATCATGACCAGATACCAGCTTGTCATTGGTTGGAGCAAGTGACACTTGACAGAAATGCGCTGTTTTTGCTGTTCCTGGTGCTCTGGTCTCCTAATAAAATAGTACATGTGAGGTAACAGAAACGAATTATTGGTCTTGGCTTGCCAAAATGGTGCATCAGAAGGGAAAGGAAACCCGTCCAACCTCCTGCAAGTAAGAAGGATTAGGATGAATAGGCGGTTCAGAATTTAAAAATAGTTCTTCAGGGCACACCAGACTTGACAAAAGAATTAGATCTAGTTTGAAACTCAATAGCAATCTGATCGGCCGCTAGATTCAACCTTGTCATCCCTGAGAGGGATCTCCGGTGATCCGGGCGATCACCTTGATTGGGCCGAGCTAGCCGCCAGGGCTGCATTAGGGAGGTTGGCGGGGGCTGAAGGTTCCCCTTGTGTCAGTTGGCGCCTGTCAGGTAGAGGTGGCACAGATACCCGTCATTCCTCACGTCGCATGGAAAATTTTATCAAGATCAAGATCAGGATAAGCCCATGTCGATCAGACGCAAACAGTCGAAGCCACAGCTCGTACTTCAAGATGCAAATGATGCAAATGCTGTGGCTTGGCAATTACTGATCAAGGCAGGCGGTGGATCGATCGAGCTTGGCCCAGGTCATATGACCTGTCACTTTTCCCGCGGAGATGCCTCAGGCCGCTATCAAGATTAATATCGTTTTCAAGTCAACGCCTTCTTTTCTCTGAGTTGACTCATCGGAAGGTCAATTGGGGTACATTATCAACGCTAATTCGATACTCATATCTGTGCACATTGAGCCACAGCAGCTATATCCATACGCCAAGCATTATCAACACTGCAATGACCACCTCATCTGAATCAACCACCAACCAACCACCCAATATGGCCGCCACCCCCGCGCGAGCTTCCACGCTCCTCGCAAACTTGACCGCCGTCTCGGCGCGCGTCACAGCTGCTGCAGCCCACTCCCCAACCCCCACCAAACCAGTCCGTCTAGTAGCCGTTTCCAAGTTGAAGCCCGCCTCAGACGTCCTAGCCCTGCACCAACCCCCCGCCTCGCAGCTACATTTCGGCGAGAATTACATTCAAGAACTCCTCGAAAAGTCGAGATTACTCCCAAACAGCATCAAATGGCATTTTATCGGTGGACTGCAATCGAACAAATGTGTTATGCTCGCCCGTGATGTACGCGGTCTTTGGGCCGTCGAGAGCGTAGATACAGAGAAGAAAGCCACCCTCCTAGATAAAGGATGGGGAGAGCGAAAGCCCGAAAACACGAATTTGCATGTTGCAGATTCCGAGGACGATAAGCTCCGCATCTACGTGCAGGTCAATACATCCGGCGAAGAGAATAAGGCCGGTATTGAACCGACTGCTGCTCCTGCATTGGCTCGCTTTATTAAGGAGAAGTGTCCTCGTCTGAAGCTGCATGGTGTCATGACTATTGGCGCTATTGCGCGGTCGAAGGAAACCACGCCGGAGAATGAAAATGAGGACTTCGTTTTTTTGCGGGAGACGAGAGATCGCATCGTTGCTGATCTGGGGTTGACTGGGTCTGAGGCGGAGTTGGAGCTTAGTATGGGCATGAGTTCTGATTTTGAGGGAGCTATTGCTCTTGGGTCGGATCAGGTTCGTGTCGGAACAACTATTTTTGGGGATCGGCCGCCTAAGTCGGAGGCTCGGGTTGTTTAGGTGACAGTTTAATACTGTGGCTGGTGTTTTTTACGAGTTTATGAATTCTTGCATATGCAGCGTGGTACCTACATTTTAGATGAGAGTTGTGTCAATCAACTTCATCTTTGGCATGTCCTAAAATAAGCAAGTGACACAAGGCACTGGGAAGAAGCAGAAAACAAAGTTACTGTATATCATATCATATCACTATTACTGCAGGCAAAAATTATACAAGAAAACGAGGATCCAATCATCAAGGAATGCTCGCTGGTATTTGGCTCGAAAGCTGATGAAGATATACATGAATGCCCCTCGCAATCCCTCATACACTAGTCGTAAGACACAGGTCCAACGTCCTTAAATCCCTGGCTGAGCTTCTGCTCCATCTGCCTCGCCAGTGACTGCGGAACTCCTTCTTGTGTGGCACGGATTGTAACGCGATACATCTGCATAGAGAAATTAGTATAATGTAGCAATATACGCTATCGTGGAGGCACATAGGCTGGTTGATCACTTACCGACTTCTCATAGTTAGGCTCCAGGCGCAATAGACAGCCTATCTTACCCTTTTCAAACTGAATCACTGAACAGCCCACGATATTATTGCTGTTCGGGTCCACGCCATCCAGGATTTTCCATGCAAATCCTTCCACAGCCCGCCGGGTGTAGGCCTCGTTAATGATCTTGTTCTTTCCACTCAGACCAAAGGTCTTCTGCGACTCCAGGGGTCCGCCACCGATCTGTCTCCAGCGCTGGAAGAAATCTTCTGCGGAGAGAGATGATGGCTCCATGTATCGATGCATCAGTACAGGCAGTTGGAGAGTATAAGCCTGGAGTGCACCGGCGAGGTAGGAGATACGAATGGTGGGGGCATCTGAGAAGGGACCGTGGGCCGCACAGAAGAATGTCTGCTGAGTTTGACCATTTGCCGTAATAGTAGACTCAGGGAGGTTTTTGCTGTCGATCTTGAGATTTGGAGAGGCCGGGTTGTCAATGGTGGTAGTCAACGACCCGATGGGATATGAGGATTTGTTGGAAATATAGAGCTTAACAACACCCATATGACCACGATATTCTGATCGTAAGCCAACCTGAATTTGGGCATCTTGGAATAAAACGCCCTCGTGCGAGAAGTAGAGCTTGTTGTAGCCAATGTCCCACTCTGGTGTCAGGTGGGCTGCGCTGGCAAGGTTTGGAGGAGGAGCCGGTGGGCCACTGTTGAAGTCCAATCCTGCCAGGTCGCCAGACGCACTGGTTGCACTGGTTGGAGTGCTACCATTAGATCCACCTCCAGGTCGCCCGCCATGAACAATTGTTGTGAAAGAACGCTTGAGACCTGTGGTTTGTGCCATGAGGACTTCCTGCTTGTCTGCATTTGCAGCCTTGCCGCCAACCACCCATGTCTTTTTCTCGCTGGTGCCAGCTGTCTTCTGGTGTAGGCGAGACAAAAGGATGGAAGTCCGCTCTGAGAAAGGTGGCATTTCATCGCATACAGTCCGCAGCAAGTCATCAGTCGGAAGTGTTGCCAGAGAGAGGTACTCGAATGCTCGTTGTTGCAGTTCAGAATCAGGAGAATGACTGTACAAACGGAAGATCTGAAGGAGCTGGGGCTTGATTTCGGGGAACAGGTTGACGAACTTGACAAACGACGAGAGAATCATGGCTCTTGCGTTGTCAGAACCCGTGAACATCTTCCCTTGCAATGCCATGAATTGCTCGATGGGACTTGATCCGGGATTATCGGCGATCAGGTGGCCAAACTCGCCGAGAACATAACAGCCAATTTTCACCAAACTCTCGTGGCAGTCAGTCTTCATATAGCCGAAAAGAGTATGGGCGGCATATGCCTGCAATTCTTCGTTGTTAGTCACGATTTGAATGACTCGCTGCCACACTTCGTCGTTGACGTGGTCACCCGCAAGTGACAAGAGTTTCAAGGTCATATCAATGTACCACTGGGCGTCTGTGGCATATTTCTCGGTGAGAATGGCAACCTTCAAGACCATCTCCTCCCGAATAGCGTAGTCAGCTGTCTGGAGGTAACGGAGAAGCTCATTCACAATGGGACCAGCGTTAGTCGTATCGCACATGCTATACAACAGATCCAGTCCCTTGCGACGGACACTGATATCTCGGTCTCGTAGGGAGCCCAGGATGATGTTTTGGTGCTTCTTAATTGGATCGAGGGTTTCTGCTCGCGCAGCAAAGTGGGTCAGTGCATCCAAACCAAGATAACGAACGTTGGTTTCACGGGATTGGATGTATTTGCCCAGACGCGAAGAGATTTGCATCATCAAAGTGTGTTCAGAGTCGAGGTGGATTAAGAGATTAATGGCCTCGAAGAGAATTGCATTTTGGGCATTGTTCTGCTGGACGTTCTTGGGGGTTTCCATCGCAGCCTGCATGATCTGTCGAAGAGACTCTCGGATAATCTCACGGACATGGCTATCAGCTAGGAGGGGGATGAGCAATTGGACAAAAAAGGTTGGAGATGTTAAGCTTACTCGATGGGGGGTAATATTGCAACAAGCGTAGAAGCTTGACTTGGATCCACGGACATGGCACACGGTAGTAGAGATAGTCTGGCGCAATGTCGTTGTCAACCACGATCCGCTTCAAACGCTGCGCAGCCTTAACATAGCTGCCTTTGTACTCTTCTGGCATGTCTTGGGCCAATGCCATCACCAGTGAGGTGACAGACAGAGTAACACCCATGTCCGGGTCATCCATGATAGAGATAATTCGCTCGGCCCATTCGTTCCGAACAATGCCGGGGTATTTGCGATAAAGACGAAGTAGTGTGAGCGCAGCCTTCTTCTTAACAAAGGCTTTCGAAGTTCTTCAAGATGTCAGGATGAAGATTGTCAATTCAGACAGGGAACACTCACGGGGAAATCAAGAGCCGGTGGACCTCATTGCCCAAAGCCTCTCCCAGCTCTCGGCCACCAACATTGGCCACTGCATGCAACGCCAAACAGATGTTCAGTTCACTATTATCCATCAAATCCTTCCGAATACTGTTGACAACCAGGTGGAGTAGCTCATGCTCTTCATGCAGGAACAAGGTGACAGCGAGATAGCCGATCTGCTTCTCGGAGTATTTAGTCGAGGAGATGAGGTTGACAGCTTCAAGATGACCAAAGTCGACATCGTAACCCTGGATGTAGACGTAGAGAAGCTTGCACACATATTTCTTCTTCTGATAGCCGTTGAGATTGCCAGACTTGAACTTCTGTCGAATGTTGGCCAGCTCTTTGTTCACGCGCTTCTCTTCTAATTCTCGCGCCCGCGCATTACGCAGGTCCGCAATGAACTGCACCAGTCCTTTCATCGACGACATGATTGTGTTATTTTTGACTTTTTTTGCCTGCTTTTTCGTAGGCGCGGGCTCAGTGTGCCCCCTTGGATGGTGTAAACACTAAACTTCGGGGAATGAGGAGTGGGGTGGAGTCGGAATATACGGCTCGCATGCCACGCGGGGAGATGACCTCAGGGGTTTGCGATCGGATAGACGACGTCACACAACCATGTCCTATCGTGTTGTCGCGGCCGAGGCGCATTGGCCGGAGTCGAGTTGATGGGGAATAATGAATAGGAGCTTGGAAGGCGAGGAAACAGGGGGTTACCGGTCGCGGCGGATACCTAAAGTTAGTGGAGCGGTTAGAATGGGGCCACAAGACATCCAGGGATATTTTGGATCAGTTGATAGCGACTCACCAAGCGTCAAGTAGATTGGTCTACCAATGTCAGAAAAAGGAGCAGGTCGAAGTGAGATCCTCATTAAGCACCTCCGTCCCTTGGGCCACTTTCCGCCGTCGATCACTTGTTCTTCCGCTGTGGCGCAGGAACAACGTTGATGCGACTGTGGCGGTGCAATCCAGGGACTAAACTAGACTTGCAGCCTGCAAGTCGATCTTTATCTATTTCAGTCTGGTTTTCAAGGCTTAAATCAAAAATCATGTTGACAATTTGATATTTTTTTTCATTACTCGTAACTATGAAAATTCGTCCACAACACAAGTGGATCTGATTATTATGAACCAAGCAACCCGATTTGCTTCACCTGAACGCCAGCCAGCCTACTAAAACACCCATAGCAATGCAATTCATGCTGATGATTGGAAAAATGTTGAAAACCGATCGAAAACCAAAAACAGATCAGTCCGTTTAGGCGCGGGTGGTGAAGTCGACCTCAAGAGCGGATTCGACACCCTCAGCCTTCTCACAGGTGCAAGACGCTATAAAGCAATGTTAGACCGGTTCACTGAGCAATTGCAAAGTATCATGTTGCTAAACTCACCAGAAGGACGGCTGCCACAAGCGCAGGTCTCGCCATTAACGGCCTTGTTCTCGGTTGCGGAGCGCTCACAGGTGCACTGACCAACAGGGCGGGCGCCTGCATAGGGAAGTTAGTTATTTGATACTCCACTTTAGCTATGGGAGTAAAACATACGGCATGAGCAGCGAGGGCCAGAGATGGCGTTCTCAGAAGAAGCCTTGTTGCAAGAGCAGTGAAGGGCGCTCTCCTTGCCACAGGAGCACTTGGCCTGGGCGGCGCAGACACACTCTCCAGCGCCGGAGGTCTTGCAGCAGGTCATTGCGGGGTGAACCATTTTGAAGGTGGGGAAGGTTTTAAGAAGGAGAATTGGGATTGAAGAGCTGTCGATGGTTTGCAACTGTGAAAGTTGATAGCGGAATTTGAGAGGTTGATGATTGGAGAGTCTGTTAATAGAGTTGATACTGAAGAAAAAGCAAATCACTGTAAGCGCGACCATGAATATTTATACTTGATTGCATGCGTCACAGTCCAAGAGTCACTCTGTCTTGATTATCATTACCGTGGCTCTGATTGGTCAGTGGGTCAGCTCACGTGAGCTGGTGACCTGCTGATAGGTGATCGCTGATTGGCTGAGCGCCAAGACGCTGCAAATGCTCGCCTCTTGACTGGTCAGAGTTGCCACGATCATGCTTGCTGACTTTTACAAGACTTTTGATTCGACCAGGCGAGCGTAGTGTCTACTTCCCTGATCGCCCTGGCATGACATGGGCCGATCTAAAGAAAATTGGAAGGTTCAAGAACGACCTGGGCAGCTGCGGTCCATTTTGGGTTTGAGTGTTTAGACTAGATGATCTTTAGTGACTTAATATATTGCAAACTCAGAACACACCTGGGCATAAGTACGTGGAGTTCACACAAATGAAAGTGTAAATCTACTTTAAGCTATAATTTGGGTAGACTGTTTGCAGTGGGTCCGGGTCCCTACCTTAAAAATGTGTACGTTTGTCTTCCGAGGTTCAGCCTGGAGGCTTTCCTCCCCAGGTACCACTCTTTCAAGGTTGTGTGGATCCAATGGCAATATTTAACTCTAACTACACATGGATGGGCATGATTGGCACTTAGCACACGAAAATAAATAAACTCCAAATGTTGGATCACTGGTAGCATTGTTCCAAGTTGATATATATATATAAGTGCACATGACATCTGCGGGGTGTTCGTACTTTGGTGTCCCCTCACTTCCACTATTCGGAGTGGTTCACATAAACACATGGGCATCTAAAGCAGTGCATGTAAATTCAATTCTCAGCACAGAAAATTAACTTGTATAATGTACTTTAGAGTTGGAACCTCAGGTGGAAAATTTGCCAGGCCACGGGTGGTCTCAGCTCGAGTATTCCGAGGTCACTCATCACATGTGCGAAAATTCTTAACAATGCGCTACTAGTTGAAACATTGATCTACCCGTAAACCTTGGAACCGGATCGAAATCCTAATTACGCGACACAAAATTGGGTTCAACCAAACGATTAAATTTAGACTAACTTCCACTCATGCCAGAGACTTAATCAACGCTAGTGCACCGGAAAAGCTATAGACAGTGGGTTACCACGAAGAAATGAAAAACCACGCGTCAAGCATGAAGTAGGCCCGCCCCTGAAAAAAAAACCAAATGTAGGCAAAAGAATGGTAACATGTACAGGTGAATCAGAAAAGGTCAAACACAGAAAGAGTAAATGAAGAAACAAGAAAGTCAAATGTCCAACGGTGAAAAATGAGGAAAAAGTGGAGAAATGGCTGCACAAGATTAGGATTAAAACACGCTGATATAGGTCAAATGCCCGAGGCTACCAAGTCAAAACAAAAGCGAAAGGGGGGTACCAGCCCAAAGTCTGGCGCCAAACGCACAGAGCAGGAAAGAGTCTCAATTTTTGGTGGTCCTGCCTCTCGTATGACTTTATTGCTGGATATAGTTTGCGTAGTTGAAAGATGGATTGCCAAATTTGCTTCGCATGGACTCGAGAGTCTGCGGATTATGCTGCTGCATTTGATCGTGGGCAGTAGCGCCTTGGTTGGATGGGGCATATGTTGTTGGGATTAAAGGTGAGGTGTTGTTGGCTTGTGAATAAGGGATTGCTCCAACAGTCGGGTTGCCATATGGGTAAGGTCGGTATTCTTGAGCGGCAGAGACCGGAAGGGACTGAAGAGTCGGCATGGGTCTACCATGGCCTGGTATTTGGGAGCCTATTCCCATTCCACTGTAATCCTTTGGTGTAGACATTGCCAGTTGGGATTGGTAGTTTTGTGACTGGGTGCCTGTTTGTGACATTCGAGTTAGGGTTTTGCTTTTGAATTCTCTCTCTTCCTTTCTCTAATTTCTGAGTTGGATGGGGCTGAACCAACCTAGATTTCCCATGTCGTATGTCATTTGTGTACCCTGGGAGTCTGTTGGCGATACCGATCCTTCGAAGGGCTGGTGCTGATCGTATCCCGTCACCATTTGGCTCGAGCGAGGAACGCCATAGTCCATGGTTTGCCTTCCATAGGGCATGTTTGGTGGGTTTGAAGGGGCTGCGAATCGATTGTGAAGAGGATACCCTGCGTGGAAAGAAGGTTGCTGAGACGGAGCGTCTGATAGACTATTTGATCTGGTGATGGAATAGTCGCTTCGGATCGTCCGGTGCAGATCATGCATAGATGCCGAGGCGGCAGGTCGACTGAACATCATGTTGGATTGTGGTCCCTGTCCAGCAGAAGACATGTAAGTTCCGGCGGTCGACGCAGAACTCAGGGGCGAGACGAGGTAGTCTTCCTCATTGTGACGCGGAAAGCAGTCCGTTCGTAGCGTTCTCAAGGCTGCAAAGTCTGGATTCGGGACCCCATAGTCGTGTGGCGATGCAATGGGAGTTGGCCCCGTTGATTTGCTCTCAAAAGGGGTCCGAAGAACCTTCGTGGTATCGAAGTCATCAGGAAGGGCTCTCGACTTGAGCACTCTCTCACGATCATTTGTTGTCAGACGCTTGAGCTTTGCTCTCCTACAAGGTGCGTTGCTGTTAGATCCAAGATGCGGGAACGATGAAAGAGCAAAGCCATGATTTACCTGTTTTGAAACCAAACTTGCACTTGACGAGGAGTCAAGCCAGGAATCTCCCTCGACAGACGCTCCCGGTGAGCAGCATCTGGATGTGCCTGACGAGTGAACTCGCTCATCAAGAAGCGGGTCTGGTTATGAGTCAACCTGCAGAATCAGTGTTAACAGTTGCCTTCATTTCAGTTCTTCCTCTATGAGCCCTACCGAAATCGCTTCATTTTCTTCTTCTCCAAGGATGACATCTTGCTATCATCGTCGCTGCCCACCGCATCGCCCCTCTCATCGGAAGGACTGATGGTGGACTCTCTGTCAGGATCTTCCTTGTCGAAGTCCATCTGGTTGTCGCTCAACGATTCGCCGTGTTGATCGGATACAACCTGCTGAGACATGGAAAGGCCTGTCCGGTCACCCGGAATCTCGAGCTTGACTCGAGGCAGTAAAGCTTCTCTGCTCGCTGTAGACCGTTGGGCTTCCGTACCGCGCGATAGGATTTCTCCCTCGGGATACGGTCCCGTCCCAGTTGAACTTCCAGGCATGGGGGAAGTCGTCAAGGCATTCTCAGCCCTCACACCAGCAGGTTGCATGACAGTAGCAGATGGTCCGCCCGGGGCACGCTGCTCTCGTTCCTTCTGCAGGTTTCGCAACGGCGATACAGTCTTTGGCGAAGAAAAACGGTCACCGTGATAAGCCGATGAGAAATGAGAAGTGACAGCAGATAGAGAGGGAACAGGCGAGGATAAAGAAGATACCCAGAGACAAGGGCCGCCGATTGACATGGTAAGAGTTTGTGACTTGGGGCCCTTTCTTCTGACCGGAATAGTCTCACGTCGTTCAAATCCACGATCCACAGAATCGGTTTAAGGAGCGTCAAACGCGCCGGACCAACACCCACAACGACACGAAACAAGAAAGAAGAGTAAAAATTGCCAGGAAAAAAGGGACAAAAGAAGCAGGGTGTCCTTCCCCGAGATGAGACGAATGTGGGTCTGTGATCGAAGTACCGGGGCGCTTGCGCAATAAGGTCAGGGTTCCTTTAATTTTGCAATTAAACGGAGTAAAGGGTGAAGCCAAATCAAAGTGTTTATACCCGGTGGAATGGAGAAATGGGGACCCAAGAGGGGAGGTAGATCCTTAGGCGCCGAGAGTTGCTCAGGTGCAATGTCAAGAGCGGGACCACGGGGCTACCAAAGCGTCCTTAGATCGCGGATCACTGAGATATGATGATCTTGACGTATTCGGTGAACCAGACTTGAGGACTTCCACAATGGCTTTACAATGGTACCTGAGCAAAAGCCGAAAGAGAGGGGGCTAGGAGGTTATGACTGGTGTTTTACCAGGGATCAAGCGAAGATCTAAACAATGACGAAGCAGGGAAAAGGAAGGAAACCAGAAAAATACTGTAAAGAATCGAAAGACGAAAGACTCGTAATGGAACCAAGCGGAAATGGCAGTGGAAATAATCACCAGATATTAAAACGGCCGCCAAATACGTAGGGTCCACCAAAGGGAAATCAAAGTTGACTTGCACTGGTGACACCGAAGACCACCTATAACGTATGCCACACCCACTCGACTAGACAAGGAAGTGATATACGTTTTGTTAGATGATCTTTGCAACGGTCAAAACGGCGAGAGGAGAAAGTCAAAAGCAATGCAAAAAAAAAGCAAGGAATATCCCAATGCTCTAAACTTTCTTCGACTAGACTTAATAGAAAATAAGTGGGCCGGAAAGAGGGGTGTAGAAGGGCGTAGTCGAGGTGCTAATGGGCATGGAATCGGTGCACAAGTCTGTATCTGGTCATTTAAGGATCAGCGACCCCAGAGGCAAATTGATCTCTTTAGGATTAGTCTTTAGAAAATTGGAAATAAGATATCTTAGTTAAATGGCTTGGAAAAAAAGAAGATCTCACATTCTAGATCGTGGTGCCCACATCCGGTATATGGTGCAACACTGGTCACCTGGAAAGACACGGAACGGAAAAAAATACCACAAGTCTACAGTAGGTGGGAAAAATAAGAGAAGTACGGGGTAACAAGATAAAGCAAAATAAAACCTTTTGGTCTACAAGAGTACGTATTGTAAGTGCCGTGACCAGAGCACAGGGCTCGTACAGTCCCGAATAATCACCACGGCCAGGACTACATGGAAGACCCATCCTAGGTGTGGCGAATCGCGGTTCAACCCGAGCTGAAAAAAAAAGAAAAAAGAAAAAAAAAACGTGTGGAAACAGAGGAAGCGGACTAGAATCTCCTCAAAAGTCAAAGACCCAGACAAGCTCCTGGATAACCCAAGGAAACGGTTGAAGTGGACACAACCACAAGTCCCACCTCGTGGATACCCGCCACATGCTGTGTAGTATACGCGGAGTACGGAGTATATGAGATGCTCAGACTTCTTTTTTTCCCGTGCCGAAGATACCAGATGTACACCGTAATCCACACTTCACCCGGGGGCGTTCATGGCTTGAACAGACCATTAGAAAAAATTTCCGACGACCTAGTGGGCGATCTGTTTGTGGCATGGGCAGAAGTGGTCTTAGCCCCTCCGATATCGATTCGCTGCATGGGCCATCAGCCAACCGCTATCAGACCCTTGCTCACCGGCACGCATTGAGGCTGGTCACCATGTGGAAATCCTGTCGGGTTGGCTGGCGTGCTGGCTCCATAGGCCAGTCTAACGCCCGCCGGACCCTCGGGGACATCGATCAAGGAAATGCTGTCAGCCACTCAGCGTGCTGCCCGCCACAGTCCACTCCCAATGGGTGTGATGTGAGAGGGTGCATAGGTGGCTGACCCAGTGGAGATATGAACCAACCGAGTGGTCTGAGGGGAGTGTAATCATTGATGATTATTATTTTAAAGCGATTAAAACCAGTAATGAAAATGTGATAGCTGTGATTTCTTTTACCCCCACGACCCATGGTCAATGAATGTCTCAACCACAATATAATAATTCAGGTCTCGTATGAGCCCTGAAACCTGTGATGGGGCAAAACGTGGTCGGCTAAGCCGGACTAGCAAAAAGAACATTGAACAGAAGGAAATCAGAAAAAGAAAATAAATTAAACCCCCATGGAGCGTATTGCGTTAGAGCCGCCTGCAGGCAAAGGAACTGCTCGCCCCTGAGTTTATTAGAGTAAACACCTAGTCTTGGATGATTTAGAAAATCATACAATACTGATTTACAGCCGAATGTTCCACCCGATGCTACGGAGTCCGGGCCTCAAACCCACTATTAGGGTTACCCGTGGCTCAGTAGCCGTCGCAAGGGCATCCCCACCGAGGGAAAGCTCCTTGAAATCTCCACATGCAGAGCCATGAAACAATTCAAGTCACAGTTGGGAAATGAAGCACTCCTGTATACAGGATTTAGGAGATAATTAGTTCGACGAGTCAGAAATTTACTGTGGACCAAGTATTTCACAAATTAACTAATTAACTAAGAGTAGGTCTGGACTGTTGCTGAAATGTCCCCTACAATACAATTTTACAAAATCCACTTTCTTCTTCTGATTGTAGTCTTTGTCTACGTACTCTATCCTATAGCGCCCATCTCTTCCTGAATGGGAATCCCAAATGAGGTCATCCCATGCGGGTGTGGCACTGAAGAAGAAGCATGACCGATGAAAAGGATGGAAAAATCGAAAAAATCGAAAAAGAATTCTATTTTTCCATTAAAAAGTTATTCTTTTAGTCTTTTATTTTCCTTGGACGTTAAACTAGTAGGCTAGTTACATCTACAGTGCATACCCGGGATCAATAGTGGGTGGGGACCCGAGCAGGCCCCGTTTGCCCATTACGCAGGACACATCGGAGACTTTGAATCGAGGCAACGTGGAGACATACTGGGGACTTGACTTTAGTCTGGGTTTCGGAGGAGAAATCTCGGACCCGTTAGTCCTGGAGCCCTGCGATCCCGAATCACAGTGCGTGGCGAGTAGTCCTACGGCCGAAACCTCCGTCGATCGCTGCACTAGTCTCAGTCCTTTCATATCTTTGTCTTCGCTTTTTCTTATGACGCGGTCAATTCCGTGTGGGGGACGGATTTCGAGCAATTCCAAGGTTATGTTATAGAAACTGGAATGGAGTACTCCAGTATTCGTGTCCGGGTTTGTTGTGGCGGGGTTTTTACCGGGATTTTAGCGCGATATATAGACCTGGGCACGCCGTCGGTCCGAATGCCTCAAAATGCTACTGTACCTGGTGGTAGGGTTTCGGACAGTGCTTATCACCACGTAACAGTCTCTACAGAAACGGTGCGGGGAATCCGATCGAAATTCTGATCGTGTGGAAAGCTGAAGCGTGGCAACTTTAATTTCGGAGGTGGAAAGGACTATGCCAAGACTCCTCCTTCAGTTTCGTATCATCCGCTTACTGTAGATGCACGTCGTCATAGCGGAGGGTCGAGGGTGACGCAAGCCCGATCGCTTACAAGTATTTCGTATTTTCTCTCCCCTGATGCACGTTCGTGCCGGCAAAACCGGCTGGGTCAAAGCCTTGCAGATGCACAAGGGACCTTTCCAATGTATTATTCCGGTTGGAAACCAGGTACGTGAGGAGAAACCAAGCAAAAAAGCTCATTCTATCAAGCGGGTCAATCCGATTGTAGGAAAGTCTGGGTTGACACCGACGACCGTGTTGTTTCCACGGATCATATGTCTGAACTGGGAAGACATCGCGAGGTCTTCGAGAACAAACTTCTATTCTGCCTAACGGTTTTGGATCTATTGAAATATCCGCCTTAGTTCCTAGACATTGGCCTGTGCGTTTTCCAGATCGGAGAAACTTTGAAAGGCGTAAAAAGGGAAAAAGGAAAAGAAAAATAAAAAAACGATGCCGCCTGCTGTAAGCGTGGACTGGTTCTCCACTTGTGGAGCTTCGCAACACTCCGACTGAAGCGGTGGTCCACATAGTTCTCGACTCACGGCTCCCAATACGATCAGTGCGTCTTCTTCGAGAATAATCTGCTCCTGCGAACTCCATCATAAGGGCGAAGCACAATCCACACCAGTAGCCCCTTCTCCTGACGGAAAACCCGGAGAATTGCCTAGAGCATCCGTCAGGGGCCAGAAAACTCGTGTTTCCACTTTTCCATTTGACGCTAATCGTGAGCGAAGGCGTAGTAGCTTCAATCTTCGGCCTTCCCAACAGTACTTTAGTTCAATGGTCTGGTGCAAGGTGAAACATGGCTGCGACGGTTCCGTGCCCCAGCCTTTCCACTCCAATTAGATCAGGGGTGAATCCCGACTACTGCACAAGGTACAAAGTGTAAATTGCAGAAAAAGATTTTGAAAAAAAAGGTACGTGAATAATTTGGAGTGTTATGGTTCATTTCATGCAGGAACCTCGCGGTTCAATAGAGTTGCCGATCCTAGAAAAGTCTTGGACCCCACGTCGGTAGCTAGTTGGACATCAAAAGTCACCTGTAGTTCCACCCAGACCGCTTTATTGGTGAAGAAACGCTTTCCTTTCTTCTTTCGGAGTTAGGTGTTATCGGTCTCGCCTTCCTCGCTAGGCTCTTTTCTGCCCTGTACAGATCGGGAATCATGAGATTTGCTTGTGATCGACATCGGGTTGCCTTGGATTTTTCTGCAGCGGGCCTCGCAATTCCCCAAAAATTGAGAGTGGGTAGGCAAACGCCAGACGACTGCATCATTTAAGGACAGCCATTGGTCGGATTCTCCTGAAGCCGCTAAGAACCAAAGGGAAGGGTCATGAGGACGTGGTCAAGCGGCAAGTGAGGCGAAAGGCGTGTCATCGGCATAATGGGCACATGGAAGGCGTTGTTGCTTTCAGCATAAAAAAATAGCCTTGTCTTGCATTGCGATGCTGCAGTAAGCAAATCCCGTAAGCGACCAAATCCATGGAATGTGGCTGGCCCAATGCCATGGCCGCCAAGCGATTCCCATTGCGGGCAATGCTCCGCACAATCGAGGAAAGGGGGCCAAAACCATTAGCATCCTGTCAAAACTTTCATGTGGAAGACCCGCCACGGCTATCAGGTCGTCGAGTCTTCCATGGTTTTATCTCCAGAAGCCGCGCTAGGGACGTCGGCGCCATGGTTAATGGCCGTCTCTTCGCTAGCGGGATTCGGTTCTTGCCGGGGGCCGTCGGTGATGTTCTCGTTCTCAACGGAGGGTTCATGTGTTTCCGGCGCTTCTTGCGCGTCCTCGTCGATTTTCTCAGGGGCGTCCTTGATATCTTCGTTCCCATCATCGTCGCGTCCTGCCGTGGCTTGGGGCGTGTCTTCTGGTGCGGCGGGGCTCTCAAAGAGAACCTCTAGATTCTTGCCATCGTCAATTTTGTCAAATGCTGACAGTTTTGACTTGGCCGCCAGACGGAGAATACGCCAGGTTTTACTGGATTTAGCTCGGACGGCGGTTTCCTTGTCCTCGTCAGTCATCGCCATGTCGATGTCCATCTCATCATTCAAGATATTCTTCATGATTATCTCAGTAGCAGGAACAGAAAACCGGTCAGATTCCTTGAGGCGTTCGATGTTGGCCAATGCTTCGGTATCCGAGAGGAACTTGAAGTCTAGCGCTCCCATCGGTGACGGACGAAGACGCTTGTTGAAATAGGTCTTTCTGGCTTCATCTCGCGCCTTCATGTAATCAGGCACTGAGATGGCTGGTCGTTCAATAGGCGGACAACCTTCGGCCTTCCACCGCACCCAGTTCTTGTCCCGAGACAATACGGTGTCCACCATACGATAGTAGAACTTTCCACCATTGCCTTGTTGCAGGTAGCCTTCAATGCTCTTTCGCATGTTTGCCACCCATTTTGCGTCGTCTTCGCTCACCACAAATCCATAGAGCACGGATTTGTTAGTCAGGGCCGCCAAGCGCTCTTTGGACTTGGAAGTGAGGGACAACATGAAGTCAAGGAGAATGAGAGCTTGAACAAGGACGTGTCTCCGGAAAGCGGTATCACTAACTTCAAGATCAAAAAGATCTCGACTAGTCAGGTACTTGGGGTTGAAACTTGTGCCGACCTCGGCCTCATCGCCTCGTTTTCGCTTGTGAGACCTTGACGCCTCTTCTGACCGTGCAGGGCCTTGATTCCCAAGATCAGTTTTGATGTTCTTGAAGGCGTGCAATGTAGCTTCGAGGCCAGTCTTGAAAGATGCGAAGCGCTCAGCATCAAACATCTTGCTCGGAGATGAGAAATAGGACTGTAGACTCCAGAACAGAGGATAGAGGGCGTCAAGATCCACCTTTTCCTTTGGCTTCTCCTTTCGACCACGGGAAACAACGACCTTAGGAATCTCAGATGTAGCTCCGTCATCTTTGTTGCTTTGATCTTGCTGTCCATCGGGTGTAACAGAACCATCGTTTTCGTCGGTCATGCTGGTATCAACATCGTCGTTCTCAGCGGTCGATTTCGCAATTTCGTCAAAGGTGGTGACATTCTCTGTATGAAACTCTCCCCGGAGGTTGACTGAACTTTTATCGCCGAGTGGGAAGCTCTGGAAAAGGAAGATAAACACCCGTCCGCAGAAGACCGTATCTTCTGCTCGTGATAGTCGGCGGAGAAGTTCATTGCAAGATCGGAGAATGATCAGGCTCTTCTGCTTGAAATGTTTCTTTGATAAGAATTAGTAGCTGAGATCCTCGAGTAATCGGGTATTAGAAGGGTCTACGTACCTTAATGTTTCGCTCTCGACGCGACTCCAGATAGTCAAATACTTTCCGGCAACCGTCAATTGTTTGACTATCCAATAGTTCCTCAATAAGCCAGAAGATGAGACCCGGCTCGCATTGTTCTAGTGGGTGTCAGCAAGGACATCTAGGTTTGGGTCGGTTGTGGTATCAGGCGACGGACCATTGTCAGAGAAAATGGACACAAGATCAAGGAGGTTCCAGATATGAATGAAGGAGGGGTCATTGATAGAGGTGGAAGCCTAAGTAGGGAACCGCCGAGTCATTAGCATTTTCAATGTCATCAAGCTTTGGGGAAGAAAGCGGATGCGCCGTACCAGGGTATGGTAGAACTTCTCGCGAAAAGCAATCTCAACCGCAGCAAGCTGGGTCTGCTGGTTCAGGAGCTTCCCAGAGGCCCCATCATCGGCTGGAAGTTGCCAGATACGATCGCCCAGAAGCGCCTCAGTCAACGGGGGTTCGATCTGTTTGTCAGTCTTGATTTGCGCCGCGCGGTCGAGAAGATCGTTCACCAGACCTCTGTAGACTTGAACCGCCTCAACTTCCAACGAGGCCATCTTGGATCAAGACAGAGAGAAAGGTGACGGGGTACAGTTGTAGTGAGAGTGGTGAGGAAAAGAGAACACAAGGTCTGTGACAGAGGTGAAGGGGGTGTGGTTGCGGCTCGGCGGAGAGAAAAGCCAAGACTTTCCGAAAAAGCTCCCCCAGCTTCAACTTGAGACTCCCGACGTGCGCTGCTCCACCTCACGTTCCCGATCAACCCCAGTCTAGCAACAGGGACAATCGAGTACTGCGATGGCGCAGAGTCTCGAATCCAGACCGACGGTGGTGGACTTTCGCGAGGATAGCCCGTGGGTGAAGTTGGCCAAGGCTCACTGGTTGAATGCGAAGGTCCGCAAGGCCAAACCCGATGTGATCAAACAGCAATTGTGGGATCCGCTAGAAGCAGAGGGTTTCAACACTCGCTCTCTTCTAATCCTAGAGAATCTGAATGTTCTAGAGAAGTATGCTGCCCGCGATGATTCTTCCTATGCCCGCAGGGCTAACTCATTCACGTACAGGTTCCTTTGGCCGACCTACACTGAAGATGCTTCCAATCACCACGTCCTTCTGATCACACTTATCGTCAGCGTGAAATATCGCGAACACCTGCCTATCTGGGGTGAGTGAATGTGATAAAAAAGCGAGTACGCCAAATTGGGCGCGTACTGACAGTAATGCAGACATTTTCTCCGACCGCAGCGATGACTTCTCAAGCCTCTTCCATCGGATTCTTTCCATGAGCATCGACCCTTCACTACCAACTCATTCGCGCATGTCCATTATCTCCTTCATCATCGGTGCTTTCCAGTCCCTCGAGAACGTCCTGATCCGAAAGGAATGCGCCCCGCTTGTTTCCATCTCTATCTGGCACAACTTGGCCAGCGACGATGCCAGAGATCGGGTTATTGCCAAATCTCCTGCTTTGAAAAAGGCATGGAAGGCCGCAGGAAAGCGATACGACGCGGGTGATGAGGCTACCAAGGCCAAGAGCCGATTCGAACGGTCTTGGCTGTATACTATGCTGCTAGATTTCCTGCAGAAATTGAACGGCCCAGAGAAGCAACAGACAGAGAATTTGCTGTATTGTGAGCGATTTTTGGAGCTGCTTGTAGACCTTTTGAGCCAGCTGCCTACCCGGCGCTATGCCAATACGCTTCTCAAGGACCTCAATCTTCTACCTGTCATTCGCTTGTCGCAATTGTACCGCACACCAGAGAATGCCCTTTTCCGCGATCTCTACGAGCTTCTCAAGCATTTCATCAATTTTGCCATTGATGATTACTCAGGAGATGCTTTATCCCCCCAGGCAGTGTATGATTTGCACTGCAAGGAGCTTGCTCATCTGCAGAGAACCTCTATGAAATTTTTCAAAGATAAGCTGATGATTCTCGCGCTCTCTAACTTGGGATCAATTGATAAGCGGATTGAGCTCGAAGGGCAGCTATCCTCTTTGGACGAGTTAGAGCTGCAGAGCCTGTGCTCTCATTTGGGATTCCGGACAATCTACCCCAAATCATCCAACATCATCTCAGATCGCCAGCTATGCTCGGAAGTCCTCCTCTCTTTCTATGAGCGCAAGCTGTCCTTCCAGGAAGTTGCAGCCCAGTTGAGTGTGATTCCCACCGAAAAGAGCCTCTACGACCCCGCGTTGTTGAGAAATGAGACCTACGATGGATCCAGGCCCCTGGCGATTCCAAAGTTGAATCTACAATACCTGAGCACCGGAGACTTCCTTTGGCGATCCTTCCTTCTGTATAGGTCCGAGGCTTTCTTCCAGATTCGCAAGGACATGGAAGCTCTTGTCAAGCGTATGCAACCCCGAGCGAACCGTAATGGAGGCTTGAGCTTTGAGGGATTCTCACGTATGGCAATCCCTATCTCTAAGCCTGCTATTATCGAAGTTGCTCCTGCAAAGGTGGGTTCACCAAACCCGGCCTTCGTTCGTGCAGAGATCGCAATTGAAGTGGGCAGACTGGCAGACAACGTCCGTAAGGAATGGGAATCCCTCCGCCCAGATGACGTTGTCTACATGTTGGCTGTTCAATCCTCATCACCAATTCAGACGGGAACCCGAGATGATACTGCCGCGGAAGGACCATGCATGACTCACCTCCGTACAGCGGAAATCGTGCAAGTTCTTGATGAACAAGGCCGTCAGCTGCGACAGCCAGCTAGTGGCCAAACAAATGGTTATCAGTCTCGCCCGCGGGTCCGCAAACTTCTTGTTAATCTAGACGCCGCGTCCTTCAAGGCCGACACAGATCTCCATGCTCAAGGGAAGCCGGATATTTATTCTTTGATCAATGTGGTTGCGAGACGGAAGGGCAGAGAGAACAACTTCAAGTCAATCTTGGAGACAATGCAAAAGCTGATTGTGTCTGATATGACACTCCCTCCGTGGCTTCAAGACATCTTCCTCGGGTATGGTGATCCTGCAGGTGCTCAGTACACCCAGTTGCCTAATCGTCTCCAATCTGTTGATTTCCGTGACACCTTCTTGGACTGGTCCCATCTGGTGGAAAGCTTTCCCGGAAAGACAATTGAACCATCTGGATCCGAATCAGCCAGCTTCGGTCCTCCCTATGTTCTTGAATCCGTTGAGAATGAGCCTACAGAAGCTTCCGCCCCGGCGAAGAAACGTCGTCGAGACCAGGCCGGACAAGCAGAGCAGGGCCCCAGTACCATACGTGTCTCATCATACAAGCTGCCGAACCCTGGTCCCTACCCTGTTGATGCTCCTAAGCACAATACGGTGAGATTCACACCTGCCCAGGTTGAAGCCATCGCGTCCGGTACTCAGCCAGGCCTTACTGTCATTGTTGGCCCACCTGGAACCGGTAAAACCGACGTTGCTACCCAAATTATCAATAACCTCTACCACAATTTCCCCACAGAGCGCACGCTCCTTGTTGCACACAGCAATCAGGCGCTCAACCAGCTTTTCCAAAAGATTGTTGCTCTAGATATTGACGAGCGTCATCTTTTGCGACTGGGCCATGGTGAGGAAGAGCTTGATACTGATTCCAACTACAGCAAACATGGTAGAGTTGAATCGTTCCTTGATAACCGCACCAATTACTTGTCAGAAGTCATGCGACTGGCGGCATCGATTAGAGCTGAAGGGGCTCACGGGAACTCTTGTGAGACCGCGGGCTACTTCAACATGGTCTATGTTCAACCAGCATGGGCCAAGTTCTGGGATAGAGCCAACTCCGAAGAAATTTCCACTGAGGATATTGTCGCCTCATTCCCATTCCATGATTATTTCTCGAATGCACCTCAGCCTCTGTTTGAGGCAGATGCCTCGAAAGAGACAATACTGGATGTTGCCTCAGGGTGTCAAAGACACATTGATCGGATCTTCACCGAGCTCGAAGATATTCGACCCTTCGAGATTTTGCGACAACCTCGGGATAAAGCTAATTACCTTCTATTGAAAGAGGCCCGGGTGGTTGCAATGACATCGACACACGCAGCAATGCGCCGACAGGAAATTGCGGACTTGGGTTTCCACTATGATAACGTGGTCATGGAAGAGGCGGCTCAGATTACCGAAGTGGAGAGTTTCATCCCCACCGCTCTTCAAAACATGAAGAACGGCGAACTGCCTCTTAAGCGTGTTGTTCTCTGTGGAGATCATTTCCAGAATTCTCCAATCATCCAGAATATGGCCTTCCGACAGTACGCGCACTTCGAGCAGAGTCTGTTTCTCCGCCTGGCCCGACTAGGTGTGCCCGTGATAACTCTGGACAAGCAAGGCAGATCCCGGCCAAGTATTGCAGAGCTCTTCCGCTGGCGCTACCAAGAGTTGGGCGATCTCCCATCGGTGGAAACCCTGCCGGAATTCCAGCAGGCGAACGCTGGCTTCCAATTCGATTATCAGTTCATCAATGTTCCTGATTATCAAGGCACTGGCGAACGCGAGCCGACTCCTTACTTCATTCAGAATCTGGGCGAAGCAGAGTATGCGGTGGCTTTGTACCAGTATATGCGTCTGCTGGGTTACCCAGCCACGAAGATCTCGATTTTGGCTACGTATGCTGGACAAACGGCTTTGATCCGGGATGTATTGAATCACCGCTGTGCTAAGAACCCACTGTTTGGTCTTCCCAAGATTGTGACAACTGTGGATCGGTACCAAGGAGAACAGAATGATTGTAAGTTCAACTCTCAACATCACTTATGCCATTTTGCGTAGCACCATTCTAACCGTTGTGTTTTAGACGTCATCCTTTCGCTGACTCGCACCCGCACTGTTGGATACTTGCGCGATGTCCGCCGTCTGACCGTGGCCCTGTCACGTGCTCGGCTGGGTCTATACATTCTTGGTCGCCGAGAGGTCTTTGAATCCTGCTACGAGCTTAAGCCTGCATTTGATCGTCTTTTGCAACGCCCCGACAAGTTGATGCTTGCTCCGGGTGAGATGTTCCCAACCACTCGAGCGCTGGACGCTGACGTCGCGGGCACCCCTATGGAAGGAGTCGAACATCTCGGTCAGTATGTGTTCGAGATGACGCAAGCCAAGGTTAAGGCTATGGGTGATGGAGAGATGATCATTGATGATGCTGCCCCTAATGGTGAGGAAGGTCTTCTAGACGAAGATGAGGATATGATGGGTGCCGATGAAGACGAGGATGCAGATATTGTATGAACATGTTTACACAGCACTTGTGCTGATTGATAAAGAAGCGGATTGGGCTAAATTCCGCATAAAGGATATTCGATTGTGATGCCTATTTTACTTGTGAGGTGCAATGTCTATGAACATAGACTACCGACGTATGTCATAGGAAGTGATATTCTATACAACTGAGATCGCTCTTGAGTAGACACGAGGCCATTATTTAATCTTGTTGATCTCCTCCACGATATTCTGTGGGTCCCTCCAGGCCAAAGTGACATACCTGGACTTGATTAGCTGAAACGTAGAAAGCGCAAGGCAATCGAGTACTCACTTGGTGTGGCTGCCGCGGGCGACAATATCACCTTTATCATTAGTGAACTTGATGTTCGTGAACGCAAGAGTTTTTCCGACTAGAAAATGTTAGATGTGATTTTTCGTACGTGAAAAGTTTACACATACACTTGTCACATGTGACCTCCTATATCCGCATTAGTCTAGGTTATCTTTGCTTGGAAGGGGCCGTGATGATTACTTACTGCCATGATCTTGTCACCGACTTTGCCACCGGAGTTCAAGTATGTGACTGTTACCCAATAATCATTAGCATAACGAATATACTGGACTCATACCAGGCTCCCTCTCATAATGAACCTACCATTCAGATCGGTCGACACGCCGGTCGAGAACAAACCACGAGATGCTACCGCCAAGGATCCACCGAGATCAACTAAAAGAAAATCAGTGCTTAGATACTACCTCGGTTTGCAGATTCAGGTAAGCTTACCCATGCTTGCAATAGTACCTCCATGGAGGATGTTCAAGCGGTTCTATAAACATGGTTAGCCAATTAGATCAAGTATGAGGCAGATTCACCAAAGGCGAATCAAAATTGTTCCTCCCAGAATAGGATAATCAAGATTGCTTTTTCCCATGTCTGTGTACTTACAGTGTGTTGCTTCTGAACCTCTAGCTCGAAGTTGACAGTTCCAGGTCGAGCAGCAGTGACGCGGAGCTAGATAGAGAAATAAGCATTCGTTTCAACCGCTTTAAAAGATTACTTAAGTATTCGCATACACTATCCAAGAGGCTTCAAGCAACACGAGAGAAAATTATCAGTGATTGACATTTAGACGTAGAGCGTCGACTTCACTTACCGAGGCTCTAGGCCCGAATTAGCCCGGAAGGACTCCCAAACCTGGAGGAAACATACATTAGCAGAGGTCTGATGATCAAGGAACTTCGGCATCAGACATGACTCACCGACCGCACAAATCTAAGAGTTGTCATTCTGGTAATTGGCAATTGTTTATTCAACGAGAAGAAGTGAGGCAGTGACGCAGTTCGGCAGTTGTCGCGTCCCATCTCGGGAACTGCACAAAGTGGCCGCTGCGCCCGCCGGACTACATCGGTCATGACTTCACTAAGCTTTCTTTGATGCAAAATGCTCCTTCGGCAAGGTACAGAGGCGCCAGGTCTTTAAGGTCATCAACATGGCTGCACCTACGTCTCGACCTCTAGAGTACCTGGAGGGTCTGCCTGGTGCGACCTTTCTTCAGTTGTACAGGCAACCATCTACTGCACTCGCCATTTTCCGGCGCATGCTGCCTGATTTGGGTATCTGGAGCTCTCTGAATCTTGGTGTCGACTAAACTAACTGTGAGGATAGCAAAATGTTTTGTCATGGCCTTGCTATATTTGAAGGACCCCCTTCCTACAGCTGATCTCGAAATTTGGGTCAAGGCCGAAAGCAAGAAGTGAGCGCGCGTGATCCTGAAGATTCCCAGATGCAAGGCGAGCTAACCGCCTGGTCCTTACTTGACAAAGACAGCGAGATAATGCCTTATCGATCTTAGGCCGGCTTCATATCTTGTCCACCACTCGAACCGAAGACAATGCTCGGGCTTACATGGTCACCAATCCATTCGCGTCATCGCTCCGTCAAGCTCTCACTGGCTCCGAGGACACCCAGTCCTTTGGTGTCTTTTCCCAGATTCCAGACGAAACTAAAGTCTCAATCCACGATTTGGACGAATACGGTCGACGACAATGGGAAGGCGTCTTGGGTTACATGGTCGGAACGAGTGCTCTCACTGGAAACCGTGATATGGTGAACCTGAGCAAGGGTGTGAAACAATTGCTTCAAGCTGGTAATCTCGTTGAAATCAGGGGCGGGCGCGTGGATATCACAAAGGATGGGTTCGGTTTTGTGCTGCAAGACGTCAACACCCAGGTTTGGCACATCATGATTCTCTACGTCGAGAGTGCCCATTCCCTCGGCATGGACAGCGTCGAGGTGCTTTCATTCTTGTTCTTGCTCAGCAGTCTGGAACTGGGCCAGTCCTACGAGAAGGCGGGAATGACGTCCACCCAACTCCGCACTCTCACCGACCTATCGGATTTTGGCATCATTTACCAAGAAACTCCTGAAGCAACACGTTTTTACCCCACACGACTAGCCACAACCTTGACTTCTGATTCAAGCGCACTGGGTACCCCAGGTTCTGGTTCCTTGACTGGACCTGGCGGTCAGACAGGCGGCTCGAGCTCGGGATTTATCATCATCGAAACCAACTACCGCCTATACGCATACACGTCATCCCCCCTCCAGATCTCGCTCATCTCCCTCTTTACGAGTCTGAAATACCGCTTCCCTAACTTGGTGACGGGAAAAATTACCCGTCAATCGGTGCGCCGAGCTATTGACATTGGTATCACAGCCGACCAAATTATTTCTTACCTGCACTCGCATGCCCACCCGCAGCTGCGGAAACAATATGCCGCGGCAAACAACACATCTCTTCTACCGTCCGTGCTTCCCCCCACTGTCACCGATCAGATTCGTCTTTGGCAGCTTGAGCGTGACCGTCTCAGGGCCACAGCAGGCTTTCTGTTCAAAGACTTCACCAATTCGGCTGAATATGAAGCCCCTTGCAGATACGCTGCGGAGATCGGTGTATTGGTTTGGAAGTCTGATAAAAAGCGCATGTTCTTCGTCTCACGCCATGAACAGGTAGCTTCTTTCCTCAGGCAGCGGAGATAGGGTCACGAGATGGTAGTCTCAGGGGTCGCATGGTACTGGTTAATGGGATTGAAAAAGCATTTATTTTGCCGATACTTGGGTGGCGTTGCTTGGGTCTGCAATAGGCATTTAACGACATAATGAGCTCGCAATTCATACCAAATGGTTCATATCAATTTTTTTACACATAGAACAACTACATTAGGTAGTCTTAGTACCCTCCTCCGACCTAAGAAAGCTTGTATGTTTCCCGTTCATGCCCATAGGCCTAGCTTATCCAAAAAGCCTTTCTCTGCTCATCAGCAATGAGCTAATAGTACTCACTGCGCCAGCCACAAGTGGAATTACAAACGCCCGTGCCATCGCCGATGTAATTGCACCAATAGCCACAATTCGTAGATCGCCATTCGGCTTTTCGAATAGAGTGCTCTGAGCCCCTGCGACAGCACCATGAATATCGGCCTGGCTGAATCCCTGGCCTTCCAGAACCTGGTTCAGATTATTCACGGCATTTGACTGGAAAGCCTGGCTAGCAATCACAAGGCAAATAACAGTAGCTCCAATTTGCGCGACATTTTGCAGCCCGAACGGCTCATGCAAGTCCAGCTAGGTCAATTTTGGCGGCGATTTGGGTCACCGCGAAACTGTGACTATGATCCAACAGGAAGCGAGCAAAGATACGACAAACTCTGTGCTGAATATCTCCCCAGCTTGCATGCGGCATTTGCAATAGCTCATCTGGATACGGCATGGGACAATGTTCTTCCAAAGCTACCGATGCAGAGGCAACTTCTTTATATTGCCATCTTCGACTCAGTCTGTTGGAACTTCCGGCCGCTTTTGTTGCTGAAGCCTGATTATATCGCGGGGCTTGCTCCGTACAAGCGAGTGCTCCTTCCATTACAAAAACAAAGACTAGCAATGGCTGCATTGAAAGAACTCGAGGCTGTCACTGCCCTCCATTCAATGTTCGGAGGCTCCTATACCCGTTTTACTGCCATAATATTCAACACTTTCGAAGCTGCCGTTCTCTTACTTTCTCTTTGCTTTCACGTCGACTTCCCCTTTGATCAAGGAGATGTAAACACGAATATACTAGGCATTCAGGCTCAATTGACGTACAAAAAGGCCATGCAAGCCGCAGAACAAGCTATCGGTCGACTTCAAATGCTGGCCGAACTCAGCGATATGGCTGCGGCCGGGGCTCGAGTGGCTTCTCAAGTATTTGCCAAAGCCGCGAAGTCGAAAGAATCGACAAGCCCAGTTGCTCCGGCGGGACTTTCCGATACCCCTTTTTGGCAATTTGCATACTCGGCTAACATAGAAACTACCGAGGGCCTAGGCCCGTGCTTACCCTTGGAACAAGAGGATCCTGTACTGATGAGCGACATTTTCTCCTCAACGGCACAAGATGACTCGTATCCCAAATTCCCATTGTCGTCTTTCGGCCTTCCCATGGTCTGAGGGGGTTTCATACCCTAGTATTTCCTGCCAGCTTTCATCCATCGTAAGCACTTGGTAAAGGAGCTTATCGTGGGCAGAACAAATTCCGTACATTACAATATAAAGTTTATAAATGCTTTCTAGAATTCGGCCTTCTTATCCATCCTGCTCAAGCGGGTACCTACCGAGGTCCTGGACATTCCATCCAGCCAGGCTTTACCTTGCGTTTATAGGTCTCCCACTGGCCACCTTCAGCCTGCTTCTTGTAACTCATGAACGTATCACCTTTCACCTGATCTGGCAGAATGACCGCCACGTCTGATATACGTTTCGATGCCTCGATCTCAGGCAAAGCAAAATCCTTAGGAGATGGCATTTCCAAGTACATATCCTCATCCACAATGATATCCTCAGTATAAGCCCCTCCCTCCTCAATACTAATTACCTCCTCCAAGACACGAGCCAAGAGAGGACCATTCCAAACACCCTCTCTATGGGGAGCAGCCCGTACAATCCGCAGAGCATGCTGTCGAATTCGAGGAATACGACATTTCAGCGCGGTATAGTAAACAGGAGGAATGAACCCAGACTCGACAGTGAACCCGTGGCATCCATTATCAGACTCAGGAGTACTGAAGATATGCTTGAGTCCTTTGATCCGGATGCTAGCGTCTGCCCAGAAATTCCATAGGTCGATGAATCCTTTTAAAATTGCCAGGAATCTTTCAGTATGGTTGTCAAAGATCGTCTCGTCATCGGATAGACAGACCGATGCCATCATTGTCGCCATCTCGTGGTATATGCGAAGTAAAATGTGGCCAAATTTGTCTTTGCGGGTTGCTTCTTCTTCCAGGCGGGTTATTGAGGCGTTGTATGCCTTTCGCCAAAGAGATAGGTCTGTTATGATCTTTCGTTGGGTCTCCACAATTTCCGGGTCGGTTGTTGCCGATTGGGGTTGGGATAGTCTGAGAGTATAATAGTGCCTTTTTAGGCAGTGAACTCTGTTCAGAAGGTCGTCCAGCGTTTGTCGAGCGTCGAGAATTGAATTAAAGGTGTATGTGATCGCGTGAACTTGAGGATCTCGTATCACAGTGCACATATGGGAAGGAACATGACCAAACATAGCAGCCTGGATTGTCAGACGAGAGTATGAATCGATCAGCGTATTATGGACAAAGTCTTCTGCCGGACTCAGGATGCTTGGAGACATGATTGATCGAGGCTTTGGTGCTGAGATACTCGCAAGCAGCTGGATCCCATATCTTAGATGTGCGCTACCCATCTGATACTGTCCACGCAGGTATTCCAACGTAACAAAGATCATACATGTGACCAGGGCAACGCGCAAGGTATTTTTTTGGGTGCTCCCTGTCATCAAGCGTAAGTGGTGAATAGCCTTGTTGTATTGTTGCAAGGTAAACTGCTCGGCATCGAAGCCGTAGGTGGAGGGAAGAGACCACGGCTCGCTCCTGTGATCGAATCGATGCGCTGCTGACAAGGCGACCACCGCATGACGCACGGCAGGTTCCTGGGCACTTGCCTGCAAGACGAGGGTTTCCCAGAAGTCAGAGGCAAACAGCCCGGCAAACTTCTTGGTCGTCTTGGCCATGAACCAGTCGAAATACGTCTGCTCCTCACTGGTCATGCTACCGACTGGAACCGGTGTGCAGTATGTTGAGAGCGCTCGGTTAGTCTGCGGCTGGCCGTATGGGCTCCCACCGCCTCCCCAGATGCCATAGCCATCACAGACCCGGCCTGTAGAGACGCAGCGTCGACATGCTGGTCGGCTTTCGTCACATTTCACGCGGCGGGTCCTTTGGGAGCTTGTTAAAACAGTCAATGTTGGGTCCATCAGTAGAACCTACTTGCACGTTTTGCAGCCGGACTTAACCTTCTTTCTATTCCGGGCCTGATGGTCTCGATTGAGTGATTCATGCATAATCGATGTTCAATGCAAATCTTATGAAGTGAATGAGGGGTATAAATTCTTTGGCAGAAAGGCCGGTAGATTTAAATGTACTGTAAGCCTGTTTGATGGGGAGAAACAGGACATTGTGATTGGGCAACTCGCAAACTACGAGTTGTGATTGGCTTAAAGCTGCTAAATGTGGATACTGACGGTCTGATGGCTTGCCATTGGTCGATAGCTTAAAGCCGGCCGATTAAGTCCGGCAAAACTGCATGCAGAGAACCGGAGCGGAAGCTTAACCCCAGAAAATGATTCATGATGGATCGGAAAGCCATTGTGATGCGATTAATTTAGGGTCGGTGCTATGATTATATCCGAGCAAGACTATTTAAAGGCTGGATGATCCCCCTCGTAACTCTCGACTCATCACATCTTCTCTACTGATCCAATACTCTTGACCTTTTACTCCAAAATGTCCATTCCAATTCGTTCCCTTGGAAAGAATGGCCCTCAAGTGCCTGCTGTCGGCCTTGGTCTCATGAGCATTGGTGATGTTTACGGATCTGCCGGCACTCTTGAAGACAAAATCGCTATTCTCGAGCATGCGCATGCTACTGGCCAACGGTTCTGGGATACCGCCGATCTATATGCCGATAGCGAAGATGTTGTTGGTGAATGGGTTCAGCGCTCCGGCAAGCGCAACGACATCTTTCTTGCCTCTAAGTTTGCTTGTCAGATGGATCGTGCCATCCGTAAAATGACAGTCCGATCGGATCCTGAATATGTGAAGACTGCCTGTGCTCGGAGTCTTCAGCGAATGAAGGTCGATGTCATTGACTTGTATTATTGCCATCGAGTCGATGAAATTACCCCTATTGAAAAGACCGTCCAAGCAATGGCCGAATTAAAAAAGTACCAAGCTGCACCCATCATACAAAATCTCGTCAAGTGTTTCTAACTCTGCTTCTGTTTTTAGTGAGGGAAAGATCCGCTATCTTGGTCTTTCTGAAGTTTCGGCTGCAACTCTGCGCCGCGCATATGCGGTCCACCCAATCGCTGCTCTGCAGATGGAATATAGCCCATTTGCAATGGACATTGAGAAGAATGATCTCTTGCAAACTTGCCGTGAACTTGGTGTTGCAGTAGTCGCATACAGCCCCATCGGCCGCGGCCTACTCACTGGCCAGATCAAGAAGTCTGAAGACTTTGACGCGAATGATTTTCGACGTATCTTACCTAAATATGCACCAGAGCATTTCCCCAAGATCATGGAATTGGTACAAGGGCTGCAAAAGGTGGCTGAAGCCCATGGAAGTACACCGGCGCAAGTCTCGATTGCATGGCTACTAGCTCAAGGATCCGATATCATTCCGATTCCTGGCACTCGGTCACCTCAGCGAATGGATGAGAATAGCAATGCTGCGCTGCTCCAACTGACGGATGAAGAAGTGAAGGACATCCGCGCCCTTGTTGAGCGAACAGAGGTCCAGGGTGCCCGCTACCCTCCAGGGTAAGTTTCCTTGATTCCTAACGAGAAAATAGTCTCTTTACTAATTTGGCCTAAAGGATGGGTACTGTTGTTGCCGATACGCCGCCGCTGTGACGCAGTTCACCCAGATCGATGCTTAAGTAGTTATGATGTATTTTGATTATGTGTCTCCACTTCAGTCATTCTTTCCAGTCAGTATTATTACTAAACGGATTCTCGCATTCCAAGGTACTTTCTACTTGTAGTTCTATTCCTTTGTAACCAAGTAGTGCTCTACATCCATTGATGTATCCCCACTCAGTAATAGAAAAGCAGGTTGCCCTTAGTCACGGTCTGCTGAGACCATGGGGCGCAGTGCCAAGCAGGTCCTACACTGCGCCACCCTCTACGGCAAGACCGACGCGAAAGATCGCGCTACGTAGCCAGTTTACGCAGATAATCATCATTCTTGCCCGATTGTACCTCCTTGGGTTTTCAAGAGCGTAAGCCCACCCGGGCAGGCCTACGTCTATCTTTATCACCAGTGACCTCATCAGCCGATCGCAGTTAAGATTGCGGGTGGTCGGTGCACATTCCATTGTCCTTCACGATAAGACCGAACCGATATCTCACAAATCCCCGATCGATCTAAGCCCATAAATTAAGCTTAACTCACGGACCGCCACCCCCCTGTTAGGTGCGACTAAAGCATCAGATAAAAAAGGGGGAACAGGGGGAAAAGGGTCAAAGTGGGGTTGTGGCTCAAGGGATCAGCCATTCTCGACCCCACGAATTCTCACCCCTGGTTGGCTTTTCCCTTTAACCACTTTTCGTGAACCCTGGTTCCAACATCCATGCTCCAGGGCTCTTGCACAGATGTCTTCGTCTAGCGACGCCAGTCCCGGCAACTGGATCACTGGCAGCTACACGGGCGATAGTAATGGCGTGCGCATCACGATCGCGACCTTTGTGGGCGTCGCGTGGTACAATGTGATTGAGCTGATTGTTCTCATCTTTCTCACATTCAAGCGCTATCAAGGCCCTTACTTTTGGAGCATGCTGATTTCCTCGGTCGGTATTCTACCTTACTCTGTCGGTTATCTGATGAAGTTCTTTGCTTTGACCTCCGCCACCTGGCTGCCTGTCACTTTGCTCACGGTGGGTTGGTGGACCATGGTCACCGGCCAATCATTTGTCTTGTACTCACGGCTTCACTTGGTGCTCGAAAATCTCCGTGTGCTGCGCCTGGTCAAGGGTATGATAATTATGAATATTTTCTTGCTTCATATTCCCACCACCGTGCTCACCTTCGATGCCAATTTCTCCAACTCCGAAGCCTCGGTCGCAGGGTACGACATTATGGAGAAAATACAATTGACTGGCTTCTGCGTCCAGGAGGTGATCATCTCCAGCTTATACATGTGGGAGACCAATCGGATGCTGAAATTAAATCCCGACCGCGGTAGTCGCAGAACAATCCTGCAGCTGCTCGCCGTCAACGTTTCTTGTGTTTTGATGGATATTGCCCTGATGGTAATTGAGTTCATGAACTTTTATATCTACCAAACCACCCTTAAGGCGACCCTCTACAGCATTAAACTGAAACTGGAAATCGCTGTTCTGGGAAAGCTGGTCAACATTGCTCATCAACATGTCTGGCAAACACCTCGCCTGGATCGTGGTCGGTTTCCTTCGTTCGTCGACCCCTCGCAGATTCCCGATTTCAATGAACTCGACTACAATAATCCCGAATCCTTGCCGTCAAGCCAGGCAACAAGCCAGGGCTTCAAAGGGCGCTCGACTGGGCTAGAGGCTATTTAAAATGACCAAGCATAAGAGGTTTACCCGGTCTTCGTGGACCAGAACGGACTGCAAAGTACCGAGATACACCTGACGTGTCAATTGACCGCGAGGGGACATCCTTGTCTCCACGATCCTGGGCGAAATATGCGACCGTAAACCACGCGACCGTGAACCATTAAAATGGCATGGGTTTCCCTTCACTGATCACCCGACTTTTGCGCTGTTCACTTAGCTGGTGACAACCAGCCAACCACAACCCCGCGCCGGATGTGCGGGACAAGAAAATCAACCCTCTTACCAACCTTGTAGCTACAAGGTCTCAACAGCGGCACAGCAAGGCGCAGATTTCGCCTAGTTGAATTGTCCCTGCATACATATCACGAACTTATGACTGAAGCGTTGCATCTGCATAAATACCCAATCTTTCCAAGATTCGCATATCTTTTGTGGCCCGTCAATTTGTGTAAAGTTTGTTCCAAATGTTTCAGGTCATTCAGTATAGCTTTATGCATTTAATACAGACAATCTATTGATATCCAAGACAATGCTCCGAATGAGCAGCATCAGAAAACAGATTACCTATAATGTTGCCTACAATCAGTAATTGGCTAAATTCGCCCTAACTCTTCTTCAATCTTTTTCCAGGCCCGAGGTAATAGCGTTCCCAAAACCCAGTAAGTATCCCAATGGTCTTGACCAAGCACAACGAAAAGGTTGAACTCGTTAAACGATTCATCAATGGCTTCGTTGTAGTAAGAAACCATGGAACCCAGGGGATTTTCCCTCGTCTCTGTCACCTCTCCCTGAGACACGACCGCAGGACTAAAATCCACAGCGCGGATCAAATCAGCCTTGAGCAGGTTGTTGAAGGCGACTAGAGTAGCATTTGATTCTCCAAAGAAAAGCCCCGGGCTTCTGCCTGCATCCAGATCCCGGTAAACACTCTTCAAAAAGCAAACGGCCTGACCCTGGGTAGCCTGCTCAGTAAAGTTTCTTCGATGTTCCAGCGCGATCGAGCCAACCGATTCATCAGGAAGCTGAGAAGAAAAGAAAGAATATGTCCCCAACACCATATTCTGAATGAAAGCACCACCAGATTTGAGCAAGTACGGGATCCGGTACCGTACGTTCATAAGGTTCAATACCGTGAACGGACGAGATCCCGGTTCCGAAGATGCGACTGCCCGGGTAAGCCACGCAGTGAGTATATCACTATCACTGATAAAAGGCTTCTCATCTCCCTCTGATCTCTGAGCAATGTCCATTCGAGCATGGTCGCATATCTTTCCAAAATCACTCTTTGGAAGCAAAAGAATCCGTCGTTCCCGACGCGGATTCCAAAATTTGCTCCATACAAACCTTAGCAGGAACATGATCATGCTTATGCCCTTCAGACGCCACTTTTCAAGTCCGAACTCTTCTGTCGTGTCGCTGTCATGCATTTCCTTGGTAGGACGGAGCATGTCTTTTCGTGCACCAAGTACTGGGGGAACATCTTCTTCTTGACCGGCTAGTACTGATGACCAGGCTTCCAGCAGGGCCTTTGCACCGATAGCATCCATTAAAACGTGGGGCCAGATGAGGGCGACAAGTGTTGCATCACGGAAGGATGTGATGTGCAGAGAGAGGGATGGCAAGCCTTTGCGGACCACCTCCTCGAATGTAGGGAAGTCGGGTCTTGCAATCAAAGGCCGGGTATCAGGGGATAGAGTCTGGATTGAGGGAGACGTCGTTTCTTTTGGGAGACGACTAGCAACCGGGTGCTCATCGATATTCATATCGAAAGTGTCGTGAGTGAAGAATACATTTTGTTGTCCACTTGCAGAGGGCCCTGAGACGTGTATTTCAAGAGTCCCGTCCTTCTGTAAAGGTCATTGTCATTTGATGTCCTCTCTTAGTGGCTGGGTGTATGCTTGGAGCAAATTACCTTCCGTTGTAGTCTCCCACCGAGCTTCTTCCAGTCACCAATCTCTAGAAGTCTTGATAACGCGGTCTTGAGTTTCTCTGCGTCGAGGACATCATTGAATCGCATAAGCCAATCCACATAGCAGTGATTCGCTTTGATGTTATCCAGTATATGGATGGGGTACACGTCGGGAGATGATTCGTCCATTTTCCACGTACGTCTTCACGGACACGGGTGTTCAAGATGGTTGAATTTGGAAGAAGATTTTGACCGCGTGAGATTTAGACATGTCCTTCTCTTTCATTGTCATACGACTTGACTGGGATTTGGGGTTGCTGCTTGGCCATTTATTGAGCGTTCTCATTTTTGGATCCAAGTGGGTCCCTCGCTATCAACGTTTCAACTTTAGTCTGATTTTCACTTTCTTGCGGAAGGATCTACGCCCGTTAGAAGTTTATTTCGAGGGTTAACGTGTGGTAAAATGGCTAAATTTGAGGATCGAGTTTTCGAGATAATGTGTTCATTCCCTTGGGTTTAAAAACGGGGTCACCTTGGACAGCGGCTCCCCCTCCCTCCTTACTGCTACTTAGCTTACCACCATCCTGGCCAAATGGATAGCTAAACCACGTCACCTAATTGAACGCCCCCCGAGCCCTATACACCTACAATTTATGTATCGAAAGGCCACACAAGCTATGCAAAGTTTCCGGTGTTAAGGATTGGCTGAGATGCGATCCGTAGTCAGCCGGCCTATCTGCCCCCATGACCTGGACTTGTTTCAAGACTCTGTACAATCATGTCATTTAGTTTGTATTAGAAGCCCAGGAGTTTGTTCTAGTGCACTTGACAATACGTCACAGCTTGCCCCGGTGCATAATAGCATAGCCGTAAAGCCACAGCCACAGCCGTGGATAATCGCCTTGTTCTATAAATAGTCATCGGGTCAATTATCCCCCATGGTCATGTGACTACCTGTCCAATGACATCAGCCGCTTCATCCCACCTTTCCTATTTAATCAACACGATATTGCATACATTCATACTATAAAATCAATATACCATCAGCAAAATGGCTCCCCACGAAGGACTGGTTCACCCCAAAGAATATGACATCAAAGACAGCAATGTCGAATTGATCGGATCAGACCTTGACCACCGTGTCAAGTACAATTCAGCCGCTTCAGAGCCCGCCTGGAACACTGGAAAGGTGGGACAAGAAGCAGGCCTTTTTATTTGGCGCATTGAGAACTTTGAAGTGGTTCCCTGGCCCAAAGAGAAGACTGGCGAATTTTACGACGGCGACAGCTTCATTGTATTGCATACATACAAAGTCGGCGATGACAAGCTAGGCCACGATATCTTTTTTTGGCTAGGAAGCAAGACCACACAGGATGAAGCCGGCACAGCTGCATATAAGACAGTTGAGCTGGATGAGTTCTTGCATGGCGCTGCGACTCAACATCGTGAGATCCAGCAACAGCCCTCAGAAGAGTTCCTGTCTCTCTTCCGTCATTATTCTATTCGCTCTGGTGGCGTGCGCTCCGGGTTCAACCATGTTGAGCCCGAAGAGCCGAAGGAGGTTCTTACCCTGCTCCGCATCTTCAAGTATCCTGGATCTGGTCGCATCAGCCCTCTTATCGTGCATGAGGTTGAGCCGACTTGGGAAAGCTTGGATGAGAATGATGTCTTTGTTTTGGACAAAGGCGACAAGATCTGGGTTTGGCAGGGCAAGAAATGTAGCCCGATGGAGAAAGCTAAGGCTGCGCAAGTTGTGAATGACTTGACAATGGCGAAGCACGTTGATGTTGAAGTGCTTTCTCAACTCGAGTCGAGATCCAAGATCATTGTGGATTTGCTGGGTGGAAAGGAGGCCGATCACTCGTCTTTGCATGCACAGAGACCCGGCTACTTTTCCAAGACGACACACGAAGACAGCGGCAGCTCTCGTCCTCGCAAGCTGTTCCGCCTCAGCGACTCGTCGGGAGACTTGTCATTCGACCTCATCAAAGATGGTGGCCGGATTCAACAATCTGATTTGGATGGCAAAGATGTTTTCCTCTATGATGTCGGCAGCCGGCTTTGGGTCTGGCAAGGTGCTGAGGCTAGTGATAGGGAGAAAGCTGTGTGGATCAAGGTTGCCCAGGCCTACATTCGCCACCTTCAGGATAGCCAAGGGCCCTCCGATGCTTTCCTCACTCCAATTTCCAAGGTTGTTCAGGGACATGAGAGTCCAGCTTTCATGAAGGCAATCGCAGTCTAAATTTTGTATAATATATTTGATGATGTAAATCAATTTATGGCCAAGCAAGCCACACTTGGGACCATGCTTGACGAGCAAACACTATACTTTACGTTTTCCTACTTCATTGTGTCTCAGATCTAACGATAGTGTCCTATTTGTAAATCCTGTGAGAAAGCGCCAGTGAAAGGTGACTATAATGAACTCGTAGACGAATGTAGCTTTACACATATAAGGTCATCAAATTTACCAGGTAGCTGGTCCAAAAGTATCTCCACCCGAAACCGTCTTCCGAATTGCCGTATATAGGGAATCCTTTTGCAACGATATTAGAATTACGCCTTCCAAAATTTAACAGTCAGATTGCACTTACCATGGTCTCAAACGGAGCGGTGTTTCCCCACCAATTGGGCACCGCTACACCCGGGAAAGTGATAGCGAAGAAAATGACAATCGTCGAAAGAATAAGTCCGGTATCAAGTGCCGCGGCAGTAACATAATTGTACTGTCGCCACCAGCCACCCCATCTGCGTCGAATCCAGTAGTTGAAAATGAGTCCAAAAATGACCCAGGATGTGTAACTGATTGGTGTTGCCCTATGTATGTATTGTCAATATGAATTTCATGTAGGCAATCTACATGAATGGTGGACTTACGGAGGAAGCCAGGACATGGCACCCAGCATACTAGATAGGAATGTATGGTTAGTGAGGGTTGATTAGCCGACTTTTCATGGGCCACATACACTGGTGCATTAAGGAATCGAGCCTTGGATTTGGGGAAAAATCGCATGAGGAGGTAGAATGCTACTGGGAGCAGGGCTCCGAGCAACCAGAAATATAAGATCGGTGTATAGATTGAACCGGGTCCAAAGATACGTTGTGGGCCGATTACACCTGTATGAGGATCAGTATAAGTTTGAAGATATTTGTAGAGAGGTAATCAGGCCAGGAAGAACAATGGAAGAACATAGGCTTACCCCAGACAATACTCGATGAGAAAAAGGTTCGTCCATTAGGACACGAGAAATTTGCGGATTGATCCCTGTATTCGATAAGCGACCCGTATACTTCAATGAGATGGTTTTGGACCTGACTTACTCTGTACAGACATCCTCAATATTTCCCAGAGTCCAATTCATGACCGCGATTTGAACAAAACAAGCCCATAATGTTGGGATCACTTGACACATGAAAGTAACTCGGGGTGGGATTTTCATATAGTGAGCCAGCTATCGGTAGTATTAGTAAGTGTTCCTGTTTGGATAATATTTCGGGCTTTGGTTACCTTCATATCTTGGCAGTAGACCTGACTATTGGATCATTAGCTTTGTCAAACTAACGTACTTGGATAACTCACGCTTGTCCCAGTGTAATTGTGCTGAAGACCTTGAACACCATGACACCGATCGGCTTTCCGGGAATCATGAAACCGGCCAAAAATGGCGAGAGAACATTAAGAGCTATAAACGTCAGCAATTGGAAGCGTGTTTCACTTTAGAGATACATACACAGCGTAATATTGGTGACACCCATGATCATGCAAGTTGGAATCTTTTCTGGTCAGCAAGTCCCCTTCAGTGTTAGAGTGATGAGAACGCACAATGAAGATCACGGCGATGATGAGAGATACGAAGAACGCCCACCCTGTTCACAAGTCAGTTTTCCCGAGGACGTCATAGAGAGGCAATACAACTTGGACACATACATGGCAACTGTGAATCATATCCAAGTACACCTCCTAGTCCGAGCGCAATGGAAATCAAGAATAGCGCTCCATACCACCACTCAGGGGCTTCTTTATACTTCTTCATGAGCGTTAAATGGATATCTGACTCTTGGTTGAGAGCGGCTTTTCCACGATACCAAATCTCTTTTCGGTGGTAGAGGATGACGTGAACGATGACTGCCGTCAAGGCGGCGAAAGACAGACCGTAGTTCAGGATGAATGTAGGAGCGAGGAACATTGGTGAATAAGCCTTGTACTTTGCGTCATCGAATGAGAAATTATCGCCAAGGATCTTGCTGACATTATACTGCTGTTGTGTGTTGTCATAGGTAGTGGATGTGTTGATGGGGAGATAATCAGAATAGCTATTATCGTTAGATTGCGTCGGAATGAAGTGAAGTGGAGGTCCACATACAATGCTCCTGTGTAAGAGATTCCAATGGATGCAATTATCACGAAGACTACTAGTCCAATAAAGGTGTTCATGATTGAATGGACGGGTGATAGAAGAGGATCGAGGAGGTATGCGGAGACATAGCTATGTATATCGGTCAGTTGTCCTGTATCCCAAGCGATACCCAGTAACTATTAGTTGGTCAAACTCACGTCCAGTCAAAGGTTAAAGGAATAAGTGAAAGTCCAGTGAAGCCACCGAATAATTGATTCACCACGACGTTGTTGGGTTTGATCCCTAGATGGAATGTTAGTCGCAAATAGGAAATTTGAACAGGGCCAGACTTACAAGTCACGAAAGCGAAAATAGAAAGTCCTTGCCAGATGACTCCAGGAAACCTTTGCGGAAATTAGTGTCGATTTACCACATCAATCAGACATGAGGACTTACCAATACCAGCAGAACGCGCCAATCATGACATACATGAAATAGCGGTATCGTGAAATAGACCATCCATTGGTCTGCGAGGGATCAGAGGGACTCTTATCATGCAATGCATAGAACAAGGTTGTATTGGCAAATTGGGTAGGCCAAATCATAGCAGCGGGCCTGGAAGTATCAGCATGAAGTAAATTGAACAGCGAGGTTCAGACTAACCACACAAGGAAACGACGGAAGATTCCTGCGAGAGAAATGCCAACGATTTGACTGCTCAACGCAAATAGAAGCTCAAAGCCCCAGCCAATGTCCAAATTGTACAACGCTGGCAAATGTTAGTAAGTTGAAGCTTTTCGAATTGATTAGATCATGCTCACATGGTGCTTTCAGAGCCAATAGTGCATCGGTGCAGTACGCATAGCCGATTGACACACTAGGAATTGTTAAAAATGGCCCCGATATTTAGGACAACAATGCTCACTTTGCCATGAGCTGCGAAGGATTAGCACTGAAAGCTTGTCAGGGATCAGTATGTGGGACCTACCGTAATAACTGTATGTTCTTTGATGGTAAAGGGTCCCGGGTTAAAGGTCCATTCAACACCAAAAGTGTTGAACTTTCTGGTTGGAATCACTCTGGCCCATAGACAACCAATTGGATACACAAGCAATTGTACAACAATGGCAGGGAACGAGATTGCAGGGCTCCTATTAGAAATGGTGAATAAGGTAGAGGGAAGTTGGAGAAGGGATACACACCTCATGCTCAAGAACATATTGAGTCCACTCCCAATCGTTGTAAATAGCATACCCAAAATCCACGCGCGCACCGTATTCGCCATCTCTCCGTCATCTGTATTTCGCACAGCAGCACGCACAGATTCGTACTGGGAGTCTTGAGCAGCTGACTTCTCGAAATCAGCAGCTCTCTCTTGATCTTCTACACTGCCGGCCTCGTTGATGGCATCAATCTTCTCCTGAGGCAGGTTTGGATCCCATTGATGGGACCTTTCCACCCCCTTCAGCTCTTGGACTGTACTGCCCACATCCTTGGTGACTTCGGTGATGACTTCCGACTGTTTTGACAGCTCAACACTGTCAACAAATGGGTTGGAAACCATTGTGTACAATACGGCAGTTGATCAATTAAAGTCCCCTAACAGTTCAGTCCCGGGATGCATGGTCTTATGTGTGAAGTTGTTTATTTACCAACTGTCACGGGTTATCTGTGTCCATGGCCAAAGATAAGCCTTTTCTACGATCTTCACCAATGCGGCCCCTTCATTCTTCCCTTCCCCCGCACAACACGGCTTGTTTCTCTTGGCACGAGGGAGTCCGCTGCAGATGTGAAAGCAAGGGACTTGGACCTTCGACTAGCCGATAACAATTTCGCCCATTTTGGTAAGAACGCGGAGCAAAAACCACGCTATCGCGTGCGCTATCGCGGCACCTTTTATCTAGAATTGCCGGATAACCTCGATAGGATCTGAGCAGCCACTCGGATCTCTCAGCGACATTTAGCTTAATTTCGGCTCTCATTGTCTTAATTGACAGCGTGGTTGTCCTCGCTACGACATGCCCCAATTTCCTTTCCCACTTGTCATAATCTAACCAGATTCCGCCACCTCCGGGCTAGACTCACGGCCTGGACATTCTCAATAACACGCTGGAGAGAACTTGCTCAGTATGGTGTCCGCTAGCACACCTCGCGGAATCGCGATTCAGCGCATCCAAAAAGATAGCATCCGGGACAGGATTGAGCGCATAACTGAGGATCTCAAGGAAATTAAGAAGTTTTATCCCATCAAGGTCTCTTCAACCAGAACGCAGCGACTACACCAGTTCCTCACGTCCGAGTTACATTCTCTCCGTGATCAACCTTTTCATTTGTATGACCAACAGGAGAAAGTGGACTACCTCCTTGTCAAGAATTATTTGGAGAGGCAACTCCGCGAACTGCAGCTTGATTCCATTCAAGATCAAAAGGCAACACCCCTTCTTCCATTCGCGAAAGCGATAATCGGTCTCTGCGAAAATCGTGCGATTGGCTCACCGATAGAGCCTCAGAGTGTCGCGCAGGAGCTGTTTGAATCCCAATGTCAAATCAATGAGCTGGTCCACAGGATCAACAGTGATTCCACTCAGTTCAACGTGGGAAGGAATTCCGCATTTCGCGCAGCGAGCACTATTGACTCTCTGCGAGACCATCTGGAAGAATGGGTTGGGTTTTACAAAGGATATGACCCCTCATTTGATTGGTGGGTGTCGCACCCTTACGGAGTCGTGGATGCCAGCTTACAGACTGTCGCATCTACTATTCGCGAGAAATTGGTCGGCATTGACCAAAAAAACGAGGATGAAATTGTCGGCCAGCCAATTGGACGAGACGGCTTACTTGCCGAGCTTCTGGCTGAAATGATTCCCTACACCCCGGAAGAGTTGATCTCGATCGGGGAAAATGAGTTTGTTTGGTGCCTTAACGAGATGAAAAAGGCATCGAAGGACATGGGCTACGATGACTGGCACCAGGCACTGGAACATGTCAAGAACGACTTCGTCGAGCCAGGGAAACAGACACAGCTTGTTCGTGATCTTGCAGAAGAGGCGACATCCTTCGTTGAAAAGCACAAGCTTGTTACTGTCCCGCCACTTGCTAAGGAAACTTGGCGTATGTTTATGATGTCGCCAGAGCGGCAGAAAGTGAACCCATTTTTTCTTGGGGGCAAATCTATCATCGTGTCATACCCAGTTAGCACCATGAACCATGAAGACAAGTTGATGAGTATGCGCGGGAACAACATTCATTTTGCCCGGGCAACGGTTTTCCATGAGATGATCCCCGGTCATCACCTGCAAATTTTCATGAACGCAAGACATAGACCCTACAGACGTCTATTTGATACTCCTTTCTGGATCGAAGGATGGTCATTATACTGGGAGTTCATTCTCTGGGATGACGACCGATTCAGGAAAACTCCTCAGAACCGCATTGGCATGCTTTTTTGGCGACTTCATCGGTGTGCCCGCATCATCTTTTCCATCAAATTCCATCTTGGTCAAATGTCTCCTCAGGAGTGTATTGACCTGCTAGTTGATCAAGTCGGACATGAGCGCGCAACAGCCGAGGGGGAAGTTAGGAGGTCGCTAAATGGCGACTACTCCCCATTGTACCAAGCGGGATACATGCTGGGTGCCTTGCAGATTTACGCACTTCGTAAGGAAATGGTTAATTCAGGGCGAATGGCGGAGATGGATTTCCACGATCAGTTCTTGAAGGGGAATCGCATGCCGATTGAACTGGTCCGGGCTTTGATGCAGGACCAGGCACTAACACCGGATTTCCAGACGTCTTGGAAGTTCTATTCCTCTTAAAGATATTATGCATATTGTTCTATTGGAATCCTACAGTATGTTCGGGTATTAGTAAAACCCGTGATTCGGGAAATAGAAAACCCCGAAACATCTCAAACCCCGCAAATTCCGTCATGTTCGCCTCTGAAAGATCAAAGCCCCTGTCTCTGAAGAATATTTCTGTGTGTAACTATCAGAGGAAGTAGTAGCCTCCTCTACCTCTCGCTGTTACCCGCAAGCAAGAACGTTCCGAACCCATCGGTGTCATGCCGCCGGATCGCAATCGGGCGGGTCAAACCCCGACGTCCCAGGCCAAGTCTCAACGCACTCTGGCATGTGTGAATTGTCAACAACGCAAGATTAAATGTAACCGAGAGTTTCCCTGCGCAAACTGTCTCAAGCAGCACACACAATGTGTACCAGCGTCACAAACCCGTCCTAGAAAACGTCGTTTCCCCGAGCGGGAATTGTTGAGTCGTCTTCGGAAGTACGAGGATCTGCTGCGACAGAACAATGTGAGGTTTGACCCCCTTCATGAGGATTCAAGTATCAAAGGGGATGGTATCGACGAATATTCTGAGGAAGAGCAGCAATCTCGACCAAACCACTCATCTCCGGCCCGCAAAAGGACAGAAAGTACATCTGAGCCCAAGTAAGCCAGCCTTTCCTCTTTCAGCATATCTCTTTACATACGCCATATATGCTTCAGTGTCCATCCACAGACTGACATCTCACTTTCAGAAACTTGTGGCAGGCCATGAATCAAGGTGTATGTTATGCTTTTTTAGTCCGAGAGATTCGTTACTAACCTCGAATTTAGCCTCGTCACCCCCAAAGCGATGGCATACGTGAGGCCATGGTTAGAATGTCCTGGGACCAATGTTTTGAAAATGATGACCATATCATTCTCGGCTCACGAAAATCATCTGTTGACCTTGCGACTATGCACCCTGAACCGGTCCATATCATCAGGCTCTGGCAGTTATACCTTGAAAATGTCAATCCACTGTTCAAAGTGACACATACCCCAAGCCTCCAGGGAATGATTATTGAGGCTGCCACTAATATTACGAGTATTGAGCCTCGACTTGAAGCGCTGATGTTCAGCATATATTGCATAGCCATCCAGAGTCTCACTGGAGATATTTGTCAATCAATATTTGGCTTGTCGAAGGCTCAGCTTTTGACGAAGTATCAATTTGGATGCCAGCAAGTTTTGCTCAATTGTCAATTTTTGCGTACTGATAACCGTACTTGCTTAACGGCCTTCTTCCTATTTCTGGTAAGTCTTCAAAATTATGAACAGAGCTCTTTCTAACCCTGTCTAGTTTTCACTTCACTCGAACACAAATCCCCAGTCTCTTTCGTCAATGCTTGGGATTGCGATTCGAACTGCCCAGCGCATGGGCATTCATAGTGAAACCTACTTGGCCAGATACAGCGTCTTCGAGGCCGAAATGAGCCGCAGACTGTGGTGGGCCCTTATGATGTTTGACACCCGTGTGGGTGAACTGTCAGGGGCCAAAACATCCACCCTGAACCCTACATGGAACTGCAAACCGCCTTTGAATATTAATGATTCAGATCTTTGGGCGGAAATGAAAGAGCCTCCCGCTGTTCAGGGCAAAGCAACTGAGGCAGTATTTGCAGTCCTACGAAGTGAATTGGCCAACTACATCCGACATTCCCCATTTCATCTTGAATTTCTGAATCCAGCATTGAAGCCGATTGCAAGGGAACTTCCCAAAGGAGGCGATGTAGCCACATTCGAAAAGAGAATTGAGGAAGAGTATCTCAAGTATCTCGACGAGGAGAATCCGCTTCATTTTATGGCAATCTGGACAATGCGGGCGCACCTTTCAAAATGCCATCTCCTGGAAAGATACGCGAAATATTTTGACTCCTTGGCACACCGAACCGATACAGAAAGTGATGCCGCCGTGTCTCAGGCCTTTCGCCTCCTCGAGTGTGACACGAAAATTCTCACTTCGCCTCTAACGAAAGGATATTGCTGGATTCTTCAAATATACTTCCCTTTTCCCGCATATATTCATATAATTCAGGACTTGAAGAAACGACCCGATAGTAATCACACAGAAAAGGCCTGGCAGGTTATGAACGAAAACTATGGGGTGCGATTCAACTCGTCCAGTGGCTTCGATGGTCCTCTATTTGCGATCTTTGCTAGGCTTATTATTGAGGCTTGGGAAGCTCTCGAAACAACCTACAAACAGTCAGGCACACAGGTGCCATGCCCGGAAATCGTTTTGAATATCAAGCAAAGATTAGCAGACATGACTAAGGACATTCCGACTCCTGGTTCTGAGATTCCAGACGATGCTTTGGAGAATTTGTTGAATCAGCCAATGCCTATGCCCATAGATATGGGTATGGGTATGGGACCAGGAATGGGAATGGGCTTTGGAAATGAAAGTTCGTTATCTGGCATGGCTGGGCAAGTTGGATTCCCTTGGTCGGATCCAAGGCTATTAACCAACATGCCCGGACAACCATCCATGCCCTGTGATTTCCATCATCTCAATTGGGTATCGATGGTCTGGGGTTTGCGTGAAGCGCGCGGATGGTGAAGGAGAATATTATTTTTATTATTTCCCTAGTTTTTATACCTCGACCAAAGTTTGTACAATTATCAGTGGTGATTAAATCATATCAAGCTGTTGAAACCAATTATTTTTGATTCAATTCATCTGTTCAGGCCGCTGAAGGTCCGTTTGGAGGCCGACTCGCGGCCATGTTACATTGCCTGAAAATTCGAACCTCATGATCCTTGAACGAGCCCACAATAGAATGCATAACTCCATGATTGTTAAAGAGCACAAGATCTCCCTCTTGCCAATCATGAGGATAGATCAGAGTAGGATCGATACCCCTTCTCTGCAACTTATACAAGCGCTCCCGAATCTCGGAAAGGTTATCCAAAACTTCACCATTTTCAAGATGAATCTTCCTGACACAGGTTGGGTATACCATCATCGCCAATTTTCCGGTGACTGGATTTTTCCAGGCCATGGGGTAAATTTTGATCTTGTCGGACTCGAATGGGGGTAAATCCTCTTCCGCAAGTTCTAGTCCTTCAGATACAATGCCAAGCCCATTGGAGCGAGACTTTGCCTTGCTCATCCAGATGTAGGGGTGAGGTGCATATTCAACCTTGCTTGTGCGTACGAAATGCTTCTCTTCTTCGGATAGTAGTTCGTAGAGACGGTATCCGCTGAAGAATGCTGTCGTTCCGAGGGGCACATCGAGGGTATCGTTTGTACCGTCGTCATAGCGGCAGGTCTGACGTCTGCCCTTGGGTACTTGGACTGCTAGCAGCGATGTTACAAGAGGCGGATCCAGGTTGTACATCGCCGAGTCAATGTGCCAGCGATAGAAATGCGTGAAGTCCTCGTTCTCTTCAGCCGAGATCGGAGTCTTGTGGAAGGCCTTGTGGTGAGGGTGTCGTAGCTGGATATTGGATAATCCTTCATAGTCCTTAATGGAACCGTGGCCAATCACTTGCACTTGTGGTTGGTGAGGAATTGTTGTGAGATCTGCGTGGAGAACGCTTCTTTTGTCGATGGATTTGCCGTGGCTGTAGACTCCAGCGGCAGGGTCGAATCGGCGGGTGAGCTCGTATTGTGCTCGAGGGGTCAGGTTGCCTTGGTTCTTGATGACGACAACCTGGTTCTCGTACAGAGCTTGACGGAGGATAGTGAAGTCATCATCTGAATGGGATTAGTGAAGGCTTCCGCCGCAATAGTTGAAGTGAACATACCGTTCATAGCCTCAAGGTCCATCCCCGTCAGCTCAACCCCAAAGTCAATTTTTGAGGCATTGGGCGGACTGAGAGGCTTGCAGCAAATCGTCGTGGTAGTCATTGTTATGTTTAAAGGTTATTTTAAAGTATCTGAAAAGTGTAAATGATTCAAACATCGAGAATATCCGAGGCTTAAATAGTCCTAAGCTTTAACCCCAGACGCGGGTGAGATTTTAGGTCTCATCCTCCAATTGACGCGCCAATTGAGTCAATCTCGATTATAGTTGACAATTCGAAAATGTAACAAGCGATAACATATAAGATCACGCCTGAATTCATGGTGCGGATGAGTTTCCACTTTATGCAGCGGGCGAGTTACCACACCCACCCGCACAAACTCATCCGCTGTATCAATAACAAACGTCTATATAACTCTTGAGAATAGCACGTCCAAGTCCAATAATTCAATATTGAAACAAATCTTCTTTTTTCAAAATGCCTGAATCAACCAGCCTTACATTTAGCCTCCTCCCGGACAGCATCCGGCAGTCCTCAGCCATTGGAGCCGAAGTGCAACTTCCTCCGGGGATGTCCAAGTTAGACCTGGACCGCTTGACTGAAAAAGACAAAGAGACTCTGCGAAAGGCTCTTTTTGAGAATCAGGTCATTGTCATCCGGGGCCAGAAAGGAATTGACCCCACCGTCCTCCCACAGTTCGCCAAGGTCTTTGACCCGAATGCGTCGGATGTCCACTCAGCTGGTGAGAAAGCCGTTAGCGACCCGAAGAACATCCTCTCTGCATACAAGGCTGGGCGCATTCCCAAGGCTCCCCAAGTTGGAATCATTGGGTCTGGAACTTTCCATGACTATGAAGGTCTTAAAGAACTGGAGGTTATCCATCTGGTACGTTTACTCTTTATCCTTGATAAAATGGAGTCATACTAAAACACTCATCAGGATCACACATTGTTCCATGAGAGACCCCTTGCACAAGAAGAGATTGATCAAGGTTACACCCGTCCTTACAGATGGCACATGGATACCCCATTTTATGAGCGATTGCCCGGTGAAGTGACCATCCTGCACTCGATCCGCATTCCCAATCTGCCCGATCAGAAGATCAAGTTTCCTGATGGGAAGGAGAAATCTATTGGAGCTGGCGCTACAGCCTGTGAGTTCATGATGTCCTATTCATATGCTTGCTTTCATACTAAACGACGCGAACTTAGTTTTCTCGGGTGCTCGCGCGTTTGCTCTTCTCACCCCTGAAGAGCAGGAGTTTGCTTTAAACACCACTGTCACATATGCGCCACAGGCCTATGAGTATATTAGGCAGTGCAAGGCTTCCGAAGATGGTCTCACTATTCCAACACTAGGAAGTGAGGTTCCAGTTGAGAAGCTGTCTGAATGGAGTTGGGATAAGGTTGCGGAACATCCCGTGAGTCTGATCACTTTTGGATTGCAACTAGTTCTGTTTACTGATACTTTTTAGATGGTCTGGCGAAACCCGCTTAACCCTGAAAGACCATTCCTCCAAGTGCACGGATGCTGTGTCTTTAAATTGAGCACACGAAACCCGGCTACCGGAGAGGTAACGGTCATTGACGATGTCGAAAAAGTTAGAGACGTGGTGTACAACATGCAGAAGAAGATCTATGCTGCCGAGAACATCTACGCTCACCGCTGGGAAGAAGGCGATCTGGTCATCTTCCATAATCGCGGTGTCATGCACAGTATCACTGGGCAACTGTCCCAACACAAGCATGACGAAGACAAGAAGCGTATGCTGTGGCAATGCACAATGACAAGTGTGACACCGCCTAAGCCATTCAGAAGTTATGAGGGGGTCAACGATACTGGATATGTCAGAGCTTAGATCAAGGTCAATAAATTTGGAATATTCACTGCTCCAAAATTTCGTCATTCATCCAATTCTCCAAAAAAAAGACAAAACTTTTGTCTACAACTGATTTCCAGTGTAGTTATTGAAAATTCCATTAAACCAAAGATCGAAATCGATTTCCTCTTGGTTCCATGCCAATTGCATTTCACCCACGTCAGGTGCATCTATCGTTTCGGGGGTGCCAGTCGAAAGCTTGCCCGGTGTCATTTCATCAGGGGAGGGTATCGCACTCGCTTTGCTCAGAGTGGAAAAATTGCTAAAAACTCGGTTGAAGTCGATGGGCTTGAGTCGATTCATCTCTGGGGCACTCGAGCCAGACTGCTCAGCAATGAAAATGGCATTTATCAGAGCCACACCTCGCTGTGCAAGTACATCCCCATTTCGCGAAGACAGCCTATCGCGAGCTGCAAGGACAGCTGTTCTGTACATTGGCACGCTTCTTCTATCTGGAGTTTCCATCACTGTATTTACTTCAAAGCACAATATCACTGCGGCTGTGATGGCAAATGCCGTGTGCGTCCAGATAGACAGGTCATCATCTTCCACAATTGTCTCATGTTCGCGTAAAATGGTCATCGCGGCTGCAACGCAAGTCCGCCGAGAATGAACGTAGGTTGGGTCATGGAAGGAACGGAACAAAAAAAGTCGGTGGATCATAATAATCTTCTCAGCTGCCGTGATTGCCAGACTACGTCGGGCAATAGTAAGCCAGGGGATTTGGGCTTCTTTAATCGGGTCTGGGCGGAGCATAAAGGGGGGTATTGCTTTCACAATGGCGCGCATTTTCTGGTCCACACGAAGAATGTGTTCATATTGCTCTCGAAATGATTTGCGACGGTGCATTGGTCCAAGTCCGTCGACTAGACCTGGCATTAGTGCGGCCAGATCCACGAGAACACGGACATAACTGCTGATTGTTGGTGTTTCAGGCGGTACATCTGCCAAATCATAATCGTCGGCGTTGAGAGGTCGACCAGTCGAAAAATGCATTGGAGAGATACTATATGTGTCTGTGAATGGAATCGCGAAATGGTCTTGAATAAGCATTTGGCACCACACTCGTCGTCCGACCTCTCGCTCAACACGCTCTTCCCATCCGTCTTCTGTTTTAGGTGTTGGAGGGTGGTTCTTGATTTTGTGAATCCCAAGGCACTCCGCGATCCGCACAGCAGCGTTGAAAAGAGTTGCATTCAACTGACTGAGACCTAAATTGTGGGCAATCTCTGTTGAAATCACAACAGCTTGGACGGAGTATATTGATAAGTTGTTCAGGAAGTGGGCGCTATAAAGAGTCTGTACCATCGCGGAAAATAGCTGCTGAGCAGATGGCATCGTGTCCAGATCAACGTTGATTAGCACAGTTAATTTTCGGCTGTTCTGAATTGAATTGATAGTACAGCTCAGCACGGAAAAATACAATGCAATCCAAAGTGGATGATCGCATCTGCCTGTCTTCCAGAACAACTCGCATTGTTCGAGAAATGTTGGTCCATGAAACGAGTTGTGATGCCATGTGAGATGGCCTATATGGAAATTGATGAGACTTTGCGCATCCACGGTCCTTGGAAGTTGTATCAAAGGCTCCAAAGATGAGCCGTAGAATTGAAAACTGCCGCTGTTCATAGACAAAAGCTCCGGGCTGTCTCTTCGATACTGGCATCCACATCTCCTATGTGGGAAGCATCCAGCCGCATTTCGCCCCCAAGCGAGGTGTTCTATTGCTGTCAGGAGCGGTGGGTCTGGGCTTTCCAAGGCCACCTCGGTAAATTGGTGCTGCAAATTTGGTTCCTTATGGCTGCTGAATGGCTCTGGTTCATCGGCTCCTGACCCAGCACTGATTCCATCAGATTCATGGCTTTGACCAGTCTGTAGCTGCGAGATTCGTTCTCTTAATTTTCGACTGATATGTGGTTGTTTCTCTGAGGAAAATGAATCCACGTCCGCCAATATCGCGGCCAAAAACTGGATTTCGGACGCGTGCTGCACAGTATTTCTTCGCAGCTGAACGATTTCCACTGAACAATGAAGGTTAAGTCTTCGGCATCTTGAGCAAGGGATCTGTTTATCGCATTTCCTCTTTCGCTTGGTGCATTCTAGGTCGTGTTAATGTGGCGGTCTCAGGTACAAAGGGATGATCATTTGAAATACCTCGGCAAGCTAGAGGCCGGCGCTGCGAGACGCGTAAAGAGCCTCCCGATTCACTTCCAGGCATAGAATCAAAGATCTAAGTGGATGGGCCGTCTCGTTTCGGGTTCGCTATGAGGCTGTATGTGCATTAAAGAGAGAATGCGGGGATGCGTGCGGGTGAGAGCGTAAGCTCAACCGCCACGATTTGCGAATCTCCTTATCCTTATCAGTGATAACGATCCGACAACCAATGACGATAAGGCGTATAATAATCCAGCGATTGCTCCCGAATCCTTTCATTTATTAAACTTCAACAAGCCTACTGGTGAAAATTATCCAGGGTCCAGATAAGCAAGCTGACAGCCAGGACTTAGTTGTTTACGTGGTCGAATGAAAGTCGAGGCTCCTAGTGCTGTGGCTCATTCTGTCTTTCTTCATCCCTCTTGGTCTATACCACCATTTCTAGAGGACACCCCTGCACTGAGACGACGGACAGTACGACGAAGCTAGGAGTGCAGCTTTCTTTCCGTCTCATATTCTCTAGGCGCGTGTACGACACGACTGGCAGATATACTCAAAGCTACATCTCCTAATCAGTGACATTATAATGCCCGGCGTGTCATTGTTTTCCGACCAAGACTAGATAAGAGAGGCAGGGATTCAATCTAATAGATCATTGTCTTCTTGCCGATATCAGACCGTCGGGCGGACCCGGATGCGCCAGGGAAGTCTGTCTGGTTTCCTTGTCAAAGGAAGAGTACTGACACCGGACACTGGGGGAAGGTGAGAAAGCATTGTCCTGAGCGCTATCGATGGTGCTCTCATCGGTCCAGACTCATTCCTATATTTACCCATAATCAAGCCCACGTCGACCGATTTTCAAATCCCATCCATTGTATAGAAACAAATACATTCTTTATCCGTCGTATGCCTCGCACCTCTGCATCCTTGAAGGGTTTCTTCCCTGGATCCCGCCATGGGTAGCAAACGACATTCTTTGATCAGGCCAGCAATGGTGCCCATAGAGCTGCATGCCATCACGTATGCATAAGGGTACGCAGGCCTGATAAATGGACGAAGCCTTTTTCATGGATGTGACAGTAGAGATATTGGAGATACGCATTAAACTCTCCAAGAAGTTCACCTGCTAGCGATTCTTCTGTTTTCTCATAATCGGCTGGTCAAAATCAGTGATTCGTAGATCATGTATATCTTTATTGTTGAAGATGGTCGATCTAGTAGGAAAAGAAAGGCTCCAGATTAGATAGTAGCTACGAGGAAATTGATGGCGTTCTGCCGGAGTCAGATGCCGCAGGCGCGAATTCCTCTCATAAAATCCGTCATCAGCGCCGTAGCAGGAACTGAAGGAGATATAATAATGTTAAATCTCGTAAATTCAATGATCAGCACACATACGTAATACCTAACATCATCAAACGCTTCGACCACCAGCTTAACCAGTCTACACGGGAGTCCCGTCGCAATTGTACAACATCCTGTATAGTCCTCAAAGGATTGGGCGTTTTGACTGGTCTGACCAACCCACGGTTGAATTGACTAAACACCCCTAACCGGGGTACTAGTGGAGACTATCCACCAAACGAAGACTTGCCCCAGAAATATATTTTCTGCTCCAACATGGGTGTACGTTAAGTCGTATGTGGAGTCAATGTGCGCTGTAGTGGATTTTATGGAAAGACTTGCCTTGATAGGATGAATTACCTTACTCAGCAGCTCCCAGCCTATCTTTGTCACAATCTCCACCACCTCCTTGATAACCGAATGCAGGATTCTCGGCTTCAGCTCTCTCCTTTTGTGGCACTAGGCTTGTGGGCTGCGTAGGTAGGATGCTTGTGATCTCCCTGGCAGGCCAGAAGTTCTAATCAGAAGTCCCAGTAGATGAATCGGGTAGCTTTTCGTATCATGGAGTTTTTCTTTGCTTTATCTTGGGTCCTGGTCTTTTTGAAATCCCGGTCTCTTCTGTGAAGTCATGACAGAGGGTGAAGAACGACGGAAATAATTAAGAGATCAACAGATTCAAGTATCAAGTGGAGATGACGCGAAATTCGAGATCTATCATTATAACCTGAAGCAAAGGCCTGATCCAAACATCTAGACTGTCTCCCACCGAGCATAACTATTCAAGGGATAGTAAAATATGTGGATTCTTGACAACTGTCTGACATGATTTTTACCTAATTCATGACCATTTGATCACGTTGGCATGGTCATAGTGGGGAATTACCCCAGGTCTTTCTCACTAGGAATCAATTTGAACGTAGTTTCCCGGGGGTCGCCTTTGACCTTTTCTTTTTTTTTCTTAAAAAGGGTGTCTAGTCTTTTTCAGCGAGACCTGTAATCCTCCTTTTTGGGGTATGATGTTGTGTCCGTTGGATGTGATTCAAGGCACTTTATCCAATAAATCACCGGCCACGCCAAAGACTAGATAAAGGTCTTACGTCGTGTGATCCCAATGCACATGTCATCTCTGTTTAGTGGGCTGTCAAAGCGAGGCTTTAGTAACAACTATTCAATGCAAACCTTATCTCCTGTTAATGCCTGATTTCGCAAGAGACAGGGAAACCCCACTTCGACCAAAGTCGGTGAAAACTTAGCATACCTAATCCCTCCAGCTCGTCATTTCGAGGGAGGCGATATCGGGGAAACGCGGGGAATGATCACAACATCCCCCTTGAGGCAAGCCCATGCGTCTAATTGTCCGGTTTTAATTCTTGCGTGAGTGAACTCACCGTTCTTCTAGAACAATTTTGTTCCTGAAAAAAGCAGGTCGATCATTGGCGGCGGTTGGGCCAATTAGCGACCGGAACGCATCACCGGGGCCCGGGCCGGTTGCGTTATGATTGGACCATCTCGCCGACGAGGGGTTAGGTTTCAAGACCGATCTATAAATGCAAATCAGTGCTTGATACTTGAATTGTTGGGCGATAAGATGTTGGCATTGCATTACCTACTCATTCGGGATATATTTCGTGATCTGGTTTCCATTGTGGACTTCTTCTTCTAACACATCCCTCCCAGTCTTTTCTTCTCTCCTATTGTGCTATTTTCCCACTTTCCCTCGCCTCTGCTTCACCGGTTTGCAGAATTCGGTCATCCATCCAGACCGATCCACAGTAAGTTGTGTCTGCGACAATGATGTAGCGCCCCGCGTTTGAATTTCCTTTATCTAATCGAATGTGTTCTCGGTTGCAGATTGCGCTTAGGACTTCTAGTTGATCGTGGATTTTCTGTCTCTACAATCTCACCCCTCCTCAACTAGCCTTGGACAATTTTTACCTATCCCCGCGGACTGGGTTATGACCGCGTTGTGCTCTGAATCCAACGTCATGACTCAAACCCTTCAAGATAAGACCATGCCTCTCGGTATTCAACGCAACGGGAGCCGACTCGGGGAGCTTCTGGTAGCCGACTCGCTTGTTGCTGCAGGTTCAGCAGCCCTTATAACGCCCGCCGTGATGATCTTCGACAGGTGAGACTTGATCTCAGTATATATTATTCAGAAGACTCGGAATCTGACAGCGTCTTAGACTTGTTGTCGAAAAGTCCTTTTACAATCAGCCTCTTCTCCCCGCATTCCGCAAGCATCTATGGTTCTCCCTTACACAGCCAGCCACCTTCTTAACATCACGCCCCAGTCTCTTGGTCTTCTTTTCCTACGCGGCTACATTTGCAACGGCCAATATGTCAGAAACTGTGTTGAACAAAGTCTACCCCAAGATTGACCACGCGATTGCGGGCATGACCACATTTGCCTCGACCTTCTTCGTCAACTCCTCCGTGGGAATCTGGAAGGATGTCAAATTCGCCCAACTTTTTGGCCACAATATTATTAAAAATTCCCCGACTCCATCGACTACAACTCCCTCAACCTCGACTCCCAACATCGTTCGCTCAATCGGCCGAACCAGAATTCCCTTGGCCACATACTCTGCATTCCTTCTACGAGATGGCCTTACTATTTTCGGCTCCTTCAGTCTCCCCGCCATGGTCTCTTCGAATATCCCAGACTCAGTCGCATCTCAGGAGTACCTGAAGATCTTGATCGCGCAACTCGCCATCCCCGCATCTATCCAACTCGTCAGCACCCCGATTCACTTATTCGGGTTGGATGTTTATAATAGACCCCAAGTTTTACCGATGAAAGATCGGATTTCACGTATCAGTCGCGACTGGATTAGCGCGTCTCTACTTCGCATGTGCCGAATTATCCCCGCCTTCGGCATCGGTGGGTTCCTCAACACGGAAGGTCGTTTGTATCTACATGACCAGTTGGATGAACGACGCAAGCCTTCATGAGGAAAATAAAGTTTCCTTAGATATAAAATATAGATCATCAATATACCCTTTTTCTTTGTTTCTACGTTCTTTTTCAATCTGACCTGTTCATCGCGTCAATATTTTGGGGAATTGTGTGCCTCATCCCCACTAACCTTGGTAGTTGACCGGCCCGGTTTTATGCGGTTTGCCTCGGCGCGGGACCGGGTCACACAACTGGATTTCCATGAAACCCATTTGTTCGTGTTCATGCCCTAATCAACCTTGGGTTTCATTTTATGTCATACTTTGTTCTAAACTGTGTAATTGGGACATTCCTCACGTGAATTCGATATGCAGATCACCGTCCCGGTCGCACTTGGGCAGCCCAACGTCCTACCGGGCCGATTGCTCAACTATTGAAGAATTCGGGAGCCTTGACCGACCTCGGATCTTTAGATGTATTTCCCTTCTTCTAGGATTTTTGATTTTTACAAATTTTCTTAATTGGATTTGAGATCATAAAGTCAAGGGAAACGATACAAGGCCTCCTAGAGATGCCTTGCTGGGAATACCCGACTGGGACAGCGCAGATGGAAATGCACAAGAGGAACTATCACAATACTTGAAGCAGTGCATTCGCCCATCAGCTTCTCTACCACCTGGGCATTGCCAACGTGCAATGATCCTACCCCACGAATTATCCCTCGTTATGCGTACTCACTAGATCCCTCGTCTCCACATTAGGCGGGTGGGCCGGTAGATCCATGCAGCCAAGATTCTTTAAAGATATTCCATACAGAGGAAGTGAAGGATATCCCGGCTTGATTAGAAAGCAATCAATGGGATTTTGCGAATTTCGATCCGGGCAAGGGTAAACGATTTAGCCTTGTGCTTGTCCAGACTCGGGAAAAGTGGGGATCGGTCGTGCTTCTCGGTCCTGGTCACTCGATTCGGTGATGGTTTTCTCGGTGATTAGAGGACGGTATCCATAGATCTACAGGAGTGCATGCCTTTTATCTTCGGATTGCAAACATTTCCCGAATTTCGTATCGTTATCTGCGTCATTTCAACCCATGGAAAGCAGATCTACCAATGTACTCGCGTCAATTTGTATTGAAGTCTTGCGTAACCGGGCTGACTAAGTATATCTACTACAGATTATATTCTCCTCCACAAGCTCCCCCGATATAGTCTTCTCATTGACACGCGTAAAAATGAAGATCATTTGCATAAGGAGAAAAGCTGCATATGTAGAAGTCTTTGGCGCAGATCAATTGCGTCCCGAGTTCGCTCCGGCATAATGGACTGATATAAAATGACTACAGAATCCCGTCGGTTTTATTCTTCCTTGACTACGGAAAAACCAACCGCTTCATCCGCGATAACATGAAACTGTTCACTCTTCTCCAATTCTCTCTTCTCAGCCTGGCGTCCGGCTCCAGCCATGAGAATCTGAACCGCAAAACTTCCTCATGCGACCCATCGACCCTCAACACAACCGTCGGAACCTACTATGTGAATGAAAATGAAACCATCTCCAACCTTTCCCGCATCACAAACCGCGGAATATGTGACATTGCTCGACTCAACCGGATGGCAGATGCTATGATGCCCCCTATACACGGATCAGAAACTACTCATTCCGCCCGAATCCTGTCAACCAGATAACTCAACATGTCTGACCGTTCATTATCCCGGTGCCACCTATGCCGACTGTGTCAAAGGCGGCCCTCATACCTATTACACCATGAAAGGCGATACACTTCGATACATTGCTCTAAAACTCAACCTTACGATGGAGGCTCTCCAATCCACTGCTCAGAGTGAAAATATGGATGCGGAGATTGAAGCCGGCCAGTTTGTTAAGCTTCCGCAATGCAGTCCGAGTACTTGCTCTTTCCACCCGATCACATTTACCTACGGGACTTACAAGGATATTGCGGACAAAGTGGGTACGACGGTTGGTCAGATTATGGCCGTTAACCCTACGTATAATTATACCTCTGTTGCTAAGGGGGAGGGCGCTGTCATTACTGTGCCGGGTAGCTGTGAATATACGGGATCAAATATCACAGTGATTTCTTGAGTTGGGACTGGAGTGTTGACCTTGATCTTGACATTGTTTATTCTGATTGTCGTTATAGCTACTGCTTTGTCTGGAATGTTCATACCGACCAATTCGGTGAATAGAATTTATTTAATTCGCTGAGTATTTAAGAAATCTGTACATGTCGAATTTTGAATACATGTCTCGCATTGAACTACTTGATTCACCATTATTGACGAACCAAGCTGGGTGGGGGTGACATTGGCTGCGCCACTTTATGGGCTGTGCATGTCGGACTCAAATTCAGGCAGCAGAGCCTCATCGACTCATCTTTAGTCCCCCATCTCAATTCTTTATGAACGAGGCAAATATCGTATCCTCAAATTTCTTCCAGAGAAGACAGGGAACAATCGATTATCGCTATGTCAACATCACAGGTCCCAGATGACTTCCTTCGAGGACCAGCACAAAACGCCACAGTCCATCATATCGACTTTACCAAAACAACGCCTGCCATTTTAGCGTTCAAGAACAATTTTGCCGCTGTGATCGACAACTTTCTAACTGAGGCAGAATGTGCCGAGCTTCTACAGCTTGCAGAGAAATCCACGAGTCCCGACTCGAAGACAATTGCTCCAGTTTGGGAACGCGCGATGATCAACGCAGGCGGGGGTAAACAGATCATGTCCGTTGACAGCCGCAAGAGCGCACGAATTATCTTCGACTCCTCGGATATTGCACAGCGAATGCTCGATCGTCTACAGCCATTTATGCGCGATTTCGACCTCGATAAGATACACAACAAACCCCTTATTACGGGTCTCGGCCCCGCGAGACGGGGGAGACGTATCATCTTTCCCGCTTGAATGAGCGGCTTCGTTTCCTGCGCTATGAAGGGGGAGACTATTTTCGGCCACATTGGGATGGGTGTTATGTTACTCCTGATGGCAAGGAACGGTCGCTTCTTACTATTCAGCTGTACTTGAATGGGGATGGCGAGCAAAATTTGAATGAGTTGATACCGGAGATTGAGCGTGCTGAGAAGAACAACGCGCTCTTTGTGCAGGATGGAGAGGTTGACTTGAATGATATTGTAGAAGATCGGCCCGATTCTCCCCGTTATGCGTCTACAGCTGCAGAGTCGCTAAAAGAAAATGAGAAGTTGCTTGGCGGGGCTACTTCATTCACCGACGATTATCGAGCACGAGACGTCGTGCGCGTGTTTCCCAAAGCGGGCTCATTATTGATTTTCCAGCAGCGAAATTTGATGCACTGTGGTGATGATGTCTTTCGAGGTGTGAAGTATACTGTTCGGTCGGATGTGATGTATACATGTGCAAGCGAGTCGGGGAATGAATAGAGCCAATCACCCGATACAAGAGCTCGGGAATGTGAGATTCACACCGCCTTGAGAGGGCTATGACCTCAATGTAATCATCGCTTGAACTGCAACTCTTCATCATCAACTTAATTACCAAATATCACCATGGTCCCGGCAAACAACATTGCCTATACGGCTCCCATCAACCCACCGGGAGAAACCCCACTTTCCCACGCCCAAGTATGGGCTGGCCTTCTTCTGAAAATCCGCTCCGCTGAAAGCTTCGTGTCGGGAGCTATTTCGAAAACGGAGGTGTTGAGCGAAACGGTCGATCCATCATCGGGAAATAAAGTGACTGTGCGTGACGTGTTGTTCCGCGAATCCGGCAAGAAAGTCCAGGAAACCGTTACAGCATATGAGCCCACCCGTGTGGAATTTGTGCAAGCTGGAGGCAATATTAGCAACATCATCAGTGAGGGGGGTAACGGGGAGCTTTATATGACTTATATCTTTGAATGGAAACATCCTGGCGCGTCGAAGGAAGAGATGGCGGATTTCTTGGTGAAGGAGAAGAATATGGGAAAAACCGCGGTTGAAGGGACGCTTAAGGTTTTGCGTCAAATGGTTGCGGATCAGAAACTTTGACGCTTATAAAATCAATAATCAGGCACCTGGGCATGGAGCTTTTGTTTTTCAGTGGCTTGGCATAAAAACAATCACTATATATTACATATGTACTGGATATTGTCTGGCAACTATTGGCTTTCTCTTTCCATTATAGAGCTCACCCCCTCGCCGCTTTTACTCCCTGAGTAGAATTGAGCGCGCCCCTGATCGGCCTGAGCTGATCAGCGACCATCATATAACCAAAATGATTACTCAGTGAGCCTGCTCTGAGCACCATGATCAGATCACTGCTGATAGGTCAGGGCTACGCTTGGGCGAAACGCGGATTTGGACGGGCCCGGAAACTGCGTTCGGACCTACCTCACCTTTGCGATCCACATACAGTAGAGTCTCTCTATAGCAGAGAGTCGAATAGCGAAGCTATAACAGTCATTTCTAGCCACACCTGACTCTGCCGCTGAGCAGGGTCCAAAGGTGGGGTACGGACCCACACTAAGTCACGACTGATAGCCGCAGTCAACGGTCACAACTTAGAGGCGTATACAATCAGGAAAATTACCGAAATTACAGGTTGCGGAACCGGGTGACACCTGCGGAAACTGTTCGTGGCCCTACCAGATTTTGCAAATACTGTAAGAACCAGTACTGCTTTCGATAACTCGGAGCAGGCAGGGGTGAGACGGGGAGCTGGAACACAAAAGTCAGGCCACAGACGGGCCGGGAGCCATCCGAGCCCCATATAGTACTCTTCCCCAGATTCATTCTTTGTTTACTCCCCTTTTCACAAATAGTCTTCTCCTTCTCTCTGCCTCTGCTTCTTCTCTCTTATTCAAGGCCTGCTAGAAACCACAATGTCTGTATCTCCACCACTTTTTTGCACCCCTCCCCCCCTAGGTGTTTCAATTGTACTCTTTTGTGGACTTTGTCGCATATTGACCCTTTTTCTCCTAGGACTTCTACCGTGCTGCCCCCGGGCACCTATTGGGGCCAATATCAGGATATCACCAAATCCAATATCCACCTGAGCGTGGCAGAGAGATTATGGGTTGCATGGTATGCGTGGGTGCAGAATGATGTCCTGGCCACCGGCATCATGTCCTTCGTCATCCACGAGTTGTTCTACTTCGGCCGCTCTCTTCCGTGGATCTTCATCGATAGCTTGGGTTGCTTCAATAGATACAAGATTCAAAGTGTAAGTGGCAAGCCTAACACCTGGCACTAACCGAAATCAACCCAATTCCCAGCCGCCATCGAAACTAATATTCTGCTTCAGAGCAAAGTACCTTCATTACGCGAGCAATGGGATTGCGCTAAATTTGTGCTTCTGAGCCACTTCACCGTTGAACTTCCTCAAATCTGGTATGTTCCTGCCCTCGACGGAGTGGTATTGTACCCGACGTTTGCCTCTCGGGCCCGATTGAGTAATAACGGCTCTTCTAGGCTTTTCCACCCAATGGCCCAGTTCTTTGGTCTATCAACAACGATTCCTTTTCCGTCTCCCTGGACTATGGCATATCAGATTGCAATATTTTTCGTGATGGAGGACACTTGGCACTATTTTTTCCACCGAGCTCTTCATTGGGGTCCACTCTATAAGGCTATTCACAAAATTCACCATCAGTATTCCGCACCATTTGGTTTGGCCGCCGAATATGCTTCTCCTATTGAAGTGATGATTCTCGGCTTCGGGACCGTCAGCTCCCCGATCCTCTGGTGTGCTTTCACCGGTGACCTGCATATTCTCACTATGTACATCTGGATTGTGTTGCGCTTGTTCCAGGCCGTCGATGCCCATAGTGGCTACGAATTTCCTTGGAGTCTTCACCATTTCTTGCCTATCTGGGCTGGTGCTGATCATCATGACCTCCACCATGAGAAATTCATTGGGAACTACTCAAGCAGCTTCCGCTGGTGGGACTACCTCCTTAACACCGAATACACCCCGGATGCCTTGAAGCGCCGAAGAGAGAACAAGGTGAAGGCAAAGAAGACGCAATGATCTAAACTTTAGCAATGATGGTCTGCCTATTTTCTCTTCAATTGGGCGTTGGCTCTGTCTGGAGCTATTAACCTGATAGATGATAGCCTTAAGACTGGAGTTCATGTCTTCAAACTCCTGGTCCCTTGATGGAACCCGAGTTGGCTCAATCTATACTGATAGAATGGTCAGAATATGGTATCCAACTACTGGCCAGTGCATATCTACTCTCAAGGGGCATGGTAGCGGATTCTTCAAGTCAATGGCCTGGTCCACGGATGGTAGTCAACTCGCCTTAGGGTCTAATGACCAGAAGGTTGAAATTTGGGATCCAATAAACAACCAGTGCGTTTCAAAGCTCAAGATGAAATTTATTGCTTTTCTTCTAGCCCATGAAGCTTTTGTAAATCATCAGCCCGCTAGTGATGAGACTCCAAATAAACCTGACACGTCGAATGGATTTGGCATCAGCAAATACTATACCTAGATAACCTATCATGGAGTCAACTTCCCGTGGCTGCCTACCAGTCCTCACCTCTTTTTATGCTACTTTCAACAACAAGTGGTCATATCATTTTTCTCGAGCTCGCTGAACAGGGCCCCATCACTGGTCTTGATTTGTGTTTAGAAGACATCATGTCCTCATAGTTCAGTCTCCTTTGAACATTTTTATTAACAGCCTGTGTGATTTCTACGAAGCTGTCTTTGACAAATTAATGTATTCATATTGTCGACCAAAGTACCAAGTGTATACGGTTCAAGCCGAATCCGAGAATGATTGAATTGGGAGCTTTTCGATAGTGAGCCTCTTATCAACCCTACAAAGAACATGACCGCAAGGCTGTGTCAGCATAACAAACGAATTGCATCTATACATGAACAATTCATAGTAGTTTCTTTCCACGCAATACTCCCTGGGTATTCAGATACTCGTCTGCATTCCTCAGACATCAGGCACCACCATTTTGCCTTCAGACACCTGAACCGCAGTGCCAGTCAATACAACCTGCTCGATCTTCTTATTACCGTCCAGTGTAACATTGACTCCGATGTCACTGCGCCGGTTCATCTCAACACCCTGCACAAAGTGGTACCGGTGCTCCTTTCCAGCCTGACCCTCCGTCAACGTCAGGTATGCCGCTAACCCGCTAGCTGAGCTTCCGGTTGCCGGATCCTCCAATCCGCCCAACATCATGCGTGTTCGAATAACCTTCTGGTTCATAACACTGTCTTCCACATCCCGGACGAAGAAATAAACACAGATAAGCCCAGACCGCCAGCCCTCATCCAGGTAGTTGCCTTCGACAGGTACCAGCTGGCCACCCGCCGCAAGAGGAACTGCAGCCAAAGCCTCCAACGAAGGAAGCTCAATAAAGGTCTGCGACATGCCATTCACAATCGAAAACAAGGGGAACGAAACATCAGGCTGTGGGAAAAATGGCGCCAAAGTCGAGTGAAGACGCAGCATCTCCTGGAGTGGGAACCGCGCAGCATGGATACGCGTGTTATGAGCGATCTGCGCAGCAACAAATTGGGTTGCCTGATCTTGGATGGAAATGGGGATCTCGCCAGACTTGGTGATCAGTGTCGTCACCCGGCTACCGGCGGCCTCCGGGGCCTGGCATAGGAACCATGTTGCGGCTCCAATGGTGGGGTGTCCTGCGAATGGAATTTCGCACTCGATGGTGAAAATGTCGATTTTGCGCTTGGATTCCTCGCGTACTGGGTGGACGAAGATGGTTTCTGACAGGTTAAATTCCAGTGTCATCTGGTGCTTTTGGCGCTGTGTCAGCGCTTGGGATTCATCTTCCGGTAGGAAGACCACGGCTAGTGGATTGCCGGAGTATGGCTTTGAGGTGAAGACGTCGAGAGTGACGAAGCGTAGTTGAGTCATTATTGTGAATGATACAGGGTGTTAACTGAGTCAAGTTAGAGCTGATGTTGAAAATGTGGTTGTCATATTTATACTCTTGCCCCACTTTCGGCTTTGGCTTTTGACTCATTCGTTACGAAGCTTGGTGGGTCGTGGGCGTGCAGCTGCCGAAGCTACCCGCTATCGGCAGAGGAAAATTACATCTGGAGATTTACAGCACTTGAAGAACAATTTTTATTAATTCATGGAATGACAAAATCTTGCAATTGGCCCCGCTCTGTACCCCACTGCTTCATTCCTTCAATTAATGCATGGCTGAACCCCGCATGGTATTGCAGCCCGTCCTCTGGCCATGAGGCTCGAGCTGCCCTCCACAGCGCCCAGTCTTCAGCCATAGCCCCCTCGGATGCTCTTAATAATCCAATGGCTATATCAACTATTTCTGGTCTATCAGCGCAGCTATAAAAAACTGTTGCTCCACATGTGCGGCAGAATGTTCTCAACACATCCGCAGTGGAGCGATAGGCCTTGGCTGACCCAATGAGTAGATCGGGAGATGGATTAGGCGAGAGATGGTTCACTGGGACAAACATCCACCCGATGACGTTCGTGCCATTTACTAGCCGACAATCGTCACAAAGATCCATGCAGGCTAGCCACTTCGTCTGGTCAGTTTGGGAAAGCCAAGTGTGGCCGGCTGGACTGGCGATAAAGTCGGCTCGTGGTCGGGATATATGAAAAGACACGCCACCGCAGTGGCATTGTGCGAGCAGTTCTTTGTCACTTGTCTCGTTCCCCTGTGGTGTATCTGCGATGGGGTCCGAGGAATGCTCGGGACTGACCAGCTCCAGATGGTGCTCATCGACTGTGGAGACCAGAGCAGATAATCCCCCGTCAGGTGCGGAGTCCGGGTATAAATGAGTGTTGAACTTCCATACACCATGATCTGCCTTGTTGGCATCAAATATTGCGTTGGAGATCACCCATATGCCATCGTCTGGGATCTGATCCCCGATATGGCAGCCACAGGTACTACAAAAGTACCTCGTTGATAGCGCTGTAGCATGTTTGTAGCCAGTCAAATTGGCCAGGCCGGATGGAGGAATAAACTGTGGCTCGACTCCAGATGGCAAACGAGCATGAAAGGTACACAGTGTACCGTGTGTGTGGCGACAGATGCTGCAATGGCATAGATGCACCTTCAATGGTAAAGAAGTGATGGGCACAGTTATGGTAAACTGCACACTGTGGCAGTGGCAGGATGCTGTCAGTACTTTGTAGCTGGAAGTCATACTGGGTCAACAACAGAAAGCTCGTAATATAGTATCCATGGTAAGAGCCAGAGGACAAGATTGAGGGAGGGGGAACTTCCTCGTATTGATAAGCGCACGGGCCAGATCCAGACTCGTACTTAGAGTCACCGTCTAGTCATGCATACATGCTTTCTATTCCTTTCGATTCTGCTGGATACTCAAAGGATTTTCGAGGTCTTTGGTGTATTTTGGCTAGCCTGGTGACCTTCTTTTGATCTAGAACCCACAACCAGTAAAGTCAGCCCCTGCAACTGGCTTGTTTTAAACCCTGAAAGTATTACTTGTATTACTTTTGATGATTGTCTCTTTCCTCATTTTCTCAGGCGGATCTATAAAAAGAAAGAACAACAAGTTTAGTTCAGTGTGTTCTCGCCTTGGCTGAAATCATAAGCGTTTCCGAACCCTCTATTCAAGTATTGATCCAGAACTACATCCTCCGATGCCCATTGAACTGGAACCTCCAGCAACTTCTCCTGCTCAATAGTCCCCTTGAGATCATCAGCAAGCTGCAAATTCATAGGGTTCCGATACCAAGGCGCAAAATGAACTGTTGGTCGATTAGCTTCTTAATCACGCAACTAGATCTCACCGAACATACTCATCGCCAGCATCACTCGTACTTGATCCGTCCGGTTCCCCATTCCAGCATGCCAAAGCCGCAAATCCCGGATCACTATAGATCCTTTAGGAACAAGTGGCTGACAAGGCGGCCGGATTTCTCTACGCTTTTCCAGTTCTTCGGTCTTGATTTGACCACTGGCCCGTTCGCCGTGTTGACCTTCTTGCATGAGCAGGTTTGTGTCCTTGTGCGTTCCAAGCCAGATCTGAGTAGAGCCGTTTTCTGGTGTCATGGTAATCAAAGGGATGTTGATTACATGAGCGAATGGATGATTCGGGTGCGCGAAGTCAGCGTCTGAGTGTACGGGTTGAGATGTGGGCGGGTTTTCTGCTGTTGGGGGCATGGCTGTGTTTCCTGAGCAGAATGTCCATTTTGGACGGGGACCCAATGCTGTGGATGTTACTTGGGTTGCAATTGGATCTAATAGAGCTCTTAGCTCGAGTGTCAATTTGTGTGGATGGGCGTATCTTACTCAGGAATATCTGAGGATCAAAGTACTTCTTCGTTGGTGGGGGATCTTGCTGGAGATTGTTCGGGTTATAGTTGAACGGGCTGTTTTCTTTTCGGGAATAGAGCTTCTGAGCATCATCTATCATCTTCTTGTTGAGTTGATCGAGTGAATTGTGGGGAACAACATCGGTCACCACGACAAGGCCATCGTGGAACAAGCTTCGGATGGCAACTTCCAGGTTCTGAGGTGTGAGTTGCCCAGAATTGACTTCTGCTTGTGATGGGTTGATAGCAGATGGGTAAGATTGGCTTATGCCAATAGACCTTGCTGCTCTGGCCACTCTTGCTGGGCCCCAGCGTAATCGCACTGGGTTGAAAGCCGGCAACATTACAGTGCTGGAAAATTGTATCAAATCCAAAGCGATAATTACAAGGGAATGTTCAAACCGTTCCCGGTCGAGATGCTCTGGGTCGTATTGACGATCATCTGCGGGGTACAGCATTGAGAAGCTCCAACCGGTTAGTCACTCATATTGTTAGATGTCCATAAGAATAATGCTTTGAGAACTCTCTGAGCAGCAATTGTACATTGTAATTTTGTAAATAGGTATTCTCTTAATACAATTCCATCTTGGAAACCCCCAAACGCCTCATCAAGTCATTAGACATGTCATGAACTTTACTCAGAATCACTATCAATCACAAAGCCTCCTACACGTCGGCGAGACGAGACAACCGGAGCGTCCTCATCATCTTCATCGGCATCATTTTCAGGCACAGAAGGCTTCAGATTTCGGTTCCGACTAATCGCAAAATCCTCATCGAAATCCATTTCATCCTCGGCCGATGTGAGAGGAGTATCTTCGTTGTCTCGGGAGCCCTTGCTTGTAGACGCTTCCTGCGGTGACTGAGGGGATTGGGCTTCCAATTCCGCCATGAGGATATCATCGCCGCCGTCACTGTCCATGCGACTGCCGGCGGAGCTAGATCCGCGTCGCTGGCGCTTTGGCTTTGCAGCAGCAGAGGCGCCTGTGTCACTTTGGCGTTTACGGATGCTCGCCTTCTTCTTGCCCTTGGCAATGGAGGTTTCCACGATACCATGAAGCATGGCTTTCTTAATATTCTCCGCCTGTGCTAGTCGTCGTTCCTCTTCCAGTCGGAAGAATTCCGCATCTGCTTCCGCGTCGCTCTCCTCGTCGCTAGGATGAATGAAAAGCTCACTCTTTATCTTTTGCTGGCGGGCTAAAGTATTGGTGAGACGGGACTGTCGACGAGCCTCCAAGGTTTCATCATCCAAAGGCTCTGACTCCGAAGTGGTCTTGGTCTTCTTCTTCCGTTTCTTTTTCAGTTCGTCCAAAGCATTGGATTTTGATCGAGGGTTTGGAGGGAACATTAACCCATCAGGAACAGTATCTTCACCCTCCGATTCTGATCCGAAGTTGACATCAATAAGCTCATGAGCCGAGCTGTTTCGAGCACTGGCGTTTTTGCGACCAAGTAAAGTACGGGGATCTTCAGTGCTGCCTTCGGGCATTGGGTTGACAAGTGTCTGGCTGATATTTGAAATGGCATCCCGCAAATCACTCGATGTCATAGTCGGAGGGATCACCCAAGAGGCACCAGGCACATCTTCCACTCCTATTCGTTCAAATCCAACCACACCCATGAGAAGTCGAAGCTTTGCATTTGCGAACATGGCATTCTGACAGAACTCGTCGCGAGCTTTCACGTCTGTGAAAAAGTTAGAGCTGTCTCATTAAACATCAAAAATTCATGATCAAACTTACAAATCATGGGATTGGAGGTGCTGGGAGCATCGGGATCCTCTGCGCGGCGAGCTTCATCTTGTTGCTCCCAGGATTCTCTCTCAGAGGCTGCGGAGCTTAAAACATCGACAACCCATTTTGCGAGATCGGCCCTACCATCGAGAGCAAGAGCGCCAGCGACAACTCCCAGCTTAGATTCCTTGGTCATTGTTTCCTTCGAAGTAAATTCCAGCTCAGCGGGCGCACGTTTGGCAGTAGATATAGTCTGTCTTTCGTGTCCGTACTCCAGGTAGAACACAGTAGAGTTCATTTTGCTGAACAACAGCTCAGTGATCATGGCAGGACGTTGGTCGATCTTCTTGACGAGACGTCGAATCAGTTGACGGACCAGCTCTTCCCAGTCTCTGAAGACAGGATCGCTAGAGTCTATCCCTCCCGGCCCCTTGATCATCTTGTGGAAAAGCTTGATGATATCCAAGCGGAACAACAGGACGGTCATCTCCTGCTTGAACGCAATGCGATAGAAATAACGATGAGCACGTTTCAATTGCTCCGAAGTCAGTTCACGATAGAACTCGGTAAATGCAACGAAAGTGTCGACGCACTTCTGGTTGCAAAATTTGGACGCGAATCGCTTGAAATCAAAAGCACGTTCCTTCACGGACCTAGCGACATCTTCCATATCTTCGTCCTCGGATTTTCGTGCTTCTTCGTCGTCGTCTCCATCCTGTCCACTAGCTTGGGCGGCCTTTTTCTTATTGCGCCTGGCCCTTTGCCGGGATCGGACCTGCATGTCGGCGTTCTCCTTGGAGTATCGCTCAAGCATTCTTAAGAATACATGCACGAGCTCTGTAGCAGCATCCAGGTAACCGAAGCCTTGGTCTTTGAAACCGCGCAATATAGCAATGATACGCTCGTGGGTCGTTTCTTCATAGAAAATGCGGTTTTGAATATTTTCTGCAATTTCCTGATCTTCGTCGAGTGGCGATGCAGCCATTTCCTGGACGGTCAACAGAATCTGCGTGAAACAGCGCATTTGCGCCGTGAGATCCTCCCACTCCTTGTTGTCCAGGCTATTCTGCATGGCACGGTTTAGGGAAATGAATGTCTCCTGGTTTAAGACGCCAGCAACCAGACCATAGCTGTCTGGCTCCATATCCTTAGCCTTTTTCCCGCTGTTTATGTGTTGCTTCATCTGCCGAGTCCGTCGGGTGCGCTCCGCTTCAAGAAACCAGCCCACTGTGTAGAAAAATTGACGGGAATTGATTTCCAGAACCCGCTCTGCTTCACGCTCAATCGCTTTTCGAACGTGGGTGAACAGAGGATTGAAGCCGGAGTCCAGGAATTCCTCCACGAATTTTCGCAGATTCTTGGATGCGGACGAGTCTAGATGCGTGGGCATGTTGAAATTGTTGTTCTGAACAACATCTTCCTGCTTGCGACGAGGTTTAGGTTTGTTCCATTTCTTACTCTCATCCATCTTTTGGAGGGTGGTTTGGTCGTCCCGCAGTACGGTCTGTCCAGAGACAGTTGATACCTTGGCATCATCTCGCTTGACCCAAATCATAGTACCGAAGCGTCCATGTCGGGTTGGCGCATTTTTGGCGTATTCTCTTCGTACTTTATTCTCCTTGCGTAAAAGGTCACCCAGTTCATTCGCTCCCTTTGCCTTTTTCTGATCGTCATCCATGAACAATTTCTCGACATTCACACCTTTCACGAGGTGGAAAAGTGTTTCCAGCAATACCACGTCCTGTAGGTTGAAGTCGTCGCCAACATTGGAACACATGGTCAGAAGAAGGGCAAACGCATCTTGTTCTTGAAATGCATCGATAGTAGCCGATCTTGAAGTCTCCTCTTCTTCGCCATCAGCAGCCAGGCGTGCATTCGTAGATATTATGGCAATGTTCCGAATGAAATACAGCATGAGTTTGAGTATGCCTTCGTCTCGGGCTTCCCGTTCGGATCGAGGCAGGGCCATGCTAGGAAGCGCAATTCGTATGACGGTGCGTAGGATATCTGCTCCACCATTTTTGAGAATGCCTCGCTTGTATTGGACTTGTGCTTGTTGGATGTAGGGGGTGTGGCGGTGGTGGTTCACGGTCATCTGGCTATGAAACTCGACTGGCCAAGTCAACGGCACGAGAAGTTCCACTACTTGTGTCAGCTGTGTCGCTCCCTTTTCAAGTTTCATCAGGGTGTCACCTACAGCATGCTAGAGCAATGCGAGTCATGCGCTTGTTTTTTTGCCCACTGTTCCACCAGAGTGAGAGAATTGGAAGTAGATCGCCATTGACTAAATTGGCCTCTCCCAGGCATCGCGCCACATCCATTCGGTTATTTTTTTCATCGTACAGTTTCAACCACCGTTTGATATCGCGCAGGCACGCGAGGGCATCATCTCCCAGGACGTAGCGATCCGCATCTTCGCCATTGAAACCTCCGAGCTAGAGACCAGAGTCGCGTGAGTCCGTGTATAGTGAAAAGGGTGGGGGAGTAAACTTACCGCAGTCACCAGGCTATACACATGGCCACGGACATCTGGGTCAATGACCTGGACATCTTGACCCAGAGCTATTGGGTCCTGCTCCTGCTCCATAATGAGTGGGTTGGCGTTTGGAGTCTCAAATTGTGATAATGTAACTCAAAACGGAAACGCGTCTCTACGCGTTCCTTCTCCGCCTCGGCGGTTCGATACTGCCGCCGGTCACCGTCTTTAATAAAAGGCCGAAGATAGCCGATGACGTCGGATAACGGGATCACACGTGAAGATGTATACTCTTTTCCTTTGAACTTTAGCCTTTTGTCTTTCTCTCTTGATCTTGTGCAGCATACCTCACTCTTTCCCATAATGTTTGCTACTTCCCTTCGTTCGGTTTGCCGCAATGGCCCCAGGGCAGCCCGCAGCTTTAGCTCCACTGCTGCTACAAGCGCGGCCGAGGTTAAATCGCTGGGTGTGATCGGTGCCGGCCAAATGGTAAGTCGAAAGGATCACACTGGCAATTCAAGATCGCTAATTGAATGCTAGGGCTTGGGTATTGCTCTTGTCGCAGCCCAAAAGGCTCAGATACCGGTGACTTTGGTCGACAGCTCTCAAGCTTCCCTGGATAAGGGTCTCAAGTTTGCTGGTAAGGATCCCCCGCTCAAATCAATGTTTGGTTCAACACTTCGGTCTTATCCAACATTCTCCGTAACTGTCACTTGGTTCACTAATATATCTTCTGTCCCAGATAAGCTACTTGAGAAGGATGTTTCCAAGCAACGTCTTACCCGGGAAGCCGCCGATGCGGCCCGCGGGCTTCTAATTCCAACCCTGAAGATGGATGACCTATCTTCAGTAGACTTTGTTATTGAAGCGGTTCCCGAAATCGCCGACCTTAAAACGTCCATCTTTTCTAAGCTCGCCCAAATTGCTCCTAAGCACGCTATTTTGGCTACCAATACTTCATCGATTTCTATCACCAAGATCGCGGCCGCTACCACCACCGATCCGACAGACCTGCAAGCTTCGTCACGGGTTATCTCGACTCACTTTATGAACCCTGTCCCGATTCAAAAAGGAGTTGAGATTATCCGAGGCTTGCAGACCTCGCAGGAGACTATGGACACTGCCATCGCCTTTGTGCAACGCATGGGCAAGGTGGCTTCGGTCTCCGCTGACTCTCCCGGCTTCTTGGCCAATCGTATCCTCATGCCGTACATCAATGAGGCTATTATCTGTTTGGAGACAGGTGTGGGTGGCCGCGAAGATATTGATAACATCATGAAGACTGGAACAAATGTTCCCATGGGCCCGCTGACATTGGCTGACTTCATTGGTCTGGATACCTGTTTGGCTATCATGAACGTTCTCCACCAGGAGTCTGGAGACAGCAAATACCGTCCTGCCGGTCTTCTGCGTCGGATGGTTGATGCTGGCTGGCTAGGCAAGAAGTCTGGAAAGGGCTTCTATGAGTACTGATTGCGTCGGCGTTCCATCTATGGTACTTCAGAGGCCGACTTGTTTTCTATATTGAGATACACCTTGTATGCTGATGTTTTAGAAATTTCATGAATATGACCAGTTCTACATAGCAATTTATTGGTTCAACCGATGTGTAACTATATGTCCTGGGGCTCTTGAAGCTTTATCAAGACATGCCCAGGTGCATAGTTTTGATGAATCTTTCTTTCCCTTCATCATTCAGTATTTACATTTATCTGTCTGCCACAGTCGCTTAACTGACCCGGTACTGCTCTCTAGAGATCTCCTCCTCTTCCTCTCTCTCAGCTTGTTCCATGGCAGCAACCACCGTGATGAGATCGAGGTCACCATCCCCTATCTGAATGGCACCGGCCACCACCTCAGCAGCCCCTCTGCAAGCATGAGCACAAAGATCCCAAGATCGACCGCATTGATAACTAGAATTAAGTATAAGCACAGTCCGGAATTGGAATTACAATAGTGGAAAAGACCGAACAATACCAGAATTCAGCTCTGCAAACACATTTCATATGGCGACACCCCTCAATCTTCTCAACAAGTGTATGGCAACTAAAACATCGCTGCCAATGCTTCTCCCGGGCCATCAGAAGCACCTCATCTAGCGCAGAATCAGCAACACAAGCACGGAAATTGTGGGCTAAATCCCGACAGTTCAGGCAAATCAAGGCCCGGCAATGAGGACATTTCAGTGGCTTGGACGGCACAAAATAACGCGGATGGATCCATCGACGGCAGTATGTTTGCGGACAATACCAACGATCCGCTGCTGGGACCGCATGTTCATCAACTCGAGATATGTAGAGCTTCCTCTCACGGACACCCATTGTTGAGCCCACAGGCTTTGCGGGGATTTCTTGTCCGCAGCATCGCACTGGGAACAATGCCTTTGTTCTCATGGCTATAGATGCCATGTTGTAGATGCAGTCTGGGCAGTATTTATGCGTGCAGGGTGCGGTGATTATTTTCGTGAGTGGGACTTCTTTGAAACAGCCTACACATTGGCTGGGGATTGTCAGTATGAGTGGTTGAGGGTCATGTGTGGTTCATTTTGGCAAAGTTGATAAACTTACTCTCTAGGTGGTAGTGCACTCTTCCAGGCCTCCTTCAGCCGTGTGCCTAGTCCCATATGTGTTGCAAGCTGCAGATGTTCTGAGTCCAAGCCCAGATTTCGTACCGGTACCGTTACTGCTTGCGAGAGGGACTTTGATTCTTGCGGAGAGCACGAGGGAGGTCCTTGATTGGGTGCTTTGGATTTTGGAGTATCCGACGCGGCGACGGTGTAGAATAGGTGAAACATTCTGGAGGAGGCTGACTTGACGGATGATTTTAGCTGCTCTCTTGCTGATATCATAGATCTATTAGCCGAAGAGGAACTCAAGCCGTCCCGTTCATCCTCCGTAGCTTGTGCGGTATTCACTTGCGCATCTGGGTGAAGCCGTGGAGATTGACCGGGAAACCGAGTGAACATGACGCCTTTATTCTGCCTACAAAATAAAGAGATTACGATTGGGGAAGTCAAGTCAAAGTAGGGTAGATTTCACGGGATTTTCCGTTCAAAGTTAATCTGCAGGCAGATTATTGGCAAACGCCGATTTTCCACGGTTGAATACCAAGATATCACAAGTCAACGAGTAAGATCTGTGTAATATGGATGACTGAAGATATTTGGTGTTTACTTTGAAACTTTCCGCTTGTCACTGCAGGGGAAGATTCGACATGAACCATGGTTACCATATGCACCACTCATAATTTTGTCATAAACATCATTAAATAAACAGGGGGTATCATTGATGCACTATAATTGTCTCCCAACTCCGAGAAATGGCTGATTCGTCAACTCCGCTTTGTTGAAGGTCCGTCTTTAGATGGTGCCAGCGAATCGTCGACCGGCCCATCCGGACCCATATTCTTGATACTCCTGTCGTGTGATTGCAACTTTGCTCAACTCCTCTCGGTTATTGGCAAGGCGGGACCCGCCTAGCCAGGTTGAATATACAGGACTATTTGCAGGTTGATCAGTATGACTGAATCTTGTCTGGATAGGCTTTGGGTCAACATACTCTTGAGCGCGGCGCACTCTCACAACACAATCAGCCGATGCAATTGGGCGTAACTCGGTTTCTCTAGAGAGGAGAAATTGTCAGCGCACTTGATTGCCCCTTCCGCAAAACAGCGGTAACTTACAATCTTTCCATGAAACCCGGGATCGAAGCATTGCCGCCAACAACAAGCACATTGGCCAAGAACGCAGCATGCAATGCAGGAGGAAGAACCGACAAGCTCTGAAGAATCATGTCTGGTATTCCAGCTTGGATCATCCCAATATCGCCCGGATTGAACAGAAGCTCTGGGACGGTAAAGCGCTCGTTGCCCAATACCAGCACATCCTCTGACAATAGCTCAGCACTGAGACCAGAAGACGCACCCTTTTTCTTTTTTGCGTGCATCAATGGATCATGTGGCCGCATGAAGCCTTTTTTCCCAGCATTTGGATCCGGCAGAATGTAATCCACCACCACACTGTTTTCGGTCTGGCGTTTAATATTGGCTTTCCATGTCCGCTCCATATCCGCCTTGAAATCATTGCTCACAAAGGAGACTGCCTCCTTGACTTCGTTCATGATGTAGGCTTCATCCACCATGTTGTACTGCCGCATTGAAACGATTTCTTTGAGGTAATTGGTGAGATGCTTGCCGCCAATGTCGAGGCGCCGGATTGCACGTTGTAAAGCACGTCCCTTGTAAATCGGCGTCACGGTTGTATGCGAATATCCAGAGTCCACGACAAGCAAGCAGTCCATAGGCATGATAGTCGTGTCCGATTTGGTAAAGGAGTCACCGAACAGAGTGTGGAGATCGTTCCAAGCGTTGAGGGTCGGGCCTGCATGTACGCATATATCAGTATCGATGAAACGCCTATAGCCAACTCCAGATCCTAGATTTCCTTACCCAGGCATCTCGCATATCCTCCGAATCCCCATTCCTCCATCACCATCTCATCGGCATTGCGTTGCAAAATGGGCATAGCATTCGGGGCTTCCGTCAGGATAAGCGTTGTGTCTTCGGGCGCGGCAATGCGAAGGTTCTTATTCCGTGCAGTCGCTTTCTCCTCGAAGAAAGACTGCTCCCAGATTTCCCTCTCTGCTTCCCAGTTCACAATGTATCCTTTCTCCACCGGACGACGGAATGCTGCTTCGTTCCAGTCGGTAACTTGTGTAGAAAGCTGAGCACCTATCACAATTCTATTGTCGCGAGTCTTGACGAGGGTATTCGGTATAGAAGAGCAGGCGGATTGGACATCTTCGGGAGAGAGACTAGGGTCCGCGGCGTAACCCGCTTTCATTGTGTACGCGCCATTGTCCAGGACGAAGGTCTTTTCGGGAAGATTCCGGGAGGGTAGATCCGGAGAGGTCTTCTGAGCCTTTGCAACAGGGCGAGCTTTTGAGGTTCCCATGATCACGGGTGCTGAACTGTGGGAAGGGAAATCACCTTGGTAAAGCTTCAGTTCGTGAACGAGTGACAATCCATGGATGTTTGTTTCGTTTGCACTAACTTGGTATTCTGTCATGATTGACCGCTTAAATCGTTGATCACGTGACACATATAGGCCAATCCGTGAGCAAGCTTTCGCCTGAATCCCCGATTATATTCATCAAAAGGATTAAACTGCAGGCAGTCAGAACTGAAGCCTTCATGATTTGGTTCTTGTAATGATTAAATCCTTTTATAGCAATAAAATTCCATAAAAAAGTCTTTGCACTTACTAATGTACCGCGGCAGGTCATATCTATATATCCATAGTCGAGGACCAATATAGTTATTCAGTAATATGTAGAACATTAAAGAAACGAAGCATTATATTATATACAAGGGCATCTCTGCCACTATACCTCGAGAGGCTAGTCAGAGACCATCAAGTATTGACCTACTTTAGATCTTTGAATACCCATCGACAGGTCCATCTTCAAGTTCCCACTCAGGCATGTCACCAGCAGGAATATGTTGACGTAGATAGTCCAGTACAGCCTCGGTTCCCTTTGCGACAGTCTGCCATCGTGGGACACGGAAGCGGTTACCAGCAACCTCCAACTGCCTTAGAGCGGACCCAGTACCCCAGTTCTTAGGGGAGCGCTCAGCACCTAACAAGCCAATTTTTGGTGGCAAGTGGTCAATGTCATTGTTACTGATATCCAAAACTTGCAAACCCTGCACTGCCTCGAAATCCAATTTAGATATCTTGTTGTCGGACACGTTGAAGGTTTTAAGCTCTGGGTATGTCTGTCGAGCATTTGGAAGAGCACCAGTCAAGCGATTGTTGGAGGCATCAAGGAAGGTAAGCGATGGGGCTCGAAGATTAGCCAAAAGAGAGTCCAGCGTGGTCAAAGTCGTCGCATTGACGTTGAGGCTTTGGAGTTTAGGCAGTTCCAGTACGGAGGATAGAAGCTCAGAGCTGTTCAGGGGATTGTGGGAGAGATCAAGCTCGATCAGCCCTTGAGCAAGCATTCCGAGGGCGGGAACAGGGAAGAAGCGCAGTTCATTATGTTGCACATATAGAGAACGGACGTCTTCCGCATTGATCAATTCCAACTTCCCTGTCTCCAAGTCTTTCAGTTCAGAGTAAGATCGGTCAAGGATCCCGCGAGGCTTGACTTTCCATCCGCTCTCTGATTGTGGGGTCTCTGGCGCAAGTGTGAATTGGGTGGCCACAGAGCCCTCATCATCCGTATCCTGAGGATCAGGCTCGCATCTGTTGCGCAAGACCAGCTTAATATCCTCTGTGTCCATACTCAGCAGCTTGCGATCACGGAGTGGGTTATTAGCGATCCGGAAAGTGGATAGCTTCTCCATGAGTCCAATTTTATCATCCAGGCGCGAAATGTCGTTGCCAGTGAAATCCACGTTCTTCACATTTTTGAGACCCGTGAAACCAGCAGGGAGCTCTGTGATTTTGTTGCCATCTGCAGAAAGGAGCAAGAGTGATTGCCACGAGGACACACAGGGCAAGCCTTTGATGCGATTGAAACTGACGAGTAGGCTGTGGAGATTGGGTAGAGACAGATTCTCATTGGCAGCAAGAATCTCAATATTGTTGTTTGCAACGTTCAAAGACTCCAATTTCTCGAGTCGACCCACTGATGCCGGAATGAGGGTGCCCCTCAGTTTGTTTTTGGGCGCATTGAGCGTACTCAAAGGAACTCCACTGAGGGCCTCGAACGGGATAGATGACAATTGATTCTCGCCCACGTCCAGTATTTTGAGGTTTCTTAGTTCACCTAGTTCTGTAGGCAGGTCGGTTAAGGCATTGCCCCGGAGATCTAACGTTTCTAATCCCTTAAGACTGCTCACAGCCGAGGATAATGAGCCCTCCAACTTGTTGTTTGCAAGTTTCAGGTTAACCAGAGAAGGGATCTCCGTGATGATAGCAATTTGATTCATAGTCAGATCATTGTTCGAGAGGTTCAGGAAGCGAAGATTTTGCAATCGCTTAAGTCCCATAGGTAGAGAATGAAGCACATTTCCATGAAGATCCAGCGTTTCAATTCCACCAAACTGAGGGCCTCGCTCATCGCTATCCGGATCCAAGTCCTCCAAGTTGATGTCTGGGAAAACGGCATCCGGAACTTGGGAAAGCTCGTTGTCTGCAGCAATGAACTTCACCAGGTCTACGTTCTCAAACCAGTTGGATGTGCTGTTAGGGTCAAATTCGTACATGGTGAGTACCTCTTTAGGTATCTCACTCAAAGACATTGCTGCAATGTTCAAAGTCCCTGACGCACGCGCACCCTCCACACGCTTTCGAAGGGCAAGGTCATTTGAACCCTTTGGCAGCTGGTTAAAGGGATCTTCAAGATCTGCACCACCAAATGAACCATCAAATGAACCAGTGGGCTGGACCTTTGGGGTAGCCTCTTTCGTCTTTTCCGTCACTGCGGCTGCCTTCCGAGCTGCCTTGGCCTTCGCAATACTCTCGCGTAAAGCGTTGGAGGACTTGGATGCTTTTCTTGTTTCGCTTTCTGCCTGCTGCTCCGGAGTAAGTTCGTCCTGCAGTGTCGATGCAGCAGACACGTATCGTGAGCCGGTCGATGGGGATCTCATCGAGGTAGACGATTCTGCCTGGGGCTTCCTCGTCTTTCGGACCTGAAGCGGACGCTCTGGTGGACCCATATCGGATTGCGGGGGCTTTGAAGACGTGCTTGGTGGAGGGCGCACATGCGAGACTTTTGGAGTGGAGATGCTCTTCTTTGTTGGCGTGCTACTTCCATAGACACTGCTTAGCGCTGGGATACTCTGCCTTTTGGTCGGCCTCTTCAATTTTGAAGGGCTGTCTAGACTATCGGTGCTGCCGGTTAGCAAACCGGTCGATGTAGCGACCGACATACGATTGTGGGATGGAGGGCGGAGTTTCGAAATTGGCTGAGATAATAAATCGCTGCCGTTGCCCTGGTTGGACGACAATCGGGATGGAGATCGCGAATAGCTTGAAATATTGGAGGGGGTTCGAGACGGGGAGCGGATCGGACTGGTCCCATTGAAGAAACTAGTCTGTCTTTTTACGGACGCCGGCGATGGTGGAATATGCGCTAACGTCTCAACCGTCCGCTCCGATAGCGATGAAAGCGACGGGCGTGTACGACCGCGGGTCTCCCCAGACACACTCTCCTCGTCCCCCATCATCGAACCCGCATCGTCTGGGGTGTATGTTCCATCCTCGCTCGAAAACTCCTCCTGGCTCGGCAGTGTCTCAGTTCGGGATTTCGCTGGTGAAAAGCGTGTAGTAGTGGGCTTCTTAAGCAACGACTCATATGAAGGCCGTCTCAGTCGTCGGTCATCCAGGCCAGGATCGGCTTGCAATCGATCTCGGGAAGGAGAAGGGCGAATCGATTTCGATGCGGTGGCAGTGGGCAACGGCAGCCGAGAAGCCAGTCGCGGAATGCCGCTGGCAGGACGAGTGACCTTTGGCTGCCCTTCCATGGCGCCAAAAGTGTTTGTTTTCAGACGAAACCCCTCAATATCGCGTGGGCAGTGTTAGGAGCCAACCACCAGAGGGGATAGATACCAGAAGAATGACGGGAAAGATCTTAGATCAAACTTTGACAGGGCCCACTTTCCCAACGTGTTTTTCTACCCCAAGCAACCGATTAGGGATTGACTCAAAGTTGAGGTTGTTTATATTTACATGTCACCCGCGATTTGCCTTCGATAGCGGCCTAAGGCAGCGAACACATATCCACTTCAAAGGGCTTTCACTTTGCAGGTGCAACTGATGTGAAACAACAGTTGGACTCATGTTGATGTCATAGAAGACTAAAGGTAAAATTTAAATGACAGGCCTGCAATCTCTGCTTTGTCTCACTCTGATCAATGCTGTCAGAATGGAAAGACCATAAAGTAGGTCTACACGTTAAATCCATGATTTTGAACTTGGGTTGGCGTCTGCCATTGACAACTATACTCAATGTTTTGTGTCTTGGCTGCTGGGTTTCACTTGGCACAGCTAATTCTTTGTTTCAATTATTCATGCCCAAGTGTACCATAGTTCCCATATGATGCCCAGGTGCTGCCCACCTGCAGGTCATCGACTAGTGCTTGCCTTGCTTAGTGTACCCACTTTTCCATCGAAAAAAATCATTTCGTCCAATACTCCGTACTCCATCCTGCTGGGCAGCATTAGAGAGATCAGGGTGTCAGAAGGCAGCCTGCAAAGGTAGATACCTATGTGCCCTAGCGGCTTCGTTCTATCCTGGCCAAAGTGTATTGTATTGCCCTGGCGACTTCCCTAAGAGAATCTAGTGCATCTCACTTCAAGCCAAAAAGGCCACACTCCACATATCCTCACTCTAGAGTAAAACCTCCAATCGCCCAGATAGATATAGACTCATACGAGTATCATATTGATTGAGGTAACCAGAGCTGCAGGGAAAGGGGCCTTGGAGATTTTCTGGATTTTGCAGTCATTTCCAGCTCCAAGCTGTAGCATGATAATTTTCTTTTCCAGTACCTATTTTGCAACTGACCCTCAATTGATAGATCCATGACATAGGCCCCCATAATTTCCAAACTTGTTTCATGCATGAGGACGTGCGTGATAAAAAAAGGTGAAGCTTATCGGTTGCCAGCCCAACCTGCCACCATCGACGTCGTTCGCGGCTGTTTACTTGCCCTGAGCGTCCCGTGATCGTCACCCTAGCCGCATCTAGGAATGTGGGTCCAGCTCTGTGAATGTTCCTGGCTTCTTATTGGCTGATCCTTTGGAAATGGTTGATCGAGGCTGGCACATTGTCCCCAGCCGCATTTCGCACTGGCCGTTCCCAGCCTCCCAGCCCCCCTCCTCCACGATATCATACAAAGTGCCCACTTCTACCTTTCCACAACCTTCCTCTCAACCATCAAACCTTGTGACCTGAACTTCTCTATTGAAGCTATTTGAATCATTTTCGGATTGTTACTCTCTCCTACCTTTCCCCTCTATATCAATCTCCGGTATGCGCCCAATTGCTTATCACCTTTATCTGATGGCACGATAAACTAACTCATTCCAGTGCGAGGATTCACTTCCCCACGGTTGGCGCTTGTCTTATCTGATACCAATTCGACAACATCGGCCATGTCTCAACCTACTCGCTATTCTCAAAGCCCCCTCGCAGCACCAGCTGAGATCCTCGCGCCCTCAACTCCAGTTCGCCGTGCCACCTTGTCTCCATCACCAGATCTTAGCGCTGCGGCCAAAGACCGCTCTTCCGACAAGAAGTTTCACTCCCCGCCAGCTCTCTCTTCTTCCGACATGACACCACCGCCCTCTACTCAGATTCCTGGAGCACCTCTTCGTCGCTCCCACTCTCGTTCCATCAGCCCTACTTTGGCCAACCCGGCCGATTTGGACAAGTCTCTATGCGATGCCTATGGGGCATCGGAAAATCTGCCAACCATTGAAGATATCGACAAGGCAAACGAGACCCAGCTTCGCTCGATTGCTAAAGATCTGCTCACCGTGGCCCAAGAGGCTCGCATGTCTGCCTTGCACTTCAAACTGCAAAACAGCCTAGTCTCGTTTGCCAGTAATGAGGCCGTTAAGCGGGCAGAGGTAGAGCACCAGTTGGCCAAGCGCGAGGTCGAAATCCTTCAGAGCGCAGAGTACCGTCGCGCGCGCCCCACCGAGCCCATGACCCCCAAGCAATCTATCTCCAGCAATGACTACAAGACTGCAATGCAGCGAGCGCATGAACTGGAGGAGGTCAATACTGTTCTGGATAGGCGACTGCGACGAGCCAAGCGAGCCATCGACGATGCGCATGCCCAGTCTACCGAGTTGACTGAGCAAAACAACATGTTGAAGAAACGCATTGAGGACAACCGTCGTCACTTCTCGCAAATCTACAACTACGGGTCCCTATCACCTGGCATGCAAAACGAGCTTCACACTATCTGCCGCGGCGAGCACACTGATGGCCTTGCCGCCCTACTCTTCGCGGACAAGTTCACAAATCGTCTCCATGAACCGCAGGGCTCCTATAGCAGTCAAACTTCGGTTCCTGTTACTCCCAATCGCTCCCTTCGCCAGGGCCGCCAATACCTGACCCCAGGCCAGGTCTCGCATGTCAACCAATATGACAGCGACAGCACTGTCTCGCTATCGGCCGCGGAGTCTGAGGAGGAACCTTTGCAGAGCCGGCATCAAGATATCCGGCACACCGCCCCAAAGACCAGCACTTTGCTCCAAACCAAATTGTTTGGCCAGGTGAAGAAGCCCGGTATGGAACGCAATTACAACAAGCGCAAGGCCAGCCCCGACGGTAGCAATGTGGCCACGAAGAGGTCCAAGACAAGTGGCGGAGTGGGCCTGGGTATTCATACATCCTAAGACCGATTCACTCCTCCATTCTCGGCATCTGTGCCGATTTATCTTGGATATGACTCATGACCTAGCGCTGCTCTCGTCCCTTTTAGCTTACACTTGTTACGACTTGCTTCCCTTGAGGAATATTATGAATGATGAACGAACGTTACGGATGCGGTTACTTGACCAAGCGATATTTGCTTTTTTTTTTTTTTTTTTTTTTTTTTTTCTCTCTCTCTCTCTCCTTGCGGGTTCTTACAGTGGCTTATGTGGTAGCTACAATGGCGTTCAAAATTGGTCTCGTGTTTGCATGGCTGGAAGCTGTACTTGTGGTGAATAGATGTCCACCTACAGTACAACAGCCCCAGTCGATCGGAAATTTACTTATCCTACATGGCTGTACAATAGGAATAGGAACAATGGGAACATAAAAACACTTTTCATTCATCTCGGTGTATAACATAGAATCAATAGTGATTAGTAGTTATGATTTATACTGCAGTGAGGTGTATAAGTTGTATTGTAGATCCCCAAAACGGAAGCGGCCCAGTCTGCTTAGTCATCTCCCGGCGGCCATGGCAGATATCCCAATGAAGACTAGTTAGGGCTCGCTAAGCGAGGCGGTCAGAGGCAAAGCGGGCCACACGAAAAATGGGAACTTCTGAGTTTCTGCCGTTGAAGGGAGATTTGACCAGCAACCCTCCGACGACCATCACCGGCTCGATCCCCATCCGTCACCATGGTGCGTTCCCCTCGATTCCCGTTTGCGAAGATGTGTTGGATATGAATAAACTGCGTCAATCGACAATTCTGGCGTGGTGATACTTTGGAGGAACTCGATGGCTGATGGACTTGTCTTCGGAATATAGGCGATCAAGCACAACAACCAGATTCAGAAGAACCGTGAGTCACCTCCGACACTGCGCCCATCGCTCTCTCGACATTACAAGGAGACAGACTTGCGATCGATTGGAATGGATTGGCTAACAGGTTTGTAATAGACTTCCGCAAGGATTGGCAGAAGCGTGTTCGCGTGCACTTCGACCAGGTACGACCCCGAAAAATCTTTCTCCCCACCAGGAACATCGTCCTACCGAGTTATACCTACCGACTGGGACCGATCGAAATGGGAAAGGAAAAAATTGCTCGAAGGGATCACGACCAACTAACATGGAATTTTTTTGCGACTATAGCCCGGCCGTAAGCACCGTCGTCGTGAGAACCGTCTCGCCAAGGCTGCTGCCGTTGCTCCCCGCCCGGTTGACAAGCTGCGTCCCGTTGTGCGATGCCCTACCGTCAAGTACAACCGCCGTGTCCGTGCCGGCCGTGGTTTCACCCTGGCTGAGCTCAAGGTAAATTCGACTACTGATCCCTGATAATGCTCAAGAGTAGAGGCTTATCTCCGTTTTTTTTTTCTCGTCTATAGGAGGCCGGTATCCCCAAGAAGCTCGCTTCCACCGTCGGTATCTCCGTTGACCACCGCCGCACCAACTACTCCAAGGAGTCCCTGGTCGCCAACGTTGCCCGTCTCCAGGACTACAAGGCCCGCCTGATCCTCTTCCCCCGCAAGAGCGGTCAGTTCAAGAAGCTCGACTCCTCCGTTGAGGACGTCAAGGCTGTCAAGGCCACCCTTGCCGAGGGCAAGCGTGAGGGTATCGTTGCCAACGTCAACGCCACCTTCCCCATCACCAACCCCGCTGAGGAGAACGCCGTCACCGAGATCAAGCGTGCCGATCTTCCCAAGTCCGAGGGCTCCGTCTACCGCACTCTCCGTGACGCTCGCTCCGAGGCCCGCCACAAGGGTATCCGTGAGAAGCGCGCCAAGGCCAAGGCTGAGGAGGAGGCCAACGCCAAGAAATAAATGTGTTAATTTTCTGCTCCTGTTGATGATGATGATCGGGTCGGTTTTCGAATCGGGGATGAGTGTACCGTGGCATGGCGTGGCGCCTCTTCCATTTCTCTCAATCTAAACCTCTTTTCCCCCTCCTCCTCTCCCCTTGAAACTACCCTTTTTTGTCTCTAAAAAGAAAGAACTCGGAAGATCCTTCGAAATGCAAAACCGCCCAATTTTTCTCAAAATCTCCTCGGCAATATTTCTGGTGTTGGTGTTTTTTATGGCTCATCGAGCTTGATCCTGTTGAAGTAAGTTGGAAGGTGCTTTGGCTTGGAAACCAAGGATCTTGGTTTCTGTCATTGGTATCATCCAGCTGAGTCTTGAGGGATGGGAGTTATTGGGAAGAATGGTAGAGGCCTACGCCATGAAAAAAAATATTGTAGTTTCTCAAATCAAGAGACTTTCAAGGTTCTAAAATCATGTCTATGGCGTACGGGTCTCCATAAGAAACCTTGGAGCCCTCTCCAAATGGTAGACATACATATCAGTAACTTGACCTAGTCGTATATCTCTATTCTACCGGATAAGTGCACTGTGCTGTAGATGCCCTCAAATTCTGACGTATAATCCACCGGTCAGGCTCAGCATCCTCATGCCCACGGGAAGTGTTATTAGCAGCAAAAGTATGTTAATCTTTGCGGATCACCGCACATGCTAAGTATCTAATGTAAGGTTGAAGTCCCTGTTCACAGATTAAGGCACTGACATGTGGAGGTACTATCTCGATAGGTAGGGGCCAATCTTTATAAGGGTTTCAAACCGTGGACATTCATCTCCGGGGCTTAGAACCTGAGCTTAAGTACCTAGGTATGGATATATATGCACATCAATATTATATATAGTCCTCGATTGATCCTCCAGGGATCCACATTGCTTTGAGTCAAACCTTGGTGTTGTCTCCACTTATATATATTACACACTACCTACCACCGGCCCAGGTCCATTGATATTTACATATACGTGCAGGTATTTCAAGATTCAGTGCAACTTTAGGTAATCCACCTGGCAGTCTTCGAAAGATTCTACCTAGGTGACCTCGATTCATTATAAACACTTGCAAACGCTACCATGGTATCTTAGAATCTCAAAACCACGCTCCAAATACACACCCTGCGCCATCGCTATCTCGAAAATAAACCATGAACATCAGCCACGACCGAACAAGGCACCAAGAACACCTTCCGTGGCTCGAACAACCGCATCGAAGTGAACACCCTCTACAATGCTCTGTGTAGAATCAAAAGTATCATCCTTTAACAGAGCATGAAAAAGCTTTTTGGCTTCTTGATCAATCTTCTTCCCAGGCCCACCACTAGAGCCAGACGGGGAGACACTAAGCTCCGGCCGAAGTTGCGGCTCTCCAGTCCAGTCATCGATAGTCAGAGTATTGGAGAGGAGGACTCGGGGATCGCCTCCCGAAGACTTGGACCTGATAACCATGGAGCTGCGGTCCAGGTGTGGGATCAACCGTCGGAGCTCTGAAAGAGTAATAACTCCAGTCCCAGACTCCGGGAGTTTGCTTTTCCTACCACCACTGCCGTGCTTGTGATCGATGCGTGACCATATACGAGCACGAGTCACCGAGGCTTCCCAGTACCGGTTGATACCCCAACATAGTGTTGCCACGTCGAGCTTCAAGAGGGGGTTGGCGAGGCGAGCGTCGATCCATCGACGAAGGACCGTGGGTACTCTTCGCTTCTTGCTTTCATTACCAGTGGGTACGGAAACGGCGATCACAGACTGTGTCTCTGGATCTGACTCATATACAACGGAAATATTGTATAGTGAAGAAGGGAATGGGGGTGGAGGTGTGAACGTTAATGTATGTGTCTCAAGAACGGTACTGGTCTTTGAAACAGTGGTACGGCTGGTGTTCGTGCGAAGAGCCAGCGGAGCAAATACTGTGAGATATGATGGCGACTGTGATGAATCTTTCAAGGCGAATGGGTTTGTAGGTAAAGGTGATGACGGAGGGGCGGGACGAGAGATATTCTTAGAGAATGGGAGCAGAGTGGAAAGAAGTGACGATAGCGGAACTGGAGCTTGTCGTGGAACAGGGCGGTTAATATATGAAGACTCCTCGGAGAGCAAGCTTCTGTACAATGGTTAGAGGTATTTAGCATCGTAGGGGATGTTCAACGTACAGGAAATGGTCAAGTCCTCTCGAACTGTCAAGATTCGTATTGGACTCCATTTTCTCAGTCCATTCCGTCAGTTCTGCAACATCATCTTTCAAACGTTGCAGCTCCGCTGTGAGGCTCTTGCGTAGCTTGCGCTTCTCTAGAGCAGCTGCGGATAATTCACCATCAATTGAGCTGTTATCCGAGACTGACGCTTCTTCACGATCTCGAGGTTGAAACCTCAATCCTTTCAATGGGCTTCCTTGAAGTGTATCGGTTGCTTTTCGTTTCATTCTCTTTTCATATCTCGAACTGGGGCTACTGCTTAAGAGCGCTCTTGGACGGTCTGGTGCCTTTTCTAACCCCAGTTGTGTGGGGGTGGGGGGAAGTTCCGGTTCCAGATCATTGTCATCCATGAATCCACCCAGATCGGTGTCGATGGGGTCATCCGTGGCCGTTTCACGTGTTGCGCTTCCTAGCTCCTGGGCCAGTTGACCTTCTGGGGTATTGGAAAGATCTTGCTCTGTTGGCTGTGTTTCCTTCCTGGTAGGTGACCCAAAGAAAAAGTCACTGGGCACAATTTTCCTCGATAACCTGCGAGGTGGTTTTGTGAATGATTGAACACCACTAGGACGTCTGCTAGGCGACAGAAGAGGCGCATTGCTAGACATTTGCGGCGCTTTCAGAGGACTTGAGGTCGCGCTTAATGAGGGTCGAAGGGCTTTGCGACCTCGGAGTCCGACCGGGTTTGATCCTGCATTTTCTCCCAGGTTTCCTTGACTTTCCGGTCGCCGACTTGGGGACCTGCTGAGTGCGCGCTCGAGGACGTCCGGGTGTGATTTGGCGAGACTGGATCTTGTTGGTGACTGGAACGAAGGCCGGCGTGAGGGTTTCGTCGCAAGTAATGCATCAGGAGGCAACGCGCCTGCATCACCACCAGAAGCATTGCTGCTTTTCCTGCGTTTTGGTGGCGAATTCATTATTGCGATGTTGAGATCGATCCAAACTCGCGCCGAATTCGCGGCGCATAAACAACGGTGTTTGCAATGTTTGCACCTATGACTTAATTGCTTCCGTCTCGGATACAAGATCATTCATTCCTTTTCCCCGCGACTTACAATGGAGTGTCTTGCAGCGGGCAGACATACGCTCCGAAGGACAAGAATTTGTCCTGGCTCTTTGTCACATCGACCCGTATCTTCTTTGACCCCGAACCGAAAATATGCCTTGACTCCAACGCCTCGGCGCATGGCCCATAACCGACCCGATGCTCATACCCATAGCTCCTTGGAAGAAACCTCCGGCCACTCTCAGGCATATCCTTTATCGGGCTATTACTCCTTGATATTGAAGTCAAATTCTCCTTATCTCGGCCAGGCAACAACTACACAGCCTAATATTCCTTCGCCTGAGGATAAATCGGCCCCGAAAACCATGAGTGAAGCGAAAACTCCCCAAGAGAAGATGTCCATTGTATTTGGTTCACGTCTAGCCGGTCCTGGTCGTCAATCTCGATATAATCCAGGCGAGATGCCACCAGCATCCCAATGGCAAACGATCAACGGAGTGCCCATCCCTCCCCGCCCCGAGGAGCCCGAGAATTGCTGCATGAGCGGCTGTGTACATTGCGTTTGGGATGACTTCCGAGATGAGATGGAAGAGTGGGCTGCTAGAGCCGCGAAAGCGAAGGCCAAGGGTGGCCCTGAGAGGGGAACCGCGGACATGCGCGCCGCACCTCGAGCCGAGGTTGATTCGGCCAGTCAAAGCATGGATGAGGATGGCGGGGGCAGCGAGGCCAACTGGCCTGCACCAAGTCAGGACGAGGACTTGTTCGCCAATATTCCAGTTGGGATCCGAGAATTCATGAAGACAGAGAAGAGGCTTAAAGTGAAGCACGAGCAGGAAGCAACGGTTTAATCCGTGTGGATTTTCGAATATGTTCTGGCTTTGATACCCTGTCTATTAAATGGAGGGTTTCAGGAAGATGTGTTTGGAATGTACTGGACACATATATGGTATATACTTTAGACTTTGTACATAGAAATCTTATAAATGTTGCCCATGATGATGATTGTTAAATTTGCTTATTCCATTCTCATAATAGAATCAAGACTTGACCTTGCTATAACTACCTATAAGTCAGCTTGTCATTAATTCAATAAAGGGAACCAAATATAAATACAGAACCTTCAATATTAGAGAACAAAGCACTTGTCAATATAGACGATCCACAGTTTTCTCCGCATATTAGCATGGGGCTCCGGGATGGCACCTGCCAAGCATTTGTTCGCCGCAGCTTTGTCTCTCCCCGTCTGTGAATTCATCGATTCGCAAAATCGGACCACCCGCTGACCCCTATGTCCGCCTCGATAAGATAAGTTGCGAAAAATTTGGAATGATTCTGGCGGTTGACCACCGGAATATCCACCAAGTGCCCCTCAATCCACCACGATGCACGCGTGCTATTTCTCAAGTTCGCGTTGAACACAACCTACTTCAACATGACCACAGGAGCGAACGCATGCAATAATATGCGGTGTTTACAACAAGCTCTGACTTATCAACAAGGTAAATGGGTTGACCGTACATTCTATCGGAGAGCCCGGCCTTCAAAATTGCGACCGCTATTGCGGGTTAACACAATCCGGACTCGAGCCATTGTCTTCTCCTCCCGCCCAATTATCTCATATGCGGCAAGTGCTGGAGATGGGGCTGATATCCAATGGCAGGGAGGCAGGAAATACCTTCCATATTTGCCCAAGCACCTTAAATGTGCGAGCACTTGCGTCCATACATCCGCGTCGGCATCCACTGCCTTGACCACCGAATTCAGTCAGATTTCTCAGAATACACCACAGAATGCGCAATCATTAATAACTGACGAACATGGGAATGTGTCTGACTCATCCGCCTCAATTGGCGGGGTTCACCCTTTCCAAGATGACGAGGAAGCAGAAGCGATGCTATGGGCTTACGAACTTTGGCTCAAGAGAGAGAAAATGAGAGAAGAGAAGGGTGAATCCTGGACTCAAGATATACAGGTATCTGCATTGACTACAGATGGGCTTTACGTACATAGGGAGAGCCTTGATTGTGCCGGAAAACCACAATTGTTTGCTTCAATATCGGCGCCGACAAGAGTAGGTTTCCGAGGTTGACTTGTTATTCGAAAGACATTTTCTGACCACGAAACGATCAGGAGAAAGCATTCCGGGAAGCTCGTCTGCTTCTCGTTTCCAAACTACGTGAAACCGATGATTGGGATAAAGATTTCGAAGCTGCTGGCTATGATGGCTGTAGAAACTTCCCTCGTTTACTCAACAGGTTGATGTCGGACCACTTCGTTTCGCCAATCTGTATTCATCAACAACAACATGTGAATGAAAGTGGTAAACGCACGTTTAGATGCAGTGTTTGTTGGTTTCGTAACCTCGACGCCCAGGACAACCATTGGGGCAGAACTCCAAGGAAATGCGAAACCGAGGTAGGTCCCTCCTATGCACAGAGCTCGGATTGTTCTGACTGCTCTATAGGAAGAGGCACGGAGATTGGCGATTCGCATGTTAGTCCTCAGCGTGCAGCTGCTGAAGTTGGGAACATTGGAAGACATCTTTGATGACTTGCACGAAGTTGACAGCAAAGACCTTGATCGGTTCTTTGAGATGGAGGCTTTGGGTCAATTTTATCTCAAGCTGGAAGGTTCGCGAGATTGTCACGCCAACCTTTTTTTGCCTAACAAGAAAAAAGTGGAACAACTACAGACCACTGTGAAGGCGGATCCTGGTTTGATAAGGGTTTGTTACTCCTCTATATTCCAGTTATATGGAGACTAATATGGTTCACTAGTCTCAATTAGAGAGAAAGGCAGTGATAAGACTTGTTTCTAAACTGAAGAAAACAGACCTGTGGAAAAAACCCATTGTTCCAGCTGCCAATGTTTCTGTAGACGATGAATTAATCTTCACGATGCAACAGGCAAGGGATGACTTGCTCCAAGCGGATCAGACTTTCACCAAGGATACCTCTCAACTGACCGGCACAATGGTGAAAGGAGATTCGGGCAATGCCCCAACGACCATCCAGGTAGAAAGCAGATCCCAAAAGTTAAAGCAGAGCTTGGATGAGCGACGCCAATCGGAGGATCCAGGTACCATGGAGATTCGGTCCCAACAAGACCAACTACCAGTGATCCAGATCAGACAGCAGGTCTTGGACATTATCAAAGGACATACTTACAGCATCATTGCTGCTGAGACCGGATCTGGAAAGTCTACTCAAATCCCTCAAATAATCCTGGATGATGCCATCGACCAAGGATTCGGGGGGCAATGCAACGTGATTTGTGTCCAGCCGCGGCGAATTGCGGCACAATTTCTGGCAGAGCGAGTCTCTCATGAGAGAGGTGAAGTTGTTGGCGATAGTATTGGATGCTTGGCTCGATATGACTATCGAAGGCCAACCAATATTGGGGGCAACATCACATACTGTACCACCGGTATCATGTTGAACATTTTACAGAATCAACCTGAAACTCTCTCATCGCTTACTCATATCATGCTTGACGAAGTCTATGTTCGTGACATTGGAATTGATCTCATAATGATGTTGCTGAAGCGCTATGTGGATAAATGCCGATCGACTGGCGTTGCTGTGCCTCGAATAGTGATCTTGAGCGCCACCATAGATCTTGACCTATTTTCCACGTATTTCGCCAACATTGGACCGGATGGGAAACTTATCCCTGCTCCATATATCTCCATTCCGGGTCGTCAATTTGATGTGAAGAAGCACAACCTCGACAATGTGCTTGATGAGCTGGCAGCTACTTATGAACCCGATGTGCTGTCCAATCTGCTAGATGGCCCGGAGACCAAAAGCTTCCTAGACAACCATTATGCACGGTTCGAGGGTATCGAAAAGCCTGAGATTGAGGCTTCAAACTCTGTCACGGAGAATTTCCCGGGGAGTTCGACCAAATTGATCTCTGCCGTCCAGACCAATGAAGCATTGGAGATGGAGGATAGATTGATACCATATGGCGTGATTGCTGCGTTGATATTCCATCTTCTAAACACAACCGCTTCTGGCTCTATCTTGGTCTTCCTTCCAGGCTTAGCAACGATCAAGAAATTGGAAGAGCGAATATTGGCGTTCACAGCTACTAAGAAATTTGACCTGGATTCCTCTGATGAGGGTCAGTTCCGATTGTTCAAGTTGCATGCGGCATTACCCGCGGAAATGGCGAAGTTGTCTCTACCATTCCCCAAAGGTTGCAGGAGGGTTTTCCTCTCCACCGATGTGGCTGAGGCCTCGGTCACTATCCCTGACGTTAAGTTCGTGATTGATACCGGAAAGGTGAATAACCTAGTTTACGATCACACGGCTCGCTCTCGTCGACTGGGGTCTTTCTGGGCTAGCAAGGCTAGTGCCATCCAGCGAGCTGGGCGAGCTGGCAGAGTCCAGGAAGGAGAGTACTTCTTCCTGGGAACCCAACAGTGCTATGATAATCTTCGAAAAATGAAGTCTCCCGATATTCACCGGGCTCCGCTGGATGAACTATGTCTGCGTGTGAAAGGCAATGCTCCTGATACTCCCATCATTGATGTTTTGAAACAGACCCTGGAGCCTCCTAATACCGATGCCGTTATGCAGACTATCAAGCACCTAACACAGACCCGGCTATTGGATGAGAATGAAAACTTGACAAATCTTGGTACCCTTCTCGACCACCTGCCCCTTGACCCATCAGCCGGCAGGTTGGTCATCCTTGGTGTTATTTTCCAATGCCTGGAACCGATGCTCATATTAGCGGCTTTGAATGGGGAGAGCCTCTTCCGACGGCCATCGAGTATGGAGGATAGCCACACCATTCGCAATAAACGCCATGAATTTGCGGGGCAGAGTCACTGTGACCATATTAGTACAATCAATGCTTTTAAGGCCATGCGAGCCGTGGAGCGGGACGGCCGTAGCGTCCGGGATTACGCTCAAGACCAGCATCTGGAGTTCCACAGCTATGCGGGGGCCACCAGCATCGTTAATGTGCTATTGGAATCTCTCAAGGGCGCGCGACTCGTCCGCAGCAGTTCCATCTCTATATACAGCTACCACGTGGGCGGCAAGGCACTCAACATCAACTCGGATTGTATCCCTCTCATCAAAGCCCTTATACTTCATGCCCAATTCCCTCACGTTGCCGCTCCAACACCGTCCACATCAAGGTCATATTTCAGCAAGACCGAGCGGGAACATCACCTACCTTGGGCAAGTGCTGCTAACATCCTACCGCCACCACCTATCCGGGATCTGGTGACATACCAAGGGAAACAGGCTAGTAGAACTGAGGGGGAAATTCCAATGCTGAGAGAGAATTCTCTGGTCAGCCCTTTGGCCATGTGTCTTTTCGGAGGAAGAATGGTCTGGAAAGACCGAATGCTCCGTATGGACTTTTGGTTACCACTAGGAATCAATATGAAGGATCCAACTTACACCTCAGATGAGGCTGCACGAAGCATCATCGAGCTGCATAAAGCTATTGACAAGGTGAGCAGAAGTGCTACTATTCCCTTACATAAAACGTGTCCCCGCTAATCTCTCCAATCTTGACACAGTGCCTGACGTCGGCTTACGCGTCTCTTAATCATGAGGAACGGCCGCGGAAGTTCTATTTGGCTCGTAACAAGTTGTTCAGATCGTTGCAGAAAGCCGTTAGAGCAACCTTGGAATGCGATAATCACCGTTATGCCGTGCCCAGCCAAGGACACTGGAGTGAACATGATGCACATGACATGGATTATGAGGAAGATCAATCCATTCGAGAGGAGAGCACGCCTAGGGCGGATGAGGAGGAACTACATGTACCATAGATCTTGCCTGCTTTCCATTCTCTTCTCCTTTGAAAGTTCTACATGTATCATATACTTTGCCCGACATCTCCATAAATACCTCTCACCGCCTTTAGATAACGCTTATCGCAAAAAGTTATGCGCATCGCTTTCTCTTTCTCGACAACAAAAATTATAAAAAAACTCACCATCACCCAGCATGTCGCTCTCAAAAACAGAGTCCGACGTCATCCTCAACCGGGCAAATGTGGCTCTCGCCCGGAGCCAACGTCTCGTCGCATCTTGGCTTCCCACGCAAACAGAAGAAGAATTAGCCAACGTCAAATCAGAGGAGGAACTACAGCGCGAGGAAGATGAGATCTTCACTGCCGTCCCAGAGACGTAAGAATCCTCTCCCCACCTGAACCTATCATTCCCCACGTCATTTCATTCTGGTGGTACTAATTCCTCTCAATCAGTCTCGGAGTCGGCGCCCCACTCCCCGAAAAAGCAGCAGACGGAAGCTGGAATCGCACAGAGCTAAGCTCAAACGATAAACTACGGAAACAATTACTCGGCAAGAATTATGATCGGTTTATGAAGGCCGAAGCTGAGAGGAAAGCTGCGGCGAAAGCTAGTACTACGGCGGCGCAGGCGGCCAAGACGGCTACCGCTGCGGCTAATAAGCAGGATGAGGAGAGTGATGATGATGAAGAGGGACGGTTTGCTTCGATTGGCAGAAATAAGAGGAAAGCTGCGCCGTTAAAGGCGAAGGCTAAGGTTGTGGGGGAGGATAAGGATTCTCAGGAGGATGGACAAGAGCCCTCTGCGAAAGAGGTTCCTGTGCGACAGGCGCCTTTGAAAGGGAAGAAGAAGGCCACGAGCTATCTTGATGAACTTCTGGCTGAAAGAGCCAAGAAGAGAAAGAAGAGATGAAGTGGCAGTTTTTGATATGGATTCTTCACTTCAACTTGTGCTAGTTAGCTGGTGGCTGAAGCAGTGCTACTATTTCGGGTTGTTACCGGACACAGCTGAGTTTACTAGCCGTCAACCTTGCAACAGATGATCACTCCGATCATCTGTAAGTCATTGATTTCGGTGCAGGATCGCCGAAATTGCAGTCCTAATGCAGGGCTCAACCTCAACCAGCAAGGCTACAGGACTTCACTAGATTTAATCATATTAGGGGCTCAGGCTTAAAGTACAAAATTCATTCCAATCTCTTCTAGATGTCACCATGATTTTTGGTTGCTCCGCCCGACCCAAGGGTATATAAGATATGCGGGAATGAAGTATAAAATCGGCACCAACAGCACGACTCCGCCTGGAATATCCAAGAAATAAAAGAAAAAGAAAAGGAAAGATCGATGGTGCAAGGAGAGAGAAAGAGAGAGAGATTGTGTGAGAGGGAATAAAGGGATTTGAAGGTTTTCAAGTATACAATGTCAACTGATGGAGTCTCCAAACGCCTATCGAGTAGGAGATATTGAAAGTGTGGGTAGGTTTGATTTAGACCAATGGCCTCACCCCAGTTATAGTGAAGCAAATCAATCCAACGGGGATGTCCATATGAAATTCGAGGCCATGCCTCTATTCCAATCTTTTCCGCTTGCGGTCTTCGCTCATCTGCTGGTCCTCATCGGGCCGCTCAGCGGTATCTGCAGGGTTTAATAGTGAGTGGACGTTGCTTGCCATACTGGAGCGCCGGGTTGCTGGCAGAGAGGATTCTTGACGGGGAAACCTGGAGCCGGCAATATTCCACCCATTGTCAACACTAAGCAAAGATGGAGATGGCTCAGCAGCGCCGGGTGGTGTCGCATGGCGCGACTGATCTTGAAGACGGCGAGGGGCTCCCATTTCATACTGCGCGAGAACATCCCGGACCTGCTGGTCACTGGAGCCCGGTACTCGGTTGGGGGACGACGGCCAAGGCCCACTCGGAGGATTACCGGGTGGGAAAGGAGAGGTGCCCGAAGGGGGCCAATCGTGCTGTCGGATGTCTGCAAAAGTGTGACGGCGACCGAGATTAGGTCCAGGGGGAGTTGAGATAGATAAAGGAGAGGGTCCAGGTTGTCCCTGTGGTGGAGCTTGGGGAGCCTGTGGCCGCACATAATTGGGTTGTGGGTTGGCTCCTCCAATGGAACCATAGCGGCGCGGCGACACCGAAAGATGTGGTGGAACAGGAGGCCGAATCATGGACGGGCGTCGGCCATCGTCTTGTGGTAGTTGGCGGGGAGATAATGGTGGCCCAGCTTCACCGGGCATATTTGCTGCAAAGAAAGGCTGACGTGGTGGCATGAGGCTTTCGTGTGATACCTCCATAGCGCGCACGGCTTCAAGCTGCTTCTCAACTTCTCTTTGTATGTTCGCAACTAAAACATTGTTAGTAAGAGATTTGGCTTGTGGGTCAGGTGCCGTCATACTGTCACGGTAAAGAGGGTTTTCTCTATCAGGTACTGCAGCTTGAAGGAAGCGAGAGATTGAATGAGTCCACTGAATTATAATTAGTTTAAAGAACATGTGCTTGACAGCTCGAAATTGAACTTACGTGATAGCATTGGGCCAAACCCTCAGCCATGCTCTGGCATCTCGAACTGAGAGCAATATTTCCCTCTTCAGCTCGAGACAGGCGATTGTGCATGTCGTAGAGGGAGTGCTCCAGGTTCATCAATCTAGCTTCCGTCGCATCAGGAACCGGCTCTGCAGGAGTACCCGGTTGCGACGTAGCAGCCTTATGACCTGGGAATGAATCGCGGTGAATCAAAGCATGCCGAGATGCGCGACGTTTGATCTCGCGCAACCCAACCAGATCGCCTCGTTTGAAATTGCCATTTCCATGCTTAAATTCCCAAAGGGCTGAGTCCGGGGATCCAGTATGAAACACATCGCTCACTGACCAAGATCAGCAATTACCCCTATGAGCTTGAATGGGAGCAATATACCTTTGTGGAATCCATACATGTTCAGCTGCCGAACAAAGGAGGAGATATTGGTGTGCTTGAAGTATTGGCTTCGGAGGCGTCAGCAAATACCAACGTCGTCAAGTCCCGGATACACTAGCACTTACGCTAAAACCTTGGAGAATTCCGATGTGGGAGACATCACAAAGCTATCGTGGGTGTTCGACCAAGAGATCAGGTGCTGAATGCCGTTGTCTTCGAGCATACTACATTTTGAGACGGATCAGCAAAAGTCCTCGGGGCAATCGGATATGAAGGCGCACTTGTAAAGCTTATGGATAAAAGCAGTCTGTACCACTTTAGGCTGCTGAGCTGCGGCAGCAGCCCCAACGGCCGGGTTAGGATTGCTTGTATTCCCCTCGGCACCATTTGCGCCCCGGTCGCCATCTAGACCATGGACACCTACGGCAGACGAGGAAAGGGGGAGTGATCTCCATCGCGACGGGGGAATGATGAGCGGAAGATGATAGGACCGGGATGTTTCGTGTCTTGCCGGGAGCATTTGCAGGCCCGAAGGTATTCCGGGAAGGAGGATCGGCGAGACCACTCATGTCGCGCGGGAGAGGAAAGGAGATAAGTATGGCGGTTGAAGAGGCTCGGGACGGGCGATCGGCGCCAATGTATAAAGCTATAGAGCGGAAGGATTTCGGGGAGACCAAAGTTCGGATGGGGCAAGACGCAGGAGAACGCGATGACCGTTAGCGTGCGCTCGTGGCGGCAGAACGTGGGAGATGAAGAGGATTATCGCGGAGGCCCAGATAAGGCGCAGATCAACACCCAAGCATTGAAACCTGGTCTGTCATCGCGCCCATGAATTGAGGTTCGGAGGTGAAGGAACAAATCTCAGCGCGAGGTTCCTCTGCGGGGAAGGGGGGAGGGGCCGGAAAGGTCGCGAAAGTCGGGATCTGCAAGTCTGACTCTTGACTTTTTTTTTCGGCTTCCAGCAGGAAAAGGTCGGGCTATTTCTTTGAAGATATCCAGATCGATAAGGTCGACGTGGAAGGATCGGACTAGCGAGTTGGAGGAGGGAAAGGTGGAGAAAAGAAAAGGGGGTTCGTTGCAAGAGGAATGAGACCTTTTTTCTCTTGCTCCACTTCACTTATACTATACACTTAACATGGTCCTTCTCGGCATTGCTGTTTTAGCTTGTTTCTGATTTCATACTAATCCTCAAACCCGGGAATATTTCTCTCAACTGCCGGTTCAACTCCTACAAGCCAGCTTGATACCTTCCAAAAGCATGGACCACCATGCGCAATCTATCTTAGCTCAGTTTGATGTTTTATCTCCACAGAATCGGCAGCTTGTGTACGTCCCACACAACATACCTAATATACCAGCCTAATACCTGGCCTTTTTTTTTGTGCATATTGCTGATCAGTTGCAGATACCATGGCATTCTGGACCATTTACGTCGCTCTGAATGGAGAGAGGTGAAATTACGTGCCGATCGCATCAATTTTGAATATGACTTGCTAGGCAAGCTACCTCTAGAGATTGTTGCAATGGTCGCAGAGCACTTGAATATCGCCGATCTGATTTTGTTGCAAAGAGTGTCTCAGCAATGGCGGCGAGTTCTTTCATCGCCTATGGTACAAAGTGCTGCCATCCGAGCCATCGTGGGAAGCGACGTCCCGGTATTAGATTCAAAGCAAGTGATTCAAAAAAGACTCCGCCTGGAACGAGCCAAACAAGTCAAATCGATTCATCTGCCTTTCTCGCCTATTGAGCATAATAACACACCTAGGAGCATCCGTGAGGTGGGGTATTCCCATGGCATCTATGCTCAGTTGGACACCAACTCCGGTCTAACCTTCACCTCCATCATTGTATTGCATTTATGCAACGGCAGAGAAGCTCGATTAACTACGGAAAATCGAGAAGACCTCATTGAATTGAGAATATCTAAATCTTTAATCGCGGCGATCTCGACGCGGGCATATTGTCATATTTGGGATCTCAATACCCATGAACACAGATCCTTTCGAATATCGTCTCTGGATTTTGAGCATTTCGTGGTACATGATCGCAACGTGGCCTTTGGATACCGGGGCTCCGTCATCCACTGGGGATGGAAGTCGAGTATTGCTCGCCATGTTCCAATCAAGACACGTATCGTCCTGTTGGCGCTGCATCCCTTGGAAGATCAGTTCACGATCGTCCGTTTCAGCGAGGAAGTCTTTGCAGGCGACGAGCTAATAGAGATCGACGGCATGAGCTGTCAAGTACATGCTGAAAAGTATACAATCGATAACGCCAACGGATTTCATTGCTCCCTTTCACAAGACCGGAAATTTTCATTGATTGAACCGGGTGATATACATGATCTCTTTCACGCACAAGAGATCTACGAGGGCCAGAGCAGTAACTTGCTCGTAAGGCTGCGACCCAGTACTGGCACAAAGCCTAGACAGTTCTTCTCCTTGGAAGGTGACGAGGTCATGGTCCATACTCTGCCTGCTCTTCCTTCCGGCAATATTGTATGTGTGGGCCAGGACTTGACTTACTTCTCCGGGGGTTACAAGACGGTGATAATGGAGTCCAAATACAGAAGGCACGCGCGTCTGTCAAACGTCATGAGCGAGTGCCAGTATCCAATACAACGAGAAGTTGAAGGTCCTTCTTGTTACAAAATGTTTGCAGATCAAGACTTTGCCATCTTTTTCAATGGGCAATCTTCGGAGATTTGGGGCTTTGACGAAACGTGGAACCCGGCTGAATGGCCTATTTGGCCTAATCCATAGACCTAGGAATATAGAACACTTTACAGACTACTGCGCAATATTAGATAATACGATTTCAAACCTCACATCCTCTTCCAATTAGGACATCATAATATAAAAAGGACCTAGAAACACTCAAGAATACAGTGACAAAAGAAAAATAAATGACACAGGAACGGGCATCGCAGCGTCCACAGGGATTCTCTAATAAGTCGCTACAACACGCCCGCGGGCTCCCAAATGCATGCCCTTATCTATGACTTCAACCTTAAGGGAATCCCTTAGATACCCAGGGTGAACTCGACACCAACATCGATCTCGCGGGCCATCTTGACGACCTTGGAGAACTGGACGGACTTCTCAGCGGCGGTCTGGAGGTCCTCAATGGAGAAGATCTTAAGACCAGACTCGTTGATCTGTAAAGAAGAAAGTCATTAGTATTGAGAACCTGAAAGATAATGCTTGAAAAAACATTTTAGTGGGGTTATTCATACCAGCTTGTGAGCCTGCTCCATGTTGGTACCCTGGAGACGGGCAATGATGGGGGTGCGCAGGTTCATCTCGTTGACAACGTTGATGAGACCCTGAGCGATGGCGTCACAGCGGACGATACCACCGAAGATATTGACGAAGACGGCAGACACCTTGGGGTCGCTGGTGATCAGCTCGAAAGCGCTCTTGATAGCAGCGGGGGTAGCACCACCACCGACGTCAAGGAAGTTGGCGGGGCTACCACCGTTCAGCTTGATGATGTCCATGGTGGCCATGGCGAGACCGGCACCGTTGACGAGGCAACCAATGTCACCATCAAGCTTGATGAAGTTCAGGCCGTGCTCAGCAGCCTTGACCTCATCAGCATCCTCCTGGCTCTCATCGCGCAGCTCGAAGATGTCCTTCTGGCGGAACTCGGCGTTGTCGTCGAATCCGAGCTTGGCATCCATGGCCAGAACCTGGTGGTCGGAGGTCTCGGACAGGGGGTTGATCTCGAGCTGAGTGGCATCCTTCTCCATGAAGACACGGTAGAGGTTCTGGATGGTGGTCTTGGCCTCCTCGATGCACTGCTCGGAGAAACCAAGGTCGGTAGCGATGGTGCGGGCGATCTCGTCGGTGACACCGACGTGAATATCAATGGGAGTGGTGAGGATGGCATCGGGGTTCTCCTTGGCGACAGTCTCGATATCCATACCACCCTGGGAGGAGGCGACGATGACGGGACCACGGGTAGTACGGTCCAAGAGGACAGCGAGGTAGAACTCACGGCGAGCGAACTTGCGCTCACAGATGTAGACAGAGTTACAGGCGCGACCAGCGGCACCAGTCTGCTTGGTGATGAGCTTCTGGCCGATCATCTGGTCGGCGAACATCTTGGCCTCGGTAGGACTAAAAAAAGTGAACGGTTAGGAACCACGGGATCCACCTTTGAACCAGGAGCATCAAAATCGGATTCACCACTTACGAGTAGATAACCCGGACACCACCCTTAAGACCGTTAGTGAAGTGACCCTTACCACGGCCACCGGCAAGAACCTGGGCCTTGATGACCATGTCATCGTTACCTAGAATGTCGCGTTTAGTACGTGACGAAGGGGCTAAAAGTGAGAAAAAGGACAAGGACAAAACATACCGATGGACCGGGCAACGGCCTCAGCCTCCTCAGGGGTGTGAGCGACCTCACCCTTGGGCACACCAACACCGTACTGTGTCCTTTTATCAGCAAGCCGACCCAGGCTTCAAAACAGGGATTCTCTGCGACCGCAGGGGAACGGTCAGACGCGGATTGACATACCTGCTTCAGGAGGCGCGCGGAGAGGTACTCGTGGATAGACAGGTTGCGCTGCTGCTGACCCAGGCGAGAAGAGACGGAAGGCTTCTAGAGATGATCAACGGTATTAGTATATGAAGGTTCGCAGAGCAACCGATCCACGGGCCGATAGCACGGCATCGCGATGAACTTACTGTCGCAGCCCGGAAGGCGGTAGCAACGGAACGACCGCGGGCAAGATTGAACATGATGAAATTAGGGAGAAAGAGAGGAGAGGAATGGTGGTTCTGAGCCCTTGGGGAGTTAAGGGAAAGGATATCGGGAACTCGGGGGAGAAAGCTGTTTCTTCTTTTTCTCGGGTTGACATTGCAGTCGCGGTAAAACCGGGTGTTACAGCCAACCAGCACCCGTTCCTGGCTGACTCAGCCCAGCCTCGGGCTGCAGACGCGAATATCACGGAACTCGTTTGCTTGCAACTATTGCACTTTGTTTCTCTTTTTACTTCTTTGGCTTGATCTTCCCTAGGTTAAACATCTTTCCTAGGACCCATCCAAACATTCCATTCCACGCCCAACCTCCCGCGAGGAACCAGACGACCCAACTGCGATGACCCTCCCAGATCCAAAGCTTCCGTCCTTGGGCCCATGGCCATAGCCAGCGCCAAGGGGCTGATCCATACAATATCTGAGCAACGACACTCTTTGCATACACATCATGGCTCATGGCATTATGCTGGCTATGCACGACGCGCTGGGTATATTCCTTTTCGATATCCGCGTATAGGGAATTCGGCTGCAATTGACGTTCGGTTCGCGCAATACGTGATTGTACACCTCCAGTCACAATGGTAGTGACATGGACCCTATTCGGTGGTCAGCTAAAAGATTCAACCTTAAACATAAGCCAACAGGCACATACCCATAGGGAGCGAGTTCGACTCGAAGAACATCACTGAAGGAGTGCAGAGCGGCTTTAGAAGCGTTGTAGACCGACCCGAACACGTAGGGTATCACCTATCACTCGTTAGCGTTGATCTCTTTCCAGGCAATTTCCAATTCGCAAGTGGTGTGGAAGCACGAACTGCAGCGATTGATCCAAGTTGAACAATAGTTCCCTTAGCTTTGATCAAAAGTGGTACAAAAGTCTGGCACATGGCAATGACGGCAAAGAAGTTGGTATCAAATGTCTTGCGTGCTTCAGCCAGATCAACTTCCATGGCAGGAACTGTATGGTCTGTTTGCTGTCAGTCTCCGCGCGATAGCTTCATCAAGTTGTTGGGACCATACTGCGGCCTCTATAGACTAAATTAGCGATGATCTAAGCTTTGGCAAGTGATTATATATACTCACGCATTGTTAACTAGGTAATCTAGACCATTATCTCCTAATCGCTTCTCAACATCTGCATAGCACGCCTTGATACTCTCGAGGTCATCCACGACCAGACTCAGGGTCTCGATGCCAAGGCCAGCCAGGTCGGAGATGGTCTCCGCTTTACGGGCTGTAGCTAGCACGCGCAATCCATTCCGATGGAACTCCCGCGCAAGGGCATTTCCAATACCACCGGGAGAACATCTTACTTGGCGTCAGTACTTTGCCGTTCTCTCAGAATCAAAGTTTGAAACTCACCCTGTGATCAGGACAGATTTTCGGTTATCAGTAACCCCTGGCATGGTTGATCTCCAAAGGGAGTGCCGTTAGTTATACCGTAGAAACAAACGTGGAACCAGGAATCCAAGGAGTATTAGAAACTATGATGGATGAACTAAAGAGCTATCCACGACGATGACGCGATGCCCGAGTCAGGCTACCTTCATCGTCTTGCCTCGGCTCAGTAGCTCAGTAGCTCTTCACAGGCACGCAACCCTAAACCCTATCACCAATTTGGGAACATAACGGTGTCCTTCATGACATATTAGAAACGTTATTAACTATAAGCTGGGACAAGATGTATTATGCACAACATCCCGCATGGTCATTTTTGTGAACGGCCACCTTACTGATAGAAATGAAACAACTGACGTAGAATCCAAATTTCCGTCGATACAGGAGATCCATTCCTGCCAAGATAGAGAATGATCCACTTTTGTCGCATGCATTCCGAATCATCTATACATCTATATTCTGCAGATATCCGTCAAATTGATATAAGCAGACTAGAAGGTATGGATTGGGTTCAGGGACCAGCTATAGACTATAAAAGCCATAAGCCACCATATATTGTTCTGCTGACGTGAGTGGTGCCGACTTCCGAGAAAAGTCACTAAACTCGGCGAATCGCAACGACGGATTCGGGCGAGAAAGCGTATACCCGGACCCATCGCAACGACGATCCGTGACGTCGGAAGATTAATCTTTGAAACTTGCAAAAAAAGCTCATTTCTTGTTGTTCAACGCGCGTATCATACAGACAGATGAGGTAGATCTCAATTTCTTCCCAGCGCATGTATTGGTTGTGGGCTACTTGAAAGCCGACTCCCGGCTTGTTCTTGTTCCTGTCCCACGTTGATGCCCAATTCCCCTCACATGGAATCATCAGACCCTTGGCCTCGACACGCAATTCCCCATAGGGCTGAGATAGATCTCTACAAATAATCTCGCCCCAACCTTATTGCACCCCTGTCCCTTCCTATTGGTAAAGGAATTGTGACCGGAAAATTCGCGGTTATAATCATAATTCAGCCCAATCGCCTGAGCCATGGCCTCGGGACTTGGACTAGTGTCAATTCCTCCCCGCCATATGAGAAGTCCTGGTGACGATGGTTATCGCACACCAACCATTGAAGATGCCGACCGCACTATCTCAATTCTAGGCGCTACGGACACTCCTAGAGCCATTGCCCGCGATGTGCACGCTACCGCGTTGGAGGAAACATTGCAAAAGATATCTTCGAGGGCTACTACTGACCGTCGATCCAAGAGAGATTCTTGGGAGCCGCATGGTCGGCATCTCGATCGCACGCTTACGGATGCATCAGCAGACCATCTTAGCTGGAAAAAACGAATTCGTCATATTACCTGGGCATATTTCACCTTGACCATGGCCACGGGAGGAATAGCGAATGTTCTATACGAAGTTCCATATCGCTTTCGAGGGTTGGAGACGATCGGAATTATCGTCTTCTTGTTCAACATCTTCCTCTACCTTGTCATCTGGGCGCTTCTGCTTGCTAGATTCTATTTTTACCCTTACACTTTCAAAGCGTCCTTCCTGCATCCAACGGAGTCCCTGTTCATTCCTGCATCAATGGTGTCTTTTGGCACCATCCTCATCAATGTTTCCCAATACGGCCCAGAAAAGGCAGGCCCGTGGCTCCTTGAGGCTGTTGGAATTCTATTTTGGATAGACTGCATCCTAGCTGTGCTGTTCTCCGCGGGCATCTATCTCATTCTGTAAGCTGCCTCCCCCAGCTTCTATGATGAAAGATCACTAACAACATTTCAGATGGTCGACACAGACATTCACAATCGCCCAGATGACTCCTATTTGGATTTTCCCTGCTTATCCTATGCTCATCATTGGTCCCCATGCTGGGATTTTGGCTGCGAAGCTCGAACAATCGCGTTCGCTGCGCATCATTGTTGGAGGAACGACGATTCAAGGTGTCGGATTTTTGGTTTCACTGATGGTGTATTCGGCCTTCATCTACCGACTCATGACTCAAAAGCTTCCAAAGGAAAACATGCGCCCGGGTATGTTTGTTTCTGTCGGACCTAGTGGGTTCACAGTCGCTGGGTTGGTGAACATGGCCTCTGAAGCGAAGCGTTCTTTTCCGGCAGAATTCATGGGCAATGGTCCGCTGGCTGCCGACATACTGAGGGTGACGGTTGATTTTGCCGCCTTATGGCTATGGGGGTAAGCTACATACCCGCGCAACAAAAATAAACGGCGTACTGACTTTTAATAGTTTGGCAATCTTCTTCTTTATCATCGCTAGTGCAGCCCATTGGTCAGCTATCGGACCAGGACGAATGGTCTTCTCAATGGCCTGGTTCTCTTTCGTGTTCCCTAATACAGCATTGCTTACTGCTACCTTTGCCATCGGGAAAGCATTTTCTTGCGATGCCATAAACATTGTCGGTACTGTGGCAGTGTTTCCACTGCTACTTATGTACTTCTTCGTTTGCTATATGATGGTTCGAGCCATTGTTCAACACCAGATCCTGTGGCCGCAGAAGGGTGAAGATAGGGATGAGGGTGGATTTGAAGTTCAGCACTTGAACCCTGCTGGGGAGGATTCCGAGGAAACTAATGCTGTTTAGATTGATTGAATCTGAGATACCTAAAAGTCTGCCTGCTGTGTTATTTTATACCACGATACCCTTCAATTTGATGATTTAGTTATGCATCGTTCTATTCTGCCTTTTGTACCCTTGTAAACGACCCACGCTCTGATGCGGAGACTTGAACCCCTCAATCGGGTCCCTATGTTTGATTTTGCAAACCTTGCAACCCAACATCTCAGTTGCTGCATATCAACCAAGGGCTCTTATCTGGCCTTGGAGCAGTGAACTTCTCACTTGCATTCTTGTCTGGATATGGCCTTGGAGAGTCATCGTGCCAATATTTCCAAGGCCTAGGGTGTTACTAGACCATAATTAGGGGAGCGATTATGACGAAATATTTAAAATACAAATTGAAAATCCTCAATACCTGGACACGCGAGTAGACTCGCATTGGCAGCCAGTAGCGGCACTTGACTACCTGAAGGATTTCAAGGATGATGTGAACGAAATCGAAAGTACACAAAGAAAAAAGCCGGAATAATAGTATTTGAAAGAGAACATGATAAAGACATTATTCCTTGACATCCCCCTTCGGTCTTCTCATCTATTCTCCGCTCCCCATCCTTAGGGCTGTGGCTCGATTTCAAATTCTCGATAATGAGCAAGGCCAGGCCGCGCACATTCTTTGCCTTTGATATATGCAAGGTCGAGATTTCGATACTAAGGCGCTTGCGTACCCAGCTTCGAATCTCAATGGTCATAAGAGAGTCAACTTCAATCTCCCCTGCTGCCTCGAGAGATTCAAACTCGCCAGACTGGCCATTGATGATGGTTGCAATTTCTTCAATCAGCAAGTCCAGCGTGGATGGCAACTCAAGAATGGAGGGGTTAGTCTTCACGTCTGCTAGGAATTTGTTCAGCCGATCCGTATCCAAAGGTGTGGATATTGGTTCTTCAGTTGAGAGGAGACATGAAGCGAAGCGGCGGTCACGTCGGTATGCCTCTCGAGGTATGGATCGCACAAACTGTTGCAATCCAATCACGATAGTGCTTGCAGAAGGGTCATCCCGATTGGTGCCGGTCAGTCTTGCTTGTTCAATCGCTACCTGTACGGCTTGAAGAAGGTCCCTCTCCTTCAGCAGGTCCATGATATCCTCGTTATACATTGCCTTGAGTTCCGGCCTTTGACTGACATACCCGATATCGGCCATGCCACCCAGCTGAATCACACATGCAGGACAGCCCTCGGCGCGACAGACCTTCGCAAATGCATCGAGGAAACAATTTGCGGCAGCATAGTTGGATTGACCGATGTTTCCACAGATGCCCATGATGGAACCAAACATGAGGAAAAAGTCCAGTTTGTTGTGGTCCTTTATCGCACGATAGAGATTCCTTGTCCCAGTTACCTTGGGAGCAAGAGAGGCGAGCCAATCTTTATGTTCCATATTCATGAATGCTTGGTCCTGCCATCAAATTGTCAGCAAAAGTTTCGATGTTCAAAAACCATACGATGGGTGGATACCTTTATAACCATAGCAAGCTGAATAACCCCGGCTAACGGCTTCGGGCACGAGGAAACCGCCCGTAGTACATCCTCCATATGCACGACATCACCAGCTACAACAGTTGCGGTGCATCCCATGGCTTCCAGCTCTTGAACAAAGGATCTAGATTTATCAGTGTTATCCCCAGACCGGGACAGAAAGACCAAGCTTCTTGCACCCCGCTCAGCCATCCATCTCGCTATAGCCACTCCAAGACCCCCAAGACCCCCAACCAGAAGGTAAGAAACATCTGGGGAAAATGAAAGAGATGAGACGGTCACAGAGACGGGGATCTCACTTGAGTCTTCAGGAATCTTGATAACTATCTTTCCCATGTGTTGACCAGTTTGCATGAGTCTGAAGGCTGCTCCAGCATCTCTGGCCTCAAAAATATTTTTTGGCTCTATTGGTTTGACTGCACCTTGCTCAAGATATGAGCCCACAGTCTTTATTAGTCTGTTAATATTGATGTTAATATATAGCCCTTGTCCACGCTTGAAGCATCCAAGATCAACTTGCCTTTGACACTCGTCCGGTCGACCAAGAGCCAATCCTAACAGATCGAAAGCAATAAAGGAACGATTGTTCAAGAAAGAATTCATGTTCAGTTTGCCGTGACCCATCATGTCCCTCTTGCCAATTTCAATCATTTTTCCAAACTCCGCGACACACTCCCACGAGGCATGAAGATTCTCGCCAGAGAGGGAGTTGAGAACGACATCTACACCCTTTCCGTTAGTCTCACCAAGGACCCCATCTTTGAAGCTCGGGTTCCTTGAATTGAAGATTCGATGGCGGGGTATTTGATATTTGTCAACAAGATATTGTGCCTTAGTATCGTTTCCAACGGTCGCATAGATCTTTTCCTGTTAACCCCCAGTCCCTCGTGATGTATTGGAAAGGTAAACTTACCTCTGCGTCCAGTAACCGAGATAATTGAATTGCTGCTAGTCCAACGCCACCAGCAGCAGAGTGAATTAGTATGGACTGAGATTAATTAGCACAGAAAAACATGGTTTTTGTCGTTGAAGATTACCTGTCCTTTGTGCAACCCTCCAAGAGTGATGAGCGAGTAGATAACCGTGCAAAAGGCGACTGAGACGGTAGCAGCATCCTCCAGAGACACGTCTGGCGGAATACGGATGCAAGAATGGCTCGAAATGACTGCAGAGGTTCTCAGAAGAGAGGAACCACATACAATGACTTGATCTCCCTCCTGGAAATCTTGGCTATGTGGACCAGGTCCAATTTTCCGAACAACACCAGTTGCTTCTAATCCAATATCGTCCTTCTGGCCAATGAATCCCATGGCATGCATCAGATCCTACGATATCGTCAGTATCAAATTGACCAATCTCAAAAGCTTTTCAGTGCTATAAACATACCTTGAAGTTCAGACCAACATATTTGATGTCAATCTCTAGCTCACCTGTTCCCGGTGGCTGGGGCTCAAATCGCACCCATTGAATGGTGTCAAGCAAGCCGCACGTAGTGATAGTCAATCTCTTGGACTCCGGCTGCTCGTATGCCTTTTCAAGTGTTGTCGACAGCCGACCGGGATAGTAGCGGCTGGTAAAAACTTTCTCGCCTTCAGATGAATACTCATAGTCGGGATCCAGTGCAGCGTTTGGTGATGACTGGATCTTTTGCTGGACCTTAACCAAAGAGCTCGAGGTCGCTTGATCCACAGAGGTCATCTCAAAGGTGGCACATGGAATAGAGAATTCCAAACGGAGTGTTCGCATCATGCCTAGAGCGAGGCTCCACCGCGGATCTACACAGCGCATTTGAGTGTCACGCGTGACCCAGAGCATACTTTTTGGAGCTGAAGTTGCCATGAAGTCCCGGAAAGCGTTAAATTTTGCTTCAGGAATATCTTCAAAGAAGGAAGTTTCCAAATCGAGTAGCGAAACGACATGCTCATGGGAAACGTCGCTTTGTTGTAAGGTAAACCAATTCACGACGCAGCCAGCTTGCAAGAAGGCTTGCTCGACCATTTTTTTCGACTGACTGAATGTACCATCGTAAAGAAAGCTCACCTTCGGACTGTCGGTCGTAGTTGACTGTTGTCTTCGAGATATCATGCTCACGTTGCTGTGATGCGGCCGAACGTTGTCATATGCACTTGACTCAACTCCAGTAAAGCCAGCGCTTCGAAGCTCCTTATCCCATCTGTCAGGTGATACATAGGGCTTTTCTGGGCGCTCATCGTTTTCCCCAAGCCACCACTGAGGAAGTAAGCCCTATTGAAATTAGAGTCGCACTTTCTGATTGTAGGTTCAGAGAAAGTTACCATAATGCAATCCACTTTAATTGACTCTATAAAGGTGTCAGAGTTCTGAATAGTTAAAGCCCTCTACTTGGCAATAGGAGTCAATGCTCACCCGGATGAAGTTCCTGGAGGAGTAAATATCCACCTGGTGCAAGGAGCCTGCGAACATTTATAAGTGTATCTTTGAGACATGGCGTCGCGTGTAAAACCTAAGGATAATACTTTAGCTTGTCTTTTGATAATTTAGCCTGTCGGTAAGAGTTACATTAGCAGCTATAATGAGGTCAAAATACCCCTCTTGAAATCCCTGACCCACGGGATCATGTGTTATGTCAAGAGATTTAAATGAAAATCCGGGGAGTCGTTGAAGTCTTTCTCTTGCTGGTGCAAAGAAAGCTGGTGAAATGTCCGTGAAAAAGTATTCCGAGTATAATCGTCCAAGATCCGGGGTCTGAAGCGACGAAAGGACATCCGCTGTGGTCGCACCAGTGCCTGCCCCGATCTCCAAAATTCTCATGGATGGCTTTGAGTGGCTTAATGTCTGTAGAAAGGCGTCGTAGTTGGTGAGTCCAGCCGCAATGCTGTAAACTTTCTCCAATCCGTTGTCTTCCATCAATACCTCCAAAGGATTTATTCGGCCTTCAAAAATCTCACGACCTGCACGATTGATTCTGGTCATGATTTCCGTAAAGGCACTCCATTTGGGACCCATTTCTACCAGAGCGCTCTTCAAAGAGGAGAGAAGTAATTCTTGATCCTCTACGCTCATTTTAGCCCAGTCTTTTGTCTCTGGAACGACCGCGTAGTCTCCTGCTTCAAAGCGCTTCACCTGACCGTCCAACCAATTGATGTATTTGATGAAGTGAGGCTCTTTTGTGGTTGTGTCTTTCGATGAACGATGAATAGTCATCATATTCAATACGCAAACCTGTTCAGTCAGCAATAACTCGGCTTCATATTTCGCAGGACTTGGTGGTAGAATCCCGGAAAGCGAAGGCATGAATTCGATATCTTCTTTCCAGATAACCCGAGAAAAATGTGAATCGGAAGAATCTGGAGAGTCCTCATCCATTGGGAAGCACCTAATGCCACGAATGTCAAGTACGATATCATCATTGTGGGTCACTGACACGTCTCCCGTGAAATTGCCATTTGTGATACCGTGGCAGTCAGCTTCCGCCTCAAGATTAGCAGAGGTGCAAGCTCCAACATAGATTTTGTCTATCGAAATTGGAATTGCAACCCGATCGAGATCTCTGGAAATGCCACTTGTGGCAGCCACGGCGACTAGCTGTAGGGCTTTATCGATGAGGGTTGGGTGAATTGCAAATCCACCAACATCTGCAAGATTCCCGTTGCGGGAAATCGTGCCCGCTGCTATTCTTTTGACTGGATCGGCTGTGACGTTATTCAGGCCTTGGAAATAAGGTCCATAATCGAGCCCAATCCGTCGGAATGATTTGTACCAGTCAGAAGCATCCACCTTGCGAATGAACGAGCTGATGTTTTTCACGGTGGATTTGGGGTGCTGCACGCCGCTTACTTGTCCGGTGCAATGTTTGGTCCACTCAGTGCCACTGAACGAGGAGATAGTAAAGTCAAACCAATCTGAATCCAAAAGGTCGGTCAGGCATGAGAATTTTAGACTGGTTGTAACCTCGACGTCCTTGTCTACATCCAGAAGTAGCGCCTTCTTGATAAAGAGGTTTCGAATGGAGAATGCAGTGGTTCCCGTCATTTGTCGAACTGCTTCACCGACAGCTGCGATATGTGCGGCTGCAGGGTAGACCACAGATTGAGAAAATTTGTGGTCAGATAACCACGCACTGTTTTCGAGAGAAAGTATATTGCGCCAAAAAGGCTCAAGATCGCTGGATTCTATAGCCCGAGAGCCTAGAAGCTCGTGATGACAAAATTGGCGATGACGCCAACTATTCGCGACACGGTTTTCAAACCTTGCACTCTTGGAGTAATTCCAAGGATAAGGTGGTAAATCTGTCAATATCTTTCCGGGGCCATTAATAGATGGCAGTGAGATTGGCAATCCCTGTAGAAACAGTTGGCCAGCTGCTTCAAGCGCGTCGGATACTTCGTCCTGCGCTCTATGTAGCGTTGGGAAGTAGTGTACGGGTGATTTGGGCTTCGCATCTCGGATGATCTGTCGCAAAGGGCCAGATAATGAGCAATGTGGGCCTATCTCTAGAAAGCATGACGTGTCTTCCTGTAGATCCTCCAGCGCTGTCTTAACAGCGGTCTGAAAAAGGACCATGGACTCCAAGTTTCTTCTCCAATACTGGGCATCTAGGCAATCAGCTTCACTAAGCTTCCTACCATGAACAGTAGAATAGAAAGGGATCTCTGGAATGGAGAATCGAATGCGATCGTGAAGCATCTTTTCCAATTCCGGCCCTACATCTGCCATGTGATCTGTTTTCTTGTTAGTTCTAATGACATGAGAGACAATAAGAAGACCAGACAAAGCAACGTAAAGTGACTGAAGCAGCTTGGTGCAACTTACGAGAGTGATAAGCCGTTTCAACTTCAAGGCGCCCAGTGTATACATCGGGATGTGCCTCCTTCACACGATCGAGAACCCGGACTAGAGCATCTTGATCACCTGATATCACGACACTTTGAAGACTATTCTCGCATGCTAAAACAATGCCATCTTCCAGATATTGTTTCATAGTCTCTCGGCCTAATCCAATACTTGCCATTCCTCCGCGTTTCTTGAGGGAACCGCTCGCCTGCCCCCGATAATACGCGATCATGATGGCAGTTTCAGCAGTGATGGATTTGGCTGCATATGCAGCCACCATTTCACCACTTGAATGACCTATCACTGCACTTGGATGAACGTTCCAGGATGCGAGTAGGTTGACAAGTCCAATTTGAACAGCGGCGCATAGTGGTTGGGAGTACTCCGCTCTTAGAAAGCATGAAGCATCACCGATTGTGGTTAACTTATCTGTAAAGCACCGTGAGCTTCTTGCAATAAGAGGTAATTGACCTGTGTATTATAATGAGGGGTAGATCATACCTTCCAAAGTCCAGGTAGGGGTCTGCGGTAAGGACTGAAGGACTCGATCCATGGTCCTAATAGCCTCACGGAAACAACCAAATGTTTCAAAAAGTCGCTTGCCCATGCCAGGCCACTGAGAACCTTGTCCTGGAAAGACAAAAATCATCGACTGTGGCTTCTGTAAAGAAGAATGATGCTTTTTGAACACGGGAAGTTCCGTTACTGCTCCATTTTGGATGATGGCGAAAGCCCGATGTCTCCAATGGTCCCGGCGTTCCCCCAAAGTGTAAGCCAGATCCTGAGAAGCAACCTGCCGATCACGGCAATATGATGACAATTGGACTAGCTTCTGATCTAGAGATTCTTGACTCACTGCAGATACGATCACGAGCTTTGAGGAACTGTTTGTAGACAGGATGCTCTCAGCGCTTGTAGGTCCAACACTCCATAAGCGAGCGGACTCCAAGATAGCCTAATGGTTGAGTTAGACCCAGCAGAAGTCCGAGGAATATTTAAAACGTACATGTGCGTTTGAACCGCCAATACCGAAGCTGTTAACACTCACTCGCTCGTCACGATCCTCGGGCCACGGGAGAAGCTCCTTGGCCACACGGAGATTCGCCTCCTTGAATGGAACTGGAGTTTGAGGAAAGTCAACACCCGAGGTATGGATGAAAATGGACAAAAGTCTTACTTCTCGGATTGGGGGTTCCAAAGCGTGCACTTGGAGGGATTGCTCTGTGTTCTAAGCAAAGAACAGCTTTGATCAGACTTGTGAGAGCAGAAGCACCCTCAGAGTGGCCGACATTTGGCTTTGCCTGGGGGAAAGAATTATCATTAGTTTTGCCCCTCTTTATCCAGCCTACCATAATAAAGGGAGAGAATGGAGTATGAGACTTACCGCTCCGATAACAACACCACTCGCTCCAAAGACCCGGGCGATGGCCTCGGCTTCGGTGACATCACCCGCAGCTGTGCCAGTACCATGACATTCGAAAAGACCGGTCCTGGTGGGGTCGAGTATACCAGCTCGCTGATATGCCTTTCGAATCAGATTTGACTGAGCTTCCGCACTAGGAACAGCAGGCTTGCTAGTTCTGCCGTTGGAGTTGGCAGTTGTCGACCGAATTACTGCCCGAATTGGATCGCCATCTTGAATGGCCTGGTCCAGCTTCTTGACATAGATAGCGTTAACACATTCCCCACGTGCATAGCCATTTGCATCAGCATCAAAGGTCCTACATTCACCGTCAACTGAGATGACCCCATTTTCTGACATGTTTGTTGTCATGGTCGGCGTCAGAATGATGTTTGAGCCAGCCACTATTGCCCCCGAGCACTCTCCAGAAGCGACTGACTGACAGGCTTCATGCAGCGCAATCATCGAGGCTGAACATGCAGTTCTAATAGTCATGCTAATATGTAGTTTCAGCATTGCATCTTGAAAGTTTTCACGAGACTAGTACCAGCCTACCTTGGGCCCCGAAGGTCATACTCATAGGAGACTCGACTCGCAAGACTGAAATCACTCGCAGCGAAGACTTGATGTCGATGCATTACAGCGGGGTCTTTCAGGCACATCTCCAGCCAATCCTCCCCAAAGTTTCCCACATAAGTTCCAATGTCCTTTCCGCGCCAATTCACCTGCCCAGCACTTTCCATGCATTCCCATACAAGCTCAAGCAGCAGTCTCTGCTGGGGATCAATCAGGCCAGCTTTGTCATTTGACATACCGAAAACAGATGGGTCGACCTTGTCCAGTTCATCATTCAAAAAGAAGCCTCGCCTACTTTTGACTGTCATGGGGCGGGAGTCACTGTAGAATGCGTCGATGTTGAAACGGCTCCGCGGTACTTCCATGCTCACGTCTCGTTTGCTGACGAGAAGATCCCAGAAGCTCTCCATGGATCTGACATCGCCCGGAAGTCTGACGGCCATTCCAACAATAGCAATTGGCGGTGAGACTGGTGCATTAACTGTTGAATGGGTGTCATCAGAGCCATTATGACTTGCGTCATTTGTCGCGAAATGAGGGCCATTGCCCGGGCCTTCGCAGGTGGAGCCGAGGGGTGAAGCTTTAAACTTATTTTTTTTCAGATCAATCTTGATACCTTCGTCTTGGTGGGTGGCTACCTCTCCGATGGATCCCATCTTGTTTATTGATGCAGATAAATCACGAAAGGGGAGGCAAGATTCAAAACCAAGGTGGAAACTGATAGAAGGTCAAGTTGTAGCTCAAATTTTCTCAAATAATTGAATCACATTAAGTAACGTGAAATCAATCAATAACAAAAGAGAATACTGGGAAAAGAAGAGATGATGATGGCTGTCAATTTATAGGGATGCAGGTATCCATTTCAGTATTGTTAGGAATGCCAGATTTCCTCATTAATCACTCGCCCGGATCTACGATTTCAGCTTTGTTTCCTTTTTACTATCCAGTGTTGCGTCGTTCCTATGTGGTCCTATTAGGGTGGTGGACGCTGAAGATCATTCAATGAATGCTGGTAACACAAAATTCGCAGTTTCACAAAAAGTGGTAACGTGAAGTAGAAAGCCAGATTTGCTTTTTGAAATCGTATTATCTCACCCTGAATTGAACCTTTTCTCTACATTGTAGGATGCTTTCACATTTTTTAGGAGCGCGATAATTGAACACCGCGGACTTTGTTGAATCCCTCACCAACGGCGTTTGAAGTAGCGCAGTAATTGTAATCCAGAAGGAAAAAGCTATCTCAAGTATTGGAAATTGAATCGCCTCACTTGATCCACGTCAATATATGAGATAACTCTCTATTGGAGTCATGATACAACCGCGGACGTATCTGTGAAGAGTACGGAACGTATGTGGTGTGAAGATGTGGCATGGAGAGAAGAAAAGTCTAAGCTACTGAAAGTGAAGGGATATAGTGGCATACAGATCAGGTGACCCAACACAAGTAAGTAAAAGTAGCCTAGTGGGTATCACTCTTTAATTACCTTCACATTCTAGCGTAGCCTACAGAGCAACATGAGCAAGTAGGTACTTGGGTATGTACTCAATCAAGTGACTCTCTGAACCTTGAATAATGTGCTACTTTGAATGCGGTAAGTGAGGGTGTTTAACTAATTTTGTTGTGTTCAATTAAACAGCTTACTTTCTTTAAATAAGTACTGGATGCACGACCAGACCCCTTGGGGGCAGATATTGCATGGACTTGTACAACAGGTGACAAACCCGCATCCAACGTAACACATAAATGCAAAGCCACCTGGATGTGATACATTTTTGATACATCGAGTGCCACAAATTGATTGCTTTTGTAGCTCAGACATTTCCTGGCCGCCAAAGCCGCAATCAAATCAACACTACCTTCCATGAAGAAACCCTAGGTTAGACTTTGCATGAACTTAAACAAATAATTGTTGAGCGATTTACACGTAGTACACACATACAAGGTCACCTAGAAATCGCTTAGCGTGTACACATCAAAGATGACGACTTATATTGCTTTTGAATTTGAGCCTGACTGCAGGACATCCACGTTTTCAAATGGCCATACAAGATAAGTCGTTGGCTTTTTGCGTTATTCCATTGTCTATTATCATCTGCTTGGTACAATCCCGTATATAGTGGTGGATGAGTGTGGTTCATAAACACACCTCTCACCTGTGGATGGTTGTGCCCCGCGGAGTACTGATTCGAGACACCTAACAGCCTGATTCTTGACATATCGAAATGAGCCACTTGAAGTTTTGCTCGTCAACCATCTGCAAAGCACAATAAAAAGACGAAAGCAAAGCCGTGGTGAATCGAACCGTCGCTACTCTGCAACCAAGTTTTCAATGGTGGGTATTTGCGGAGGAGCTAGTGTGTGGCTTATAGCTGCCGCTCTGATTAGTTCAAACGTCCCGAGGCTGTGCTGAACCAGTCAATTGGCTGTAGCTGAGAGACGCAGCGATCTTGAGTGAGGCTGCCTACATAGAAGATCTTGGAAGATAGGGTTTCACTTGTCAATTGAACCCAGCTCCCTCACCTCTGATCGCATTTATTATCGAATTAGCTGATGAGACAGATACTTTCCTTCAGCTCAAGACCCTTCGCTGTCTATGTGTTTGTCTTCTTCTTCATTTTGCATAATTCGTCTACAGCTCCGGCCTCTTGATGCTTTCTACTTTCATTGCCATTTTCAGCTCAGTTGTCGTTGCGGTGTATGCCATAGAGTATGTATTCAAAGCCTACTTGAGTCAAAATGTGGATCGTTCGCAGTCGTGTTTCTTTATGCCGTGTGCCCCACAATCGATCACTGATGAAGACCAGTTGCAGACTTTGGTGGCAGGTTTATCGCTATTCATTGTGTTTGACTTTTTCCCAGTGATTGGGTTGAAGATTGAAGAGTGGTATAGAGAACGGAAGGAGTTCGTCCAGGAGACGGAAGTGCGGATGGAGAAACTTAGAATGAGACAGCGTTCACGGCCGAGAATTGGTAGATATGGAGATTGATAAGGGAAGCTACGACCTCTCATATTGCTGTCGCCATCGAGCACAATCAAAATGGAAAGCGGAGGAGCCAAACAATGAATATGAGGTACCGAACCTCCCAGAGACTTATTTCGATGAACTCAACTATGAGATTATACATTCTTCTGCATACTTAGCACTAAACGCAAACTTAGAAACTGAAAACACCAACTAAACTTTTTTTCCCATCCAAAACTTGTCTAAAAGTCTCATAAGTGCCTTTGCTCTTGGTGTCATAGACAGCAAAGTACACTTCGCGCCACCAGTTCCCGCGAAACTCATCCTCCCTCAGAACCTCGAGCCAGAACTTCGCAATCTCAGCAGGGGGATTCGCATAGACCCCACAGCCCAAGGCTCCAAGAACTAACATCACATGCCCTTTGAGTGCTGCTGCACGAAGTGCTAGCCTCATTTTGATTTTGGTAAGTTTGATATCCCTTTTACGTGCAAAGATTTGTCGAGTACAAAGGTAGATGGATGATGGTGAAGGTGAACTGCGGTGTGAGCGTAGGGCATCGTCGCTTATCCTGATGTGGGAATTACCCATCGACACTGTCCGAAGTGCAGGTTGATGGACAGCAGCGATCGTGATTCCGCTGATAACGGGAAGATCCTGTGGTGTGGCAGAGGACGGCTCAAGCAGATTATGTCCGGAGACGAGGTCACTCCGCATGATGAGGATGTAGGGGCTGTATATCAACTCATCAAGAGCGAGCGGGTAATCACTGTAATCAAGGCTTAGTGACAGTGAGCTGCGATAGCAGATCGATTCCTCCTGTGCCATGGCGCCGTTCAGCCAGCCCCCGCCAGGTTTTCGGTGGCTTGCAAAGTTGATTATTATTGGGCGCAGGTTTGAAACACCTGAGTTGAAATTGTGGGCTCTTGCATTTTGAGCAAGGGTAATGGCGACGTTAAGAGTATCGTCATTGATGACTTTGATTGTCGCGGGTGATGGAAAGTGTGGGCAATTGTTGGGGTGTAGGCGAGGGAGGGAATTTGCCGATTCTTTCTTAGACTGATGGGCCTCATTGTACGCACTGCGTTTGTGCAGAAGGCCTGGCAGAGCATCGACGGTCTCCTGGGCGGTTCTTTGGAGGACTCGTCTTTAGGAAATGGGTCAGTATCTCCATGATGGCAATGATAGCGATGGTGCGGTGGGGCATACCTTTGGATTTGACCTGGCTGAGGAAATCTATCCACTAAATCTCTTAACGCGGATGCTCCTTTCTGCAAAGACATATTCGTGTTGATAGTTTGGATAGTTTGAACTCAGAAAGAGAGAGAGGGAGTAATTTGCTCTGTTGAAGCAAAGCCAGTTCTAGCATGCCTTCAAATTTTAGGTCGACGGAACTTGCCATATGTCGCGCGTTTGTTGATATTATGGAAACGACGGCTTCCTAATACACTACTGAGCTTACCTAAGTCTTGTTTGTTAGCCTTAGGATTCATATTAAATGAGCTCGATATATCAAGATAGTGGTAGATATAACTTCTAGCTGCCAGTAATGCTGTTCTGCAGTCGCAGTGATGGCTACCGACAAGACTATGGTATGAGACATCTCAAAAACCTCTCGCTGGCCTTCGCTCATCATTGCTTAACATAGGAACTGATACGTTTAGCAAAGGGAGCCCAGTTCTATCAAAAGGGTATGCCAAATTCCGCTGGTTCAAAATATAATCTAATCCACTAGTCTCCCGAGAGTTCAATTCTAAGTGGAAACACTCTAAGACAACTGGAGAGCTTGTCTCCATCTATGTCATGTGTGTTTCATCTTCGGCTGCCATCAACAGTATGTTAAAAGTAAGCTAATGGCCCAACTTCCAGAAAAAACGCCAAAGACCCCAAACTCGAGCTTCGATTCCATGGAACACAACGCGCCTGCAAGATTGGAAGTGGCTCTCTTGAACCCTGCGACAAAGAAGAATGCTATCTTTGCAGCATCCTCAAGAATGGATTTTCACTCGAACACGCTAGTAAGTAACGAACAAACATCCAATTAACGGCAATGCGATTCTAATACATCACTAGACCCTCGAGCCATGTTTGGACGAGGAATCTACTCCAGTGTCGTCTCCTCGAGTAAGTCCCTCATTCCTCTACTGCATTGTTAGCTTATGTTATCTGACCATTCGTCTCCAGAGGCCAATATCTATGCCAAAAACCATCACGTCCGCTCCAAAAAGCATGTCTTGATTCTCTGTGGGCTTGATCCTGGCCGGGTTAAGAACATGAAAGCTGCGGGAACTCCAGGCCGATGTGACTCAGTATGTTCCTGATGAAGGATATATCGGCTCTGATTCGCTGACTATATCCACAGGTAGAAGGGCTTACTAAAGCTAATGGTGGCCAGCTTGCATACCAAGAAAGTGTCGTCTACAACACATCAAGAATCAAGCCGATCGGCCTAGTCGTGTATACGCGAAAGGGGTGGAAACCGCGTTGATTGATTCTATGTCTCTGATTCATGAATCCTACTTTAACGTGAAGGATGTATCTCGGCTTTTCAATGAAATCATTACTGGTGTGTTGGCAACCTAAAATAAAGTTCACATTGGGAACAATGTCGCTGTATGTTGAGAAATGAATAAGCGCTACAGAAACGCTGGTGCGCCTGAAGATATTTGGTTGCCTAAACTCAGCGCTGGGATTATGGCGCTTATCATAAGCGAACAATATGCCAGGCGAATGTTTGGGAGGAAGCATCCTACAAACCTCTCAGCCTGCTCTGCCCAAATCATCCTTGTCGAAACATAATTTGCCCACAATTACAGAGATTTGATGTCTCTCTAGTCGTAAAGGCTTTCGTTCTTCTCTTTTATTGGTAAGTATTACTCAGTGAACTCTTGATACTACGAGCTGATCGAATGAATGGATACATTTTTTGACACCGATTTTGGCAGAGCCCTGACAAGACTAACCGAGATAGCGAAAAACAACCCGAAGGATAAATTTTGCCTCCCTTACCTGTTAACGAGGATTCATCAATGACAAATCCCGGCTCGATGATTCCAGAAGCTGAACCACCCTTTGAATCTACAAAGGTCCCTCGCCTCATGATGGAGGTGAATTCTGCATATGAACCCAATGATACGTTCATTGAACTGCCGACCCATGGCTTGGAGCGAATCGACAGGTCGTCCAGAGCCATGAATATCCGCATACCGCACCAGGGGAGTCTTTTTGAGGCAATACCTCAAAATCACTCTCTGTCAGTGCCGACAAGAATGATCGTGGTACGTGGATACTGAGTGACATCTTATGTCAACTGCTTATCACTCGTAGGAACTGAGTCAACTGGAAAGGTCCACTCCCTTTTCGAAAACAGGTAGGAGAATCCGATAGTACAAGTTTTCTATTCTTCGGTTACTAAAGCGTGATCGATAGTTAAACACCAATTTTGCAACTCATGGTTGGATAAACGCAAGAAGTCCCACATTGAAAGGATAATCATTTTTGATATCAAAACTTTGCCATCTCACACGAGCGGGGAAACGCCGGTTATTCTGAAAGCTAGGTATGCACACCTTCTCGGAGTATCACACCTCGTCGATGATAGGCTTTAAAGTACTCAACTCATTTCTAGTCGCGATGTTGAAATGCTTGGCTTGCTCAGAGATTTCCCACTACGCTTCCACGGTGGTCGTCGTGCCTGCCATATTGGGGATACCAGTCGCTCTTTGAAACTTTGCGGCAGTACCAAATGCGAAATCTGCTCCATCTTTCATGCACACTACGCGGCGAGAAAAGCTGGTAAGTGTTCGCTGAAAGCGATGATTGGCATTTGGGACATTCAAATATTCCGCTAACCTGACCAACAGGTAGAAGCTTTGAGTCGGGTCCCAGAATACGCACTAGCCCCAAGTCGTCCCGTAAGTATTCCCACTACAGCTTTCCATTGATATCTATTCTAAGCACCAGGCTCTGCCACATATAGAAGCTGATTCCTTTGTGGCAAACCACCATATTCGCTCATCCCAGCATGCCATGATCCTTTGTGCATGCCCAAAAATTGTGAGCAATTTTGAGGGAGACACAACACATCAAAGCTAATATAATACCACAGTCGAATCCTCAGACCATGAATTTAGGTGGTCCTCCTCTGTACACAGCGTTTGCCTCCCCGAGTACAATTGCCGTTCCAATCGGACTGATCATGTATACTCGGAAAGGGTGGCATACTTCATAGGGGGGTTTGAAGCAATGTTCAACAAGAGGAAGCGAGACTAGGTCAGAATCGAGTCAGGAATTGAAACAAAATTGCAGAAGTGTTAGAGGACTGAGACCGTTTGCTATTAGTGCCTGAGGCAAAGTTAAAAGGACAAAAGGTTGCTTTGACCGATTTGCTTGTTGTTTCATTCCTCCCTCTTCTAGCTGTATTAATTTGTTTCAAGAACTAATATTGCCGACAAGTGGGACAATTTAAAGGACTTCAAGGACTATTTCACTATCTCTCTGGTTGGAGATCACAACAAAGATCCATTTAACCAACTCAGTAAAGGAGAAGAAAATCCGTCGACTTCGAAGGGTATGAAACCGATGTCAAAGCCATGACCGTCTAACGGGCCAATTTCAGGACCCTCGAGCCCCATGTTAGTACCAGAACCCATAAAGGCATTTGGAGTAGAGATGCTGGTATGTGATGTAGCACGCTGAGATGTCCCCTGAGCAGCCTCTACTGCCGTGTCTATAGGCTGTTCAACTACATGGCGACTCCCAAAAAGCTCAGCCTCTGCCAACTTTCTCTTTCGTGAGATCACCGCGCGCTCCATCAAGCGCGATAGGGGTTTCTGAAGCATCGCATTGGTCTGCAAACCCTCCTGCAGCCACTCGTTATAGATTTTTGTCACCACCTCCCAGGTATGCTCCGTCTCAGGCGTAATTGGTCGCACGCAGAGCTCGGAAAGGATATATGCCACGACTTGTTGTTGCTTGTAGCTTTTGTTAAGCCACACCCACTGAGCCGTTACCTCATTATTTTGCAACAGTGTCGCGAATTTGAGAATCTCGACCGCCATGTCGAAAATTTCGTCGTTTTTAGTGACTGAGGAGTCTTGATCCGACGCTGAGAGATTCAGGCGATGTACCAGCCAAGCTTTGGAGAGCATGAGTCGAGCAATCACAGCCGTCATCCATTGAATTGGGACATCCAGGTCAAATTTGTGCAGATATTGCTCCTCGAGACGGTTCGCCAAACTGGATAAAATTTTGTCTTTCTCGGGCATAGACGACTGCCGCGCGCCCTGGTCGAGAGACTTGTCGGCCCAGTATAAGTTGATCATAATCTCACAGTTGAGTATACACAATGTGATGTCAGTATGCCCCATTTGCGAAGACGGCAGACTAGCCATCTCTGGTCTGAGTTCGTCTCCGTCGATGTTCGATGGAAGCTTGGTATCAAACATCCCAAGTTGGATCTGGGTATCAGTCCCTTGATCCTCCGAGCAGAGCATGTCCATTATACATATATGCCACCACAGCCGGCGGCGCATTTCGATCTCGAATGGCGTCAGTCCCAGCTGCTGGCCATCCCGATGCATTCCCTGACGCTGTGCGACGCGGACCACAATCGCGGCTTCGGCCCATACGCGCTCTAGATCACTGCACTGGCGAAGGCATAACAAAAACAATACAGCAGCCTGCAAGACACGCATGTCCTGAGTACTAACCAGATTAGCCCCTGCCAAAGCCTGCTCCACTGCGACTCTGTACAGATGGACGCAGACATCGTGACTGTCACTGAGAACAGACAGACATTGCTGCGGTGTCATGCTCACCACCGCAGCAAAGCATATGGCGAGGATGAGAGCTTCTTGTTCTGCTTGCAAGGCTGAGTCTGGGTTTGCACAATACTCATCTACAATAGCCTCGATGGAGGGTTTGTGCAGAATGACAATCAAGGGCGCCACATTATCCTTGAAGACGCTCCACAGCGCGCGAACTTTAAGAGGCTGGAGAAAATGACTGTTACTTGTGTCGGAATATGCATCTCCATCTGAATCTATAAGTCCTATGAACGGATCGGTCATAAGATTGGCATTGGCGTTGGTATTGCGTGATGCGCTCTCTTTTCCCAAAGATTCACCACAGACTTCCTGTAATTCTCGGATCTATCTCTGATCAGTCACAGGAGGGTTTCTTAAACAGAAGTCAAGACTTACTTTATCCCCAATGAGGACCGACGCCTCGTCATCTACATAACGACTTCGTTCGCCTCGAACAATTAGCCTGCCCCTGGAGTGTTGTGGCTGCTCACTATCTTTACTCAGGCGGCTTGCGTCATTGACGCTCGACTGAGAACTCATAGTACTTTGATTGGCGGTCGATTTAGACCGCAGATATTTAACCTCGTCTTCCAACTCCTTGAGATGAGCTAGAATTTCGGAGATTGGAGGCCGTCTCAACTTCCGAGGAGCTCGCTTGTTCCCCGGGTACTTGCATTCAACCCCAGATTCCAGACATCGACCACAGGGGTGATTTCGGTCACATCCGACTTTCCTCTGGTTGCAGCGGAAACAACTGCGTTTATTTGAGCTCCTTCCTTGAGGACTGGAAATCGCCTGGCGCGAGGGGCTAGTCTGAGACATATCCAGACTCGACTGTCAAGTGACGTATATTTTTCAGTCATCAGCAATCATCGAGCATTTGCTGTCTCGCCCGGCGTTTCAATAATAATCGAGGGTTCCAACAGTCATGTTGAAGGGAAAGCTTTAAGGTTCGTTAGTCAGACGGAGTTGAAAGCTTGCTGATTAACCGACCCAACAGACTGGGATCACATAATGTCTAGTCCTGCTCTACTCAGTGGCTACTCTCAAGCTTGGAATCCAAGAAATTTCATTATTTCTTCCATTTCATTAAAGGTTTGGTTGAGAACGTTGGCAGAAGAGTCTTAGGCAAATAACATCTTCATGCCCCACTGAAAATTGGTCACTATTGGACTTCACCGCCCGGGATGTCTATACGATGGCTGACAAGCGTCCCCGTTTCTCTCTCATGGGCACGAACGTATTCGATTTAAGCTAATTCTACCCGCTTAGCTACTTGCACAAGGATTTATGAATAAAATTCCTTCATTGTCAATAAAGTTAAGGAGTCGCATGGGTTTACAGGTTCAGACAAGTCAGAACTTTATTATGCCTGCCCATACAATTAAATATCCACCGACTAGATACAACTATAATACTCCACATCTTGCCCTCCTTCATGTTAAAACGAGGACTTGTTCTCTTCCAAGTAAGCCTTCCAGGTTCTGGTTTGGAAACCAAACTTTTCAAGGAAATCATGGCTCTCCTTCAGGCTTTGACCCTTGTAATAGCCAGGGCTCTCGATGAACAGGTGATTCTCCAACATCTCCTCACCCATAGGTCCAGGGATGAAGCTCTTATAAGTTTCAGAGTCCACCTGCACAAATCGCGTCTTCTCTCCAGTAACCTCCTCAAACTCGGCAAGAATGCGAGTGGGAGTGTAGTAGTCCGCTGCGGCGAACAGCTGGGCGCCAAGTGACTCGGAACGGTTTCGCAAGGCAGCTGCGACATATTTGCCTGATAAAATCTTTCATTAGCGCTCCTGAAGATCCTATGCTTCGGAGTTTAAAGAATTGCTACATACCAAGATCACTTGCGATATCGACAAGTGGGAACTGGGCATCTTTGCTAACAGGGTAAGCCAAAGTATAGACACCATCGTCACCTTTGCGCAGCATTCCGAATGAAGTGTAGTTGGTCATGAAATAACCTGGCAAGACAAATGTAGCGGGGATACCGATCGACCGAATGTACTGCTCAACATGTGCCTTCTGATCAAAGTGAGGGACATGCTTGAGTCGTCCGCCTGATTCCTTGGTGACGTCAAGCAGAGAAGAGAAGATGAGATGCTGTACACCAGCCTCTTTGGCGACATCGGCGACATTTTTGCCGTGCACGAGCTCAGCATCGGAATCAGTGACACCCCAGGCCGGAGTAGTGACGAGGAAGACCGAGTGGCTTCCTTGGATAGCTTTGATCAATGACTCCTTGGAGTTCATATCAGCCTCAGGATAATGTTAGTATACAATCGACCCATGGTACTTTTTGAAAGAATGCTGCTGTCTTACGGAAGTGAGCTCAACTCCCTGCTTCAAAAGAGCCTGAGCTGCCGACTTCGAAGTATCACGAGTGATACCGCGGATCTTGAAATCTTTGGATAGAGTATCATCCTGCAAAATAGCACGAATCACAGAGCCACCCTGTTGGCCGGTAGCGCCGAAAACGGTAATAAGCTTGGCCATGATTTATGTTTCTGAGAATCAAGAATTGTCGAATAAAGGAATAAAATTCGAATGTGCTGTGGTTGAATGAATACCTCTGATGCACCGCCCTGAAGCAACTATTATATAGTGCTCCTTCACATACTTTACGTCACGGGGAAAACCATATACAATTTCAATGTTTGTGTCGGCGCCCGGCACCACTTTGTCAGCACCTTATTTTCGGCCTCAATTCTAAACCCGCTGAAAAACAATGGAGAGTGAAAGTAAGCAAAAGCCGAGCATCCGAGTTAGTCATCACTTCCACCGAACACCGAAATTAAGCATACCTGATCTGCACCTATCCTTGTGCTGCACCTATCCCATCGTAGGATGGGTTGGTGCCTGATCACTGAGGGGCTACGCCTCGCGTGAAACGTTCCTCCTGCAGTGGTGTTGCATGAGTTTGAATTCTCCTCCACTCTTTACATAATATTCTGCCATGTTTCCTGCCAACTAAAACCTCACATTCTTGGCTAAATAAGCTCAGCATGTATAAATTGCAAACTAGACATTACTGAGAACATTCCTAGTAACGTACTACATTTGATTCATGTGCAAGGATTGTGTGTTGACCGGTGCTCTATTTTTGGTCAGCGTACTGCGCATTGATAATAAGCTATACATAGTAGGCGGGCTGAAAGGCTACTTCCAAAGTCATGCAACGCCACTGTACTGCCTTGTTGTTATGGCGTGCAAGAATTAGAATAGTATTTTACGTAATCGACATGTCGGAACAGGGAATAAATTGAGCACCAGAGACGCATCATAGGCACAAAATCACACAAGAAAGAAACTCAAAGCCCCGGCCGCAGCAAGCAAGCATGATATGCCGCCGACAGCTAGTTGCTGCGCAGCATTGTCCTTATTGTCCGCGCAATCGGATGGTGGATTCAAGCCATTACATAGTCGGGTATGCAAAGAGGCTTCCATACTTGCGACGATTGTCTTGTCAATATGGACTTGGCAAGGATCCGAAGTGGGAGTTGGGGCGGAGGACGCCACGACCGCGCAAGTATGATTAGTGTGATCACCACCAGACCAAGTCACCCCCCTCGGGACTTGCATGGTTTTGTCCGTCACATTGATTGTCATACCGTATTCCCCAGGACACGTTTTGTTGGCTGTTGCAGCAACGAGATCCACTTTGGGGGCTGAACTTTGAAGAGTGAACCAGGTAGACCAAGTAGAAGAGTTGCTTATTATCTTAGCATCGATAGGATTGCCTCCGAAGGTATCCTCGTCGCAACTTTGCCAGTCTAGGGTCCACCTCACCCTCCACCGTCCTTCGTCCTCGAGGAAATCAAAGTACTGATATGCGTAAAAGGGGTCTTCCCCGGTCCAGTTGGTCCATCTTAAATCATGCAAAAAAGTACGTGAGTTGTTGGTATCATCCAGATTCCATATCGTATAGCCAAGTGCCGGGTTCAGGTATCGGGCGCGCTCTGGATTCTGGAAAGCAAAAACAACAGGGAACCATTCCGTGGGCGCATATGTTTCGTTGCGTGGGAAAACGAGATCTACTTCTAGTATGTCAGAAGCATTTGTTATGGTTCCGGTGAAAAAAGCGAGCAGCCAGCTCTTCCGAGGAAAGTGCATGTTGAGGGCAGGTCTGATTTTCAAGAGCGGTTGTGGGACTGGAGAGGAAACAAGTCTAAGATTCCTTTCCACGAAAAGCCTGCAGAGGTGGCTATCAATTCGGTGTCAAGGGCGAAGGAAAGATGCAAAAAAGAGGCTATGTGTCGCACGAAGTGAGCCAAATTGTAGTGAGATGCTCAATTCTAGCCTGCATAAGCTCGCACCTTGGCGGCTCAAGTGCAACGTTGCCACCGGGTCCAGGACCCTCCATGTTTTTTGCCTTTCCCCAGACTAAGGACAAAGTAATCCCGAGAGGGACGGAATCTACGGAGTAGATCCGCCCCGAACAAGGCTTGGCCAAGGCTCGGCATGGCGGGGGTAGCTAGTAAATTGCAGCGTTGCAATGCCCAGACGTTAGCCAAGAACGCAAATGAGCAGTTTCATGCAAACGCATTTCTCGGTCCCGAAATCAATTCGCTTGGAATCCTTGCTGGTCAGATGTGCGATCCTGTCGGCTTGAATATCCCAAACTTTGGTGGGAACTTGTTACTATATCCAAGTCTCGCACTCGATCCCTTTACAGACTAGATTTCGATTCACGATTTTCAATTCTGCCACCTATAACTTGAAATTTGTGAGATCCGCCTATATGTTCACCGCTGAGTCTGCCTAGATGCGAATGTGTTGATGTAATAATGCGCCGAGTGATTCTGAGCTTGAATAATCTTGAAGCAGCCGAGGAATAATCAACAGAGGTACTCCAGGGTGGGCAGAGCCGGAAGATTACATTACTATTTCGACTCTGTTTTGGCGTAGTATAAGGAATAGACAGGAGGATATACCCTCGGACTACTATTACTACTACTTAGGAGTAAGTACTGGACTACTAGTAGTGTTAGGACCTCGAAATTGTTATATAAAGGAGTACGGAGATTGAAATCGATTAAGAAACCAAATACTCATTTGCCTTTTGCCAAACTCCAGTCTTTAGTACATAGGTATTTGAATCTTAACTTACTGCGTAACAGACATTTTTCGGCATTCTTGTTATTGGCATAGTCACAGTATAAGTTAAATACAATGCACTTCACAACTATATTTGCCGCTGGAGCAGTCTCTGGCCCGAGTCAAAGCCCGAATATTATGTAAGACATGGTTCGGAATCACAAGGAACCGCGCTTCATCCATCGAGAGTGAAGAGAGCTGTGGCTGCGCGCTTGATAAGTAGCCTGATTTTCATCGCTAGAACTGAGATGAAACGCCCAGACAGCCTGGAAGCAATGCGTATCCACCTGAGCTTTTTGGTTGCTGGCCTGGGCGTTGTAAGAGCTGTTGGCTGGGAAAAGACCGATGATATTGTAGAAGTAGGCCTTGTGAGGTGTCAGCAGCTAATCGCCAATCTAGGCCGTAACAAAGAATTCATCAGGAAACTCACGTCAACGGCACTTTGCAAGATGCGAATTTCAGAAGGAACTATGCTCTTGGTTGTTTGGTTGATGGATTTCAGCTGGGCTGCGCTGCTCGAAAAGGCGTCCATGAGCTCGAGGAGGGATTGCACGAACTAGCATTCATGAGTTTACATGGCTCTGATTGATTGAATCCTCGTCACCAACCTACATTTGAATATCCCTCATAGACGTCCTGCTCCTCCGCCTGATCGGTAATGATCGGCGTGTTCACCGTAAATTCTACATCAGTTAGAACCACAGTGACAATTGTGTCTATTTCAGTGTAGATATCCTGAATTTACTATGAGCTGTAGTTCATAAACCTTGAGAAGCCCCACTGACCGAAATTGGACCGGCATCCGCAGTGGAATTGATTTCCAGTACGAGGTCCTTCGCAGCAAATCCTTGCTGTGCTAGTTCATTGAGAGAGTTTGCAATTTCGCCGGAGGTTAAAGCAGCGACCGCCCAGTGCGTGCCAAGGCAAAGGGTCACGACGATCGAGAAGAAAATGTGATACATCGGATAGGAAGGAGAGACTGGTAAATGCACGGCAAAAATGGATTAAGAGAATTAAATAAAAGAATAAAATTAAGGAATGTATGAGTTTTGTACTACCTTGAAAAGAATGGCAAGAATAGCAACTTGAGCAGATGCAATCTGCAAAGAAAATAGAGACCATGATGGTGATATATACCAAGGTTGGTACTTCGTAGCTCGGAGTAATCACTTCCCCTGACTAGGCCTAAAAAGGACCCGCGAAATGAGTTGAACATCCCACTAACCACATCTAACGTAGCGTGGCAATCAAAATCCGGAGAAAATGCTACCTCATATCTCAGGTTTCACATAAGTAAGCATCCTTCCGAGGTGTTATGCGTGTACTGAAGTGCGCACTGACAATCTGCTCTATTTATAGCTTCCCACACGAAAACTAAAGTTTGAAGGCGCTATAGGTCCTTTGATGAACAGGTTATGTTCTCTGGGGGTGTCCCTGGCCGAGTACAAAGGTGTAGCTGGTGTAGGTAGCTGTTGCAAGCTATCACAAAAGTGGGTGGTGAGGTGTCCCACTCAATGTGGGGTTCAATGGAACGCGCCCGTCCTACATTGGCGCAGGCTGTACCATTCCATATTGTCGATCCTCGCGGGATTGGGATGCGCCACCACGCTTGAGAGAAAATTCAATCGACTGAAAAAGCTTCAAGGTAAAGAATGATGAATCGATTTGGGACTGGAGGCATCGCTGCTTATCCAGAAAAAACATGAACATGAACATTAACTTTGGACCCCTATAAGACTGTAAACAAGGGGCCTTTCTATACATTATGTACAATTTCAAAACACGGGGCGACCTTCATAAAGTCTATCGCGCCCCAGTAAATGCAACCCACTATATAATTAGTCCTTCAATGACAATACCTGCGCCGCACAATGTTAAGTGAATGTAAAAGAAAAAGGAAAGACAAAGAAATTGCTGTTCAAGGTTGGAACGGCGGTCAAGGTTTCGAGAGTTGTTCTTTGCGGTAGAAGAAGATGCAGAGCACGTTGATAGATATCATGAATAATAGACAGACCCAGAAGTCTGCCTTTCCCAAGCCGGCTGCGATGCCAGCGGAGAAATCAGGGAAAACGTTACCAGGGCCTAACTTATCCGGTGCTGTAGCGCGGGCGAGGATAGTCGCAACGGAACCGACCACCTGTGCGGCTAGAAGTGTGAAGGTCACATGGAACCGAGTCATTGTGTGGAGGAGTATCATTCCAAACCCTGTATTGACTGAATCAGGATGTGTCGCGTTTAAAGCGCCGTGAGAGAGAACTTACCGACACCCTGAAGGGAATCCAAAACTCCTAGCCAGAGCCATAGTGCTCTACCAACGAGAGCTCCAGCTACAGGACCACCGGCCCAGGGAATGTACATGCCTATGTTGGAGGTTGCCCACAGGATTTGGGCCCATCGAGGAGCCCCAAGACCGACGGCAAAGATCGGGATGAACCAGGCGTGTCGCTTGGAAAAGACGTGAAAGACCCAGAGAGCTGCCGCCCAGACAAAGATGAAAAAGAAAAGGACGAGTATAATGACCTGCCACACCTTTGCATGCTTGCTGGACCAGAGATAGAGCCAGTTTCGTCCGTAAGGTGCCGACAGCCAATAATTTGATATGAACACCATGTAGAAAAACCACTGCAGAATGCAGCGTTAGAATAAAAGCAAGCTGGAGGGAGAAGGAAGAGACATACAAGAATTATGCGACGGCGAAAGAGCGATAGGTAGAACGTCGGTACTTGACCTGGTGTTTGTCTATAATACGAAGGAAGTCCAAAGAAGACCAGGGCCCCCAACAGCCACAGAAGAGCGGCAAGTCCGAGTCCGATCCCGAGCAAAGCGCCTGGACTGGTCATGGCAAGACTAAACTTCATGTTACCTGTTTGATTGAGAGCTGCCATCCAGCTACCCCAGTACCAAAGGAAACTGATGAACAGCTGTTGAGTGCCCTGGATGACGGTAGCCCTATAAATCCAAGACTTCAGAGGCGCTCCACCTAGACAAGAAAGTTAGATAAGTTCCATACTTCTAAAATATTGTTGCATACCTTCATCTCCAAAGTTAAGGGCGAAGAAAATTGAACCACTGGAAGAGGCAAACGAATACAAGCCGATTCCCACGTTTTGTAGCCATGTTCGACTTAGGCCGCTAGGTACGGCGGCAAGACCGACAAACAAAAAGGCAAACCCATATATCTGCGGGTAGTTAGCTTATAACCTCTTAAACCAGAAAGAGGAGCGTTAACGTACAAAGAAAGGCATCGCCAATACATAGACAGAGGGGACCAAACGGAAGACCATCCACCATATGATAGAAGAAGCAAGGTAGATGGATGCCAAAATGTATAGCTTTTGGGCCGTCTCTCCAATCTCACCATTTAGAAGTGTGATCTGGTACGAGTTCAAAGCAAGAATTTGACCCTAAAGAAATGCTGTCAGTCTCTGTAATGAAGCTTTTGGTAGGGTTCCAACTCACAATAGCGAGGAAGATGGAGTATACAGGCCAATCACCCAACTTCATCAACATGAAACGCTTCAAGCCAGTGGGGGGAACATAGAAAACTGGGAGAACGAATTGCTCGGAGTGAGTGTCTCCAACTGAACCAGTACTTGGCGGGCTCTCTGGATGACCGGTTTCACGGACCTTGATGCGAAAGACAGAGGGAGCAGGAGAAGGCAAGGGGGACTTGCCCAATTTGACGTCGCGGTAACGATTGAACCAGTCTTTTTGGCTTTTCTCGAGGAACTCTTCGATGCAGAGCTGGTCCTGAGAGTTCTTGCCATTCAGACCCGCAAGCTTCTTCTCAAATTTATCTGCGTACTCGTTGTACGAATCCGTGAAAAATGGATCAACCTTCTGGAGGTTGTAGTCTAGTTTTTCCTTTATTATACCATCGACGCTGGCCAGACTCATCATGGACGCCCTTGCGTCTCGACCCAGCAGACCAACTTCTGGCCCTGCACTGAGACCTGGTGTGCTTGTGCCAGATCGAGCAAATTCAACGGTAGGTGTCCCAAGCGGTGATGGACGGACGCTGCCGTCCTCTTGGAAGGCCAAAGACATGGGCTCGAGATCTTCTCCATCGCTTTCTGCAGAGTAAACGATTCGCGGCTCTGCGAGGGGGTCGGAGGAGAAGAGTCTGCGTCTTGGGTCGGTATCAGAATCGGGCTCGTTGTCGGAAATGTTCAGATTGGAAGACGGAATTGTCGCTGACAGAACGTGGTCGAAATCTGGTCGAGGTACTGACAGTCTCATATCAGACGTGATCGGCCTGCTCGGCGGGTCAGACAAGGTGGAGCCTCGTGACCGGCTTTGTTCACGGCTGGTTTTTGAGCTTGAGACCTTGCGAATGCTTTCTGTGACAAGGGTGCTGCCAGTGGAAAGCCTCCATGAGCTGCGATCGTGACGTTTGGAGTACTTGGCGTGCTTTTCTATTGAGGTGGCATGTAGAATGTCTAGATCCTCAACCCACTGTGCTACGGGAAAGCGCTGCTTGCTGGATCGTGCACGCATGAGCGCTCGTGTCTCCTGGGATGATTTCAGAGCGTCGTTGATGGCCATCTTGAACTGTTGGATGAGATGTTTGGTTGTCATAGACTCGCTATAACGGGTTAGTCTGAGCATATTTTGAGAGGAAGGAACTCACATTGTGAACCACCATCCTGGCATCTGCCCAAGGCCACCAACACTAAAGAAGAACACGTTAGCACTGGCGATGAAATCAACCCAGACCAGTCTTACCGTGATCCCACGCCCAACGCTCCTTTCCGTCCAAATTCTACGGCCACTAGACCGAACGGTTCATCACGAGAAGGAATCAAGGCGAATTCAGCGCCACTGAAAATGAAGGGCGGCAGTGCAGTAAACTCTGGTTTGGAATAGACCCGCCCAGGGTAGAGCTCTGTGAGGCGATTGAGTTTCAACGCTGCAAATCTTCCAAAGAGATCAATGACTGGACCAATACACATCAACTGAACCGTTGGGTGGTCGTCTAGAATGGAGGGGAAGATGTCTGCAATCAGATCAACGCCCTTTTGCATGGACCAACGACCAACAAACACGAACAGCTGGGCCTCTGGGTCAACATTAAGGCCTGCCCATTCTTGCGCTTGTCTCTTGAGTGTGGCACGACTGGCTTCAAATTCTGCATCGATGACAACGTCTTCGAGAATGCTGTTCGCGTTGTGATCCCACTCGGCGATGTCAGACGGGTCTGGGTTTGGCAACGCTTCGATGTTCTTGAGACCCCAGAAAATCGGATATCTGGCGTACGACCTCTTGCCGTATTTCTTGGAGACACCGACAGCGCCGAATCCGTTTTGATGGATTTTCAGATAGTTGGCAGCTGCATGAAGAAGGTTGAACACTTCACCAAATTGTACATACTTCTTTACCAATGCATGGTCGAGGTTATAGACACTGCAAACCTCTTGGTTTTGCTGTGTAGTCTTCATTGGCCAGAGTCCCTGAAATTCAGCGTTATGCAGAGACAGACAGCAAGGAATAGTGCGAGGTAGAAGATAGAGCGGGGCAGCGGCGCCATGGTAATCATTGATGTGATAGAGGTCGATAGCCGGAAATCTCCTGATGGCTTCAGCGATACATTGATTCCAACTGGAATAAAATATGGCCGAATCCATGTCATCCATACGGGCAGGATACGGCTCTGTTTTGGACTGAGCTCGGAACACAGGCGCGTCTAACAAGACGTACGTGATGTTCTGCATCCGATGGTACTGGACATCCACTTGATATTTTTCACCAAGAATGGTAATCACAATCGGCTCTCGGGGATCGTCCTTGGGGTACTCAACGCCTCCAACACAAGGGACTACCCATATGAGATCATGCTGGGTGAGATGTTTCCCTACCAGCTGGGCCATCACACCGAGCCCACCAATTTTGATCTTGATGGCCCAATCCTCAATATCGTATTCCATCGTTGCAATGAGCACGGTTCGCCGGCGGATTGGTACCGGGGCGCCGACAACGCCTCCACTATCAGTTGGAAACAGGTCCGCATTGGTCAGAGCAAGTCCAGGATTGGATTCTCTGTCGTTAGATCGATGGGTCACCCGGTTAAAGACGCCCACCAGTGGAGCCATGCTTGATCTCTTCTCTGTGACACCGATCTGGTTGAATTTAACCTGATAAAATGCCTTCAGGTAAATACACACCGCACCGACAGCAGTGGCGACAGGTACAATCGCTAGCACGATAAATATGGAGACCTGAGCCCACATGGATCCTGTAGGTGTAGCGTAGACCCTAAGATCGCCGTCATCGACCGACAGCTTGAAGGCAAGATAGGGCGAAGGGGGTGGGATGGTGACGTTGAAAACATTGCTCAGCAGCGTGACTGGAGGGACTTGATCCAGAACATTGTCTCCATCGATGTCCCCAAAAACCTGCGTTTGATCAGGAAGGCCGTCTTCGTTCAATCCCCAGGCGTTGAATGCAACCTGCACGGGCCATTCGCCCATGAAATGGATTTCCCATACGCCAGTGTCGTTGCTCAGAGCCATTTTATTGGAATAGCCAGCGTCATATCCGAACTGGTTGAACTCGCCTTCGATGAAGAGGTTTGGGAAACGACGTGGGGGCTTGTATGCCCATTGCGTATCTCCATGCGTCCAATGAGCGCTACTCCCGGTCAACTTGCTCCAGTATTGGGCAAGGATATGTTCTCCTTCCCAGGCCTGCTTGGCAGTGCCGCTCCAGTTCTTGCCGGGAATCGATGTGTTGAAACCGGTGTATGTCATCCAGGCACTGAATGTAGCTCCAAAATCCAGCGAGTATCGCCACATGTCTGCACCGGGGGCTTGTGGCATTACTGATAAGGGTTCAGTGTCAGACGACGGGTTGTCGAACAGTAAGGTTCTGCTGTAGTTCGCTAGCTGTGGCCAGACCATCGGATTGTTTATCTCTCCAATCCGGAAGAGAAAGTGGTCAATGGACTGCGAGACTCAATTAGTACTCTCAATTACTCGACCTTTTAGCGAAATCTACTCACACCTGTGGATTTATTTCCATCTGCTGTAGTCACGTTGCTAAGTGTGACTCTGTGAACTCCTGGAAAGACATTGCCCAAATCTACCTCGTAACTGAAAACGCTTGTGAGTGCCCCCGGCCACGTCACAACTTCAGTCTCTTCAATGGATTTACAAGAGACCGACGTCGTGTCAAGCTGTGGGCTCTCGTCATTCAGCGCTTTGGATGTGATCGTCAGCGATCTGGTGATGTCCCCGCAATCCATCTCCTGAGAGAATTCGAAGCCAATCCGTACTGTATCCCCACTTGTTCCCTGGGGCACAAGTCGAGCGTCATGCCCTGGGGAGAAGCGTGTTATATATGGGGAAGGCTGCACGAATTTAGCCTTCGGAACAAAGGCTTTGAAGCTCCAGGCCGGCATAGTAAGGTTGGGATGACAGCCGTTTGGAAGTTTAGAACCTTCAAATCTACACATTGTCAGTGAGAGGAATCAATTTCAGAACAGTAATCATACCCAAGCGTAGTCGAGCTATTGGTCAGGGTCATTTCCTCGAACGGAGGAAAAAGGTTTTTGACCGTTGTTCCCCCAGGAAATGGCGAGATCAAAGCGTCCTTACTGCTGCAATTGAACTGGTGTTCAACTGATTTGTTGTCATTAGAATACAACAGCCAGACACTCTGATTCCCCTGGCCTTGGCCATCGAAATTCTGCGTATTCGCAAATCGTGATCTCATGACACTCCACATACCAGTCTCGGTCGCTGTTCCATTACTGCCTGGAAGGTAAATGTCGAACGTCTGATTTGACAGTTGCTGCAGGTACCAGCCATCATTCAATGCGGGATAATTTTCACGCATCTCAAACATCATCTTGATGAGGCCTCGCACTGGGTGAGAAGGATCGCGGTGATCTAGACTGACGGAATCGTCTTCACATCCGGTCAGTGAACGGTCAAGCGGGAAGTCAACGTATTTCGATGACCCCAGCTTGTAGCATCCGTGAAGCTGCCATGCCTGAGCAGAAGTCATGGGTCCACGACCGAAGACATAGTTGTCAGCCTGATTGTCCAGTACGTAGAAATCCTGTTCCTCGCCCCAGGAAATGATTGGGATTCCAGGCATGATCAACGAAGCGACATACAGGCCCAGATTCTGCTTTTGGGTCCCGTTTTTGATACCTGGCCACCTGAAGACATCCTGGTTCGTGACACCGAAGAGGTGACGAGGATCGAACTCTCCGGTGTTCGTGTTGACCATGTCGTTGGTTTCCACAAGGCCATCCCAGGTCTCCACAAAGTTGACTGGCGGGTCGCCTTCGGCAGTGTAGGTACCGTCCAGACTAAAAGGGGCGATGTTAACTCGAGTATACTGAATGTACTGAAGAGGAGAAACTGACCCTAGAAACCGGCTCAGAGCACGATATAATGTGTAGTGGAATGCCGCCCCGTCCAACGCAGACCTCTCCGCGGGTCTCAAGAACAGATCCTCATTTGACTTGTCTGTCTTATTCGTCATCATAAATGCTTCCGTCAAGTTGTTCTTGGTCTGATTTGTCTGTTGACCGCGACCGACATATAGCGAGCCAAAAGAGTTGCCCGCCACAATCTCTCCGGGAATGTAGAAGTTGTCTTTTCCCACCTGACTGGCGCAATCCCTTATATGCTCGGACCATTCTCCCAAAGAGTCAAGGGTAACTTGTAGAGCTTTGTCGACCCGGAATCCGTCGACATCAAGCATGGTGATGGTAAGACACGAAAAGTGTTTGATCTTGGCCAGCACGTCCGGCCGCCATGCGCGTAGACGATCCTGCACAAATGCGAATTTGGCTATCTGCCCTTCCCATTCGGTGTAATTCCCAAATGCGGCAACTTCTCCATACTGCAGAGGTCAGTCATGCTCAAAATCGAAAGAAATCGATAATACCTGATCAAATTCACTATTCCGACATGAAGGACCAAGGGTTGTGGTGGTCAAACCGATCCCGTCGTCATCCCAGAACCGAGGAAACTCCCAGGGACATTCACTCTCAACTTCATTTCCAGGCTGAAAGTCCCAGTATCGGCGGCCGTACTTCCATTCATAGTCGTACTCGTTGGCATTGATTGGCGCGGACTTGTTCAGGAAACCCTGAAAACCGATAAGATCGCCCATTCTACCACAATCAGCTGACGACATCGGAAGTTGCGCAGATGGATCTCACATACGTCGCAAATGTATTGTCAAAAAGAACATATAACCCCCGTCGATGTGCCTCGGATATCATTGTGCGCCAGTCCTCGATCGTACCAAAGTGATGGTCCAGCAGAGTCAGGTCAAGCGGGGAGTATCCATCCGCAGCCCAGGGAAAGTTGATATACGGCGTTCCAGCAAGATAAACACCCTGTATATGGTCAATATATTCTTCACGTCCAGCTTTCTTGGAATACTAGACGCACCTTGATTCCCATCCCCTGAAGATAATCAAACGTATCAACCAAACCTAGAACGTCACCGCCATGGCGGAACTCGTTAGAGGTCAAGATATGTTCCCACTGTGTGCCATTTGCGTTATCGTTACTCGGATCACCATTTACAAATCTGTCGAGGAATATCGTGTAAAAGGGGAATCGCCAGTTCTCTGGTGAAGGGTTGTATGTGTGTCCATCCCACTGACCCGAATAGTCGAGGGGGTCTGTCGCTGTCTGGTTTTGATTGAGATTCCAGTTTTCTTCCTCTGGAAGATATGGCAGGGATTGTGCAATGTGTATAGATATTGCAACAATGGCAAGGTAATGGGTGATGAAAGTGGGCAACTTCATTCCGCACAGTAAATGCCACTACGGGGACATTCACAGAACGAGTTGTTCGAGCCTCGACTGCAGAAGGACAGCCACAAAGTGCATACCAGAAAGAAGCGACAAGTCATAGAAACATAGACACTGAACAGTTCATAGAAAGCAGATGGGTGAGAGAAGCATGTGAAAGACAATGAATTTCCCGGGCAATGCAATAATTGATTTTGAGCGTGAGAACATGTGCCAATCATTGTTTTGTAGATCAGCATAGACGCAGGAATCAGGCGAACTACTGGAGATCCGAGCCAGCCTTACTGTACAGCCTCAAAAAAAGCAAATCATCGTGTTCATGCTCAGCGGACGAGCGGTTCTAATTTTGGATGATAGATCTCAATTCGACGTAGACCGTATTTGATGCGCGCATTGTTCGGGTATCCAGACCGGGGTCCAGGCCCAAGCCGGATCATGTCTCATAAAAATGGAGACAATCTGACATGCATTGGTATACGACATTCTGATATACAACTATTCCAAGAAGAGTCATGCCGGAAGGAAATCATCGATCATAAAGTGTGAATTATGCTAGATTGGGTATCCCGCCTCATAGAAGACAGAACACGTCATAGCTGATACAGGAGAAACCTATGCAAAAATGGCGAGAGGCGGACATGATAATACGCGTGTGGCTTGTTGTTGCGTGTCGTTCCTGTGTTGTATCGCTTTTTTCATTTGTTCACGGCCACTCCGTCCCTGCTGCAGCCCTGGCAGCAAGGCGTCATTGCAAATCGGCAATTTATGTAGTTTGTGCTTGACTTGGCTTGACTGAAACTGTCAATAGTTCGCTGTCGCGGCAAGGCGCAATTGGTAGTCGGCAAATTATGCAGTCTGTACTTGACTTGGGATGACAGAAACTGTCAATACTTTGTTATCACCCCCATCATCAGCCAAAAGATCCGATAGGCCGAACTTCTCCTTATCTGCCCCCACTGATGCTTGCCAGACCCACTTGGAACAAAGCCCAGCTGTCATACTCAGCGCCGCATGTGAAACCGATCAAGGAATCTGGTCATGGAGCAATGAAGTATCACGGAGTGATCGCTTCAAATGTTCAGGAAATTGGGTCTGATTGCAATCAACCACGCGGCTCTACCATTTCGAGGCCAGCACACCAAAGTGACATGGACGATCGTCAAGTAGGCTAGCGGAGCCGAGTCTCTCGTGAACCTACCACGGCCCGCCTATATGCCGTTGGGAGCCATTAGTGCGCTCGATTGGTTCATAGCGGGCTGCCGATCGGGCCGATAGATTATAGTGGCGTTTTGTTGAGTGAGACCTTTTACCGCATTTTATTCTCCCGGCTTTCTGCCGACCAAAAACCTCCGAGTTTACTATCTTATGACTACATTGACTAGTATACCAGCCGTCGTTTTCAAGTACCTGCTTGAATCAGCTGCACATGGCAATAGCGAGTCTCCTATGCACATGTTTTCTTGATCTCCGAGCAGGCCTCTTCAGTCACAGAAACGACAAATCCTAGCGTTTCTTGTCTAGCATTGAAGCGCGTGTCTGAATAGGGCCTAACATTGAAGGCGGTGGTAACAAGCGGTAAAGGCGGTCTCGGACTCATCAAACGCCACCAGTTGATTGTACATACAGGATGACAGATCATGAATATATGTAATACACATACAGTACAATACCTGTCTCTACCTCACTGTAATCATTTTCATCCAGCATATGTTTGTCAATTAATTCAAGTAGCATTTTCATTATCTCTGCCTCCATCCGTCATTCGATCATCTTCGTTCTGTCATGCAAACACCACCGACAATGTGGTTCTGGAAGGTTTTGGTGGTTGCTGCCATTGGGACAGTACATGCGGCTTCTCGAGATCAATGGCTCGGTCGGTCGATCTATCAAGTGGTAACTGATCGCTTCGCTCGATCGGATAACTCAACTACCGCTTCTTGTGATGCAGCACTGGGAAAATATTGTGGTGGGAGCTTTCAAGGTATCATAAATAAGCTGGATTATATTCAGGAACTCGGGTTCGATGCAGTATGGATCTCTCCAGTGCAAAGTCAGGAGTCAACTCGCACGGTTGACCTCTCAGGTATGGTCCTCTTGACTGTCAACGAATATAGAGAAATAACGATAGATGGGTGATAGCATACCATGGGTATTGGCCAAACGATTTGTACTCTGTCAACTCCCATTTTGGCACTTCCGATGACCTGCAAGCGTTATCCGCAGCGTTGCATGCGCGTGGCATGGTGAGTCGCCGGCTGCTCTGTCTACTCGCAAAACTGACCTGGAAATTAGTACTTGATGCTGGACATTGTCGTTGGTGACATGGCCTGGGCTGGAAACGCCTCCACTATCGACTACAGCACTTTTAATCCATTCAATGATCAGAAGTACTTTCACGACTACAAGCTCCTTTCTGAGGACCCCACAAATGAAACCTGTGTTCTGGATGTAAGCATGTCATCAAGTGTTAAGAGAGCATTGCTAAGCCTTCATCAGTGCTGGATGGGAGACAACACTATATCGCTTCCAGATTTGCGAAATGAGGATCAAGAAGTCCAGCAAATTCTGGGAACCTGGGTTTCGCAGTTGGTTTCGAATTATTCAGGTATGTCTATACGCTTCCTATCTCCCCGACGGATTTAATGACAATCATTATTTGCAGTTGATGGCTTGCGAATCGACAGTGTCCTGAACATTCCCCCTGTCTTTTTCTCCAGTTTCAGTGAGTCAGCGGGCGTTTTTACTATGGGCGAAGGAGCCACAACAAATGCAACTGGGTACTGCTCACTGCAGCCCAATCTAAGCGGACTCTTGAATTATCCAATGTGAGTAGCTCATCACAATGAACAAAGGGCTTGTTGACACTTTTCAGGTATTATATCCTCTCAGAGGCCTTCAACGCGACCAATGGAGACCTGAACACGATAGTAGAGTCTATCAATAACATCAGGACACATTGCAAGGATGTACTTCCCTTGGGAACTTTCACATCGAATCAGGATGTCCCTCGCTTTGGCTCGTATACCTCAGACCTATCGGTAAGTTGAGTGCATCGGATTTTTGGTCAGCACGTATTGACTTTGCCACTCCTGATTAGCTGGCTCGCAACATTCTCACAATCAGCATGCTCGCTGACGGTATCCCCATCCGTGTGTTGCGCCCCCACAATCTGAAACGAAATCCAAAGATACTAATGCAGACAACACAGTTTACTACGGGGAAGAACAGCATCTGTCAGGTGGGTTCAACCCTGTCAACCGAGAGGCCCTGTGGCTTACCAAATACTCGATGAACTCGACCTCCCTACCTTTGCTGGTCCAGTCATTGAATCGTATTCGATCGTATGCGAGCGGCGACGGAGAAAAGTTCATCGTCGCTCCGAAATCAGGGACCGACTATCTATCGTACCTCTCAGTCCCCATCTACAAATCAAAAAACATCTTGGCCATGCGCAAGGGGTTTACTGGTAACCAGGTTGTGAGCGTGGTGTCCAACCTCGGAGCCAAGCCAGCCACCAAAGCCACTACAAAATTCACGCTTGGCTCCGACGGCACAGGTTTCTCATCCAGACAGAATGTGACCGAGCTCCTTTCTTGCAAAACAATTGTGACTGATTCAAGCGGGAATATCAATGTGGACCTCAGCTCGGATGGAGGACCTCGGGTGTACTATCCTACTGAAAGCCTGAATCAGAGCACTAATATTTGTGGGAATCATACCCAAACATTGACAACTTCATCAACAAGTCAAAAGACTTCCACCAGCGCTGGGATTTCTTCATTCGATTTGTCTGTGGGGATGAGGACATTGGTAGTCACGACTGCATTGACCACATTCTGCATTTCTTCCTTATTCTCTAGATTGCCTTTCTTTCTGTTGTGATCATTTTTGTTGTACTACGCATTAATTTTCGATGGTTTCTGCAGTGATTTTACTATAGACGAGATACTCCTGAAATTCAGCTCTATTACTTTCATATCACATCTCGCGAACTACAACGGAAAATAGGAGATATGTCGAGCCACTTAAAACTCCGTACTTGGAGCAGGATTCCGATAGTCACTTTTGACTATTGGGACGGCACAGTAAGACGGGATGCAGACTTAGCTCATGTGGTAATTTTACCAGTCATAACCAGTATTCATTCACGGCTGTAAGTAAAAATACAATATAACGAAAATTAGGATTCTATTTATGACAACCTCGAATTCCGAGCCTTGTCAGTATACTTCGTATCTACTGCATCTCTTAACGCTGACCTGGGCTGACATGATCGTGGCCAACGTGGCGGGTCGCTGATGCAAGGGTGATCCAAGCAGTGCCCGTTAGTTGTTACCCTACGTGGACACCAAAATGGACCCTGAATTTCTTTATTCTCTTCACCGCTTAGCTCGTTTTAGAGATCATATTTTGCTTCTATGCAAGGCTCGAACTATCTCGTATTCTCAAGGCGTCCAGCTGAAGCTGAAAGTTACTTTTTCTATATACAGATCTTTCAACAACATATTTTCCAGTCTATGGACTAAATATATCTAACCTTTTCCTGGGAGGCAATGAGACTTTCTCCCCATCATATTCTAGTAAATTTATAATTCAATTCAATCAAAATGCGTTACTCATTCACCATCACTGCCTTGAGCCTCCTCTCGTCGGCTTTTGCTATCACCGTCACCACTCCTTCATCAGACACGGTGTGGGATTTCTCCACTGCCAAAACTATCAAATTTACTAGCGATCCTAGTGATCCTTCAGTGATCAGCATCATCCTTCGAAGTCAGGATGGCTCCTTCCAGACTAAATTGGCGGATAACGTCAAGACCTCTACCGGCGAATACACGACGCAGCCTAACCCTAGCATTTCCAACGGGTGAGTAGAAGGTGGAATTGTGTTATCAGAAAAGAACAACGCTAATAGTCTAATGCCATTTTTTCATGGCTTAGAGATGACTATGAGATCCAGATAATTGATTCTGCTGGCCAGCTCGCTGTCAGTGACATTTTTACTGTCAAGAAGGGCGCTTCGGATGATGGTACCACATCCTCCTCTTCTTCTACTTCCTCTTCTTCAACATCGTCTTCTACCACCACTATCACAACTACCACCTCCCTTTCCTCCACTTCTTCCACTTCTTCTTCATCCAGTCCGACCACTTCTACATCGGTCACCTCAGCCCTTATATCCTCGGCATCGCCAACTTCCATGTCATCGACTAGTCCTTTGTCCTCCTCAGGCATGATCAAACTCCACACATTATCACAAGGTGATGATACTAACATGCCTTCATCATCACAGGCTCCACCACCACCACCTCCCTTTCTACCTCTTCTTCCAAGAACTCGTCTTCCACCTCTTCCGACAGTTCATCCACCAGTGCCTCTGCCTCCCCTCTGTCGTCGACGGGTGCGTCGTCTCAGTTGAGTGCTTCCAAGGAAGCCATGGCTCTGCTTGGTGCTGCTTTTGCGCTCTTCTACGTTTAAATCATGTCTACCAGGCAGTATTGTGCCTGAAGCATGTATATAAACGCCTTTCAAGATGAGTAGAATCAAAGGAAAGATATTTCGTGATTCTTTTGAACTTTCTTATTCTTGTTAGATATTGTCGGGGTAGAGTGAAAGCCTATAGACTGGCGACATAGCCTAATTTTTTGAGAGGGTTTTTTCTATACGTAAAATCGAGCTTAGTAATTCTGCAAGTTCGTACAGGCTAGTTGCAAGGCTCGAACAGACATATAAGTCCGAATGATGTACAAAATAGTCACCTTACCTAACTGACTCAGATCTGTGAGTCCCACCTCGTAGGAGCATGCCAAGCTCTAGGTATACGTAATGTTAAAACTATAGAATCAAAACATTGTCCGGTTGGATATGCAACAGTGTAATAGTAATGTAAGTAACAAGCCTGCTGGCTTTGATTTCCGTCAGAACACGCTGCGTGGACACTCGTTTTTGAAACTATCCATAGATGTACGCAGCGAATCTGCTTGGCTTTAAGCCTAGCACAATATTATATATATATAATTTATAGTTGACACATGGCGTAATACACAGCTTACATGAACGACTTCCGCCGTACTATAAAATAGAAAGGAAAAATATTACACTATTCCTAACAAGATAGCCTTCGCTGTCTTATCACGATTTCTAGGTATCGATGAAATTGAAAGTTTGACGTGTGGCAGCATATAGATAATATCTTGCATACAGAATTGGAGCATGGTCAGGTGACTCATATTGGGAGAGTCAAGGCAGGCCTATATCAGCACAACCCAAAAAACTCTCATTGAGCTCAAAATGTACAACCGACAGTAGGCAAAGTCCCACGGGCACGCTCGGACAGCTGCTCCCAATATCGGTCCTTGGCTTGATTTGTAAGGCGATGACGTAAAGTTTCACTGGCCGAGAGTCACTGGCTTCCATGGAAATATACTGGCATGGTTCGTTCCTGCGATGCAGAAGTGTCCCACTTTGCGGCAAATTGACTGACGGCAATATATGCAGGGTAGGTAGACCCATGTAGACGTGGAATGGTATACTCGATTTCACCTCAATGCGGCCGGAACACTAAAACTTCTTCCAGCTATTTCTATCGGCCTCTAAGCCGATAATTACGGCATTAGTCTCCGAGCCGTAATGGCGTGGTGCTCGGTTCATTCGAGGAAGATCCTAAAAATGTCGTCTGCCATAGACGTATGCACACTCACGTAGCTTTGAGAAGTCCCAAGTCCCATGCATGATGTTCAACCAAAGGTACATTACCAAAAAAAGCCCAGAACGGGTATCCTTGATTAATCTGATATGAAGTGATCAGGAAAGATAATTCCTGTAGTTCCATCCCCATCTGTACCTAAACGGCTTCCTTTAACACAAGTCCTCTTACTTCACGTGGAACATATCCCTTAAATATGCAGGAGCCCTTTGATTAAATTGAAAATCACAAAATCAGTTATGAACGCTCACTAAATGCATAAATAGCGCACTAACTAGAATTCAGACAATACAATATTTCAAGTATCAAGGGAATGTATATTACCTCCCTTTATTCAAATCAAAATATAAGGTAACACTTCATTAGAGCTAAGGCACGGAGCATTTCATTGCGGGGTACGTGAAGGCGCAGTCTTAGTGGGTATCGCTCTTTAATCACGTTAATATTTCCAGAATGGTCTACGAATTCATATAGCAGAGTACGGACCCAAGTGTATTATAGTGTTCAATTAGTAAGGGCACTTTTGCTCAGAATTGTCACTTAGCTTCCTGTCTGTAATTGCCATAAGTTCGGCTTGGCTTTTTACAAAACCGAGACCACCGTTTATTCATAACTACCGGAGCGATGTCTTAACAGGTAAGGATAAATCGCTCAACAGGGATATCATGGATACATTAATGCTATCCTCTAATATCTACAATTGCCCTGGATCTGGCAACTGGTTTTCACAGATTGTGGAAGCGCCGATTGACGTATCGGTCTCGGCAGGAATCTTTCTCCGATGCTGTCGGGTCGTGCTATTGTTCGAGCCAGAATCATGCAGACCCATGCCTGCAAGCTTTTGCGCGATACCTGAGATGTCTTCTGCCTGTTTTGAGATATTCTGCGATGATTGGTCCTAATATGATCGCCCACTCCGATCGAACTAGTCACATAAGCGCTTGAGCGCAAGGATGAGCAAATCGGACGATCTTTTCTTCTATAAGCCACCTCGCTGTTTTGTGCTACTTGATACACGTCACCGAGCATACCGCCTCTGTAGAGCGTTTCCCTTTTCGCTACCTACAGTTCGGAAGTGACGTAGCTAGTGCTTGATCAGAATCAATTGCGTTGAATATTTTGGGATCAGAAGTGGGGGTTTCTGGTCTTGCTTGTTGTACGCAGGTCAAAGGTAACATAAGTTACCCTACTAATTTGGAAACGTACTACTAAGCTATGAATAATGAAAAGCAGTTACTAGCTTTAGTACAGGACACACTTTCTTGGACAGCAGTACCAGGGACAAGAGGAAGCCAGGACAGACCAGCTTAGTACAGCGCTTTTAAATGTACCACGCCGCGGTCCCTAGTGGTTCTTTACCGTAAAAGTGGCGTTGCTGAAGGTGGGGCGATTGTTCCCGATCAGATCCACTCATATCCACGATCGTCTAAGTTACTACTTGAGGATTAATAATCGCATCCGCCGCTAGGTATTTATAGTCCTTCATTTCTCTTTCATGACCTCTAATGCATCGACTATTACGCTAAGTTTCATTCACTATATCAACAAATTCAACCAATTCATCCATCCATTCATCCATCTTTATCAACGTTGATAACGTCTTGCCTTGCAATCATGCCTTCTGTTAGTCAATTGCAAACTTAGGCATATCCAGTACTTGAGTTAAACCGATTTTTTTGGCTAATATGACATTGGTTTCATTAGAGACGTATTATGTTGCAAATCAACCCAGAATCAACAGATGCGTTACGCGAAATATCTACGTAAGTACTACAGAGGGGGCTCAAAATTATTAACACTAATAACTTCTCAGAGCGGTTGAAAAAGCAGACGGGAAAAATTTACCTGCCCCTTTGATCTTTCCTCCAGTTTTACACTTCACGTAAGTTACGGCCCCTGGCATTACCCATTATATTGCTACTATAATATTGATGGCTTATCTAACATTATTTCCTCATAATATAGGGTGTCCGAGGAAACTGCTAAGGAAATTAAAACAAACTATGAAGGTTCTATTCTTCGAATTATGACCGATGAGGAGGCAGAGAGTGATGAATAAGAGGATGGAACGAAAGAGTGAAATATGATGGCGAACATACTGAGATGCTACACACTACATCGTACTACCTTGATTAGGAGTTTCAAATTACGTGAACAGATAGGCATCGATAGTGTCGACAATTCCTGAATCGGTAAAGCCTCGTACGTAATAATAGATTAGCATTGAAAAGCTACGTATCTTTGGCATTCTTATGAGCTTAGTAAAGTATGTTTCAGGGTTAGATTTCCCACCAACTAGATTATGGTTGCAGGAACTGAAATTGATAGAATAGAGAGAATATGAAGAGGATCTATGTTAAGATAAAGGGAATTGAATAGGCAAGATCGAAGGTGTCAGATGTAATTCAAACGTAGAATGGAAAGAGACTAATCCTTGAGGGATAAGCTAATTCCTCAAATGTGTCAGATATATACATGAGGGGTAGAACCCTGATTAATTAAGTCATGCAGGTATCTTTCGGGACCTCGGGAGTAGATCGGGCAGAATAAGGCACCATGTCGGCCTATTCTGATATTATACCCTGGCAACGAGGTTATGCCGTATCAATCTACCTACTCAGATTTACTTTAGATAAAGTTAAATTCAATGAGATATGTATCTATATATATATGTATAGATTTCATTGCCAGTTCTAGCTACGAGTATTATTATTTGTAGTCACGAGCGAAATATTTCGTCCCTAACGACTGGTTCTCTCTTCTTGAGGCCCGCAGCCCGCTACTAAGCCTAAGCTGAGACCTTTCATTGATCGCTCATACTAAATCGATGGCTTTTAGCTAGCTCAGCGGGTACCACTCCTGAATCACCTTGAAATTACCCGGATGGTCTATGGAATAGTATGACCGGGTAGGTATCCAGGTACATATTCGATAATCTCACATCAATATCGATAGTACATACCCACACTAAATACCGTTATCGTGGTGTTCAATTCGCAAGGGCGCGCGGCGCCTACTCTTGTTACGAATCATCGGGTCAAAGTGACCTTCGCAACGCCGGATGAGTAAGATCCAAAATGGTCGATTAGAAATGCGTGGCAACCAGCCCTCCGCGGACTTGCCGGGGCCGCGGATTTGCCAAGCCCCGCACTAAACCGTGAAAATGATACTATGGGCGCCATATAACAAAGCTTGGAGGACCAGCACAAAACATAAATCAATACAAACCATCAACATCCTTGATTAACTGCTCCAAATATTCAAAATAATGGCTACATCATCCCCTATTCTCCTTATACTCGGCGCCGGTTCTAATGTTGGGGCCAGCGTGGCTGAAGCCTTTTCAGAGAAAGGGTACAAGATCGCTCTAGCCTCTCGAACGGTCAAGAACGAAGACAGCGATACGAAAGATTTTCACGTCGTTTGCGACTTGTCTGATCCCTTTTCCGTACCCGATGTGTTCAAAAATGTGAAAGAAACATTAGGCATTCCGAGTGTTGTTGTATACAATGGTATGGATATTCCTAATGTTGATTGCCCTGATTTAACAATGTTCAAGCTTCTGCTGCTGGCCGTTCCAGTCTTGAGGACCCTCTCGCTACCCCCTTGGCCGATTTCAGCCACGGTTTGAATATCAACACAGCTAGCGTTTACGCCGCCGCACAGGAGGCTGTAAAGGGCTTTGCAGAACTTCCAGCCGAGGCTTCTAGGACTTTTATTTACACCGGTAATGTGTTGAACACGAAGGTCTTCCCGCCACTCTTTAACCTTGGTGTTGGCAAGGCCGCTACGTCGCATATTATTGAATACTTGGCTGCTTCCTACCCCTTCCGTGGGTTCAAGTGTGTATTTACCTAGGTGGAATCTGAGATTTGATGCTTATTTATTAATATAGGTTCTATTATGCTGATCAGCGGAAAGTTGATGGGTCGCCTCAATATATCAACATTGATGGGGATGCGCACGGAAGCTTCTACGTTGAGCTTGCTGAGATTAAGTCGCAGGGACAGTGGCATCAGACCTTTGTCAAGGATCTTGGGTACCAACGTTTTTGATGTCATGATACCACCCCATGGCCTCCATCTGCGTCTTCTGCAAGCGCAGTGTTCAGAATTAAGGGAGTAATATTATGCAGTATCTCGACTGTTGACGTGAATCAAGCTAGGTGATGTGATGCAATGTCCTGTGATACAAGGCCACGTGATAGTTTACATAAGCCGGGCGCCCCGAAGGTTGGCCAAGTCCAGCCCATCTTGGCCCTGTTTCCGCCCCAGTCTCAGCCATGAAAGCCGACCGGCAAATATGATTCGCGTGTTAGCATCGGTTCCTGACCTAAATCAAGCCACACGCCACTTCGATAGTGCAATTTAGATCGGTAGTTTGGCATTGAACTGATCCAATTTTCTCCATATGTAGATTAGTGCCCAGCTAGTGCCCAGCTTATCCTTTTCTGGGCCTATTAAGCCCGACCCCAGATCGCTTGAAATGTATGCTTTGGCGGACGCCCCAGAGCTTCGGGCTTTGGGCTTCACCCGACCTATCGTGCTACATGCTATATTAGGGCAGCCGACCGCGTTGAGGATCATGTTTTTCTTCTTTCTCGTTTCCTTTTTATTTTATTGCGTTTGTTGACTCACCTTTCACGGGCTATCTTCTTGCGGACCGTCGCCATGATCTGGAAGGCTTCGCTGCTGCTAGCATTGACGTGCGCAGTCACCACTTCGGCTCTGCCTTCTCCACCTTCGGATAATGAAAACCACATCAGGTCACATAAATCGCTAGCAGAATGGCGCAAGAGTCCCCTAGGACCAGCTCTTAAGTTGATTGAAGAATGTCCTGAGGGCCACTGGTTCTGTAAGGAACTCATTGTCGATATCGAAGAGGTTGTTACCGACACCAAAACGGTGATCCCTGTCCCTGCCACCGTTAAAGTCACCCATACCATCACCAATCATCCTTGGCAAATAACAAAGACAAGCATTAAGCACCTCACTTCTACAATCGTGGAAGAACCGACCCGCACAACAACCCTGCATGCTACTTCGACTCTAAGTCATACGGTTCATGTCACGGCCACAGATCTTACCACCCTGACGAGCACCGACATTTCCACTGTGTTTCTCACTGCTCCCGAATATGAAACTATCACAAAGCCAGTGACAAGCTTCGTCACAGATACTGTTACTGAAGTACTCACCGATTATGCTGCTGCCACAATCACCGAGTCTGTTACCGACACTGCCACCGACATATACACCAATACCATCACCGAATACGCAACAGACTTCACCACTGTCTATATCACTAACCTCGCCACTGACTACATCACCAACGTCCATACCAATCTTGCGACTGCCACTGTCACCAACTATCATACCGAGACTTTGACTCTTTCCTTTACCGATACCACTATAGCGACAGCCACCGAGACTCTCTCGGCTACCACCACCCAGGAGGTATATGATACTACGACCGACACGCAATCTGTGACTATTCCCCAAACCGACTTTGAAACGTCCACCAGCACGATTCCCGCTACTGTGACCGACTATACAACTGCCACTATCACTACAATCGAGACAGATGGTGTTACAGTAACTACAACTGCCGTTGTTACTGTTGCAGCAGCCAAGCGAGACCTACAAGATCGGCATGTTGAGCTATTATACACTCCTCCCGCTCTAAGAGGACTTCACCATACTCGTTTATCAAGTGCTTGTTCTGTCCTAATTGTGGATGAGTGGAGGTCAACAGTATACACCACAAAGACAATTGCTCGGCCCACGGTCACTAAGACCATTACTACCCACACTTTGGCACCGGCTCAGACTGTCTATGTCACTAAGCTTACGACGGATTATGTTACCAAGAAAGGCCCAAGCGTGTTGACTACAGTAAAGACGGCCACGGTTACAGCTGATATCACGAAGACAACGACTATTGAAGCAACATCCACCACCACCTCACTGTCTACCACCACTATCACTGACCTTAGTACTGTCACTGTGACAGAGGACAATGTTATCACCAACACCGATATTGCTACTATCACCGTGACGAGCGACGTGACAACCTCGACTACATTGGATGTTACAGCCCACAACACCGCCTTTGTCACCGACAATGTCTATATCTACGCAACCTCCACCGCTACAGTTGACATCACAACGGGGCAAACGGATACTGAGACTATCGACATCACCATTAGCGACACGACCACTCAAACAACTGATGTCACGTCCACTGAGACAGCGTCCGTGACAACCACCGAGTCCTCCACAACAACTATCGACGTGACAGAAGTAGCAACAATAACCTCAACGTCTTCAATCACCGTGACCGCCACTGCGCCTGTCACTATCCAAACTACCATTGCAACTATTGTCGACGTCACTAGCACCGCATTCACCACATCGACCGTCGATGTGACCATCACTCAAACGGTCTCATCGACCACAACGACGACCATTACTTCGACAGCCACCAACTCTCCTACCTGCGGAGTCCAGCTCGTTTCAAACTCTGATTTTGAGACAGGAACCCTCTCTCCCTGGGTATTCTCCTCCAGTGGTACTGGACTATATAGTCTCACTACCGGGGATTCCTCCGATTATTCAGTTGTACTCTACACCACTTCCGTTGCAAGCACAGCGGTGATTGCACAGTCAGTTGCCACCGTCACCGGAGACACCTACACCTTTTCATTCAATTATAAGGTATATGGCGGAAATACCGCATCCTACCTCAAGTGTGGTTTTGATAACAGCGCTTCAACGAGCTACAATATCATTATTGGATCCAGTGTGAAAGGTGTTTGGCTTACCTACACGGGTAGTATGGTAGCATCTTCGTCGACTACCACGATGACTTGTAAGCTAACCACCTCCCTCGTGGCAACTGTTTATCTTGACAATATTTCGCTTGAATTTCCGTGTTGATCGGATATGTTCATCTCGCGTGAATTTGTCTAACAACAATGTCTTTTCACCTCTTCTGTATATTAGACTCCTCAGGTGATAGAGTCCTATGTTTGCAAAATAGAATCGTTCATGATATTATTCCATTACCAGGAAACCATTGGATGGAATCGAGAGGCATTGATACGACAAAAAGACTAGTAAAATTTGAATTCCACATCACGGCTAAAAGTCATATCGCAGAGTCGGTTACTGCTTCAAAAATGTTGCCACGAACTATGACCGCGTCTGATGGCTGACATTTGGTTTAGTGTATAATTTAGATGTATAGAATTTCTTCCACCTTTAGGCTTACCGGAAAGCAAAGTAGTATATACTATGGAGTACATGCCCCGGTACATGCTTCCACTGCCCTGGAATTTTCCGACTGAGGAGTGATACTGGGCCGGTGCCTTTTCTTACCTAGGATTAGGAGCTTACTGCATCCGATCGAATGAAACGTTACGTTCCTTGTTGACTTGAATCAAACGAGAGGATGACTAATGGTAGTGGGATTCAATTTTGTCTGAATTACAATTACTACATGACAGTCATATGGCTGGTGATGTGTCTACAACACTTCGTGGCATTTAGTTCATAACCTCCTGGATATTGTTATAGCCTGGCTTGTGGGACCATATGTTCAATGCATTCGATAGATCATCAATAGCTCTCGAGATTGACTATATCATCAATTATCACATCTATTCTCATTATCTTGAGTTCATCTCATCTTTCTAGGCGGTACTACTCTTCAACTGCGAAGCGTGCTCGTCGACCAAATCCTCCATCGTGCTCCGATAACCTTCTGGGAGCGCTCCAGACTGCTTTATCATCAGTATATGTAGATAACGAAAGATTAAATAGAAACTTACCTCGTTCTTCAGCAGCTCTTGCACAAGGACAAATACATTGTCTCGGTCTTTGGTCACTTGAGACGGATCTTTCTTTTCGGTTTCCTCAGCAGCAGGCTCAGAGCTCATACTCAGAGTCTTCTTGAGTAGCTCCAATACTTCCTCGTTTTGCAAACAGTCTGCAACCGCCACACAACCGGATTTGTTGTTCGCCATTAATGCCAAGGCAAACCAACCTTCACTTCGGACAACGGGCCATTGAGTTTGAGTAATCATTGCACCAAGTGGGCGAGCAACACCTGTATGCAAGTCATACAGAGTGTTCAATAAGGTACTCGCTTGTTCGTCCCCTTCACGGGCTTTGGGTGTAAGAGTCCGGCAGATAGAAGCAATGCTACGCCCAATCTCGGTCTTGATGGGAGCAGAGTCAGTTTTCTCAAAGAGAACAAGAAGCAATGACAGATATGTCCGTCGGTTTGCTGGAGAATCGGGATCATCTGAGAGTGGGGAGAGCAATCTGGCGATATTCTCCGGCGACGAGATGATGACCTGGCGGGCGATCGTTGCAGCAGAGAACTGTACCTGTGGAACAGAATCAAAGGCCCATAAGTTTGATACGGCGGGAATGATCCCAGCTTCTGCCAGGCTGACGCGGTTATCACCAGCAATGGCAAGGTTCTTAAGGAATCCAAGGGCAGAATGTAAGACAGAGCCCCGGGCATCACTGTTAAGAACAGCGATCAACTCTTCGTGAATCTTCAGGTCCTTAACCATCCTTTTGCAGACCTCATCGGATCGAGCTAGGTTGCCTAGCATCACACAGGCACAGATCTGAAGCTGTTCCTCTTCTGCCATGATCCACGATTTGAGAGTCTTTGACAGATTAGAGTCAAGAGGATAGTGCTCTGCAAACAGTGGGGAGGCCGAGACCTCAGATAATGCCTGATTGGCCTTAATCCGCGCTTGGGCCAGAGCTGAAACATCTTCCTTGGAAGAATTGTCGATTTCGATGGAAATTGATCGTTTCAAGACAGAGAGCAGCATCTCTACCATATTGTTGGAGATGCAGGCATTTTGGAATCTTTCTTTCTCCAGGTATGTAGACAGGCAACTAACCAAAGATGCGTATTGCTCAAAGGTTATATCTTCGTTCAAGGCAAGTTCCATGAGAAGCAAAATCGTGCCGTCGGGCGAGTTCTCAACGCCTTGTGCTATAATTTGGGTCAGTTCACGATATCTAGATCTGACTGTATACCATAACATACCTTGCTCAGAGGCCAGTTCAACAAGGTCATATGCGAAGCCTAGCAGAGCCTCATTATCTCCGAGAGCGCCGTCTCTTAGCAGTCTCAATATGATATAAGCTGCCCGGTTTTCTGCCATTTGGGCATGTGCAGGCTCTGATTGGTTATTTATTAGCAAACGTCGGCTATATTAGACGAAAAGGGGTCCTACCATAATCCATGCAGATGTTGTAGATCACAGGGATCGCCACCATAAGCAAGTCGGGATTGAGGAAATGCCGAATTATAGCAAGGGTATAATTTCCCTTCACGACAATTTCCCTGTTCTCGTCAGTATCGGCACAGGAGTTGCCAACTAAACGCAAGGAATGCAGCAACAATCCCTGCTCGAGCTCCTGCCTCGAGGAAACTACATCTAAGAAGAACTTGAGGATGCCAGACTGGCCAATTGGAGCTCTCCATGATGCTAGAGAGCTGTTAGTTGAGCAAACATAGCAAAATATCCCCCTCAAAACTTACGATCTCGACTCCCATTGGCCAGAATCTCGGCCGCTTGGGCCATGAGATTGGAGTTGCATGACCATAGCTGAATTAGAGTTGTGTGCACACTCTCTAATGTTGTGGCATCTCGTCGGCCGAGACGTGCCTCCTCCTCTGCCTGTCCCAGGGAAGCATGGAGCTCTTTCAAGTCAAAGCTATTGCCCACCTCGCTCGTCTGTTCGGCATGTTCAATGATATTTTTCAAACCGCGGAACATAGCTTCTTGATCTTTTGGGTACACTGTGGCGTCTTGGACAGGTAGTATGCTGGATATATCAGGTAGGCCTGATAGAACTTGATCCACAGAAGGCAAATCCAACTCTGATGAGACTGAAGGCCAGCTTGTCTCCGGTACGGACCCATGGCCGGTATTTATTCCATTGGGAGACGCCATGATGTTGGTTTCCAAATTTGCCTGGTGCAGAGCCGCGATCGTTGCCTTGGATAGTTGGAATTGGCAGAGGAGAATAGGCACCGTATCGTGAATGTGGAGAGTGTTGCCTGAGGTCAATTCAGGCACCAACGTGGGATTAATAACGGAACTAACTACCAGCTAATTAACACGGTCGCCTTGTTTTGTTAGGATTTACTCTGTAATCTTAGAAGATAGAATGCAAATCGCTAGCCATAGAAAAATCAAATTATCTTCACATATGCGATCAATCCATGTTGTTGTCGTAATTCCGATATTCGTATGTTTTAAGGAGTTCCGCCTTCGGTGCCTCGAGCCAAGAACCCGTCAAATCCCCAAAGCTGTCCTCTATTCCCTTTCCCCCCCCCATTCACTCCTTTAAACTCGGTCAATTGAACCTGGGATCCATATCAACTTTAATCATCTCTCCTTGCATTTCTTTTCCTACCCGTCAGACACGTTTCGCACCTCCACCATGACGCGCGCCCAGCAAACCATTTCCGTCCTTCTCCTCGTTTCCTCTGTACGTCAACAAATCCGTCCTCGACGGAATCCCGAGGCGCAAAGCTATGAACGCACCGCTAACGAATAACTATTCCAGCTTTACCTCAGTCTCTACCTTGGTCTCATCCCTCTGAACGAGACCCTCCAGAACGAAGTCATCCCCGTGGTACGTCGCATCCGGCCGAACATGCCGCGTTTCCTGAAATAGCTTGGAACAAGTCGCTAATCTCCGTGTCACCTTCAGCTCCCCTTCTGGGCTGTTATTGTCTTTGGATGCTACCTTCTCGCCCGTCTCGGTCTTGCGATCTTCACCTTTAATGACGTCCCCGAGGCACACGCGGAACTGCAGAAGGAGATTGAACAGGCCAAGATCGAACTGCGCCAGGGCAAGATTGATGTCGATTAATTCAATCTTCACGAATAATTGGGTTGGGGCGCATTATCGCACGCAGATCAGTCACCTCGCTCTTGGGATTGTGGAAGCGTGACTTTCCGTGGAATGAGGCCGTGAGGCTTTATAAAATACGGAGCTTTTTAATTGCTATTTGGTTTCGCCATCAATAAACATCCGTTTGATACCCTTGGATATTTATTTCCACCATGCAGAAGCCCCCAAGGGCGGACCTGACATGGCTCAAGTTGACGTAGGTATTTGAAGGAGTCAACTTTTCTCTAATTTTCATCAATGTTATCGTAAATTAACGTGCCCGGGTCATATAGAACATCCGGGATAGATTGCCAAGGGACCAAAAAGCCACCAGCTGTATAGAAGCGCTGCGCAGAATGAAAATCTGTTCGACGATGCAAGTAAGGGCCGCGGGTCTTAGATGATAGGGTTCTCCTTGGCGAGAGCGTCGTGCTCGTCAATGTCACTGAGAAATTGTTAGTCTATGTTCAGTTTTTGAGGATGTGTATTCGCAGGAACATACCGAGCCTCCCAGGGGTAGCAAATCCACACGTCGTCGGTGGTGACGGCAGCGTGGTAACGGCTCTCCATCATGTCGGCGGGCAAGACACCCTTCTTCTCCTTGTTCTTGTTCTGTTACAGGGGATCAGGTTAGCATTGAATCCGAATTCGTCCAATTTATTCCGAGGCTCGCGAGGAAACTCACGTGCAGCACGAAGATGGAGAAGTTGGTCTTCTCGCCCTCGCGACCAAGCTGCTTCTGAGCAATCTGAACATCCTTCTCGAGCTCGCGCACAGCGTACTCGAGAGTAGTGCGGGTGTCGTCAACCTCATCAACAATGAGGATGTTCTTGCCAATCAGGTTGGCCATCTCCAGAGAGCTCAGGTCCAACCATTGTGTGCGGGTCACCTTGGTGCCAGGGACCTCCTCGGCATCGCCACGGCCAAGATCCTCGTAGAGGGACAGACCAATAGCCTGAATAGGGATGTTGGGATCACCGGGTCCCTTGAGGAAGGATCTGTTTGCGGGGTCGGACAATTAGGACTGCGCATGTGTATAGGAATCGAGCGTTTGGACATACCGGAGGATGCGAGCAGGAACATAGCCACCACCACCGATGGCGATCATCAGGTGAGGGGCATTCTCCTTCAGGATAGCACCTGCCGACTGCTGGCAGAGCTTGTGAACCTATACATGTGATTAGTCTGACAATCACTTCGAGATCGCCCCACCAAGTGTAGAGTGACATTGTAGATGAAAGAGGAACGTACCTGGTTGTAAGTAACGTAGAACTTCTGGACCATTTTGACGTGTTAAGAACAGAACGAGTTATGAACAGGGATGTGAAAGATGCGACAGGAACGAGATCAAAAAAAAAAAAAAAAAGTATTGAACCCTCGGAGAAAGCCGAACATCGAAATTTTCGGATCGGCATCTGTTATCTGTGGCGGGGCTTATCGTTGACACCTGCCACATTCGTATAATGCGATCTATATACTCAGGAACCTGATCTATATCATCTATTTCGGATACTGAAAGGGGAAAAGATTATCTCATTCGTCACAAAAACTCCTATATCATCTAAACGTGGACTTGTGCACCCAAGTTCTTTCCACTATGTGTACCAAGTTGGCGCGGGGTATTCCCGCAGAAGCACAAACCGACCCAACTCTCGGTTCTTGTAAGCCACCGGGTCATGCAGAGTGTGCGTTCGAATATCCCGCCAAAACCGATCCAGTCCCACTTTCAAGGCCGTTGCCCGGGCACCGGTCACCTCAAACACACCAGATGTAACACGAAGCCCAACGTCCGTAGTGACTACCTTAACACTGGCTATCCACTCGGCAACCTCGCCACGTTCCTCCGCAGTCAATGCGGACCGGTTAGCTCCGTGACGGATGTATAATTCAGAGAGCTGTTCGCCTGCGCGGTCGGCCAGCGCCTCGGTAGCCCGAAGGTGCGCGAAGAAGTTACCGTATCGCTCGAGAATATAGAACTCGTCCGTTGCGGACTCTTTGTTGTCTCCACCGAAGGGCCAAGGACGGGTGCCATTGGTTGTGTACTTGGATGCGAATTCCAGAGCTCCGATGGCAATGCCAAGATAGAAGTTGCTAAAGACCAGTTGAATACTAGACGAGACCAGCTTGTTAGCAACAAAGCCCTTCGTGGGGGGTTTTCAAGATACATACGTTGGGAGAAGCAAAGTGGCGAATGGAGCGAGTAAAACATCTTCACGCGGCTGCTTGGTGGTTTCATCCCATCCCAGCGCGTCTCTCCATGGAACACGAATATTCTCGATCTTGACCCCGCCGGATTCTGTCAGGCGCAAGCCAATATTATGCCAGTTGTGGGCAAAGCTAATTCCAGGCTGCCTGGTTTCGACCAGAGCAAAGATGTGACCCTCAGTGCCCTCTAAGACACCCTCCAAAACGGTCAAGTCAGATACAACACCGCCAGTGTTGAAGTGCTTGGCTCCATTGAAAACAATGTGGTCGCCATCTGATGTGATTGTCAGGTCACTATCACGTGGATTGACCGCACCACCGACGAAGTAGTTATTCGCGATGATCAATTGGTGGGTACGTTCAATTTGTTCGGGGGTACCAACAACGTTTGCGGTGGTCGACCACAGCAAATGGTAACCAAGCAGCATGCCAATGGAACTATCATATCCCGTAATGTCAGCATAAACTTCAGTCATATAACCCGATCAAGTCTTACCCGTCTGTCTTTGCGACTTCCCTGATCGCCTTGTACCCGATACTCCACGGCTGCTCGCCACCCCCATACTTCTTAGGTCCCAATAGCTTCAGCAAGCCCGAGTGCTTCAGAAGTGCAATCTCAGCGCGTGGAGACTTATTCTCCTGGTCTCTCTGGGCTGCATCTTGCGCCAGAACTTCAGCTACTTCGCGTGCTCTGGCCAGCCAGGCTTCGGCGGTGTCTGGAAGTGTGGCCCATTTCGCTTCGTAAGAAGCATAAACTGCGGGGTCTGTTGCTGGAACGTCCACGTTGACTGTCATGTTGTAATAGATATTGCGATCGAAGAAAGTTACTCACGTAAAGATCTTCCTGTTGAGACTTGATGAATGCTGGGGGGGTCGCAGTATATCTAGCCATCGCCCAGACAAGTTCGTCTTGATGACATGCTGTTCGTGTATAATGATGCGATACCCGACATCTCAGACGACCCAAAAATTCAATTGATACTCGGCCGACAGACGTTAAGACACATACGTAGCAGGTGTTTGTGTCGTCAAATTGGGGGTAAATGTCGTTATTACCATATGCCGTAGATCATGCATGCCCCACTGCGGGCGGACTAACGCATCAGCCATTGGACATTACATTCATACAGCTGCGAATTGCGAATGAGCACGTATATAAATAAAACCTCGAGAATGAGATATCACAATAAATTTAGATTTAGCACGTAACCGTATCTGTACTTCGGGTTTATGGCACTTTCCTTAAAACTAAATAATGAAAGTTCCGCTCCTGACCGCGATCCAATCACGCAATCTACTCCTTCTTTTTCCCCTTCTTTCCAAAATATCTCGAAGTATCACCCAATGGTAGATCCAGGATAGAATCCTGCAGCAACAAGTGGAACACAATATACCATCCAATCAACCCAGCGAGAAAACAGAATACTCCACCTGTCTTCTGCAGCGCGACAGCAGACGCAGCGTGGCCATCTGCCTTGGCAAAGTAGCTTGCAGCAACGGTCAGGAATCCCAGGTCAACAAAGAGGAAGACAAGTATGTAGGCAATGTTGCTTGCGAGTGATGCAATGAGGAACGTGAATACAAATACGGTCCATAGAATCATGAAGAACCCGACGGCATTGTTATACTCTGCTGTGCTGGTTCCACCGTAAGCCTGGGATATTCCAAATGCAGGAGTCAGAAGAGCTCCATATCCGGCGTAAAAAAGACCTTGAATGGAATAATTCGGTTAGTATCAGTCATCCTCGCCATGCTCATGACCATGTTGGAGCGTACCAAAAGCGCTGAAAACTGTGTAGGCGAAGCCATTTCCAATGGACAATTCCCACTGCGCGGTTATAACCAGACCAAATGCCGCGATAAAAAAGAAGTTGGCCACGAAAACGTTGTTGGTCGTTACTCCTCGCCATTCCATTAGACTCAATGAGAGTGTGGTGAGTGTTGTACCGAATGCACCTAGTGCCAACGCGGACTACAGTAATTGTCAGCTATAGTTTCGTCTTAGAAATATCGTGATATTGAGACTTACACCTGCACCGAGAGATTTTGGAAGTCCAGAGTCCAGGGCGATCGGTCTGCCTTGTTGTTCTATATCCACTGACTCGGTTTCTTTATGGGTACCAATGGCACCATTTTGGAAGGCCGTAGAGGACATTGGTAATGGTGACTTTCAGTGAATTTCAGCTCGCGATCATTAACAGATTTATTCATCTAGAACTCGTTCAAATTATAAAGACATATGGTTTCTCCCTATATGTGCGGAACCATCGCATCATCAAGCCAACAGATGGCATCAAATCAGAAGCTGCGGGATTGACTATTTATTGATCAATGCTGCTGACGGTGACCTCGAAGAGATCTACACTGCAATACCTTATTTTAAATACCCCAATTTTAGTTTATCTCCAAACAAGGTTGTGGAAATGATGATGTGTGGGGTACACTAATGGCACAATCAACCTTCTAATGATGTGATCGTCTCAATCCGAAAGCCCACTTAGCTCTAGCCTATTATGACCTCAACCTCAATACTCGGCCGAGAAGCGCTCTTAGCTATGTGCATACGTAGATCGCCTTGTGTTTTTGAATTCAATGGCTTGAACTACTAGGTCGGATGACTAGAATCTGCTGTACTCGCACGAATCTGAGCAAATTATATTATATTTTGTAGGGTATACTATTTACAGAACTTGAAGTAGATTTCTCCCAGATCCTCCATCACGATGTAAAGCGACAGACTTTCTCCTGGGCATATGCTCGATAGCGGTCCAAAAGATCGGTCGAATCTAGACCCGCAGCTCCTGAACTGGCCGAATAATGCGCGGCCAGGCCTTTCCCATCAATGTTGACATGCGGCCTAGTCCCGTCTGCCCTGATCCAAGGCTTACCGGGTCCATCAGTTGTGTGACCGACTTCAAAAATCTCACGAAGAGCTAGTGCATCCCTCCCCCAGAAGCATCCAAAATTCTGGCTAATTGGCTCGGTGGGATCCACCCAAACCGGAAACTTGTATCGCTTCAAATGGTTCGTTTCGAGATGATGAAGGAACGAGTAATGTTGCTGCGCAGCGACCGTCCAGTCATTCAGAGTCGGCCCAGTATCCGTATATACCGAGGCCGCGATGGGATCTCGATCAGAGCCCGGTTCGGCCGGTAGCAACCACCGATGGCCTTCAAATGGGGGCCTGAATCCCTTCCGAACTCGAAAGCTTGCTGGACCTTCCCATGCAGGTAGGCCTGAGGCGCGCCATCCTTGGCTTATCCGCTCCTTGAATCCAGAGGTCTGCTTGACATGGTGCAATTCTGGTAGATACGGGAGAGCAACACCGGGATGGCTATGCAATGCTGCAAGAGCCGCCTCGTTCACGACGTTGGCGGAGACCATCAGCGATTCGGGGTTTTCCAACTTGGTCTTCACGATCGTAGGGATAGTGTGGTCTTCCAAGAAAACGATATCGCCATCAATACGAATGTACATGACATTGTCTCGTGTGATTTTCCAGTCCATATCCTGACCAGGTGGGGCTATCGCATACCCTGGTGTTTCCATCACTGTGGTTTGTAACCATTCCAGGCTAACCGGGTCGTGCGTCTGAGGAACAAAAACGACCTGGTCGAGGAAGCCATGATTGTGGACGAGATTTTTCTGTAGCGATCTTAGCTTGTAATTCCATCGAAGTAAGAGCTGAAATCCCTCTTACCTGTAAATAGCAGTCGAGAATCTCTGTACGCTCGTGGTACCTGAAAGGCACTAATGCGACAATCTTGAAGCCTTGCGGCTTCGGGAAATATCCCGATCCATGCGAATAGGCAAAAAATGGAGAGAGGTTCTTGTTGAACAGCAATGACGTGGGATCAATCGGCAAGAGTGATGGATTGAAATAGCCAATCACGGTCAAAATTATGAACAAGTAGCCCAATACACACCAAGCTATCACTGCTGCCCAGTCGCGCCAAGTTGAGGACTCGCTGTCGAGATTCGATTCGATATCGTCATGGGTGCTCTCCGGATGACCCATGGTGAATTAAGAGCTGTTATTATCGAAAGGAATCAGAAGGGACGCTCCGTCGCGAGCGACTGGGGTCATCGTATCCATTTTAATGTTGGTTGGAGATGTTTGCGACATGGCCGTCTGGTCTGTTTTCGGGATACACTATGTTGGAGGCTCCCACTACGGCAAAACCCCAAGATCAACGCCGGAATCTTGTTGAATTAAGCTGCATCTTCCGGAATAGGAAATTCTTTGTTGAGGAAAACGGACAAAGAACAAGGGGTGAGGAATGTGTACTGGAATGTGGGTCTTGTGGATTCACTGATAAGATCCACATCATTCCGAGGTACGGGAAAGGCAGAATGCAACGTTATTTTGTCAGTCCTATCTTAACTTTATTTTCGAAGACATGAAGTAGTCTAATTTGAAATCTGGTAGGCGTTGAACTGAGCTGCCCAGTGGGTGTCTTCGAAGATGGCTGAAGGTTATCCCAGGCCGAGGCATACTCGTCCATATTTGATGGTATGGTTCATTTTGATGGCCTGGTAGAAAGAAACCTACAATAAGAGACTGGAACGCTGATTGAAATAAAGAGGATAAGCGGGCTTATTCAAGTTCGAACCCGGGATTTCCAGGTTCCAGTGGCCGCGCTGTGATTTTGAAAGGCGCGCGGTATTTGATCACCACAAAATTTGTTAAACACCCTCACCAACCGCATACAAAGTAGCGAGTAATTATAAATCATAAGATTTTATCATTTCAAGTATTACAGAACATCGCATCGTATCGCATCACCTCGCTTAATTCACGTCAATATACGAGATAACGCTTCATTAGGGTCACGATACAGGTGAGAAAATGCGGCTCAGTGGGTATCACTCTTTAATCACCTTCACATTTCAGCGTAGTCTACAGACTAGCGTGAGTAAGTAGGGACATGGGTATGTACTCAATAATATTACTCGCTGAATACTGAATACTGCGCTACTTCAATTGCGGTCAGTACGGATGGTCGTCTAATTTTGTGGTGTTCAATTTGAAAGCTCCTTTTCAAACACATCATTTCCATATTCAATCACATAGTTTACCATTGGATTGATTTTTTTTTTCTTGGGCTATCTACACTCCCAAGGCTGCTTGTCAGAGTTTCCACCTCTGGTAAACTCACCCCAACATTTCACCCCCAAGCGTTATATTCATCTTGAAATCCGCACTGATTGAACGCTACCTCCATTGATTATCTTATATCCGCTCCCAGTTAGAACCTTTCCAGTGGTACCATGGGGCGCATCAATCTTTACTTTCAACTCTGTCCCATCGAGTTCCCATGCGACGGACAACATTTTCCCCCCTTCCGTAACAACTCGAGCACTCGCTTGTTTGAGGCCTATCTGTAAGCCTGTTTCTGGAGCTAAGAGCCAATCCCTGTACCCAAAACCTTCGGGTCCATTCACTGGACGCAGTCCAGCGGCCCACTCTGTCAGAACATATGTTGCCGCTCCTCCCCATGGGTGGCTGAGACTAGTAAACAGACCCAAGCCGGGAGAACCATTCACATCAAGATATTCCCAGCTTGCACCGGTGGATGTGGTGTCATTTCCGACACCGGCTTTCACGTCCTCTGACAGCATCGCTCCCCACATGGATCGGAGAAGATTATTGGCAGCCGTGGTAGCATTCCCCATAAACAGAGCAGGTAATAAGAAGCCATTGGTGTTTGGTGAGATCGAGATACTGGAATCCGTTCCGTTTACGGTAGTATCGTCCTTGTAGCCAGGACCGAGTCTCAGCTTTGCAAGATTTTTGGAAGACACAACCTGTGAAGCCCTGGTCGAATTTGCGACCCCGGAAGTAATGCACAGTCCAATCCCAGCAACGCTAAAGTCGCTCGTTTCTGATCGACTAAGAGAGTAAACTCCAAGTTCATCATTCCAAAGGTGAGTATTGACAGCATCAGCTAGCCTTTTGGCGGACTCATTGTATGTCCTGGCAGCACTCTTGTCCCCCAGTGCGCTGGCGATCTCTGTAGCTCCGTTCAGAGCTTCGACTGTAAGGCAACTGACTGCGGAACCTCCCGTCCCCGGTCCTAAAAATGCACTGTTCACGTCCACCAGTCCATCCGTGGCATTGATCGTACTCAAAAGCCATGTCAGTTGCTTTTGCCACTGTGGCCAAGTTTGGGCGGCATATTCCAAGTCGTTTGTTTGTTTGAGCAGATGGTAGAAACTTAGGAATCCAAGGATCTGATAGTCTTCTAAGCCAGGATATGTGCCATCTGTGCTGTAAGCGTCAATGGTGGTCGATGGATCGTACCCCATAGCTGGTGCGAAATTCAATTGGCCATTAGAGGCTTGTGTATCGAGTAAGAACGACAAAGTCCCGCGTGACCAATCGTATCGGTCAGTGCTAGCACCTATAATACGCGAAGTATGGTAAAAGTCACCCATCCAAACCAGGCGATCTCGTTTGGCTCCATCTAAGCAGACGGTTCCCAGGTTACTCTGCGTCCCATAGCGTGCCAAAGCATTCTGATCGCGAAGGCCATCCATGTATAAGAGGGATCCATTCGCACTGTCATGGACCTTGGCGTTGCGAACCCAAGCAGCTTGATCCTGGTAAGCTCCAAACCCAAAGGATCCACTGAGTGAGACTTCAGAACCACCGGTGTAGTAATCTGACAGCGAGACGTTGAAGATAGAGATGCCATTAAGCTGCACAGCAATTCGATTGCTATCTGATAAAGCTGTAGTAACGGTATACCATTCTTTCTCGTGCACTTTGAACGGAATGGTAAAAGTATCGAGCAAATATGAGTTCAAAGTTGTTTGGTTGACGAAGCCGTATGCGTCTGCCAACAGAATGCTGTTCGGAGGAGTCAAGGATATATTGGTATTAGCGAATGTCGAGGCCTCGGGTAGTTCACCAACAAGTAGTAGCTGAATGCCATTACCATAAGACACAGATTGGGCCTATGCATTCACAATTCGTAGGTAAATATATATACTGATATCGCATGGAAAATGGCAGTACATAGCGATAGAACTTACTATCGACCACCATACCCCACCCCTCTCGATAGATGTCTCAAATTCCAAGGTGTAATCTTCAAATGTGGAAGTCTCAATGTTCGGCGAAGACCTTATACTGTGCACCAAAGCTCCTTTGACTGGGTCAATATCCCATACAGCCTTCTGGCTACCTTTCTCAAGGCATGCCATAGTTGCTGCTTTCTGTCCCAATTTCCAGATCGCGTTCAAGACTGTATCATCAGACAAAAAGCGGGCTGGTAGTGTGTCTGGATCTGTGACAGAAACTGTTGGTTCGAAGCCGACTCGGGAGATCGTGACCTTGTTGCCGGCAACCAACTTAATAGACTGCCATCTTTGTCCACCTTGGATCAATGAGGACTTCACTGTTCCCGCTTTGGTAATATTGAAAGTCTCGACCCGAGCAACATTGGAGAGACCAGTAGAAAATGTGTAGGGACCATCTCCCCAAACATGCTGGAGCCCATTGTAGGGTTCGCTGTACTTCACTTCAATCTGTGCTTGCGCTTCGACTGATTCTATCTCGAAAAATGGATATCCAGCAGCCTCCGATCCATAGTCAATGGTGGCGATCGGGGTATGCACATTTAGAACAAATTTGGATGGTTTCAATGTTGGCCACTGGATGTCGTGGCCAACAGCTATTGCCTTGGGGGAGAAAGATTTCTGGAGATCATTGAAATTGCTAGATTTGTAAGCTATTTAATAAAGTCCAGAGGCCAGTCACACTTGGCACTCACATTCTAGAACTGGCATCCAGCGCCTCTGTGAAATGCCAAAATCCCTGCGACCAGAAAGCTATCGTCAAGAGGAATGCCCGTATAGTCATGATTGTTGACATTGAAGACCTCTGTCCTCCTGAAACTCCACAAGTCCCTTCGGGTGAGCGCTTTTAAGCTTGACCTCGGGGCAAAGAGGTCCTAGTTCTCGGTGAATCAACTGCCGAGTCATGAAGAATCAATGCAGGGTTTCTTGTCCACCTCCGCCTCCACATCAACCGAGGTGGAGAAGCTGCGGCTTCTCCGCACTGCGGATAGGACATACTCTAGACCCTGCAAAGGTGTTAGCTAATCAAAATCAAAGCTACAGGTAACCAGTCTATTATCTGTTGATTAAATACAGACAAAAATAAGAGGAAAATAAAAGAAAAAGACAGGGGAAAATACATTCTCCCGTCTCGAATTAGAAGAAAACATGATTGCAAATAAAAAATAAAAATAAAAAATAAAAAAGATGGACTATCGGGGAATCGAACCCCGGACCTCTCGCAGCTTCACAGAAATGCGAAGCGAGCGCACTACCCCTGTGCTAACAGCCCAGTGGTTATGGGTGAACTCCCGGTTTGGTTTTATGACTGACTTGTCGTATCGCAACCTGGGAACCAATGTATAGTCCCGTCGTTGGCCAGGAAATCTACAATAATCGTGCTTTAGGTGCAGTCACTTAAAGTGTCAATTTCACAGGTGTATCCCTGGTGTCTATCATGTAATGAAGACGTAGATAAGCGACTACTTGAACATGTACTACAGCAAGTACATACCCTGATTTCATGAGTTATGACGTTGCAACACGTGCCGGTTATCGGGGTTATCGCTCGCCGCGGCTCATCCTCCTCTTCCCATGCACTACACCATAGACCATGAGGACGGTCCTCCTCAGTCGTTTTTGCTTTCGACGCGGGATCCAACGTATCCCGCGACATCATTTCACATCATGGCAACCTACCAAGCAAGTCCCGCGGCGGGGCCGGATCATCAGCGGACTGGTGATGACCGCTTTGGCACCCAGCGCATTCCTCAAGTTGGCAGAGGCAGATCACCCTGAGAAGACGGGTGAAATGCAAATGCTTGAGGCTTCACGCGATGAGATCCGGAAAGCTGTTTCTCCAGACGCCCGGGGCTTATCGCGGGTCTGGCAATCCCTCTCTGTCACATTCTACTACTATGTCTATGACCCAATCGCTACCGGATTGAGATTCTTGCACCTATTCGTGATTTTCATGCCGGTTGTAGTAACCGTGCCTGCTATCTGGATTGGCCGGGCTGTTGAAACTAGAAATGGGGCGCAATCGGGTACAATCTGGTGGTATCGGTTCTTGGTCAAGGCGATGGAGCGCGCTGGACCTGCTTTTATCAAGGTTTGTTGATTCTATCTTCCACTTGCGTATGATTCACTAGAGACTAACCTGTTTGATAGCTTGGTCAATGGGCTGCTTCACGAACTGATATATTTCCTCCGGAAATGTGCGCCGTCATGTCCTCACTCCATTCCAATGCGCCCGCTCATTCCCTTCGCGATACCAAGCGGACAATCCGAAAGGCATTCAATGGTCTTCCATTTGAAGAGATCTTTGAGGAGTTCGACGAAAAGCCTTTGGGCGTTGGTGCCATTGCACAAGTCTATAAAGCGAAACTCAAACCGAGCCTAGCGACTACAAACCAGGAGCTAGGTCATGAGCCGATCACCTTGGGAGAGAAGATGCGCAAGAACGTCGACGTGCTAGTCAAGGACTCACCACATCGTGTACCATCATCATATGTCGCGATCAAAGTATTACATCCCCGAGTCGAGAAGATGATTCATCGTGATCTACGCATCATGTCCTTCTTCGCTTCTTTGATAAATGCCATTCCAACGATGCACTGGCTCTCCTTCCCAGATGAGGTTCAACAGTTCGGTGAGATGATGAAACTTCAACTGGATATGCGTATCGAAGGCACCAACCTCGTCATGTTCCGAGAGAAATTCAAGTCCCGAAGCACCGCCTGGTTCCCATACCCTTACCTGGACTATACAACTCGCGAAGTGCTGGTCGAGGAATTTGCTCAGGGTATCCCGCTAGCCACGTTTCTGGAAATCGGAGGAGGCGTTTACCAACATGAGATTGCCAATGAAGGCCTCGATGCCTTTTTACACATGCTTCTAATCGATAACTTTGTCCATGCCGATCTACACCCTGGAAATATCATGGTTCGGTTTTACAAGCCTAGCGAACTCGATCTATCCCTTCGCAAGCATTCGCGTGCCACCGATGCGCCGACACGAGCTGAAGTAGACGTGACCGAGTCTGTGCTTGCACGATTACGTCCCCATATTGGCCATCAAGAACAGTGGGATTCCGCACTGGCTCAGCTTAATAATGAAGGATATCGCCCACAGCTTATTTTCATTGATACCGGTCTGGTTACTGAGTTGAACGACACCAATCGGCGAAATTTCCTGGATCTTTTCCGAGCCATTGCTGAGTTTGATGGATATAGAGCTGGTCAACTTATGGTTGAGCGATGTCGCACACCCGAACAGGTCCTCGAGCCAGAGATTTTCGCTCTCAAAATGCAACATCTTGTGTTGAGCATTAAGACACGTACATTTGCTCTTGGAAATATCAAGATTGGCGATGTGCTGAGTGAGGTCTTAACAATGGTCCGCGGCCATCACGTCCGGTTCGAAGGTGACTTTGTGAATGTCGTGATATCTTGCCTCCTACTTGAAGGCATTGGGAGAAGTTTGAATCCAGATCTAGACTTGTTTAAGAGGTATGGCAATCCTAGATCCCAGTTTTTTCAGAGCAACACTGACCTGTTTCTAGTGCCCTTCCTATTCTCCGACAGCTGGGCTCTGGCGCCACCTTCTTGCAAACGGTCCGTTCAGGCGACACCTCGATGCTTCGTGTCTGGGTTGGCTTGGAGGCTCGTGGATTGCTGCAGGCCAGCATTGAGAGTGTCGAGCGGTGCGTCAAGTACGATCAGTTGTCGCCAAATATCTGAGATATAGATTCCCTTTCTGTACCATATGAAGTGCCCCCGGCATCAATGATAATGAAAATATATACAGTATTCAAATATGAATTTCCAATCCAATGGCAAGCTAGTGCTACAAATTGGCTCAAAACTCATGTCACATCGATAAAATCTCACGAAAACCTTGGAACATCACTATATTGCCATTATCGTCTGCTGGTGGAAATAAACTGTTAAAACTTGGGTAGTAAGACAGGTAGAATATGACACAGGAAGGAGAAAACACCAGAGATCATGAATAGGGGTTTCATAAAAAAATATAAAAAAACCACGAAGAAACGCCCATGCCATGTCTAAAATTATACAATGTGGAGTGGAGAATGGATCAAATGGTCTGAAGAGCCTCATGAGCTCTGCTCGCGAACAGCAGCTCCACTGGCTCTCCACCATGCGTCTCCTCCCCATCGCATCAGTCGCTCAACCGCAGCCGTTGGCGTATCTAAAGCAGGTCGGATATCGAGGTAGAAGACAGGGTCTCCATTCGGCTCAGGAGGACCAGAGTAGTAATCGATCACATAACGAACTTCCTTTGAGCCGTTAGGTGTCTGACGCTGAACGAACCAGTCGTGTCGGTCAAAAGGAGGTTTGGTCCTGAAGTATCTCATGTTAGTATTTGATTGGCAATGATAAACTACAATTGCAGGGTGCGACATACTCAAACTTGGAAGGGTAGATCCATCCCAAAGCCTGGAAGATCTGGGCCTTGGGAGTAAGATCCTTTGGACGACCCTGGAACCGAATCAGGCGAGGCTCTGTCGTCGGGTCCGCAAGTCCATGCGCCTCAGCCATGGCCAGGTCCCAGCTCAGATTCTCCTCGCCTCGGCGACACTTGCTCCATCCTTCCTTGAGACCCTTGGCGAATGTGCGCTCCCATCCTACAATCTCGTTCCAGGCACCTTCATTCAGGAAGTTGTGGACAGCAACCATGGCTTCCACGGCATCCTGGGGTGTATCGGTGTGTCCTTTGCGCAGCATGGCATTGTACATCTGCTGAGGGGATGGGTACTCCCAGTTCTCGTCGCTGTCGCCTCGTGGGATAGAAGACTGTTCACGCTCAACGGGAAGATCGACGGTCTGGTTCGCGGCACGCTCCTGAGAGATCGAGGCGAACATATAGTTCATCGGGTTCAGTTTCGATAAAGTGGAGGAGGACTGGGTTGGAGCCGCTGGCTCTTTCGGGGATTGCGCGGCAGATGTTTTCGGATAGAAAGGAGAATCGGATTTCATGGGGCAACTGCCCTCAGGGACAGCAGCTGGCGCCTGACGCGATTCATGCATCGGGCATGAAGGCTGAATTGATGGTCAGTCGGGTACTTGATGTAAATTAAGGTCCTGAAGGACGTACCGGGGGAGCTGCATTGGTAGGCGGGTGAGGAGCCTGTGGCGCCGTTGGCTGCGAGTCTGCCCAGAACCAACCCATTTTCGATACTAAAGAGTACAGAAGAATTAACAGTAAAAAGTGGCAATGGAGTGGTAAAAACCAAAAAATTGCCTCGCGCGATAAAAGATCGGGAAAACCGCGACAAGATGACATAATCCGACTCGTAATCCGCAGCGGGCCGAAGTATAGAAATCCACGCGATTTGGTTGGTTTACATCAACAAGGGTACTTTAACAGTTTCCTGTGCTAGTACCTAAAGCATTAATTCTTCAAGTTTCAATATAGACTGGTTCCATAACTCAGTTGGTTAGAGTGTCATGCTAATAACGTGAAAGTCGAGGGTTCGACCCCCTCTGGGACCATGTTTTTGACTATACATACCAATTAATATATTTTAATTACACCACACTTTTTTGTGTTAGTACATAGAGCATTAATTCTTCAAATACCATATCGATTGGTTCCATAACTCAGTTGGTTAGAGTGTCATGCTAATAACGTGAAAGTCGAGGGTTCGACCCCCCTCTGGGACCATTTCTTTTTGCACCTAATCTGCTCTGGTGAAGGATTTTTTGGTACCCCACTGCTCTAACTGTTACGAGCCCGTCCTGCTTCCCTAGCCAAGATGTGACCGGGCCATAACTACATAGTCCATAGTTTCGGTCTCTCTGACCTCCCATATGTCATGCTTCTTATCCCCCGTTTTCTAGCTTAGTGCCATACGTTCCATCAACGTAACAGTTGGTAGCACGTCCTGTCTACGTTTTCTTTCGGGTCCTCCGATCGGTTATTTGTCCTTGTTTTCCTTTTCCTGCGCCAAGCCTGCGCCGGTGCGGTGATCGCACCAATCCCACCCGCTCCCGCCCTAGTGAACCATACCCGTCTTGAGCTTATATGGACTCGCTGGATAAAGCATCGAGATCGGCTTTGATACTTGCCTCACAGCTTGATAACTTCATTAGCTTGTCGCTGACTAACCTACCTCCCCCTGGGTTTTTGAATCCGATTCTATCATCCATTTTCGCATCCAACACGTCATCACCCGATTCGGGAAGGTGCCCTCAACCAGCTTGCCAAACTCGGCTGACTTCCTAGTCGACTGGCCTATTGATCGTTCCTGCTTGAACCAAGCCACCAAGGGTTTTCTTCGTTTATCGATTTCACTCTGCCCCCCTGATCCTCTTTCTTTAGAATCGGAACCTAGTCGCCCGCTCGGCCGTATTTAGACTAAGCCGCCGGCGCTAGGGCCGGCCAAACGTCATCCTAACTCGTCTATCACGAGTGCGGCCTCTGCCCCAACGCTCGTTTCAGCGCCTACTACACCGCGCACCGAACGAACACAGCTGCGCCCTGCTACTTCTTCACGCAACGCCGTCAGCTTCGCTGATTTCTCCCCTATGCGGGTACCATACGCAGGCCCTCCTATCCCCTTCCCCTCCACCAGCTCTTACCTACGGGACCCCACCCGCTGCCGCTGAGCCTCTTTTTCCTCCTAGATCTTTCCCCGGCTAGTTGTTGCCAGTTCCTACGATGGCTGACAAGGATAACCGCCAGAACAGTGCTCCTTCGGCAGCCCCGGTCCAGGATTTCCAAGCCATCCTCACCGGCATCCTGACCAACCCCGATCTCATCGCGTTACTCCATACTCTAGCGCCAGCCTCGAACTAGGCACAAGCTGTCACCTATGATTTAAAGCCTGATACATCCTGGAAGCCTGCAGAGATTGGTTTCTTTAACCTAAGCCAACCCGATAAGGATGGCGGCTTCGTGCTTATCCGCGACGTTATGCACTATACTAATGTCTTCACCTTCGTTGATCGCCTCAGCGACTTGGTCCGCCTAAAGTCTGAGCAATTTGTGCGCGCGAATCTTTATTTTTGCCTGAAGCCCGACGCTCTGGCTTGGTATTCTCACCTATGAGCCGATCATAAGAAAAAGACCCGCTTTGATGAAGTCATAAATCTCGGCCTGTCCTCATCAAGCGGTTCCATAACTCAGTTGGTTAGAGTGTCATGCTAATAACGTGAAAGTCGAGGGTTCGACCCCCTCTGGGACCATACCTTTTTACACACCTACTAAATATTCTATATTCAAGTGTTGTTTTCCTGCTTATAGCCTTTTTTTATTCTCACCTCATTATTGAATAATGTCTGCTAGTATTCAGGTTCTCATGTAGCAGAGCAGCAGTCTCCTGCTCTGTAGCTGTCAAGGGATTATCATTGTCATAATGTGACAATATGAATGTCAATGCGAGGGCACGAGTTTCCAAAATCTTGCCAGTGGCGTAAGTAAGGCTTCGGATATCTCATTAAGGTATTGCTGCTGGTGGAAAGGGCTGACAAGACTGAAATCCTTACACGAAAGTAGCAAGAACTGCGGGTCGTCGAAAAACTGGCCTTCGTAATGACCTCGCGCTGTGTTGTCTTGAAAGAGTTGAGCAGAACCCAAGCAGTGATACTCAGAAGAGCCAGCGGATGTTGAAATGGGAGCTGTTTCATCGAGCCTGAAGTTGTTTAGCACTCTTTGAAGGCTTTCTTGACCCAGAGCTCCCTAAATTGAGGTGTACTAATGTATATAGTATCAGAATCAGAATACTAGTCGTCGCTGATTACAATGGGGTTCAATTGGCTTGAACCTATTCCATGAGTCATAATAGTTCTTGATGCTGTATTTCCGAAACTATGCGAATTTGAAGCTTGTGAGAGGAATGTCAGGACCACTGTATAGAACTGGCCATACAGACCAACTGCGTCAGTTGAGGAGAGATGGTTTTTCCGCCGAAATAACCAATGGTCATGTGAGTGTCACGTAACCCCACAATTGTACTTACAGTAAGCATTCTCAGTAGGCTTTAGCAAATGGGGCCCCATGTAAAGTTCCAGGACCCACCCCAACCCATAAAATTCACAGGGGGGCCCATGGGCCCCTAATGGGCCCGCAACGAGGTTGGCTATATGCCTAATTTTGCCTGATTTTACACATTTTTTGCCGAGACTTTTTTTTTTGGTTACGTCTATTCTAGTCTGTTCCGATCCACGCGCGGCGAGTAGTAAAGCGGCCATTTCTCGTACGGTAGAGGGCCGGAGTGGGTGGTTAAAAAAAGAGGTCTAATTAATTGACGCGTTTTTTAATGGGGTGGCCACCCGGTAGTGGATTACTTTAGTAAAAAGTAAAAAAAGATGGTCCCAGAGGGGGTCGAACCCTCGACTTTCACGTTATTAGCATGACACTCTAACCAACTGAGTTATGGAACCGTTCTATAGTGAGACTCAAAGAATTAATGCTTTGTGTACTCATGCAGAAAAGTGTTGATAAAAAGTATGTTAGACTTAGTCAAAAAAAACATGGTCCCAGAGGGGGTCGAACCCTCGACTTTCACGTTATTAGCATGACACTCTAACCAACTGAGTTATGGAACCAGTCTATAATGAAATTCGAAGAATATCATTTCAAACCACAAAGGTAAAAGGGTCCCATGAAAAATATAGATTATATAGTAAAAAACGTGGTCCCAGAGGGGGTCGAACCCTCGACTTTCACGTTATTAGCATGACACTCTAACCAACTGAGTTATGGAACCTATCATGTCATGTGACGTGGAATTATGATCCATCCCTACTCTACTCTGTAAGTAGAGATACTAATAATTGACTAGTCTAGAATAATAACTGATAAAATTAAGACTGAGATACATAATTACTGATCTTGATATATGGGTTCCTGAAACAGGAGTCACCTATATGCCTATTCCAGGGAGAAATCTATCTTATATGTTGAATTGTATGTCAGGTGTCTGGGCCTCTTTAGTGGGTCCGGTTGTTCTTGTTTACCTCAAGGCTCCATCTCTCTCCTTTCTTATCTATGTTTGATATTTTTGTCCAACCTTACTGCAGTTATTGTTGTTATTGCATTTTGTACGCAGGTGGCTTCTTAGCCAGCCCCTTTCTCTCTTTTTGCTTTACTCCTGATTCAGTACTAGTATTTCATGGTACATATATATATTCCAAGTTTTGTCTTGAAAAATATCATCTACTATCCGAATCAACCATCTTCACTCTATTTATCTCGTGCTCTAAAAGCAGAGGTACCGCAATATAATAGTAATATTCTAAGGTTCCAAGGTTGGCATATCTAGGCAGTACTAGCATCGCTGGCGTACCCCGTGTGTAGACGTTGGACATCACGGAGAGTGTTTCAGGCATCCACCTGTCCTGTTTGGACTGTTTCTTCCAACATTCTTTCCGATCATGACTTTTCCTCACACCACTGGCAGTGCCTCTTCTTTCACATATACTAGTACCACTGCTTTGGTGTTGCCATCGTAGTTGACAGCTAGCACTCATCTATTTGACTCCATCGACTCGTCTGGATCCCACCGCCTTACGACAATCTCGACAATGTCCTGATTCCCGAGAACCCCAACGGTGAATACACCGGTATCGAGTTGTCGAAAATGTTGGGCAGAGCATCAGAATCGGCATCAAGCAAGTCAAAAACCGCCCGCGACATCTTCAAGGGCCTCTCCGGTGTTGATCGACCACACGCTACGCTGCGCTGCTGGGAAACTCATGCCTGAAGATCGCCACCGGCCCCATAGAAACCCCCAGTAACGAAGCTGTCCAGGCTTACACAGGATATTTCCAGAGAGACCCACATGGTTGTCGCTATATTTCGCTTCTGAAAAATATGATTCACTTCCTGGTTGATAAGTCTGACATTCAAATTGACCCCAGTGCACTACCATCTGCTGTTGATGAAGAGACAGTTTCCGAAGAGACCGTCCGTTTGAGAGTTGTGAATCGACTGCTCGAAGAGTTCAGCGAGGACTTCGACGACCATTACTACCATTACATGAATCCTGATACCGCAGAACAGCTTGAAGAGTTCGAAGAAGGACAATACACGAAGGTCGTCGAGGTGTTCTACTTCTGCTCAAACCGGATAGAGCGGCAGCCATCCAACTTGACCCGAAGCGCTGCTATCAAAACAGCCAAGAAGATCAGGGGAGAAAAGGGGCAGGCTAGACACAAAAAGTGGGATGCGGAATTTAATGAGCGACGCAATCACTGGCAAATGGATATGGCCGTTTCCCGAGCAGGTACAAGAGAGAGCGACACCGGCAATCCAGCGGCCATCGAACATAGCCTACAAGTTGAACACTCTTTGCAGCCCGAAAGATCCCTGCAGCCCGAAAACCCGACATAAGAGAAAGATGTAGCCTTGGAAGAAAATGCTGGAGGATCTTATGCGAAGACAGAAGTGTTACTTCCAATTCCGCTGGATCTCATATCGGTGGACCGAACGCAGGTTTTGACCTATCTGATCCAGAAGGTCGAAGAGCTCCATTCCGATCGTTACGCATCTTTTTTACAGCATTGTTCTACTGTGGACATATGTGCAAAGCTTGAGGATATTCTGACGCCTGGTGTGAGACGGGTTAGTGATGACGGGCCATCCTCTTTGAAAAGGTAAGTGTCGTTATGTCTACAGAATATAATAGCTTCTCCTAAATCTGGCTAGGTTACAGTCGATCGGAGGGGATACCGAAAGCACTGCCGCTGGAGTCTACCTGCACATTATCTGGCTTCCAGAAGAGCCCGAACGTTTCTGGTTGTACGTTGGCCAAGCAACAGACCTGGCAAGAAGGATAGCGGATCACAACAACAAGATTTACCGCAAAAAACATCTCAGCCTCCATTATCACATATGGGATTCGAGGGAAGATACGTGCTCGAAGTCTGTTGTACTTGCTACATGTGACCCGAGTACCAAGGGACAGACTGTCTTTAGAGCTGATCAATGTTGTCTGAACCTTCTGGAGATGTGGATGGCATGTCTGTTCCAGACCCTCACTGCAAGGGATCTCGACAAATATCTATCTCCATCTATCAGCCGGTCGTCCGCCGGTCGCCACCTCAATGTTGTGCCACCCATATGGCAAAGGTTCCAAGATGAAACTGTGCCAGAAAGAAAAGAAGTTTTCGATCGACCAAGCTTCCAGGCACTTCTACGCTCGGAGGACGCAGCTGTTCGATCATGGGCGCAGAAAGCCAGAGACTCATACAATGATATCCGAAACTCCCCCGACCCAGAACTACGCAAATATTGGCTTGATAATAACAAAAGACAGCTCCAGCAGGCTTGGAGCTCCAATCAACAGAGCACCATTGCCAGGACGAAGGAGTACCTCAAGGGCAAGAAAACCACTGTCAAGTGTGCTCCAGGCCGCAGTCGTGGCTTTGTTACATGCGGAAAATTCATCATCTCTGTGCCCAGTTCGCTAGAGATCTCACCCGGCAGCAAGCTTATCGAGCAGTTCCATCTTTACCAAACGGCGATTAGTCATCGCTTTGCGTGTAAGGCGATGGATTATGATCCATCGAGCCGACTTGCGATATCAATCAAGGGCCTGAATGCCTCCGGAAACAAAGTCGACACATGGCTTCACAGCTCCGGAGAAAACAAACTTGCCATGCGTATGAACACGCTTGTTGATCTACTAGAGGATGTCCCCTTCAATGAGACTTGCTTGTTACGTCGCCGTTGGATTGTCAATCGCTCGGAGACAGGGATCGAGCGCCAAACCGAATACACAGACTAAATATGGGAGCTCAGGTGTATGTTTCAAGCCTCAAGCATTCCCAGTTTGTGTATAGTTACCAGTAGAAGGATAGACATCTCACTCCTAGCTATCACCATATGACACACATTCTAGCTATGCATCCCTCCGGCCTTCCCTACTTCATCGAGTCTGACGAGATTTTAGCTACTAATTAGTAGTATACAAAAGGAGTGGGAGTAAAATCCATTGTAAAGTCGGAGATAGCTCATATATACTACTCGTAGTTTATCACCTTGCTACTAAGGTTACGGCGCTCCATACTAGTAGACGCAATCGACTCTGGGTCTGTTATGGGCATTGGGGGATACTTAGGCTGGCCGCACTCAAGCTGGAGTCGGCCCAACAGCGTCCGAATCCCAATTTTACTATAGTTCCCTATACAAACTGCCCCCCCCCCCCCTCCCTCTTCTTGTTGAAGCTATTCCAGCCTTGCAAAATGCTCAATCTCAACAATTAAGGGTATTGAGAATATGACTACACGTAATATTTTCGTTCCATCTGTTGACCTACCAGTCAGTGAACAAACATAACGGAGGGTAATATTAGAGACCAACTAGAAGCAGCAGACCTATCATCTAAGGCATTCAAACAGCAGAAGTAGTACTAATTAGAGATGGGGGAGGGGGAGGGGAGAGTCGCAAGAGAGCGAGCGTTAAGTCCGGGGGCGATTGCGGCGAAGGCGGCTCATAGATTCCATATTAGGCACTTAGGCGTAGCAGCCGTCCTGATTGTATGGGGAATGCCAGCAATGTTGGGACTTGGGTGTGACGAGCGGTCCCCTTTTTCTGCCGGCATAACTGACCCAAATGCCCTAGCATATCCACAGAGTCGATTGCGTCTATGCTAGATGGACCACCATAGCTGCCACTAGATAGAAACCTGCGAAGACGATGCTGGTAGACAAGGTTCGAGGTAGGCCCCGGGGTAGTAGTTATTCTAAAGTACTCGACACGGAAGACGGTATAGCTACACACCAAGTTCAAATTCCCTTCGTCAAGTATGGCAGCTAGAGTATGGGGCGCTTCCAATTGATTAATTGATAAGAAGTGCAGTTTGAATTAGCTCTAGCAACTGCCTAGCCTAAGTTGTTGTCTAGTCTAAGGTAGTTTTGTCAACAAGAGAGAGGGGCCATATTTACTTCCTACACCCTGGATATTCTTCTGGATCATGAGGACCAGATTCAGGCACCACCGATCAAGGGGTTCCATATTTAAGTTGGTTAGATTGTCATGCTAATGACGTGAAAGTCACCAAAGCAGATTAAGGCAAAAAAAAAACAAATGGTCCCAGAGGGGGTCGAACCCTCGACTTTCACGTTATTAGCATGACACTCTAACCAACTGAGTTATGGAACCAATCTACATTGAGAATTAGAAAATTAATGCTACATGTACTAAAACTCAAAGGTGTTAGATAATCAAAAATATGTCAAATCGTAGAGTCAAAAACATGGTCCCAGAGGGGGTCGAACCCTCGACTTTCACGTTATTAGCATGACACTCTAACCAACTGAGTTATGGAACCGCTTGATGAAGACAGGCCGAGATTTATGGCTACATAGGTCAGAAGCTAGAATACTGTTACTATTATTACTGCGTTGGTGCCTCAGCCAGACGGCATCCACTACCCACCATAGCCTATATCTTCTTCTTCTCTTTAATCTGAGTACTTTCGTTAATACCATCATATATTCACCTGTGCATGGTGTCGTACCTGAGCTCCTTACTCCAATTTCCGTTGCTCAAAGCCTTTGGTATCGAAGTGGTGTGCCCTGATACAGACTACCCTGGTAAGCTGCGCGCAAGAGACCAGTAGTAATTCTTCTGCCAGCTTCACCTTACAAGAGATCGTGTAAGCTATGTGAGTAATCAATATGTGTATATTGTCACTAGCCGCGATAGAGTTAATTCTATCACCCCATTCGAAACTTCACCTCACCTTGAACATAGATCTTGACCTTGATCAGCTCCATGCTACCCTGGAAGAACTCCAGTCATGTTATCAGGAGCAGTAAGTGCAAACCGATGTTCTCTGCACACATTGTCAGCTTCTTGTCTAAGCATAACCTCAACCATCTTAGTATCTAAAACCTCTGCTTCCAGATCTGGAAAGTTCACCAGGACCTCAGTCCTTGATCAATACCCCTCGCCAGGAGCAGCAAGTGCAAGCTAATCTGCTCTATAATTATTCTTAACGCTCTCGCTACAACTTAATCAACAATTAAACCTCCCCTGTATCTACACCGAGTTCATTCGAACCGTTCAACAGCTCGTGAGCTATACCAGCGGCAATCACTCTGGCCATTACAATTCGACCAAGCCCCATAGCGGCACCGGCAATAATAATACTGTGGTGATAGGATAGATATTGGTTCTGAAGCATCAGGATGCTACCTCTTTTGTGAGAGGGGATGATATAACGAACCAGATGGCTGTTACTATGTAACGGGAGCTAAGGTATCAGCCAACAACTGATTGGTCAGGTAAGAAGTAGAGAAAGAGCCTGGGTTTCGATTGAACAACCGAGACTGATTCTTGAAGAACCTTCAAAGAATCGAGGGCTTAATGCCTGCTTTATAGAATAAATGGGTCCACGCTTCGACAGGGATTTGGATATAATTCCCGATCGATAATATCCTGATATCATCCCGTTCCATCCGTTACATGCCCGGGGGCCAGTTCCGTCAGACCTTCTTGGTGAGCATGCACCTAATTGAGGGAGAAGGGGGATCGGGTATCAATCAGATATCCCGTGACATACTATTGTTACTATGTTGGTGCCTTAGCCGCATAGCATCCACTAGGCACCACTGCCTGTATCATGTCCTTCCGTCTCCTCTCCTCCACCTCTTCAATTGGATTACTTTTATTAGTGCTAACACACGTTTACCTACATGTGCTGTTATACCTAAGCTCCTTACAACTTCAAAGAAGCTGAGTAGTAGGCTAAAAAAACATTCACAGCCGGAGCAGATTAAGGCAAAAATATGGTCCCAGAGGGGGTCGAACCCTCGACTTTCACGTTATTAGCATGACACTCTAACCAACTGAGTTATGGAACCGATTGATTAGGATAAGCTAGATTTTATGGCTATATCAAAGGAAGAGTAGTAGGTGAAGAAAAACCAGGAAATAGTGCATGTATATAGATATCTAGAAGGGAGAGGGAGTAGGCCAGGAAGATAAGATAAAAGAGATACCAAAAGTGATGCATGAGGCCTACACCCTAAGAGGGCAAAACAAAAAGATATTCATGACAGAGCACATTAGCATAATCTCATGGTCCTGAGGGGGTCGAACCCTCGAGAATTTTTTTTTTAGTACCCCACTTCTCTAACGCTTTGATGATGTCATAAATGTCAGCCTGTCCCCATGAAGCGGTTCCATAACTCAGTTGGTTAGAGTGTCATGCTAATAACGTGAAAGTCGAGGGTTCGACCCCCTCTGGGACCATGTTTTTGATCATACCTTATATATTTTTAACCCATTATCATTAATATCAACTTCAAATATTCAATATACACAACGATATCAGGATACCTCTGCTGAAGCAACAGGCTAAATGTTGCACACATCATTCGCGGAGATTACAAACCCTGCCATCGCCTCGTCCCAAATGGCCCGCCATCTGGATCCTTGGGCAGCCGCAATGAAGAAGTAGTCGGTTAAGACCCGAGCTACCTGCTCCCAGCTTTGCCAATCACATAACATTGCGACTCGAGCCAGCCGCTCTACAAACCAAGGTCGCTCGGGCTGACCGAGTGAGCCTTGAGCTCCAATGAACAAAGCCCAGGCAAACAATCCGAAGTTCTCATTGGGTAGCTCAAGCAGAAGAGTGAGTCTGAAATTGTTCACTACTTTCATGAGATGTTTTGTGAGAGCCCGACCAAGGCCCGAGGACGGAGGGGAGACAATGAGAAAGTAGTTGAGAAAGCAGATCGAAGTTACACGGGTGACTGCTTCAATCGGGTGGATTCTCTCGGACCTGGAGTCTTCAGTGTAAACATAACTGAGCAGTTGATGCTCGGTTTCGCAATTGAGCACTCGGAAAAAATCATGGTCGCTGAAGTGTATGGCCTGGGGCGCAACCTGGACGGTGATACTGTAAAAGATCATGTCTCGTATCACGTTCAAGATGCGTAGTAATGGCGGACTGAGAAGTGTATTCGCCCAGAACCCAGAGCCAAGCCGTCGAATTGGTGATGAAGGGGGAGGTCGAATTCGGTGCTGTATATCGAGAGGTACGGGTTGTGTGTCCCAAGTCAGTGGGAATACCGGTTTAGCTAACAGCCCTGTACCGGCCTTCACATCGCTTCTGCTGGATCGTAAGTCTAAGCAATTTAGAGTGCAATCAGTCACGTACGTAAGAATCGCCGACAACATTGAAGATGAGCTGATGCTCTTATCCGTGATACCACCACGAAGCTCCACCATGCGCCTTAGGCCAGTCAGGTGAACCCGAGCTTCGTCAAACAAACCTGCGATTAACTATCATGATGTGAGAAGGGTTTCGGGTAACTGTTTTGGCGAAATCTTACTGATCCAGTGAGGAGATTGATAATTGTATCGAATGCCTCGTTGCTGAGTGCTAACCTTGGGTCTCGTACTTTGGTGTTCATCTCGTGTATTGATTTGGCTTTCATGATACAGTAGTCAGAATCGTTGATGACCCGATCAGGGCCATCGATCGTGCTGAAAGGATCAAGGCGATTCATGGCCAAGGCGGCTCGGTGCGCAGCGCACATGCTCATGAGACCGAAGAAACTTCCCGGGTCAGAGAAGGAAGATCGGACCATTAACTCTAGCTCAGGGATTTCCGAGTCTCTGAGGCCGCTCGGAAAGGTCATGGGAACAAAGACAGATTTCCCTGAAATGAATTAGTCCCAGAAATACTCTAGAGGATAAATATGACGTACAGTAATAAACCAAATGTGCAACCGTAGAAGGGAGCTCGCCCGTTCCAGGCAATGAACAGAAAGGATCGTAGAACCATGATGCAGGCAAAGTCCGTGGGTTGAGGCTCAAATGACAAGGTAACGGGTAGCCAGCCAGCCATCGCGGCGGGCGTGCTCGACGAGGTCTTGAATCAGAACAACTGCTCTCGAAGTCCGTATCCCCTATCGATGAGACAGAGGTCTGGGATACAGCCCTCAAAACCAGTTGTTGGCCCTCAGACTCCTCAACGACCTTCCGTCGAGACTTTGTAGCTATCTGTTCCCGGTTATCTCGCCTCGATGTTCGTTTGGTTCCTGCTAGCCTCTCTCGCCGGCGTACATCGCGCATAACATGTGAGCGGATCGCCTTGCGGGCTTTGACATCTTTGATTCGTTTGGAGGTCAAGTCATCGTCGTGGTCGATGAAGGTGTACGACGGCCGATCAAGCGGTGAAGCGGCTCTTGAACTGGGTTCTGAACCAAAGCTGTTAGTACGGGTGCAGGATTTCGCGATGCCCTCCCTACTAGTGCAACCAGGATGGAGCTGAATTTCCTAGGCAAATAGAAACTGTAGGATTCGTTTGCCACGGAGACCATAACAAGCCTCCAGGGTCATGTCGTGGCGCACAGATCCACGAATGGGGTAGATCGGTGGGTCTTTCCGGGAGATGGGGGGGCTTGAAAAGGTACAATCGAGCACCAACCTGAATTGGAAGGTCGAACACCTGGTAACGTAAACGACTGCAAATGATCCATCTTGGGCCCGAAGGCCAGCACAAAGCGAGATGACAAGTCACAATCCAATGAAGTCAATATGAAGTGGGGGTTGGGAAGACGGATTTAGGAGAAAAGAAAGGAGTAGTTACGTTGCCAATATGTCAATGCGGGGGAGAGATAGAGCACCAGCCAAATTCAGTTTAAAAGTAGTTCAAGCGGAGAAATCCACCCAGTGATGATCCGGTGGTATGATGGGACTGTGTAACCATTTCTATACATAGTTCTATGGTAAATAAAGAGTAGATATAGGGACATCAACCTGAAGAAAAGAAGGTCCTGTATAATGCGCCCAAAGATGCTGCCAAGCACAAGTAACAACGCAACCCGCTAACAATCAAAAGAATACACGTAACCTCTTCCCTCGTACATAGCAATCTCAAGCATATGCCGTTGATCTCATTTACCCCTGCATGTCACTCATGAGTCTAGAGATCAAAGCGTAACCAAAAAGCACCGCCAACCCGATCCAAAGGCGGTTTCGTCGTGCCCATCCCTGACCGGCTTCCCGAGCCACATGACCCCCCTCCACAACCGCTCCAATCCCCGGAGCACTCCCGTTCGGTCGTCGACGTAAGGCGCTAGTCTCTGGGGAACATCTGGTAGGGGCGTTGGGGTCTGGGAGAATCTGGCCGGTGTTGGTATCAATGTGATGTTCTTTCATCCAGGCCCAATTTTCCTGGTCTAACTCAGGCCACTCAGCCCGGAACTTCAACCCTCCATCTCCTGCCTTGACGTTATTGATTCCTTTGGCTGTTCGAGTCACACCCGGGGTGGCGTTAAGGTGCGAACCGCCCCCAGTTGAGTTCCACCATCGTGACCGAACAGCAAATACTCGACGCTCCGCTTCCGATGCGCTGACACTTCCCGTAGTCATCTCTTCACTGGTCATGAAGGACAATAATCCAATCAGGATGGTCGAAACTTCCCAGGCAGGATTGAAAGACTTGGGGTGGAAGTCGCTGATGCTTAGGCAGAGGCGAGTTGACGGCTGGAATCGACCACTAGGAGTATGCATGCGGATGGCTGGGGGCGCAAAGGGATATTCAGGAGGGAACATCAGGGTACCCCAGTATTGTCCATTCTCGTATGGGGTGCCCGGAGGACCCGTGAGGATATAGTGCCATCTGGTCTGATTAGTGCATGAGTTTCTTCCAGAGAGCTAAGAGGTCACACTCACTCAAGAATATTGCTCTCCGATGGATGGGCAATAATGAATGGAGGGGGGTTCTTCTGAATAGTTTGGTATTCCCGAGTGAGCTGTATAGTTTGTTAGCGACTCCCGGTTGCTTGGACATGAATGTCTCGGTTACCCACCCGTTTCAAAGCTGCCTTGGTCGCCATGTTGCAGGACAAATTCTGCTAGAGAATAATGTGTAACTGGTAAGAAGAGATAATATGGGAGAGACAAAAGTAAAGCAAAAGGAATTCTAGACCAAAGAGAATCGATGAAGTGAAAGGTCAAGGCGAAACGGTTGCGCAACGAGCGTCCCCGGAGTCACGTGCGCACCGTTTTCCCACGCGATCACCAACATGATGCTGTTCTCCGATCTTAGCCCATTGTAGCCGTCACGATGTCGTCCCCTTTATCTGCCGGAGATGAAGATGTATGTATAATATCTATGCAGCTTGGAGCTGTATTTTTAATGTTCGTGCTAAACTAATCATCTTACTGTCCATAGATCTTCGAGCGCTTGCAACAGCGCAAGGACCCGCAGGTCCTGGAAGAGCAGCAGCAGGCTGTGAATGAGCGGATGCAGGCAATTCTTCAGAAAGCCCAATCTCGTCTTGGGGAATTGGTATGAATCTCGCCTTCTCTAGCCTTTGGATCATTGATCACCCGGCCTACCGGTGGACTTGAGGAACCTCCGGCTAACCCTCACATCTATAAAGCTCGACCAAAACTCTACCTTGCCCTGCAGGATCTCGTCGGTCCAGTTCCAGAGCGCGCCCCACACTCGCCGAAGCTTCCTCGAGCACATCGTCAACCCGCTTCTTGGTGCGAACCGCGATCATCCCTACACTCTTTCCGAGGCCTTGCGGGAAGTTTCGGCTGCGGCAGACAAACTTGGACGATTTGGTTAGTGATCCTCACGTCGCATAATGATGAAAGCTTATTATATTCTCCTTTACTAAAATAATTGTTAGATCTCTTCCAACAGCCTATCGCCGTTCACCTGGATGAATCGACACCAGATCCCACCACCGGATTGCGCAACATCGATGTTATCCTTGCTACCCGGGAGAAATCTCGTGTGCTTTTGAAGACCGGAACCGACCTTGGAAATGCAGAGGGTTCGGCATACGGTAACCTCCTCTGGCGCAATGTATTTGGAGGTGCTGAGACTTTGAACCTGAACGCCTCTTTGGGTACGCGCACACGATCTGCCTACCAGGCTGCATTCGAGACCCCCATTTTCTGTGACCCTGACTTCCGCCTGGAAGTTGGTGGTATCGCAAGCTCCACCCAGAAGTCCTGGGCCAGCCATGAGGAGGTAGTCAAGGGTGGCTGGAGCAAGCTTCGATGGCTCTCCCAGTCCGGCCATCGCCATGAACTGGGCTACAACGGATTTTGGAGACAGGTTACCAGCCTTGCGGAGAACGCCTCCCCGACTGTCCGAGCCGACGCAGGTGATAGTGTGAAGAGCAGCATCTTCCACAGCTGGGTCAATGATCAGCGGGACAACGCCATGTTGCCTTCTCGCGGTTACTACGCCAAGGTTTTCAATGAAGTTGCTGGGTGGGGCCCCTTGAAGGGAGATGTATCATTCTGGAAGTCCGAGATCGAGACCCAGGGCAGTATCCCGATCCCTATTCCGGGTGTCAAGGGTGACAGTGGCATTAGCCTCACCACTGGCTTCCGTGCAGGCCTCCTTTACCCCTTGGGACTGGAGTCAAACTCGCGGCCCCAGCTTTCCCGCGTGAATGATCGCTTCCTGCTTGGTGGTCCTACTGACGTCCGTGGTTTCCGTCTCTGCGGCCTGGGTCCTCGTGAGGGTCCTGATTCCCTTGGTGGGGACGTTTACGCTGCTGGAAGCGCAAACTTGCTATTCCCTCTTCCCAGAGTGGGAGCCGAGAAGCCTTTGCGATTGCAAGCCTTCTTGAACGGTGGTCGCCTGTTGCCACTGCGCACTTCGCAGAAGACCGCCCCTTCAACCAGCGGAGAGGTGCAGGATGCCATGATCTCAACCATCTCTGATCTGCAGAATGGCTTGCCTAGTATCTCAGCCGGTGTTGGTATCGTGTACGCCCTTCCCGTTGCGCGGTTCGAGCTTAATTTCTCTCTACCGCTCGTCCTTCGTAAGGGCGAGGAGGGCCGCAAGGGCCTGCAGCTTGGAATTGGCATCAACTTCCTGTAGAAACATGTTTCCTATTATTAGAGCTTAGCGGAGTCGAATTATACCTCACTTCATTCCTTTTTAATTCAGAATCCTGTTATTGTTATCTTGTTGTATTGGTTCTATACTTCGGCTCCCGGGGCTCCACGCGGGGCTGAGTCAGCAGGCATCAGGACAAACCGCAAGTTGGACACTTCGAGCTTCACGAGCTCCCACACGACTTACTTTCCACCTTGTTCTTGCATACAGCCAACAGAAATCTGTCTGATCGCCGCTCCACGGCAATGGCTCAATACTACCCTCAACAGCAACAGCCGGGCTATGCCCCTCAAGGCGCCGCACAAAACCTCCAGTTCTTCCCCTCGTCCTATTCCTCGGTATCCGGCCACACGACCCCCTCACAGGCTTCATACGGCGCTGGATTCGGTGGCGCTTCTAATCCCTCTGCACAGGCCTATCCGGGAGGTGGATATGGAGGCTTTGGGTCTCCGGCTGCTGGTGTGAGCGGCAGGATGGGCGAGCAGAGTGGCTTGCGGACAGGCTGGCTAGCCGCGTTTGGAGCCGAAGGATATGAAGGAGAACCGTCTTTACAGGAAGAATTGGGAATAAATCTTGGTCACATCAAAACCAAGGTAAGTCGTTATAAGGGTTGTTTGCTTCTACGTGTGATGCAGCATTGGATGGATCTACGAACCTAGTTCGGACCGCACGACTTCCATGCTTCTCCTCTGACGTATATGATATCTCACTTGATTCGAGATGTGCTAATAATTTGCGATTGCAGACTCTGACTGTGCTAAACCCATTCGCATCCATCGATAACCATTTAATGGACGACAGTGACCTTTACGGTGCCCTGCTTTACGTCTTCCTATACGGCCTTTTCCTCCTCCTGTCCGGCAAGGTGTTCTATGGCTACATTTATGGTGTTGCAGTCTTTGGCACCGTCTCCTTACACCTCATCCTGAGTCTCATGTCGCCCGTTCTCGACGGAGCTCCAACTCCGAACGCCGCCGACCCCACCAACTACAACCCACACCACAAGCCCTCTATGTCTGGCGTTTCCACTGCTGGCCATTTCTCTGCCACTCTGACATTCCCCCGCTCGGCCAGTGTTCTGGGATACTGTTTCCTTCCACTTGTGTTGACCGCTCTCATTGGTGTTCTGCTCCCCATGGACACGATGTTCGGCTATCTCTTGACCACCGCCGCCGTGGGCTGGTGCACCTACAGCTCGTCTGGCATGTTCTGTGCCGTGGCGCGCATGAGTGGTATGCGCGGCTTGGTGGCATATCCTTTGGCTTTGTTCTACGTCGTCTTCGGTATCATGGGTATCTTCTCGTCACGGGGCACAGGTACTCTGGCTGCGAAAACGGGTGCTGCTTAGACGTTCTGTGGTTTGATTCTTTAAGGAGACTATTTCATTCAAATGAGTATTATAGTCTCATGGTGGCATAAACATGCTGGCCATTCTTATTTTTGCGGAGGCTATCCGGTAAAAGAAAGGGGACATTGGGAAATTTCGCCTGCTGTTCCTTACATTAATTTATGAATATTATGAGGTTCTAAATGTGTTATATATCATTAAACCATTAGATTCGTCAATGCCCCTCTATCCAATTCATCCGTATAGACCTTGTATGATGCAAAAACCGACCGTGTTCCAAATCCCAAAAGACAACGTAGGAAGGCAAGTAAGCCGATTTATCTACTCGTTTCACTCTGCGTCGGTGCCCACTTGGCTAGCCATTCTCTGGTTTTTTCCAGATCACCTCCAGACGCCTCGGCGCCAGCAACGCACCATTCAAGCGCATAGGACTTGCCATCGGACCCCTCAGCAGAGAGCATCTCAGCCAAGTTACGGCGAATTTGCCCAGTCTCATCCGTACAGAAGTACAGTGGCGATGTATTGGGTACCTCAGGTTTGAAATTGATAGCATCCACGAGCGGGCGCGTGACCTTCATAATATCAGCCACGCCCACCGGCGCAGGAGAATCCGCAGATTTGCTGTTCTGTTTCCCAGTCTTGCAGTACTCGTTTTGACACCACGGCTTGCCGCAGCCGGTCATCATTTGGGATAAATAGCGTCGTTCAATACGGCGTCGGAGCGCTTTCCCTTCTGGGTCATACGTATCGACGTATAGAGGTCCGTAGCATATACTGCATAGACCGAGAGAGGCATTGCTTGCACTGCTGAGTGTGCGGCCACAATTCTGGTTCAAACAGATGCGAGGAGCTGGACGGGAAACACGCTCTAGATCATGATGTCTGAGATGGGTTCTCATATCGCGAAGCCGAATGATCTTATTACATAGGTGGCATTCTGTTGTTCGGCCGCCGTCAGATAGCTCGTGTGGTGTTAAGCCGGAGAGCATGACTTCGGGATCGTTGAAATCGGGGTCTGCCTCGCCTTTCTGGGGGACGAGTAGATGGCAGAATTGACAAAGGATCAACTTGCCAGGACACTCGGTAGTGCGATGCTGCGCTAGTGCTGGAAGCCCTTCGAATTGAGCGGCACAATCAGGACAGCTGTGGGCGCTGTGGAAGATGGAATCGTGCCTGAGCTTGCTGGAGGCATCATTGCCATGGGCTGAATCATGAGAGCAATGCCAGTGATTCTCCCACTCTGGCGACCGTTTTTGAAAAACATTGTTGCATTGAGGACAAAGAACGTTATTTCGGAGACAGAAGTTCTCATGGAGGACCAATGTCCGCTGCGGCACCCATTGTCGACAATTCTGACACTGTACATCCCCGGGCTCATGGGCCTCTTCTGTCTCCTTTTCACCCTCTATCTCATTTGCGATTATTCGTAGATGATATTGCGCCGGAGACTGCTTTGCAGATGCAGCTTCGGAGTCGGTAGAATAGGCGTGAGCTGAGATATAGAGAGCTTCTGCTCCCTCAAGAGCCACATTTGTAGATCGAATCTTCAATCGCTTGGGAGACTGACTCGAGAAGTCTCCCCAAACATGCATATCAGCCCGAGGGCGGCTTTGTTGGCGCGCACCAAGGGGACTAACAAAAAGACAGAGATTGGGATCCTCTGTAACAAGCTCCACTTCGAGAGTGTCTTCAGGGTTCCATTCTCGAAGCTCATAATCAACATATTCTCCCGGTAAGACCTGGGCCGTCACAGCCTCTCCGAGGGCAAGAACTCCACCAACTGAGCTGCCACTGGTTGTACCTGGTGCCCGCGCTGCCCGTTCTAATCGTTTCCGTAGAGTCTCCCGAGCTTGTTCCTCTGACAGTGCGACAATGTCAACCTCCAGATCTGTGTCTACGACACAAATGCCATCACCCTCCGGGTACACTTTATCAACCAAAAACCGGAAAGCCTCGTTGCGCGTCCCGGGGACGTTCAGTATCTCGTTGACGGTCAGAGTTGTGAAATTGTCCCGTAGGTGCCGCTCCAGCAAGGCCTTCCAGTCTTCGGGGTCATAGCCAGCCTCGAGCGGGCGAAGTCGCACATACGTGCCTTTGGGTAGTTGTTTCGCATGCACTGTCACCGCTGGACTTGATGGAGATTGCTCTTGTGCTTCTCTGCCATCTGTATTCTGTGTCACGCCGTTTGCGTCTAATTCGAATTCGGCATCTTCGATTCCAAGTGACTCTCGGAGCAAAGCGCTCAGTGCGACTTCATTCTCCGCAGCGGAGAACTCTCTGATCCCCGCGTATACGAAGCGACCATTCTGGGGGTTTACGACGCGGAACGTGAGCGGGTGGGGAAGCTGGTGCTGACGATTCTCGATTTGTTGCCGGGCTCGGGATTCTGCAGCGAACGTGTGGGGGTTGAAGGGGTCGAAGGAAGTGGTGTGCACACGAGGGTTCGGAGGGACAGCTTGGAGGGGCGCGGCGGCAAGAAGCTGTTCGAGGGCGGATTGAGGGAGTGTAATCTTATCTCCCGGTAGACGGGGTGTTTGCTGAGGAGCAGTTACAGCCAGCTGGGCCGACCAAATTAAAGTATTATTATCCATGATATGAAGCACGAAGGAGAGAAGAGTGGCATTGCGATAATTTAAGGTGGGGAACACCGAAAGCTTAGAAGTTCTGGAAGACTCCGCGGCCCCCGGAAATGGTATAATAAACATGAAAACGCCCGCTTAGAAATCCAAATCCTCCATTATTATTTAACGAAAACTGCGCATACGGTGGCGAGCACTGGTATTGCACCAATCACACTGGAAATTGTCAACTTTGTAAATTCCAATGTCGCAGATGAAAGCTTACCATCGTGGCGGAACATCCTTCGTTGTGGTCGATACAGTAGTCACCTTGGCAGCTCTGGCAGGTATGCTGACAATCCAGTTTACACGATGCACACTATAACAAGCGGGTTAGTATTGTTATACGAATTCAACAGGTGGTCACTCACGGTCGGCCCACACTCCCAGCAATCCTTGCTAACTCCTGGCACAGAATCCTAAGGCAGTGTTAATAACTGTCGCAACGTAATATCGAAGATACCCTGTAACATACCTCTCGCTCTCCTGCCCGAACTGGTCCTGTTAGCGGTCCCTGAGGGGGGCGAACCGCTGTCTGGTGTGGCGACAAGTTCACTTGAGCATGTTGAGGATTGGGCAGACAATTAGAGCAAAACCACTTATTACACCGATGGCACCAGCGATCAGTCAAGCAGTCGGCACATCGTGCAATCAGGCATGGATGCTGTCCGGGAATGTGTTCAGGGCGCTTCGCTGCGGTGACGCTGGATACGTGTAAGGGCATTGGGTTCAGCAGTGGGAACTGTAGATCTGGGGATTGACCCCAGATCGCTGGTCCCTCTGGAGAACTATGACACCCATCACACCCACGCGGGCCCAGTGCCACAGTAGCAACCGCTGGTCCCAGCAGAGGAGCTTCTGGGGCCATCTTGCCTTCATCCACAGAATACAGATTGACATCATGGCGCGGTCCACGACAAAGCACCGCATCAAATGCAATGATGCCCTCACATTTCTGCAAGGTTTGTGCCCAGCCATCGTCCAAAGTGTGTTTGAACAATCTCCCTGAGGAGCTGTACCATTCATTTTGCTCTGCCGGTGTCCTGGGGACATCTTCCTCGTCATCCGAGGACGCACTCGATGAAGATGAACTGGAGCTCTGACTAGGACTTCGGGAGCCAATGCGAGAGCCCCACCAGTCACGATATCGGCGTCGCACTACACCCCGAGGTGCCTTGGTTCTGGGTGAAAAGTGATAGATACCCTTGATCCGGGGAGTACCCTCTGGGCGTGTAGGCCGAACGGCATGTTGGATGACCTGCATGAGCTTTCGCTCATTGAGGTGGAGACACTCGCGGATCGAGAGAATGCTGACATTAAATCGATCTGTCAGGATGATATCGGCGACTAGATTGGCCGGTACTGGTAAGCCATCCAAAACCAGGGTGCGCACATCCTGTAGCACCGATCTTTTCTCCAAACTGGCGAAAATGCGTCGCAGCGGCGCAGAGTATACTTCGTCCTCCGTCTGCAAGTCATCCTGGCGCTGCGACTTTTTAGGAAGCTGAGCACCCCGGCAGCGAGTCAGATCAAGGTGTCGGAAAATATAGGGAGTTTGTGTAATCATGCTATACATAAGTCGCGATGTCGATGCCAGAGCTAGTAAGGATGGTGCTGCGAGATAAGGCGCGACATGATCCAGGATCAAACTATTGGTTAGGGCCTCTTCGATAGGCGCTCGGCGCGGAGAGGGTGTGGGTTCTGGCATAGAGATTACATTTGGGGTAATCTTCTGAGGAATTTCGCGGATGATAGGTTCAAGGCCCAGTTCTTTTGCAGTGAGGCGACGAGAGCCATAGAAATCGGGAGCGCGGCTGATGAGATTTTGACGATAGGCGATCATAGCGCCGACGGCGACCTCATCTCCGATGCGCAAGATCGGCGCCGGTTGAATTTCTTGGAGAGCGGCACGGGCTTTGACGAGCTCCGTCTCCAAAAGGTTAATGGTAGATTGTAGGACGGCAGGCATGGCGTCGAAGTCGGAGTCAATGGCAGAAACAAGAGCGGACCACAAGTCGGACATAATCTTTCTTTATATAGTTAAGAAAGAAGGGGGGCGGTTCCACCATGAACTGGGTGGGGAATCAGGGACTCGGGAATAAATACGGTTGAAATAGATCAGATCATCCAGTACCAAAGGTACGGAATGCTTCACCGGGACGATGAAAGAGAATAGTGCCACTCAAGCTCCGGTGGGGACGGAATTGGAGATCCGAGTGTGGAGTGAAATTGGATTATTCGATTGAGTAATGATAAGAGTCGGTCAGCGTTGCGGATGCACCGAATGCAGCAAGTCCGGGGACTTGTATACGGCAGTGTATTAGTTTAAGGGAGAGTACTTTAAAAAACCTTATGGTCTTGATGTGGATATGGCCTATTTATGTGTTCACTTGGGCGATATACATCTTAATCTCTTCACACTCTATATGTGCTCAGAGTATAAGGGAGATCTCACATTCCCTTGGAAATCTACATGTACTGAGTACGGAGTGCATGTCAATCCACCAAGATAAGACATGAAGAAAAATCAAAATCGAAATAATGAATGATCAAGGATACTTGGACCAATGATACGATATGGCATGTTCTTGGGGTGCAGTAAGGGGCCAAAAGTACCCGGTACTTCCAAATATGGGGTTTTGTGCTGGGGAAACTAGTGGACCCTGGGGAGACCGAAGTACCCGGTACTGAACCAAGGTCCCACTCTAAGTATATTATGGCTGTCAATTGCCCCCACTGATCCGCTAGTCACGCGCTTTTTAGGCCGCGTCAGTGCGAGTCTCCACTTTCTTCTCTTTGCCATTCGAGAAAGAACAATCGTGGTCCAATCGACTCACTCAACAGACGTTACAGTACGTTGAGAACAAAGGAACTCGTCATAGGTGGCCACAATATGGTCATCATCAGAATGACGAACAAATACACACAGGGAAGGAAGAAAGACAATAATGTCTGAGAAGCGAAATTCCCAAGAATTTCTTGGCCCTTGGCATACCGATAGTGTGCAACGTACAGGAAACATCATGCTGATACGGAGCACTGCAACAGTTCGATCCCAGACTGCCAAGACAATAAGTCGCCAGGGCGCTGGATGATCCGCGCCAAGCGGTCGATCTGACATTCTCCTATCAAATACATTTAGCTACATTTAGCACGAAGCAAACTATGATGTGCCCCTGGGGGCGGTGCTGAGAACAGTAGTTTACCCATTAGTCTACTCCGGACTCCGCTCCAGGGATACCGCGGCATGCTTCCCACTGCATAAGTCAAAATTGGTGATAGCTTCAATGGGCCAAGACCTCAAGGGATGACGGCCAAGCAAATAGGTTTCTCAGCCTGCATGTTTTCCGCCCGAAACTCGGCAAGGCAGGGAGCGATGGCCCATTTTTGCGCCATACCGCGCAGTCCGATGATTGTCCGATGGTTAGGTGGAAGTTGACAGTATCTTGCATCTGCAGTACCCGAACGCGTCAGATTCGTCTGCATGCCGACCAGGCTTTCTGCTGCCAACACTGCGGAATGGTGTAGCCATATCCCAGAGTCATCTACGGATGTAATATCATCTGGCAGTCACCCTGATAACAGTGGAGACACGAAAAATCAATAATCTAGGCCTATATAGACTACCCTCTATGGTGAATTATGCGATCTAACCCACGGTCCGATGTGTAGCAAATGACTTATGCAGCTTTATGCCCAAAGACTATCTGGCCTTCGTACATAGATCCTCGGGTGGGCCGTGCCAAGATGGAAATGGCAAAGTCGCCAGAAACAACCATCATTGATCGTCATTCACCAATACGCAATCTAGAGAGAAAAAGGAAAGGCCAAGTGTAAAATTAGAACTAGTGATACAGGTCGATCATCCCGCCACTCTACTTCCACAACTTGGACACGGCGACTTCCTTGTCGTCGTGTTTGTTGAGAATCTTGGCAGTGGCCAGATCGAAGTCCTCCTGTGTAACGTGCACACGCCGCTCACGCAGCGCATACATACCGGCCTCGGTACAAACACCCTTGAGTTCTGCTCCGGAACACCCGTTCATTTTCTCGGCGATCTTGGTCAGGTTGATGCCACGAGTCAAGTTCATTGACCGAGAGTGGATTCGTAGAATATCGGCACGCGCCTCGACCCTGCATCGGAAAGATAATGGTTAGAATGTAATCAATCAGTAGGAGAAGAGGGGAAACTGACGATGGTGGGGGGAATTCAATCTTCCTGTCAATACGACCAGGCCGCAGCAAGGCCGGATCCAGAATGTCCAATCGATTGGTTGCCATAATGATCTTGATGTTCTTAGTTGGCTCGAAACCGTCCAGTTGATTCAGCAATTCAAGCATAGTCCGTTGCACTTCGGAGTCACCGCCTCCTGCTGAGTCTATACGGCTGGAACCAATACTGTCGATCTCGTCCATGAAGATGATACTCGGCGCGTGCTCACGAGCCATGACGAAAAGCTCACGCACCATGCGACTTCCCTCACCAATGTATTTCTGCACCAATTCTGAGCCGCTGACACGGATGAATCGACAGTCGGTGTGATGAGCCACGGCACGAGCCAAAAGTGTCTTACCGGTACCGGGAGGACCGTACAGTAGTACACCCTTTGGCTGTGCAATACCCAGCGACTCAAATAGCTCGGGGTGCTTCAGACCGAGTTCGATGACCTCCTTGATTTCCTTGATCTGCTGATCCAATCCACCGATCATGTCGTATGTACTGTCCGGAACCTTCTCCACCATCATGAGCGAGACGAGGGGATCGACGGAGGATGGGAGCATCTTCTCCAGCTTGTAAGAGTCCGAGAGAAGCGCCACTCGCTTGCCCACGGTGAGCTTGGCGATATCAACGCCATCTGCGATATCCACCACTGAAGATTGAATCTTATTAGAATCGAGCACCATCAAGAGCGGGCCAGCTGCAAGCCGCATTCAAAAGTCGTGAACATACCATATTTTCCTTCCGGGTGTACCTTGACCAGGACCTTCTTGGTGCTCATGACCTTGACAACCTCGCCAACGTAAGAGCCGGGTTGCTGCAAGAGACCAAGCTCCTCTCGCAAAAGCCGCACTCGCGAGTTGTAGTCATTACGCTGTGCTTCTAAACGTCTTAGGACTGCTTGACCCTGAATAATCTCGAGCTTCATATCCTCGATCTTATTGCGGTAGTAATTGTCGAGCGCCATGTTGACGAGATGACGCTATCGGAGCGAGGAGAGGTCACGGGCTGCTGACTTCCACAGAGGGATGGGATTTGTTGAAAAGGTGCTCTTAATGTAGGCCAGAAGAAGTGTAGTGGAAGATGCAACCAAAGCGGAATTGGTGGGAGGTGGGGGCAAGAAACGCGATGATGATTGGGATGAGAGTCCTCACAGTTGGAGCTGGACCAGCTCTCTCGAAGCTGCGGGAACCAACACATGATCTTGACACCCGATTACTCAGGCAACAAGGGCCCCATAAGGCCAGCAAGGGCAAACAAACAGCACAAACGATAGCTCCCCACGTGATGAGTCATCCACTCCCTGATTGGGAGTGAACCATGGGTCATTAGGCTCGAGCTCTCCACGTTGATTGTACATTATTCGAATCTCAGCTGATGCGATGATTAACGTCTGGTTTCACTTGCTCCCCGCCATGTAACGGCTTGATCGCTTTCTTCCTAATCACAGTCGATCCCTGCATTTCTGAGGCTTGTTATTCCTATCTTTGCTTTTTCCGTTTCTTGTTCTATTCTTTTAGAGTTGCCTTAATTTTCTAATCCCGTTATCTTTCGGTCCACCCTGAAATGGCGGGCAGCACGAATGACTTCGAGAATCCGGAGTCAAACCGGCCCTCTGGATTGACGGGGAGTGAGTATCCTCCGGGATCATTGACTCCGGCTCCGAGATCTGCGCCTTCTGTGCGAAGAAATTACGGTAAGGCTGCAACTTTCGTGTAACCGAACAGAACGGGAAGAGAGATGAGTGGATAAGAATGTTGCTAATGGCATGCGCGAATAGGAAGCCTGGATACCTTCCCCGCTGAGGCGACGTCCGAAATGCGCGACGAAGAAAGCTACGAGGATTTCGCGAACCGCGCCTACACATCGTCCTCTACGGCTCCTGACAGGCCTAAAAAGCCACCAGTGACCCGCCGCATGTCATCCAAACGTCAAATACCCCACAAGGGACAAGAGTTCTCGACCGACGATGATATCAAGGAAATTGAGGAAGACATTGCCTTGCACCAGGCCTCCACTTCCCAGCCATCCCCGAGGATTCGTCCATTGCGTGCACCAAGCACCCTGAGACGACGCCCCAGTGCCCGTCCCAGTCCGCTAACACGAGCTGAATCGGATAATCTTACTGGGGACGACTCTGTCTTACCAGAACCTAGCTTGGACGACTCGAGAGAGCTTCCATCCCTACGACAGTCAGATGGAGGGAGTGACCTGGACAGCGGTGACGACTCCCCTGGCGATGATGACGAGGATGTCCATGAAGACGACGACCATGAGGACGAAGAAGCAAGCAGTGATGCAGAGAGCTTCACGCTCAAGGATCGGCAGCAAGCCATTAATGAAACCCATCCTTTCGGAATCCGAATCTGGAAGCCGGCTGTGTACAAGAAGAGTCGATCGGTTGAAAAAACCGCCGAGGGGGATATTCATTCGTCACCGGGGGGTCGTGTCAGCCCTATGCTATTCTTATCCAACCTCCTGTGGTCTTTATTCTTTGGATGGTGGCTTGCCCTAATTGCCTTGTTAGCGGCGGTAGCTTGCTTTTGCTTCGCCTACTCATCCAGCGCTGTGGCTTATGGAAGGGTATTCTCGGGGCTTTCGCGCTACCTACTCTACCCATTTGGATCGTTTGTTCTCCTACAGACTGATGAACTTTATGCAGAGGAAGATGAAGGGGAGGGCCGCAGTATCAGCGAATATGAGCAATGGCAGAACGGGGACTTGGAACATGGTCGACTGTTCTTTGGCCCTCGCAGGGACCGATCACTTGTGGGACGTCGACGAAACAGTGTGGATTCTGCTGGCGAACAAGACAGTCTGCTGGGCCGGCCTCAGCGAGGACAACTTTCGGATTCACAGCTCCCTCAAGCGAAGCGTCGCCTATTTGGCCGCGGTGAATGGAATTCAGGCCGAGTGGTATTCTTTGTGTTCTTCTATTTCTTGGTAGGACCCTTGATGCTTTTGGTGTCCTTATTCTGCTGGCTGCTGGTCTTTGCGATTCCAATGGGTCGTGTAACACTCATCCTGGTGAGCCATCTACGAAGACATCCTCTTGCCTTGTCTTTCCATTCCGATACTTCATATGCAAGGCTCAGCTCCGAGTCTTCCTCGCCTTCTATTCTACTATGCACATACCGTGCTGCAGGCACCAGGTACTGGAAATACACGATCGACGGCACAAACATCTTTTTCATCAACCTGCTAAGTGTGGTCTTTTTCGTCATATTTGATTACTACGTTTTGAGTCAATACTTGGGAATACAGTCATGGTTGACGCACCCGGGATTGATCTTCACCCTCGCTTTGCTTTCAATCATCCCGCTAGCCTACTTCATCGGTCAGGCAGTTGCTTCGATCTCGGCTCAGTCCTCAATGGGTCTAGGTGCCGCGATCAACGCGTTCTTCTCAACTATTGTAGAGGTATACCTCTACTGCATCGCCTTGACAGAGGGCAAGGCTCGGCTTGTTGAGGGAAGTATCATTGGAAGTATCTTCGCGGGAATTCTATTTCTACCTGGCCTCTCTATGTGTTTTGGCGCCATCAAGCGCAAGACTCAACGGTTCAATGTGAAATCTGCAGGTGTGACCTCGACGATGCTTCTGTTTGCTATGATCGCCGCTTTTGGTCCCACCCTATTCTACCAGGTTTATGGCAGTGTAAGTGACCCTTTTTACTCACCTGCAATCGAGCTACAAGCTGACTTTTATACTGTAGCACGAACTCAATTGCCATCCATGTGTGGCACCGGCCGGCATGGTGATCCAGGACGACTGCCGCCAATGCTATTTCTCCCAGCTGGCATCTGTGCAGGATGCTTTCTTTGAGAAGGCAGTCCAGCCTTATGCTTGGGCTGCCGCTGTCTTCCTTTTCTTGTCGTACATAATTGGCCTTTGGTTTACCCTTCGGACGCACGCTGCTCTAATTTGGGAGGTTGAAGAGAAAGAGAAAAAGGCTTCTCACCCTATCCAGGATTCGCTGTCTTATGAACCCAGGCATGCCTTCTCAGGATCTCCTGAGGCTTCCGGTGCTCTCACTAGCCACAAAGACTCCATTCGTGAGTCCCCGTTGTACAAGCGGATCTTAGGCCAATCACTTAGGCAGGTTGGCCTCGAGGATGGAGGCTGGGAAACCACTGACGGCAGCTCGGCGGTGGAACATCGGAGCAACCCGCCTTATCTAGTACCCCCACAAGCTGGGGGCATCGAGGATCGGCAGATTCCCAAAAGCATTCGAGGGTTGAGTGGGGAAGACAACGAGAGGCTTGTCCGCGAGGTTACCGAAATGGCGGCCACAGCTGCTGTAGTGGCGGCTCGCGATGCTGCTCGAAATCGGAAGCCCCAAAGTCAACACACTGCTGGGCGTCAGGCCGGGCGTGCTATGGCCGATCAAATCAAACCACCTCTTGAGGAGGCCGAGGATGTTGGCATTACCGCCGATGCGCACGCTGGCGGAGGTCACGATGCTCCAAATTGGAGTCGAACAAAGAGTTCCGTAATTCTCCTCGGTGCAACTATTCTCTATGCTATAGTTGCAGAGCTCCTTGTCAATACCGTGGACGTGGTATTAGAGAGTGTGGACATTGATGAAAAGTTCCTTGGAATCACGCTGTTTGCCCTGGTGCCCAACACCACCGAGTTCCTTGTATGTTGGAGCCTATTCATCTATTAACCCTGATTGGAAAACTAAGAAGGATCACTAACTTCCCTCACAGAATGCCATATCATTTGCCATGAACGGTAATATAGCATTGTCTATGGAGATTGGTTCCGCCTATGCTTTGCAAGTCTGTCTATTGCAGGTGCCTGCCCTGGTCTTTTTCAGTGCTCTATATACCCGCTCTATCGACCCTGCAGAACTTGCGCAGCACTCTTTCAAGTATGTCCATCTCTTTTCCTATCTCGGAATTCCATCAGACCCCTCTGCTAACACGTTATGACTCATAGCCTTCTCTTCCCTCAGTGGGATATGATCACTGTCATCCTGTGCGTCTTCCTATTGTCGTACGTGTACGGCGAGGGGAAAAGCAACTACTTCAAGGGCTCTGTGCTTGTCTTGACCTACTTGGTTGTCATCCTCGGTTTCTACCTATCAGGATACAGCAACCTGGACGGCATGGGTGTAGACCGATTCGACAAGCTCGCCCTTGGCTCCATCCCCTCCGAGAAGTTCTATACTATCGGTCGTACTCGCTCCGGGGTGGCATATTAGACTGAACATATCTAGCTCATCATAATGCCCAGGCATCGCCCATGTTCTATTTTGTGGGCCATGCCATTCTGTCTCATAGCTACAACGTCATGCATGGCTCGTTCACGGTTTGAATGGCTCTCTGTCGCTTCCGACCCGTTCGTCTTTTCTAATCATCGGCTCCTTGCTGGACAGAGGAGACTCATTTCATGCATTTCATGTTTTCTGTTTTTCCGAAGATTGCCCATCTGAGATGCTTTCAATCTCATAATGAACATTGCTAGACTTTCCGCTTTTCCTTCGATGATTACGTACAAATTCCAATATCGTATAAATCAAATTCATTAAATGGCTATTTTCCTCAAGAAGTTCATCCAAGCCAGGCTTGACGTAGATTGTCACCGCAAAGCCTAGGGTACTTAGGCCTGCCAATCACCCACGGCGTCGTCGACCATCTGGCGATACTTCTGCTGCTTGAAGCACTGTTCGAGGAATACCTGGTACTTGGCCTGCAGCAGAGCCTTCTCTTTTTTGTCCACAGTGGGCATCACCTTCTTGCCAGGCTTGCTCATGCGGTCCATTATAACCCACAAGCTTTCCGTCTTTCCATCATGATCGGTACTGGCAGCCTTTGCGCCTAGCATGGCAGCACCGTGACACACAGCCGCATGGATATATCGAGGAATCACCACCGGCATGTCACAAGCTGATGCGATCAGGTTGACCAATATGTCGTTCTGGCATTGCGAGCCCGACATAAAGATTGAAGTAATGCTGTGACCAGCTTTATTCATTGTGTCCACGATCTGCTTAGTCTGGAGAGCAATGAACTCCAATGTAGCATAGTAGTAAATGGCAAGGCCGTCAACAGTCTTATCGCTCGTCAACCCAAAGATAGACCCTGTCATATTAGGATCGGCGATGGGGGACCGATTACCCCAAAGATCGCCATAGAAGAAGAAATGGCGACCTAGGTAAGACACAGATGGAGCTTGTTGGTCTTGCACCATTTCCTTAAGGTGCTCATTCAAGTACTCGTAGATATTGGCATGATAAGACTCGGCGATCGAGGTGGCTTGGTTGAAGGCCGGGTGTGTTTCGATGACATGCTTAAGCAATTCTCCCGTGGCAGACTGTCCACCCTCAGCCATCCAAAATCCCGGAAGGATGGTATCCCTATAAGGACCCCAAACGCCATCGACGAAGACAGGATCCGGGGACATGGCCAGATGGCAAGTTGATGTACCGGCCACTGCTGCAAGACGAGAGAAAGCCTGTGCCATATCATTTTTGGCGACCTCTTCATTCAGCTGATCGGGGCCCAGGTTGACTTTAGCACCAACGGTACCGATCCAGCCAGCATACGCGTCGATTACACCACTGCCGATGGCAATTCCAGCGGGTAAGCCTAGTTCTGTAGCAGCCTTTTCACACAGGTGCCCGACAAGTTCACCAGCACTCAAGTAGTCACCATTCTAGATCGGAAAAAGTTAGCTAACTGTCTCTTATCATAACTCAGAGAGGGCTCACCACCCCGTCAACGCCGCCCATTCGCTTGAAATTATCTGTCGTCAGATCACCCAGACCAATATCGTTTAGAAAATCTTCCTGCCACCCCTTCACACTCCCGTCAACTCCAACAGGGACATATCCCTGCTTGCAGACCACGCTGCAGAAGCTGCGCTTCTCGTTACCAGTCGCTATGTGGGTAAGTGCGTCTGCCAAGTCGAAGAATTTACATTTGTCAAACAGCTCCTTGGGCATGTTATTCTTCAACCAGAGGACTTTCGGAATCTCCATCTCAACGGACATCGTGCCTCCCACATAGCGAAGTAGATTATGGTTTGTCGCATTAATCTTGGCTGCCTCATCCACCGGACGGTGGTCCAGCCATAGGATCACATTACGCTCCGAGTCGAAGTTCGGCCCTGTCACCGAGATGGGTTCGCCGGTCTCATTGTTGAACACGGACAAAGAGCAGGTGGCATCGAAGCCAATACCCCGGACTGTCTCTGGGTTGATATTGTGCTGGCTAATAGCCCGTTGCACGGCTGTGCAGATACAACGCCAGATGTCCGTGGTAGATTGTTCCTAGTCACGTACATCCCGTCAGTAAATGACCGGGAGGTTGTTGGTGTCAAGGTATTGGTTGGGGACCGTACATAGTAGCCGTGCTCTGGCTGCCAAAGTCCGATATTCTCTGAGGCTAGTCCCACGATGTCGCCCTTCGCATCGATGATACAAGCTCGAGCACTTCCTGTCCCCACGTCGATGCCAATGAAATGATCTAGATGCACTGCTAGCTCATTTCGAGGGTCCAGGGAAGCCTGGCGGGAGCCCTGGCGAGAGGGACGGCGATAAGGCAACGCCATACTGCCGTGGATTGGTATGTAGATTTGGGATCAAAATCGAAATGTGGGGGAGGGGAAAGCTTCACACTAGATAGAGTATAAGAAACACAGCAATGTCGTCAAAGTGTGTGAGAAGAGAGAAGACTAGGTCTCACCAGAGCTCACAATAGAACCAGACGAAGGCGAAAATTCCAGGTTTGTTGACAAAAGTATCATAGATATGACAGCATCAGCTTTTGTGGGGTAATGTACCTGGGTCCGATGTACAGTACTTATCGCACGGCCCGACCGCCCCGATACCGATATAGCAAGTAGCTTCACTTTTTCCCCTTTCCCCTCTAATCTATCCTTCGACCGCAACCCCACACCATGTATCTCCTATACCTGTTAGGGGCTATCTCGCTCCTGATCGCCACCGTCGCGGCCGAGTCGTCCGAGATTTTCTACTGGCCCGTCGGATCGCCGCAACCCTCTCTCCTGGCACGCGTCGCCTATGATCCTGCGACACTGGAGTCCGAGCTCTTGTCGTACCACCCTCCGGCCGGCTCTCCCAATGACCTCGTTCGCATTGGTCTATACACCATTACTACCTCCAGCCCCAAGCAATGGTCTGGCAGCTTGGTATCCTTGTCCGCCTTGACCGGAGATGACCAGCCCACAATTCGCCTTCACCTCGGACCTGCCAACGAGCCGTACCACATTTCTCTGGCCGCTTCATCTTCCTCTGGCTCTAAGGTGGAGCTGGTCTCCAATGCACCAGGCACCCAGCCGCATTTGAACCGACCGGTCGTCGTGAGCCCCGATGGGTCAAATCCCGAAGAAGTCCCAGAGAAAACATTTTTCCAAAAGTAAGTCAAGGACTGCTCCTATGTCTATAAGTATCATCGCTAATGTAGTCAATGGTAGGTACTGGTGGGTGCTCTTGATTGTCACATTCTTGACTATGTCCGGCGGCGGTGGTGGTGGGGAAGGACAATAGAGTGGTCATAGATAAGAGAATATCATATTGTTTCAACGAGATCATTCTGAATCCTCGGCTCGGTATCTTTGATTATAATCATGGACAAAGGCCCTTCAAACAGGGGGCAACAAATAACGCTATGCAATTGAGATGGAACTCATGACGACAGAAAGCACACAATATCAATAGAACAAGATGGGGTCAATGCCGCCAGCTATGGGATGTACGCCGCCAGCTTTGAGATGTCTACCCCTTCCTCGGAAATACGACTCCCACTGCTATTAACAAATCCAACTCCTCGCCCTTCGGGCTTGAGACGCAGGAGCATCAATCCTCGGTCGGTGATGCCCACCAGTTCATTTTCTTTCTCGGTGAATTGTAATTGACAGCACACAGCATCCAACTGGATCACAGCAGGCCTGAGCTCTGGATATCCTCCTTCTGTTTGCCACGACTCGGGATAAAAGCCATCCTCGCCATTGATCAAGACAGTCGGCTCTAAGGCCCAGATGGTCACGGTCTTCCAGCTAGCCATCGCGATTCGGGTCTTCTGGGGTGAAGTCGCAATCAGAGATCCCGTCGAGGTGTTCGACTCTTGGAACCCTCCGAGCTGGGCCATGATCTTCCAAGTCTCGAATCGCCTTCCTCGGTCAATGTTCTGCTCGTGTGTACAATTTATAGCCATAGGGGATGCTTCAGATCGGAGTAAACAGGCCACGGACCAGTGCTCTACTCGATGAGTCGCAATACCAAGAGCGAGATATTGCCAATGACACCGAGACCCGTGAGATCGGTCGCCTTGTTGGTGAGTGCCGTAAAAAGGGATTCCGATTGAGAAACTGAGGGAAAGTGCACTTGTGAATGTGACATTACAGCCGTTCGGATTGGCTGTGGGCTTCCACTGGCCGGGTGAGGACACCCAGTTGATCTTCTGGAAGGAGCTATATAAAGCCTGGCCCCGGCTGTAGTGTAATAATTGCTGGCCTTGGTCGTTGAACGCCACTTTAACTGTCGGCTCAGCATCACCGTCACCTTCGTGGTGTTCTGCGAGGACAAACGATGTATATTTTGAGGCTGTCATGCATTAGTACCCACGTTTCTGCCGAGTATGAGGTGTAAAATGGAATGAAACAAACCTAGGATTAGAGGAAGGGGTCTCGCGTCTGTCTGTAGCACACCATGATCATGCCGAACAAAACCAAGGGGGTCAAGCCCGCCGAGGTTAGGCCCGTGGTCTGAGAAAGCCTCCATCTCACCATATTGCTCCATTTTATAAAGCACCACTCGATGATCGTGGGCATGCTGAATATGTTGCCAGGAAATAGCAAACTGCTCATCCTCCACTGCAAAGCTCAGCGGCTCATAATAGCTCTCGTCCGGGAATCCATGGATGCAGATACCGGCGGTTGGGTGACCAAGTTGGAAAGTGGCTAGGAAGATGTTTCCGTGGGGGTTGGATTGTTGTGCTTGTTTGACGAAAGGGCGGTCACTATCAGGCCCATCGGCAATAAAAGGCTTGAAGCGATGCAGCACATAGATCTGTTCGTTTTCAAGTGCCGTATGGAGAACCTGGACATTTCCATACCGTTTTGCAGGAACTTCGCATCGTTGCTGCAGGGTCAAATACCCATTTCGAATGCCGAAGAGATAGACTGTGGAGTCATTTTGGAATACCAACAACACTTGTGTGCGGGTACCTGCATCGTTTGTCAAGGACACGATGGAAGAAGCACGACTGTCGATCACTTTCCCACCGAATATAGTACTGAAGGTAAAGGATTTGCGTTCAAAATGATTTCCAATCCCAAACAACAATTGATCAATGGATCGATGTAGGAGTAACTTGAACAGCTGGCGAGTTGTGAGGGACGCTGAGTAGTCGGACTTTCCGGGAGTCTGGGAGAGCTGGTGGTGAACAAGATCACGGCTAGTGGTGGCAAGCTCCAATAGGGTGCGGGAAGTAAAGGCCGTCTGTAGGAAAGATGGACTGTCACAACTTCGTAAGATGAGCTGAATCAGCTCAGCAGGGAGTGAAAGCAGCATTGTGTTGTGTGGGGTGAGATCCATTGTCATCCAAGTGTGAAATGAAAGGAAAGACAGATGAGAGTGAGAGTAAATAGCTTCGTACCCTAGTGGGGGGCTGGCTTCATTATATATAGTCAAACCAAGTTGGGGAAAAAGGATATTTAGGCGCCGGCGCCTGTTGCCTTAAAGTTACTTTAGCACTAGGCGGGGACAACCTTGGCAAGTGTGGATTCCCTGACTTTGTCGCAAGCATGAACCCTAAATTACTTTAACCCAACTTAATAAAAAACATTCAATCGTTGGCGGGGGAAGATTCCGCTTCAGCCTGTGGCATTGTATTTCCCTATTTGAGTGTCGGGATCGGCCCGTTCAACCTTGGGACTGGACGCCCACGGTATATATCGGAACCGGAGACTATATATATGGTCAGGTGAAGGCACTACTCTGGCTTAATTAATATCAACTTACAAAATAACGCTTCAATCGACCCTCGGCTCCAAGTCAATGGGCCTCTTCTTACGACGCGGGTTGTGAGCGCCTAGAATTTGTAACGCTGAGCGAGGTCAAATGACAAGAATCTATCTTCCTTGGCGCTTTAGAAATTAGCTGTCATAATGTAGGATTTGGTCTGAATTGCCATTACTGCGCTAGGCCAGGAGTACATTATCAAAGTGTCAAAGTATGAATCTTGGGTGTCAACCTACTAATCCTCGAGTTACATAAGTTACATAGAAGAATCCCTAATCTGCAAGGTATAATGGAAATGAAGTTGATTGGAAGAGGCAGTGAGATGCTTTCGTGTATCTATGCATTTTTTATCGTCAAAAACTATTTATGTATAGGACATGGGTATTCAAAACCCTGGCACAAGGAGAACTGAGGAAAGATGACATGGCCTTAAAAGGCATTCGTGTATTCATCGCTTCAGATCAGAAGCGATACTGCTTTCATGTACTCATCATTTCTATCAGAAACTCCCAGGCCCATCATAAAACACCTCAGCAATGCAAAGTCCGAAAAGAAAATGGGTATCTCCAATCGTTCAAGGATTTCAAACATCAAGACTGCTCGTTCATTCGAGAGACAAGCCATTCGAGCACGCTTTCATAGCAGAGCACATACTGGCTGAGATTTTGCACCATGCTCGGCCGCTGAGTCCGAAAGTCTTCTACCGTTTTCTGGACCAGGTCGAGGTGGGAATCCCGGGTCCATCCGGGTGGTCCCGGGGATCCTGAAGATTGCACGCCCGGCAACCGTTGCCGTTTTAGCATGTCTAACACACTATCAACCGTACAGAAAGTCCCGGTGCGACCACATCCGGCGCTACAGTGTACCAGGATGGGTCGCTGGCCAGTCGGTTCAGCCTCTTCGCTGGTGAACCCGGCCAGGCTAGTGGCGCGAACAGCCTTGTTGCATTGCTCAATCAAGTTGAGCAAATGAGTTGGTTGTGAAGTCGTCCCGAAGTCAGGCCAGTAGGGGTATTGGAGCTGTGTAATATCCCGAAGTGGTTGGAACGGTAATGCCGTATGGTAAAGGCTGAAATGTCGCACGATGATGACAGGGTTTTCGTTGGTTCCGTCGGGAGACTGGCCGGGAGTCGCTGATCGAGCCAGAGATTCAACGTGGATCGACTTTTCGGAATAAGCCTTGACTTTGAATGGCCCATAATCCCCAGTTTTCCAGAATGGGTGGCATTTGACCTGTCCTCGCTCCATCTCAGCCGTCAGTGAAACAAGGACCCTGACATCTTGCTCCCAAACCACTCGCCAAAAATCCTATTGAGATGATGTCAGCCTGAACAGAAGCAGACAACATGTGAAGAAGGGGGGGGGGGGGGGGGTGGTACTAACGTTATATGTATCTGGAACTGGTGCTTGTGTCGCGATGTATCGGCGATTACTGAGCTCAGCTTGGATATGATTCGCATTCACATAGTCACAGTCTCCCAGGGGGATCCCCTCAAGCCGAACACGAGAATGTTCAAAGGGGTAGATATCATTGTAGCGATTTTTGGTGCCTTTTTCAATACCTGCGACACGGTACTTCTTGGAAGCTCCTCCAGTCGAAGCCGAGGGACCTTCGTATGACAACGCCTGCTTCATACGTTGCAACTCTATCTTCTCCAGATCCAGAAATCTCTCAGAGGCTATATGGCCTTCATCTTTCGGGTCCGAGACATTTTTGAGCCAAAGAGGAAGTGCCTGTCGGTTGGACTCTGTCAGACCACCAGGTAGTTTCAAGGGAATCTGCCCGACTCCACCCATCAGATCCATATTTTGCCGGATATTACCAAAAAAGGGATTCACGGCTGATGATGAATCGGGAAGAGCACAACCCCCAACGACAGGGGCCACGGATTGAAGATCGATGCTCATGGGTGACCGCTTCTTAGCTGACGGGCCTGCCGTCTGCGCTTGCGGCCGTTGCAACAAATCTGGAAATCGGCCGGAAAATCCCTTGAAGCCATCTTGCAAGATCAATCCTTCTCCGCTCCAGCCCTCTGCCTGAAACTTGTTGATGACACTCAGCAGAGCAGCCACATCTTTCGCCTCGGAAGTGGCGTTGTCGTAAACAATGATAGTGGAGCATTCTCTCCACCGAGAAAAACGTCGTTTGTCATTGTCACTTGTAAATGTACCTTCCAGTTTTTGGGTATCGAATGACCGGCGTTTAAGCAATGTGGTGGGAATACAGAGATTCAACGATCCTCGAATATTGGATTTGGAATAATGAGCAAAGGGCCGAACATCCAAGAGCAGGAGTCCCTGTGGACAGGATCGGATAATCTCAGCGCAGCGGTCAGCTGTGATCCACTGAGAGGTTTCAGGAACGGAGACTATATTCAGGAGTTTAGTGACGTTGATTTTTTGGGGTTGCATTGGGCAACTAGGGGGGGGGGGGTTGCAGGCATTGCGGCCACTTACCGAGCGAAGGTTTCCTATAATCCGGAGCATACCCACTCGAGCTTCCTTGAGACCAGCCTAATGATCGATCACCATTGGGGGGAAAACCTTGGAGAGCTGATTCCCGTCGGCCTTTGTCAGTTTCTGATTCCGATCTCAGAAGATTGACTAGGCCTTCAGATACCGACTCTTGCGAGAATAGTTGCAGCTTGGTCGGACTGGGGAGGGACGGCTGAGGGTTGGGAAATGGGCCTGAGCCCCAGTTCTTCTGTACGTGTGGCCCGGGATTTGATGTTGGTGGGTTGCTTGAGCGATGTTCGACTGTCATGCCGAAGTAGTTGGGACTGGACGTTTCCGTGATGGATCCGTTCGAACGCATACCAGCTGCTGAAGGTGATAGGGCGGGATGAAAAGACTGAGGGCTTCTAATATCCCGGGAACCTCCCTGCACTGGCTGCACCCACGGCGAAGATGGTGATCGGCCGGGACCCGTCATGGTAGCTGGTTTTGCTCCCAGTGCTTGGGACCCGGAAGTTTATCAGAACGACAGAAGCAGTTATATCATCAGCCCGACCTTTGGTGTGCAATTGTGAATGCGAGTTCGAATTTATATGATCGAAATTCCAAGAAGACCGCCCGGTATCTCGCTGACTCAGAGAAACTGGTGATGACGATGGTGGGGGAAATGTTTTTTTCCGTTCCTTTATTTTCTTCCTTACTCTTAGTTCACGAAAAAATCTATCACAAAGATGCTTGGTGAAAAGAATATGTCGTGGTGGTAAGGAAGAAAGAATGGAAGTCGTAGAAAAAAACTGACGTAAGATAAGTTGGATGGCGTTCGAGGGGGGCTGAGGCGAAAAGGGTCCAGCCAGAACGAGCACAAGTTAGGCCAATGGAAGCGAGGAGAAGAACCTGTTATCAGAGGGAAATGTCATAAAACATGATTAATAAGTGCTGTGAGGGGTAGAGTAGGAATTAAATTAGGTTCAATTCGGGAGGAAAAGAGAAGTGGTGAACGTCTTCTGGGCTTCCAGAATCCTTGAGGTATGACGTTATGTGTGGGGATCACGGGTTCCCGTCAAACCCTCGGTTCAGTTGGTTTCTTCTATATCGTCTGCCACATACACCATGCAATCTATTGAGGATTTATTGGAGAAAAGCGTCATTGCACTCGGATCTTTAGTGTGGTTCATCGTAGCTTATAAAAATTTCAAGTGACCTGAGGTCAATGGGTTGTTGACACAAAGAATTTGGCGGAGAAGGATGAACTCCCTGTATTTCATACGTTGTTACTAATGTACATATTCAATCTTCCCTGGGCGGGCACTTTTGGAGAGGACTTCAGGTTCATCGTCATGCCGATGTCGATCATGCGTCAGCCCATCCGTGTTGGGGTTAGGGTCTGAATGGCTTCCATGTAACCAGGTAGCTGGATCCCCAATGAATTAAACGTCCCCACTCACTCCACGGTGGCGCATTGAGATGGTCCGTGAAGGAGGAAAAAGCAGAGACAGCACTGGACTATATCAAATTAAGCAATCCAACCACAAGATGATGATCAAGGTCCGGTTTCCACAAGGCATATTCTATATATATGGGCCCAGACCAGGATCGGTGTTGGCAATATCACGACCAGTTTGGAACAGTTCTTGTGTCCCAAAAGCATGCCCGGACCAGCAGCGATTGAGCTTCAAGCCTCAATTGGAGGGGATTTGGTAGGCACAGCGTACTCCCTTTCGGTGGATTCCATGGCTCTTTATGCGATCAGATTCTCCCATCGGGTTCACCCTCGAACCTCTTTACCCGTTTTTGTTCCCAGTCGTCGAGATCCTTGGCCATAAGTCTCTAGAAGGTGTGAAAAATTCAATCAGAATTCTGCAAATCAATATGCATTTGGTTTTTAGGCGTCTTACGTAGTATTCCTCTCTTTCATCACCGATAACTCTCCTGCGAGGATTGCGCTTGATTCCCTCTTCGCCATCGGGGCCTTTGAGTCCCAGATTGAAAGCTTCTTCCTTGCTCATTTGCTGGACTTTACGATCGTAACGCTCATAGCGCAAGGCTGCTGCAGGGGTCAGAGCAAAGGATGCGGCCACAATGACGGTGATAAAAGGGAGCCCGAAGAAAAGGAATGGGTGCCGAGGAAGTCGCGCGCGGTACAAAGCTCCAAGCTTCTCACCGAATGTGGATGAAGCACTTGTTGCTCGGCGAAAGGTCTTGGACTGAAAAGCAGGCATAGTTGCAATGTCAATGTGAGGTTCAATAATGGCATGATGGTTCAATGTGTAATTAGAACCCGATTTCGGGAAATTGATTGTCCGACAACGGGATAACTTTTGTTTAGGCGCGACAAGAGCATAAAGCTCATCTACCCTCCCGTTGCTTGGCCCTTGGGATTTGGTAGTGAACAAGCGTTGCTACAAGACTATTTCCGGGATTATCGCGACATTGCATGTGGTGGAATCTTGAAAGACTTTTAGACTTTCTTCTGACTACAAGGTACGACCACAGTACAGCTGGACAGCTTCACTTGCTTTTCTCTGCTTCCCTTCGGCCACAGCTTCTGCCATCAATCCCCAATTGACAGCTTCTAACCTCTTACTCAGTCATTGAGTCTCAATCGTCTTCGATTTCGGTTAATTCGACCCCACAAGATCCATACTTCCCAACATGGGTTCTTTGTTCGGAGGCGGTGGTCTTGGGGCCACAACAACCCCCAAGCCTAGCCTTTTTGGGTCTACCAATACGACCAGTGCCTTCGGCAATACGACAGCTGCGCCTGCTCAGCCTGCTCAACCTTCTTCTCTGTTTGGTCAATCCCAAGCGCAGCAGCAGCAACCGCAGCCGCAGCCGCAGCCGCAGCCACCCGCCCAGTCTTCCATCCTAGGGCAGACCCAGCAACCGGCCAAGAATTCTCAAGAGCAAACGCAAATGTCGACCCAAGCAACCAAACCAGCGTTTTTCAACAGCCTTCTGGAGCGCGGGAAAAAGCGACCACTATCGGGTACTGCTCAAAATGGAAACTTCGAGGATGTGCCCAGTCTTCAATTAGGCCTGGATGATATTCGCAGAAAGGCGCGAGAGCTAGGCACATCAGGAGGGAAAGACCCCCAGCAAAATGCGACGACGAAGGCGTAGGTTTTGATCCTTTCCCCCCACCCTGGAGACTGACCCAGCGCTTGTCGCTAACTTAATGAACAATGTTGATAGTCATTACCTTCTTGCGTCATCTGGTATTGCGCCCGGACGGACGCTCCGAGACCTTCGCTCTCTAGACCCCCAGGCGTCTCTGGCCGCGACGAGAGAACCGGACACCTTCGACCCAGACAACCAGCGATATCTCAGAAACATTCAACAGCGTGGCCGGCAGGTGATGATTGCAGAGAGTCTATCGCGCGCTCAAAGGGATTTCGATTCCTTCTTGGAGGAGAAGGTGGACATGGACTGGGAAGAGCAGCGGCAGAATATCTTCCAACATTTTGGCCTCGCGCAAAAAGACAGCTCCCACGGCGCAAGCCTGAAACCCACAACGCGGGGTGGTGCCTTTGGTCGATCAGCCAGACAATCCAAGCAAGGTGGCCCTGCTGCATCCCGGAGAAGTGTGTTTGGCCGTTCTGGTCTTGACAAATCTGTCATTGGAACTCCTGGTGCCGGCCTCACAAGTCGCCAGCTGTTCGAGGACCCAGCAGAGCGCAGCGAGGGACCCACGGCGCCATCTCCAGACCTTCGATTCTTGCGAGAGAAGATGGGACACTATGCTGAGAAGGTCCAGCAGTTGAATCTTGTTCGTCTCCAAGGGCGGACATATCCAGTGCTTCACCAGTTCTCTGAAGTTGAAATGCAAACCGGCGGTGATGTATGTTTCGGAAATCGAATTGCTTTTTTTGCACAGCTAACTTTCGCCTCCTAGGCCCCTCGACAACTATTTGACGCTTATCAAGCTTTGGTGAGCATCGTTGGTGAGAGCCCCAACGTTACCGGCGCCGAGGACCGCGATGCGGTGAAAGAACGTCAGTACGCCACAGATTATCTGGAGGAATCGAGCCACTCCCGCAAAGCCATCAATTTGAAGAAGAAAATACTGGAAGGGTCCAGGGGATTCCTGGAGCGAATGTTCTATACCGAGGTGGAAAACCTCATAACCAAAAACCCACGTGAAGCCCAACTGGGTGGAATCCCGACTGTGACCAACAAGATCCGGGCGTACATCCGCCTTCGTGCTGCCAGAAAGGATCTGGCACCCGATGGAACCGAACTGCAGATGAATGGACAGGATTACTGTTGGATTTTGATCTTCTACCTTCTACGATGTGGTTTCGTTAAGGAAGCCGCTGAATACGTCAGTCAGGACCCTGGGTTCCGGTCTTTGGATCACAAGTTCGTGACTTATATGACCACTTACGCTCAAGATTCACGTCTCAGCCGAGAAATGCAGCAGAAAATCAATGGAGAGTACCAGCAACGCTCGCGGAATGCTCCTGACAATACTGTTGATCCCTACCGGATGGCATGCTATAAGATCATCGGTCGTTGTGATCTTTCCCGGCGTCGTCTGGATGGCGTGAACCAGACCGTTGAGGATTGGATGTGGTTGCAATTCAGCCTCGCTAGGGAGGATGATCGAGCCGAGGAAGTCGCAGGTGACGTCTTTGGACTGGAAGACATTCAGACAGATATTACGGAGATCGGTCAACGAGTCTTCACCAAAGGCCAGGATGCGCCTGGTGGTTATGGAACATTCTTCCTTCTCCAAATCTTGGGAGGCATGTTTGAGCAGGCTGTGGCATATCTGGGCAGTTACTCGCCTGTTACTGCGGTGCATTTTGCTATCGCATTGGCATACTACGGTCTCCTGCGTGTCTCCGATTTCTATGCTTCCGGGGAAGAAATCCGTAAGCAAAGTCCCCAGTCCAACTACGCTAAGCCATCCGTATCGTTGATCTTGCTAACCTTTGATTTACTGTATTCGTTTAGTTTCATTCACTGTGAAGCAGTATCCACAGATTAACTTCGGTTACCTCATCACTCAATACACGCGAGAGTTCCGCACTGGATACGTCGAGGCCGCCATTGATTACTTTTCGTTGATCTGTCTCAACGCGGACCTTCCAGGCTCACTTGGCAAATCCCAGGCAGCGGTCTGTCATGAGGCCTTGCGCGAGTTCATTCTAGAGACTCGTGACTTTGCCAAATTGCTGGGTGACATCCGGGCTGACGGGACTAGAATAACGGGTATCATTGAGCAACGTATTGAGCTGATCAATCTGACGGATCAAGATGATTTCCTGAAAAACATCACGGTACAGGCAGCAGGTGTGGCAGATGACAAGGGTCTGATCACTGATGCGGTCCTCCTCTACCACTTGGCGGAGAATTATGGTCGTGTGATCGATATAATCAACCGCGCTTTGTCAGAATCAATTGCTGTTGAGCTGGGCGGTATCATGCCTAAGTTGCAACCTCTCCGACCACGAGTTGAGCAGGGTCAAGACGGCCAGCTCAAAGATCAGTCGGCGCCTGGAAGCAGTCTGAGCCTGACCACCGTCGATGACCCAGTTGTTTTGGGCAAGAACATGATCCTTCTCTACAACTCCAAGCCAATGTACTACGATAAGATTCGCCCGGTTAGCCGTGACGCCTGTGGACTCCTTCTCTGCATGATGGAGGCAAAGATTGAAGTGGAAGCTGGCAGGTGGGCTCCAGCACTCGATGTAAGTGGAGAATATCATATTGTTTTTTTCTCTCCAGACTAACAATTTTATGCAGGCTATTGACAAGCTTAACATTCTTCCTTTGCAAGCTCGAGGCTCTATGCAGTTTATTCGCAGCACAGCACAGTCCTTCTCGGCTCTCCCAGAGATCATCTCCCGCAACATTGGCCATGTGATTATGTGGTGCATTGCATGCATTGGCCATGAGCGCCACCGCCAGACCTCGGGTCCTTACGAGACCGATATGCACCAAGGATTCGCTGAACGTCTTATGGTCATGGCCAAGGATCTCATGGTCTTCTCCGGTATGGTGAAATACAAATTGCCGCCCAAGGTCTACGAGGCATTGGCTCGGGCGGGATCCGACATTGGAGCCTTCTGAGGATATTTTTGTATCTAGGCCGTGGAATCTACTCAATAATGTGGCATTTGATCAACTTCTAAAATTAAAAGAGGGCGCCCCTAAGATAGAATTATTTCCAAGGTAATCCCGAGTGCAGCTTTTCGTACTCATGATCTTGACTTCCAAGCTTGTGTAGCTTTGTTTATTTAGAATATACGTAGATAACAGTCATGCACAAGTGACGTAAACCACGAAAGATAAACGGATTTTTCTTTTTTCTTTTTTGGGTATATCAAGAGTACTCTGTGAGTTCCAAAAGCAAGAGCAGAGAGATATTGATATATCGAAGTCATTCGTTCCCATATCCAAGTTGAGTTTGATTTATAAATCGTGGATGATGTATTTGTTTTACATATGGTTGTAGATAGTACCTCAAAGTAAAGTTTATCTCTACAAATGCCAAGCCTACGGGACAATTCCTTTGCGACTCACACTGTACACACACCATTCGGTAAGTCCAGTCCCACTTTGCTAATGGAGCCACTTCAACCGCCCAGATGCTCCATTGCCATCACCGCCTGGGATTTCACTGATCTACACCCTGCCTGCGAATCGTCGTCGTCCCCGGGTCCCACACAAGATGGACCATGCCTCCCACGCGTCAGACGCGGGCTTACAGGCGGTGACGTCTAGAAGCGGTTCGGCGTCACTGCACAATGAAGAAACACAGTCTCGAGACGAAGCAAAAAATACAGACGCAAAGCCCAACCCCATACCGAGTCCTCGAGAAGATGTAATGGACGAAGGCCCCCCGGAAGACCCTCCACAATCCGAGGATACCTCAACCCCCGTGGACCTGACCGGCGCGTTGGAAAAGCAAGCGCAGCGGGGCGATGCAAATGATCTGCCGCGGCCTCATAGCGCATCCAATAATACCAGCGGCATCGAACCAAGACCACCGGGTCGCAAGCCTGCGGATAGCCTGTTCGATATCCCGCCGAATCTATCGAGAATTCGTAGGCTCCTGTTCGAATGCAATGACCCGATTGAGATCACACAGGAGGAGTTTGATACATACTGGCCATTCATTGATAATGTTTGGGTCAAGCAAAGATCAAATGCTAGCAAGGAAGGACTTTGCACTTCTGACTACTATATGTGTCGACTAAGGCGCCCTACGCATCGTCCATCTGAGACTCGACCACCATTACCAGAGGGCAAACGTCCCCGAAAGAAACGCTCACGAGAAGGAGGTACCTGCAACTTTCAAATCAAGGTTGTTCGGTTTGAAGGCGCATATTCAGCCGTCACCATTTCGAGAACCCCGGGCAGTGACAGTACTCACACCCACGATCTTGACTATAGCGACCGCGTGAAGCGTAACTCCGGGGTGATGGAATTTGTACGGAGGGAGTCGGTGAAAGGTTATCTTCCCTCATCTATCTACGCCAAGTTTCAAGAAGAGCCCGAGAAGCTCAATGAAGCCGGAGGCCGCTCGCTCACGGTAACCGATGTGCGCAATGTCGCGGCCAAATGGCGCATACAAAACCCTGAAGTCCAGCTTGTTCCCCACGAGGGCTACGAATACCAGAAAGGACAGGGCATTATCAAGTCTGCAACAGCCAATGGCATCAATGAGACATCGCAACCGCAGCCGCAACCTCAATTACCATCCCAAATGCAACCTACTCTTCCAGCCCCATCGCTTCAATTACCGCCAGATACCCTCGCCTTCCCCCAATTCTCCCTAGAATTCCTCGAACCATATCTGCCTACCTTACCTACCCATCACTCTGAGAAAAGTGAATTCCCCCATGTCACCTTGTCCTATGCGACGTCAATGGACTCAAAAATCTCTCTTCGTGCCGGGATGCAGACTGTGCTTTCCGGACCCGAGGCCAAGGTGATGACCCATTACCTCCGATCGCGCCACGATGCAATACTCATCGGGGTTGGAACCGTGCTAGCAGATAATCCAGGCTTGAACTGTCGACTCGAAGGCGCTGGAGGTTTCGGAGGCCTGGGAAGGATGTGGCAACCTCGCCCAGTAGTCATTGATCCGACGGGACGATGGCCGATCCATCCAGATGACCGAATGCTCCGCACTGCCGTCGAAGGAAAAGGCAGGGCCCCTTGGGTGGTAGTTTCGCCAGGAGCTCCAATTAACTCTGACCGACTCATGATGCTCAAGGGCTATGGTGGCGACTTTCTGCGAATTGTGGAGTACAATCGAGACTGGCGCTTACGCTGGGAAGCTATTCTCCGGGCTCTCGCCTCTGAAGGAATCAAGAGCGTCATGATTGAAGGAGGTGGGACCGTTTTGAACGAGCTGTTAAATCCCGAGTACACCAACTTTATTGACTCAATCATCGTGACAGTAGCTCCTACCTACCTTGGTCACGGAGGTGTTGGGGTTAGTCCTGAGTCTAAACTGGATCCTCAAGGTAATCCCAATGCTGCCTTAAATCCACGCGACGTCAAATGGACACCATTAGGGCAAAACGTGATCATGTGTGGTAAAATCCGCCTGCAGGATATGAGAGCCGGTGCTCCCCCTTAATGGGATTTTCCTTTTTGCTTCTAATAATATCCATATAGATTTTACATGTTTAAAAGATGACTTAATGAATGAAAAAAGAAACTTATATAATTGTCAAAGAGTCAAGTGAAACAATGATCATAAGATGATCGAATATGGGGGGCGGGAACACTGGGAATGCCGTGTTATTTACGTCCGTGCCTTGGCATCATTCACTTTTTTTTTTCCACCTTTAATCAGTGCCTTAACGCGTCTTTTCTGCCCTTCCACATTTTCTTCTTCCTCCTCCTTCCCCACCCCCTCCCTTTCCTTTTTCCCTTCAATTCCACATTCCACAGCAAAAATGCCTCCTAAAAAGGCCACAGCTGCCACCAAGAAGCCCGCCGCGAGGGCCGCGAAGACCGCCGCCGCAACTAAGACCGCTGAGGCACCCAAGGCCGCTGAGACCAAGACCAAGACTGTCAAGACCGCCGCAAAATCTGCTAGCGCCGGTCGGGGGCGCCCAAAGAAGATGTCTACTGAAGTCACTACCAAGACTACCGCGAAGAAGGGAACCACTGAGACGGCGCGCAAAACAAAGACTACTGCTACTACCACCTCCACCGCGTCGAAGAAGCGCAAGGCTGATGAAGAGGAGGAGAAGCCTCGTGAGCCCAAAAAGCCTCGTGTCATTGCTCAGCCGCGTGCGACAAAGCCTAAGGCTGCCAAGCCCAAGGCCGTCAAGCCCAAGGTCGTCATCAATGAAGCTCCCAAGACTCGTCTGAATGTGTTTGTCTGCGGTGAGGGAAGCTCAGGTGAGCTCGGTTTGGGTACGGCCAAGAATGTCATTGATGTCAAACGGCCTCGTCTGAATCAGCTCCTGGCCGCCGACAAGGTCGGCGTTGTGCAGGTAGCCGTTGGTGGTATGCACTGCGTTGCTCTGACCTACGACAACCAGCTCTTCACCTGGGGTGTGAACGATCAGGGCTCCCTTGGACGCGACACTACCTGGGATGGTGGATACAAGGACATGGACGATAACAGCGACTCAGATTCCGAGGATGAAGATAGCGGTTTGAACCCCAAGGAGTCCACACCCACCGCAATCCCTGCGAGCTCTTTTCCGGAGGGAACCGTTTTTGTTGAAGTCGCCGCTGCCGATAGCGCAAGCTTTGCTTTGACTGATGATGGTCTTGTTTACGGCTGGGGAACTTTCCGGGTAAGACAAGAAGAATTGCCTGACACATAATCTTCGCGCCATGCTAATTACGGTTCTTCTAGAGCAATGACGGAATTCTCGGATTCGACGCAAACAACCGCGTGCAGAACACGCCAATCCTCCTCCCAGACTTGAAGAATATTAAGCACCTGGCTTGTGGTGCTAACCATGTTCTTGCCTTGAACAACAAGGGAGCTGTGTACTCCTGGGGTTCTGGCCAGCAGAATCAGCTCGGCCGCCGCATCGTTGAGCGCAACAAGCTGCACGGTTTGCAGCCACGTGAATTCGGACTTCCCAAGGAAATTGTGCACATCGGAAGCGGATCCTACCACTCTTTTGCAGTCCACACATCTGGCAAGGTCTACGCATGGGGTTTGAATAGTTTCGGTGCTACAGCCATTCGCGAGGGCGCTGGTGACGATGAAGCCGCCATTGTGCACCCCCTTGTTGTGAAGTCGCTCTCGGATCGCAACATCACCCAGATTTGTGGTGGCTCTCATCACTCCATTGCTTGCACTGCTGATGGCGAATGCCTGGTATGGGGTCGTCTGGATGGCTTCCAGAGCGGCCTGAAGGTGGACGCTCTCAGCGACGATGCAGTTATCAAAGATGAGCGTGAACGTCCCCGTATCCTGATTGAACCGACTGTCGTACCTGGCATCAATGCCAAGGTTGTTGCCGCTGCTTCGGACCACTCACTGGCCATTGATGCTGATGGCCGTGCTTGGTCGTGGGGTTTCTCTGCCACCTACCAGACTGGACAGGGTACTCAGGATGACATTGAGGTTGCTACTATCATCGACAACACTGCCGTCCGTGGCAAGAAATTGAACTGGGCCGGTGCCGGTGGTCAATTCTCTGTGTTTACGATGCCCGCCGACCTTTAGTTCGAGTCTTCTACCGTCTTCTACCATCCTATTGTTCCGGCGTTCTCCTCATTTTGCCATTTAATTTTTGCGATTCCATCTTGACGATAAATCATTTCCTCTCAAATGTTTCCAGTGGTCGATGCAGCCATATCACATTAGCTCCGGTTCTCTAATATTATTATTTGAGTCATGTCCACTGAAGTCTCGTCTTAATTGGTTCAATATCCAATTCCGAGAGGTAGCCGAATTTCCAACTTGGCAAGGGAGGGGAGTTCTAGCTTGGCTGCTGAAATTTAAGATCAAATTAATGAATTCATGTCTGTCATAAAAATATTCATCTGCCACTACAGTCCCATCTCATTCATGGCCTCATATTCGGCATCGAAGTCATCATGTCCGCTGTTTGGCACCTGCTTCCCTGGCTGTGGCCCCTTTAACATGTCTTCATCTTGCTCTCTCAATAAATCGTCCAGATCATCGTCATCGAGCCCATTGTTCGGTATCTGCTTTGCTGCTTGTTGTTCCCCTGGCATGTTCTCATATTGCTCTCTCAATAGATCTTCCAGATCGTCGTCGTCGGGTGCGGGATGGCTAACGGACTGCCGAATTGTTCCCTCGGGGTCTGGCATGAACAAGTCATCCGGAGAACCCAATCCATCTGCCGCTTCATGTATTGTTGTTGAATTCGGCATCTCCTTCGTTGCGCCACCGTGCTGATCTGAAGAAAGCCGTGTGGGGAGGTCTCTTGTGTCAGTGTAATTTTCGAAGACTTTCCGTTTCTCGTCATCGATCCATTCTTTCCGCATAGTTTGGATGCGTTTGGTATGGCCTAGTTTCTCAATCATAGCCAAGCCATCTGTGAATTTTGCACGGGGGTAAAGGTCATCAAGCCAAAGTTGATAGAAATTCAATAGGCGGGCGGCATCCGAAAACTACTCGACCCCTCCTGTTAGCCCTGCATGTCTGACACATAGATATTTCGACTGACCTCATGTCCTTTGCCTTTGAGTCGAAGTTTATCCTTAGCTGTGCGTCGGAGCTTGGGGATTCCTGGTTGCGAAAGCAGACTGGAAGGGAACTTTTGTCAGAATATGTCGCCATTGAGAAGGAGATATGCTATTTACCGTGCCTCGTCTAGTTTGGCAATCGGTTGTCGCTTTTTGGTAATTTTGACCTCCTCATCCAGTCCAAGTCCGAGGGAGGAGGGATCTCCTGTTGCCTTCGGGGCATCATTGTTTGACGCGTCGTTATTCCCTTGAAAGATCTCGTCTAGTCCCACGTCATAGTCGAATAGATCATTGATATTGGTGGGAGAGCTGGCTCGCTCTGCTGAGGTCTCCATAGTTGGTGGATTGGAGTGTGATGTAATTCAGTGTGGATTGTGGAAAGGAACCTTCACAATAAATGTTCATATCAATTAAGCCTCGATACCAGCTATCCAGTCAACGCGTTCTGGACGCGCCTAGTCAGCAGCATTGTCATTGGTTGAAATGAGTGCTGGCCGCCGACATACGCTAAGCCCAAAGAGGCTAGTGTTGCTACCACCTCCAACTTCCGAACTTCAACTCTGCACAACGCCCGTATCCCACCATATCAATCTTCATCATGGCTTCTTCCACCACGGCCATTGTGCCCCCTAAGCGGGCCAATACCGACTATCCCGTATGTATACACCATCGCATATATGTTCATCGCTAACCGCTTTCTGCAGCTCATCGACTCCGACCCGTACGATCTTCCCCGAACCCTTCCCCCATGTTTAGCTCGACACTTACAATGGCTCTAGGCATCTGCGTCGTGTGTTCGGATACGCTCGGCCTTCCGATTACGCCGTGGCTGGTGGAATGGCTACCGTCTCCCCCATTGCATTCTGGATCATGGAGCGGGTTAGCCCGTCGCATGTCGGCCGCGGTGGCTTTGCCCCCGTCATGCGCCTCGCCAGTGCCGTCGGCATTCTCGGTGGCCTCCACGTGCTTTACCAGAGATCCTGCAGTATGTGCGCCTATCAATTGGGGTTTTACCGAGATACTTACATGTTGACAGGACGTTTCTACGGCTTCACCGAGAACTCCCGGGAGGTTGAGAGGGACATGCGCGAGATGGTCGACAAGGTGAAGAAGGGTGAGCCCCTATACGGTGTCTCTAAGGTGTCCGATTATATTCAGGGTATTGCTGCCCGTAACTCCCGGTACTCCGAGCTCTTCATCCACGTCCTTCCGTGGATCAACATTGTCAACCACGATCAGGTTAGTCTTCCCCGAACTTGAACCCCTCCTTGTATAGGTCACCCGTTGACTTGTTCTGTTTTAATTTAGCACGGTGTCGACACTGCCAAGTACTATCAACAAGCGGAGCGTGAATTGGAAGCTGAGCGAACCGCCTAGATTAATTCCATGAGCTCTTTAAACTATTCGTCTCCTGAGTTGATCCCCTGGAGTTGCAAAATTTTTGTACACATATCCATTTTTCGTGTGTTTTTTGAAGGCGCAATTTGCAATTAACAATACAAACTTATGTTCTGCTAAAATATTCGCCCAAGTACTTAGCAATCTATCTTTTGGGTATCAAACGTCCGTGCCCGACTGGGTCCTATGCACTGGCCAGTGCCTGGAATTCAATTCAACAGAACTATTCCCATGTACCCGATGCCTGGTCTTCTGTATTCTCAAATTTGGTGTTCAGTTCACGGTTCTTCTTTGGCCGAGGATTTGGCGCTGGGAAATCGTTAGTATGGGTTGACCGGGTCTCCAATTCCAGATCTGACCTTTCTCATTCTCTTGGATGTAGAACCGGCGAAGTAGCATAATGGCCTCCTGTTGGAAGAGCCCACCATACACCGGGTATGTGGGGTCGATGGAGGGGCTGTAATAAATCAGCTAGAAATTCGAAGCCTAGAACTACTAAGGGTTCACTGACTCTGAATGGAGCGACAGAACACCGCCAGTGCCGCCAAATCGATCATTGGCACATCCATAATAAACACTCCGAATGCGATACTGCTTGAGGGCCGAGGCACACATGACGCATGGCTCGACAGTCACGTAGAGATCCGTGGATTTTAGGATTGACTTGGGATATGTTTGGAGCACCTCTGCGATGGCAATAAATTCCGCATGTCGGGTTCCCTGTAGCTTATCAGCCATCCTGCTGCACTGGATTGTCTATCATGATGAGAGCACTGACATTCATTGAACGATTGGTATCGTTCATTCCATATCCCACGATCTGATCGTTATGGACTAGAACACAACCCACGGGGGTCTCTCCGCACTCCAGTGCTTTTTCGCCCTTCAAGTCCGTTTCTTTAGATACGAGTTTTGAAAAAAATCATCTTCATGGTGAAAGGAAAGCACTCACCATCAACAGCGCCTGCTTCATAAAAAAAGCATGTCGAGAATCCTCCGCTGGGACCGGCGGAGTGAGGGGAGTTGCCTCAATGGATGAATCCATCTTATTGTGTTATTTTTTGATGAATGTCTTGAGAGGCACAAGGGGTTCAACTTGTTTTCATCTGCCGGCTGTGGTGGGTTGAGAAGAGAGTGAGCGTCGAGGTGAACTATTCAATTGTAAGATTTTCCACGGGAGAATTCCAGATACTTTTACTTTTTGTGTAATCGCCGACTCATCCTGATTTATCTAGCCAGCATCCTATTTTTTTGTTTGAATAGATAATAAGATATGACAATTCATATTGGAGGCTATTATTATTATTCTACCCTTGGCAGTGAGTATTATATCACTATACCCAGTAGTTTAAACTCGTGGTGGGGAGTTGGTGCCTCAGGTGTCCGTGTCAATATCAACTCCGCGTGCATTTCATCATTTTGCAACACGTGTGGTTCAACCCCAAATACCAAATATCCGAATTCTGATCTGCTAGCCATGTTCACTCAGTATGGCACCTGAGAGAAACAATGATGGCTTCCCGCAAGGCAATCGAGAGCCGCCCATGGAGCCAGCCTCATCCATCCTTGCGGCTCATTTCGCCCCTCTGGCACCGCAAGGGCAGAAAGGACATCGGCTCCCGCGGGAAACTTTCGCACAGCTTCGCCAAGAACTTCTAGGGGAAATACAGAGTCAAATACGCGTCGATGAAGGCATCACAGACATTAATAAACTCATCTGCATTGTTCTCAAAGCCGGCCTGGAAGTGGATCTAACTAGTACCGAACCGACAGAAGACTTGCTGGGCCAAATTATCGACTGTCTGGACATCATCCAAGCAAGCATCGAGAAAGCCCCCCAGGCATTATGGGAAATTTCAGATCCGTTGATCATGGGTGAGGATGTCGAAGCGCCATTATTTGCCTGGTTGATCCTACGATTGATTAGATTGTCTGGCGCTTGGTCCTCCGAGTTCATTCACCATAGAACGCATCTCATATTCAGCAGCATGGCCAGTCTTCAATCCAAACAAGCTCGCTCATCACCTTTATGCTACGGCGTTTCGGCCTTTCTTCGTGCTTGTACATCAGGTCTGTCATATAGTTCTACGAAACTTGTCGTGAAAGCTCGACTGACATTGCAACAGACATTTTATGCACCTTGGAAACATCGCTGAGTGGCAACTTGCGGGATTCTCCTTCCAAAGATCTGTACATACCCGCGACAAACGGGTCACTCGGTGTCGATCTCGATAATCTGGCTCTTCCCCGCGGTCTCATGCGGGAAAGGATAGATTTGGGTTCTTTCTCTCAGGCCATCATCCTTGTGTCTCTCTTATTAGATTCGTTTAGTCCTCAGGCCGCAATAGAGGGTCTTCCGAATCGACGAAGTTTCAATCTCCGTCAGAATCTTCCGTGGGTCTCAAATGGGTACAACCGCCTCCGTCAAGTGGCGGCCAAGTGGGTACAGAGAGCTGGGTCAACGCTTACTCCAGAAGAGGAGCAGGACACTTTAGAAATCATGGCTTATACACACCGATTTTGTGTATCTGACACGTCTGGATCAGCCCTGCGTTCGGACGTATCCTTGGCCTCGACCTGGGCTCAATGCCTAAGTGACATAATCCCGCCCAGTATTTCCAGTCCATTGCCTGTCCTTCAGACGGGATTGATTCATTTCTTGGAGGAAGCGCTCCAAGCGGCATTCGATTCGAAAATTTTCGCGGAACACCTGAGGGAGTCATTTTTACCTGTTTTTGCGAAAATCAAGGACAAGGATGGTAATTTCTTGCCTATGGAGCCAGGCCTATTGGTAATGATCAGCCCTATATTCAGTCAGATTAATATCTTTGGTCGAGGTGTGAGCTAATTTTGTGCCAGGCCTCAATTCAATCTCTTGAGGAGGTGCTACTTGATGTTTCGAGACTCGCCGAATATCACCCCAAGGGTTTGCCTGCTCCTCCAGCAGCCGCCGTTTTGGCTGATGTTCAGAAACCCGGCATTTTCAGCCACGAAATGGACTTGGATGATGATGCGCGAGCCCCAAAGCGCATGTGCCTGCCTGTTGAGCCCTCAAATCAAGGCTTACGGCATCTGCTTACAGAGAAGCTATCGGCGCTGTTAAACTGTGACAACTATGAAGGATTGGCGGACCTGCGAACTGCACTAATGTGAGTGTCTTGAGATCATCGGTGCCCTGGAATAAATCGAGCTAAGACTGGAATAAAGAAACGCGTATGATGAGCTTTCTGACCCTCAAAGGTCAGACATACTGATTATAATCGGACAACTCTCCTGCGCCATTACAGGACACCTTGAGCAAAAAGTCTCAGATGTTGTAGGGCGAGATACAATTTTCTGTCAAACGTGCGATTTCGAAGACCCCAAACCTGGGACCGGCACTGAACAAGAAAAAGTCGAATTCGAGGAACTGTGGACAATGTTCAACTCCATTCTACCAAAGCTGACACGCACACCCGGTCCGCGCATAGCAGCTATGGTAGCTCTAAGAAGAATACTGATGCACTCCCCTTGTCTAGATCAGATGCACTTGTCATCGTCTGCATCTGGGGAATTCTGCCTCCACGCTTTCCGAAGTTCCATCAGAGAACTTCGCGTGGCGACCAGGTTTGTTTGGCAACTTCACACTTAAATTGAACCTCTACTGACTAGTATTTAGTCATTCTGTCGTAGCATTTGTGCACCCTAGTCTGCAGCCAGACGTTCGTCGAGCCAACTTTGTCGTCGTACTTGAATGGCTAAAGAACATTTCCGAGAAGAACGACATTCCTTTACAGGAGGCATGTGTTTTGACGCTCTGCTGTCTTGCCAAGTATGTCCCAGTTTTCATAATCCTTGATCTCCCGCTCATTGACTCATTCATTCCATAGGTTCTCTGATGAGGAAGAGAAGAATATCATTCTTCTGCGCCTTGTGGAGTATCTCGGTCACCCAAATCCATACATATGTGCAGTAGCATACGATCAGGTAAGAAATACTGGACTTGAATCGCCTCTTTCGGCCGGATCATCCTATCTACCCATTCACTTGGACATCCGAAACTGAAAGGCTTATCTAGTTGTCCAAACTTGCTTTTCAATTTACTTTGACACCTGCTGGCTTGTTCCGGCCATATTGGAGAACGCTGTCAGTGGCAGTCGTCAAGAATCTTCAAACTCGCCCATATATGGCCGAGCAACTATGCGAACTGCTTGGCATGAAAGTCGACAGCTTTTTGCGGTTAACAGAGGTTCATGTTCTACCTTATTTGGTTCTGACAAGAAAAAGAGACATCATTTGCAGAATCGGGGCAAGTCGCGATGAAGCGGAATCGCCTTTCGACGTATGTTCTGAGAAGAACAACCTTGCGGCAATTCTCGCTTTTCTGCTAGCTCAGGAATCTAGCAACCCGGAAGCCATGATCATGTCTCTGCTGGCAGAAATAGACCCCGCTTTCAAAGGACGGACCCTGGCCGAGTTGGTGCGAATCGAGCCAATCCTGATTGCTTGTGATTTATTGAAAAGCCTTGGGGATGCCGGTGAACAAAATAAGGAAAGAGTGAGTATATGACCATTAGGAAGATATTTGGAGTCTCCAGCTAAATCAAACCCTTATAGTTTCACCAAGCACTTCGTCGCCTGGCCTCTTTCGTTCCAAGGAAGTCTGCTTCACACGGAGGTTCCTCCAAAAAGGCGGATTTACTGAGCCACTTCATCGAAGAACATGTTCTCGGAATCATCACGCAATTTTCAAACGCAATCAATGACTTTCAAGTGCGTCAAACACTGGCGGAGAAGAGACGGAATCTTAAAGCAATCGAAGAAATGATCAGTATTGCCCAGGGCCATGTCAGTAATGCATTGCCTCAAGTCTGTGCTTGTCTTCGCTCTGCCCTGGACATGGAGGAGTTATGTGCTCAAGCGTTCTCAGCTTGGACGACCTTGATCAGCTCCCTCAGTGCGGAAGACATCGAGCCTCTCATCGACCAGACATTTGCAATTGTAATTAGATATTGGGATAGATTGACTGACCGAAGCAGGAAACATGCACATCGTTTAATCGATCACATATTGACAAATCATCCAAACCTCGTGCGAGATACCTTCGACACCATGCCGTCATTAGCCTCTATTCCTGAGATGGCCCCATTCGAGGCCCAAATCAACGAATTGCGGGCAGAGATGGACGTCCGAAGTCGATTGCTCGCCTTGATCCGCCGCTGTCAGAGTGAAAATGGTACTGTTGTTGAGCAAGCCTTGGCCGAATTACTTCCGTTTCTGTCCAAAAACGAGGAGTTCTTGCACGTCTCTGCTCTTAGCGAACAGCCCGATCCTGTTATTGCCCAGCTCACGAGAGCTTTATTGGATTGTTGTGTCAAATTCAATACTAGTTCAGACAGCATCACATCACTGTCTGCGCAATGTTTGGGACTTGTTGGCTGTTTGGACCCAAATCGAGTAGAGACAGTGAAAGAGAAGAAGGACATCCTTGTTCTCTCAAATTTCGATCGAACAGAGGAAATTGTCGAATTTGTCCTTTTCTTTCTCCAGCATGTGCTTGTCGATGCATTCTTGTCGGCCTCAAATACAAGAGCCCAGGGATTTCTGGCATATGCCATGCAGGGCCTTCTCAGAATCTCCAATCTGCAATCGGTTCTATCTCAGCGGTCGTATAATGTTCAGGGTGATGAGAAATACCAGCGGTGGATGGAACTCCCTGAAGGGATCCGCAATACTTTGACGCCATTTCTTACATCAACGTACACCGTTACGATCGTTGCGAAGAACCCCGAAATTGAGTATCCTCTCTTTTCCCCGGACATGACCCATAGTGAGTGGCTTCGAACTTTGGTGCAGGACTTGCTCTCAATCCAAAAGGACGACAATGCAAAGCTCGTTTTTGCTTTCTGCAGTCGTGTGGTGAAAGGTCAAGACATATCCATATCTTCCTTCCTCCTGCCATTCGCGGTGCTTTACCGCATCGTCGGCGGCACAACGCAAGAACAGCAAGACATTCAACTCGAATTAATAAAGGTTCTTTCACATCCTCTTCCTGATACGAATAACAACGCCCGTGAAACGATCATATGCTGCAGTCAGGTAAGGTTTCCCCGGCCGCTTGATGCATAAAAATTACTAAAGAGAACCCAATATTTTCAGAGTGTTTTCGATGTCCTGGACTACTTGTCGCGATGGCTTCAGGGAAAGAAAAAGCAGCTCAATAGTATAGGCCATCAACCCAACCAGTCGAGCCGTTCTCGAGATAACGGTAGAGAATTACTTTTCGACAAATTTTCAGCTCAGATCAAATCCGTTGAAGCCGTTTTGGCTGCAATCCCACCCGAGATAATCTCCAAGCGTGCTGTGGAATGTAAATCATTCTCTCGGGCTTTGTTCCATTGGGAGCAGTATATCCGGCGATGTAACTCACAGCCGGAATCTACGGAAGGTTCTGACTCAGAGCTGCTTTACCAAAGGCTGCAAGACATCTACAGCCAAATTGATGAGCCAGACGGGATAGAAGGTATATCCAGCCATTTGTCCGGACTGAACATTGACCAACAGGTTTTGGAACATCGAAAGGCTGGCAGGTGGGCCACCGCACAGAGTTGGTATGAGCTTCAGCTCGAAAAGGAACCTGACAACCTTGAGGCCCAGTGGAATCTTATCACTTGCCTCAAGGAATCAGGGCAACAAGGTATTTATGTTCTGACAAAGAGCCTTTACTCTCCATCCTCAGCTCACTTCTTTTAGATGCCATTCTCACTCGCTTCGAAGCTCTCAAAGATGAAGATGCCGCAACTTCGCGATTCCTTCCATTTGCAGTCGAAGCATCTTGGATCACAAGTAGATGGTCTAAGCTCAAAGGCTATCTGGAACTATGTGCTGAGAAGGGAACTGGCGACTTCAACGTGGGCATTGGCTCGGCTCTCTGCGCTCTTCAAGGGCGGCACGAAAACAATGACGCTTTGTTGGCGGAGAAGTCAGAAGCCTTTACAAGAACCATTAACCAGCTTAGGCTCAATGTTGCAAAGTCCTTGACGTCAAATTCTGTCGCTTCATTACAATCATGCCATGACGATATGCTCCGACTGCATGCCTTGGCAGATGTGGAGGCGATAGCCAATGCAAGAACTGGAAGCCCCTCGTATCCAGACTTGTCTGCCGCCCTTAAACGGCGTTTGGATGTCTTGGGAGGTTACATCGCTGAGAAACAGTACCTATTGGGTATCAGACGAGCGGCCATGGAGCTAGCGTGGGTTGACACAATCATCCTCTTTGTTTTCAACGGGCTCGCTGACTGTTTCTTTTTTCATGCTCTAGAGGCGGTTTTGTGGATTCCGATATCTCTGCTGCCTGGCTTACAAGTGCCCACCTCTCGCGCAAAGGCAAATTCACTAGCCAGGCATACCATTCAATGCTCAATGCAGCTAGGCTTAAAGACCGATCAGCCACCATTGAACATGCAAAACTGCTCTGGCAAGATGGACACCATCGAAAGGCGATCCAGACTCTGGAAGGGGCCATATCCATGAATGAAACCACTCCAACAGCATCCAATCCGGCTGCATCCGAGGCAGCCTCCTTTGTCTCCAGTCGTGGACAGAAGCAAAACGATGTTCCTGCCAGGGTATGTCTTCTCTAAAGAAAATATCTAAAAATCAAAACGCTAAATTTTATCAGGCCCATCTTATGCTGGCAAAGTGGACTGATAGAGCCGGTCAGACCCACTCTCAGGCTATTGTTCAACGATATCGAGAAGCCATCAAGTTGTACCCACGGTCGGTTTTATGTACTATTTTTGGGGGGAATTGCTCTAACAAAGGCACACAGGTGGGAGAAAGCCCATTACTACCTTGGAAAGCACTACAACAAGATCCTTGATTCTGAGAAGGCGAAGCCTATGGGGAAAGAGGCTCAAATATAGTAAGCTCATAAGCTCTTGATACCACTGACGTCTCGGGACTAACATCTTCATCAGTCTGAGTGGAGAGGCTACCAAATTGGTGATCGACAACTACCTTCGTTCCCTAACATATGGCAGTAAATACGTTTTCCAGACCCTACCAAAGCTCCTCACACTTTGGTTAGAGCATGCTTCCATCGTTGGTCAGCCCATTGACCCAAAAAGAGGAGACAATGAGTGAGTGATCATTCCTGTGTGAAATGCCCAGCAAGCTGACTTGCAAATTTAAAATCACCAGGGAGTTCCAACGACACACCAAGGCGCAAAGACAAAAAAGCCTAGATGAAATGCATGCCCAGCTGAAGAAATACATTGCGTCTCGTCTTCAGCCTGCTTTGGTAACTAAAACTTTGCTGCTACTATTATACAGGAAGCTAACTGTAATAGCTATTTACAATTTTGCCCCAGGTTGTGGCCCGTATTTGTCACCCAAACAGTACGGTCTATGATCTGTTGACTAGAATTGTGACCAAGGCTGTCCACTACTTTCCCCAGCAAGGTCTATGGACAGTTCTTGCTGTGGTCAAATCTTCGAATAAGGATCGAGCATCGAAGGGTTACAACTGTCTTCAGAAGATCACTGTATGTGAAGAAGCTGATAACAACGTGAAACAGCACTAAGACAATATCTATAGGAGTTCACCACGAAGCATAAGACGGATATCTCATCTCCTGACATTCGTCGCATGATAACAGCCGGTCAAAAGGTCTCCGAGGAATTGCTTCAGCTATGCCTCGCACCTGTCGAGGATAGAGCCACTAAGGTCTCGCTTGCGCGCGGTCTGGGATTTAACCACAAGGTTGTGCCTTGTCGTTTGGTTGTGCCATTCCAGGCCATGTTGATTCCCAGTCTCCCTGCATCCCATGATGCGGACTATCTGAAAGGGTTCAGAGCCTTCCCTCGGGATCCAACGACAATAGAAGGTCTTTGAATCTCTCCAGGCTTTTGTGAATACTGGCTAACCTACTTACTTTAGCCGTTCTGGACGAGGCCACAATTCTCAACTCGCTTCAAAAGCCTCGCAAGATCAGTATTAGAGGTTCCGACGGGAAGATCTACAATGCACTTTGCAAACCGAAAGATGATCTTCGCAAGGATCAACGTCTCATGGAATTCAATAACATGATCAATAGATTTTTGAAACGGGACGTTGAGGCCAGCAAACGGAGGATGTGTGAGTAAATTCCATAATCATACTGAATCTCTTTTCGTGGCCGGGGCTAATGCAGGAAAAGACATCAAAACCTACGCAGTTACCCCATTGAATGAGGAGTGCGGTCTCATCGAATGGGTGGACAATCTTCGCACACTGAGGGACATTATCGTCAAGCTTCTCCGCGAGCGAGGAATTTCGCCCAATGTAAGTTTATGGAAATCTGAAACAACCCAGACGGTGACTAATGAGGAATTAGTACGGCGAAATCAAGCAACATCTCAACGAGATCTGTGCAGACAGGTCACGTTCCAAAGTTCATTTGTTTACGACCAAGATTCTGGCCAAGTGCGATTCTTCTCTCCTCATCAATCTTAATTAAATAAAATCTAATAACAATATAGGCTTCCTCCCGTTCTCCATGAGTGGTTCATTGAGATGTTCCCGGAGACAGAAGCCTGGTTTGCGGCAAGATTGCGATACACAAGATCTGCGGCAGTGATGTCTATGGTTGGATACGTCCTAGGGTGCGTGAAATCTTCTTGTTTGAAAGTATGATTATCGTACTGATTTGATTTATAAATTTTTAGCCTTGGCGATCGACATGGAGAAAATTTGTCATTTGAAGAAGGCACAGGAGGAATTCTGCATGTTGATTTCAATTGTCTATTCGACAAGGTATGTCATTCGACTCCCCAGTATTTGCTACAACGAAGCGCTTATCACATTCCCAGGGCCAAACATTTGAGAAACCAGAAGTTGTCCCATTCAGATTAACAAACAATATGATTGATGCCTTTGGCGCTTACGGGTACAATGGTACGTTATCCCACAAGCCGATTACATGATGAATTGGTTGCTAATATGAGAATCCATAGGACCCTTCCGACGCACCTGTGAAATCACTCTTAGTCTTCTACGACAAAATGAGGATTCATTAATGACCATCCTGGAAACTTTCCTCCATGACCCGACCACCGACTTTATCGGAAAAAGAGTGAGTCTTGTCCCCCCATCAGGCCGAAAGCCTCTCACTAAACCCGCTTCCTAGCGCCGGAATCACGCGAACGTTCCAGACACTCCGGCCGGTGTGCTGGAAGATGTTCGCACCAAGCTTCGGGGTTTCATGTCTAAGCAGCCCATTGCCCTGTCCGTAGACGGACAAGTGGATGAGCTGATCATGCAGGCAACTGATAAGAAAAATCTGGCGGCCATGTACATTGGATGGTGCGCCTTCTTTTGAGCATTAAATGCTCCTCATGGCCCATGGTCTAATTGCATGGAAAATAAACGCCGAAACGACAGGGTGAAAATTTTCCCCACTTGAAAGGCGTCAACGGTATAGGAAAGGTGGTGGGTGGTGAATTTCGGTTGAATTTGGTTTCTCATTATTCTCAATCTTTTTGTACCTAGCGATGTTAAGAGTTTCAAGGCGTCATGTAATGAGGTCTTTCTGATATTAAGACCCGAGCTCAGTCAGATATAACAACTGAGCCATTTCGTTTTCAATACCACATGTCGAACGACTGAGTTCTTCTTTAATGACGGTTCCGGCTTCGGCTCCTCTTGGGGCTCCGACTCCGACTCCGATCACTGTAGCTACTATAACTAGGGCTTCGTCGTCGGTGCTGACGGGGGCTTTCTGGGCGAGTGCTCCCTCGTCGTGGTGATCGTGAACGCGAACGCGAACGTGAGAGCGATGGTGGTCGATAGGTATCGTGCCGCTCAGTAGGCCGAGCGCGACCCTGTCTTCTTGGGGGAGATTTTGCATATGGACCATTGCGCCGACCATTTCCTCGAGTAGACGGTGGTGGTGACCGTGAAAAGTTGCGCCGGGGAAGAACGATGGAAACATTCAGATTTGTACCATCAAGTTGAGCTTCATGCATATGGGCAATTGCTGCCTCAGCATCTGCGGGGTCATAGTAGAGGATATAGGCGGTACCGCGATTGGTCATAACTAGAACATAAAGTCAGCAATGCACAGCTATGGGACCGAAGGCGGACAGCTTACAAGCTGGGTTCATTGGGAGCTCGAGCTTTTCGATATCACCAAATTCGCCGAATATCTCTCGGAGATGAGGCTCGGTCACATTCTTGGTCAATTTCTCTACCACAATCTGCCTCTCTTTGTTAATGACCTGAGCGATCTACGGGGCAGAGAAAGCTAGTTCATGGAACTGACCTTTGCGCTCCGGGGTGGGCTTCGATCTCGGCTAGGCGAACGCGAGCGGCTGTAGCTGCGGCTCCGGTAACGTCGGCCGCTTTTGATAGGGGTACGAGAAACGGATCTTGAGCGGGTTCGGCTCCGGGTTCGGCTTCTTGAACGTCGGTCATGGCGACCTGTATCGGGAGATGGAGAGCGAGTGATACTGCGAGGTCGCGAGTCGCGAGTTCTCGAGCGCGAAGCACGCGACGGGGCGCGATCGTTAGAGGGCAAGGGTGAACGACTGCGGGGCCTTGAAGACATGATTGCGCTTGCGGTTTGAGGTAATCAAGATTGACAGGAACTCACGGCGCCTAATTGGAACAAGATGTATGATGGGAATGGAAGCTTCAGGTTGAGCGTTGCACGGCACTAAGCCATGTTAGGTAATGACCTTCCAAGGTCGGCGCACACCGCCTTGCCTACACTCTACACTCATTCAACTACCAAGTGATACCATATCTATTGGTTCTAGATTCATCGAGCAGTGAGCCAGAATTGAATTTACACATTGTCTATGGGAAAATACCAATTCTCACATAGAAGAGAGTAAAGTATGAGATCAAAGGTTGTCAAGTACTTCTTTCACCTTGACATCACATGATGTTTTATATCCGGTCTTGAAGCTCTAAACTTATTATTCTCTCTTTGATTATGTTTTTTTTTTAGTAACAAAGGCACGGATTTGCCACGGAGAACAATATTAATGGGTCGACTCCCCGGTCAGAACAATATTAATGAGAATCATTGTTGATGCGAGTTGATAGTAGTCATATATACTTCTTTCTTTCCCACCCTCAAGGGTCCGGTATGATGAACGCAGGTGATCGTGAAATCCCCATTCTCAAAGCATATAAAATGGTTGAAACTCCCTGTAATGAGACTTACTCTCTCTAGATCAAAATATGGGAGATCACCCTTAAATTATATCCAACCATGAAGATTCTTCTAATACTCTGGGGGATTCTGGGGCTGTTCAAGACAGCAACAGCCCTATCCCCAAATGTGCGGGCTACATCAAATGTGCCAGAAGAAGGCAGTGACGGCCTCTGTTATGACTATGTCGTTCAGTACGCCGATACTTGCCAAAGTATTGCTTCAGAATATGGTATTACTAAAGCCTTGATTGAGAAGTATAATAGCGACACCTGGGGCTGGACAGGCTGTTCCGGTATCTACCAAGGGGATATCATCTGTCTTAGCTCAGGTGAGCCTCCTATGCCCGTGGCCCTCCCTTTGGCCACATGTGGTCCCCAGGTCCCGGGTACAGCTAGACCGAAGAACTACGCCGATCTATCTTCACTGAATGCATGTGCTGCTGGTTGTGTAAGCGCCTTTCAGCTTTATGATTTACACCTTCCAAACCAATTCCGTTGCTGACTTTTTTCTTATATCTAGTGTATCATCACAGGTGTATGTGCTTCAGCAAAAGATGGAGACTCGGAACTATGTAGGACGAGTCAGTGCATCTCCGGCTGTGATGCCACGTCGGCTAGCACCAGTACTACATCTTCAACCAAGAGTACCAGCAGTGCCTCTTCGACTAAGGGCACCTCTACCGAGAAATCGACGAGTACGACAGAGCACACATCCTCAACCAGTACTAAAACCAAAGCAGCAGCCGCAACAGGAACAGGCCTTTGGACCCTTGCCGCCTACACCGGAAAAACCTGCGACGGCGACTATTACGTGTTAACGGGGACCAGCTTAACAGACACTGAATGTCTCGACATCCATGGTGGTCTTAGCTTGGAGATGACGGACAGCGTCTCCTGTGGGTATTACACCAATGGGGGTTCCACTTACGCCGACTGCGACTCAAGTCCAGAGCTGGGGATTTGGTCGTGGAGCATATCTGGGGGCAGCTGTGTGGCTTTCGAAAAAAGCTGTAGTAATTCCGGTTCGAATATTGTAGACATATATGATCAGTCTACAGGTTGTCAGGAGTCGACGATGTATGATCCGCATTACTATATGACTTGGCGCTCGTTGAAGTGTCAGGTCTCGTGAGTGGCAATGGTTCTCGAGGTTGGTGCTTCTATATTCTTTTCAATGTTTGACCTGGGTAGGTGGGTTATGTTAGGGATACATTGATCAGAACCAGCACTTCAAGGGGTTATCTAATCCAATGTATACTGACTATTACATCGTTATGGTTTATCGGTGCAAATGTAGATATCTCGAGTGATCTAAGGAATAGAAGCTCGCAGGAGTAGAAGATTCGGAAATGAGGAAGTGTATGGTGTAGTGTATCGTCTCATCCCATGGATGTGTATATTTTCATTATGGATTTTTGCAAAGATGCGCCTCTATTTCTGACCATCTCGCCATTGCTCATATTCACGAATCACACTGTCCGTGATCTGCCGATGAACCTGGCCCAAAGCATACTCGAAATGCTTCAATTGCACTTCCAGCTCTTGTTGTGTCTCTTCCTCCTCGTCCAATGCAGCATCACCAGCGGTCTCACAAATGCTGACAATCTCTGCACCGGAGTAGCCCTCGGTATGAGCGGCCAGCTCATCAAGATCAACGTCCGGGTGAATAACAGATTTGCTCGCCCAGATGCGCAGGATTTCCTTTCTGGCCTCAAAGTCTGGAGGTCCGATGTAGAGGATGTTGTCCAGGCGACCTGGACGCATGAGTGCTGGGTCAAGAACATCCGGTTTGTTGGTGGCCGCGACAACCAACACGTTTCGCAGCTCCTCGATACCGTCCATTTCGTTGAGTAAAGTTGTCAGGACGTTAACGCCTCCTGAAGAAGTGCTACTGCGTCGTGCAGCGATGGCATCGATTTCATCAAAGAAGATGATACTTGGTCGTGCCGCACGGGCTTTGCGGAAGATCTCTCGCAGTGATCGTTCGGACTCACCAACGTACATGCTCAGGATTTCTGCACCCTTTACGGCCAAGAAATTCAAGCCTGCTTCCGTGGCCAGAGCCTTGACGGTGAGGGTCTTGGAACATCCCGGCGGACCGTATAGGAGAACGCCCTTTTTGCTCTTAACATTGAGACGCTTCATACGCTCGGGGAACTATGATAGATGGTGAGCTTCGTAGATAGGTTAGAATGAGCGGGTAGCCTACCTTGAGGGGTCTCTCGACGGCCTGTTGCAGGCGCTTTTTGATATCATGCTGCCCACCGATGTCAGACCATCTCACCTTAGGTGTCTCCAAGAACACCTCTCGCATAGCAGTAGGGCGGATCTCCTGCAACGAGGACCAAATATCAGATTCTTGAATCGCCAGATCCACAGTGACAGGTCCGTTTTCTTCAGCATCGCTAGTAGCATCCATGATATCAGATGCCGGTACAGACTGGCTCCTAGAGGGAGAGACGGATTTCTGTTCGAGCATCTGCCGTTGGCGTGCTTTTCGGCAAATGAGCTGGAGTAGAGCAAACAAATCCGCTCCGACGTATCCGTGGGTCTTCTCAGCAAGCAAGTCAACCATAGCATCGGTGAGCCCTGCAGATGCTGGTCCACGAATGGCACGTAGGATTTCAGCTCGGTCATGTGCCGTGGGGACCTGGATCTCGATCTCTGTACCAAATCGATGGGGAGTCCTGAGAGCATCATCGACGTTGTTGGGGTGTCGAGTGGCAGCTATCACCAAAACCGACGCGCTCCTCATTGCATCTAGGTTCTCACATAGGACCGAGGCGAGCGACGAAGATTCCAGGGAAGTTCGCTTAGGAGCGATAAAGTCTAGCTGATCAATGATGATCACACTGGGCTTGGAGCGAGCGGCATCCTGGAAGGTAGTGCGTAGTTTTTTCTCGGCTTCGCCTGTGCTCCGTCCAAGAGTAGCAGTTCCAATTTTGAAAACCTGTCGCCAGCCAGCCTTCTCGATTTGCTGGAGAAGAGATGTCTTTCCTGTTCCTTTAGGTCCATAGAGAAGAATACCACGGCTATGTTCATAGAAAGAGGGCATTGTAGGTTTGAGCAGATCGATATTGAAGTCCGATAGGCTCTCATTGATGTCATCAATCTGTCGTGAAAGACCACCCAACCCATCGGCATCAACTGAGATTTCATGGGGAATCTCAGAAGGCGCCTCTACTTCCGTGCCAATAGAGATCTTGGTGGCATTTGTGAAGCGAAAGATCGTACGACTAGAGCTTGGGGATTCGGAGTGCATGTTCACAACCTGGAAGCTTCGGCGTTGACCTCTGAGCTCAAGCTCGAAAATTAAGCCCTTGGCAATCACCTCACATCTCAAAAGCGGGAATTCCAATGCCCATTCCCAGTGGCATCGCTCTTCCGCAGGAATTGGGCCAAACCTCTCGATCTTTTCAGGTTCGGAACATTCAATCACAACGACCGATTTAAGCTCCTCTAATGCACCATCAATTTTAGTGATGTTTATTTTTCCCCCGACCTTGATCCCGTAGCAATCTTGGAGAGCCTTGGATGTTTGCACCACTGTACTCTGTATATTTTCGGTCGCCGTCCAAGCAATCGCGGTTTTAGGAGGCCCTTCTGCGAAAGATATGTCGCAAAGATCATCGGCACGAAGTCTAAGGGAAGCCAGCGACGAGGAAGATAGATATATGCGGAATGCGTCTTTGTAATCGGCTCTTGCCTGTTTCGACACTGGCCGCACAGTGAAGCTGCGAACGTCGGCCATCGTGCTTCGCTGCTGAAATCAAGGAAGCGGGTAATTTCGGAGCGGGGATTGGTCGAAAAGGAAGCTATCAGCAACAATCCATATATTCCTGTAAATCTTTCGGCGCGTAGATTTGAAAGGTGGTGGTTCGCACTGGCTCAAACGCAGATATCGTACACACTGGGGGTGGTACTCAATGTTTCTCTGCGGGACTGTGTTGACTAGGGACTTTGCAATCCGATGCAACAAGAGGTTGCAGGTAAAGTTCGAGAGTCAGCGACAATTAGAAGGCCAAAAGCCTCGAGGTATAAGGCTGAGACCAAATCGAATTGAGAAATTGAAATTCTGGTGGGGAGCTTATCAGTGGGTTTGATAAACCCCCCAAAAAGTGGGTCGCAGTAAAGGCTGCAGGAATCAAGTCTTAACCTTAAAAGGTGCAATGTATCATATGTTTCAATGTCAATTTACTAAAATGTAGAAAACAAGAGTTACGGCATCTATCTCCAGCGCAGTTCAACCGGACATAAAGTAACGAAACAAGGTGCCACAGGCTATGGACAGGTGTTTATGATACTGGGGAACAGGCGCCAAATTTCCATAGAAACAGGACATTCAGATCTTAGCACGTGAAATTGCAGGCAAAAGGATATGTGGCAGGTTGCGCAGGAAACGACTTGCGGATACGAGAGAACAAAAAACACACATACACGCGCAAGTTCCGAAGCGAGAGAGTTAAACACCAAAGAAAAAGATGAAAATAGGAAAATAAAAGGGAAAAAGACAGGGAGGAAAGAGGCAGATAGGAGAGGTAGAGAGATGGGAGAAGGAGGAGGAAGTAGAGGAAGATGGAGAAAGAAAGATGATGGTACAGGGTTTAGCAGCATTTTCCGCCACCGCTGCCATTCAGGCCAGATCCCTGCTGGTCTATACTGACGCCCTGAGAGCCAGATTGTTCGGTCTTCGAGGTGTCCATGCCCTTCTTGATATCCGTTGCGAGGCTATAGAAAGCCTTCTCGATGTTGATGTTGTTCTTTGCGGAGACTTCGAGGAAGGGGATACCAAGTTCATCAGCCAGCTGTTGTCCCTGCTCGGTGGAGACAGCTCTCTTCTCCTCCCAATCGCATTTGTTTCCAATGAGAATCTTGTGTACTCCTTCACTGGCATGTTGCTCGACGTTGGAGAACCAGGTACGGATGTCTTTTGGTAGGGGAAAAAATGAATTAGTCTCGAGCGTTCATGATTTTTGGAGGAGAAAGAAGACACGTACTTTGGAAAGACCGCTCATCGGTCACGTCGTAGACAAGGAGAATGCCCATAGCACCACGGTAGTAAGCCGTGGTGATCGTACGGAAACGTTCCTGTCCTGCGGTATCCCAGATCTGCAGCTTCACTCTCTTACCATCCAGCTCAATCGTACGGATCTTGAAATCGATACCGATGGTGGTGATGAAGGAAGGAGTGAATGAGTCTTCGCTGAAACGGAGGAGGCAGCAGGACTTGCCTACGCCGGAGTCTCCGATCAACAGAAGTTTGATCTACAAGGTAAGTCCAAGTTAGCCGGTGCACTTGACAAGGTGTCTGGAAAACACGTACGAGGAAGTCATAGTTTCTTGTACCGGCCATGTTGGCTTTGTTTTGTGTTCGCTAGAACCGGCGAGAATCGATATTCTAAGATAGGAGACGGTTGGATTGGTAGCGGGTTCCACCAATTTTGGGACTGAAGGTATAATCTTGGATTAACAAGATGCGACACCGCGTGTTGTAAGGAGATTTGTAGGGCGAAGCAGGTATCGTTAGGTGGCTAAGTGGTGGGCGGGATTTTGTGTTTCCAGGATTCCAGGGACAATATCAGGAGTGTCGGGTGAAAAGTGCAGATCGGTCACCAACAAGATGGGAACGAACAAAACAAAGACTTCTGAGGGCAAGGAATATCCAGGCGATGTTAATAGATCAGAGCAGACAGCCTTAAGTCGGCCGTTAGAAGAGGGGGAAATGTGAAATGTGGTCAACACCCAGGTGGAGTGATGACGGTACGGTCGATGTCCCCCGGGTTACATAATCCGCTGGTCTCCCCCGTTTGACTTAGTATCTTTCTTGTTTCAACCTTAAGACTTGGAGTTTCTATTCAATTTACGGAGAGTTTGGGAGTTTGAGGCTACTGTCATGTCCGAAAAAGAACTAAGAATTGGTGTTCTTCTCGATATTTCATTCTTTATTCACTGTTGGGGTATATCATGTTTCAATACGCTAGTGAAAGTAAGTCCATCGGATCCTCTCAATTACCCGGAGCTGCTTAGTGACTCCCCCTGGATGTCCAAAAGATCTTCAATGTCTTCTCGAAATTCCCGATACTCCAAGCCCCCGAGCACTATTTTGACATGCTGAAGTAATGCCTCGGCTTCACAGATCAGTCGTCCCGAGTCCTTGTAGGAAATCACCTCGTTGGTGGTCAAGGAAGCGGAGGTGAGGATTCGTGTGATGTTTCTGTAGCCCCATATTAGCATACTGACCATAGACAAACTGTTGATTTCTTAGGAGGGACAGCTTACCGTAGTCCACGCTTGACCTGATAACGCTTCTTGCCCTGTCGTAAGCCTCGTCGGTTACTAAAGAGCCCTGCCACCCACTGCAGAGAAGTGTACGAGACTAAAATCCCCGGCGTGAGGCCAATAAAGCTGCGAAGCATCAGTAACGAGACTCAAATTTACTGAATCGATATAGAGCATTAGTGGATACTTACCCAAAAACAAGCTCTTGACTCTTCAGCAAGGAATTGATTCCACTGATTGCGACTTCCACGTCGACCTTCGTCTTCTGAATCTGAATCAAAAGAGCTCGAACCAAGTCGCCTCGAACGGTTCCAGCAAATGGTGACCGCAAATCCCTTTCGTAGGCCTTCAAGACAGGCGTCAGGTCCCCTTCTCTAACTGCATTAGTGATGGCTGCCGTGTCCTCTGTGGCTGGCTTCCCCTGGCTCGTGTCTGGTCGATCACGAACAAAATCAATGACCATCCGCTCCAAGCTGGCGCGATCGGCCATCAGACTGTTTTTACTCATTATGGCAATTTCACTTTTCTCATCGTGTCTAATGGTTCCAATGAGCTTGTGGACAGGCTGTACCACCCAGTTGCTCCCGAAATCGATGATAGTGGAGCCGATGTTTCTGATCCACTCGATGATCTCGTCCTGACGACGGATCAGCACCTTCAATGAGATGCTACTCGAAAGCAGTGCCACTGACAACGGTAGCCAATACCGGACAATCCTTGAGGGGCGTCCGTGGTTTCCAATCGATGTAGAGATAGAGGTTGTATGGGTAGGCAACTGTTCGCGGAGAACATGGATTAGACGCTGGATCAGATCAGTAGGCTGGGTGGACGATGATGCATAGTTTCGCGTTTGCACAGTAGCCATGTCCTTTTCAACGGCTTGAACAACATATTGCTCAAACGCTGCAGTGCTAGACTGCTTCAACACATGGTCGAGAATTGCCTCGGTAAGATGCACCGTTTTGGAGACAGTTTCCTGCCACTGCTCCGGTGAGGCAAGTCCCTTGCTGGCAAGGTCCTCGGATTGAAAAGCATGCCACTGATCCATGAGAAGGCCCAGGCTACTCGTATGAGCATCCTTCATTGCGATCAGACGATCTCTTTTCTGTCTAATCTCCACTCGGCAAGACCGAATAGGTGAAGACCAATTCAATGCGCTGGGGTGCTCAGACATCCCACGCAAGCTCTGCCGAGCAACTTGATAGAATTGACCCCACCTTACAGCAAGAGATCTCGAGACGGAAGCAGGGAAAGCCCCGTGAGATCTATGTTCGGTATAAATGTCTACAGACCAGTGCCAAAGTCGAACAGGGGAGGTCTGCGCCGCATAGAGACCACTGGACCACATCGAGCCTAGCACCTCATCCCAATAGTAAATCTCTTCCTGGAGGTGAATCGTTTGGTCTAGCAAGGTATGCATGACCAATCCCGACGCCTGGACCGCTGCTTTAGCAACTACTAGCCATAGATAGTCCGACACATGCTTCTCGGGTTTAGGCTCGGTGACCCCGGGAAGCAGAAGGTGGGAGAGGGTAGGATCCGAAAGCAGTTGCACTAATTGGTTGGCTGGAACGAGTGACTGTGTCTTGGATGTCACGGAAATAGAATCGATCACATTCTGGAGCCGGTGGACATGGTGACTGGGAGCCTCGACCGCATCGAACCGTTCGGGAAGAATTATTTGTTGTTGGAGACGGTCTAGCTGGATATTGAGACCATGCGCATTCCTATTCGCAGAGAAGAAAGAAGAATAAAATCAGCTAGGCACCGGTATTAATGGGATCGTACGATCTTACTCCTGGACAATCGACATGGCGCGTGCGGTCAAAACATGACAAGAGAAAAGGACCTATGTGAGAGTGGATGTCGTCATTAAATACAAAGTGGACAAACCAATCAAACAAGGTACAAACACCGTACACACCGTACTTGGGAGTACTGTGTACGATGAGTACCGTGCGCTCACGTGCTTTACAGTTATATTACATAAGCAGATCGTTCATGAGAACGTTTGGCTGGACTCTGATAGTCAATCTAGGGGAACCTGTGGATTCTACTTCCGAATACTGTACGATTAAGAGGATGACATGATCGGCTTAGCGTCATGATCAGACAATCCTGGAAAGAACGAACCCCAGATGGCCTGACCTGGAATCCCAGGCCTTCCACCAAACAGAAGGGGGTAAATAGGCATTATGCCTGTTATGCCGGGGTGGGGCGAACGGGGCTTCGGATGGTGATCGGCTCACCAGTGGCCTTACCTAGGCGGCCCCCTTTTCCTGCACGATGACTGGCCAAATGCCGGTTTTCCCCTGACGATAAAGTGGTCTCGCCACTTCGGGAATGGCTTGTCCTTCCCTCCCCCGACAAATTATATCAGCGTTCACTCCCACTCTTTTCTTTCCCCCCCCCTTATCTTCTAATCTTTTTCAACCACCTCTCAACACCTTGATAAGAATCACTGGTTCGCGTACTTATTTCGCCTCCAGTGTCTACAGGTCCAATTTCTGGGCCCTCGTTGTTTCCTCTTCCTTTGTCTTTTTTTTTTTTTTTTTTTCTGTGAACCACAATGTTCGTTATCCCCCCTTCTTTGCCCTCCCCTCGATCACATACATTATCCTTTTTTTCCCTTCGAACTTCGCTAATAATCCATGTGCAGGAATTCCACTTTGGCACCGATCACCTATTGGGGTCAATTCGAAGAGATTGGCCAATATAACCCCAGTCTGAATGTCCCGGAGCGACTCTGGGCAGCATGGTATGCCTGGATGCAGAACGATGTGCTGGCCACCGGTATCATGTCTTTCGTCATGCACGAGATGGTTTACTTCGGCCGATCGCTGCCATGGATCTTCATCGATAGCATGGGTCTTTTCAACCGATACAAAATTCAGAACGTGAGTAGCACCAGCCCACAATGCCGGACAAGATTGGAACTAACAAATTCACAGAACAAGATCCCTTCGCTGCGGGAACAATGGGATTGCGCCAAGTTTGTGCTCTTGAGTCACTTCACCGTCGAGTTACCTCAAATTTGGTAAGTTCTTCACATGAAATCTCCACGTGTGATGCCAGGAGGCTAATTGATTCATAGGCTTTTCCACCCCATGGCTCAGTTCTTCGGCCTCTCTACCTCGATTCCTTTCCCCTCCCTTTGGACCATGGCCTACCAGATCGCGATTTTCTTTGTGATGGAGGACGCTTGGCACTACTTTTCTCACCGCGCTCTCCACTGGGGCCCGCTCTACAAGGCCATTCACAAGATTCACCACCAGTACTCGGCTCCTTTCGGATTGGCGGCCGAATATGCTTCTCCTATTGAGGTTATGATTTTGGGTTTCGGAACTGTCGGTTGCCCGATCGTCTGGTGTGCCTTCACCGGTGATTTGCACATTCTTACTATGTACATCTGGATTGTGCTGCGCCTCTTCCAGGCCATCGATGCCCACTCCGGTTACGAGTTCCCCTGGAGTCTGCACCACTTCCTGCCCTTCTGGGCCGGTGCCGATCACCACGATTTGCACCACGAGAAGTTCATTGGCAACTACTCGAGCAGCTTCCGCTGGTGGGACTACCTTCTCAACACTGAGTACAGCCCGGATGCTCTGAAGAAGCGCCGGGAGGCGAAGAAAGCTCAGTGAGCAAGTGGGACCTTTGCATTTTTGGCCTTTTGAGTTCGCTCGGTTAGAGCTAACTGGTTCTTTTCTTCCCCACCCATTTTGCCTTACTGTGAATCTCCTTTACGGGTGTTCACTCGGTTTTAGACAGCATTGCTGTGACGGCTCTGTATAGAGATGGCTTATCAACGTTTTAATGTACCTTACTAATATTACGGTGAACTTCCATTCATCCAATCATAAAATATGCATCACCATGAAGACTGGTGTATCAATAAAAATCAAATTTCAAAAAAGACGCATCTAAGGCCTGACGTACCTACCTCCAGACCTATACGTACAGATTGCAGTATGACCGTTACATTATAATGTATGGAAGGTAGGTTGTTGCCTTCATCTTTCCAAGCCCTGAAGGTTGTTGGGAGATTGTAAGGCATAATACGTTGTTGTGGTGCAGTGCATAAGTGACCGAGATATATATTGTCTGGTGTGTGAGGAGTGGAAAAAGTGGCTCCCGAAGTGGGGTTAGTCTTTTGAACACTAATCTGATACATGACTCCAGGCTTGCTTAGTTGATTTACTACCTAGGTAGACCAGTAAGAGCTATTGGCCATTGATATTTAGCCCACCTGTAATGCGGCGGAATGTAGTATGGGTTCAGGCTACGAACCTTTTAGTCTACTGTGAATCCGCGCTAGGTAGGTGAATATACTGGCACCATTCGAGTAGTGTCAGTTGCTACCTAATATTCGGGTTCTGAAAAACAATAGATACATCCAATGTGTCGCAATAAAGTAATTACTGTGAAGACATTGCATTAGCAATGTACAAGAGTGGCAAATAGGAGCTACAGTTATCAAGGAATAAAGGCGGGAATGGGTATATCAATTTCATTTCGAATAATCGGCGAGAAGAGTTCATCCCATTCCCATCTAAAATTCGAAGTCAAATCTAATAAGGAATGCCAAAATGGCAGGTATAACGATCCTCCGTAAATCAGTCTCTTTCATGGGTATCAAGAACAAGGTCACTCGTTTAAACATTATCGAGCCCATGCATCATTGTATTGCATCCGGCCCTGCAGAAAACCTGCAACAAGAACCGGTCATCTTCCTTCTTTTTGAAGGAAGTTCTTCATGTCGACTGTAATTAAACAGTCTGCTCCTTAGGCTCGGCAAGGGCGTGCTCAGGCGCGCTGTCACTAGCACTGCCGGCCTTAGCCTCGTAACTATCCTCGTGAACATCAGCGGGGCCAAATCCGTATTGCATGGCGACCCGCTCAACATCCTCATCGCTAAGGTAGGGCAGCTCCTTCGCAGCACGGACATAGCTCATGTTTTCAGAGTAACCCTTGGCGAAGATCAGATCAATCTCCTCCAGGGAGCGACGGGCAGTCTCCGGGTAGAAGAAGTAGATGATGGGCAAAAAGCAGGCATTGACGACAGCGAAGAAGAGGTAAGTACCCCAGGAAATGTGGGCAATCATGATTGGTGTGACCATGACAATCAAGAAGTTGAACAGCCAGTTGGAGCAGGTGGAGAGGGCGTTGGCCTTAGCACGAGTCTTGATAGGGGAGATCTCGGCCGGGTACAACCATGGCAGGGGAAGCCATGTAGCACCGAAGCTAGCAATATAAGTGAACAGACCCACGGCAGCTCCCTTAGCAGCCTCTGTGGTGCCTGGAATCAAACAAGCAAAGACGATGATCATGGAGACCATTTGGCCAACGGTTCCGTAAAGGAAAAGCTTGCGGCGACCAACACGCTCAATCAGGAACCAGGAGAGAGTTGCGAAGATGGCGTAGACGACCATGTTCACACCGCCAAGAATAGTAGGCATTCTACCGGTGAGACCGACTGAATCCCTGAAAAGAATGGGCAGGTAGTAAATGACGGCGTTGCAACCACCAATCTGCTGCATGAGCTGGGATGAGGCACCGAGCAACATACGGCGGAAGTGCTGGGTTTTTCCACCAGTGAAGACAGCGGAGAAGGGTGTGTTCTTGCTGACCTGACCGGAACTAGATTTGAATGTTAGATCGACTCCAATTCAATTATGCCGAGGATATGATGAACTTACGCTCGGATAGAATCCAGAATGATGTTCTTCTGCAGATCGACTTCGTGAGAACCGATAGGCTGGCCCTGCAGAGCAGCAATGACTTTCTCTCCCTCCTCGTAACGCTCGCGAGTCAACAACCAGCGAGGGGATTCGGGCAGGAAGGTCATTCCAACGATAATGAAGACTCCGAAGATACACTGGAAAGCGATAGGGAAACGCCACACCAGATCAGTAGGGCCGTAAGAGGCACCGAAGTCGATCCAGTAAGCAATCAAGGTACCAAAGGCAATGGTGCCACCCTCGATACAGATGAGCAGGCCTCGGTTCGAGGTACGAGAGCACTCGGCTTGGTAGGTGGGGATGGTAGATGTGTTCATTCCATTTCCAACACCGGTGACGATACGACCAATGATGAATTGGACCATGGGGTCATGTCTGCCGTACGAAGTCACTTGGATAATGACACCAATGATCATGATGAAGGCACCAGCAATGATAGCCTTGCGACGGCCCAGCCAGTCACCACAAATAAGCATGAAGACAGCGCCAATGAGACATCCTAGGAATAATTAGCCATACTGTAATGGAGCTTGCTTAATTTTAGCGTGGACGTACCGATTTCGTAAAGAGCGGTGACCGTGCCTTGCAAGGTCGAGTTTCCATCCAACTGGGGAAGAAGCTTAAAGAAAGCAGATGAGTCGATGATACTACTCATAACACCCTCTGCGAGGTCCTGTTAGTCTCTGATAAAGATTTGGAGGGACGAGTACATACGATCATAACCGAAGAGCAGGAAACCCATAGTTGCAGTGGCAGTAATTGTTCGTGACAGCTTGTGGCCAGACAAGCCGGCGTACCTTGGAACAACGGACATGATGAATGATTACCAGTACTGGAAACCAACAGGAAAATAAACAATAAGAATTATGTATAGACTGGAACAGGATAAGGGGGGTAAATCAACCCTCTTTATACCTTTCTGATACATATTTTTCTTATTTTCTTTTTCTTCTCCAGGCGCCTCTTACTCCGGTTTCCCCGTCTCTGCCTCTCCAGGATCCACCTGAAACGCCATCACTCCACTCGACACGCGATAAAAAGTCTGTGGCACCAAATGCACCAGATGCTCCGCGTCATTCGAGTTGCGGATCAGCGTTGGTAGATGTGATTGGCCCGGGAGCCAAGACTAATTAAGCTAAACAAGTAACCCAATCTATGGCTTGGCGGTCCAAAAAATGAGATCTGCATGGCTAACGCCGCACAGAGTTCAATTAGCATATTCATAGACATGAGCATGGACTTGGGAGTTGTACTGCCAGATTCCATTCTATCGCTGTGGAAATGATGCTATCAGTCATTGGATTCGAATGTTTGTCGCCCATTAACTAAAATATTACTAGCAGGCACCAGGCTCCACCGGGCGTTCGACGCTACTACCATAGATCCACTCTATGGGAACGGGGGAGGAAGCGAAAAAAGAGGGAAAGAGTCCCTGTGGCTTTTCTAAATGATGGTATCCATTGCGTAGTTCTTCCATAGATAACTTGATTCTAACAACGGAACAGCTACGCCTCTATATACGAAGGTATGTTTCTACAATGCTTCCGTTATCTTAGAATCTCATTATCTTGTCAGATTCTCTACCCAAACCAAATTCGGGCCAAAATGCCTGATTTCGATTTCCACGAATCGCTTCAACGGCAATTCCCGACCGCAGGAGAAGAGATTCGGGGCCGACTTATTCCGAATGGTCCATCCGATCCCTGTTCCCCGTGGCACACGGACACCGAGATGTCGGCCTAAATCCCCACATCATTTGATCCCGTCTTGGGAAATTGCACCTCCACTTACAGCCTTTAGATCCTGCGCGTCAGCGGCGTTCAAATTTCAACCGAGTCGAAGTCTTCCCCAGCTGGACTGATATGCGGGGGAATGGAGAGGGTAGACGCCCCGACTAGATCGATTGGAAACACCCATGTCCTCTCCGTTCCACAAGGGGCTCAAGAAGGAAGGAGATTCTTCCAAGAGAGTTCCATGCATGGTCTGACAGAATACAAAATCGGTCAAGCAGAATTCTCAATGAATTCATTAGACATCTCAATTCCGACTTCTCGAGATCCTGGGCTCCACTCGGCCCCCGGGCTTTTTCTTACTCTCCACTTAGTACAGGAGGATTGATTCGTTGGCGAGGGAAAAACAATCTACCTTGACGGATTTAATATTGGACGGTACGCGAGGTTGCTTCGGCCCCAGAACCGGCAGTAGATAATGTGGACCGCTAAATAGGGTACTCGGGCCATCTCCGAACGAGGAAGGATCAGCGAGGGCCGCGTGAGACCAGGTGATCTCAACTCCAACCGGGAGAAGAAGCGGTTGAATGGTTATACTTTACTCCGGGAAAATGATTCAATTCAACTGCATCACCAGATGCTGGTGCCAATTCGTTACATTATAAGGAAAATTGAAAATGCCCAGTGGATACTGTCTCCACTTTCATTTTCGACGTCGTTGTACTCCGTACACCGTACCAAACATGATTCTCGCTTCCTAGAACGAGGAAAAGAGAGATTGCCCCCCCGTTTCATATTCTCCCACAATAACCTTGGGACCCGAAATACGATCTGTTTCAAGTATGGATATTGATTCTCAAGTCTGGATCGTGACTCCCTTCCGGCCCATCGCTTCTTCCATATGGAATCCGAAGACAAGTCGGTAGAGATCACGTAGCCAAGAATACTGTCCACTCTGAAGCATTGCTTGACAGGCACGAGCAACTTCAATTGCACTTACGCGGGCCGGGGAACCAACGCTGCGAAAGGCGGGATCAAATGCGACCAGCTTGCGATAGTGCTTCAGCAACGAGGTCTGCCAGGGTGCCGAACCAAACGCATCCGAGGGGAGCGACTTCACAAAGGACGACAGGTTCTGAGAATTGCCCGGTTGATACCCACTGTTGACGGCCGCTTTGGTGACCAACACCTTGAGCCGGGTGAAGTTTGGATCCTCGGATGCGGTGGTCACCGTATTAGCGGATGATGCGGTGTGCCCGGAAGACCGAGAATTCTCCGAGATGCTAGACGCACCAGAAGGCCACTTGGGATGGGAACTATGCCCGTGTCCATTGCTGTGGCCATGACCGTGACCAAGAACGAGGATATTGGGCACAGATGCTTCATCGGGGGAGACCGTTGCCGTATCCTCAAAGATAGTGGTTGGGGTCTCCGGATTCCCAAGCTGCATTGACTCGTCGACAAAATCGAGTTCAGACTGCTGTGCTGCCTGCTGGAAGGCTTGAGCAAATGTCGTCTGGCTGGGCCGTGGTGTACCTCTGTCTGAGTTACGCATACTGTGTAGCGTCCAGCCCTCGCGGAAGATGTCACAAAGCTCCCAACAAGCCTGCACGGCCGATCCCAATAGCTCCTCGTCCAATCTTTTCCCTTCTCTTTTACTTTGTCGAATGCTGAAAAGCATTTCGGCCAATGTCCAGCATGCGCTAAGGAGCGCATCCGTTGCGGTCAGGCGGGTGCGTTGCTTCATGAGGCGGTGGCATAAGGTAATATAAAAGTCCAATGTTCGCTCTCGGAAGGCATCTGGTAGGTTGCGATCGTGCGTGTTATAAAGGTGGTTATTAAGCTCAAAGCTCACGCGGAGCACAGAGTCTGTCAAGTCATTATCGCAGCTTCGAACCTCAAATAAGGCCTGGCAAAACTCTCGACAAAGGTCAAGTGTCGGGTTGACCTGCAAGGCAAAATCATCCTCTCGCGTATCGTATAACTTCTGGCAAAGTCGCCAGCAGGATCTCCAGGCATCCTCTTCCATCCCATCTTGAATGTTTCCCAAGATCCGTTCTCGATTGATATAACTAAGACTAGCCAGCGTATTACATAGTGTCCAACATTCAGCCAGGGCTGTTCGCAGAGCATTGATCTCGATATCTTTGCTGGAGAAATTTCCTGGTACCAAGTCAGTATTCAGGTTCAAGGTTGTAAAGGGAGCGAGGAGTTTGCTCGTCGGCTATGGACCTTGTGTACCTTCAGGTATATCTATCCAAGTGTGAGCCGATGTATAGGTTGACGTATCACAGGAGATAATAAATGGATTTTCACCTTCTAAACTGCTAGAACGTGTACGTCGCCCCGATCCCTCGAACTCATGTCTTGTCTGTGCCCGAGGAGTTGCTCTTTCCGACCAGTCCTGTGGAGGTGCGACCGTGGTCGTCAATGGTGGTGGGGATATGGGACTATTGCCAATCTTTGGATCGACATCTCATCGTCAGTGAATTCAGTAATTGCGATAAAGCCTTCTATGCAAAAATACCTTCCTGGCTTTTCCAGGTACGATGGCCAGCTGGGCATGCTGCGAACTAGGCAAAGATCCGTCATCGCATGCCACTTGTTCTTGTGTCTCTCCCTGAGCCTTCATTAAGTATTAGCAGCAAGCACCGACGTAGCCAATGAAAACATTGGACCATTTCTTACAAAATCCCTGAATCCCGGCGGAGCATGTATGACAGACTGTGGTGGCTCATCATCGTCTGACCTTGTATTGTAGCCATTATTATAGGAGTGTGAAGTTTGGATCTGTTCTTATCAGTATGCTGGCGGTGAGGAACATAGCCTTTTCAATTTCAGAGCCTACCGTCAGTCCCGGCTGTGAAGATGGTGCTGATTCCTGAACTGGTGTCGCCTCGACAGAGTCCTCATCATCCCTACTCTTATCTAGCTTCGTTCCATCTGATGTGGGAGCGGCAGGTATAGCATTTGTTTCATCGACCGAGTTCTCATCTGGAGCAGAAGAAATTGAATTCCTCACACTGGATGAGGGACTTTCAAAAGACCTGAATGGCAATGCATAAGTAATCGGGCGCATCTATGAGATTCCGCAACATCGTTATGGCTTACATCGAATCTGATCCAGCATACGGGCCGGATGTATCGTGATACGATATAATAGGCAGCGGCGACCTGACGGCCATCATGGCCGAGCTGATTGAAGGAAGATTAGATTTGTATGGGCAGGGAAGTTGAAGGAAAAGAGAAGAGGAGTCGAGCGCAATCCCCGCGCACCAGAGGAGCTCAGGCCGCAAGACAACCCATCAGCCTGGTCACCGGGTATTCGTATTCTCCTATTCCAATCAGGCTGAGATCTCCGAGAGGATCAGAATTCCAGCAAAAAGTCAAAGCAGAGAAAAAGTGAGAAAAGCAGAGAAAGCCGAGCAAGCACACTGGACTAGGCGCCTGGGGCGTGATGAGGCATGCATAGGCTTGTCCGTTCCCCACTCAGACGCCCCCAAACTAGTCTGTTTCGGGTTGTAAGGCGCTTGCATTGTTCACATGTAAGACCATTCGATTACAATACACTTTCCTCAAACCTGTCAATTGATATGATCCTGCTGTACTTGGACATTGAAATCCGGTGTTTTATGAATCGCTTGTGAATTTTCTAATAAATTCCTCCATAGACGCCGAATCCCGTGATGTGTGCAACGCCTCTCCAAAATGCATGATGGCGAGATTGATACATTCTATCGGAGAAAAAGACCAAATCCAGCTTTTGTCGAACAGCTCTTGGAGTAGGTTCGATAGTTCTCAAGCCCCGCCATAGCTAAACACAAGACATAAAAAAAAAGCGGGGAAAAGAGGAAACTGCGAGCGAGGGCCGGGGGTATAGATTCGAACACCTTATCCTCCTTCAACTTCTGCGGATGCAGGAAGCTATCGCTGATGGTGGAGGGCATTGGAAACCGGCGTCGCTATTGTGTCGAGAATGATGCCCGCGCGATGGGTCTTGCGGGCTTGCACAGAAAACATATTGTGTGATAACATGGGAATCCGTTGGGCTGATTTACATTTGAGCCTTGGTGCGGTCCTTCTCGGCGGAGTTGTAACTAAAGAAGATAGGTTGTCAGTGGAAGTCAATTGTATCTATTAAGCTTTGGGACATACCGGAGGAGCTTCTCGATAAGATCCACGTGGGTCATGATCATTCGGCGGCAGCAGTACCGGCGGCAACCCAACTGGTCCATAGCATCACTATCAGTGGGTTAGAGCTGAGTAAGATGGTTTAAAAAAGGTGGATGGAGAGTTCTTACCCATCAGCGACACCATCATCGAGCAGCTGCAAGTAGCGCTCCCACAGGTCGCCGACGACCTAAAGACATGGTTATGGACGAGACTTCAGGAATTGCAGAAGTGTCACTAACCTTTCCACAAGAGAAACAGCGCACAGGGATAATCATCGTGGCGAGACAAGGATTCGAGATTCAAAGAGTGATGTGAAGCTCACTCAAACTTTTCCGCCGATGGGCGGTTGGCGGTCAGCGGAGGGACAGTTTTCTGCCAGTCGCCTCCGCCTTATCTTTTTGTCTCCGAGAAAAAAAAAGTTGCGCATCACCAAGAGACCATTGCGGTATCTGTCCACCTTAATTGTCACCACGAATGACATTGAGGCATGACTGATTGAATCACGACCTGCATCTACTACCAATCCTGTTGGTCTAAATTCAGCAGACCTTTGCAACAGCTGCAAACATGTCAGCACGACACCAAAAACGATCTCGAGCCAGCGACGCCGCCGATAAACCATCGCAACCGATCGAGGAGCGAAAACGGCGCCGGACTTCGGATGTCAACAATTCTCAGAGCCAGAAAAAGACAAAAGGCCCGAGCCCTGCACAAGAGGCCCCGGTGGGCGATGCCTCGTCATTGGCAGTCGAGAAACACAAGAGTAGTGCACCATGGTCATTCTCACGCCCAGTCGGCGGTCGTTACAGAAATGTGAACACCGTGATGACTCTTGATGAAGCGTAAGTAGCTCATATTTGCGCACTTTCATTTCCCGGACTTATTCTGATATCGTGTAGTCATCTCTTCATTGGACTCGATACTGCTGTCCAAGTCTTTGCGACTTCGACATCTCGTCTGGTGCGAACCTTGCAGATGGAGGCTGGACAAAATGTGATTGGATACAAGATCTGCCCCGTTGAACAGGAGATCCTCTACATCTTCACTTCTAACTTTGTCACCAAATGGCACTGGGATTCTGGAAAGCGACTTGCTAAGTGGGGAACTGGCTCCCGGGCCGTTGCAGTGGATGTGCCACAGGTCGAGAACCAGAATCAATTGGCCGCATACTCTATTGGAATCCAAAAGGACGGAAAGAGACAAATTTTGATCAATGCTTTGACCGACAAAAAGTCCCCTAGCATCGTTGCTCTCACCACCGAAGAGCAGATCAACAATATCCAAGTTATCTGTGGGGGACGAGTCATTATTGCCTGTGATGGCCCTCATATCTTCATGGGTACCACAACAACCCTCGATCTCGAGAACCCCGAGACTGTACAATATAACTGGAGAGAAGCGACGCTTCCATCATCTGCCACTTGTTTCCACCTGCGTCAAAGTCTATCCGCAAAGAGCAAGGGCACAGAATCCAAGTCTGCTAAAGGTTCAGAGGCTGTTGACTTGGTGGTGGGCGAAGCCACTGGATCCATTTTGGTCTACCAAGACGTTTTCAACACTCTATTTGGACGCAATGCAGAGAAGAAATCATCCCCACAGAGGTTACACTGGCACCGTGGCTCTGTCAATACTGTGAAATGGTCGAGAGATGGTAAGTTCGCGTCCATGATATTTTGCTCGAGGACATGCGCTCTAACAAACCCGTCTAGGTAATTACATCCTCTCAGGTGGAAATGAGTCCGTCATCGTTTTATGGCAATTGGATTCTGGCCGAAAACAATTCCTGCCCCATCTGTCATCCCCGATTCTCAACATCACCGTCTCACCGCAAGGCACTTCTTATGTGGTGCATCTGGCTGACAACTCGGTCATGGTTCTGTCTGCGAGAGAGCTGCTGCCCACCGCCACTGTGACTGGTCTGCAGCTTAGCTCGGAGGGAGGCAACACCAAGGACTCTGCCTCCAAAAAGCCATTGAACGCTGTTGCAGCCCTTCACCCGCAACACCCAGAGCAGCTACTTGTCGCTGTCCCCGCCTCGCACCAAACCACCCAGAAGGCCCAGCGCTCCAACGCTGCCATGTTGCAAACATTCGACATCAGATCCAACTCCCACATTTCCCGCCAGGCCCTTGCGCGAACCAACGCAACAACATTGAATGTTGGCCCTGAAGGCTCCACAATAGCTACACCTGATATTCGGAATATGGACATCCTCCATGACGGAAAATGGATGGCGACTGTCGATAGTTGGACCCCCCACCCCCGGGATGTCGAGGCTCTTGCTGGCGCTGCTTCCCGCCGAGACAACGTTTTGTCGCGACCCGAAATCTTCCTCAAGTTCTGGAAATGGAGCGCATCTTCTAGTATGTGGGAACTTGTGTCTCGTATCGATGGCCCTCATTTCAATGACAACCACCACGCGGAGGTGCTTAGCTTGGTTGCTCGTCCCCAGTCACACGAGTTTGCAACCCTTGGCGCAGATTCAGTCCTTCGTTTCTGGTGCCCAACTGCTCGCCACCGCAGTGGCCTCAAGACCGATTCTGAGAAGCAATTGGATACATGGAAATGCCGTAACACAGTTGACTTGAGCGGTCGTCTCAGCGACGCAGGTGCATCCTTGAAACAGGCTTGCATGAGCTTCTCCGAGGACGGCTCAGTTCTCGCGGTCTGCTTGCCTTCCGAGTCTGGAGCAAACGACGGCCTTGTCCTCCTGATCGATGTCAACAACTGCACAGTCCACTACCGACGAACTGGCGTCTTCCTCGGCACTCCTTACTCCGCCAAGTTCCTCGGAAGACACCTAGTCGTTGCATCCGCAGGATCAGTAGCAGTCTGGGATACCGTTGATGATATTGTCAAGCCCGCCCAGCTACCTGAAGCCTCCAACGCAGCCAACGCAGCAAGCCAACCCCTTGTTGCAGTCAACCCTCGAACCCAGACATTCGCCATTGCTAGTCACGAGCTCGAGAACTCAAGCACACAAAAGAAGCGTCGCCAATCTCGCTTCCAGATCCGCATTTACGACATATCCTCCCTGGACATTGTTTTCCAAGAAACCCTTGGAAGCTGCCCGCTTGCACTTCTGGCAGATGTATACTCCGGCGATTATATCATCGTTGATGCAGGCTCCAGTGTTCAGCGTGTTGGATGTCTGGATAAGGCTTCGCAGAAGACCGTACAGCCGATCGAGGTCACAAGCCAACTTACTTCGGGATTGGCTACTATCTTCAGTCAAGGCCCCGAGAGAGCTCCTTTGGCTATTGAGGGAGATGGTTCTGCTAGTCAAAATAAGGGACTGGCTAGCGTATTTGGTGATACTCCTTCGTTCTCGCTGCCTTCTCTTGGTGTTTTATTCAGGAATGTTGTTCAAACACTGGGTAGCAGTTAGATTTTGAATTATTAGAAGCCTCCTTGAAGAGGATATTGTTATGTAAATGTGGGGGATATCAGCGTTTCTGTCCATGTACCTATAAATGAATTTTGGTCCTGTCATCCTCTTACAAAATGGAAGACGTTCAACTTCTCATCATTTTTCATCCCTTGTAACGGTCTTGATAGATAATAGGTCGTCAATCGGAAAGGGCTAATTACATCCAACAATACAATAGGCAAGATTGGCAAAGAATGAGCTTGTGTGAATTGCACAGCTTATGTTTTGTTCATTGATTCATTAATAATATGGAGTTTTGGCTCCGTAGCCCTATATTTCTTTGATAGCGATCCGGACAGGAAAAACCGAAGTAAAGATAGACTCGACAGGAACAGACTTAAATCTGCGCCAGCGTCAAGACTAGCAAAGGCTTTCTTTCATGTACATGCGTCAAGTAGGCATCCAATTCATGATCTTGGTCAATAGCAAAGTAAGTGTCATTCCCATGTTCATCCTTACCAACTCCCTCGATCTTGCTGACGATCGAGTATGGATACCGATTGGCTACTAATTGGCGGATTTCCTCAATACTCCGATCGGTTAGCTTCTCGGGCCAGGTCCTTGTAGAGTTTGCAGGAAGATTATTCTGCGGACGAATTTGGAGAATGACATCAGTGTTGAGCAACGAGGAGTGTAGTATAGGATCCATGTATTCAAAGGGAGTGCCGGCCTCGTGTTGGGCATTGGATGAATAAGTCGATGGATCATTCGCTGCCTGGAGCAGTGAAGGGTCGATTTGCATATCTCCAATTTCACTGGCGGTAATTGGGGCACTCGCAAGAGCTTGCGATGCCAGTGTGCTGATTCCATTGCTGATTTCATTCTCAAGGATATTGTTCACAGGCGTGGCGCTGCTCCGCGTGGTGTTCTGCTGTGATTCAGCGCGCGATGCGGCGCGCGATCTCTTCCGCGCAGGGTCCCGCTTGGTCTGATCATCGCGCAGTCTTTTCATCACGTCGCGACATAGTACCTCCATGGCTTTCAGTTTGGTCGTGTGGTGGGGGTCAGCTTCTCCGGGCTCCAGGATTCGCTGTAGTAAAGGTGTTTCACGGATCCACTGTGCTTTCAACTCCTTCCAGTGCTCGTCACCTGCTTCCAGTTTGCTTGTGAAATGGTCCATTTTGAGAGTATCATAGAAAGCATTCCGAATCTGACGGCTTTCTTCAGGGTTGACACCCAAGGCATTCTTTGCCTCGGCAATGGTCATCCTTCGCTCTAACGTTCTCATCCGTTTAGTGACATCTGTGCAGACAACATCTAAGGCGAGTACTTTCGCATCACGCTCGTTGGGCTCGGTATTGAAAACCTGCTGGAGGTGTGGGGTTTCCTGAATCAGTTTGTCTTTCGCTGCTTGCCATTTCTCCGGGCCTGCAATTGTTTTCTTTATGAATCCAGCCTCCTCGCAGATCCGTTGGAACCTATCGCGGAGTTGGCGGTACATGACGTTGTCCAGGCTGAGATATTGCTTACTCTCGTCGATTGTGGTCTCCGAGGGGAATCGTGGAGGCCCTGGAGGATCTGCTGGAAGTCCAGCCCAGCCACGAGTGCGGCGTCGGCGCTTTCGAGATGCCCATCGTTCAGCACTCTCCGACTTCAGACGGTCCAGCCTTGCCTTGCGTTTTGCTATGATCTCTGGTGACAGACTCGGCGACGTGGAAAACTCCTCGAGCAATGCAGACGCTTCCGCAGGTGGAGGCTCGGCGCCATCCAAAATTGAGTCTTGTTTGTATACCTCTTGCTGTAGGGCCAACAAGCCTTCATCCTCTGGTTGTGTCTCGTGCAAAGTAGGGTTGTGCGCTTGGGATTTCATGCCGTTGGGAACTCGAAGAAGCCACCGGTTTTTCGCACGCACGCGCATTAACTCTCGTTCTTTGATCACGAAGCCCTCGTCATTCAAAATTCGAAGCATGTCACGCTGGTTGGTATTCTGCTCCCATAGCTGTTGGACTCGAGCGACAAGTTCGACATTCTTATGGGCTGGATTTTGCTTCGACGGGAAACCCCATCGTTTAAACTGGGTCTGGAAGGCACGCTTACTGTTTGTGGATCGTGATTAGCTCTGTGGAAAGTGCATGGCATATACAATAGAAGGCGCTATCGCTTACCTTGGGGAAAACTGATAAGCGGTCCTCATGAACTCCATGATCTCCTCCAGACCCTTCTTATCCTGGATGTACATCTGAAAGCAGATGTCCCGCTTCCCTGCCCAGTCGTACACCATGATTGGGACGCTTTCCCCCTTGGTGGAGGTGCGCCTAGGGAGGAAACAACAACGCGATGAAGCAACGGAGCTCTTATCAGACGCTTGTTGTCGCTGCTGTACGCCGTAGTGTTTGGGAAGGGAAAAGGCTGGCGACGCAGAGGTCACACTTGCGCAGTTTGGTCACGTGGTACCCCACATGTCGATCTTCAGAACTGCCGGGTCTATACGTATGAAGATACAATTGTATAATGAAATTTTTCATATTTGCTAATTGAGATCAAGAATAGTCAAGAATTTCAAGGCTCCGCCTTTGACGGCTAGCAAAGACCCCTATTTGAAAACGCCTGTGTTCCCTGGACTCCTAAATCATGTGGAGTGGAAGCCCTAGAGCTGCAAAGATGCCCAGCATAAAAACCAAAAAGATGAAATCGCTCGATGATTGGGTTATAAACAGAGATGGGCGAATAAAAAAGGGCAAGTATAAGGGGAAGGAGGGAGGATGAAATCAGTTCACCTTTCGCAGCTTTCGTCGGAATTTGAACACCCGGGTTCGGAGCCAGGTCATGAAGAGTACCCAAGTGCTTTTGGATTGGGATTTCCATGAAGCCGATGGTTGCCTGTCCGCCTCAATTCCCTGTGAGGCACGCGGTTGAGAGGGTTTCTCAGAAACATTCTCGGTGGATTGCACTGCTGGAGAGTCGTCATGGCCTCCCGGCAAGTTGTGCTTGACCCGGCGACGTCTTTCTTCGGACTTCATCTGCTGTTTCTCAAGCCGGCGAGCCTTAGCAGCTTCCTTTTCTTCGAACGCCTGTCGGGCAGCCTGGACGGTAGCCGCCCTGGAGACCGGATCCGTACTGGTGCGAGTTCGTGAGCGAAACACGTAGTCAAGAGAAGGCCTAGAAATCGGCGATGCGGTATCCAGTGTACTGCCATTATCTCTTGAGTAACCGAAGGAAGGTCGGCTGGGAAGATGTGTGGACGAAACTTCTGGGAGGTGAATGAAAGAGTCATCTTCAATTTGCAATGACAAGCGTGGAACCGGTCCCGAAGAAGCACGGACAAAACGGGGAGTGTCTGACGCAGGCGGGGCTCTGGATTCGGACTCAGAACTGGCCTCGTCTAAATCATCGCTGTCGTTCCCCGATGTTTGATAAGATTGGCTCAATGGTGGTGTATATACTTTGGGGGTTGGGCGCATGGGATAGACATATTGCGATCCTGTTCTACCTCCGCTGGACCCGGTTCCGGTCGAGAATTGAGAAGTTCCGCTCGTGGATCGATTATGAAGACCGGACGCCCGCCGGTATGTCGGTCCGGTCAGCGATTCACTTCGGCGCCGATCCCGCTCCATACTCATGTAGATGCCCAGCCCTTCCTGCTCAGTTGAGGAGCGGGACAGATCAATGGACGTGGACGGCGCATCATCACGCGACATTTTGCGGAGTATCGGTTTGATGTGAACTTTGGGCTTGATGTGCTTGCTCTTAGAGCGATAGTCTAGCGCTTCGGACGATTCGCTGGGGGTCAAGCTCCATGGTTCGCTAGGCGTCACGTTGGAGGGAACTTTGGTTGAAGTGGTCGAGTCGTGGTCCCTGTACCCAGATGACTGGGCATCGGAGTATTCAGGAAATGGAGCCGGCGCAAAAACGCCCTCTAGATCTGATTGAGATGCAACGCCTTTAGAGGCCCAAGAAGCCTCCGTTCCAGCCCTCGACATGGAGCGGGCATCCTTCTTAGTCAAGGATCGTATCAGGGAGTCGCTGGAAAGTCGTCCTTTTGAAGCCGGAACCACCGGCTCACCACCACAATGATAATCAGTACGAGCCATGATGGTAGCCCGTTTCCCCTACTCTTCACGAATGAGTATCTCAGAAACGAGTCGCTCGGCGCATGGTGGTGTCGGTAACCAGGGAATAGGAGGTCGGGGTGAAAATTTGACGATAAAATCACCAGTCGGTAAAACCGGGCCTGGAAAACAACTTGTATGCAGCGCACGAGGACTGGGGCGCGAGCATCAAGGAAATGGGTGTGGAGCGTAAGCGCGGGGGCGCAAGGTGAAGATCACAAAGCTGAGGGCCGTGTGTTCGACTGGCGCATGTGTGATAAGGCACACAGTGAACCCCAGTCACTATTTTGGAGAGCTGAGCCACACACACACAAGTTAGCTAAGTGGTGGAGGGGAATGGATTAGTGAGAAAAAGGAAAAAAAGACCCCAAGGGGAAGATCGTAAGGTACGGAGTAAAAAGAGGAGAAATAGGGAGCGGTGAAGCCGAAGACTCCCGCATGCGGAGACGGAGGACGGAGAGTCGCAATGAGTTCCAAGGTTTGATTCAGCAACTAAACCGAGTTCAAATCCAAAATTCTCCCAATGATTCGTGTCCATGATATTATCATTGGTCAATGGGATTCTTATAATTACCTTGTCTTCTATTAACTTCAGGCTACTGACTACTGATCGAAAGTCAAAGTTGGAAGGCAAAAGATCTGGTCTAGATCTCCTTATCTGTATGCAGAGCACCACGCGTGACATATGAACGGATTTGATTTGCACACTTAATATGCACCTAATAGACAGCGCAATGTCTGCCGGGTGGGGCCTTCCTATCTAGGCCATCGCCGCTTTATGAGGGCGCTTACAGTTATGTAGGCTTCCAGATCATTGGGTAGACGTCAGCACGCTCAGTCTTATCACGTGGGGATTAACCCCACCACGCATTGAGTGCTTAGTCAGTGCTCTACAGCGTGCAAGCTACGCTGGTTATTTAGATACATGGCGCAAGTACCTAAGATAATACAGTCAAGTACACACCCATGTATATACTCGGTCCATACTCTATAGACTAACCTAAGAACATTCAAGTGACTAAGAAGTGCAGCCACTTAGCCTGTGCCTTTTCTTACCCATAGTTGGAATGTAAACGTCTATTTTGGCTCCAATGAAACTAAATCTTGCATATCAAGTTGTGTCAAGCGAGGTGATGTATATGTTCTTCATGAGATAGTATTCTATCCAAATGAAATTTTAAAGGCAATTAGTGATGTAGTTGGAATTCCGTGGTGTTGAATAAAGGGCTACGAGAGATAACGAGTGGAAGAGGCAGGACTTATAAATAGAGAAGGATTCTTGGGATTGAACAAGAGCGAGGGAGTGTTCATACTCGACATCGCGCCCCATTAAATCAGATTATTGAAGACAAAAAAACCAATCCATGCAAACCAGTCCAACACTTCCGACAGACCCAGAACCCATCATGTGCTAACCTTGGACGCGATTAAGGCTGCATGTGTCAAGAACATACCTTAGCTGGCAGGAATCAATGGATTGTGTAGCGCATTATCAAAATGAATTTGTTGACTCAACCCAACAACCATCTCCTAGTACCTAATCAAGGTACAGAATTAAGGTACAGAATTTTTTTGCCAACCTTTTTTCAAATTTGTGAATTTGGGGCTGCCTTCTAAAGCTCTGGCCGTAAAACTGAACGCAAGCACTGGGCTCGAGCCGAACGGGAACGATGCTCTTTATTGTCCGATTATGAAGCAGACACACTACCACGAAGCAAAGGTAGTTTGGACAAGACTTCCAAGATCAAAGCTATTGTCTGCAAAGCGTGGATCCCGAATAAATTCCTTGAAGCTGTGTGTATGAGTTAAAACCAAGATATTGACGGCACGTAATATAGGCTAATAATGAACTCCTACCCCAACATTCTAAATCCAATCTCTGGCGCTTTCAACTCCCATCTTCTAGGTTTAGTCCAGAGGACTTTACGCGAATTCAATGCAAATCATATGCAGGTTGTAGGGGTTCTATGAGTTCTATGCATAAACCTAATTAGGTCCGTGCTCGTCGGATGTTTCCGTCAACACCCCACATTGTGCTTTGTAAACGAGGGGAAAACAATTACACGCACTGAATGAGAGGGGTTCAGATCTAATAGTCGTCAAGTCAAGAGTGATCTAAGTAGCACGTGCGGGCCTGGCCTTAAGAGGCTGAAAGCTTGGCCCAGGAACGCCACCATTTTCTACTTCGCCTTCTCCAATGACAACTAGTTTTGCATGCACGTTCGGGCTGTCAGTGAAGCTTTGACATGCGTCTGGGGCAGCTATATGTACAATTCCATACTTTTGACTCGGCAAAAAGTAAAAATGCGGTTGGCTGTCATGCAGGCCCAATTAAACATGACCGTGCTCGAGCGGCATATGCCGGTCCCGGGCCAGGTACAGGGCATTATTACTATAAAAGCACCCCTATCTTATGATGCATCTATAGACCAATTTCTTTGGATTGTCACCTCGGATTCCCCTGCTTTTCGATCAACCTCATCGCCAAGATGTTGAATCTCTCTTTTTTGTCCGGCTTGGCTTTGGCCTCCCTGGCCTCTGCAAACATGAGAGCGTACCCTCAAGTTGGCGAGAAACATTTCTCGCAGACTTTCCATGATGGATACAACATTCTAAAATATATGAGCTCTCTCGCCCCTTACTCTGACCGTAAAGCATATGGTGTGGGTAGAAACACTCCCGATGGGTGCGAGGTCGACCAAGCCTTTATGATTATGCGCCACGGTGAACGTTACCCGGACTACTCAGGCTTTGGTGATTTATATGTGGAGACCTTGAATCAAATGAGAGCCAATGTTACTACCTTTAACGGAGATCTCGCGTTCATGAATGAGTGGACATACTATGTCCCAGATTCGAATCTATACTCCCAGGAGTCAACCACTGGACCGTACGCAGGTTTGCTTGATGCCTCCAGTCGGGGTAGTGAGTACCGTGCCCGATATGGTCACCTTTGGGACGGCCAGTCTGTCGTGCCTATTTTCACCTCTGGCTACGAGCGCGTGATCGAGACTGCGCGGTACTTCGGCCAAGGCTTCTTTGGTTACAACTACTCTACCAGTGCTGCTATCAACATCATTCCAGAGGCCGCTACCCAAGGAGCTAATTCCCTGACGCCGACGTGTGCTGCGGGAGTACTTGAGGAGTACTCCTGTTATGAAGATCGCTTCTACTCAACATTTCCACCCCTCGAAGTTGCCGCTGCACGCCTCAACAAGCAGAATCCCGGACTTGAGCTCACTGCTAAGGATGTCAACTACTTGATGCGTAAGAACCCACTGATATTTTAATGTCATTATCAACCTTATGCTGATCTTCATCGTTCGTTTAGAAATGGCTGGCTTTGAGCTTAACGTCCGTGCCTATACACCATGGGCGAATGCTTTCACTCTAGATGAATGGGTCGCTTTTAGCTATATCTTTGATTTGTCTTACTACTATTGTTTTGGGTATGTCCTTCCTCTCTCGAGCTGCTGAAATTCGTCACTAATCACTCTATATAAATGTAGACCCGGCAGCAACTACCAAATGGCTAATGGACAGGTGTACGCCAACGCCACTCGTGTCCTAATGGAAGAGGGTCCTGAGAAGTCTGGATCGATGTTCTGGAGCTTGTGAGTCAACCTATATCCCTTCCCCAATATTTAGAGGAATCGTATTGACAGCTGCCTAGTGCCCACGACGCCAACATCACCCCCGTTATCGCTGCTCTGGGACTGGACACTCCCGCGCAGCATCTCCCTAATGACACAGTTCAGTTCCCCAGTACCTATCAGGTCTCTGACATTGTTCCTATGGGCGGTCACCTTACCCTGGAGCGCATGACTTGCAACGCCACTGTTGCCAGCAAGGCCGGTGTCTATGTCCGTGCTGTTATCAATGAGGCGGTCGTGCCATGGACCTCCTGCCAGAGCGGACCGGGCTATTCATGCCCGCTTGCCAAGTTCTCGGCTATCGTCGACAAGGCCCCCAAGTTCGATGAGACCTGCGAGACCAACTCCTCGTATCCTCAATACCTGGACTTCTTCTGGAACTACAACACCACCACCAACCTCAACTACCAGACTGGTGATATTAGCTCCCAGCTTACCGATACCGATGTCTGAATACTGACGGCAGGCGTCTAATATCTTTGCACAGTAGTGACCTATCAAGACATAGATTGTATGACCAATGGGCGGTAGAAAAGGAATATTAAACTAGATAATGGAACAATGGAAGATGGGACCTCTCAATCACAAGTGACCCTAATGGGAATGTTATACCTGGAACATTTGCCGTTCTTGATTGCCATGACAGCGATCGCGCGTCAATGTATAACTGCATAAGGTCTCAAAAATGGGAAAAGAAAAGCCGAGCCATGTTGCCGATGCCGAATCGAGATTCCGGGGCCCCACACGGCGTCTGCACCCCGGAGATACAGGGGTTTACCCCTCAAATCGCCCTGAATACACGCAAAAATTATGTTCATTGTCGCTGCATATCCTTTGATTGTGGTCACTTATTTTTAGCATATAAAACTGTTCAGTATTCTGATCTTCGGTTTACCCTCTGTCCTATCGCACGACACTATTTTTTCCACCACCCTGCTTAAGTCTATCATATTCAGGGTTGAATATCGAAATGTTTTCAACATTCAGAAGAACAAAAGAGTCACTCCCTCTGTTAGCTCTTGCCTTAGCGTCATTTGCATCTGGGGTCCATGCGATTGGATCCAGATGTTCCTCTGGGCTCGTGCCAGACGTACCCGGTGCTTTAGTAATATCGACAACAGCCGAAGAGCGATTGGGCAACTTAGACCCCATCAATGGTGGAACTATTACGCCGGATTTCTGTGAAGTGACTATAACATTATCGCATCTGGGTGATAATGATCAAGTCAATGTCTACGTATCACTTCCATTAACAGGATGGAATGGTCGATTCCAAGCTCTCGGCGGTGGAGGATTTGCAATGAGACAAGGAGAAGAAGGTATCCATGCTGCAGTTTCCCAGGGTTACGCGGCAGCGCATACAGATGGAGGGTTTATTCCAAACTCCATGTCACCAGAGGCATGGGCACTTGACAGCGAGGGAAATATCAATTGGTCCCTGTTTCTCAATTTTGCCTCCCGCTCACTTCATGACTTGGCGGTTGTTGGTAAATCTGTCTCAGCCTCTTTCTATGGCAAACCGCCCAAATATTCTTACTGGAATGGCTGCTCTACTGGTGGCAGACAAGGATACATGGAAGCTCAGAAGTATCCCGAAGACTTTGATGGCATTATGGCAAATGCCCCTGCTATTAACTGGCATAAGTTTATCCCGGCTGAGATTTGGGGCCAGGTTGTCATGAACCAAGAACAGGTCTTCCCCACAAGATGCGAATACAGTGCTTTTGTCAATGCAAGTATCGCTGCCTGCGATGGTCTCGATGGCGTCGTTGATGGCGTCATTGAAAACCAGGATGATTGCAAATTTGACCCATTCAGCTTGGTGGGTAGTGAAGCCACTTGTGACGAGATTAGCTCTACCATCACTGAGCCTATGGCTGCATTAATTGAAAAGCTCCACCAAGGCCCACGCTCGGCAGATGGAGGCTTCCTCTGGTACGGGCTTGCTTATGGAACGTATTATGATGAAACTCAACGCCTTGGTCTTGCCATGAATGCAGAGATTAATGGGAAGCGTGTTGGAATTCCCTTCCCAATCACCGAAAACTGGACCAAGTTCTTTATTAAGCGCGATCCCAAATTCAACGTCTCGACTCTGACCTACTCTGACTATGAGAATCTCTTTGCGTACTCCGCCGCTCAGTATCATGATATTATCGGAACTGACAACCCGGATCTATCTGCCTTTCGTCAACGAGGGGGAAAACTCCTTACCTGGCACGGCGTGGGTGATACTGTCATCTTCCCTGAAGGAACAACCGAATACTATAACCGTGTGAAGGAAACTATGTCTGGGGTGGATGTTGACGAATTCTATCGCCTATTCCTGGCACCCGGTGTTGGACACTGTGAAGGAGGTGCTGGGCCTGTTCCAGTGGATCCGTTGAGTCAACTTGTCGCCTGGGTGGAGGAAGGCAAGGCCCCAGACACAATGCCCGCACAGACGACAAACGCGAATGGTGCGACTGTTTCTCGAAACCTCTGCCAGTTCCCCTTGGTTTCTTTGTATGATGGCCAAGGCGATCCTAATCTGGCTGAGAGCTATACCTGTGCCTCACACTTTGCGGTCAAGGATTCATTGCCAGATATCAAGGATGAGCTCTAGGCCAGTTCTCCTGCCCTGCCGTTGAGATGCTTGGGTGACAAGCTTCATTTGAGCTCTTTTTATTACTCCACCTTTGCGGAGAATGTTCTTTATCTCATACATTCCTCACGTTTCATTGTATTCAAACCAGTTCTCGTGACTCGGCACATATTCACAATTGTAAATACTGCAATTTCAAGAAGCATCCCGGCGCTTCTCAATACCAGTAATTCACAAACGGACACAAAGCGATCTTCCATCATTTTCAACTAGGATTATTTGTCATCTTGTCCCTGTTGTAGATGCCCAGAGCACGTGGTCCTAAATGATATTCACATTGTTTAAACTGCACGTTTGTATTTCATCATGAGCTCTTTCAAGTTCCTTGTCAAGAGTCAACTTCATGGCCGCCGTATATCTTCCATGGTCAGTTTCACTCAGCAAAAGCGGCGAAGGTGGAGTACTGAAAATGGAAAGAGATTCATGTTATGCAAGTCAGATTGATGTCTCGCTGATTGTTCAAGATCTGCAGTTCCATTGGCCAAGTTTCCTGCGTCTTGGCGCATGAGCACTCGCGCCAAGCCACGTATGTCGCCAAGACCTCGGCATCGGCATGGATGGACGAGTTTCACCCACTAAAAACGCTGTTTGAAAAGTACCACTCTATCTAAAGATTTATATTTGGATTTATGAGTTTAGCATACGATATCTCTCGAGAATGTCTCGCAATACTTCAGAGATCTATCTATTCATCCACGAAGGCTACCCTTTCATGAGTAAGCGAGGGGCAAATCTTGGCATCATATAAGGTTATAGTTCCGCTCGTTTGCGGCACAGATGGGCTTAAATAATACTAGTCAGGATCAATTTGAGCATAAGGCTAACTTGTGAAGAATAAACTACTTGAAGCGGAAGTCAACCTACTGTACCTGCCGAATTACGTGCGAGCCCATGCCCGATGTAATCAAGTGATTTCCCGGAGTAGATTCACGGTATACAAAGCTCAGATAGACTTCTTGAAGCTTATGATCTCCGCAAGTTGAACCCTACAGCTCTGAAGGATGAGACTACTACATCCAGAAATACTTGGTGTACCTGGTAGTTACGTCCTGCCCTTGTACTCGTGGCCCAGTTTCCAATTCAGTCCGCGCCAAGCCTTCAAATGGGGCTAAATGTTACACGGGCTGCAGCCAAGAATCGTATCAATCGCGTTCCCCGCCAAACAAATGGGTACACTCTCGGCATTGGGCAGACTTTTCTTATCCTGTGATCGTCAAACATGAACACTTCCTTCCTTCTCTCCCCCACCTAACCATAACACAACCCCCCGAATCTATCATGGGTGCATCTATACAGAGCCTGTGTTTCTCTCTCTTTATTATCCTCGCCATCTCTGGCCAGGCATATGGCTTCGGTGCGGGGAACATCGCATCACTTGCCTCGATCGAAGGTCAGAATTGGCGCCACGGTGATATCGAAGATGCGCTCTTGAATCTGTTCCTGGCCCGTGGAGCGGGTGGACAGAAATTCAGCAAATTGGATGTGAAGCGCGTTTACTTTGGCAACTGGCTGCGGGATTACAGTCAAGCTGTTGATGTCGGTACCGTCAAATATGTCAGTGCGGAAGCTATTCGTATTTTGATTTGGGTGCTTGGATTTATGAGCTTTGGGTGAGTACCTTAGCTTTGAGATCCTGGGATTTAGCTAATGAAGGATGACAGTTACGGTACTGGCGAGTTTGAGGTCACTACGGAACGACTCGGATGCTATCAGCCTACGGAACATATTGATAATCCCCAGGGATATGCGGAGGGGGATGATGCTCGCAACTACGACACACGTCTGCGAGGGCCGGTGGACGAGGAGCGGGAACTCTCTATCGATCCACGCACAGGCCTGAAATACTACATTGCATCCGAAGATATGGGTATCGACACCTCGGCGAATCTGATCCGCAATGTCCTCGGTCGTTCGATTAAGTACGGTCGTCGTTATGCTCGTTCCGGCAACAAAGACGATCTATACGAGGCCCTTCGATTGCTGGGAACAGGCCTGCACTGCTTGGAGGACTATGCCGCCCACTCAAACTATACTGAGCTGAGTCTGATTGAACTTGGGGAGACCGATGTCTTCCCGCATGTTGGACGCGACACCATGCTGGAAGTTCAGGGTGCACGCGACATGGTCTATCCCATCGTGACCGGAACCTTTGGTGGAGTCGATTTCTTTCACTCGGTTCTGGGTGAATTCACCGATAAAGCCACGCAATCGGAGATGCAGTCGCTGGAGGGTGTTATCGCTGAATCTGAGAATGATAGTTCATCAGAGAGTGTCCTGCAGGGACTGTTGAGCAAGATTCCTAGCGGACTATTCGGCGACAGTGGTGCCGACGCAAGCCAAATGGATGACTTCAAGGCAAAGTCCGATGAAGCCAAGCACAATACCCCTAGTGTCTCTCCACGAGAGCCTGAGGAATGGACTCGTTATCTGGAAGATGTTCAGAAACAGATCTACCCCGTCCTGGAGTGGCATGACAAAATGCTGAAAGCAATCAACGAGGCGATTGAGAAAATCCCCGTATTGCCGGAGTTGATTGAACAAATTCAGAGCGAGATTACCATCTTCGTCTTTTCCGTTATCGCTCCCTATGTTCTTCCCATCATTCGGCAGGTCAAATCCGAGCTTGAAACTGGTTCCTCGGAGGTTATCCAAAGTAGCCAGCAACAACAGCATATCGTGTTTAATGATGACTCGTCATCAAACCCTACCCACTCAATGCTGTCTAAAGACCATTTCTCGAACGTGCTCAACGAGCCAGCTGGACGCATTGCGTCTAGCGTTGTCAAGTGGACAGTCCCTCAGCTGATGCAGTGCTGGGATGACGAAGATGCCGATATCGATCGAACACTGACTAGAATCATTACTGGTGTTTTCCACCACCCCGCTCTCCGCGAGTATGGTGACGACGGTGCGAACGAAATGCGTGCTATCATGTTCAATACGGTTGAGGAGTGGTGGAATGAGAAGGGTAGTGAGGGACAAGACTATCTCCGCGAACAGCTGAGTCGCGATGGTGTTCTCGAGGGCAAGAATCATAAGGAAGGTGTTCAGGACTGTGGGCATGGCTGCGGAAAGCCTCTCGCTCTACCCAAAGTCAACAACAACTTTGGTGGAGACTCTCAGTCCAGTGGAATCGAGGGTATTGCCTCGCAAGCATTGGGAGGAGGAGCACTCGGTGGACTGGTTGGTGGTCTTGTTGGTGGTATGGGATCTATGGTCTTGAACGATGCCATCGGTCAACAAAGCTCCGGGGGACGAAATGATGATAGTGATGATGATTCCCGTCGTCGCCGGCACCACAGTCGTCGTGAGGACGAGTCGACCGGTGGCGAGCTTCCATCACATTCTCACGAGGAATACCACTCTGGTAATGGATATGTACAGCGCACCGACCAATATGCCGGCGATGGGTATGTTCAGCGTACTGACCAATATGTCGGTGATGGGTATGTTCAGCGTACCGATCAATATGCTGGCGATGGATATGTGCAGCGTACCGATCAGTATGCCAGTGGCTATGCTCGCCCTGAGTATCCACCGAATCCCCCCATGCACCCTCCTCCTATGCAGGGCTATCGCCGCGAGGAGTACCAGCAACAAGAGGATGGAGGCTTTTATCATCGACAGGAGCGACGAGAGGAGTATCATGAAAGTAGTCAAACGGAATATGTGCAGACCGAGTCGCGATACGACTACGGACCTCCGCGTTCTGCTTTCCCGCCCATGGAGCAGCCTGGATATGGTGGAGGATTTGAACAGTAAGTCTTTCTACAAGATTTTCAATCGATGAAATATAGTCGTTGATCAAATTTTTTACAGGGGCCATCAACCCGGTTATGGACGACCGCCACCACCACGTGGTTTCGATGAGTTTGAGAGGCCTAGCTACCCACCTCAAGAAGGCTACGGCGAGAGATTCGAGGAGAGAGTAGAGTATGTGGAACGGCGTCCTCGAGAGGAGTCACCCAGGGATCGCTCAGGATCCCGAAGTGGTAGCGATGATGAACATTCTCACCGACATCGCCGACACCATCACCATCACCACCATGAGCATTCTGGTTCAGGTTCAGATTAAGTATATTTATATTTTGTGAAGTATATCTACATCAAAACTACCACTCCTTGATCTCGCCAGGAGCTGGCTGCTCTGTTCGGATAACCTTGTCGCAGTTGAGTAAACGCAGGGGATCAAAAGCCAATTTCAACTGCAATAGATGTTAGTTTGGTTTAGAGTAGATGAAATGAATATTTGTAAGAACTTACCCGGCGCATGGCATCCACTGTAGTCTCGCCCAGCTCGTGGGCGAGATAATCCCGCTTAACGAGACCAACACCGTGTTCTCCTGTCACGGTTCCCTCCATCTCGACGGCACGCTTGACCATGCGGTGGATCACTCCCTCGGCCACCTTCTTCTCGCTCTCATTGAAGAGAATAATTGCTGGTTTTCGGTCAGTATGTTTTGCTTGTCTGATAAGCAGCAAGAATGCTTACCGTGGAAGTTTCCATCTCCAACATGACCGCAGATTCCAGCCAATAAACCACTCTTGGTCATATCCTCCTTAGTCGCGTCAATAATATCGGGCAGTCTGCTCATTGGAACAGCCACGTCGGTGGTCCAGACGCGATCTTCCGGTCCTCTGCGCATGGCCATCACACTCCACAGAGCCTGTTTGCGGGCACTCCAGAGTTCCTTCATTTCTTCCGCACCACGGGCAAACTCAAAGGACTTGCCCGAAGCATTGGCAGCGAGTTTTTGAACCATGCTGATCTGTTCCTTAACGGCTGATGGGGTTCCGGTGAATTTGAAGAAGATGGTAGGAGACTCCTTCCACTGACGGCTAGTGGTCTGGCTAGCATTGATGCACTTCATTTGCACGTCATCAAGAATTTCCACTCCTGCGACGGGGATACCAGCCTCAACGACTTTAGTGACACACTCAGCGGCATTCTGAATGCTAGCGAAACTGGCAACAGCCACATTCTCGCTCTGAGGACGGACGGTCAGTTTCAAGGTTGCCTCCGTTACGAGACCCAGGGTACCCTCGCTACCAATGAAGACCCGGGTCAAGTCATATCCAGCACTGGACTTGCGTGGGCGTTGACGGGTCTTGATTACTGTTCCATCGGCCAGGACAACGGTCAGCGAGAGAACCCACTCGCGCATCGTTCCGTAGCGGTACGCATTAGTTCCTGAGCAGCCTGTTCCGACCATGCCACCGATCATAGCACCGGGGCCTGGGTCGGGGGGGAAGAAGAGTCCATCCTTGGTAAGCTCCTCGTTCAATTCCTCCCATCCTAGTGCCGGCTGGACCACAACGTCGAGGTCACTCTTGTTCAGCTGCAGGATGCGGTCCATGCGACGGAAGTCAATGCAGACACCGCCACGAGTCGGAGCGAAATGACCCTCCAGACTTGTGCCGCCAGAGTACGGGGTAACCGGGATGATGCGCGAGTGGCAGACCTTCATAATCTTAGACACCTCCTCAGTGGTAGAGGGGTAGAGGATCAAGAAAGGCTTCTCATTTTCCTTCAGCGAGTATGAAGACCAGTCCGAGCCGGCGTGTGAGTCCAAGTCACCCGGAGTAGTCGAGACATTTTCTTTTCCCAGAATCTCCACGAAATCAGACCAGGCAGCCTGGAGGTTTGACGGGGAGACATTATGCTGAGCCGGTTCTAGATCCACAAGTGGACTTGTAGACGAGGAGGGAAGAGCAGCGGGCTTAAGCGATCCGAGATAGTAAGAGCCGGTGGAGAAAAAGACCAAAGCTGCGCAGAATTAGCGACGGTGCGTTCGGGAGGGACGGAGTTGCCTACCGAAGAGTAGGGCGGCATACCGGCCACCGGGGGACTGAGTCTGGTACTGCGCAAAACGTTCTTGCTCGGCCCGCTCGCGCTTCAGACGTGCTTGGGTACTCTCGTAGAGCTGGCTCTTGAAGGATGCCTGCGGCTTCTCCTGGTATCGGGCCGATACACCGAAGAATCTTTGTTGTGGGAGGGTTGGACGAGCTCGAAGGCTGCGCAATGCCCCTCTAAGGGCGATGGAATGTGGGTGCACCATGGCTAGAGGATGTAAGAGCAATGCGAAGCTCTAAGCATCCAAACGGTGACTAAGTGAAGAGGCGGAAGCACGATATTCGATTCTCCGCACCGGGCTTGGCATGCACGGGCCCAGACCTACGCAACAGCAACTATGTATAGCTATATAAGCTATAAGCTTGTGTTTCAATCATATGTGAAGTATTATATATCTATGCTAATATTTGTTGTTTTATTTGCGGTAAGTCTCTTGTGATTTTGCATACATCATGCTGGTTGTAGGATCCGTTGGATAGCTGTTTCACATTTATATATTTATATCCATTTCTTCGTGGATTAGAATCTTAATTGATACCAATCATTCAGTAGCCGCGCTCATATTTAAATGCACGACTCTGTAAAAAACAACAGCTCCTCGTGATCAAGTGTGGCGTTAAGATGACATAGGCAAAATCGGGTAAAAGTCCCCCGCGGGTAAAATCCCAATTGGATCCACTCGGGGCAGGTCATCCGCTACTTGCGGGGAGCACCAGCTCGGTTCATTCCACATTTTGCCGGTATTGGATATTTATTTCCATAGAATTGCTACTTCCTTTCTCTTTCACTCATCCAGCACATCCCCTATCTGACACAATGACTTCCACCGCTCAGGTAAGTAAAATGGAAGGCATTCACCGCCCCTCTCTCTCCGGATTGAACTTGGCTAACGTGGCGAGAGTTTGTAGAACCTCTCCTTTGTCCTGCAAGGAATCCACCAGGTTAAATTCGAAGACCGTCCCGTTCCAGAGCTCAAGAACCCGCACGATGTGTTGATCAATGTCAAATATACCGGTATCTGTGGTAGCGATGTAAGTGTAATAGGTTCGATGCGGGGTAGCGCAATACGGTGTGACGAGATGATAGCTGACTGGGATGTGTCGCGATCGCTAGGTCCACTACTGGGAGCACGGTTCGATCGGTCAATTTGTGGTCAAGGACCCAATGGTGTTGGGCCACGAGTCTGCGGGTATCATTACTCAGGTTGGATCGGCGGTCACCACATTGAAGGTGGGCGACCGCGTCGCCATGGAGCCTGGTACCTGCTGTCGTCGGTGTGAACCCTGCAAGAGAGGAAAGTACAACCTATGCGAGGACATGAGATTCGCGGCGACTCCCCCATACGATGGAACCCTAGCCAAGTACTATGTTCTCCCCGAAGATTTCTGCTACAAGCTCCCCGAGAGCATGTCCCTCCAGGAGGGCGCCCTCATGGAGCCGTTGGCTGTTGCAGTTCACATTGTTCGACAGGCTCAGGTTAGCCCCGGTCAATCAGTGGTGGTGTTTGGTGCCGGTCCCGTTGGTTTGCTGTGCTGCGCTGTCGCAACCGCTTTTGGAGCATCCAAGGTTATTGCCGTTGATATTCAGCAGCCTCGTCTGGACTTCGCTCAGAAATACGCAACCACTTCCACTTTCATGCCTAGCAAGGTGGCCGCACTGGAGAATGCCGAGCGGTTAAACAAGGAGAATGACTTGGGTGCTGGTGCTGATGTCGCTATTGATGCTTCTGGAGCGGAGCCGTCGGTGCACACTGGTATCCATGTCCTCCGTAACGGTGGCACCTACGTGCAGGGTGGTATGGGTCGGAGCGAGATTCAGTTCCCCATCATGGCCGCCTGCTCTAAAGAGCTGACCCTCCGGGGAAGCTTCCGCTACGGCAGCGGTGACTACAAGCTAGCAGTCGATCTGGTATCATCCGGCAGGGTGGATGTGAAGAGTTTGATCACAGGGACTGTCAAGTTCGAGGAGGCTGAGGAGGCTTTCGTGGGAGTCAAGGCTGGAAAGGGTATTAAGACCCTCATTGCCGGCATTGATGCGTAATGGATGTTGGTGACACCTAATTTATACGGCTGTGGTTCATGAGATAAAAAATGAGAAATGAAACACAAAATAAGTATTGCGATTAGTTTGTCCATGAGATCACTAGGAGAAGTCCACCGCCCTCGATATCTTGGGGTCAAAAGACAAGCTCCCATTTCCAGTAGGCTGTGATAAATAAGCATCTGTAAATTCATGAACGAACATCGAAAGAGGGGTATCGTGCAGGGATTCAACGAAAGACATGTCAAAACAAGTGTAATGAAAATAAAAGAGATCACCCTATAATATCAGCAACAACCTTTGTTTCGTCGGGACTGAGTACCACCCAAGCGAAACACATCTTCCCATTCTCTCATGCCACCCTTCCAACCCGCCGAGTCAGGCCTGTTGCCTCGTCGCCGCGATCGAAGTGGCAGGGCATTCTCTTCTAATGTGGCTCTGCTCCGAATGCTTGAAGCGTCGCTGGTGCCGTGGCCATACAGTCCTCCATCTCCATACTGAATGCCGCTCTGAGGATCATCCGGGTCAATCTCACCCAACTCAATCTTCGTGAGGATGATCCGCGCAAGTCGGTGAAAGACCTCCTCCACACCTTCTCCAGTCAGTGCGGAGATCTCCACAGCGACAGGGATATTCGATTGCGCCGCCCAACGAGCCGTGTCCTCCCGACTCACCTCCCGATCCTCAGCGTATGTCGCCGTCATACGTGTTCCAGTGCCCAGATAGTTTGTCGAGCGCATGGAGCTATTGGCATCGAAGGGCAGTGAGGACTGTTTACTGGAGCTACTCGACGATGGCGGGGCTCGCATGGACTCGTCGGGTACCTCGGAAGTATGATCGGCGAGATCAGCCTTGTTCCCCGCTAGCAAAACAGTCAAGTTCGGAGAGGCTAGGGCTCGCGCATCCATCAAGAAAGTCGGGAGGGCAGCGAAGGAAGGGTAGGAGGCGACATCGTAGATGAGAATGGCACCGGCTGCACCGCGATAGTAGGATCGAGATACGGATCGGAATCGTTCCGTGCCGGCCGTGTCCCAAAGCTGAAGCTTTATGCGTTTCCGTCTTGAACCCGTACCTAGCTTGATAATGCGGGAAGAGAATTCGACGCCGATGGTCTGTGATGATAGTACTCGCCCTGGGGAGAAGGGTTAGCTAGATGCGATCGGCAAGGTCTCGTGGTGGTCGTACATTCATTCTTGACGAATCGGTGTAGCACACAGGATCTGAGTTTAGACCCGAACGGTCAGAAATCGCCGTTTTCTCTGCTTTTCTTTGAACTTCCTGGTGAAACTTACTTCCCCGCACCACTGGGTCCTAGGAGGATTACTTTGGCTAGATAATCGTACATGCTCCCCAGTTCCTAGAGAATGGTTAGATAGGGGATTCAGGGGGGGAGGAACGGGATTTACCTGATCCTGATCAGGAACTGAGGAGACAGAAGAGGCGGCAGAGAGACCTCTAGAACGCATGGAGACAGTGAAAAAAAAGGGTGTTGAGAGGAAGAAGAGGTGATCCTCAAGGTCCTTGAGTGATTGGGTTGATCAGTACCTAATCCCCGACCGCCAATAACTGCCCTAGGATTTAGGCGCTATTGAATTTACTAGCTGATTTTACGCTGGATAAGGAATTATGATTCTATTGACTATTTGGAAAACATTACGTTTAACTCCTATAATCTCTCTAGAGATATACTGTCTGGCGTGGATACGACATGAGGCTGAATGGATAAATGCAGTCTCTCACGACGATTATGAACATAAGCCTAACCATGGAATTCCCCATGTCTTTAAGCTGATTGGCTCTCATGTAGGCGCAGCACATGGGCATTGATACCATGCATATGTCATAAAATGTCATAAAGGCCGTACTATTGTACTGCGCCTTGTAGAGGCTGACAGTGGGCCAATGAAGTATTCCCTTAAATTGCTACCATGCTACAGTAAGTTAATAAAGTGGCGGTGCAGGGCCCTCGTATTCGTTAAGATCGTCAGGGTCTCCGCTCCCAAAGCAACCCCGAACTTGGTAACTTTTCTTTTTAGAGTTCCTTTTAGAGCCAAAAGCTTGCTTTGTGTTGCCTTTCCTTGTCTTCTTTTTTTTCTTTTAGTTCATCTTGCAACACCGTCTCCTCTCAACACATCCAAATTTCCTCGGAATATTCACCTGTCATGAAGTTGGCTTTGACGACCGCGCTTTTTCTTTTGTGCTCCACCGGAGTCACCTCCTTACCGACGGACTCTCAAGGCCTCGCGGTCTTTGAAGTTCCTGGGGATCATGAAGTGGAACTAGAGAAGCGTCGTGGTGGTGGAGGTAGCCACAGCAGCGGGAGCAGCGGTGGAAGCAGTGGAGGTCGTTCCGGCAGCAGCAGTAGCAGCAGTGGCAGCGGAAGTTCGGGTTCATCGAGTTCTTCAAGTGGTTCGACAGGCAAAACCGGTTCTACCAGTAATACTGGCGGTACAACCAGCAAGGGTTCAGGCACAGCAGCATCTTATGGCGGCGGAAGGTACGATAAATCCTACTATGATACATATGGCTCCACTCGCAACAGATACGGGTCTGGCTCGTCCTATGGAGGATACGGGTCCGGCTCGTCCTACGCAGGGACCAGTTCTCCTAGACTTCCAAAACACAGGACTTACGGTGCAAACAGATATTACGCGGGAGGCGCAACTACACCTTATCGAGCCGGCTCTTCGGCACTAGGAATCACTCCATTCCTGTTACCAGTGGCCGCCGTGGCTTTCTTTCCCGGACTCTGGTACCATCCCGTCTACGCTTACAATTACAACCACAATTACAACTACACCAATGAGGACACCAACAAGAACACGTCGTTGCCAGTGTCATGTCTGTGTGAGGAGTACCAGGAGTGTGGTTGCGAGGATAATAATAACAGCACTTATTATAAGTCTTTGTTCAACGGCACCCAGCCCACGAATAATAGCGTGGTGAGAGTGGCCACGGTCAATGGCACGGAGAAAATTTACATCAACGGCACCCTGGCCAATGGAACCACTGCTGCTGACAGTTCTGCCGCCTCAGGGGCCATGGCGACTATGTTGCAGGCCAGTGGGTATTGGGCGACAGCGGCTATAGTGCTTGCTACGGTGTGGAGTATCTAATGAGCCGAGGATGGGGGCTAAAGGGGCCCCGATGAAAAGCGCACGAGGCTTCATGCACGGCTTTTTTTGCTTTTTCTCTTTTCCTTTTGTTTTCTCTTGGCTTGCGCTTTATAATGCCTAGCTCTGCTAGGATTGCGCATGCTGCCAAGCCCCCTAACGTTCTCTAATGTTTTTGACGATTGCTTGCTCGTACAGTACTGATGGGCTTGGCTTATATTCTTTACGCTTTTTTGCCTCAAATACCCCGGCGGGATCATTGCAGCATTTTTACTCTACTGATTAATGAAATTTCATTCTATAACTCCTTTTTTCTAACCGAATTCTGTTATCGTCATCGGAGTAATGGCACATTCCAGTGGTCGCTGGGGCGGTTACGTCTGCCGCTAAACCCAACACAGATAAGTGTACTCCTAAGATTGGGCTTCATTTCCCGCTTCCGCCCCTTAGCAAAACAGACTTCTCATTTCTCTTCTTTCCTTCTTCACTGATCTCAGTGCCATTCGTTTTTGATCTCTCCAAGCACACGGGCTGTCGCATTCTTTTCTCCCCGCTGCATACACTCTTTTATCAATCAGACTACCAGATCAATCAATCTCAAACACCCAAAACCCACCTCAATATATAACAAACATCGCAATCATGCACTTCTTCAAGACTATCGTTCTGCTCCTTGCTCCCATCGCACTTGCTGCGGAGACTGTCACCGCACCAGCCGTCACTGTCACCAAGACTATGACCCTGGTTCCCTCGGGCTACACGACTCCTTGCCCAACTTCGACCTCGACCTCGACCCCGATCTCGACTTCTACTCCTCTGCGCACTAGCACTCCTTACACCCCGAGTCCTAGCGCTACCCCTAGCTTCAGCTTCAGTGTCAAGCCCAGCTCCACCCCTCTGATCAAGGCTACTTCCGCCCCCATCGAGGCTGCTGAGCCTACCCAGGCTGGCTCCACCGAGGCTTCCCAGACCGCTGCCGCTTCTGCCGCCGCTTCATCCCCTGCTACCGGTGCCGCCTCGCGCCAGCTTCCCGGTGCCGTCGCGGCGGGTGTTCTCGCTGTTGCCGGTCTGCTGATGGTCTAATTGGGATCCACCCAAGCTTTTTGAATATGCGCGTTTTACGCGTCGGATCTTCAGATCAACCCCACCTACCTGCTTTGCAGACTCCCGCGGCTTATGCTTGCGGATCACATACCATCTAGGATGGTCACTACATTTCTTATTTCTTCTACATAGGGCTTTTGTTCTTTCTTCTTGGTTGCCCACCTTGAGTCATACATATTTCTATTATTTCTGCATCCGTTGATGCACACGGCTGCTGTGATGTGTTCTCCGAATTCTTCATGCCTATACCCTTTTTTTTTTTTATCTTCCGCCAACCTCTTTATGTCATCCATGTTTTTATAATTTTTTAGCGATTGGATTGATCGGGAATTAATCAGCCCTTTTACGGCTTTGATGGAATCATCTTTGCTGGCTTGGATGTCATCTTGTTCCGATGTAGATTTTGCTTTAGTACCTTCAAGGTTATAGATCATGGAGGGAATGCAATAGTGTAAAGCTTATCCCTTATTTGCTAGTGGGTCCTTAATTTCCGATATCACCTGCTGTGTTTGGCATAATATTCGAAATACGAGGTCCAACGGTCACTAGTCCCTATACGTAGCTGACATCACATCAGAGCTTTAACACGTGATTCGCAAAACATAGTACATATTTCAGAGGGGACTAGGTATGTCTATCTACTACACAGTCTCCAACTCAATTGGAGACTCCAGAATGAAAAATCAAGTAATATCATACAGGAAGCGGCGCTACTTATTCGCTCTTGAAAGTGGCCTCGTATCTATATCAAAGTTAGCAAAGCCGTCTAAAACTTCGGAAGGGTGATAACATACCTCTTGCCTCGGAATCCCCACAGACCCCAGTTACCGCAAGAAACATCATGCGGGTCCTGGTCATTCAGATCCCAACGCAGACTGCGGAAAATGTTCTCACCAGGCTCGAGAAGCATATCGAACTCGCCAGCACACTTCTCATTGACCCACTTGATATCGCGCTCCATATCCCACTGGGTGTATCCAGTGCAGAGAATGGGGACCTTGGTCTCAAGCAGTTGTGGGAGGGTTTCTTGCCACTCAGCAGAGCTGGCGGGGTGGCCCAAACCAGGGTGGAAGAGCATGAAGCAGTCAAGGTAGGGATCGAAGGGTTGGAAGTAGTTGGCCTTGTACATGGTGTGGAAGTAGTCAACGTAGGTGGTGATCTTCATCTGGCCACCCAGACGGTCCTCAACAATTCCACCGAAGGGATTCGATGGTGTGCGCTCTGGCAACGGGTATTCGGCGTCGCGGTTGGTCATGCTCTCGGGACCGATGAAGATCAGGTGAAGCAGGGAGCGGGGGAACATGTACTGGAGCTGCAGCCAGACTTCGCGGGGCAGAGAAGACTCCGCACGGGCACCCAGGATAAAGAGTCGGACTGGAGGGGCCTTCAGGCGCAGACCTTTCACGTCAACATCTTCACCTGTACGCGGAGGGTGCAGAGAGTATCGGAGAGCTAAACGTGGGGAAATCCTTCCATTAGTATATAGACGATAATCAGGGCGTAGTAGCGTAGGTTTCGAATTGCAACATACCACTCAAACTCTTCAATCCCTCGGGTGTCAGCTGGTTCTTGCTTCGCACATTATACGGACTGAGCTCGTGCAGGACACTAGCAATGGTCTGCGGGTAGGTGAGCATGCGGGTAACCTGACGCATCGACCGATCGGAATTGACCGCCTCGAACTCGCGCGTGTACATGAAAGTATCCCAGTTTGTCATGTTGATCACGAAGTTCTCATCCTGAACACCGGGGTAGTTGAATTCAGGGAAGAAGCGGCCAGAGTGCAGATCATGGTCGTCCTCGTTGATCTGGCGAAGAGTATCGCAGACCTCCAAATGAGCCTCGAAGTCGTCCATCCAGTGGCCCTCAGAGCAGTAGACAGGGACACCACAGTCAGGGCATTCGAAATGCGAGTGGGCGGGGGGCAAGCTGGCTCCGTCTGTCTTTCGTGCTTCCGGGTCATGCGGCGACATAGGGGCACGAGTCTGTTGGTGGTCGGGGTGAGGACAATAGGCATGTTCCTTTATGTACGCAGCGCGTTTCCGGATCGCGGGCGAGGGAGAATTGGAGAAGGAATGGAAGAGGTTATCCGGTTGCAAAATAGCTGATGAATCGATGGAGGATCCGGAGGCCGTGGAGGCTGCTCGGTGTGCAAGCGATGGGGGAGAGGTAGGCTTGATCGCGGAGGCAGACTTGCCAGTTCCTTGACTCAATTCTGGTGATTTATCCAATGGACGGTTGTGACGTCCCGAGCCAAAGCTGCGAATCCACGGAGACGCAGCATATCTCCGACGCGAATGGGCGAGGGTCTGCAGGCGAGCCGAGGGCGTAGGGGCGCGGACTCCCTGGCGGAGCACCTGGAGGCATTGGACACAAGTGTAACCACCTGCCATTGTGAGTTGTGGGGTGATTCAGAGGGAAGTCAGTGGGCTGATGGTTGAACTGGTCGTTTTTCCTCGAATGATCCCGTGCACGTGACGAGAAGTGGAGTTCGGGATCATGTAGATCAGGTGTGTTGATGGAGCTTCATATCTGAATTTATACATGCCTCGCGATACGGAAACAGCACTTTGTACTACGTTTTACTGGGTCGGATTTGCAATCGACATCAATTGACTAAAATACAGCGCAGGCTTAATCGTGTATTCGTGGATAAGGCAAAAAAGTCTTGTACATAACACGGTTACAGTCCACCTCGAAAATCAAGTACTTGAAAGGACGAAAGGACAGAACCCTCACTTGCGCGTTAATGCCTGGTGATATAAAAAGGAGCAGAGCCTCCTGGAGCCCTTGCAGTTGGTACATTGGCCTTCCCGATCAGAAAATATCTTCGGCGATACTCCAGTCCTGGGCATCTCTGCTGGACCAATATTTACCGTTGTGAGACCAGTACTCTTCCCCAGTGATAGGGCATGTGGCCTTAGTGAAGTACTGAGGAGAGTAGGTCTTGCCTTCGGCTTCCCGTTCCCTCCGCTTGGCTCGCTGCTTTTCCTCAACGCGATGCTTTTCATCAGCGGCAAAGTCATACTGGCCGTCCTCCATAGCACGCTGGTCAGGACGTAATCGGGTGTCGGTAGGAGGCAACCAAGGCCGCAGGTTGTCGGGAATGGCGTTCAGAGTGAGGACGAATGGAGTCAAGTTAAATGGCACACCCTTTGGACGCTCATGAGCTTGCCAAACCAATAATGTCTTCGCTGACTCAGGATCCTGGCCAGAGACCGGTGCTTCGAACCCTGGGGTATGGCGAGCGTAGATCTTGTCATTCCATCGGCCGCCAATACTCCACTTCGGAGAACCGTCACGGTCAACCACCTTACCGCTGACCTGATAAGCTGAGGATGCTTTCCATCCACGAGGCTTAAAGTCAAGGTAGCAGACCTCGCCGGTAGTCCAATTCTTGATTTCCATCAGTCCGTAATTGTCCACGGTGGGATTACCAGTAATAATGCCAATCACTGAAGATGTGACCTTCTTCCACGTATACAGCTCTTCGCCTCCGGTGCACGGTCGCAGTTTGCAGAACCAGGTACCCAGAAGATTAATATCGAATGATTTGCCGTAGAACTTGGACTTGAGTGAGGACTCACCCTACATGCGGATACTTTGTTAGCTTGACCTCGACATAAAAGGATAAAAGATGGCAAAAAGAGCTTACCCAGTAGTCCCACTTGGGAGACTCTGCCCATGCCGCACCGATCGGAGGGTGATGGCTGACTTGCTCGACGAAGAACCGGTAGCCCTTGTCAGGACGCACATATTCAAAGGTTTCACCGAGCAGAGGATTGAATGGCTTAGCCACACGTCCAATAGTTGAGGCATATTCACTAGCAGCGTAGGAGGCCACATATAGAAGGCGCTCCATGGAGTCGGATCGATCCGCGGCAATATCAAGAAGATCGGTGTACTCTAGATCCTCCGCAATTCGCTGAAGTAATGAAGTGGGTTCGTTGAAGGACACGGGCAAGGTCATCTTTGTCATGTCTTTACCAATCATAGATTTCAAAATTCCCCAGAGCGAGATTTTAGGCCGGTCATCACTGTCCATAGCCAGTCTCGTTCGAACGGGGTCTTCGTAACCGCTGTAAGAGGACTTGATCACAGAGGCCTTCTCTTTTCGGGCCAAGGCACTTTCATCCTCCGGCTCCTCGGGCTCTTGGATCTCAGTGGCTTGGCTGAAGTCCTCCACTTCAATTTCACCAGCATCAATGGCATCAAAGAACTCGTCGCCGTCTGACTCGGAATCGTACAGACTGCTGATATGAGAAAGCCCAGAGCGTTTCCGGGTGAGAGGGATAGGCGCTGCTGCGAGCTGAGTTGACTGGTCATTTTGAGAAGCAGGCTCGGAGTCACGGATCTCTGACTGGCTCGTCTCCATGATGCTAGAGGGTTCCGTTTGCATACGCGACGGTGCGCCGCTGATGGAGCGACTGCTGCCAGCAGCATTTTCTAGTGCCTCCTTCAAAGCTCGCTTCGTACGCTTGCGCTTTTCTTCAGACTCGCCCATCTTGGATTGCAGCTCCTCGTGCTCCTGAGCAACGCGAGCCATACTCTCCTCCCACATGCGACGAAGATGTTCCTCGCGGTTCAAGCGATAATGCCAGTAGGAGTCGCGGTCCCGTGAGATCTGGAGAAGATTCTGAACTAAACCCTTGAGGCTACTGACAGCACCCTCATAGGCAGTAAGAGCCTGCTCGATGGCTGGATCCGCGATTGACATTTCGGGGTTCTTGGTCCGCTCAGCCTGCAGAGAAGCGGAAACATTTGCAAGAAGATCCAACTGCAGTTTCGCGGATTGTGCAGTAATGTTGAGGGCATCCTTATCATTTGCGGGCATATCGTCATGGCTAGAAGCATAGTCGTTGAAATCATCGTCGTCATCCCCATCGGGCGCAGTGGTAACGCGGCTCAGCACTCGGTTCACATCATTGGGACCAGTACCCTGATCCACTGACCCGTAAGCCGATTCTTCTTCCTCTGCAGGTGAGGTTTCAAGTGTCGTACGCGACATCTGGCTGCTAATTCTGGCAAAGCTGCCGCCAGGAACTCCAAGGGACGAAGAAGGTGGACCTCTGCCGCTGGTTCTGCGGCTAAGGCCAGACTCGGAGGGGGTATCTCCAGACTGATCTATCTTGGCCAGGCGAAGCACCTCAGCGGTCTTAGAACGTTGTCGCTCTTCCTCCTTGGCTTCATCTTTGGCCCACTGGATCGCGTTGTTCAGAGACCAGAACCAACGCTTGGCTTCCACGACATGGTTCGCCTTCAAGTGGTACTTGACCGACGACTTGCCATGGATTTCGAACCGGGTCTTGTCCTGGGCGTCCATGTTGAGTCTAGCAATCTTCATGTTGATAGCTCCACGACAAGCGGAGCCAGCATCATCTGCAAGAATCAATTAGATACCTGTCAATCCTAACCATGGCAATCTGGCAGTAACCTCATCTTTGAGAGAATTAGAACATACCTTGATGCTTATAATAGCTCAATACACCATCTTCGAGCACAAACCATCGCAGCTTGTATCCACTTGTGTAGTTGGTCCATTTCTTAAGATAGCCTCTCATCTCACGCGCGTCCTTACCGGCCAAAGGTGCTTCCCCAGTAGAGGCACGACCAGACAGACCTTGAGCGTTGTTATTCCCAAGAATGGCCTTCTCCTGAATACCACGCTGCGCAATCGCAGCCGCCGGAGACTTTTTCAAAAGTGCCCGGGTCTTGTCGTCTTTAGTGACATCCTGGGGCAGCTTGCCCTTCTTATCGCGACGGAAGGGGTCGGCTCCATGGGTGAGGAGAATCTCAATGAGCTGCGCATCTTTATTGCGAGCGCCCTCATGCAACAACGTGCCGCCCGATTGCACAGTGGCGCGGTCGGTCACCAATTCCTGGCTGTTTACATCCAAGAGGCCCTCTGCGCGGGGTTCTTCTAAAAGCTTCTCCAAATTATCATATTCCCTCTTGCTGATCAAGGCCTGGATTTCCTGAATCTTGCTATCGATAAAGATGGACCGGGCGAGCTGCAGTTGCTGGAAGATCTCCGGGGTGCGTGCGGCATCGAGCGGAGTTTGGCCCCGGTAGTTGACGATGGCGTCGTTAACCTCGGGTCTGTTCAACAGGTCACGTACTAACGAGACCCGTCCCAGCTGAGCGGCCAAATGAAGCGGGGTGTTGCCTTCGCGATCGCGCGCGTTGATGTCCAACCCAGTGCCGGTGGACAACACAAACTCTACTACCTGGGGCTCGGCGCACTGCAGAGCCAGATGAAGAATGGTTGTTCCATACAGATTGTTGGCCACCTGAGGATCCTTCGCCTCCTCGATGGCTTTGGCGATCGCATTGGTATCCCCACCGCGCAGAACCTCAAACAAACGGAAAGTCCGTACGGACTGATCCAGAGACATGCCGGCGTTCTCCGCCTGAGGCGCGGAGGTCACGCTCTCCATTGCGTCGATGTCCTGGGAGCTCTGGTTGAGAGGGGTATCTTCGAGGATGGCTGGATTTGCGGGGGAAGGGCTCGGGTCAAAAGCAGGCTTACGGCGGCTGTGACGGCTTAGGCTGCGGGCGTGGGTCAATGGGGAGGAGCCATTCGTCGAAGTGCCGGTTGAGTTGTTGTCGTCGTCTTGGCTTTTGTCCTCGCCGCGGGATTTATCGCGGTGTAGAAGAGAAAGCGCTATGGAGCTGCGAGAGCGCTTATGCCTGCGGGACAACATGGGGTCAGTCACATGAAAGTGCTCAAGAAGGAGCAAATAATGCTGTTTATATCGCTCTTTCCAGCGATCTGTGCGGTTCTAATCTCTCCAGTTCTTTTTCCTCTGAAATGTATCTTTCTCTTGCAATAACAAGCAACACCTAGAACCCCCGCCAGGTCATGGGGAACCGCTTTGGGGCCTTGGAACCATGGGTCCTAGTGGTCGACAACTCGAGGAAAAGGGCAAATAAACGAAACTCACCCTTCAGGTCTTTCAGACATATTTAGATGCCCCGTCGGGTACGTGGGGTACTATGATCAGGGAAAAAAGCATGGAGAACGTAATGCGAACAGGTGGGAAATTAGGGGTTATTAAACGAGGCTTTGTTTTGGGGGGGGGGGAAGGGGTCGATCACGGCGCTTGGCGCCCCTATAGATACTAAGAATCTATGTTTCATCCCAACCATTGAGATAGAGAATATACAGGTTACATAGATTGCTATATAATGGAACAATTATAGTACAGATTTCTCATCATCTATCGAGTCTCGCCACTGACCAAAATGACAACACTGCCCAGTTGTCGCTTCATGTCCTCCTTAGCCACATCGTGAGTATCTTCAACTTCGCCCCACATGTCCGTTTGCCACTTGACCTCCAAGCTTGAGGCCTCGGCTGCCTCGTCCAGACCGAACTTCTTCTCTTGAGACCGCTGGATGTGGCGGAAGTTTTCACTCCATTCCACCAGCAAGCGCACAGCCACCAGCAGACTCTTCGAAGCCAGAATGCCTCGCTCCAGACCAGCCAGATCATGGGGTGCCAGCTGCGACACCCAGCCTTGGATGGTCTCCTTGGTGGTAGGTGGCTGCGATACTGGGAGGATGCTGTCCGCGTCGAGAATAGGCTTGATCTCCAACCCGGGCCAGACCTTGGTGGAGAGGAAGCTCATGATATCCTTAGAAACGCGGATCTGAATCTCGCGCAGAGTCTCGGTATTCTCTCCATTTGCCTCCATTCTTCCAAACAATCCAGCTTGTCGTTCCGGCTCCCAGCAGAGCAGCGTATCCGTTTCCAGGTATCGCATGGCGGTGTTGACAATCTGGCTTCGGGTGGTATTTTCGCCCCGAGCATCTTCGCGAACGATATCTTCAGCACGAGCTGCTAGGGAGGTCAAGGGGATCAAATGGCTTTTGAGAGCTTGCTGAGCAGATGTCATCACATCCCACTCGAGGGCAATCGCGTGCGCCAGTTGAGGCTTGGTTGGGGGTATTGAGAGGATGTCCTTGTTCGGGGTTCTCACGGGGCGCTTGTCGAGTAGTACTTGGTATTCTCCTGTTTGAACAATTCCGTTAGTCCAGGCTATCCTCCGCTCCAGTGAGGCCGAGTCCAAACATACCGGCCTTGCCATGAACGTGGACATCTTTCCAGAATCGCGACTTCAACGGGGAAGGCTTAGTTAATTTTGATGGCAATTCCTCTCCTGGAGATGACTCATTTTCCGATTGGCGGACTTTGCTCTTGAATTCTGCTGATGGTGCCGGAGCTTTGGGCGGGGGACCGTGGGCAGTGATCGGGTGCGGAACGGCGGCGCGGAAGGGGGAAGAGTGAAATTGGCGCGCAGCATTGCGTCGCACGGCTGACGAAAGCTGCGGAAGCGCAGCACGAATAGTAGCCATGCTGGAAATTCTTTGAAGAAGACAAGGGTTGAGCTCCGGGGAAGAAGTTGCGGAGGAACTTTTTCGAGTCTCGGCCCGATTGTTCCTGGTCCGCGCTTGCTTACACATAATACATAGCCAACATAGCCACTTTGTACTTCTACCAAAGCTTTACAATATCTGCTCTTTTCAGCTATGTCGATCATTTGCATTGAGTTTAATGATCAGATGATTACCATGGCATCCGAGCGAAGCTACTGCAGTATTGCATCAGAGTTTTGTTAACTTTTGTGTACGTATATACCATGATATCATTCCTTCGGAGTTCCATTGTACTTTTAGGAAGTATTGATTATCATCATTTCATATCACAGAGGAATGAGGCGATTTCTCAAGAGCTCTAGGGGTGGCCAATCTACGTGTATTCAGTCTCTTGTGGCAGGCGCTATGATCGAGATGTATGTACGATGACACCAAGCTCAGGAAAAAGTCTATAGCCTTCCAAATTTGGAACCAGATCATGCGCATAATTCAGTTGGATTAGGAATTATTCAACAGCAATCACAAAACCTCCCTTGCATCTAGATCCCAAAGAAAACAGATAGAAATGTTGAAATGCTACCAGAAAAAAAAATCCCGGGGAATCAAACCAGTTTGAACAGTAGAGGCAAATCGAAAAGAGCAAAACGACGAGAACCGCCCATGCTTTTGTAATTTACAAGAAAGATCAATCAAAAAGACTGCAAAGCTCGAGGCTGGCCCGCCATTTTTGTTTTGAAAACCATGTGCAATGAAAAAGGAAAAGAGAAGAGAAATGAAAAATAAAGCCGAATGGGTCAGAATGCCGGAGCTGTGGCATTACGGATCAGTTTCTGTCGAATCCGAGAGAGAAGGCCTGGAATGGGATCCTTCAATTCAAAGGCGTAAAATCAAAGCGCTGGATCTAGAATCGGCGAAACGAAAGAAAAAAAGCGGGTTCAAAGGTTCGTCGAAACAGTGGTCGTCACGGCATTTCATCGTAAAGATTTGCAGGCCACATGCCCGGTGCACATCAATTTCTCCTCATCTGGTGAGATAGCTGGGGTAGTAGGGGTATTGTTGCTTTTTGCGATCGGCAGCGGTACGTTTCTTCATGCGCTCCGCGTCATAATCATCAGCGCCATCACGGCTACCCCATGTGGTCTGTAATGCATGGTCAGCGATAATTCGAGTCCAGGAAATGTATGGAAACCGGATAAGAGATCCAGCAAATCGGGCAAAGATGGGTGAGAAAATAAAAAGCGCCATAAAAAAACACAAAAGAGGTGGCGCGGGAAGATAGTGGGTAAACATCTGCAAGAGGGAGGAGTCGTGATCAAAGCGTTGAGCTGGCGTGGGAAGGGGAGGGGCGTCGGAGCAAAGCGACTTGTATTGCTAATTGACCCGAAAAAACCCAAATACGTTACTTACCACATTAAGTGTCATCACCGCGTACATCTTGATCGCGCCGTGGAAATAACCAAAGAGCACGGAGATCGGCAAGAGGAACACATCTACCGGATACCGGATATAATGGCCCAGTAGCTTAATAAATTTGCTCGTAAACACCCATAGGAGGAGCATATTCATAGCCCGACTATGAAGCACATCACCCCACGGAGCGGTCCCGCGGTGGCACAGCCAAACCAATAACAAGTCACCCAGGAGAGCGGGAGGCGACAAGGTTGTCAGGTGTACAGCATATGAGCTCCAGGGCTGACGACTATAATAAAAGTTAGCGGCTGAAAGAACGACTATATCACAGGCAAAAAAATGGCGAAATGACTCGGATACCCCGAGAAGGCCAATGCTCATGTTTGTGCTCCGGACATGGCTTTCTGGTTACCCACAGTCCCTTTCGGGTCCTCGGTTAGGACCAAAGAACGGGCTGTACGAGGGCAAATACAGATGCATCATGCACAGCAGACGCATCATGGGCCGAGGCCATCCGGGGACCAAATAACAGAACGAAAATCAAGAAAGAAAGAAAAAAAAAACAGCCAACGAAAAAAAAAAGCGAAAGGAAAAAACAAAAAGGGAAAAAAACCGGGGTGGTGTTACTTACTACCAAATGTGCTTCTCGTGAAACATACTGGACAGATTGCTCCGCCAATTGCTTCGAGACCAACGCGCGCATTGCTTCAAAAATCGGGGGTTATCCTCCAATGTAGTGAGCACCTCTGCCTCAGGGTGGTACTGCATATAAGTCTCCCAGCCATGGGAAACCATCCATCGGGTGATGAAGTTATCGTCATCGGCATTGAGCTGGTACTTCCCCCACCACCACTCCTCGTTCGTAAAAGCATAAGTAAAACCCTCGTCTTGGAGGATCTTAGTTCGATAAGCCACCGTCCGGCCCGACATGCATGGCAATCCTCCATCTAGATTGGTCGTAGCCCCGCAATCGAAGTTGCGTCGCTCCAGATACAAGGCTCCAAGGTACCCCCAGATACGCTGTGAGAGGGAAGGCGAGATAGCTCGACGCAGACGTTGGCAGGTCACCACGCCTCCATATCGTTCGTCTTTTTCGAATGGTGCCAGGATCCAAGGCAGCACGGTCGACGGCCAGCTCACGTCGTCGTCGGCCAGCAAGGTGATTGCCGTGCGGACTTCCGGGATTGCCCTGGTCATTTGGCGACGCTTGTTGGGGTGCGTGACCGTGAAGAGGCGAATTCGGGATTTCGACGCCGGCATCACACGCAACATACTCTCGGCCTTCTTCCGATTGGCCTCAATTGTCACTAGGAGAATCTCAAAGGGTTGATTTTCTAAGATCGACCGGATTGTTTCCACCAACTCCTCCCCGCAGCCCTCCAAGGAGGGGATAATAACCGAGACATCTTGGGAAGTCAATTTCGGGGACTCTGGGGGCGGGATCGGCTTAAATGTCCAGAAGGAAACTAAATTCACCACAAGGCGAAAGTAGCGATACACACTAGTGATCACTGGTCAGCCGCCACCAATTGGTTAATAGATTGGGTCCCAACTCACAAGAGCACCGCAAAGGCCCGCAAGAATGGAAAGGCCATTGTGTTTTTCAATGTAACTTTCTAGGTGTTGAGGGAGGGGTTTGTAGATTAAATTTCTCCGGATTTCAATTCCGCGCCGGTACAGGGGTTGCGGTTTTTTTTGTTCCCAATTCCACTGAAAACCCATGAAGTAGGTTAGCTAGGATTTCTTGGGCAGGTTGGACAAGACGGCTCACCTGTGTGGCTCCAATTGTTCCCAGAATGAACGGGAAGATATAGAATGGGCTGGTCAGAAAAGAGGAAGCAAAATGAAAAAACGAATGTCGGGGAAGACACAGCTCCCTCAACCAGCCCGAGGAATTGAAAAGGAAAAGGAGGAGATCAAAAGAATAGAAAAAGAGAAGGAAAAAGGTTCCAAAGAACAGGGAAAGGAGGTTTAAATTATAGAGCACATGCTTCGATTCTACATAAAACAAAAAAAAAAAAATACAAAATATAAAATATAAAATCAAATACAAAAAGACAAGCTAAAAAAAACAACGCCCCAGTCCCCGTTGTCGTTTTGAGTGTGCTGCAGGTGTAGTTTTGCCTCGTGCGTCAGAGACCCTGGATCTAGAGGCATTCAAGAGTGGAGAGGGATGGTCCATGCAGCGGAGCGGGTAAAGTAACATGGGTATTACGCCGTCAGATAGTAATATAACTTAGTTCGGTCTTAGCTTTATATCGTTGAGTTCATGGTATCGTATTGTCGAGGAATTTAGTTTTAAGGCGAATGCCAAACCATGGAACCAGACGATCAGCTGAACAAGAGACATTCTACAAGGCAACCATGAGCACTTGACCTAACTCCTTTCCAGAGGGTTCGAGCAGTGTCGCAGGTACCAGATCGGACTAGAATCGAGATAGTACATGCAGAAAAAAAGAAAAATTTAAACGTCAAAAGACCGGAAAAAGGAAAGAAAAAAAAACTATATGGATTGAAATCAAAAAAAAACAAAACCGGCTATGGGGGCCAAGGGAGAACATCTCCGGTTCCCCTCTTCCCCTCCTTGTGGATCTTCGTGCCCACACAACCTTTCGGTGCGATCAGCATATCATGACATTTCTGATTAGATGATCATTATGCAGTTTATCGGCCCATCTTATTTGTGGAAGAATCAGCAAATTAACAGAATTACTGGTATTATCTCTCTACGAGCTACCCCCCAAAAAAAAACTGTTTAACCACCATATTAGCGCCGTTAAGGATCCATTCTCGTACCTTTAGTACCTAATTATCCCGCTTCAGAGTGCGACAGTGATCGGCCATGATTCGCACGCCTTGTGCCACAAGATGGATTTCTTAATTTTAACGTGCATCGGTCAAATCCACTTCCGTACCGCAAGTGAACGATTCCTACGAGCCAACCGTGAATGTGTTTCGAAAAAAGCGAAGGGGGAATCCTAGCGGCCGATCGTCACCTAACTCGTTACTCCAAGCTTAGGTGGGGCATTACAGAGACCTGAGTAAAAGCATACGAGAACGCTGGACAAAGTATGAGAAAGGCAACTCGAGGTAAAAAAAAAAAAACAAGGCGGCCCCAAATAAGCCCATAAAGAGTTTTAGGCGGCCCAGCAGGCTGGCACCCCACGCTTCTTGAGAACACATTCTCGGCCCGCGTCAAGGTAGCTTTGACCTAGTCCATAGCTGAGCAGCACAATCATGACTCGAGTAGACTTTACCCGAATAGCCTGGAACAAAGCCACTGCCCATATTACGGAGTATATCCGTGGGACATATAGCGAGCTCGACGAACCAGGTACCAATTGGATTCCCCCACCCTCTGCTTACAGACGCGGGCGTCTAATCTCCTGCTGACAATCGGACTCCGCCTTAACGGACTTGGCCAAAGCACGATGCAACTCGCTAAATGGGGCATTGCTGGATCTTTCCGCCCCATACGTGCACGCGGTGGAAATGCGCTCGGCCATGATCGGCCTGAGAAAGCAGACTGCAGAGTTAAAATCACGCCAAGGTCGCCTGGAACTGCACTTGCCCACGTAATCCGGTACTTTGGCTCTTTCCCAACGCGGTTCTCTACAGCACAGGCCGTTCCCTTTCCCCAGTGGCAACGGAGGTTTCGTGAGAAATAACGCCATGTATTTTTTGACTATTTTCCTCTTTGCATCACCCCATTCTTAGCTCTCAACTGCTTCGGCCGAGCCTACTGTCTGTGGAGATCAAATGGAGTGAAACAGACGCGTATCTCGGCTGCACGGACATTCTCTGGCCCGGACTCCACACTTTCCACACAAATACCCGTAGCGTCCCTTTTCATGCCCACTTGTCCACTTGTTGTCCCGGGAGTGGCCGAGTTCATGACAGCCAAAGCGAGACGCCTATGGGAAAAGTAGAACAGAAGACTAGAGAGGGAAATGATGTGCAAACTGAAAGGATTAAATCAATCTGTACTATGATGTAGGGATCTCGGTATAGATGTCTATTTGAAGCATTTTATCAACATTCCAGGATTATCAAAAGCAAATTTGACACGGGAATGACATGCAGGTCGATCAGACGGCTTTCCCCTCTCGTCGCCCTTTTCAGGTCTTGGCTTTTAGCGCTGACAAGCCGATTAGCCACCGTCTGAGAATTCCGACGAATCGCCCAGGCCACCACTGTGCCTACTATTGCCTAGTATTTCCTGTTTGGGGTCAGAGGAACGCCCAGATCGTCCGGTGGGGCTCACTGTGCGTTACAGTACATGCAATAAAAAATTCCAAAGTGGATTCGCTTCTGACTTGCCAAAGTACTCGTACCGAGTCCCGACTATTGTGCGTATAATCTTGTACATGCACTCTTGTACGCAAATCCACACCGGGCAACACTTGCTTTCCTTGTATTTTTCCCCTTTCCCCCCTCCCCCCACCATCAAAGTCCAGCCCAACGTGCGACGTGGTCAGCATCCACTTCTTGAATGCGAAATCTGAATGGGTAGCGCGATCTGGTGGCAACGGCCGACAAAGACTCTCCACAAGCTGCAGGGGGCCCCATCGCGCACTGTCCCGTGTCAGATCCCCATCCTCCGGAGGCTCTCACTGATACGACGTCGAGGACCAACCGTTCCCCGCTAACTTGTCGCTATGATCCTCTAGCTGCAGCAAGGCTGCCTAGTTGGCTGCAGTTGCTGCACCCGGTGCTCATTTCCGGGTCAATCACCGACTTCGGTTCCCCGGTGTTCTTCGACTTACAGAGTAGGTAATTTTGCTCATGCTCTATTGATTTTAGAGCTTGTTGCCGATCGCGACACGAATGCGAGAACGTGCAGGAGAATGATAACGCAATCTGTCTTAGACTCGTAATTAATAATATCAACACGTTGATAGTACGTTGAATGATTTTCTATTAATAATAGTAGTATAATGATAGTAGTTACTATGACTCCATAATTTAGAAACGGCATGCGTTCAAGGGTGCAGATTAAATTCTTGACAGGGGTCATAACCCTGTCAAAAGCGGGATTCTTTGTTCGTCAATGCGCATTACATGCAGCTCTAGCGGTCCTTGCGCAGGAAAAGCAAAACGGCGTTCAGGCCGCTCGCCGAAGCCCGAGAAAGCATGAGGCTGCTTTGAGACCGATTGCGAACCGGCTGAACCGCTAACTTCCTAGACCCGGGGCAGTGCTTCGCTACCGACTGTATGGATGCATGACCCAAAGCTTTGAACAAACCTCGTAATCAGAAACTACTCTCTTCGCAAAGGCAAGCCATGGTCTCAGATATCCTCGGTCTGGTTGTCCTCTTATAACCGACATTCCGGATCTACACGAGATAGATACAGGCACGAGACGATCCCCATGCTCGATGTACTCGTGCCGGAGATGCAGGAAGTGCATGGGGTGACGTCAAATCCCCGTCTGATGTTCATGCACCTTGATCAACTGGGGGCGTCCAGGCCTGGGGGGGAAGCATGAGATGCCCCTGGTCAATCTTCCACACTGACACTGTACTGCATGGCGGAAATGCAGCTCTTGCTTCCCCCCGCGACACTAATGCGCCTCTTTACTCGGATGAATTCCTTGAAGGGTGGTAGTTGACACCTTTCTAGAACCATGCATGTACGGCTTAGTCTCCACGGCTTAGTCTCCAGGTGCGTACAGGAATGCTTTGCCGGCTGTCGGATTAGGCGCATGTCCACCTTCCCCGGGTCAGCTCGGGATTCGTAATCATTCGGGAAATTGTGGGATATGCTAAGTATAGAAACTACCTGTGTAGAGATCGTGTGATGGGAGTTTATATTGATATTTGATATCATATTTCATTAGGTGATCTAGACCTGGAATATGCACCGCAGGCCTGTGAAAGCAAGAATATCAATAGGGCCCAGACCAAGCTCTTAAAAACTGATAGCTAAGCAATATACGTCCGAGCAAATCTCTCGTCATCCCCATTCCTTGTTTCTCAGCTCTGATATCCGCCGAGGCACGAACTTGGCGGCGATTCTAGAACATGACTCTAGAACATGCATCTACTGCGCAGGCTGCCAAAGCCAACCTGCAGGGTCAAAGCAGGATTCAAAGTCGACGCCACCAAACACCCCAATGGCCCCATATAGATCGAAATCACCTTCCAGACCATTGATTCCCCCGGATTCTTCATCCACCTCTTCGTGCAAGTCCCACCCCCCGGCCCGATGGCCATTCCGGGTGAAGAATACCTCCACCTTACAAGGCCGCTTGATCCCCTGATGTCTCGCATCGCCGCTAAACTCAGGAAGGGAAAAGACCATGCCAACCCCAACGGTCTCACCCACATTAACAGGGGAAGTAAAGTCCCGCCCACCCCACGAATCGTTCACGAATCGACACCCATCGTCGGAGAAGATACCCAGGCTTCCCCGCTCCCAGCCGGGTGATCGCCAGGAGGGATAGGGCTGAGCCACGAACCCGATGGAGAAGCCACTTTCGTCAGCATTTCCCGATCCAGGTTTGGCCCTGCGAGCCAGCAGTTTCACCTCGAAATAGATCATTTTGTGCATCTCACGGATAAAGGGTGAGTCTGCAGCGGCAAAGTAGAGTGGTAGATGCGTAGTGACTAGGCAGTCTCCGTTTTGGTCTGCAGTGTGACCGTACCATTTTCCCTGGCCCGTTGATTGGAGGTTTCCGACGAATTCATTTGCTCGTACGGGTCGTAGGTCGTGATGTTGGACTGCGCTGTAGACGACCTCGGAGGGTCGAGCTGGGATGTAGAGTGGAGTGTTGTTGCAGAATGCATGGGCTCGCTCTGCATCGTCACTGGATGCATTTCCTGTGCCTGAGGTGTAGTAACCTGATACTGGTGGTGGTGGGAAGATAGCGGTGTCCGGGACGGCTTCTTGCCAGTTGTGGTATGGTGGTGGGTCCCCTCCATCAGCTCCCTGCTTTGATGCCTCCTCGTAGCTTGGGGGTGGGGGTGGACCCGAGATCTGAGATTTGAATTTCTGCATTATGCCTGTTTTCTTCATTGTTGTGATGGTGGAGTCTCTTTGATTTGCTGGGTGACTGGACTAGTTGTGATGTGAATGCTCCGGTTCCCGGTTGGTTTAAGGTTGAGCTGGTTTCCACGGTGCCAAGCGGGGCTGTGTGGGTGAGCCGTGGGTCGTTCTACTTAGGAATCTGGGGATAGTAAGTTCTAGATTAGTAGTATTATAGTTCATCATAATGATGACTGTCATGTCATGTCTACCACACCTATTCATACCTGTAGATCTTACAATGAGAGATGTCGTGTTTCCAACTCGGCCATGCTGGGCTACATAGCAATCATTCCGGCAAAAGAAACTCAGAAACAAAGAAAAAAGGATCCAATCTCCATAGAAAGTGAGACAAACGGAGTCGAGGCAAATTGATGTTGGTGACTAAGGCAATTGTAAAACGGCACTAAGAATAGTACCCTGCAGCAGTGTCTCACATGTTGGAACGGGAAATCTCAAGTGTCACAAAACCACACAGTGGCGCGATTTGGAATTTACTCCTCAGACCACCCTCGGGGGGATTTTTGGTGACGGAGAGGACTTTTCACTCTCATGCCTTTCCTGCTCCCTGGGTCTACCATTGTTTTCACTGGGCACGATGTCGGCCGATCTGCCCCGCCGACGGCGATCTTCCTTCTCAGAGCGCTTCCAGCGCGTCTTTAGTAGTGATCGAGCTGATCAAGACAAGGTAGGCTTTCTTCCAAGCTCTTGCGAGGTCTCCTGTTGACAGGTTGTAGAAACGCCAGAGTCTAGGACCAGGCACCCCGCAAACCCCGTCCCGTGTTTCAGCTCAACCGAGCGACGACAATGATTCCAAGTCAGCAGCAACTGCCGCGCCATCGGTGCCTGATGATTCAGGACTCGGCTCCTTCAATTTCTCGTCGGACTCTCGTGTTCCTTCCCTCAGCACTACGGGCTCTAGCGCATCTGTCCGCGCAATTCACAAGGATGAGGACTCCACTCAGCAAATGACAACCGAGGCTAAGCAGGTAGTGGAACTTGATCAGGTAAACTCCTCGCCAACATGGAAAAAAGATACACCGCGGAAAGAGAGGCGAGCGACCAAGCGACTAGAGGCAGAGAGGAAGGAGCTGGAGAAGCGTATGCTTCAGCTAGAGCAAAACCAGACCCAGGCCGACGGTGGCAACTCTGATCGCAGCAGCCGCCGCTTGGTCAAGAAACAAAAGGCGAGCTCGGAGCGATCCTCCAGTGCTGGCAGCTCGCGACTGAGATCGTCATCCATTGGGCGATTCTTCACACGCTCCCGTCGAGGCTCTCAAACAGGGATTGATTCCGCGAATGAAAGTGACATTGAATCTGCTCGTGGCTCCGCTGATGCAAACCCGGCAGCACCTGTTCCACCATCAATCCCGTTGGCGCTCGAGGAACGTTTTGGGGCTGATGTTTCACGGGAGCTGGCGACCCGACATGGAACTACCTTGCTCCCTGCGAATCAGCTCGCTTCAAACCAATCCCGATCAGTCTCATCTCAGCATCCTCAGAAATCGCAGCGCTTACACCATACCCCATTGAAGTCAGACGATCTTCGAGAAAACTGGAAGATGGCAGAGGAGTGGCAAAAGACACAGGGCGGCGAGCCTGGCCCGGGTTTTATTAAACCAGACAGCTTGGTCGGGGGGAGGCAATCCCCGCGAGCATCACTTTATGGAACGGACCTTGACCAAGAATTCACTGTAACTCCAAAGAACGGGAGGAAGACCCCTAAGACCCCAAATATCGGCTCTCCAAGCGCCGGAGCTGCGACTGACCAGTTGGGTCTGTCTTCGACAAACACTCTAGAGGGCATTCCACAAGATGCTGACCCCTCAGCTATGCGAATCACAACTGTGAAGCAGCAACGTGACTTTTCCAGCTCAATGTCAGAGGACTCATCTGGTTCAAACAGCACAGTGGATATCCAGTCGTCTATGCCTGTTGAAAAATATCCTACGAGGAACCGCGTAGAATCTACTCCGCAGAGTTATCAGAGGGTCTACAAATCCTCACCTTTGGCCATGAACCCAAATAGCCCCGACAGCCCTACCCAGTCGTCAAATGATGACCCTTCGCTGCGTACAGATAAGCTGGATCTGCCGAAGCCCCTGCGGATCTCAAAGATTCCTCAATTCGAGGGGCCTCTATCGCGCAATCAACAATTGGCTCCAGTCTCCTCATCTGAGCAGGCTCAAAGTCAGCCTAAGAGGGCTAGTCCCGGTAAAAACCGGGAGTCACTTCATGGATCATGGCCGTTGACTGGGAACGATATTCAGCAGGAGAACCGCAATTCGCAAACAGACTATCAGGAGCCACCAATTCCCCGAGGATCAAGCAACCCTCCTCATGCGATAGCTCCTCCCAAGCATCCAGGTCGACGAAGTCTTGAAGACCACACTCCGAAGTGGACAAGTAATAGAAAGCCGACAGGAAGCACTGCCTCAGATGGTGCTCGCGGCTCCAAAGAGCCACAAATTCATCACCTATCTCCGCGAAGGGTTACTGACGGAGGAATATCTCCAGCGGACTGGAATGACCCTGACCATAGACGGTCATCCATATCATCCCTAGCATCAAGCTACAATACAGCCGACGAAGAAAAGCTCGACGTGCCTCCAGGACGTTCGAAACGAGCATCCCTCCCAGCTCCCGAACGCAAAGAAGCAAAGCCCGCCCCTACAGAAGTCGCTATAAAGGAGACACCCACAAGTGCCACCAGCCCTCGAACCAACCCAGTAGCATCTGGCTCAATAAACATGCTACGCAAAGCCCCCATGCAAAAGATGAAACCACCTCGTTCAGACGACGTCCTCACCAAGCTGTTCGTCATTTGCTGTCAATGCAAGTACTGGCACGATATGCCATCAGATGTATATGGAAAACTTGCCGTTCCTGAACAACGGCTTTCTACTGGATCTAGGTTAGCAAGAACTTTTTCGCGACGGAATTCGGGGAAGAACTCGACGTTCTCCTCGGACCCTAAAGATCCACGACGTATGCCTGTGCCGAAGCGCGGAGCTCCTAATGGGCAGCCTGGGGGCCCAGCTGGAGAAGGCTCCGTGGTACCATCTCAGCAAGGCCCTGTTCCGAGGCATCAATGCTGCTGGTGTGCGCATGGTATGAGTAAAGCTTGTTGTCAAGGTTGGATTGCTCTTGTTCAAATGCGCGAACGGTATCATTGATCTCGAGCAACTCATCTTTGTATGGATTTGATGGATTATGATCACGATTTGATGTCTTCTTTCCTTTTATACATGCTGTCCAGGTGTTTGACATACCCATCAATTTAGTCTCCATTTATGTTGTATTCTTGGATTTATCTAGCTTAAAATTTCGCAAATCTGAAAACTAAATAGGATTCAAAGATGGATGTTCAATAATACCTCACCATCTAGGCTTCTAGAAGCGTTAGACACTGGATATTTTTAGTTAGTCTGCTTTTGTGCATGATTTACTTCATTGTATACTACTAAAGACGGCACTACTCGTATGCACCAAGGAAAGTCTATATTAGCTTGCTCATGATACTAAATGAAAGTCAAACTTGAACAAGTCATCAGTGGTCAGCAAACGAACATTGCAAGTGAAGTTCAAGCTGAAGTTGTGGAGCTGAAATCGATCTAGACTTACCAAGGTTAAAAGTGGATTGATTATCCGAGCAACCTCGGCATTTCACGCGGGGAAACCCCAACTCCATAATATTTTCTAAAGTCCATCCCAACTCTCCCCCTTTACATCCAGACATTATTCCAAAGAACCCCCATAAATCAAATCAAATCAAATCAAGATGCGCGCCGTCCAAGTCAGCGAATACGTCAAGGTTCGTCCCAATGCACCTACCTCGGTAACCAAGCTAACAAAACCAGGGCCCTCTCGAGCTCACAGTCTCAACCGTCCCCACCCCATCACCAGCAACAGATAAATACCTCATCGAGATCCACTCAGCCGGTACCAATTTCTTTGATATCCTCCAAATCCAAGGAAAATACCAACATCAACCTCCCCTCCCCTGGATCGGAGGCTCCGAGTTCGCGGGAACAATCCTCGCTGTCCCTACATCCTCATCTACCCCGAAGTTCAAGGTCGGAGATCGAGTCTTCGGCGCAACCCAAGGCGCATACGCGACTCACATCCTTGCGCCGGAGGCCTCTTTACTCCCCGTGCCTCAGGGGTGGAGTTTCGAGGATGCAGCCGGATTATTCGTTACGGCTCCTACGTCCTACGGAGCCCTTGTGCACCGTGCCGGTGTGAAAGCCGGTGACTGGGTTCTTGTCCATGCTGCTGCTGGCGGTGTTGGACTTGCAGCTGTGCAGATTGCCAAGGCTAAGGGTGCGACTGTGATCGCGACGGCTGGAACGAAGCGGAAGCGTGAGATTGCGGTGGAGTTTGGGGCTGATTATGTCATTGATTATACTAACAAGGCTTGGCCGGAGGAGGTGAAGAAGCTTTGTGCTGAGAAGAGGACGGGCAATGGCAAGGCCGGTGTTGATATCGTTTATGATCCTGTTGGTTTGATTGACGCTAGTTTGAAGTGTGTTGCGTGGAATGCGCGGTTGTTGGTTATTGGCTTCGCGGCTGGTAAGATTGAGAAGGTTGCGCTGAATCGGGTTCTGTTGAAGAATGTCAGTCTGGTTGGACTTCATTGGGGCATGTATGCGAAGTTTGAGACGGAGACGGTTCAGGCGGTTTGGAAGGGCATCTTTGATCTTGTTGCTCAAGGTCAGTTCCGGGGAACAGCGTTTAAGGATGAGAGTTTTGTTGGCTTGGAGAGTGTGCCTGGGGCCTTGAAGGCGCTCGGTGGTCGTGAAACTTGGGGAAAGGTTGTGGTGAATGTTGTTGGTAATGAGAAGGCTAAGAGCCGGCTGTAGAGCTTCCAAGATTGTGATGGACTAGTGTATATGGGAGAAACGATGAGGCATAAAGGCATATAAATCGACGATGTGTATCAATTGGATTTCAGGTTGCATTGGTAGAATAAGGTATGTAGAGCGCAAGGAGTCATGCTCTCGTAGAAAAGATAACATCCTCCCGAAAGAAGAAGACTCGAGCAAGTAAACATGAACTATGAAGGCCCTTATTTGTTCTAGCAACTCTTAGAGTCAACGCCCAGGTTTCCTCCTTCGAGAAATCTCAAATGAGGAACACCAGACGCGCAACCCAGCTCCAGTCTATCACGGCCACAAGACGCGACGCTGTGAAGACCGTCCTCCAAAAAGGGTCCGTGAAAAGTCCAAAGGACAGGAACAGCTGGATTGTGGAGTTGCGGATGTGTTTATTGGCATGAGACCCTTGAATCGAGGGAATCAACTGAATGAGGTTAGTAGTTCAAAAAGAAGGTATTTAGCATCATACATGCGGTGTACACAGAAACAGCATCAGATTCTGGCAACCACTGGATTGATGATGAGTTTGGGATGAAAATGAAAAGATGAAAAAATAACGGAACACGGGCTCGGATTCACGTTATTCCGTCGCTTAGTCATTCAAGGTCGATCATCCGTTGGAGCTCATTCCAATACCAAGGTTGACAATTAAGCTAAAGGCAATCTCCAACTGCTGTTCGATCCATTTTAAATCCCTCAATTTAAGAAAGAGATAACAGGGTCACAGTTACTCAAACTTCAGACCAGTCAGTCCAAGAATAGCAGTCCATCCGATTGCTGCCCATCCGGCAGTTGTCTTTCGGCAATGAGGCAATACTCTTCTCAACCTCGGCACAGCAGGACTGGATGATCGTCATTTAAGCTTTTGATTGCCCCTCCAAACGGCGTGATCTCCGCCACGTGTAAACAAAAGGCAATGAGCTCCGGGTGGATCGTGGATCAGACCGTTTTTGGGCATGGAATTACAGAAGATAAGGTTCGCTAATCTGAATAATTGGTAAGTGCAGGGTCCATCATGAAACCGTCATCTCCCCTGGCACGGATGAGTGCCTCAACTGGGATAGGGCTGTTTTGGAGTTGTGAGGGGTTTCAGCTTGATTGGAGGGAAGTCATCCGTGAATCGTCAGTTTCAATTTCGGGTTTGTGGCTTCTGGTTGGTACCTCGTTCTCGGATCTGTCGGCAATCGATCTAGGAACTTCCGACGGATCCAGGAACGTACGATTGACCTAGGAGCTTATGATTGGATTGGAATGTTCATGGAATATTGGATGTATGTGCTTTGTTTCAGAAGATGATATGTAATATGTCATATGTAACATGTATGTGATATGATAGAAATCGGGATATAGTAAAGAGAGCTAGGAAATTGAAACAGGCCGATGCAGAAATGGTCAAAACAGTTCAAGTACAGGTCAATTCAAGAGGTATCAATTAACAAATGCCCACCCAACGCCGTAAACACCAGCAAAAATAGACAACCACCCTCAGTTCAACACCAGTATGTCATACACAATATATTGGATACACCCATTTTCACAGAATAGATGGGAAATGTTCAGAGAAAGAAAAATGAAAGGAACGAGCAAATAGCTCAGGTATCAGAAGAGTTTCAGTATCCCACACCGGGGTGTTGCTTGTGCACAATAGGATCCTGCCCCATGTAAGGAAGAAGCGGTGCGCACATCATATTGTGCGAAGACTGAGAAGGAAGAGGCACCATGCCCGGTGCGTGCGCTGGGTGCTTCCGCTCCGCATGCTCCGGCCGAGAGGACGGATGTCCCGCATAGTCATAGTGGAGCGACATAGTGCGCTTCCACGGCTTGGGATCATACCCGTGGTGGTAGTCCGGTACCTCGCCAGGGTAGGCAAACTCTGAATAGATGCCCGGGGCTGGGGGTGCCATAGACATGTGGTCCCGGTATCCAGGAGGCGCCATGTGGGAATGATGCACACCGGAAGGCGGAGTGATGGGCTCAAAAGGCATGGGGTACCATTGTCCAGGGTGCAAAGCTGGGTTGAGGCCCATGTCGACGGAAACGGCGCGAGACTGCCATGGAATTGCGGCTGTGGCGGACCCGGGACTGGGGACACCCGAGTCGGGAGAAAGAGGGTATCCCGCGTAAGTGGGGGTTAAAACTGAGGTGGTGTTGAGCATGAGAGCCTCATCCACGGGGGAAGTCTGAGCGGGCTGCTCGAAGGATGAGGTGGTTGGGCTGTGGTCGTAGTGGACGGATGGTCTCTCTACCATGAGACCATGTTCGACCGATGGGCTGGGAGTTAACTGAGATGGCAGTGATGCAGTCCATTTGGGGTGATCGTTTGATTGAAGCTCTGGAGCGTATGGGTATGTGCTCCAGTTGGGACGGGACTTCTCCGTGCGCACGGGAGATGGCCGGCTGTGGGGGAAGTCGAAGATCTCTTGACATCCTTGTCTGAGTCGTCGTCATCTGCATTGGGCTTCTTGCGAGTTTGGCGCGATGGCTTGGTCACTCGCCATTTCTTCAAGCGACTGCGCAATTGTGTTTCACTGGAGGAAGTGTGAGAAAGAATTTCCTAAAACCCAAAAGGACGATACTAACCTGGGATTGAAATCGTCGCTCCGAATTTGCTTGATGACTTGTTTCAATGGCCATTCTTCTTCCATGTATAACTTGGCAATCAACGCCTTCTTCTTCTCCCATACATCAGACGAGATTGATGTCTTCATCCTTTTCAGTGAGTCAGAAAAGGAATGAAGAGAAAATGTGGTGGTGGTACAAAATGGTGGACGTTGTAGTGTTGGTGGAGGCGATGGATGGGGGGGAGTCGAACAAGGATATAAGAATCCGATAGGGGGAAATTAGAATAAAATAGTCCAAGCAGGATCACTTAATCAAATAATCGTAAGTGGAGAAGAAGTGGTTCCGGGGAGGCGCGATATGAACAGACCAACGACTCAGGGTCTTTGGGTCTTTGGGTCTGGGTTGGAAAAAAACAACTCCACTTTCATTTTCCATGGTGTCGGGTCTGTCAACGTGCTCTCGTCGATCCTGACGAGATGCTTGACGTGGGAGTTTCGGATCGACGATCCTCAGGGCTTTAGGAGTGGATCATTGACATCTCCAACCAAACATCAACTATCCCCAATGGAGTCCTTGGCGCATATCCGGTTCGACAAAGACTCGGATTTGACTGATCATCTTTTCCCGTGACAGCTGACAGCTCTCTTTGTCTGAGACTGCCATTCTAACAGAAACTAGTTCAAACAAGATGTGGTCTCCCTACAGGTGATCTATCGTGATGCCCAACTCCGAATCCATGTTAGCAGCCAGGTTGGCCCATTCCGCATATCGGATCAACCTCAGATGGGGTAGAACCCCGTGCGTTTGATTTACGGTTAGTTTTACCAAGCCATTCCAGATAAGCCCTTCCCCCAGGCCGATCCCCACCTCAGGAGGTACTGGATCTCCAAACCCGCCGATCATCGCCGGACCGGGGATCCTCACGCGGTCTATTCGGCTCTTCACCGGATATCTTCCCCAAAGGAGATGATCTGAGCTTGTTAAACGTTTCAACTAATTGGGTTCCTCCAAACATGTGCAACGGTTATCGATGCCGAATGGTAATAGCTCCGCGGATCAAAAAATGAGGTACACAAGTCAATGGAAGAGGCAAACGTGCCTGAGCGGCTCCGGATCCTCGTTGATCCATGCGGGCCCAACACGGAACAAGGCACCTCGTTGCCTCCGGTGACTCGTTCGTTCCTGCCGCACGCCGACCACGCAGGCTTTACGCAGGCTTTACGCAGATTTTACGCAGACTTTACGCAGAGTTACCCCTTCTGGCTAATTATCGCCCTGGGCCGAAGACGCTAAGAATGAAAATGGAATGGTATCAGCCTAGTGGAAGCCCCTCTCGGGCGAGACCAATGATGAGGTGATCCATGGAGCAACAGTTCGTGAGTGCGCCAATCGACAGGGATGTGGATCCCCCCGATCTGCCCGGGTACTCAATAGTGGGTGAAGTGGAGTCACCCTTGAGACTAGAGCCTCCAGTCATATTGTCGACTGTTGGACGCCACAAGCTTACAGCCTGACACCTGGAACAACAGCACTGGGAGAAATTAAAAAGTGGAAAAGGAAAAAGGAAAAAAAAAAAAACCAAAGCAAAAAACAAGGAAAATGCAACTTTCTGTCTCTCCCCGGCGCAGTGACGGCCGACATCGCAATTGGTGTCAAGTGTGCGTGGATTCTGGCAACTGCATGTCGTATCTTGAAAGTTATCAAAGGTGTTTTCTTCACGTGTACTTCGTGAACCTACTCCAACCCAGTCCTAAGGATCTTCGATTTCCACGTTTGGGAGAAAATCGGTAGCTTTCGGGAACAAAACATCTGGGAGATTCCGTGCACTTTTCGCCTCCCTAACTACCGGTACCTGCTACCGAAACCCTAATACTTTCTCTTTGTTCGGATTAAACCTATACAGTATCTCCAAGACCGAGCCTCGGTCCTTAGGGGGTGATGTATCCAGTCGGACTTTACAGCGTGTGGGGATCGGCGAACAGGATCGCTCTCGAATGGCGCCATTCCAGCTTAGGCTGGCAGTCACGGCGACACGGCGAATTATCGCAGAAATTGTACGAGATAGAAGGGGCACACAAGCTTGGCAGGAGCGGAAGGGGGCGGAATGGGAGATCTCCCCAGGCTTTACGAAGGACTCCAGGCTAACAATGTCCAAGCAAGCCTATGCTTAGGTCATCGCCTTATAGGGTTAGAGTGCAGGAGTGTTAATGTACGGGGGACATGAGACTAATTCTCTACCAATCACGATATTCGTCCGCGGAAATACTTAATCACCGGTCAGTTTTTTCCTAATTCGATGTGAAACCTGGTCAATCATGCCATGCAGATTAAAAAAAAAAGTAAAAAGACCGAACGAGAGCAAATAGCATCTCCAGATTTACCGTGGATCTCTGCACCTCATGACGGATCTGACCCCCGAAACGGGTTAAACCCCCGCTGCGTGGATCGACATCTCCACTTTTTATAGGAGAGTCCGGTGAATACTCGGTAGCATCGAAACGGCCGTGAAGAATACTGAACCGTGGAAACTGCGTTTTACTTATGGGTATCGCCCTACAACAAGGTTTTTGGGGTAATTTCGTCTCCAACTCCCTTCGTCCTTTCGTATTCCTTCCGTATTCTTTTCATTTCCTGTCACCGCGCCTATACCCCACCCGGTCTGCCGGATGTGCATCTCCACCAGCCATTGAGGTCACCGGTGCATTGATGCTCTTCGGAGTAGTCTGGCCGAGAGCATACCCGCCTGATCGACGGCTCCCGTGATCGACCGGTATACTCATAATCCCATGTGCAGAGTGGACTCGGATCCTTCCTTGAGGATCATTGCTATAGTACGGAGTAATTAGTTGGGGTGATAATCTGCAGCCCCCGGGGCCCCTTGGCAGCCTTACGCTACAGTATAAATATACACTTTTCATACACAGTTCGAATGTGAAACATCCTCCTTCTTTTTTGTCATTCCCTGGAGAAGTATAACGCCTCGCGTCGAGGTTCAAACTCAAAATCAAAACAACTTGGCCAAGGCAAAGAGGCAAAGACACCTCCATGACGCAGCGTACGAGGGAATGAGGACTCCGAGATAGCTTCGACCCTAGCGTTAGGGCTAATTGAATTGCCGCGGAGATCACTTTCTCCTGGTCTGATAAATGAACTCCACATACGTAGCCAAATCTAAGTAAACATAGTCGCTTTTACTAACTGCTTCTAGAACCAGTATGATTCAGTCCATGCAGACCCAGGTGGCGGAATCTAAGCCGAAATTAATAAGAAAAAAAAGCCTCTGGATCCACTTAACGAGATGAGTATATTGTCCGGGCAGTTTTGGTCTTTTTAAGAATAGATTTAATTTAGAAGTATTTGTCAATTGTGGAGTATATACCCGGTCGGATGTGCATCGGAAGCCTCATTCCAAGAAGAGTAAGAGTTGGGAGAAAGTAAACCTACACTAGCGTGGTGGATCGGATAGGAATCGTAGATTTTAGCCACGAGATGAAATAGTAAAAGTGGGCTCTTTTGCCCCGAAGGAGTCTAGACGTTAATCAAAATACTGGCGCTAAATGCCCGGCGTGAAGTATAAATATACAGAGTTTTTTTAATCTCGAACATTATAGATGGTCTCGGTCTTGTCCCTTTGATCCATACACACGGTCCTCTGGTTCGTTCTTCTCTCCACTCTTTTTTTCGACACTATTACAAAGTAGTATTCCCACGTGGATACTCCGGCGCAGTGCAATTAAACAAAAAGGGGTTTACAGGTACAGGTCAGGTGAGGAGAGAGGGAATAGGGATTGCCAATGGCAACAAACAAATAGAAAAAGAAATAAAAGTACTTCAACGCACGCTCAATTAGGTAGTCACGCCCGGCACAAATACATGGGGATCCGAACTATGGGATTGTGAAACGGTTGGGGAGAAGAGTGGAGTTGATGATGATGATTCCCCGTGACCTGGGAACAACAATCAAACAAGGAAAGAGACTCTGGACTTTGTGAAGGATTTTTAGACCCAGCCAATTGGTCAGCGGCGGCGTTTGAGGTGGTGTTCCTTGCCCTTCTTGGACTTTTTCTTGCTCTTGTCCACCGGAAGCACCAGGGGTTCGTCACGCATGTTCCATTCCATGTAACGAAGCAGATAGTCGTCAATATGACCAGGTTCCGGATCAGCCCCTGCATCGGGCGCAGTGGAAGCTTGACCCTCACCAGAACCGGGCAATGGAGTACCAGCCTGAGCGGGGGTTCCATGTGAAGGACTGCGCTCTTCAAAGTCGCCATCGTCTGCATGCTCCAATTCTTTTTGGGCATTCTTGGCCGCGTCGATATCCTCTTTGTCTTCGGCCTGTTCGAAAGCCCGGTTGCCACCTGCAACGCGGTTGCCTAGGACCCGGTCCATGGCGGCACTGGCTTCGTCTTGGCCGTCGCGCTCATCGGTCTCTTCCACCTGAGCATCTCGGAGTTTGGTAAAGTAGTCCGTTGTGAACTCGCCCTCTTGGATAATCACATCGTCTAGCATTCGTTTCTGGTTGGCCTTGCGGAGGATGTTGGACTCGATGGTATACTCGGACACAAAGCGGTAGATGTGGACATCTCGGGTCTGGCCAATTCGGTGGCAACGATCTTGACACTGTTTGTCCATGGCCGGGTTCCAGTCCAGGTCGTAGAAAATGACAGTGTCAGCGCCCGTCAAATTGATACCGAGACCACCGGATCGACTGGAAAGGATGAATGCCAGAATGCGGGGGTCACTGTTGAACCGCTCGGTCAACATCTGACGCGATTCAACCTTTGTAGTACCGTCCAGTCGTAGATAGCGGTGCCCGTGGATGTTGAGGAACTGCTCCAGAATATCCAGCATCTTGGTCATCTGCGTGAAGATCAAGGCGCGATGACCGCCGGCCTTCAGGTCACGTAGCAACTTATCCAACCGCTGTAGTTTACCACAATCGTATTGTAGCAACCGCTTGTCTGGGAAAGCAATCGAAAGACGCATGCGAGCCTCATGGAAGGGGTCATACGGCTGGTCTTTGGCGGTGTTGGTCAAGAGTCTTGTCTCGACTGGAGTCAAAGCGGCCTCTGTCATGCCTGACGCAACAGCAGCCGGCGTGACGCAAGCGAATCGCTGAACGTAGCCGTCCATCTCAAGAGAGCGTTCTTCGAGGGTCAGAATCATGGAAGCAAGAACGGATGACCGACTCGAAAGCCACTCAGCCATATTGCTCTTTCGCAAGGGTGCGTTGGAAAGCGCGTGTTCCTTAGTACCGGCTCTCAGGAACTCAATCAGGCTGCTACCGTATATAGGCCGGCGACCGTGACGCTTGGACTCAAAGTACAAACATCGCTCTAATTCAGCCATTCGTCTCTTCCGGCTGGCATTCTCCAAAGACTCTAGAATTGTTTCCATAGTAGAGCCGTTGAACTCCATCTGCCAATTGGTGCGGTTGTATTGCCGCTCACGAAGAGTCTTGAACGGCCCGAACGCCATGAGTCGGATACTGTCATCAGCTAGTCGCCTCGAAATGTCCTCTCGAGATACAGGGGCCAGGTTGAGGAAGTCCAAATCGACCTTAGTGAGAGGATGATCAAAGAGCAGTCGTCGCCGAACAAGGCCTTCTTTCATTTGGTAGTCGGTGGCCACAGAACGCGGCATTGCGAAGGAGGTGGAAATTGGTCTTGTCTCAAACAGATCAGGATGGTTACAGACCTTGCGGAGCTGCATGAGACAATGAATGATGGAAAGAAAATTGCCGGATGCAAGCGTTTCCTTGGTTTGGGCCATCGACATGAAACCATCGTACAGGAATCGCTGGCGCTTTGACAGACGACAATACATGACATGCTCATACTTTCCAGGCATCTGTTTCTCGACATCCGCCTTCATACGACGCAGAATATATGGACGAAGGACGGTATGGAGCTTGGTAACTACCTGCTTGGCTTCGTCATCCATAGTCTCTCTTCCGTGCTCCAGAATCTGTTCCACTGGTCGTCGGAACCACTCGGAAAAGTCCTTCAAGTCAGCGAAGCCTTCAACACCACCAGCGCCATCGCCATCGGAAGGCATCAAGAAGAACAGAAGAGACCAAAGCTCGGTCAAATTATTCTGAAGCGGTGTACCAGTCAAGAGCAACCGGGCTCGTGTCCTGAATGTGAGAAGAGCTTGCCATCTTTGCGAACGGAAATTCTTGATGTTATGCGCTTCATCGAGAATCATATAATGCCAGGCCCGTCTTTTCAAGGATACCTGATCTTGCAAGATAAGCTGATATGATGTAATCAACACATTCCAAGAGTTGTCGTCAGTCCAGCCTTTGCGTTTCTGTTTGCGCTCTTCTTGGTTTCCGTAGTAGGTCATGATCTTGAAACCTGGACACCACTTTTTGAATTCCATTTCCCAGTTGAGCATGACACTGGTAGGCACAACTACAAGATGCGGACCCCAAACTCCATGGTCCACAGCAAGGTGGGCAAGTAGAGCAATGGTTTGAATTGTCTTTCCAAGACCCATCTCGTCGGCCAAGATACCGTTGATTCGGTTATTGTAGAGGCCAGCAAGCCAGTCCAGTCCATAGTGCTGGTACTCACGTAGGGTACCGCGCAGCAGATGGGGGATGGGAGTCTTCAAACCGGGTGCAGGTGAATGGCTCTCCTGCAATGCTTTCTCAACTGCAGGTTCATATGAAGAGACAGACTCGGGCTCAGAGGGTTTGGTTGCGAAAGTCCCTGGGGATACTTCACTGGACACTTCTCCATTGCGGCGGCTGTCCTGCAGTGGTTCAATATCAATTTGCTGGACTTGGTCCACTGGTTCGCTGTCCCCTGGTACCTCGAGAACACTAGGCTCAGGAAGCACTGTTTCAGAAAGATCATCCTTCATATGGGCATCAACTGTGGGAGTATTGACCGTCGAAGTATCAACCATAGAGGCGTCTTCAACATCTGCAGGGATGGCTATGGAGGCTTCGACGACTTCTGAAGGAGTAGTTTCATCTGGCATCTCTTCATCCTCGTTGGTATGTATCCCGTTAGGGACTAGAGAAACCTCGTCCAGATCCTCTGTATCGTTATCCAGGGCTTCTTCTCCTGGGGTCTTATACTCCTCGTCATTAGACTCATCTTCGTCAAGTTCTTGCACAACCGCTCCGACTGAATCCTTATCACTGGCCCGTTGCTTGCGTGAGAAGAATCCGAGCATACCACTAGCATCACTGCCATCGGATTCGTCGCCAGATTCTTCATTTCCGGAGCCGCTCTCGTCTTCACTATCGCTCATCTCCTCACTCATGTCAACTGATTCATCACTATCATCCATCAAAACTGAATCCACGTCATCCAGCTGAGTATCGCCGGGGTTGACACTGGCATCTGTCTCATCGGGCACAACTTCGCTATCAATGACGGACGCAGAGACTACGGACATCTGATCAGGTGTGTCCTCATCCGGCAGACTAGCGTACTTCGATCGGAGCTCCTCAGCCGTCAATTTAGCATCATCGTCAATATTGCCTTCGTCGTCGGTTTCAGACTCAGATGTCGACATGTTGCTATCATTGTCTGCCGCAGATGCGTTTGAGGAATAGTCTGTCTCCCCGTCATCTTCGTCGCTTGAAACAGGAGCATCGCTGGGAACCTCTCCTAGGATTTCAGACCGGCGTTTCTCAAACAGCATGGTTGACTTTCTAATGGCGCGATCGAGGGCTTGCTGATCTTGAACTTTTCGCTCTTCCTCCCAACGTGCGAGGCGCACCCGGTCAATATCGGCACGTGTCAAGTCGAACATCTTCTGAAGGTCCTTGGCCAATTGTTTGCGCTTCCCACGCATTTCTTCTTGCTGTTCCCGCAGAATGTCCTCGGGGTTCTTGTGGCGTTTTCTGTATGCATCGGCGCACCATTGAGCAAAAAGCTTGGCTGTTTGCCGATGGCGTTTATGCTCTTTTTCAAGAAGCTTCTGGAAATAGAGTGCATGTGCCACTAAGTGATCTTGGTGCGAATACTGGAATGGCGGTTCCTCCTGCGGTTCCGCGATATATGCAGAACAGACCTCTGAGCTCAATGGCCCGCCAGGTTCCGCTGCATTCAACACTTGTTGCCGCCTCTGCGCCTCCTCGAGGGCTTCCTCCGAAGATAACAAATTCGGCGCATCCTCATGATCAACCCATTCTCTGAACGACTCGTATTTCTTGCCGGACACGTGGCCGGGATGTCGGATTGGCAGTATTGGCTTTTTCACCTTGATTCGGATTCGCGGCACCATCGGGGACCCTGACTCCAGATCCTCATTATGCTCATCCACTCCATCCAAGCCATGATCCGGTGCAGGTGATGTGGTTGGAAGGGAGGTTCGCGTACGGGTTTCACGAGGGCTGGCACCATTTGCGGCAGGGCGGGGTTGATTCGTAGTAGCGGAACTTCGAGATCGAGTGCGCGATTGAGATGACTTTGGTACGGGAGACTGTGAAGGAGGTTGTTGCTTACCGGACGCGCCTTTGGTAGGCACTGTCCTAGGTGAACCATTTGTAATCGGCTTGCCACCGAGCTTCCCGTTGGCACGCGACTGTGTCACAGCAAGTGGGGAGGACGTAACAGGTTTCGCCCCGCCTCGTGTGTTTTTTGTCACGTAGCTTTGCTGCGCCGCGCGTGTGTGTCGCTTGTCTGATGCCGGTTGCTGTTCTATAGGGACCGCGTTTTGCCGTGATGATCTGCGCCGACCTTCCACCAAGAACGACGTCGGTCCTTCCACGCCAACCTTCTTCCATGGCGGCGAAGGAGGCCGGGGAGTTGAGTTGCGCGACGGGGTCGAGTCTGTCAGGCGACGCTTCTTCGATGGTGGCTCTTCAAGCTGATGGCTAGCTTCGTCATTCGGCAAGGTAGGAATCGATTGGCAGGGGGTAGAATCGGATGGATATTCCACACCGGAAGCTTCCAGGTGGGGAGTATCAGGCACAGGCGTTACACGTTCATCTTGTGGTGATGGGCCGTTTGGGCTGCCGTTTTGCATGACTTATTGCCGCAGACGACAGGGGCCTTCTTCGCAGGTGACCCCAGTTATCCCAACGATGGCGCGGTCAAAATTGGCGATTTTGGCGTCAACGGGTAGCTATGATCGATTCAAGGTGCCACACAAAGTTTGGCATCCTTATCGGTACGAGGGCGTTGATGGGGACGAAAAAGGTAGTGAGATGGGGGGAATACGTGAGGAAGTGGTTTTTTTGTCGGGAACGAGCACTTACGACTTGTAAGCGCGCCGCGCCGTGGATGCCTATAATTCCAGGTGTCATAGTGCCTAAGGTGTCCACAGCCGCAAACCTCCGTCTCCATCATCGAATCATCCTGCACTTCATCTCCACCAATTTCCCTGACCTTTATCCCCTTCCCCATTGGTCTTCGATCTTTTGGCAGAGCAGTGAGTGTTGCTCCAATTTAGATTTTCCTTCGGATATATGAGGCATTACTGACGTTCAATCCCCCGTCCTTCCAGATGCTGTCTCAACGGATCCTAGCCCGGCGTCTGCCCCAGGTGGCTGCCCGCCACGCCATTGCCCCCCGCGCATCGTTCTCCCAGGTTGCAGCCCTCCGAGCTGCCGAAGCTGAAGACCCTCTACAGGTATTTGGTCTCTCTTGTGGTGGTAGTAACCAGGTGATCTAATGGCAATGGCAGAATGGTGGCTACCAAAACCCTCCCCGCGTGAAGCGTTCTTTCAGAGACCCCTACGGTGGCTGGTGGGATGCGCAAGAGAAGCGAAACTTTGGCGAGCCCGTCCACGAGGAGAACGAAATTCTCGGTGTCTTCAGTCCCGAGCAATACACCCACGTCTCTGCCGGCAAGGGTTTCTTCCACCTCGGATGCTTCGTTGCGGCCTTCCTTAGCGTGTGCGGCGTTGTCAGCCTCTACTACCCCGACAAGCCCAGCGTCCCCAAGGCTTACGTTGATGGTCTGGAGAAGGAGCTGGGTGGACCGAATGCGTCGCCGGTAAGACTTAGAAGCTTCCCTATGAATATACCACTATATGGAATGTCCATAACTAACCTTTACGCAGGCTCGCAAGGCTGGCGAGGACAAGTGGTAAACTTGCCTCTGCTCTCTTTTCTATTTCCCTTTTGTTGTGTGTGTAAATACCAAGACGATTTTGTTTCTCTCGATTTGGCGTCACTTGAGTGTCTGATGGTCGATTCGCCGAAAAACGGATTTCCGGCTCCTTGACGCATGTTGGATCAAGACCAGAACTAGATGTTCGATTACTGTGCTCCAACAGATTTTTCTTTTCAACTTGCTGTGCCATCTGTGCCACTTAGATTGTATCACCATACGCCGCACATTGGCATGAGCCACAGTCTATTCCAGGGTGGCAGCGCTCAATAATAGAAGGCGCTCTAAGATAGGATGGGATGCGTCACATGCCGACCTGTTTGGATTCACGTTCTCTTCCAACGGAGAACAACAAGGAACAAAGAATTACCTGTTCTGGCCAATAGGACAGGTTGTATAGACCACCCTTGCATTATGCTAGCATCATTGTTAGCTTGTAGATCAAACCCCTCCAAGGGAGAGGCTAGGGCTCTTATCCAAAGGCAAGAAAACAAGAATTCAGATATAAAACAAGTCCTCTCCCTTTGAAAATACTCAAACGGTGCTGAGTCTCCTGGGTTGATATCATATCTTTGTTTTGGTCCGGGCGCCTACGTCAGTCCACGGTAGCTTTTTGTTTCATCCGTTCCCCTCCTCTCCTTTCTTCTCCTAAGGTAAACATTTGAAACCCCATCACCGCCCCCTGCTCGGCCTAAGGTGTTCTCCCCCTCCGAGACATACCCACCTCAAACTCCAAAAAAAGACTTCCCGAAATTTCGCGCAGGGTTTCGTCCACGGATGCTGGCTGGTGGTCTGCGTCCATCTCCATCCATGGTCCCGCACTCCACTGCATTTCCCCGAACCGCATGCGAATACAGACCTCATGTCGACAGCATCTAGTCAGTCCCGAGGAGTCAACCGACGGATCAACAGTATCCAAAATGAAGGTCGCCATTCGCGCAACTCCTCCGTTTCACGGCGCCGACCACTCAGCGCCAACGTCGCGTGCAGCCATGCGCTCCGCGTAGCCTACCTCGCCTATCTCCTACACCCGCGATCTCGTCGCACTCAGAGCGTACCCGCCGCGCCGGCGCGGCCCAAGCGATCAAATACCTCGATTCATGATTTGATGAGTGACTTTTCGCTGGTCAGGGATTCTAAGAGCACACGAATTCCTCATGGCTTTGTGGCCGAGCTGGAGCAACGGTTGACGGGCGTTTTGATAGGAAAAGAGAAGCGGAAGGAGTACCAGGACCATCTGGTAGTGCGCACATTTGCTGCCTTTCTTAATGTGCTAAAGGAGGATTCCTTCCGCAAGCGCATGGAAAAGGACCGGCGGGCGGAGGACCTGGTTCTAATTTTCTATTCAAATGCGATCAAGGAGTTGAGCAAGGGCAAAGAGCATGATGACGATGGCTGGAAGCTCATGGTGGATCGACACGTTGCGCTGTTTGTCCGATTGCTTGCGCTGGTTCTGAAAGCACATGAAGGGGGCAAGGACCGCCCAGAGCTGGCAAATCGATTGTCTGTACTGGAGAACAAGCTTCTAGTGCAGGACCAGGACTTAACGAACGCGAACAGTACGGCCTCAACCATCGAGGTTGTCGCTCCATTGAGCTACAACGTCAAGGACATGCCCCTGGTGCAACATGTGGCCAAAATCTTCGGAATGACGACTTCCCAAGCTCAAGCCGAGATTGACAAACACAAGAAAACCTGGACGGCGAAAGCCGCATTGCAGGACCTCAAGACCTACCAAACTCATTTGAGTCTTCAAACCCACAAGACATTGTCGAGGGATGACTTCGAGACGGATGACGCCTATGAGAGCTGGAAGAAAAGCGAGGGTCCAGAACTCTCGCAGATGATGCTTTCCATCATGCAATCCAATCCAGAGCTGGCTAAGAGCACACCCGGCACTCTGCCTCAGCTCAGCTCGCCAGTAGAGGACGACTTGTCCAGAATATCCTCTGGTCGTACTGACCGAACATCTTATGGTATTGACTCGCCTATTGATATCAGCGGACTTTCTTTGGGTGGCTCTGATGGCGACTCAGAGGAGTCAGATACTTATATATTCATCCCCTCTGATCCTCGGACTTTATACAGGTTTATCTTGTCACAAACCTTGGCTCATGACTTGCGAGAACGTGAGACTGAGGGCGCCCAAGCCACGTCCGATGCCCCATCCACGAAATTCCTATCCAAGCAATCATCAGAAATGCTGAATGAAATCTGTCTCCGCTGGCGGCTTCCGACTTTCTCTCGCGTTGTGCTGTTCTTGGATGTGGTGCAATCCAAGTTTGTGGATAATGAAATCGACCTCAACACCCTAGACTCGGCATTTACCTTTGCTAAAGAGTCGCCTCCTGTTGAAAATCGAAACAAACGCAGCAGTTTCGTGGCTCCATCTGTCTTTGACCGACGGAAATGGACTGTGCATGACATCCAAACGATGCAGCATCTCCTTTCCAAGATTCATGAAGCTTTGCTACGCGAACTTTACGATGTGATGATGGACTGCTTCGAGACAAAACCACGTCCACTTGGACCTGTCATGTACGTGCTTGAGAATCACATCCAAATGGATCCACATTATACAGAGAATCCTGAGGATATTGATCGATTCGGCTCATACGTACAAGACGGTCTTGCCCAAAAAGCGACGGAAAAGTATCAGAGACTTCTAAGCCAGTTGATCTCCGTCAATCAGGAAGATTGGCGGGTCGACGATATCATTCAGTTGGGTGATGCGATTTCAAAGCTTGCACTGAAGATTCAAAAGCGGTACAGGAATAACCCTGAGATTATGGGTGTGAACCCATATACAACACTTTGTCTCAATGTGCTCCCCATGTTTGCTGAAGATGCGCAGGAAATGGTCATTCGAATCATCGAGCAAACCAAGGCTCGGGGTGAAGAGATCGCTATCGAGGAGGGCTTCGAACTCTATAGAGCCCTTGCTACGATCAGGCGTCTGTTCACTAGCACAATTGCGGATGACCCTTTCCCATTCCATATTGAAAGTCTACTGGAAGAATTCGTCTGGCGTTGGCTGCGTTTGACAGACCAGAGTGTAATGGAATGGGTCAATCAAGCTACTAGACAGGACGCATTCTCCGTTCGTGCAGATGAAGCGACCGAGGATGTCCCAGAGGACAATCGGCACAGTGTCTCCGTTATCGATGTGTTTCGATCCTTCAACCAAGTGGTGGAGAACCTGGTACAGCTAGAGTGGGACGATGATCTTCAATATGCGAAATTCATGACTGCATTATCTAGCTCCATCGGGAAAGGTGTTGCGAAATACTGTGAATTCTTGGAGCAAATGTTTGCCCGAGAGATGGACCGACTCACACCAGAGCAAGAGGCAGCTTTGAACCAAACTACCCAGGAAAAGCTTATGCAATTCGCTAAAGACACGTGGACGAGCAAAGACAAAATTGAGCCGTTCCAGTTCTCCTCAGAGGTATGACTACTGCGTCTCAGCTCAAAAAACGCAGCACAATACTAACATTGTTACAGTCGCTGGTGAAGTTGAATAACATCGAGTTTGCCCTTCAGCAATTGGACGCCCTTGAACGTGAGATCAATGTCGATGGTTGCGCCGAAGTCATTGCAAAGCACAGTCCTCCCGCGCTTAAGAAGGTCCGCAAGTCAACCACTTATGTCTTCACAATCAAGGTTGTGGAAGCAGAAGACTTAAAAGCCTGTGATATGAATGGTGCCAGCGATCCGTATGTGGTTCTAACGGACGAATATCAAAAACGGATTGCCAAGACTCGTATCATTTACAACAACCTCAATCCCCGCTGGGAAGACTCAGTGGATATCACAACCCAAGGCCCTTTGAACATAATCGCTACAATTTGGGACTGGGATGCAGTGGGTGATCACGACTATGTCGGCCGAACATCCATCAAGCTTGACCCAGTCCATTTCAGTGACTTCTTGCCGAGGGAGTACTGGCTCGATCTGGATACTCAAGGACGACTTTTACTCCGTGTCAGCATGGAGGGAGAGCGTGATGATATCCAATTCTACTTTGGTAAAGCCTTCCGTACCCTCAAACGAACAGAAAGGGACATGACTCGAAGGATTACCGAGAAGGTATGTGATTATGCTATCCCATAACCTGCGTTTCGACCCTGCTGACTTTTTCTATTAGCTTTCTGCGTATATCAGCTATTGTTTATCACGTCGAACATTGAAGTCATTACTCTCCCGCGGCATCAGCATGTCGACTGTGTCGAATTTCCTAAACCGCAACCGAGCGCCACAGACTTCGGCCGGGCCCACACCGGCTGACGTCGAGAATGCTCTAACGCCTTTGTTTAACTACTTCAATGATAACTTTGCCATCATGAACAAAACACTGACTGGGGAGGCTATGCGAATGGTCATGGCTCGTCTGTGGAAAGAGGTCCTTGCAACCATCGAGAGCTTACTGGTTCCACCTCTATCGGACAAGCCATCCCATCAGAAGCCACTCACCATCCAAGAAGTGGACATCGTATCACGCTGGCTCGTGTTGCTATTGAGTTTCTTCCACGCGGTGGATGAAGAAACCGGAGAAGCTGGTGGTGTTCCCATCGACATTTTGAAGTCTCCGAAGTACCATGAGATCCAAAGTCTGAATTTCTTCTACTTTGAACCTACTGAGAACTTAATCCGCACTTCGGAGCGGATGGCCTCGGCAACTGTGAACCGCCAACAGGCCAATCGCAACCGTACCTCTGCCCCCGCTCACCTTGGAGCCACTGGCCCCGGCTACGGTGGATTAGGTGTTCCCACTGCACGTCGTGCAAAGAGCATTATGCTTTCGCGCAACCTGGGTACCATGAAGAAGATGAAGGAAGAGAAGCGCCGCGATGCCCAGGCCGATCCGAACGACGACATGATCCTGCGTATCCTTCGCATGCGACCTGAAGCAGCCGGTTATCTCCGTGATCGCAGCCGTCAAAAGGAAAGATTGGCTGCAGCTGCTGCCGCTGATGCCATCGTGAAGCAAAGTTTGATGGCCGGGGTCGGCAGTCGAATGAGTGGGACGATCCCCCAGCGCTGAGTGTTATTTATCCTTACATTTTTTTGTTTCATTTTGCATTTCCTTTACATGTCTAGCGATTGAAGTGTTCCTTAAGATACCGTATGATGTCATTTGTAATACTTAACTCATTGTACGAAGTCCAAATGGCTATATTTACTTGAACTATGAACTATAACTCGCGTAATGTACATCGGGAGCTGTTTTGGATCTGTTTTTTTTTTTCGGTTTTAGGAGTGGTAAATTCATCATATTGGTATTGAAGTCAAGCTGGCGTGTATGAAATAAGTATCAATTGGCTTTGTATTAAGATCCCAGCCCATATACCCATAGTATGATATCTCGGGCTGAGTGGCGAGATATGGACTGTAGCACATCCACTTCCAACTACGTACATCAGGTTTACCACTTAACAGTAGGTCCACTTAGATAGGTGGCACCAGAAGGAAGTCAATGCAACATTCTAATGATTATAATCCACTTCTTTGCTTTGTACACGTCGCTAGTATACGTATACCTAGATGACCATATAGTAAACCTTTAGAGAAAATGTAGACTCATTTCGGTCTAGTTCCATGGTAGCATAATCCGTCTAAATGATGTGATACCCAGGTACCAAACTATTACACGTATAGTCCTGAGTACAGTTCTGAAAAATACAAGCTTATCCAATTATGTTATGTCTCCCAAGGTTCTTTCCTTGAACCAATGTGACTGACTCATCTTAGATAAGCTTAACATAGTACCTGTTGAACCACTGAATTTCAGATCCAATCCTCCACAAAAATCACCTGGCTAGACACAAATTCACTAAAATGCACATCAGCATCAAATACACCCCTGAATCCGAGACGATTCTCCCCGTCTCAGCAACAACATGCCCGGACTCCTCACCCCGCACCGACAAAACAACCAAACCACAATATCTCTACTTCGCCTACGGCTCCAACCTCTCCCCATCACAGATGGAGCAGCGCTGCATCATCAATCCCTCTCTATCAGCGAAACCACTCGCCATCGCCATTCTTCCGAAGTGGAGGTGGCTTATCTGTGAAGCGGGGTACGCTAATGTCCTCCCTCCGCAAGGGATGCGGGTCGGGCCACAGAACAGCGAAGCCGCGTCTAAAGTGCCGGTGTCTGGAACCGAGGATGCTGTTTACGGCGTCTTGTATGAAATGGATATTGCCGATGAAGAACTACTAGACGGGTATGAGGGTATCGATTGCAATGCGGAGGAAGCGGATGGGAGTGGGGAGGTGGGGGTGGATATTCGGCCTAGGGAACAGGGAGAGGGAGACTACAACAAATGGTATCTTCCTGCTACTGTTGTTAAGTGGCTTGACGAGGATAGCGAACATCGGTTCAGGACGGAATGTGGAGGCCAGGTTCCGGTTCTAGTATATATTGACGAGGAGCGGGTGATGGTGTCGCCGCCAAAGACTGAGTATATTGCTCGGATGAATCGGGCGATTCGGGAGTCGGTGGCGTTGGGACTTTCCGAGAAATGGGTTGAGGAGGTTATAAGGCGGTTTATTCCGGTGCAGTAAGTTCTGGGGCCTTTACCTGGAGCCCTGTGCATACATGGTGTAAGGATATAGCAGGTAGCTACATGTGATACCAATAGATAGAACCAATTTCAAAGTTGATCAGAGTCAAATCATCAATAAAGAATTTGCCAAACACGAAGCACATTGAGGTATTTGTCTATATGGGATAAGAGCGGTTTTATTATTAGAGTTCAGGGATTGTCGTATGAGCCCGGCTCGACCCCCAGAGAAACCACGTGCAACAAGAACGGAAATCACAAAAAAGGAAAAACGCAACACTCGGAAGCGCAGTTCAAATAATCCGGAAGTCGGATCGAATTGGTTGCATGAGCGCGGAGTCGGAAGAGGCGGCTGGTCGGGTGTAGTGTGGGGACACCGCCAGTTCGGTGGGCATTTGGGTCATTAACGATTCAGCGATCTCAGTGATCGCAATAAATGCACTTTTGGGGATTATTGAATGAGGCGTGGCCTTGGCAACGACACAATTAAGCCTGGCCGGAGAGGAGAGTGTGGGTGGGAGCAGGGAGCTTGTCACGGCCGTGGAGGAACTCCAGCTCGAGGATGAAGAGGAAGCTCAGCAGCTCACCGCCGAGCTTCTGGATCATCTCACCGGCAGCGTAGGCAGAGCCACCTGGGGTTGAATATGTTAGCAAGTCGCGATCTAGATGTGTTGGTAATCACTTACCAGTAGCGATAATGTCATCGACAACAATGACCTTCTGGCCGGGCTTGATAGCATCGGACTGCATCTGGAAGAAATCCTGGCCATACTCCTTCTCGTAGCCCTGAGTAATGCAGGGACCGGGGAGCTTGCCCTGCTTGCGAACAGGAACGAAGCTAGCACCGAGGCGCAGAGCCAAGCTGGGGCCAATCAGGAAGCCACGGGCCTCCAGACCAACAATGACATCGGGCTTCTGGCCGCCGTTGTTGGCGAGGACGTGCAGCTCCAGAGAGCGGATCAGAGCCTCGTGAAGCTTGACGTCGGCGAAGATGGGCAGGATATCCTCGAACAGAATTCCCGGAGTAGGGAAGTCCGGGAACTGGCGCAGCGACGAGCGCAGAGCTACTTTAAGACTGGCGAGTTCGGCGGAGCTGGTGGAATCGGAGGAGGCGTGTCCGGAGACTTGGGCGGAGGCATCAGGAAGAGTAGATTGGGACATGGTGAGAGAGAAGAAAGGAAGAAGGGGAGAGAGGGGTAGATGATTGAGAAGGTTATAGAGTAAAAAGATAGTACGTAGTAAAAAAAAATTTAAAAAAAGAAAATTGGAAAATTCAATGGTAAAATTACGGGTCTAGGTTTGATAAGCAGATAAGTTGCCCCTCGCGGGGCCTAGAATTTTGTATGGAGGGGTAACTGCTACCCATGAACCTGAATATCACATTGCTTTTCTTTGGTAGATTTCCGCTGGTTGGACCAAGATTTCGTTGCTTTATTATGGGTGTGAAGGCGATAGGTTCCAAGATCATCAACCAGCGGTCAGATCTTCGTACTTGGAATCTGGAAATTTATACTCTGGAGGTAATCCACAGTAACCTATACTCCCTCCCACCGGGACCAACATACCTATCTTACCCATCCATCGAGGTACCATCTACAGGAACCAGGAATAAGCGGTGACAGGTAATATTACCGTGTCACGCCATGCATTCGCGCCGGTTTCTAGAATCCGCCTATGCAGCAGGAGGAATGTGCTGATGTGTCTGGCTTTGGGGTCCGTCCCGCTGCGGGCCTCGGGCAGAATCTGCGCCCAGTTCGTTCTGATCCGCGGAATCGCCCACTTGCCTAGACATGCATGTTGCCTAGCCTTGGGGCTACGGACGCCTCCTTTGTTTGGGCCGGACGAATCACCGATCGTGTTCCGCCCATCACACCATCCTCGGTTTGGCTTTGACTGTGAAGGTTCATTCGCTGCCGGATAAAGTAATGAAAATGACTCATGGTCACACCCTTCGTTAGTTTTGTGTCCAGACCAATGTGGCGGAAGATGGTGTGTACCAAATTAGGTTGAGTATGATTGAATATAATCATAGGAGCGGAGAATGGTCGAGGTCTTTGAAGCTAGTGGTCTAAGACCATCAGACCATCTCCGAGCGCTACGTCGTCCAGCATGCAGGGTTGATTGACACATTGCACAGACAAATACTACGAGGGAGCCAATAGTGATCGCCAGGCCTCTTACATCGCGATCTGAAACTTGTCACAGCCATTCTAGTGGGGTTTTTTCTCCTTTTGGTGTACATGCATGCAGCGCTAAGGGATCTAGTGGAGGGGGCCGTTTAGGTGCAGAATCCAGGTCAGGTCTATCTGTTCTGCAGGAAGGTGGGGAGTAAATCGAGAGTCTCGTCACATATCCATGCATTCTTCCTAGTCTAATTACCCCCGCTATATTAATAGAGCAAAAATATATAGGAGATCATAGCGAGTATAATGACAATTTGACAAAAAAAGAAACCGAACGCGGGGGTCGAACCCGCAACCTTGAGATTAAGAGTCTCACGCTCTACCGATTGAGCTAGCCCGGCTGGGCTTGTGAAGGGCAGAGGGATCTGTGGTTCTATCAAGGTAAAGTGGAGAAACCGCAACCGAGAAAAAAATCTCCACTTGGAATGGATGACAATCTTGCAAAAAAGAACCGAACGCGGGGGTCGAACCCGCAACCTTGAGATTAAGAGTCTCACGCTCTACCGATTGAGCTAGCCCGGCGGGCTTGTTGAGGACATATCGATTTATGGCTCTATAAACCAAGATCTATCTTGTCATGAAGATAAAGGAGCTGCATTTGGGCTCATATTCCTTACACTCCAATTTATTCTCCATTTCAGTGGGAATACTCTTTTAGAACATTTAAAACACCGTCAGGCGTGATTTGTGTATTTTTATTCCTTCTTGTCCATTCAGAATTGGTTGTTGAATGTTGAAGAATATGTTACATCACGTTAGTCCTGAAGGGAATATATATCTCGGCATGGGTTGGCCGGGGATAGGCAGCCACCTGTGGAAAAGACGCAATATGTTGTGGTACGTATGTCCCGATCCCGGAATTGCCCAAACTTGCCCAGTAGCCAATAGCAAACCGAGGTTATTCAATTGCATCCAGATGGCTCCAGACCCCCGGTCCATTACTTTGTGCAACCTATCTCCCCACACATGGTCTGATGGGACCAGGTTCATGATACTTTCGTGTGACTGTAACCTAGATCCACTTATGCGGCAAAGCTAGTGGCAAATTACAAGTAAACTGTGCACTAGAGTAAAATACATCGACAAAATTATGCACCGACTATAGTTATAGTCATGGATGTGATCGGATTTGTATACTTCCTGTTGAGCCTCGGAAGATCTCCCAACCCGGGACACCACGTGACACGGCACGGACCAACTCGCTTATGTTTTTCCGACGTCGTTCCATCCGCTATAAAATGTCTGTCTTGCTTTTTCTCCCTTCATCACCATCTTCCATGTCTCCGGTGTTTGTACCACCCCATGGAGTCCAGCTCTTGGAATGTCAAATGAGCTCTCTCTCCACCCTGTAATATACCTCGCTTTACCACGACATGCCAGCCCCTATCACTGAGGAGATGCAGCCGGATCTGCACCTCGATCAGCTCGAAGCCGTGGGCAAAGCATTCGATGCCCTACTACTAACCCTTTACCGGCTTACCAACAGACACAATGAACTCAAGCTATACACCGAGGATGTCTTCAAACAGGTAAATACTCCCTTCTCCTTGCTTTGGTTCGCCCCCGTTCCCAACCCCCAACCCAACGTCTCAAATGATGAGAAAATTTGATTAGCTCTAGATCAGTAGTCACTTATGTGGCGGTGACGGATTAACATGTATTATCTGATTGAGACTGTTGTTTTCTTGACTGCATCACAACCTTATTGAGAGATGGCTGCTAACATGCAATCTTCTAGTACACCAATGTTACCAGGCAGTTACCTCCTCAAGATAGACCTCATGCAATGGAGGTTCAGCAAAGGTTATTGGATCAACAGAAAGAATTGTGTCTAGGCCTTGTGCACAACAAACCTCGAATCGAAGAGCAGTCGCTGAATTCCATGCATGTAATCAAGACACTCGTTTCACACCAAAATGTAGACGAAAATGCCACTCGAGCCATCGTGGCCGGTGTGAAGGGCTATAAGGCTCTGCTCCGTACTCAGGATGGCCTCTCCCAAATGTCCTCCACCAATTCATGCATGTTCGTGCGTGGACCAGACCCTGTGTATCTGGAGGAAGACTTCACCACCAATGGTGCGCAGGGTAGTCTGCACTGCCCATTCTCCAAACTTAAGGCACCATCAGGAAGTGAGGCGCTGAACGGGATGGGTGACGGTCCCAAAATCCAAGTCGATACATGTGGACACGAGAACCTGGACCCTATCAAGGCCGAACAGGATGAACGACGGTCCAGTACGACGCCATCTGTCCGTACCTCCGGTAGCCGATGCCCTGTCTCTCGATGCCCGATTCGATACCTGGACAAACATTCACCGGAAGAAATCGCCGAGTATGTGGAAAGACACAAGCATGAAATCCCCCGAAGCCACGCCATCTGTGTGAAGCGATACCAGAGAGATCCGCAGAACATGCGACAGTTGGATGCGAAATACGGTGGGTTGATCAATATGATCAGTGGTCTTTCGGCCAAGCACCAGGCTTTCCTGCCAGGTCGACAGGAAAATGGCGAAGGCGAGGGTCAGACCGGATCTGTGTCCACAGAGAGAATTGAGAAATGGGCAGAGAACCTGGATCCAACCAATCCTGGCCCTCCTCCACCTCCACCGGATGAGAATGATCTGAACGAGAACGTGAATGGGAACGAGAATGATGAAGGTCGCCTGGGTCGATTTGACCGTCCTCTCCGCGAAGTGCGCTTGGGTGAATCTCCAAGCCGACCCTGGGGTATTCCTATTCCTATCGCTCAGCAGACCAGTGCCTCATTACCCTTCTCCGGATCAGTACCTGGCCCCATGTCTCCCGAGTCTCACCCCGGACCCACTGAGAAACCACCTACCGATGCTCCAGCCAAGCCGGCCGGTCGCTGTCCGTTTGGACATGGAGCCCCTAAGCCTGAGGTGACTGAAGACGTTCCCGTCGCTCCTCCTGTTGCCTCTACCCTCGAACCCGAACGCCCGGTATCACCTCTGTCCAACTGGGCCAAGCATGCCCAGGCTGCTCAAGCGGATGCAGCTGCACCGAAGCCCGAAGAAACCTCTGCTAAGACAGACGCAAACCCCATGCCTGCTCATGTCACGTTCAATGGACCGGTCTTCTTTGGGTACTCTGCCGAACAGACAGCCAGCCTAATGCAACAGCTGCGTAATATGGGGGCACAACTTTAATATGTAACACCTTCTTTCCCCCTTGTTTGAACATTTTGCCATTTGCGAGCCTTTGTCATTTGTCATTGAACACAGTGATATCCCATTAACGAAGAGACGACTAGCTTGTACAATCATCTGAGCGAATTGAACCATCAATATTATTACAATCTATACCCCTTCACTGTAATCCGAATCATCTCGAAGCATGCTAAGATAGGTCATTACTTCCACGTTTCCCGAGTGATTGAGTTCACCGCGGGAAACAGAAGCCAACAACCCCACCAATCTAGGGCGGGGCGCTGCGGCAGTTTCCATCATATAACCCACCTTTCCAACATGTTGCGTACTGTTTCTCGTCTTCAAGCTCTCTCTCGCACTTTCAATCCTAGATTTACCGCCCCTATCTCCACCAAAATCACTCCCAAGATGTCTGCCAACATGACCATCATCACTGCCAAGGATGCTTGCCCTCGTACGTTCACACCCACCCTGCTTACCACAGCTACTACCAGCATCGTGAGATTGGTATCAATTGCTAACAGACATTATCTTTATTTAGCTGCCGGCCCCTACGTACGTTGCTCCATCTTCAGCTTCCCCGATCCCTAGCTCCACACCCGTCAATTCCTCTCGTACTCCATATACATACCCCGCTTATGACTCAATTCATCCCCCCCCAAATCAACTCTCCAAGCCCAGAACCCCAATCACACCAAAGAATCGTTGGCATATACATATATCACGGACAGAGCACTCAATTGACATCAATAATCTATAGTCCCAGGCTATCCGCGCCAACGGACAGCTCTTCGTCTCCGGCCAGATCCCCGCCGATGCCTCCGGCAACCTGGTCGAGGGTGACATCGGTGTCCTGACCCAGGCCTGCTGCGACAACATCCAGGCTATTGTCACTGCTGCCGGATCCAGCGTGTCCAAGATTGTCAAGGTTAACGTAAGCTTTGTCTTATCCCAATTTGACGTCTTCCTATACACGTTTATACATTTTGGGGATTGTGTTGGATGATTGACTTATATGAAATTCTAGGTCTTCCTCACTGACATGGCCAACTTCGCTCCCATGAACGCTGTCTACGAGAAGTTCTTCACCCACAAGCCTGCTCGCAGCTGTGTTGCTGTTCACCAGCTGCCCAAGGGTGTTCCCGTTGAGATCGAGTGCATTGCTCTGGAGTAAATCTAGATATGCTAAGTAGATATGAAAATTAAATTGAATTATGATTGATAGAATTGGTGCTTTTGATTATTGAGACAAGGTGCAAAGAGTAAGATGTAGAGAGGGGGGGGTAGGGGTAGAGGGCACACCAAACAAACCAAAAAAAGTTAACGATTGTTCCCTTATACTGTAAAAAGAAGATAAGATCATGTATACATGAGCCCTGCTGACCGAGTGGTTTGAGTTCCTGCTAGTGATACATGACCTGGTTCGCTTTGGACATGTGCGTTGGCTAGTGATGTTTTCCGGTCCTAGTTGAACGGCTCATGTTAGACTGGGGGGTGGGTGGGAATCCGGCCCATAGGGCTGGGACAAAAGGCCGAAACTGGTCTTCTGTTTTAATTCCTTACTTCCTTAACAATTTGACATGGTTTTTTTTTTTTTTTTTTTTTTTTTTTTTGTTATTTATGAGGCTGTAACGTGGACGTGAAGCACTGGGCGTGAAGGAGCTGAGATAAAATGCCGCTACGAACGATGTCTTTTCGAAACTTGCTCAGGTACTTTGGATATTGCAAGGTTGCGGATTCAAGACCTGACTGTGATCTTGGGTTTCCCTTTTCTTTTTCTTTCGAGCCGCTTTGTTTAATGCTCTTGATTCCTATATGTTCTAAAGTTATAGCGTATAATCGGATCCGGATCAGTCGATATCCTGTGTCTTGGCATTACCAACTCTTGTCAAATGCTTCATTTGAAAAGTGATCAATTTTGCAAAATATCTAAATCTACAAATCCCGAATTTAAATCGAACAAGATACATCCTCAACCCGGGTATATGACAATCAAAGAATATACAGATTGGTGATCGGGACACCCTGAGATCGCATCGTATATCGTCTACGAACCCCAACGCTAGTGGCAGCTTGCAACAGGTCATATGTCTCGTCACCTCCACCAACCATGACCATGCTAATAAGGTGGTTGCGCGGAATACCGCTGGCAGTCATCTGGTTCTCATCGAGATGGGGACGAATGAGGTATGGCTCTGCGCGCAAAGCGGCGAGAGAGGATAGAGGTTTTGATTCTGAGCTCTCAGAAGATGCTTCTTCTTTATCGGTATCAGCCTGTGGGGAAGGGACCTCGTCATCGTAGGATACGACAACAACAAGTTTCAGAGATGAACGCGACTGTCTGTAAGCGGCGATGTTGCGCATTTTCTGAGAGAAAGTGCAGCCGCCCCGTTTCAGGACAAGGACCTCGTGGTTCTGAGCGACGTCGCGGAGAATACGTTGGTCGCAGAGCTCACCGGCAAAATACATCGATGACCATGAGAGTCGCGTTGTGGAGGGGTTGCCATTTAGGGATATGCTGAGGGCATCTTCAACCTCTGGGAGGGGAGCGGCTCCGATGCCAGTGGGAAGGGTAGCCGGGAGACTGAGGCGAAGTGGAGTAGCTTCGACAGGGTCGTCACGGAGGAGAGAAGACACCGAGTTGACCAGTGATGAAAGCATGGTTTTCATGGGAGATTCGGCACTGGGGTTTTCGTCGCCGGCAACGGGTTTATGTCGGCTGACGTGGGATTCCGGGCCTTCTGCATCATCCGAAGGCTCTTCTGCAGGCTCGTCAGATCTTGTATGAGCTGAGCCATTGTTTCGTCGAGGGGGTTCTGGAAGAACGTCAATGACGAGGTCAACAACGGCGTTATCACGGACTCGGGTGAAGTTGGGATCATAGGGGTCGACGAGGTCAAAGGTGATCTGGCGCGAGAGGTATACCTTCTCATCTTTGCCCAGAGGGACATTATTGATCACCTGTACCCGAAATCCGTCGTCATCTCTGCCCTTGCCACTCGTTCCCAGTGGTACATCTTGGATCATGCTCAATCGAAGCCCTCCAACCGTTTTGATCAAAATGCCGTCGTGGACGCGCTCCAAGGCCCCTGGGCCCATGTTGATACCACCAGGGAGCGTCGGGAAGGAAATGTCAAGCGTGGGACGGAGGGCCATTGGCGCACTGGTCGCATTGTGAGGCACAAGCTGCGGAGGAAGTGTCCACGGATAGAATGTATAATTGCTTGGTGATGAAAGATCAGATACCGATACACTCGGGTGATTGGGTGAGCCTGCCAGGATGGCACCTTCATCTGCGCTGCGATCAGGTCGAAGATGTAACCGAGCCAAACTGGCAGCGTGGAAGATATCAGACCGCGATGCCGTGGAAGATGCGCCAAAGGTAGAAGGAGCAGCAGGCGCAAGACAAATGTCATCAGCTGTGTGCTGAAACGGCTCAACATCATGCCGGGGACGGGAACGGCGACGAGGTTGACCTGACCTGGTCTTTTTCGGGATAATCAAAGGATGACCCTCGGTCGAGAACACCCAGGGAGCATCGATTTTGTTCAATGGGTGGTCGGGTGTGAAGAGAAGGAACATGTACTTGGCAGTTTCTCCTAGGAAGAAACTCTCCATACGATCAATCATTTCGCCGGTTAGAACGTTGCGCAAACCCGCCCATCCGCATTTCGTCCAGCAACGTCTCTTAATGTCACGAAGGACCATCTCACCAACATGCAGATACCAGGGATCTTGAGTTGCCCGGTAAATGTAGTAAGTGGATTCGATAAACTCAGGTCGACCTCCGTACCATGAAAGACCGTTATCGATATCGCCCGTAGCCACGTTCCACCGCTCAGGGAGGGCAGAGAAGCGGGTCCAGATTGCGGTCGTGAGAAGATGAATCTCGATAGCCTCATCAAGCTTTCCATCAAGAGCAAGCAAGCCGGGATAGTATGCACTCAGACTATCAATCCAGAAGGCCCTCGTAGCTCCGGTGATGACATCTCCCACAACTAAATGGGGATGTTGGTACCCCTCGCCTCGGTATAGATGACGATTGATTGAGGAGTGGGAGTCTTCCCAGACCTGAAGGAATGCATCTGGGGAATGCTGATCCTCAGTCAAGGGTAGATAGTAGTCATCCAATATCTTCCAAGGACTTTTAGTATCAAAGGGGGGACGTTCTCCCTCGGAAAGGAGAACGTGGGACTTAAAGGCATATTCAAAGAAGCTGTCAATACCGGCACCAATCTGTCACTCATTAGTTTTCGTTCGTTAATTACAATTGTTATCTTTACTTACCCCGGAGTATGAGCCAATCCATTTCCCTGATTCAGCATCAATGCCGAATCCAACCAATCCGATATCACTTCGGCGGGCCCAAACAGCCCAGAAAGCCCTTTTGGCTAATTCCTCGAATCGGCCATCTCCAATGAGCCTGCTCAAGACGGTGAATTCGAGGACTAAGCTGCCTGCACCTGCGCTGCAGGTCTCGGTAACCTCGGCATTTGAGAGGTAAGAGTACTTCTTTCGCTTATTTCCTCCAGATTTGAGATTCAGAGGTGAATTTTCGTAGAACGGTACCCCATGCCGCAAGTTGACTCGCGGATAAGGCAGACCAGTCTCCGTATAAAATGCTGGAAGAAGACGATTTGCCAAATCGACAGCCAACCGAAGAAGTTGGCCATCGTAGACAAATCCATTTCTCCATTCGATGCCATGATCATCTTCCGAAAAAGAGCTCTTATTCCACGCAGCCGCAAAGGCAGCATCCTGCTCTGGTGGTTCGTATCCGGTGATAGGAAGTTCACCTATAGCGAAGAGGTGGGAACTGAGCAATCCACCTGCATGTTGACATGTTAGCTGAGCCAATTCAGCACATAAAAATGTCTTAAAAGTTTGGAAGACCATACCCAGCCCTCGAATGACCGTCTCAAACACCTGCACCTTGCTATCGATATCAAACCCCTTGGTGCGCTCTCCCCGACCAGCGGGGCCCCGCGAGCCATCTCCATATAATCTAACGAAGTCTTTCACGCCATCTTGGAAGTATCCCAAAGACCGTTCCCCACTCTCCGGACTCGAGGACAGAATAGCGAGTGTCGACAAGCTGTCAATCAAAGTTAAGGAATAGTTGCCCAGCACATCGTTATTATCGTTATATTTTTCGTCGCGGGTTAAGGGACCACAGGTAAGTGGGCGCAATTCGTCTTCGGGAAAGGCATGATCTAGATAGTTTTCAAATCCATGGTAGAACATGTGCTCCGTTTCTTGCCTGTAGGACACAGGGTGTCAGCATTGGGGCTGGATTCGCAGGCGGTAGAGACAAAATGCCGCACCTAAGCTCCTTAATTTGGTAATCTCTCATCCCCTCCGCTAGAGTGAGCCATAGCGAAAATAGGATGGTCCAGGCCAGCATTGTCCAGGCGCGACGAGGGTTGAACATTGGCAAGCTGCAACATCGCGTGCGCATCACCGGAGCGGTCGACCGCGGGATTTGAATGTGGGGGCGGTTGATGGTGATGGGTACCGATTGGAAGGACTTCAGAATCCGTGGCTAGTGCCTGGGCCAGAGTGATCTTCAAATGAGTGTAGTGCCCAGTGCTGAAGGGGAAAACGCGAGGGAGAGTGGATACGGCCAGATAAGCCAATTCGGGAATCTTTTAATGCGCATCCATCATTGCATCATTGGACCCTTCTAAACACATGACATGTAATCAACAGAAGGACCAGTAAGCTATGGGACAGGTTACTACGCTTGATCATATCAAACTTATATTCATCATTGTTCGAGTTGAATATGAAGATATTTTACCAGCGGTATAGATCCAAGCAACTGAAGAGCGAGCTGTCTACTTTGTGCCAAGACAAACCGAACACCGGCAAACGCCTTATTCAGATAGGATATAGTGTACATCATGAAGACCATGTCTCTGAGAGCAAGAATAGAGATAGTAGTAGATGGCCCATTTTGTGGGTAAGCCTTTATGCTGGCTAAATTGTTCCCTAGAACTTATGCGGTTCAAGATGTTAGGATAATCAAAGATTAGATCAATTCAACGCCCGCTTATCCACCATGTTAAAAGATTTTCCGATATGTATTTGCTCACACTTATTTCCCTAATTCGCCAAGCAAGAGATTGCGATCGGAAGAGCAAGAAACGACTGCAAAAAGGTTAGAGACTTGCGTCATATCAGCCATTTCCCATACGGAACTTACTGATAGGTTCATCATTGGGGGAGAACTGCACGTCGTTGACAGTACCCTTATGGCCAGGGAGCTTGTAAAGAAGCTTTCCGGTCTTCACATCCCAAACGACCGCACTTCGGTCACCACTTCCTGTAGCGATCTTCTCTCCCTTAGGATCCCAGCTAGCGCGGATCAGATTCTTCTCCAGCCCAACGGGTGCACCGTCAAAGGTTCTGATCTGGCGATTTGCGGGAGCAAAAGGTCGAATATCCCATGTCCGAACAGTAGAGTCGTGAGAGTTCGACAGGAGAGTCTGAGAGTCGGGGGAGATCTGAAGAGAGGTGATTGTGTCGGTGTGTCCAGTCATGGAGTAAACCACGGCCTTCTTGCGCAGGTCCCACACGTGGATTGTATTGTCAATTCCACCACTGTAAATCTCGTTTCCTGCTTCCGAAAGGGCCACGGCGGTGATGGGGAGTTCGGTCTCCAGGTACTCCAGCGCATCCTTTTGCCGCGGGTCCCAGATTCCTATGCAGCCATCGTCACTGCCGCTCACCAGTAACTCCTGTCCACGCTTGCTGATGTCAAGGCAGTTGATAATCTCCTCGTGGCCGATATGGCGGCGCACACGCTGACCAGTCTCCACATCCCAGCTTCCAAGTGTCATATCTGCCGATGCTGAGAAAAGCGCTCGTGAATCGCGCGCCCATTGAAGGTCCAGAACGGCACCCTTGTGGCCTGTCAATTGACCGTAATTCTCGCACTGGCCGTATGTGTTCCAGAGCACTATTTTAAAGGTAGTCGTTAGTCAATGGTCCCGAGGCATTATTGAGTAGTACGTACGAATAGACCGGTCCATCGAACCGGATGCAATGTGTTGTGCCGTTGGGTCAAACCGAACAGTAAAGACCTCTCCAGAGTGACCTAGGTTGATTCTGTCAGAGCGAATCCATCCATTCAACTTGTGAATGCGTCTCACCAGTAAGTTCCATAATTGGCGCATCGAGGCCGCTGGTACGAGGGATCTATTCATAGGTTAGCTAGTGTTTCACCCATTTCGTCAGTCCTATTGAGAGTAGCTTATGACAACTCACTGCTTGAATCAGAGCTCCATTCTGTGAAGAGCCCTTCACGATAGCTGTACCCGGGTTGAGGTCGGCATCGGACTTCTTTCGCTTCACCACGAGCTGGCTGGACGACCCAAAGGCCTCTTGGGCTGGGCGCTTTTCTCCAGACATTATAAAAGGATGATCACCCTAGAAATTCCGAACACACGAAGAAGTTTTTATGAATGGCACAAATTGAGAGGCCAGTGTAGGTGCGCAGAGATTCCCTGATGATCTGAAGAAAGCGGGAAGAATGATAATCCCACTCGTTCGGGCGGTGAGCCCAATTGTACAGCGACAGCTCCAGCAACTTGCACTCCCCGCAATCAACCGTCACAAAACCCTACAACTAGTCGCGGCTCTCTGTTATTATACACAGACTCCGTTGACTGCCCCAGCCCATTCTAAGAGTGGATAGCGCATATCATCTACCCACCATGTCAGCTACAAAGGCCTCCAGAATAGGAGAAGAGTGAGTGAGCTTGACCCCGGATAATAAACATCTTTGCTAATGACTTGCTGGATAGAATATGGAAGTCAGTATGCCCGAGTACTCCTGCTCGCCATAGACCAGATTGATACAACCTATTCCGCAACATTACTTCCCCTACTTTTCACCGTCTAACTTGGTCTCCCGACTGCAGAACAAGAATCGATAAAGTCAATGCGGAGCTAGTCACATTAACCTACGGTACCATTGTCGCACAATTATGCCAAGACTACGACAGCAACTATCAGGATGTGAATAAGCAATTGGATAAGATGGGTTACAATATCGGCATGCGATTAATCGAGGATTTCCTGGCCAAGTCGGGGGTGGGTCGGTGTGCCAATTTCCGCGAGACCGCCGATATGATTGCCAAAGTGAGTGGGTCATGATAGCTTAGTGGGAAAGTTGCAGCCGACTGACCTTCTAATCGTAGGTGGGCTTTAAGATCTTTCTGAATGTGGCACCAACAGTCACCAATTGGTCCAGTGACAACAATCAGTTCTCATTGATCTTTGATGAGAACCCTCTGGCAGACTTTGTCGAACTGCCGGATGATGGCCGAGCCCAAGATGAGCTTTGGTTCTCCAACATCCTGTGCGGTGTGCTTCGGGGATCGCTAGAGATGGTAACTTTGCCCCCTTCCCCTTTTATTGCCCTTTCCATCTAAATCTCCGGGACTCGTTCATGCTGGGTCCGATCACTGACCCGGAATCCAGGTTCAAATGCAGATCGAGGCGCACTTTGTGAGCGATGTGCTGCGCGGTGATGACACTACGGAGATGCGGGTCTCTCTGGTTCGATACATCGAGGACGAGATGCCTCCGGAGGAGGAGTAAGATGGCGCAACAGCATCCACCGGCGTTTTCGGCAGGTTATTATGGGTAATGATTTGAGGACTGAAATTCTATTCTTGTTCTTTTTTTTCCTGTGCAGCATTAGGCTTTATGATCTATCAGCAGTAGGAACAAACTCCCCGCCACACGATTTACCACTGGCATCGGATCAGTTCCCAGTGTATATTTAGGGAATAGATTTTGGACTGAAAATCTTTTAGCAAGCAGCGATAAAATTTCTGATCCAGATTATTTGCTTATATAGTTTTTACATAGGACCTATGTTGATATAAGATCTATATCGAAGTGTCGATGCGGGAGTGTAATGTGTAATAATACGGTATCTGGGCAATACATACCTCCGCCACCCCAAGAAAGAAAAAAAATCCTACAGATCAATTTTTCTTATTCTTCCCGTTGCCCTTCCATATTCCTCTCTTCATTTATCTCTATATTCTCCCCGTTGATTGTCTTGATTGGCCCGATCCTCGATCTTATACTCTGCGCGGAGTCTTGAGTTTAGACTTGCGGGATCCATATGGTGTATCAATCGACCCATATTAACTTGCCTCTCGCCTGATCGGACCTTTCCACCTTTCTCAATCTCTTTGCACTTCTTCCTTTTTTTCTGTTCTTGATTCTTGATTCTCGGATCATTCGGATCATCTACTTATACCTGGAGATCTTTCTGATCTCATCTTTCACTGAAATTCCCTTTGCATTTTACGTTGTACTGTTCTGAACCCCAGCCCACTTTTTGCCTTGCATGCCCAGAAATACGCCTGACAGCGCCATCCCCAGCCCCGGGAACATACATTAATCCGATCCGAACAAGCGATTCCTCAGAACAGAGAACAGACTGGAGAGAGAAAGAGCAGTAGCAAGTCGCCGTTACCCCCCGGCTCCTCTTTTCCCCTTCACTGCGAGACTCCACCTTCAACCCTTCTCATTCTTCCCCTCTAGGTGAGATCTTTCCCCTTTTCTGGATGCGCTTGGTATACCCCATTTGCTCTGTCTACCGGCCCGATCGGGCTTCCCCCCTCAAAAGTGCCCGCCCCCATCTTTGCTGGTTTCACTGGTTTCACTACGCTTTTCCCGCCTCCTGGGTATCTCCGTCATCGCCCAAAACCTTAGTGACTGCGCTTTTCGGTTGTCACTCAATCTACCTTCACTCTTTAATGCATTGGGGCCTCATCTCTAACGGTCGGATTCCACAGCTGCCGGGGCTTATCTGAGAGTGATTCTCTGCGCCACCCGGATTTAGATCCTTTTTCCCTATCTCGTCGCGTGGCTCCCACCTGGAGAAGACGTCTGTCAACCGCCGCAGATCTCTATCGCAACCCTGCTTCCGTACCGATAGCGGACTCATTTCATCTGCGCGCACCGTTCTTACGCGTCTATACCCCCTGGAGAGTATACGTTGGTCGGACTCATTCCGCCGCCCGAAGCGCCCTGACCGCTTCTCCCTATCCCATTCCCACGCGTCGCTCTCTCCACCCCGCGTTAGGCCTCATCGCCTGAATCGGTGGATGCGCGCTTGGAAATTTCAATCGCTTTGATTATTTTGAATCGCACTTATAAAATACCTCGGCAAGGGTGGCTGCAGTTCCACCATTCGCCACCATGAACCAGATGAACGTCGGCATGAACCCTGGGATGGCAGGCCCTGTGGGTGGTGTCCCGATGATGAACAACGGCTCCACGGCTCCTCGTAATGACGGCACCATGAATATCCCTGAACACATGATCAACAATCTCAACACCTATATCTACGACTACTTCTTGAAGCGTGGTTATCACGACTGCGCCCGCGCGCTCATCCAGGATGAAAACATCAAACTCAACACTGAATCAGGTGTTAAGACGAGTCCCGGTAATCGGCGCGACGATGTGAACGGACTTGATAGCGATGCGATGATGACGGATGGAAAGGATGGGGAAAAGATCAAGATCCCGGATGATCTCCCTCGCCCCAACCTCCACAGCGAAAGTCTGCAATCATCATTCCTACTGGACTGGTTTAGTCTCTTCTGGGACTTTTTCTGGGCCCAGCGGAAGAAGGGCAACAGTCAGGAAGTGAGACAGTACCTCCAACATACTCAGGTTCGTGGGCACTGCACTCGCAAGGCCTTTTTCGGAATTTGACATGAGATTACAGAACTTGATGCGCCTCCGTGAACAGCAGCAAACTCACATGATGCGACCGCAGCAACCTATGATGCCCGGTCACATGGGGAATCAGATGAACATGCGTCCCCGCCCTGGCATGGTTCAGCACCCCGGCAACAGCCAATTAAAGACTGCATTGGCGAATAACACTACCGGACTGTATGCTATACCTCCTTCTGCATCTTTCCAATTTACTTGGAAGTGATGCGATCATTTACTAACAACTTCCCTCCCCTAACTATAGAACCCCACAGCAGGTAGCCTTCCAGAAACAGCAGCAGATGCATATGATGCAGCAGCTGGCTCGCGAACAGTCCATGGAGGACATGAACGGGAACCGACCGCAATCCCCTGCCTCCACGGACAATGCTCCATCGCCGTCGAAAAAGCCTCGCCTCGATGGCCACCCGAACGGACAGCAGTTGGCTCCTGGAGGACGTGGACAAGGACAAGGAATGCAGGGACAAAACCCACAGATGATGATGCCGAACGGAATGCCTCCGCGAATGAATGCTCAATTCCAGCAGCAGTTTCCACCGGGACAGGTTGCAGCGCAACAAAAATCCATGCAGGTATTATATGCTCAGAACCTAGCCTCTCATCACTCGCGCTCAGCAATTTCCCAGATTCCGAATGGTGGTATGATGAACCCCGGTGTGATGCCAAACCAGGGGGATCTGATGACGATGCCTGACGGCCAGACAATGTACCAAATGGGTGGAGAGTACTACAATGCCAACGGTCAACTCACTCAGGTCCGTCCCGGAATGGCAGGCACACCGAATGGTCAGCACGGCGGCAACCACGCTCTCCAAGATTATCAGATGCAACTTATGCTGCTCGAGCAGCAGAATAAACGCCGTCTGATGATGGCACGACAAGAGCAGGACACCATGTCTCGTGATGGCCAGCCGATGCCACAGGGAGGCTTGCCACCAGGCACATCCCCGAACAGTCGGACGGGCGCATCACCAAACCCCAGCGATCAAATGAAACGGGGCACGCCTAAGATGCCTCAAACCGGTCTCCCCGGATCACCCAGCGCCGCTGACCTTGGCCAGAACCGAGGATCACCAGGATCTATGCACCTCAACGGTCAGATGCCTGACATGGCAGCTCAGTTCTTCCCTGGACAGGGTGGGCCCAACATGCGTCCCCCAAGCTCCAACCCATCCTTTAGCGGTCCCCAGATGGGCCAACCCATTCCTGCCAATGCTGCTAACCGCGTTCCTAGTGGTCAGTGGCCGCCAGGACAAATGCCGCCTCAGCATTCTCCTGCTACTCAGCCTCAAGTTGGTACACCGCAGGAACGAGGAAACATGCCTCCACCTCAAGCACCGCCTACCGCTGGTGGTAACGCCGGCCGTGCCCAAGAGTCTCCTGCTGGCAGTAATGCGCCACCTACTCCTCAGCCACCTTCCAAGCCTGCGCCCAAGAAGCGAGACAAGAAGAACCAACCCAAGGGAGGCAACAAGAAGGGCCAGGCTGCCGCTGCCGCCGCATCCGCTGAGTCCGCCGACCCTTCGCAAACGCCGAACCCGCCAACTCCAGTCACGCCTCATCCCCCTACTAACACCTTCAAGGGTGGAGCCAATGCAAACGCAAATGCACCACCTCAGCAAACACCGGCTGCCCCTCCTCCTCCGATGGTTCAATCTACTCCAGACCAGAGTCAGCCATTCGCTACTGATATGAGCATGACTGATGTACGTCTCCCTGTTTTCTGTTCAGTTGCTTCTGCTGCAGTTTACTAATCTCTGAATAGAACACTCCCTTCAATCTCGACTTCAGCGCTCTGGATAACCCCGATATCTTGGAGAGCTTTGACTTTGATACATTTTTGAATACCGATGCTGCTGGAACTGACTTCGGCTTCGATCCCAGCATGCCCTATAACACCGATGGTGTTGAGACTGGGGCCGGTGACGGTCTCTGAATGATGCAAAAGTCTTGATGGTCCTCTTCAGGTGCTTTAAACCTCTCCGATATACCCTTGTTTTGTACATTTGATTTGATTTGGCAGTTCTCTTACCTTTGCCTATTCTTCGCGGATACTCGTTTCTCTCTCCCTTTGTTTTTTTTGTTCCACATGGATATGAGATTGGCGTTGGTGTGCTTAGAGGGGTCGCATTTATCCCCTCATCCTCTCCCTCCCCAATAAGTCCGGAAACTATCATTGTTCGGACTGACCCTGGAGCTTTGTTCTGTATTCGAGATTAGTGCACTGTGACCTACGAGTTTTGGCTTCCCTTCTTTCCTTTCTATTACTACTACTGTTTATCTCGTGGTTACTTAATTTCTTGCTCTTTCAACATGGCCATGTTGAGAGCCCTTAGTATTCCCAGCGCCCTGCCAATTTTTCCCTCTTTTTGTCTTGATCTGAACTACTTATCTCAGTTGAGATTGAATTTGCCTTTCTTCAATCTTGACATACGCCAATCCACATTATCTAGGTGCACAGGCACTGGACAGTTGCCTTATTATTGGATCATCACTCCGCCTTTCCACTTTTTCTTTCTCATATTCTTTCTATTTCTTAATCCGCTTGCTCATCTCGAAACGGAACCCTCCTACTTATCTTGGGGAAAGGAGATCAAAAGAACGGCGATCTAAGGGATGATACTCCATATGGGGGTTTGTGGTTGTTTCTAAGGTTAGGTGCTGGATTTAAAGTTACTATGGTAGTATTGAGGGAAGGAGGCTCTAAAGTTGGTTCAAGCGTGATGTCTTGTTTCTTTGGATAATGCCCACGTCTGCTCTCACCGAGGTGTTTGTCTGGGACCGACTTTATATCCATATATTGTTGCAACCTATGTTTCATTATGAATGCATCGTAGTATGATGTACGGAGCAGGGGAGAGAGCCACGCTCAGCAAGCTCATTTTATTGCGCTGCTCTGGTGAAAGTCATAGCGGACAAGTTGGATATCCGATAATTGTAGGCATTTAAGAACATTGGAAACTGGATCTGATCAAGCATGAATTTATGGAAGCCATGAGCAGTCAATTGAACGGTCTTTCCTTCTTACTTTCCCTTCAACCCTGCTGGTTAGTACTTGTGATATGTTAAGGAGGACTTTGCAAATTCAAGAGGAATTGGCACATCAAATGAGGGTGGTTGAATCCAATCCTCGAGAGCTTGGTGACATGGCTGCCTTGAACCAGGTAAACCCTAAATCTGAATGCAATTTGTGAAAGGGACCTTGTACACCGGCTATCTCATACTGATAAAAATTCATGGGAAACAGAAGGGAAACATAATTGAATCAAGACGAAAAACAAAAGGAAAATCACAGATGGAACGGTGCGTCTCGACCTTCCACATTTTCATGAGTCGCATACTTGAACCTCAAACCTCTAAAAACCCATCGATCAGCCTCATTTGGTTTGAATATCATCACAGAATGGGACCTTGGAACACAGATTAACACAGTTACTTGGACAATTTCACGGCATCTTTCATCAGACGTTGCTCAATCTCCACTTCCAACGCCTTCAAAAACGGAAAGTCCCTGGCGTAACCTGGTTCCAACGAGGTGAGACCAACGTCCTCCTGGGTCATACGGAGAAGATAAAGCATTAATTTCTTGACACCGAGAGAGTTTGCAACCTTCTCATCCATCTTGGGGGTTGTTGCCAACATGATTGGACTGGCGCGGCTCAGGTATGGATCCTTGAGATCAAACCAGGCGCGGATCATCCAACCGGTTGGCGAAGAATCATCCGGATTCTTCTCATAACGAATCTCTGGCATATTGGCTTTCAGAACACAACACATACCTGAATTTTAAAGATCCAGATTTAGTCAGACTCAGGAGCATAATGATTAGAGTTAACATGGCACTTACGAGTCAAAAGCGCGTGATAGGACGAGTCGGTAGCCATTCCTCCAAGCTCCCGTTGCATGTTCCTCAGGCGAGCCAGGGGATCCTCAACAACCGCCGGCTTTATCACAAGAGGAGCCAAGCGACTCTTGGTCAAAGGAATGAGATTCGAGTCTGGGTCAGTCTTGGGAGGGTTCGATCCTTTGCCAGTCTTGGGAAGAGTCGGAGCCTTCACAGACTTGTTCAGCGGCTTGGGACCACGTCTTGCAAGCCTCTTCTGTGCCTTCTTTCCTTTGCCGTTGCCACGCGAGCCACGCGGGCCGCGCGAGGTGAAGGCTGCTTCCATGCTGTCCATGACAGAAGCCGGCATAGAGCTGTTCAGGATACGAGCCGGCAAACCCGACATAGGAGTCACAGTGACGGTGTCAGCCGAAGCCTCTTCCTTGAATTTGAAACCACTTGCCTTTTTAAATTCGAAAGATGGGTCGTCAAATGGTAAGATGAACTCTGGGGGAATATTTGCATGCACCAACACTGTGTGCAAGGCAATGTGAGCCGCTGTGTTCTGTGCTTGTTCCGGCCTGTAAGATGGACAACCCGTGCGGAAAACACGGCCATTCACAGAAATGTCGCAATGCCACTCAATTTCAGTGTTAGAGCCATACAAAGTGGGATTGTAAATAGGGAATGACCAGTTCTCCTTCTCGCAAAACTCTGGAGCCATGCACGGGTCAGTAATCCTTTCAATGGTTTACCAGATGTTATCAAAAGATCCAACTCTCACCTTCGAGTAGTGCCGGCCAGTTCCACTCTGGGCCAGTGGGACAACCAGAATTGGGCTCGGGGGGTACTGGCCACTGCAGGTTATTCTCCCGCAGTTTTGCCAGAGCTCTTCTGCAGCCCAAGACTCTGGCTTCGTTGGCCGAGGCACTGTTGGGCTCCGCAAAGACTGTGTGGCCATACAGGGTAAGCTTCATGCCGACCCTTTCGCCGCCAAGGCCACCATATTTGAACTGATATCGTGGGTTCAACCTGGCCATGATAGCAAATACTCCAAAGAGGAACAGGACCTCGCTGTCCTGAAGCTGCTCCACGTCGACCGACCCCATCGTAGTCTTTTTAGTGGTTAGTCCAGAATAGCCACGACAGCTCATCAGCATCTTATTTTCTGAACTCACTGGCTTTGGGGCAGGCTGTACTGCATCACACACGCCGTACATGGACCGGGGTATCTTCCCAAATTCCGCACTCATGGGAAGATCACCCGGAGGATCCTCGATCAAGTCCAGATCATGTAGATTGGACGGGCCAATTTCACGTCCTGCGCTCTCCCCACGAGAAATCACACACGGAGAGTTGGAACCAGGAATTGGGGCCACCTCTTCTGTGCCATCTGAAACCTGAGCGTCAGGGTTCAAAGCTTGCAACATGCTCGCTTCAAAAAGTTGCCAAGCCGGGACCTCAGGCTGAGGCTCCCGGTTGCCTTTCATCGCAAAGGAAAACGAAGGAATTGCAGTTGTGGGGCCATTGCAAGTGTGATTCACACTCTCCAAAGGAGCCAGCTGGTATGCCTGCTCCAGGGGACGTGATGGCATGTGGACAGAAGGATCAGGAGTAGCCCCAGAGGCAGAAGTAGCAGAGCCAATTCCAGAACCAGAGAGGACAAGAGCATTGCTAGAGCTTGGTCCCACCAGAGGAGAGATCAGCTCCCGAGATCTGTCTGGCAATTTAAAATGCATTCCTGGTTCCTGCGAAGCCTCAGGACTTTTCACAGGAAAAATCTCAAACAGATGTGGCAGCTCCATAGCCATGAAGCAGTCTGAGAATCAATGGGAAGAATAGTCAAAGAAGGATCGAGAAGGATCGATGAGCACGTAGATTGAGTAGCGAAAACACGAAGCGTATAATGTCATCGAAGGGAGAAGAGCGTGGAAGGGAAAGAAAAACGAGAAAGTGAGAAGGAAGGAATCATAACGAACAAATTAAGAAGGAAGCCAACGCAGAATCTCTCTCACTTGACCCAAATGAAACAAACGGTGTAAACGACGCAAAGTGGAATATTGATCAAGCACCGGAATTTCTTTGGTATTGTTGATATCATTCGTCTCGGATATTGATACATGATGAACAGTATAAAAATAGAATACGAATACCGTGATGCCCCTCGTTGATGCCCCTCGCTTCATAGTAATACAGTAATAGGTCCTTCACTCTCTTGCACTTCTCCATTGTCAATCTTCTCCTCCTGAGGCGCACCATTCTCCTTTGGGTCCTCGACTAGATCCTCCCGGGAACTCTTCTGCAGGAATTCTTTGGAGTTTTCCTTGGTCCGTTCTTTCTTGCCATTGATGTTGTCACTGGGAACATCAGCAAGTTTGGATGGAGCTGTAATTTTCTCAACCGCTAGAGATATGTTGCTTGACCCGGATACATCTCGGGAACTGGGCTGCGAGAGTTCTCGCAGAGCAGAAGTACGTGCGCTGCTATGGCTGACTTCGACTACAGCAGAAGGCTTTGCTGCTGCAAGCAAAGTCGACGGGGTATTGGAAGGCGCCCGAGTGCCAGTTGTGGGTGGTACTTTGGTTGGGGTCAGGGCTTGGATTAACTCGTTAATTTGATCGTCATCGATCGGCGTTGACATACTGGCTTGTTTGCTGTGTTCATAGCTCATTCCAGCCACGCTTGACATAGCACGGCTGCTGCCGATGCTGGAGTAGTCTGGCATGGGAACATCTTCACGGGAAGATCGGGCACCCCGATGGTTCCAAACGTCATCGGTGATCAACGGTTCAATAACTTTATCAGTCATAAGTGGTTCAAGGTAACGCTCTGGGTAGAACCCCCATCGACGTTCTGGCCCCTGACGGTCCCACTGGGATACAGGGAAGGGAAATGCACGGTTGGAAACCCATGCATTGGAGGACCATGCGTTGGAAATTCCACTCTGAGTACTACTGGACTCGCTGCTGGTTGTTTGTAGGAGTCGAGGCTCTGGTCGGGAAGGAGAATGGCCATGAGGACTATCATCAGCCCCCGCACCACCGATCTTTCTAGTAGAGTCGAGTTTGGACCCGGCTCGCAAGGCCTGGGTCCACATGTTAGAGTTGGGCCAAGCAATGTTGGAATATTCCAAGATGTCTGTCATCCTGTCAGCAATCTCGTTCTTTATAGCATGAATCACAATGCACTTACCTAGCGGGGCGTGCTGGAAAGACAAAGAGATCACATCTTTGACCCTCTCAAAAGGAGGAGACCGGTTTGGACGGGCAAAGCCCTCGGAAAGGGTTACCTTGATCCGGCCGAAGGGGTCTCCAGCATCCCAGTGTTGTTGGTCCAAGATCTCGGAGTGAAAAGCAGGGAAACGAAGCACGTCTTGATTGCCGTCACGGTCGATATCTGCGATAAATTAAGCACATGTTCCTGAAGGGGACGAGGGTGATTCCATACGAGTACTAAAATCTAAACCCAACAATAAGCATATCATCTTCAAGCCGAGCTCGAGCATCGCATGAACATACCTATAACATAGGGCCACATGGTTCTCTGACCAAAGATACCGCCACTAGTGTCCGTCAGTCTTTTTTAGATTCACAGAAGCCCATCGCGGTGTTCCAAGTGCCTGTCATCAAAACCAATCTTGAAAGTGCTTACGCAATAAGCTGCCCATCGATGTAGACCCGGCCCTCAAACATCAGCACGTCCTCCGGTTCCATCAACTTCTCCATAAAGCGGCTAGGGCGCGGCTTGTCCCAGCTGTGGATGGAGACACGAAAGCAACTGTCTTTGGGTATGCTCGGAATGAAGGTCGTCAGAACGGGGACTTGACCAACGTTCCCTTGAGCCGGATAGTAGGACGGAGGACTCATGGAGGCAGAAATCTGGAGGTATGGGGACTCGGTATCTTTGGTCACGAAGCATTGCGTTTTGAACTCCTGGATGGGCACCTTGCAACCCTCGGGGAAAAGCAACACATCCCAATTTTCGTAACGCATGACATCGGTTGGTGGTCGCTTGTAAGTAGTAGTAAGAATGGGGGATGAGGAAAAACTGTTTACGATGGTGAATGCTTATTGAATTGGTGAGATATATGGCAAATGCACCTGCCTTATTTGGATTGGATTGGATGGGATCAGAAGTAAACAACATCACGAAGAAGGAACACATAGTGATGGCTAAAAGGAAGGTGCAAACAGGCGAACAACTCCGTCCCAAACTGATCTATACTCTTATCACGAGGTGAGCAAGGTCCAAGCACTATCATGGACATATGAGAACACTAATTCAGAGATCATGAGATAACTCAGGCCATACAGAGAGAAGAAAAGAGATCAGGAGATGACAAGCCTAGGCGAAACTTGAAACTTTCTACTGCAACCCTAGTTACCAAAACCGAATCTACATGTACCAAGTTAAATACGATCATACTGTATTTCTGTCGAAATCCCTCAAATTCCCAAAGGAATGGCGGAACAAAGATGATATAGCGAAGGGGGAATCATCCAAGCCAAAGACAAGAACGCCAGCAAGAAACCGAGACATAGTCTCCGAATGTTACAAGATACGAGATTGGCTAACCATGACAAGACTCAGTCAATGCAGAACAGAATCCAGGAAACAAAATAAGACAACGCCTCCACGAGTGCGCCAGAACCATGATTCCACAGCTACAGGGAGTCTTGAGTCCCTGGCAAGAATGGACGTCAACTGAGGTTGCTACACTACTCCAGACTTCAACCAACCCTAATGAACCCGGTTGAAGAGAGAGAGAGAGAGCATTGTAGGAGATCAGTACCAAGACAATTGCCAGATGCACGTGACATCAAAATCAGAAAGAGTGCATGACAATGGTTATAGAACGAAATTCGACAAACGCGGAGACGCACGAAGCAGAGCGTGTTGTACAAGCCGTCATCAGTCTAACAAAGAAAGACAAGGAAAAGGACGGCGAAACGCAACAGTAGTCGAAGCGAACATAGTTCAATTTGGCTGCTCGATGAAAGGAAGAGGACATAGGAAATAGGATTGCGAGGGATGGAAGAAGTGGAACTTTTCGCAGAATGCCTGCCCAAGGAGTATAGAGTAAAAAAGACCCGCATGAAAAATACGCACTTTCGTTACACGCGAACAAGGACCCCAGGGCGGGGAGGAAAAATTGAAAAATAGCAGCATAGACGTAAATAAAGAAAGGGGCATTGAGATAAGGAAACACAACGTTAAAAAACGCAGTACGAACGTTGTGTGGGGGATACAAGAGGGGGAAACGAAAAAAAGAAGACGTCCACGATCCTGGGTAACAAAAAGAGACGTGAAATAAAAATAAAAAAACGGGGGGCTCATCTTGCTAGGATAATAAGCGCTCACGGAAATGCGAAGCACAGGAGGAAACGAATGCTCATCAAGAGCTATAGAGCGCTGAGTCTCGAAACCAGGGGGAATAGCAAATTTGTTTATCACACAAAGGGGGACCCATCATTGAAATGATGCAAACAACTCCTGCTGGTGCTTTCTTGAATAAAGGAACGCTTACTATGAAGAGAGAATGTAAGAGTCAGCCGACCGAGCCTTTACTCAAGAGTGTTCTGGGGCTGGGCTGCCGGGGTGACTGCTAACCTTCATTGGGGCAAACCCGCCGTAGTGCTGGGCAGCCGGGGGCATGCCCATGGAGGGGTACATGGGGGGAGGAGGGGGAGCGGGGCGGTAGGGGCTGCCGGCGGGGCCGGAGTTGTTCTGAGAGCGACCCCAGCTCAGACGAACGCGGGAGTTACCGATGGGGTAGCCCTGCATCTGGTTGATGGCCATCTCGGCAGCGTGGCGCTGAACGAACTGAACGAAACCACAGCCCTTTCCAGGAGGGATCTTGACGTAGGTGATCTCGCCGAATCCCTGGAAGAAGGAACGCAGCTCGTCCTCGGTGACGTAGCCAGACAGACCACCGACAAACACAGTGGTGTTGTTGGGGTCGGTGAACTGGTTCATAGGCTGGGGAGCACCGTAGAAGCCCATGGGGGGACCGTTCATCGGGGGGTACATGCCAGCGGGACCGGGCATGCCGCCCATGTTGGCAGCAACACCGGGACCCTTGTTCTTGGGGGTGGCGGTGGAGATACGCATGGGACGGTTGCCGCAGTAGACACCCTGCATCTCAGTGAGGGCACGCTGCTGGTCGGTCTCATCCGAGAAGCGAACGAAACCGTAGCCACGGGACATGCCGCTGATGGGGTCGGTCATAATCTTGGCGGACTTGCACGAGGGGAAACGGCTCTGGAAAAGCGAGACAAGAACGTATTCGTTAACCTCGGGACCAAGGTCACCAACGAAGATGGAGTACTCGGGACCACGGTCATCGCGGCTGGAAGATTCAAAGAAAATAGGTTAGCCATAATGTATTGATGACGCAATACCTGCACAAGAGATGCGCTTACCTGCGATCAGCAAGGCCACCGCCGGTAGCCCAGTTCAGCTTGAAGACGCGGTTGGTGTTAGGCATGGGAGTGCCGTTCAGAGAGAGGGCCTTGGCAGCGGCGGCCGGGGAGGAGAAGTCAACAAAGCAGTAGCCAGCATTGCTCCTACTACCAACATTAGGACCTCGGGAATCATCAAAGAGTTAATTAGGGGGAGGTAATCATGGTCTTACCCAGAGAACTTGTCACGGATCATCTTGACGTTGACCTGCTCACCCATCTGGAACCAGAGGTTACGGATGAAGTTCTCGTCAATCCAGGGCTCAAGCTCACCCATCCTATTTCCAAATAGGTTAGTCTTATATCCAAAGAACAGATATCTGAGGTAAAATCAGTTCAGTTAATATCAAACGTACCACAGGGTGGTCTTGCCATCAGCACCCTGCTGGGGAACGGGAGCGGATCCATCGGGAGCAGGGCCCTGGAAACCAGCAGTGGCAGGGTCAGCCTGGCCGGTCATGGTGGTGTCAGCAGGAGCCGGGGCACCAGCGGCGGCGGCGTCAGCCTGGTTGGGGAAGGAATCAAAGTTGTTGAAAGACATTGTGCGATCAAACGTATCCGAAAATTCGACGTAAGAATATAAAACGGTCTGGTCGACTGAAATTTCGTTGAGTCGTTAAGGAAAGACCGTAAGATCAAGAAGCACTTCGTGAACCCAAAAACTAAGAGATGGGCGTTAGGTTTCCTGATCAAAATGTGTTAAAAAGGTGGAAGCATAGAATGGTGAGAAAGAGATGGAAGCGCATGCATCAAACGCTCAAAAAAAAGAAGGGCGAATACAAAGAAAAGAATGTGATAGCAAAGATGTGGGGAAACTGAAATCAAGATCCACGCCAGGGTCAGGTGAAGCTGAAGTTGGTCCGATAATTTTTGGGGGCGAAGTGAAAGCGGTCCAGATGATTGTCAAATGGCAAGGCTGACGCAAACTTCAGCCGCGACGATATGCCGGAAACCGCACTGAGACCATGTATTCTTTCGGGCAGCGCTCCGCTTAAGCGCAATTTGATGGTTTGAACGGAAACCGCCGGAGTAGGTAAGCCTTTTCGGCAAGGAATCGAATGTTGCAGAGCAAATTGTGGATAGCGAGTGCTGAATCACTTGGTTCCGCACCATGCGCCGGCCGTTTCCGTCCAGGTCTCGGCGTTGAATTGCGACCGTCCACCAGGCTCCACTTCTCATCGCCCACTGTCCATTTAACCCATGCGATCAGAGTGTGACGTTTCTGCGACGCTGGCGACAAGTGACTGCGATCGTGGAAGAGAAGCGACCGGCGCAGGGTGGAGGGTTCAGCGACGCGATATTCCGAGGAAAGCTGGATCTCAGCCGTGGTGGGCGCAAGCAAGCGAGCGACCGATGAATGTAAAGAATCGCGAAAGTGAGGCGATAAGACTCTGACCCCGGCATAGATTTTGATTTTGAAGGGAAAATAGTGATGTAGTTGTGGCTGGTGAGAGTAGGACTGGGGAGAGGCGATGATGAAAGAGGCTTTAGAGCGAACACACGACTTACCAAGGGGAGGAAGAACCTGGCAAATTTCAAAACGAAAAAAGGTGATGAAAACCTGAGAAGAACTCCCGAAGCGCAAGACAGAACGAAATCCGCAAACCGAGAGGTGGAACAATAGGAAAGGAGGGATGAAGAAGGTTGGAGGGGAACGAAGAATTGAAATCTCAGATTCTGCGAGTTAGAGGGGAAGTGGGAAAGCCCATTACGCTACTAAGGGAGGGATTTGGTTGGTTTTACGTGAGATTACGAGGTAATCCAGGGTACGGTACGGTCATGTTATTTTCTCTCGTTTTTTACATAATCCTGTAGACCTTGACTTCTTGAATAACTACATAACTGGTATAGTGTCCATGGATGTAATATCCTTTATTTACTCCCTCTCTCAGCAGTACAGATCTGTTTGGTATGCAGATGATATCACTGCCGAAACCAGATCCCGGGGTACTAGTTTCTATGCAGAATCGCATAGTAAAACCCACCCCCAGCTCCTCAGCCGATCTCTACCTAAAAGTTCCGTTATACCCGATCACTGCAGGTTTTCTATTGGGTTTGCCTTCTAAGTCTTGTTTAGAGCCAAAAGTAAGAATAATTTGAATGCAGGGAAGCCATACAAGGGAGTGCATTTTCTGCAAGGACCGCCTGTCGCTACCCTTTGAATGTGACTTGTCGCATCCCCTCAATGCTTATCGAAATACTAGGACGGGGTAGCCTGAGGTCATAAATACAATACGAATCTATTGCCATGAGCCCCGGATACACTACAGCTTTAGATAAATGTACCTCGCTTGCAAAATAAATATTGTCTGCATCTATATAATGCAGGGTCTATAATCCCAAGCTAAACCAGATCCTTCGTCCGCAAGCCTGCAGAACAAACGGAAACAGCAGAGCTCCACCGGACGCCACAGAACCGTGGAAATGGGCCATCGCGGGTAAAACCAAGACACCATACACCAGGGTGTCAGCCCGATACATAAAGGTCAAAAAAAAAAAAAAAAAACCTGGAAACCCCGATTTAGAAAACCTGCAGCTTCAAGCTGGAGGAGGGGCATGACCTGATCGGTAATCAAGGTAAGCAGTACAAACAGGGCACCATGTCCGCCAGACAAATCATCATGCAGCCGTGCGGTACCCTCTAGGTACTGGTGTCCTCGGCTGTAAACCTTCTCGAAGCAAGGTTCTCAGATCCATGTCGGACCTTCTCCCGCGCTTACAACGCAAGGATGTGCAATACGTCACCAAATGCACAATACAAGCTGAGCAACATCGACCTGAACCAGAACCATGGGACTCGAGCATGGCTGGTTCTGGCTGGTGATTGGTCGAGAGTCCGTCTCTAGTCGTATTCGAGTTACCGAGGAGCTCTAGGATCAAGCTTGGCGTGGAGGCGAAAGCTCCGCTTGGCAAGACGCGTTTTCATTCGCTCTTATCCTACGCTTATAGAATCAGTGCAATCAGTGTGAAATTCAGTAGATTAAAGTGTGCATATCCTAGAATTCTTGTATCCAGATCGGTGTCATATAGAGTTTGATTTTACATCCCTCGGTGAAGCTGGTATGAGCAAGGGGAATGGGGACCCGTTGATCTATGAGATCAGTTCGAAACAGACGATTGATGCCCAAATCTTCGGGGAAAAACCCTTGCATCTCGTGTTGCTGCCCTAGTTACACAACCTTAGACTAGAATTAACCTATGTGGATTCAGCCTGTCATAACCTCCCTGCAGCATTGCCAGGGAGAATACCGGAGTGCAGAATCAAGATATACTTTATGCAATACCCAGAAATGTACCGAGTACCAGGTATAAGATGTAATATCAACGCGAACACGACACGACGCGGAAAAACCGCGCATTTCCCAACAAAGTCATATTAATAATTGGGCGCGGGAACCATGGAACCCAAGCTCCTCTCCACCCGGACTTAGGAAATAAGGGCATACCCTATGAATATATATCAGGATGGATTATCGAGAGCCTTAAAAAGTAAGCAATGAAATCACTCACTTTTCAAGGTTTCAATGGGGCAAACGTTGAAACTCCATTATCCCGAATAGAATCGAAACTAAACTAAATATGCACACATGGCTCAGGCCCGAGGCTGAGCAATCCCTAAAACGCAAAGAGGCTCCACTTTCAGGGCTCGAATCCACACTAGTTCGCGACGCTCTATCCAAAGAGAAGGCCGGGACTCGCTTCGATCGTTACAAGCGTTTGGTCGAGGTATTGCGCATACGGGTCACTCGACCGGTCATTGCTATTACCTCCCTTGGAGATTTGGGACGCAAGTATACCTGACACTGGGTCACCCCACTATAAATCTTTTTTTGGTGTTTTTTTTTCTGCTTGGGCTTATTTCTAGTGTCTTCGAGAAAATTCTTTGTCGTCTATGGCGTGTGTAGTGGGACTAGAGGGCTAGCTTGGGCGTTTAATTTGGTACGTTTAATTAAATCCATATTGTCGGAGAATGCTGCATTTCAATGTGTGGAGGATTCAGGCGTGTAAAGATAATCATATTCTAATTAGCCACGATTATAACTTTGAAGATAAACTTTGCCACCCGTCAATAGTCGCTCTACAGAGTATGGTTTTGACCAGTTGTTGAAGATAGATTTATTTTCTGAAACTACCATCAGAACCTCGTATCCACTCTAACCAAGTAAGCCATACAAAACAGTCAAAACAGTGGACACCGGGCACCCTGCATCAAAACATTCAATCCGCCGAAAATCCCCCATCTAGATCATCACCTTCACCCTGATCCGCCAACAACATCAAAGTCTGATCATAAACCTTCGCAGCCTCCATCAACCAAGGCTGCATAGGAGTATCCGCATCCAAGGGCTCATCATCGTAAACCACATTTCCACTTCCATTCAACTCAGAAAAACTGCTCGAACCAGAGCTCTCAAGACAAGAGAAGATCTTGTACCGCGTCGTCTCTGCTAAACTGCGAATCCGAACCTTTTGCGTCTGCGTCACGAGCGGATGGTCCGCCGCGGCGCCGGGAATGGGTTCTTTAGTAACCGGGTGCTGACCGGTACAAAGGGCAGCGAAGATCGAGTCAAATTTATGCAGGATGGTTAGTGTAGCCTCTGGATCGAATTTGTAGGTTGGCAGAGCCATTTCGGTCATTCCGGCAAGAGTGATAAGGCCTTCGACTTGGATGGAGGCTGGATATTGTTAGATTTATTCGTGACGACATAGATTCATCAGAATCGGAGAGGGGAAACATGTAAGCATGGGAGTAAAGAGGGAATCTGAAGATTGAGAAGAAAAGAAACATATACTCACGAGTTGCCGATGCCCATAGCGAATCAACCAACGACCCCACCTCCCGTGCTAACTGGGCGAAATTCTCGAATCTTTTCTCTGAAGCTCGGGTCTCGCTTCCATCCATGCCCATCTCAGACTTCATGTGACGGTAGTTGATTCTTTCGATGCCTGTGCTCAATCGACCGCGCAGTTGAGTTTCCTCTGTCGAGCCGGGACGGAGGGGCTCAGCGCGTTGCTCGGGCAGAGAAAGCATCGGAACCCATAGTGGTGTTTCTGTTTGGAAAGAAACAGAGTGGACTGAGGAGGTGCCGTTGTTGTCTGTTTCTGGTGCTGATCTTGGTGCTGCAGCTAGAGGCACGTCCTCGAATTCCACGTCTGACTCTGTGTCGGTCTCTTCTGGGGTTGCAGTGTTTGACATTTTGATTTGATTTGTGGCGGGGGTTGGAGAATGTTTGTTTCAAACAAAACAAGTGAGCGAGAGAGGAAGATGGTGATGTGAGCTAGCATGGGTTTGTAGAGTGTCAAATGGGTGATATGTCTGCGGGGTGCGAACGATCCGTAGCCACGACTTCACATTACAAGTGCCGATGCATTATTCAGGAAGCACGATCTCACGTTCTAGGTTTTGGTGTCTCTTTAAACATACAGACCTAACAGCTGTGCGTCAAAGCTAGAAGCTCCGGGTTTCCGGACGTACAAGCTTGAGTGGGATGTGATGCCAAGCCTTGGTCTGTGCTTTACCGTTGATCGAGCCAACGTACTATTGGGACATGAGAACTGTTGATTGAACACCAGTGTCAGTTGAAATCCACATTAATGGCATTAGGCAAGGGACAGTATTCGAAATTCAAATTAGTAGTATTGTTGAATACACACCAAGGCACTCACTCGGTCACACTAGGCCATCCTTGAATATGAAGGTAATTATGGACCTCAGCAATAACCTCTGAGCTGGCGCCTTTTCTTGCATATATCCCGACTCAAGTGAAACGTTATATTGTATGTTGACCTGGGTCAAGCGACATCAGGTCAGTTTTCTGAGTCACGATCACTGCATGAGCTATACATGTGAGGTGCCCAACTAAAACTCTGTGGTGTTCAATCAACATTTAGGAGTCTCTGCAAATTGGCTTCCATGCTTCACACATAATCAATTCCTATGTATGTATCTTTCAGCAGTGCCATAGCTCATAAGTTGCTCAAAAGTTGCATGCAAAGGCTTATACATATCTCTCCCTTCTCCAGTCATTTAGGATAGATGTTGATTCAAGAGTCAGCCAGTGATCAGGGCCTAATTTTAGGCTGCGGAGTCGGACACATTCTGTCATCAGCTGTAAAGCAGCTTTAAGTCGACCAGATGACCTCCAGTTATGGGCCAAGTTGTTCATGCTGACTAGAGTGTCGGGATGCTCTGGTCCGAGCACCCGTTTGCGGGCCTCTATCACCTGCATGCTGAGTTCTTCGGCCTCCTTCAATCGTCCTTGGTCCTGGTAGGTTGATGCTAGGTTGCTTATGCTTATCAGAGTGTCAGGATGCTCTGGCCTAAGCACCTGTTTGCGGGCCTCTATCACCTGCACGCTGAGTTCTTCGGCCTCCTTTAATCGTCCTTGGTCCTGGTAGGTCAATGCTAGGTTGCTTATGCTCATCAGAGTGCTGGGATGCTCTGGTCCGAGCACCCGTTTACGGGCCTCTATCACCTGCATGCTGAGTTCTTCGGCCTCCTTCAATCGTCCTTGGTCCTGGTAGGTTGATGCTAGGTTACTTATGCTTATCAGAGTGTCAGGATGCTCTGGCCCAAGCACCTGTTTGCGGGCCTCTATCACCTGCACGCTGAGTTCTTCGGCCTCCTTTAATCGTCCTTGGTCCTGGTAGGTTAATGCTAGGTTGCTTATGCTCATCAGAGTGCTGGGATGCTCTGGTCCGAGCACCCGTTTGCGGGCCTCTATCACCTGGACTTCAAGTTCTTCGGCCTCCTTCAATCGTCTTTGATATTGGTAGGTCATGGCTAGATTGCCTATGCTTATCAGAGTGTCAGGATGCTCTGGTCCGAGCACCTGCTTGCTGGTCTCTATCACCTGTACGTTGAGTTCTTCGGCCTCCTTCCATTGTCCTTGGTCCTGGTAGGTCAATGCTAGGTTGCTTATGCTCATCAGAGTACTAGGATGCTCTGGTCCGAGTACCCGTTTGCGGGCCTCTATCACCTGCACGATGAGTTCTTCGGCCTCCTTCCATCGTCCTTGATATTGGTAGGTTGATGCTAGGTTGCTTATGCTTATCAGAGTGTCAGGATGCTCTGGCCCAAGCACCTGTTTGCTGGTCTCTATCACCTGTACGTTGAGTTCTTCGGCCTCCTTCCATTGTCCTTGATATTGGTAGGTTGATGCCAGGTTGCTTATGCTATCCAGTGTCTCCGGATGCTCTGTGCCGAGCACCTGCTTGCGATATCTGATCACTTCTAGCTGCAAAGTTTTTGCATCCTCCCATTTACCGCTAAGTATATATGCCCGTCCTGCCATTTCAAGACTATCAATCGTATGCTTGTGTTGTGAACCGAACAATTTTGTTCTTATGTGCATAGCCAAGACTGCAAGAGCCTCGCTCTCACGAACATTTCCCTTCGTGAGCGCAAATGAAGCTGCTCTATTCAGCAGGTCGGCCCATTTTGGTAAAATCCCTTCGTCATCCGGTGATTGCAGGACAGCAGATTGTATATGTGAAAAGAGCGGTTGGCAAACAGCCCAATTCTCAAATTCTCCGTTGGGAAACTCACACCAAAGTATCTCGATGAATTGCTGCATCCACCGTTGGAGTTGTCCGTGGACCTCGAGCAACTTCCGCATAGCCAGTTGTACTAGCCGATGCATTTCGAAGGTCGCTCCATCAACACTGATAGAGATCATCGAGTAGTCTCTTAAAACCTGTATATTCTCTTCAAAATCATGATCTATACTAGACTCTGTTCCACTCTCCCCATTGTCGTCGCTTCCTTCTGCTAAATGATGCTGAAGTAAAGCTGCAGGAATGCCCTGGCGGTCGAAAAAACTCATGAGTGATAAAAGGCCCGCTGCCGCCGGTTGGGATTGCTGTATGTGGTCAAATGATAGTTGCCAGGTAATCAGAATAGAGTTCTTGGCATCTCTATCTCGACGCAGCTGTCCCCCGTTATGGTTCAGTAGACTTGTTTTCTTGCCATCGCTCTTCTGAAATTCCTTCAAATACTGTGGTACTGAAAGACGAGGGGTCCTTTGCTTAATATAGCCTGCGGCTTGCACGATTGCGAGTGGTACACAGTCAAGAGTAGTGACGAGCTGAATGATGCTTTCCTTCTCTGCTTGCGCTCGTAGCTTCTTCTCAAAGAGCATCGTCGCGTGTGACGAATCCATCGGTTCTATTGGAATGATATCGGCGTCTTCCACTATGATAGAGACAACACCTCTACTTCGAGATGTGATAATTGTTGACCCATTATCTGTAACTGGGAGGTATTCCAGGAGTGGTCGTCCTGAAGGCGGAACTTCGTGGAGGAACCGGCTATCGTCGACGTTATCAAGAATCAAAACCCACTTTCCATTCCTCTCGTCGGCAAGCCAGTCGTGAATGAGCTTAAATATATTCGCCGAGGGGTCTTTCCGTCCAGGGATCTTGACTCGGTCTGCGATATCCCCGCAATTTTGCTCAAACCGAGCCGCACTACCTGCGTGAATCCAGAAAACCCATGTCTTGGGCGATTGTTCCCGGATTCGGTAAGACAGTTCGATCGCAAGTTGAGATTTCCTTCAAATGTCTTAGCAGTAATCGATCTGTTGTCCATCTTCACTTACCCCACACCGCCGAGCCCAACAAGCGCTATCCTAGCGCTTGGTCTAGTCCCCTTTTCACATATCTGATCGAGCAGCGTTCCACGATCGACATAGTCTGGATCACGACGGAACGGCACGGTCGATAGAGGAGCGGGTGGAGTTTCTGGTCGCTCTCGTTCTGAACCCGGAAATGGTTAGGCGATTCCGAGGTTTGACCTGGCTTAACCATGACCTTGTGAACCTACCTGGGGGCATATGGATCGTTCCATGATTTATTCCCACCTGGTTACCCGAGTTTGTGCCGCCAAAAGATACGGAGGCCATCGTCAATATGGCGATGTGCTTTATGTTGTGTTACTCCGCAGATAAATGCCCAACTTCTCATAAATTGGACAATTACCCTCAGCCTCACTATCATGTGACCTTCCCTCGGCGCTTAAATATATCAAGTAGCATCTAGCCATTTTCTATCTTTAGAACAAGGCACGGAGAGCTTCTTGTACTTCCAAATACAACCGCCGAAGTGGAGAAAACGCGACCTATGATGGGCAAGTGGGTCATTGGTGGAAGCCATTTCCAAATTAGTTGAATGCTTGATTCAAGACAGGAATATATTGATGTCTTAAAATTCTTTTTTGTATTCACATGGACACATAACCGATGCACTAAATGACTGATAAACTAATATACCGATCAGCAAATGCCATATAGAAACCGATATCAGACTCCGTGGCATTGGGTTTTTGTCAGAAGGTGAGAAGATTGTTATAATGCTGGTTTTTGATGGCATGGCAGACAGCGGCGAAGCGCGTCTTGCTACACTGGCCCCAGCGAATTCATCATTGGAGTATGCATTGAATTGGAACAGGCAAAAACAAGAAATTCGAAAAAAACTCACTCCCTATGTACCAGGACGCTTGGTTTTTGTCCATAGAAACTCCCAGAACGCCTTGCCATGCTATAGACACCTCACTCAGGCTAGAAAATCAGTTAGCGTGGGATTCACCAAGTCAGTCACAGCAAGGAAACTCACCCGAATCTTTCCTTTCCGCATCTTAATATCCGCCAACTTCCTCTTATCCTCATCGAACTTCTTAAGCAACTCTTGCTGTCTCTCCTTCCTCTTCTCTCTAGACTGGAACCGGTAGAAGTCCTCCAATCCTTCAGCCTTCTTCTTCTCCTTCGCAATCAACTCCTTCATCTCATCCTCCCTCGCAACAGAATTCAACTTAGGTCCATGCGTAACAGTAACGAATCCATCCTCGTCCGGCTCCGCATTCTTCCTCGACTCCTCGCGCTTCCGTGCCTCGGAGACCTGCGCGAAAACAGTCATGAAATCGTTGACGGCCGTTAACAACTCCCTACGGGCGGGGTATCGGCGACGTTCGTGGGAGAGATAGCGCTGCACGCCTAGTGCGGGGACACGGTCTGTAGAGATACCCTCGCCCCAGACGATGGTTGTACCCTTTCTTGCGGCCTTGGCGGCCGCTTTAAGGCTTGCTTCCATGCTAGCGCGATCGGCGAAGACGACGATGGCGTGGGCGCCGCTCTTTTGGAGTTGGCGGTCCCAGGTTGATGGGAGGGTGATCTCGTCTAGCTGGGACTGGAGATCGTCGGCTGTGACACGCTTGCGCTTCTTGCTGCGGTGGGAAAGGTTGTTTTCTGTTGAGGGTGCGACGTTGGTCTTCTTGGCGGGAACATCTTCGAATTGGACGCTTGAAACACGGCCAGCGGCGAGTTGTTTGCCAAAGAGGTGGGCGATGTGGGTTTCTGTTGTGTCGATGGGGGTATTGACAATGAAAAGAGAGCGAGAGGAGTCGGGGTCTGGAACGCGAGGTTCGTGAGGGCGAATGTAGAGGTAGTGGGTGGCTGGTTTGGGAAAGATTGGGAGCGTTGGGAGCTGGAGTGGGAGGGTGATGTACCCTTCCACTTCTGGGGCGTCTCTCTTCATTTTGGTGATGAGGTTTAATGTTAATTCTTCGCCGGTTCAGTTGGTGACTTTTTCGCAGTTTTTTTAATTCTGCCGTATGGCTGGGGCGGGTCCAAGGGCGGTGAACCAAAGCAAGTATAAGCTGAGATTCCTGAGAGGATGTAGTCACAGAAATTGCAAATAAGTGGAATGTCGACTGCGTTACTATGGAATAAACATTATAATATAATACATATATTCCCATCAAGATGGGTATCCTTCACATATTGCTGTTGTGTCTGAGATGTTTATCCCATATAACTCAAATCTGGTCTGGATCGTTGATACCTCCATTCGTAATCACATAAGTGGCTTCTCTTTCAGGACAATCTATGAGACATCAGAATACACTATGAAATTGCATTATTCGGACTAAAACTTACCAGGTGAATCCTGTATCTTAGCCACCCGTTCCTCACCACGGCCTTTGCGAAGCAGCACTCGAGTAGTAGACGCATGAGCAAGTACATGTCCACCGACAGGCTTGCGACCATCAGCGCCGGCGAAGAGGGCACTTGCACCAGGGTCACTCTGGACCTGATTTGTCTAGGACAAGTTAGATGCTAGCGCAAAATTATCGAAAGACAGGGGGTATACTGACCATCAAGACACAGACATTGAACTCTGCAGAAACATCAGCACCAAACATCTAAGAGAACAAAAACAGGCATGGAGCTTGAAGAAAGTTAGATAGAGGTGACGAGCTTACCTTCAGCCATGTGCGCCAGTTTCATCAGGAACTGATTTAATTTTTGCTGACGCTCCGCCAACTCCCCACGCCCACAATAGTCGACCCGGAAACAGTTCATAATGCTATCAATCACAAGCAGTCGATAAGACCCATCCGCAAATTCTCGACTCAGCGTATTCAGTAACTCCAGTTGATGCTCACTGTTCAGAGCACGCGCATACGAAATATTCTCTTGAGCCAGGCCCGGATCAACGCCGAAGCGTTCGGCGATCTGCGCGATACGCTCGGGTCGGAATGTGCCTTCTGTGTCGATGTATGCGACTTTGCCGTCAGCGCCGCCCATCGACTTCGGGAGCTGGGCAATAATGGACATCGTGTGTGAGAGTTGGGTTTTGCCGCAGCGGAACTCGCCGAAGACTTCGCTGATGCTCATGCTTTGGAAGCCGCTATATATGAGATGATCAGATTAGACTAAATCAGACAGGATTGCGGTGTTCAACGTCATTGAGTTAGGTTGTGTATCTATGAAGAAGTCAACTTACCCTCCGAGAATAGAGTCAAATTGTTTGCTTCCTGTTGAGATTCTGACGACCTTTTTGCGCTGATGGAATAGCTCCATGGCTGTGATGAATCCCGTCGAGGGCTGATGCATCATGTATTAGAAGTTGTTTTAAGGGCTTAGAGTGTTGAACTGACAAGACATTTCTGGACAGCTTCCTTTATTTTCTCCACCTTGACTTCGCTGAAGCCTTTGACTTTGAGGAGTGTTCTGCGAGTGGCTCCATGTACAGACTGGTATCTGTGTTAACAGGGAACTTCAAATACTTCACGGATCAACTGGAGAGCTGTGCTTACAGCAACAGTGTAGTACCCATTGGCCTTGAGCTTGTTAATGTCTGCAGCTCCGATGCCGTGGGATTGAATACCATCGATATCAACGATGAAGTCCTGATGGAAGTTAAGTCCGAAGGCATCAACTGGATGATTCTGAGATGAGACAAACCTCGACATCAAATTCATCGCCCGCATCAGAGCCAGGCATTTTGGCGATGGTGATGGAAAGTGAGAGACCGAAGAATGAAACTTGGGTGAGAGGGAGAGTCACGGGTCTCCTACAGAACAGTGTTTGACCTTTCAAGGTATACCATGTTCTTCTACACAACTACTGACTTTACTAGACAACAATCTACACTGATAAAGGTAGAAAGAATTGCGTTTTCATATTCTCAGCACCAAGGAATCTTCTCACCGGGAAAGGCCCCATTCCAAATACACTGCGATCTGCTTTTCTCTTTCTCTTTCTCTGCATCCACCACTCCTCATTCTCTCATCCTCTCTCGCTCTCTCTCCGGGCCCATCCGGGAAAACCGCAATCAAGAGTAGATTTCATCGAATCAAAGATTCGACTGGGAGTAACAAATAGACAAGACGCCAACCATGAGACTTGACCAAGACCAAGTCAGCTTGAGGGAAACCGGGGTTCGTGATTTCAAAAGAAAAAGGGAAAGAACTTTTTCTGTTTGATCGTCGTATACATAACAAGTGGGAAGGTGAAAAGAAAAGACAAAGACGATAAACAAACAGATTCAAACCAATACCCAATTCAAAGGGAGCATGGCCAATATATGCAAATGAAGACTCCGGAGAGATAAAAAAAGGATCGTTCGGGGTTGAAAGTGACCGTAATACAGGGATGAAAGAAGAAATGGGGGTAAATAAGTCCGGGCATGGCACGGTGGTGAGAAATCAGGTTATATCAAAAATTCGCTTATGCAGCAGCGGTGGTAGGAGCAGCGGCAGCGGGAGCGGCAGCAGGGGCCACAGCGGAGGCATCGGTCTCACCAGCCTCAACGGCCTCGACAGTGGCGACAGGAGAGATGACAGGGGCAATAGGAGCCGAGGCAGTGGCATCCACAGCAACGGTAGCAGCGGCCGCATCAGAGGCAGCAGGGGCAGCAGCAGCAGCAGCCTCAGTGGTGGGGCAGTCGCGGGAAATGTGACCGGGCTGGCCACACTTGTAGCAGACCTTGCCGGTCTGGCTCAGAGGGCCACCGTTGGGGGAGGTGCAGTCACGAGAGATGTGACCAAGCTTGCCGCAGGCGTAGCACTTCATGGCCTGGGCCTGGCAGTCACGGGCGAAGTGGTTGGGACCACCACACTTGTAGCACATGGCAGTGCGGGGGAAACCACCAAAGTTACCACGGAAACCACCCTGGCCCTGGAAGCCGCCACGAGCAGCTCCAGCGGGGCGGCGGCCAGCGTTGGGGACGGCAGGGCTAGTGCAGTTGCGCTGTGTGAATTGTAAGTAAACCTGCCCAAATGACATAAGGAGTTCAACATACGGCAAGGTGGCCGGCCTGGCCGCAGTTGTAGCAGCGGCCGTTGGCACCACCGTTCAGGCGCAGAGTGGGGCAGTCAGCCTGGACATGTCCAAGGCCCTGGCAGTTGTAGCACTGCTTGGCTATTGAAAGTCAGCCTATGGCTAACATGAAATTATCGACTGGAGTGGGTTTCTTACTCTCGGTAGTACGAGGAAGGGGGCAGCTGCTGGACTCGTGGCCTATTTGAGAAGAATGAGACTTTGTAGATCGGGGGACGGTCACACGAAATGCCTACCAGGCTGCTTGCCTATGATATAGTTATTAGCTTTAGATCAAGACAAAGAAAGTATGGATATACATACAGTTGTAGCACAAGCGCTCAGTGGAAGAGCAGACCTCTACGCCAGTTAGTGAAAGGTTCTAGACAAACCAAATGTTCTCAACTGACCGGCGTAGTGGCCAATGTTGCCACACTTGTAGCACGCACGACGAGACAACATCATTTCTGATTTCTACCAACGAGCGTCAGCCCAATTCGACTTCGACATGTCGTTCCCCAAGCCCGCAAGCCTCCGGTCGCCGATTATCCCGACGTGGCCATTTCTTCTCGATCTGAATGCATTGGAAGACCGAGAACCAAAGCTGCAGTGTGATCATGTGCGTACGATTGTCCAACATGGGACCCAAAGAGCGGAGTGGATATTTCGATTTTGTCGCATGTTCAAAAATTGCATCGTGCGGGATAGAGGGGAGACCGACGATCCGCGCGGGGAACAGAAAACGACGGGCAGAACAAAGGCGCAGACTCACCAAAGAACAATATCCTTGCCAATTTCAAAGTCTATTGAGTTTCAGGGACCCTGTTAGCTTTGAGAACCTTGTGGAGGAGAAGCGCAAATTCAACCAACAATGGGGAAGAACACCACGTTCTTGACAGCCCACCAAGAAAAAAAACACGAGAAAAAAAAGTGGGGGGAGCAGCGTTAGCCCCCAAGCGCACAATGACTTCACTTACCAAAACACCGGGAAATCGAAACCCTTCAAACAGCGATATAACTTATAATTCAACGAGGAATGAAGGAGAGAATCACAAAAAAGGTCGTGGGGTGCAAACTCGTCAAAACTTTAGCTCCTCCGTTCCCGAGCGATTCCGTATCGAGCGAGGTTGCTGATTCACCTGCGCTGTCATTCGACGACCTCTGTCTTGATTTCATTGATATGTAACAAGATTGATCAAAGTCTAGAATTCATCATTTGTTTCAAACCAAAGCTCCGGGATATATACGCTCATTGAATGAGTTATTTGGCTAAAAGATGTATTGAGATGACGTAACCGACCCAATCAGCTCAAGCTTACCAACGGTCATAGTTCAAGCTATAGCTTAGTACTGCTGACACGGCAAGCGCTACAGAGTACAGCATAGTAGATAAAGCTTCCCACGAGCTCAATTCAGGGTTGAAATTGCACTATAGAGCCCCTACATTCCAGGAATTCATTCATTCATGACCAATGCAACCAAGTCCATTCTCTGATCAACAGGAGATAAAAAGTACTATGCAATGTCGTTCTTCATTTCAACATCCCTGCAGCAAGAGAGAAAAAGGGAAATTTAACCGTAAAACATTAATACAGCCGGAGATGTTGGATCTGCATTAGGTGCCTCGATACTTTGTAGTACCTAGAGAATGTTGCGGCATCTGCTTTTCGCGCTCTATTGTTGCCGGGACTTCGATTTGAAGTGTGAAAGAAAACCCCATAGAAATTAGTCTGACACTTCACTAAGCACATATGTATTGTGTTAAGCAAATGCAGTAATTTTATTCTAGGCAACATGCTGCTGTACTCGATTCTCTAGATTTCAAAGACCATATGACCCGCTTAATTCAGGCCAATATAAGATTTGTCCCGCATGCGTCGAGTCTCGAAAATTTCCAACCATCGTCTTTGAAACCGCAAAGCTATCTGAAGCCAGCGCGCAGCTTTCACGAGACACTTTAAAGTGGCACGTTGACCCTCAGGACGACCTCGGGAGGTCTCATCGGTAAATCAAGACCTTGAAATTCGGCAATACACACTGCTAATTTCTTAACTGATCTAAAGGCATAGCCACGTGAGGTTCAACTTCTCATCAAAGTTGTGTCCGTGAAACTCCGCAGTCAAATTCAACTGCAATGTATAGATCGAATACGTCGTGCCGATCATTGGCGCCTCAGGAGCCAACCCAGCCCAAACGGCTAGCGCATCTCCAAATTTGGACTACTATAGGCAGGTAGGAGCTTAGGTATGTACTCGATAATATTACTATTCTGGTTGATCAAAGGTGGAGAGAGACAATTGCAAGGTGTATATACGGACGATTCAGCCCTGAATTGGCTGTTGGTTCAAGTCGAATCCCGTCACAATTACGCCCCAATTACGCCCATATTCCCATGAGTCCATGACCGATCGAAGACGCTGTGAAATGTGGTCATCGATCCGAACATTGACATGAAAAGATCCTTCTGAATGAAGGTCTCCTCCAAAAGCACGTCCACTAAAGCTTGATATGAATATGTCTCAATGGTTTGACTGTTGCGCGCAATGGGTCTCAGGCCTGGTCTCAAAGACCCTGATCTTGACGACAATGCTCCTGGCCTCGATGTCAATAGCCTCCTCTCTTGCTTCAATGTTTTTAGACTTACCCTCGGCACCAATGCTCTCGCTCTTGGCGTCAATACGCTCATTCTCGCTGTCATTACTCGCATCCTTGGTGGTAACTCTCGGGTTCGGTAGCAAAGGGTTGGCTATTGAAACATGTGTCGCTATCAGCGTAAATGAGCATTTTTCAGCCTTAGTAAGGCTTCTTAATGGCCGGGAGATTTCCTGAAGCAGCAGGGCTTGAAAGTAATAGAGCAAGTCTCTATCCTCCTACCGAGTCATACTCTATTACGACTAGACGGATACTGATGTTATTAGTATCACCCTTGTCCCAAATGAGGATACCAACCAGGACTCCCTATGCATGACATTTTTTCGTTTTAATGGCTCTATAAATCGAGAGAAAGCGGGAAAGTTACCGTGAAATCAATACAGACGCAGTCATATTCGAATACTACATTACCTAACGGTTAGGTAGGGTTCAATATTCAAAATTTGATAGTAATTTTTCTCGAGCACATACCCAGATATCCACTTGATCACAATTGGCTACTCCGGGGCGAAGGAGATTAAGAGTGACCCTGAGTCGGCTACGTGACATCGCTTGATTTAAGTCTTCACGTAATGTTTCATGCGAGCCGGGATATATGTAGACACAGCCTTTATGTAAAGTGTGTAAAAATACCATGCAATTCATTTCTTCGTTTCAATATCCCTACAAAAGGAGAAAGGGAAAATAAACAGTAACAACCAAAATGCAGCCCGAGGATTTACACCTACACTAGGTGCTCTCAATATCTTTTTAAGCAAGGAATGTGCATCTACTCTTCCCGCTCCAGGATTGCCGGGGCCTTGATTTCCCGACCAGAAAGGAACTCCAGGTTCTCACCAGCCTACAGAAAATAGTTAGCATTGTTCGTGTAAAAGGGGAGATAGATGGAAGAAACATACGTAGCTGATCAGAGGAGAGACCTCCACTCCAAAAGCCTCACCGTCGGTAACGACAATACCACCGGCAGCCTCGATCCACCGCTGGCCCTGCTTCAAGATATCGGCACGGCTGGTATCCGGATCATCCTCACCGGTGCCACGGGCATTCTTCAAGGGCGAGAACTCGTCCTCGCGACGCACCTCAATGCTAGCGAACTTGTCAAGCGGGGTCATGGGGAAGACATCGAAGATGAATTGCTCCAGCTTGATGCCGTTAGGCTTGGTAGGCTTCACAGCCTCACCGTCCTCGGGGTTAACGAAAGGAATCTTCTTGCGGGCCACATGGTGGGGCAGCTTGTGCACCCAGTTCTCGATGGACTCGAGGAAGCGGAAGGAGTAGTAGTGATTGACAATGTTCGCGGCACGGAACTTGAGCAGTTCAGGCTGCTTGGGGTCTTTGGCTTCGCGTGTCTCCTGGTCGATCTCGGAGTACTCGACAACGTCGGGCTTGCCGTTCTTCTGGACGATCAGACCGACAGACTCGGCAGCGTCACGCTTGCGCACAACCTTGGTAGCGATATCGACGTCCTTGTCGGCGGAGAAACCGATGAGGATGGGGTCGGCCACCTTGACCAGGCAGTTGTCGACACCGAAGATGTGAATGTGCTTGATGCCACGCTTGCGCATGTCCTCACGGGCTCCAGAGGTCACCAGACCCTGGTAGATTCCACCGTTTCCATCAGGAGCAACAGCAACCTATAGTGGCGCATTAGCAATCCATGCTGCTCAAGTAGACAAATGTAGAAGAATAAAAAAAATATTAACGAATCATACCTTGCCCTTGCCCTCGAGCAGGATCTTGCCATCGTTGGAGATACAAGGCAGCACACCCTGCTCGAAAATGAAAACATTGCTCTTGTCAAGTCCAAAGTACTTGCTCTTCTCGAAAAACTCCTCTGTCGGCTTGCGGGTCGGGCCACTGGTCATGACGTACCAGGGGATAATCGCCGACTGGACGCCGTAAGTCTTCTGCGCGACCTCCTGCAGCTTCAGAATACGCTCCGCCTGCAGCTGGAACAGCGACTTCTGGCTCAGCAGACCGATATCAAAGCAACCCTTGGGCGCCGAGCTACCCAGACGGGTACCCTGGCCACCGGCCATCAGCACCACAGCGACGTTGTTCTCGGCAACCTGCTTCAGACCAGCGTCGAACCATTTCTGAAGATCGGAGGGGTCGGAATCGATGATAGAGGCCGTAGCGGAGTCGGGGAGGGGCTCGACCGTGGCGGTGGTCTGCTCGGTCTTGGGCGGGTTCAGGGCAACGTTGGCCAGCTCATTGATGCGGGTGGGATCAAAGTTGGATAGTTGATGGAAGAGCTTAGATTTCTCGACGGTTTCGAGCTCATCAACAAAGGCAAAGACCTGTCCTTGACCAGCCTGGGTGTACTTCTCCTGCAGGGACTGGAACTCTTCAGTCGAGGGCTCCCGGGGCACTTCCTCGGTAGCACCCGAGAATTTGCCAATCAGGTTGGAGACGGTCTCCTTGATTGCCGCAGCCATTGTGATTAAGTAATTTGTGTGTGTAAGGGAGGTTTATGTGGGATATAAGGGAAAAGTTGTGGAAGAGGGAAGAGTGGAAGGGGGGGAAGTGGCGGGAAGAAAAGTAAATAAATTCCAATTCGCGGGGTGAAGCTGTAGCTGCGTCCACACCGTAACTAGGGATACACCTCAACTAAACCCACATTTGGTTTAGGCTACGAATTATTTTTAGTGTCTGAGACGAATCGGAGCCACGGACAGAGGAACCTGAGTGAGTCTCCGGGTGAGACCTGGCCATTGGATTGCCATTCCCGAATATGCCCCGCTAGCGGGGCAAGCTACCGATCCGGTTTTCTACTATTGATGTTTGGAATTGATGGGTTCAAAGAGGCGCAGGCTGATGTTGCTATATTGAATCGATATGTAGTCCATTGGTATACCAGGCATATCCATTTTTGGTTTAAATATGTTACATTCATCGTCGACGATCATATCGATCATCTCGCCGACGATTGTCACGGTAGCGATCGCGGTCTCGGCGGTCTCTTGGCCCAGGGCTTCGACTTGGAGAGCGGCGACGAGGTCGATCTTGATCTCGTCGATCCCGGTATGTATCTCTTGGAGGACTGCGACGACGCTCCTCACCAGCGTCAGGCGGTCCAGACGGTCGATCTCGGCGCTTGTTCTTATCAAAGACCATATTGTAGCTATCATCAGTCTTGTCCGCTCGAACTTCATCAGGCACTCGGTACTGGCGTTTCTTTTCAAGATCGGCGACACCACCGAATCCGCCTCGCTGCCTGCGCTTGGTGACGGTAGCATTGCGCCAACTCTCGGACAATTTGGAGACCTGTAGCTGCATGTCAGCAAATAACTCATAGAAATGGAGCTCGACGCGGCGCATATCTGAGGACATACACTTTGAGAGAAATCGACATGGATCCGATGGTCGTCAATAAGCACACCCTGCATCTTAAAGTAGGCTTGTTCGCAGTCTTTCTGGTTGTCGAACTCAATAAAGGCGTATTGCAGACTATCTCCAGTACGCTTGTCCCGGATTACCTCACAGGATAGAATGACGCCAAATCGACTAAATATCAATTGTAGATCCTCATCTATAAGATGTGGTTAGCGCGAAATTAATCCAAGGAAAAAGTCCGAACAAACCTTGAGTCACCGGATTCAATTTGCACACAAAAAGAATATTCTCCGGGGGCTTGACGTCGGCGAACGGCAAGTCTCCCACCATCTCCAAGGTCAAGGCCTGGGCACGAGCGTCGCGCTCCCGGCGCAATTTTTCCATAGCATCCTCGTCCATCTCATCATCCAACTCCTCATCGTCCGCGATTCGCACCGTCGCCAATTGTGCTTTAGATGGCAGCGGACTCTCGGGCGGTTCGACGAGCCCCGAGGGATCGTCAAAGGGATCATCTAGAACGACGGTGTGGCGGATACGAATGTCTTTCAAGGGTCGACCTCGATCATCGATAAACGAATCATTAATTTTTTCCAACACATCAAATCCCTCAACGACTCTGCCAAAAATAGCCGCCTTCCCATCCAAGTAGTCCAGATTGTCACCCAAGGTAATTAAGAACTGGCTGGCGGCGAGGCGTTGGTCGGGGTCGTTGGTGGCTGGAACGGTTGCCATGCTCACCATTCCGCGCTCGGTATGCTTGAGCTTCGGCAGGTCGATTGGAAAGGTGCGTTTAGAGGGGCCGTCCAGCAAGCCCCAGATCGAAGATCCGCCATCGCTCTCGGGGGCGTCAGGGCCAAGCGGGTCGCCGGTTTGAAAAGAGAAGTTCTTTTGGACGCTGTGAACGGGGGAGAAATTGTAATACTTGATTTTGCACAGCTTCAGGAAGCTATGACGAAGAAAAGCTTAGTTTCTTGTTCAGCACAGTTGGATGCGGCACGACATTGGACAGGGAGGGAGGGGGGGGAACAGGGCGCTTACTTCTCACAAGCCTTGGGCGACTCGTCAACCAAGAGGTCAATGACGATATCGCCCAGGGAAGTCTCCAGCAAGGCGCTCATTTGGGAAGCAGGGTTGTGTGTTTCTTGCTCCAGATCGATGTCGCAGAAAGAGAGAAGTCGGAAAGAAAGATCGACGCGGAGCTCGGACCAATCAGAAGCTGTTGATACAACGGGGAACTAAAGATGCATCACCGGTTTTCATTCTTGTACCACTTGGCTTTAGGAGGATTTTTGTTAAGTCCACATGCAGGCCACACTCATAGCTTCTCCGGATGATCGACCCGCCTTCCTTTGTGCCACTTCACATTCTGTCCCTTCACAATCGACCGGCATATCTTCCGAGTGTCCCAGTTGGACAAGCTCCCCTAACCCTTTTTTCAGATCCATATGCAGATCTGAAGCTGTTTGCTGCAGATCCCCTCACCGATTGCTCGGAATAGGTCATGCACGAAGTCAGTCCGAACCGCAAGAACTGAAGGGGTTCTTCTATTCTAACCCATTTTCTCATGATCTTCTCCCCGAGTCTGACTTCAGGATGACTTACACAGTACCACGACCTGTCAGCGCAGTGACCTCTCTGGATAACCCTCGGATGACTTGTTCCACGACAGAAAACGGTGGGGGGGAGGCCAAAACGGGCGGCCTCCTGCAGGCATGAGAAGAAGACACATCTGTTATTCTCAACCCCATACCTACACGTGGGGGACGAAGATCATGAACGAGGCCTTTCCCTTTCTAAGCCTGACACCGTAGAAAACAAAAGAAATTCACCAGAAAGTTTAAGCTAAACCAACTCGAAACAGCAGTATCTCCGAGAGGCTTCGGCACACAGGGAATAGTTGCCCCAGGTGCAAGGTATCCCTCCTAGTGCAAAGACTAGTTTCAATTTCAACATTCCTGGCGAGTCAAGTCAGAGTCAGCTGGCTAAGCCCGATTTGTCTCTCCTGACTCTGCCCCATGTCGTGCAATGTCAGACCCGGAGTTGCTGAGAGACTCCGCCCATTGACTCTTCATCTCTGCCGGCTCCGGGTATTTGAAACTCAGAAGAACGGGGAGAGTGCTTTTCCTCCCTTCTTCCAACTTCAGCTTCGATTCTTTCAGATACACGGAAATCCTAGAGGTACGAAGAGCCAATGACCCCGTACGAAGAACAGCTATGTCTCCCTGTGAAGGGACTTGGACCTCATTACCCTAGTACATCCCAGTATCCCGGAATCTCCTGCATCATAGGCGCGGCTTTTCAATCTTCCCCTTTTCCATTTTGAGCTTGGGACATTCAGACTTTGTTGCCGGAATGGTTCCAGGCCCTATGAATCTGGCACATACCCAATTTCTTGCTGGCATTGCTTTTTTGTTCTTGCCATTTCGATCTAGGTGCGGCGCGCGGAAGCGCTAACAGCTACCAAGCGGATCCGCCAATCCATGTCGGCGATCAAGACACAACCTTAAGGCCATGGATCCTGGTACTTATTCCTGACAGCGCGTGCTTCACTAGATCTACCAAACCCTAGTGCATGCTAGCGCCGGCTGATCAAAATGATAGGTGTCAAGCCTTTTTTTTTTTCTTTTTCTTTTTTCTAGCCTCTTATCTTGTGCGAGACATTGACTGCGTCTCTGAGTCTGAGACATGGGGCAACCTGAAAGAATGAAACTTTTGACTGTGTGCGCGTTTGTCGCAAGATGTATTTTTAAGAGGCTTTAGGGGGGGGAAAGGCTTCCAATCATCTTGTGGCTCGGCTCAACGCCCCGGGCCCCCCAATTCGGGCTGTTTAACGCCCTGTTTGATGCATCTGAAAAGGCCCTAACGCTCTCCATCTAACACGGGGCACCACACCAATCAGCGTTTCGACCAGATCTTGAGCAAACATTCCATGTTGAATTTTGACGATCGATCGATCCACCGGAAGATGTCCCCCGGATCGACGCCAGGAAGTTCGGCAAACGTTGTCGGTCGTCTGCTTGTGAATTTCTTTTTCTTTTTTCTCTAATTTGTTGGTTTTTTTTTTATATTCTCCAGCCCTCAAGCCCCCAAACCCTCAAGCCTCTAGACTAGGGGAACGTGGAGGAGAAACAGGTACCCCTGACTGATTGGTTGAAGTCTGCTGTGGCGGATGAAAGGGCCTTTCTAATCTCCTTGTCTGGACTTGTTCTTGTCATGGCTATCAGGTCATAACCCGTGTGACGTTACTTTGTGAAACCAAGTCTCTAAAACGCCGGGGCAGTCCTGCTGGCTGGTCTTTAGCATTGACTGGGGAATCTGGATTGGATGCATACGGAACTCTGCATATCATTTCCCCTGGGTACAACAATTAGAGAAAAAGAGAGAGTGTGTAAAAAGAAAAAGAACAATTTGAAAATGAGGGCTAAAGAAACACCCTTGTACTTTTTGCTTTTGGGTTTTCCCACTCCACTTCATGCAATACCCAAATCCCAACTATCCTAGGAGATCGTAGATAGTGAAAATAAAACAATAATTCAAAAATGCCTAGTCTAGATCGATCAATTCGACTAAATTCTCTAAATTTGTCCAATTTAAACAGGGGTGTCAATTCAATCAAAGAGACCTAGATCATCACACCGATTGTTACCCAAACATAGGCTTAAATCTAGCCCTACCTCCAGAGACATCTTCTCTTTCTCACTTCCCCTTCTGCTCTTTATGACTAGACATGAACTTTGACATCTAGTAATAACAACTTGTTCATGTTCATCACCCTTTACTCCTTCTCCTTTTTGTGCCTTTTTGGTATGCACAGCATAACAATTTCCCCAATGACTGAATCTGACTAACAACCTCCAGCGATGAGCTCCTTCTATGCGGATAAGACTGGGTTCGACCAGTCACATCATGATGTCCTTTCAATGTCTCGTTCTATGAGAAGCATGAACCAGCACGATCTAGGGGATCACTCTTGTATGAGTCCGACTACAGAAGTGGATGGCAAAATGCGCAGCTCCCAAAGACGTCGTGTTCCAGTGGCGGTAGGTACTCAGATACTTTCCTGAATTTATCATAGTCTAATCCCGCTATTAAGTGTCGACGGTGTCGAAAGAGAAAAATAAAGTGCAGTGGTGATTCTGGTGATGGCCAAGGATGCTCCAACTGCCGCAGTGCTGGCAGTAATGACTGCCAATTCTTCAGAGTAAGTCCAGCCTTGACAGCTGAACGGACGGAGCACTCCCACATAAGTTCGGAGCTTACACTGTTGATTTCAGGTTAATTCTCATGCCGTGAATTCACATGTGGTGACTTCCCATGCCGTGAACTCTCAAAAGACCAGCACCGTGTGGCAGCCCTACCCACATGTGGGAGCCGCGATTGCACCGTCTGCCCCGCTGGGGATGCTCCCTCAGCAGCCATCGTACAAGTCAAGCCATCTCTCTATGGGTTCACCACAGACGCGTATGGCCGCGTTTCCATATCAGCTTCAACGATGTCCGGACTTTGACATGAGTGCTGCCGATGCTCATATTTTTGAGCAACCGATAAGCTATACCCAGTCTTCCTCATACGCTCCATCCGGGGCTCTTATCGATTATAACTCACCTGTCTGGAGCTCCAAAGGATGGGACTCGATGTTCAACACCGGCCGCGCTCAAAATGGCAATCTCTACCCTGATCCAGAGGCCAGCTTAGACCAGGCTCAATTTGCATACATGCTCCCCAGTCAAGGAATCTCCTCAGACTTGCCTCAATCGGCCAACGCAGCTACCACCACCGTATCCTCACCTGACACTACCTCAGGGCCAGATCGGACCTTGCCGACACCCACATCCAGGGGACCAGCTCCCAGTCCAGGCTTTTTACCAGACGGAACATGGGCCCCAGATTTCAAGACTTCATTCTGGACTCCACGCCAAACAGATTCAGACCAACAACCCAACTCAACTCACACAGTCCCAAGCAGCACCACCTTCACCAGCAGCCCGACTCACGAAAGCAAATACGTCAGCATCAAAAACAACACCCCGGATATGCTCTTCCCCTATCTCCCCGTCCCAACTACAGCCGGGGAGTCAAACACATCACCAGCACCAACAATAAGCGGGAACACCGCTTACCCCGTCCTAGAAACATTGGACTCGGAATATCCACACATTCCCAGAAGACTGGGCCGCAATTCACGAGACCACAGCGCCGGACAACAGCTACTAGCCCTGACCAATGAATGCTCTCCCGATATTTACGGATACAGCACCGGCGAAAAGAGCAAGCGCGGGGTCAGGGATGATTCCCGTACCCTTGTTAGCGGACTCCCGTATACTCGTGTGCAGCACCGGGATACACCTGGTACTGCATTCTCGTTCAATTTGGGTCCGGACTCTTTGCCTGAGTATCACCGAGTAGTCGAGAACGTGCACCGCCCGCCCGTTGAGCCGTTGGGTAACCATGGCTACTAGAAGTTGCCGCACCCTCCTTTGGGCATGTTCGCCTTTTTGACCGTTTTGAAATTGCTTTTTTGATTATTTTACTGCTGTGTGCTGGGATCGGATCCGTGTGATGATGGATCCAGCAGTGGTGGGCATGAAGGCCAAGCGGGACCGGATCGGAGTATATCCCTGATCCAAGATCCATCTCTTCTTTCCTGATCAGGGAAACATTGCTTGGCGTATACCGGTCTCGGCCGACTCATGAAATTGGGAGATTGGACACAGGGCCTGGATCGCTGGAGGGCCTTGTTGACCATGTCGGCGTTGGTGTTGCATGTGTCTTCAAACAGCTGGTTTTCTTGTGCGTTTGTGTTTGTTATGACAAATGGCTCCCGTTCATTCTCTTTATGTACTTGCATGTGTTTTGATAGCCCATTTTCCGTCCTTCTTGGCTCCCTGCATATTTTGTTTGTCAGTGTGGTTCTGTTTTTGAAATACTTGGAGATTGGAAGCGGCAAATATCTAATTGTTGATAGCGTGGAGGCTACTCTTGAATACTCTTTGACCGGTGTCTTTTTTTTGGTCTTGCTCTCCTTCCTTCCAAGGTCCTCAGGCTCAATGGTTGGCGCTTTGTTGTTCCCATTTACCCTTTTTATTACCCTACATTTCCCAAAACACAGAGAGTTGTTACTGACTCAGGTCCGGCCACTTTCGATTGTTTTCTTCTTTACCCATCTAATACTAGCTCTTACGGGAGGATGTTTATTGTCTTTGTGGTGCTTGAGTTTCTTAGTTAGCGGAGGCGATCTGTTTGACATCTCATCTCGCAAGAGCTGTGAGAATTTCTCTTTGATACCTGGTATTATGGTACAAATGATCCAGTTACATGCATGATGATCTTGTCTCGTGCGATGACAAAGGATATGTACCTGCATTTCCTATTACCTAATAAGATGCCAGACTTCCTTAGCTACGTGCATGTATCATGTATCTACTCGATTCGGGACTGGTAGCACACTGAAATCCATGAACGACCGGTATCTGCAGCATGATACTCGAGTGATACATATTCTTTGTACCATGAGAATGGCTATATAGTAGTTATATAACCCGGTGGTCCTAGGAGAGCTCGGATTTCTGGTAAATATAAAACTTAAAATGCACAAATTTAGGCTTTCTACGCGTTAATTCCTCTTTGTGCAGCATCAGCAGAGTTGACCCAAGAAAACAAAGGTGTAAAATGTGAAGAACTCGAGTATTCTTCCAGTGTCACCTATGCTCTTCAATTATTTATCGAACCCTTATGCCAATATGCACCTATATAGACAGTTGAACACGGGCATGCCCACAGGCCTGCCGAAGTCTACTTAGAGGTAATAAGGTTATATTAATAAGTCTAAATTATGGTAAACATAATTGATATATTAATTCAGTATAGTAACCCGAATTTATTAAGATTTAAGTACTTATATAGAGATAAGTTTGGCGGGAAAAGTATTGGTACTTAGGGGATACTTCGATTAATGGCCGAATCGGGTTAGAGGGGTACGTGAGAACTTTAAGGGAGTTCCAATATCTAAGGGTTTACGAGTGACCAACACACCCTTTCTTTTTTCAGATTTAGACAACTTTGATATCGGATCTCAATGCAACAATGGCATCATTAGACCGACTTCCGTATGAGCTCCTCTCCAATATCAATGGATACGCGGCGGACTGGGTTGGCCTCGAAAGTCTCTTGCAAATCTTCCCCCAAGTGAGAAAGCTCTTCGCAGGCGATTTAAACAACAAAGCGGACCCTGAAGCCATTCGCTTGGTTGAGTCAATTCTGGAGAAGAATCCCATAATGAGCCACGAATTACACTGTTACTTCCGCATGACCATGGAACTGCGCCAACCTTCCTTGGCGGACAAGAGTCTCGCCGAATTTATGACTCGGGACTATTCTCTTTCGCATATAACCTCCTCTTCTTCGACAACTCGCGCCATATTGCAGGAAATGGTGATAATCGCAGCCAACATTCAGCGACTAGCATCCGCTTGCCTAACCACTCTGTTGACCCGGCTTCGGAAGGTTCAACCGCGGCGCTGGGAAGTAGATTATAATCCGGACTCTAACGTTCCCAAATTGACGGGCACCACCCCATATGAGTCACGCGACGCTGGCCCTCCATCCTGGATTGAGGAGTATCGAGTCTACCGCGCGCTATGGCACCTTCAATTGTGTTCCGATCTATTGGTCGTTGCCGACAGGCTAGGATGGGCCCAAAGTGACCTAGAGTATCTGCGGTCTCACCACATGGACTTGGATCAATTACCTGGTATAGCTGCGGATGAGATCCTCTCCGTCAAGGAATGTCTAGAGGATCTATCGAGTGCCGATACAGATTATACTACACAGCCCTCAGTGGAATCGAATAGCAGTGATATGGCTCTCTTTAAAAAGCTACCGATTGCCACTCAGCTATCCTGCGAATTCGACGTCTGGTCGCCTCCTCTTGCACCCATACTTTCAGACTACGGCGCGATGGGCGTTCTAAGAGACATCTGGGGCCGGGGTACCCGAATGACCAAAGTGAATTCTATAGTCAACCTTTGGCGCTCGTGGCAAATCCGCAGCAGAACCCATCCTGCCAAATTTCAGGCATGCAGCCTCCGGGATTCCCGTCCATGGCGCGCTCTGGGGATGCCGTTCTGGGATCTCTGGCGGTTCTATGGGCTGGGACTTTGGGCGCCCCAATGGTCCGTCCTGCCGGAGTCAGGACCCATTTTGACTCCCGACGGAGTGGAGGTACCAGAAGGGGCTGATCCCGATATCTTCGGTGAAGACATTGGTTATCGCTTCTCTGTTTTTATCGACGCGCGCGTGCAAATGGAACGTCAAGAGAGAATGGAGCGAATGGCAGAAGATAAACTAGCCAGAAAATAGAAATTAACTATACGTGTTGAATAACTAGCTAGATATGGAAGCGTAACCCAGCGAGAGCTTTTATCACTCAAGTACTGGACTGGAATACCATATGATACCAATCTTCGTCTGTTCCCGGAGTCGTCCAGGCTGTTACCGACACCGGTGCTTTCCGTACCCCGAGTTGCTGCTTGTGGTTTATCAAAAGCCAGGCAGCACCTCCACCATTGGGAGTGCCCAGCAAAGCCAGTCCATTCTGATTGACCAACACGCCACCTTTCTTTTTCTGATTGATGTCGAATGACATCCCGGGCCAAGCGGGACAAGGTCCACCACAGACGGTCTTCAAGATATTCAAGGTGTCCGGGTTGACGATGTGTGTTCGGATTAGATACTTCAAATTTCCCACAGAGTTACCAGTAGACTTTGCCAAGGTGGCCCAATTAATATAAACCACGTCAGACCAGTTACTGAGGGGAGGACTTCGCCCTCCGCTCATAGAGGCTGGATTGTGGTTGTTTTCCGCGATAACCAAGCCAGCTGCCGGACTCATTATGCTGATGTAGAAACCAAATATTGCCTACAACCCACGATATGAGGTTAGTAATGTGATTAATCCAGATGGTCTGCGTCTTTCAAATAGGGCTTAGGGTATGATTATGTCACCCTCTCACCTACTGTACCTCTCACCTTATGTACACAATCTTCCTTGGATGGGAGGGTGTACAATAAGTGAGAGTTGACTGTATTGTCATGCTGCGCGACGGAATTGAGGCTGGAGAGCCTTGGAGGCCAGACCTCGGGCGTAGACGAAGAGATATCTGTCCCATGAAGTTGTATAGAAGCTACAAATTTCCTTACAAAATTGAGCAAGTCAGGCCTTTCAAATCGGAGAACATACATGTACCCTGTATGTTTCAAGGTTGCAAAGTCTGTACAACTAGGGCCAGTCTACTCCAGTCCTGTGTATTACCCTGCACAACCCTAATATCTGCATACATGACCCTGACCTTGAATGACCTAGGTGGTAAGACCGTTAGACCCTACATTGCTCGTGTAAGGGGGGCCTGATAAACCGCATGATGTCGGTAACTTTGATAACTTTGATAACTTTATCCAAATATCGCTGTCAAGGTTATCTCTGTCTCCCCGTCTTCTACCCTCCTTCCCCTTCCTGAATTAGGTTTCTCGTTGTATACTGTTTTACTTGTACTGTGTACTGTACCTCATAGCTCACCCATCCAAACCCCATCCGGACTCGGGATATATGCAGTGTCTGTGCATGTGTATGGGGACGGAGTGCGTTTGGGGAAGCTTTCGGCTGTCCGCCCCGTCTGCCCCGGTTTGCTGGAATGAGCTAACCTAGTCTGTGTTTCGCTAGGTTGATGATGAGGGTTTTCCGGGGTGGGTTGTGTGACTCTATGACATTTTACATGTCAGGGGCAGGGACATGGACATGGGTGGTAGATAGACATCTGGGGAGTAGAGTGGAGCGGGCATTGACCAGTTGATGCTCACGACAGAGACCTGCCCCGGACTTAGTGTCGTATGCAACGAAGGCGGAGATGGTCTAGATCTACGTCTACATTATGCTGAACAGTCGGGCTGAACAGAAATAGAAAGTATGTAATTCATGCCGGGGGCAGCAGCCAAAACCCGGATTCTCATATCCCTCGTTTTTTATTTGAACTGATGACCCAAACCACAAAAGAAAACCAACATTGACGCCTTTTGAAACAGGGATCATCAGAACTTTGAGAACCGGTCTCTACAGGGTATAGCAGACCCGGCTCCCATAGGGCAAAACCACGACGACAATTCTTCTGGGAGTCGGGAGATAGTCCACAGATCACAATAAAAGTTCTTTTTTGTATCTTAATGCCTCCGTGTCATCCACCATCGACCACGACTGCTTACATTTCAAAAAATAGAAAATGTGAAACAGGAGATTCCCAGAACCACCAGGCCACCAAACAATGTATCCATCGAGTCAAGGAGGGCGAGACGCTTAGTCCTTGGACTTCTTGGGGCCCTTGGTCTTGGCAGTACCGCGGAACTTCTTGGAGCGGTTCTTGCGTTGCTTGCCTGTGAGCAAGTGTGTCAGTGGGGGTGACCAATATAAAGGGTCGGCCTCAAGGAGGCAACCTCACGAGGAGGTAGATGATTTCCCGAGGGAAAAAATCCTTTTTTGAGGGGAGTTTTAGGGGAGACATACGCTGCTGGCGGGAAGGCTTCTCGATCTTGTCGGCGAAGCCGATGCGAACCAGACGGTAGTGGGGCTCGAACTTCTTCAGGGCCTCGGCGGAGTCGTAGACCAGAGCGAAGCCAGTGGACTTGCCACCACCGTACTGTGTGCGGAACCCGAACACGGAGACCTGGTCCTTGTTGGCCTTGTACAGGTCGGCCAACTTCTCGCGGAGCTCATCCTTGGAGACGTTGGGGCGGTTGGGGTGGAGGACATCCCTAAACGAAAGAAAGTCAGCCGCCGGTTCCAAAATTGAAGATCGGTCTGTGCAGCGAAAATGGCGATATCCATGGCGATCGAGGTTCCCATCCTATCCTTGCTCTCCAGTTGTGGATGTGTGTATATCGATAGAGCGCGAACGGTGATTATTCGATGGTCCTTGCTCGTTCTGAATTGCCATTTCGCGCCAGACCGAGATAATGAGGGAAAAGGGGAGCGCTTACACGACCATCTGCTTACGACCGAGCAGAGGGTTGCGAATGAACTTGCGAGTCCGCAGAGTAACGGGAGTGTCGGCCATTTTGGTGGTTGGTGGTGATGCAGGGAGTCGAATGAATGTGAATGCACTTTCAATTTTCGTGTGCGTTTCTCGGCTACGGACCAGGCTAGTCTGTTTTAGGAAGCGCTTAGGTCAGGTGGATCACGGGGCTGCTGACTTATCAGCAGATAAGTGATTATCTATTCTTATCGCTGCTTATCGGTATCCGCTTATCAATATCTACAACTTTATTGCATCTATATCATCAGCGTGCCTTTTTTCCTTTTGAAATCCTATTATTGGGATTGGGTCTGGGATTGGAACTGGAGCTATTGAGATCTATCTCTGTAATAAGGTTCTTTCTATCTGGGAGCCATGGGTGTTTTGCACCAGATCGTATTAAAAAAGACGAAAAATCCAGATTCATGGATTGAAAAGCTTCAAGTTCCACATCAACAAGACTTGAAGAAGAAACTCAATTTAACGAAAGTAAATGAGAAGACTGTGAAAAAAATGATAATCGAAAAAAGAACATGGTTCTATGGAGACCTGGATCAAGCTGCAAATCGACCTTAGAACCTCGGTATCAAAAAAGAAATTAACCCCCTGTTTGTACTCCGTCGCCGCTTAACAGAATCCTATTCTATGCCCCCCTTCGATTGAACGAAGTAGTTTGGAATGGACACGCTACAGATCGAACCGGCGCACTCTCATCAGAGGTGGCCCACGCGCCTTCGTTGGGGATCAAATCCAACTAAAGGTTTCATGCGGTGCTCGTGCCACTAGGACACGATGGTTTAGGGGTTGATATCTGATCCTTGATTTTCCCTCTTATGTTCGCTTTCCTAACGCTTTAGTGAGGCTATCTGTATGACCCTTTCTCTACCATGATGCACAATGCTATTCACAATCCCTCCATGTGTATGTGCTCCCCTTCCCTTTTAATCATGATGCTATTCCTAGCTCCCTTTCCACCCACAAAGCTCATCCTACCCTCTCTTTAAGCCCAATGCTATTCCCGCTTTCCCTTTTTACCCACCAAGTTAAACTTGCTTCCCTTGTACCTTTGAGGTCATTCCCATTCCCATAACCTGTATCTTCAAACACCCACCTTAAATTTAATATTCATCAACTGATAAACCAACCTTGGAACACAATAATATGACCACAACAAGTCTCAATGCAGAATTCATCTTCATTAAACAAATACATTTTTCCAAATCGACCATTACTAGTGGTCCATTTAACATTGCCCTAGATCTATAGTTCCCCGATGTCAAGGCGTACGCTAAACCCAATCCAGTAATGCGCGTCACGGCTATCGATTTCAGCCACTAATTTTATCTCCTCTTCAAAACAACCATGGCCGACTCAATTCATATTCCAATTGCCCAATATTTCCAGCTGGTTGATCCTCAAAACCTAGATCTCCCACCAGACAATGTTCTCATCCGCCCCGAGGTCCAGGAAGCATTATACAAGCACATGTTTGACGAATCCTTGACCCCACTTCCACCAGCGACATATCGGGCCCGCCTTTTGAAATTGCTTGTTGCGCGCATTGAAGGCGCGATCACGGATCCTGAGGAAGATGTATGATGCCCTGTTGAAGTTTGCTTGCACTATTTCCGATGGCTTTGGGCCCCATGCGGAGATGGGCTACGAACATTTTTTTTTTCACTACCCCACACTCGTCATACCCGCTTTGCGCAGGAACAGATTGAATACTAACTTGTTTGAAAACAGGAAATCCTCGATGAAATAATGGAAGCATGGGGAAATCTCCTCGCCCAGCCGAAACTCAGTGCTCTGGAAATAGCAAAGGAACTATCCCATGTCAAATACACCGCTCCACTCCAATCACAGTCCCCCTCAGACCGAACAGTCATAGTTGTCGAATCGCGCGGACTGATCCTCTCGGGCGGAACAACCGGTAACAGGACATGGGAAGCAGCGCTCCATCTAGGTTCCTTCCTTGCGTCCCCGGCAGGTCAAGAAATCGTGCAGGGACAAAGGGTTATCGAGCTCGGCGCTGGGACAGGTTTCCTGTCGCTGTTATGCGCGCGCCATCTTGGTGTCCAGGGCGTTGTTGCGACGGATCGAGAGCCCTTTTTGATTGACAATATGAAGGAGTGTGTGCGATTGAATTCCGGTGCCGAGGGCAAGGCGATTCCCATGTACCCTGCCATTTGGGACTGGGGGACGCCTTTGGAGGGGGTCGAAGGGATGAGCGAGGAGATGGTTGAAGGTGGTAAGCCGAGGTTTGATGTTGCTCTTGGTGCGGATTTGGTATGGCTTTCTTTTTCTGCTTATTTGGCTGGGACTATGTGCTGATTTACTCAGACCTACGATGTGGATATTATTCCACTGCTTTTATCGACTGCGCGGGATCTCTTTGACAATTATCAAGTTAGGAAGTTTATTCTTTCTGCGACTTTGCGGAATGAGGCTACGTTTCAAGCTTTCTTGACTCAGTGTGGTAAGTTGGACTGCTTCGGAGGCAAAGAACAGGAGCTTACGTGAGGACAGAATCATTTGGTTTCAATGCCGAACGTCTGCCGTTCGAGTCTACACCGGCTGATCAACAGACTGGCTTCTTCCATGCCACTGATATCCCCATCCGAACATACGTAATTTCACCGGTATAAGAGCCACGTTCACGAGGCTACGAACTTACATTGTAAAATACCCATGTCTATTTGGTTTCGGGGTTATAAAGGTTAGAAATACTGTATTGACTGTTTTCTATCTTGTTAGAAATAGCTACAAGCACTCCAATCACAAATGTACAAGGCTGTGGCCTCACCCCAGAAGGGGACAAAGTCCCAGCCAGACAAAAGCATAAGAAATAAAATCTTCAGGGTATAGTCGACGGCGCCAGCACGGTCTGGATGCCGTAAAAACATCAAAATCAAAGTCCAAGACTGGATTCACCACGCAATGCAAAACTAGCAGACAGCGCACCCAATGCAATGCTAAAATACCATGAGAAAAGTAGGTGGAAAAGGCAGGTTGGAGGTAGTAAAGGAGAGGTGGAGGGGAAGATGCAAAACGGCAAGGAAAATATATGAGGGAAAGAATCAGCTGTTATCGCCGCTCTCAGCAAGACTCTCTTGCAAGAGACTCTCATCAATTCCCTCTACTTGAACGACGATTGGGGCTGGGGGTGGAGGGCGGAGACCCATGATTAAACCCTTTTGGTTTACACCCGGGAACCTGAAGCGCAGTGATGAAGTAAGATCTGGAGCTGGCGCCTTGGGAGGTTGGAGCATAGGCGTTGACTCTGGCGTTGGAGGGTCTGGGACCAAGGCCGATTCAATCGCAGCAATGCGGTCTTCGCACTCGGGATCCCTAGTCTCTGGGACAGCAGCCATGCCCCAGCGGCCTAAGACCCAGCGGCCCAAAGCGGAAGACTTGCGAGAGCCCGGTGTTGCGGTGGAGGCAGTGCTGGAACTTCCTGCTGAGACGACTGATGCAGAGTCCGACGGAAGGCTGTTCCCTGCACTTGCGGCCACAGAGGCAAGGAGAGAGCGAGATGATGCCCCGTGAACCTTGGCTCGATCGGCTGTGATGGTGGGGGCCGATATGATCGGGGGTGTGGATACTAGCTCAACGCTAGGAGACATGAGGCGTTGGGGAATCCGGATGCCCGGATGCCAAACACCCATACGGGCTTGACGGTTGATTGGAGTGTGGATGTCCATGCCAGCTACAGAGAGGAGGCTGTCGTGGGACGCCGACTTGCGAAGAGACGGTGTGTATGGCATATTCAAGCCCGTGATATCCTCTGAGGTGGCCGACGGGTCGTTTGTGATAGACTGAGAGTATAGTACAGATGATGAGGGTTCTGATTCTTCTGGAATGGCGGGGTGAGCTTTGGCGCCATCGCATAGGTCCAAGAAGCCGGGTCGGTCGTAATGGTCCTCGTTGAAGTAGCCAGAAGAGTCGTTCATGGGCAGTTGATCAAAATCGTCGAACCCACCCATAGACCTGGTGGGCAAATCAAAGCCCTTGGTATGGTGCTCCATGAGAGGGGAGGAGAAGACGGTGCTATCGGGGCTGGTCGGTTGAGAGAAATCGTAGCCACGCTCAGGTCGATCAAATATGGAGGAGGTACGGAACGCAGATCGCGGAGAGCTGGCCAATGAATCTGCTGGAGGTGACTGGAGTGACCATCGACGTGAGGCGGGCGGTGGGATAGAGACGGAAGTGTGTGATAGAATAGTATTCATGGACGATCCCGATGACTGGGAGCGATGGATAGACCGCCGAGGGGAGTGAGTTCCAATGGCAGAGTGCATTGCGACAGGACTTCCCAGGGCAGGCCGTTTCTTTTTAACACGACGATTGAGAGAGCCCTTGTCCTTGCGCGACGATGTTGGGGTGTGGTAATGGTGGTGGATGTGGAATTCTTGCGAGACACGACGTTCTTTTGCCTCAAGTTCTTCGGACAGTGTCGCAGTTATAGTGGATTCGCTATTTCCCTCTTCATCCACGCCGTCCAGCGGCTGGTGATAGAGGATCTGATCCCGCAGGTTCTGCACTTCCTGGTTGGAGCTCTCAAGCATCTCACGCAGCTCGGTGATACCGACCTGTAGGTGCGCATTGTCTTCCAATATATCCTTGACAAAGCGTGAAACCACATTCGTACCAGAGTGACGGCCAAGTTCGGAGGCTGCGGCGGCACCTTTCAATCGAATAGCAGCATTATCAAGCTCCCGTTCCACGTTGCGCTTGCGCTCCATCCGCTGAACGATTTCCTCGTGGCGTTCACGTTCCTGCCGAGCCTCGGTCTCAATGCGCTCGACCTGGTCGTTAAGACCACGCAACGTATTCTCGGCATTGCGCCAACGCTGCACGGCGGACTTCTCATCCTCCTGGGCAGATATGAGGCTTTCCTGTAGTTTCGACTGTTCGCTTTCAATAATAGCCAACTGCATCTCGAGCTCTCCAGCGCGCGATGCAGCAACAGTCAACCTGCGCAGCTCAGCCTGCGTCCTTTCCAAGGTGAGAGTCAGCGATTGAATATGATCGTCCGACTCGGCGACATTCTTATTCAATCCATCAAGCTGTTCAAGAAGGCTGCGGTTTTCCTCGATGATACGCGCATTTTCAGCTTGGACTTCGCGCTTTTCGCGCTCAAGCAAATCGACATTGTCAACCAAGCGCTGGCGGTCTTCTTCCGCCTCAGCCATATAACTTTCATGGCGATGGAGCAGGGCCTGTAAAGCAAAGGTCAGCGATGACGAGGCATGACAGTCTGCCGGAGCAGATTGATCGTGGAAAAGTAAGGTCATGACGGACGCCAACGCAACGAGAAAGCACAGGAGAGCCCAATACTAGGGAGTCCATAGAAACGAAAATAGAGTATGAAGAAGTGTGGAACCTTTCTCCTTAGTGTAGATTAAGTTGAGGGGGGTGCAGATGAGGGAAATAGGAACAGGAATTCTCCTTCGAAAAAGCAAAGCGAGCCACAAACACTCAGGAATGAAGAAATCGAAATGATGTGTCAATCATGCATGGCTCAGCTCGCCATGCAAGCCCAACCCAAGCCCCACAGGTACAGCGGTGTGACTTGACGATCGCAGCGAACGTATAAAAAACCAGATGCAACGTACCTGACCTAATTTTGCGGCTGTTTCAAGGTCCTTCTCGAGGCCCTCGAGAGCAACATTATTGTGTTCGAGCAGGGCACAGTCATCCCGACCACAGCAGCAGCGCAGGGAAGTGGGCGCGCGGGAATGGGTCGGAATGCTGGGATAATGGTTCCCGCCCGAGCTATGCGGGAGGGAATCCATGGGTGGCATGGGAATGTTACCCCTTGACGGAGCAACAGTAGGACGAGCTGATCATCCGGTCCCCTGTGGTTCTCTGGATGAGAGCTATCACAGAGCACAGCGTTCTCTGCGCAGTGATGCAGGGTACACAGATATCACAGCTGCTGGCGCAAGAAAGCGGAGAAATCAGCTGGACCGCTGATGTAATGGGGTGCTTAGGTAATGTGGATAAGGCCAGATTAGGAAACAATGTCCACTTGAGTGCAAGCATGATAACCTCGAGGATCCTTTTAGTTATATACGTGAAGAAGGGATGATCAGGGGCCTCGTAGGTTTTAGAAAGCCATTGCAGTGGGAGGTGTCCGTTTTTCTATGTGTGCGCCTGCATTCCCCAGGTTCGATGACACATCCAGCCCTTGCATAGTTAGTTAACCATACACCTAGGGTTGACATTTGATAGTACAGTAGTTCCTGTGCATAAAAAAATCTTTCGTTTCCAATATCTTGCCTGCAGATCTCATCAATATTTGTTACAAGCAACAGGCAGATCATTGAAGTTTGTTTGCAGCTACGGTAAATGTCAGACATACTACATGGGACGGACGAGCTTTGGAAATTGTGTAGGTAATAAGACTTTGCTTGATTATGTGTCAGGTGCTTTGGTCCCAGATTGGAAGTCATCAGTGGTATACCCTACAGTTGGAAGAACAATTTAATGTCTGTAGGTCAATTGGTTCAAATGGAAGATAAGGACCGTCCCAACCACTACCAAATAAATTACTAGAAACCACGACTAGATTTCAATCAGCGCACCATACCACCCATTCTCAATTCGACATCGATCCCATCTCGAGGATATGCATCGCTTCACAGATTGTGCAGTAGCCAACACTGCATGGGATGAATGACCGGGAAGTGCATCAAGGCGAAGCATAAAGCGGAGTTTGGATAGGGAAAAAAAGGAAAGAAGAGACCAACAGACTCGAGCGAGTGACATCAAACATTCTGGCTAATATGGTAAACGAAGAAAGAATAACCCCCCAAAGGAATCCAGACCGATCGGGTCCAAATCAGAGTGGAGAGACTAAAGCAGACCAGAAGGCCTGATCTTGAACGTGGTCTAGGGACGCGGAGACATGAAGTGAAAGAAGAAATGAGAATGAAAAAGATAGGAAACCCTCGGCGCCAATTCAAAGCAAACTGTCATTCCGATCGTTGATGTAATCCCGAACATTGATGAACGCCCCAGCGCCGCCGTCTTCACTAATCTCGTTAACCAGGACCTCTGTTTGCTGGTACAACCGCTCTAGGGCAGCGGAAGAGGACTTCCCCAGGGAGACTGGACATGTCAGTACAGTTCACGAATATTATGTTGTGACGAAGAAGCTTACCTAAAATGGCTGAGTTTAATTCCTCTGCCACAACCGCTCGCCCAGCAGGGTCTAGTAAATGGCCGTTTAGAGAGTTGGAGGTCGTATACGCCAGTAGCGAAGCAATATCATCAAGCATCTTCAAGTCCCCACCACCCTCATCAGATGGGTAGTCCATGCGTAGTTGGCGGCCATACAGGAGGGCCTCAGTCGAATGCTCCACCTTGAATTTTGACGAAGACTCAATCTCAGGCTCGGACTCGGGTTCTTCAGTATCCATCCCATCTGCATCCCAGCTTCCATCATCGAGTTCCATGTCTTGATCAAAGATGGCACTCTCATCTGCGATCCCTGGGGATACAGAGCGGCGGTTTTTTGCTTCTTCGAGTTCCGCAGCAGCACACATCTCGTTACCTCGGCGAATCATCTCCAGTAGCTTTTGACACCGGAGTTTAAAAAGAATATGTGGATGGTCTTCTAAAACAGCGGAATAGTAGGCTTTCGTGTGTTTGAGGGCTTTGTCGATATCGCCATCGAGGATCGCAGCGCGAATTCCTACAGCTGTTAGTCAATCGTTCGAGCATCTTGTCCATACCCAATATCAACTTACGGTTCCTGTTAATCGCTTCATGGTCCTCTTCCACTTCATATTTCTTCAGAGGCTCATCATGTCCACTCTGCAGCGCTGCTGTTTCAGTCGCAACCTCTTCAGCGAAAGCTCGTGCAGTTTCTACGTAGCCATCGTGAGCCAAAAACTGAGCAACCAACTCCTGAAGCAATGATGATTCGTCTAGTGGCGGTTGTAAGCCGTCCGTGCTTGTCATGCTAATCTGGGATTCGATGACAGCTTTCTCGTGCTGCGAGACGTTAGTGAATTGGTATTGCCAGGGAATAACAGGACTACCATACCCGAACCATGCCGTCAATATCGTAAACGAACGGGTCCTGGCCAAAATTCGCCTTTAAATGCACTGGGGGTTGTTTCTTCATTCCGACAGATGGATATAGCTTGACGTTGCGCAATTCACGAAATGCATATCCTAGAGCCCATCGTTAGCTTCTATCACCAAAAGAAGACCTAGATTTCCATATACCTAGGAATACGCCGTTCCTGGTGAAGAAACCCTGGCCGGTCGAGAAGTTGACCCCACACCCGACAATATCTCCAACACCAAAGGTAGGTCCATACGGCTTGCCTTGCCCTTGGCTTTCACCATAGAAAGACTTTCCGTCATCGCCATGGTATGCCCATGATTCCTGCTCCCAACCTGGGAGCCTCTCAACGGAAGCCTTTGTACTGGAGAAACCAATTCCGATCATGCTGTAGTGAACGATGACCATTAGCATTCATCCCAAAATAGCATGTGAAACCCTCAGTTCAGTTTCACAAGTCACGTACCCTTCCTTAGGCTTGGATTCAATCTTGATCTCAAAATAGTAGATACCGCACTCTGGTGGCATAGGGTTGTCGGTCCTCAAGGCCGCGGCCTCGTGATCGTGTTTGTGCACAGGACCGGTATATCGCACATCGAATCCCCCGTTTGATATCTCCAGACCGGTATACTTGTCGACGGAACTCCACTGGGTAGGAAGAGGGCTAATGCTGGGCTCGCTAACCGTTGGGGGTTCTTTCTCGATGAGATCATACGTCATACCGCGGTGGGACGGAGCCATGCGGGGGAGGTGGACATGGCTGGATGAAGTTGACAGAGGAGGATTCGAGGCAGTGTTCGATGAAGATATATCGCGCTGTTGAGCGGCCAGTTTGGCTCGATGGGCAGCATCGAGGCGGGAGATGTATGGAGAATGACGAAGGTAGGAAGGAGTCAAGAATGGCGGGCTATCGGTCAACGCTAAATTGTGTGGGAATTCTGTCGAGCGCGCGATCCCGGTGTATCTGCGGGAGTAGCTTGGGAGAGAGTCCGGGGAAGTAGTGGACCTTGAGGCCGGGTTGAGATGCATCTCTGCGGCACTCAAGCCGGACAAGGCCCGGTGGAGATGACCCTCGGACGGGGAAGGTGGCGGGTAAGAGGAGACGGGGTTAGAGTTGAGCAGGTGGGAAAATGAGCTGGAAATTGGGGGAGAGAAGGCGTTGCCGGACACGACGGAGGCGTAGGAAGAACGACGTTGACCGATGCCGTATGCTGGAGCTCCTCGAGCTCCACCGGGGAAAGGAACATCAGCCATGGTGGGCGTGCGGGTCACCCCGAATGGATGACGGGGCGGCGCTATAATTCTCTCTGCCTGTCTTTTCTCTCCCGACTGCGAATCGTTTCTTTTTCACCCGTATTGATTTGTGAATCCTATGTTTTCCTTACGCTGCCCCTCTATCTCTCTTTCACGAGTGTCACGCTAATAGATGCTGACTGTTGCGTGACCAGCGGGTCATTTGGGTGACCGGAAGCAGCGACGAGGCCGCAACACAGCAATGTGGAATCAAACCAGTCCACGAGAAAGAAACTAGTCTAAAATCATAAGTTTAGATCAGATCATGGAAGAACAAAGGCATCAAACAACTCATCGGGAATTGCGGGGAAGATTCCGGGATGTTTTAAAAACAGGAAAAGAGGGGAGCGACTGGTGATTGGAAAGGAACAACTGTCACGAGGCCAATTTTTCCATACAGTATACACATTAGTTTGACTTGCTCAACCGACATATCTCTCTAAACTAGACTATGCCTAGATTGTTTTCTATCGTACAACTTATATACCTCTCCAGCCAAACCAGGCCATAATGAGTGGAACTATACACATCATCTACCCCCGCCGTGGACCCGAGGACCCGTAAAGAGGTGGATTCACTGACATTTAGATAAGGAGACTTAGGACATCAGATATAAGCCAATAATGTGGAGTCAGACTTGGACTTTTATTTAGAAGAAACCTAGCGGCGCTATGGTCCCATTCCCCAGAGGATCAACACCCATAATTAGCACTTGTCCTACCCAGTCAAAAGTTCAGAGACTGGGAGACAAGAAAGGAAAGATCACCCTAAAAACTTATAATACAAAATAGAAGCCGAAAACCCCCAGTGAAGACCCAATCCTTGTAGTTCCCAGGGTAACGCAGTATGCGACCCTCGCCCATAAAGTAAGAAAGCAAAACCCGATAACCCACTCAAGACGCCGAACTGAACGAAAAAAAAAACCCAACCGAAACATGATCGTAGAGGAGACAAATGGAGACAGAAAGATAAGAGGAAAGAAGAGAAGTCAGAATATAATGTACAGCCCGGGCTCATGCCGCCATGGCAATGGCCGGCGACGAAGGCTCAACCAGGTTGGACGGGGCAGGAGTGACATCGCCATCACCAGTACTCTTTTCACTGGGAACGGCACTACTGCCATTGAGAGTATCAGGGCCTGGGACAGCCAAGGAGGTTTTGGTGTCACTGTCGCCGCTCTCGAGAATACCGTCTTTATTCGACTGAGAATCCATGTGAGCAGACTTGAAAGTGTGCCACGCTGGCAACTGCCAGGCAACTCCGGTGAAACTGCGCAATTTCAAGGGCTTTCGGTCCCACTTGCGGCATGGAGTGCCGGAACGGTCAAGAGCACGCAGGCCAGCGTTGATAGCACCAGTGTTCGCCTTCGGTCCGATACGATGGTTGGCTGCTGGCTTTGCAGCTTCGGTGCCGCCTTCCTCACTATAAGAACAATGGGTTAGTATTTTGATCGTCATAAATCCCTGGTGACTTCGAACGTACAGGCGGGGCTTCTTCTTCGGTCCAGGTCTGCCTCGTGCACGCGACGCGGCGTCGGTCTGTCCATTCGTCCGCTTGTTGCCCGGCTTAGGACCCGGGACCCCCTTCCGGCGCGGAGTGTCTCCTGGGGTAGCTCCAGCGGCCGGTGTTGAAGCTGCCTCAGCATCGGATCCATTGTCGGCAGAAGAGGGACGGACAGCAGCGACTTCGGCGGTTGAAGCCGGCGAGGAGTGTTCGGCACCCTTGTCGAGGTTGGCTTTCGGGGAGTGGTCGGAGGCATCGCCTAGAACCTGCTGTAGCGCCTCTGGAGAGAGTTTCAAAGTCACCACTAAGGAGTTAGGGTTGACCTTGGAGGTGCTGGCGCGATTGGAGCGACCGTTGGGGGTAGAGCCGGCGGGAGGCATGATGGTGATGAGAGGTCGGGGAGGTGAACCTCGTGTGGTAGTATTTGAATAGATTGGGGGTGGTAAGGAGATTGCCAGGGGCGGTGATCGTGACGTGGATGTTTCCACCGCCCGGAAGATGGGGATTTGGGGAAATAAATTATTCCCTCAATATGAGGCAAAAGTGTCGACAGTGAATAGAGATGGGATCATAGTATGGGAAGGGAGGGGAAGTGAATGAGGAGGGGATAAGACGAGAGTGGCGGGGAGGGAAAAGAAGGGATGTTGAGGCGAGTGGATTTCATCTCGTTTAATTTCTCTTCTAAGGCCCAAATCAAAAAAAGGTTCGTCGCAGCCGTAGAGAGACACAGGGGGGAAAAGAGGTGAGGGCCTCGCGTCCAGATGGTACACCGTGTGACCGGATTACACATGGATCAGTGGGAGTGGCATCACTTGATTCAGGGCTTCGTGACAATACCTTACCAATATTACCACTTTTGGACCCGATCTGCATCAAAGAATCTGTACAGACTTACACTTCGTATGATATTCAAGACTCGAAGTTCTACATATTTACATGGTTATCTATAATTATGTCCCTAGGAATAAAGAAATTTCCATCAACTTCCTTCTAATCTGTTCTTTGTTTCGGGGCGTACAATCCCGGCCCAGAGCATTCCGAATCCAGTTTGCCAACCCTAACTCCGTCGATGGATCTCATTCCAGTCTAAAAGTCGACTGTACCCGCTGCGTCCCGAAAATGGCACACGGGGATCAAACCAAGTGGTCAGATCCATTGTTTTGTACTTTTGCCTTCGCGGCCTTTTCATGTCCCCAGCCCGTGAGAATTTAGATTGGTTTTTTTCCTTATCACGAGTTCTGGTCATCATCATCTATACATAGATCGATAAAGTCTACATGCAGAAATACATTCATGACCTGTTTACCTCAAGTTCACTTCCCTTCATCCCCAAGGTAAATATCCGCTCGTCTTTACTGATATCCCTGATCTATTTCGGAATATATTGCCCGAATGACTTCAATCGAGCAACCAATCTATAATCTAAACCCTCGATCCTCATGTTCTATACTTCGAGTTCTGGGGACTTGACTCAACGGCTGCACGTGACCACCCAACTAGGTTTAGCGCATCGATTTTCACCGCGGCGCAAATCTCCATTTTCTTTCTGATTTTCTGCCGTGTCGCCCATTTCTTCGCGCACTGGTCCATTCTGCTTTTCCTGTGCTTGCCGGCAAGATGAAGTACGTTTTGGTTTCTGGAGGTAAGACTGTTCTGTCCCAATCATTCAAGCAAAAAGCAAAAATCTGTCACCATTGGGAGGAAACCGAAAGCTAATTCAATACTCGTCGTATGCAGGTGTTATCTCCGGCGTGGGCAAAGGCATTATTGCCTCCAGCACTGGCCTGCTGCTTAAGACGACTGGTTTGGCGGTCACCAGTATCAAGATCGACCCTTACATCAACATCGATGCGGGCACTATGGCCCCCACCGAGTCAGTATCTGCGATTCCACGTCTCGATTGATCCCGTTGACTCACCGGTGTAATTCTATAGACACGGTGAGGTCTATGTCACAGATGACGGCGGCGAAATGGACCTCGACCTGGGCAACTATGAGCGTTACCTCCTCACGACCCTGAGCCGCGATCACAACATCACCACCGGTAAAATTTACCAGCACGTTATCAACCGGGAGCGTATTGGCCACTACCTGGGTAAGACCGTGCAGGTCGTGCCCCACGTTACCGATGCCATTCAGGACTGGATCGAGCGGGTGGCCCGCATCCCCGTTGACGAGTCCGGGGTGGAGCCGGATGTCTGCATCATCGAGCTCGGTGGTACCGTTGGAGATATCGAGAGTGCTCCCTTCATCCACGCTCTGAGTCAGCTTCAGCGCCGCGCGGGCAAGGGAAACTTTGTTCAGATTCACGTTTCCTACGTGCCTGTGATTCCTCCTGGCCCTGGTGGTGAGCAGAAGACCAAGCCCACCCAGCGTGCCATGAGTGATGTGCGCAGTGCTGGCTTGAACCCCGACCTGATTGCCTGTCGTTGTGAATTGCCCCTCGAGGCTGCCACCATCCAGAAGATCGCCAACATGTGCTCCATGGAGCCCCACCAGGTTCTGGGTGTGCACAATGTCACCACCACATACCACGTGCCCATGCTTCTCGAGAAGCAGAACCTGATTGGCACCATCAGCAACCTCCTTAGCCTCGAAACCTCTCTTCCCCCGCAACCCGCCGACCGCATCGAGTCCGGCAAGCGCATGTGGGATGACTGGTGCGAGCTTGCCCGTGGCCAGGAATTCGTCCACGACACTGTCTCCATTGCTCTGGTTGGTAAATACATTACGCTTCATGACGCCTACATCAGTGTCTCCAAGGCGCTCGAGCACGCCGCCATGTACTGCCACAAGAAGGTCCAGATCATCTGGGTCGACGCTTCGCACCTTGAGGAGGAAACCAACTCGCCGGCCGAGTACCACAAGGCGTGGCACTCCGTCTGCACCGCGGACGGTGTTCTCGTGACAGGTGGATTCGGTAACCGAGCCACTGAGGGTAAGATCAAGGCGATCACTTGGGCTCGTACCCAGAAGAAGCCCTTCCTCGGTGTTTGTCTCGGTATGCAGCTGGCTGTTCTCGAGTACTGCCGCAACGTTGCGGGCATTGAGGATGTCGGCAGTGAGGAGCTCCACCCTAACGCTAAGAACCACGCTATTGTCTACATGCCCGAGGTTGACAAGGACAAGCTCGGTGGTACCATGCGTCTGGGTAAGCACCCCTGTATCTTCCAGGAGGGTACCGAGTGGTCCCGTCTGCGGGCCATGTATGGTCCCGCCACCACCCAAGTGGAGGAGCGTCACCGTCATCGTTACGAGGTCAACCCGGCCATGATTGATCAGATCGAGAAGGCCGGTCTTTCATTCATTGGAAAGGATATTATGGGTGAGCGTATGGAGATCGTCGAGATCAAGGACCACCCCTGGTTCGTCGGTGTGCAGTTCCACCCCGAGTACCTGAGTCGTGTGTTGAGCCCCAGCAAGGCTTTCCTTGGTTTCTTCGCTGCTTCTGCTGGATGTCTGGATGAGGTTATTACGGCTGTTAACGCCGGCCAACGAAGCATTGGAAAGCGCCAATAGGCGCTTCCAACTGGAGGTTGAATATTTATTAAATTGGAGTTTAATGGAAAAAAATAAGGTTATAGAGTACAAATGAATCCAATGAATTTTTAATCCTAGCTTTTTGCTCTTTACCGTACCTACCCACGCACTCGCTCAAACATCCACCTGGACATGTCTAACTCCATACAGGCTTTGGATACATGCTAGGTTCAATTGGAATCCGATTACTATCCAATTTTATCTGTCGTGCAGTGCCAATGTGCAGCTAAATCCTTCCATGGACTCTGCTGTCAATTATTCATTTTCCCAAGGCTCATTCGTCTGGAGCCTTCCGACGTTGGAAATATATATTGGCCAAAATGATTTCTCACCTCATCCCGGTCCGTTGCATATCAGTTTAAATCTTCGACATCGGGTGTGCTCTGAACGAGTCTGGAGCAGACATAGTACATATCTTAAAATTATACTTCGGCAAAGTCTTCTCCAAAAATGTACAATTCTAGCATATGCTCTAATACCAAGATACAAAATGTTTATTCCATCTTTCCCTCAGCTTTCAGCCGTTCAACGACCTGCGCAACAGCACGCTGGACCTCAGGACTAGACCTTACGCCACCAAGAATCAACCCCTCTTTCATGCCCCTCCTTAACGCAGAAACGCTCTCCCGATCCCCGCGATACGGCGCCATTCCAAGCTGCAGCATGCGCGTGGCCTCGGTATCCGCCACCCGAGTGGCTGTCACTAGCTGGCCCATTCGCTGCATAGTTTGCGGGGAGATCTTGTCACCACCACTTTCGGCATTCTTGCTACCTGGTGGAGCAACCTGGGAAATGAAGATGTGAAGTGTGATAGACGCACGTCGGGCGAGTGTGAGGATCTGAAACGGGAGGAGGTAGAAGGAGTTATCGGGGAGGAAGGCTTGAATTGCATCGGGGAGGTAAGTAGTTGGCATGAAGACGGCCTGGGGTTGTGTGATCATGGTAAGTTCGAGGGTGAGCAATGCGGCAAACGTGTAGAAACGCCACTAGAAACACGGTTAGAAAATCATAACCATCCAGAATGTTTGTCCCGGGTTTACATACGTATCGACCCCAGTTGGGCCACCACAGCCAGTTCAATACCAGCATTGTCACAAATCCACCCACATATTGGGGTAAGACAGACTTGAGCAATGAGTGCATCACGAAGTCGCGCATGGTCTTCTGGTCACCCCAGTTATGCATGTCAGGACCAAAGCGGTCGTATGCGAAGCGCTTCATGGGATCCACGAGGGTCTCCTGAGCTCGGCGCAGGAACATGAAGTAGGCGTCTGATCCACTATCCATTCCAGACTTATCTGGATGGTGCTGGGCTGCGAGCCGGCGGAATCGGGACTTGATAGCGCGCTCATCGGAGAAGGGAGATACACCGAGGACCTGATAGTAATCCCCCGCTAATTGCACTTGGTGGAAGGTTTCGTAAAGGGTGTAGAGAAGGTAGGCGACGATCACGAAGATGAAGATCCGGCGGCGATGACGTTCATACCGCGGGGTTTGAGGCATGGGCCGAGGTTCGCCTGCTCGGATGGTGATGCCATAATAGACACTTTGCAGGATATTTGTTGCGTACTAGATTGTATAGCTATTAGAGGGGCTTGATCAAACAAAGAAAGCGAATGTGGTGTATTCTCCGCATTGATGCAATCTGAAAGAGTCCACATACATTTGGGAGAACTGCCCACCCAATAAAGGGTAGTAATGATGCCATGATGATTGGATTGAATCAAAAAATTGCAATCCAAAACCCAGCACCTTCCAATCCTCCAAGATCGAAGTTGACTGTGGAACTGGAGTTCCACTTACTGTTCTCCAAAGCGCGTAACTTGTCTACTTCTCCGTCACCGCCCAAATCCACCGCCTTCCTCTCTCATCATGAAAATGCAAGATGAAAAAAAAGTTTCTTATATCAAAAAAAAGAAAAAAAGACCGACCCCGATCATTCTCCACAGCTCGGAGCAGCTCAATTGCGCCCATAATGGCCTCCGACGCAATGGACATCGACAGCTCCCCAGTTACTGCCAAAGAGGTTGAGCGCAAACGCAAACACAAGAAGCAGGACGCTTCGTCTCCGACGAAAAAGCGCAAGCAAACCGACTCCAAATCTAAGAGCAAGAAGGCCGCCACAGAAAACTCCAATCCCCACCCCGAGTCCCCCTTCTCGCTCACAAAGGCTACTCTCTACCTGCCTCTGGCGCCTATCTCAATCTCGCCTACTCATGCATTGGCCTCGCTGCAGGCGGAGCACCTCGCCCCGCTGCTCTTGACCTACTACCCACCACTTAAAGGTGTGGTGATGGCCTACTCAAACGTCTCGATCTCTAGCTTCCCGCCCTCATCTAAACCGAAGCAGTCTAGCGACCAGAACCCTGCGCCACTGACGCTCGCCAAGACCGCCGACGAGTACGGTGTTCTCTACGTCTACCTAACAGCTACTTTCCTCGTCTTCCGTCCCAAGCGTGGCCAGACCCTGGAAGGCTGGGTGAATGTTCAGTCCGAGGGCTTCCTCGGCGCCGTCGTGTACAACCTGTTCTCCGTCGGTATCGAGCGCAAGCGACTCCCCACAAGCTGGACATGGGTGGCACCGGGCGAGGAAGGCGAGAACACTGAAGAAAGCACCGGAACAGTCCACGATGCGACCACAGATGAGGAATCAGGCGCAAACGAGAAGGCCTTTTTTGATGCGGAGAAGGAGCACTTCCAGCCCGCCGCGCTGGCTGCGGACGAGCTTGGTATGGGTGCCGACGAGGCGGAGGAGGAGGAGGCTTCATCTGGCCACTTCCAGTCTGTATCTGGGCACCGTGTGCGTGGTAATGTACGATTCCGTGTCGTCGATGTCGATGTTATTCCAGGTTCGGAGCGGGATCGTGGGTTCTTGAGTATCGAGGGTACGATGCTCGAGCCCGTGGATGAGGACAAGCTCGTTCAGGCCGAGCACCAGGGCCAGTCTTTGCCTACTTCTTTCTTCGGGGAATCTTCGGACAAGAAGTCGAACCGGGTGATTCCTATCTCGATGTCCCCGCCGGCTGAGGCAGTGCAGGTGGTTGACGTTGAGCTGGAGCCGACGAAGGCTGAGAAGGTGGAGAAGAAGGATAAAAAGGAGAAGAAGGAGAAGAAAGAAAAGAAGGAGAAGAAGGAGAAGACAGAGAAGAAGGAAAAGAAGGAGAAGAAGCCCAAGAAGGAGAAATAGGGACTGTATACCTGAGCCGGCAGAGTCTCTCTGTTGGATGTTTTTGATATTCTACTACATTTTGACTTTTACATTCGCGGTGGGCGTTCCGGTCAAAAGAATTATAGCTATGCAATGTGTACATGTGATGAAAATCAACTTAGATTATCTCAACCTTTTGAATCATGTACGTCAAAAGTAAGCCTAACCTGTACTAGATACTGACAACTATCCAATGTCAGTATAATATGTGCCCAGATTCTCTCCAGATTGATGAGAAGCTGATTGCTAGACATAATCCATGGGCATATACTGATGCTTATTGGTCCAAGTCGGAGGATCCCTCTACCGAGGAAATTGTTAATTGGATATATCAATCAAAGCGTAGTATTTGGAATTCAGAGTACTATTATCGAGTACAAACCCAGGTACTTGTTTGCCCAAAGTATATTATTCCATATTTGAGAAACCAAATTAAATATTTTCGAATTAAAATTACTGTGGGTCATCAAATATGACCAGTGGAATATCCGATCACTTATTTGGGGTAATCAATTAAAGATACCCTGGTTGATCCATAGATGGAGATAGAACCTTTCTGTCAACAACCAGAAGAAATCGTAAGGATCTTTAAATACGTAGGGTCTTTCAAAGCGTACTCTAAAAAAAGAATAGGAATATTATGTTTCTAAAATGGCCTTGAAGAATGATCATAAATTTGGTACGACTCAAAGAGGTGTTTGACTATCTACGATGCGGCTCTCCGTTGGCTAAGTTCAGGCAGCAGTTCTACAGGAATTTAGTTAAATGTATGAGGTTGGACTGGTCATTCTGTCGTACCGACACCAGATTCATATTATCTCCGCCTCTGGCGTCATACTTTTTTTCCTTCCATAAACTTCATCCTTCCCTGTCCACTGACGGGATCATCATGCCTAAGCGAAAGAGTACCACCGAGCCATCTGGGTCCAATAAAGAGGCAAAGTCATCCTTATCCAAGGATGAGTTTCACAAAGTTTGCAGTCAACTCGAGAAAACCATCGTGGATGAGAAGAATTCTTCAGCATTTGTCTGCGGTGGTACCATTTTAATCAAAGGCGAAGCAGCGAAGCTCAAGAACCAGACCCCAAAGCCGTCCAACCCGGTCACCATTTTCTGGGAACCAAAAGATGGCCTTCATGCAAAGAAGCTTGTTCTTCCCCTCAAGGACTCAAACGATGACTGTCTTCGCCAACTAGTTACCGACTGTGAGCCTGCCAGTTTTGGGAGAGGACAGGAAGATGTGATGGATCCCGAATACCGTAAGGCAGGAAAGCTCGAGCCTAGTCAGTTTGTGACTAGCTTCCACTCTATAGATTTTGGCCTCCAGGAGATCATCGAGAATATTCTTGCACCCCCGTTGGATTTGGAAAAGAAAGTCGTATCTCGACGCATTGAAGCAGAGCTATACAAGCTCAATGTGTACTCGGGCCCGTCTGGACTTTTCCAGAAACATGTTGATACTCCGCGATCGAAAAGCCAAATCGGATCCTTGGTCGTGTGTTTGCCATCGGCTTTCAAGGGTGGAAACTTGATTGTGCGACACAATGGCAAAGAGATCGATTTCGACTGGGAGCACCAGAGCGCAGATGTGATCCAATGGGCCGCTTTCTACAGTGACTGTGAGCATGAGATTAAGACTATCACTGAGGGTGACCGCATTACCTTGACCTACAATCTATGCATCGCCGAGCCCCTCGAGGCAGATGCCCCCATCTCACTCCTTGATGCAAAGAGATTAGCCTTGTACGAGGAGCTGAAAAGTACTTTACAGAACCCCGGATTTATGCCGAAAGGTAACATGATAGCAGAGATCAGCCATAGGATAATTGATAAAGGGGCTAACTATTACAGGCGGGGTTCTCGGAATCTTCTGTTCTCACGCCTATCCACACACCGCATCCAACGTCGAAACCTTACTTCCACGGGGTCTGAAAGGTGCAGACATGACTGTATATGTTGCCCTGCGTTCGCTTGGAATCAAGGTTGACGTGCTCCCCGTGGTCATCGATGATAAGGAAAGCTACATAGACTACATGGATCAAGAAGACGAGGAGTATGAAGGGTCTCTTGCGGTGATTAACGATGAGTATAAGAGACAGATGGCAAAGAAACAAGCAAAGAAGGACGCAGAGAAAAAAGAAGCAGAGAGGAGCCCAGAGAGGAGTGCAGAGTACCTTGAATACAAGCACCTTGGCAGACGTGTACACGTTGGAGCCAAGCTGCAGCCTCACATAGTTGCTGACTCTAACAAGCTCGAAGAAGACGGGGGACTGCTCACAGTGAGTATAATTTGTCATTTTTGAACTAACCTTGACCTTCCCCATCTCCAGTTCCATGCAGCTGGCTCATTTAGAGATGCCAAGGTCCAATACTGATTTGAAGTTAGGCTATCAGAACAAGCTGGCCAAGAAGCGAGTACTCACGGCCTATAACATGGATTGCCAATCCACATCACGAAGAACTTGCCATGTCTTATATGGCTTATGGCAACGAGTATAGCCAGGAAACAGTCTACTCGTATGCTGCGGTCATGGCAGTCATACCTCCATATACTGAACGCCAAATATCTAAGTAGGCTAATACAAGCTGTGGATATCTTGCTTCTTCAGTCGTTTGTGAGACAAATTGCTCCTGCTCACTGTTTATTTTTGCTAGTGACTTTCACTGTGTATTCCGCGTCCATCTTGAATTATTCTCTACTAAGTTAGTCAAATGCAATAGCTTGCCCATTTGTCACAATATTTATTAGAAAAGCCATCGGAGGTGTGCGACACTCGGTAGCAACCCTAGATAAATCATTAGGATGGACTATGTCCTTATGGATATATGGACAACTTCAGATTCCGCAAGGATCGTGATGTGAAATGCAGATGCCTAGTGCTAGTAAATAAGTTACTCAGCCTCGCGTACGGTACTATTACAACAACACCATAGTGTGAATGTCTCATATTCCTTATGAACCCCCACTATTACTTGGCAGTTCCCATTCCCCCCTTTTTTAGTAGCTGAGCAAGAAATCAGACCTTTCTAGAATATTATATTCTCCCCTAAGCACCCTGGACTATGTAATAACCACGGCAATCTGTTCAAAAACTTCATTCCTCATATTCAATAGCATCATGCATTCAACCGAGCGAGACAAATTCCGTACCGAGAGGGAAGAGACCCTAGGCGAAGTCGCTGACTCGTTCTCATCTTCGGTGCAAGCCCGGCATACTCACCCAACGCGACTCCTTTGGCGTCTACATAGTCTTATTAACCAGTGTCTACTTTTGTGAGTCCTCTTCCAGTCCAGCATTCATCTATCATCGCGAAAGAGACCAAATTAACAAAAGGTCAGGTCTGGTATCTGTGCAACGTCTCTTCCGCTGGTGTACTACATCTTTTGCTATTACTACCAGGGAATTGAGAAAGGAACATGCCGGGAGCGGGATAGTAATCTTACCATTGTTCTGGGTGGTAACTTTCTTCTTACGTTCCTGGTCAAGTGTTTATTGCAGTCTCTTATGGCCCGGCAAACTCGACAAGTGGGTTTATAATGAAAAGTTTGACTCGGCCTTTCAGCCGCGCTGGACGGTTTCCAATCATAATCTTTGGCAAGGGAAGGCTGGAAAAGGAGCACAAGATGAGTCCGAGCGACCCACGCAAACCAATTAGCTTATCATTTTCTCGAATATCAATGATATCATGATATATGAAAATCGTGTGGCCTACTAAATCGTTATCGAACCTTAGGGGCTAACTCACTTACTCTGGCCAGTAGTGATGGAGAGAGATTTAGACAGGAAGTAAACGAGAAGTAACATAAGAAGCTCATAATCCTGAAGAACAATCATTCTGAGTTTAGTTAATTCCCGAAATTTGATTGAACATCAAAGCTAGGATATATCTGGTTTCGATTATGTCCGACTAACAATAGGAATATCAATCTACCTATTCACATATTCATATTAAGTGCACGCCTCATTTGACCTGCAACACATCCAAACCATCAACAATCTCCTTCTTCCCGGGCATCTTTCCCCTTCTCATCAAATCTGCCGACTTGGACATAACAGGATCAACTCCCATAGTAGCAACAGCAACAACTACATCCCCACTGGTATAATAAGCCACAAACTTTCCATTCTCCGGCTCACCCTTCAAAACCACATCATCATACCCATTGACCGTGTTTCCACAGTACCGCAGCTGAGCACCAAGCGCAGACCAGAAAATGGGGATAAAAGGCTTAGGCGGGAGAGACGACAATGGCGAATGTCTCGCATGGACGATCGCGCGCGCAACGGCTCTTCCGGCATTTTGCGCTACATTCCAGTGTTCGATGCGGACAGGGGTTCCATTTCCGCCGGGACCATGGTAAGGGAATGTAGCAATATCACCAATAGCGAAGACGGAGTTATGGCCTTCAACGACGAAGTTGGCATCTGTAGCGAGGGATCCATCTTCCTGGAGTGAAAGAGAGACGCTATTTTGAAGGAAGTCTGTTGCGGGACGGACGCCAACGCCCAGAATGACTAGATCGGCTGGAAGGACGGTTCCGTCTTTAAGATGAACTGCGCCGACGGTGTTGGACTTTGACTCAGAAGGTGTGGCTTTCTCCACGCCTGCGGAGAGCTTGAATGAGACGCCGTTCTTCTCAAGGTTTTTCTGGAAGATTTGGCCGACTTTTGCGCCCATTACGCGCTCCATTGGGGCGCTTTCCATTCCGACGATCGTGACGTTGTGCTCTTTGCCGGCCAGTGCGTTTCCGACTTCCATGCCGATGAACGAGGAGCCGATTACCACAATCTGCTTCTTTTGGTCACCTGCTGCGTCCAGGATAGACTGGACATCTGCGACAGTGCGCAGTTGGAAGATGTTCTTCAGTTCATTGTCCTTGAACCCGGGCAGTGGAAGCGAGCGTGGCGTTCCTCCTGTTGCCAGCACGAGCTTAGTGTAGTTAATACTCTTGCCCGAAGCAGTGGAGAGGAGTCTCGCTGAAAAGTCCACGGCCTTGACTTCGTCGACGAGCTTTTCGATCCCTGCCTCGGCGTACCATTCATCCGGGCGCCAGAGGATCTGGGATGCGTCTGGGATAAGTGCCTTGGACAATTTCGTGCGATCAATCACGTATTCTGGTTCTCTGGAAATGATAGTGATGGGACCTGGGTATTTAAGTTCGCGAAGTGCTTGGACCAAGCCGATGGTTCCGCTTCCACTGTGGGGAGTTAGTATACATGCATATGTTGAAGGGGTTTGTTCAAAAGACTCACCCTCCGATGATGACAACCTTCTCGTCAGACTTGGAGACGCTGCACTGGCCAACAGGATTCCTCTGTCCAGACTTTATATCGGCCTCTGTAGCGCGAATGTATACTGCGCCGTCTTTTTCAAAGGCGTCGAATTTGTGCAAGGCATTCAGAGCGGGCGCATCCTCGACATCTCCAGTTCCGATGTTGTAGCAGGCTGTTTTGCGTTAAAATTGATCCAAATGTATATAAACATGCAACGAAAAAAAAAGTATTGATAAAAAAGACATACCTCCATGCCAAGGACAGGTAAGCCGTCCATCCGGCGACACAACGCCATTCTTCAACGGTGCACCATAATGCGTACAGTGCGGGCTCATCGCATGAACCTTGCCATCCATATTGACAAGCAGTACTTTTCCATCGGGTACACCTTCCACTTCAGCTTCAATCTTGTCGGTGGTGTTTGTCAAGTCTCCAAAGGAGCTTAGGCCTTTTAACTTGTATTCTTGGGCCATGTTGGCGTTGATTGAAAAAGCGCGAGCGTGAGTTTGATGAGAATGACGTAGAAGTGGGGGAAATGTGCGAGATTGAATTAGAGACAGAGATGTTGGATGAGTAAATAGAGGTTGGTTTGGATTAAAGTGGGTGTTTTGGGATGAGTGTCTCTTGGAAAAGATCGAAGGTGCAATGTAGGATTGAAAAGAGGCAGAAGAAGTATAGGATCGACGACTACGAGAAATTGCTCGAGTGCTGACAATTAAATGCGCACAGGAACACAATCCGCCTATGAGACCGCTGGCGTGACAGGTGCGTTGGCGTAGTACCGGGCTGATTGGTGAAGGGCGGAGATGCAAGGAGCGGGGGAGTGGAAGAGGGGGAGACATGGTAGTGAATTCAATTGAATTTCGAGCAATGATTGCGAATAAATACCTGTGGTACATACTTTACCCAGGGATGAGCTACCTATAGTTATGGTGATGCAGTAGACGCGGAGTGACATCACACTGAGCCAATCACCGAGCGGGTTTGGTCAACAATTCCTGTATTGTGCTTGGTTGCGTATACGACATTCCTGCTTCCATTTGGGCATCTATTTCACTTCCTTGTTTAATAAAAAGATGTTCTAGATTTGTCCGTGGCGTGATGCCAGCTAATAGATAAGATACAACGAAGGGATATCTCGTAAACATGAGGAGGAATAAGTGTGGACACTAGTCAAGAACGTAACAGGAAGCAAAGGGGAGAAGATCTCAGAACTTGCGCGACAAGCGCTTCTTGCTCTTCTTGTGGCCGATCTTGGGACTGACGCTAACTTCGGTCATGCGCTGCATTTTACTCTGCCGTGCGGGACCAGGATCATCACCCGTAACTGGCTTCTGAGGGGCATCCTGTTGCGACTTCCCCGTGGGGTCGCTGGTGGGAGCGGGGCTAGACGTAAGATCCATAACTTCAGACGTCTGCGATGAATTGATTTGCGAGGTGGATGCGCGAGCAGCACGACGCTTACTGCGGACGGATCCGGCGGGAGATTCGGTCTTAGACCTGGTAGATACCTTTGCTTTGTGAGATTTCTCGGGGTGGGGCTCTGGTTGAGCACTTGGAGGGGGCTTGTTTGAGGAACGCGAGCTGGGCGGAGGTGGTGATGGATGAGGGGAGAGATCAACACTTTGGTTGCTATGGAGAAGACTGTCTTTATCCTCGTCCTGGTCGTCGTTGTAGTCTACTTCGTCCTTTCCTTGATCGGAATTCTCGTGAGAAGGCGTGCTCACGATATCCTCCCACGGCTCAGATGGCTCTGCTCGGGGATCAGGACTTTCTTCAACCGTACTCCGGGCAGGTGCAGGCGAGAGCTTTGATTGGTCAGAGTTGGCACTGGCTGCGTTCTGGACCGGGGATAAAAGAGAATCAGGACCGGAACCATTGGCCCCAGGCGCGATTTGGGGCTCGTCAACGACCTGGCGATCATGTTGCTCTTGGATCTCAGATACATCGTTGGCGAAAGATTCATTGGCGGATAAAAAGGAAAGTGTGGAAATATCCTGGTTGGAGACGTCACGAGGAATCAATGAGGCCTCGCCGACAAGAGTGTGACCGTCGAGATTGCCGTCCTCAGCTTCAATATTGAAACGCAATCTCATCCCCGGAGATGACAGTGCGGAATGGAATCCAGAGAAAGATGGCGAGGGCACCACAGGGGTGTCACTATGTTCATCATCGGCATCCTGGCCTTGAGTCACGAGATGCATCGTACCGCCGGGCGTTCGGATAGATGGAACATCGGAGAGCCGTTGTGGAGATTCATTGGCAGTGACCAAAGTGACAAATGTCGTTTCATCGAGGTCCATGCTGTCCAATGGAGGAACCAGCTGAGCATTCGGCATCGAATCGGCAATTACGGAGATACTTGAAGAGAGTGAGCATAGGAAACCAATATCAAGGTCAATTCACTGACATGCTATCCTCTTGAGTAACACCCGTATCCTTCTCCTTGTCCGAGTTATCGTCCACAGCGCCCGGCGCCGCTTTGAGAAGCTTTGGATCGCTGAGTTCCGCATAGGCGAGCTCGCGAAGGCCATCGTCCTCGCCTTCCTCATCATCAAATCCAGGCATCTCAAAGCCGCTGTACTGACGGGGCTCATCGTCTTCTGGATCCACAGCGTCTTGCTTGGGCTTCCAATCACGTACCGCCAATCGAACATGAATAGTGTCCTTGTCAACCTTCTGCACCTCAGCCACTCTGTATTCAGACATGCGGGGTTGCCAATTTGTCTCCTTGGACATATCCAATTGGCGAAAAGCGATGATGGCTCCAGGCTTTGCTTCACACTCCTGCAAGTCCGCAACAGAGGTCGGGTCATTGGGGAAGACAGGAAGGTCATCGACAACAGCGATCTGAGTTTGCTCGGCGTGGTCGATTTCCGGCTCGTTTCCTTCATCGTCGTAGTGAAGCACGTCCCCATTCTCGTCGTAGTGGATCACGTTGCCGTTCTCGTCGTAGTCGAAGGCCGCCTCTCCATATTCGTAATTGTCATACCCTTGGTACGCATTGCCATCTCCGTACTGGCCCTCATCGTATTCTTCTTCGGCTCCGTCGTAGACCTGAATCCTTTGTTTCCGCTTGCGCTTTTTGTTCCAGCCCAGTCGCTCTCGAATCTCGGCATTGGCAACAGGATCCCAACGATTTTTGAATGGGAATGGTGGGGCTGTCAGCGTGATACCTTCAACGACACATTCTGTAGCCCTAATAATAAGTTTGTCTTGCCAATTAGGAACAACATCATTATCATCACTATCTTCTTCAACCGGCAACTCTTTTTCAACTGGCGCTTTCTTGGATGGCTTTTTGGAGACTTTGCTGGCCTGGGCTGCTAGTTTTCTGATGGTTGCCTCTTCATCCTCTTTGGTCTTTGGCGTGCGCACCCCAAGGGACCCGAAAAGGAGTCGTCGTGAACTTTCGACGTCCAAGGTCCGTCGATTTGGGCGTTCAGTTTCGGCCTCTCCAGCGATTGCAGTTTCAGGAACGGCAGGCGCGGAGACGGTAGAAGTGCGCGGAGGAACATTTTCCTTTTCGGATGTCCCTTCCACATCAATTCCGCAAGCCGCTAGATCACGTAGTAGTTGCTGCCGTTTAGCTTCAAATTCCTTCCGGTCTTGTTTCTTTTTATCATCTTTGCTTGCTTGCGCAGACATAATGCTTGACCCTTCGGGGAAATGCCAGCCTCCGTTTTCCTCTTCCCAGGTTCGCAGAGAATTAAAATCCGCATCATCAGGGAGCACGCCAATCTCTTTCAGCTTGGAGAGGCGGCGGCGAAGCTTATATCGATTATTGCTTTTCTTGGTCCGGATGGTACCCTGGCCAGGAGGAGCCATGAGAGAGCGCCGCGCTTTCTTCGGGGCGGGCTGTTCTTCCTCGGACGAGGAATCGTCGGAGCTCGAATCAGATGAAGATGAACTCGATGAATTTGATTGTTCATTACCGGATGCCTCTTCAGATGAAGAGGCGGCTTTGGATCCAGTAGAGCCATCGTCCGATGAACCAGAGCCGGAATCAGAGCCTGAACTATCTTGGGAGCCAGAGTCGGAATCAGACACAGAATCAGAATCGGAGTCGGAGTCGGATGATTCCGGTGAACTAGTTCTAACTTCAGGTTTGACGAGTTGGGCAGACTGAGGTTTCTCCGGAACAGTTTCTCCTCGGTTGAACCTCACAGCCTTGGAAGCTCTGGGTGAAGAGTCCTCCCCACGCGACCGTTTGCTCGACAAAGATGAGGCGCCAACCAGCGATCCTCCGGGTAGCGTACTGGCAGAGCCAGGTCTGTTACCCGCGGAACTGGGCCGTCCCATTGAGAGGTTGCCAGTTTGTGAATTTTGATTCCGAATGTCTATGAACTGGGATGCTGGCTCTTCAAAATCCTCCTTTAGGGCCTTGAGCTCACTCTCGAGCTCGTCCTCTTCAGGCTCATACTCATCACCATCGTCGCTATCATCCTCTGCAGAATGATCAACAGGGTGCCTGATCACTGTTCCCATAGACATGTCATGCTCTACAGGCAGGATAGAGAGTTCTTTTCCAAATCCAGTGTCAGTCGGTGGCAGCCACTCCCCGTCGCCTTCTTCATCGGCATTTGAGCCTTCATACGCACGCCCTGCGTCTTGGTCCCAGCCAGAAGAGAATACTGTTCGACGTTTCTTCCGTGGAGGAATTGTTATGGCGGGACGACTATTGGTGGCACGCTGAATGAACGGGGCTCCAAATGGGACACCGTCAATGAGATGTTTTCCATCTGTAGCAATCTGGAAACGACCGCACAGGCGCCTTGCGCGTAAATCTGCGAGTTGTAAAGCACGAATACTATGAAAACATGGTCAGTAAATAGTCGCAACCAGAGAGACACGGAAGAGCCAATCCAACATACACAACTTCATCGCCTTCCCGAAGTAATCCCTCCACTTCCATGAAATGAAGACACTCCGATCCACTGACCTCCACCACATAATCTTCCAGGCCCCACTGGCCACTGAATTCGGGATCAAAGACATTGGGTTCCGTCTCGAGTGGAACAACTTCGTTCACATCCTCCAGTAACTGAGCAATCGTGTATCCACCATTGGAGAACGCAACATTGGGGTTCCGCGACGAGGCAATAGCGGAAGTGGGAGCTGCGCCGCGGGTTCCATATTCGCCCAGCGAAGCGGCAGTAGTAGTCGTCCACAAAATTCTGGTCGCAGGCAATCCATGCCGCGAAATGATAAGGTGAAGCCGCATAACTGCGAGGTCTCGGACTATTTCATTGGACCATGAGGGTGAGGGGGGGGTCAGGGGAGGTGTACAATGACAGGCCGAGTTTGCGCTTCCTTCGCGCCCCGTAACAGTGAAGCGCCTGGATTGAGGTATGTCCCTTATAAACTTTGACGATGGTAATAATCCCGGAAGGCTTTGGTTGACTTGGGGGAGGAGGGGCGAAGATTGAAAACGCAGCGAGAATGGTGCTGATCAGAGAGAGCTGGTCAATAAAAGGCGCCTCGTGCAGCTCCAAATCTGGAGACGCGCTAACTGTTCTGGGCTGGATTGGCGCCTGAGGCGCCGATGATCGACACCACGTATTCGATCTATACGTAGACATCTTGGTTGGATTTGACTGCGAATTTTGGGCAAACAGAGTTAAGTGAAATAATTAGCCTTATCAGACTATGAGAGGTTGAAAAATATGCAAGAGTTTATTAGGGTAATTTTTTTTCTGTGGATGGGAACATGGTAAACGATGGTAAGATGGGCAGCGGTTGAGGGGACCTTTTAGCCATCGCAGCATACTTTCATGCCGTCTGTACTTACATAGAAATCGCATTGTTTGAGACCTCTAAGAATTGGAATAGATACAGTGTTATTCTGGTTAAATTCTCATTGGGCACGACTGTCTCTAATGCCTGCATGAACTCCTATGATGGGTATTTGCCACGGTGATCGAGGACCAATATCAAATTCGAGGTCCATTTATTTACTGAACTCCGCCAACCTTGGAAGTGCTATATATAACCGTACGTAGTTTGGGCTGGTGAAAACATCGACTTGAGTGGTATCTCGGCCAAGAGAAGATTACAATAATATTATGTAACTGTAGCTTGAACGCGGTAGTCCAACTCCGCATGTATGCAAACAATGCCAATAAAACCATCATGACGGCTACAACAGCCTCAAGGATATCAAGAAAGGGTATCAGAGATGCAGCTCACAAGGAGTTGTTGAAACGTGTTTACGAATGTATGTAATTGAAGTGATGAGTCAAGGCTCAGATCCCCCAGCTTAGGTTGTAGGTCGTCTGCTCGGGCCCGGCACTGGTTTTCGGGACGGTACGCCAAGATTCATCGGGCGCAGACTGTTTTGCGAAGGCCGTTGCCGAATAGTATTACTGGGAGCCTGGAGCTGACCATCCGCTACAGGTTGATATTGGGGTGGGCTTTCGTCGTCCATTGGGTTCCGATGAACCTTCATCATGCTTTGGGAGCGTCTCACGGGGGAACCAGGGGGAGATCCAGATATAGATTCGGGGGGCGTCGTGGGCAGCATATCGAAGGATTCGGAGGAAGAGCGTCCTTGGTGCTCGTATGCCGAAGGTGTAAGACTGCCTTGCGGGGCGGGGACAAGTCCTTCACGTGTCCGGCCAGTTTCGACTGGGGATTTGGCATCAGTTCCAGATTCCATGCCCCGGGAGGAAGAGGCGTCTGGTGGGTGATACTCGCGGCGTGGTCCATCGACAGGGCTTAAATTCTCTGCCATTGCGTCCTCATAGCTTGGTGGTGCTTCATCATAGGCTTCACTTGAATCCGCTGGTACGGGTACAGGTCCGGCAGGCCGGGGTGGCATCGGAGGCGGGTTATTAGAATTGCTACTCATGGGCCAGGTGGGCCGATGTGTCGGTTTGGATTGCGATGATTGTGGCGCTGCTGCTGCCATAGCATCCAGGAGGGCCTGAGGAGGAGCGATACCAGAGTAGATCTTGACTGGCATTCGCAGTGGGAGAACAATGAGTTGCGGCTATATAGAATGTTAACGCGCGGGGCCATTCACGAGTAGGGCGTAGGACAGAAAAAAACAAGATTGCAAAAATACCTTCATATTTCCCGGAGTGCCATGAGTAAGCCCGATCCGTATCTCCAACTCATATCTTCGCTCAATATTACATGTTTCGAAAGAAGGTGCCACTGAGTTGGGTAGAGGCATAGCGTTCCACAGATTGGGATCGATTGCCCAGTCAGTGCCGGCTTTATCATCTGGGTTTCCCAATGCAAGGCCCATGTTGCTGCGACTCACAATAACCCAGGTATTGGTTTCAGTATGCGTGAGATCATGGGCAAGAATCTTGGTATGGGAAATCAGTTCAATCTGTAGCATTTGCAGATAAATCAAATCCGGCGAATCAGTCAGCTTTCTAGTAATCAAGCGAAGTGGGACAGGCTCGTTGCATGTGAGAATAGAAGGATTTGGGAGTCGAGCATCCAAGGACACGCGCGGGGGCTCGGAATAAGCATCTCGTAAAGACGTTCGGGAAAATATATTCTTCTTCTGCTTTCCACCCTGGGTTTTAGAGAACTCGTGCTGCCGTCGGGCGTATGTTTCCTCGTTTGGATTCCCAGTCCTTGGAGGTTCGATGGGGAGAAACATCATAGGCACAATCTACAAAGACCATCAGCAAGAGCGGCAGGAAGCCGTGAAAGAAGGAAATACATACCGCCCGAATGTTTTCTTTGTAGAATTGAGGCCTGATGACGGTAACTTTGACAAAGTAGCGGATGTCTGCCATGCCCGGAAATCCACTCAAAGATGGAGGAAGCGTCTTTTTGACATGCCGATTGGTATCGCGGGCCATCTCAACCCTCAGGCCAGTGAAATTGAGATTTGTGAGCATGCTGTTATGGGTACTGCAAGCATTGTTGAACGGAAACTAGACGGATATTAGGGCGCGTGCCAAAGCTATAGGTAGGGTATGTTGACCTTGAACTGGAAGGGATATTCGTAGGAACCGGCTGCGAATGTATAGGACGTTGCTGCAGGCCCGGTTTGAACGACAGCTGGTGTCGGGAAGACGGTAGCAACCTTATATAGAATCTGCACATATGAGCTATTTGTTCAATCCATGGTCCTTGTCATAGACCGTGCCATACCTTGTGAACCTCCAGCTCCGTTCGCTTTTTCTCAGAGTGCACATTTTGCGGATTGCGAGATCCCGACAGCCTTGTGCGGCTCTCTCCTTCCAATTTGACTTGAATGCCTGCAATAGCTGCCTCCGTCGGGAGACGGAGCACCACGCGACCGGACAACGTGTCAAGGTTGGTGAAATGCGAGAGCTGGTTGTCCAGCAAGACCGTGGCGGAGGCGGACATCGCGGCGAGCGCCCGGGCCGTAGCGGTTCGGCCTCCTTCGGGTGTGGCTTGTCTGGACTCGCAGCTAGTTGAATCGGCCCCTATTTTGTTTGTAACAGGAGTAATTCCGCCGCTTCCCCAGGACTAGTGGGTGGAAAGAGAGTAGAGTGGGATGTTTCGAGGGGAATGCAGATTGAAATGCGAGGGGAGTGGAGATGACGTTCGGGGCCGCAGATCAGATCAACTGATGGGGCAGCTTTTATTCTGCCCTATAGTCCCACCCTCGTCATGATATGCTGCTTTCAGAGGCAATGAAGCTGCGCCTCACTGATACTCAGCCACGTTGGCCCACTGGATAAGAAAAGCGTGTTTTTGTCCAAAAATGTATCCCTGGCATGAGTATGATCGGAATTCGGCACGATCTACAGAAAATCTTCCACGGTCCAAGACTAAACCCACTACAAAATCACCTGGAAATTTTCGAGGACTCTGATTGATATACAGTAGAGTTCGAATTGGATAGTCGGCATTTAATCCACAAAGAGCATCAAAGTCCCAATCTACGTTTATCTGTTAGTCATGCCAAACTTGGAAGTGGACTATACAGTGGCCGCGGCACCAGGCACCAGAATTTCCACAGCCACAAAGAACTGGTTCTTCAAGCTGCAGTAAGATTTTGGGTTGAAAGATGCCTATTTTATAAATATATGAGACAAGCTACAGGTCGTCGGGCAATCGAACAACTGTCAATTGTTAATTCAATTTCGGTCGCTTGCCCCGGATCTTGAAGAATATCTGGTCTGTGCATCCGGCCGATCTTCACCCGATATTGTCACTATACAATCTCTTAAAGACCTTCTTTCGCCAACATATCTTGAATATACATGTCAGCGTTGGTAGTTTCACCTCGAAAGCATTTCGTACCTGCAATATCCAGATATAAAGCAATAGCGTTGAACTTCCGCCGTTGTCCCATTACCTCTCCAGCCAGCCATTTCAATCGATTGCTCCAGTTGATAAGATCCAGATGGCTGACTCCCATTAGTGTCCCTTTGTATCCCTTCCCACCTCCCCAGTTACTACTCGCCACGCTGACCAAGCCATCATTCGGCCCTTCCACCTCGGCGAGAATCTTGTGGGACAGGCGGAACACAGACCAAATACTAGGCTCAAAAGCTGCACCGTAGGAAAAATATCTATTATTGATTAGCAATGTGTATAGTCCTTCAGCATCAGGGACGTGCACACACCGAACATCTTCAACGTCGGGTGTATTTGGATTGAATGTCTCGGACATGTATTTCCTCGTTAGCTGGCTGAAAGCTCCTGTTTCGACGGAGAGTCGATTCAATGCGTAATAAATCTGGGGAAGACGGTCGGCTGAATGATTAAACGTGCAAATATTAGCTTCTTCCCGGATGTAGGATTTGATCAGTTTACCTCCAATCTGGTCTAAGACGTAGTCTGCCACAGCAGAACCTGAAACAATCATTCAGCACATTTAGCAGCGAGGCTCAAGGATTAAGGCGCACGAACCTCGATGTGGAGTGGCAATGGTTGTTAGTGATAGCACCTTAAACTTCTCTAGTCGAAGTCGACTAATCATGTATCGGGAGTCGAGGCCGCTATGTATGTTAGTATTGGAATAGTGTGCTTGTGTTTGACGGCTCACCCCTATTTCAGAATCAGTACGAGTTCCAGATCAAGCACAGAAAAATTCTCACCATGCTATGACTAGAAATGCCATGAAATATTAACACGAGTATGCCCGGACAAGTCACGATACTTCACATACGCAATGATATTGACATCTTTACCGCGCGCCCCAGCTTCAATTTCACGGGCTAACGCCTCGGCACGTTCCTCAATAGAAGCGGACGGGGGAACAGTAGCAGTGATGACTTCAATCCCTTTCGCAGAAAGTGCCTCCTTAATCCCACGCCAGTACTGAACACCTGGAAGATAGGGACCAGCTAGGCGCAGTTCATCGAAGCCAAGCAGCCCATGGGCAAGAACGATTGGATGTTTCGGAGAATCTGTTTGAAATTAATGTGTGAAAGATGTAATCACTCGGATAAAAAGCACCGTATTTTTCTCGAATCTCCGAGTATTTATCATGGATCAAAAGGCCATCGTCTTCTAAGCGTGGCTCAAAGATGGGCTTGGGTCTGCACGAGGACGCGTGCAATGCGCGCTTTGTTGAATTGCATGTTGATTGTGGAAGACGAATACTAATCATTTGTTTGGTAGGGAGCTTTGTACAAACCACATATCCCATTATCTCCAGTTGCGCGACACGCTTGTATCAGAGATGGAATGACGCAACGCCGCGGAAACATTGCCGTTGGTGCCTGAGGCTTTGAAGCGCGGGGAGACAAACCACGACGAGCCGATGGGATCTATGGAACTAGACAACGTACATCGATAAAATTCTTCTCCGACTGTAAAATTGCATTTTTATGCAAAGAAGGTTGATCAATTATCTGCAAATCTGGTATTCATAGGCAGGAAGCAATGTTATTTACGCTCGTTACAAGGTCGTGCACTTCTTGAGAACAGTTAGACATTGATCAAGCGGGCTATTGTGTTGTTCTCGATGGAGGCGAGTATACTGCAGCTCTAGGGGGTGAGACCTAGTATATGTTAAACCTCCGATCCACAGAAAGCTTGCTTTGTAGGTAGATGTCTACACAAGATACATTAGGGACGTGAAAAAAGACAACCTTAGTATTTATTCGATCCTACAATGCATACACATACTTTTGTAGCCGCTTTTACAGATTCACGTAGCGACATAGCCTTAGCCTAGTAATGGTAATGACCAGTAAAGAAACTCATATATCTCGAACGTTGGATATCGATGAACAGCCGAAATCGCATCATCTAGCGACAACCAAAGAAAAGCAAAAAGCCCTGAAATTCTCAAATCTATGCCTTCACGATCTTCTCCGGTACCACAGGCTTGACAGAGGTCGTGGCCTTGATCAGGTCCTCCACGACCTTGTCGCCCTGCGCCTTGCCAGCGGCCTGGATCTCCTTCAGCTTCTCCTCGGCCTCCTTGCTGGCATCTTCTTCGGCCTTCTTGAATCCACTGGAGTGCTGAGGAATGCCAAGCAATGTCAGCAAGAGCCATTGATAGTGAAACGATGCTCCGTCCAGGGATTGATCTCACCTCAGCCTCGAACTTCTTGTATTCCTCCTCCTTCTGGCTGCGGTACTCCTCGATCTCCTTCTGAGCCTCGGCCTTGGCGTCTCTTATCCGCTTGGTACGGTCTATTGAAAGTTAAGTTAGGGGACCAGCGCATGCCGATCGGGGCTATCGGGTCTCGTACATTCTCGGGCTAGACGAATCGGATACATTAGCATCTAGAGTCCATGACCTCACTGATCAGTCACCATACCTTGCTGCACAATCTTCTGAGCCTCTCTCTCGGCCTGTATGTCTCATTAGCATGGTCGATCTGGTGCTTGAGTCGGGTCGGAACGTACATCGAGGAGGGTCTGAATACCCGCGGAGTTCTGAGCCGACTGATTTCCCACCACCATTAGCATCTGCACACAATAAGATTGATTTGGGGGGTATAAAGACTCACCATATTTGCTCCTGTAACCCTCGTTTAAATGTGATGGGAAGTGAGGAAAGAAGCGTTAACTGCTGGGGGGTCGGAGCTTCGTAGCTCGATCAGCCACGCATGACCCCCCAAAGCGGTGGGGGGTGGCAGTACAGTCCCCACCGCCCCGTCGCGATAAACTGATAATTAAGCTGGCATTTTTGGCATCTGTCATTACCTTCAATTGCCCAGGGTTAGTTTTCTACGGTTTCATCGGTAGAACTCACAATGTCTCGCGCGGCAAAATTTACTCTGGCAGCCACTGGTCTGGGCACAGCGGGCATTGTCTGGTTTGTGCACTGGTCGCAAGAAGCGGACCGAGCGGTAAGTCTTTATGCTCCTGGACAAGAGATACAAACACTAAACTTGGGTGATTTATAGGCAATGCACAGGGGCGTGGAGCGAGATATGGAAAAGCAGCGAATTCGACAAGAACGACAGGCCGAGTTCGAATTGCAGAAGCGATTGCAAGAGGAATACCTGAAACTGCAGACCGTTACCAGCACAACCGACAACCAAAGTTCAGCAAACCAACCTCCGAATACAGGAACATGAGCCGGAACTTCAACTTGAAGGGCTAGTACCTCTGCCTGCGCTTTGAGGCAGCACGATGCATATTCGGTGGGTTCTGGCCGGAATCCGGTGCTGTTTTCGTGATGACCTCGTGCTAATCTTGCCCAGGGAGTTCTACTATTTGGCGACTTGTTCAACCTTGTACAAAGCGAATGTCGTGTACGATATTATTTGATGTATTATACCATGGACTCTCCCCTTCGATCAGCGACGATTATTGTCGAGTCAAAATCATACGATACACTATCGGTTCAACATACCATACGATCCCATACATTTAACCTTACACCCTCAGCCAGTTCATTGATGTCCCTCACAATATGCGTAGTATGGATATATGGGCGGTTCTATATCTTATATTTCCATATATTGGGACGGGAATGCATAGCAATCTACGTCAAACGCCCCACGACCCGATGAAGTGCATTTGAGACTTTGAAGACACTGAGAACGCTGGATATCATGTCCATGTGGACTGATACCGCCCCAGAAAAGGCGAAGATCTAAACAAGGACTGAGCCATGGCCTTGAAGCCAGACGGTGTCATTGATGATGAAGGATTCCGCCTGGGCTGGTGCTGGTCTTCATTCGAGCCGGATGTAGGTACTACAATAACATTGCAACCAGGTAGGAAGAGGCGCCGACTTAGTGGATATCAGCCAGGTGCCCTTAATGACCTTCACATTCCAAGGTAGCCTAGTCCAGCAAATGAGTAGGGACTTGGGTATATACTCGATAACATTACTATTCTGAGTCCCGAATACTGCGCCTCGCCTGATACCGTTGATGTGGCGTTCAATTAACAATTTCCTAATAGTCGACATCATCCAACTTGAGCCAGCAGCTAGACTACCAATGACTCGTAAGTGCTTGCTGGGAGTGGTTTCCAACTAGACCATGCCGTTGTAGACTATATAGCGGCCTCCGAATAACAACACAAACTATATTATTAAAGCTCAAGATCCGTGAGCGCTCATTGTATTTGTTATTTCCTCTTGAATTCTCTGCTGTAGTATTCATTGCTTTTGTTGCTGTTCTTTTTAGAGTCTGGTATTCAACAATACTAAGATCTCGGAACCACCCGATCACGCTGTCTCCTTAGGCCGGAGTATATCAAATGGCCGGTTATTATCGGAGGCCGGCTGAATTCCGGCCTCCTGACGCTAGTAAAGTCTAAATGTACCTTATCGGCCAATCAAAATGGCGGATCTCAGATGGCAGCCTTGGCACCGGATCATATATAGAGCCTACATCATGACATCGACGGCGGAATCATGACTGGTTCATCATATTTCCTATGACTTAGGGAATAAATAGCCCAAGATGACTCAGGAAATACCAACAATGATATCAATGATTTGACCACCGGGCATATTGACCCAGAATATCGACTTTGGGGTCATATTCCACATTACTAGAACGGGCTTAGCGCCTTCCTCGTGACCGTTGTGCCCTCCATCTCAGGGCATCTGTATAGAGCATCTGAATACCCTCATTGATGCTTGTTTACCTTAATTTGACGTTGGGTACTCATATAAACTACATATTAGACCTTACATATATTATCGGCACTTATTGACCCCACTCCATGCCCGATGTCACTAGATTATCGTCATGTCGCTTTCTCTTTCGTAATGTGGGCTTGAGGCCGGAATTGATACCGGCCTCTTAGTATTATAAGAATCGCCTCTTCACCCGCCCAAAGAAGTGAAATTTCTTCTTCCTCTTTCATCTTTCAAGATTCCCCAAATCTTTTCTCCTCTTTTTTAGCTCATTTTCCCTGCTCTCCTGGGTGTTACCCTTCTTACACTTTATACCCCTGACACCCTTCTATCTCAAGTCTTTTCTGCTTGTGATACATATATTATCTCTACATCCCTCTTACCCTACTTTATATTGATCTTATCACACTTGGTCAACGTCTTCCACCTTCACGATGACTATCTCCCAAGTGCCCTACCCATCCCCTGCCACCCTCAAGAAGTTCCCCCATGTGCATGATGACCCTTCCAAGTTGTCTCATGCCTTGGACCCCTTTACTATCACTACATCTACAGGCTTCTTGCCTTATGCCACTGGCCCTGTTGACCTTCCTGATGCCTTCCAACCCCTAAAGTCCCTTGTGGAGCGTATGCCCGTCGTTAAGCTTGACGGCACCCCAGGCCTCTTGGCGACCTATGAGTTTGGCCCCGCTGTCGATGCAGAGATGCCTGACCTCACTGATGAGGTTGAGAAGCTTGTCCTTCCTGATGGTTCGCCGGACCGCTTCACTCTGACTGCTGTCTTCCGGGACTACACCTTCGTTGCCTCGTCGTACTTGCTCGAGCCCTGCTGGGAAAACTGGTGCAAGAACCCAGATGGAGGATATGGTCTTGGTCGGGAGATTTTGCCTAAGACTGTTGCTCGCCCAATGTACCTCTGTGCTCAGATGTATGTATCCTTTCGTTCTTATATGTTTATGTCTTCATGTCCTCTCATGATAGATATACATATACACCCTCTCGCGTTACATCCTGTCTGACCTGTTTATAGCTTGGATCTTCCTCCTTTCATGTCCTATGCTGCCTCATATGCTCTCTTCAACTACACCTTTGCCGATCATTCTAAGGGTCTATCTGACTACTCTAACCTGCGTCTGATCCGCGGCTTCGAGCGTGGTCTGGATCCCAAGAGCTCCGAGGCAGGCTTTATCCTGACTCACGTTGACATGGTCAAAGAGACTGGCGCACTTATCGGTGGTGTCCTCCGAGTGGTTGATAATATCGAGCAGCATGGTCCGCGTAATGAGATCAACAATGGTTTCCGTGAGATCCTGACAGCCATGGAGAAGATCGAAGCATCGATGGAAGGTATGTTCTCAATTCAACCAACATATCAAGCGCGAATCAACTTCAACTGTCTGTATCAATACTAACTAAATTAAAGATATGTGGGGAAACTCCAAGCCATCAGAGTATCTCTCCTTCCGTGTCTTCATCTTCGGCATCACCAATCAATCCATGTTCCCGAACGGCGTAATCTACGACGGCGTCGAAGACAACAAGCCCCTCGCCTTCCGCGGCGAGAGTGGCGCCAACGACAGCATCGTACGCAATCCTCCCCTTCCTCAAGAAGCCTCAACGTTCTAATAACAATCCTAGATCCCTCTGCTCGACCATCTCTGCCAGATCCCCATGCCTTCAACTCCTCTGACCAAAATCCTCCACGAATTCCGCGCATACCGACCCGCCCCTCACAGGGAATTCCTTACCTACATCCGCGAGAAGTCTGAGGAAGTTGGCGTTCAGGACTACTCTGTCCAGGACTCCGAGACAGCAGTCCTATTCCTGAAGGTTCTCAACCATGTTCGCAGCTTCCGCTGGCGCCATTGGCTCTTCGCGCGCGAATATATTATCCGTCGTACTCCACACCCGACTGCTACCGGTGGTAGTCCTATTGTGACTGTAAGTCTTCAAGCCTCCTACTTCTTACCTTTGTTTCTTAGTCGTCTGGATACTGATTTTCGATGTAGTGGTTGCCCAACCAGTTGTCCGCAGTTATGGATCTTATGGTTAAGATCTATGATTCCTACCTCGCTCCCAAAGAGGGTGTGGCAATTTTGAATGGAAGCCAGGACCGGATTGCTGGACACCGCAAGCAGGTTGAGCCTATGATGGAGCTTGTGCGTGACCAAAGGGAGAAGTTGGCGAAGGAAGTGGAGAAGTGGTGCCAGGAGCGGGGGGTTTGAAGTCGGTTTGGTTCGTTTGAGTTTTTCCTTCTTTGGTTGCGTGTCCTTGATCATAATTGGGATATCATGGTTCTGGTAGATCGGACAGGTTGGCCCTTTCGTATGCCTCTTGGTTAGATAGAGTGTGGAGCGTCAAAATTACATCTAAATCATCTCTTTTCTCGGTCTTTTATTATGCGCTGGAATATTCCCTTATGAATCAAGAGCTTGGATTGAAGTTACTTGACATGTGTAGATAATAATATAATATTCGACAAGTCGAGGCCAGCAAGTCGGTGTTGGACAAGAGTTAGACCGGCCCGGTTCTTCCCCCACTTTCGCGGTGAAGTGTCAACCCCCCTCATGTCATAGGATGTGCGCATGGACCTGGATGTTCCAACTCTTTTTAGGTCTTGTTTCCGTCACCTGAGGTGTAGATGAGGTCCATGCTAGATGTTTAGTGCAGTAGTGTAGCCCCTTAGGGAAAATCCTACTAAAGAGGGCTTGACAGGTATGCACTGGCCGCTTTGAAATATCCCGGCAAAGAGCAGGGCAAGATATTCATGGCGGGCCCGGCGAAATCTTTCGGTGTAAAATGGTAGAAACCGGCGTGGAAGTTCAGAACAGCACATCAAGCCCTTTCTCTCGACCATATGCCACGGCATCCGAAGAAATACCTTCGCAGCCTCGCACAATTAGACGATCAATTTTTGGGCCCTTGGCTGAATCGGATTTTCGCAAATCGGCGATCGTCCGGATCGTGCAGCCCGTAATACCCGTATAGGATAAATCGAGAAACGTGAGATTGGGGAATGCATCCAGAAGTACATTCGTGTACACATCATCTATCGTCCGCACATGAGTAATGGTGAGCTCTTCCAATCTCGCTAAGTTGGGGTTGCGGGCCCGTTCATCGATAATATTGATGAGGGCATGCCATGGAAGGTTGAAGCATTGATCCAAGCATAGCTTGCGGACTGGAGGCTGTAGCTCTATAATGAGCGTCCAAAGGCTCAAGGCACTGAGCCACCCGGTGTCACTGAAGATAAGCGTGTGTAGGTTTGGAAATGTTTTCGGAACTCGTGTGATGGGACTGGGCCGAGATGGTCCACCTGATAAAATAAGGGTTTCGAGGCTGGTGGGCAGATAGGCAAGAAGGAAGGTATCTGGAGAGATGCCTCGAAGCTCGAGGTGGCGAAGCGATGGAAGAGAGAAGTTCCCAATATCGTCACCACGTCCAGGGCCAGTATCGGCTTCGGAGGGGAAATACACTGGGACAGTCCTCGATAGATTTGCTTCTAGTCGTAATTCCTTCAAATTTTGATAAGGGTGAGGAGTCGTATCCTATTAGTATCAGTTTAGAGATACGACAGGAATTAACGACAAAGAAAACGGCACTCACAGATAAGATGTTAGGGAGATGGAGAGCAGGTATGATTTGAGTCAATGGCGCGGTTGGTGGCTGTTGGAGAGTAGATAAAGTGATGCTTTTTACATTTGGAAGAGTGGTGGGCCATGAGCCAGAACTGAGAAACTCAGCAGATGAATTCCGAGAATTCCATAGCGAGATTTCTTCCAGTTTTGGCAGCTCGATTAGGAGTCGCCCGAAATAATCATGGGGAATTGTCATGTCTGCCGAGAGGACCAGGCTTTTTAGCTTCTTGGAACCCTTGAATTTACTGAAGAATTCCTTATGATCATGAGATACCCAGAGCTGTAGGTGCTCGATATGGGGACATCTGCTCAGAAATTCCAGGGTTCTGGGTGTTTGCGATGGTGGCAGATTCTTGATGTTAGCTCGGGTGAGCAACCCTTTTGATCGTCGGATGCAAGATCGGACCGCGGGAAAAGAAATAGTCCCTCGAGCCGCGCTGAAGTCAATATTCATCCATAAGTGTGATATGGAGCCGAAGAATCGTTCCCATCCTTTGCAGACACGCAGAATGCCCACAATCTGCTTGAATGAGAAGTGCTGGACTACCATCATTGCCATCTCGAACGGTAACACTGTAAAAGGATCTCGCCTATTGAGAAGCATCCGATCTTGGAGTTTATCGTGTAATTGCTTCAGCAGCTGCAAATGTGTTATAAGCAAAATGTGTTCAATGGTACCAGGAAGGCTATAAACATACTTCACGACGTGGATGTTTGCTAGCAAGCGTCTTCAGACCATAAGCGTAGATTTCCATGGCCTTTTCAGGCTTTCCTTCAAGTAGAAGAACCTTTGCACATCGTAGATATCCCTAATGCCCGGTCAAAATGCGTTCTTCCACAGATACAAAGTACTTACGCGCTCATCTTGATTGGCCTTTTTGATCATGTGCCTTGAATCTCGGCGCGCCTTGTCAAAATCCTCGAGTTTGCAGTAAGTAGCGGCACGGTTATCTAAAATACCAATGGTATCTGCATCTTTCTGGTTCAATGCCTGGTGGACTATTAGTGGACTGCCTTTTTAGGTTAGAGTGGATGGGCCTACCTCGCCGAAGGCTTCGGCAGCTGCTTTGAAGTCTCCTCTTTGGTAGAGTTTCTGGCCTTGTTTATGAAGGGCCGAGGCTTTTGATGCCATGTCTAGATTGATCCATTAATCCTCCAGAAAATTTGAACAGTAGAAGGAAAGACGTCGCGGAATAAATGAGATATCTCGCGTCTCTGGGATGGCACGTGCTTTGCGCGACTGGCTTTTCCGGATACCCGGAGTCCGATCACATAGTTTGTTTACACTGTTTACTTTCTTCCGCTTTGGATCTTCCGTTAGCTCCACCATCGCAACGTCATGGATGCGCACAACTTGCAGGCCGCATCGACGTATGTCAACAATATTTTACTGGCGCGCGGGCTGTTGAATGATGGTGCATCGATTGACTTTACCCATCCCGAAAATGATGAGGGGGGAACAGAGGCCACTATGGCGCGGATCATTAACCTGGTCAACGACTTAGTTTTAAGGAGAGACGTCAGTACTGCTGCCCAACAGTGTCGCATTGTATCTGACAATATCTAGCGAGAATCCGAGCACCGCGAGAACTTGGCAACAACGATTCGGACCTTGCGGGGTAGCGAGTCGGAGCAGACTTTGGAGATCGTATGTGAAAATTCCATATGCTCTAAAGCACAGAAACTAACGCGCAATTTGTTATCGCTTTGCTAGGGGAAACTCAAAACCAAAGCATCCGAACTGACTCGATCGCTAGCCCTCGCCCAGGCCTCGGAGAATGCGCTCCGCGCTAACATGTCAAGCGCCGAAGCGTCCATCCGAGGATTGAAAGAGCAAGTCCAGCGCATGAAGGCAACCGTCCAACAAGTGCGCGCGCAATGCGCCAATGACATTCGCAAGCGCGATCTCGAATTGCAGAAACTAAAATCCCACCTGGCTGATCGGCAGCGAGGAAAACGCGAGGGGTTGAGCGTCACTACCATCAACATCAACCCTGCGTCAACACGTTCTCGACTGAGATCCAGTGGTGGCGAACGAGTCAATGATCCGGGATACAGCCTCAAGCAGGAGACAACAGACTTCTTGACAGAGCTTTGCCAGAACCTTAGTGACGAGAATGATACATTAATCGAACTTGCGCGAAACACCGTCGAGACGCTGAAGGAAGTACAAGGACTCCCCTTGGGCGAGGAAGGAAACCAGGGTGACGATATATCTGGATTGGCTGCCAGTGTTGGTCCACAAAAACCGGCTAGCGCTGTGACTACACTTCCTACGTCGACCGAGGAATTGTCTATGCGGATGGATGCGGTGCTGGATCACTTGCGAACATTACTCACAAACCCCTCTTTTGTGCCGCTGGAAGAGGTGGAAATCCGGGACGAAGAAATCAAGCGACTACGCGGAAGCTGGGAGAAGATGGAAAATCGTTGGAAGCAAGCTGTCACTATGATGGACGGATGGCAGCGTCGTCTTGCGGATGGTGGTGACTCGGTTCGGGCAGAAGAGCTGAAACTGGGCATGAACCTCGATATGAGTTTCAATTCCACTGAAGATCTGAGCTTCCAGGGCCAGACAGAGAATAAGCCTATCTCCCCGATTTTGGAGGACCAAGAAGAGATGAGCGAAACCGAAGACCAGCCAGATGCTACTACAGACGTCCCTCTGACTCGATCCAAGATTCGCAAGGTTCCGGAGCGCGCAGAGCGGGCTCTTCGAGAACGCAGTGATAATGCAACTGCCAGACCTAAAAGACTCCGAAAAGTTTCGTTCACACCTGGCCTGCAAGGATCGCCATGTGAGCCCAGTGCCGACGATGAAACTCTGCAGGTCAAGGCTCATAGATCGGGAGCTGTGACTCGCCGGCCATCACGCCGCAAGACGGATCTCGGGGCAAGCCAGTTGGTAAGATCGACACTCCACTCATTAACTTGACCATGTACTAATAATTTCCCCCAGTCTAATGGCACCGAATCTATGAGTATCCACCAAAAGTTAGCCGCAGCCGAAGATGAAGCTCGTGAGGCGGCAAGCTCTCGCAAAGAGCGGGAGACACGAAAAAGAAGTCGCCCAGAGAAACCTTCCAGTCGGCCGGGCAACCGACGCCGAAGTACTCTCACTAGCGATGAGCTGGATGATCTTATGGGTGTTCCCTCCCGATGAAGGATATGACTGCGCACTTGCTACCATTTTCATTGAACTGTATATATACCTTGATGAGCGAGCATGTAATGGCGTGTCGTTGTATATCATTACCATAATTAATTTCGGTGCTCTAGCTTCGAATTGGTCCTGCTTTTGATTTTATGTAACCTTGGAACTACTCAAAAGGAGGAATAGCTCAACACCGCCACCTCTGCAAGCCTTGGACGCGCTACACTCCATGCGTCAGGCATTTCATATCTCAAATCTATGAATACTTTTGATGGCCTTGCCATCTTTAAAAACGACCGTAGTCAGACTCAGTTACCCGTCCACCAGGTGTAATTGCCCGTCTCGGCAGCAGTATCCCAAATCAGAAGGGAGCTGCTGTTCTGAGGCCTATCCGGCCAAACATTCAACAAGCCATCCCAAATCTCAACATTGGAGTACTTGACATCGACACCCTTGGCAGCGAACAACTTCGCACCCGTGCTATCCTCCCGACTGGGATAGATACGACTAGTAAGAGCGAATCGATCATTGGCGTAAACTTCCACGAGAGAGCCATCGACGAAGATATTCATTTGAATAGGCTCCATGGTGGAGTTGCCGCTTTTGTGTTGCAGTTTATAGGGCTCAAAGAATCCAATATGAGGCGTCTTGGTAAATTCGTCGATGAGGGAAGAGTTAGCCCGGTCAACGACGATGTTTTTGCTCGAGGGATCGAAGTAGATGTTTGTATACTCCTCACCGTCAGGGGAAGCACCGACTGTCACTCCTGCCATGCCAGTGGTGTGCTCGATAGTGAAGCTGATTTGGTAAGATGAAGTAAGGTTGCTTGGTAGATCGATCTTCTTCGTATCACACTTCCTCTGGTTGCATGGATATTTGATATGGCGGGCACCACGGTGAAGACCCCGGACGACATCTGGAGCTGGGCGGACACCAAGGGTACTTGCTGTCCAACTTCCGTTGGTGTTTTTGAAGTAGCGGGAGCTTCCAAGAACATCAGAAGATTTATGAGTGACGCCTGTAGTGTTTTTGATGAAAACCTCCCGTGGATGCGAGAAGGCGCCTTGGTAGCCGAGTTGTGCTGCTCCGAAGTCGTTTATGTCTTCCTGAGCCCATCCCCACTGGATACGGCGGTTGTTCTTGACGTCGTCGAATGAGTTGATCTGGTGAGAATTGTTAGAAAAGAACTTCGTGCCGGAGTGAAGCTCAGGGGTCTTCCTACCGCATATAATAGGCCGAAGTCGCTTGCACCTCCAGCGGTTGGAGTAAAAGCAATACTTCCATTCTCTCGCACAGATACCATTCCCTCATTCCATAAAGACCATTTATTTTGATGGAAGCTGACGTTTCCTCCTTCGGCACCCATGGAGACAAAGTACCGATCGCCAATTGAGAAGAAATTGGAAAGTTCAAAGTTGAATCCATAAGAACCAGTCTCTTCCAACGTGCCCAATGAAGTGTTTTTCTTCGGCTCCCACAAGGCTCCCAAGAAGGTCCAGTTGGTCAAGTCCGAAGCTGGGGCGGTATAAAGTGGCATCCGAGGACCAATTTCTCGAATACCAGAACCCCAGACTGCATACCAGTGAGGCTCTGTCTTATTGAGTAAAGTATCCAATTGAGGCCATGGGACATAGAACGGGTCACGCCAGCCAGTGATGTTCCAATTACCGGGCGGGTCACTGAGAATCGGGTTGTCCTCATAGTGCTCCCATGTTATTCCGCCGTCGGTCGAGATCGCTAACGCCTGGCTTTCAGTTCCGGGGAGGTACGGTTCATTCCAGGCGGTAGGGAGCTCGGAGGCAGCGGTATAGAAGGCTAGGAGTGTGCCGTCTACTCCTCCTGTTAGGTTGACTGCCTGACCACCACCTGAAAAGATAGACAAGTGGTTATAGAGAGCTGGATCGTGGTGATTGCTGGTTAGGTTGGTGGTCCCGATCGATTGTGCTTGGTAGTCTTTCCAAGCAGGGAGTTCGTCATCGGGGTAATGGTCGACATCGGTCCATGTAATCAGATCTGTGGATGTCGCGTGTCCCCATGAGACATTTCCTGGATCATGGCGATTAGATTCAGTCAATAGGATGAGTTTAAAGAATGCATTACCCCAAGCAATATGATTGTTGTGGAACTGATAATGTAAATGGTAGAGACCTCGAACTGGGTCGTACATCGGCGCACAAGGATCCTGGAAATGTTCAGTTTAGCTTTTCAAATCAAAAATATCATCTCGTACATTCATCCAGCCTGCAGGTGCAAGGAAATGAGACGACGGTCTCCAGCGTGCCATCGTAAAGAGGCTATTATTTCCCATTTTCTCAATCCCCTCAGCTGTTAGGGGTTCTCCCCAAGCTGCCGAGGCGATGGTACTAAGTACCACCGGAATTGAGAATACCGACTTCCCCAACTTCATGATCATGGTCCAATATCCTCTTGAAGGTTTAGAAATTCAAGCGAGCTACATGCATGCTCTTGTTATATGAGATGGGTCTCTGCGGAGTTGTGTCGCCATATTCTCGGACACTTAACTCTTGGAGTGGAGTAGATGGAGATTCTTTGCAGGATGGCTAAACGGCAGGGTAACATAGAAGTCATTCGTTTACTACGGAAGTTGCATGGAGCCATCGGTAAAACATGCAGAACTGCCGAAACATGGCCCCTTGCCGAATGAGAGCTATGCGAGCCCCCCGAAAATCCCCCTACAAAACTCCGACAAATTCCCTAGCCGATGATCTTCTCCGCATATTGTTCAGTGATGTCAAACCGGCTTCCTTGGCTTCTACAGTACATTCCCAAGCTCCGAAATGTACGAATATAAAGTTTCGAATATATTGGCATGGGGTATTAAGTATTCATATATATACCCTCCACAGCCGCTGCTATATCCGATCTTTGCAGGTTGAAAAATTATGGACATTGGAACTCGAGTGAAATCCGAAAATTATAATATGATATCGACCACTGATGGACACAATTCACACTTATGGCTGTGATGCCTCGGGTAATTCAACCACTTTCCTCGTATCCATATCGATAGCTATTACGTCCACTTTTCCAGCCTCTAGGAGTAGTTTTACCCCGGCTGCGAATTAGGACCTCGCGTATAATACCAGGGCTGTCCGGTTATAACGGTACTGACAATGTCTTTCACCTTCAAGACGTTTTTGAATATCCTAGTGAGCAGCCCCTGAACCGAGCTTCTACGCTCGTGAAACATCCATTTTTCTCTTCTAGTTCACTGATTCTGTCATCAAGAAAACTACAGAGTTCTTGATGGTTTCCATCAAGCTTCAACCCAAATTCTTCAAGGACCCGAGCGGCCTCATCGGAATTTCCTCCGTTTCAGGGTCTGCGCTCAAAGCCTGCTTGGCTTGGCCCCTGACTTTGACCCTGATTGAACGTGCTTGCCTCTTCGGTTTTCGGGGGAGACTGCAGTCTGTGAGGGTTGTCCCTGAAACCGAAGGTGGGCATTGTGTCTTCATACACCTTTGTTTGGCATCAGTTATATTTCTAAATCTCAGTGCGGCTTGTACTTGAGCATCTAACAGATCAAGTGAGTTGGTTGCTGACGTGACAATCCTTGCTGGACTTGGGGGCTAAAGTCTAAAAGCTGCCCTATAGCTAGGAGCCGGAAGATCTACGTTTAGCTCCACACTTATTGCTGTCAGCAACTTAAGTATATGTACCCGTGGACATAATAGTATGAATGGCAAATTCAGAGGACACCACGGATACGAGGTCAGCGGCCCTTGGTAAGTCTGCATGTATATGAACGGGCTATGGTCATGCACATTCGGTCGGTGCACAGCGAGACATTACATATAAGAATTAGGCTCCCTGGTACTTGCAATAAATGGTTGCGAATTTTAACCACCAGTGGAGCTACCCAAATTCGATATTCGAGCAGAGTAGTATTTTTGTAGAAGCGATCAATGAGCGACGGTCTTGTTCCCGATCAGGTAAGAACCTCGGCTCAAAGTCGGCACTCTACAATTCAGATGTCAATCTTCGAGTCTCCAAATTCCCATCGTGATATATCACCTACCTATTCAATATTATCTCCCGTGTCCTCGGATATCAAGATATCCTCAATTGCCAAGTATCGATCCAGGTCTCGCTCTTATTCCAGAACTCCGCTGTTCTGACCGCGGTTCTCCGCACGACCCCACACAGCAAGCGCATGAACCCGAAAGTTCACCTGCCATAAAGTCCCCAACAACGAAAACAACACAATTCCACAGTAAAACATGTCTTCTCTCCCCCCGCAAAGGAATTCAAAGGCTGGGTCGCCCACGACGCGACCAATCCCCTTGAATTCACAACCTTCACCCCAAAACCCTTCACAGAAACCGATATCGAGATCCGCGTCACGCACTGCGGAATTTGCGGCACAGATGTCCACACTCTTCGCTCAGGCTGGGCTCCAACAGATTACCCCTGCGTAGTCGGGCACGAGATCATCGGAATAGTCGAGCGAATCGGCACAGCTGTCCCAACACTCCCATCATCCGAAGCTTCGCGCAAGATCCAGATCGGGGATCGCGTGGGTATCGGTGCGCAGAGTGGAGCATGTCTTCGATCGGATTGTGAGGCCTGTGCTGATGGTGAAGAGTCCTATTGTGCCCGCATTGTGGGTACGTATAATGGGCGGTATGCCGACAAGAGTAAATCTTATGGAGGATTCGCGGAGAAGTGGCGCGGTCCGGCTCATTTTGTTTTTAAGATTCCTGATGGACTTCCTTCTGCTGAGGCTGCGCCGTTGCTTTGTGCCGGCGTTACTGTTTTTGCGCCGTTGAAGAAATACGGTGTCGGGCCTGGGAAGACGGTGGGCATTGTGGGCATTGGAGGTTTGGGGCATCTGGGTGTTCTGTTTGCGAAGGCATTGGGTGCGGATCGGGTGGTTGCGATTTCGCGGTCGTCTAGTAAGAAAGCTGATGCGGTCCAGGGCTTAGGTGCTGATGCATTTATTGCCACTGGGGAGGAGAAGGGATGGGCGAAGAAGTATTCGCGATCGTTGGATATCATTCTCTCCACGGTGTCTGGGGGTGACATGCCATTTTCGCAGTATTTGCGCTTGCTTAAGCGGGATGGTACTTTTATTCAGGTTGGAGCGCCGGAAGAGCCATTGCCTCAATTGGCGGCGTTTGCATTGATTCAAAAAGGGGTCAAGGTGACTGGCTCAAATATTGGGTCTCCGGAGGATATTCGGCAGATGTTGCAACTTGCTGCGCAGAAGAGGGTCTTGCCGTGGATTCAGAAGAGGTCTATGGAAGATGTGAATGCTGCGCTGGTGGATATGCACGATGGGAAGGCAAGGTACCGGTATGTGTTGCAGAATGGGGAGGAGCAGGCAAAGCTGTAATGGCGAGCTGTAGATGGTCAGGCTGTTGTACATAAGTCATTTCCTCGAGGACCTTGGGGGTTGGTTTTCTGAGTTGGGATTAATGCTTTCCAAGGTTCATCTCATTGCTTTGTCTCTCGACACACGCAAATAAGTAGAGCAATTGAGATGACAATCCTCACCCTAATCCAAAAAATCGTTGCAATCCACAGGTTTAATCCTTTCACTGTAGCCTAAAACTGGTAGGTTGCCGTTTCATCGGCCACAAAGTCTAACCCTGCACAATATACTGCAACTAATGATTTAGTCTACTTTGACACCGAGCGAGGCAGGGATGAAATAAAACTTTTTAATTGATGGGTATTTAGCTAAATCATGTCCAAAATTGATAATATACTACAATTCCTCGAAGTCCCTACTGGCAACTTTGACTCGGTCCACGATGCCATCTCTATAGGACTAGTATACGGTTGCTCAGAGCACCTTCTCCCTGTTACGCCGGTGTTGTTCGATCCAAGTACTGGCGTTTGGGGGCGAGATCGAAGAGACTTTGGGACGAACGCATGGGATGACCATGTTGTTCCACCCTTTCTTTCTTTCCTTTGGTTGTTTTTCTCTCCTTTCTTCTGTTTTTTCTTCTTTTTATTATATTTCCAGGTCAAATCATGGCTGATGAGTCCAGTGACAGGCCTGGAGTATTCATGCATCCATTATGACCAAATGTTGTTGTTGGTATTTTCGTGCCGGTCGCTTTCGTCGTTTCTCATGCGGCCGAGGACTGCGCACCACTCTGAAGAATTCAGCTTGGTCGATGGCAGAAGCCATTAGGCATATCCAACATACCGACGGATCTTGGAATTCATTATTGTGTTGGGCTTTTTTGTTGTTGATCTGGTCGTTTTTGAGCAATAACAATTGCGGCGGAGAAATATAGCGATCGAGAGGACTCGAGAACTTCGCAAATCTTCCAACGTCCTCATGACGTCTCAACTCTTTCCAAGTAATTTTGACCGAGGATCTCGCGCATGGCCCAATGAACCAATGGTCTCCACTGATCATCCAAGATCGCCCAGACGGCCTTAGCGACCCTGACACACCACTCGTCAAAGCACCAGCGGTGCTTTAGATACTGCAATAGCACGCCATAATGCACTAACATGACGAGCGCCAAGGGTTCCCGCTCGTGAAGCAAATCCAAAAAGCGAGAGGGAAGCTGAATAGCCCAGCGCCCCGCGACCGAACTAGCCGTCACCCCAGCGTAGACCCAACCCAGCATACTCGCCATGCTCTCAATAGTCGAGCTGTAAACAATTGTATCGTGGTTCGGATCGCGCGCCCCACACGCATCATTCGCTCCGTGTAATTGTCGCAAGACATCGGTAATTTCTTCGGGAAGTGGAGCACGAGCCTCGTCGACTTGGAAAATTGGAGCGAATGAGCTGTCAATTAAGAAGCTCGTCGGCGATCTAATCACCTGCTGGATTCCACGCGTGAGAACGAGAACTTGATGGAAATCGTCAATGCAGGACCAATGATCTTGCACATCTGGACAATTCGGAAACCCGAATGTGTACACGACGACGATACTCGCGAACGCGAACATGGCCTTCGCGTTCGATTCCTGAATGTCACCCAGTAGCTCCCGGAACAGCGCCAGCGCTTGGTTCTGGTGGGCGACGGCGCGATTGAGGTGTGCCGCGCGCCGGGATGGATCGGGGCCCATCCGAGCTAGATGAAGCGCGGCAAGAGCTAAGATCCCATGCATTAAAAAAGGGTGAGAAAGGCCCTCTTGGGGCACGGCATTCCGCCAAATCTGATCCGTGCTCTCGTCGCGGGAGAGTGTGAGGTAGGTCGTATTACACCACTGCATCATCAGTTCCAAATCATGGAGATTGAGCGTTGGGGCTGGTATAGCCGCCGATTCTGCGCCGCTCAATCTGCCTAGAATTCCTAATGAGGCTGATGCAGCGGTGGGAGATCCCAGTACGGAATCGGTTTGGTGGCCGCTATCTGAGGAAGCGCGGAATGATTGCCGGGTGGGAGTGGACTCTTCATTTGCCCACAGAAGGGAGCTGGAGGAACCATATTCACACTCGGCATGACGTTTTGCGCAATTGGCGCAAGTAGGTCGGGCCTCATCGCACTAGATTTAATTTAATTAGTTTTAGGGCCAATTTAAAAATTGAGACGACATTGTATACCTTTACTCGTCGTCTTTTACATTCCAGACACCCATGTCTTGATTTTCGATGTGGCCGTCGGAGCGCCATGGAAATCACAGCGATTGGATCGGCATGGTTTGGGGTAGAGAGTGTGGGAAAGGGGGAGTAATAATTAAAGGGAAATATAAGGATCTGATGCAGTTTCGAGAAGATCTCACTAAGACCAAAAGAGTTTTTTTCTTTCGATAGTATTGTGTAAAATGGAGTAGGCAACAGGATTAAGAAACGTCAAAGTCTGGCACTATGAGATGACCTAAGCGAACCCTGTCGATCAAACAAGAAAGAAAAGGCTTGTCCTTCTGAAACATTGTCTTGCCTCGCTTGGAGCACTGCCTCCCTTGGTATCGGCCTGGTTAGGTTTTGGGAATAAGTTAATTTGTGACTGAACACTAGTGAACTTGATTGGCTATGATCACAGGAACTAATGCCCTCGTGGTACCAAGGCTTATATAGTACATCCCAACATCTCCACCGCATCCACATGGATTCCATACTTCGTAACTTCGTAATTTCGTAATACTCATGGTACAGGTGTGACTGTACCGGTCTTGGCTTTCCTTGGCTATTACCCTCGGAATGACCTCGGAATGTCACCTTTCGTATTGTTCATGCACCTCCACCGGCCCCCGCGGCCCCCGCAGCCGAATTGGTTCGGCGTCTGAGTTTTTCCCGTAATGCGAGCCCCGTAATAAGTACCAACAGGGCAAACTGGTCGCCATAACTTTTGTAAATCTCCAATTGACCCGCCTTCTTCGAAAAAGTGGTGCCTGACGAAAATTCCGCAATGATATCACGCGTGGCCTCTTGTACAAGTTCCAAGGTTCCGCCTCTCATGGAATGAGTACGTCGCCAGGTGAAAGTGCAGGTGCGATCGTCTACTTTTGCGCGAAAAGAATAGCGGGAGGAGAAGATACTTTCGCGACTGAGATGTTCCCAATTCATGGAGGGGCGGCTGGGGTCGCCGAGGCCGATGATGGCATCGGAGGAAAAGTGACGATATTTGCAAACTCCCACAATGGGCCCTTTGGTGTCCGGACCCTCGTGGAACGTCAAGTCTGGTTTGCCCGGTGTTAATTGGGAATTATCCACGTGGAACATGTGATTGCCATCTGAAAGGATTTCGTAGTCATGTCGGAAGAGGCTATGGGTGATGGAGTATTGGCGCGCGAGCCTTGTGCTGGGTCGCATGATGTGTGATTGCCAGGTGTGATGAGGCTTTTAGGCTGGATTGTAGCTATTTGGAATCCCTGATTTCGACTTTTGGTTTTCAGAATTTGTACTGTCGGAGATTCCATGCTGACTAGAGATATACGAGCATTTATATGTTAGATCTATTTTGTTTCGTGTTCCTATATTTATCGAAACCGTGACAGGGCTGAGTGAGGCCTCCCACGGAATAGGACCTTGGCCCCCTGCCCCACACATGACAGGGTTCATCCGCCCTGCTACAGCCTACTGTACAGCTCAGGCCAACCAGATATGCGCAAATCATGCTGTCCGCCCCCAAATTAAGCGCACCCGGGGCTCATGTCATTGGCTAAATCTGCATGTTTTCGGCGTTACCGAAAGTAGATAAAGGATGGTACATGTTCTTATTGCACAGCCTTATAAGATGGGGCTCGGCTCTGCTGAAACGAATATACAAGATGTCGACAAGCACTCGGGAGGATCTACAGCCCACAGCCGACCGGGCCACAAACAGAACTTCAAGCCCTGCTGCTGTTGCTGTATGATATCATATGCACAGATGGGGCGCTGGGCGAACCCAACCTTCGAGCCTTGAAATGCGGTAATATGTACCGCTATGGCAATGAAACAGCTTGGCGCTTTTTGCTCGCTGTTTAGGTTACGAAAATTACCAAAACCTTATTTTTGGCTCAATAATATATTAAAAGCATTCTAGACCTATTATTTATATCCACTTGATAATCTACCCACACATAATGAAACCACGTACATCAAAAATTGCGCAGCCTAGGATCGGATTTGAGAAGCCGTTCGAACAGAGGGTATGTTTTCGTAGAGCATGTGAAATCACACCAGAATCCGCCATCTCCCTTGCACATGATCTGTGTATTATACCTTGTTGGATGGGTGCGCCGAAGTGAATGTCCCAAAACAAGAGGCGGAGCTGAAGCGCTCCCATTGACAACAGTATTGTCCGATGCCACGGCTGGACCAAAGTCGATGTGGCGCCACGCACCGCACCAATTGGTACAAGAATAGCTCAAGTCACCGGGCTCGACGATGTGGATCGGATAATTTTGTTTCCAAAGTTCCTTGGTGACTGCCAAGCTGCGCTCGATATTCTCGAGTTTAAGCGCCTCGAGTATTCCAAGACGGTGCCGATAAGCTAGCTCTGCGAGCGATGTCTTATCTGGAATCGGTGTATGAACGACACCGTAGGATTTGCAGTTGTGAAGATATGGCTTGTCCGCAGGAAGTGCTGGATGGCGTCCACGACCATTTATGACTGTGGTAATTGTTACGTTCCGGGAGGTGGTTCTACCAAGGTACGCAAATTTGGCCAAAAGTGAAGTGATAACATCACCGTTCGTCAATGCTACCGCCTTGTCTCCGTATTTTTTTTCTAGATCTTGCGTGTGACGGTCGCGTAGTTCTTCAACTAACTTGACCGGTAGGAATAGCGTTCGCCGGACTTCCTTTGGGTGGAGTATGAGGTCCGGTAAAAAACTCATTACTGCTCTTATTCTCTCCGACTTTGTCGTGATGCGGAATGTTCTTTTCCTCCGCAGCTCTTCCTTTGAGAGGTTATTCGGACCGTCTAATGCGCCCGGCTCCAGCTTCAGAAACTCTGCTGGTGTTTCGCCCTTCATTACTTGGGTCCAAGCGGTGATTAGGCTTGCAAGTCCCATTTGATCCGATACAGCATGTGGCAAATTCATGGAATCAACTGTGGCGTCTGTGTATTTGGTGATATGCACAAGGAGGAGAGGCAAATCGGGATCCTCGAAGTGGCTTTTCCTCGGCCAAGTCGAAGGCGTCCATTTCTGTCCTAGCTCTGGAATAGAGCATGGGCCGTGGAAAATATCAGAATCGGCTTGAGGTGTCTCCGGTAGTACTTGAGTGGCTGCAAGAGAATATTCGATGACCTGATTTGACCACTGGAACAACTCCTGATCAGCCGAAAAGGTAATTGGAAGGCGATATGCCAGGTAGCACCTAGGAAAGCAGATGATCTCTGATGAGGCGATCAAATGCACTGCGCATTGCATCTTCGTTGAAAACCTCGCGAATGATCAAAAATACAATGGTACGAATGATATCAATCGGCTGCCATTGGTCTATGGGCTCCAGCGGAATAAGCTTGGAATTCCCACCGAATCCATTCTCCATGGACTTGACACCGTTTTTGTTCGCCATTTCATGTTATTTCAGGGGCTATGAAGAGATTGAGACGCCATAATATTTTAGGCTGCTAGAAGGGAGCTTAAAGCGATTTGGGCTGACCGCTGACCGATCCCTCATTGGTGCGTGTAATATTGATAGATATGATGCAAACCACCCAGTCCAAAAGAGTATTAAGGCGCCCGCGGTAACCTCTTTGTCCCTGAGAAATAACAGAGCTACTTGTAGTCACAGTAATTGTCTTCGTATTGTAGCAGTGTGGCTGCCCTTTTACAAAGCTATGAATCACGGGACCTGGACTTCAAACACGGTGACACACGTGGCGTATGTCCGTCTGACCAGAGGCGCCAGTCAGAATCATGCGCTTATTTTGCTCCAAATGAAATACGCTATGCTTTTGGGAGATCAACTTGTGAAATTCTACTGCAATGTGAAATCACTAGCTTATCAGACGTGCTGTGGAGGAGGAGCTAGGTAACTCGAAAACTGCCAATTGAAAGACAATAAGGCGCCCACTTTTGGCTGTCAGTGGTGGGCAATCCCTTCCGTCTGAAATTGTCACAACACGTATTGGCGGCCCGTAACTTGGATGATCATTCGATAGTGCGGTGCTGAGTAAAGGATCCAGACTTTATTTAAGGCACTCTTCTTAAATCCAATTATCATCGGAACGACTGAGGTTTACTATGAGCCTCGCTCACCATGCACCTCGTCGACCACTGTTTTCACTACGGCAGGCTTTTTGTCTCTCATGTGATTCATAGGGATAGCACGCAGCCCGTGCCTAATTTCATCGCTCAGTGGGCTCGGCCCCGCAATCTGACTATGAATTAGGCGTCCTGTGATCTACCTGTATACCGCATGCTTCATAGTTTGGAAGTGCCTGAGCGTCATCTTTCATATCACACACAATAGTAAGGATCGTGTACAATCAGAGCCCGAGCAGGGCTATTTTGTCGGAGGTTCTCTTGTTGAGGTCCAGGCGGCCCATGCGGCCCATGCGGATCTGACCCTCTTGCAACTTTAAATTTTATGATTCTTTAATCGCCTAGGTTCAATCGCCAGATTCGTAGGCAGGTCTTTGTCCTCGTCTTTCTTTGTTTTTTGAACCATTTCAAGCCAGATCCGGGTCCACCTTCCAAATCTGAACATGCCGTCGAGCTTTCCAATGAATCTCTCCGAAGGAAATTCGGTGCATTTGTCACCAGATCGACATTATACACGACGGATCTTAAGCAGGTGTGGGTCTACACGAAGATCCTTATTGGGTTGTTGAAAGCAAGCAGTGGAGCGACATCGATTCCGAGTCCACCGAACTCGGACTTGACTCGGGATAACGGTTTCCTTGGCGCCGCCATAGCTAGTTGCAGAAGGACTCGCGTTCAATAAAGTAATTAATTGTTTATATCGTACAAAATCTAGATTCTCTTGGGTCACGGCTTCAAATGGTCCTCAAACCTGGTCGCAGGCAGAAAATTAAGTGGTGTACCGTGCAATGCCGGGTAGACAGTGCCGGGACTCTTTTTACTTGTATCCAAAGGATCCACAATGGTAGAGAAATCGAAAATCATAGTAGATCATTCTTTTGCCTTCGCTCCTGGCATGATTGTAATCAAGATGACAAATTGATGTCAATCCCTCCGAAGCGGTTCGGAATTTTCCCGAAACTGATTCAAAAAGAACATCATCATGACATGTTCATTGTAAGACTTCCCAAGTCCGTATTGCGCTAGATCTTGGTCATACACTATATTCTACTAAAATGAAGAACCATACTGTTGGGGTTTTTCCCGCTGCAGGTGGTATTGGCGGGAGCACTGTGAAGCATCTCCTTTCGCGTCTTCCATCGTCAAGCCTGACTTTCATCGCTCGAAGCCCAGAAAATCTCAAATCCCTTCCTATTGGAGATGCAGTTCTTCGTCGTGCGGACTACGACGATGACGAGAGTCTTAAACAAGCATTTTCTGGCGTGGATACCCTTTTTCTGATATCATATGCGTCAGTGGAACATGAGCATCGGTCCAAGGTATCATGATTCGAGTAGAAGCAAGCCCTCAGAACAACGTGCTAACAATAAGCTTTCACCTAGCGTCAAAAACTTGCGATTGACTTCGCTATCCATAGTGGAGTCAAATATATCTTCTATGGGTCTTTGGGCTATGGTGGAAAGCCAGACAGCGATGAGTCCGTAGCCCATGTCATGCAGGCGCACTTGGATACTGAGAGATATCTCGCCGAATGCGTCCATCGGCACCCGGGATTCGCGTACACCGTTATTCGGGAAGGTCTCTACTCCGAGTCCTACCCTCTCTATACGGCATTCTTTGATCTTGAACACCCAGTGGACGAGATTAAAATCCCGCATGATGGTTCAGGCCCAGGGATTGCGTGGGTCAAGCGCGAAGAGCTAGGGGAAGGCACTGCGGAGCTTGTGAAAAGATACATGCAAGACCAAAAAGAGTTTAAGTACCGAAACCAAAAGGTCTTGTTGTCGGGATCTAAGACCTTGACGATGGAAGAGACTGTCGCCACTCTGGGGAAAATTGTCAACCACTCTGTGCGCATTCGCCAGGTTTCCGTGGAAGAATATGCAAAGCAGCCTCAGTTGAAACCGAACTTCACCTATCACGGAGTCGATCATTCCAAGGTTTGGACGACCACTTTCGAAGCCTTCCGTCGTGGAGAGGCAGCTTTCGTTTCCCCTCTGCTCCAGGAGCTCTTGGGGCGTGAGCCGGAGGATTTCGAGACAACAATCTCCCGGTCGTCGAAGTCGGCGGGTCAAAATTAGATCTCAGTACCCTTTACTTAGGATCCAGAGGAGTCAATATCGAGCACTCAAAGTTTCAGATTCCCTTGGCTATAATGTGGAAGTGAACGCAGTGAACCTTGTAGATTGAATGTATTGAATTTTCAGCTACAAGATACGAATTCTGTACAGATAGTCACTTATATACTTGACCATCGGGGGCAATGGTCCACAAGAAACACAAATATGTGTATAGCGACACCCTTTAAGAAGGTGAGATGACCGGACACCAATTGACCACAGCTTAACTTGGTCCGGTAGAGCTTCGTAATCCGCGCCATCTTCCGGTGGAGGTCCGATACTTTCCTCGTTGGTTGAGCGACTGGGGCAAAACATGTAATTTCATGATTAATCAAATGCACTCTGTTTTCATATCCATACCAGTGACCTAGATGTGTTTAAACTACAGCCAAAGACTAGTCACTAGCGTGCAGACTATTGAGTAAGAATTCGATTTTCACTGGCACATCAAATCTCATAGATGTAACAGACGTCGGACTCCTTGACGCTCGCCAAGTAAATAAGGATTCAACGAAATGTCGTTCATCGTTCCTATTCCAGACCCGTGATGGAGAAGAAAGCTTGTTAATGGGGACGCCAGTTGTCCCGGAGCCTTAGGTTCCAACACCGCACTATGTTTTTATTCTGTAAGACTACCTAGCTCAGATATTATCCTTATTTTTCGCTTGTTTACAGCATAATAACATGAATAAAGGGACCGATTAAATGTCACTAATCACGAGAAATCCGGAGCTAAATCTAATTGATTATTCATGATTCAACTACAATACAGTGGCGTTCCCCAGCCTTGGAAACGAGTTGTCTGCTGCTTTATCCAACCTACCCCTGAAATCATAAAACTCATCACCATGACCATGAATGTCACTCGAGAGATCGAAAAATTTGGAGAAGCGGATAACGACAGTCCAGGTGCCTGGAGGGATTATTGGATTGCACCGGATTGGTGAAAAAAGGATCTCTAGCATTATTACTCTGCTTGTCTAGTAGGCAGTAGTCGCAAAAAAGGGGTGCGCAAATGAACCAAGTTGTACTATGTAGCTCCTACTACCTACTCAAATTTATGTTTTTTCAGAAGTTGTACTCACCAAGGCTGTTTTTAATGGTATATGCCGCGTCTAGCCTAATACTACAACCACGGTCATAGCTTTCTTCAGATCGTGCACTTAGTTAGCACCCCGCTTTAATGAGCATGATTAGTGGCTGGTCACTTGTTTACCTCAGATGGATAGGGAGCACTGCTATTAGGATTGAGAGAGATAGAGAAGGCAAGGAAGAAAGGGGAAGACCGGAGAGGCTGGACTCAATATCCTGTTACAGTGAGTGATCAAAAGCGCGAATACTTTAGCACTCCGCGAACGTATCTTCAAAGATACGGGTCTCGACAAGGCGACTGAAGCTATTGAACATATGGAGATGATAAGAGAGACAAATGAGGCCTGAGGATGATGAGCGAGAAAGGTATTAATCTGTGTATAGTTTGCTGCCTGAATTTCTCCTTGGCCCCTGAATTGAATATATGTCAAATGCACTTCGATATCGAGAGTTGTTACTTCGTCAACCTTGGGAATGATAGCTCAGTGCTAAGCGACATTATCAAAATACAAGTTGTTTGCAACAGGGTGGTTATCAGGTAAAAGAACATTCAATAAATATCGGGGTTCTAACATGATGGGTTGTTTCTGTATGGGGGGAAATGCATAGGTTGATGGGCTAGTGCAATATAAATACTTGTAAGCTTATCTTTAGTAAAGCTTCCGATTTCATCCCCATTCACAGAACCTTGAAATAGCTGATCTTGGTAGACTCGAGTTGGTCGCTAGGAAGATGGTGTGGTGAGCAATTCGACATGCCAAATAAGCTCAGGGTCACATGACCTGAAATTCGCGGACTGGAAAGCGCGTCAACGAACAGAGCAACATGACGGAAAAAACATTGCCTTGAGGATGGACCTGGCTTGACACAATCACACCATCTTTCGTGTCTTTCCCCTCTGGCGACACTGATCCGTCTGATCATTGGGCGATTGCTCCCTTCCCTAAACGCTTGCTTGCAGGTGTTGCGGCCCAAACTTTGCAATCCTTCTCTGCTCTTGACGATCTGAAGTGTTGGTGATCCACCCCTTCAACAACTCAAAATGACTTTCAAGGTCCCCTACGATTACGAGTCCAGTCCCCCTTCGACCCCCGACAAGTCGAAGGGACAAAGCTTCTGGAGTAATATCTCCACAACACCCGCCGGCCCGCCACCCTCAAGCACAAACTCGTTCACGCCGCAAGGCCAGCCGCACTCCACCGCGTTCAATACCTCTCAGCTCGACCAATCGAGGACCGAACACTCCAACTCCCTGTTCACCAAATCTGGAGGCTTCAACACCAATGACAGCATCTTTGGTTCCTCGTTCGGGTCGACCGACTTCGCGATGCCCAAGAAAACCCAGCCGAAAGCTAACACCTTCACGGCACAGTCTCGCTTTACTTCTGCGACAAACGGGAGTGCTTTTGGTCAGTCGATGAACTTTGGACAGTCAAATGGATACAAGTCGTCCAGGTTGAGCGAGTACCATGAGGAGTACGACGACGAAGCGGAAATGGAGCCCGAGGAGGAAGTTGAGGAAGATGCGGAAGGTGATATGGATATCAGCACCCGTGAACCGGCTAGCCGCCTGAGCTTTTTGGATTCAACATTCGGAAATCCGTTGTCGACACAGCCGCTGCCTACAAAGACGTTTCCCCAGCAGATGTTCACCACGCAGCAACAGCCGACCCAGACCCAGCCACAGCCACAGCAACCGTCGCTCCTTTTCGGCCAACAGCGCAAATCCATCTATTCAAACCCCGTCGATGCTAAGCGCCCGAGGCTGGATGAACAATGGGCAAACCAGTCACCTCTCCGCAAGACGAAATTATCCCCCAAGAAAGCATCGGCCATGCCCTCGATCCTACACAACCTCGCTTCCAGAACACGGGTCCCTCCGCCGGTCAATGAGCCCGCTGATATGATCATTAATACAGAGGATACACTTGGTCGCTTGTGGGACGAGATTAGAGACAATCAGTACGCGCACCTTGATCTTGATTCGATCCTGTCTTACACTGCCAATAAGCTGGCAGCCACCTGGGACATCTGTGCAGACCGTAGCGGCATCACTAGACCCTACGGTGCCGGGTCCAAGATTGGCCCGGGAGAACAGGCTCCTAATTTGGTCAAGGCTAGCTTCCTTGCCTCATTGCTACTTCAAATCCACCACCCCTCTCGTGCCTCTGCCCCAATCGCCAGCGCCTCCAACCCCATGTCCCGTGGCGCACCCAACAGTATGGTTAAGGCCATGCAGCGAGCCAGCGTCGCGACCCCGTTACCTCAGATTTTACTGGATTGGCTGAACGGGAACCACGCATCCCGAACAAATGACCTCCAGGCTTTGCGGCATGTGGAGCCAAACCCAACTGCTTCTTCTAACTTCTGGGACATCATCAATGCTGCCGTTCTTCGTGGTCGGTTTGCAGAGGCTGCGGAAACTCTGCGCTCGGCCGATTTCAACTACGCCCGATCAGCCCTGGAGGATGGTCTGCCCCAGCCAGGTTACCGCGGCGTCCAGCTGCAGAACATACAGCGCTGTGTAAACAAAGCCTTGCAGGTTTTGGACTTTTGCCCCGGATTCCAAGACGATGACTGGAATATCACGGGTCCGGACTGGACACAGTACCGGAAGCGGGTCCTCGCAGCAGTCAATGATCTTGAAGAGTTTGCCGAGGGCGGCGAGAAAGATCAAGCCGACGTCCCTGTGCAGGAGAACAAGTTCCAGGCCATCAACTTTGGCCTTGCCAACTTTAACCCAAACCCGGTCAGTTTCACACAATCTGCGCGGATGGCCGAAAGCCGCGTACCGTGGACTATCTACCAGAATATTCGATCCCTATACCGAATTATTCTTGGTGACACCACAACTATTAAGGCCTACTCTCAAGACTGGGTGGAGGCCACCATTGGGCTGACCGCGTGGTGGGATGGTGAAGACGACGATGGGGTGCCGAATCTAGATCTTCGCGCAAGCACTTCCAGCAACGACTTCCAGCGTCCCCGCGGATCTAAAAACCATCGAGCGGTAGACCGCAACACGCGTGATGCGTACCTTCGGCGCCTCGATTTGGCTTTTAGCAGCGCAACGAATGAGCCTTCTGATGATACCGGCTTCCGGGTGAACACTATGAGCAGCTTGGAGGTTGGATTAGCCTCTGTCTTCGAGGGTAATGTGCAGGGTGCCCTTGAGCTCATACAAACTTGGTCCCTCTGCGTCGCGGCTGCTGTCACCGAAGTTGCCAGTCTTGGTGGATGGTTTGAGGCTGGCGCCTCCAAGAAGATGCCCGGTCTGAGCGAGCACGACTTGATGGTCCTTTCGTATGGACAAGACAGCCGGCCACCCGTTGAGAGTCTTCAGAAGGACGATATCCTCCGCAACTATGCATTTGGCTTGAATGACCGTGGTTCAATCGAGAACGAGACCGGTGCTCGTCAAGGCTGGGAAATGGCGTTGGAAGTCCTCACCCGAGTTGATGATACGGAGATGATGAAAAAGGCCGTGTCAGAAGTCGTGAATCGTCTGCCATTGGAAGACCTTGCCCAGCTGGACCGATTGGTCATGCTGCTCTCTGATCTAGGTCTGGAGGAGGAAGGACGGCGGGTTTCTGAGGTATGTCGTGCTCATTCTTTGTTTGTATTCGGACACTAATCTTTCACAGCGATTCGGTGACCAGATCACCTCTTCCGAGGATTCCCACTCCTCGGAATTTGGTCTTGCTCTCGTCTGCTATGCCCGTTCTCACAATCAGCGCAAGGTCAAGTCCGTCGTGGATCTGTTGATTTCTTACAGTCTTGTGCATTCACGTGCCTTCCCGGCCGCCGCTGATTTGGATAGTCAGCTTTGGTCCTTGATCAAAGACCCCAAGGTCTGCCTGTCTTCCATTGCCTCTGTCGATGAGGAGGCTGCCCGGATCTTGCAGTTCCACATCAGTGGATATGCCACTCTGCGCCGATTTTACGAGATTCGAGACGAGGCCGTGGAGTTACAGGATGGCCAGCGGCCCAGATTCAAGCCCCTGGCCCGCCGTCGCATGGCCGCCAAGGCCCTTACGGCCGTCATCAGCAGTGCGGCCGACAACATCTATGGAGGATTGTACGACCCTGCTCGTGACTCGGCTGTGCAGGTGGATGGACTGCTGGCCCTTCTTGGGGAGGCCTTGGTATTTGTGAACCGTAAGTATTGGTCCATACTTGACGCCTGATGTATACTAACCGGCGACCAGAACCAACACCGATTCTTTCGGTCTCTCAACAATTCACCATTCTGTCAGCCATTGAGGATATTGAGACGGTGACTCCTCGGGTCTTTGCGCAATGCGAGGAATGCTTCCGATCCACCTTGCTGGAATATTACGCCGCTGGGCGCAGTTCTAGTGAATTCGCACCGCCTTCTCCCCGCGAGTTACTGAAAAAATCAGTATCGGCAATGTCGGGATCAACCTTCTCCCTCATCGGGAATGATATGCTTGAGTCAGCTCGTAACGGTGGGCCTGCCTCGGCTGGTAGCTCAGGAGTCCTTGTGCCCCATCCCGGTGACAAGGATGCGGGCCGCGCGCGCGGATGGGACTGGCGAGTGGGACTTTCCGAAGCTACAAAGGGTGAGGATGTACTTCGGATGTTGCGAACAGGTTTGGCACGAGGCCTGAGTTATGGTGCATTGGGGTCGGTTTAGACATGAGCTGAAAAGGATCCATCATGTATGATTATTGTGTCTTGCAGCTCTATTGCCGCGTTTTCGTTTTTCTAATTTCATTTTGGTGGCCTACCATGGCCTGGAGAGAGAGCTTATCAGACGTATTCCTGCTATTCGGAGCCTTGCCCCAGTCTAGGCAAGGTCATCCTTATATCCTTGCTTGGACTAGCTCCATTTTGTATTAGTGAAGTAGTCCGCATCCAGATATCTCGTGACCGGCGTGTGTGACTTGTTTCTACGGTATCAGTGTCAAACCCAGCTGAGACCATGCACCCGATGTCGCACCATCCCCAATGAGGAGCATAAAGTGGACCAAACCCCTCTCAGCCCTACGTCTCTGGGGCCAAAGTTCGTCACAGCACAGAAAAGAAAAACCGGGTCTCCATCCAGTAGCGTCAGCAGCTGAAAGTGGGAGCCTAGCGCGCATCCACACCATCCACCCACGTACGGGGAGACACCGCGGGTTTGCAGTGGAAGCATGAGAAGTTACTATGGGACGGAGGAGAGCGCGAACGGTGAGGAATTCAATGAATGCGATCACTATGTCATTCCACTATGTCATTCTATCTCGTGAGCAGGGCGACGAAGAAGCCTTAGCCACTGAGGCGGAGTCAGAACGCCCGATGAATCATCGCGGATCAACTCCATCTCAAACCAATCAGAAAGCGGTCAAGCCTCAGAAGTGGATTCTCCCACTTCATTCTTTCTTAGCATCAATTTACTTTCTCAGCAACTCAGCCTCCCTTCCGTTCACTCACCGACTCATTCCGCCAAAATAATGCTTTAAGGACCTCGTCCCTATGCTGTGTTCACCGTCTTTACGCCCTAGCCACAGACACCTGACAAAAGGATCGGAGTTGACGTGAACTGACCAAGCTCAGGAAACTAACTCCCGAACTTTCTCCTGATCCACACCCATGTTACCCAGGTTCCAGATTTCCCAACCAGCTCTGACTGGTTCGGGGAAAATAATAATAATAGCAACGCCAATAATTCGGCTCCACAGAACTTCCCAAGCTAAGCTCTTCTCGTATTTCCTCATTCGCCCATTCGTTCATTGACGCGAACTCCATCGGTCTTTTCCGGTCTCTGCCTGGGGCTCTCGTAGGGCTGGCCGTTGCGGGATGCCTTGCATGGAATTGGGATGTGATCAGCGGAGACTAATGCAATCCCGACTTCGACCTTCTTCTAACTCTTCCTCATGTCAAGAACACTCTGTTCTGTATATAACGCTCGCATGGAGCTGCTTGTGGTGATTTATTTTCGACAGCGCATCTGCATCTTCTTCCCTTCGTTATAATCTTTTCTTTGCTTTCTCGAGCTTGCTACTTTCGACTACGTCTGCATTGCATCGCATCGCATCGCATCGCAGCGTGCTTCTGACCATTGGAATACTCGAGCTTCTTAATATTAGGCTGGTCCATCCACCTTCCTTTTCTTTGTGCGCTCGCCCTCTTTCAACCGGACGGGATCTCAGATCCATCATTTCATATCAAAGAATCGTCCCTCGATTCTGTCCTCGACTCATCGCTGGCTCGATCGCTTCGTCGGTCTTTATAAATCTACACCTTCGTTCTCTGTCGCATACCCCGCCGAGACTAAAAAAAACCCCACAAAACGAACATACAAAATAATCTCTTTGAAAGAGACGCTGACAAAATGTGCTACAAAGTCGTCGAACGTTACTCTGTTTGCAAATGCATCTATTTCCAACACTCAACCGACCCCTGCGCTGCCTACGGTCAGCGCGGTCACTCTGTCCAAGAAAAGACCGTGTTGGTGGGTTATGCTTGCTCGATTCACTCTTCTCGTGGTGCCTCCTCCTCGCCTACTGCCGGCCGCTGGCCGGATTCCGGCTACTCTAGTTCCAAGGGATCAGGACGGTAGTTTGTTTGTTCCAGAGTTGATTCCACTCTGCGGGTCAGGCTGTGAGATTGATCTTGGACGAAGTGACGCCATTGGGATCTCTGGACTGGAATCTTGTCTTTGTTGATTGATTCAACTGGACTTGAACGGCTTGAGGATTGGACCGAACCGGACTGGACTGGGTTTTGTTATTTGTTGGGTTTTTGATGGGATCGATGTGATATGATGGAATGATTCGATATTGATAATATGGCGATGTGCCCGACACTGGTGTTTGCGCATATGCATGGCATGGTCAGCTCTTGATCGACTGGACGGAGTCTTGTCAATGCAGGTCTTGACTAGACCCGTCCAGACGATCTACTCGTCTCCTCACCTCCAGGTATGGATCATCGCTAGTCGATATTCAGTTGAAAAACAGTTCGCCGGTCGTGACTGTTCTTTTCGGCGAAGTGGAGAGTTGGGTATGAGCTATCAGAGCTGGGAAGACATGGATGATTAGTGATGGCATGACGGCAATGTATAGTACACGGATATGTTCTCAGGACTTGATGTCTGTCTTTTGATTTTGTTTCCTTGTCTATTTGTGATTGTCGCTGTGGGCTGGTTCTAGCGATGTCTGCATATCTGCATTGAAGGCGATTGGGGTATTGCGAGCATTATTATAAACACACTCTTTTTTAATCTGTTTTTCCCGTTTTCCACTGTCGTTCGGGTATTAACAGTGGGCTTTCAAGGTCCCCACAAGTGAGGCCCCTTTTCATCTTCGCTGTCGGTCCTGCAGCCTTTCCCCGCAGCTCCATTATGATAGAAGCGTGGCGGTGAACGCGGCTACGTGCATATTCCCCCTCGACCCGCTTACTACGCCAATCTTTAACTTTAGATTACCGCAGTTTCATATCAGCAATGGCTCAGCCACAGCCCATCTATAGTATCGGCCCATTCAAATCAAGCACCAAGAACAAAGATACAACTTTGAACTTTCATGTCTCCAGCAAACGTTTCAGAATCGACCTCTTTTCCTCTAGTTTCGAAAGCTCTCCCCATCTACACTGTGAAGGTTGTGGAAGAGAAGGTGATTCCTGTTCATCTAAGCAACACCAAGAACAAGAAAGGTTGTATGATGGGAGCCAAATTGTCACCTTCGATCAACACCATTTTCCCCATCTATCACCCTAGGGAAATCCAGGTTGGAATTGATGAAACCTCCGCCGCAATACCTGGTATACCTCGGAAGGTTTTCATCAATGGGCAATTACAACCCAGCTTCTACAAGATAGTCTATTCTGGCGATGTGACTGGGACAACAAGAGAGATTACCGCATATTCCAGAATCCACATGGCCAACTTCGACCCCACAGTCCTCACATCAGAATTAAACGGAATCGTCCAGGATGACAAGGGAAATATACTAGGCTTACTTCTCTCATACATCGAATGTGGTGGAGCGACACTATATCGCATAGATGGACAAGATCCCAAGTATTCTCAACTCCGACAGAAGTGGGTTGATCAAATTTCACACACGCTTGAGCGCTGTCCATGAACCCGAAATCATCTGGGGAGATGCTAAGGCTGCTAATGTGCTTCTTGAATTTAACGGTGATGCATATTTGGTTGATTTTGGAGGGGAGTATACTAAAGGCTGGGTTGAGAAGGAGAAGTCCAACTCCATTGAGAGAGATCTTCAGGGACTTGGGAACATCAAGCGATGGCTCTTTAATTTTGAGTCTTAATCTGAGTGAATTTATTATTGAGTGTCTATCTCTACATACTAGCTCTATTTCCACATGTAAGACTCTAAGCATCTGTCTAGAAGCACGTTCGCAGATCTATGGCTCTGTGCGAAAGGGAAATCTGGATACCTGGCCCAGACGGAAAATGTCGAAAATCATAAAGCTGCCGAGGCTCAACGTTCTCTAGTAAAAGGCGATTTTACTCATGAACTCGATCACGTTCGGGACTTGCTTTTGGGTTGGATCGGGCACTTCGCCAAAACGGGTAGTCTCAATTTTGAGCCGCAAGACCCTGAATATCTTTCGTGATTTTGATACTAAATTGACAACCTCTAGAAAACATTATAAATATCAGAGCTCAACTTTCAAATTCTTTCAGTTGTCCAAACCTATCAACATCCGATCAATATGAATCTCCTACTGACTCTCGCCCTTGCGGGCCTTGTCGCGGCTCGTCCAATGGACCTCACTACCCGTCAATGTATCTTTGAATCTACTCGCAATTAAACAATTGAAGCTAACTTGATGTGCAGTCGATCTGGGTAACGATCTTCGAACAGGCCCTTGCAAGCCCGTCACCTTGATATTTGCCCGTGCGACGACCGAACCCGGTCTCTTGGTAAGTCTCCTAATTCCACAACCGGAACTTAATACTAACAAGAGTAGGGTATTTCGACGGGTCCAGCCGTTTGCACTGACCTTCAGCTAGCAAAACCCGGCCAAGTCGCCTGCCAAGGCGTCGGACCTGCATACACTGCAGATATTCCATCGAATCTACTTCCTGGAAACACCTCCCCGGCAGCAATTGCCGAGGCCGTGAGTCTGTTCAATGAAGCTGCGACAAAGTGTCCCGAGACACAGATCGTAGCGGGTGGCTATAGGTAAGTCCTCACCTAGCTGAAGCTCTCTTGTGATTGAGTACAGTCCTGATGATGTTATAGCCAAGGCACAGCTGTTATTGCTGATTCTATCACGAAGCTCTCGCAGAGCGTCAAGGATAGGATTAAAGGTGTTGTCCTGTTCGGATATACGCGTAATGCACAAGAGTTTGGGGGAATTATCGATTTCCCCAAGGACAAGGTTAAGGTGTACTGTGCTCCTGGGGACTTGGTTTGTGATGGGACGTTGATCATCACCCCGGCTCACTTCACTTACGTAGCTGATACCGGGGATGCGAGTCGGTATCTGGAGTCGAAGTTGAGTACCTGATTTGGTTAGGCCTGAGCGCGTTGACTATGAGGCATCATATTTGGAATTTGTCTTTTCTTGAGTTTGATTGTTTATGATTTTCGGATACAGTATACATTCAGACTTTCAGCTTGTGATTGATTAGTACATATCAAAATCCAAGATATCAATCATCAAGCCCGGAGGAACTTTCACCATCCTCAAATCGTCAACAGTCGTACCATCTGGAGCCGACACCCTGTCAAGTAGTATTAGCAAGATTTGTTCCATATAACACTGTTGCCATGTAATAAATACTCTCGTGGAAAGGGGTATGCTACATACGGCACAAGACTCATAAGGGTCTCGGACACGGGCGAGTCGAAATTATCCGCGACTTCCACATTATATTGGTTGTAGATCCCCATAAGCCTGGGCGTTGGAATGATTTAGAAAAGGATTTGTATAAGGGGGAAGGGAAGTGTAATTCACTGCTTGGCTAGCTTTTGGCCGTCCCCGTAGTGGGTGTGGGCGAGTTCGTTGACATAGCGGACGTCGAAGACCTAGACAGTCAGCTTAACTGAGCACATGAGACTAGACATACCTATCGAAGATAATCTCACTAATTCCTTGGTCATATTGATCGGGATTAGTCACTTTGTTTAAAGCCAGTGTATCTAAGATTGATGCTGAGTACTTTATGTTGAAGGCTGCTAGGAGAAAACAGATTTTGACGCAAATTTGTAGCTCATTATCATCCCCAGTAGACTAGAGAAATTCAGAATCGTGATATCATCGTTTCATATAACTAGTATACAATTGCCAGTACAGCGGTGCGATTCGATGTTATCGTCGCTATGATAAGAGAAAACCACGGTACACACCCTGTCATGAACAATCCATTATGGATGTTTCAACGGTTTCGGAACCGATGACTTCAGTTCCACGTGGTTGTTATCGCAGCTGGTTCATTGGTACGTGAAAATGTGTAGCGACAAAAATAGGTCAAATCTAACTTATGCAAAGTAAATATGACTCGCAGATTTTATGCTAGAACAAAAAAGAATCGTCAATTTCATCGGATTATGCGGATGCGGGGTCTCCACAACCGACGCCAAGCCATCATGGATCGGAATATCCGATCCCCAGATTTCTTATAAAGCCTCGTCACTGCCCCTCTTCAAGTTCGATTAACCACAAATCTCCGTCATGTCGCTCGAAGCCCCCCTAACAGTGCTCTATAAAGAGATCAATGGCAGCAAGATCACCACAGATATCTACCTCCCGAAGACTACCTCGTCATCGCCGCTGAAGTATCCTGTCGGTGGGTATTCCCTTATCCGCCCTTTCCGAGTGCCAGCTCAATGGGATATACTGAACAATTACTTGCATGCTAACCTCATATTGATAGTAATCGATATTCATGGCGGTGCTTTCATGCTCGGCCATTCCAAAATGGTCTCTATGCCCCAAATAAACGACTGCCTGGAGCGCGGATGGATCGTCCTTGTTCCGAATCACCGACTTTGTCCTGGTGTGAATTTGCTGGAGGGTCCTATGCAGGATATCCGCGATTTACTCACTTGGGTCTACGATGGACACCTCGATGCGGTTTTGGCGGAGCAGGGTCCTCACCGTGTTGACGTGGAGAATGTTGCTGCCTTTGGAACTTCGTCTGGTGGGCATTTAGCTCTGGGCTTGGTATGATTTCTTTAAACTCTTGCATTTCCCATACTATGAGCGTGCGGGGAAGCTTATAGCTCGATCGAAGCTAACGAATACAGGGCTTCAACACACCTAAGCAACCCAAGGCTATCTTCTCCTTGTACGGCGCTGTGCACTTTACGCATCCATTCTGGAAAGAGAAGCTCCCCCATGTTGCAGCTAAACTTCCGCCTAACCTTGAAGAGTCCTTCCTAAACAAAATTTACGACGAGGTTCCGGTTCCCACAGATAGTTCCGTCTCCCTAGAAGGACAAAGCGAGTCCGGCGCCTCGAAAGGCCCGAACTTCTCGCAACCCCGTGACGCCTTTGCCTTCACGCAGATCTCCTCTGGCAATGTCATTTCTGTTATCTATCCCCCTGGTGAACCTGGTGGCTCTGATGAAGGATATAAACTGGTCGACCCGGTGCAAAATGTTTCGGCTGAATTCCCGCCTACGTACATCGTGCACGGACTTGCGGATACCATGGTTACTATCGATGTGAGTCGGGAGCTGCATAAGCGTCTATCTGAGGCCGGGGTTCCTTGTGGAATGACCGAGGTCCCCGGAGAGGAACATACATTTGCGATGATGATGAAGGTCGGATCCAAGACTTGGTGGTTACAGCGGGAAGGATTTGATTTCTTGGAGAAATATATTGGAAAGGGGCCGCTCTAGTATGCAGGCCAGCATAATGAATGACCTTAGCTCGGTCTAAAATAGGCTATGTACAGATTTCACATTAAACGTAGTATGTAACGTCAAGGATAGTATCGAACGCCATGAAAATGACAATGTAAATGAAGGAAGATTAGGGTTTAGATAGCTGTTCTTTCCGGAAGAAGAGCAAGAATCCAGCGCTATATATCATGTTAGTCATGTTCATCGTCTCATGAGCACAGATCGACTCGACTTACCAAATCAAAAGCTGGCAGAACAACGCCACCCAAAACCATGCATTTGCTAGCGCATCGGCGCCCTTAGTCATGTCTGGAGAAACTGGTCCAGGACCAGTGGCATTAGGACCGAAAGCTCTAGCGCAGATCGTTGCGATAGAACCGAGAACTTGCGACGCCATGAGGGCGAAACACATATGAACACGAGTTAAGGTTTGCAGAAGAATGATACCGAATCCAAGACCTTGGATGGAATCCAACACACCCAGCCACAGCCAGATACTGCGGGATGCGAGAGCTCCACCAGTAAGTCCTCCTGCAACCCATGGCAAGTAGTATCCAATACCGGAAACACCCCACCAGATCTGGATGAAGCGTGGTGCGCCGAGACCGCATGCGAAGACGGGGAGGAACCAGGTGTGTCGCTTGGAGAAACGGCTGACGATGTAGAGGAAGATGCACCAGACTATGCCGAAAAATACGACGCAGAGGATGACAATTTCCCAGGGTTTGGTGTGGATAGAGTTCCATAGGACTAGAAAAGGGTTGTGTTAGTATATCGCGAGGCTGGTGAATAGGATGGAAAGAAACTCACAACTCCAGTTGCGACCGTAAGGTGCACTGAGGAAGAAGTTTTGTAGAATGACAGCTACAAAATTCCAGAGAACGATCTTCCGTCGGAAGAGAGATTTGTAGAACGAAGGCACCTTGCCTGGCTTCTGACGGTAGTAATCGGGAAGTCCGAAAATCAGGAGCAGACCAATACCGAAGAGGAAGATAGCAATAGGGTAACAGATGGCACTATAGGAAAGTTAGCAGTTGCAGAGGAACCGATAGAGTGAGAATACATACGTCATCTTCCAGGTGCTAGCGATGGTGTTGGTGGAGGTGATGAGGCCTTCACTAGAGGCCTTACTCAAAGTCGAACCCCAGTACCAGAGAGCAATCACGTATGCCTGCTGGATACCTTGAATAACACAGGCACGGAAGATCCATGTCTCGACAGGGGCACCTCCCTCGTCACCGAAGTTCGAGGCGAAGAAGATAGATCCGCTGGATGAAGCCGCTGCGTAGCATCCGCTACCAATATTTTGAATCCATCCTTGGTTGAAGGAGTTCTTCTCCCAGTGAGCGGAGCCAATCAATAGGAAAGCAATGCCGTAGAAGAACCACGGTGCCGAGAGACAGACATAAGATTTGAAGTAGCGGTACACGAGCCACCAGCAAATAGAGGTGATGGCGTATGTAGTCGCGATACCGTACAACTTCTCAGCAGTCTCACCGACTTCGCCCGTGAGCAAGGTAATCTGGTAGGAGTTTGCAGCGATGATCTGACCAAGAGCAAGGAAGATGGAGTAGACGGGCCAATCGCCAACCTTGATTTGCATCCATTTTCTGAGTCCGGTGGGAGGAACATAGTCCTTTCCGAGGAGGAATTCATCGTCCCATTCATCACCATTTTCGCTATCGGCAACATGGGTCATACCTTCCTCATTATATGAAGGAACTGGGGAGTGACTGTGTTTTGAGCGGAAGACGGATGGGGTAGGCGACTTGTGGGCGTGGCGACCCAGTTTAGCGTTGCGGAATTTGTCGAACCACTCCTGTTCACTCTTGACCAGGAACTCCTCGATACAGAGTGAGCCTTCGGAGTTGGATCCGTTCAGATCAGCCAACATTGACTCGAAGGTGTGGTAGTATTCGCCGTTGCCATCAGTGAAGAATGGGTCAACCTTCTGCAGTCTGAAGTCTTTCTTGTTGCCGACCACGGAGTCGAGCGACAGCACAGAGGCGCTACTCAGTCTGTTGGTCTCGGCAAAGGATCGAGGAGGCAGAAGAAGCTGATCGGCGGCTGGTGGTGTGCCGGGGCTGGCCAGACCCGGGCTTGCCAGAGGGGACATGTACCTAGCATGCACAGACTCTTGACTTGGGACACGTCTATGCATTGGGATATCGTGTCGCTGAAAAGCGTGTGCGTGTCTGCTCTCCTCGAGCTGGGCCGCGGTCAGAGTGTACTCCTCATTGCTATCATCATCACCGCTTTCTTCGGCAATGGCGTCAATTTCGCTGTCAGTCTCTGTTGAGTCTTCGCTGCTTTGACCATTGCGGCGGGTTCCACGATGACCAGGACCCGATCGCACACCGAGAGACAGAGAACGGCTCAGACCAGACTTTGGCTTTTCAGTCTCAGGACCCGCATCACGGCTGTAAATATTGCGACTCGGGGGTCCCAAGTCGGTGACCTGGTTGAAGCTGGAGTAGCTGCTATCTCTGGAATGGGGGAACGCGGAATGCATTCCTGGGGAAGGCAGCGGGCTCAATTCCCCACTTGGAGATCTGATGGTGCTATCTCTGGGCGTTTGAAGGCGGCTTAGAGGACCCTTGGTCGACTCCTTGTTGTGAACTTGAATGGCTGTGGATTGCAGGATCTCGAGATCCTCAACCCACTGGGCGACAGGGAAACGTTGCTTAGCAGATCTGGCGCGCATCATAGCACGAGTAGCAGTCTTGGAGCTGAGCGCAGCATCAATAGCCAACTTGAACTGGACGAGGAGATGCGATGTAGATGTGGATTCCACATTGTACCACCAGCCAGGCATTTGACCCAGACCACCAACACGCGCACCAATACCCAGGGCACCCTTACGACCAAACTCGACTGCGACAAGTCCAAAGGGCTCATCACGGGACGGGATGAGGGCGAATTCGGCACCAGAGAAGATGAAAGGCGGCAGAGCAGTGAACTCCGGCTTCGAGAATACTCGTCCGGGGTAAACCTCCATCATGCGACCGAGCTTCAGCGCGGCGAACTTTCCGTACAAATCAATCACAGGACCGATACAGATAAGCTGCACGTTGGGACGAGCTTCCATTACAGCGGGCATGGCATCAGCGATCAGATCGACACCCTTCTGCATGGACCAACGACCGACGAAAACCAAGAGATCAGCGTCGGGGTTCTGCTCAAGGCCAGCCCACTCCTGTGCTTGTCTCTTGAGTTCACCACGACCTGCTTCGTACTGAGCATCGACTGTGATATCCTCCTCCTTGGTAGGCTGTTTGGTCCATTCTCCGACATCCGAGGGATCAGGGTTCGGCAAGTTACCGATTTTGCGTAGACCCCAGAAAATAGGATAACGAGCGTAAGATCGCTTGCCGTATTTCTTTGACACACCGACAGCACCGAAACCTTGTTGCTGCACGCGGAGGTAGCTTGCTCCAGCGTGAAGCAAGTTGAAGACCTCTCCGAATTGGACGTAACGGCGCGCAGTTTCTTCATCAAGATTGAAGACCGAGCAGACTTCTTTTCGCTCCTTAACAGTGCGCATGGGCCAAAGACCCTGGAACTCGGCGTTGTGGAGAGAGAGACAGGCGGGGATGGTTCTGTCGGGCAAAAGGTAAAGGGGAGCAACAGATCCGTGGTAATCGTTAATGTGGTAGAGGTCAATTGGGAAACGTTTGATCGCTTCGGCAATACACTGATTCCAGGCTGAGTAGTAGACTGCACTGTCCAAGTCATCCATGCGAGCAGGGTATGGCTCAGACTTTGACTGCTGACGGAACACGGGCGCATCGAGGAGAACGTAGGTGATGTTCTTCAAGGTATGGTACTGCACCTGAACCTGATACGCGCTACCCAGAATAGTCACGGTCATAGGCTCTGCGACTCGATCGACCGGGTAGTCAACGCCGCCGACGCAGGGAACGACCCAGATCAGATCTTGGTGTCCGAGAGTCTTGCCCATGAGCTGAGCCATAACACCAAGACCTCCGATCTTGATCTTGATGGCCCAATCCTCGATATCATATTCCATGGTGGCGATGAGAACCATGCGTCGCTTATCTGTCGCACCCACTGCCCCCAGAGCAGTTGTACTTTGCATGAAAGAGGACTTGGCGCCACCCAGACGGAACAGACGATTCTCAGAACCTCCCATCAGACTGTTAAACGGCTTGAACTTCTGCAAGAGCACCATCGGGGCCAAGCTTCGCTTCTCACTGACACCAACTTGGTTGAACTTGACCTTGTAGAAGGACTTCATGAAAATGTAGACACAGCCACAGCCAGACAACAAAGGCACAAGCCAGAAAAGCACATACATCGCGATCTGAATAGATTGAGATCCGACAGCTACAAGTTGGTATCGTTGAGTTCCGTCGTTGACTTGGAGCTCCCAGGAAAGGTAGCCCTTTGATGGAGTCTCCGTGATATTGATCAACGTAGCGGAAAGAGATGATGGCGGCATGCGATCCAGAACGTTGTCAAGATCGACATCACCCAGCACCCAGCTCTGATCTGGCTGCCCGTCAGGGTTGATGCCCCAAATGTTGAGCTGTCCAACTGCGGGCCACTCAGAAGTGAAATGGTATTTCCAGTTTCCGTCTTTCTCGTCTAGGCGCATGATGTTGTCCAGGCCGCCGTCGTATCCGTACTCATTGTACGGGCCGTTGAAGAAGACATGGGGGAAACGACGCTGGGTAGATCCCCAGTTCACGTCGCCTTCTTGAACGTAATCGCTGCTGCCGGTCCAACGACTCCAGTACTCAACGCGGACATGGTCTCCCTTCCAAGCCTGCGCCTTGGTGCCAGACCACGGCAGACGCTCGATTGTGTCATTTCCACCGGCGTAGGTCTTCCAGTCTGAGAAGGTTGATCCCCAGTTCGTCGAGTATCGGTACTTGTCAGCACCAGCAGCGTGGTGCTGGATGAAAAGGGTGTCATTACTGGCTTCCTGGTGAAGCAAACTGATGGAATAATTGGCAGAGCTGAAGATCATGGGGTTATCGACCTGTCCAATGCGGAACAAAAAGTGGTCATTCGAGTTGGTATACGCGGTGCTGTCGGAGTTGCTGATGTTATTGAAGTTCAAACGGTGAACTCCGTTGTAAACACCGGTGAGATTCGCCGACCACTTCCAGGTACTAGGGATTTGTCCAATCCACTGGGTGCTTGTCGCAGTGATGTTCCCACATTTGGGGGTCCCTTTGACTGTGGGAGTCTTATCGAATTCTGTTGAGGAGTTGAATGACAGATTGTTTGTCACCGAGTCACAATCCATCTCCTCGGAGAAGTAGAGCTCAATTTCCACGTCTTCCGAAAGATTGGGTGCCACTGTCGAGTGGAGAGGATAATCGTGACCGGGGGAGAACTTGGTGACCATAGGTCCGGGCTTTACGAATGTCTCGATGGGAACATAGGCACGGAATTCATACCTGTCCAAGGTGATATTGGGATAACAACCGTTGAGCTCGTTTGATCCATTTATGTAAAGCTTGGCCGGTCCGTCTTGTAGTGTCAACTCCTGGTGAGGGTAGAAGAGATTCTTCACCTTGGTTCCGGTAGGGAATGGAGCGAGCAAGGAATGGTTAAAATTGTTGCAATCGAAATCATAATCCATAGTTCGGTTCACATTTTGGTAAACAAACCAGACTGTTTGGTTTTTGGCAGCAGAACCCATATCCTGTATCTCGGAGTTGATGTACCGGGCGACAGACCACATTCCAGTTTCTGTGGTCGTTGTATTAGATCCAGGGTAAAGAATCTCGTTTGTGTGTTTCGACAAGTTCCTGATAATATAACCGTCGTTGAGAACAGGGAATAATTCACGCATTTGATACATGTGCTTCATGATATTGCGCACCGGGTGGCTGGGATCGCGGTGGTCATAGACGACGGTTTCATCATGACAACCCTCACGACCGGCCTCAATGGGCCATTTGTAGTATTGCGTTGAATTCAATGCAAAGCAACCGTGGGTTCCCCAAGCATTTGCAGGTGACATAGCTTGACGTCCATAGATATAGTTCTCTGCGGTTGCATCCAAGATATAAAAGGCCTGCTCCTCACCCCAAAGCATAAGAGGGATACCAGGAATAAGCAATGTGGTGATGAATTGGCCTAGAAGCTGCCTTTGCACACCCCATTCAATGGCAGGCCAGCGGAACACATCTTGGTTGGTGGCGCCAAACATATGGCGAGGATCGAATTTTCCAGTGTTGGCATTCACCAAATCGTTCGTTTGCAAAGTCCAATTCCATGCCTCAACCCAATCAACAGGTGTATCATAACCAGCCGAAAGCGACCCGTCCATACCCAAGAACCTGGTAAGAGCACGGTACGTAGAATAGTGGAAGGCTGCACCATCAATCGCTTCATTGCCGAGTTCACGCAAGAAGGATTGTGCCGGAGTGTTGTTGCTCATCTTCATCGCATCGGTCGGACTCGGCGAGCGCTGATCAGGCTGTCTACCACGACCAACATACACTGCACCAAAGGTGTTTCCACCTGTGATTTCACCAGCGATAAAGAAGTTTTCCTTTCCAACGGCGCGCGCACACTCGCGGTAGGCGGAGGACATATCTCCCAGTGCGTCGACGGTTGATTGGGTGGCTTTATCGTAGCGGAACCCGTCAATATCCAAGGATGCGATGATCATGCAGGAATGGCGGATCAGACGTTCGCGCACGGGAGGATACCATTCACGTAGACGATCTTGCACGGAGGCGAACTTGGCCAATTCACGTTCCCAATCTGGGAACACACCGAAAGCCTCCACATCACCGTACTGGTCGAAGTCACTGTCGTAACAACCAACCAGACCAGAGATCAAAGATTCATTGACAGGGTATCCGTTCTCGTACCAGAATCGAGGGTAATCGCAAGTGTCATTGTATGTTTGACCGATATCGAAATCGACGTACCGACGGTCGGTTTTCCAGGTAGTTTGGTGCTCTTTAACTGTGAAGGGAGCCGTGGTATTCATATATCCGTCGAAGCCGATCAAATCACCCATTCTTAAACAAACATGTTAGCTTGATATCAACGCTTGGAGGGGTTGTTAACTTACGTTGCGATTGTGTTATCGAAGAGAACATACATCCCCCGCTTGTGGATTTCAGTAATGGCATTGCGCCAAATTTGAATAGTACCATAATGTTGGTCAAGCAGAGTTGTATCGAGAGCTGAATATCCGTCGAATCCCCAGGGTTGATTCATCAACGAGGTTCCGGCGAGATAAAGACCCTGTTATCGTGTGAGCAGCCGCGTTTCCCTTCAAAGTGGAGCACATACCTTAATGCCCATTCCCTGCAAATAATCTAAAGTATCCACCAAACCAGCTACATCACCACCGTGACGCATCTGGTTGGAGTTCAGGTCATGTTCGAATAATGTTCCATTAATATTGTCATTTGTAGGATCGCCGTTGACGAAGCGATCCAAGAAGATAGTGTAGAACGGGAATCGCCAGTTATCTGGTGAAGGGAAGTAGTCTCCATCATGATCCGGCCATGATCCCCAGTAATCCGCGGGATTTGTTGCGGTTTGATTTTCGTTCAAATTGTATTGCGTTAACGACGGGTCGTAGGGCCAAGAAACGGCGGATCTGGCGCAAAGCGCAACGAGCGCAAGAGAGGACCACCACCCCATTGCTGCAGGGTGTTGGAAACCTCAAAGTTTTCGAATTTCAAACGAGAGTGTTGTTCAGGAGAACAGAATGCAGGGCAGGAAAATGCAGGTCAAGAAAATGCGCAAAGCTCACTCTTGGGCTGCAGAGCCAGGGCCAAAGAGTCGCTTTCAAAAACGAGTGGACGGCATTCACTGCAGATGCCGAAAATGTCAGGGATACGAGAAGGAAAAGAAAAGTAAATCAATGCATAAGAAAATAATTGATCACATAGGGAAAATGCCCAGATGACGGAGTATTTAGTGGCGTGTGGTGCTTAGGTATCGCGCTGGAACTAAGAGGCTAGCCTAGTCTACATTTCTATTCTTGACTTACAAATGAGACACGAAACGAGGCTGAAATGATTAATGCTGCTTGGCATTAGCACAGACATCGGTTTCCTTCCGATTCAATTCAGCACATCAGGGCCTGCGGAGCACCTTGAGCCGGTGTAATCCGGTACCATTCTCATCAGCCCTATGCGAGCAGTCCTTTTCCGTGGAATTTACAACCTGGCTTTTTCTTGGAGAGGCAAACGGACTACAAATACGAAGACAAAAATGCACACCGAAGTGTAATACGGCCTCATTCGTTCGAAAGGCGTAGGATTGACTTTTTATCTCTGAACGATCCTGGAAGGCTCATACGATCTATAATTGGGTGCGAACGCCTATCGGAGGATCGAAATACCTGTATTCTTCCGGAAAATCATTCGTTTTCGCTTATGCGACTTTCGTATTTCTCCTATTTGGTTATTATTTGTTTCCACTATTTTACTTGGGCAGAGATGCGCTCTAGCAAACCGTTCACAGACCCACTCATAGTACCCATAAGGATCAAATTCTTGGAACATTATACGTCAATTTTATACGACGGATCACAAAAACGTGGACCCCTGTCTCGTTCCCACATGGGTGACATCCAGTTTCAGTAAGTTTCAGTAAGTTCGTTTGGATACTCCACCCACGGATAGATTATGTATTCTCACCAGGTACGGGTACAGCTGTGGTAATTTGTGGATCGAGATCGAAGTCCATCTATCTCCTTAAGTATTTATTCCCTCCTCAATGTGGCAGTTTTCGTTATCCCTCGGTTTTCAGGCCCCCCTAATATATCCCGGTACCTGTCGGGATGGCGCCGTTGTCAAGTCCCGATATTGGTTCGGCTCCGGTGGATCCATCGGATTGAGCCGACTGAAAATAACCGTTTGTAATTTTCAACTCGGTATGGAAGTTTCATGACCCCTGTACCTGATACGGTTTCACTTCAAAACCACGGTTCGGTCATTTACCATGGAGCTCTTATCTTTGGTAAGACCCCTGTTGCAGATTTGACAGCCAATGGCTGATCTTCAGACATAGTGCCAAGAGACTGTTCTATGTATCCATTATTATTCGTTTCGGGGATACGGTACTTTTGACTATCAGGGGCTATCGATATCTTTGTTCCACCCGTGCAGGGACCAGACTTAATCTGAAATGCTTGACTTCCAGTAAATTTGGTGAGGTCCGAAATCTTATATCTTCCAAGGTTGAATCGTTCAGATGACTTCTAATCAACGGCTTTTATCTGGCGATTTCTCGGGTCAAACTCAGTTTCTTTGTGCGCCAACAACCCAAATCCCGTGTTCACATGCATGTCTCAGATCTCGAAATATTGGTGATAGTGACGCCAAGGTATTGAAGGTAATGCCAGGATTTGGTAATCAGTTATCGGTCTTCGGAGTGGAGCGACAAGGATAATATCAGTCCAAACCTTTTTCACTTACTGTCTCAGTCTATTTACCCAGTCTAGTGCGCATTCCCCATTTCCAAACTCGCGGCTTAACCGCGGCCACCCGGAAATACATGGAGAAATGTCTCAGCCACCGGGGCACTTCATAGTCATGAATCATGGCTGTTGGGGTGGGCGTCAAGGCCCACAGTGACTGAGCCAAGCTCATTCCTCAGTCTTCTCCATAACTTCTCTGGTGCTGTACCTGCAGTGTCTTCAGGATAAAAAATAACTAGTCCCGCTCCACTTTGTTCACCCCACCACCGGGGAAATTCCAACTTGTCGGTTTTCCAAAGGATTGTGAGGATTGTGAGTGTTCCATGGTGCTATCGCAACAAGGTGATAAACTATCTTGGCTGTGAGGAGAAAGGCACTCTGGCGGAAATGCCAGCCCAGGATTGGACAGGATTGGACAGGAAATACACTAGTTAATCAGGTCACATCACTTTTTGTGCTCCGGCTGCCCAGGATTCATGGGCCAAATGATCGCCACGATGCCGCTAGACAAGCTAGGGCGTTATTCCCTGCTCCAGCCGGATTTCCTCGGTTCACGTCTGGATCCGGTAGATTTCCCCTCTCTGTTCTCCTTTGGCTATGCGTTAGTCGTTAGTCTCTTCACTTGCTTCAATATCATTCCAAAGCTCTCATTCACTGAGCTTTGTGTCACTCTTTAATTTGCTTTTTGTCGGCCACCTTTGCCTATCCCTTCGTTAAAAACTCACCGCACGACTTCTCACCTTTTATATTATTGTGCGCATCTCTCGGCTGGCGCATCTAGCGCGTCCCGTGTCGCGATGCGAATTTCATCAACTCTCTGCCGCTTGGCAGGTGGCGCTTTTGCCGTATCATTCGTTATTGAATCAGCATTAGCAGCGAGCATTGAGCAATGGAAGACCAGAACAGTCTACCAGACGATGACTGATCGCTTCGCCCGGACCGACGGCTCGATAACAGCGCCTTGCAATGCTTCCGCGGGTCTATATTGTGGAGGAACATGGCAAGGAACGATCGACAAACTCGACTACATCCAGGACATGGGGTTCGATGCGGTTATGATCTCCCCTATTATCGAAAATGTCGCAGGTCGCGTCTCATATGGAGAAGCCTACCACGGGTATTGGCCACTGGATCTATATTCCCTCAACTCGCACTTTGGGTCAAAGCAAGACTTGCTGGACTTAAGCAAAGAGATTCACGACCGAGGCATGTACCTGATGATGGACACGGTTATCAACAACATGGCCTATATGACGAACTACAGCAACCCTGCTACCAGCATTGACTACTCTGTCTTCACGCCGTTCAACAATGAGGACTACTTTCATCCTTACTGCATCATTACGAATTGGAACAACTTTACCGACGCGCAGCTTTGTCAGACTGGTGACAACCAGACTGCTCTGCCTGATCTGTACACTGAGCATGCCGATGTTCAAGATCTGCTTCTGAATTGGACACGCGACACAATGAGCGAATATTCCATTGATGGACTCCGTATCGATGCTGCGAAGAGTGTCACCCCTTCCTTTTTGCGAAGATACTCCGACGAGATTGGTGCATTTATGACTGGAGAGGTCATGCAACAAGAAGCGAGTATTATCTGTGATTATCAGACCAATTACATGGGTAGTCTGCCCAATTACCCCATCTACTACTCCATGTTGGCGGCTTTCACACAGGGGAATGTTTCCGTGCTGGTCGACCAAGTGCAAACGATGAAGACATCATGTCCCGATGTCAATGCGCTGGTCTCCTTCTCCGAAAACCACGACGTGGAGCGTTTCGCCAGCTTCACGGATGACATCTCGGTATGTAGCTTTACCTACATATCATCCAGCTTCCGTACTAATCAGATACTCTACAGCTCGCCAAGAATGCCGTGACCTGGACACTCCTGTTTGACGGTGTCCCCTTCATCTATCAAGGTCAGGAACAACATTTCAAAGGAGCTGGCACCCCCCTCAACCGCGCGGCCCTCTGGAAATCTGGGTACGATAACAGCAGTGTGCTTGTTCCTGTGATCACCACACTCAACAAGATTCGCAAGCACGCCTATCGAATGGATAGCAGCTACGTCGATACCGCGAGTTACAACATCTACGAAGGAAGCAGTGAAATTGCGTTCACAAAGGGTGTCGAGGGGCGCCAGGTCATCATGCTCCTTTCCAACCAAGGCACGGACTCCAGCCCATACACGCTCACTTTGCCAGCCACATACAATGCTGGTACGAATATTACGGAGGTCTTGAGCTGCAAGACATATATGGTTAATGAATGGGACGCAACTTTGGTTGTCGATATGGATTCTGGGTTGCCGCGGGTGTTCTTCCCTACCGCTCTTATGTCGGGTAGTGGAATCTGCGGCTACTCTGCGGCCAATCTTACTTACACACAAGTCAAGACTGGGGTAACAACTTCGCTTGGGACCAAGGCTCAACAGGTTACTGGGCAAGCAGCCTTCGGTGCTTTCTTCCTGGCTTTGATGACCCTTGTGTTCTAAGTTGAATCATAATTTTTCCTCGACATTGCACTTTGTTTTCATATCTTTCTACTTAAGATCATGCGTGGATCTTGATTGTTTCTTTCCGACCATAAGGAGTCACTTTTGTTTTGTGATATTTCCACACCCAATGTACATATTTTCTGGGCTTGACATAATGATTAGGGTATCTCGTGCATATTAAGGTATTTATCGAAACTCCTAGCTTATCAAATACTAATTTCGGTTAAATTGCAAGTCCGTCTCGCGAACTGAAGGTCAAAGTCAATTAATTTACGGGGTGTTTTCATTTGGTAAGACAAAAATAGAGAGACCCACCGAATGAATTTTCTGACTCCACCGACCCGCAACTTTTATCAGGTACAGTGAGACATCTGAGAAGCTCAACTGAACTTGAAGTCAAGGCAACAAAATTACGTTTCTGAAAGGTCCTTCATGCCATCAATTCCCGAGGTCCAACAAGAATTGTTTCTTTGCCAGAAAAGTTAACGGTCGTTGCCGAGAGATCCGGAGAATGATTTCCTTCATCTCGTGGTGTACCGGGCTCCACCGGAAAACAAAAGGAACCCATACAGAACAAGGTGTGTACACAGACGGTGACAAAGCTCGAATCCGGGGATCCAAGTTTAATATAATAACCTATTTGACAAGCGCACGTCGATCTTCCACGTGCATGGGCTGCCCCAGAAAATGCACTAATTTTCCAAGCATTTGAGTGGCATGTACCTGCCGATCAATGCCACTGGAACCGTTTGCGATGTGCGCTTCCAGACCTCAAAAGCCTCGGAATTCATCAAATATGGGTTCCGCCCGGCTGCAAGGGAATGGATCCCAACGGCAATGGGTATGACATTTACGATCTGTTTGATCTTGGGGAGTTTGATCAGAAGGGGTCAATCTCCACAAAATGGGGTAGTAAGAAGGAACTAGTGGAGTTCGTGCGTGAGGCGCGTGAACTAGGTATCGGAATTATTTGGGATGCTGTTCTCAATCACAAGGCTGGAGCGGACTTTCCCGAGCAGTTCGAGGCCGTTGAAGTAGATCCGCAAGGTATGTTATCTCTACGTATTGGAGATTTGGGAGATTTTCACTAATACTTTCTGTTTAGAGAGAAATGTGGAGGTATCCAAGCCATTGAAAATAGATGGTTGGGTAGGCTTTGACTTCTCCGGTCGCGGTGAATCTTACAGTTCTATGAAATACCGCTGGCAACATTTCAGCGGTGTTGACTGGGACGATAAGAGCAAGCAGCAGGCCATCTATAAGACTTTCGCGCCTGGGAAGGGATGGGCGTCAGATGTCTCGACGGAACTTGGGAATTATGACTACCTCATGTTCTCTAATCTAGATCATTCCCATCCTGAAGTTCGGCAGGATCTCTTCAACTGGGGGACTTGGATCACCGATGAACTATCCCTCAGTGGAATGAGGCTGGATGCCGCAAAGCATATCTCCGCAGGTTTTCAAAAAGACTTTGTGGCTCACGTTCAAAAGACTGCTAACCCGGACTTTTTTGTTATTGGCGAGTATTGGACTGGACATCTTCCAGCCCTACTTGATTATCTTGACAAGCTGGGGCACACTGTAGTAGCTTATGATGTGCCTCTTCTGGAAAAATTCTCGAAGTTATCCCATAAGCGGGCCGCTGACCTACGTGGTATCTTTGATGATACCTTGGTGCAATGCAGGCCAGATCATGCTGTGGTAAGCAACCTCTCAACAAAGTTAAGATCGGTACTAATCTATACAGACGATTGTTGCAAACCACGATACGGTGAGTACACCAATACCAGTCTTCTTGTGAATTACCGCCTCGTATGGCCATACTAACTTCAGCCCTGAAGCAACCTGGACAGATGCTAGAAGTAAGTACATAGCCCCCTTTCATGTCAGCCTCACCACTGACCAGCATAGACTCCTGTCGCCCCCGAATTCAAGCTGATATCATATGCACTGATTCTGCTTCGAAAGGGGGGCTTCCCTTGCTTATTTTACGGTGATATTTACGGGATCCGAGCCAACGTGACAGACCCGATGACACCCGCCTGCAGCGGAAAGATTCCCATACTCGCCAAGGCACGACAGCTATACGCGTATGGAGAACAGAAAGACTACTTTGACCAACCAAACTGCATCGGTTCGTCTCGTCCCTGAGCCACCTTTCATTGAAGCTGACACATACCAGGATTTGTCCGTGGTGGTGTTCCCGGATGTTCTTCCGGACTCGCCTGTGTCATCAGTAATGCAGGGCCTAACCGGAAGCGAATGTTTATTGGTCGAAATAATACGGGACAGACGTGGGTTGATGTATTAGGGAACCAGTCTGCGTCTGTTGTTATTGATTGGTGGGGCTACGGTGCTTTCCCCGTCGGTGCAATGAGTGTCAGTGTTTGGGTTGACTGTGCTGCGGTCGATCGAAACATTTTCCCAAAGGAGCAGTACGTCCTCTCTCCTGATTTTCTTATCTTTTGTGGCTTGCGGAGGGCCTGAAGCTAACCACTTTTACTAGTGATTTGCATATATATGAGTAGTAGCGCCGTTGCGACTTTATCAAGTGGCATTGATCCCTGTCACCCCCTTTTGAAGTCTTAATTTTTAATCTTTATGTGGTGCCATCTCGTGTGACAGTGACTTGTTACTCTGCAGTGTAGCCTAATTAGCCTTGTAACACGTCACTCGCAAACATGACAGCGCTAAACATAGTCGGCACATGCTCGGTGAGACATTGTGGCCATGTTCCTGAATTCTCGCGTGGGTCAGCAATGGATGTCTTAGGGCAGGGATTGTAGGCCCAAGTCCCGGTTTGTTGGTTTCCCCATGCGGCAATCCGCGGAAGGCTTAAGCACAGTCGAGCTTTCGCCAAGCCATGTTAATCTCCACCAACTCTCGCGCTCGATCTATCTTGTAAGGAAGTAATACATTTCTCGTTGGGTTCTATACGACTGTAAATCTCGTATTTAGGCTTTGCCCATTATTCTTTTTATTCTTCCAAACCTTGCACAGGAGGAATGTTGAGACTTGCCACCAGCATCATACACATTTCTGATGTTCTCGTGTATGTGGTGATGAACGGGGCGATTTGCAGATGGCAACAGCCTCAATGTGCGGGCCGTATCAGGGGCTGCATGTCCAATTTATAGGTGGTAATCAGAATGTAACCTTGCAATCCATGTAAAGTTGATACCAAGATAAGGATTAAATACACAAAATTTGCATACCAAAAATACCATACATACGGCACCCAAGCACCGGGCTTATCGGGCGCTAGCTCGAGCCGAGGATTAGCGCACCGCCATGGGCGCCATTGAAGCCCGTTCCTCACTAACGGAGCTGCTAAAATACACTAAGTGGGGAAGGGTCTACAAGGGTCTTTATCAGACCAATCGGCTGAATCCTAGTCCGACGTATGCGAAAATACTGACCAATACATTGGCTAGCGCAGAAACATCTTCCAGGTGCAACTTGACTCTCAGAACAGTGGGTATTTCCGATCCAATTCGGTGTCGGATTTGGGGCTTTGATTGCCTTGGCGAAATGAAAATTTTGTGTGCGCTCGTGCGCTAGCGCGCTAGCACCGGGATGAGTTCCCGCTTCATGGGGAGGTCCATGGTTACCTTCTAGAGACCCTGAATGCCATCGCATTGCAAAGGCATCGCCTCCATAGATAATCGCGTTGATTCAGATATTATTAGATTCGTTTTCAGGTTTGCTTTGCCGTTAGAGGGGCATATTCTGAGACTTTGTTCCGCGTTCGTTTTCTTAGTTTTCTTAGTCGTGCCTGGTACTACTTAATCTAACTTTCCTGTCATCAACATCTACAATCTTCAACACGTCTCTCATCACTCGTTATCACTTGTTTACCTCTGTTCTTCCTTCGTTCTTCCTCCTTCCTTCTTCATCATCCCCCATCACTCGTTTAATTACAAGCTTGCATTTTTAACACGCAACCATGCGTTTCACACTCGCTTTGTCTGCTCTGGCCATGGCCATCTCCGTTGGAGGTAATCCTCCCCCAACCCTCATCTTTAAGACTTCTGCTGAATTATCTTCTAGCTATTGAGGTCACCGAGCCCAAGGAGGGCGCCGATATTGCCGCCTCCAGCTCTCTCGATGTGAAGTGGACCTTTGTCAAGTATGTACCCACACCAACCGCGAGTTCTTCAAGCTAACCCAATCAGCACCGATGAGACCAGCCTCGATATCTACCTCACCAACAACGCTGTCTACCCTACCGTCAACAAGAAGCTCGCCACCGACATCAGCACCTCTGATGGTTCCTACACCGTGAATGTTGGCGACATTGCTTCGGGGTATGAATAATTGGGCCTCGATACTTCATTTGAATTGACCTTTTGATCTAACTTGACAATAGACACGGTTACCAGATCAGCCTGAAGTCCGATGCCGACCACAACACTGGCATCCTGGCTCAGTCTAACCAGTTCAACGTGACTGAGTCGGCTAGCTCGTCTACTTCTTCCTCGTCCACTGAGTCTTCTACCTCGTCGACTACTAAGACCTCTACTGCGAGCTCCAATGATGCCGTGTCAACCACCACTTCCACTGGCTCTGGTATGACCACTACTATGACTATGACTGGTACTGCTGCTATCACTAGCGGCACCGCAAGCACCGCTTCTGGCATGCAGACCTCTGCTTCTTCCGGTACTAACTCCACTGCCGCTGCTACTGCCACCCAGTCCACTGGTGCTGGTTTCGCTATTGCTGCACACCCCGCTGCTGCTCTTGGAGTTGTCGGTGGTGCTTTGGCTTTCATGCTGTAAGCGGCTACGTCACGGCAAGAGACTAGTTACCTTGAACATGCAGCTACGCGCTGCCAGGTGCCATTGAAGGGCTTTTGTAAATGTATGTGTCCGATGGTACATACTCGCACATCATTGCTATGCCCGCGATTCCGCGATTGAGATTTTTCCAAGGTTTAGAACAAATAATTTTTCATTTCCATGTCCTTTACTTAAGATACGTTTAATGTGATACGTCCGTGTTTCAATTCAATTCTACTTCTCTTCTCTTCTCTTGCTATGGTGTTGTTTTTACGCCCCTCGAAGTTGATGCCTCGTCATTTTTACGGCCGAGGCAAATGCCAAATCCAAACATTGCTTTATATCCTTCAGGCAGCAGCACCTAGCCTATACATATATTGCTCCTCTGTCTTCCCTCCTTCTCTCTTACTCACCACCCTGACATTCTTCAAAAATCACTTCATTCTCGTTTTGAGCATCACACAATCGGCTCAAGATATATCGGAAGCACATCACGGCTTAAACTCTCGAGTTGATATCTCTGATCTGAGCGCGTGATGAGATCATACAGCCCGTTTAAGGTGGTCTGCCTATGTTACCATTCGCGTTCAGGTCATTCAATGAATCCGACTCTTCGGGGATTGTTTGACCCAGGCACGTACCTACTGAGCATGCCAGACGCCTTTCCTCTTTGGTAAGGAGCCAGAGTAGATGGATCTGAAGGCAGGTGCTAGATGGCCCATCGGCCATATGAGGGGAAACGACCTATATGTCTTTTCACGATGCAATGATCACCAATTTGCAGATCGCTATTATTAAGAGACTCCGCTATTACAAGCTTGCAGCTAATTGTATCAATATCGAAAAGATATATCGGGTGAAGTGTTAGTCACGCGCGACTATGATATATATTGGCAACCGGCGGCTCGTGAGAAAGACCATGAAAACAGTTTCCCGGCTTATTCCTATGTACTCTGTCACCTGTTCTGTGACGTTGCAAGATAATGAACAGGGCCTTCCTGACCAAATATGCTGCGATTCACGTAGCAACTGCAATTGGCGCAGTCGCCTCAGATCCACCTGGGCAGCCTCTACCTCAACCGCAAGCCGCACCGGTCGCCACTCAATATAATCAGGTGATGAACATTTCTCGAGAATCGCAGATGGAATTCCAAGCGATGAAGCAGCAAGGGTCCCGATTGGCACAGAATTTATCGCAAGCTCAGCAGTGCCTTGAACAGAACAAGTGAGTTCTGTTCGACCACAAATTCCGCAGTTCCTCACGCGTCTTCCCTATCCTTTTCTGGCCTTGGGAACTAGCCTGGCTGGGCGAGAAGACTCCAAGCACAACGTTGGTGCATTGTTCAACAACTGAGCGTCTGTCACGGTGACTTTGGTGTCATTCCACCGTTGTCGCAAATCGATCCGTTCACCGATCAGTCCTCGGGTGGTTTGAATCATAGTCACCGTCGGGGGGTGCTACACTACTCGTGTCTGCGTCTGTTATTGGAGATCCTCTGGGGTTGTGTGGTCATTGGATGGCATCTGTTGGGTTGCGAGGTGATTAAGAACTCCAACTTTGACGTGGGCTTCAGAAACATGACATCCTTCGATCAAATCCCTTCTTGGGCCCCCGTACCTTTTGGTCTAGCTACTCATTCAAATCAGCTCCCCCTCGCCCGTATACGCTCCGCGACTCCTTGTGTTCAGGAAATATAGGAGATCCATGCAGCCATTCATCCAGATCATCCCGCATTCCAATCAGCCAAACCTGTCGATGAGATGGTCCTGATTCAACTTGCTGAGAATACGGCAGATCCTGTTGCAAGTGCGGAGAGAAGGGCGGGTGAGGTATGATCTGTACTATGGTCTTTGGATCCAATTCATCTGGGTCCGCTGCTCGCTCACGTAAAGCAAACTCTCGGTGAAGAATTGTCTGGAAAGGAAAATCATATAGCACTGTGACTGCACTGTTCATTGCCGCTTGGCACCATTTGATCGTGTTGCTTTTCCATTTTGCTGGGAAGCATGCCTCTCGATTGACATACGGTGAATTGGAGTCACTTCACGACACGAATGGCTTCAAGTAGTCGAAACCTTGCATTTGGTTTTGCATTTCGTTCATTAAAGTAAAGATGGTCGCAGATCAATGCTTGGTAAATACTCGAACGATCTTAAATGGTCTTCTCAGCGACTCAATTCAGGATAATGGACCTATCTTCGACCTGTATTCTCTAGGGGCACCATTCTCGTAACTTTGAGACAATTGTTTAATGTGAAGAGTATGGCATCAAGGATGGCCAGTATAACTTGAACCAGGGAAAGGTCGTAATTTGACGAATCAGAAGGGGGGGGGGGGCGATATTCGTTGGCAAGTTCCAGAGCGAGTATAGCCCCAACCCAAAGGAAGTCCTTCCGTGGCTGTTCTAGAGCGGAATTCAATAGCCTGAGTTTAGATCTCCAGAGTAGCTTCCACCTTCCTTCGAGTAAGATACTTAGATCAGCCTCGGTGAATTGTAGATCTCTTTTACTGGGCAAGGTTCATGGATCATGCTGCCGCATAAAATATGATAGAGGGGAAGTTTGAAATGCGCATGCAGCATAACAAAGACTCCGTGAGATCTTTCCAAGCGCGATAGTCAGATACCGTCGGGACTTGAGGCGCGTGGGATACATCTGGCTATCAGATCGCCTTGTGCGGTATCGACTTGCTGGTTGTCTGATAATTGGAAGCGATATCCAGCCCGGAAAAACAGAAGGATGTAATTGATATCCAGGACGGAGATCTTCCCAACTTGCGTCATGCTCAAAGCGTCCTGCTATCGCGCATACTGACGTTTGAGCCATTCTTCATGGCAGTATTTATGATAATTTTCATGGCTATTTTCTTCTTGTGATATCGAACAATAGTCAGGTGTACTAAAAGTCCCAAGAAATTTCAATATGAGCAACGCATAGTACCAAAATCATCGAGTACATACCGAAGCACTTACTTTATCACAATAGGTTCCCCTTGTGGCCTGGTTATGCAGTTGCTACACATGATGTGTGTGTGATTAAGGAGTCATACGCACTCAAATGCCTCCTTTTTAGGTTTACTATCCTACTAGAGTACATGGCAGCTACAATGGGTATCTACAAAAGGATTCAGGACTAAGAGATCCAATGGTCATATCTCATTATTCATCGCATCTAGAATAAGATCTAACCAAAGCTTTAGAAAAGCCCGGACATCAATGGATGCTCATGGGTACGAGATGCATGGCTCTTCCGCGAGGCCATGTCCCTGGTTGAATTGGCATGCAGGACACAGAGCGGGAATGTCTCTTATGGCTCGCACTCGTGCGCGAGATAAGCTTGTCGATCCACTGGTCTGGACGGTACAAAGTATCAATCCAGAGTGGATATTGTCGGATCGGTGCATCGGATTTGGGCATCGATGTCTTCTTGCTCCTCTCCTCCTTCATGCTCTTCTCACGGCTCCTCTCCTCTCCTCCCCTTTATCATCAACCATCCCCACCCACCCCGGAAGCGAAACCGGTTCACCCACGGGGAAGGGTTGTTTTTTTGTATTTTCTTTTTTCAAAAGCAAGGTAATCAAATAGACGCAAACCGAATCCCTGCTACCAGGTCCAAGTGTATGACATGGAAACAAACCCCGGGTACAGCCTGCGCAGTGGTGACCGAACAAACTATACCAAAAGGTCGAGTTTAACGGCGGACAACGATGCCCTGGCGACGGGCACCACTGCGGGCACGGCGGTACTCCTCATCACTATCCTCATCCTCGGAGCAGCTGGCATCGGAAGACTCATCAGCGTATCCGCAGCGGCTGCCACCACAGTCCAGCTTGACACGGTCTCCCTTGCGGGTGATACCGTAGCGTTCGCAAGAGCAAACGGACTGGGGGTCGCTCATGGAGGACAAAGAAGAAGGCGAAGTAGATCCCGAAGAGCGGGAAGACAGCGACGAGCCGGCAGAGCTGGGCGGGCTGTTGGAGTAGGAGTAATCATCGGACAGACGAGAGCCGGCAAAGCGGCGGGTCAAGTCGTCGACGGTTGGGGCGCCGAACTCGGCTTCGCGAAGCTGGCGCGAGGCGTAGGGCTTTGAGGGCTTGGGGTGCTGAATCTTGGACGGCGAGAGGGAGCGGCCATGGGCGACGTTCGAGCTGCGGCGGGTGCTGCTTGGGGCGGTAGTGCGAGAGCTGGACTTGCCACCGGGAACATCGAGGATGTTGAGCTTGCGGCCAGTGGTGGGCTCGACGGTATACTCGACTGCTGGGTCGTGGGAGACGTGGTACCCATCCATGATGTAGTAGTACCAGTAGCGGGTACCGAGTTGGAGCATGGAGGTCTGGAAGCGGAACTTGCCAGCCCAGGCACCGGGCTTTTCCTCACCAGAGAGTGGCAGTTGACGGGCATAGTTGTCCCAGGAGCCGACCAAGTGGACGGTCTTGACATTGGACGAGGTCCGCAGGGAAAACTTGAGTTGAACGGCGGCCATTATGATTGATCAAATAAATCAAGTGTTATATAGTTGTCGTAGGACGTAAGAGTCAAATATGTCAATCAGAACTACCGGAGTCTGATTGGAGTTGGATGTCTTTGAATCTTTGCAATTGTCGAAGGGAACCAGTCCACGACAAGAATATAAACGGAATCGAGCGAGATTAGATTAACGTGTTTGTTGATAGAGCTGATACAGCAAGGCGCAACGTTGACCGGCAACGATGAGGCAGAACTGTGAAATTGAAATCGAATATTGAATCAAAGCAAGGCAGAATAGGGTAAACACTAGCAGAGCACAGCTCGTTTAGTGGTAAAAAAATTAAGAATAGTATAAAGGGGAGAAAAAAAGAACCGGACAACCAGTGCCTGGATTCAAAGTCGAATGAACAGCTCCAACAACAAAAACTCGCTGAAGAAAGAAAGGAAGAATCCGCCTGGGCGGTTATGGACAGTTTTTAAGGGAATCGAATGGATCGACCACTGCAGAAAGTGTGTCTTTGGGGTGAGCGGGTATTCCAGCCATTTGATTGGCTGTGGAGTGTGTTGCGCAGTGATGGGCTGTCAACCTCCCCCTCATCCAATCAACCCCCTGTACTTGACGCTATCGGTGAGACCGAGTGAGGGGCTGTCATCGAATCAGCCTCATGCTTGCTCTTTTCCTGCAGCAGGATTCCCTTCCATCATTCCATCATCCATGCATCATTTCTAAGTTGCTCTAGCCTCTCGTCCCTATACGAAGCTCTATACAGCCTTGGATAAAGACCACGCCTTCCCCAACGGCCATACTACAGAACTACCTGAATATGCCTCGCAACAAGAATAGAAACCATTATGCTACTAAACTATGATCTGCGCACAGTCCACATTCACATCCCGAAGGTTTGATGACGGGAAAATTCAACGTAATCCTGCCGGTTCTAGTCCTGCTGATTCCCCGCCAACTCCCAACAGGGCCAATGCGAGCCAAGAATCAATATCTATCCCGCATGTACATCTACATGTACTCTGTACATGGCACAGAATGATTCTGCAAGAGGGATAAATTGGCCAGTTTTCCGGATACTGCCTTTCCTCGGCCCTGCATGCCGCAGTGGCATAAATTGATTCCCTTCAGTTGACGCTACACGTCCTAATTCAGACTAGATCGAGGTGATTGGTCTTCGTTGTCAGTTCAGACTAGTTGCGCATGCCGAAATTCCCGTGCGTGGGGTACAAGGGTACAAGGGTACAACGTGGTCGAATAATAATAGCTCGTCTGGCCCGGTGTTACGGTCATATCCACAAGGCATACTTAACTGGAATGTACTCCTGAGATGATAACAAGCTCTTCGTTGCGGCTCTCTCTTGGATTAGTAGAGACTAACAACTAAGTCCATGGATCTTGAATCCCTGCATACAGTATCTTACCTGGGCTAACAGTGCTGATTGAATAAAATACATAAATAGGCTGCATTGTCAAGGGTTGGTCGGACTTGAAAGCGCTTGGTTCCTGGGAAGCCTGCTATTTTCCTTGTAACATGTTTCCAAGATTGCAAATTGATATTCAATCGTTTATTTCGAGATTTTGATTCATGACTAGTCTAGCTCGAGATTTTCAAATGCTACTTGGAGTATATGGGCGCTCGCGTTGTAAGAATCCGGACGTTCCGGCCAATGATGGACACTACAGGGTTAGACGGCGGGCTTAGGAGAGGGAGCATACAGATGAAAAGCTCAGGAAATAGACAAAAAGAAAACTACTGGTTACAGGAACGGCAAATACACAAGATTTGATTTCCGACTATGTATGACCTAATAGAATGCGAGGGCCAGAAATCCCCAGACGCCATAACAATAGTCCATAAGGACTCGCGATTTTCGAGTGAATCATTAAAGTACAATGTTAAATGAGAATTGTGCAAGATGCGGATATGCATTTACCGCACCGACACGCCAGACCGATCGGTAAACATCCGAGCGGCAATGTTCATCGAGGCCAGCTCTTGGAACAGAAGCTTGGCAGCGTAGGGGATATGGACCTGCGAGATACGGTGCTTGTTGTTGCAAAGGCGGCACTCGAAGAGACCCTTCTTCAGTTTACTGCTGATGTGTTAGTTGACGAACTATCAGGTTGGAATCGATGGGATAACTTACGCAATGGGTGTCATCAGGCCACAGTCATCGCAAATGTGGACTCGGAAAGGATCAGAGACATCAAATAGACGCTCCTTCAGGAAGGCACTGGCACCGTGGGCGATCATACAATCGCGCTCCATCTCTCCGAAACGGAGACCACCATCACGGGCACGACCCTCGACGGGCTGACGGGTCAGAATCTGGGTAGGACCACGGGCACGAGCGTGAATCTTGTCGTCCACCATGTGACGCAGACGTTGGTAGTATGTAGGGCCCAGGAATACCTGCGCCACCAACTTGCGACCAGTGTAACCGTTGTACATAACCTCGAATCCACGCGACTGGTAACCATGCTCCCGGAGCAGACGAGAGACCGAGTCAACAGTCACGTCAGTGAAAGGAGTGGCATCACCTTCGAAGCCACGAAGCGACGACACCTTACTCAGTTGACACTCAATCAAGTGAGCAATGGTCATACGAGACGGAATGGCATGGGGATTGATAATGAGATCAGGCACCACACCTTCACGGGTGAAGGGCATATCTTCCTGTCGGAATGTGATACCGATGGTACCCTTCTGACCGTGACGAGAGGCAAACTTGTCACCAATCTGGGGAACCTTGGTGGTACGCATGCGAACCTTGACAAACTTGGTGGAATCCTGGCCTGTCGAAACCAACACCTGGTCGACGATACCGTTTTCCGTGCTTCGCAGGGGCGTCGACACGTCTATTTTGGTGTGTGCCTTGGTACGCTGACCAAGCTCTTCAGCATCGGCAGCCAAAGGTGCGGTTTTACCGATAATGATATCCTCTCCAGAGACACGGGTACCAGGGGCAATGATACCGTCGTCGTCAAGCTTGTCATATGTACCCTTGCGCATGCCGAGAGTGTCCATCCGCATGGGCTTCTCGAATTGCTCCACAATGTTCGTGCCGATCGACTTCTCAACATCACTGTATGTACGGTAGAACAGACTGCGGAACAGACCACGGTCAATACTGCTCTGATTCATGACAACGGAATCCTCCTGGTTGTATCCAGAGTAACAAGCAATGGCGACAATTGCATTCTGGCCAGCTGGTAGCTCACGGAAGCGCAAGAATTCCATAGACCGGGTGGTGGCAAGCGGTTTCTGAGGGTAGTAAAGAATGTTCGCCATGGTCTCCATGCGCTGTGCAAAGTTCGTCAAGAACACACCCATAGCCTGCTTGCCCATAGCGGATTGATAGGTGTTACGGGGCGACTGGTTGTGATCGGGGAAGGGAATGATACTCGCACAAACACCAAGGATCATACTAGGGTGGATCTCACAATGAGTCCAGGTGTGTGCCCGCTGGCTCAAAATCGAGCGGACTCGCTTGTTGGGATCGCTGTCATCCTCCGGCAAGGCGTAACCAGCCTGGAGTTGTTTGGAAATCTCCAAATCTTCAGGCGTCATCACAATCATAATGGTTTCTTCCTCCTCCGCATCCACGTATTCCACGGCACCGGATCGCACCAATCCCTCCCATCCGAAGAAACGTTCGCGGCGTTCTTCTGGGTCCAAATCTGGTGGCAAATCCTTATCCTGCTCCAGGGATCGAATGTGCTCCTTGTTAAGAATCAGTGATCCTGCATTCTCACTCTTGGGGTCATTGTCGACAACGAAGAGCGGTCGACAGACACGTCCGGTATCAGTGAAAATCTTAAACTCTCGCTCACGGATGTCACGAATCAAGCTGACTTCGTGGGAAATCATGTTTCGCCGACGAAGAGACGCCATGGTATTGACAAGGTGCGACGGGTCACGGTGAATGCCAACCCACACACCGTTGACGAACACTTTGGTGGCATTAGGTGTGACTTGGGGCTCGAACTCTTCGAGGACCTCCATATTTCGTTGGATCATGAAATCAATGATCGGCTCACTGGGGGTACCGACAGTGATATAGCACATGAGCGCCAAGTTCTTGACCAGACCACAAGCCTGACCTTCGGGGGTTTCAGCTGGGCATACAAGACCCCAATGAGTGTTGTGAAGCTGACGAGGCTTAGCAATTTTACCATCTCGTCCAATAGGCGTATTGGTACGTCGCAAATGGGACAACGTGGATGCGTATGTATAACGACTCAGCACCTGGGACACACCGGCCTTGGCGCTGGCAGCCTTCTTCTGCTCACCCCAGTTACCGGTAGCGAGGGCGTACTTCAATCCACCAGTAAGTGTAGCAGCCTTCAGACCCACGTTGAGGAAAACCTCACGATTAGTCTCAACGCAACGCTGGACATAACGCTGGAGATCACGGGTGACACGAGTGAAGAGGACACGGAAAAGACCAGCAAGAAGTGGACCAGCCAGATCCAGGCGCTTCTTTCCAAAGTGATCACGATCATCAACATCACGGCGGCCAAGAGCACACTGTAACAGACGGTGCACCATGTAGCCGAGGAAGAAGGCCTTGCGGGTTTCGCTACCTTCACTTTGGGAGATATGGGGCAACAACTCTTTTTGCATGATCTCTCGTGCATAACGGACACGACGTTCATGATTAAGGTTAGATTGGGACGAGCCACGCTTGGCGATGAAATCCAGAGCCACCTCACGGTCCTGGATAACGAAACCTTCCTCGATACACGGCTTCAGCATCTCCAGCATAGGGATATCATTGCGGTCATAGCAAATGTGGTTCAAAATATCCTCGTCAGAAACGACACCCAGAGCACGAAAAACAACGACGATGGGAATATCGGCCTTGACATAAGGCAAGGTTGAACGAATGGTAGGGCCAAAACCACCCTTGGCGCTGTCACCCTTGGCGAAGAGCTTCAGGGAAAGTTGAGACAAAAGTCGAGATCCCTTTTCAACGGCACTGCGAATTTCCGCAACATAAGGCGTAGGACTCGGGGGCGCCTTCTTAAAGACTTGGACAATATTTCCAGCACTGCGCTCCTGTGCGATAAGAACCTTCTCACTTCCGTTGATAATGAAGTAGCCACCGGAATCATATGGACACTCGTTCCAGGCGTATAGTGACTGTTCATTCAGATCCTTCAGGATACAGTATTTGGACTTGAGCATAATAGGCATCTTGCCAATGTATACTGTCTCCGTCACCTTCTTCTCCAAATTTGGGCCGATGTCGATCTGATCCCATTCGAGATATGTACCACGGTTCTTGCCATCGTCGGCCTCGCCGGGCTCCCCGTCATCGCGGTCGGCGATCAAACGCTCTCGTCCTTCCATGACCGTCTTTGTGACATCGAGATACAGGGGACTGGCGTAGGTAAGATTTCGCAAGCGGGCTTCCTGGGGCAACATAATTGTTGTCGCGCCATCTCCTTCAGTGACCGATGGTCGGGAAAGCATGACAGTGCCAAATTTGCACTCGTAACGGCGGACAACAACCGGATCGTCTTCGTCTTCGGAGGGAGGGAGGGTCTGGTCAAGCACCACCTGTCCTTGTTCCTCCACCATCTCCTGCATTGTTGAGGAGATGAATTCATCGAAAGAGTCGAGTTGCTGGGACACGAGACCCTTCGTGTCGAAGAACGAAGAAATCACAGTCCAGCAGTCTTCGGAGGTGATTCCCTCATCTGAATCATCGTAGAACTCCTCCTCGTATGTCTCGTCGTAGTCTGCCATTATGCCGATTTCCTGGGATCTCCCAGTGCGTTTTGAGATGCAAGGTCGAAAGGCGAAAATACCGATCTTCGAAGGGTCGCAAAGGCGCGTCGGGTCGGGGAGAAGCAATGATCTGAAATTCACCCAACGCGCTGCAACACCCGCCAGTCAGTGACTGTAGAGAAATTTCTGCAGCCGGCCCGGACAAGTGAGGAAGCTGAGACGGGAGCTCGGTGGGATGAAGAAAAAGTCCCAGCGGTGACGGATGAAGTGATTGGCGATCTCCCAGGATCTTGATGCTTCGGCGGCGCCGAATTACCACACTAGTCCTGATAAGGATTATTATAGTCACGTGTTATTTTAGTCACGTGTTTGGTTTGGCATATAGAATCTCTAGGTAGAACCTGAAAAGTCCCGGTGTCAGGAAGAAGCTTTTGGTTTCAAATTTGATTTGAAATATTTGTTAATATTGGAGCATTCTGAGTGACTGAGTTACCATTTTGGTGAACCTCGAAAGTTGGTATTTCACTTGAACACTGGGCAAGTTGGGGAATGACACCTAATCCAATGATGGGATACATATGTATGTGCCTTACCTACTACCTTTTAAAGTCACTTGGGCGATTGAGATAGTTACAGTATCCATACAGGGATAGATTTGACAACTCTCCCGGAGGGCTAGGATATCAAAAGAGCGTACGGATTACACAGGCACATGTACGCTTACCTAGCCTACATCTTCAGGTACTATTCACACATCCAGAAATCAACTACACGGATAGATTCAAGAGGCCTACATGAAATGACCTCGGGAACACACCCACCTGACATGTATACACCTTGGATATCCAAGCCTGTACTTAGGCATGAGCTATCAATTTTTGTGAAATACTGAATATTATCGGATATAATACATTGCATAGTATGACACCATTACACAAACTGCAGTAAGGTGCTCAGCATGTCCTTGGTATCCTTTTGTCCTGGTTCTTCATCGCCAAGGCCTTGCAATTGTTCTAAAATATGAGGTTAGTATCTCAGCAATTGCCAATCAAGGCCCACGGATGATGCTTACCTTGTAGGGTACCCCGAATCAGGGACAGATCTTCGTCACGGTCTGCAAAAAGGGATACAATCTTCTTCTTAGCTCCATCATCCTCCGCAATCAGCCAAGCCAAGACAACGTCAATTGTCTGCAAGGAGAAGAGTCCGACGTCAAATCGTCGAGATAACCATTCCCCAGCCATGATTTCTTGGTCTTCAGGTGAGTAGGACTTCCGCTCCTTCTCAATGGCTTGCTCAACTGGGACCACACGTGCAGCATACTCTCGTCTCAACTTGACAAGCTTTTCGATCTTCTCATAGTCCTTCTCCATGAACTTAGCCAGGGTCCGGATACGCGCAGCCGATGCACCAGGAAGAAGTCGGAGAAGTGAAGCAAAGATGCCCAGCAGATGCTCAATGTTTTGTCCCTCTTGCTGCATATTGTAAGTAAAGGTACTATTTGTAGCAGTAACCATGCTTACCTTTTTCATGAACATGCCGAATACGGTCTTCAGTCCTACTGCTTCAACCAGTTGCTCGCAAGCCGGGCCACCCGCTGCTCCACCAAAGGCGTGATCGAGAGTCCTTAGGGCCCGTGATTTGCTGAATTTACCTTCCTTGAGCATGATCAATGCTAGTTCAATTCCCTCAGCCACGATGAACTTGTCTTTCCCTGCTGGTTCATCGACAAGGCAGATCAAAGCATCGAAAAGATTTTCAACATATTCTTCCTCATCCGAGTCTTTTTCAGGATCTCGCTTCCTGTATTGACTGAGGATCTGGAGGATGATGTCGACTCCGTCGAGATCGATAAATCGCTCTCGATTTTTTGAGGAAGACTGCAACAGAATTGCCAAGACCTCTGCTGAATACTGCTTGTTTTGACTGACGGGTGATTCCTTTTTCTGAATACGACTCAGGATCCACTGAAGGATGGAAGCATCCTGCCCAATCTTTTCTGCGACAGAGGTTTGGGAGCATAGGTTTTCCAATACACCTAGAGATGGTTAGCGACTTGAGGATAGTCTAGCAAGAGAAACCTACTGAGGATATAGTAAACACCGGCCCTGTCAGTATCCACACCCTCATCAAGACGAGTAAGATTCGAGGTCAACAGCTCAACGAGATCGGCGTCCATCTAATCCTTGTTAGCATATTATAGATAGTGGTTTTGCTCTGAAACCCACCATAGGGTTGACCAGGCTATCCCACTGTTCCTGTTCAGCCTCGACATCCTCATCTGTAAGCTCGCCGATAATTTGGATAACGTCGATCGCAATATCGGCATTCTCGTGGGAGAGCAGCGAAATTAGTGATCCCACACAGCCCAGCTTCGCAAATTCCTTATAGAGGTCTGGGTGTTCTGACAGAATCGATAATCCCTTGATCTCGGTATCCAGATCGGCTTCGGATGTCATGAATCTGCAGTCAATCAGCATACAGCCTGCAGTACCCCCGGATTAACACATACTTTTGTGGGTCATTTTCAAACTTGGCTCGTAGCTCGGCGTTTTTAGATATCTTTTTCTCGAAGTTCAAAGCGAATCGGCGAACCCAGGCAGTGTCGAATTTCTCGGGCTGCAGAGCAATCATTAGCATTAAAAGAGCCAAGAACTGAGATCCTGCACATACTGCAGCTTCATCTTCTTCTTGCTGGTCAATGTACTGCATCGCTTGGGCAGTCTTCTGCTCCATTCCACCACCAAAGAACCGGCCTTCCTCATCGTCGGGAATATCTTCAGTGTCCATGTCCGGAGGCAGTTCTGGACCAGCCTCGCCATCGTCATCAATCTCATCCTCAACCATTGCTTCCTTCCCTTTGGACCTCACGTCGGCATTGGGGTCTAGCTTCGCGGATTTGTAGAGCTCATCTTGCGACATGTTAGCTGATGTCGCGGGGTTATCGCAGGGAAGGAGCGCGTACTTGGATCTTGAAGGGGCTCGAACTTGCGCTTGGAGCTTCCTACACCCGAAGGTTTCTTCAGAAATCAGAGAGAGACCCAGGACGGGTTGAGGAAGCTTGACTTACCTTGAAGAGCTCATCGACACTAGTCATGGCTGCGGCGCGTGCTCATTCACAAGGGAAGAAAGCAGTGAGACCACCCGCGATTCCGTTCGCAGGAATTTTCCGTGGACACGATTGAAGGAGAGTAAAATCGAAGATCTCCGCCTTTATTTTCCTAAAGACAGACTGGGCGAGACAAAGTCACTACTGCATGCGCGCCCGCGCAAAAGATATACGGGTGTCGAAACGCACCTATGACGCAGTGACGCCAAGCGTCCCGAAGCCGCAGATTTCTCGACCTCCGAACACCATCTCCGCCTACCATACACTATCTACCATTCACTTTCACCGGCTTTCATCTACTATCACAATGGCACCCAAGAACCTTGCCGGCTCCCAGAAGGGATTCATCAGCACAGTCTTCGACGAGGCTCGTAATCCCGAGAACGCTACTATCGTTCGCAGCCTCGCCATCTTCACTGTACGTCTTCTCTGATACACGACCCGGATCATGAAACTGACATTATCCCTAGGTCGGCGTCGCTTTCCTCCACAGCAGCCTCGGCGAGATCCTCCTCCCTCCGTGAGTCAAGCCATCCCCCCTAATACCGTCATTGATGGGATCGTTGGCACGTTGAAACCGAACTAACGCGTCTCAGTATGTAAACCAACCATATACTCGAAGCTCGAACTCCCATCCTCTCAACATGAATCGTTTCTCTACGAAAGCATAATGGCGTCGGCCAGGGGACCAAGTTGCATAGACATTGGTCTGATGCTCCTCTTTTTATCTGTACAATAGTCTCTTCGCAAGGGCACCGTCACATGACTACATGGGCTGTGCCACAGCTTTGTTATGAATACCAAGGATTGTGACTGTCATTCATTACGAGAACAAGTAGCAAGATGGAGTGGAACAAGACAAGGAACGTACGGTGCGGTAAACAGACTCACGAGATCGATCCCTAGGGGAATTGATCATGGTGCAGGGAACCTAGGAATGGCTCTCTTTTGTTGGTTGATTTTGGAGTATAGCATAGGGCACCTTACAAAATGCTTCGAGTATGTCGATCAGGAAGTGCACTCGACACCTGTTGGGCAGAAATGCAGTACAGAGGAAGGGAATAAGACCTAGTATCCATTTCCTAGCTTGGAAGATATGTGACTATACCGTGGAGCAGCCGGTGGGAATCTAAGGCGCGCTATAACTGAACGCCTTAGAAAATCATTCGAGAATCATATCACTGGTATCAGGTAAGACGCAGTATTCGAGATTCATGTAATATCATCGAGTACATACCCAGACCTATAGTCGCGGAGTAGGCTACCCTGGGAAATAAAGGTGATGAAGGAGTGATACCTGCTGAGCCGCCTTGTGTTACACATGATTGAAATGTGAATGTCTATATTGGCTCCAACGAAGCGTTATCTTGCATGTTGACTTGAATCGAGCGAAATTATGTGTATGCTGTTGAGTACCTGAGATAGCAACTGTCTGGATAACAATTAGTGCGTTACTTAACAAGGCTAGTGAAGATGTTCAACTAATTTCGTGGTATTCGATTAAAGGGCTTCAAATAAAATAATCAATGACGTGTCACATTGGGAGGCCTAAAGAATGACATATTATGCTAGACAGGGATTAATTGGGGGCTATTTTGGTTAAACATAATGGGGACTTTACCTTAGTGGAAGATTTCATTGATGCGGGGAATTGGTAAGGAAGAATAAATTCTTTTTTGTCACTCTGAGTTTCTAATCGTTCTTAACCATTTGGTTTCAAAGAATAGGATATACAGAGTTTGATTGTTGACGATGCCGACAGTCAAGTATTTTGATCAGTGTCCCCCATTCCCCTCCGGTGTACGTACCGTTCCTTTACCGAAGGTGTCATTTGAAGAACTCCAGAATGGGAGCGAAAAAGAGAGTCAGCTTCTATTCCAAGCATGCCAGGAATGGGGATTCTTCTTGCTCAATCTGCAACCATCTAGGAAGGGGAACGAGCTCCTAGGGAATGCAGAACAGATGTTTGATCTCACCAATGAGACATACGACCTCGACCAGTCGGTTCTCGACAGCTACGCCTACAAGCCGCCTCATGACCTAATGGGGTATGACGAGTCCTTCTCCATTTGTGTCTAGGCCACTGACCAGAAGAAGATATAAGCGAATGGGTCAACTTAAGACAGATGACGGTAAAATGGATTGCATGGAGCTTTATTCAATAAATCAAGATGATATGCTAGGCAACCGGTCTGCACGTAAAAATGCCGACACCATCGAAGCCAAAAGAGCAGACGTGCGACAATTCATTGAGAATTCCCATTCGATAATAGGTATGCCACCACGCATAGTACAAGGACTTAGATGGATTCTCATGTTAGCAGATGTCATTTTCTCTCATCTCGATAAACAGCTGGGCCTTCAACCTGGAACACTCAGTGAACTTAGCCCTTTGAACGAGATATCCGAGACATCAGTTAGATTGTTACGCAGTCAGTCCCAATTGTGCCCTCAATACGATAGCATTTTACTTGGCGGGCACACCGACATCGGAACCATCACCCTGCTCTTCAACGTGGTGGGTGGATTGCAGATACTGCCAGCAGACTGTGAAAACGAGCTAGGAAACTGGCTGTATGTTAAGCCGGAGCCGGGAAATGTATTGGTGAATATTGGTGATACTCTGGTTGCATGGACGGGTGGACTGTTGCGGAGCTCATTGCATCGTGTGATAACGGCACCCGAAGAGCAGGCGCTGGTGGCCCGTCAAAGCGTGGCGTACTTAGTGCGGCCACGAAACAATGCCTCGATGCAAAGACTAAAGAGTGGCAGTATTCCTCCTGTGGAACAGGGCGAGGAAGAGGAAAATCGTTCAGTCATCGAGTGGGCCGCATGGCGGGCTAAGCAGGTTATGCTTGGCCAGCTTAAACCACAGACGAGAGGTGGAAGATCGGCTGTTGCGGCTTAGGAAATGGACCCACTTCGAATCGGTATAGGTAGGACCCTCGAGTTCAATGTTATCGAATCTCCGCACTTACCCGCTAGTCAGGTACATATAGATATCGCCTTGGCACTGTTGGATTTTGAGTCAAATGAAATCCATAGATTATTCTTTACTATAGGCATGTTCGCCATTGGTTGACTGCAAGGTAGATCATAGACCACGTGCTTCAACCGCATTAATCAGCATCGCGGCAGTCAAATCGGCATATCAAACCAAAGTTTCATATTCTGGCCAACCATACATATCTACTCCACGTAAGCCTCCGCAAAAACCCCACATTCCCCAAAGTTCCGAACACCGCCCTGTTCCATTCACCGGGGCTAGAAGTTTTGAGGGCCCCGATTTTGCATTTCGCTTACTCTACACGCCGATCTTCCTTGGACCCTGCATCCGTGTCACTGGGAGAATTCGAGAGAGTTCTGCGGCTATATGTGGACCTAAGTTGACATAAGTGGCGATGTCTTTATCCCCAAATAGCAACGCGCTTGCTCTTAAACGCAAGCTGCAGCAGCAGGCTGACACTCGCCACGAGCCAACGTCTAAACGTCATAGCATATCAGGATACGATCCACAGGCCCCATGGCTCTTCGAGTCAGGTAGGCCGCTCAACGGCTGGCGCACGCTGGGTGATCCCGCAGTCCATAACTCGTTGCCACTTGCCAATATGGTTTCTGCGGTGCAGGATCTGATCGACCCGGACTTTGATCCATTGACAGCCATCTTGGACGAAGAGCCCCGGTTTCTTAAGCCGTTGCCGAATCGTATCGCACGGGAAGATCTAGAGTTTTTGCGCTTTCGCGGCGCGCTGACGATACCAGAGAGCGGGTTGCGCAATGAGTTGTTGCGGTCATATATCCAGTGGGTGCACAGTTTTATGCCCGTCCTCAATTTGCAAGAACTCTTGAGATGTGTCGCAGAGAACGACCCCGATGGGAACATCAGTGTCCTGCTCTTTCAAGCTGTAATGTTTGTTGGCACGGCTTTCGTCGACATCAAGCACCTACAGGCTGCAGGGTATTCGACGAGAAAAGATGCACGTAATGCATTCTTTACCCGGTTACGAGTACGCATACCGTTCCTTTCACCTTTCCGCATTCAATCTTTCTAACCTCAGCATCCCAGCTTCTTTACTCTCTTGACTGCGAAGAAGATCGTATCGTAATTCTGCAAACAGTGCTACTGATGACATATTGGTCGGACCCCGAGAATAGCCTACAGCGAGATATCTGGGACTGGATTGGAGTGTGTAACACACAGGCGCATTCTATTGGATTAAACAAAGATCCATCCACTGCTGAGATCGACCCCAGGCTCAAACGGCTGCGCACTCGACTGTGGTGGTGTCTTTACTCCCGGGATAGATTGATTGCCATGGGCATGCGACGACCACTGCAAGTGAATGAGGGAACAAGCAATGTCCCTATGTTAAGACCCGAGGACTTTGATTTTGAACCTTTCTCCAAATCTGCGGTTGGCCTGTTCCACTGTCGACAACTAGAAGACGTGTCACACCAAAGGCGTCTGGCCACTATGTTTATTGAAAAGGTCAAGCTTTGCCAGTGCATTGGAAGAGTAATCTTTGCGCAATATGCGCCATCACAACGACAATTTGGAGCGACAGACAGAACGACAGTCACACTGATTCCCCGGCAGGCATCAGAATCTGAGTTTACTAGATGCAGTCAGAAACTAGATTCATGGCTTACTGGCCTGCCGAAAGATGCACAGTTCATTCCAGCATCCAGGAACAATTTTCGAGATGGCGAGGATGTGCTACTCCTACATGGTGCTATGCTTCGTATGCTCTATCATGCGACCAGCAGTGCGCTCCACAGGCCCTGGGCCGCCCATTCTAAAGACCAGACAAAATCCCGCACTGAGTGGCGCAATGCAGCCCGCACAAAGATGCATGAAGCTGCTACTGGCATTACTCATATTGTTCAAGGCCTCAATCAGCTCAATCTCACACGGTTCCTACCACAGTCAGGCGTGACAGTAATTCTACCAGCGGCAGTGGCACATCTTTCCAACTCCGTGTCTGACAACCCCGCCATCCGCGAGAGCAGCATACACAATTTCCAACGATGCATTCATGTTCTACATTCTCTAAAGGATATGTACCCAGCTGCCAACGTAGAGTTTGCCAATCTCGAAGCCGCAATCAAGCTACAATCGGGCAATTACACCAGCAACACATTTTTCCAGATCATGCAAAACAATTTCGACACCCCACCCACCCCTCTCGACCTAACCAGGAAACAAAGCACCACAGACTCAGTATCAACACCCCATACCTTCCACCAAGAGAGCAACAAATCAGATATTCAAACCCCAGCATCCCACAGAACACCAACCATTTACGAAGAGAACCAAACTCAACGAAACCAGAGCATTCCTACGCCCCGCGAACAATCTCAAACACCCCATCAAACCCGCCGCCCATTTCCAAACGACTTTGACGACCATTTCGCGGCTGTCACAGCCCCTGACGATGACAATCCCTACAATTACCTCGCCGTCGACTTCAACTTTTCCGATTTAGCAGATCCCACATCAACACGCAACACACAACCAATGGAGATCTCACCTCCGGCAGAAGATCTTGATGATCTGGACTGGACAAAGGCTCTATTCCAGGGGACATCGTTATCAGAACTCGATAAGTCGGGATCTTTTGATCAACAGCGTCGTGCTCAGCAAAATACATCACAGCGTCATGAGCAGGAGCAGGAGCAGGAACAGGAGCAGGATATCTTTTCATTTGCGCTTAAGGATAATGATTATGATGATGGATCGAGGCATCGGTCTGGGCATGCACATATAACGGGTGATTTGGATCGCGACTTAGGATTTCAGACTGGGGACGAGATGTTTTGAATTTGTCTTGATGAATATCTCTCTCAAGCTTTGACTCAACGATACCATTGTATTTGGAGTTTTATTCTTTGTCTGCATTTTAGCATTGATGGGTGTATATAACTTGCTGTGATTTGGTCCTCTCAATTTGACCATTGTGGATCTCGATGGATACATCCGTGAAGCGCAGTTTCATGATGGGGGGTTTCCCCCCTCTCTATTAATGGATATCATGCAAACTACCTGTCTCTATCATCCTTTAAAGAGCCATCCATACAAAGAAAACGAAAACGAAAACCAGCCTCCGACAATAATCAGTCAGGGGTATGTTCCCCATTTAGCATACGGGTATCTATTTCTGTTGCGCCCAGCGATTGCTCTCGTCAATTTGCATACCTTCTTGCTCGATATAGCCCAGTCTTCTCTTCACCTCGGCCACTGTGGCACTGTCTCCTGTATTCTTGCCCAAGTTATCGCTGAGCTTCACAGCCGAACGGCCATTGGCCGTGGAGATCTTGATGACAATGTTAAGAGGCTTCGATTTCTCGCCAGTGCTCTTGTTGATGTAGTCATCTAGAGAGAAAGATGTTAGTAATCCATACGCCCATAATGGGGTATTTTTTAACCTACTTGTGAAGAAAGTGCCCACGCCGAAGGACGGAGTGAATCCCGCTTCATCAGCAAGGGTCTTGTATTCAAGACATGACTCAATGTTCAACGAATCAGAAAATACCACCGTCTTCTTATCGGTGATACCCTCGCGATCGTAGAACTCGCGCACCATCTTGATAAAGTTTGATGGGTCACCTGAATCCTGGCGCACACCCGTGTAGGTCTGCGCATAGGACTTGAGTGGCTGACTGCTCGCGCTCTCGACAGGAGTTTTGATAGGCTTGCGGAATGCATCAAGGAAGGCCGGTGTGCCGAACGTATCGGTAAGGGCGATTCCGAGAACCTTTTTCAAGTTAGCTACCAACTCGAAGCTGATATGATGTATTTAAAAGCGGACTTACCCCTTCTCCGAAGCATCCGAGCCAGTACTGCAATGCCAATTCATTGGCGTTTTCATAATCATTCGTGATAGCCGCAATTGTCATGTACCACTCGTGCGCGACAGTACCAACAGCATTAACGTCGTACTTCATGGCGAAGTGCACATTGCTCGTACCAGTTAATGCGCCCTTATACCCATTTTTCTTCGCATCCTCCGCAGCCCGAGTAAGACCCTTCATCACAATATCTTGAGTGTGATAATCGCGTCGTCGTCGGGTTCCAAACTCCGAGAAAACACACCCGTTCTCCAGCAGTGTAGATCCCTTGCGGTATGCCTTCTCCTCCTGAGACTCGTAATCCCAGTCTTTATCACTGAACATGAAATACGCCTGGCTGGTCAGTGACAACAGCGGAATCTCGTAGAGGATGGTATCGAGCCAGAGACCCTTGATAACGTAATCGACGACTCCGTCATCCTCATCACTGCCCGTATCTTGCGTAGGTGTGAACTTGATCTCCACTTGCTCGGCTGGCTTGAGCTGAAAGGTCTCAAGGAAGGAAATGTAGGCATCGTTGAGGTATGGGCATTTGCGCTTGAGGAAGTCGCGCTCTTCGGCGGTGACCCGGAGGGATCCGAGCTCTAAGACGAACAAAACTTAGTATGAGCCAAAAAGTACCAGGGCTTTCATTCAAGTAGAGGAAGACTCACTCTCCAGCTGCTGCAGAAGCCATTTGTAAGCTCCGCGTCGCAGCTTCATGTGGGGGGTTCGATTCGTAAAGCCGTAGGTTACATCTATCAAGTAATTAGACCCGCGACATATGACTCTAGCATTTCCTACTCACAAACATCAGGGAAGTATTTGAGGATTGCGCATTGCATCGTCAGCTTGTAAAGATCGGTATCCAGAAGAGAGGAGACGCCGTCTGGCGTGGGAGCGTTGTCCTGACCCATTCTGTTGGCCTGATGGGTCATCTGGTTTGGGTATCAGATGAGCAGAAAGCAACAGAGAGCCTAACAGTGGTGTATGCAAGATAAATATACGCAATGGCACGCCTGCCTTTCTCTTTATCGAGCAAACGCGCGGGGAAGATTATTATTACGCCGCTGTTTGCAGTGTTTGCAGCTTGTAACGGTGCCAAACTATGGTGGGGGTTGACCAGACTGCTCTGTAGATCTTCAGAAAGCTTATATCCGTGGGAGCTAATTTAGGTGTTCATATCTATTTAATTTGATCATTCAGTGCGATCTTGCTTGTTCACAGAGGTTTATTTGTGTAGCCGGTGATGCCCGCCCTAACATTTCCTCTTCTCGGATGTTGCCTATCATCGTGTACCTGGCGAGGGTTACGCAATTTCGGACTTACGTAGTCAGCTTTCGGCGAGGGGTTATCCACCCGCAAAATCCGAAACTGTGATATCATGGACTGACTTCTAACCTCGGCGACATTTGCCGCTTTAGGCGTGGCAAGGGTGTGGGCCGCGTGGACCGCATGTGCCTTTTATCGACTGGAAACTCGACCGCAAAATATAGATGCAGATTAGATTCGCATCTAAATCCCACATCTCGGTTGATAGAACGCAATAATTCAGAGTGATCAGTTTGAACCCGGCGAGATAACTACATGCGCGAGCATAAACCCAGTCTATTAGTGTACCTGCATGATACTGGAATTGATCATTTTCAAAAGACATGATAAAAACCTCTTGCGGTAAATGGCGCCGATAGAAACATGTGTTACAGTCGCTCAATTATCTACTTAAAGACTGCAGGGGCCCGGCTGGACCTATTTAGCTTTTGCTTGAAGAGAAAGGTGCCGATGTTGGGTCGCAAACCCTTGACAATCACCAGAATTATGTTCCCTTGAAGGCAGTCACAAGAGCCCATTCAATACATAAATTGTTTTTCTTTAAAAAAAAACAAAAACAAAAGAAGGCCTCTTGATATCGCGCAGCTACTAGTGCAGTACGGCGCTAATATCAATGAAAAAGATGATCATCCATGAATGGCTACCGCTAGACTATCTTCCAATCAGCACTGCTTTCGGGCAAGAAGTAACCTGCCCGATCTCAATACAGTATGTCGCCGATGCAAAAGTTCCTAATACGGGACGGCCTCTGCACTATCCTCTTCAGCAGACATATGAAGCACGACTTTGTTTACCCCAACCTCGGAAAGTCAATAAAACACAAAGCGCACCGTTCTTGAGAACTCACTGTTGGTGAACTTTCCAAGTCATACTGCAAGATTGGCGAAACACAATTCCGTCCTTCAGGTATCAGGTTATGGATTCGCTTACATACTTACACGCCTGGTGTCTCGAAGTCTTGAATCTGGCTCTCCATAAGCATACGGCGAAGTAACTTTCGATGGGTATGTAATAACCCACTCCCCAAGATAAATGAGTCCATGCCCACTGCCTTTCCTGCCAAGACCCTATATACATTTCAATTGCAGATCAGGATATTTGAATCCCGGACAGAAATTCCGCGGATTTGACGCCACGGAATTTCGGAGTTTCGGAGATTGAGATTCTCTAACATTGGCATCAGCAGCCAACGTGGGAGAGAATTGGCATATATAAACGATCATTCTTCTCGTTTTGTTCTTTTACCAACACATCCACCTCTCCATAAACTTCAAAACCACCAGGGCAGCAATCGACATGTCACTTCTCTCATCTCTCCCAACCCGGGAGGTAGCTGGAATCACAATCCCAGATACCCCACTGGTCAACAAAACCATCGCTTACGTGCGAGACCAGGTCGATGACTTTACATACAACCATGTCATGAGAAGCTTCCTATTCGCCATCACCTTTGTTCCTATCGTCACTGCTTCGGCGCCCGACTATCCCATTGACTATGAGGTCATCGCTATCAGCACGCTTCTTCACGATCTAGCCTGGGCAGTAAGCAGCGATAAGTGCACCCCAGACAAACGATTCGAAGTCGACAGCGCCAACGCGGCAAGATTATTCCTAGTCAAAGAAACTGGGAATGATGCTAGCTGGCCCAATCATCGCGTGCAGGTCGTCTGGGATGCGATTGCATTGCATACCACCAATTCCATTGCTATGCACAAGCAGCCCGAAGTCATGCTTGCCCACATAGGAATCTCAGCTGACTTCATTGGGCCGAATATCATTCCAGGAGGAAACGGCCCATTAACTTCGGAGATTTTCAATGATGCTGTCAGTTTGTTTCCGAGACAGAACTTCAAAGAAGGTGTGAGGGAGCTTATGTGCGATTTGTGTAAGACGAAGCCCCAGACGACATATGATAACTTCGTTGGTGAGTATGGAGACAAGTATGTGGAAGGTTATGATAGAACTGGGAAGAAAGTCATTGACTTTCTTGAGACTGCTATCTAAAACTCTCCCATTTATACAGATTGATTTAAATTTGAATACTGTACTGTGTCTTTCTGGTTCGTTATGGCCATTTATTTAATTGGTATGCATCTATGTGTGTTGAGTTGGACGATGTGATATATATCAGTCATCAGGAGACCGCCGAGTCTCTTGGAGATACTGAAGCTTGCTATTGACTGGCTCAAATAGAAAAACCAGGAGTATCATCAGGCTATTGTAGATTGATGCCTCAAGAACGGATCCGTGCCTTGATAGTGGAACCTCTGCCTGTGCTTAGTAATAAGGTTCTTGGCCTTCAACTCCGGATTTGATCTCCTTGCGATCTTTGATGGTCGCGCACCTTTAGTCAATCTCCACTTGGTTCCTAACAACCTTGGAAACGCCTTTCAACCAAACAGGATCCAAGTCATTGCTATTTTTTGGATTTCGAAATTCCGTCCATCTACTTTGGCTAAACAAAACAAACAACTGATTCCTCACAACCATCGCCATGGCGCACGGCGCGGAAGACTGCGCGACCGTCCTGGAACAGTTTGTGCACGATGCAGCAAACTTGCCCGCTGAGATCAATCATTTAATGGAGGAGATTCAAGCCAAGGACAAAGTTATGCAGGAATGCCGGGCAACTATCAACTCTCGCGACGGCAGCATCCAAAAGTTCATTAAACTTAACGGTAGCCTGGCGCCCAACCCAAAAGAAGAACAGTACAGCAAATCCGTTCTCCAAAATATCGATCGCAGCCAACAGCTTCAAGAAGAGAAGATTCAACTCAGCGAGAAGGCATGCGTCCTACTAGATCGTCAGATTAAGCGATTGGATGTGCGCATTCGAGACCTAGTCAACGAAGGCCTACTCACAAACGACCCTCCTCTTCCCTCACTCTTCGACAACAAGAATAACTATCGCGACCCACCTCGTGTCTTCTTTCCAGACTCCAACCCCTCCGAACCGTCCTCCTATACCACCCCTCTCAACCCTACATCTGGAAACACAAATCCCATCCTGGCTGCAGCACAGCGTCTGAACCAGTCCACCACTCCCCGCCCTGTTCCCTCTCTCGCCGTGCAAGCAGCTGCTCGAAGCTCAGCACCTGCAACCCCAGCTGGAAGCACAGGCGTGCACCTTCAACAGCGCCAGCGCGAGCTATCAGCCGGCGCAGTTGACAGTAAACGCCGACGCCTAAATCACCCCTCTCTAAATACTCTCCCGGTCGCCTCATCAAACCTCCGCCAATCATCTATGGGTCCAGGAACGCCTAAAGCCGGCACACCAGTCACCAGCCGTGCAGGCAGCGCAGGCCCACGCGCAAGCGGAGCGATCAAAAAGCCTCTCACCAAGAAAGTCGCGCCACATCAGCAAGTAAAGAGGCTTAAGTCTGGTTCCAACAAAGCAAGTAAACGGTCTTCGAGTACTGGCCACCGGGTGAAATCGTCGAAGAAATCGCCTAATGGGGAAGGCGATGAAGACGATGATTCGCTTCTCAGCAGTGCCGATATTTCAGATTCAGATAAGAGCGATACTGGTGGTGGTGAGGACGATATGGATGATGATGAGGAAGAGGAGGAGGGAAACGAAGATAGCAAGGTTTATTGCACTTGTCGAACTGTTAGCCATGGGGATATGGTGGCTTGCGACAACGATAGTTGTCCATATGAGTGGTTCCATTGGAAGTGTGTTGGTTTGACCAGGGAGCCTGCGGGGACATGGTTTTGTGATGAGTGTAGGAAGACTCTTGCCAAATAGTTTTCGTTTTTTCCTTTTTCTCTCTCTTATTTGGTTTATACCCACGGCGTTGGGCAGGGAACAGGTTTTAAAATTCAAGTTTATACACGAATATCAAGATGTGCACGTCTCAACTTTACTACACTGCTTCCCATAACTATTAAGTAGGAATAAAAACAATTACCTGGCAGTCTCTCCTTGAAAGAAGACTACTGGGTGTCAAATTGAACGTTCAAGAAACCCGAGTTGGTATTCATCTAACACTTATCCAAAATTCAGCATATGCCTATCTGTGAGATAAGATCTAGCCAGACCGCAATCGCCCACGAGAAGTGGATGCCAAGGGTAAAAAGTAGTAAGTCAACGCCATCGCTATGCACATAAATCCCTTTTTTGTTTTCCTTTCGTCATCCATGCAAATGCGGACACGGGAAAAATCGTGTCTTTTATCAGGTACAGAGCGAGAAGGCAAGTGAGCCTCTCGCTCGTTAGGGCTGACGAGATCACATTCTAAAGTCTTTTTTTGCACGACTTGAATGGACCTGAAAGACCAAAGCAACGCTTTTAGAACCCGAGATTCTTCTCAAACCAGGGATCGAAGTATTCACAGGTCTCTGGGCTGATGGCTCCACCGGGTGTGCACAGTCGGAAGCTTGGGCACGGGCCACAGGGTGACTCGGTCATACCGTTCTTCCCCAGATCCTTGATAGGCTGGGGCTCCCTGCTATCCTCCATTGGCTTCCGGGCTTGGCTAGCCTTGACGGCTTCGGGGTCCTTGAGAGATTTGTAATATTTGCCGTCGTTGAGTGCCACGAGCTTCTTATCGAAACAGAGCATGTGTAACAGTTGAATGATACTCTCCGGGGTGAGCTGGACCGGAGTGATACCGCTTTCGTTGACGGCGCGAGTAATGGCCTCGGGAGTTGGATATCCAGGATAGTTTGCAGGGTAAGGGAGGAAAGATTTCTCTTTGGTCTCAGACTTTACATCCGCCTTGCCGTTGATAGTCTTGATTCGCTTGTTCGACCGGCCGCGGTCGCCGGAATCTTCGTACCAACTCTTGCGGCTGACGGTGTACTCGATAAAGCCGGCGACACTGTTGATGAAGTTTGCGTCCAACACGCCGTCGGTGAACCATGCGCCTCCGGTGACATCCTCACTTGGTGCCAGGCCAGCCAGCATGTACATCTTCTTTGTGGGATGCTTGACATTGTGGACGGTTTTGATGTAGTTTTTGCTCTCGAGCGATTTCAGGCAGCGGTCGAGGATAGATTTGTGCAAGTTCGTACGGTTCTGGATGTTGCGAATCCAGACACCAGAGCGACCGCTGGAGTGAATGACACTGAAGACTAGGCCTTCATCGTCGCTGAGGTTTCGAAGTCTGTAGTGGAGAAAAAAGAAAGCCGTTAGTTTCATGCGCTGTTAACGACACAAGTCATAGGAAGTTGGGCATACTTTTCGGCATCTTCGCGGGCGACGATGCGCCAAACAAGGCGCTTGTTCTGGCCTTCGAGAAGCCGGAACAATTTCTGGTTGACCAAGGACTGGGCGCATTCCAGCAGGAGCATAACATCATCATTGGGGATGACAGAGACACTAAGGAGATCTTGCTGGTAGAAAGAGTGGTCCGCATCAAACTGCTCTACACAGGCATCGTAGAGCTTGGAGGCGAGCTCTTTCACTCGAGGCTCCGCGGCGGCCATGGTCGGAGAGTTGGAGAAGGGAACGGAGTCAGACTCGATGTGTGAGGGGATAACGAGAGATCAGGGGATCATTGGAGGGGCTGAGATAGCATTGTTCGACTCGAGCCTCTTGCAAGAGCAGGAGAAGTTAAAGCAGCATGATTCACTCGCTGGTGTGAGTCAGTTGTCGAGAAAAATTGTGATTCACTGTGTTTTTTTGGCGACTTTTTCGCAGCGGGGATGTCGGGCTTCCTGTCCGGGACTAGCGTATCCGGAGCTTTAGCATTTGACTTTTATCTGGCCTCAGGCACCAACTTCAAAGGACGGAAATTTCCAGAAGCTCACGGTAGTGACGGAGCTCATAATCCAACGACTGGGCCCCAGTCAAGTCAACTCTTCCATATACCCCATTCTCTTTTCTCATATACTTCACAATATGGCTGACGCTTTGAAGGCTGAGGGCAACAAGGCCTTCTCGGCCAAGGACTACCCGACTGCTATGTACGTTACTACCCCGCCTTTGATGTTTGAGACCTTGGAGACTGTTGCTGATATGGGTACACGACAGTGAGAAATTCACTCAGGCTATCGCGATTGAATCCGAGAATCACATCCTTTACTCCAACCGTTCCGCTGTCTATGCTGCTCAGGCCGAGTACGAAAAAGCTTTGGAGGATGCCGAAAAGGCTATCGGCATCAAGCCCGACTGGTCAAAGGGCTATGCTCGCAAGGGAGCTGCCTACAAGGGCATGGGAGACCTCTGTAAGGAATATTTTATAAGTTGCGTTAGACTTACGAATCAGTGGCTGATCTGATATAATTAGTGGCTGCACATGACGCATACGAGGAGGCATTGAAGATTGAGCCCGATAACGCTCAGGCCAAGTCTGGAATGAGCGCTGTCCAGCGCGCCATCAATGCCGAGGCCACCGCTGACGGTGTTGAGGGAGACCCAAGCGCCGGCCTCGGAGGCATGTTCAACGACCCCGGACTCTTCCAGAAGCTGGCCAGCAACCCTAAGACCGCCCCCCTGCTTGCCGATGCCGAGTTCATGGCCAAGCTGAAGAAGATCCAACAAAACCCCAACAGTGTCGGAGAGGAGATCCGTGACCCTCGTTTCCTGCAGGTGATGAGTGTGCTCCTTGGAATTGATATGAACTTCGGTGGTGAGGGTGGTCCTTCCGGTGCCCAGGACACTCCCATGCCTGATGCCAAGCCTGCTTCGCCGCCACCGCAGCCCAAGAAGGAGCCTACTCCTGAGCCGGAGGATGAAGAGGCTATTGCCAAGAAGAAGGCCCAGGAGGCTGGTGATGCGGAGAAGAAGATTGGTAACGACTTCTACAAGCAGAAGCAGTTCGACCAGGCTATGGAGCACTACGAGAAGGCTTGGGAGCTGCACAAGGATATCACCTACCTGAACAACCTTGGCGCCGCCAAATTCGAGAACGGCGATTACCAGGGCACCATTGAGACCTGCCAGAAGGCCGTGGAGGAGGGCCGTGATCTGCGTGCTGACTTCAAGACTATTGCCAAGTATGTTGGATTCTCAGATACCATTGGAGATACCCACTAACCGGCCATATAGGGCCTACACTCGTATCGGCAGTGCCTACGAGAAGATGGGTGACCTCACTCAGGCCATTGAGTACTACCACAAGTCGCTCACTGAGCACCGCACACCCGAAGCCTTGGCCAAGATGCGCGCCGCCGAGAAGACCAAGTCCACCGCCGAGAAGAATGCCTACATGGACCCCGCCGAGGCTGAGAAGAGCCGTGAGCTTGGCCAGCAGAAGTTCCAGGAGGGTAACTGGCCCGCCGCCGTTGACGCCTTCACCGAGATGACCAAGCGTGCCCCCACCGACCCTCGCGGTTACTCAAACCGTGCCGCCGCTCTTATCAAGCTGATGGCATTCCCTCAAGCCGTGCAGGACTGCGACGAGGCCATCCGTCTCGATCCCAAGTTCATTCGCGCATACATGCGCAAGGGTCAGGCTCTTATCGCTATGAAGGAGTTTAACCGTGCTTTAGACACCTTCACCGAGGCCGCTGAGCACGATGATGGTACCAACCGACGTGAGATCGAGCAGCAGCAACAGAAGTGTCTGGATGCGCAGTTCAGCGCCCGCGCTGGTGAGACCGAGGAGCAGACCTCCGCTCGTATCCAGAATGACCCCGAGGTATGTTTCGTATTTTTCGCAATTCTTTGTGCACTGCTAACTGTCGTAGATCATGTCTATCCTTCAGGACCCTGTCATGCAGAGCATCCTCCAGCAAGCCAAGAACGACCCGGCTGCGCTGCAGGAGCACATGCAGAACAGCCAAGTGCGCATGAAGATTCAGAAGCTGATGGCTGCTGGTGTGATCCGCATGGGTCGGTAAATCCCTTCCTTTTGCGGGAATGGACTATATTGCAACGAATTCAAGATGTGACGAGCTGTCTTACAAGTATCACTTCAAGTCTCAAGGTTCCTTTGAATGTTTGTTCTAAAATCATTTTCTCATAAGTTGCTTAGCATGAAATTATCCATATTTCCATAATATCATGTGTTTTAGAGTTCAATTCATTCGTTATGGATGTGGCTCATCGCTGTTTGTACCTCCGTAGGCATGTAGAAAGGTAAATGGAAAAATATATATATCGACCTCCGCAGTGGACCTCGGTAGTGTGGCGCACGTATTCATGAACATCAATATAAGGATAAGCTCCGGTCGCACGTTCCAAGTTTACAAGGCTAGTCACTAAGCCCCAGAGGAATTGGACAATTATCAATTTTACTCATCCAGGTAGCAAGTCCTAGCGACATACTATTTTAGTATTGTTTTTCTGGGCTTGCTTTGTACATTGTACCACCACACCCTCCACAGCGGTCAAGATCGCACAAGTAACCCAATGGCAAGCCTCAATTGCGTCGGCGCAGATCTCACGAAAATGAAAAAAGAAACCCTAACCGAAAAAGAACAGGAAGGCCGAAGCTGATCAGTGGGGACGAGGGGCCCAAAGCACAACCGAGATCCATGGATGGACACGACAGTGGGAACACGATTCCACAGTAGCGTCACACACGGAAAGTGTTCTATGATATGAGTGCAAGGGGCTGGTTCCCCTCCAAAAAAAATCAGCAGGGAAATTACCCACACTACCGCTGAATAGCTGATAGATCGAATTTGGCCAGACGCGGCCTGAAACTCTCTGCATGGCCTGCAGGAAAAGCACAGCTAGAAGCGAATCAGCTAGGGTGAAGCTCGGGGCAGGTCTCAAGTCTTGACCGATATAAATCCGCTATCAAAGATAGTAGCGATAGATTCCGGCACTAGAGCTTACATCTTAAACCTTGATCG